TTAAATAGATTAAATAGATTAAATAAATTAAACAGATTAAATAGATAGAATAAATAAACAGAATATACTAAATCTATATTATAATATTATAGCTCTTATAAAAAGTTCTATAAAAACTTTTTATAAATCTTTTTTATAAATATCTATTTTCTATTTTAGTCTATTATATCTTAAGCAGTTTTATTTAAAAAAAAATTATTTTATAATTCTGAGCTTTAAATATAAATTTCTGCTTATTAAATTTATTATTAAATTTATAATTAAAGACTAAATCCTGTTCTGTTATTATATTAAGTTCTTATTTTAATTTAATATTTATTAAATAGAGTTTTCTGCTTTTATTTTTTTATATTTATTATTTATAAAATAGCTTTAGAATTATAAGTTAATTATAATTATTTAATTTATTTTTAAAAAATATTATTAAGTCTTCTTTTTCTATTTCTCAGATCTTTATAAATTATAATAATACTTAAATTAAGATAAGCTTTTTAAATTAGATCTTTTCTTCTTCTCTAAATCTTAAGATTATATATATTATAAAAAATCAGAAGATTATTCTATATTTAACTTTTTAAAAAAAAATTTTTATTTTTTAGTATTAATAATAAAAGATAATCTTTTCTAAAGATTATATATAAACTAAAAAACTATTATTTTATTTTAGTTAAAAAAAGTTATTAATAATATAAAACAGCTTTTAGAAAAATATATTATTTTTTAATAGAATTTTTTATATCTATTATATTATATATTTTTATATCTTATAATATTTAAGAATTAAAAACTTAAAAACTAGTTCTATAAGCTATTATCTCTGTAAGAATTATAAAAAGAAATTATTATTAATTATATCTAAATAAATAATTAGTTAGATACTGAGTAAAAAGTTATTATAGATATTTATTTATTTTTTTAAAATAAATTTTTTCTAATTATTATCTTTTTTTAAATTTTTATAATCTATAATAAACAGGATTTTTAGAATTAAATTCTATATTTTATAATTATTTATTATCTACTATTCTGAATTATTAAGTATATTTAATTTAAATAGATAATTAATCTTATTATTTTATTTCTTTATTAAAAATTAAGTTCTTTTAATTAAATATAGATTAAAAAATATTTTATAAAACTATTTAAAAAAATATATATATAATTATTATTAAAGTTTCTGAGTATTAAATAAATATTAATTATAATAGACTACTAAATTAATTCTAATTAAAAAGTATTTTTTAATTTAACTAAATATTTTTTAATAAAAGATATAGATTATTATAAGATTTTACTAGACTTTTAACTAATATTTAAATCTTATATTAATAAAAATCTAGCTATAATTATTCTATTAATCTTATATAAATATAATCTTATTTATTAATTATTAGATATAACAACTGATAATATTAATAATAATAATATAATATTTAATATAATCTTAGCTGAACTCTGAACTTAACTTAATCAGAGTATTTAGTTTTATAATATTTTAATTAACTCTAATTTTTTAAAGATTATTTAAAATTAGTATTATATTCTCTGTCTTATTTATATAATTTAATTTATAATTAATATTTTTCTGCAGAAACTTTAAATTAAGATTTTAAATAATATTATTAAATATATATAAAAAAATAATAATAAAAGTTTTAAAATTTTTTTTAATATTTTAAGAATTTTTAAAAAGATATATTCTAGAAGCTGTCTATAAAAAACTAATATAAAATCTTTTTTTATAAAAAATTTCTAGAAGTTTTCTATTAGCTAGTTTATTATATTAATTTTTAATTATAGATTTAAAAGATTATATAATTTATAAATATAAGTTCTTAATACTATAAGAAATTCTTATTTATTTAATAACTTAAATCTAGCTTAGTCTATTATTTTTTTTTAATTATAAAACTTACTAAAACTTAATTTATTTTATAATTTATTAAATACTTAATTTTTATTAAGTAATTAAAAGTTTTATTTAATATTATAAGTATAATAATATTAATTATCTTTATTTTATTATAATTAAATAAAAATAGATAAAATATCTTCTTAAGTTTTTATATCTTTTTTTTTTTTATTTTCTATCTCTCTGAGAACAGTGGATCTATTATTTATAAGATTTATAATATTTATAATAATCTTTTTAATTATCTAGATTATTTAATTAACAGACTGAAAAGAAAATAGATATTTTAAAAAAAAAAGATTTTTAAAAACTTATATAATATATATTAAAAGCTTTAAAAATATTATTATTATATTTATTAAACAGAAGACTATATTTATATAATTATAATTATTTTAAATCTAATATTAAAGCTTAAGAAATTTAAGAAAGATATATAATTAAATAATAATATTAATTAATATTATAAATATTAAACTATTTTTAAAAAGATATTCTCTTTCTATTTTAATTAAAATCTAATAATTAATATATTATTAATAATCTTTGAATTATTATCAGATCTAAATAAAATTTTTTATAATATCTTTAAATATTAAAGACTCTTATCTGCAGTTAAGATATATAAAAAACTTAAAATATATCTAAATATTAAAGATATATAGCTTCTTAAGATATTTTTAATTAAATTAATATAATTTTAGATATTATAAAATATATTAATATTCTTGCTTACTAAAAATCCTGCTGTAATTAATTTTTTATTTTTTATTAGATAATTAAAGATTTTCTTTTAATTATAATTAATAATATCAGTATTAAATATTTTTTTAATAATTTTTAAGATATTTATTATTATTATCAGAGCTGTCTTAATTCTGATATAATTAAAGCAGTTATATTTTAAATATATATTAATTATTTTATTATAAATAAAAAATATTAAAATATACTTAATAATCTTAATTTAGATTTAATTATTTTTATATTTAAGAAATAAAAAAAAAATAAAATAATTATTATCTTCTATATTAGTAAGAATAAGAATATAAATAATCTTGAAGATAATTTAGAGAATAGATTATTATTAAAATTAAAAGAATTAGTCTTATCTAAATCTTTAATTATTATATATACTCAGATAAAAATAAAGATCTGATTTTTATAATTTTTATATTATTATAATTATTATCCCGGATAATATAAAAAATAAATATTTTATATTTTTTTTTATTTTTTTTATATTAAATTCTGTAAAAGTTTTTTTCAGAGTATAATATATCTTTTAAAATAATTAATTAAGCAGATTAAATAATAGACTATATTTAAAGAATATTATTATATCTATACTATAATTAAATATATATTATATTTTATATATCATTTATATAAAAAAAAATATATATATTATAAATTAATCTATAATTATTAATTTATCTATTATATCTAATCTTTCTAATCAACAGATATAAATAATTATAATAATAGTTATATCTTAATCTAATCTTAACTATATAATTAAAAATTTTTTATATCTTAATCTAATTATCAGATTATGACCAGATTAAGATTAAGGTATAATAGTCAGGTTAAGCCACTCTAATATATATCTGTATTTAATATTTATTATAAACTTAAAATATAAATATATTTTAAAATTAAGAAATTCTTGTTTATTATTTTTATTAAAGATTTTAATTTTGAAATAATAAGATCTTAGTTATATAATTAGATAATTATTAATAAAAATTCTAAAGATATGTTTTATTAAGATAATAAATTTTTTCATTATATAAATATTTATAATTTTTAATAATTTATTAATTTATTAATTAAATTATTTCTGTTTATTTTATTATTATATTTTATACTAATTTTATTATTTTATTATCTATTATTCTGCTTTCTTTAATCTGCGCACTAGATTAATAAAATATTATATTTATATTAAGTTTTCTGTTATCTTTTTATATATATATAATTACTTATTAATCTATAATAACTTCTTATAAGCTGCTGATATTTTAATTATATAGCTGATTATTAAATTATAATATTCTAGTTTATTTATTTTAATTATACAGCTGATTATTAAATTATAATATTTTAATTAATTTATTCTAATTTATATACAGTCAATTGCTGAACTGTAATAGCTTTTTTATAAATTATTTCTAATATTAGAAGCGGAGTTTATAAGTTATAAAGAATTAAGCTTATAAATATAAGAAAAAATAATTAATATTTAGAAAAAAGTTTTTAAGAATCTGATAATTATATATATATATATAATTTAGCAGAAGTTAATCTAACAAAACAGACTAGCTAAGAGCCTAAGTCAGATAACTCTGGGATATATCTTATAATAATAAGATTTTTATTTAATAATATATATATCATATTATCATATAGACCGCAGATACTCTATATTATTTATACTAAGTATTATTATTATTTATATTATTTAAATTATATAAATTATCAGGCGCTGATGAGCTGATGGATTAGTTAGATATATCTAATAATTGTAATATAACTAAAAATAATATCTTTATTATTATTTAGAATTATAAGATTATAACATTATTAAAATATAATATTAAGAAAAGAAATTAGAAGATATTAAAGCTAATATAAGTTTTATATTATAAGATTAAGAATATATTCTTAAATCTTAATCTATTTAAAAAATAAAATAACTCTTGCTGTCCCTGATATATAGATATATAATAAATATACTTATTTTTAAGATATATAAATTAGTAATAATATTATTATATATAGATTATTAGCAGAAGATTATACTGAAGAAACTGTAGAATCTATAAAAAATATAAATATTTAAGATTAAATTCTATTTAATATATAAAAGTATATATATAATCCCAGATAAATAGATTTGTATAATAAAAATGAATAAAAATAAATATATTAATTATTTTAAAGTCTGCTGAATAGTCTATAATAATTATTAATAAATAAATAAAGACTATAACATTATATATATATTAATTACTTCTAATATTATTATAAAAATAAAATTTATAAAGATTACTATCAAAGAACTTAAATAAAAATATAAATATAGCTACTATATATCTATATATATATATTAATAATAGACTTATATATGGAGTCAAACACCCACCAATTTTTACCAATGGGGCATAGAAAACATTAATGAAATATATATATTTGTATCACATGGTTTCAACCAGAATCAGATAGTCTCCGTCTCAAAATCCCAGTACAAGTATGTTGTGTATCCGCCTCCCATAAATGCCACCAGAATACGAGTACTAACACTGCGCACCGTATCAACTAATGGCCATGTTTATGACGGTGAGCGTCAAGATGCTTTTTCTAATATAGGTCCAGATGAGCTCTCCACTTGAACAACAGCATTGAAGAGAGAGAACTTACGTTGAGTACCGCACCATGAGCACCTAAAGCAGATGGGGTTGCAATGGGTGCATTGGATACCATGGAGGAAGATGCTGAATGAACGGGGGCTGCCGAAGACGATGCGATCTTTGGGGTGTGTCCACCACAGATCCCATACATAAACTTCTGAGACTTAAATGTGGACAGGGCCTTTTGTTTGTAAAGCTGACATTCGCCTCCAGCAACACTGTAAAGCCACGCATTGCAAAGCTCCAAGGCATCGCAGTGGTATGCGCATGCCGAGCCATTCAGGTATCCCGACGCAAATGTAAGAGGAACACCACTGAAGACTCCCATGGTATTGGCGGAGATTTGATCCAGACAGCTCGCGGATGTGGTAGAGACCGCTACGCCGAGGATAATAGAAAGTGGAACAAGAGATAGCCTCATGGTCAGGGTGAGCTATGCTCGAGTGTAAGATTCAGTGAAGTATGAGAGGCACTGGATTTGGGATCAATGGAATGGGATACCAGTGGGAGGGGTAGGGGTGGGGGTATATTAAACAATTAGGAAAATTTAGGATACCTAATGATAATTGGGGGGGGGGGGGGGGGGGGGTTGTTTCCGTTACTATTAGGCAAATTATGAAATGGATAGTGGTAGTAAAATATCCGAAGCTACTTCTGATGTCGTGCCCACAGCTCTCAAGAAAAATAAAACGCTTTTCCATCATCCAGTGTTTCCATAGTTTTATCATGTATTGCCTAGGTTTCTTATCTCAGGGACCTAAGGTCTGTAATACCATGCCGAGCAATCTTTCTCTCAGCTCCTGCGCAATTTCACAGACAATGCTCCGCTCTGATGGAGCCGTCATTGTCTAGCTCCGTCTGAAATCAGACCATATGGAATAAAGTGATATTGCGGCTGCTTCTAAGCCAGGTATAGATTCCTATCGCCTCAGGGTGCAATTTTCCGGCCCAAAGCTAGGGCAATAGTGCGCAACTGAATTGTGGCGAGGGAGGTGCGATAGCGCGGGCCAGAAAAGTCAGCCCTAATTGGGATCCGGCCGAGGCTAAAACATAGACCAACCTTCGCGCAGTTATAGTTCATCTTGCGGCCTCGGCTCTCGACACCGGGTATCTAGAGTTAGACAATAGCTCATTTTAACTAGCCCCACCAACGGCCCCATGCCATAGTTCCCCCGAGATGAACTATTTGTACTAGGTCCTGGTCACTATCAAGGCATGTGAGATTTCCTGATACAACTCCAGTACAGCACAACATGTATCGAGATGCGACAGCAAAAACCGTACCGGTCCCGAGAGGCCGATGTGTGAATTGAACTATTAGGGGATTTCGAGATTTAAAGGACGAACTTCCTTCTAATCCCAGAGGAATTTGCAAGGCTTTCTCTCATCAACAGCTATTCACTCTTTGAACTGTCACTCTTTCCTACAATTCGGTCCTCCTTTGAGGCCTGTCACTCCCTACGATGCTCTTTCCTTCTTCCACTCCAGTAACATTACTCATGGGACTGATGCTTTTTTGCACCTTGACCATTTTGCCCGGGATTCAAGCTCGCGCTGTCTTTGCCCACTTCATGGTGAGTATTGCATGTACCCTCTTCATGATGGGTGAAAACATGTGGCTGGCAGCTGATATCACTTAGGTGTCCAATACAGAAGGCTACACAGTCGATGACTGGGAGACTGAAATAAAGCTGGCCATGGAGGCAAAGATTGATGCCTTTGCACTCAATATTGCCACGGGCCAGTCCGTCAACACTGAACAGGTCCCCAATGCGTTTCTGGCTGCTGAAAACCTTGGCTTTCACCTTTTCTTTTCCTTTGATTATTCCGGAAATGGTGCCTGGGCTAAGGATGACGTACTCCTGTATATTCAGGAATTCAACTCACCCTCTGTCTACTACCAGTACAACTCCCAGGCTTTTGTGTCCACCTTTGAAGGCCCAGCCAACGCTGAGGATTGGGTTAGTATCAAAGAAGAGACAGGCTGTTTCTTTGCGCCCGATTGGTCATCTCTGGGAGCCATGGAAGCTATGGAGCAGGCAGACGGTGTTGCCGATGCTCTCTTCAGCTGGGCTGCGTGGCCATATGGCCCAAATGACATGAATACCTACACAGATGCTTCTTATATCGACTATCTGGATGGAAAGCCTTACATGATGCCGGTATCACCCTGGTTCTTCACCAACATGCCTGGCTATGACAAAAACTGGCTGTGGAGAGGAGATGATATGTGGTTTGATCGATGGGTTCAGGCTCTCTGGATTGTTCCAGAGTTTATCGAGATCATTTCATGGAATGATTTCGGTGAATCCCATTATATCGGCCCCATCAAGGCGGCAGATGACCCCTTGGCGAATTACACCTACACAGCCTTCGACACCGGTCTGTCACCCTACAATTATGTTCTGGATATGCCACACGATGGCTGGAGAGCCTTTCTTCCTTTTGTGATTGAAACTTACAAGACAAACACATCTACTATCACCCAGGAGGGGGTCACGGCCTGGTATCGGTTGAACAAGGCTGGGACTTGCGGATACGACGGGGGAACAACGGGCAATACGGCCAATGAGTTGCAACTTGAATACTGGCCTTATGAAATCGTTCAGGATAAGATTTTCTTTTCGGCTCTTCTAGGATCGACCGCTGATGTATCCGTCACCGTTGGCGGCACTGACCTCGGTGCCTCGTGGACCTCGACTCCCAGCGGCGATGTTGGAATTTATCACGGGAGCGTGTCTTTCTCCGGACATTCGGGGGCCGTGATTGTCACGATCACCCGTGACGGTAGCACCGTTGCTACCATGGATGGGCAGTCAATTTCGTCCGGCTGTGCTGCGAGTTCAGGCGTTGAAAACTGGAATGCCTGGGTCGGCAGCGCGATGTCCTCCAGCACCATCTCAGCGACCCCCACCTACTCCCTGGACCAAGTAACGTGCATCGAGGGCTGGGGGTCCGGCAACTTCCTTGGACTATGCGAGGCTGCCTGTGGGTGGGGATACTGCCCCATTTCCGCATGTCTCTGCACGAAGCTTGGCCCCCCACCGAGTGTTCCATCCGACACTGGGGTCGAGGGCTATCCAATTGCCGGTGAGGACGGTAGTTACACTGGCCTTTGCTCGTTCGATTGTGACCATGGTTACTGCCCCAGTACTGCCTGCGGTACTGTTGATGTGCCCCTGGCAACACCTACTGTCTCAGACTTCACACCCTACACCTGCGACGGTGGCGAAGGGAGTGGAGATTTCGTGGATCTTTGCGCTTTCGGCTGTCTCCATGGTTACTGCCCCATCCATGGCTGCAACTGTACTTCCACGGGTGACCTGGACTTATATTCGATTGTCAACTCCAGTATAACGGCTGGACTGGCCTCCGGACTCGATGACTATGGCCTTTGCGACTTTGCATGTGAGCGGGATCATTGCTATGATGTCTGCCAGGTCGGTAGTTCATATTCGGCGTCCGACGACTACAGCTGTACCGATAATGACACACGGTCCTGGTGTGACTCGTCCTCGCCTTGCAATTACAGTCTCCCCATCTCAACCATGGACGACTTGCTGGTGGCTGAGGCATATATGCCCGACGACTGCGTTGATTACTACATGCTCACAATCCTATACAACCTGATTGACGTGGTTGTTACCAACTACACCGAAATTATCGACAACAACAATTACAACAAGACCTTCAAGTTCTACAAAGAATACATCGAGGCCAACATCACCACCTCTTTGGATGACCTGATGAGTTGGGAGGACCCGGTCGGCGCTGGCAATGCATACTTCGCGTGCACACCGGAAATAAATGGGGTAAACCGGTCTCAAACGTCCTGCCCATGGTATGAAGATGCGGGAACTTTCAAGGTATACTACGAGCTCACCAATGCAACTGGGTGGTGGAGCATGCTCGAGGAAGATTATGGAATTGAAGAAAGCTGGGTGGCATTTGGGGAGAAAGAGCTGGACCTTCGTTGTACGGCGGATGAGGACAAGGATGGATGTCAGAGCCTCATCTCCACATCCATTGGCATTCCTGTCAAGAGTGACGATGTCAGCATCACCGATCCCCGAACCATCATTGCAGATGCCTTGCCATATCTCGACGGCCTGCAAGGCAATATCCTTGAAGCGCAGGTGCAGATTCTTGTTGGCTCATGGCCCGGATACTCGGATGATATCGTCCAAACCATTTCGCTGGCCGTCGAGCTGCTCCTTCAGTCAGTGACCTCCATGCAAGAGGTGGTGAAGATTGGCGACGAGGAAGAAGAAATCAAGAAGAAGGAGTTGATGGAAGAGATCCTCATGGCTGTTTTCTTGATCGTCCCATTTCTGGGCGAGATCGATGCGATCAGTGACACGTTTGCGGGTCTGGCTCGCATCCTCACCCTCATCGGAGACGTCTCGACGGCAGCGTACACGGTATACTCCATTGTCGAAGATCCAGAGAGTGCTGTCGCGCTTATCTTTGAGACCCTCCTTCTTTCGGGAGAAAGAACGCCTGACGAATTTGATGACATGGCGACGGCTAGGAGAAAATTGACCGATGATGAAATCACTTCTTTGGGATCAGTGTTCAAGAAAACTAATACTGACATCGAGAATCTCGTCGAAGATTGCATCAGGGATTGATGCAATCTTCTGTGAATCCGTCTGGAACTGCTATATCCACAGCCTTCATTTGTTCTGGCACACCCCCGATTTCCTATTTCGCAATTCCACCCTGACAGATCAAACAGACCACTCGACTAAAAAGGTGTCCAGACACCTAAGTAGGCGTGATACTGAATGATACTAGGTTTTGACACACCCATATCATTAATGTAGTACCTGCGATCCGAATTTGTACACGAAAAAGGATCTTCACTGGTCCTTCCTCGGTTCCTTCTTTGTGATGACTGGTATTAATGTCGGGCTTTTGTTGGCTCTTTGACCTATACAACATCAACCCCAGTAGAGGTTACACCTGTGAGGTGGGTGCCACAGGCAAGGCTGGGGCATCTCATCCCTTCTCCTTTCCAGGGAGCGCTGATCTCGCTGGCAGTACAGCTGTGCCCTGCTTGACAGTCGCACAAAACTCAATGTCACTATCCAGGGTAAACCTTCCGCAAAGCCGCACGGAGTTCTTCGCGTACAAACTCTTACTATCCCCAGTAGGCTACCCCGAATGGATCTGCGTGGTTCCAAAAGGGTCCGTATTCAATATTCCGCAACGTAAAGGACTCTGGCGCTGTAGGGACGGAGTGACGGATGGTATGGCAGAAACCATCGTATAAGGCGCTTTATCCTTGATTCAGGGATGCTATAATTATGCTCTACATGGGGAGACAGGTATATCCCAAGGTAGTACGTGAAGAAATTAAACTCAAGTAGCTGTGCGGTGAGACATCTCTCCGGATATATCCATCCTTCCACTTCAGACCCGCTGATGAGATCTAGATTCGGAAACCCTGGTGATGTCGGATCAATGGAGATCTCTCTGACTTCCTCTTTACCATGCAAGGCCCCACAGCAGGAGCAGTGCTGGTTGAATGGAATGTCCACGAGGGCCTCCAAGGCTCGGTGGCCATGTGGGATTGTCACTTTCGAGTAGGAGGGGCAATCGGGTCCAACCTCCAGCAGTCAGACTGTTCCAAGCTCAGTGGCGGAGTCAAGCCGAAATGCAAGGCAGCCTCCATGTTGATGCACGTTACTAGCAGCGCATCGGGATATTTCGAGAATATCTGGGCATGGAAGTGGAATTTTGCCTCCCATCCTGGTGACAGACCCCAATGTGCAGTAGTGAGACTTTGAAGAGCTTCTCTGTATCTATTCCTAACCGTATTAGTGAGTTCACCACGGAGACCAGCGCGTGGCTCGCTCTAGCTACCGAAGACCAGGCTATTGGAGATGACTGGGGCTCGGTAGGCGAGTCTGTGGATGATAATGGAAACCCCAGCACCGTTCATTGACCCGTCCATCTGGAACGAAACTCAACCCACGGTCTGGTGCGAGGATCCATGCATCTTCAACAGCTCTTTTTGCCCGCTGAAGCCAATTGTCCCAGGTAGGCATTCGGGAAACAAAATGCCCACTTATCACCGAGTCAATTTGAAGTCAGAAAATAGTCAGTCAATTCATGCATGTGCGCATTAGGAGTCTAGGACGTGTCATGCCGTTAACCTGATAGGCCAGGCGAATCAGCTTTGATTAGCGTAAATGATGCTCATGAACACTCGATTCATCACTTGACACCGGATCGATCAAGGTGGCTGGATTTGAGATTCAAAATTTGCCCAAGCTGCAGTCCAAGCCTCGCCTGACATGATTTTTCTTGCCATCTCATGGTACAGAGAGTAATATTGCTTCTGGAGATACAAGCACGGTTTTGAAATTTGTAGTCTCCTGTCGTCCCCCGGGTCCTGAGCTGTAGTTCCTAATTAGGACTGAAATTTTGAAAGCCGGTGGTAAGTTGAAGCTATAGTTCACATCAGGAGCACCTTTTTCGAGAATTTCAACTTCAAAAATTTGCTGTTGATGTCATTGTAAGCAATGATTATCGGTATATCAACCCATCATCTCTCTTGGTAGGTAACGGAGCAGAAGGAAGAGTACAAACTCACTGTCATTGCTGTGGCTGCAAGACAAAGCCAATTCCCTCTCGGGGAACACAGTGGGAATTCCGAAGCAGCCTTTCATTGAGAGCGCATAAAACCTTAAAGATCCAAGCTTTTAAAGCATCCATGGTTCCGATGATGCCCCGAACATGTTCGACAAACGAGAAACTCAGTGTCACCAGATCCATCGTAGTCGATCTATGTATATCTTGTAGATTCTAGAACGGCCCTGGAGACCATGAAAATGCATTTTATGATACATATGCAGTACTACCGCGCCCGCCAGCGATGTCGCGGTATGGAATGAGCAAAACACGCGACCTGAAACATGCGAGTCAATATTTTTTTTTCTCAGAAAAAACACGCCTCAGATCTTGCTTCGGTTGGGAATAGAAACTGTCTCAATAAGAGAACTCCATTCTTGTCGTCGTCCAGATCAGCGGACGGAACCGCTCATGGAAGCATCGCATGTCGGTATCGTGTTGACGGGAATGACTACTATCCCATCCTCCGAGTTCCTAGGCAACTCTGCTGCACGTCAGAGAATCTTTCCATCAATTGGGTCTGGCAAATGGAACCGTGTACTTGCACCGGATACTACGGAGAGTAGCATTACTTCGGAAAGACAAGCACAGTGTGGAGACCAGTCTTCTCCTGTCCCCCCCCCCTCCCAGACGAGATCGCTGCTCTCATCCGGGTGTCAGCACAGGGGCAATGATATTACTCCCACCATCGCCGTGTCACGTCTGAACAGCAATCTCGCTCGGCAGTTTCTCTCATCGATCGATGCATCTCATCCATAGAGACTTGGCAATCCAGAGAACCCAAAACAAGGAGAAGTCGAGCATCGAAGGGAAATGATGTTCGCGGCGAAGTCAACTAACCCAATCCGGCAAGGCGCCACAGCTTGTGGTTCGACACCCGAAGCGCAAGGTGTCAGTGTGGGTAGTGTCGATCGCTGCCCGAACGGGTAGGCCTCGGCAACTCCTCTCAGGCCATCCGAGGGTCGGTCTCCATCCATCCATCCCCTCAACTGCATATCCCCTTCCACTTCCACTTCAACATCCTCACCACAACCAACGCCACATTCTACACCACACCTCTGAAGACTACAACTCTCAACCGTCAACCCCCCCCCCTCCCCCCCCCCACCACAATGGCGCCGCCCGACATCGCCCTCAAAAAGCGCCGCACCCGATCCGACTACCTCTACCACCAAGTGCACCGAACCAGATGGTAAGTAAGTATAGAGTGCTCTCCGCATCCTCTCCTCCACCTTCTAACCCTCTCTCTTTCCACCCTTTTCCTCTCAAGCCCCATCAAACCCCCTCCACACCCCATTCAAATCACCAAACAACCCCATCAACCAACCAACCACTAGTTAACCTACCCCTCCCTGAAAACCAGGTTCGACAACGACATGTACGCCCACCTCAACAACACCGTCTACGCGACCCTCTTCGACAGCATAATCAACACATACCTGATCACCCACTGCGGGATGGATCCATTCAGCATCAACAACTCCAGCCCCAGCCCTACACCCCCCTCCCCATCCTCCCCATCCTCCTCCCTCACAGCCACAACCACAACCACAACCACAACCCCCTCCCCCTCCCCCTCCACCCCCGCCTCCCAAGTCGGCATCATGGTCAACTCCTACTGCGACTACTTCGCCTCCGTCTCCTTCCCAGACATCCTCGACCTGGGTCTGCGCGTCACGAAACTCGGGTCCAGCAGCGTCACCTACGAGGTCGGGGTATTCAAGCAGGGCGAGGAACAGGTGAAGGTGGTCGGGGGGTATACGCATGTTTTTGTGGAGAGGGGGAGTATGAGGCCGACTAGGGAGGGGATGGAGGGGGTGGTCAGGCGAGGGTTGGAGGGGTTGCTTGTGAAGGATAATGTTGTTGGAGGGGGTGGGGGTGGTTCTGATGCTGCTGGTGCTGCTAGTGCTGCTGGTACTGGTAGGGGAAGAGCGAAGTTGTGAATTCTTTCAATACTTTTCTCTTCGGTTGTTCTGGACCTCCTCCTTCAAGAGAGAAAGGGCGGAAGGAGGAGAAGGAGGGGGAAAGGGGGACTTATCGAGGGCAGGTCCTTCATCTCGGTACACTGTAGAATGAGATCATCGGGTTGGTTGGTTGGTTGGTTGGTTGGTTAGTTTAGAATCGATAATCGATACGCCCTGGCGGCATATTCATCATGTTATATCCTGCAGTATGTGTTGGGTTAGTTGAGAGCTACCTAGTAGGTACTCTGTATGTTGTTCCCAATACCCCGTAGTAGTCCTGGATTGGATGTCCAAAGTACTCCATACAAAGCGCAGCTACGCAGCTACACAGCTACGGTGGATTGCCTGCCCAACCTATCAACCGACTTAGGTATACGAAAGCTCATCTCCGGCAGGGAATAATGCAGATCACGATAGGACAACTCCTGTCCGACCTATCACAATCACACTCCCACCTAGGGGGGAGTTCAGTTGCCAATGACCAGTGACCAGTAACCAGTGGCCACAGCCAGCTGATAAGCTACCGCGACCTACCTACCGACCTACCGAAGTATTCCGTCCGTACTGCAGTAGGTAGATAAACATGTGCCGATATGATACGTCTCATGCAGCTGTCATGTCGATCTTCATAGTTCATACCCACTAGATACCCACTACCTAGGTACTTTTATCATCGCTAATCAAGGCTCACGTCTCGCCGGCCAAATTTCGCCACAGTATTCAATATTCAAGAATAAAAAATGGAAAAAAAAAAAAAAAAAAAAAAAAAAAAAAAAAGAACACTTTCTCATTTTTGAGGGACGAGCCGCCATCACCCGGTGCAAAACGCCTAATACCTATTCAGGTCGAAAAAGAAAGCAATATATCCCTTGGTTCCATTGTGCGGTTCCCGAAAACAGTTCCTCGAAAGGTAATAAATACACAGGACAGAAGGGGAAGAAAAAAAAAAAAAAAAAAAAAAAAGGACACAGAAAGCCTCGCGATCAGAAAGCAAGTCTATCCGTTTTTCTATGACCTTGAACCCGAACGCCGTCGTCACTTTGTAAACAAGGCCACCGAAGAAAAATCAGATCCCGCCGTTATATGCTCATATGTGAGTATCATCGTAAAGAAAAGAAAAAGAAAATCAAAAAGAAAATCACGCTCGAACGCTTGCTCGCGGCAATTGAACCATCGCAGTCGCTTGTGGTCAAGAACGGCCAACGCGTGTTCTGGAGATGCCTGCTGCAGAAGAAATCGGATGGTCGACCTCGCCAAGCACGTGTCGATGGTAGAAGAATCAAGTCATTTTGTTGGGCACAACACTCGCGCGGGAGACGTTCGAGCTCTCGGGGAACAGCTCGCGGCGCATGGTTCGGCTCTCCACGTCGTAATGCCACTTCTGGTAAGGTCCGGGGATGAATTTGCCCTTGTCGTCCCATCCGGCAACCCAGGTGTAGTTGTCATCCAGCCGAAAGAAGAGGAGCCGCTCGGGCTTGCCCCCCTCCTCGACGGCCACCGTGTGCCAGCGGCATCGGTCCTCCATTTCGTGTTCAAAGACGTACCGGTGGAGGATCCGGCAGTAGACCAGGGGGATAGGCATCTTTTCATCGCTCTCATTGCCATCCTTGTAGACCAGATGCCATCCCCGACCGGGAATGTACTTGTAGATGCCCGGGACCGGACTATCCCAGTGCTCTTCTTTGTGGATGGATCCTTGGATGCGTTCTCCCCGCTGAAACCAGTACGTGGGGCAGAAGGCCTTGCGCATGCAGAGAAAAAGGTTGGGCGCCATAGTGACGAAGGGTGACGAAAGTCTTTTGGAAACGACGGAATGTCGCGACAGATTGGGACACCTTCACGGTGACGAAAGAAGATCAAGAACGCTCGCTTGCTGATGGAAAAGAGATCGTGAGAAAAGACAAGTTGCGAGTAGCAACGGTGTTTTATAAGTCGACGTGCATGTTGAACAAACAAGCAGAATAACCTGAGAGTATGAAGAGTATGGAGGAGGAGAAGGAGAAGGAGAAGAAGGAGCACGGAAGTGTCAGGCAACAAACAATCAATCAATAATCGGAGATTGTGCCACCAAGTGCCTCGAGAGAGGAGTAGGATTCGTCGAGAGCGGCGGGAATCTGGGCGCAAGAATGAGATGCAGGACACGCTGTAACGATGCGGTGTGCAATTGCAGGTATATGTAGACGTGCCTGGCGACAGTCTAGGCCCGGGGCCAGTAGGACAGGTGTTTTGTTTTTCTTCGCGAAGGTCGAAGGAACAAAGCTCAGGGTAGTGGCAGGGTTTATTTATTGGAATTGGGGCTGATCGACAGGTCGAGGGGGGGGGAAAGGAGAGAGGGGCCGCGAGACGCCTCAAGTCGCAGGTGATAGGTGCAAAGGTGCAGGAGCAGCAGGAGCAGCAGGACCGATGCGACGGCGCAGAACAGCTCTTTCTTCAGATTTGCTTCTCAGAAGCGCATGGCGGGACTCTCGCATGTGAGTGGATGGGAGGGAGGATAGGAGCAGGGAGCATGCCAGGGAAATGAGGCGTTAAAAAGAGGCAGGAAGCGTTGGTGGGCGCATTGGGGCGGTCTGAGGTCAGCCCCAAACTGCAGTGGGAAGTGGGAAAAATTTTCTTGATGTCACGGGCTAGACCGTACACAGAAGGCGCCCGTCATCGTCAACGGTAGTCCCTCCCGTAGCGTGGGCAACAAAATTAAAAAAAAAAAAAAAAATCAAAAAGAATTTTACCCTGCAACCACTAAAGACTCAACAGGTAACCTAGACGCGGGCCTCCCGAGACCCACCGATCCACTCCTCCGTCTGTCTGTCGGGCCATACTTTAGCGTTGCTCCTGGGAGGAGGAGGAGGAGGCTGTGTGGTGTGGCCGGTGGCCTGCTGCGGCAGCAATTTAAAGGTTTGATATTGGGTCATCTTGATACTCCGTACAAGGTTCCCTCTAGCTTTCTCTGGCTGGGTGGCGGTGCTGTGCGGTGCTGAGCTGATGATGACACAAACCACCTTGCGTGGTGGCTTCCATCACCACCAGACCCCGTAATGAGTGAGTCGTGTTCGAGGCCATCATCACGAGGGAATCTGACCATGACCGCTCATTCCTGGACCGAGATCTCGATCTTCGCGCGGTGAGGGTGTAAACCTTGTCCCCATCCCACCATCTCATCCCTTCGTGTTTCCCATCATCCCACCCATGTGGTTATCATCGCGCATTCCCGAGCTAAGAAGTCAAGTCGCTGGCCGGGATCGCCAAATCGTGATATCACCAGACTAGGGAGAGAGCTCGGCACTCCGATCGGATTCTTTCTTAGCAACTATCTACCCATTCATCCGAGCATCAGCAGCATGTTGCAGGGTAAAAACAGAGATAGTCACCGCATTAGCCCGCTTGGCAGCCTCCCCGGCATATTCCTGGACTCGAATCAAATGGACCAGGTTTATCGCGGCGGCGATGCGGTGTTGACGCGATGCGCACTCATTCCATGGCATGGCTCTTGGCTATGCAGACAGCCTTTTCAGTTCACCACGATCCCGTTGGTCTGTCTGGCCGAGTTGGCTCGGACCCCTTGGCTATGGAGCCGGTATGACCAGCCGGTGTAGATGGTTTAGGTTGAGGGGAAAGGGATGAAGTGGAGGGGACGGATGGAAGGAGAGTGAGAGTTGAGGTGTGAGAGTGAGAGTGAGACTTCCGAGGCTGCAGGTCGCACAGATCGATGGTCTCCCGCACTTTCCCAGCCACGAAAACCACTCGGAGGAAGCCAAAGAGTGATCCCGTGATCTCTCTCCATTTCACTTTCACTTTCACTTTCACATCCCACGTCCTTCCTTCCTTTCATCCTTCCACTCCATCTGCCCCATGCCACCCCCCGATAGCCTTCTCCTCAGGATCACATCCCTGCCAATCCCCTGTTAGCCCAGCCATACCAGCCGTTGTCTATCACCGGGATGAAAGACAGTCGATCGAGTCTACAGAGTTACAGAGTACAGGTGCTACGCCTGCTACACCGGCTCAGGCCAAGGAATACATTTCCGACCAATGGGCAACCAATTGACAGGGGCATATCTCGAGCGTCCAAACTGCCGACTCGGTGGTTATCCTCTGGGCCAGCCGTTGATATTTGACAGCTTCCCGGAGGACAAGACCTCAGTTCAACTGGGTGGTATCCTTTCGAAATAGCTCCCACCATGGGGTTTGGCCATATCTATCCCCCCCCCCCCCCCCGCGGGCATCTAGCTCGTCGCGGCGCCGCGTTAATTCGTCATCGGGGACCAGGATGTCCACCCGCTGCCGCTTCAGGACTGGCCATATTATCTAGTACATAACTAGTGAACCTGACGTTCCCGACTGCCGTCCGTCGCCGATGCACGGGAGCGACTTGGTCCCCGCGCGCAGCAGCCTTCCCGGGGGGTGGGTGCATGTTGCATGATGACCACCTCGGCTGCACCTGGATAGCACCCCAGTGGGCCTGCCCACGCATCGTCCAAATACATACCCTTATCAATTATCACCGATTGTCGTGGAGTGAGTGATCTTCTAACCGGTGATGGTTAATCTTCCGGTCCATCAAAGACCCCCCACCGCGCCCTCAAGGGCATTGGGATCGGCGGGAGTCTCTCAGAGCTGCTGCCTAAATTGCTCCGATATGACGCAGGTCTTCATGATGGCAGATTCGAACAGACTCACTCCCCTGTACATCGTAGGTGTAGGAACCCAGCATCAGGGAAAAGGGGGTTGTCATACGTCCAGATCATCCGGCGATCCCAGGTATGCTTCTGTCAAACAAACCCACTTGACTAAAAAGATGTCCGCACGCCCCAATAGCGTGGGATTTTAATCGATGGGTGCAAGTCTTCCGCCTGGTAGCTTCCCTCTGACGTTATCGGCCACGCAGGTCATGACATCTATGTTCAGCTTCCCCGCATCAAGCAGCTCCACTATGATAGCTGGCAACCCGCCTGCCTGGTAAGATTTCTCCCCCAGCAGCTCCCCCACGGGCTGCATGTTCAGCAAACACGGGAGGTGGACCCCAGGCGGTCCCAATCGTCAAGTAAAAGCTCCATTTCCATATGCTTTGCGATAGCATTGATGTGTATGCCGTATGGGGGCGTTAGTGCTACCACCGATAGCCGATCCAAGAACAATGACGGGTCATGATATCACTTGTCTTCCATCCCAATGCACCATCTCGACGATCCCTAAACCTGTGTGATACGCGCATTTGCCTCATCCACGGTATGAGGGGACCGGGGATGGCGGCCGACCCCGACAGAACCATTCCAAGAGCCTCTCGTCTGCGAGTGCATCATCCATCGTAGAAGCCATACCCACAACCATCATGTTTCAATATCCCCCTGAAGGCGCACTATATTACCCAATCGAATAAAATCATTAGCCCTCCAACATGCTCTCCGTGATTCCATGACCTGAGGTCTGACATGTCCTCGTAAACATACTCTACCAGTTTCTCTAACTATATGATTGATCTCCCCAGCCGCATACATACATCTCTCCCTTTTCCAGACAAATCATCCCAAAAAACCAACCAACTCATCCTTCACCCTTCACTTCACATCCCCATTAAGCATGGGACCGAGATTTGAGACGTAGCTGGAATACTCTTCAGCCAGAAACCAGCAAATCAGACACCCACCCTCTTGCGAGGGTTTTCTTTCCTTTTTTTTTTTTTTTTCTACCTACCTTCGCGGCTCTCTTGCAGAGAGTAAGGATCTCAATTTTGCTGTTCTTTGATGTGCCGGATTGCTTGGTTGGCACGGCATGGTATGATGTATATCATAGTATCCTATGACCAAACACAGACACTGCGAATCATGTTAGTCACATCTATAGATCCGAGTCGATAGGTAGGTACTAGGTAAGTATATCAAGTAACGAAACCAATGAGAGTTAAGACAAGTCGGTGCTGTACCCCACGCTAAGTAAGGGCTCTCCGATTACGATCTCGGGAATTTTACTAATGGGGCATGTGGTTGTGAATTATGATGCGATGGGTCAGTGTCATCGGCACCATCTCAGCGCCACGCAGGTGAGCAATAGTCGCCAATCGAGAACTATCCAACAGTAACCGTGTTTGGGGAAGTAATGGCTAAGGTAGCTAAGTATATAAACAACTTTTCAATTCACGCTCATCATCTTCATAACTCTGCATTTTTTTTAATAATCCATCAATCCATCAAAAGTCTTCCCGAAACGCCCACCATGCCAGAGAGGAGGAGGAGAGGAGGAGGAGCGGAGCCAGAAGCAGCCAACGATTCTATCATCATGAGAGGAGCGAACAAAAAAAAGGTATCAGTATCATGTCCTCGGAAAGGGGAAAGCCCAGGCAACGGCTACAACGCAACGCGTGTGAGAAGAGAGAATGAGAGAGAGAGAGAGACTACTGCGTCGCGCACTGCGCCGTCTCGCCTTCCTCCTCATCATCCTCCCACGCCGATCCGCCTTCCGGGTCGTTGGCCCCGAAGTCGTCCAGGTTGCCCTTGGGGTCATACTCGACCTCGTCCACCGTCTCCGCCGTGATGGGAGCATCCGGCTTGGGCAGCATCTCCTTGAGGTGCTCCAGGACCGCGGCACTGGGCTTCCACTTCGCGTCGGGGAACTTGACGTTGACGACCAGGTAGAGGTCGCCACGCGCATCGCCGCGCTTGACGGGCATTCCCTCCCCGGGGACCTTCAGGACCTGGCCCGGAGACAGCACCTCGCCGGGAGTCTTGGGGTGGGTGACTTCGATTCCGCGTCCGTCGAGGTGCTTGACCACCACCCGAGAGAAGCCCGTCAGCGCTTCCGCCAGCGTGACATCGATCGTGGCGGTCAGATCCGAGCCAGCCCGTCTGAATGTCTCGTGCTCCTCCTCCACCAGGTGAAAGACAATGTCTCCGGGTTCCTGGCCCGGCACTTGATCGGCTTCGCCTTCCAGGATGATCTTATCTCCTTCCCTGCATTTGGAATCAGAATGGCTGTCAGCGTAGACAGTACGCACGGATGGACTCACCTAGCCCCGCGAGGAATGTAAATCTCCAACATCTTCTTCGCCTCCGATGTCCTCTTTCCCTTGCACTTCTTGCACTTCTCCTTATCGATGAAATACTCGCCGTGGCCGCTACACGTCGAGCAGGTAACCATACTCGGGGACATGAACTGCCCCACTTGCCTCAGAACCTGCCTCACACCTGCCACGCAACACACACACACACACAAACAAGTCAGCCGGGGTTCTCCCACGCGAACACGGTGATCATATCATACCTTGGCCGTCACACGTAGCGCACTGCCTCGCAGTCGCGCGCTCCTTTCCTCCCTTCCCATGACACAGGGAGCAGATGACGTTCTTGGTGACCGCAAACCGGACCGTCTTGCCTTTGTAGAGATCCTCCAGCCGCACCTCATACTTCTGCTCCTCGTTGGGGCTTCTCCGCGGCTTACGCGCCTGCGGGCCTCCGGGCATCCCGCCCATGCCGCCCATGCCGCCCATACCAAACATCTGCGCGAGGATATCGTCCAAGTCGGGCCCGCCCGCGCCCATGCCAGGCTCTCCGGAGCCGTTGAAGGCGCCCATGCCATGGGCATCGTAGATCTCGCGTTTCTCTTCGTCGTAAAGAATATCGTAGGCTTCCTGGACGGCCTTGAATCGGACCTCGGCGTCTTCGCGCTCGGCCTCTGCGACTTTGTCGGGGTGGTTCGCTAAGGCGGCCTGGAGGGAAGAACACAAATCAGGTCAGACCAATAGATCGGAAGATGGTCCGATGGGAGGGGGGAGGGCGAAGGGAGGGGGAAAGGATTCTCATACCTTGCGATAAGCCTTGCGGATGTCATCTTTGGAAGCACCCTTGGAGATGCCCAAGACCTCTGGATTCCATCACATGGTGATTAGCTACCGCTATGCCACTCTTTTTTTTTTTCTGTTATCGCGAGGAATGTGTATTTACCGTAGAGGTCGACGCCAGCACTAGACACTATATGAAACCAAATCCGTTAGCATACCAGACGGCGGCTATTTTCTCTCTCCCTCTTTTTTTTTATGGATAGCGGCGGACACATACTGAGAGCGGTCACTGGTATATGATGGCTGACAGGTAAAGAAAGCTCAAACGGAAAGGGAGTTGGGACTGGGTATCAAAAGGAAGAAGAGGAAAAGCAAGAGAAACAGAAACAGGTCTAGAAAGAAAGATCTAAACGGGGCGAGGCTGGATGGAGGGAGGGAGGAAAGTTGCGACAAAACCGCAGCGGCGACAATAATCAGCGCTTTACTGCCGGCGTCTCCCGCCTTCGCTGGCTCGGATTTGTGTCTGTCTTGCCTCTCTCTCTCCGCTTCACTCTCCCCTCTCCACTCTCCACTCGTCAATCGCGGCATTCAGCCTGACCTGCCTGCGACTCGACCATGAGGCGACCAACCCCCTCCTCCCTCTGGGCCCGTCGCCCGTGGATGTGCACCCAATGTCGGTCCCGCTACTCCTCGTCCTATTCCACCTCCGCCGCTGCTGCCCCGAATCTCCGCGCTGGCCACAACAAGAAAACCAACCTCCCCGATGCACCCGCCAGGACGCGATTCGCGCCGTCTCCCACCGGCTATCTTCACTTGGGGTCTCTGCGTACGGCGCTGTTTAATTATCTGTTGGCGAAGCGCACGGGGGGCCAGTTCCTGCTGCGCATTGAGGATACGGATCAGGTGAGGGGATCCTCTGCTGGATACATATGGGAGTGTCGGCGGATCAAAGCTGATGGTGACGATGGTGTCTGTAGAAACGGACGATTCCGGATGCGGAGCAAAGACTGTATGACGATCTTCATTGGGCTGGGTTGCATTGGGATGAAGGTCAGCATTGCGCACGACACCACCACCGATTCGCCTTACTGATTGATGGGGTTGAATACCACAGGTCCCATTGTTGGCGGTCCATACGGTCCGTATAGACAGGTAGGCCAGGCTTTCTCCCGCGAGCGATGCGCCCATGACTGGACCGGGTTCTAAACCAAGTTCTAGTCCGAACGAACCGCGATCTATCGCAGCCATGCGCAGGAGCTGATCAACAACGGCCACGCCTATCGCTGCTTCTGCTCCGCCGAGCGACTGGACACATTCGCGAGACATCGCAGTGAGGCGGGCCTGCCGCCCGGTTACGACCGGAAATGCGGGGAGGTGTCCGCGGCGGAATCCGAGGAGAGGGCCGCCAGGGGGGACGCGCATGTGGTCCGGCTGAAGGTGGAGGGATACCCCATGTTCCACGACCTGGTGTACGGCAAGACAGGGCAGAACCGGTCGCCGAATAAGCTCGATCTGATCGAGCGGGTGTACGACGACCCGATCCTGATCAAGTCGGACGGACACCCGACGTACCATCTGGCCAATGTGGTGGATGATCATTGCATGAAGATCACGCACGTCATCCGTGGCACTGTAAGTGATGGGAATGGATGTTCGGGTCACGATGGCATGCTTACGTGGACGTTTTCTGTCTAGGAATGGATGCCCTCGACTCCCCTGCACGTTGCACTTTACAACGCCTTCAAGTGGACGCCGCCGCAGTTCGGACATGTTCCTCTGCTTGTCGACAAGTCGGGACAGAAGCTCAGCAAGCGCAACGCGGACATCGATCTCTCCTCTTTCAAGGACACCCAGGGCATCTTTGCCGCTACTCTCGTGAACTTCGCTGCTCTCCTGGGCTGGTCGCACACCCAGAAGTCCGACGTCTTCAGCCTGGACGAGCTGGAGCAGATCGTACGTCCATCTCATCCACTATCTCTTCTCTCCGTCCCTGCTCACCGCTGACAACCCCAGTTTAACCTCAAAATCACCCGAGGAAACACCGTCGTGGCCTTCGAAAAGCTATGGTTCCTGCAGAAAGCGCACGCCCAACGCTTCGCCGCGACCTCCGGCCCCGAATTCGACGAAATGGTGACCAAAGTGTCTGAGGTCGTCGAGGCCACCTACCCAGCAGAGCAACTGTATGCCCCCTACAACCCGGTCCCATGACACTTACTCCATCCATACATCCATCCCATCTATTCATCCACCCACCCAGCCAGCGGTAACAACAAACTAACACCCCCCAGCACCCCCCTCCTCCAATCACGCCCTCTAACAGAATACATCGCGCCGCTCCTCCGCGCGGACTCCAAATCCTACACCAACGCGACCGACTTCACCACCCGAAACTCCACCTTCTTCAGCACCTCCCTCCTCCGCCCCGCCTACACCCCAACCCCCTCCCCCTCCCCCTCCGCCCCCTCAATCCCTCTCCAAGCCCTCCACACCGCCGCCGCAGCCCTAACCTTGGTCCCCCCACCCACTGGACTCTCGAAACCCACCGCGCCAACATAACCGCCTACGACGGCTCCTCCTCCTCCTCCTCCACCACCACCGCCCCCTCCGAAACCACAAACCTAAGCGCAGACGAAGCCCTCCAAGCCAAGAAAACCGCCGACAAGGCGTTCAAGAAAGAACTGTACCATTACCTCCGCTGGGCGCTGTCAGCGGGCGCCCCGGGCCCGGGGATTCCGGAGACGATGCAGATTCTGGGTCGCGAGGAGACGATCCGTCGCGTGCGGGAGGCGAAGAGGCAGACTATGGATTTGGTGCCCTTGCCGACTAGGAGGGCGAAGGGGGATACCACCCCGTCTGAGTCGGGGGATGTTTCGTGGATGGGGTCGTTGGCGCCGGGGCAGTAAGTAAGTAGGTTTTCTTCTGTCTATGTGTCTATCTATTTATTTATCTGCTTGGTTGGTAGTTATGGTAGTTGGGGGTCGGGTGTTGCTGATTGGTCATGGGAGTGGATATGTTAAGATGTGAGTATGTATAAGAGAAATGTATAGTACAATATGTAGAATAGGTAGGTAGTTAGTTAGTATCGTGCCATCATCATCATCATCATCATCATCATCATCATCATCATCATCATCATTATCATCATCATTATCAACAACAACAACAGGAACAGCATACATTAATTAAGTTAATGGAGTGAGTCTGTCTGAGTCTGACATCCCACCCACACATTCGCTACAATTACAGAAAGTCCACAGCCCAACAGTCCAACCACCCAACAACTAACCACTCTACTCCACTCCATAGCTAGCTAGCTAGCTATCCTACACCTGCAACCTCACCTCACCTCACCTCGACTCCACTCTAAACCTAGCTAGCTACACCCACCAACCCAACCCTCAAAAGAACAGCCCACCTAACCCCAGAACAAAAAACAATGAGAGAAACTAAATGAATTCCTACCAGAGATGATAAAAAAAATATAAAACAGCACAAAACAAAACAAAGAGGCTCAATATTTAAAACCAAATAAAAAGTGTACCCTTACAAGCATGCGCTGATATCAAAAAGAAACAGACAAAAAGAAAAAAAAAAAAAAAAAATGGGAGGGAAGAAAGAAAAGAAAGAAAGCATGTGCATGCGCTGCGACTTGTACAGGGGAGGAGGGAGAATAACCATCAAGATCAAAGCAAGGGTAAAACAAAGCAAGGCAAGCAAGCAAGACAGGTAAATATCCACCCCAAGACAAAGAGAAGAGTCAGAAGCGGATGAAGAATCCTGTATTCAAGGAATTTACACCAAAGGTATAGATTCCATAGACGGGAGAGAGAAAGAGAAAGATAGAAAGGAGGGAGAAGACGGAGAATTAAGGGTAGGAAAGCCAATCAATCAATGAGAAGACACCGCCCGATCTATCCCAATCCGGGTAGAAGAAGGGAAGAAAGAAGTAAAGAAATTATTCAAACATAGGCTCGGTTAGGTTAGGTTAGGTAGGAGAGCAAAGCATAATACAAGAAGAAGGAATCAAGATTTGTTTGTCCCCAAGACAGACAGGTCAGGTCAGGTCAGGTCAGGTTCTGTTTACGGCATCCAAGTCATGTCGTTCGTTCGTTGTCAGAGTCAGGGCCCTTCCTGGGCGATCATCACGCAGTGAGTGGCCGGGTCGGTCGGTGGTGGTGGTAATGTAGTGGTACTGTGGGATCCGATGTTTGACATGAAAAAAAAAGACAGAAAAAAGCATAGCAGCATGGTATAATCCGGGATTTTAACAAAGAAATTAAGACTGTTAACTAGCAACAATCACTTGCGTTGTGTGGTGAGGCCCCAGGCATGAGATAAGGGCTCAATTATTAGCGGCGCGGGATCTGAAGAAATGGTGGAGGAACGAAGGGCTTCGAGATCGTCGTAGAGTCGTCACGTCGAGTGGTCTCGTAATCACGTTCTAGCAGAAGCACTAGAAGTCCCGCGCAAGGAGGGTAGGATGGAAAGGAAATCAACGAGAGGCTATCGGCAGGAGAGACCTCAGTAAGGTTCCAGGTCGTCGGTCCACCCGGCATCACTGCCACTGGCTCGAACTGTCTGAGCCATGGAGTGGCCGGCCGGCTCATCTGGGCTGACGCTCCGGATCCCCTTGGGTTTCTTGCCTGCGAGGGAGCGGTTTTGGTTGTCCTCGGGAGCCACGCGTTTCCCGTGGGCAGCACGAAGCTTGGCGTAATACACGTCGCTGGCGTCCGCTTCGGACTCGTCTCCAGAATCAAACGTCTCCCAGTTCTCTGACCCTGAGACGGCGGTGTTCACCGTGGAGGCGTTCGAGACTTGTCGAGGGGCCGGGGGAGGGGGTGCATGCTGGAGATACGGGTTGGGCTTCGGGAACCCTTGCATCGAGGAGCCCAAAGATAGTGACGAGGCGGAGGAGTGTGATGATTGAGAGAATCCGGTAGACCGTTGAGAGAAAGCGGAAGAGCTGATGAAGGAACGCTGGTTGCGATCATCATACACGTCTTCTGGGCTGACGGGTCGGACGATGGAATTCGACAGGGCACTGGCAGATCGTGGCGGTTCAAACAGATAGTTGCCCCGCTCCTCCCTCGATTCACCTCCAGTCAAGGCCCTCATCCTCGGTGGTGGCGGACGAGCAGCTGGCAGCTTGCCATTCACGGTGCTTACGGAATAGACGCCTGGGGTGCCCCGGCGATTGGGCGAGTTGTTTCCATGTGGCATGTTGCCCAGAGGTACGCGAGCCGGGATCTTCGATGGTGACTTGGCTCCAGGCCGAGAGGGTCCGACTGTGTTGTACTTCATCGTGGGGTGCGCCGTAGGTGTCTTCGAGGCAGACCGGGGCGGAAGGGGGGCGCGCATGGCACTGCCCGGACGAGAGCTCATGACGCTAGCAGGCCGAGTCGGTTGCGGTTGTGGGGGACGCTTCGCGCTAGGAGTAGGCCCGGGGGTCTTGGATCGTGGGGGGGCCGGTTTGACAAAAACTGGGGTAAGCTCATCGAGATATCTCTCCCCGTGGACCAGGAACGGCCGGCCATACTCATCCTCCCACCGCTCCAGTTCTTTCCTCAAGTCGGCCTCCACCTTGGGCAGCTCCTTGGAAATCCGCTTCCTCATCTTCTCCTCCCTCAGAAGCTTTCCGGGATCACGTCTCTCTCCCTTGGCTCCACGACCCATGAGACGAGAGGCATCCTGACTAGAAACAGCCAGGGCTTCGCGCTCTGCCAGAAGGCTGCGATGCTTGTCGATCAGCTCTAAGGTCGATGCACGCTGCTCCTTCAAGGTCTCCAGTCGCACAATCTCCGCCTCGTGTGCCTCCAGCAGGGCATCACTGCAGACATCCGAAAAGGCAGGCGTGAAGTCGAGCATCTCCTCTTCGGAGAAATAGAGCCCATCCCAGAGCTCCTGGAGCCGGCACCGCGCGTCCTCGACAAAGAGATGCAGGTTCTGTCGCTTCAACTCGTTAAGACGGCTCAGTTCCTCCTCGAACTCGTTGATCGTACGCAGTCCACAGCCACGATTTGCGGCAAAGAACGCCTTTCGGTCGCATTCTTCCACTCCAAACCGCTCCCACAGCGCTTCCACGGCGTTTTTGAGGTCCTTCAACTTGCGCTCCCGGCCCCTCTTCTCCTCGAGCAACTTCTCGCGCTTCGCCATCAAGTTAGCCAGATCCGATTCATGGAGACCCAGCTGCTCGGGCGCTTCACGGTAGCATTTGACGATGTTCGTATCAGTCTGAACCTGGGGTGTTCCGAGCTCAGCCCACAGCTTGATGATTTCCTCGGATGTGGTCTGAACGAAGTCGACACGGCGGTGGTATTCCTCGTAGACTCTCGTGAATTCGCTGTCGAGGGCCGTGACATATGATGGTGACAGATCGAAGCTGGGCGAGATGGACGAGCCGGGTGCCGTTGGCGGCAGCTCAATGCTGATGAAGGTTGTTTCGAGATGGGACGCGTACGATTCAAGGGCCTCGACAAGTTCTAGCGATTATCAGCAACCGCGCATCTCCGCACTCTGGAAGCAACCTACTCCTGACTTGTTCAAAGCGCTCCTTGTGCAGTTTGCTCAACGCGCCATGCTCCTCACGCAGGAAGCTGACACAGCGATTGAGGGGGTAACTAATGCGCAAATCATTATGATCGAGCTGGTACTGTCCGTTTGCTTTTTCGTCCACGAGCGACTTCTCCATGTGTTGAATGGCAGTGATGAGTCGCTGCGCTTCATCCTGCATATCCTTCTTCTCTCTGCACACAGTCAGTCAGTGGGTCGGTCCTGGTTGCGATAACACAGGTCGGGGAGGACCAGAAACGACGTACTTATCGACCAGCTTCAGGTGGTTATTGAGCGTTTCCGACAAGGCGCTGAAAAGCTGCAAGCAGAGTCAGTACACTGCGGAGTGAGTAGAGCACATCGATCAACCGACCTCTGCTTCTCGGGATTCGCGCTCATGATTCGGCACACCGATGTCATCGAAGATCCCGTGGAGCTGAGAAACGATGTTGTTGACCTGGGTGGTCAGGTAGCTCGTATCGACCGCCATGGTATTGTGATTGCTGTTGTATGCCCCAAGCCAGGGGGGTGTGGATGTTTGATTGGTCTGGGGAGGTGTTTTCCAAGGGCGCGGTCGGGGATAAATTCGCCGTTAAATGGCGCGGTCCACCGTCATGTAAGCTGGGGGGCGGCGACGCGCCTGAGATATGGAGGGCGACGAGGTTCGAAACCACAACAGAGAGACGGACAGCCAGATAGACAGGCGGGTTGGCAACACGGGCCTGCAATCAAACAGCAAACGCCTCACGGGAGGTCGAGTGGCATCTGCGAGGACAAGGGACGACCCGCCAAATTTATGTACAGGTCAACACCGGATGCAAGAATATGCAAGGGTGACGGGGGGGGTGGTGGTGGTGGGAGCCTGGAGAGAAGGACTGGGGATGCTGGAGCAGTGAGTTGGAAGACAACAAGATTCACTTGCTGGCGATGCAGCCGCAATCCCGATCTGCTCGCCGCGGGCTGGAACGGCGGTTTCGCCGTTGCCCCGGTGACTGCTGACTCAGCTGCTTGTCCCCCCTTCACCGCCTCTTTCTGCCCCCGTCTGCCGCCCCGCCGTCACCGCCCCCGAAGCATCCAGACTCGCTCTCAGACGGACTCTCCCCACGTCATCCCCATCAATCCTCCATCCTCGAGACCTTGCACCACTTACTCTCCCTCACAGTGATTGCCACAACCTCACCTCACTTCCTCCCCCACAACCTACAACCCACAACCCACAACCCACCGCCCACCATGCAGACTGCCCAGCAGTCGTGGGGTACGTACCTCCCTCCCCTCCCCTCCCCAACGACCCACTAACCCCCCCCCCCCCAGAACTCGAAAACGCCATCCACCTAATCGACCCCCAGCGCGACGCCCTCTACGCCTACGATGAAGAAACGCACAAAACCCTCTCCGCGACGCGCCCGTGGTCCAAAGACCCACACTACTTCAAAAGCGTGCGAATCTCCGCCGTGGCACTGCTCAAAATGGTGATGCACGCGCGCTCCGGCGGGTCGCTAGAGATCATGGGCCTGATGCAAGGCTACATCCTCCCGGAAACCTTCGTGGTGACCGACGCGTACCGACTGCCGGTGGAAGGGACCGAGACACGGGTGAACGCGCAAGACGAAGCGAACGAGTACATGGTGTCGTATCTACAATCGTGTCGGGACTCCGGGCGGATGGAGAACGCGGTGGGCTGGTATCATAGTCACCCTGGGTACGGGTGCTGGCTGTCCGGGATAGATGTGATGACGCAGGATATGCAGCAGCTGGGGGGGCCGTTTGTGGCGCTGGTGGTGGATCCGGAGCGGACGATTTCGGCGGGGAAGGTCGATGTCGGTGCCTTTAGGACGTTTCCGAAGGGGTATACGGCGCCGAAGGGGGAGGGGGGGCGGGTTCGGGGGGGCTGGTGGAGGAGATGGGGTGGGGTGGGGGAGGGGTGGGGATGGGTATCAGGCTGTGCCGCTGAGCAAGGCGGAGGATTTCGGGGCGCACGCATCGCATTACTATTCGCTCGAGGTGGAGGTGTTTAAGAGTGTGTTGGATTCGGAGATTCTGGCCCTGCTCTGGAATAAGTACTGGGTGGCCACGCTGAGTCAGAGCCCGTTGTTTGCGACGAGGGATTTCGGGAGCAAGCAGATGGTGGATTTGAGTCAGAAGGTCAGGCGCGCCGCCAGGGGCATTGAGAGTAATGCGTCGCGTGGGAATTTGGCGCAGACGAAGGATCAGCAGCTCGAGCGGGTGGCGAGGGATGGGCAGCGGATTGTGGCGGAGGAGGTCAAGGGGCTGTTGGCGGCGGAGGTCAAGATGAAGCTGTTTCAGGGTATCGGGGAGGAGAACCAGGCGGAGATATGAGATGGGGCTCGAGGGATGATGCAACCATGCAAGCAGGCTAGCTACGAATGATGAGATGACCTATTATCCTCCCTCCCTGGCGGGCGTTCTGTTCCGTACGTAGATCAGGCGCGAGAATTACTGAGACGAGAGACGGCCACATCAAACAGGGCCGGAACGGCTGACCTGTACATCTAATTACCATTCGTAGGGTATATATACTAACAGACACCATAGTAGGGATATATCCGGAAAGAGAACAGGTAAGTACAAGGAACGAAAGGGGCAGTAATCATGAACATGAAGGAACTGCCCGACGCGAAGACCCAGCCCAGCGGTCGAGAGCCTGCGTCATATGAGAGATCATTATCCGAGCCGTAAGAGGTCCTCTGGACACCAGGCGAGAGAGACCACGGGAGCAAAGAGAATTTGTACAGAAGGTGGGGGGAAATGGGCCAAGCCAGTGTACAGAGGCGATATGGTAGGTAGTCAACACAACACGGTATTGTATATGTCCGAAAGAAACCCGAGAAAAGCGCTGGACCGTCAAGGTGTGGACTGGAGAACAAATGAGATCACAAAAGTCGTTAGGGAAATGGAATTGAGTTGGTCGGGGTGGGTAGGAGAGCGGGTCTTCGGCTGTTGAGTGAGCAAAGACAAGGAAAGGAGTGACAGGTGAGACTTTCACGGTGGAGAAGGTGGTGGGCCGCAGTCGAGAATGGGAGCTGCTGTCTTCCAGCTAGGAACAGGCTTCGGCATCTCTAGCCTCTTTTTTTTTTTTTTGCTTTTTTCCTTTTGCCTTCTGCTGGAGCCACCGTTGCACGGGCAGAACCGGGATTCCTGTCGCTCGGGACGGACGAACGCCGCCAAGGTCTAGTCACTTGGAGGGTCGGTGTGAATCTCGAACTTCTCATCGGTCGGGGAAATGAGGATCGCCAGCAGTCGAGGCCGCGTAAGATCCGGGCGATAGGGGTGATTGGCCGTGCACGCGTCGATATCGGCGTCGAGGCTGGAATCGCGCAGGAACCCGTCGGAGAGAGATTGGGGATCGAGGCACGGTTCGCGGAGAGGAACAAGCGGCAGGGAATAAGGTTGCACGGCGCGGTTAGTGAATCGATATCGTGCCATCGCAGGGCGTCAGCAATGGCGTGATAGGCTCGCGGACGGTCTGGTGAATAGCATCGGCCGGGGGGGAAAGCTGGTGGCTGGTGGCTGGGCGGCGCGCGATTAGGAGCCCCGTCGGACAAGCGGCTGCTGGGAAGGAGGATTTTGCATGGAAAACGGCACTACAGGAAGCCCGATTCAGACAGCAGTCTACGTGGGAACACACATCTTGGTTAGTCTTCACTCGATCACTCGGACGTCTTCCACAGCTCAATATTTCTCGACAAATGCCCGTATCGCCTAGCGAGATCAACCACTGGACATGGGAACAGGGGCAGGGGTAGGGCAGGGGGGGGGGAGAAGAATCCAGAACAAGCGACTTGCTCAACGCGTTGACACTACCATGCTCGCGAGAGTCAAGGCGCTCACCTCTCCACCGGATTTAGCATACCTCGCAATCTTTTCGTCCTCCCTCTCGCGGGGTTCCACTTCCAAGCTCCGATCGTACATGTCATGCACATCGCCCGCCGACTGTAGGTTGCTGAGAATGTAGTCCTGCAGCTCCGGTACCGGCTGCAGCAGATACGGCACGTTCTGGTACTGCTGGATGTCCCGGATCACCTCCGCCGTCTTGGCGCGCTTGTTGAAATTGATCAGTTCCGACGGCGTGAGGGACGGAATGCCGTCTTCGATGAAGGTCAGATCCGTGAGATAGACACCTAGGCAAGAAGTTAGTTGCATGGGTGGCGCGCCGGTTTGCACAATTGACAAGTTTGCCTACCGAAAAAGGGAATGCAGGGCGGGTTAGCCAGATGGAGCGTCTCTCGGTATTCGCCAAAGTTCTTCGTGCTCGCCATGAGCCGGCGCATCTGTTCCAGGATTGTAGACGTACGTCCGCTGACCTGGGCCCACGTCCGTCCCAGTCGGTGAATGGGCGCCGTGCCGAGGGCGGAAATAATCGAAGTCAACGTAGAATAGTTGTTGAAAACGCGGCATTTCTATAAGCAGTCAGTAATCGCCCTCCCAGCAACAGGATCGGGAACCATACATCAGCAACATTGACGAAGTGCTTGATGACGACCACGCGCTTCTTCACATCCGACTGGGTGAGAATCATCTCCGCAACCCAGTTCGTCAGCTGGTTCGAATGAAGAATCAGGGCCTTCACGTTGGTCGCAGGCTCCGGTTCGTCCGGCCCGACCTTCTTTTGCCACGTCTTGTTCAAACACTCCGTAGGCCGAATCTTCGAGTAGAGTCGCGACTCGATGATGGTGAGCTGGCGGGCAAATTCGGTGGGGTCGATGTCCAAGAACTTCAGTTTCTTCATGTTCTTCGGGATGATCGGCGTCGGGGCGGCAGTCGCCTGTGTGGGAACAAGGCGCTTGACGCTGTTGTCCTGCCCCCTGAGACGCTGCTCGATAGCCGCCAGCAGTTGCGGTGAACCCGGGGTCTTCGTAGTCGCGATCGAGTCCTTAGTAAACGCATGGACGTGCTGCAGGAGGCCCATGTGCGCATCGTCGTTGGGCTCCATCCAGAAGTTCTCAAACCAACTCTTCAAGATGTTGACGACGCGGAAACGGATGGGTTTCTGCTTCCGGTCAACCCACATTTGCATTTCATCCGGGTTGAGACCAAACGGGGGCTGGATGTTAAAGCGTTGTGTGATCAGCTCAAAGAGCTCCTCGGCAGTCGTGAACGAGCGATAGGTGAGCAGGAAGGTGTTGTTGAATGACGCATCAAGTTTGTCGTGCCGGGTCAGGTGCTCCACCAACCCTGCCAGGGTTCCGCACTTCAGGGTCGGATTGTCATTCTTCGTATCGTAGAACACTTCGCCTTCGTGGTCCATCTTGAGGAACCAGGGCGTCTCTTCTGGCTCTCGAACGGGCTCTCGAACTGGTGGTTCTCGCGGGATTGCCGCTGGGGGAGCTTGCCCGAAGAAGCGCTGCGCCTTGTCCATGTTGCGTCGCACTTTATGCGAGGAATTATCCACGGCGTAGGAGGATGGGATGCCAATGGACTCCGTGGGAGCTACCGATTGGGACTCTGACCGGCTGTGGATGCTCTTGGCTCCGATGTTATCTCCACCCATGCGACTTTCCGTGCGGAAGACCTGGGTTGGCTCGGGGACCTGCTCCAGCAGAAGGGAAAGCGAGAATCCGATCTGCGAAACGTAGTTCTCGATCTGCCTGTGGACACCCCGAACAGCGATCAAGCGGTCATCAAGCGAGTCACCACGCAGCTCAGCCCATTCATCGCCCAGGGGCGCCGACACCGCTTGGCAGCTGATGACAAAGTCGGCAATCGCATCGTACACTCTCTGCTTCTGCAAGCTGAAGTCAACCAACTGGGGGTTCTGGAAGCTGGTTCCGAGTGGCGCCAAGTTGATGGACTCGACCGCAGACATCCAGGGACGGAACTGTTCGACGACCTTCAGGGCGGCAGTGGAAACAGAATTGCTGAGTTCTTCGTGTTCTGCGATGGTGACAATTTTCTTATCGTTGAGGGTCAGCCGCTCCTCTAGCCGACGGATACTGCCCACAAACGATCTCCGAAGAACATCGATGTGGTCAATCAGGGCCGCATCGAGGGTCACTGACGGTTCAGCTCGCGAATCGCTCGCATCTTGATCCAGGAACGAGGTCGGTCCAGAGTCGCCAACAGACACGCCATTGTTCTGCCAGCAGCCACCCGCAAAACTACCCACGAGGAACCCAGGAACGATGCGGTTAATCGTCTCGCCGCGCTGCTGTCTGGCAACTTCGACGTAGCCATAGACTCCCTGCATCACGCCGTCCGCCTCTTGCAGACACTTGTTGGTGGAATCGGGACCCGGCCAATCTGCAGCTGCAATATGCGACGAGAGCACCAGCTTCGAGAACTTGGACATCATATCTCTGAAGTGGGGGTAGAGGGTCTTGTTGGTGGAGATGATGGACGGGTTTCCCGAGTGGTTGTCAGTCGTATCCGAGCCAGCAGCCAGCAACATGCGCAGATGGTCGGAGATATCTTCCGCTTTTCTGACGTATTCCGACCGATCGCCGTTCATCAACGTCTGGCGATAGGCTTCAACGGCGTGACGCATATTATCAATGAGCAGGGGCCAGGTAAGGTTGACCGAGGCACCGTCGTCGACGAAGTGCGACGGGACTTCCGAGGAAACCGACGGCCGGTGGATGTGATCGGAAATGGAGTTGTTACTGCTGGCGGTCGCGGAGCCATATAGCTTGTGTGAGAGGAGCGACTGGTGAGAGGTTTTGCCCTCGATGATGGATTTGGTGGACGGGGGGTGTAGCGAGTCCATGGAGGTTGCGGGTGACACGCCGTCGAGGTAGGATTGGCGTCGGCGGGACATGGAATCGCGGGAGGTAAGCATCAACGACTCGCCCTCCGCTTCGGATGCGGAGCCATCGTAATCATCCTCGTCCCGTTCGAACCCACGTGCCATCAACTCCGGCGGAGGTCGAGTCTGATCGGGCACGAGAAAGTTGCTGCGGTCGTAAGGGCTCGTTTCGTTGGCAGCCGGGTTCTCAAACGGCAGCTCCATGGTGCTATAGCCGGTGAGAGTGTTGAAGTAAAACAAGCGGCCATCGGGGGTCGCCTGAGGGATCCAGAAGGCGGCCTCCTCCTGCTCCTTGGGAGCCGGGACCCCCTCAATGGGAAGAATCGGCTGCGAGTCGCGAGAATTGCTTGCTGAGTCAACGTCGTCTCCCTCTGGCTCCTCCTCGTAGTCCTCGCCCAAGCCCGACTCCGCGCTCACGTCCTCGTTCTCCAGAGTGTGTGTGTGGGTGATTTCCGGCACCTCGTCGAGTTCGTCCAGATCGGTGATCACGGTACAGTAGTTGCTGGGGAACCAGCCCCGAACGCTGTTGTTGATGACACCATCCCACCAGCCGGTGTCGAGCTGGTTCAACACCTGGATGATGTCGCCCCTCTGGAAACTCAGGCTGGTGTGGTCGTCTGCATCGTAGTCATACATGGCCCGCACGAACAGCGCGGGGGGCTGTTCGGGGCTGGGCGTGTAGCGCCCATCGGTGGCTAGCTTCATGGGAGGAATCTGCCGCTTGGGCGAAAGATCGGCGATGTCGGCGTGGTGGAAGGATAGGCTATTGGCACGGCTCCGCGAGCCGGTCGTAGGGGTGGACACCTGCTCCTCGGTGTACTCAAAGGCAGACGAAAAGGCGTTGGCTTTGGAGGCCAGCGCAGATCCGGTATCGATGGCCAATGGCTCAACCAAGCGGGTGTCGAACATCGAGGGATCCCAGCGATTGGTGGTCGGACAGGGGGGGGGGAGGTAAAGAAGATCGGCACGCAGAGGCCCCCGCAACGTAAGGCTGGAGGAGCTTAACGAAAGGCGTTGTTCATGACTTAGGCAGGTAATTCGGGGGGGTGGTTGTGGTGGTGTAGAGGGGGGGGGGGGGCGGTAACGGGAGGTCGAAAGGTGGGTTGCAGAATCGCCCGCGGGAAAGATAGGTGGATAGATAGCGGCGGCGGCGATGGCAGGGGGAGGGGAAGAGTGAGACACTGGCCACGGAAGAGGATGGCGAAGGCTGATCAATCACACCGACCGTCTGGACTTGGTGGTTGTCAGAGACGGGAGAGGAGGAAGAGGAGTGGTGGTGGTCGTAGTCGTTAGTCCGGCATGGAAGAGATCGATAGATGGGAGGAGAGAGAGGGAGAGCGAGCGAGAGAGAGAGAGAGAGAGAGAGAGAAGAGGAGTGAGTGGACAGGAAAAAGGAGGAGGGCGGATTAGGGAAGAAGTGGGCAGATGGCAGATGGCCTTCCTACTGGTCGGTCGGGGGAAAAGACGAGACGGTTCCCAGCTTACCGTACCGTACCTTCCACACTCACATGTTCCCTCCCTGCACAGTACCTGCTTACCTGCTTACTACTGCCTAGGAGCATGTAGGTACATTACTACTGCTGTACCTTCCTGGTACCTACCTAAACATGTAAGTCCCAAGCTTACTAGTACCTAGTAAGTAGTTAGCTGCTGCTGCGCGGTTATGTAAAAATGCAGTTGAGACGCCAGCCTCGGTTCGGTTCAGTTCAGTTTTCCCCTTCGTTTCTTTTTTTGACGGTGCTTGCCACCCAACAATCTTCAGCCGGCTGAGCCTATCAGTCTCGTCCAACCAGCCCTGATGTCTTACAATCTGCGTGGACGAAGCGCTGTGGCTGTAGCTGTGGCAGTGGCAGTGGTAGTGGTCCAGCAGCAAGCAAGCAAGCAAGCAATCCCTTCCCTTTCCCTACTATTATTCTTCTCCCGCTGGTACGGGAGTACTCGTACTCCGTATCAGATTACGGGCCCGTACCACGGACGCAGCACGAGCCTCTGAGGCTTTCGGATGGCACCGTTCTCCATCGGCGCTCGCCCGCTGCGATTGGAAGAAGGGCTGGGAAAGCAACCGAGCAAAGGGTCCCGAACCATGGATGTCGTCGACCTGCTCCGTCCCATCCAGATCCTTCATTGGCAGCGATGCTACGGAGTATGTACGTGCGCAGTCCGGACCCTAGGAATAGGGAGGGGGCAGCCAACCTAATTACTTAAGACTTGGTCGAGGGTGCAAGGCCGAGACGTTGCCCTGGGCCGTCCAGGGGCTGTTCTGACTCTGACTCTGATTCTCTCTCCCTCTCTCTCTCTCTCTGCATTATGATTCGAGTCTGTCTGTCTGTCTGCTGGCATGTGGTTCGTGTGGATGACGTACTGTCGACACGGAGATCCCGTCCCTGACATAACAGAATATCAATTCATTAATTCGAATAATTCTCCAAACAGGATATATCTACTACCAGATAGAGACCCTCCCCGGCCGGCCCTCTTCCAAGGGAAGGAATCCCCATTCGCGGGTGGGGACGAGGGCTTGACTCGAGTCGCGCTGCAACAGCGAATCGGCAACGGTCAGCCATACCACACCACCTATCTAGTAAGTATAACTAACTGTGTATAACTCACCCCCATCGTGAGAATTACATCGCTCCCCCAAATCCCTTGCCAGGACTCCCTCTTCACTCGCGATGATCCACCCCCACCCCTGTCCATCAACCGCCGCGGAAATGCAAGCCGCCCTGGGGTCTGTGTGCGGGTCAAAACCCACCGCGACTGTCCATGACAGATGACCAGTAACACAGGCACACACAGGCACACACAGGCACACACAGGCACACCACGCCCCAACGGCATCCGGCATTTCCTCTTTGGTCAGGATGCTTGGATCTTCGTTCTGGGAGGTGATCACCAAGGAGTAGATACGATACCTAGGACTGAGGCATTTCTCGACAGAGGCTGGATCATGAGTCCGTGCTCTCTTCACAAATCAGAGCCAGGGAGTAAGTATCCATCCTCCTGCAACTACTATCTACCTGCATACATATACTTACCAGCGGAAGCAAACAAACGGTCTGTCTTTTATGATGCATGCATGTACGTACCTCTCTCAACAGGTGGTATTTTTAGAAGCGAAACGCTATTCCCCGGACGACGGTTGGGTTGGCAATCGGCTAGACGAACGCTCAATTGCAAAGGAGCTGGTCGGGGGTAGGTAGATGGATAGCAACGTCTGGATGGGTTCGTTATCTGGTGCTACCACTATTGGGAGACCTTTGGGGGAGACGAGAGAACCCTGTCCATGAGATAAGAAAGCTGGTTGACGTTGACGAGGAGGGTTTGTTCCCATTCTTGTCGCTCGTGGATATAGCATTCCAGGTCAATAAAGTACTACTTGGGCTCGGCGTCTATCCTTCGCCTGACATAATGTCCCTCCCAGACAGGATTTGGAGAAGCTGGCCTAGTCTGAACATTATATCGTCGAGACGACGACTTTATTCTTGAACTATTCATCATGGATCTCATTGGGTCAATTTGGTCTTGAGATCTCAGATACAGTCACGTCCGAGGGCACGAAACATCTCTTTTCCTCTCTACTTGGAATACTATTCTCGCGAGACACTTGACCTAGAAAAAACTCAAGTGTCAACTTGATACTATCCGAGCAAGACAGACACACCCATCTGATTCCCTACAGTCAAAACTGGTAAAAGTCAGTACCGAGACATCTCTTCACTTTTTTGTCTCGACATCAGCCCCTGTGGTCTGCATTGTTTCTCGATTTCAAACTATTCCTAACGTATCCTATGCTTTCATTCCTATATTTCGTCAACCCAGTTATTTCAATTGATTTCATCAAGTATCTCGTCAACAAGAGGACTCTACCTCCTAATCCTCAACCCAATAGACGATGTATCCCCTCCCCCCCCCCTTCTCTCTCCACCTCCGCCTCAGCCGGACAACCCTCCCCGAAGGGAAATACACCCCGGGCCACCTCCCACCAACAAACCGATTATCAAAAAAAAAATCACCTTCGTAATGAGACTTCCGGAGTCCGCCGATGGATCACGAAAGACGTTCACGAGGAAGCTACGAACCTCACTAATAACTGGAACTAGATCGATTCTCGTATCATATTAGCTCAGCCTTACCAATTATCAGGAATCTGCAGAAGGATGGGGGGTGTTAAGCTGGTAGGTAAGCTGGTGTGGGGATCTCTGAGTAGATGTTTAATTTCTGACACGAATATGGTGTTTATGGTGACGATGGACGACTCTCGAAGGGCAGCGTCGAACCAGACACGTAAATAAACCAGCTGGGGAATATCTATCTACCCGGGTTATATGTTCTACCTACTTATATATAGTACCTACCCATCGTCCACGGATAAACCAGCCAGTGAATACCAGTATGGAGATCCTTCATCAGATCTCTTTGTTAGTTATAGATGGTTATTCACTGTAAAAGGGGTTTGATAGTATATATAATACTACTACTACTACTAGAACAACCCACACCTTATGTCCAGATATTAGACATGCATGGCCGGGATGATAACTTTCACCATAATAATAATAATAATAATAATAATAATAATAATAATAATTAGAAAAAACCGACTATACTGCCGCTGTCAGCTTACCCGACTTCACTTGAATTCTACTCTACGGAGGAATTCGACCTACTCAGGTGCATCATCATGCCATGTCCGTCATTCTTACTTGCATGGGGCCGCCGCGGGCAGTGAATGACACGAGGTGGGAGGTGGGATTGGGCTGACGTTGGATGAGAGGATAGGATAGGATAGGCTAGGATAGGATGTCGCGTGGGGTGATAGATGCTGAGGGGGTTAACTGTTCGACTACATACTTATGAATGGTAGACCAGGGGCGATGTACGTAAGTTAAGAAAGCCTCGTGTTATATACATTGTGCAGCAGAGACATGAATGCCCAGAGGCAGTGCTATACTGTCTACAAGGCCGGATACACCAGTCCCCAATTAAGAAACACAAACACTACACTCACTCAAAACCAGCAAGATAGAGCAATAATCCAACAGTCATAATTAGTGGAACGACCATAAAATGACCCTCCGTCTAATTAATCAAACCCATACATAACGCGATTCCCGGCGGCGGAAAGCTGGCTAAATAAATGCGAAACCGCAGGCCCGGGGGGGACCTCGTCCCGGGGCCGTTAAGCTTAAACGGAGATGGATGCAGTTGGTTGATTGATGTCGGAGGTCGGTCCTTGCGTGGGATTGCGGGATTATACTGTCGTTCATAGGTAGGTAGTGCTTAATGGAATGATTTACCATACAGATAATAGAGGGGCACGGCAGAGCAAGGGAGGGAGAGAGGGAGGGGTATGAAGCCCCTCGCAGCTCTTGGGAGACTAGAAGGGGTCGAGGTCGATCGATCTGGATTGAGATTGACCAGGTTGAAATGTTAGTTTAGAGAGGGGGACTCAACTAGCTTAGCACTCTGTACTCTGAAGTAAGCACCCGAGTAAAGGAATGAATGAAAATGCCTCCAAGGGATGCTGCCCGGAACTCGGAGATGAACCCGGCAGAGCAGGCAGTGCCCCATTATTCGTCTCCCAAACGAAGTCCTCACTTGCTTGCCCCGGGAATTCATCATCCAGACTCTCTCGAATGATCCACATGCTTCGTACTCCTACTCCGGACTCTTCCGGCAACCATAACAACCACCAGATATCTGGAAGTAAACAAGTTTAGCTGATCCAGATCATCCGCCCTAGTCCAACAGTAGCAAGTCCACGGAGTATCCTATCGAGGATCTAGTAACTATCTACTTGGCTCAGAGTCATTCACACTCACAATCCAGTCCAACCAGCAGCATCAGCCAGTAACATCTCCCACTCCCACTCCCAGCCCCTCCCCCTTTTCCATCCTTCCCTCCCTCCCTTCTATCATCCTTCCACGGCCCACCTCACCTCCCCCTTCCCACTTATCCTTTCTAGATCAGCTCCCAAGAAAGATTCTATTGATCAGTATCTAGAAAACTGCTATACTTCTTCCCGCCCATCCCAAACATCCGGTTCGCGACGGCGTCGCCCCAGGATCGAGTCTAGGGTCACGGTCTGTCTAGGTAGGGCATTCTTACTTACTTTCTTGTTTTGTGATTGTGTGTGTGTGTGCGTGTGTGCGTGTCTAACTTCTTGGGGCGTTTCGGTTTGATTAGTGGCGGATGGATTGGCGGGGATCTGAAAGACTGAGTTCTACTTTGTAGCCTGTAGGAGGGGGTGGGAATTTAGGGTTGGGATTGGATGGGATCGTGACTTATCTAGTCTGGCCAGCTATTATTTTTGGTATCTTTCTTCTAGCCTTGTTTCTTTCTTTCTGGAAACATTAACTATCTGGATGCGCTAGAGTTAGTAGCAAATGGGGGGATCCAACCCCGAAGACAGTAGAGACACGGACTCAATATCCAGACAGACAGACCTGGATTGAACCCACCAGCCGCGTTAGCCTTTGAACCACCAACTAACCTTACCATTCTTAATGACTAGACTACTATCTAGATGGATCATGTTGGGGTGTTATCTTCTATCACAATTTATATGACTATCTCTGGGACTGATTCAATACTAGTTCAATAACGGACATGTCCGAGATATAAAGTACTTTATTCTTAACCCCTCTATCTAGATACTCCGTACAAAATATAACACCAGCAAAGTGTATATCCATCCACCTCCACCTCATCATCACAAACAACCCCCCCCAGTAACAGCAAACAGTCCATCGGATAAATCACCCACCTCCCAACTGCATCGAATCGAACCAACCAACCAACCGCACCCGAACCATGGATGGATTCTACCCGCACCCGTCCCTGACAGCCCGCCCCTTTCCTTTCCATGGTTGTGCGTTATATCTACGATCATTTTATCCAATGATCCTGGTAGGTTGGAGCATGCTCGCGGCTGTATACTGTATACTGTATACTGTATACTGTACTGTAGAACATGATATCAGGGGTATTCACCATGCGATTGATTGGTGTTAAGATATATTACTATCTATCGTGCGTACAAAGTACTTAACTATGTCACCGACCCAACCAACCAACCGCCGACCGCCGACCGCCGACATTCACACCGACACCGATCCTGACAGACAGACAGACAGACAGACACTGACCGCCGACCGTCTCATTCTCCTACTCCATTAGTGATGGTGATTGCGACTGCAATTGATGGAGATAAATAGAACAACCCACTCCTTCCACAACCCTTCCACATCCACGATAGCGCTCCGCCTACTTTACAGGAGTACCTACTCCTACTCCTACTCCTACTCCGTACAGCAGCGTCTAGAATAAACCAACCACCGACGTCAGAAAGGGATACATACTCCCTCCCCCAATCTGTATTCTGGATATGGAGATGGAGGGAGGATAACTATAGATGAGATGAGATGAGATGAGATGGTGCGTGTGGCTAGTTAGTGCAGCCCAATAAAGTGCGGACGGAGTACGGTGCGAGATGTGTTCTCTATACCGCAAGTAGACAAGTAGACAAGTACCCTAAACGCTGCCGGCTGACGCAGTGGCTTGCTTAACTACCTACCTACCTACCTACCGAAGTAGCTAGAACTCCGTCCGTACTTGGGTAGAAGATAGGTAGATAGGTACCTAGGTCTAGGTCTAGTCTAGTCTACTGTGGAAGGTCTAGATAGGTCCAGACAGACAGACAGACAGGCAGGCAGGTACCTAAGCGAAGGGATCGCACAATCAATGACGATAATACTTAATATGATCAGCACCGCACGCACAACAAAGGAAAAGAAAAGCGGCGGACGGTGGTAGGTTTAGCCTGTTAGATAGATACAGGTAACTACAGGTACTACCTACTTTGTACAGATCATCGCCCTCTACATGCTATTGTATGGAGTACAGAGTACAGATGAGCAGCTTATCAGGACTCAGCACTCACTCACACCCAGTGAAGAGCGAAGAGAAAGCGGACTGATCGCTGCGTTGGGGCGGTGGGTCAGGCAAGAATCAGAAATCAGAATGTCGATTTGATTTTGATTTTCTTATTATTCCTGATTCGTTTCATCTCGTCTGCCGGACTGGAGGAGTCACGGACAGGAGAGAGAGAGAGAGAAAGAAGGAAAGAAAGAAACTTCTTTTTCAGTCTCAACAGTAGATAGATAGATAGATAGATAACCCGTGTCTTCCACGCGGTGGGACCCTCACGCTCCAGGGAATCCATATTTGCGATGCCATGTGTAAGGTAGGGAATCATCCAGTGTGCCCAAGACAATAAAAGATGGTCTGTGGACAGGAGCGGTCAAGGGGATCCATCCATCCCCAACCCATCCCCAACGAGACAATGACAAAGAGGCATACGATGTACATAGACCCGACCCTCACCGACTCGAGTCGATTCCAGAAGGAGGGACGGACGGAGGGCGGGCAATAATCCAGACCGTTCGGAGATGGAGGGGCAGTTTCGCTACACGCTACTGCCTAATTACGACTTAGTCTGCTGGCTATCGTGCTCCCTATGTAGATGCTGATACGTGATGGAGGATGATGGCCCATCCACCGATCCATCCATCCATCCATCCCAGTAAGAAAGTTGTCGGGACGATGATGGGCGTCCAGCGAGGGAGAGACGTTTCATAGGCTTGTCCGCCTGCCGATGCTCGCTAGTGTAAGGGCCGGGCTCGGGGAAGAGGTTCCTGAAATCCTGCAACGGTACCTGGTGGGGAATGACGCGCGAGGTGGATGTGCATCACTGCATCACTGCATCACTGCATCGGTATCCATGATGATATGATTCAATAGCCATCCATGGGTTGTGTCGCGGACTCCGGCGATCGGGAGGGGGGGGGGGGGGGGTGCCACTGAGTTCGAAGGGGGAGCGAGATAGAAACGGGTAGCTGCAGGGCGAAAACCCAAATCCGAGCCCGTCAGGCGCTGCGAAGCAGATTTATTATTTGTCTTTTGGGTGGGTTTGTTTTGCATCTCTTGCTTGCTTGCTTGCTTGCCTGCCTGCTTGCCCCTTTTTCCCCTTCTTCCATGCCCCTCCCTTCCTCCCACCATGGGGGGGGGGGCGACGAACTGAGCGTGTGCGAGGATGATCGTTATCCCAGAGTCTCACCAGGAATGAATGAATGGGGAACGCGCTTCCCGGAGAAAATGAGCTTGGATCGGAAATGATCGATCATGGGATGGATGGATCGGTATGTACGGGAGATTTTGCACTATTGCCCCCCCCCCTCCCCCCCTCCCCTCCCTTGACCCCGTGCGCCAGCTAGAAAGCCACTGCATGGTCCGTACGCAGGTGGCTCTAGATTATTAGTCTTGCTTGGATGAACGGACGCCCTGAAAACCTGGATTCAGAGCAATTCGAACAATGCTTCATAACCAGGAAAGCAGATAAATCGCCCCCGAGGTCCTGTTTCTTCTTTCCATGATTCCATCCAGGCCAGGACAACTGAGGCGCTGACGGGGTCGGACCGCTGCATGGCTCGGAAAGTGGATCGAGAACTAAATCCTCCCAGGCTGGCTGCTGGCTGGCTGGCTGCTGCTGCTGCTGCTGCGCTGCTGCAAGCAGGGTTCGAGTCGAACCAACCTTGGGCGACCAAAAGTCGGGCGGCTGGACGTGTAGGAATCGAACAGACATTCCGACGACCTTCTCAAAAGCGTAAACCCTCCGGCCTCACCGCTCTATTCCTGCAGCCGCGGCGCCTGGCAGTTCAAAGCGGTGAGCCCGGCGTACCGTAAGAATGGGCCGGTCACGGCGCTAGGCCCGATCGGGATGGAGTCAGGGTGGATGCCCCGACGGAGTACTACTAGTAGGGCTGTCAATCCTGAACAGCGGCCCAGCCACCCAGGGTGATCCTGGTCGTGGGTGAACTGACAACCGGTGGTGAAGGTGACATGCATGGATGGATGGATTGATTGATTGACAGACATTTGACGGTCAACGATGGAGACAACTAATGGATAGACAGTACTCCGTACGGAGTAGATAGATAGGTAACCGGATGGATCCGCGAGTGGGATGGCTCGTCAAGCCCCTCCGTGGATGGTGGCACGGTAGATAGATTAAATCAATGGATGGATGGATGGATGGATAATCCTCGATATCGATTTTGGATGCACGCGATCCTCCTGGCGTACTTTTGCGCCCTCCTCATGGTCATGTGCGTTCCCCTAGTAACTAACCGCGTCGGGTGGGTCAGGCTCGGGGTCCATCGATGCCCCACCCGCATGCCGGGTTTTTACGGGAACCTTATGATGGATACGGAGTACGGAGTAGATACTGGGGACGGTGAGGAATGGAGGTCAGTAACGACGACAACAGCAAGAAACAATAACATGGATGCTATGCTATGCTCTGCTGCCAGACAACGCCAACGCCAACGCCAACGCCAACACCAACGTCAAGGAACAGCACGCCACTTCAGTCGACCGGGTACCTGGGCTGTCGAACCAAATTCCGAGGACAGGCTCGGAACCACCAGCGTCATCTGACCACGGGATGTCTTGTCTGTCTGTCGTCTGTCTTTTGTTCATCATGATTCAGAGAACGGCGACGCGGAACCCGGGCGCGTCTCCGAGTTGTATCTAGTAGATAGTGATAGTGAGGCTGGTTAGGCGCGACCGCGGGCTTGCAGGCAGCCACAGCCTTTCCCAACCCTACCTAGGGTCACGCTGGATTCCAGGCTAACTGCCTCGGTATAAGACCCAGAACCAGAACCACCCACCCACCCCCCCCCATGCCACTTATGCAGAGGGAACTAGGTAGTCGGTGTTAGTTCGACGCATCTCTGGCTTGAATGTAAAACTGCCAAAAACAGAAACAATAGCGTTTGGGAATGATGCAGTCCTGCATCCTTAAAGGGACCAGTCACTGGCTTGAGTGCTGAGTAGGTATCTAGACTGTCTTGAGGACAAAAGGTGTGACTTCTGTCCTACTTCCTTGGTGATAATTAATAATGGGGAAGATGAGGTCCGTTGTGGGTATTGTACTTATGTACCTATCTATGTATCTACATACTTGGTTTCGTCACTCATTGCATCTCCACCCCACCTGTGACAGTGTTTCGTATGTATACTTCCCTAAGGCAGAGAGAGAGAGAGTAGTACGGAGAGTACTAGTACAAAGTACAAAGTAGACAAACGAGCAAAAAGAAAATCAGATCTGGTGTTATCTCGCTGACTGAAGGTTTCTTCAGCATCTGCTGATTGAGATGCTGGGGTCGTTCGTCGGGGTTGGTCGCCGCCGCCGCAGCAGCAGCTGACCCTCAGCCGAGCTGGAAGGCAACCAAACCAACCCATGCGCCGGGCTGAGTGAGTCTCTGACCATCGCGACGACAACGGTGGTCAGTCACTCCCTCCTCACAGAGAGTCCAGTCCATAGGGCGTCGTCTTTTCATTTACCCCTTCGGTGCAGGGGGGGCGCCCGGTGGAGGACGATGAGGCGATTCCCAGAAATTAGGTACACAGCTACCTAGCTAGTAAGTACTTCGATATCTACCGCTCCCGAAGCACTGGACGATGATCTGTCAAGCCCCGGAGAGACATCACATCGTCAGCATTATTCTCCTATTGCTGCGTGATGACGGGTGGCTTTTCCTGGCCAAGCATGCTTTCCAGCCCAGATGATACCTCAATAGATACGATACATCCATGCCCATGCCCATGCCCTTGCCCTTGTCTGGCGGGACTGACTTGGCAATCTGACTTGACTTGACGGGCCGAGAATCTTCAGTCAGTGTTGTAGATACCTGTAAGTAAGTAGGTACTAAGTAGGTACGAAGTAAAGTACTCCATAGGTTCGTGTCAAAAATCCATGCATCATTGGACATTTGAGTCGAGATTAAACTCTCGTCATCGTGACGGACCGGGGCAAGGAGGAGAAGGAGAAGGAAGGAAGGAAGGGAGGGAGGGGGTCTGGAACAACGGCATCGCTCGATTTGAAGATCCACCGGCTAGTTTCGACGACGCATCCCGACTACGGCGGATGCAGTTAGGCCGAGAACCCAATTCACACAAATTGGATCGCGAGGAAATGAGCAGGTCGCGGATGATCAAATCGCTAGCGGGTGGTCTACGTAGGGACGGGGATCCTAGCGAAGTCGATCCCAAGGAGGGGAGGGGGGGGGGGGGGTTGAAAGTGACGACTGACGACTGATGAGGACAAGGAGGGGGATGGAAGGAGGGGGAATAGAGGGGTCAGAGGGGTAAGTAGATGGTTAGATTCAATCCGTGGGTGGCAGGTTGGTTCGATGGTGGATGAACCATGAAGGCTCTCTCTTCCGAGCAACGAATGGAGCGGGGATGGGGAGGACAACTCCTGGATTCAGATTGATAGGAAAGGAATGAGTGGATGGATGTGGATGTGGATGTGGATGTGGATGTGGATGTGGATGTGGATGTGGATGTGGATGTGGTGCTGGATGGATGGATGCCTGCTGAAAGGACATCTGGTTTGTACTGTGCTGTGTGTGCGTGTGTGTGTGTGTGTGTGTGTGTGTGTGTGAGGAATGGACAGGCCTGTTTGGTCGAATAGCCCGCCTAGCCAGGCTAGGCGAAGAGAGGCCGTGGTGGAAATGAAGGGCGCGGCTACACGGATCCGTGGCATTTCGCAGTCGTCGGATCCCTGTCGGAGGGGCAAGGGAGGGGGGGGTCGGGGGGCTGACGAGGGGCGAAAAAAAAAAAAAATTGGACGGTCGGGAGGGGAAAAGACAGACAGAAGGAGGGAGGGGAGGGAGCATTGCCAATTCGCCTGGAAGGTCCCCCGGCCTAGCCTCTTCCAGATGCTCTCTAGTCTTCTCTTGGCCCTCCTGGGCTCCCTTCTCCTTCCCTTCTTATTACGGTGGACCGGGTGCATGCAATGACCAAGATACAGTAGTAGTACATCGACTGCAATTGTATTGCAATCAATCTCCTTGCAATCGTTGTCGACCTGACCTTTGCACTTTGCCCTTGGGACTTGGAGACTTGGAGTCTGGACGGCCCCGCAGCCGACTGTACCAAGTTTGCATTTCAATTCTGCGCTGTCAGATAGGGATGGGCGATAGGGATGCCCCCCCCCGACGACAACTACGGCTTACTATTACCCCTCCAAGAATCCCGATGAATAATGAGGGCTAGGGAGGAAGGATACACATTATTACTCACAGCAGGTAGGTTGTCCGAACCGTTTGGAAGTCCAGTTTAGCAATGTGTTCAACCTGAAGGGAGCCAGCCAGCCAGCCAGCCAGCCCGCCAGCCCTCTCAGTCAGTGACTGCATTATTGTACTCCGTCCCCATCGGACTACCTGGTCCCCACTGAACAAAGTTACATACCATACCGTATGAAGCTGCCCTCATGCCTCCCTCAGACCAGAACCCCACAATGAAATAATGGCGACGGAAGTCGAGAGAGTCGCGAGATCCGTAGAGTCCGACATACAAAGTTCATCGCATGGATTGTCGTTGGCAAGCCAGAATACCCATCGAAGCATGATTCTTCTTCTAGGGCCTCCGGAATACCTGGCCGCGACTGCACGAATCAGGCTGCGCGAGGGGCGCCATCACCCAACAGGGATAGGATCAATATCGGAGTGGGTTAACCCTAGCAGGGGATATCTCCCTCCCCAGGAGATGGGGAGGGCAGAAGGATGATACTACTGCTATGTAGATAGAAATAATAATGATGAAATAACTGACCATGAGTATTAGGATAACTCATCAGGGGAAACATGTAAGATGCTGCCCAATGTTGTGCATATGAAGAGTAACGTTTGTTTTTCGCTCGGATTATTTTCTCGGATGTCGCGAGAGTTTTTTTCTTTTCTTTTCGCGATGTCCTTTTTTTTTTCCCTTGGTAGAAGGAAGTACCGGAGAGAGAGAGTGTGTGTGAGTGTGTGTGTGGGCGGCGGATCGAACAGGCCGAGTGGATGGATATACAAAGTACTCCGTAGTCTCCCTTCCCTTCGACCACGCCTGGCCTCCCAAACGGTCGATTTCAGCCAGTCGAGCAAGAACCCCGGCTGAACCGGGTTGACGGGTTGGAAGGCTACTACTGTACGGCCCATGTGGGCTGCAGTGGGCTGGTCGGCTTTGTTTTGTTGTGCTGTCGTAGTGTCGTTTTTAGCGGGTGTGTCGACTTGATTTATTTTTCGCTTTCTGATTTCTTTTCTTTTCTTTTTTTTTTTTTCTCTTTTTCCGGTTTGTTTTATTTTATTTTCTTGCAGCGAATTTCAGAATTATTATTATTATTTTTTCGGGTGATGTCTCTTTGGGGAAATATGGGTCCGCAAAGGAAAAGTGGACGTGTCCTAACCGGGTTGCGTTTAGCCCGGGAACGCCGTTAGTCAGGATGGGGAGCGGGGGAGGGTGATTGGGCGAGGAGGGGCGACGCGGGTGGCAGTAGGGGCGTCGGTGCGTGGGCTCATCCGGGGACTGGCCTGTTCGTTCGCTTCTTCCCCCCCCCCGCCGACGAGCCCCTCTTTCCCGCCTCCCACTTCCACTTCCACTTCCACTTCCACTTCCCTGTTGGCACTGCTTTGCTTTGCGTTGCTGCTCTGCTGCGCTGCCCGTCGCCCAAACCCGCCAACACCGCCGTCGCTGGACACGACCGCCTCACTGTCTGTCGCGATCCAGCGATCGCCCGAGTCGCCCTTGGGCTTGTGCCCACGTCCTGGCGCGACTTGCTGCCAGTCTTGCGGTCTTGCGGTCTTGCCCTCCAGTCTTGCGGTCTTGCACCCCTCGCTCGCTCACTCTCTCCCTCCCTTCCCTTCTACTTTCTCCTCATCCCATCCCATCCCCCTCCCCTCCTCCTCTTACCCATTCTTTTTCTCTTCCTTCCCTCTTCCTTCCCTTCCTCCCTCCCTCTCTCTCTCAACGCCTCCCCCTCCCTCCTCTTCTCCTCCTCTCCTCTTCTTTTCCCTCTTCCTCTCTCGGAGTAGCATTCAACATTGGTTCTCTTCCCTTTTTCCTTTTTCCTCTTTTTTGTTTTTCTTTTCGGTCGTCCTTTCCCTCCATCCTTCTCTAACCCCCCCCTCCTCACCCCCCCTCGGTTTCTTAAAGCCGCCACCTCGATTCTCCCCTCTTGTCCGCCTGTGGCTGGACCCCCCCCCCCCCTCCCTCTCTCCATCACAACTGCCCGCCAGTATTCCCCCACACAAGGAATGATCAGGCACCAAACCGAATTCCTATCGTCAACCCGCCTTCAGAACCGGTGTGAAATTACGAAAGGGACGATAGCGCACTCCCCCGTCACGTCGCTGCTCTACTGAGACTCCCCGTCGTGGTTGTGCCTTCGCTCAAGCGTCTGAAGCTATGGCTCCAACCGCACCCAACCCGGCGAGCAACTTGCCCGCCAAAAAGACCTCCGTCCCCGAGAAGAAATACAAGTGCCAATTTTGCAATCGCGCCTTCAGCCGAAGTGAACATCGCAGCAGACACGAACGTTCGCGTGAGTCCCACCTCTTTTCCTTCCCGTCTCCGTCACCCCTTCCTGCGGGGCTAGGTTCGCATGATCCCACCAGTTCACAGATGGGAAGACGCGTCCCTCAAGCGTTGTGGGAGCCCGACACTGACCCCCGTTTCCTCACAGACACCAAAGAAAGGCCATTCAAGTGTTTAAAATGCAGGAGTACATTCGTGCGCCGAGATCTCCTGCTCCGTCATGACCGTACCGTCCACGCAAAGGACGGTGGGATACCGCTCGTTTCTGAGGGTCGGCGACGTGGCGGTGGCGCAGGCGTGCGAAAGCCGTCTCCCGCGGCCGCCCCGTCGAAGCCTTCGATAACGATTGACCCTGCTACCCTGGAACAAATTGAGGCAAGCAGTGATGGTATGGTTGACCTTGAAACCGCAGCCATGTTGATGACAGATTTCCAACATAAGGCCGCAGCCGCCGCCACTGGTCAAACCAATGACCGTGCTGAGTCGGATCGCTCGTTTTCCCCGGGACGCGGCTCACTCCTAGATCCCTCCGTGTCATACCTGTCGGGCAACGCAACGTTACCGCAAATGCCCTGGGACACGCTTGTCTCCCCTGCCGACTCGAAACACATGGGATCCTCGTTTCTCTCGCAAGAGAGTGGCTCAGAGTCGCATATGGACCGGCACGGCCCTGTGGGAGACGCCCTGGCTCCCTCGCTACACTCGTTGGTCAACTCGCTCCCGATGTCTGGAAACTCGACCCCGAATGCCCTGTCGCCGTATCCCTCAATGACAGGACCGGTCAGCCCGGTCAATTACCGCCGGTCTCCTGGGCCGAGCCAAGCCCTGACGTTACCCAAGGCTCCGCAAATCGCCAACGAGATGGAGCGCGACATGGTCCTCGAACGTCTGCAGAATGCGGATTCTCTCGGGGTGCTTCCGGACACTTTCCAGCTCCCGGCGACGATAGCTCTGAACAAGTATCTGTCGACGTACTTCAACCTGTACCACCCGCATCTGCCATTCTTGCACCAGGAGTCTTTCAAGCCTACCGAAACTTCACCGCCACTGTTGCTCGCCGTTCTTTCCATCGGTGCTCTGTATGCGTTCGAGAGGCAGCACGCGTTTATGCTCCATGTTGGATCCAAGATGCTTGTCAACCAGTTCCTGCAGCACAAGGATAACTTTGATTCCAGAAAGTGCCCGCTCTGGGCGATGCAGAGCACGCTGTTGAACATGATCTTCGAGAGCTGGAGTGGCGACCCCAAGGGGCTCGAATGGACCTGCTCTATCAAGAGTCTTCTTGCCAATGTAAGAAAACATTCCCTCGTACTTATAAATGATAGTGCTAAAGGTCTTAGATGGTTGCCGGGAACCGCTATCAATTGAAGCTCCGGACCGAAGCACGCGACGGTCAACCGACGACCCGCGATGAGTGGATCGAAGACGAATCCTGCCGCCGGACGTACTATGCGGTTTATATCTTCTTCGGCATGCTCACGTTGACTTTCAACCACACTCCCGCGATGAGCTTTGACGAGTTCGACAACCTGGAACTGCCTTCATCCGAATCCCTGTGGAACCTTGATACCTCGGACGACGAGGCGTGGAGACGTAGCCTGGCATCCTCCACGTCGCTCACCGTGCGCGAAGCCCACGACTGCCTGTTCCAGGGCGAGCAGACGCGTTATAGCGCCTTCGCGACCCGCGTCCTGATCAACGCGTTGTTTTTGCAGGTTTGGAACCACAAGAGGAGCTTCGAGGCCCTACAGGACGTGGTGACGGAGTACAAGCTACGCCTGGCGCTGGAGACCTGGGAGAGCTCGCTTGAGGTGTGCGAGCCGGAGACTATCGTCGTGCCGCTCAGCACCCCCCAGAAGGGCCACCCCTTGATCTTCAACTCCTTGGCCGTCTATCGCAACACCCGCGCCCGCTTAGAGGTCGATCTCAAATCCATTCAGGAGGCCTTGCGTTACCATTCATCCTACGAAGTCGCTGCTGCGATGACGGTCGCTCGCGAGAAGGTCAAGCGCTCTCAGGAGATGAACAAGGTGATTCAGTCATGCTTCGAGTGCATTGAAATTGCCGCTGTGCAGGGAATCAACTGGGTCGCAAAGACCTCAGCCACCAACTGGAGCGTCGAACATCCGCTCTGCGGCTTGGACCTGATGGTCATCCTCAGCCTCTGGCTCTATCGCCTGGAACATGACGAAGAGCCCGCGACTGAGGCTGAGATGGCCATCTACAACAAGGTGCGGAACCTGTTCGATGATGACGCCGTCGATGCGTTTGGTAAACTCAGCTCCACCGTGGCCCGTGTATGGGGTAACATCCTAGACGGCGTGGTTGTTTGGGGGTAAGTTGATTGTTCCGGAAGACTGTGGACCGCATGCTAACAATGTGATAGAATTACCAAGCTCATGGGCGAGTCATTCAAGCTTCATTCTCAGGCTTTGGTCGGCTACGAAGATTCGTTGCGCGTGGCCAAGGACCAGCCTATTCACCCGATGCCGACGAAGACGCTTGCCAGCGTTGGCACCGCATACTAGTCATGCGATTCACACGACTCTTCGAGTCACTTCTTCGATTCACACTTCATTTTTGATAACCCTACTCTCCTTACTCGGGCATTTGGTCTTACTCTGATTTGGGACACTGGCGGAATTTCGGATTTCGGGTCGGGAGCGATGAGCAAGGGGTGGCAGAGCGATGATCTGGACTGCTGCATAATGCTTCTTGCTGGCGTTCCCCGACTCTTTCTTTCACCCTTTTTTTTGCTTTTCCTTTTTTGCTGCGACGTCTTTCATTGCGTTATGGTTTCGCAAGAGCTCACGGGAGTCCGGTGTGGTCATTTTCATGTTTTTGCGGGTTGTTTTCCCAAGGCAACATCTCGACACCCGGCTGGTCCTGCGTGTTCATCCTAGCACTCGGTGGAGTTGTTGTTTTTTTGCCTTCTATACGCCCTTCTACACCCTTAATCCTTAGTGCCCTCCGTTCTTCATCTGCGCATCAGCGTGTTTGGTCAACCTGCCAGTCGATTTGTCCCTTGGCCTTTTTGATACCTTTGTTCGTTATACTATTTTTCTTTTCTTGTTAGTCTTCTTCTAGTGTTCGTTCGCATACACTTTGGTTTATTACTTTTCTTCGAAGCCTTCTTCTTAATGTGAGTTATATCGTTCTGATATCGTCATGTGTTTACGTGTCCCCGCCGGTTGATGTTTCTCCGCTCTAAACAGTCTGTTTGTTTGCTTCTGCTTCTTTTTCATGTCTGCGTTCGTCCTGTTCGTTCTGCTTACTCTTGAAAATTCCATGTTTATTTCTTTTTGCTGTTAATTGCACATGTTGTTTTGTCTCTTGACTTTTTTTACTTTTGCTTCTGCTTCTTGTAGTTCTTCTGTACAATAGTAATTTGCGCACACAAAATATAACTTTTTTGGCGGGGACTTTGGTCTGTAGAGTAGTATGATTGTAGACTGTATCTGACATCTATCAATTCTATGAATCAGGCAACTAACTATACCATCTCTCTGCCTTCGTCCTATTATCGCCCTCGGATGGCATGACCATATCTTAGCACCACCACCACCCCTACTACTACTACTACTACTACTACTACTACTACTACTACTACTACTACTACTACTACTACTACTACTACTACTACTACTACTACTACTACTACTACTCCTGCATGCATGCATGCATGGTCAGGGTGGTGGTGGGTGGAGATGAGAAAACGATGAGAGATACTAGATAGAGGGAGGCTATGGGATATTGATGTTGTAGTTGGTGTGAATCAGTTGGGTGGGTGAGTGAGTTATTGATACACGAGAATTATAAGTTCATGCGGGTCTATAAAGGTCCTGGACCTTTTACATTACAAGACGCCGGAAGGGAAGTGAGGGGGATAGGGTCCAAAAGGAGAGATTATCATTATGATTCGTTCTAGATAGATAGATAGTATGCAGGTATAAGTATTATAGGTATAGGTATAGGTATCGATATCGATATAGATATAGTCCAGTCACCCCAAAGGGCATCGTCATCCAGTCATTTCAGTTCAACAGTCACACTCACGAGCAGACAGGGTCGACGAAGCCCTTTGTCCAGCCCAAGGAGCCCGCAATAATGACAAAAAATCCCAGAGCCACGGCAATACTGGTGATACCATAGAAATAGGCGTATCTCCTCCGACTCAGGCCATCCAACTCCGCGACCCAGGTGCTGATCGTGGTCGCAGAGCCACAGAATCCGTCCTGCACGCCCTGCAGGACCTGGCAGCTCGTCAGGATCGATGAGGACGCGGTGGCTGCGACAAGGGCGGTTCCGATGCCGGCGACGTGCTGCAGATCGTAGCACATGGCTAGGATGATGGTCCCGAGCATGTTGACCACGAAGGTGCCCAGTGGGAACTTGGGGAGGCGGGCGTTCAGCAGCATGGAGAGGTAGAAGCGGAGGAAACAGCCGAGGGGGGCGAAGACGATGGCGAAGACGGCGCGGCCGCGCCAGACTTCTTTCGCGTGGTCGTGGCGGTCGGGTGGCCAGATGGCCAGGAAGACTGCGCCGAGCCAGCAGCCCCATCCGAGGACGGCGAAGAGGGGGTCCAGGTAGCGGCGGGTGAAGCGGAAGGGGAAGGTGGGGGTGATGGGGTCGAGGGCGAGGGCGAGATGGGCGCCGAAGATCAGAGCGCTCAGGCTGAGGGCGACGGTGGTGAGGATCACGGCCAGGAGGGCCATGAAGCTGTAGCCGCCGTTGCGGGAGGCGATGACGCTGGTGGACGGGTTGGAGAGGTCGTTGGTCAGGGCGAGGAAGATGTCGCGGATGAAGGAGGAGAAGGAGGTGAAGCAGCCGCAGAAGCCGGTGGTGAGTCCGATGTACAGCGGGATGGTCTTCTTGACGGTCTTGTGCTGTTTGGCTCGCTCCTGGGCCTCCTCGGGGGTGTTGGTGCCGTTGGGGCCGCTGGGCAGTCCCCATTCTTCGCGGAAGAGGTTCTTGTCCTCGAGGAGGAAACCCATGACCAGCGAGCCGCTGACATTGGCCCAGAGGACGCCCGTCACGACGGGGGCGCCGGGGTAGAAGGTGAGGGCCTGGACGCCGAGACGGGCCAGTGTGCCGAAGATGGCGAAGAAGACCAGGTAGGAGAGGGTATAGAATTGGGTGACGGCGTGGGAGACAGGCTCGAGGGCGGGCGGCCCTTCCGGGATCGGTTCGGCGGGAGCCTCTGGGGGAGCCTCGACGGGCTTCTCGGCAGCCCAGGATTGACGCTGCGAGGCATATTCGCCGGTCGGGGGCGGCGCGCGGGTCTCGGAGAGGGTGGCGTAGAGGTCGGCGCCCTGAGCATGGTGGGAGGCGGAGGAAGCGCGACGCGACATGGCGGAGGTCGGGGGTCTATCACAGGATCATTTCTATGTGGGTGGATTGCTGCAGAAGCAGAAGGGTCAGAGAGCAAAGCAGGATTGTTGTTGGCGGAGAAAAGCTGCTCGGAGGAAGTGGGTCATGGTGGAAGGAGGTGGATCGGATCAGGCCGGTGGATTCGGGGCGGGTGCTTATCATGGGGTGATGATTGATTGATTGATTGATAGTTGGTGCAGGAGAGTCAAGACAAGAAGAGTGAAGAAAGTGAGGAAGTGAGGAAGTGAGAGAGTGAAGAAAGTGAGAAAGTCCACGAAGGAGAAACATTCCGCAGATCACTGGACCAGAACAGGTGACTGGTGCCTGCGTGCCTGCGTGCCTGCGTGTGCCTGACGGCCTGGCATTCCTGCGCTGGCGATTGATTACCCCTCATTCCTAGAGTCTCCTCCTTTATACTTCCCTCTTTCCCCTCCCCCCCCTCTTCTACTTCATCCTCTCTCCCTCAATCAATCCCCAGCTTCATCCACCCCCTACCATCCACCATGTCCCTCCCCTCCAACGTCCACGTCTCCTCCCACCCCCTCCTCCACGCCAAGCTCTCGCAGCTGCGATCCGCCTCCACCTCGACCCGCGAGACGCGCGATCTGGTGCACGAGATCGCGACCATCCTGGGTGTCGAGGCGTTTGCAGCAGGCTGGAAGGTGAAGACATCAGGCACAGTACGTCCATTCCGGTCTACCTGGCAACCAGCCAATCCAATAATACACCAGCTCACTCACTCACCATCCAATGCAGGACCACACGCCGCTCGGAATCGACTACGAGACCAAAGACATCGACCCGTCCGACATCGCTATAGTCCCGATCCTGCGGTCCGGACTGGGTATGGTCGAGGGTATGAAGTCTACCTTACATTCTGCTTGCACTATTAAGACTGACACCATGCCTTAAAACACACAGCTCTAAACAACCTCCTCCCCACCTCCGTCCCAATCTACCACCTCGGGCTCTTCCGCGAACGCCTCACCCTGCAACCAGTCGAATACTACAACAACCTCCCCTTCCACCGCCCCACCGCCACCAGCAGCAGAAACACGGCGGCCGCATCCACCGCCATCCTCCTGGACCCGATCATCGCGACGGGCGCCACCGCCGAAGCCGCCATCCAGCTGCTCCGCGAATGGGGCGTGCAGCGGGTCGTCATGCTCAGCGTGCTGGGGTCGGAGGCCGGCATGCAGCGTGCGGCGGGGACCTGGCCCGAGGGCGTGGAGGTGTGGACCGGCGCCGTGGATCGCGAGTGTAATGAGCGCGGCATGATCGTGCCCGGGTTGGGCGATATTGGGGATCGCTTGTTTGTTGCTATTGGGAAGTAGCGTGTCTTATCGCTGGAGGGGATAGTTGCGATGGGTATATGAATATATGAATACATGGATGAGTAAAGCGGGCGAATAGAAATGATATTACTGTCTGTCTGTCTGTCTGTCCGGATGGATGGATGGACATGCACTGGACTGGACTGAGCAGGCAATGAGAAAGTATAAAGGTACCTTGGAAAGCTGAAACGGTAGGTACACACACAGTACAGAGTACAGAGTAACACACACAGCGCATACAAAGCAGAAAGAAAGCAACCCCCTAAACACAACACATCAAGGTGGATAAACTCAGTCAAGTAAAGTAGACGACACTCAGTACCTAAAAAGAAGAAGTAGAAGTAGTAGATAGAGAAAAATCATCTCCCCCCAAAAGTATCCATCTCGACATCCTCCTCCCTGGGCGGATTCCCCAACTTGGTCGCCAAACTGGCCGCATTCAAATTGACCCTCTTGGCCATACCACCACCAACACCTCCCACACCGACCCCAGGAACGGTAACCGGACTCGGACTCGGACTCAAACTACTCACACCCCCCGGCGACCTCCATCCTCTTCCTCCCCCGTCCCCGGGACCACCTTCGCCCTCACTCCCTAGCTCCACGAACGTGCGCTGCTGCGGCGACTGCAGGTTCGACTGCGACTGGAAGATGGATTGCGAGGGGGTGGCGGACAGGGTGCCGATGGATTGCAGGTTGGATTGCGATTGCGTGGAGGATTGGGGTTGGCCCGGGAGCGGTTGGTTGGGGGGTCGGGTTTGGAGGAGGATCTTCTCGCGCACCCCGCCCTGGCCGTGGTGGATGCCTCGCGTCAGGAGCATTTGGCGGCGGAGCTGTTCGGCTTTTTCGTCGCGGTGTTCGGCGGCTAGCGTTTGTTTTAGGGTTTAGGTTTGGAGGGTTGAGGGGGGATAGGTAGGGTGGGCGAGGGTGAGTGATGAAGGAAGAAGGAAGAAGGAATCTCACCGCGCCAGAAATACACATACACGCCCATGACGACGAAGCACGCGGACAGAAAGCCGAAGAGCGTGCCGAGCTCGTGCCCGAGGGAGCTCATGGGGGTGTATGGGGGGATGTTGTTGGGGATTTCGGCCATTCTGGATCTTGTGTCTTCGGTTTTGTCTTCTCGTTGCTGCTGCTGCTGCTGCTGCTGTTGTGGTGAGATGATGCGTTGGTGGTTGGTGGTTGGTGGGTTGGATGGTTGTTAGTTCGTTGGGGTTGTTGTTTGCTTGTTGACCTGTTTGCTGGGTAGGCGCTGCTCTGGTCTGGTCTGGAGAAGTGAGTGTCGTGAAGTGAGGTAGGGTGAGGTGGTGAGGTGAATGGATGAAGTATGTATCTGCTACTTGTAAGTCGACAAGCGACAGACTGTAGAAGCAGAATAAAGAACGGCCAGCCAGTCAGTCAGCCATCAATCATCGGCAGCAGTGAGTAACTGTGAGAGTGGGAATCCAGTCAGCATCTTTGTCCCCCAGCCAAGCCAGCCAGCCAGCCAGCCAGACCCCCGTTCGTATTCACCACCAGGGATCGGGGGACGCCCGAACAAAGGAAGTCCCAGGAAGGCCGCATCGGGGCATTAATCCATTGGCTGCGGGGCACTGGTACACCCGTCCTTACACAATCCAGCCAGAGAAAGAGAAGGAGACTAGACAAGAAACTGTGAGGTAAATATTTCATAAGGTAAGGTAAGTAGTAGGTGGTGGTGGTGGTAGTAGTAGTAGTAGTAGATACATCGTCAAATAAAGAATATAAAAAAGCCTCGGGCCGGGCCAGAAAGTGCAAATCCAAGGTATCATGTACACGTACAATGAAGCGTCAAGAAACGAAACGAAACGAAAAAAAAAAAAAAAGACCCCCGGTCTATACAATGGGGGGTGGGGGTATGAATGCAGAAGCTGTAGCAATGCAGGCTCCGTGTGAGGAGAAGAATCGAAATGAAGTGAAGTGAAGTATAGAACAAGACCGGCCTGCAGAGACTCCGGTGACTAGTACTAGCGAGTAAGTCTGCCGGGTGGGGGTCTTGCAGGTCGAGTCGAATGCATATGCGATGATGCGCGCGTAGCAAATAGCGACCCCGGAGGCGGGGGGGTTCACCAAAGACTGTCGTGAAAAGAATTGTAACTCCAAATGCAAAGTGTGGTGGGTGGGTGAATGGCTGGATGCGATGCGTGGTTGGATCCATGCGACATGCGACATGCGACATGCGATGCGATGCGATGCGACGTACGACAAATCATCCCAGCATGACCGCCGCCAGGGCCGTACAGGTCAACCCGATGGCCATGCCGATCCAAGGCGTCTGGCCCAGCGTGCCCTCGCTGCGGGCGCGGAGGGCCTTGGTTTTCCCCGGCGAGGAGGTCAGCGTGCCCAGACCGATCGTGCCGCTGGCAGGCTCCGGCCACTGATCCAGCACCCTGGTCGCGTCGGAGTCTGCGACCGCCTGGACCTGACGGACCTCCAGATGTAACGTCGAGTCATCATCGTCGTCGGGGTTATTTATCGGAGTCGGGATCTGAGGCAACGGGGCGGGCGGGTTGGCGTTGGGCAACGAGGGCGTGGCGGGCGGCGGCGGCGCCTGGTCGGCGGCGAGGGCTATCGTCGGGACGAGACAGAGGAGGACTGTGGAGGGCTTCATGGTGGAGGTGGATTGGGGTGTGCGATTCGCGCAGATGCGACTATGGAGGACGGGAACGAGGAAAGCGTGCGTAGATGTATGATATATACGTCGGAGGTGTGGATGGATGTAAACAATGCAAGCAAGGCAGTCCCCGAACGTGGTGGTGGATAAAACTCGTGCGAAGAAGAATCGAATCAATCCTCCACCACAACAACAACAAGACCCGAGGAACCGGTCGCACAGTCGGAGGGCAATCCGGGTGAAACCTGAAACCGGACGCAAGACGGACGGACGGTAGCGAAGGTTGAGGACCGAAACGAGCGACTGGCTGGTTTATCTCCTGAAACCCGCCAGATGGCGGTTGGTATGTATTGGATGGGTGGTGGTCGGCAACGACAGGACGTGAGTAGGTAAGCAACGCAAGGCAGCAACAACAACAACAAACAACGACAACGACAACGACAGCGTATAATTATTGCAAACTCAACGACAGTCCAATGCACCCGCGATGTATGTCAGAAGCACGAGGGAGGGGGAGGGAGGGAGGAAAGACGAGGAAGAAGAAAGAGGGAAAGGAAGAGCAGCAGCTGGAGAGGAAAGGGAAAAAGCGCGCAAAGGGGGCGAGGACACCGAAACGGCCAGACGCTGACAGGCCAACGGGCCCTGACCCTGTTGGAAATTAGTGGAAATTTAATTCCACTTAGCGTTGAAGCCCGCCCCCCCACTTCCAGTATATCCAGTGGGCTAGTGGGTCAGTGGCCCCCAATTAGGGCAGGTGGAGATATCTTCCAGCTGTGGATTGGTCAGAATCCAGCCGTGTCAGCACGGGCTGGGACTAGCGCCAGTTGATCGATGTCTCGTGCCACCAGCAGAAGCTTGTCAGGGATTACGGCGGTGGAACCCCAGGGTCAATCCCTGTCCCGGGCTTGGCCCGATTAGGCGAGGCTCTGGGGCGGGCGGCCAATCAGCAGAAACGGATACTCCACGCGAGGGGAGCGTTCATTTCCCCCCATTGGCTCTGAGGCTGTCTGCGGCCTGAGGGAACGGGCATCTGGTAGCTAGCGCATCGCCATTCTGCTGGTAATACCGCCGGTGGTGAGACATTAATTTGCAGCCTATAGTAATCTTGTATTCTGGTCTGTCCCCCCCAAACCGCCCCGTCAAATGATCTCACCGGGATGATGCTGTACGCTACTTACACTACTATGTATGTACACACACCCCTCCCGGCCTCGGGAGCACCCCATTTGATGATGCTGATGCTATCAGCAGGTGGTCCGTGTGCTAATAATAGGAGCTTTTGTGCCTCCGCGCCGATCAAGAAGGCGCATGGATGGCAGTGACGGGCAGCGACGGGCAGCGAACAGACAATGTGACCCTGGACTTACGTACCCCATTTCTGGGCAATGGTCATAACGAAGCGATCGTCCGAACCATGACAGTTCTATCTTTAACAAACTATCGATCCATCCGGAGTACAAAGTAGTTGAGTTGTTACTGTGGTGACAACAATGTGATCATCCCTCCCAGCCATCCATCCCACTTCCGCAACCCCGTTCGTTCGTTACCCGATGACGTACGTACTAATACCCTGCCTCCAAATAAACAAGAACACCACCACCACCACATCTCCCCACTATCCATCCCGTCTATCCCAGCCATCCATCACAGCATCTTGCTCCAGTCCGGCATCACGGTGAACTTGCCGCTGAGCTGGCCCATGGCCCACACCTTCTTCTCGTCGTCGGGGAACTCCTCATCCGTCGCACCCGGCGGGGTCGACACGATCAATGCCTCCTGGAGGAAGTCGACGGCCGTGGCCCGATCCAGCTCGAAGCTGATGCCACCCCAATCCATCGTCACCCGCCCGGATGCATGCACGTTCAGCTTGCCGGCGCGTCCGGCGCTGAGCCCCCAGTCGGATGCCGTGACCACCTTGGAGCTGCCCCTCGTGGCTGCGCCATCCTCCCCGCCATCCACCATCTCCGCCCCCTCCTCGCGCTTGACGCCCTGCTGTTGCTGTTGCTCCCCTCCGCTGCCATCAGCCTGGCCCGTAGTCGTCCCCGTAGCCGCTCCATCGGCATTATTCTCGAGGTTGCTGCCCGGCACCACCAGGTTCGGCGTCATGGGCGGGAATTGCATCAGGAACAGCTGACCCGCCAGCTTGTCCTTGGAGTGGTCCTCTTCGGCATCGGCGTCGTCCTTGTCCTCCTGCTTCTCCTTGCCCTTATCCTGGTCGTTTGCGACCACATCCGGGGCGTCTCCCTCCGCTGGGGTCGTCTCCGTCTCCTTGGGTTCCGGCTCGGGCTCCTTCTGGAACAGATCCTTCACGATCTCCAGATCCTGCTCGTGTCGCTCGTACTCCTCGATATCCTCCTTGGTGCGTAGCAGACTCTTCGGGTCCTTGACGGCGGGAGCATCATCCGTGTCGGGCTGGGGGGTCGACTCGGCCGTCTCGGGGGGACTCAGGCGTCTGCGCACCTTGACCTTCTGCACCGGCAGGAAGCCATCATCGGTGGTCGGCGCCTCGGGAACATCAACCATAACATGATCCTCATCATCATCCTTCGGCTCATCCTTGACCTTGACCCCCTCCTCCACCTCATCCTGCACCACAAACAACGCATCATCATCATCATCCCCATCATCCCCCTTACCCTTCGCCTTCGCCTTCGCCTTCGCCTGCTCCCTCAACTCCGCCGACTTGCTCGTACTCGACTCCATATTCACACTAACCGTGCGCTCCTCATGCTCATGCCTCTCCACGCGAATGGGCCTCAACCCCCTCTCCTCATCCGCATACTTCACCACACCCTTGCCCTTGCCATTCTTCTTCCTCTCCACGACCTCCCTCGCCTCCTCATCCTCGTCATCCTCCCCATCCCCCTCCAGATTAATCTGATCAATACTAACCCTCAACTCCGAATCACTCTCATCCGACGAAACATACCCCGCCCCGCCAGCCCCTCCCACCCCACTGCCAAGATCAATGACCGACCGACTCCGCGACATACTCGAATGTCTCGAATCACCCCCAAACCGGCCTCCCCGTCCCCTTCTAGCACCCGCCATCCCAGCCCCCAACGGCCCCGCCGACCCCATCATCCCGCCCCGTCCGCGGGCTCCGAACCCGGCCCCCCGGCCCCCAGGGCCCGAGGTGCCCCGGCCGCGCTGAATCGCAGCCGCTTCCGCTAAACGCTCGCGGTGCCGCTGTGCCTCGAGCTTCTCGATCGCATCACGCTCTTCTTTGCTTCGGCGGTTGACCGCCCGGGGCTTGTATTTGAGGGTTGGTTTCGCGGGTTCGCCGGTACCGGGGGGGCCGCTGGGTGCGGAGGCGGAGGCGGAGGCAGCGGCGGAGGGCCCGATGCTGCCCGAGGGCGTGCGTTTTTTGAGGGATTGCAGGCGTTGCACGGGTGCGCGTGTGGAGGTGGATGGGCCGGGGGTTGTGGTGTCGGGAGCAGGTGTTGAGGTTGCAGTTGCGCTCGTGGGCGCTGCGTTCGCGGTGGCATTCGAGCGGGTGCCAGCGCTGGTGGCTGCCCCTCGGCCACGGGATGCTTTGGGGGGCATTTTGCCTAGTATGTGTGGTTGTGTGGTGTTTGTGTGGGTTGGTGGGTTGGTCGCTTTTGCGCGTGGATGAGATTCGTCCGTCCGTCCGTTCGTTCGTTCGTTCGTTCGTCCGTTCGTCCGTCCGTTCGGTAGATAGGTAGGTAAGTAAGTAGGCGGGGGTTAATCAGTGGACGTTGCGTTGCATTAGTTGAGCATGCGCTGGCGGTACGTAGTACGTGATCTGCGGTAGGTATGCGTAGGTGATATAGTACAGACAGCGAGTTTTAGATGCGATGTAAGTGAGAGGTGAAGCCGAAGGTGGGAGAACGAATAGAGCAGAGGGGGATGGAACTTTTTGTCGGATCCGCGCGCGGCGTTGGAGAAATCGGAAAAAAAACGGAACAAGGAAGCGCGCGCCTAAGGCCGCTACTGCGGGGCTGCGGATGAGGCCCCGCTAGGATGGATCGGGAAGGCGGTGAGGGTGCGGTTGGTTGTTGACAGTCGGTGATTGACGGGGTAGGAGTAAATCGTAGTCAATAGGGTGGGTGGATTGATTGATTGTTCAGTGAATGGGAGATACATGGGCTATAGAGAATACTTTACTAGTTTGACCGTACCCCACAGCATACCGCATGTCCAGCCCTAAGGGTGCTACAGCTATACAGACCACGTCCCGAAGATCAATATATATTTCCTATGCGATCACAGTGTCGACCTCTTCAGCAGAAATCAGACGGATACAAGCAACGTGATTCAAAAACACAACCAACCAAGCAATCCAGATACATTCGCACGTCATGTGGGCTAATGAGCGAGTGGAGGCGCAGGGAACGCCAAAGACACAGCAGCAACAAGAACAAGCACAAAAACAACGGCAACAACAGCAGCAGCAGCGGCAGCAACACCAGCAACACAGGAAGCTCAATCAACCCGCTCAGATCAATCGCTAGACTATCCATGATAAACAACACACGTCACGGTCAGGTAGAATGCAGAGTGTAATGCGACCGGGGTGGCGACCCGAGGAGAGGGAAGGGAGCGGAGGGAGCGCGCGGCTCGGAGGTTCGAGAAGGAGGGACGGGATTCGATGAATTCGAGTCAAACGAAGGACAGATATGATGTAGTGGTGGTAGTGGAGAGGATCAGGTCAACGGTTCGCAGGTCGCAGGTCGCAGGTCGCAGGTCATGGGTGATAAGGTAAGGTAAAGGAGGGGAAGGATGTGATATGATGCACAGAAATAATTCAACTCGTCTATGTTAAAAAGAAGAAGAAGAAGAGAGAAAAAAGTAATATGTGGGTTGAAACGCAGCCATCCAGGCGCAGCTCATCGAATGTTTTGTACGAGGGCAGGCAGAAAAGCAGATAAAAGTATACGGGCCCGGGCCCTCGACGGAGGCGTGGCCATCCTAATTGCCGGATTAGGATCCATCTAGCGCTTGCGCTTCTTGTTCTTCTCTGCCGTGACCGCCGACGATACGGGCAGCGCCGCCACGATCGATTGCGTCTCGACCTCATCCGAGGACGCATCGAAGGACTTCTTGACGGGGACCCCCATGTGGCGCCCGTAGCGGCCCTTGCGACCGTTGCCTTCGTCCTCACTGATGCAGCCGTCCAGCCCGATGCCGGCATCCTTGCACCGTCCGCAAGGCCGCTGCCGGTCGCAGCCCTTCTTGCTCTTGCGGCACCGCTGGCAACGCGGCTTGGTCGACAGGTCCTCTTCGTCCGCGGCAAGCTGATGCTGGAAGTTGACCGACGAGGTCGACGTCTTGCGGACTGGGGGCGGGCTCATCATCTGCGGCGACACGGAGACCTTCGGAGCGACCGGAAGGGACGCCGTTTTCACCTTGCGCGACACTCCATTGGCCGTCGGCTTGCTGCTCTTGGGGCGCGCCGGTGCCGGCTTGGGTCCCCGCGCTTTGGCAGGGGCGGTGCTGGGGGCACGGTGGCTCTTCGCCTTCTTGGACTTGGGAGCGCACTGCTTGTACAGCGAGTCCTCGTCATTCTCATTCTTCACCAGCCCATCGTGCAGGTCCTCTTGATGGTACTCATCATCGTAGCCATCGTAGCTGCCATCCGAGCTGTCAAAGCTGGGAAGGATGTCGTCCAGCCGCTTGTGCATGTGTTTGGTCGCACCAGGGGGGAGCATGGGGCTGGAGTCCAGTCTCTGCTTGGTCCGTGCAGGCAGATCATCGTCCTCGTCGCTGTAGTCGTCTCCATCGCTGGTCGCACCCGTCGACGATGCCGCGTCGGCGGCCCCGCTGAAGGCATCGTCCAGAGTGGACGCCGACGTCCGACCGTGCGAGAAATTGGATGCGTCGCCCAGGCGGATCAGTTGCATCGCAACATCCTCATCGGAGATGCAGCTGGCAATGGTGGGATCGGGGGTGGGGAGGATCCCGGGCCCGCCACTCCGACCGGCCGGGTTGCTGTATTGCCCAGACGACTGGGTGGTAGTCCGATCGCGCAGCCGGTGGCCGTGCTCGGGCACCACGGGGGTGGCGTAGACGGGATTCCGCGCGGCACTGAGACTGTAGGCCTGCTCATTATATCCATAGCTCTGCGGAGAGGGCAATGGCTGCTGGGTGGTGTAGGGGCGCTGCGTGGGGCGCGCGAACGGCGAGATGGCACCTTCTTGACCGACAGACCGGCGCTGAGGCGAGATCGAGGAGGTAGATGTGGTGAGAGGCACCTGGGGAGGAACGAACAAAGGCAATTCCTAAAGAGAAGGGTGCGTTAGTTGGAGTGTCTTCGCAAGAAGTAAAAGAGCGAAGAACTACTAACCGAGCTTTCAAACTTGGGCCGTTTCCGACGACCATCCTGGAGGATGTTCTCCATGCTGATATCCGAACTGGCAAACAGCTCGGTTCGCGACTTCTTCGTCCCCGAGTAGCCGCCCTCGCTGTCACTGTAGCCGGAGCCACCATCCTCATGGAAGCTGCCATGGGTGCTGGACCCCCTGCTCTTGTTGCCGGGCCGGGATGTAAGCTTGTGTTGGGATGCGCTCCGACGGCTCCGCCCGGACGGCGAGATGCTGCGCTTGCGAGCGAGACGGGAGGCCGGACGGGATGGCAGTTGCCCATGTTCCAAGGCGTGCGCCGGCGCCATGGCCGGCGCCAACTGGAACGGTTCGCCCAGACTGGGACGCTTGCGATTCTCTGCGGGGAACTGCCCATAGAAAGAATCGCCGTAGGCATCGGTGTAGGCTTGCACGGGGATGACCCGCACATAGACAGTCATGTTATTCCTTAGGTTCTCATACCTGGCAATGAGGGTGGTGCCCTGCTCATCCTCGAAGCTGACGCCGCTGGCAACGCCATCGTAGATGCCGTAAAAATTCTTGACCGTGGTCACGATGGAGTCCGTGGTGTCATGAGGATAGATCTGGACTCGCATCGGTATGCGGGCCCGGACCTTGGAGTTCTCATCAAGTAGTAGCTCGAAGGCGACGTTCTTGGGAACCGAGGTCCTGGGGGACAGCTCCTGAAGCGCACGATGGTCGGTGTAGACAGGCGACTCCCCAGGAGCAACATGCTGTTCGTAGTGGGCAGCCTGCATGGTGGGAGGGTCCAGGAGGAAGGGCTACCACGCTGCTACTACATTGATGATTGCATCAATCGGCTGTTCGAACTCGGTGGGAAGAGCGGCCCGGGCGAGGAGAGAGGGTGGGGGGGGGGAAGGCAGAGACGGGAATAGGAGGGTATGGGCAAATTCCATCTAAACCTACCACAACAGAAAACCAGAAAGGCTTGGCTGATAGATGGATCACCCGCGATTGTTTTTATGGGAAAAGATCGATGACGAAGGGTGGTCGATGGGATGACTGCACCCAAGTCGCAAGAGCCGACAGCGACGGGAAGGGAAGAAAAGACGGTCGAAAAGCTGAATAGACACCAGCGAAACGGTCAGCATGATGTGAATTTAGGGCATTCAATGAGGATGGAGGAGGATGAAAGAAGGATATCTGGGGGAGGATGAACGATGTCGACGACTCCCTCGTCGAATCCTGATGGATTGAAGACTGGAGGAGAAGCGACCCGAAGCGATCGGAAGCGGATGGAGAGCATCGAAGACGCACCTATGGAATATCAAACCTGTTTGGCGAGTGTCGCACTCATACACCTTGTCCGACAAGATGATGAGGGAGGTGGAGCGATGGTGGTTGAGGTCGGTTTTAGGGGGGGGGAGGGGGGAGGGAGGTGGGCCGTGGGAGAGGTGAGTCGATTCTACCAAGCGCTTGGGTATGTCAGCGGTGGCATCACGCAGAGCCGAAGCGAGTCAGGAGAACAGCGACGGTGGGAGAGGGGGAAACAGGTGACAGGCGCACCAAAGTGATTCTGAGGATGAAGGGGAACCTACCTGATAGATATGCACCAAAAATGGGGGGAGGGATGGGGAGGATGGATGGGCGAAAACGATCGGGTTGGGTGTCGAAGAGGATGAGGAGGAGAGGAAGAGGAGGAGGAGGAGGAGGAGGAGGAGGAGGAGGAGGAGTGGGCGCTGGATGGATGGATGGATGGATGGATGGTCTGGTTTCACCCAAAGCGACCACAGCTGGCCTGCGTCGGTGGCAGTCCTTCTTCGCCCTCCCCAAATGCGCCCATTTCCTCCCCCACAATCTCCTCCCTACTTTTCCCAGATGCGAATTGAATCCTCCATGTATCTATTTCATTCATTCAGCACCTTGCGCGCTGTTCTATTCGATCGCAAAATGTCAAATCGCATTCCGGTTCCTACGGATCGGCCGCTACAGCCTCCCCAGACCGTCTGGTCCGCAGCGACAACCCGGGGGCAGGGCCATTTGTACCAACGGGGGAATGAGTCGCTCTACCTGGACATCTACTCCGATGGGATTATTTACTTGAAATCATGAGTGTTATGGGGTGGATGGCTGGAGCAAAGTTCGTCAGGTCGTGGAGTATCGGCCGGGAGTTGGCGCAAAAGCGACGGCGATCCATCCGCGACCACCACTTGCCAGCACTCAACTACTGGGAAGTGGGAGGTGGAAATGGTAAATTGGAACCAAATCAAACCAGACTGTAGAGACAAGCCAGAAAGAATGAACAGAAACCCATCTTGTTCCCTGTGCACCCAACGAGCGGAGTGGCGTAGGTCCAGAGGTTGGCTGGCACATCCTCAGCGCGGCCACGTCGAATGACACCCCCGATCCCCATCCCGGTCGACTGGGGGAGGACGAGAAGTGCCCGTCCCTCGTCCTCTCCTCCTCTTTGGGCTTCATCTTCATTCTCGGTTGCTTCATTGTCCCGTTCCTTGAATCTATTGCGTACAAAGCCTAAGGTGCCAACCCCGTCTCGTCGCTCTCTTCCGCTGCGACCAATTCCGGGTGCTGGTCGCGCAAGGTTCCTCTGATGCTCAATGCTGCCATCCCATCCCATCCATTACTCGCGGAGCGTAAGACATGCATGGCCAGATACCGCTGCGAAGGGCGATCGATGCTCCCGGACCTTGGGGGGGGGGAAATCTCCTACTACGGCGCAAGCCCCAGACCGACCTGACCTGACCGGATCAACCGCATCGGCAACAGTATCGTCCACTTTCTTTTGACAAAGCAGCCAAAGCAGCCAAAGGAGCCAAAGGAGCAAAAGAAACGGCCGCAGGATGGCCGGACGGGCGATTGGCCCAGTGCGCATGCCGGACGAGGACCAAGACGCCCAATTGTTGCCTCGTTTCATGATCTGCGCCTGTCCAGACTCGTCCTTTTACCCCTCCTCTCGGACTGCCAGCCTGGGGGCTACGTAAGGATCCCCGTCGTTCGTTCACCACTTTCGGGCAGGCACAAGACACGACTAGTGAGCCCGTAGGCCCTGCGGAATGGCCGACTTATCTAGCTGCTCCGTCCAGCACATTCCGTCCGGTCATTACCAGGTCTGCAGGTCCGGTACGACTTCGCAGCCTCCCCAGCTTGCCAGCCCACGAACCACGAGCTGCACTCGGAGGGTTCTTTTGCTCTGCGATCGCGCTGTTCGCTGGTCTGCTCTACGCCTGCCCGGACGGTTGCACCGTCAACCTGATGCCCTCCCATCCTGGTCGCAAGCGATCGAATGGGAGCCATTTACGCCGGACTTCAATATTTAAGTATTGACTGTTGACCTGTTGACGGCAGAGCGACGCTAAGAGCAACCAGCTGGCGCCGCGATGCCGTTAGCCGGGTGGGGGGGAAAGAGGTTAAGAACTGCATTTTGCAGGGACTGTTATATCCGCTGGAAGTCGTAAGGTGATCCGTGTAAGCCGTCCTGGCCCATTCTTCTTCTTCTTCTTCTTCTTCTTCCTTTTCTTCTGATTCTTCTGGGGCTGGGACGGGGAGGGGAAGCCGACCACAGTGCGGTGCGGAGGGGCACGAGAACCTCCAATGGGGAGGGTAAAAGGTTCGTGGTGTTGGGTGTAGGGTCCCGATTGATGGAGGCAAGCGGGGCGATTTCTGGGAGGCAGGCAATAATCATCCCGGCCGGTGGTTCAATAATGCTTCCCATTATTCTGCTGAATTACTATTGTTGTTCGCTGTCAGCCGCGCCAGACTCACACCGAAACTTTGCGTCTGGTCAATAGTCAGTTCTTCACCGTTGGGTCGCCGACAACACCTCAAAAGTCGGCCGCCCACCCCAACCCAGCATCCGTAGCAGATCCATTCTTCTTTGGCCTTTTTTTGTTTTTCTGACGAGGGAGGAGGACAAGGAGCAGCAGCGACAGCAGGGATGCGCACCAGGCACCATGGCGAGGGTCATCTGGGAACCCGCCCTCGCGAGTCCCGCGCTGGGTGATGATAGGTACCGCCGGATCCGCGTCCCACAATTGGGGGGAGCCTGTGGCTTCCAGGCGACGTTGGCATTTGCGCGGGTGTAAACGGGACCCAGAGAACAGGCCGAAGCCAGTGCCAGCCAGCACCAAACTCCCACCCCCAGGCCCAGGCAGAGTGGTGACATCCAGGGAAACTGTAAGCCCACAGGAAACATGGAATCCGCAAGTCATTGACGGTGTTCTGCTTCTCGTCCCCGTACCCATCCCCATCCCCATCCCCGGCCCAGCATCCGGGTCGGATCTCGACCAGCATCGCCCGGCCGCCCCTCCCGGTCGAGACGCTTGGCATGCGCACGACGAAAGCCGTTCGCCGTCCTTTGCGACGCCCCATGTTAGTCTAGAAACCGCGCCGATAAGTAGCTCTGCGGGATGGGTCCATCGTCGCTTGCCAGACTCCGAAGTGTCGCAAGTCGAATCGCCGAGCCCAATGGAGCCAAATAATGGCGGCGCGCGCCGCCCGAGCCAGTCACGTGAGTCCGCGTTCCGGCGGCGTCGGCCTCGTGTTGCCCGGCGCGTCCAGGTCTGCGGATGTGTTCAGCCGCTATTGTTCCGCCCAGATGGCTTTCAGATCCAGTAACACTTGGAGAGGTGAATCGCACAGGGAATGCGCATGGAACCAGCTGCATAACATGATGTTTTATGTCAAATGTCCGCCGGGGATGGCAGGGGAAGGATTCCCAGAGCAGGCGGGAAGACGCGCTGGATGATGTCATCCATTCCCAGGCCAGACAAACAGTGCAAACAGGGCGGCGGGCGGCTGAGGTAAGCATGCCATAGCAACGCCGGAAGGGGCCTAGCGCGGGTGTTGTTGACGGTAACCAAAGTAAGGAAGCGGCCGGTTTGGGCAATCATGCCAATCGCTGTTTGTGTTTGGCCTCCCCTTCCTCAGCCCCTTCGATTTGCAGTGCTATTGTCGCGCTCGGTCTTGCTCCTCCTCCTCCTCCACCTCCTCCTCTTCTTCTGACCACTCTGCTCGACTGCGTGGCCCGTCAATTGCCCTCCCGTCCGGTGTTAGTCTCGCTCGTGCTCTCGGCGCGGTTTTTGTTGTGGTGTTTGTGTTTGGGGCCGCTTTTTAGTATCACTTTAGCTGCTGCGACCCCCATCCCTCCTGCGCAGGGCGCAGCAGAAGAAGTAAACAACACCAACAACTCCACCCCAGCATCTCCCACTCGGTCCAGGAGGCCCCAAACTACGCTGACTCCTGCCCAAGATGGATGCTAAGGTATGTGATCTGTTATTATGACCTCCCTTGCCCTCTTCACCTCCCGAATCGGCCTGCAAACACCCGCTCTATGGGCCCATGATTGGACGCGCAACGAGGAGCGGACATTGGAGACCTGGCCCCAGACGTCGCAACTCGGTTGGAAATACGAAACTAACACGGGAAACCGATACAGCCCCAGAGAATTCGCGTCCGTGGCGACGAGAACGCCCCCTTCCCTCTCCCGGCCGGCAAAACCCTTCACCAGCAAAACAAGTCCACCCCCGCACTGTCCGCCATGTTCCAGCACGGCGCTAAGCAGAATGCTTCCAAGCGCGCTGCCTTCGGCGATGTTAGCAACACTGCGAAACCGGTCCACGGCACTCGTGATGACAGCTCCCTGGCCGGCAAGAAGCAGACCAAGGGGGCCGAGAAGGCGGCATTGGTGGTCGAGAGAAAGTCCAGCGTGCTGTCGCAGCCAGCTCAGCGTCCCACGTCAATGGCCGGCATGAAGGGCCTCTTGAACAATGCGAAACCCCTCGAGCCGTCCAAGCAGATCGCCCTGCAGCAACAGACCACCAATGCGAGAAAGACCCTGAACAAGCGGGCCCCAGTGTTCAAGGACGCAGCGGAACCATCGACCGAAAAAAGCGAACACCCATCCAAGGAAAACAGATCCGTCCCGAACGACGAGAACAAGCCGGCTGCGACCGCGACTGCGAAGAAGGATAGCGCCAAGGAGGAAGTGGCACCGGCAGAATCGAAGAGCGATTTGGAAGAATCAGAAGAAAGCTCGGCAGTGAACTCGGAAGTGGAAGACGGAGAGAAGGTGGTGCCGAAAGTCGACGATGACCACTGCAAGGTGCAGGACTCGAAGGAAAACGCGGCTGCAGAACCGAAGCGCGCCTTGAAGCCTCATCGTGACTCTGCACCGGCACAGTCGGAGCCGGAAGAGTACTGGGACGAGGAGGAAGAAAACGAAGAGGATGACGGTTATACCACTGCTCGTTCCTACCGTTCTCGTGGCGAAAACACCACCGGTGGTGCGACCACGGTGCTATTCCCAAAATTCAACCAGCAGGTCAGACGGGAGCTCGAGTTTGCGAAGCAGGTGGTGGAGGAGACCCGCACGGACGAGGACATTGAGGATGAATTCTGGGACACAAGCATGGTTGCTGAGTACAGCGAAGAGATCTTCGAGTACATGAGGGAACAGGAGGTATGTAGTTGCACTGACCGGCGCGATTTTTGTTTGGATGTTCTGCTCACTGTCTGTAGATCAAGATGCTGCCCAATGCCCATTATATGGATAACCAGGCGGAGATCCAGTGGTCCATGCGATCGGTCCTCATGGACTGGGTTGTGCAGGTACACCATCGGTTCTCCCTGCTCCCCGAGACCCTCTTCCTGTGCGTGAACTACATCGACCGTTTTCTGTCCTGCAAGATCGTCTCCCTTGGCAAGCTCCAGCTGGTGGGCGCAACTGCCATCTTCATTGCCGCCAAGTATGAGGAGATCAACTGCCCCTCGGTGCAGGAGATTGTCTACATGGTTGATGGGGGGTACACGATTGATGAGATTCTCAAGGCCGAACGCTTCATGCTGAGCATGCTGCAGTTTGAGCTGGGATGGCCTGGACCGATGAGCTTCCTGCGGAGGATTAGCAAAGCCGACGATTACGACCTCGAGACCCGCACACTTGCCAAATACTTCCTGGAGATTACTATCATGGATGAGCGGTTTGTCGGAAGCCCTGCTAGCTTTGTCGCAGCTGGCGCTCATTGCCTTGCTAGACTGATGTTGAGGAAGGGAACCTGGGTACGTTTATACTCTTGTTGGCTGCGTTGATGTCATCTAACATGCTGCAGTCTCCCGCGCACGTCCACTACGCAGGGTATACTTACACTCAGCTCCTTCCTCTGGTGTCTCTCATGGTGGAATGCTGTGAAATCCCGCGCAAGCACCACGTGTCCATCTATGAGAAGTACTCGGACAAGCGATACAAGCGCGCCTCTCTGTTCGTGGAGAACGAGATGCGACGAGGGTTTGCTCTGCCCGAGCCCGAGCGCAACGCATCGCTTGACTCAGCACACCATGCGAAGCGGGTATAGTCAAGTGGCCCTCGTCGCTAATGCCCGTCTTCCAACTCTTTACCCTTTTTCCCTTTCTCTCTCTTTCTCTCAAATACTACTACTAACAATATCGAAGTCGGTGGTTCTTTGGTAAATCCCAATCAGGAACACGTCTCACCGCTGTGCTACCACGTGTGGCGTCTGCCCTGCTCAAATGCTACGCAAGCCGTGGCTGTTCGCAACAACTGATAATATCAGATACCCTTATTATGGGCGTGGGAGGAAAGACTATTAATGTTCCATCATGACGCTTACCAGGACCCTGTTCCTTACATACACTCACTCTCTCATTTTCCATTTTATGATACCGTGGCATGCAGCGCTCATGGCTACGCATGTTCGATGCAGACCACGTGAACAAAACTGATGCTGTGACTAGAAATCGGATATCAGGTGTCGGAGTTTTATGATGTTTTTTTCTTCTTTCTTTCTTTTCTTTTTCATGACGATGGAAATCATGCAATGAATCCGGGGTCGGGAGTTGGTGGGTCGACGGCTGTCTCTTTCCTCTTGTCTTGTCTTCTTCTATCGGCTTCGCTTCTCTCCTATGTCGTTATGTCCCCCTTTCCTCCCTTTCGTCTTTCTCCCCCGTCGGCTGTGATATCACGATCCTCACGTTTCTGTCTGACATGTTATGTTGTTGCCTCTCGACTCACGGGACCTAACGAACGACGGACAATGAGCTCGCCGGAGCATCGCCCTAATCAATCCTCTCTGATTTGATTTGATTTGATTTCCTTTGTCCGCTGTCGCTTTGGAAATGAATGACCGCTCTTCCTCTTCCTCTTCTTCTCCTCTGTTTGTTACCCTTTCCCTTTTTCTTTTCTTTCTACTTTTTTCCCCCTCGGTAGTGGATTATTGTCCAGGTTTATGGCGCAGAATTAATGACATTGGATCTATGTGGGTTGTTGGTGTAGATGTAGATGTAGATGCGTAAGCGTAATCGTATCATACCATGTCATGTCTATCCATTTTGGAACCATATTCGTTTGTAACTTTTAACGTCGTGATCCATTCTCGTTCGTCTATCTATTTCTCTATACACAAACACAACTAACCCAACTCCCATCTATACCATCTGCCCTATACCCTATACCCTATACCCCGGCCATCTGACATCTGACATCTGACATCTGACATCTATCCAAAGCCATCTAACCCAACATAGTAACCCTCCCCCCTTCCCCCCAAAACCAACAAGCCAGCCAGCATCCCCCCAAAAGCCCCCTTATAGCCAAAACAGTATATAGTATATACTATGAGAGCCATAAAAATGAGATAGAAATAAGATTAGAAGATTACTGATCCATCCCATTCAACTCCACCAAGCGCTTCACAACCTCGACCACCCTCTCCGCAATCGCCACTCTGTCTGTATTCCCATTCCCATTACCAGTTCCATTGCCATCTAGTGAAGACGAAGACGAGGATGAGGAGACAGACACAGCAGCGGACGCAGGCTGATCGATCCGCATCGCGATGATATCGTCGAGCATCATGCGCAGCCGGGAGACTAGGACGCCGATGCGCGCCCAGCCGCGGAGACGCAGCCAGCCGTCCACGATTAGGCCTCGGCCGGTCGTGTCGAGGGTGATGGAGCCACAGAAGAGGAGGAGAGAGTAGGCGTTGAATGCTGGTAGGGTTGGTTAGTTTGGATGCGGGAGGGGGGGGGGGCAAGATGGATGGATGGATGGATGGGGGAGGAGGGAGATGGGAGTGATGCTATGTTGAATGGATGGGAGTTGATGAGTATAGGGAAGGAAGAGAAAAGGGGACTTACGAGTCAAATCGCGAATAAACACCTTACTCGTCGCCATTTTGGTGAAATAGCTCAGGTAGGCGGCACCGCTGGGATATCCATGCGCAGAGAAGAGAGCCGAGCTAGGATGGATGAAGACGCGGCCGTTATCCTGGTTGAAGTACTTGATCGTCCGTGCATCGGGATCGATCTCGACGGTACCAGTGACGGAGCTAGCGAATTTCTTATCGGGGAAGGAGATCTGAGCGATTTGGGGCTGGAAGGCGCCTGCGATGAGGGCGCGGAGGAGGCCGCGGTTGGAGGCGTTGCGGTTCCAGGTGCTGGGGGAAGACTCGGAGTAGTCGACGGGTAGCAGGCCGGCGTCTTTGAGGGAGGTGAGGAATTGGGATTTGTTGGAGGAGATGTCGCGGAGGGTTTGGTGGGAGAGGAAGTTGTCGGCGCACCAGGACTGGGTTTGCCAGTAGCCGTGGGCTTTGACGAGGTCGGACCATTGCTGGTAGGCGAGCAGGTCGGTGAGGAGGTCGCCGTCGCCGCCCTTGGAGAAGGCGGCTTTGGCGGCGTTGGCTTCGTCGCGGCGTTCGCGGGGCGAGACGAAGGGGCTTTTGACGGTGAGGATGGAGGAGATGGTGATGCAGGCGTCGATGCAGCCGAAGATGGAGCCGTAGACCATCAGCTTTGCGCAGCGGAGGTCGGCGGGGATCATGGACAGGTAGCGGCCGAGGGCTGTGAGGCGGTCGTGGTCGAGGGCGCCGACGCGGTGCAGGAAGTCGAGGGCTCCCTCGACGGCGGTGCTTTCGGGGGGAGTGATGGTGTTGGCGAGGAAGGTGGAGACGTCGTTGATGCCCTGCATTGACTTCACGGAGAGACACAGCTGTTCCAGGGGCACGCGCCGGATCTCCGGGTCGGGACGCTGCATCATGTTCATCTCGGCCTTGCGCGTGTACAGCTTGTAGCAGGTGCCCGCTCGCACTCGACCGGCTCGTCCTCGTCGTTGCTTGCAGGCGGCCTGCGACGCCCATACCTCCTGCAGTCGGACGATGTTGTCGCGTGGGTCGTAGCTTGTCTCCTTCACACGACCGGTGTCGATGACGGCCACGACGTCCTCGATCGTGATGGAGGTTTCAGCAACGTTGGTGGCGGCGATGACTTTGCGTTTGCCCCTGGGAGGGCTTAGGAAGACGCGCCGTTGGTCTGCGGGGAGGAGAGATGCGTGAAGGGGTAGTGGGTGGGCATTGGGAATTCTCCTGATTGCATTCAGGCATCGATCGATCTCCATGGTTCCCGGCAGGAAGATCAAGATGCCTCCAGGCTGGTCGCCCAGCTGAGCGTCGATGTACTGGACTGTGGATGCGATCAAGTCGTAGTTGATGCCCATTCCTACACTCCGGAGCGCCCGGCCGAGGGATTCTCCAGCCTGTGCAGAATCCTCCTCGAAGTCCTGTTCGGAAAGCTCTGGTGCAAACCCAGTGTCGCGGACAACGTCGTCCAGGTAGTAGTCGTGCACGGGGAACGTCCGTCCGGGGATGTTGACCAGCCCAACGGACTCACGGCCGCCGAAGTAGTTGCTGAAGATGGCCGCATCGAGCGTGGCACTCATCAAGATGACCTTGATATCCTTGCGGTACCGACACACGTCTCTCAGCAGCGCCAGGAGGAAGTCGGTGTCAAGACTCCTCTCGTGCACTTCGTCCACCACGACGTGGGTGACATCCGCCAGAGAGCTCGCCACATTACCGTCAGGACCACTGCCCGATTGCATCCGCCGGAGCAGAACACCGGTTGTAACAAAGGTGATCTTGGTCGTGCCCGGCTTGGCCTTCGACTCGCCTCGAATGATGTATCCCACCTCGTCCCCCACTGACGCGCATCGTTCGTCGCTGACTCGGTCCGCCAGACCCAACGCGGAAATTCTGCGCGGCTGGGTACAGATGATGTTCGCGACAGCGCCGAGGTCTTTCTTGATTAGGTCGTCAAGCAGGAATTGAACGGACTGGGTACTCTTTCCACTACCGGTTTCTCCCGAGATGATTGTGACTTGATGCGTGTTGACGGCATGGATGATGGCCTCCTGCGTGTTCCAGGCAGGCAGAGACTGCCGTTTCCGGGTCATCTCCTGCTGCGCCTTGGTGGACTGCTTCGCCTCCCAGGATTCTCTCAGGGAGACACTCTGGGGTGAGCCGGGCTGCCAGTTAACATCCCTGCCTCTCTTGCGTGACTGACGAACAGGCAGTTGAGAGACTGTTCCAGTAGCTGTCGGGGACGCGGAGACCGTCGAAATATCACGCAGCTTCCCTGGGTTCTCCATGACTCCCGGCAAGTTCATCTCCAGCCAGTCCAGTATATTGAATATCATGGGCTCTCCTGAGAAGTTCTCCTCGGAGTACTGCACCACCTGACGTATCGCGCTGAGCCGCATATAGGCAGGAATACCTTTCGCCTGGATCGAGATCACGGGTGGCGCGGATGGATAATGCGTAGAAGGGCGTTGGAAACGGAACGTCAAAGCCTCCGGCAAGCTCGAACCTTCGCCCTTGATCTCACAGACCTTGGGAGATACCCGGGAGTATCTCTCTCCAAAGATGGCCTCCAGTGTGTCTTGCTCCTCTGCCCATAGATCCTCTTCCTCCGAGGGTGCAGAGTCCCCGAGAGCAGCGGACCCATGAACCAGCGTGTTCTGTAGGAACTCTGCCGCGGCCAGCTCATCGCCCTTCTTGCTATCCAGGGTCCGTGTGCAGATATCAGCCGGGTAGCCGGTAGAAGCGAGCCGCTTGATCTTGGCCTCGCGCGCAAGATCGTCACTAGCAAGGCTCACACCCGCCGAATACCCCTCTGGCAGACACCACCTGGGGAGGTCATCCTCCGGAACATATATAAGAAGCCACTCCAGGACCTCCTCCCGGTCCTTGCAGGCGCTGGTCGCCTCCTCGACGTGACTGCGCCGGAAGCCCAGGCGCGTGAGTTCCTCCACAATAGCCTTGCGATCCCGCTCGGGAATCTCCACATTATACGGATTCCAAATCGCATGCTGTCGCAAGATCCCCTCGATCTCGCGACGGACCTTGCTGCCCAGATCGACCTTCGGCGCCTGCGACCAGATCTTCTTCCCTCTGTTATCGCCGCCCGAACCCAAGCCCAGATTCACCGCACTGTCTGCCTCCTTCGCCTTCGCCTTCTCGCGCTCCTTTCGCTTCTTCTCCAAATCCGCGGCTGCGCTCTCGCGCTCCTGCTTCGCGAGGAAAGGGTCAGCCTCGTACATCCACACTTTCCCGTCCTTGACATCTGCAGCCTTGATCTCCGTAAAGTCCTCCTTCCAGAGCTTCTTATAGGTAGGCGGGAGCATCATATGCAAGTTCTTCATATTGCAGACTCGGAACAGGGCGTACGCGGCGGCAAAATGGCGCGCCTCTAACGCGGTCGGTTGCGCACCCAAGTGCTTATGAGACGGAGGCAATTTCATCGGCGGAAGGACGACGGTTTCTTTCGTTTTGATGTCGACGCGCTTCAAAATAACAGCGGATACAAAGCCCTCCGAGACTTTCGTCTGCAACGAACGCAACGCAACAGCCCCGTCAGCATGACCAACTCGCGCACGGCAACACAAATTCAAAGAGAAGAGAAAGAAAAAGAAAAAGAAAAAGAAAACCACAACGTCCCACCTACCATTGTATACTCCGGCTTCTCCCACTTTTGCTTCTGACAATGCTCCGAGAGCATATTAACGGGCAACTTGCCCGTCCATGATGCGCCCCCGATGACCTCCTTCACGGACGGCTTCTTGGGTTCCTCCGTGGTGCTGGCCGCCTGGGCGGCCTTCTTGGTTTCGGCCGACTTCTCGGCGGCGGCTTTGGCTTGCTTCGTCCCGGGTTTGGGGCCTCCACGGGCGTCGGACTTTTTCTTGGGGCCCATGGTTTTCAGGCCGGCGGTGATGCTGGAGCGGACGCCCGTGGAGTGATCGAGGCCGGGCGGGTGGAGGGGAGGTACCGGGCCGTGGACTCGAACATATGTAGAGAAAGAGAATGGGATTGGGATAATTGATGTCGAGAAGGCGAGGGAGTTCAGGCGGTTGGTTGGTTGGTTGGCTGGCCCGCACTAGACCGCTTTGATAAGCTGGGTAGGGCTGCGGGGGAAAGCCGCGGATCGGCGGGTTACAAAGTACTTCAACTACAATTAATTATCTCACATCATCGCAATGGCAGATTCCGCGTCTGAGGAAGCGCAACGACCCCAGTCTCAGTCTCAGTCTCAGTCCCAGTCCCAGTCCCAGTCCCAGTCCCAGCCTCCACAGAAGCCCGCAAAGAGAGACGCCTGTACGCTACCACGCATACACGCATACTCCTTTCCTCCAACCCCTTCCCTACATACAACAAACCCAAAACCACTAGCTAACTCACCCCCATCACAGTCACAGAACTCCTATCCCCCAAACCCAAACACCCAAAACCGACCCCGAAACCGACCCCCACCCCCACCCCCACCGCCTCATCCCACCGACGGCGCATCGGCGGTCCCCGCGACGCCCTAGGCGCATACATCACGCAACCCACCTCCCACCCAAACACAGTAATCTACCAAACGCCCCTCTTCGTGGCCATCCACGACGCCTTCCCCAAATCGACCGTGCACCTCCTGCTCCTCCCGCGCGACAGTCAAAAAACGCGCCTCCACCCGTTCTCCGCCTTCGAGGACCTCGACTTCCTCGCGGGCGTGAAAACCGAAGCCGCGAAACTGAAAAGGCTAGCGGCGGGGGAACTGCGACGCATACACGGGAAGTACTCCCTGCAGGAGCGCGCAAGACAGCAGGCGCTGGATATCGATCCCGCGCCAGAGGAATTGCCAGCGGGCAGGGACTGGGAGAGGGAGATCATGTGTGGGGTGCATGCGCATCCGTCGATGAACCATTTGCATGTACATGTGATTTCGGTGGATCGATTCAGTGAGCGGTTGAAGCATAGGAAGCATTATAATAGCTTTTCGACGCCGTTTTTTGTCGACTTGGAGGATTTGCCGCTCGCCAAGGATGATGTAAGGAGGGATCCGGATGGGGAGGGGTATCTGCGGAGGGATTTGGTGTGTTGGCGCTGTGGGAGGGGGTTTGGGAATCGCTTTGCCGAGTTGAAGGTACATTTACAGGAGGAGTTTGGGGAGTGGAGACGGCTGTGAGGGCCAGGGTGGTCTGGTCTGTCTGAATGATGACTGGGGCTCAGGGAGCACCCGCGTCTGTCTGATGGAGCTATCTGGGCGTCCGAAAGAGCGGTTGCTCCAATTACTAATATCAATGTGACGTAAATGTACACGCAAATCCAAAGGCAGCAACAACTCTAGGCTGATCACATTTTCAGCAATCTCTTCCATTGGTTAGCTAACCTCGCTCGGGGTCGCGGAGAGAACCACCCAAGGTTCCCTCCGCCATGAGCAGCTCTTCCCTATTAATCGCCCCCGACTTCATCCATCGATCCGCCATCGCGGAGCCGTCTAGGCAGCACGGCTCTTAGCCTTGGCGCCGGCGCCCTTGACCTTCCGGGCCTCGGGGCGGTTGATGTGGTGGGAGGGGATCCACTCGGCGTTGTAGGTGGTGGCCGACGAGACGGCCGGGCTGGTGGGAGCCTCAACGGGGGCCTCCTTCTTGGAGGTAGTGGACTTCTTGGGCTCGGGCTTGGTGGAGCGGCGCTTCTGGGGGAAGTAGGGCGCGATCCAGACGGTGTAGAAGAAGTAGGTGACTCCAGAGAAGCAAGCCAGGAGGAAGAAGTACAGGAAGATGCTGTGAGGGGTTGGAATGGGTTAGCATTGGACTAGGGGGCGCCGCGCACGCTAGGTGTACTCACATCTGAGGGTCGAAGATGCTGGTCTCGGGCTCGACGACGCTGACAGTTCCGTTGTGGGCGTAGAGAGTGAACAGGTTGCCGTCGGCATCGGAGATGACTGAGGCGAGGGCGAGTCTCAGATCCTGGGGGTGCATCTCCACGGCGAAGCTGTAGCTGACGCTCTCCTGCTGGCCAGCAGGGATCTCAATGCTGTAGCGGTGGGAAGTCAAGTTGCGGATGATCTGGCTGTCCTCCTCCAGAGAGGACAGGGTGCCTCCGATGAAGTTCACCGTGACGGGAGCGGGCTCCTCGTTGGCGAAGGTGATCAGCGCCTGGGTCGGGTGGCCATTGACGAGCTTAACGCCAAAGATCTCCGAGGCAGGGAAGGAGGCGTGGGCAGACACGGAAAGCAACGGGGACTCGGGAGCCTCCTCCTTCTCAGCAGCATCCTATCGAGCGAGCACTTCGCGTTAGCAACCCAATTGGACGCGGGATGGTGATGATGGGTGAACGTACAGCCGCGAGACTGCCGCCAATCAAGGCCTGGACAGAGAGGAGAGCCAGAGAAAAGAAACCGAAGCGACCCATTGTGATGTATCCGGGGGACAGGAACGAAGTACCGAAGAAGAGGGAAGAGAGGGAGGGAGAAGGAAAGGGGGGAAAGGGGAGGGGAGGGGAAGGGAAGGGAAGGGAAGGAAGAGGCGAAGGAAGAGGCGAAAGCAGTAGATGGAAGTGGAAGGGGAAGGGGACGGGTGGTCTTTTCTCCACGTAGGCGTTTGTTCCCCAGGCACTGGCGCTGACTCAGCCGCAGCCGCAGCCGCAGCCGCAGCTTTCCCCGGCGGGCTGTGAGTGGCCGTGACTGGCCGCCGATGGCAGTGGCAGGCCGGAGTACTTAGATACATCAGCTTCATCGCGTGAATGCTTGCTCTCAGTAAATTCACTCCCCCCCCCCCCCATAGTCTTAATTCACGCTCATCTCCCCCTGTACTATATTACCTTTTGGATTCCAGACGTTTCAGCTGGATCTCATCTCCTTCCCCTCCTCTTCCTCCAACCACCCTTCTGCCTTCATTGTTTATACCTTTTTTTTTTGGCACCCCATATCATTGCCTTTTTGAGCTTGAATATTTACATTTGGTCCAGAATGACACCTCCAGATTATCTCCAGCGATATAAACAGCTGGTCTCCATAGAACAGGACAAAAACTTATTCATTGAGGTAGCCACTCAGGATCATGCTTGCCAAGTGCCTCATTGTTGACGTTACACCTCCTGCAACTAGGAACTCCTGCAGCGTGTGACAGAGCTTGAGTCTGCATTCAAACAGGAGAAACTGGACCATGAGCGCGAGACACAGTTCAATCGAAATATCCAGCTGCACGAGATGGAATTAATGGAACAGATCACGAGATTTAAGGCTATCATGGTGGGACCTGACCGTTCCCTCGGCGCAGCACCCTGCTAATATAATAATGACGCTCTGGTCGGCGTGCACAGGACCGCGAGCTCTTCATGGTTGTACTGCTAGACGGAGCCGGGATCATCTTCAAGGATGAGTTCGTCCTCCAGGGCGAAGAAGGTGGGAAGACTGCGGCCGGAATGCTTTCCGCCGCTGTGAAACGGTATGTGGCCAGCCATTTTCCAGGCCTGGAAGTCAAGATCATCACCAAGATGTACGTCGACTTGAAGGGGCTGAGTGAGCTCTATGTTCGAGGCGGGATCACCACCGACCCGTCGTTGATCGGAGAATTTGCCCGAGGCGTCAACAGTAGTCATCCACTCTTCGATCTCGTGGACACCGGGGCTGGCATGGACTGTGCGCATGATAAGATCGGAGGTATGTACGCATGCATGCAGTCGCCGACAAGGGAGTAGGTGCACCCGCTAACCTGCCACCGACCTGTCACAGAGGCCTTCAAGCTCAATTTGTTTAACTGCCACTGCCATCAGATCTTCCTAGGCTGCTCAGACGATAGCGCATACTATCGAATGTTGAAAGAAGCCCAGGGCGAGGTGGACCTAATAGGACGGGTGTCCCTGATCGAGGGAATCCCCTTTGAAAAAGACCTGGACGCCCATAAAGCATCGTATAGAGTTGCACAATTCCCCCAGATCTTTCGAAATACGAAGATCACCCCGATCTGGGCTCCATGGAAAGCCGCGGTGACCTCCAAACCCCCGCGACTTCCACTCACCCCATCCCCCAGCCAGCAGAACCACGCAGCAGCAGTGCCTCTCTCTCTCTCCCGATCCTCCACCAACAACACCTCCATCACCAACGCCAGCACATCCATATCCTCCACATCCTTCAGACCCCCCAGCCCAGGCGAATTCCAACTAGTCCGCGCCAAACACACCACCCCCAGTTCCATCTCCGTGCTCCCCCGAGTCGTGGAACGGAACCGGTACGGGCAGCGGGTCGACCGACTGAACTTCAAGAACGTCCCGCGGGACGAGATGCAGAGCATGAAGAAACTCAAGCTCTGCAACCTGCATTACCTGCTCGGCGAATGCACCGTGGACGATTGCCAACATGACCACTCGCGCAAGCTGACCAAGAGCGAGCTCCTTACCTTAATGGCCATCGCCCGCCTGACCCCTTGCCGCTTCGGGCTGGAATGCGACGACCCCGACTGTACATATGGACATCGCTGCCCCCATGCTGATCCGGGCCAGAGGGATTGTCACTGGGGGTCGAGTTGTCGCTTTGAGCCTTTCGCCCATGGTATCGATACAACTATCGTCAAAACAACAAAAGTGTAACCTTTCTTTCTCTCTCTTTTTTTTTTCTTTCATTGACCGCACATGCGCTCGGTCCTCGGTGTGTATCCCTCCATCAAGAATATGTATTTTCTTCATTCCCCCTTTTTGTTTTTTTTCTTTTCTTTTCTACTGAAGACCCGCAGGCATGTGTGTATTTTCTGGTCATCAATGAATGGCATGGCATTTTGTGGACTCCCAAAACAAAGTTACAGGAACTGAAACCAGGGGATAGATCTGGGTATCCAAGTCCAGATTTTAAAAACACAGAACTCTAGGTAGGTGGGTGGGTAGTAGGCCAATTTTAAGCCGGGCTTCGGGCCCGCAAACCAACGGGGCTATCCAAAACCTCGAGGGGTATAGTATATAACCAAGGTAATCAATCTCTGATCGTGGTCAGGAACATGGAGAAACGCCTCTCCCAGCCAAAACAGTGTTCGTCGCTACAGTCGCTTCCACCGGCATCGCTATCTGCATCGGGACGGTGTCTACAGATGACACCGTATTCCTGGAGACAACAATTGAATGGTCTGGAGGAGACGAGGCCCCGGTCCTGAATGCTCTTGTTGCCGTCATGTAGGGCTTCCCTCTTGCGCTCCTCTAGATCGCCCCATAGATGGAAGAGCTTTTGTCGTAGGATCTCCAATTGTTGGGAGTTTTTTCTTAGACTAGAATATGGAATGTTAGAAACTTGCTCTGTGATTTTTCTCTTCTCTTTTCCCCTTTTTCTCTTTTTGTCTTTGTGATATGAGGGAGGACGGCTTACTTGACTGCGGTGATTTTCAGTAGATATTCGGCGTCGGGGCCAGCTACAAATAGCCTCATTTTCTCCTTGATCTGTCCGGCGGGGGGAGGGGGCACGCTTTCGACGAGAAGACAGAAACGCCACTCCCATCTGATGAAATTGTTAGAGGAATTTAGAATCATTTCATCATCCGAGTCTAGGTTTGCTTGTTGTGGAACCGCGAAGTCCTCCAGTCTTGGGGGGAAGAAGTCGACCACGCGCACGGTTGTTCGATAGCAGAAGTTCTGGAACGGGAGACGGTATTCGACGTTGTCGTATGAGGTGTTGTCGTGGAATTTGTTCGACAGGATAGCCTCGAGGGATTGGATAGGGACGGATGGGCTGCCTGCTTCGACTTTGATGGGGTGTTACTCCACGGCTTACTATTGACATCCTGGAAAGACCGTCAGGCTTACCGTGTTCGTTTGGTGCATTCCGCTTGTTGGTTACGTGTGGTATAGGCATCTGGCCTTCTTCCATTTTTTCAAGCTTCTTCCGTTGCTTCTTGCCTGGTTTTTTGGAGGTGTCCTGCGGTTCGTTTTCCTGTTTTCGCTTTCGAGGGTTCGCTTTCCAGTACTCCGACTTGCGCTGTAGGAATTGCTCGACGCCCTCGTCATTTCTCCCCTCCACTCTGCGTACATGGAGTTTGCTGGGAAAATGACGGTCTGTGTGAATGGCTGCTTCTAGTATCCCATCAACGCGACTTTGTTTGACGTGGACATTGCTCAGTGTGATGATACTGTCCGTCCGGAGATTCTGGCGCGCATACGCCGCATGGGGCTCCCACAGCGTTACCTGGAGTGTCCTTCGACCGGCCGGACCGGGCCAGCTTTTATGGGACCGTTTCTGGTAGCCATACACGTCGCCCTCACTCCCGGGGTTACTGCCGTCTCCATTGTCGAGTTGATGGTCCTCCAGAGCTGCGTTGGTGGTGTAATCTGTAAAGAATAGGAGGACTTTTTCACCGTCATTGGTGTACATTTTGACGACTTCGCCGACGAGGTCCACGAACATCCGCTCCTCAATGTCCTGTACAAGCATTAATCTTCTGTGCGCGCGAGGTTTGGAATTCGGGATTGCAGCTTGAACAAAGGAGCCCCCCGGGGGAGGGGCATGTTCTGCAGCTTTCCGAAAGTCGTTAACTGCGGTGCTGTCGTTCAGCAGATTCATCGCGAGGACTCTCTCCGAAGCAGTCGGCTCGAAGGGAGTCGGGCCACACAGCGGCGCATGACTGGATGTAGGATCTGGGTCTGGGCGAAAGATTGCCCAGAGGACATTCTTATCCTGCGAGGCGACCCCAATCAACCCATGACGTGAAGTGACCTGCAATCAAACGGGTCAGTGTGCCCCCGACTTGAGGGAGTGGTGGGATCGCGGTTTGACAGACCCATATATCGCGCACCAGGATTACGTCGTGCAGGCGAACGGGAGGCAATGCATTCTCATTATCTTTGAAGTACTTGATTTTCAGGCCGTCCCAGGTATGCCCATTGTTTAGGTCGCAGTCTTTGATTGTGAAGGTAATGCAGCTGGAAGAGCCCCTAGACTTGTAGATCCCCCCGAAGACATCGACCACTACCCCGACGACACTTACAGTGCCCTGCTTGGAGCGGGCGGTGGAAATATCCACGTACCGCGAATTGCTGCCTGACATGGCCACGGGGGTTTACGTTTTATTTCCCAGAAGACATAGTCTGCAGGGCTCGAGCGATGGATCGATCGCGTACGGAGTAGGTACTCCGTACACAGGAGATAGGTGGAGTAAACAACTGGCGCGCTCCCGTTCCTGATATAGTAGTTGGTCTAGTGCCGGTGGAGGTGGATTTGAAGGGCGAATGAACCGACTGGATGATCAGACCCGTCCGGCACCCCCTAGTCAATGACAATTATCATCCTAGCCACCATCATTGATTGAGTGCGATGCGAACCGCGAACCGCGAACCTCATGGGGATGGGGATGAGAAGAAGAAGAAGAAGAAGAAGAAGAAGAAGAAGAGAGTGACAGCGCCAACCTCGCTTAGGCGGGAGTGGCGGCCCAGACGGGCGGGCGGTAGGAAGTGGCCGAAAACAGCGCAAGCCCGTCGTCCCGTGACCTCGCCGGCCGAAGCATCAACACTTTTTTCCCCTCCTTCGCCTTCCTTTGCGCTCCTCCATCTCCTCCCTCCATCTCCCCCTACCCAGAATCCACGCAGGTTGCTTTCCTCGTGCTCTTCATCCGTTTTTTAGCCTCCCACTTAACCTTTCTCTCAACTCCCTCCGCGCGATCTTCTTCGCCTCCTTCCCCTCCTCCCACTCCTCCCACCCGCCCTGGTCCCCTCATTCTTTATCCACCCCTCCTCTCTTACCCGCTTGTGGTGCGCTTTGTTTTCACCCCTCTGTGTCCCAAGCAACCACAATCATGTCGGAACGCTACATCCCCGAGCATCGCCGCACCCAGTTCAAGGCCCGGAACCAGTTCAAGCCTGATGAACTCCGTCGTCGTCGTGAAGAGCAGCAGGTCGAGATCAGAAAGCAGAAGCGTGAGGAGAATTTGGCCAAGAGGAGAGGTATCCAGACCCGCGATGGCGGCATTGGCGTTGGCGGCGGCGTAGCGGGCGAGAGCGACGATGAGGCCACCGCTATCGAGAGCGAGGTACGTTATTTCTGATTTCTGTTTCTCGTCTATCTTTCTCCCACTCCTTGTCGCCATCCCCGACCGGGCGCTCCGCCGCCCATGGCTGTTTTCGACCATGATTTGCTCGTCTCCATGCGTATCAGCGAGCTTTTCACCGCCTTGTCGCCGGATTTGCCTTCCGCCAGCTATATGTCTGCGCGCAATCACCATCGTCCCACTCCTTCGCGCTCACCGAATCTGTCCCTTCTTTGTATCATTATTATTAGTCCGATGCACTATGGCTAACAGACTATTTTCTAGCTTAATGTGGAGCTTCCCGAGATGGTCAAGGGTGTCTTCTCCGACCAGATCGACCAGCAGATCCAGGCCACCACCAAGTTCAGAAAACTCCTCTCCAAGGAGCGCAACCCCCCTATCGAGCGTGTCATCGAGACCGGCGTTGTCAGCCGCTTCGTGGAATTCCTCCGATCCCCTCACACCCTCGTCCAGTTCGAAGCCGCTTGGGCTTTGACCAACATTGCCTCCGGATCCGCCCAACAGACCCAGGTTGTGATCGAGGCCGGTGCCGTGCCCATCTTCGTCGAGCTCCTGAGCAGCCCCGAACCCGATGTTCGTGAGCAGGCTGTCTGGGCTCTGGGTAACATTGCTGGTGACAGCCCTCAATGCCGTGACTTCGTCCTCAACGCCGGTGCCCTCCGCCCTCTGCTGAACCTCATCAACGATGGCCGGAAGCTGAGCATGCTGCGCAACGCTACCTGGACCCTGAGCAACTTCTGCCGTGGCAAGACCCCCCAGCCCGACTGGAACACCGTATGTCTCTCGAACAACTCTAAATCATTGTACCGATCGCTGACCAAATAATGTAGATTGCTCCCGCTCTTCCCGTTCTTGCCAAGCTGATCTACATGCTTGATGACGAGGTCCTGATCGATGCCTGCTGGGCGATCTCCTACCTGTCCGATGGCGCCAACGACAAGATCCAGGCTGTCATCGAGGCCGGCATCCCTCGCCGTCTGGTCGAGCTCCTCATGCACGCTTCCACCTCCGTCCAGACCCCCGCTCTTCGGTCGGTTGGCAACATCGTGACCGGTGACGACGTCCAGACCCAGGTTATCATCAACTGCGGCTCCCTGCCCGCTCTCCTCGCTCTGCTGAGCTCCACCAAGGACGGTATCCGCAAGGAGGCCTGCTGGACGATCTCCAACGTCACCGCCGGCAACTCCAGCCAGATCCAGGCTGTTGTCGATGCTGGCATCATCCCTCCGCTGATCAACCTTCTTGCCAACGGTGACTTCAAGACGCGCAAGGAGGCCTGCTGGGCCATCTCCAACGCCACCTCCGGTGGTCTGCAGAAGCCCGACCAGATCCGCTACCTCGTGTCTCAGGGCTGCATCAAGCCCCTGTGCGACCTCCTCGCCTGCCCTGACAACAAGATCATCCAGGTCGCTCTGGACGGTCTGGAGAACATCCTCAAGGTCGGTGACATGGACAAGGAAGCTGCTCAGTCCGGTGAGGCTCGTGTCAACCGCTATGCTCTGTTCATCGAGGAGGCCGGTGGCATGGAGAAGATCCACGACTGCCAGAACAACGCCAACGAGGAGATTTACATGAAGGCGTACAACATCATCGAGAAGTACTTCTCCGATGAGGACGAGGCCGGCGACATTGACGAGGTTGCTCCCCAGCAAACACAGACCGGATTCGCTCTGGGCACCACGCAACAGCAGCCCGGTGGATTCAACTTCGCCAACGGCGGTGATTCCATGGATATGTAAAAAGAAAAAAATTGACGCGGATCTTATTTGCAATGAACTATGACCCACATGAGATCTGGACTATCTATTTCGATTCTACCTCTCGCTAGATCTACACGTGGCGGGCAATCGGCCGCCATGTGGACCCTCAACCTCCGGGTTCGTGGAGGCGCTGGGACTGGAGTCCACCCGGATTCCATGCCCGACAACGACGGTGTCTAGTGTGGCTCCTTATCTTCCTTGGAGTAACTTTGCAAACTCTCTCAACCCCTTCTTGCCCTCTGAGGTCCCCCCCCTGTGCCTTTCTGTCCTCATTTCTTCCCCCCTTTACCCCCGTCCCACGGACACTTTTGTTGTTTTGACCCATCACGATAAACAAGATTCACCATCATGTAACCCCTCCCCTTTTATATTATGCTTTCTGCACCGATTCTCCCCCGTAGCATCATCCCTCATACACAGGCGTATCTGCTTTCTTTTTCTTTTTCGGTCTCATTCATGTTCATGTCCCCTGGATGGTTTTCCCCGGTTGTGGTTTGTTTTGTTGGCTTGGGAGCTGTGCTGTCTGTTTGTCTCCGGACTGGACTGGATCTGAATTCAGGCGGGCTTGTCCTGACAACAAATGGTTCTAGTATATGCGATAGCCTAGTCCACAGTCCTATCGGTTCGTGTTGGTCCGGTTCGGTGACGGTAGACAGTTTAGTATCCTAGCCTGAAAATAACAATTTCCTTTTCCATCAATGGCTTCTCTCGTACTGGTCTGTAGTAAGTCTATACTAGTACAGTGCATATCATCTATGAACCCCACCTCTCCAACCCAACCCAACTCAACCCAATCAATCCGAACCCATGATAAATCACGCACACCTAAGTAGGTCTAGTACGGAGTAGTGTAGCAATGGTAAACTACAACCACGCCACAAACAACAAAGACATCCCCCCCCCCCCCCCCCTCCTCCCCTCGCACCAAATGGCAAATGTCACGGTTACAGTTACTCGACCAGAGCCAGAGAACCAATCATCACTATTAATACATCGATAGATAGATAGATAGACAGACAGAAACCCAACACAATAAATGGTGTAAGTACCGTACCTTACCTAGCCCCAAAAAAAAAGCACACAGAATACCTGCCACGAGCAAGATAGGTTAGATACCTAAGTAGGTACTATTTACAGCAGGCGAAATGTAAAAATGCAAATACAACAAGTATAATGCCAGATAATGCCAGCTGGAGATGTACCAGATATGTACCTAGGAGGAAAACACATCTATATCTGATACCTAGGTAGTAGGGTATGGTACCTAGACCTGGCGAGTGCAGATACGAACTCCAGAGCTCGGTTCAATCCAGGAGAGAGGGGACGAATGAATAATTTAAGGTAAATAGATAGATGGGAATTCGAAGTCTCGATCAAGTATCAATCAATCAATAATTCAACCATTAGATGAGAAGAAGAGAAGAAGAGAAGAAAAGAAGAAAAGAAGAAAGAGAAAAAAAAAAAAAGAAAAAGCAAATAATCCTGTTCATGAAGATTCAAAGAAGGCATGGAGTGGTGATATCAAGCTGCAGAGCCAGAGAAGGAAAAGAAGAGAACCCCATAGTGAAAAAGAAGAGCGAGTGGCAGAGAAGAAATTGAAAAAGTAAAAAAAGAAAAGATAGAAAGAAAGAAAGAAAGTCATGACCGAATCAAGCAGGATGACAAGAAGTAATGGAGTAGTAGAAATAGTAAGAGTAAAGCAAGTAGTAAAAAGTCACCGTGAAATTTGCCATTCCCTAACTTTCTCCGGAAAATCAAACACGATGAAAAGGAAAAACGCAGACAGATTGTATAAAAAATGGAACTAATCACCCATAACTTCATCCTCGTCTGGATCGGGAGCAGCGTCCTCTTCCTCATCATTGTCATGGTCATGGTCGATGTTCTCCTCCTCGAGGAGACCCTTGGCTCGTAGATCCTCCTCTTCGTCCTCCTCGACGTGGGAGTCCTCGTCATGCTCATGCTCATGCTCGTCCTCATCGTCTTCCTCGTCTATTCTCTCCGCGGACTTGTGGTTCCCCGTTCGCTTGCTGGGGCCGGCGCCGTTCTGATCTTTGGATGCGTTCCGCGCAGCGGGTTGTTTACTTTTCGACGGGGTGGCTCGAGGTGCTGCGGCCTTGGGCTTGCGGTCGTCCAGGTAGGAGAGAACCTCGCGGTAGTTCCGGCCCAGTCCAGCCTTGTGTCTGAGGAGTCTCTTCTTCAGTTGACCGCGGTCCGACCCTGAAGCATCGATGATGCGCCCTACGATTGCGAGAACGATCTTGCCGGTCAGCTCGCATAGCTTTTGTTCTGCTACGATGCTGGAGCGTAACCGCTCGTCGTCTATGGGCTCGTCGGCTTCGGACTCGTTGTCCTCGTCCTGGGGCGCTCTGGCGATTTCGTCATCGGATAAAGGCGCGTCGTCATCTGCAGGCTCCAAGGGCAGACGTATTTTCCGGGCATAAGTGCGTTCTGCTACGCCATGGATCTTGGAAATGAGGTTCTTGGGCTCGGGTCCGATCTCATGGACAAGACTTTGGGTCTGGAGGATCACGTCGTCGTCGTTGCTCGCGGTCATTCCAGCATGGCGAAGAGTGCCGAACAAGGTCTGCAGATCCAAGAGGGTCGTGGCTGCGGAGAAGCGTATGTCGTCCAGGCCCGAGCGCTGTTTCATGATAGCAACGAGGGTGGCGATGAACATCTCACGGCCTTTGGTTAGAGCCTCAAAGTAGGCAGTGTTGAATGACGCTTTCCCGGCATTCAGGCCCGTGGTTAGCGTCTGCACCTTCCACATGAAGTAGAACAGCAGAGTCCGTATACTGCTAGTCACCAGCTCGGTTTCTGCCCGGGCCAGATCTTCATCATCCTCTTCTACGCGCAAGCCACGCTGCGCCAGATGCATCAGAGTGTTGAAAGGCGCCTCCGAATGATCTGCGCTCTTTCCCTTCGCCCCCGAGGGCATGCTTTCCAGGATATGAGAGCAGTCTGTTACACTGGCCAGGTTTGAAATCCTGATCACTGTGTTGATGAGTTCGTTAAGCGTTGCTGGGGATATCGAGCTACCGTCTGCCACTTCCTCGTTCTGGGATAAGGTGGCGAGAGTATCGACCACGTTTTCCCACAGCTCTTGGACTTTGCCCTCGAGTGCCTCGCGCATGTCGTCGGAGCTCTTCGCATGAAGGAAAGCAACACTAGCCTCGGCTAAGACATCCTGGTCGGAGTGCGTTAGGAACTGCTTATTGATGTCGTTCAGCAAAGAAGTGTACGCAGCCGCATCCTTCTGGATATCCTCGATCTTCTCGAGATCGACCAGATGCTCGAGCCGTAGAACAGCGAACGCAGCCTCCGGTGTGGAACCGTACTTGTTCAGTAGTTGCGGAATAATCTGTGCCAGGCTATGTGCAATCTCCTCCTGTAATTCCGGAATCTTGTCGGTCAACGTTTTCACTTTCCGGCCTCTCTTGTCGATGTCCGACTTGGCGATTTCAAGAACACGCAGCTTGACGGCGCAGCACAGCACCTCCAACAGGATTACTTCCTGACCTTCTTCCATCTTGTACGATTTCCTGACCATCCCGGCAGTGTCATCCTCACTAGGCTCCTCTGGAATCTGGGAGTGGTCATAGAGAAGGTACCCAGCCAAGGACTGCCAGTGAGACAGGTCATCAAAGTGTGGGTAGATGGCCTCAGTAGCGAGCACAAAGCGCGTATCCATGGGAGCACCCGAAAGCGCATCCCGTGAAGCCATGGTCTCCTCGGCCGTATCGTTCTCCAGGTCGTCATATGCCTGGAGTATATCAGCCAAGCACTTGAACTTGATCCAAGAGCGCTTCGGCGACTCAAAGTCGTCCTCGTCTTCATCACCGAACAGCTCATTGACCTCCTCTCCTAGTTCTTCAACCGTGGAGTCGAACACATCCTGCACGTTTGCGACGAAGAAACGACCAGCCGTTTTACGGACTCGAGGTTCGGAGTCGAATACGAGTTTGCCAACAGTATCGACATCGGCAGGCTCGATCAGTCCGGTATCGCGAATGAAATCGAGCAGATCGATGACAGAGGCGCGTACTGTGACATCGGCATCATGGGCTGCCATCTCAACCAGCCGTTGGCGGAAGCGCTCCGTAAATGACCTTAGGCCAGCCATGTTGTCTTTGTTTTCGTAGAGAATGCGCAGCTGGTTCACCACAACCGCGCGTGCTTGGGGCGCGGAATCGGCCAGGATCCAGCCAAAGTACCGCAGATACTGACCCTCAAAAAAGTGCTCCCGGTAACTGCGCATCCAGCGTCCCAAGGCCGACATGCACTCTGCGCGAATGTTGGGGTCGACATCTCGGTAGCGATGGACGAAAACAACGTTTATGCCATCTTTGAGATAATCATCGATCATCTCTAGTTTGTTTTGGCCCTCGTCGATAGCCGTCTGGATCGCATCGGCTCTGCCCTTGTTGACCGACTTCTTCTTCTTCTCGGTCTCGAGCTGTTTGCGAGAGGTGGAGACCATGGTGTTGACGTCCCGCGCAATGTCACACAAAGCATTCATCGTGGCCAGGGAAATTATGGTGGATGTATGTCTGAAAGGCCGACACCGGGAGGTGGATAGACTGGAGATCCAGATCTGAATGTTTTCGAAGAGATTGGGGTCGTTGTATAGCACGGAGGAATGATGCAGGGTTTGTATCAACGTGCCGAAGAAGTTCTCCAGAACGGGCTGGAAAGCCCTCAGCTTCCTCGACTTCGAGATGAGAGGGTATTCGGAGATACCCAACTCATGGTACTGATTCTGGAGATCCTCGACGCGGCGTGGTGCGTTGTCGACATCTCCAATATCCGCGTTGTTGACTTGCAAGTCGGTTCCAGAGCATTTCAGCATGAAGTTCACCATATCGCACATAGCTTCTGATTGGGATTCCTGGTAATGTGTAAGCCACTCCGCGGCGACCGTCTCGACGTTCCGACCTTTGCCGAAGACCTCCGCTAGAAAACAACGTCAGCCACGGCATCATCAACGGCACGAAAATTCGTGGCGGGGAGCCACCTACCGTAAAGACCGCTTTCGCGAGCGGCCATGGTGAGTCGCGCCTTCATCTGCCTGGGACGGGAGACCGGCTTCTTCCCATTGGCAGCGGGCCGCAAGGCCAACCGGCTCGCCAGCCCGTTGCCAGCGACCTTGGGCTTCTTCGCACTACGAGACTTGGGCTTCGGTTTGGGCGCGGAGGACTGTTTCTTCGAGGCGGCCTTGCGCGCGGCACGCCTCTTCTCCCGCAGTTCTTCTTCATCGGGGTCTTCGTCACTGGCGTTGGCGCTCTCGGACTCCGACGCGTCCTCGCTTATCTGATCGTCTTCCTCATTATCATCGGCGGTGGCAGTGCGCTTGCGTTTGGCTCCGCCGGCGGCCTCGCCGTTGGCGGCGGTATAGCTCTGCGAAAACAGCTGGGGTTTGCGCGTCACGCGGCCGGACTTCCTCCTGTCTGCGGATGGGGACGCATCGCTCTGGCTCGGGTCCGGCTGGGGCGACGAGAGGGGCGACTCGGCTTCCATATTGGATGGTCGGAGATCTTCAGAACACTGCGGTGAATAGCGTCGTTAGTCGGGATTCGCGGAAGCGATCCAGATGCATCCGATCCAGCAGGGTCTTGGGGAAGGGAAAGGGGGGGGGGGGGAGTCAAGCGTACTTGGACGCGGGGTTGTTGTTGCCAAAGTCAGGCGGATTGGACGGGGACCCGTCAACGCGATTGATTCTTGGGGTTCCCGGTTTGCGCGCGCGTACGGGCACAGCGGGGAAGGGGGAATCTGCAGGGAAATGGAGCAGAGGAAGGGGAGGCAATTGGCGAGCGGCGTCAGTGTCGCGAGGGGGACAGGATGAGGGGAGGGGGGGGGACTGGAGGAGGACTGGAGGACTGAACAGGCCGAGACGAACTGAACTGTTTCCTCGACGCGCTTTGGTGCCTGGCGATGGCCGACGGGTGTTGCGGCCTGAGGCCACGGCGGCGGGTGTCCGCGATCACGGGACCAACAGTACGCCGATACCACAATACGGTGTAACTTACTAGCGCGTACAGCGGGGTCTTGGCGGTGAGGCATCTGACCGGTGGCAGCCCTAGCCCTGGCGCAATGGCCAAAGCGGGCGCTGCGGAGATGTGATATGATGCCGTAATGGAAACCCTCTTCGTCGACAGCCAAGAGCTGCCAGGCTCTCCAGGACTCCAAAACCCCGCTTCCCGGCTGACAATGAGCTGATCGACCGGCTGGAAGAAGGCATTGCGACCGGAGAAGTAACACAATCCGCCCGCTGTTTGGCTGCGACCCCCGGACTTTGGAACTGGAAGATCGTCACGCGAAAAGAAATCTGGAGAACCCCGACAGAACCAGCGTGACGCCATTCCAGTCCACCGACGAGAGACGAGACAAAAAGCAAACGATACGATGCTGTTAAAAGCCCGCTCATCCGCCATTGTTGTCTCCTCCTCGCTCCAGCCATAACCCTCCACCTCCAAACACTCAAGTCCCAACCCGCAACCTCACCTCACTCACTCCCTCACAATGCCAATAAAATCCCCCTTCGAGTCCTCGATCGCAAAGCCCGGCCACGGCAAAGTCGTCCTGACGCTCCTCCCACCCTGCAACCCGACCCTCACAACACTAACGTACAAATACCCACTGAAGCTCCTCACGCGGACGCCGGGCTTCGTCCCACAACCCTCCTCCAGCCTATCCTCCACCTGTCCCTCACAACCCGTTCACCTCTACCTCCTCACCTACGGCGGCGGCCTGCTGCCGGGCGACCACATCTCCGTCTCGATCACCCTCGACCCGCGCACCCGCATGGTGGTGACCACCCCGCAAGGCAGCACGAAGATCTTCAAGACCGAGCCGACGGCCAGCCATCCCTCCACCAGCACCAACACCCTCACGCCCAAGCTCACCTCGGGCTCAATCCCAACCCTGTCAGACAAAAGCCGCCAAACAGTGGACGTGCATATCGGCGCGGACGCCGCGCTCTGCTACCTGCCTGACCCGGCGGTGCCGTACAAAGATAGTCGATATGAGCAAGTGCAGACGTTTACGATCGACGGGACCGGCAGAAGTAGCAGCAGCAGTGGCGGCAGTCTCTGCATCCTCGACTGGGTAACGCAGGGTCGAACCTCGCGCGGCGAGAACTGGGATTTCCATCTCTGGCGCGGCAAGAATGAAGTCTGGACGACCGTTCCAGCAGATCAAGATCCCACAAGCACAAGAGCAAGCGAGAAGCCAGTCACGAAAAAGAAACTCCTCCTCCGCGACTCCCTGATTCTGGACTCGGAGATAGATCCCTGCAGCAATAGCAACAGCAGCAGCGGAGCCGGCAGTACCGAAAACCTCATCCGCAGCCGCACCCACCCGCACGGGATAATCGGGACATTAATCCTCCACGGGCCGGTCTTCGAACGCCTCGCATCATTCATATTGGACAAGTTCACCTCGTTACCGCGCATCGGGGGACGGAATTGGTCATCTACGTCCGCATCCGAGGCAGCGACGGATGTCTCCCCGACCTACGACTCCCTGGTAACATTCACGGCGGCGCGGGTGCGAGGCGGATTCGTGCTGGTGAAGTTCGGGGCGCAGGATTTCGCAACGGCGAAGGATTGGTTGGGGGGTGTGTTGAGGGAGGAGGGGACCGTGGGGAGGGAGTTTGGGGAGGAGGCCTTGTTTTGTTTGTGATTGGCCTTCAGCCAGTCATTTGTTCATTCATTCGTTCATTCATTCATATATTGATTGATATTGTGGATGTTGTGGATATTATGGATATAAACTGCATGGATACACATAGACATGCATTGTGCATGGGAGGGAGGAAGAGACGGAGGGAGATATCTGCTACTTCGTGTAGGAATGATACTCTCTCTACCCTTCCCTGTTAGGTTGGCTAGGTTGGTTAGGATAGGATAGGTTTATACCGGATGATACCCCGATGACATTGACATTGACATTGACATTGATATTGATATTGATATTGATATTGATATTCATATTGATATTGATATATCGATCGATGATTATCAGCAGACTGCATACACACAGATGCTGAAATCATACAAAAGTTCAATACAACGTTCACTTCACGTTCATGATCACTGCAATCAATCAATGTAAAACGTGCGCTTGATAAGCATCATAATGAGGATGAGACTGAGGATGAGACTAAGCTAGTAATCTGCCACAAAACAAGGCTAATAATCGACGCTCACAAGACAAAGGATAGGATGGGATATCAATCAACAGAAGAAAAAAAAAAAACAGCTACTCCAAAAACCACAAAACCAAACCAGCATGTGGGTATCTACCTAACAAAACAGAAACAGAAACAGAAACACAACCAAACCAAACCAAACGCCCTCATCTAGGTACATCGGCGATCTAGCTACGCAAGTCACAAATCGTGTCTAGACAATAAGACAGAAACCAAAAAAAAAAAAAAATAATATCAAAGGCAGAGAGACAGACAGACAGACAGACTAGCTCCACCAGTCCGAGATCTTGGGCCGCCAGTCCTGCCGCGTCGCGCTCTTCAGATCATCCACGTTTAGCAGATCAACCCCCTCGCGGACCAGGATACTCCAGAGATGGTTGCGCAGGCTCCGAGGCCAGGCGGGCACGCCCCAGTAGCGGACTTTGAGGCCGCGGCGATGGGCGGCGCGGATCTGGGCGCGGATCTTCTTGACTTGCAGCTCCGTCAGACGGAAGCCCCAGGGTCGGCCAATCGTTTTCTTGAAGGAGACAGAGGCGAAGTAGCTGTTGGTCCAATCAAAGGTGTCCGCGCGGATGTCTGCATCAGATAAGCCGGACAAGCCCTGACCGACATTTTCCGGGGAGCGGTAGGCGACGGTGTTCTGGACGGGGGTGAGACGGTCACTGCGTAGCGGGTCGTCGCTGTCTGCGAGTTTATCGAGCGGAGCGTCGAAGAAGATGTCGCGGTAGGTGGTGTTGGCGATGACCCGGTTGAAGGGGGTGTTTCCTGTTCCGACGATGGTGATGGGCCCGGGGATGAGGTCGGTGCCGTTGAAGTAGGTGAGATAGCCGTTTTCCCGCAGGGGCGAGAGCTGCGCGGACACGTGGTCCCAGGCTTCTTGGCCGTCGGTCTTGAAGTCGATCAGCAGGACGAGGCTTTGCGACGGGTCGGTGTCGAAGACCCCCTGGCGTGGCTGGTCGAGACGCGGGTGGAAGTCGGTGATGGGGTTCTGCTGGTCGAGGATGCGCAGCAGGGGGTTGATGTACAAGTCGCGCAGGGTGCGCTGGGGGGTCAGCGCCGCGACGGTGTGGCCGACATAGAGGTCGTTGTTCATCAGCCACACGTCAGCTTCCACGCTCACGCAGCCGGCCTGGAGGGCGGAAAACAAGGGCACGGGGCGCCAGTAGTCATTGTGGGAGTGGCATGCAACGGGGACGATGTCTCTGGAGTTGTCTGTCGGCCAATGCAGGATGTCGGTGGCGGCGCCGGTCTCGCCATGGCGCCAGCGCTCGGTTGCGCGGTCGAGTTCGTCGGAGAAGAAGGAAAGCACAATCCCGCAGGCGATGGCGATGAACTGGATGATGCCTCTGTCCGGAGGGAGTGAGTGAGTGAGTGAGTGAGTGAGTGAGTGAGTGAGTGAGTGAGTGAGAATGCGAGACTGGAGGGATGGACGCCAGGATTGGAAGGACAGGACTTACAGCATGATGAGGAGCCCCAAGACCGGGTATAGCAGGCAACGCGACAGGGATTTGAGTCGGTGGAACTGTCGCGACGAGGACTGCCAGCCTAGCCTGGTGGGGACGGGCGTTGGCGTTGGCGTTGGCGTGGGATTCAGCAGTAGCCGAGCGCGAGTGGGCCGGTGATGGCGAGGCGCAACAAAGGCAGTGATGAAGGCCATCCCCCGCATCCACCGCGACGGGCGGTCCTTTCGCGATTGCTGGTCCTCTAGGTCGTGGTGGTCGTCGTCCTCATCATCATACTCGGAGTTGCTGGAGAGAAGGGGGGTGTCTTTGTCCGGGGGTAGTGGTGGATGCAGGAAGGATGATGGTCGGGAGAAGAAGATGGTGGGGGGGAAGCCCACGAACAATGCGGGGGAATCGAGGGGGGGAAAGGCGCCATGGCGGACGGACTTTCACGCAGCAGTCCAGGCGGGGAGCAGGCGAGGGAGTCACCGCATTATATACCACTTATACCACCGTCTCTTAAGATCATCCATGCTGGTGCAGCACCGCATGGCCTTCTTCGGGAAAGCGCCAGTTAGTCCAAGCAGTCGTCCTGTTCACCCTCCCTTGGTGTCCTTCCCCATTGCTCGGATTCTTTTTTTTTTATTTTAAGAAAGCAAATGGAGACTCGCCGACGAGCCAGAAGCCCATGTGCGGCAGCCCCGTCGGTTATTGGGTGACCCTTCATGCCTTCATCCTGGACCAAGGCCCCCAGTGTTGCATCGGTTCAAAGTTTTGTCTTACCATCATCCCAGTGTGGGGGGATTCTTCCTCGTACAACGTCACTTTCATTCATTCATTCACTCACTCACTCACTCACTGTGAGGGATGCCCGCATTGCTGCTGCCTAAGGACATCATCCATCAACATCGCTATGACATAGTAGCATGTACTGCTTGTTGTACAGTCTAGACAGAGCAGAACCAACGGCGACGTTGGAGGAGCGGAGTAAATTGCCGCAGGACCAAAAAATAAGTACAGCGAGTCGGTGCCGATTACCCAGACCCTTCGGGGAATTGATTAGCAGAACACCCTCACGGCAGCTAACGGCGGCGGGCGACTAGGGTACATGCGCCATCCATTGGCTGAGGACGGAGGACTAGAGAGAGAGACCATTCGGTTACCCTGACCCGGTGCACATTCATCATTCATCATCAGGTGGAGGTTGCTGGAGGTGTTTTAGGACCAAGTTCAATTTCATTGTATTCTATCTTTCTTCATTACTAGTATTGAGCAACCCAGTCTTTTCTGGTTGGTTGGTTATTCCCCTCATCATAGATATCTGTCTGGAATGCTATGTTTTAGGGCTGAGGTATATTTAGATCGTCCCTGCCGCAACAACAAAAAAGAGATCAGTAAATCGATCACTGACAGAGAGTGCTCAATAGATCATGTACAGTAGACAGCTAGGTACTTAAATACTAAGGCAGCACAGAACCCACTCATTATCTATCATTCTATATGATAAATAAAAAATGGACATTCAGTCTTCAGTCTGGCAAAGGGCAATCATGCACCCTAGAGACATTTTCTGATGTATCAAAATCATGATTCAGCTACAAAGACAAAGTCTAGAAAACCCCATCCATATGAATGATATAATTCTTCCACTGGGTATTCCCGCCTACTATCTATCCTCTTCCTCATCTCGTATATACCACACCAAAAGCACGCACGCACGCACGCACGCAACAAAACAACACAAAACCAAAGCCAAAGCCAAATCAAGCCTCCACCCTCCCCCTCTTCTCGGCCATCAACCTCCTATACTCCTCGACAATATTCTTCCGCTCGGCCGCCAACTCCTCTCTCCGTCTCAAACTGCCCCCAGCAGCAGGCACATTCGCGACATCAACCCTCGCCCCGCCTCTCACCTTGAATATCTCCCTGGGACGAGTCAACTGCGGCGGCGCCTGCACCACATCCAACGGATTGACCGCCCTCTTCGCCAACCGATCCCTCTTCTTCAACTTGGCCCACGGATCCGCATCCGCGTCCTTCTTCTTCACATTGCCTCCCTTGCGCACCATCCCGCCGCCCGCGCCGCCCTTCTTCTTCGCGCGCCCCTGTCCCGCCTCCGCCTTCCACGTCTCCCACAGCGCGAGCTGCTCATCCATCTCCTCTGCCCGTTCTTCGCGCTCCAGGGCCTCCCGCTCAAGGATCTCTTTGTCGTCTTTGCGCCATTGCGCCTGTAGCCGTTTGAGATGCTTCTCGTGTTTGGTCACCCGGGATTCACGGATTTTGGGGAGGGAGGGGTCCTCCGGCTTATGGGTGCGTTTCATGTGCGAGAGGGGCATTTCGCGGTCGACTCGCGCGGCGAAGTCGGACAGTTTTTCGCCGGGAAGGATTTGGGGGGCGGCGATGGGGGGGTCGGAGGGGGTTGAGGTGGAGGTGGAGGTGGTGGTGGTGGTGGGTTCTGTGGCAGGGGTCTTCTTTTTGCGGCTGTTGGTGGTGGTGGTAGTGGTGGTGTCATCTTGAGTGGCGTTGCGCTTGCGCTTTTTGTTGTTGTTGTTGTTGGAGGATTCGGAGGTGTTGGTAGGGGTGGGTTTGGGGTTTTGGAATTGCATCAGCCGGCGGAAGGCCCGCGGGGTGTCGTCGGCCCATTGGTTTGTCGTTCCGGAGGTTGGCTTGGGCTTCGTGGTGGTAGAGGCTTCTTTCGCGTCCGGCTTGGGTTTCGCAGCGGGGTTTTTCTTGTTGTTGTTGTTGTTGTTGGGACCTTTCCCTTTGCCGGCTTTGGCGGCTCGGGGGTCGTGGACGGGGAGAGGTTTGGCGATCACCGACGGAGGGAGGTTGTAGGCGCTGGGGTGAGCGGTTAGTTGGGGTTGAGGAGATGGGTTGATGAGAGGATGAGAGGATGTACCTGGCGTCATTTTGACGGCGCTTGTGCTTGTGAGGCATTGTGTGTGGAGAGTCTGGTTGGGACTGGAGAGGGTTGGTGATGGGCCGAACTGAAGTCGAACTTTTTTTTTTTGCGGCCGGCAAAGCGGCGTATCTTATCGCCGCCGATACGTGTTTCCGCCGCATCGTTCCATTTCACTACATTACGGAGGACAAACCCCCATACATAACAGTCAACGTCCAGATGAAATGCTTTTTATATACAAAGATTCTAGTATGTCCCCAAACACCCAGTTATGTAACAGACCCAACCCCCCTCTTCATTTCCAGCGGCACAACTACTCATCTTGCTTCAAATTCTTAACATAATCCGCCGCCTTGGCCTTGATCTCCTCGACCATCTTGCCATTACCACCCGGAGCATCAGCAATCTTCTGCTCAAAGGCCAGCCACTTCTTAAAGAAGAAGCGAGCCTGCTTCGGCCGAACAAGCTTCTTGCTAGCATCAACAGCAGCAGCAGCAGCGGCAGCGGAGCCCTTCTTGGTGATTCCGAGCACGCGCTCAAACAGCCTGCGGACCTGCTCGGCATCGCCGTTCTTGATCTCCAGGTCGAGAAGGATGTTCCAGAGGTCGACCTTCTTGGGGAAGGAGGACAGGAGGCCCTCGAAGACGGTGCGGCCGCGCTCGACGTCGCCGTTGGCGGAGCGGAATTCCAGCTGCGCGAACTTGGAGGTCGTCTCGACGTGGGTGTGGGAGGGGAGGGACTGCAGGGCGCGAGAGAGAAGACCGCGGGCGCGGTCGGGCGCGGCCATGTTGTCGAAGAGGAAGGTGGCGTAGTTGATGAAGAATTTGGGGGACTGGAAGATCTTCTTCTTGAGGGCCGTGCGGAAGATGTCGTCGGCTTGCTGTGGGTGGGTTAGCAGATGCGGATAGTAGATAGAGGGTACTTGGTAGTGCCTGGGTGGTGAGCTTACCTCGTTCTTGCCGGACTGGATGTAGATGCTGATCAACCGCTCGTAGACCTCCTGGGTGTCGTTGTACTGGCACGCGCGCTTGAACACCTCCTCGACCGTGTCGTCGGTGCCGTAGGTGTTCTCCAGGTTGAGCATCGCCACCCAGATGTTCAGCTTCTCAGCATCCTGGCCGATGGTGATGGTGCGGAGGGCACGCTCGGCAATCTCGCGCGCCTTGTCGACCTCGCCGAGCTCCAGCTGGAAGGCCATGTACTGAAGCCACAGGAGGGAGGAGTCGGGCTCACCCAGCAGGAGTCGTTCGTAGTCGGCGACGGACTGGGGTCCATTGGCGTCCAGGTCGCCGGTGCGATCAACCTGGATCTCCGGCTTGCGGTTCTTCTTCTTCTTGGGCCGGAACTCCGCGTCCGAGCCTGAGTCGACAGCCATCGCGTCCTTGGAGTTGCCGTTCCAGTCGAAGCCACTGTCACCAAGCCCTCCCTCTAGCCGGGATGACGGCGCATCGGCCATCTCCGAGTCTTCTTCGTCATCGTCTTCATCGTCGCTCTGCTCGGACTCTTCTTCGCTGTCCCCCTCAAGGTCGACTCCACCCATGGAAGCGTCGCTATCCTCGTCGCTTTCTCCGTCGACATCAACACCGCCGAGACCATCCAGACTGATACCCTCGGAGTCCTCATCTTCTTCGTCGCTGTCCTCATCCTCATCATCGAAGTAAGAGGCCTTCAATCCGAAGGAGATCTTCTCCTGCTTGCGGTCGATCTTGAGGATCAACGCCTTGACAGCGTCGCCCTCTTCGAAGAGAGTGCGAGCGTCTTCCACGCGACCCTCGGCCATCTCACTGCGGTGGCAGAGACCACTGAGGTTCCGAGAGCCATCAATGACAACGAAGGCACCAAACTCCTCGACCTTGCGGACCTTTCCGGTGACAACCTGGCCAACCTTGAGGTCGCCAAGCGTAACAGGGGCCTTGTAGTTGGGGTCCAAAACGGACTCCTTCAGGCACAGCTGCAGTTTGCCCTGCTCGGCATCCGCGACAGTGACCCGGCCCTTGACCAACTGGTCGACCTGGAAAGAATCCTTCCACTCCTTCAGGTAGGAATCGGACAGGTCGGAGACGCGGACATAGGCAGTAACGCCATGGCCGAGAGTGACGAAAAGTCCGTTGTCAGCAACCCTCCGAACGAAACCGCGGACGACGTCGCCAACCTTGAGCTGCTCGATGGAGGAGATCTCGCGGTCCTGAACAGGCAGGGAGGAGCTGAGAACCTTCGACGGGCGCAGGGAGAGGGTGATCTTCTTCTTGGCCTTGTCAACGTTGACAACACAGGCGCGCAGCACCTCGTTCTTCTGGCACGCCGTGGGGTTGGCCTTCGTGTAGTCGTCAGCCATGTCAACCAGGTCAACTGCACCGACGATCGATTCGCTGAGCTGCATGATGACCTGTCTTTCGGTGACCTTGGTGACTCTTCCAGGCAGAACCATGCCGGTGGTGATGTCCTCGAACGAGAGCTTGTCGGAACGCTGCTTGGCGGACAGATCCAGGCGACCCTTCTCAGCGTCAACCGCCGAGACGTGGACCTTCAGCGCAGATCCAATCGGGTAGTGCTTCTCCACATCGGCGAGGAGAGACAGATCATCGGTCGCGTCCATGAGACGCAGTCTGCCACGAACGTTGGGCGACAGGTTGATCCAGAGGCAGTCATCGGCGACGTTGTTCACGAAGCCAACCCAGGTTGAGCCAACCGTGACCTGTTCCAGGTTCAGCGGGCTGGGGTTGGCGGCCTCCAAGAAGCTGGGCTTGACAGAGAGCTCGAAAACAGGGAACTTTCCGGAACGGTGACTGATGGGAAGGAACTTGTGGTTGCGGGCATCGTGGACACCCAGGATTCTGGCCGAGATGAGCTGCTTGGGGCGGAAGAATCGCAGAGGCTGCTTCCGATCCTTGATCTCATCCCAGTTGTCGAAAACCTCGGACACGTCGATACGACCCTGGATGTTGTCGGCGAGTTGGACGTTGACCTGGGTCGCCCGGACAGAAACGACCTTGCACTTGGTAACTCTTCCGAAGGTGAAATCGGACATGGACTTGATGCCCTCATCCACGGCGTTGGCGACAGCATCGTCCGAGGGGGTGGGCTCGGCCTTAGCAACGGTCTTCTTTTTGGCGCCGGCACGGGTGGCCTCCGCAGGGCTCATGCTCAGGATGAATCGTCGGAGATCGGTGTCGATCGAGTGCACGGTCGCAGTGACCACCTGGGATTTGGCCATGCCGTAGTCGGGCTTGTTGACATTCTCACCAACAAGTCGCTTGGGGACAAGACCGTTGATGCCGCCCAGGAACTCAATGAACACTCCGTTCATCGTGATGTTGCGGATAAAACCAGTAACCTCGGCACCTTCCTGAAAGTCTTCGAACTTGGCGGGCATCAGGCCTTGCTTGTTGGCCTTCTTCAGGCTCTGTCGGCCAGTCACCTTGATCAGTCTATGGGCCCGCTGGATGTCGAGCACAAGAAGCTCGTTAAGCTTCTGACCAACACGAATCTTGGAGAGGGTCGAAGCCTGCTTCGAGGGCGAGCCATCGGCAACCTGTTCAACGTTGAGCCGGGCAACAAGGCCGTAGTCGTCCAACTTGAGCAGCAGGTCGTCAGTTGACTTCTCGAAAACGGTACCAGAGACAAGCAAGCCAGGGTGGATATTCTCGAAAGCCTTGCGGTAGGCCTCGGTGAAGGTCGAGGGATCCTTGCAAGACACTGCCAGCTTTTCCAGAGAGAGATCCACGCTGAGCGCATGGACATTGACGACCTGTCCGAGTCTGAAGTGCTGCGCGGGATCCTTGATGAAAGCCTCGCTCATCTCGGAAACAGGGAGGAAACCCCGGACGGAGCCGTAGAATTGAACCACGGCACCGTGAGACTGGAGCTTGATGATGGTTCCGGGGGACTGAGTGCCGGGAGTGATGTTCTGGTAATCTCCCCAAATGGCGGATTCGCTGTTCAGCAGACTCTTCTTCAAGGTCAACCGGATCTGACGCTTTTCCAGGTTCACCGACAGGATCCTGGTCGAGAGAGTCATACCCTCGTGGAACTTCTTCTCGGGGAACTGGAGAGGGGCGTCGGCAAAGTGCATCGGGGGGACAAGACCAGTGATGCCATCGGCCAGAGAAACAATCAGACCATCCACTCCGTTGGCTCCGATGATCAGCTTCTCGACCTTTCCTTTGACGACAGCTCCCAGGGTCACATCCTCGATTCTGAGGAAAGGCTGGTCAATGACCTTTTTTTCGAAAGACAGAAGGTAGAGACCGTCAACGGCGCTGTATCCAATCACTCTCGCCTCGTGCACAGAGTCGGTCCGGAAGGGGCCGACCTCGGGGGAGATGGTTTCCACCTGCCCATCGGCAAGTCTGGACACATGAACGAAACCAAGGTGCTTGGTCGATCCGAGCTGCACGTAGACACCGAGACCGGGTTCAACCTTGACAATCTTGGCCTCGGGGACAATCGCAGAGACGGCGGGAGCGTCGCTAGAGGAACCGGGCCCATAACTGGTAGGGGCAAACTTGGTGACATGGTCGAGAAGCGAGAAGCCAACCTTGAATGGCTCGGCCGATGGGAACGTGGAGACCAGACGGCCCTTGATTTTGGCACCAATCTGGTACTTCTTGGTCAAGTCATCCTTTCCTGAGCATCCGCCGGACTGTACCAGATCGACCGTAGCATCCAACATGCCCATGATCTTTCCGACCATTCCGGTCGGCGCGACATCGGTCAAAAGGATTTCGGCCGCAGTACCGGGAAGGAAAGAGCTGATCGTAGGAGCGGTGCTGAGGAAGTGGGACTTCTTGATTGAGCCCGATGATTGGAGGTTGGCAGACAGCTTGATGACACTGCCGTTGGCGTTTTGGCCAGTGACCATACACAGAAAGACCGAACCCGCCTTGATGCTCGAGGGGTCGGTCTTGGGGTCAACTTCCTTCGAGGACATGAATCCCTTGACATCACCGCCCTCAAGACCAAGATCCATGACCAGACCGTGGTCTTCCACACTGACAACCGACGCTTGAACAGCAGTGTGAGCAACCAGATCCGTTTTCGAGAGTCCGGAGTTTGCCTGTCTCGGGTCGATAGAAAGCTCGATACGTCTTCTGCTCTTGGAGGTAGCATCGGCGGCATTGCTTCCGGCTGAGACCACGTACGCTCTCAAGAACTGGCCGATGAAGAAGTATTTGTTCAGGTCCAACTCGTCGTCGTCGTCCTCGTTGTCGTCGTCCTCCTCGTTGTCGTTTTCGCTGTTCTTCAGGATCTTTTCGATCTTCTCCTCCAGCACCTTGGACACGGCGGTTAACGAGACGTAGCCAGTCAGGTTGTTAGGAAGAGAAATTCCGATGTTGTGAGCGCTGATACTGGAGACTTGACCTAGGACCATCGTACCAGGAACAAGACGCTGTCTTCATTAGTTCCCGAGGCAGTGATTAGCGATTCATGACGGCACACATACCTTGAAATTCAGACCTTCGATCCGAACACTCTGTTTTTCACCCGCATCCTGCTCGGTCTTCTTCCCCTTGGTCTTGCGCTTGCGGGCCTTCGTCGCAGCGCCCGACGGTTCGTCGCCGGCGTCTTCCATGTCTGTGTCGTCTTCCAATCCATCATTCGCGAAATCGCCGGAGGGTTTGGCGCCTCTCTGTTCGAAGAGAACATCTTTCGTCGCTTGGATCTGGATTTGTTTCCGCTCGAGAGGCGTCAAGACACTGGCACCACCACGAGGGAAAGAGGGCTCGTCATCGCGCAGAACGGTGAGCTCCGACGCCTTCGAGGCAGGCTTTTCCTCGGGCTTCGACTTGCTGTCATTCGACGCCGACTTGTGCTTCTTCTGATCTTTCTGGTGGTCGTCTGCGCCGACTCGGACACGCTTCTGGGGCTGGCGGGCGGATGCCTCCTCTGGGGCATTGCCCTTGCGTTTGATCGGAGCCATCGTGGGTGTAGTGAGACTCGAAGAGCTGCTCCAAAGCTCTAGACTCGAATCTCCAAAACGAAAAAATTAAAATTTCTGGACGGAAAAGCCGATCGGCGCCTCGACCGCCTTCCGTTCCGGGGGACCCAGCCCACTTCAAATGGGGCAGCTCACCGCCTGCCGGACCGGGCGGGGCGCGACACGAAAAGGCACGTCGACACGAGACTTCCGCGCGGCAGGAATTGCTGGCTCGTTGCTGGCCTTCCGCGCCTTTTTGCCCCCAGCTCCACTTCTCTCTCTCTCTCTCTCTCTCTCTCTCCATGCCTCCATTCTCTGCCACTTAGTCCCCTCCCCCTCCACTCGTTATTGTAGAATGTCTGTGTGTTTTTGTTTTTCTCTGGGCCACAATGCACGGCAGTCATGATCTCCCCGAAGTACCTCGGTCGGAACCCGTCTTCCCTCCTCCCTCTTTGCATCAAGAGCTTCCCTCCTCGCCGCCCTCGATAGCATCCGATGTGGGCTTCCGGCGCAAGCTCAAGAAACCTCCCCCCGTGACTCCGCGATCGTTCCGGAAGTTCTTCACGCCTCGTTCGATGCTGAGTGGTGGGAGCAATGCGAGCTCTGTTCGAACCAATCGCCAGGCCTTGAAAGCCCTCAGCTCCCCGGCCGTCAATCGCCTCGGGCCCGCCTTTACAAGGACGTCCAAACCTGCAGAGCACAGACCCGAACCATCCGATCTGACACGAACCCCGACTCGGAAACGGAAGTTCTCCTTCTCGTCCATTGCCTCTCCTCTGCAGTCTTCGCCTTTGAGAAAGGTTCGCGTCCGAGATGCTATCCAAGACGATGAAGAGGTGGACGTGCCCGTGCGCGATATTGAAGTCAACCCCGAGTCCCACGAGGATGATCCGAAATCGAGCCCTGCCCCAGAACCCCCTCGCCAAGTTTTCCCGGTCCGTCGTTCGCAAGCCCTACAAACATCCGGAGCACTGTACATGCGAAGTACCATGGGGACGCGGGCGAATCGGGTGACAATGCGAGCGAATTCTGGAGCTGGTGGGTCAAACGTCTGTATGAAGCAAACATGCATTTACTAAATGTCATGCAGGGTGGCAAGATCTGACCTCGAACTTCTACTCCCGAGCAAGCGACAGTCATACCTGTACTAGCTCTGCTGGTGGTCGCTATGTTCTTCCCTTCTGCACTGCGGCATGCAACAGTGAGTCGAATAAGGTCGCATGGTTTACTGTTGCATATACTGACCGACTTCATAGCCAATAGCCTTGTTGCAGTCGGTGACGAGGAGGGGGGCATTCGATTGTTGGACTCCGCCAAAGACGACAAGACCGGCTTTTCCCAGGCATATCTCACATTCCGTCCGCACACGAACTCGATAATGGACTTGGAGTTTTCGTCCGATGATATGCTACTTGCGACGGCTTCCGGAGACCAGACCGCTCTGGTTATCGATATGGCCACCCAAACGCCGGTGTATTGTCTATCCAACCACGTCTCGTCCGTCAAGCGGGTCCAGTTCCAGCCAGCAGCCAACAACAAAGTGCTTGCGACGTGTAGTCGAGACGGCAATGTCAATATATGGGATCTCCGTTGCAAAGGGTTTGACAGGCCCTGCGCTCAACTACAGTGCTCGCTTGAATCCGAAGCCGAACCTTCCGCTGGTTACATTACCTCCAAAACAACCTTTCCGCAGGTGTTGAATACTATCCATGGCGCGCATGCCTGGACATCCCAAACACCCACTTCCGCAGAGAAGGCAGAACCTCAGATCCGCCGCTCGGACATTACTGTGACGTCCCTGGCTTTCCTTCCGCCAGGGAGAGAAAATCTGTTTGTGACAGCTTCTGAGGCCAATGCAAGCGTGAGACTGTGGGATCTGCGTACAGCACACAACAATCGCCGTGGCCGGCCAGTTCTTCCTCTGTCCACTACTCGAGAGCCTGATAGCCATGTTAAGTACAGGCAATTTGGTCTCACATCAATGACCTTCGGTGGAGATGGCTCAAGACTGTACACATTGTGCCGAGATGGCACTGTGTACGCCTACTCCACCTCACATCTGGTCTTGGGAAGTGCACCAGAGCTTTCCCTGAACAACGACCGGCCACGACGTTTAGGCGGCTCCGACAAGGAAGGACTCGGCCCTCTCTATGGATTCCGCCACCCACGGTTCCAGGTGGCCTCCTTCTACGTTAAAGTCGGCGTCCGCAAAGCCACCAACGACAAACCGGAGATGCTAGCCGTTGGAAGCAGCGATCGTTGCGCCGTTATATTCCCGACAGATGAACGATTCCTCTCCCAATCTCCCCCGACGCCAGCCACCGAAGACGACCTACTTCCTCGCACGCCTTTCTCATCCACTCGCTCCGGCCTTCGTCGCACCAACTCCGGGGTCGGTCTATCCGGCCGATTGGAAGACACAGTCCCCATCTACCAATCTGGCACGCCCCTAGACGAAGGCCACGTACGAGAAGTCTCCGCCGTCTCCTGGACTCCCGATGGCGAGCTCATCACCGTCAGCGACGACTACAGCGCTAGATGCTGGCGCGAAGGGCCCGAAGCCAGAGAAATCCGAACCAGTGGAAAGACCGAGGGCCGAGGCTGGCGCTGTGGCTGGGCGGAAACGAAAGACTCCTTTGATGACGATGATGAATAATCCTTCAGACCCTGCGGATTCCTTTTCCTTTTTTTTTTTCCCCCTTTTGCATGCATTATATGGCGCCGAGGCATCTGTTCGATTTAGCGGGGGGCTTTGCTTTTTTTTCCCGTTTTATGTGTTCGTGTTTGTGTTTTTGATTCGGGGTTTTTGAGAGGGTACTACCATCACCGTGTTTTGTTTCATAGCGTCGGGTTACTTATTGCATACATACACTGTGACTGTGGCAGGAGGCATCCATACAGTCGATGAAATGTTGAGATTAACATACAACTACTTATTGTTTCTATGGCAATCTGCACATGTAGTATTATTTTGCTATAACTTGTAGTATGGATATCAGCCATCGTTCGAAGACTTTTACATTGAGGAAGGAGTAGTGGTATCTACATGTTGTATACTCAGGCTTCAGGCTAGACCCCTAGGGTACCGGTACCATCAAGTCCCCAAGCCCATCCACAAGATCGATCTATACCTTACCTTATCAAATACATCCATACGACCAGACAGACTACCAAGAATTTATTCATCAAGACCAGGTACGTAGATTTGTACTCATGAGAATGTTATTATACTTTTTTCTCTCCATCCCTTTACCCACCCTAGTCTAGATAGAACTCCTCACCAGAAGGATAGCCGGAATAGGTAGCGTGGCGTACGTAGCACGATAGTGACGATGATGATGATGGTGTGTGCAAGAGAAGAGGTTAGCGGACAGAGCGAACAGAGCAGACAGGACGGACACGTTTAGTGACCGTGTCCATCATCCTGGCTGACCTCGGGGTCCAACTTGATCATGGTATCAATACGCATAATGGCGATGCAAGCCTCGACGGCACTCTTGAGCTGCTTGATCTTGCCCATGGAGGGCTCCAGAACACCGGCCTTGAGGGCGTCGTGGACGCGACCCTTCGTCAGGTCGAGACCGTAGTTGCGGTAGGTCTTCTTCTTGGCGATGGCCTTCTCTTCCTCGTTGGCGTCGCCGTCCTGGACGCGCTGGGAGAGAGCGTGGCGGACACGTAGCTGGGCGACGAGCTCCGAGGAGTCCTTGGCGGCGTTGACGGCCAGGGTCTTGGGGACGGTCAGGAGAGATTGGGCGAATTCGCCGATGGCGAGTTGCTCCCGGGAGCCCTGGAAGGGTTAGTTGGGTGGTAGAGGAAGAGGGGGGGAGGGGGGGAGGGGGGGACGTACGACTGTGACTGCGAACTCCTCAAGGTAGATGTGAAGAGCCGTCTCAACGGCACCACCGCCGGGCACGATGCTACCACTCTCCAGAGTGCGCTTGACAGCACATAGAGAGTCGTGCACGGAACGCTCCATCTCATCCAAGCTGAAGTCGTTGGCACCGCGCAGGATGATGGAAGCAGCGGTGTGGACCTTGGTGCCCCGGACCAGGATACACTCGTCGTCGGATATCCGCTCCTGCACGACCTCCTCGGCATGTCCCAGGTTGGCGGCGTCGAACTTCTCATCACCGTTGAGGTCAGAGAGTGTGCTGACCAAGGTAGCACCGGTAGCCTTGGCAATACGTCTCAGATCCTCCTTCTTGCAGCGGCGGACGGCCATGGCACCTCTCTCAACGAAGAGCTTGAGGACCATGTCGTCGATACCCTTAGTCGTGAAAACGACATTAGCACCCGACTTGAGGATCATCTCCACACGCTCGAGCACAATGCCGGCTTCTCTCTGGCGGATCTTCTCCAGCTGATCGGGGTCTTCGACTGTGATCTGAACGCCAAGCTTCATTCTCTCCTTCTGCAGGTTCATGTCGAGACAAGCAATCTTCGCATCGGTCACCCGGGTCTTCATGGCCTGGGAAGCGACGGTGCAGTTCAGGGCATAGCCGTTAACGAGCACCGACTCGGTGCCACTCTTTCCGTGCGCCTTCAGCAGGTTCACGGCCTTGACCGGGTATTTGACCTCGTTCCTCTGGTTGGTGCTCTTGACCAGCAGCATGGCATCAACAACCATGTTGGCGAAGAAATCGCTGTCGGAGCCGATGATCTTGCTGGACATGGAGGTCTTCGCAATGTTGACCAAGCTGTCCTTTCCCAGTGTCTCAACCTTCGTGGCGATGTTCTCGTTCATGTACTTGACGGCTTCCCTCAGGGCTAGTCTGTAACCGGTGATGATAGTTGTGGGGTGTATGCGGTTCTTCATCAACTCGTTGGCGCGTCGTAGGAGTTCGGCAGCAATGAGAACGACAGAGGTAGTGCCATCGCCAACCTAGACTGGTGTAAACGTTGTGCCTATAAAAAAGGAGGGGGGTAGCAAAATGGCGGGACCGACCTCCTTATCCTGTTGTTGGGCCAGATCCACTAGGATCTTTCCAGCGGGGTGCTCGATGTCGAGGAGACTCAGAATGGTGGCACCGTCGTTGGTGACGGTGACATCCTAAAAGACCGTCAGGGAGCTGTTCTGAACCAACGCGGGGTCGAGGCCAATTGCGTACACCGATATCATCCACCATCATCTTATCCAGGCCGGAGGGACCGAACGAGCTCTTGACGACATTTGCGATCGCCTGCGTGGCGAGCACTACACGGTCATCAGTACGCGGACCATCGACTAGAGATGATCGGAAATCGTCATTGCATACCGTTCTGCTCCCGCACATCAGCGCCGGTGATTTTCTGCCCACCCAAGACTGTGCGAGATTGGTCAGTGATGGATCCCAGGAGAGGGGGGCGGGGGGGGAGGGGGGAGGGGGGAGGGGACGGGCTCACAGAGAGTGTCCGCATTCCGCGGCTGCTCGAAGATGCCTGCCATGGTTGTGCGAGGGAGAGGGAAGGAGGTGGAGGGCGAAAAGACGAGCTCCTGAAGCAGCAGCTGCAGTTGCTGGACTGGACGCGGCGAGTCTCTCCAGTTCTCCTTTGCGCTAAAAGTTCTGCCGGCCCCGGGCGGTCAAGATTTGCAGATGCATCCCACTTTGACTCAAGAACAGCCCCTCACTCTCCCCCCTCGGCCCTCTCTCGTCTGCTTCCATCCCCCTCCTGTTTCTCCTCCTCTCTATCCCCCCCTCAATCCTGCGAAGGCCTCTCTCCCACCATGGCCAGCCAAACTCCCGCCGATGCCGCCGTCCCCGTCGAGCAGGCCACCCTTCCTGATCGCACCCAGAACCCCGCCGACGCCGATGCCGCTGCCCCTCAGGGAGAGTCCAAGAATGCCGCGAAGAAGGCTGCAAAGCTAGCCAAGATGGCTGCCGACAAGGCCGAGAAGGCTGCGAACAAGGCCGCCGGCAAGCAGGAGCCCAAGAAGCCCGCTGCCCCCAAGGCCCCCAAGAAGAAGATCGAGGGTGCCGCTTTGATCGGTATCGATGTCTCCAAGGAGGAGGATTTCCCCGGCTGGTACCAGCAGGTTCTCACCAAGGGTGACATGCTGGACTACTACGACGTCTCGGGATGTTTCATTCTCAAGGTGGGTTGCCGTTTCCGCCCGACCGCACGGCCTATACTGATATGCGCGCCAGCCCGCCTCGTACTCCATCTGGGAGGAGATCCAGCAGTGGTTCAACGGATACATCAAGAAGATGGGCGTCAAGAACTGCTCCTTCCCTCTTTTCGTGTCGGAGGATGTTCTGCAGCGGGAGAAGGACCACATTGAGGGTTTCGCCGCCGAAGTCGCTTGGGTCACGCACGCGTATGAATCCTTATCTCGATGACTCCGATTAGACAGGTTTACTGATACCCCCCGGTCTGGTGCAGCGGTTCCACCCCTCTGGAGAAGAAGATCGCCATCCGTCCTACCTCGGAGACTGTCATGTACCCCTACTACGCCAAGTGGATCAGAAGTCACCGTGACTTGCCTCTCAAGCTCAACCAGTGGAACTCCGTCGTCCGTTGGGAGTTCAAGCACCCCCAGCCTTTCCTCAGAACCAGAGAGTTCCTGTGGCAGGAGGGCCACACCGCGCACCTGACCCAGGATGCCGCCCACGAGGAAGTCCTGCAGATCCTCGACCTCTACGCTCGTATCTACGAGGAGCTCCTGGCTGTCCCCGTCGTCAAGGGTCAGAAGACCGAGAAGGAGAAGTTTGCCGGTGGTCTCTACACCACCACCGTTGAGGGCTACATCCCTGCCACCGGTCGTGGTATCCAGGGTGGTACCTCCCACGGTCTGGGCCAGAACTTCAGTAAGATGTTCGGCATCACCGTCGAGGACCCCTCCACCAAGGGCGATGAGAAGAAGCCCCCTCTCCACGTCTGGCAGAACTCCTGGGGTCTGTCCACCCGTACTCTGGGTGTCATGACCATGATCCACAGTGATAACCGTGGTCTGGTCCTCCCCCCTCGTGTCGCGGAAACCCAGACCATCATCGTCCCTGTTGGTATCACCGCCAAGACCTCCGACGAGGACCGCGCGAAGCTTTACGCCGAGATCGACGGCCTCGTCGACACCCTCAAGGCCGCTGGCGTTCGCGCCGACAGCGACCTGAGAGACGGATACTCTCCCGGCTGGAAGTTCAACGAGTGGGAGCTCCGTGGTATCCCCCTGCGTCTCGAGTTCGGCCCCGGTGAGCTGGCGGGTGGCTTCGTCACCGCCGCTCGTCGTGACATCCCCGGCAAGGAAGGCAAGGCCCCCATCCAGATCTCCGAGCTGGCGACTGCCGTGCCCGCCCTCCTGGAGACCATCCAGGCCGATCTCTTCAAGCGCGCGGACGACGAATACCGCTCCCACCGCAAGATCATCACCAACTGGGACGATTTCACCCCCGCCCTCAACGACAAGAACGTCTGCATCATCCCCTTCTGTCTGACCGAGGAGTGTGAGGACCAGATCAAGGACATGAGTGCCCGCAAGGCCGAGGAGGACTCCGGCGAGGCCCAGGATTCCCGCGCCCCCAGCATGGGTGCCAAGTCTCTCTGCATCCCCTTCGACCAGCCCGAGGGCATCATCCCCGGCGAGACCAAGTGTACCAACCCCAAGTGTGACCGCTTCGCTGAGAAGTGGTGTATGTTCGGACGTAAGCACCCCGCCGCTACTGTTTGTTCCCTTTCCTCCAACCACCAACTAACCCAATCCACCCCCAGGCTCGTACTAAGCGCGATGTTATCATGTTGGACCCGGATACCCACCCACCCGGTTCCTTACTATGACATGACTGTTATGACTTTTCTTTCCTGCCCAATAACAAAGAAGTTACCACCGTCGGCGTTGTATTCATCCATCCATTCATCCCAACGGGAGAACAAAAGAACGAGAGAAAGAAAGACGAAGATAAATCTACACAAGCTTCATAAAAAGAAATAAAAAACAACTTTATACAAGAAAGATAAAGAAATCTGTTGTAGATTGCATGAGGAATGAGAATGATGACGATGCGAGTTGAGTTGAGATATCTTTTTCGGGTTTGCCTCCCTACCTACCTACCTACTTACCTACCTGTCTACCTACTTATCTACTATCCGATGTATGAAGTGCATGCAGCTAGCGGGTTGAATTGAAAGAATTAATTTTTTTTTTAAAAAAAAAGTCTTCAGGTTTGTAAAGTGTTTGTTCGGTTATTTGTAATATATTATTCTTATTGATTATGGGTAGATAATTGTAACTATGTAGTCGAAGTAGAAGTAAAGTAGAAAACACCAGTACCTGGACATTTCTGTTTCGGTTATAAGAAAAGAGAGAGAGAGAGAGAGAGAGAGAGAAGGGGAAGGAGAGAGTGAGATGGATGCGCTGGCAGCAACGCTATGCTGAAAATGAACAGCAAAGTAGGAAAGTTTCAAAAGAATGAAAGAATGAATGAATAGATAGTGCAGATAGGTAAGCTATGCAGAAGCTATGCAAGGAATGTATGTATGTAGTAGCTGAGAAGCTGGGAGGTCTTGTGAGTAAAGGAAGGAAGGAAGGAAGGAAGGAATGACACCGGTGTGGTGTGGTGTGGTGTGGTGTGTATGTATGTACGAAGAAAGAAAGAAAAGAGATCAGAGAGCCGTCTGGACAGTCAAGAGTAGGTCAAGTAAGGGGTCGCTTGTAGCGTTTCACGATTGCACTAGAGCTTTTTTGTGTGTTGTGTGTGGTCTGTTGCATGCATGGGAGGCATGGTTTGGTTTGGCTTGGTTTGGTAAGGAATGGAAGGGGTAAACCAAAGAAGAAGAAGAAGATGATGGTGGTGGTGGTGGTGGTGGTAGACTTGATGACAATGAGCTTCAGGAGCATTATTGCTTTTGCCGTCACTGTCCAGCCCCACCCAGAAACGAATCAAAGTAGGCCATTAACAAGACTGCGCCGAACAGGTCTCCCAAGACTGGGGCCCATTCCTCGAGGATGACCGGGAAGGCACATGCTCATCGGAGATGGTATTTCTCAGGGTGATGTTTGCGTTTGACTTGCGTGGCCAGCTCATGAGCCTGTAGGCGTTTCTGGGACTCGTGTTCCTGGTGACGAAGGTCACGTTATTCTGGTCGACGCCCTGGATGCAAAGCTGCGGCATGCCGACGCTGGGCAGTTGGATGATTTCCTCGTCGCTGTCGTCGGCTGAGAAGCTGGGCCGGGATGCGGAGGCTTGAGCACGCATGTAGAGAACGGATGGTGCTCTGCTTGAGGTTTCCGAGTTGTTGTACTTGTTGTTGGAGGGGTTGGGTTTTGTGGACATGGAAGAAACTAGGCTGCTGTTTTGTTGCGGGGCGCTTTTCAAGGCAGGGTTGGAGTTCTTCTCGGAGCGAAGGACTAGGTCCATGTATGTTACTGGCTCTTCAGGGTTGTCAATGGCTTGCTGTTTTTTCTCGCTGCCATTGTTGAAGAGCCCGAGTGAGGGCATCGGAGCATCGGTGTGTCTCCGGCGACTCGAGGTGTGCGAGTCCAGAATGGCTGTGGATGGAACGCTGGTGGAAATACTTTTGCGCTGGTCCGAGTCCCTTTGGTGCTTTTTGAATGAGCTTTTTCGGATTTGTTTCAAGAATTGGCCTTCTTTTGCGGAGACAACCCGATCCGGTCCTGAGACTGGGTGTAATGGCACATGGAGGGTTCTGTCAAAGGATTCTTGGGCCGGCGAAGGGGTAAGCGAAGGCTCCGAAGGGAAAGATATACGCTGGAAGGCCTCGTGGGAGTTGATCTCCCTGACGATGGCATCTTGAAGGGTTTCAAAAGTAGGATGTGGTGAGATGACATGCGTCGAAGCGTAGGCCTGCCTGAACAGATCCATCATCTCGGCAACCTTCTGGCTAGACTGAGGTAGGGGAGATGTGGACGTGGGAGTTCCCACTGGCAGAGGGCTGTTCATGATTTCTGCAATGCTGGGGGTTTGTTTCCCTTCGGTGGCACCTGGGGTCGGTGGCTGGATAGCACAGTGTGATATCTTCATAGCTGGCCTTCCTCGAGCTGCCAGTTTCGTATTGATGGAAAGGTCTCGGACATTCTTTTTGGTACCCTGCCGGGTAGACGTCGACGCACTTTGAATGTTCGGACCAGGGGATCTGTTTTCATTGGCACCGTCATCTCCTCTCATCGTCAAGGGCAGCGTTGGGCTGTCGGGCAAGGGCCTGCTGCTCCATTTATCGCCTTGTTTGTGAGCAGGAGGGACGCCCAAGTATGCACCAGAACCAGAATCAGCTTCATGGACTGCACTGTTTCCTTCTCCCAGTAGATCAGGGGCTGATGTGTAAGAACGAAGAGTGCTTCTCTGGAAGGCAATGTCTCTTGAAGAGCCAGGCCGTACATCTGCACGGAGCCGGGATCCTGCCAGACTGTCCGGGGAAGTTGACCTCGCCAATATGGTTCCCTTCGCACTTACATGGGGCTCATCCCGAGCCTTCGCTTTTGGCTCATACCTCTGAGAGGAAAGCTTCTGAAAGCGAAGAGGGGTAGTTCGGGTCCGCGCACTAGCACTGCGGGAGAGAGTGCTTTTGTTTCCAGGGATGTTTCTGTCTGCCACATCCTCCTGGTAAAGAGCCGAGACGGGACGTGAGTGCACTTTTTGCTTGAACACCATCCCTCTGAGGAACGGGACCATGTTCCGTTCAGCTATGTCTTCATTGTACGGTGTGATTGGCGACAAGGTGCTCGCGCATTGGATATGATACCGATGTGAAGAGAACAAGGCATCAAGCAAGTCCACATGTCGAGGGTTTTTCTCCGGAGACCTTTTCGAAGCACGTGAGGGTGGTGCCTGCGAACGAGAGGAGAGGGGCCGTGTTGGTATAGGATTGTGCTGGACCTCGAAATTCTCTTCTGTCTTCCTGAGTCGGTTCTCCCCGGTCATCTGCTGAGGGGTCTTCACATTCGGCAGGGCAAGAGAATCCCCATCGCTCCCTAGGCTACCTCGAGTATCACGATCGTCAGGGTGCGCCAGCGAAGCTTTGTCTGCATGGAAAAATCGTTTTAAGGCAACCATCTTAGATCCACAGTCGCCAGGTAGACTATGTGGATGGCCTTTACCTGGACTGTATGTTGCACAGAGATTTGACTAGGACACTCGGCTAGTCAGGGATTGAGTCTTCCCAGTAATAAAGATGACGATCAAGTCAATAAAGGGAGACCAGAACAGGAACAGAATCTCGAGCCGCTGTCATGATAGCGTTTAACTCATATCGAAGTGTCTCACAGGAGAAGCTTTCCGTACTCGAGAGACTGGAGGGGAGGAACAGAGGGGAGGGTTGGGAAGAGGAAGAGAAGCACCATCGACGAACGAAGGGTAAAGAGTCTACGTGGGATAGATAGGTGCCCGGTTCGCAGATCCGACAATTGTTCCTGTCTGTCTCTGGTATCAGGGGTAGGAGTGGTCCAGATGGTCCAGGTCTTCCGCGGTCCATCGCGAAAAGATGGGGCTGCGCCGACGGACGGGAGGGAACCAGTGGGAATTGGAAAAGCTAGCGAGACAGATGGGCATTACTATTACGCTTGTCACAATTGAAGGCCCTTGTCTCCGTGACGGTGGGCTACTTGGTCCCTAGTCCAAGGCGCGGACTGGTGTGATTATGCAGGTCTTCCCGCGCCCATTGTGATTCCCGCGGCCAGTGCCCTGCCAAACCGAGGCCGCATTGTTGCGTAGCAAACGTGCAGCAGCACCCTAACGTCCTCACAGACACTGTGCATAAACCTAGATAGAGGTTTGAGTCCACTTGACAGCAAGACCATTGAAATGGGATCTGCAAGTCTTGCAGGCTCGCAGCCTAGCCAGTATCCTGCCAGGAACGCGGATGGGATGGGACGCCGATTGCCAATATTAGCCCAAAGCCAGGCCTGACGTTTGCTGACCGGGCGAGGTGACGGCCACGATAGGCCGCGCAGACAGCGGGTGGGTCCTGGTCGAGGAGAGGCTGGAGAGGGCAGAGTTCATGGGAGGAAAAGACTGACGGGTTAGGGCCATTTTGGGGGGGGGGCCAAGGATCCGCACCAGTCAGCGGCCAGGAATTCGCGCTGGATGGAGCCCACGAACACCCATAAAATTAGCAGCGGGGGAGGATGGAAGTTATGAACGTGCTAGGGGCCCGATCAGGCAGTTGATCGGCCGTGAGCGGCGAGGTTGAGCGAACAGCTCCCGGCCGGCCAGAATGGGCGTGGAAATCGCCCCATAGCGATGTCGATTGACAGGGGGCAGCGCCTCCCATCTTAGTCTCGGGGGAGGGGAGAGAGAGGCGTCAGTTCCGTTGAACTCGATTCGACTCGATTCGACTTGACTTGACTCGGCACGACAGGGTTGGATCCTTCGTGACACTGACACTGACACTGACAGCAGTGGACTTCTGTGATTTGATTAGTTGTTCCACTAGCTAGATACCCTCCTTTTCTCCTCTTCTCTCTGGTACAAGTGGGAGCAATGTCTCACCGCGCAAAGCTAAATCCAGGACCGCAGCACTGCAGTTGATCTGGAGACTCGGAGAGGGCAAAGACTGCTAAGAGTCCTCCAAATTCGAGTCACCAAGTCCCCATGCCAGTCCACTGGGATGGAGCCTCCGATCGTGCGCGCATCACAGGGTCTGAAACACCGAAGCGCGATGGTTCCAATCTTGTTGGGGGCAAGATGCGATGGACCCAGGAAGCCTAGCAGGCTCATCCTTTAGCAGGTTGGGAGAGTTGAAGGCCAGCAGATGCCGAAATGATGGTTGAGCGTATTTCATTACGGCATGCACGTTACGTACGGTACGCAGTACTCCGTACAGTACTGGAGCACTGGCCTAGAAGAGGGGGGGGGGTTGTAACTATACGGAGTAATTACGCATTACTAACCGGAAGGAAATCCGGAATTCGAATTCCCCCCCCGGATATGATGCCTGATTAAGAAGTCATCGATCTATCAAGAGAGGGGGATTTTCTCTCGCTGTTGGCCCATCAAGGAGATCAGCTCCGTGAAAATCCATCTGCCTGGTCTGCCATCTATCTACTTCGTATCTAGTCTATCTAAAGTAGAGAGATACATTTACCGGCCCTGTCAACAATACACTAAAGTCCAATATCTACGCCGCATTATATCTACTCGAAACCGATCCACCCGGGCCAAGCATCTCTGCCCTATCTATCTAGTAGGGCCAGGAACAAAGGGTTGAATCACCATGGTAGCGTTGGAGATCTGGTCTAGAGCGAACTCCCTATCTAGTAGATACTAACTATAATCCCCCTTGAGCCTTAAGCCCTCCGTTCGACGGGTTGGATAGATTGCTTGTACATATTGTCTATCAGCCGCGCAATTTAATAGACTGGGGTCATGACTCGCGATTCATGAGAAGGGGGGAAACAAATCCCTTGGGTGTGATCGGGATCGTATGATCCCTCGCAGCTGGTTGGGAACCTAGTATGGTATCTAGATGCGACTTTGCTTGTCTCGTGGGGACGTCAAACAAAGATCCTTTCTATTAGTACCTGATGCTGCGCCATCTCAAGTGATATCCGGATAATTAAATACCAGGCAACGAGCCGTTTTCATCATTTTCGGATGAAAAAGATCCCACTGTCACGAAGCGCTGAGTGTCCGGTGTCCACAGCGATATATCTGTTACCCTTGACCCTGGGTGAAACCCACAATAACACTTCCGAGCAAAAGCAGCCATTTCGACCAGTTGTCTGCGCACCCCGAAAGGTGTTGGCAGTAATCTCTGTCAGTGGCCCGAAGATCCAGGTGTAGTTCAAGCCCTGCAGGGGGCGCGCTGCATCCGTTCGCGGAGGGCGATGTGCTCGGGGCTCTGATTGTGACCGCACTACAGCTACGGTAGAGGGAGTAGAAGAAGCCTAAGTTCCTTTCATTGTCCTCACGAGAGATGACCACAGTATCATTCCACCGTCAGCGGGCATATGGAAACCAGGCTCAACAAAAGAACCGGTCCAAGGAGAAATAAGAGATACAAAGCCCAATTCCCCAAAGTCTCCCCAGATATTCCTCCCAGAGCATCACCGAAAAACAACTCTCCAATCCCTCGTCCGTGTCAGAAGCCAAGTTCCCCCCGTGCAGATGCCAAGCTCGTGAAAGCAGCAAAGTCCATGTATTCGTCCGACTTTCACTCCTCCTTGACTGAAGCGTCATCGTTATCCTGAGAGGCAGATCCGTGATCGCTTAGATCAACGGTCTCGTCGTCATCCGACTCGGGCTTGACGACCTTCTTCTTACCCTTGGTGGTGGGTTTTTTCTTCTTGGCCGAAGAGCTGGTGTCAGCGGCATCATCATCCCCGGGGCGCTTGAGATTGGCCTTTCCGCCCTTGGCACCCTGCTTCTTCACGGGGGTCGACGCGGGAGTCGAAGCCGCACTGCTCTCGGCAGCAGGCTCGCCACGCTTCACGTCGACCTTGCCGTCAGCGCCAACGAAAGCCTCCAGCCGTTTCTTGAGACGAGAGAATCTCATGCGAGCGGCATTCTCGTTCAGATCAGTGGCTGCGGTGACGGCCTTCCAGTCAACCTGTGGGAGACAATGTTAGTATGTGTTTTTGTGGAAGCGGGTTGACTCGGTGGTGTCTCTTTGGCCTCGGGTGAGGAAATCTTACCGAGGTGAAGTCAGACTTCAGGAGACAGACATAGAGAAAGAGGGTATTGGTGTCTGGAACTGCCAGCTTAGGAGGCATGGTTGATGTAAGACTTGGTAGTTTAGGTGTGTCTGGTGTAGGGAGTGGGTAGGTTGATATCACGTGGACAAGTAGTGCAGAAGGTAGGTTACTAGGAATGACTGCGAAGGCGAAGTGAGATGTAGGTGAGAAAGATTCAAGGACAAAGAGGGGGGTGGACGCTGAACTTATAAGATCCAGTTGCTGGATTCACTGAAGAACATGGCGGCTAATGTCGTCGGTACTGTTGTTGGTGCGTTGCGCGAACCGGATGAGAGAAAATAGCACAGAACGGTAACAAGAGAAAACAAAGTCAGGGATCCCAGGGGCCATTGTATTCAAAGCTAAGGTACTGAAGGATATATGGTATTGATCAACGCCGTTTTTTTGAAGTCCGGGTCTCATTATGCTGCATTTCCACCAAGCATCAAGCCAGCGAATCTCTCAGCGGACTCTTTCACAGCTTCGGCTAGGACCGTATGAGCCCCTCGAGCTGCATTCACCGCTCCATCAATCAGAGCTTCATGTCCGAGGTTCTTGTCGTCAGTTCCCAAGGACGCCTTCGAGTGGTCGCCCTTGAGCCAGATTTCTGTGATTTCGTCCCGGGAGGGCATATATGCCACAGCACAGGCAGAAAGAATAGACTTGTGCTCGGCCGGGTCCGTATCGAGCATCAGCTTCGGGCTTGATGTTTCCCCCTCTGCTGTCTCATCGGAGACAATGGCAGCCACACCACCCGCCACCAGGTCGAGACAGTCGATCCGAGCATCGGCAATTGCCGCAGATGCAGCAGTGATGCACCCAGCCAGCACGTTCATCATTCCCCAAGGAGCATCATGTGAATCGGGAGCGTCGCCCCACCAGCGGTCGTCTTCGGCTTCTAGAATGGTGATTGTGATGTCCAGTCCACTTTTCGGCCAGCGTTCGGCAACAATCACACCTCTGAGGGCCGTCTCCAAATGCACACCCAGGTCCCGTTCACTGGCATCCCGGATATGTCCTTTCCGCTGGCGGGCAGCAAACGGCGCATACTTGACATGGGTTGTGAGGACAAGGTTCGGGGAGAAGCTGGCCGATCGTGGAAGGGGTTTGGGTCCATGAACTGTACAAGCAAGCTTCAAAGCGGAGGAGGGCGGGATCAAGGATTGAGGAGACGAGCGAGCCGCAGCAAGAGAGGCGGAAGGTTCGAACTCCAGGTATGCGGAGCCAGATGCCGAAGGAATCAGGCCAGTTTTCAGGACTGAAATTGAAGGTAGGTCAGTTATCATTCCATACGGGTTCCAGATGCTTGAAAAGAGTCAAGTAATCCTTACAGAGCTTCCGCAATTCGTTCGGCTGCCTTTCACGCTGTGGTCTTCCTGTAGAAATGCCAGAGGCGGACTTCAGAGACGAGGCGAAAACCGCCGGCCTCGTGCCGCTAGGCGGCCCATTGATTCTTCGTCTGTCAGTCATTACACATGACTTGGCAGCCTCTTACCAGCGCGACAAGCGATTGAGGAACTGGATAGCCAAGCCGGGCGCAGTTCGACGTCGTCGTCGGCGAAGCGGGCATCTCCAATTTTGAGGGCCGTTTGCAGTGTTTGCAGCGCGGGCGGGGGCCGCGGCGCCGGCGCCATCTTTTTCCTTTTTCTCCTTCTTCAACCTTCGTTTTTCGCTTCGCCTTGCTCTTTCTCTTTTTCCCACACACGGCACCTGCGTGTCGGAGCAATCCGTCTTTTATGTTGAGACCTGCTTTTCCCACGTCGACCAACTTGATCCTCTGCATGCTTGCATGCAACTAACCCGTATAATGTGAGCATCCCCCAATCTACCCCCCCCTGCTACAACACACTTGCATGATGAACAAGATCCAAAAATCTTTTACGTTCTGGCGACAAATAAATGGGCCTGAACAAACATGCATCACCATCTGATCATTCCTTCAAATACCTTTTTGGTCTCCATTCATATGCCTGAATAGCTTCGCTGACAGCTATCCAAGACAGGATCGTAGCTTGCAAAGGGCTTTCAACCACCCCGTGAAATAATTAACTGGTATGCTTCCCTCGCTCTCCCCTTTCCCAATCAATTCACGTTTCACCTTCCCCCCTCCCAACTGGGACATCCTTTCATGATGAGAAAAATTTTTTCAGTTCTGCTTCTGCAAAAACCTTGAAGATAGCAAAATACCTTACCAAAAACTCCTGATCCAATTGGATAAACCCTACTCGAACTGTTCGCACTCGCTTCGTTAGCTCAACCAAGCTTACTAACAGCTTTCAAGACCCCAGGTACTCTATTGTAAAAACAAATAATAAAAAAAATCTACACGACAAATCCCAAATCCATCCACCATCAATAACTAGGTATGCTTAGCATCTCATTTTATTACACCACAACACCACACAAAAACCACCCACATACATACATACAACACACGATGATGACAACAAGTCAATCCATTCAATGATCTCTTCGGAGAACCGCCCCTCGAGCCTCCATCCACCACAACAAGGTATTGCTTATGGTACAGCGATCCACCTCTTTCATCTCCCTATACTGGACCTTACGCTAGCCTTCTCCCTTCCCCCCCCCCCCCTTCGGGGGGGTGGCGAGGTAGATAGGCAGGCGTTCAAGGGAGGAAGGTTGTGGATACATGGAGGGTGGGCTCACGTCGCTGTATTTCGCAATTTGCCATCGTTTCGGTGCGTATGTTGCGTTTGACTTGTGTCAGGGCTTGTTTTCTGGTTCGTCGTTCGTTTTGGATGGCGTTCTGGGGGATCGGAACTGGCAGGGGAAGGGCTGAATTTACCGGCTTGGCTGATTATGCCTATCTCTATTCTTCTCTTTTTTTAGGAGGAGGGGAGGAATAGCGATTTTTTTTTTATCTTTCTTTGATTATCACCATGTTACTCGGTGGATCGTGAGCTGACTTTGTTGTCTGGCTGCAGACTTTATCTTTTATCTATATATCCAGGTCTCATTCTTGAGATGCTATTTGAAATGAAATATATGATTGTTGCATTTGATATCATCTTTTTTCATACACCATACCAACCCCTGGTGTCAAGTAGAGTAAAGTAGCATGATATGTACCATGAACTGTAGTATATACACGCAACGAATCGGAGCTCTGAATGTCACTTCTAAAGCCATTCCTTCCCTGTTTTTGTATAACCGCCCCCTGTTTCCCACGCCTTGAAAACAATAAGAGAAAAGATATGAACCATCTCGAATTTTTTTAATCTTTAAAAGGAAAAAAGTGCAAAGCTGCACGCTCTCGAAATCTCGACTCCCATCTCCGCTCTCCAGCATCAACATGCGTGAAAAGAAGAAACAGGAGCCAAGATGAGATGGCAATTACTACCATCTCAACAACCCTCTGCTCTTCATGCTTCTGCTTTACCCTCGTGCCTCTCAGTCGGCGTTGTAGCACCATCTCTAGTCATGCTGTAAGGAGCCTGTCACGGATATATAATGTTAGAACGGCGCCGAGACAACCAGCCATGTGGTGCAGGGTAGGGTAGTAGTGTAGTTCATACCAGAACCCTCTTCGCATTACATATTCTCCAAGCCAGGTTGCGAACGGTTCCATCTGCGCGCACGACTTCGGGGGCGAATTCGATACCGAACCTGAAGTACATACAGGTTAGTATATATATAAAAGGCAACAGTGCAGGTCGCTGAACAGGATAGATAGGTAGGTAGGTAGGCAGGAATCTTACATCTGATGGACGGCAAACACGACTCGTTTGGCGAATTTACCGTCTCGCTCGACCAGACTTCCGAATTGCTCTTCGACGGTTTCCGGCGCGATCTCTGGGTCTAGGTCAAAGCAGTGGCGGACGACAGGTAACAGGCTCTTTTCAACAGAGGCCTGGCTGTCCTCGAATGACTCTTCGTCGAAGCGCCGGATGCGAATCTCGAATGGTCTCGTAATGGCCATGACATTATGCTTGCCGTTGTGGTGGTAGCGGAGTTCGAAGACACCCTGCGTCCAGAAGAGCTTGTCGCCAGAGAAGATGGCCTCGCCGGTGGCGATATCGCGATTCTCGTCGTCCTTGGCCACTACATCGCTGGTCACAATGCCCTTCTCGCAGGTAAGATTGTCGTAGGAGCCGTTATTCGTGGCAATCCATCTGCCTTGAGAGGAGACCCGCGTGACCTCGCGAGAAGTGTTGTCAGTGACTCGGTACAAGCCAATCCAATCCTTCTTGCAGTGGTTGATGGGGGCCGTCCATTTGACCTTGATTGGCGTGCCGTATTCAAGCACCAGGTTCTTCATGTCACCTCGCCGATCAAGAGGCACGCGAGCGTCAGCCCCTTCCCTCCCGCTCCCGTAGTCGCATTCGTCAAGCAAGGAGGAACCACCGCCCTCCACTTCCAGGGTATAGTTGCACGAATCAAATCCAGCAAGGTCCTCGTCGATTCGGGAGATGGTCACACGAGCGGGGTACTTCTGGAAAAGGGCGGTCGTATCCTTGACGAAGGTATTGACACCGGCGGCAAGTCTGGGGCGCGCGGTGTCGATCAGATCCTCAATAAACTCGAAGGATTCATCGAAGATCTTGTCGACGCTTCCATGAAGCTGCCGCAGAGTTGGGGGCAGAGTCCGCTTCAGGCTCTTGACCAACCCCGCATCCTGTCGCAGGCTCTGGCCATAGAGCTTCTGCATGTGCGGCCGCTCGACAAATTGAATGAAGGCCAGGCTAAGGATGTGGCTTAGAAGGGCAAGAAACGTGATTGCTCCACTACTTGTGATGAGGACAGCGCCCCAGACACCGGCCAGACCCAGCACACGTTCGGGGTTGTTCAGGAAGCGGTAAATACCATTGTACGTTAACTTATGGGCTCCCTCGAAGAAGAAGTCGCCATAGAACCATCCGAACTCGCCGAGAGACTCGTAGATGCTGACGGATGTCCAGATCTGCAAGCCAATAAGCCCTGCGCCCAGGACATGCCGGAGCAAGACCAGGCCGTAGCCCCAGTCGGCAGGGAAGGTGTACATCTTCCATACGGCAGCAATGAAACTGGCGTAGCACATGATCATGCTTAGATGATAAGTGCCCTTCCACTGGTTCCACGCCTCATTGGGTGTCTCGCCATACTTGAGGAAATGTCGGGTCCAGGCTTTACAGTCGGACTGACGGTCCAGCAGATACGCGATACCGACCGAGTACCAAAGTCTCCATACTGTCGCATTGGCCACAAAGAAGAACTGGTACCATGGCGTTGATGGTGTCAATATAGTAAGGGCGAATACGAGAAACTGGACCAGCATCGAGGACGTGTCGGTTGTCCGATACAGATCCAGGTTGTTGAACCCCAGTAGGTCGTGGACCGACGGAGGTGGGTTGCTTGGGTACGTTGGCGCTTGTGGCAATTGATAATCGACCGATGCTGACGCAACGGAGGGCTCCGCGGCCTGAGACGATGCAGATACAGATTCTTGGTCCGCCATACGCTTGCGCGGTGGCGGAGGATTGTACGTCTTGTCGATATGCGGGTTTTCGACAAGGACCAGAAAGGCGAATTGAGCTGCATGGGCGATGATCGAGATGAATAGCACCTTGTAACTGGCGGCCATCAAAGAAATACCGTAGTAGCCAGCGTAGCCGACCGAATACATAGGGTGGGGAGCCATTTCGAAGACGCCATCAAACGTCAACTCCTGGTCAATGAGGTAGAAGAAATCTCCCCAGTACCACGCATAGTCTTTCACCACTCTATGCGCGTCTAGCTTGACCCAGAGGTTGAACAGCACCAGCACAATACCGGCCGACCAACGCAATGTCGTCATCAGCATGCTCTCGCCCACCGGATGGTGACTACATGCTATCGCAAAGAGGCAATATGATGTGAAGTCGCACATCAAGATCAGATCCACCAGGCGCCTGAAGACAAGCCAGGTGTTGTACTCCAGAGGGGCCTCTTCGAACGAATAATCTGCGGGGATTTTAGTCTCCAATTCCCTCTTGATCAGTTTATAAAGATGAGGGTGCGGGTTCTTGTTGGTGGCAGGGTCCACGAAGATCCCTGTCTTCTCCGCCCAGCGAACAAGAGTTTTGTTGTGGGATTGGTTGTGAAGCAGCCATCCTATTCCAGCATTGTAGGCTGCGCGCCAAAAGAGGTAGATGACTGCGAACACCGGTATTTTGGCACCTACAGGGAGCCACCACAGCAACCAGATGTGTGCCCCGAGTATGGCCAGAACCGTCAAATCGGACAGATTCTTTGGTTCCGAGGGCGACAGGAGTTGAGAGACCATGTCGTGGGTTTGGGGGACCGTGAACACTATAAGACAGCCACACGAGTTAGCCGGGGTCTTCCGCCACCCAGACGACAAACAACGCCATTGTCGAATAAGAACAGAGACGTATGCAAGCAGCAAACAATTCCCAGGGGTACTTTGGAGGCAGATCTTACCTGTGCCATCGGGGGTCCGGCCAAATGTTTTCTTGTCGTTGTTGGCACTGTCCTTGGCTTCGACCTCACCCGCGGCAGTGAGTGCCTCGGAACTGAGTATTGACTCAGACTGAGAGGGCGGATTCCTCTCTCGAAGTCCATCGTCCCCAAAATGAGTGCCTGTTGAGAGGCCTCGATCCATAATTGCTACTACTGAGCTGAGAGGGGAAAGAATTCAGGAGGAAAGAAAGACAGGAATTATCACGGCGGGAGCAGAAGCATGTGACAGAGACGCAGGGCGTGGGCTGTATTTAAATCCGGTGATTGGTCTGTGCACCCGGCGGCCGCATTGAGGGGGGTTGGCCCGCTAAGGACGAAAGGATACCGTCTCGTAAAGGAACAACGCACCAGGAACGTGCAGTGGACGAATGGTGATGCCGGGAGACGAGTCGGAAGACGGTCGATGTATTTATTCCGCAAAGTGTTGGGAACTGGGGGAGACACTCTGTAGGTACTTTACATGTGCCCACTATCCACGACGGGGCTAGCAGGGTGGACCCCGTGCACTGCCTGGGGAAAGAACGGAGGCCCGGACAAGTCGGACTGACGCCAACAGAAGAATTGGCTGGAATGGTAGAGAACCAGGGAACAGCGGGGTCCAACGACGTTTCCCACCCATTTACACCTATAACTACCGAGTCGGAGCCTGCCTATCTAGTAGAGAGCCTAGGAAACTTCCCTACGTAGGGAACAAGCTCACCCCCTCCAGACTCGGTCTATCTTTCTCACCAATCATGGCTGAAAGCGACCACATCCCCTTCTACTGTGCACTTGTGCTTTGTACGTGCACGGTCTAGACATGGTGGGATGCATGAGCATGTCAAAAACTTGGTTCCGGGATGCACTCCCCCCCCATGCCATCATTCGGCCAAAAAGATGACTCCCGCAGAGTCATTCGCGCCATCCACAAAGCTACCATGGTACAACGCTGCGTTCTAGGGCGGGAACTGCGCCTGAGACTCGTTCACGGGCCACTGGATATCTCCTTCCATCAATAGAAAATCGTGGGTACTACAGCCGGATATCTGCCTGGGATGACCCCAGGCCGGCACATGCAGCTAGTAGCTATGTACCTGGCTCGCTTGTCTGCGATGAGGGCGCTTTGTGGACCACCCCCCCTTCCCCCCGTCCTGTAAAGTGTAAGGTAGGGAAGAATCCCGAGGATAGCAGTCTTCTGGCCTTCCGAAGGTGGAAATTGATAGCCGGAACCAAGCAGGGTGTTTGCATGCATGAATACTCGGGCTTACGTGAATGAGTATTTAAGTACTCCGTACTCCGTATTTATTTCGAATCTAGCACGTCGTCTAGATAGAGGAAGCCGTCTCGATGCTATGAGATTTCCCTCCTAGGTGAAACCAGCCATAATCCGATTCCTGGTCGGAGAACAGTTTATGATGTCATACCTGAGGCCACCCACCCGCCTTTAAAGTTCTGACATTGCATGTCCATGGAATCGATTAATCGAGACTCGAGACCAGTTCATGTCTCTATATTGTGCTACCTACTCCGATCATGGTTGCGAAAGGACCTAGACCCTCAGATATGGTCTTTGTTGACGCCTCCGAGCACTAGATTGTAAACCCCACAGCCCCTGGATATTCTGGACACCAAAACGAATGGTAGTATCTACCAACACATGTCTACCTTATATAGGGTATCGTGATCGCCGCGACCATTCCAAATCTCAGTAGGTCATTGCACAAAGTAAATCTCTTACTCTCTTAGCATCCTATCGAGAAAATGACATCCTACTCCTGCACAATCCACAGCACGGACCGGATGGGTGGAACTGATGTGATCGAACACCTGCGAGACCATCATGCCAACTTTATCAGGCGGTCTGAGCCTTTTGGCAGGATGGACAACCATGGACATAAGTATTATTGTTTTGGCTGCAAAAGCCCTTTCAAAGACCACAGAAGTTATAACACGGAAAAAGCAATGCTTGCGCACCTTCGTGACTGTCATAGTAGCGTAATGACCTACATAAAACGGGATGCACAATGGTCGGATAAAGAAGACGGGTGAGTGAGGCATCTTTATTACTAGTATGCCCAACTTCGAGACATGAAAGGGTGACAAATCATTCTGCTTTGTACAAAGGTGATTTCCTCTAATTTGCAAAGACACCATGAACAGTTTTCTTACCTGCGGCAATAATTTCCAAGTACTACTGTAATTCAGCACAGGTCTTGAATTAATGGGCGATGGAGTTATTGCAATAGTTCAATCAGGATGAGTCATAAGTGCCATTGGACAAGATTAACGTCTAGCTGCATCTATATTTCATCAGTACCTAGTAGTAAGTGTGAGTTTGACTGCGATCTTATCGGGCTCCGACACCGCTGCTCCCCCCGCGCCAATCGCCACCGGAGCGTTTGTCATCCCGATAAGTTTGGCTGATTATCAAGCATCCCGCCCGCATCACGCCTCCGCCACTTTTCTTTTGCAATCCCACCCAACCTGCAACACACAACGGCATTTTCCCAGTCTATATTCTTGATTTCTGTGGTACCCTCACAGAAAACAGCATATACGAAGGGTACTGAAACAGGCTGGTGACCCAGAATGGCCCCGTCACTCGAGGAGCCAACGGCAGCCTTCGAGGCGCCGTCGAAGATGGCACCGAATTTGGTCGCCCCCGAGCCAGGTATGTCTGCGCTGAGACAGTTATGACCGACATAACATATACTAATTATTGCGAAGAGCATTGCCCTGGACCCGAGTCTGAGCAAGCAGGACAAGGTGACGCCTGCGCTGGCTGCCCGAACCAATCCATCTGCGCATCTGCGCCCAAGGGCCCCGACCCCGATATCCCTATCATCACCGAACGCCTTTCGCAAATCCGACACAAGATCCTAGTACTCTCCGGTAAGGGTGGCGTTGGAAAATCGACCTTTACCTCGCTCCTTGCCCACGCCTTCGCGTCCAACCCCGACTCGACCGTGTCCGTCATGGATACAGATATCTGCGGACCGTCGATCCCCAAAATGATGGGCGTTGAGGCGGAGACGATTCACGTGAGCAATGCGGGATGGAGTCCGGTGTGGGTTACGGATAATCTTGCGGCCATGAGCGTGCAGTTCATGCTGCCCAACCGGGACGATGCGGTGATTTGGAGGGGCCCGAAGAAGAACGGGCTCATCAAGCAATTCCTGAAGGATGTCGACTGGGGGGAGATGGACTACCTGATCATCGACACGCCGCCCGGAACGTCGGACGAGCACCTGTCCGTCAACTCGCTCCTCAAGGAATCCGGGGTGGATGGCGCGGTGGTTGTCACGACCCCGCAGGAGGTCTCGTTGCTGGATGTCAGAAAGGAGATTGACTTCTGCCGCAAAGCGGGGATCCGAGTCTTGGGGTTGGTCGAGAACATGTCGGGCTTCGTGTGCCAATCGTGCAACACCGAGAGCCAGATCTTCCGGGCTACCACGGGGGGCGGAAAGCGACTTGCCAAGAAGATGGGCATTCCTTTCCTAGGAGCGGTGCCTCTGGACCCCAGGGTTGGCATGGCTTGTGACTATGGCGAGAGCTTTGTGGACAGTTTCCCGGATAGTCCGGCATCAAAAGCGATTAAGCAAGTTGTACGGTCGGTTGCACAGACAATTGGCGAGGACCCGAACGATGTGTTGCCGGAGGACATGGTGTGATACGTTGCTTTCACTTTTTTTTTTTCTTTCTTCCTTTCATCTTCAGCGTGGAGCATCGGGATAGCAAGGTGGGGTTTCCTAGAATCTTTTCGCGGGAATGCCGGGCGTTTTGGCTTAGAGTCATTTAGATACCAGATCTTTTCAACCATTGTTTTCCGCACGGCCTTTTTGGTCTGCATCCGGACTTGCTATTTTTATGCCCCAAGGCGTTCTTTGACTAGATAATCTCCGATGGTTCGACCCCCCGGTTGGGGGCGCTCTATGGTTTGGGGGCCGCTCGGTAGGGAACTCGTGTACGACAACAAGTTCGATTCGGGGGGCATCCATCGTTCGTGTGTCGATATTACACAGTAGTAGCGCTCACTAAGCCCCAGATCCAGTTGGATCGCACACACAGTAGGTTTGTCTACCTACCTACCTGGTTAGGAATGTACACACTGCTTGACGCAAGTGCCGAGGAACTCCCCCCCCCCTCTGGACCTATTCAATTTGACACCCCGGCGCCCACTAAATAACCTTTTTCATCTCACCGTTTCCTTGGCCGTGTTTGAAGCTGGCCAAGCGCCTATTGTCCCGATCCGCCCAGGACCCCGAAGTCAACACAATAAGGTCTGAGGAACCCCGTTAGGAGCACACTGCCTCGAGTTGATTGGATCCCCGTGAGGCGTTAAGCCGCCGTCGCTCTGCCCAGGCGTTGATGGCACCTTAACTTAGTATTATTAGCAGCAATCCTAAAATCGTACGGTCCACCTCTCTCGAGTCATGGTTTTATACCAGTAACTAACTAGTTAACTAACTACACTATGGATAGGATTAGTCAACAAAGACGAGCTAGGCAAGTGCAGGATCATCGATCCCGGAGGGTACCGGACTGAATTGACGCAGGAACCGTTTATGTCCAATACTTGAGTCTGTTAGAACCAAAAGAAATCCGCGGCGTACGCGGCCTGAGTAAGACTTCCTTCTGGGTAGATCTATCTATGTAGTACTTACGTAGGTAGGCACCTCACGCAGCTCACTTGTACGACGTATCCAACCCCCACGGCCACGCATCGAATGCATAAGCCATGCAGCCATTGGCGTGGTGGTCAATTGAGGATGCACAATGCATCCCTGCTGCCTGATTTCTGGGGAGGGAGGGGGAGGGGGAGAGGGGAGAAGGGATGCACCAATGGAAGCCACGGTGAATTTTTTTTTGTTTTTGCCCAAGCTGTAACACGACAAGCCATTGGACTGCTTCAGAGCACGCTGGGGTGTTTCACCGTCGCGCAGGCCGAGCGGGTGGCGGTTTCAGGGCGGAGAGCGGCGGCCATTCAGGGCCGCGCCTGGGCTGCTGTCAGGGCTCCAGTCGCTCCAGTCGCTCCCAGTCGCTTCAGTCGCCCAGGCGGCGGCTGTCAAACCCACGCGCGCCACGGCCATTGCACCCCTCGCCGAGTCTTCAGTCTTCAGTCTTCAGTCTCCAGCTCGCCCAGCGGAGATCCATCAACCCATTAACCCAAAGCCCCTCCGTGTCAGGCAAATGAGATGGCTCCTCCCCGTTGGTCCGGGCCAAGTGCCTTGGCTCTGCCCTCCCTGTCCGGATTGGCCGGCCTGTCCACCGTGAGATTTTTAGACTCGCCTGCTCCAGCAAGTTGGAACCTGGAACAGGGCCCCTCTCCGTGAATCCGTACTAAATACCGACCGAGTGGACCATGCGTACTAAGTCAGGTCGCTCGCTCTTGGTGTCTTGGGCGCATTATACCAGCTCGTGCGAGGGTGAATGCCCTCCGGCCTTTCCTTTCCTTTCACCTCACCTTTTATAGACTTTCCCCTCCCCCCCCCTCCCCGGTAAACAATGAGAGTATAATTCCTTCATTTTTTCCCCCATTTCTTTTCTTTCGTTGGGATTGCCTGCTTGGGGTTATTTTGCTGAAAGTAGTTTTTGTGATCTGTTCGCTTTGCGCTGTCCTCTTGCTCACTCCAGCCTTGTACCTCATCCAGTATAATAGGTAATAGGCGAAGTCACGGCTTTGGCCCCCATACTGCTTTCCCCCCCCCTTATATGCTCATTCCTGCTGGGAAGGAATCGTTCTCTCCATACATACTTAATACTTTTGTTGCGATCTTTTGTTTTCTTTCTCCAGCACCTGTCGGGTCCTGCCACTCTTTTACAGCCAGAGCCCGCGATAATTCGAGCCAGCATCATGCAGCTCCTCCAGTCCCTCATTTTGGCCGTCTTCTTCAGCTACGGCGTCCTCTCGTTACCCCACGGCCCCAGTGGCCAACACAAAGCCCGTTCCTTCAAGGTTGCTCGCGTTCGTCGCGGCACCGGTGAGCTGCACGGCCCCTCTGCTCTCCGGAAGGCATACAGAAAGTATGGCATCGTCCCGGCCAAGCTCAACATTGACCTGGCGGACTTTGAGCCCATCACTACGGAGCACACTGCTGCTGTAGCTGCAAGTGACGATGACTCGGAGCCCGACCAGACCGGCGCGGTCAGCGCGACATCCGTCGAGGGCGACGCCGAGTTCGTTTCGCCTGTGATCATCGGTGGCCAGAAGATCGTCATGACGTTCGACACCGGATCGTCCGACTTGTAAGTTGCATCGAAATCCGGCCGTCTACTCATACGACCCCCTAACACAGATCGTTCGCAGCTGGGTGATGGACACACGGATCCAGGAGACCTTGACAGGCCACACGGAATACAACCCGTCGAACTCCACCACCTTCAAGGAGATGGCAGGCTACAGCTTCAATGTCTCGTACGGCGACTCCTCTTACGCTGCTGGTCCAGTGGGCACGGATGTCGTCAACATCGGAGGCGCAATTGTCCAGAATCAGGCTTTTGGCATCCCCACCGAAGTGTCCGGGTCCTTCGTCGAAGACACCAACTCCAACGGTCTGGTCGGAATGGGCTTTTCTAATATCAACACCATCCAGCCCAAGGCGCAGGACACGTTCTTCGCCAATGTCGCGCCCAGTCTGGATCTCCCCGTCATGACTGCGGCCCTCAAGAGCGACGGCGTGGGCGAGTTCGAGTTCGGTACGATCGATCAGAGCAAGTACTCGGGTGGCATTGCCAATGTCAGTGTGGACTCCTCGAACGGATACTGGGAGTTCGTCACCCCTCAATACTCTGTCAACGGCGGAGAGCTGAAGTCGATTGGAACTGTCAACACCTCGATTGCCGACACCGGTACTTCCCTGATGCTGCTGAACGAGGACGTGGTGAAGGATTACTATTCGCAAGTCCCCAAGTCGGTCTATGTGGACAGCGTCGGTGGTTACATCTACCCTTGCAACACCACGCTTCCCAACTTCGGAATCGCCATCGGCACGGAGAGTCTGGCCACGATCCCCGGCAACCTGATCAACTTCTCGAAGGTCGGCACCAACACGACTACCGGCGAGTCCCGTAAGTGATATCCGTTGCTCTAGTGGGTAGTGGCTTGTTTCCCCCGACTGACATTGAATGAATAGTGTGCTACGGCGGCATCCAATCCAACGCGGGCGAATCGCTGCAAATCCTCGGCGACACCTTCCTGAAGGCCTTCTATGTGATCTTTGACATGCGCGGACCGTCCCTCGGCGTTGCGGCTCCGAACTAAATTTCCTTCCATGTACATTGACATTCCCCCGTCGGTTTAACGATATCTCCCGAAGTTCGAGCTGCATTTTGTGGATAGAAGGAGAGACCCAGTGCTCGCGTGCGCGTGCATTCTTTCCGCTGGGGTCTGGGAATGGCGAACGGGACCATCGATGTAATAACAACCGTACAGCAGCTAGCAATAATAAAGAGTCAACTGCCCCTGTCGGAAATCAGCAGGCATCGAGTTTAATTATAGTATTGTCCATAGTTATAACGTTCGATCCCCAGGCTGGTCTGTTGCCAGTCCAACTGTGCTGAGTCAGCTGGCAGCCCTAAACGCTTTCAGGCAGTCGTCGCGGATCAGCGAAAAAAGGGCGCAAAAAGGGAGGTGGGAAAAAAGAAAAGAAAAGGAACCGCCGCGTGCAGCGCGACTGGAAGCAATTGTGTCCATCCAGCCTGTAATTGCTCTTCTCCTCTGGCCAAACCACTTAATCTGACCACCCACGATCCCTGTCCTGGGATCTCCTCGCCAAGTTGACGCTCCTCGCCCAGCGCGGCGTGGCCGTCCTGCGGGTCGCCAGCAGAAGAACCCCGCGGTTCGCCCGGCCGTCGGTGACTGAACGCCTGCCACCGTCAGTCCATCTCAATCCTGCCCCTCCTCTTCTCTCCTCGCCCACCACCTCGTCTCTCCTCCTCCCTGTCGTCGTCGCCCGTCCATTCGCAAAAATGGCCATCAACTCCGCCCCCGAGACCTCCCTCCTCGCCCTCCTCTACCGCTCCTACCCGACCGCCGTCTCCCCCGACGCCACGGAGCCCGACCTCCACACGGCCACACCCAAAATCTTCCCGCAGACCAACTTTTCCGTCGCGGAAGAGGCCGACATCCAGCAATGGCTGGCCACGATCTCGGGCCTGCAGACCGCCCTCGTCAAGGATGACAAGCCTCTCGTCTCCACCATCCTCTCCCAGATCAACTCTCACCTGGCCGCGCGCACAACCCTGCTGGGTGCGAAGCCCTCCGTGGCTGATATTTCCGCCTACGCCCTCCTCGCCCCCATCGTCGAGAAGTGGACCCCCGAAGAGCGCACCGGCGAACAGGGCTACCACCACATCGTGCGTCATGTCGACTTCGTCCAGAATGCCCAGCTCTTCGGCCTGTGCATCCCCGAGGAGGAGAAGATCGCCATCGACCTGAACGACGTGCGCTTCGTGCCCAAGCCCGTCGACCCCAAGGAGGAGAAGGAGCGCAAGAAGAAGGAGAAGGCCGCGGCCCAGAACGCCGACGCGGGCAAGCCCCTCGTCGTCGGACAGGGTAAGCCCGAGGCTGCCACCAAGGCCAAGGACGGCGAGGCCAAGGACGCCGCCGCGGCCGGTGCCAAGGGCGAGGGCAAGCCCAAGAAGGAGAAGAAGGAAAAGAAGGAGAAGCCGGCCAAGGCTGCCCCTGCCCCTGCCGCGCCCCCGTCCCCCTCCGTCATCGACCTGCGTGTCGGCCACATCCTCCGGGCCGTCAACCACCCCAACGCCGACTCCCTGTACGTCTCGACCATCGACTGCGGCGATGCCCCGGGCACCGAGAACACCTCTCTGGACGAGGCCACCGGCAAGACCGTGCGCACCGTGTGCTCTGGCCTGAACGGGCTCATCCCCCTCCCGGAAATGCAGGACCGCAAGATCGTCGCCGTCTGCAACCTGAAGCCCGTCACCATGCGTGGCATCAAGTCCTGCGCCATGGTTCTGGCCGCCTCTCCCCGTGTCGCGGAGGGCGAGGACTCGCACGCTGGACCCGTCGAGCTCGTCATGCCCCCCGCCGATGCCCCCGCCGGTGAGCGCATCTGCTTCGACGGCTGGACCGAGGGCGAGCCCGAGAAGGTTCTCAACCCCAAGAAGAAGGTCTGGGAGACCTACCAGCCCGGCTTCACCACCACCGATGACCTCGAGGTTGCCTTTGACATGACTGCTGTCCCCGCTGTGCAGGGCCAGGAGGGCAAGCCCGCCCTGGGCAAGTTGAAGACCGCCTCCGGCGTCGTCTGTGTCGTTAAGACCCTTAAGGGCGCCGCTGTCCGGTAAAGAGGAGGGTTTCATAGATGAGGAAGTGGGTCATGAAAAGGAGGAAATAGTTTTTTTTTTTTTAATAAAAAAAATGAACAACGCACTCAATGGGACATGTCTGCTCTATGGGAACGTAAATAACTACCTGTGATTGTGATTGTCATTGTGATTGATAGCGGTTAGATGAGAAATGAGGATTTCTTTCCATGTTGTACTGCTGCTGTATTGCTTTGTTGGACGGTTCTACATTTGGACGAGATCCTGTAGGCTTTTGATACTTATATACTACTACTTGTAGACCCCACTGCCTGAACGCTCTTTCCGAAAAGGGAAGGGACGGCCAACAACCAGTACCAGTACTTACTAGATATGCGCCGGAGTCTTCATATCGAGGAGAGAGAACTCGAACTTATCTCCTGCAACCCTCCACTCGCCCACCCTTCTCAAGGAAGGCGATCATTTAGCAGTTCAATCCTCACTTCATCTTCCCTTCTACATTTAATTACACACCATCACTATCATCATCATCATCATCATCATCATTACAATCACCAAACCGGAACAAATCCGAATCTCGGGGGTTAAACCCGCCCATCCCTACCAAACCTACAGACAAATAACCCGACGCGGTGACTGGTGAGACCTCTCTCCTTCTCCCCCTCCTTCTTCCCCTCCTTTCTCCCCCTCTCCCCTCCCTTGTTCTCCCCCGCACTTCCCACCCGTCTACTTCTCGACAAGCCTACTCCGAGTCTGACTGTTTGGCCTAGCTTCCTTAGCTTCATTAGCTTAGATTAGCTTAGCTTATCGTTCATTAATCTGGTGTCTATCTATCCACCCATCCACGTCCACGGGATTCACATGCGCCATGCCTAGTATGAGAGCTGTTCGATACCATGGACCTGGGGATGTCCGGGTCGAGGAGATCGAGGAGCCGAGGTGTGGGGTGGGGGAGGTGAAGGTTTGTTTGTTTGGATCACTTTGTTATTGTTATTGCGTGGCCTGCCTCTTTATGGCTATGGTGGTTGTTTGTTTACTTTGTTTGCTTGCTGATCTACTTACTATCTTCTGTATAGATCAGGCCTGCGTTTGTAGGTATTTGCGGAAGTGGTACGTTATTCTGTCCCATCTTATCTCCCATATCCCTCTTGACTACACACCTACCTGTCTACCTACCTGTCCGTGTACCAAGGTCCTATCTAAGGCATACAAACCTACGTGTCCATCCCCACCCATATATCCAAAACCCAGCTGACTGATATCCAATAGACCTCCACGAATACTTCCACGGCCCCCTCACCATCCCCCGCGCCAAGATCCCCATCACCCTAGGCCACGAATTCAGTGGCACGATCACGGAGATCGGCGCTGGCGTGACGCTCGCCAAAGTCGGAGACCGGGTGGCCGTGAAGCCGAATCTGGTCGATGGGGGTTGTGTGGCTTGCCTGCGGGGTTGGTCCAATTGTTGTCGAAATTTGGGGTTTGTGGGGTTTAGTGGTTAGCTTCCTCCCTTGTTTCCAGTGAGGTATTTGATTTATTGGAGTGCGCCTTTTTCTACGGGGGCTATGCTGATGCATAACTTGGGTTAGGCGATGCAGGGGGAATGTCAGATTTTGTGGTTGTTAGGGAAGAACAAGCCATTCTGCTGCCAGCGGGTTTTGCTCTAGATCTCGGGGGTAAGCTTCCAGGTTTCCTTTCTTGTCTGATGATTACAGGGGTGTTTGGTGCTCGGGGTTTGGTTTGTTGCTGATAGGCTGCAGCCTTGGTTGAGCCGTTGACCGTGGCATGGCATGCGGTGAATCGCTGCTCTCTGCGTGATGCCCGCACAGTGCTTGTGGTTGGTGGCGGGCCTATCGGGCTTGCTGTGCTCCTGGTTCTCAAGGCCCGCAGAGTGGAAACAGTCGTCGTTGCTGAGATCTCGGTCCAACGGCGGGAACTTGCCCGCACTTTGGGTGCCACATGTGTCATTGACCCTCAAACGGAGGATGTTAATTCCAAGGTACGTGGAATGACTATGGGCATGGGTGCGGATGTGGCTTTTGAATGCTCTGGCGCGCAGGCTGGCCTCGATACTGCCGTAACAGGAATCCGAGAGCGAGGGACGGTTACGATTGTGTCACTGTTTGTGGAGAGACCGTCAGTTAATGCGCTCGGTGTGGTTCTGGGCGAAAAAAGCGTTATGGGGGCTGTCATCTATGAAGATGGGGATTTCGAGGCCGTCATCGAAGCGATATGGTCAGGTAAGTGGACAATAATGTATCCTGTTTTGCACTGCCAGGGGGCTGACAGAACCGCCTGCAGGCAAACTCGACCCCAAAGCTCTGATCACCAGCAAGATCCGCATGGAGGACATCGTGGAAAGGGGGTTCCAAGCTTTGGTCAAAGGAAAGGATCAACACGTCAAGATCTTGGTTGATATCGCGGCTTAGTGTCCGAGACGGGCTGTGCGGTTGCACAAGACGACTGGATCAGCTGCGGCTGTAGGTCGCACGGTCTGGAAGCAAAACGGGCCACGGATGTATAGTATCTTCTCGGGCGTTCTGCCGTGTTCTGTGGAATACATGACTGCCACGCACTTTCGCCTTTGGTATTCGTGTCCTTCCCGGTACCAGCCAGCTATTTTGCCCAGCGGTCCCAGCGGATGCCGGACGGAGACGCCGTCAACATCACCGCCGGTCAGCAATGCCAAGCCAGCTCGATTCCTGTAGACTCGGGTTTCCGCGCTGGGGGGGGAGGACGCCTTGTTGGTGCGGCGCTGATGTAGAACCTTACCGCATTGCCTGTCAGCAAGCGAGGTCGAGAGCCTTGGCTTGGCCGGTAGATGTCGCCTTCCGGTCCCAACACGTGTGAAGTGAATACGAGACAACAAACAGGCCCCTCCCAGCGCTGAGCCCAGGGGGCGAGAGGGGGGGGGGGGGATGCAACCACGACAGCAGGCGTCCAGTCCACCGGAATGGCGCTGGAGTGCCAAGCAGCGCACGCCGAGCACTGCTGGGCGGGGTGATCCTCGTATCACCATCCCCGTGTAAACAGTAGGAGTGAGTCGATGACACCTGGATCCACCGGTCCTATGGGGTAATGAATGTTCGACTGGCATTAGTTTTCATTCTTCCCTAGCGATCATCGTGTCCCATTAACCTTGGTCGTGGCGGCTAACACGACTGAAGGTTCCGTACCTACAGACCAGTCAGCCAACACGTTGTCCGACATGCCACAACACAGGTCTCTCTCAAATCAAAATCACTACTAACCCCGACAACCCCCATATCTACCCCCGAGATGCCCGGAGATAACCCGGATGCCATCACGCGCAGCAGAACAGCCAGTTCCAGTATGAATCAATGTTCCCACCGACTCGCCCCCCCCCCCCCCCCCCAGTTCCCAAAGGCTAAAGATTAGTGGAGGGCTAGTCGCCTGGTGGCTGCAGAGAGGAAGAAGGACATGCATGCATTGGATCGCGCGATTGAACGCCACAGCCCGGGGGGCACCAACTCTATACACGTCGGTCCGCCCGTCCGTCTCTTCACCTAACTCACCCACGGACCCCCTCCCTCATGGTAATAACGACCGGTGGCTCCCTCGTTTCTTTTTCTTGTCCGCGGGTCATGGTGATCACAGTAGATATTCCGACCATACTTTTTTTTTTTTTTTTTTTTTTTTTTTTGCTGTTGCGGGCGGTGATGATCATGATGGCCTGCTGGACATTCGAATCCAGGGGAGGGATTCGGATGATGTGCCGTGGAAATCGGAGAATAAGAGGCGAGGGAGGGGATCTCGTTATTCTCCAAAGAAGGAAAGTATACGAGGAATCGGTTACTCAAAACAAAGAGTCAACGTCCGGATGATGAAATGCGAGCCTAAGGGCGGCTCACGCGAGATGGATGCATGGATTGGAAGGGGCGATGTACGATGGGCTGTATGTCTCGCCTCCACCGCGCGCTGCGTTGCCAATTTCGATCCTGGTCCTGGAAAATCATTATTCTGCCTCGAGCTGTCTCGTCGCGACGTAGGGGTTTATTATGGTCGGATCTTCCCCGGACCTTCTTCCTCGGGGAAAGGGAAGGAAAGGGACAAAGAAAGCAAGAAACAGACCCAGAAGGGGAAAAGAAAAACAAGTGGAAGCCAGTTGTGATTTATGAAGAAGCAACTTACTTCATCCATGACAGGCAAGGCACAAGTATCTACCCCGTACCTCTTCTGCTGCTCGTCGTACCTCATTGACGCCATATCAAACGGGGTTTCACCCATCCGTCTATTAATAACCTCCCCCTCGATTGACTGATCCATTCGTTGTTGATCAATTCTCTCGTCCACCGCCCTCCCTGGTTTTCTTCCGAGTGGAGCCCCCTTTCAGCCCACTCCACCCACGGTTTCAAGTCTGGTTGGTCTCTCTCTCTCTCTCTTTCTCTCTCTTGCATCTCTTGCTGCTCTTTTTCGTGCCTGGCGCATCTCCGGGCAGATTGCCGTCCGTCGGCTTTGCGGCCCCTCCATTTCCCTGGTTCGCAGTCGATCGATGCCCTGATGTTCTGATTTTTTATCCGCCTTCTGATAGTTCGTGCTTCTGATTTGTTGCCCTTGGTTTTTTGTCATTGTTTGGGATTATTCGTGCTGGCAGATACATTTTTGCTTTTTTTTTTTTTTTCTTTTTGTCTTTTTTCTCTCTGTCCTGCTCCTTCTGCAAGTCTGCAGTTGGCCCCTCTGTTTATTTTACTAGAAATTGATCATTTTATTCTTCTATCTTCATTTCAATTCATTTCATTATCATTACTCCTCCGGCTGCGGGTTGGGTTGACCTTGCTGGACAGTGGACAGACAGACAGACAGACAGACAGACAATACTTGGACGGCGAGATGTTTTGATCTCTTTGGCTCTGTTCACTACATTGCATCGCTTATTATTAGAGAGGTGGCCGGCGTCTCTTAACTTGGCTTCGTTCGCTCGCTAGCCTCCGCCCCTCGTTTGTCGTGTCGTTCACGTCTTGGACTGTCTTTCTTTTATATTCCTGCTAAGCATGTTGCGCTGACTCTGGTGCTCCCGCTGAGACCGTTTCTACCCTACCTTCCTACCACTGACGGCTATACCCTACGGTTCTCGGATTGATCGATCGTCGCACCCATGGGGACTCCATTGGTTGGTACCGCGATCATCACAGGAGGGAATGGGCTCCTTGGATCGGAGATAGCGGTCGCCATCGCCAAAGCGCAACCGTACGTGCACCTGTTGCTGGTGGCCCGCGATATCCGATCGGACAGCGTCAAGGATGTGACGGACCGGATCCGCCTAGTCGGCCCCAGGTCCGTCGAGGTGGTCAAGGCGGACCTGGCGTGCTTTAACTCGGTCGTGAGCTTTGCCCAGTATACTGTCGAGAGGGTCCAAAGCAAACAGATCCCTCCTGTCATCCTTTTGATCAACGCCGCGGCCATTTCGTCATACGTTACCGATCAGGTCACACGAGATGGGTACGATCCCGTCTATCAGACCAACTGCATCGCTCCGTTTCTGTTGACCGTGAGTCTGCTCGAGGCCTTCCGCGCGGGCGACGGTACACCAAACGGCGGCGCCCGAGTGATCAATGTCGGATGTTCCTCCATGTCCAAGGGCTCCCTGGACTATTTTGACGAGGACCCGGAGAGGGCCGACCTGCCCCCCGGGACGCCTCTGAGCACCAAGGAAGCGACTGCCCGGTTCGGGAGTAGTAAGCTCTCGATGAGCGCCACCATGTATGCCCTGCGGCGAAGTCTGGTCCTGGTGAGTCCCTGACTGATATATTATAGATATATCCATCCATCTTCCCTTCCGGCTTGCTGTGACCCACTTCCCACTAACTAACCCCTGCCGAACCCGTAGACCGGCAGCATTGCGCTCAACGTATACACGATGGATCCCGGCGGCATGACCGGAGAGAGCCAGCTCACGACGGCCACCGCGCCGTTATCGGTCAGAATGGCGCACCAGACACGATCTGGACTCCGACCGTTCCTGCGGGTGTTCTCCAGGAGCGCGATCAACAAGGCCAGCGTTCCAGCCAAGGCGATCGTTAAAGTGGCATTCCAGAAGGACACGGTGGAGAACTGGGGCAGGGAGCGGTACTATGTGCTGGATCGCGAGTATGAGGCCGCATCCGTCATTCCTGCCTTGCGGGACGTGCCGCGCATGGACGGCTTGCTCCAGAAGGTGATGCGACAGGTTGAGATTGGAGTCAAGGGGATGGGGTCGCCGCAATCACGCGTTTCACGATTGACTGCTCGTTAGGTGAAGTCGTGGGCTGTCGGGGGTTTGGTTTGGTTTTTTTTTCTATCTTTTCTTTCTGTGTCCAAAATTCTTTTTATTTTCATTCTATTGTTAATTTTTTTTTTCTCCCGGTTCTCTTCAACGGCATTTTGGGGGTGGGGGAGGGAGGCGTTGGGTTGGGTTGCGTTCATCGTTCATCGTTCATCTTGGGTTGTAACTATTGTGGGCTTGCAGATAAGGAGTTTGGTTGTCTCTTCTTCTTCTGGTTTTGCCTGCCTGGTACCTATATAACAATGGCATGTTTCTGTAATTAGAAACCGGACTGGAGGGAGGACTCCGTATCTAGTCCGTACGTACTTATCTACTCCGTACTGCAAACGGGCGAGGGGGATGGCCGGATTCGGATCTGGGCCCGGGCGGCGGGCCGGGCTTTTGGCTGGCTAGCCTCGTCGCCGCCTTGAGCCTGCCTGCCGTACGTGCGGAAGACGCAATCAATGCTACCGTCAGTCAGTATTATTCCTTTCTCTCGCTCCTTCGCCGCCCTCCCACTCCCTCCCTCCCCCTTAGCCTTCGCGGCACCTTCTTATATTCCCTGGGATCGGTGATCCTCCCCTCGCTCCCGCTCCGATTTTTCCACCTTCCCTATCCCTGCGCATTTTCTAGGTGGCAACCAACCTCCACGCCTGTGTCGCCCTCGTCTCCAGGATCTGGGTGCCTAGGAGGTTCGTTGCGTCGGGACTCGGCTTCCTAGCTACAGCTACAGCTACATGCTGTCATCTTCGGAGCCATGAATAGGCATCACGCCTTCACGAATGGCTATGCTGCCTACCCTCGCGGGAAAGGCAGCACCTTTTCCATCTCCCCCCACCGGTAAGCTTGCCCCGGATCTTCCATCGCATACCATCCACCTACTCTCCTTCACATGAACACCGGACCCCCCCGATCGGCCCCCCCCCCAATTCCCCTCAAGTCCGCCACGCAACAAAATATCCGCCGCTAACAATGGCTTTACAGCTTTCAACCGCGGCCCCAACCGGCAATGCGACGTCGCCGACAACTCATGCAACGACTATGTCTCCTCGGCGGAATCTCCACCCTCCTCCTCGTCCTGATCTTCCCATCACTGCGAGCAGCCTTCCTCCCCGTGGTCTCCCTCGGCCTCGCCTCCTCCTCCAGCGTGGAAGACCTCCAAATGGAAACCGTCCGATACTATGACCTAGCGAAGATGCAGGGGAGCGGGAGCGGGTGGGAACAAGGCGAACGAGTGCTGATGTGCACGCCCCTCCGCGACGCCTCGTCGCATCTGCCGATGTTCTTCTCGCACCTCCGCAACCTCACGTACCCCCACAATCTGATCGACCTGGCGTTCCTGGTTTCCGATTCCAAGGATGATACAATGGAGATGCTGGAGTCGATGCTGGATGAGCTGCAACATGACCCGGATACGAGCATGTCGTTTGGCGAGATCTCCGTCATCCAGAAGGATTTCGGCCAGAAGGTCCAGCAGGATGTCGAGAGTCGGCACGGATTCGCTGCCCAGGCTAGTCGGAGGAAGTTGATGGCTCAGGCTAGGAACTGGTTGCTTAGCGCTACGCTGCGTCCAACGCATAGCTGGGTGTATTGGAGAGATGCGGATGTGTTGACGGCGCCCCGGACCATTTTGGAGGATCTCATGAGACATGATAAGGATGTGATTGTGCCGAGTGAGTGGTTTCTCCTGGGTTTGGTGGTGGTGGTTGTGGCGTTGGCTAATTGTTTGTGAATCAGATGTGTGGCGACCCCTACCGGATTGGCTGGGCGGAGAACAGCCGTATGATTTGAACTCGTGGCAGGAGTCGGAGACCGCACTGGCCCTCGCCGAGACGCTCGATGAGGACGCGGTCATTGTGGAAGGTTACGCCGAGTATGCGACGTGGCGGCCCCATCTTGCCTACCTCCGCGATCCCTACGGAGATCCCGATATGGAGATGGAGCTGGACGGAGTTGGCGGTGTCAGCATTCTGGCAAAGGCCAGAGTGTTCCGCGCGGGAGTCCATTTCCCGGCCTTCAGTTTCGAGAAACATGCGGAAACTGAAGGGTTTGGCAAGGTAAGAGACCATTCACCTTTTAGGTCTTATGTGCAGATATTAATGTTAGATAGATGGCGAGACGCATGGGGTTCTCGGTCATTGGTCTTCCGCATTACACCATCTGGCATCTTTACGAGCCGAGTGTGGATGATCTCCGGCATATGGAGGAGATGGAGCAGGAGCGCAAGGAACGCGAAAGAGAGGAGAAAGACCAGGCCGAGCGTGCCGATCGTGTTCAGACCCTGTTCCAGGACGCTAAGACACAATGGGATATCGACAATGCGTTCGTCGAAGACGCGATTAAGGAGGAGGAGCAAGCGAACGGAGCCTCCGCCTCATCCGAAGACACAGATGCAAAGGGCAGCGCAGAAGGCCCCGTCGCACCGCCAGCTCAGAAAGAGCAAAGCGCTGACATTGGACACGAAGAGCCCGCGATACCACGGAAAGAGGCAATGCAATGAGCACGCGATTGATGCGTCCAGCATCCAGGTTCAGTCAGAGCCACACGGCTCTCTGGCCAGACAACTCCTCGCTCCTCCCTCGCCCGAACAGTGGTAACCCCCGTTGTCTCCTTCCGACCAATCCAGCTGCTGTGCTGGCCACAGGGCGACACTTCTGCACTGGAACCCGCACCCCGTGTTTGTTCCGGTCGATGGAATTGGCTTCTGTACTGTGTAAATGGTGTTCGGGTCTGAATTGGGTTATAGCTTTTCCTTTCTCTTCCCTTGCTTCCCTTCTCTCTCTCTCCCTCCCCCTCTCTCTCTCTCTCTCTGTGTGTGTGTGTGTGTGTGTGTGTGTGTGTGTGTGTGTGTGTGTGTCTCTCTCCTTGATCTACTGTCCGGTCGGATCGAGAAAACTTGCATGATCCTGTTTGATCTTTTGTTATGGCTGAGATGAAATCTCTTTTAATTGTGTACAGCATAGACGATGAATTTTAACCAAGGGCGAGCGAAATAGTCCCACCTTCCTACCAAATGGACACCTTTGCTTTGTCTAAATATAACCTTACCTAACCTAACTTAACTTGACTTGAATAAATCAATCAGTCAATCAATAATAAACAATAATAAAGGCTTTAGGTCATTGTTAGATCACTACCTGTGTAGTACTTACGTAGTTGTGCTTCAGGTAGATGGATTATGGATAATGGCGAGATTAAGCTGTGGCCCGTGCGGAGTGGTCAATCCCATTCTCCTTCTCATCCAGCAAAGGTACGCGTAGCGTAGCGTACCGCGTCGGGTTTGACCTCATACGTTTTTCTCGACAACACCACCACAACCACCAGCAGGAAAGAAAGAGGACTAGTCGACTTTGACGACCTCCCACATTCCCTCTCTCGCTTTTCGATACTGGGGTCTAATTTGCAAAAACCAAAATGTCCACCCAGGCTGCTCAAAGCATCCTCTTCACCCACACAGCGCCCCAGCAATCCTTCCGGCTACTTGAACTTCCCCCAGATCTTGCGGACCTGCTCACCTCGGAGAATCCTCCCACGTACGTTCCCAGGTCCCTCCCTGCTCCAAATTCTCACGTCTTGCCCTCTACCTTCTCAAACATCAGACCCCAGACCCCAGACCCCAGACCCCGGAACCAAGAACCAAGAATGAATCTAACTAACGACTCACCCCTCCTCTCCCAACAGCCTGCACATCAAATCCCCCCAACCCTCCTCTTCCTTCCCCACATCCATCGCTACATCCACCCCCCAGCCCCGCGACTACATCAACCTCTGCACGGGCTCAAAAACCTACCGCATCCGACAAGTCCAATCCTCCAACTCGCTGCACATCCTACAACCCAGCAACGCCGCCTCGTCCCGCATCCCGGAGGCTGAGTTAGCCGCTATCGGCGCGACACAGGATCCGGCTGCCTCTTCCTTGAATGCAGATGCCGGCTCTGACTCTAGATCTGGGGCAGGGATGGCGACAGACCTCTCGGAAACTGTAACTACGATTTCGAAATGCAGTTCCACGCTGGAACTTCACACCCCGGCCGAGGGCTTCGATGCGGTGGGGTTGTTGAGTGGGCTGGTGGGTGTTTATGATGAGGTTATGGTGTTTCCTTTTTCTTCTCCGACACGAGACCGCGATGCGGATGTGGATGTACGCATGGATGTGGATGTAGATGTGGAGCGGAGAAAGATCCTAGAGCGGGTCTTCGCTGATCTACCCGTCTCGCGGAAGGAGTGTGAGAGCGCGTGGAGGGCTGTTTGTGGGTTTGTTGTGCTTTGCGATGGTGAAGGTGGTGGGAAGGCGTGGGCGCCGACGGCAAGGGTCAAGATGGGGGTTTGGAAACAAGTCCTCGATGGTGCGGTGTTGCAGGGGATTAATCTCGGAGAACAGTTTTTGGTGCGCGATCTGTGGGGGGCGGCTGTTGGGGAGGAGAATGAGGGGGTGCCGAGGGGGTTGTTTGAGGCGGTTGTGCGGAGGGTTTGTGAGGAGGAGGAGGGGGAGGGGGTGGGGATGGGATGGAGTTGAAGTGTGAGTTCTATCTGCATATATATGTGAGTCTTGGGCTGAGGTTTGCTAATGATTATGATGGTTGCAGGGGCCAGTGTTGACAAGGAAGAGTGTGTGCGCTGGGTTGGCGAGACGTATCTCGAGGCTGTTGCCCCCTCGGCGAACTCGGCGGTGGGACGCAGCGAGTTTCTGAATGCGTGGAAGGACCGTCTGCCTGAAGCTTGGAGAGAGGAGGCTGCGTTGTCGAAGCTTACGGTATGTGGTACTATGCCATGTACTGATGGGCTGGTTGATTCTGACAAAAACAGGAGGATAAGTACAGGTTTCCAGACCCGACGACCATTTGCTTCGTCAATGAGGTGGATCGGCAAAAGCTCAAGAAGAATCTCTCCACGGATGCAAGCGCCTCTACGGCGGCGAAGAAGACACGGAACTGGCATGAACTGTTCAAAAACCAGAAGCGACAGAAGCGTTGAGCCTCTAATTCTAGATGATATGGATATGTACCGCATCCCCTGCCTAGCACCAGGCGTACTTCTCGTTCAAGTACCATTCCACCTCCTCGCCCAGCCCATGCTCGGCCCCGATCCACCGCAGACACGCAATGCTGTCCTTCTCCCGGTGGACGACCTCCGCCATTGGGTCCAACAGCGCAACCGCCTTCTCCAGCAAGGGCGTCGGGTTCCAGAACTCGACCTTGGCCATGTTCCACCGATGCGCCTCGAGTTGGGCGCGTCGCAGCACCGCCGCCATGGCTTTCACGATCGCCTCGGACTGCTCGGGCGAGGTCGGCTCGTCGTACACCCACCGCAGGATGTACAAGGTGTTTTCCTCTGGGGTTTCGCCGAAGTTTCTGTTCCACGCACAGTACACGCCGGTGTTATCCTCCCCGGCGCCCTTTGCCACGGGTAACTCGCGATCAGAGAAGATCCTTTCGGCATAGAACTCCTCCCTCGCCCAATGCCACTCGAAGTGTTCGAAGTTCGGCGCAATCGCTATCTTAGGACCGGGTGATTTCTCGGAGGCCGTCGCCAGGAGGTCACGCTCCTTCTGCAGGACTGTCTCGCTGCACATGCTATCCTGGACATCATTCGCGGACAAGGTTCGTGTCTTTGGCAGGTTGGCTTTGGTTGTGGCAGAAGCATAGGCTTCATCGCGGATCGGCGGTAGCGCAAAGTGGGACGACGTGTACGGCTTCCATCCGAACTGGGCATAGAACTCCTTGCCGATATCAGAAAACAGAATGGTGAAGAGGGAGCACTTCCTGGTCTCGGTCTCCATCTTCCAGGCATCAATCTTCTTGCTCAGCTCTTCGAGCATTCGCTTGGCATAGCCCTTGCCTCTGAATTCGGGCCGGCAATACACACTTCCCACGCCGTGGGTGGAGACGTCCTCGACCTGACCGCCGTGGGCCAGCATGGCCTTCTTCTTGTACGTTTCGCAGGAGCCCAGGATGGTCCTGTACTCCTCGGGCTCTCTGCGATCGACCAGGATCCAGCAGGTGAAGCAGCCCTTGGTTAACCGCTGCTGATGCAGATGGTTCTCTCGTTCGATGTACGTCTGGAGGTCGAGAGGGCCACTCCACGCCTTGCTGTTCAGCCGGATGGACTCGATGCGCTCGCTCGGGGTGGCGGGGACCAACACGAGCTCGGGCGAATCGCCCTGGGGGAGCACGGCGCCGTTGGCGTAGGAAGTGTCGGCAGCGATCATGATGATGGGTTGGTTACTGACCAGGCAGTCGAAGTATATAACCCCTGCGGGTTTGAAAATGATTTGAACACGAGGGGGGATTGATTTCAAGAGGCTCTTTCGGAACTTATTCGACGGAGGGGGGGAGCTGAAGGAACGGATCGAGGGGGTTAGTGCAGACAATCCAATGCAATTGTTTGGCTCGGAGCAGCGACGGCGAACGGCCCCGTATTTGTTTTGACCGGAGTCCGGCGAGGCCGCAAGGGGGCAGGGAATATATTAGATCGATAAGGTAGATGACTGTACCACGCTGCGCGGGGAGATGTTCTTATTTGTCACCATCGCCGACGACAAGCGGCGACAAGCGCTTCGGTCTATGGAGTACAAGGGGGGGGGGGAAACAGCCTGAGGTGTGACTTGTTAACTGGAACTGTAAGGGTGTACTTACCGGTCCTGGGCGGCGCGTGCCATGCTCCGTGACGTCGCGCCGCGCCTGATGCGTGCCCGCTGTTAGGGCTTAGGGCTTTCTCCCTCCCGGACTTCCATGGTCCCCCCCGTCCCCGTGACTCGGTCGGTCCCTGGAACATCTCCAAGGGTCAAGGAGATCAAGAGACCAATAGATCAAGAGATCAAGAGATCAAGTCTGGGAAAGCTCCGAGGTGAGGGACACTACTTCCGAGTTCCGTCATTTAGATACTCCGGACACAGTATGGGCTGCCCCGAGCCAGGCTGTAGGCAGTTATCTTGCTTTGACGGGCGGTCAAGACTCCGACGCTCCCCCTCCTGTACTGCCGGACATATCACGTGGGGCGGCTGTCAAATCGCCAGGTCCGTCGATTAGTATTTTCTAGACTCGCCGGCCCCAGAAAACCCCCCGCTTGTCAACGACGGTGCTGGAAGGTCTTGAATAGCCCAATAGGACTACTCGCCACTCCGACTGGTTCTCCAGCCCAGTCTCCGGGACGCCATTGATGCGCTGTCAACTCGATTCTCTCTTGGCCCTCTGGAATGCTGCTCCGCCGCCTGTGGTAGGTTGGAGTTCCCCAGCATTGCCGGATTTCGGCCCCACCAAGCGTGCCAACCGTCCTGGCGTTGATACTATTCCCTGTTGGGCGAAAACATCTCCCCTCCTCCGATGATCAACCGCTATAGTGCCTTGGACATCTATATCGATAATACAGCGAGGGAGTAGCTCTCAAGGACTTCAGAAGAAGCTGGAGGTGGCCCACAGCCTTGTGGGGCGTGGCCCAGGTGATCTCTATTCACGCCTGAGTGGGCTCATTGTCGGCCGCAGTGAATCCAAAGTACAGTACGTTTGAAAAAAGACCCCTATCCTGTTTGAATGTGGGTGTTCCTCCATCTACGGCGACACACTCTATATTATTCCACAACCTCTCCTATTGTTCACTCTATTGCCCCGGCGATTCACGTTGCTCACGGAGACCGGAGCCCTCTTGCTTGTCGCTGTGTGTTGCTCCGTCCAGCCAACCCCGCCTGCCTGAGCGCCCTAGACCACCAACTCTTCACTACTCCCCTCACCATCATCCCAACAACTATCTACCACTGCCTTAAATACCTTCGTCCCCCCTTCTCGATCTCTTTAAGCCTTCGAGTTTACCGTTCCTCTAAAGACTTCTCTTTCAAACACACCTCAGAAGCATACACCCTCTCTAACTGAATCCTTCTACTCAAGGTCGCAATGGCATTGAATTATACCGATCGTTTGAAATACCGGGCTTCAACGCTCTCTGCTGGAGATGAACACCCGGAAGGAGAAGTTGCCGACCTCGAAAACCCAGGCTTGGGTCGGTTCGATGCTCTGGAGCACTGGGGCTTGGATGCGAACGAGATCGACTGGGACCTTACTTTCCGGTATCAGACGCCCGAAGTGGAAAGACCGGTGAAGAAGCAAAAGAAAAGCAGCACTAGCACCAGCTCGTTCTCGGAAGGAACCGATGATGAAGACCTGGGTTTCGAGTCGGATCCCAACCCTAACTCATCACAAGCCGGGCCAGCCGTCATCGACCTCACCGCCGAAGATTCGCTACTCGCGCAGATAACGGACATCTTCCCTGAGATCAGCCAGAAATATGTGGAGGATCTGATCGACCGTCACGACGGTCCTTGGCATAATGGGCACGATGGTACGAGGCAGCAGATTAGGATTGACCCCGATATTCTGAAGGAGCGAGTCATCGAGGAGATCTTGCAGAATCCATGCTATCCCAAGCAGGACCGGCTGAAGCGAAAGATTACCGAAACAAAAGGCGATGATAAGCAGTGGATGGCTGAGATCCCCAACCGGGGCAGTCCATTGTATCTCCAGCTAGCGTGATTTCCCCCACTGATTCTTTTGACTTTCTAGACGCTGACTCTCGATGCAGGACCACAAAACTGGCCCATGAATTTCTTTGGATGCCCATAAATTACATTCGACTGGAGGTGAATGACAAAAAAGAGCTTTATGCCGCCTATTTGGCTTTGTTTGCTCAGGAAGATGATGCCAACAATGGGTATACGAAGCTAAAGCGTGAAAGACAGCCAGCCGCGGCAAAGCCCAAAAATGACTTGGAGAGGTCTATCATAGACAATTTGGAGCGGGAATTGGATGCCGCCAAGGAGGAAGCGGAGAAGCAGGCTGGTAAGGGAAGCACTACCGCAGGGCGACGTAGATTGCTAACGAGTCCTCGCTCCAAAGCATTTATCCGAAAGCAGAAGGAAGAGGAGGAGGCAGAGCTCCGGAATGAAGAAGAGCACAAAAAAGCGGGAACCCTCGTCGAGTGTCAATGCTGTTTCGCCGATGTCCCAGTCAACAGGGCCCTACCCTGCGAGGGGGGTGAAATCCACTTCTTCTGTCATACGTGCATGCGCAAAACTGCGGAGACCCAGATCGGGCTGATGAAATACAAGTTGCAGTGTATGGACACCAGTGGCTGTCAGGAAAGCTTCTCCCGTACCCAGCTGGAGAAAGCCCTGGGCTCACCTTTGATGAAGAAAATTGATTCCCTTCAACAGCAGGACGAGATCGAACAGGCGGGCTTAGAGGGCCTCGAAGGTTGTCCCTTTTGTGACTTCAAAGCGATCTGTCCGCCTGTGGGGGAGGATCGCGAATTCAGGTGCAGCAACCCCACGTGCGAAGTGACTAGCTGTCGCCTCTGTCATCAAGAGAGCCACATCCCCAAGACCTGTGAGGAGGCAAGAAAAGAAAGAGGGCTTCCGGAGCGCCATCTCGTCGAAGAGGCCATGAGTGAGGCTTTGATTCGGAACTGCCCGCAATGCAAAATCAAAATCGTAAAAGAATCCGGTTGCAATAAGATGATCTGCTCCAAGTGCGGTTGTGCCATGTGCTACATCTGCAAGAAGAACATCACGGGTGAACAGTACCAGCACTTCGAACGCCCACCCACCTTCTGTCGTACACACGATGGTGCAGCCGAGAACCGTTCACAGACGGAGATAGAACAGGCTCAGAAGACGACTATCGCAGGTATCCTGGCGCAGAACCCCAACCTCACCGAAGAAGAGCTGCGTATCCATAAAGATAAAGCGAAACAGGCAGCCCCAGGCCATCAGCGCAACTATCCTCCCCGCCAATTTTTGGATAATTATCGTGCCTACGTGGCAGGACCTCAGCGTGTGCCACAGCCTCCTGGGAACAACTACTATCGACATGATGAACTGTATAATCCCCCTGCCTACCTTGATAACATTGGCACGCGAGGAGAAGCCAGGCCTATTCCCCAGCCACGACGGGTGAATAACCAAACATACTATCTGCACGCCCAGGCCCCTCAAGCTGCCGCACCGGCTATACCTGTTGGGAACTTCCAAGGTATACTGCCTGTCGGGGGCTTTCTTCGAAGAGAAGAGGAATGGAGGGCAGTTTTGCCTCCACAGATCCCAAATATCCCCTACTCACCGGTATTAATGCCACAACGACCCGGAGTTGCAAATCAGGACGACAACATCCATTTCCCGACTTACGATCAGCTATGGTGATCTTTTTCTTTTTCGAATTCCGTCTGTTGACATGGAAGAAACACCTGGGTGCCAGAGGCTCTTATCAAATTCGTCACAGTTTCCGCCATAATTTCCTCTCTGCTACCAACTCTGCCATCTACTTCTTGACTTCGTCATCTTCTTCTCCTCGTCCTTTTTTATTCAGAGTGTTTTCCAGCGTTGGGTAGCGGATTTGTTGCTCGTTCTTTTTCAGCGATTGCCAGATAGATACCCACCCGTCCGTCCGTCCGTCCGTCCGTCTGTCCCTTTACTAGCCCCGAGACGAACAGGAGCAGAGCTGGAATAATGAACCCCTTCCCCTCCTCCCCCCTCGGGGTCTGAACTTGATTCTGCTGCCTCGTCTGACTGGGAGGTCTTTCTTGTCCTTGTGGTTGGCATTCAATTTGAAAATGATATCAGATGATCTACTCTATCTCCTTGGAGATCTCTTTCTTCCTCTTTTCCGCTTTACTTTTTTTTTCTTTCTATCTCTTTTCTTTCCTTCTGCAATCTATCTATCTATCTATCTATCCCTTCCCCTCTACACAGTCAGATATCTCGGGTTTCTGGTATGATATGGTATGGTCCAGTACGGTATCCAAGGTCCAAGGGAGAAGCGGTGCTTTATGGGAGGTTGTTCTCGTTTAGAGAATTATTTATGATTGAGTTGGTTGGATGGGTGGTTGGTTGGTGAGTAGCGGGGCGGGGGGTCTTTTGTGTAGTTAGTTAGTTAGTCAGTTAGTCAGTTAGTTAGCTAGATAGGTGGGTGTGGGTAGGTAAATAGGTTGCTGGTGTGCCTGCCTGCTCACGACAGATTATACAGATGCCGATGTTTTTATTTTATTCATTCATTCATTCATTCATTCATTTGGTATTGGTATTGTGTAAGGCTTTGCTTGATCTGTAAGCTTCGTGGTGTATCATTTTACGCATATACCCCTCCCTCCTTCCCCCTCCCTACTAACAATACCTACCTACCTAGGCAGGCACCACTACCTCAGATACCATCCCCAGTATTGAAGGACTCGCACCTTCCTTTTCCGTCCTTCTACTCTACTAGAACGAGTATCCTTCATCCTTTCACAACATTCCCCATATCGGTGCATGGGCATGGGCATGAGCATGGGCATGAGCATGAGCATGAGCATGAGCATGAGCATGAGCATGGATAACAGACACAGAACTCGAAAAAGAATCCATCCATCCATCCATCCATCCATCTAGGACCCGTTTCACCAATTCAATTGCTGTGTATGCGTGCTACGCCATGTTGATAGTAATTAAGTGTAAGTGTAAGTGATCTGATTGAGATACGACCCTCGTAATCGACAGTTGACAGTTGACAGTTGACAATTAACAATAGCAGACAGATAGATAGATAGATAGATAGATAGATAGAACTTCGCTTCTTTGTCCGTGGTGCATGCGGTGTAGTGTAGTGTAGTGTAGTGTAGGGGCTTCGGATCGCTCGGGACTAGCGTGTGTGTGTGTGTGTGTGTGTGTGTGTGTGTGTGTGTGTGTGTGTGTTTGTGCATTTGTGTATGCACCTATTAGTAGGTAGGTAGTAGGTAGTGGGTAGTAGGTAGTAGTAGTGGGTAGTGGGTAGGGGTAAAAGGTATGTATCAAGTGGGTTCCTGTATTCTGGGATGGATTATCATCAGTTGGGATCGAAATGATCGCCCACGAACGCAGACAAGATAAGGAGCTTGATTGATATTGATTGATTGATATTGATATTGAGGTCGATATCGATATCGACATCAATCCCTCTCTTCACTGCCCAAAACCCAATCTTCGCAGACAGACAGAAAAACATACACGGGGCCTCAGAGTGAGCAATATGTCAAGGAAATATGACGGAACATTATTATCTATTACGGGCATAGGGGAGGGGAGGGACAAATGCTGGCAACCTGTCGGTAGCTAGAAGTGGCTAGATATTTGAATTTGCTAGGATCATGTAGTTTGGAGAGAGAGCTCAACAAAGGAGACGAGAGAGAAAATACAGTAGGAAATGGTATGAAAATGAGAACACTCCGAGGAAGAAACGGCGAGGAGAATGGAGAATGCTTGGAAAAAGAGAAAAAAAAAAAAAAAAAAAGGATAAAGATGTCTCCGGAGATGAGGGGGGGAGAAGGGGAGAGAGAAATAAGTAGTAATAGAGAAGAGAAAGGAGAAAAAGGAACGTGACAAGATGACGACAAGCAGTAATGGAAGGAAATGAAAAAGCGAGCAAGAAAAGACAAGGAAAACAGATATGAACCAGATCTATGTAATGCCATGCGAGTCCCAAAAATCGTCCGCTCCCCATTTTATATATTTGCGCCGCTCACTGGGACGACAGTTCCTAAATTCCTCATCCATCATGTATGTTCGATCATTGGTCACGCTAAATCAAGAATGAGATAAATGGAAATATGAGATAAGGAGCAGAAACATGTTTCAGTGAAATCAGAAGATAATGACGAACTAGACGAACACGGCAAGAAGACAGAGCTGGAGAACAGGAAGCTCAGGGTGGGTGTTCCGAATCCACCGGTTCGTTAAACTTCTGCCGTGCCTCTTCCACCCATAGTTCCAGTCGAAGCTCGCCGGCTTCTACACGTCGTACCGGCACCGTCTTGGCGCGCCCATTCGACACTTTTGGAGGCGGCTGTTGCGGCTCACCGTTTCTCAACTTAGAAACGGAATATGGGGCCGTGCACGATCGGAGATGGACCTTGTCCGGTTCCGCCACAATCCACGTCTGCTCCTCGGTGGTGGTCCCGGCGGGCGGTAACGCATCTTCCCGAACTTCGATGCAGACGGTAAAGCTGAACTCGTCGTCGCGAGGCAACGGGGTCAGCCGCGCACAGGCAGAGGCCAGTCGGGCCAGGCAGGCCCGGAATTGCGCTTCAAGGTCGACTGTCGTCGGAGCCGAGGCCCGTTCGGTCACGGGAACCCCGGCTTTGCTGGAGGGATCTTCCCTTCGGTCTTCGAAGGTGGTGTTGACTTCGCCAGCGGGGACGCGGGGGAAACCCGACAGATCAAAGGCATATCGTTCGAGGGGCTGATTTGTTCGGAGAGAGGATATGATAATGCTGACAGCGGTTATTGTGCCTTTCAAGATCTCCGTTCCGACCGCAATTGACGCGTCATTGATGTAATCACACACCTTGGGGTGACGGGATTGTCGGACAGGGTAGTTGTAAGCCCGCACGGGCAGAAACGTCGCTCGTGGATAGACCGAACGGAGGAACAGGATCTGATGTATTGAAACGGTGAGGAAATTGGTGAAGGACGCCGCCAACGCAGACTGATTGTTGGGCATCGACCTAGGTGCGGTGACAGGGGCGGAAAATGTTGTCATGGTGGTAGTAATGGTGTTGACAGTGGTGCTCTCACTGGCAATCGGCATTGCCGTCGAAGGCTCTGGTATCGTCGTTTCCACGGGAAAGATGGTCTTGACGGGATCTCGGAGAATCTGAGTGCTGTTCCACCCTGAGGCTAATCATCGCTCTGCCTTTTTCCAGACGATGGGTCAACAACTGTGTTCCTTGCCACGCATGGGAGATGACCTGTCCTTTTTCACTCTTGGGAGTTGTTTGCGACAGCGGGGAGGGGAGGGGGAGGAGGGGAGGGGGAGGGGAGGAAAGTGATGAGGCGAAGAGGGGGTAAGGTGGGTGGTGGGGTGGTGAAGTTGAGGGGTGTGCGAGACCAAAATAGGGAGGGGGAGGAAATGAACAGTCGACCAGAATAGAAATGGTTGGAAAATAGGGAGGTTGTAGCGACAGATAAGAATGGGGGGGTGGGTGGGAGGGGAGGGGGAGGTGGTGGTGGTAAGGAGAATAAAAATCGGAGGGGGAGGAGGGAGGAATAGCAGGAAGACAGCGGAGATGGGGTAGTTGGTGGTGGTGGTGGTGTTTGGGGGGAGGGAGGGAGAGAGAGGGAGAGGGAGGAGAGGGAGGAGGGAGGGAGTTGAGTAAGTCGTGAAGGGAACGAATGTGAGGGAGGCAGCGAGTGAGCGAGGGAGGAGGAGGGAGAGGGAGGGAGGGGAGGGTGAGGGATGAGTGTGAGCGTGAGTGAGGTTGAGTGATTGAGTGAGCGAACGAATGGATGGGGATGGGGGTTGGAAAAGTAAGGAAAGGACTTCGGATTAAAACATACGTTGGGTGGACGGAGACGACACGGCGAGCCTCAGAGCATGGATGGAGGCGTTGAGATCGTGGTGACAACGGCGGGCGAGCGAGATAGATCGGGGATAGGATTAAGGAGAGAAGAGTCCTGGCTTGACGATAACAACGACGGCGGCGAGCGATGATGCTGCTGCTGATGATGGAATTTTCCTTTTTTTTCTGCTTTTTTTTCTTTTTTTTCCTGGGTAGGAATTCCCGTTTTAGTCCTCTTCACTCTTGGGCTGCTCCCCTCTCTCTCGGAAGTTTTTGTTCCTGAGAAGATGAACTTTTTAAAAAACAACGAGAAAAAATATTACTTGGCTTAGATAGAACAAAAAAAAGAAGAAAATTATGTTCTTTTTTTTTTTTAATTCCTGGCTCTCTGCGTCTGGGGGAGGAGAGGAGGGACGACGGCAGACGATAGGGAACCGACCCTTTTGGGAGGGGGTCGTGGGAAGGGAGAGGTGGGCTGCTGCTGCTTGGAGCCGGATGTGATTGGGAAAGGCCGAGTCGACCAGGAAGGCCACTCAGTTCCCAACTAGACTAGTAGAGGAGAGGGTCGTATAGAGAGAGGGAAAGGCAACAAAGAGAGCGAGCAGATGGTGCAGGCAAAGCACAGAAATGAAAACGAGAAAGAGAAAGAGAGAGAGAGAGACAGGCAGGCAGGCAGGCAGGCAGGCAGGCAGTCAGTCAGTCAGTCAGTCTCCTTCGGAGGGGAAGGCTTGTCGGGCGACGAGTCGTCCTGGTAAAAGGCGCCCAAGTCACGGCTCCCCAGCCCGTCACGTGGTTGCGTCATGGGTGTGGATGCCCTGCAGCACTCCTCTCGCCTACGCCTACCTACTCCTAGATACTCCTAGATACTCAGGCTACCCTCATTCCTCCGTAGTCCGTACATCATCGACAAGGCTAGCATAACTATATCGTGATCTAGGTAGCTGATCTAGGAGGCACGCCTGCCTATTTCTGTGTCCAATGACCGGCCACGCGGGGACGTAGAGCATGCGCAATAGGGCAGAAAAGTGAGTACCGTACGCCCATTGGCGACGAAACGGGTTGCACCCGAGCTGGTGGTAGGTAGGACATGCTGTAAGGCGAGAGAAATCTGAAGGTCAAAGGCATTTGGTTCCGATGCACTATGACTCCCATCGTCGAGTACGATGTCGTGGTTTGATGCAAACGCGATGGAAACGTTAAGCATGGAAAAAGTAATAAGACAGCAGGCGGATTAAGGTAACCGCTGGTATGACAGTAGTATGTAATTTAGAGTAACCTAACTCCGAAGGACAACAGCGTAATTATTGTATTGCAGAGTCCCACTGCCTGACCCGACTCATGGAGTAAGGTCCTCCCTCGTACTATGCCTTACCACTACGTCGTCCAAGAAACGGGTCTCCACCTGGTCGGTAGCGATCGAAAGGGCCACTCCGTAGCAGCGGTGGGATGAAATGCTCCAGATCAGTGATCACAGAGCCGATCATGATGATGGCAGTCAAAGGTGAATCGACACGTATCTTGGTGGCTCGGATAAAGAAGAGCAGCAGCGATTCTAATTAGTCAGGAAGGGGAGAGATTAAAAAGGGACGAAAGTCAAAACGCCTAGTAGCATTTCCCCCAGGCACTGACCTTCAATTCTGGTATCGAACGGCCCCATCTTCACTCCGCGTCACTTGCCCGGTTGTCTGTAGGATTCTAGGATCCCATCCCTTGACCCTGGGTCTGTCGCCTGTTTTGGTCTGGAGTTACCTGGATGGATCTTGGATGCTGTTCGTGTACGGAGTACGGATTAGGCAGGTACTGTTCCTCACCGTCGGTGTCTTCCGATAAATTAGAATGCTTAGTGCGCTATATGGGAGCCACATATATCTCGAGCTAACGCCTCTGGTGGCTGATTATTATTTTGGATCACACTCCGTACATCGTCTTCAGTTGCGCACGACCTGGCTCCATGCTCAAGTATCTACATCATGCGGAGGTGCTCTTCTCCTCTCGAGTCTCGAGTCTCGACAATGCGTACGATACCCGAGGCTGGTATTCGATCTTTCGACGGCTGGTAAGGTAATAATAAATGATGGACCGGACGGGGTACCTTTTGCAAATCCGGACTTGACCCAATTGGGCGTTGCCGCCCCTCAGTTGGTCTTGGATAATCAGAGTTGCCGGTTTATCCTTTGAGAACCCCACTATGATCGACTTCCAACTCCCCCTTCCATTCTTTCTGTCATCCTTTTTAGAAATGCATCGAGTCCATCTACGCCACTGACCTACCTATCCGGTGATCCCTGCCTAAACGCTCCCTTTCACAATACGCTGTACGGAGTACCTGATCCATAAAACCTGGGGGGGAATACATACAGATACTTACTAGGTACGGCGTACTACTCGGCAAATGCAAAAGTACAGTGCAGGGCTCCAGCAGACCCAACAGTTCTGTAGTAGTAAGCGGTACCTCTGTTCCAACATTTCTGTCTCTCGACATCATTTCACATTAGTATAGCCCTAGAATTGATTCACAACGATCCAACGGACTCTCCTTCCTCCTATGATTGGACCATGGTCAGATCTTGCTCCACAGAAGCCTATAACCTTGGTACAAAGTAGATCAGTGGCCTGGGCAAAGAATCCATCACACAACCAGCTCTGTTTTTACTCTGGAATAATATACCTACAAGCCCTGGCTGCTTTCTGCCCAGCAGTGGCACGTTCCCTCGAGAGTCAACGCTTCTTGTTGAGTGACAGTGACGCCTCCGGTCATCAATAGCCTTTTCGGCAGGGCGAGGATGCATCCGTTGGAGGGGACCAGGCGTGCCCAGTCAAAGCATAAAGTAGCCTTTTACCCACAGCATTGGCCACTAAGATCCGATTTCCTGCCACAGAGTTGATCCCTCATGACAAGTTCCCTGGGTTTCTCCGGGGTTCGGTCTATTCTTCTTTGATTGGATGGTTCCCACGGAGGACAATCTCCGTGATATTTATTATACATGCTGGCATGATCTCTGGCTGCTGGGCGAGTATGGCACCCAGATTGTGGTTGCTCTGCCTGCCAGAGGGACATTACCAATTTCGGTGAAGAAGCAGAGGCTTTGTGTGTATATCCTGCAGGTTCCTCGGAATGGGTTTTTTTCTTTGCAGTAAAGCATTGTAAATCTCTCCAGCCAATACAGCCAAAAGTGGGCGAAGGTAGATACATGATGATTATCGGTTGTTATTTATTGGTCTTGAACTATTGGTTACCCTGTTGGTTAGTGATCTATAGAAGGCATGATCTCCCAATTCTTCAAGGACTGCCGTGTCAAGGCGGACTATTCCGATATCACCTCCGCCCAGTCCTCCATTGCTGGGTTTGCAAGTGTTGGCAGCCAGTAGTCCTGATGCAGAATCAGATTTCCTAGTGTTGGAATTGCATAGCCGGGCAACGGTTTCGGTTGCCCGCGGGCGTCAACAAAGCAGCAAAGAAAAATAGCCCCTCACCGCCTCCCGCTTCCTGCCCATCTTCTGCCCCTCCACGACGCGACAATTCGCGACTGAGATTCATCAACTTCCTCGCCTACCCCCTCGTCACAGAATCATTGACTTGCCACGTCTTCTGGGCCGTGGTCTACACCAAGGATACTGACGACTGGGCACGGTTGGACTCAGGCTTCCCCTTCCTCCATAACAAACATTGTCTATCTAGTCTCCTATCTTCCTATCGACCGTCCATCCTGTCGAATCTCACCCGCGTCTCGCATACACCATGGAGCAACAGCTCCTGTCCCTGCTGGCAGACACTCAGTCGTCGGCTGCCGATACGAGAAAGGCCGCGGAACTCCAGCTTCTCCGCCTTTACCAGGACGAAAACTTCCCTCTCACACTTGCCGCCATTGCCTCTCACGACTCCGTCCCTACAAACCTCCGCCAGTCTGCCCTTTCCGTGCTGCGGGCCTTCATCGCCGCTGCCTGGTCCCCTACTCTGGATGAGTTCAAGGGCACTATCCTTGTCACCGATGAGAACAAGGCTCAGCTTCGACAGGCGCTGTTAAACTTGGCGACCGTTACCGAAACAGGAGAACGCAAGGTCAAGTCGTCTGCCAGCTATGCCGTCAGCAAAATCGCCAGCGCCGATTTCCCCGAACAGTGGCCAGAGCTCTTGCCAGCGCTGCTCCAGATCATAAATGATGGAAATAGCAGCGCCAGTGCCCTCCATGGTGCCCTGAAGGTTCTGTTGGATCTTGTGGATACTGGGTTCAGCGAAGAGCAGTTCTTCAATGTCGCTAGAGAACTCGTCACCACCCTCTGTGATGTGGCCAAAAATGAATCGAGAAAGCCGATGTTGAGGGCCTTGGCTGTTGCCGTTTTCCGCGCCTGCTTTGATACGTTGGAAATGGTGCTTGAGCAGCATAAGGTGGAGGTCAAAAATTTCATGGACGAAGTGCTGAGTGCCTGGTCTCCTTTCTTCCTCTCGACCCTGGAGGCCCCTCTGCCCCAGGCTCCTGAAGAACAAGAGGAATCCAAAGACGGCGAGATTGTCTCCCAATGGCGGGGCGTCATTGGGTTGAAATTGCAGGTGGTCAAGGTACGCCAGCCTCTTTCTTTCCCCGGTCAAGACCATGCTAATCGTTCCAATCTTCTAGACTTTGATGAAGATTCGCATGGTCTTCCCTGGTCTTTTGACCGCCCAGAGCCCCGTGTACTTTTCAACCATCTGGACTGAGTTGTCCAACATCCTACCTGCATACCATGCATTCTACATCGAGGATGAAAGACAGGGCCGTTTGGAAGATGTGGATGGACTCCCCTATACGCTGGACTTCTTGGTTCTGGAAGAACTGGATCTCATTCAGACGCTCTTGAAGGCCCCCCCAGTCAAGGCAGAGCTTCAACAGCAGCTCCAAAACGCTGGGCCAAATGCGGCAAACGCCAGTTGGCTGACTGAAATCCTGAAGTTGGCGGGCTCCTATGCTCAAATCACCTGTGAAGAGGAATATTTGTGGGATATCGATGTGAACCTCTTTCTCTCGGAGGAGACCTCGGTTACTGCAAACTACACCCCCCGTACATGCAGCGGAGATTTGGTGATAAAGCTTGGCGAATGGCTCAAGAATGTCAACGTCGAGGGTATGCACGCTTATTCGAATGCCGTGTTCTCCGACCCATCCTCTACGTAAGCAATCCCCCTCTAATGTGGCTTGAACAAGGCTAACGGATCAACGAAGATGGAAAACTCGAGAATCAGCTCTCTTCCTTCTCAGCCAACTTCTCCGAGACTTCGTCGAGGTTTCCCACCAGATAGCCCCTGCACTGGCTCACGGCTTTAGCAACCTTGTCCAGTATTCCATCCAGCAGCCCGATGAGTTTCTGCGAGCGCGCGGGTATCTCGTGGCCGGAATTCTATGCCAGGTCGCAGACTCGTCTTTCCAACAAACCGCTGTCACTTATCTCGAGGCCACTCTGAAGGCAATCTCTGAAGATGATTCCGAGGTAGTCAAAGTTTCCTGCATTCGAGCACTGCAGGATTTCATGATCGCAATTCCTGGGAGCGTCGCCATTCCTCTCCAGGCCGCCATCATCTCAGCTATTTCCGACTTTGTATCCGCCCATGACCTTTCCGAGCCATCTGACGGTGATGATCTGAAGGTAACCATTGCAGAGACCCTTCGCGATGCGATCATGATCGACTCGAGTATTGTCACATCCTCCAGTGCCATCGACGTTCTGTTAAATGTTGCCAGCAGCGGGGCTACCAATTTCCAGCTGACTATGATTGTCACCGAAGCATTCGAGGATATCGTCGAATCGGTTGCCGAGAACGGCCAGGAGTCTTTCGTTCGTCTTTGCGAGAAAGTCCTTCCTTCCCTGACCGGCGCTATTGATGTCGGCAGTCTAACCCAAGAGAACGCCCTGACCATTTTTGCAACTGATCTTCTGCGGGCTCTTGCAGAAGGGGGCCTGGAGCCTCTTCCAGCCGGTTTCGTGGACACTGTCATGCCCAAGTTGAACCGCCTGCTGCTGGAATCGACTGACGGAGAGTTGATTCGTCCCGCCACCGACGCAGTCCGCTCTATGCTCTCCCATGACTTCAACCAATTTGTTGTCTGGAGAGACCCACAGAGCGGAAAGGAAGCGATCGAGGTAACTCTGGTGATCATTGACCGACTGCTCGGGCCCTCTCTGGATGACAATGCGGCGGCGGAAGTCGGGCAATTGGCTGCAGAGCTGGTGGAAAAGGCAGGATCGGAACGTCTTGGACCTTATCTGCCGCAACTCCTCCGGGCCGTTGCCCAACGACTTGTCACCGCAGAACAGGCCCAGTTCATCCAGAGTCTTATTCTCGTCTTTGCCCGGTTGACTCTGATCAGTGCGCACGAAGTTGTTGAGTTCCTCGCCCAGGTTGACATCGGTGGCCAGAGTGGACTACCCATTGTGCTCAGCAAGTGGCTGGAAAATTCGGTGAACTTTGCTGGGTATGATGAAATTAAACAGAATATCATCGCTCTGGCAAAGCTGTTCTCCTTGGACGATCCTCGCCTGTCTCAGGTACAGGTCAAGGGTGATCTCATCATTCAGGACACGGGCCGCATCAAGACCCGCTCTCAGACCCGCAAGAACCCCGATCAGTACACGATGGTGTCAGCTCCCCTGAAGATCGTCAAGGTCCTGGTCGAGGAGTTGGCGGCTGCGTCTGGCAACAAAGAGATCGATGCGGCCACCGCGGCTGCTCTGGAAGAGGAAGCCAGCGACGACGATGACGAATGGGAGGATCTTCCGAGCAACACCCTCGACCTGAATCTGGGGGTCACGAAGCAGGAGTTGATGGCATTTGGCGAGGGCGGTTCAGAATCGGTGTTCGGGGTGCGCAAGAGGGACGACGAGACACAGAGTTTCTTGCTGGACTTCTTCCGCCAAGCAGCCAATAAACCTGGTTTCCAGGAGCTCTACGCCGCCTTGACTCCGAGCGAGCAGGAGAAGCTGCAGACCTTGAGCTGATCGGGCTGTCCGGGTGGTGGGCTGATGCAAGCAAGCATATTATGAACCTTTCTTTTATTTTTTTCCCCTTAGATTCCCCGAACCCGATCCTGATGGGCACTGAAAATTATGAATAAACGTGTGAAATGCTAGTTAAAGACTTTTAATGATTGAACCTACAGTACATACCGGTAGGTTGCATAGGTACGAACAGGTGGGATCGGTCGTCGCAATGAATACCAGTACAGCCGAGTATCTCCTTGGGGGCTATCCAGCCACGATAATATACTTGCCTACTTAGCTCCGTGTAAGAACCATACCCACCACCCACCTGAAGACTAAGGCACATCCACCCAATAAGTAGGTAGGTACCTAGATACTTGGTCGGCCGACCGGAACCCTCCGAGGGCGGTAGTATTGTACGTACGGTACTTAGTACATTTCCTCCTTTCGGGATCGATAGATCCTGGCGCAGTAGCTAGGATCTATCTATCCTGCACGGCGAAAGCTACTCACCTTAGTACTTACCTAGTCCGTTACCTAGTGCCCCGTAGAAAGTAGAAAGATACTAGATAGATACGGAGTACCCGACGACGGTTCGTCATCGGCGACGGATCATGGATGTGATATCTCCGTCCTCGGTACCAGCGTTGCAGCATATTACACGACGGCGCACCAATCACATCGCGCGAGTGAGATTAAGGGGATGCGATGCGATGCGATGCAATGAAATGAATGGTTCGGGTCCGTCGGGTCGTCATTGAGTCCGAAGGATGATTAACGTTGGACTTGGGGGGAGCGGTCATTCCGATGGTAAGTATCTACTCGGAAGGAAACTCGAAAGGCTTCGTATCAGGTTGTCGGTGGCATGGATAGATATCCATGGCTGTCTCGTCATCCTCGCCTTGATGTGTCTTGAGGCGGTGAAGTTCCATGGGCAGAATGGGTGGTGGAATCCATACAGTCAGTATGCTTCGCTTTTAGGTAGGTACTACTACTATGTTTCCTCGACTGGTACCACCTGACCTTTCCCCTCTTGAAGCTCTTCGTATTCCATTGTATTTTATATGAAGACGCCTCTCAGGCTCACATGGATGGAATTGCTGGAAATATCTGGCCCTTTCCCATGGTTTTCATATCGCTAGAAAGTCTGGCGGTTAACTTGTGAAGAACACCCGAAGCTTGACTGCTCGGCTCCGGCTCCGGCTCGGTAAATCGCTCATATCTGGGTAAGTCCAAAGGTCCGAATGCAGAGAGATCGGCGAGCTTTTTCTGGCTTTATTCCTTCCGGCAAAATATTGTGCCTTGGGCTTGGTATCTTGGACTATGTCTTGAAAGTCTTCGACACATCGCTCACGTATGCCTCAATTTTTATAGTTCCAGCTTGGCATGAATACCTATTTAGAGTTGACGATACACGGATTGAGGTCCGGTTCGATCCTTTCGCTGGATGGACTCGTGATGTTTACACCACAGGAGTCATTCCAGGAGTGGTCGAGCGGAGACGCCGAGATACCTACTATACATAACTAGCTGGTAGGATAGGTCAGTCTGAGATTCGGCTTCCCCGCAGGATGTGCGACATGAGGGAGATAGATAACAATATGCTGGTCGAACTCGAAGGGGAGAATGGATGGAGGTTGAGCTGTTTGCGCTCTATCATGGTTGTGTGGCTTGTACTACAACCACCTACCTTCCTTCATGTTCCCCAGTACTCCGTACTTCTTACCTACCTACCTAGGTGCCTAAGCGACATCGCCGAGTTTCTCCCCAGAGATGGCGCCATTGCAGGATCCCATATCCAACGGGATGGGATGATTCTGTAACACATTGATTTTAGGCTTTCAGAGCTATCACATTCGCTCTCCCGCGGAGAACAAGACCGGCGGCTGCCAGTGGACTATCCGAATTGCCTACATACTATTACCTACCTACGGAGTGGTAGAGACACACTGTGCTACCGTGCTGCACCCTTGACAGTGGTCCTGGGATCCGGAAACGGGCCCGGCCGTCAGGGGTGCGGGGCTTTTGAGTTGGGGCCAACCTTGGTACCGGTACAGCGTACCTGGGCAGATCCCATGGATGCACAGGCCTGAGCACGGGCAGAGTTTGTCTTTGTAGGTAAGTACTGAGTACTCTGACAATCACTTATGTAAAGGTACAGTAAGTATGATGGGAGATCGGTGGTTAACTGCACACAGTGGAGGGAGCAACCCCCACCAGTGTGGATCAGCTGAAGGGATCAATTCCAAATTGCTTAGGGCTATCTACACTAGTCCGGTGGCTGCACGGATCATTCCATAGTGATATCGGACTAGTACTAGTAGTATCTAGATACCTAGAGGATGGATGGATAGATACCACTGGCAGTCTGGCACAGGTACGGAGTACAGCGCACAGATGGCTGGAATGGAACGACTGGCCTCAAACCCGCCCGCAGCTGGCGGGTGACACTGACGATACCAAGCAATACCAGGCGCCAACCGAACCAGCGCGGCGGCACCACCGCCGGCACACCGCTGCGGGCTGCAGACCCGAGGGCCTGTCCCCGGGACGCCCCCCCTGTCCTGGGTGTCCCTGTTACCCGTAATTTACCTGTGATGCAGCTAGTCGCCTTTCCAGGTTGGTCTTCTACCAACACTTAACTTATCCCGATCCCGATTTCTGATTTTGATTTTCATTCTTCATTCTCATTCTGATCCTAATCCTGGTCCTAGCCTTATTTATATGGATCGCCTTCGCGCTCCATCCCGCCGCGGTTTGGTTTCCCTCGCATCTTCCGCCCTCTCGGATTGACTTCACGTACTCGCTCGCCTCAAGTATGCTACAGCCAAATGTGGATGAGCATATTCTGGCAGATGTAAGAATTACCACCCCCCCCCCCCCCCTCCCCCCCTCCTCTCCCAAAAAAAAAGACATTTCCCTTAACCCTCAACGCATAGCTCCAAAACTAACCCTTTTACAGACGAATGATGACGACTCACTCCTAGACGCGGAATCACTCCTCGATTCCAATCTCTCCCTCTACTCGTCCGTACGAGACTACAGCTACGAAAACGGCCGCCGCTATCACGCCTACCGCCATGGCCAATATCCCATGCCCAACGACGAAGAGGAGCAAGAGCGACTCGAGCTAATGCACCATCTGTTCAAGCTCCTCCTCGGAGGCGAATCATATCGCGCCCCGATCCACCAACCCCAGCGCATTCTCGACGTCGGCACCGGCACCGGCACCTGGGCCATGGAGATGGCGGACGAGTTCCCCGACGCCCAGATCCAAGGCACCGACCTCAGCCCGATCCAACCCACCTGGGCCCCGCCGAACTGCTCCTTCGTCGTCGACGACGCAGAGAGCGACTGGGCCTACACGAAAGAGGAAGCATTCGACTACATCCACGCCCGCAGCATGGGCGGCGGCATCGGCGACTGGGAGCGCCTCCTCCGTCAGGCCTACGAGCACGTCAAACCCGGCGGCTGGGTCGAGATCCAAGAGTACGATGCCTGGGTCTATTCTGATGACGGCACCGATCAAGAGGCCGTCATGGTCCAGTCTTTTCAGCATAAGTTGGAAGAAGCGAGTACTCAGTTTGGGAAGCGCATGAATGTCGCTCCGCAGCTTAAGGGCTGGATGCAAAAGGCTGGTTTCGTCAATGTGGCTGATGATATATACAAGGTGTGTATCCGTTGTCCGTTGGGGGGGCTGGTATGCTGTGGATGGTGCTGAGAACTAACTCGCGCGCAGTGTCCGATAGGCCCGTGGCCAAAAGCTCCCCGTCTAAAAGAGATTGGAAAGATCGGGAAACTGGCGTATCTCGAAGCCGTCGAGCCATACACCCTGGCTCTTTTCACTCGCGTTCTGGGATATACCTACGATGAAGCCTTGGAATTCGTGCAGAAGGTACTTGCGGAGCTCCGCAGCTCGACGTACCATGTCTATGTGCTTTTTCACTACGTGTATGGCCAACGGCCCTTTGACGGATGATGAAATTATGTGTTTTTTTTTTCTGTGACGATCTTAATACCATGTATTCTGCTTCTCAGTGCTTTACTGCCCTTGTGGGGTTTTCTTTCCTCTTTTTTTTTTTATTTTTTGCTGGCGTCAGCGTCGGGTTTTGGCAGAGATGCCACTCTCAAGCTCGGTTCAGGGTATTTATCCATCCAGATAAGTCTACTTTGGCTGGTTGCAGGCAACAATGGCCCGTGTGGGTTGGTTGGTGGATCAACGTATGTACGCACGGACAATACTAGTAGTTCTCGATATCGATGGCATCACACGTATTTACACCCCCCAAACCATGGGATTCTGGATGGTAAATATCTACCCCTGTAGAGAATACCCAACACCTTCCCCCGTCCCCATAGCCACCAGGTTCGCCCTCATCTTCTCAGGCCGCTCTCCGATGCCAAAAGCCGCATCATCACGGTGAACCCAGGCACCAACCCCATGCTGCAGAATCGCCGTAGCGCGGACCTTCTTATCCTCATTCCCGGCCGACGCCAGCGCATTCAACCCCAGACATCCATGAAGAGTAAGGCGAGTTTCCTCCGCCCCCTCAGCCTTAGCCTTATACACGCCCCGATGCAGAATATTACTATCATAGAACACCGCATCACCCGGCTGCAACTTAACGACCAACTGCCCCGGCAATTCCGCCTCATACGGATCCGCATTCCGCTCCACCTCCGTCCTCACCCGCCGATGCGACCCCGGAACCACAATGAGGGACTCATCCGGACACAGCGCCAGATTATACTGCGCATGCGACTGCCTGCCCTGCGGGCTGCGCGCCTGCAACAGCCTCAGCTCCTCCTCCGGCGTCACCGTCTCCTGGATATCATCGCGGTGCCAGCGCAGCTCAAAGTCCTTGGTCTCCGGCGCGACCAGCAGATTGAACAGCTCCATGAGAAGCGGCTCCTCGCCCCCGCCCTGGGCTATCTTTTCCGCGTCCACGCCCAGCAGCTCCTCCACCACCGCGAGGACTTTCGCGGAGAAGTAGAACCGTGCGAATTCGGTCCGTCCGGGCATCTCGGGGTGTAGCAGGTGCTGGACGCCCCAGATGCCGCCTTCCGAGGCGGGGGGCGGGGTCGTGGGCCACGGCGGGAATTGCTTCGGCACTGTTCGGAAGTGAGGCCATTGTCCGGCTCGGGTGAGGGTTGTGGCTGCCGTGGCGATCGTGCGGAAGTGCGTGATCTCTTCGGACGTGAGGAGGGAGGGGATGACCACGAAGCCGTCGCGTTGGAGGGCAGAGAGGTGCGGGGTTGGGTTTGCTGGTGTGGTCATTTTTTCTTCCCCTTTTCTGTTCTGTTCTGTTCTTTGGTTCTTTTTGTTTAGGGGTTTCTTGGGGCTCTGGGTTTGGTTTGGGGATGGGAGGGTGTTTGGCTGTTTGGATGGAGGGAAGGGTCGGGTCAGTTGGGATGAGGGGAAGCTGAGGCGGGGAAGGAGATAGATATCTGTTAGTGTCGGGGCGATACTACTTATCTATAAATACGGCCTAAAGTGCCCTGATAGCATCTGGATGTCGGATTGATGTCGTAGATATGTAGGTAGTATTAGTATTGTATAGATGGGATGTTACCCTGTCAGCCACAGGTCACCATCCGTTATTGCCAGGGATTAGGGATTATTATGGACTGGTTGATAAGTATGGGAAGGTCCAAGTCAAGATCACCATTACCTCAGGATTGTTTTGTTGATGGGTTGAATTACGGTGTTGTACCGCCGTGTACTGTTTGTTACCCCGCAACCATGAGCTGTTTAACTGATCGATAACCGAGTGGGGCGGCGCTTCCCTTCCCTTCCAGTCGCAGCAGTTCCCTGTCACGGTTACATCCAGATAAATACGCTGTATCGGACTGGTAATGGGAAATCGACATTACGGTGCCAAGCGCGCGCCGAGCATTTGGGGCAGTCGGGCAGTGGATGAGAGGCCCACTTTCCCAACCGGAGCAGGGACCATATGACGAATGCTTCCACTTGGCGCATGCGCGATGCTTGCCTCTACTGGTAATGGTGATTGCTGACCTTTGCTTTGGCGGTGCCATGTCGTGACTTTTCACTACTAGGAAAAGGACTGAGGTACATTGTTGGATCGCACCTTCCACTTTATGTACTTGCTGTTAGTAGTGGGTATAGCGTCTCGAAGTACTCCATAGTTATTTCCAGCTCCTCAACGATGGAGTCCGCCAAGCTCAGCCACCGACTGCACCGCCCCCTCCATTTCCTCTCTGGGAGGCCCGGGCCTCCAAGCCTTGTTCGACAGTTGATACACAGTACTCATTACTTGAGGTTGATGGCGGGGCATCCAGGGTCTCCCCTCCAAGGTCTGGACTGTGCTCCCTGAGAGTTTGCCAGTAGTGTCTGTCCGGTCATCGGGACATTCACAAACCCATGACAGACAACTTCTTCAAGCTCTCACCTTCCTACTTCCTACTTTTTCTTCCTCCCACTCTTTTTCTTCTGACCGCTCTCTTCCTCTGGCGGAAATCAGACCCTCTTGCTGCATGCACCTTTTCGGTCTTTGTGGCCTGTCATTTCTCTCCGTCCTCTTTGGTCATCGCCTTTCCCCGGAAGTCCTGCATATCCCCACCCTCTAATTACTTACTACCGTAGGTAGCTAGCTATGGCTCCGAGAATGGGTCTGGGCACACATGCCCTGCTTATTCTGGGACTACTGCTTGTGCTTGCTCCCACTCAGACCTGGGCTTTTGGCGCTGGAAGTCAGTATCATCGGATATCCTCTCACCTCGTTAATCTCTCCCCGTCCGCTGACATGGATCAGATATCGCGTCCATCTCGGCCGTCGAAGGCAAGAACTGGCGTCATGGAGATATCGAGGATATGCTTAAGACGGTCGCCTTCATCAAGGGCCACAAGTGGACTTCCACCATGATCAAGCGCGTATACTTTGGCAACTGGTTGCGGGATTAGTGAGTTGTGCTTCTTGGGTGGGGTATGTGACCCGCGTACTGATGAGTTTGTTCAGCTCGCAGGCTATGGATGTCGGCACGTTGAAGAGTCTCCCCGCTGATACGATTCGCATTCTGGTGTGGATTCTGTCCTTCATGACGTTTGGCTATGCAACGGTGGAGTTTGAGGTCACATCTGAGAGACTGGGGGTTTATCGGCCTGAGGAACATATTGAGTATGGGCTTTCCTGTGTTGGATGTGCACTGTGACTGGGACTAATTCTTGATCCTTTTTTTTTTTTCGGCAGTAATCCCAAGGACTACGCAGATAATCAAGATGCCCGCCAGTACGATGCCCGACTCCGTGGCCCGATTCGCCAGGTCGAGCTCGATATCGACCCCCAAACCGGAATGAAGAACTACATTGCCAATGAGCGTGGAGACTGGACGACGAGCGCGGCGTATATCAAGTACAGTCTGGCTCGGAGTATTCATTATGGGCGCACATATACCCACGGTGGGAACAGGGGAAATGATGAGGATCTTTGTGAGGCGCTCCGTTGTCTGGGCCAGGGTCTACACACGCTGGAAGACTTCGCGGCGCATACGAACTACTGTGAGCTTGTGCTTCGTGAGATGGGCTTGAAGAACGTCTTCCCGCATACCGGTGTGAACACCCAGATGGATGTTCATGGTCACTATGTGTTTCCGCTCGTGACTGGAACGTTTGGCATGGTTGACTTTTTCCATTCGGTGCTTGGAGAAGCCAACGATCATTTCACCCAGTCAGAGGTCAATGAGATGGACGTGGCCCTTGGAGATGCTGAAGCAAACTCATCTGGCGGTACTCTTGGTGCCTTCACCGGCCTTCTGGGCAAGATTCCAGGAACGAAGGAGCTTGTTGTGGAGGCGGAAGAGCTCAGGGTTCGTTCCGAGGCCCAGGAATCTGCAAACCGGTCTGGTGGTGCCCGTTCGGGCTACACAACCCGTGAGGTGGCTAGGGAGGTAGATGACTATGACTCGCGGCGTAGTCGAGGTTACGGAGGTGATGAGTTTGAGAGCTCCAGAGCAAATGAATACGAGAGGCCTGCGGAGGGTGATGAAGCCGGGTCTGGTTCACAGGCATTGCAGAACTTCGATCCGGCCAAAACGATTGCCCAGATCTATCCGATCCTTGAGTTTAGAGACAAGGTTGTCCGAAAGCTTTCGTCAATCATCGAGAAGATTCCGGGCTTGGAGGCAATCGTTGAAAAGATCACTGAGACTCTGACGGTGTTTGTTATGTCTTTGCTGGCACCTTTTATCCGCCCTCTCATTAGTGCTGCGTCCAAGTCTTTGCAGACCGGCTCCTCTGGTGTGATTGAATCCTCCGGACAGCATCAGTATGAGCCTTGGACGGACCCGAACTGCACTGACCCCACCCATTCGATGCTGTCCAAAGACCACTTCTCCAACATTCTCAACGAGCCTGCGGGTCAGGTAGCATCTGCCATCTTAAGATACGTAGCGCCTCGTGTGCTGCATGCCTGGGATAATATCAACGTCTCTGAAGAGAAGATATTAGACGACTGCCTGAAAGTTTTCCACCACCCGGCTCTACGAGACATGAACAATGAGGCCCATCGAACCATGTTTGAAGCTGTCCAAACCTGGGCACATTCTAGGCCGGATCGCGGCGCTGACCTGAATAATGTCCTGAGCGCCGAGGGAGTCAGGGAGGGCAAGAACAATACTGGGGAAGGCGAGCATTCACACGGGCATAGTCACGGAGCCCACCAGCAGCGTCCACCCCAGCCGCAGCAACAGCAGCAGGGCTCTTCCCTCCCTTGGGACAAGCTATCTAGCCTCCCCATTCCCGGGATCTCTAACCTGAACAAGCTTAACAGTGTCTTTTCTCATCTGAATGTGGGTGGTTTGTCAAGGGAGGGAGAATCCTCGCAACCTGAAACGTCCTCGCAATACGAGTCCCATCAGCAACAACAGACCCAGTATATTGAACAGCAGTACTCGCGGCAGGAGCACGGTCATCAGCATCAATACCGGAGCGAGACCCAGTACAGCGAGGAGCGACCATCGTACTCTCAACCTCCTCCTCCCCCTCCTCATGAGTTTGGCAGCAGTCACGGGTATGATGGGCACAGTGACAGTCATGAGAGACCCCATGGAGAGCACCACCATCATCATCACCACCACCACCATTCCTCCTCCCAGCATCGCCCTTCACCCGGCGGCTATGATTGGGAGTCTTACAGTGCGAGACACGGGCATGGGAGTGGAGACGGACAGGGCTACGGAGGAGGATACAACTATTGATTGCTACCGATGAGGTTCAGTATTCAGTAAACTCCCATTCTTTGTTCATTTTTATCTTTCATTCTCCTCAAGGTCATATCCCTCTTTTTTATTTATTTTTTTTTTATGGTGATTGATTAGGGTGTGGTCGAGTAGTTGAGTAATTCGAATAGCCTCGCAGGATGGATGTATGATATTCAGTCTGCATATCCATCATCCCATTATACCCCACTAATGGAATGAATGGTATGAGTAGTAACTACTGGCTTATGAAGCCAGAAATCAATGACATCTTCATCAAATCAGCCCGGCTAGCTCAATCGGCAGAGCGTGAGACTCTTAATCTCAAGGTTGCGGGTTCAACCCCCGCGTTGGGCTTTATCTTTTTCTTTTTCTTTTTCTTCTGCCATTCCCCCTTTTTTTTCTTTCATTTCTCTTCGCTTTTGACTTTCTATTGCTGTTTGTGTGTGTTTTTTTTTTTTTGTTTCCCTGCTTTTCATTTTGTATTATACTGGATGTAAGTAGTAGTGTAATGTAGTGTGGTGTGGAAGTATAGTAGTATATAGATACTTATATATTTGGTAACATGAAGTGGCAGGTAGGTGTGATCGTGATAAGATAGTATTGCGCCATGGAAATACATACATATATATATATATACATAAATATACACATACGAAATACTATACATCGAGCAAGAGAAACAGATTTCTACAGATACAGACAGCCATGAGTCATCATCAGGATGAGTAAGTATGACTAGTTATGTCATGTAAAATGCATTGCTATGTCTATCTATATCTACCAATTACCCATCCTTAGTAAAAGGAATAGAACGAAGAGTATTTAGATAGGTAGGTTATGTACATAGATAGATAGATGGATCAATGGATGGATGGATAAATGGATGGATGTATGAGATATATGGATGAGCGAGAGAATAAAAAATCGGAGGGAATAGGGATATCATATCATCAACCGCAATGACAATCACAAACACAAAGCCGCCGGGATAAAATACAGTATATTTCCTGGTAGACAAGATACAGCATACGAAATACAGCAAGTCAGAGAAATAAAAAAAGGGGGGGTTCTAAATCGATATGGAAGAAGAGGAAAGGATAGAGGGCTGGGCTGGGCTGGGTTGGGCTGGGCTGGGGAGGATATGCAAATTCAAGTGGAATTTTGTCACTTCGACCACCATTCATTAGTGGAGTTGTCGTGATTTCGTATGGTATCATACTGGGATGGATGTATATGTATCGATAAAAGGGGATGTGATGGGATCTATCACAGTTTCGTGCCCTCGCGCCCGCTATCGCTCAGTCGGCGGGGACGAAGGAAGGCGGTTGATGGGCCAGCGGCGGTGCTGGGCCCGGATGCAGAGGCAGCGCCAGCGCCAGCAGGGGTGGCGTTCCCGGGGGGAGCATTTGCGGGGCGGGCGGCGGCTGTTCGCTGGCCCTGATGCAGACGGGGGTTCATGAGCCATTGGACCTGCATGCGCATGCTGCCGACGGCGGCGTTAGTGTGTGCCATGTCTTCTTTTAGACGCAGGCATTCGTTCATGATGGCCATGCTGGCGCGCGCGTCGAGGTCTGTGATGGCGTGGGACAGCTGGCCGACCTCTTCGCGGAGGGATTCGTGGAGGGAGAGCAGGTAGTTTGTTGTGGTGGCGGTGTAGAGGTTGGAGCTTTCGATCTGGGATTGATTGCTGGAGCTTTCTCGGAGACGGGGAGGGGAGATGTCGGATGAGGTGGCTGGGTCGCCTGTTTCTGGGGAGGGTCCGTCATGGTCGGTTAAAGCACGGGGTGATTGCACTAATGTGGAGCGGATGTTGGCGATGCCATCTTCGAAGATCTCGTTGCGCTGTTGGAGGTGACGGATTGTCAGCTCAAGGGAGTCGAGTCGCGAGTTCTGCGCCTCGAAGTATGGACCCATCGCTATTAGGGGGCAGGTTTGCTCGTGTGTCATGCGTTCGGCGCGCTTGACTTTGACGGGACATCCGTATTTCGATGCCGCGCAGGGATGGATGACCTCCGGGCAGGTCTCGATGTGTTCGCGCAGTGCCTTGCGGAATACGCTGGTCTGGCAGTCGGGACAGGTTGTTTTGAGACTCGGGCATAGTTCTTTGACGTGCTCCTGCAGGAAGGAGTTGGTTAGCAAGAGCGGTTTGCGGCTGTCGCGCAACGGCACCTACCTCGTAGTCTTGCTCCATGATGTACTCGTCGCAGCGCAGGCAGCGATGGGGCTCGTGCAGACACCGGCCCTCCGGGCTGAGGGCCTTCTTCCGGGTCTTCTTGCTGCAGGAGCCGTCCGGGCAGTCGACGAGCCTGTAGCCGCAGTACTTGTCGACGTGCGACTGGACATGGCCCCGTGGGACGATTTCACTGCAGCCTTCGTCGCGGAAAGGGCAGCGCACGCGGATTTCATCGCACATGTTGACCAGCAGACGAGGCACATTGAGGTAGACGCCCCTCGTGGGGGTGCGACAGGTGGGACATGTAAAGTCGTCTCGACTCGCGGCGAGCGCGGTGATGGCGGAATTCAGGCATTTCTGGCAGAACACATGGTCGCATTGGAGACGCACCGGGCGAACGAAGGGGCAGCGACATATCGGACACATGAGGTGGTCATCGTAGGTGGAGACGGTCTCCAGAGAGCGGAGGTCGACAATCTCGTCTCGGTCGCAGGCTGTCTCCATCGCGAGCAGTTCCTCGAGGGTGATGCTTGCCATAATCCCATCCCCCTTCCGACGCGCGAAAGTTCCAACTTATATTGTCCGTCCAGCGATTCCTCCGCCGACCGAGTCAACCCTGTACAGGGAAAGGAGCGAGGACAATGAAGGGGTCGTCAGTCTAGATGCCGCAGGGGTGGGGGTGAAAATGAAACAATAGCACGGAGCGACCACCCGTGGGAGGAGGGGGGGTTACACGATGGGCGAAAGTGGCAGCGGAATGGAGTGGAGCGACAGAGGGAGGCGAGTTTGAAGACAGGAGGGTCGAGGAGGTGGAAGCGAGGGAGGCGAGGAGGGAGAGGCAGACGAAAACGAGGCCATTGCGGGGGATGGCGAGGCGAGATGCGGCGGAGGCGGCAGATCTGCCGAGACCAGACCAGACCAGCCATTCCATCCGCCCGGCTGATTCATTCATTCCATTCATTCTCTTTCATCTCATCTCATCTTTCACCCCCGTCGATGTTGATCGACCCCCTGTCGAGAGCAAAGGTAGTCGAGAAGGATACGAGATAGTTGTTTGTCTTCGGTTCCGACTTCTCCGCATCGCCTCGTCCACGCTAAGGCGCCCGCCCTCGTCCTCAGAGCCTCCTCGCCCAACTCCAACTCCCTCCTCCTCTTCCACCCCGTCACCACCACATACATACATACCAGCCAGACTCCATCCCTCCCCCTATCCCTCCCATCACTCCGCCATGCCAAACCCTTCCCAGCTCTTCCTCCTTGCCGACCACATCAAGCTATCGCTGCTCGAACGGCAACGGGCCATCTCGCTAGACCTCGAACCCAACAGCCAAGATGGGGAGATTTCCCGCTCGCTCGACTCCCTGAAAGAGGGCATCGAGGCGGTCGAGACGGAGTGCGCCCGGTTAGAGGAGGCCCACGACGACAGCACGGCCGATTACAAAGACCAGCTCTTCCACCTGCAATCGCAGTACCGTGACCTATCAATCCAATTCCAAGGCCCCGAGGCGAACAACACCAACGACGACGACCCAGCCGAATTCACCAACATCAAGAACTCCTCGCCGGATCTCAAACAGCCCGTGCCACAACACCCGTCGTCCAAATCCGTGCGGTTCATGGACTCGGCCGCCGCCGAAGCGGAGGAGGAGGATAATCTCAACCGTCGCAACCTCTTCCAGCCGTACCGCGACTCGCCGTCCCCGCCGGGCCTGGACACCTCCAACATGTCCAACCAGCAGGTCTACGATAGCCACGAACAGACCATGCGCGACCAGGACGAACAGCTCGATCGGCTAGGCGAGTCGATCGGTCGGCAGCACCAGCTCAGTATCCAGATCGGGGATGAGCTCGAGGGCCATGTTGCGTTGCTGGATGACATGGACGGCCATGTGGATAGGCATCAGGGCCGGTTGGATAAAGCCAGGAAGCGGCTGGATAAGATCCGGCGCAGTGCGGGCGATAATTGGAGTATGATGACCATCATCGGGCTGATCATCGTCTTGGTCATCCTGATTGTCCTTTTGAAATAAGAGGACCGGATGGTGCCCTCCGTCCGTCTTGTCGTATACGGTCTGAATTGCTAGTCATGAATCTTGTGGGCGCGGGACTCGGGACGGAACTGATCCCGAGGGCGAAGAACGGCGTTTGTTACACCTGCTGCGGTTTGGAGTTGTCAATTCCCCTTGTGTTTGTCTATCTGGAGCCTCCTTGTCCGTGATGGGGGGTTACGGGCGTTTTGATGGGTTTTTTTGTCGTCTACTACTTGCCTTGCACTTTACACTTACACACCTGGTTTGCATACATTAATCCAAGTGCGTCCATCCATTCATCCATCCATCCATCCGTCCATCCATCTGTTTACAATACACCATTTTGATATATTCCCCCTTCACATCCATCCTTATGAATTCCCATCGAAGAACTTCGCGAATACCACTCCTTCACTCTTTACCAGCCACCTACCAGGCAGAACAGACACCTATCAAATCCAGACAAATACCATCTAATAATACTACCAGACTACACTCAATCACTCACCTCATCATTCTCGCATGCGACAGGATCTCAATATTCATTCTCAATAGTCGAATAGTATCTATCGCATTAGATAAAAACAGCCCCAAAGGAGAAATAAAAAGAAACCCCAATACACCCGTACCATTCATCCACAACCCCCCATCCCATCCCATCCCATCTCATCCCATCACCTGATTATCATAACATACCACATCATCATCTATGTATGTATCTTATCCCCAATCCATCAACACTTATGGGAAGAACTATCAATTCATCAATCTATCTCGTCTTTTCATTCGGCAACCCCTTCGTCTTCTCCTGCAACGACCCGAAATGGCCATCTTCGTGGTCGACTTCGCCGCGATCGGCTTTAACCTTTTGACACAAAACACACACATTAGCATTGGCATTGGCCACATTACACTATTTTCAAAAAAAAAACAGAACAGAACAGAAGGAGAAAAGAGAAAAAGAGTGAGGGGAGAATCCTACCGACGCCTCACTGTTACTAGCGAGCTCCTGCTTCCACTTTGCCTTTCCTTCCTTGGAGCTCTTCAACTGCTCGTGTTTGTGGGATTCGTAGTGGGTGCCTAGGTCTTCGCGGTCTGGGGTTGGGTTGGTTGTTAGGTTTGATTCTTGGGAAGATGAAGAGGAGGAAGCTTAGGGGAAGGGAAGGGAAGGGAAGGGAGAGACGAACTGTGATCGGATTCTTTGAGGCCCTGACGGGGGGCGCTGGTGTGTAGGGAGGAAAGGGCCGGGTAGGTTGTTGGGCGGAGGGAGAGGGTGGAGATGGAGGGGCGGAGGGAGGTGCGGAGGGGGGCGAGGAAGGACATTTTGGTGGTTTGTGTCTGTTGGTCTGGGTGGGTGGGTGGTTGGTTGGTTGGTTGACTGGATAGAGGATGATTGTTAGTTAGTGGGATGAGTCTTGGGGGATGGTGATGGTGATGGGATGGCAGGTAAGGGAGGTTTCAAGGATGAGTTAGTTAAGTACTCACCCAAAGTTATCAATTCGCGAGTATTCCGTATCTGACGTGCAAAGGTATCAAATCAATCCAAGAAAGCTAGGAAAGTGGCAGTAGTAAAGTAAGTCTATAGCAGGGAGGTATAGAGGTAAGTAAGTAAAGAAAGTCGACAGCCAGCCAGCAGCAGCAGCAACAGGTTTGGTTTTAAACCACCACACAAGCGATCAATGCCAATCACAATTCCGTTCGACCTCGGGTAAAGCCAGAAGCAAATTACTCTACTGACTACTGCTGCTACTACTACTTACTGCTCGATTGACGCAGCATCCAAGATTCCACAGCCAACCGTAGGGAGTGCGGCCTGGTGGGGAATATTGGTGACGTCATTGATGCTCATCCATCCACCCTACGTAACTACCAGACCGGACCAAGTGTGGCCAATTGCGGGGATTAGTCATTTCACGATAGGGGGTCGGTCGTTTTCTATTGTCTTCTCGGTGGTACGTAGTATGATGGGGATGTTGATATGGGGGATATCTTGTGGTGGTGGTGGTGGTCTGTCTGTCGTCCGGACATGTTTGAGGCCGGGACCAAGGATATGACGACATCACGACGGATCGCAGTTCCAGGACAACACGGCCAGGTAAATAAGGGTTGCTTCGTCTAGGGGCATATATTGCAGTTCTCTCGATATACCAAATTATATTTTCGAATATTCAATCGCTAGAGAGTTGCGGATGCTGCAAGTCAAGTGGTACAGTGCGGACTCTGGGTTTTCTAGCCGGCCCTCGGAACACCCACACCAGATAGTATATATACATCCATATACAACCACCATCACGAACTGCCCACATCTCACCCACGAGTTTCTGAAATTCAAACGAGGGCGACCAATTCACTACGTCATGTTCTGCAACTGTTACCCCGGAAACCACGAACGATAAGGCCATGACTGATAGAAGATCTCTACGCATCGCCATCGCAACCTCATCATCCAATCTACCCTCTGAACACAAAATGCACACAAGTCCAATACCGACGATTTAGTTGCTTCCAGTGCTAATTTCACAGCTATGTATAGGTATTACCTGTATAGTTCCTGTTGGAAAGCGATATAGACATAGGAAAAAGACTGATGAAAAAGACGGCGAAAGGACCCAAGAAAGAAGCAGGAAAGCGAAATCAGAAGATCATACATAGCATCACACTCTCCGGGAGTTCCCCAGGAATCGAAGAAATGAGATAGTAAGATAAGATAGATCGAAAGAACATCCGAACGAGTCAACGCGGAGGCGAACAGAAGCGAAATCATGCCGTCGACGGACGGACATAAGCAAGCAAAAGTAAAAGTAGCAACGGTCTAAATCTCGCGGAAAAGCGAGCGACCCCCTTTCAGAGACGACAAGAACTCCCCATCCAATCCATGGATTTTCACAGCCAGTTGACCTGAAAGTAGCAAGCACCGCGTGTCACCAATCCCCAACCCATATACATAAAAGAAACATAGAAATAACAGGTTTTCAAGAAAAGCGAAAAAAAAAGAAAAAGGAAAACATATGCCAAGTAGAGGTCAAAAACCCAGCCAAACATCCCGAACAACTCAGCAAAGCCCAAATCAATGCAGACGTATATCGTTTCCGCCTTTCTAAATCCCTGAAAAGCATGTCAAAATGATCCCATCCCACCCAAAATGTGACAAAACACCAAGCAAGCCGAAAGATGTGGAATAACCGCCCTGCGTATCTCTGGCATTGCCGCCGTCGGAACCAAAACAAAAGCAACTCCGGACCCATAGATGCGCGCCTGAATGGCAAAATCACCGCGCTTTCTATACATCACCGCGGCCAAAACTCGTGGTCAAAGCAAGTTTTCCCTAACCGTAAGATAATAAAAAACAAGGTATCGTTTGATATAGAATGCAAAAATCGAAATCGCAGGCGCCGTCGCTCGCAGGAAGCCGAAAGCATCGTCTAGGTATAAGTGTTCGAGGTCGTCATCGGAGGAGAGGTGTATATACAGAGAATCACTGGTTTATCCTTTGCTGATTTTGCGCTCGCGAGCCAAAAAGAGGTAAAAGGGGGATTTCAGTTAGATCGTAAGAATGCGATGGCCGTGTCGAACAGAAGCAAAACAAAGCAATAAAAATTATGACCCGCGGTTAGGAAGCCCGATGATGTAGAAGCCGGAAGACGTGGAGAATATGCCATGAGCGGAAGAGGCCCGGTGCCGGATGGAACGGCGACCTGCCAGATCGCGGTTCTCACCATCGGCGCTGGACGTTCTGCATCGAGGCCGGCGAGATCGACGTGGGCGGGCTCGTGAGCGTCATGCCGGTATTCGGGTTGACGATCGGGATGACCTTGCGGGTGCGAACTGCGGACGGCTGCTGGAAGTTCACGTGACTGAGGTTACCAGTAACCCCTGAGTGCACGTAGGAGTTGGAGGACGCCGGCGACAGAGAGATGGAAGGCGTCACCTGCTGGACAGGCTGGATCTGGTGCTGAAGAGGAGACGTGTCTGGCGATCCACTGGAGAGCGACGACCGATCCGAGGAGGCGGAGTGGATTGAGTGCAACTGCGGAAATAGGGGGTCAATACGTGATCTGGAAATATGGATTGGGCGGGCTACGACCAAGACTATGCCGGTCTAACGAATCGTGGGATCCCGAGGGTCTATGAACATACATCGTCCTCGGTCAGGAGGCCAGGGCAGAACTCCAGATCGTCGTCGAGATCGAACGACCGACCGGCCTCAAATCGTGCACGGAAAGCGGTCACGGCGGGGGCTTCGGCAAGCTCCCTCATGCTCTTTACACCGCGGAACTGGCGCTGGGCATTTTGCGAGGCCATCTTGGGTCCTCGGCGAGAACGACCTCCATGGTGGTTGTTTGAGTTCGTCATGTGGGCGGCGGCGCCATGGTGCGGGTGTTGCTGGTGCTGGTGCTGGTGCTGTTGCTGGTGACCGTAGAAAAAAGTCGACATTTTGCTGAGATTGATGCGAACAACGTAACAAGGTGGACGAAGAGGTTATATCGTAGCGAGGCAGGCTAGGTAGGCTCAGGAATTCGTTGCAGGGTGGGTACAAACAAGGACCAGCGCTCTGGAATCCCGACAACAAGAACTCCGAACGGACTAGACAAAGAAAAGCGACAGGTGAGGTGTGAAGAATGGCAAGGCGGTTGGGTTGGAATGTGCGGGAACAGGAAGAACGAGGAAGACAGTAAGTAAGGGTAAGTAAGGGTAAGTTAGAAGTGGAAGTGGAAGTGGAAGTAGTAGGGTTTGGGGAGAGATGGGACGGGAGGAGTAGTAAAGGCGAGAGAGATCGGGGGCGAATTTGCGATTAGTGTGGTTGTGGGATGGGGAATCATCGACGATGGCGGGACAAGAGTTGAAAAGAAGACCGAGAGCGAGAAGAGAGTCGCAGCGCCCGGAGCGGACGGAGGCGACAGAGCAAGAGGGGCTGCAGTTGTTCTTCGGCTGGGGCTGAGCGACCGAGTGCAAATGCGGTGGGGACCCGCAAGGGAATGAATGGATGGGTGGGCGGTACGCTGACCATACCCTACGTTTACGGTATCGACCTCCCTCGCCAGCCATGATCAGCGCCTGTTGCAGTATGGCGTGGTATGACGTGGTATGTCTGGTACCGCTGGTATCACCCTGGTCTGGTACGGTAGGTAAATCGGCTGTAACATCCAGTCCCAGATTGCCTGCGCTAACCTGGTCACGCACCAGTTTTAGGGCAGCCCGTCCGACCAACCAGAGCCCTGTCAACGGATGCTCGGTGGCAAGACAATGCCCCGAAGGCCAATAATCGCCGCTCAGAACGGCCCACCGTCAAAACTGTCCAATGGGCATCGTTTCCCGGCGGCTCTAATCGGCTGCTCAGTGGACTAAAGGTGACGTCGAGTACCAGACACTAGACCCTTCCAGGCCTAGTTGGGGACACCACCCCATCGACGCCTAATATCTGGGTGCCCTCGATCTAACCTCGAGCAGCGCAAGCGGCTGTCGGATGAAGACCGGGTCCCAGCCTGGAACTTCTAAGGCTGTTGTATTACCGTATCTGCAGAACACGTACTTTACACCGTACAAGTGTACCGTGATGATGGTGCGATGATGCCCGCCCGCTGCCGGGTGTTGTAATGATGCATACTACTACGGAGTGTACGGCCGTTTGACACTGCCCTCTGGCGCAGTGGATCTACCGTTGACGATTTGATGAGCTGTGGCTTCCGCCGAGCGGCTGCATGGGTGACGACGAGGACGATGATAAAAATACCTATAACCTGGGCGGTGTTTTATCTGGCGCATTGTTGTGCTGGGTCGTTTCAAAGTCACCAGGAGGATCCCCTCGTACCCGTAAGTATGGTGGTGCTAAGGGGGGGGGGGGGGGACTTGGGAAGGGATGTGGCTCCCTCTTCCGAAGACAGGCATGCGCTGGCAAACAGACAAAATGCCCACTACGACATCTGCGGGTAATGATTTGCAAAAAATGTGGTGAGGCCCACCGACTAGGTACCCTGATTCGTTGCTGTTATTCTCGGTACCTTTCCCTTCAACCGTGCCACCTGGTCTTGGGGCACTCCTATTTCTGAGGCGTCTTCTTGAGGTCTGAGGAGTTGGATAGTCCGAATTAACATGACCGTAGCACCGTGTCTGTCTGCCTGCCTGCCTGCCTGTACGGCGGCTGCTCTGCGGGCCTCGGGTCAACCATGGACGACTGCCATTGACTAGTGACATTGAAACGGCTGCTCCTGCCAGCCCATGCTTCGACGGCTTCGACGAGGATTCCATAACAGAAATTAGACCCTCCACTTGAGTTTCTGGATCTTCTCCATACGACCGAATAGTCAGATGATCTATTGTCAGTAGTATGCCAGTATTCATTACGGAATAGTAATACTCAACCATCAGAAATAATAGTGCAGTCACCCACAATGCTTTCTGGGTTGCCCAACAAGCTAGTCAAGAGTAGTTGTTTGTTTACACCGTAGACACTCGTTCCTCGGTACATTGTTATTGATCTTAAAAAATCGACCAGCGACGGAGTTCTCCGTACACACACAGTACAGACTGCAAAGAAATCCAGATCTCAATCCCGGCTTGGCTGCTGCTCCCTATTTTTCTTGTCCACATGGGGCAAGCGCTACGGCCACTGCATGGTCCTGCACCTTCCTCTATGCAGTCAAGGTTCACAATAGTAATAATAGTACAGTACACCTGTGGATTTGTCTGCAGTCTGCAACCTGCATAGCACCCCCCCCTCATGGATATAGCACTACCAATAGACGCAGAACAACGCTCGGGTGTCCTTGAATGCCTGGACCTTGATTCCACGCTAAACCCAGGGGTTGAAACGGGATCTTAGTGGTTGGGGGAGTAGCGTAAATGCAGGACGGGATGCGCCTAGAGAGAGGACTGGGAGCCATGATGGCGGCTACTGGAACACCCAGAGCAGCATCAGCAGCATCAGCAGCATCAGCAGCAGCAGCAAGCAGCATTGCGGGCTAACAGGGTCACAGCTCCCCCCAAACCTGCAGGCTACTGCAGGTTGTACCGTAGGGGAGCACCGCACTGGGATGGAATGGGGGCCCTTTTTGCCTGCACAAGCGATTGGGCAGCATTGATCATCGATGGCATCCAGCCGTGCTCACCCTCTCTCCCGTGTGCAATGTGCATAATGCAATCAATGGTGGGTGGTCTGTCTCCAACTCTCCATGAGGAAGAGGTATGGAGAATAGGCTTTAGCACCAATCGGCAAGTTAAATCATTACATAGTACTAGAGTATGCTGCTAAGATCTGACTCTCCCTCGCTCTCTCCAGTCTCCAGATCTCACCGCCCTTTTGATCGAGCGAGACGGACGAGTCTCCCGTCAAGTCTGGAGTCTGGAGATGCCCCGATGCCCCCTCCTGGGTCGGTCGGAAACCTTGTTGTATGATCTTGATCTCATGATAGGTGCTTCCCCATTGATCCCCCTCAAGGCAGGGATATGTTTTCTGGGCGATGATTATCAGGATTTTTGGCTGGGTAATACGAGGCTTCCCTTCCCTTCCCTTTCCATCCCTGCCGGTTGTACGGAGTACTATATACTATGTACGGTACTGCTAGCAGGTAATAACCCGGTTTTTGTCTGACCGGTTCTTGTTTACCTGGAACCCTGTCTGTAAGCTGCCTAGTATGAGACGGAATGTCTTGCATCCAGATGAGTAATAGTAGGATTGGGGTAACTAACTATCGGCGGTAGCTAGACTACTTTAGCCCAGACGATGTCTTTGGATCTATCCTGTAGGGAAGTAAGTACAGGGTACGGAGTACAGTAAGTACGTACCTAAGAAGACATGGCTGATAGCGGGGCGCTGAGCGGGATCAGCTGCACTCCAGACGCCATTTCCGGAATATTTGTTTGTTATCGAGCTCCATGGAGAGCGGATATTGACGACAAGGGAGAGTCGAGGAACTGTCTCAAACCCTGGAGTGCGTAAGTGAGAGGTGCCTGGCGCATAGTACGTACCCCCCTCCTCACACTCATAGCCGTAAAGCAAGGGATATGAAACACGATCCGTCTGCCTACGGTAGCCTGGTCTCAGGAAGCGCTCACTTCATGGTTGCGTTGGATGTATCCAATAAACGATACCATGCCCCTCAGAAATAACATTTGTTTTTCTGGAAAGCTGGGGGAGAGTTACCCTGCCTAGCGCCCAGATGTCTCTACCGGGAGGAAAGGACCTGGTGGTGGTGGTGGTGGTGCCTGTGTCACCGGCACACAGGCTGGATTCCCTCCTTGTCGTACTAAAGCCCGCAGATAAGCTCAATTAAAGTAGTTAATGGGCAGGGACTCGTAGCCAGGTACGGAGTACGGAGTTCTCGTATAGATACCTATGTAGCTCTTTCCTCCGATTTATAGTATCTACCTACATCGGGACATGATTGTTTTGTCTTGTTGAAAATTCAATAGACACCTCAATAATACGACTCCAGGTCTCGCAACGTCAGATCTTAATGATGACTGATTGCACCACATGATCAACCATCTTGACAAATACCAGATTCCATCAAGCATGGATCTAGATGCAGCCGTGGCATTCGATGTTTAGGTATACGTTGTAAGCCTAGTCCCGCTATCGGGGTTCTGACTCAGGCTGATATGACATCCCTTGGTCTCCCTGTTGAATGCGGACATGCCGGAACACCCGGGTCCTCCGCTTGCCTCCCCCCTTCCCCAGTACTTATGTTACTTTTTGCTTTGGGTACAATCCTCTGAAAAGTCGAGTACGTAGGTAAGTAAGTAGGTAAGTAAGTAGGTAGGTAGGTAGGTAGATATGCTCCTGTTCGCACTGACGACTGCATGCCATAGATCAAACGGCTACCCACGCTGCCGCTTGCGCCTCGAACAACTAATGCAGGCAGCCATGAAGACGTGCAACGGGCCTAATACATAAGCTTCCTTTGCTCTCGATCGTATTTCATGCCCTCCCGCCAGACATATGTGATATGTACGATCCACTAGGCTTAGCTACTAGGTAACTACTACTTACTTGGCGTATTATTCTGTCTCACATGTATCTCACATTCCAGAGGGGATACCTAATCGTAGGTAATGCCTGCACGCATGTAAGACAGCGACGGGACGGGCAGAAACCCACATAGCCCTATGCTTGTAAGATGTTAATCTCCAGGGATCCATGGCTTTCAGTCGGAATGGCCGTCATCAACAGCCTGTGACAGCAAGTTGCTTCTCAGGCCAGGGATATCCCAGTCTGCCCGGGATTATACATACCATGGGGCCCTGGTTTTTTGGAAGAGCTTATTTGTTGTACATGGGAATGGGACGCTCCCGAAATATTTTTGTGCAGTATTTATGTAGACTATGTGATGGACAGATCGACCCAATTCGCTTGAAACCCCGAAACAAGAAAAAGAAGCAAGTCCTCATTCGCGTATGAAATGCATGTAAATCGATCCTTGAAACGCCGCTTTGCTTATGTAAATGCATATGTGGGATGGAAATGTTCATTTATCCAGGTTTTTGCTCTTGACCATCCGGCCAAGAAGCTCTTTACAGTGCTTTTCGCTGTACTGCTCCCAGACCTCATATAGGGAGACCAGCTCTTGTGTGCACTCGATGACTGCCTTGATGTCCACCTCGCTCTCCGCGAGCCATGCTATAAGTCGCTGGATCCGGGGAGGAGGGCCGTTGCCGTTTTTGTCTCCCAGCGCCGCAAGGATGCTCATGCCGCCATCCCTCATTGCGCTAGCCAGTGGCGCCGCAGACCCGTGGAAGCTTGTCTGGCTGGGCTTGAAAACAACAGCGACAATAATGGCCATTACTGCGATGACATGGGGCGGGTACAAAAGTGGCAGATCGGTGAGATAGTGATCGTTTATCACTGACCACGCGAGGGCCACCTCGTCTGACGTAAGTGATAGCTCCGGTTGGAGTTCTGATAAAGTCCGATACGGGTGATGTATGATGAGCTGCGAGCTCATCTCCGAGATTAAGGAGAACTCGCATTCTCCCAGCTTGGAGACATCCGGGGCAATGAACTCTGCAGTCGGGTCAGTGGGGCCTTGCATGACTACCACCCGATTCGGGATCCTACCTGGCCAGAGACCTCTCGCTTCACCAACGACGAATCGAATGTGTTGGGGACACTCCTCCATCTTGCAGGCAAGGTAGAAGGCCGTGGTCACGACAAGATACGGATTTGTGTGCCTGATCTCGTTTTTGGTGTAAAACCTCTTGACATACACTTGCGCTGTCGCCAGTGCTTGTTGTCGAGTAGACATCCTCTTGCCCAGTTTGATGAGCTCTGCAGAGACAATGAGTTCCAATACGTGCTGAGAGGGAGATGTCGCGTCACTGTACGGCATGTTACGTACGTTGACTGAAGTAGATGTTCAGCAGCCTCTGATCCGGCAAAGGGAACTGGGTGTGTGCGACCTTGTCCCTTTCTCGGAAGCTCTCACGGATCTCAGCTAGCTTCTCCCTGGAGAACAGCCAGTGTCGCCGCTGGGTCGAGGCCCAGTAGTTGGCCGCCATGGCTGTAGGAGGAGGGTGGAGGGAGTCAAGAGACGGATGTTTGTTTGTCTAGTCTCATAGGATGGCAGTTGGAATGGCCACCATTGTGTCTCCCGAGCCGGAGACGTACAGGTTGGGAGGGAGGTATCTGTCTGGAATATGGAACATGGAACATGGAACATGGAACGATATCCAGTCTATCGGATAGATAGATCGAGGTCCAGACGGTCGGAATCCACCTCCGTATTGCTCCGGGCGATCTCGAGGCAGGTGATCGCGGGTTGCGGGCGGAGGCCCAAAGCGGACTAGCGGCAGCAGCAACCGGGCCGGGGCCTCGTTTTCTTCCGGCTCATGTCGTAAGGGAAGCAAATCATCGCGTCTGGATTTCTCACGGCTATCGGCTCCTCCCCCCCCCAAACGCCCAAACGCTGAACCTACAATATGAACGCCAGTTTAACACTTGTCTGATCTCGATCGCACCGTGTTTCGATGCCCAAACTATCGTCCCCGTTCGTTCTGCCCTGCTGCGCCCAGGGATACCTCTCTCCTCCCACCACCCTGTGACCCCTCCTTAAAAATAATGACGGAGCCCAGATAAGAAAGATTCTCATCACCAAACATGGATACTGGCGAGTCGCAAAAGGACCGGGACCAAAGAGTCGCCCAGCTCTGGCAACACCTCGACACCAAGGGGGAAGGTCATCTTGACTTCACCGGCCTCAAGAAGGGCCTGAAAAAGATCGATCACCGTAAGCATTTCCGTGACCCGATCCCGTGCGTGATGCAGATGACCGACACTCCTCCCAACGCAGCGCTTAAGAATGCGGACGATATGATGCGGGATATCATCAAGGTGGTAGACACCAACGGAGACGGCTATATAGATTATCCTGGTAAGATCACGCGCCTCGCGTCATGGCTTCCCACCGTTCCAGGGAAATCTGGCTTGACGCCGGCCATTAAACCGACCTAATGATCGCCAGAATTCCGGGCCTTTGTCGACCACACGGAGATCGGCTTGTGGCAGCTATTCGAGAGCATTGACCGGAACCACAACGGAGAGATCGATAAGACCGAGCTCAAGACCGCCTTCTCAAAGTCCGGGGTTACCGTCTCGAACGCCAAACTGGAAGAATTCTTCGCGGAGGTGGACAGCAATAAGGATGGCGTCATTTCCTATGCCGAGTGGAGGTACGCATGATGGCGGTCACCTGAACAAGCCCGGGCTTACCGACTAATGACTGGATGGTATTTAGGGATTTCCTCCTCTTCCTGCCTGCCTACTCGTCCTCCAACCTCCGCTCTGTCCTGTCATACTACACGGCCACGGGCAATCTAAACCCGGAAGGAGATGTCCACATCAACGATCTGCAGGGTTTAGGTACAGACCACTCGTTTCTTAGCCGTTATATTTTGGCCATACAGAACCTCCTGTACAACGTTTTCCCAGTGCACGTTTTGACAAACCTCATCCCGTCAGCTTACGCGGAGGCCGCGGGGATAGCTACGCCTGGATTCGCGTTTGAGAATGATTCTGTATCTTTAGATGGTGACCTGGAATTGGAGTGGTTGCCTATCCCCAGGACTGTCGCCATGTGGATGTCTTTCCGATATTATGAACAGAAGTTGACCGAGAACACTCCTCAATTAGGCTACTTCATTGCGGGTGGTGTTGCAGGCGCCGTGTCAAGAACAGCCACTGCACCCTTGGACCGACTGAAAGTCTACCTTATAGCACAGACTGGCGTGAAAACCTCGGCCGTCAGTGCGGCGAAAGACGGAGCTCCGTTGCGCGCAGCAGGGAAGGCGTCGAAAACGCTTCTCGAGGCCGTTAAGGATCTTTGGCGTGCAGGCGGCATCCGTAGTTTGTTTGCAGGTAAGCTTGGAGATGACACCACGATACATGAATTTTTCTGACCGGTGAAGGAAACGGGTTGAATGTTTTGAAGGTTATGCCCGAATCTGCCATCAAATTCGGAGCCTATGAGGTTCGAGTCTTGATCTGAAACATGAGACATATCACAAGCTGACATCAGATAGTCTGCAAAACGTGCATTTGCTCGCCTGGAGGGTCACAATGACACTAAGAAACTGATGCCTATATCACAGCTTTTATCTGGAGGTTGCGGAGGAATGGTGGCCCAGTACGTTTCAATCTACCCCCTGACCGAAAAACCAACCTCTGACCCAGACCCACTTGTAGGTGCTTTGTTTATCCGCTGGACACGTTGAAATTGTAAGTACAGCTGTATGCCTGACCATAACGCTTCATGGAACTCACCCTGCGACTAGCCGTATGCAATGCGATACTGTCGAAGGTGGCCTGAAGGGCAACCGACTCATTGCGGCCACGGCCAGAAAGGTGTTGAACAAGAACGGCCTATACGGCTTTTTTCGTGGCCTGCCTCTCGGTCTGGTTGGCATGTTTCCGTACGCTGCGATTGACTTGACCACGTTTGAATACATGAAACGAGCTTTGATAGCGCGAAAGGCACGTCTGCACAACTGCCATGAGGATGACGTTCCCCTCAACAACTTCAGCACCGGAGCGATTGGTGCCATGAGCGGAGGCTTCAGCGCCTCCGTCGTCTATCCGTTGAATGTTCTCCGAACAAGAATGCAGGCCCAAGGCACTATTCTGCACCCCTCCACCTACGACGGCATCGGCGATGTTGCCCGCAAAACGATACAGACAGAAGGGTTCCGTGGATTCTACAAAGGGCTTACGCCTAATCTTCTCAAGGTCGCACCCGCGGTGTCTATCAGCTACGTGGTCTATGAAAACGCCAAGCGAACGCTCGGGTTGAAATAAACAACTCAGAGACCGGACCCGCTTGCTACTTTCCACCAGCCACGTCTACTGAACTCATCAATAACCCACCCAGGCTCGGGAAAATAATCATTCGCGCCATATCGTCGCATTTCTCTTTCTTCTTGACACCGTTTTTTTAGACATTTTGTTTTTGAGATACCCTCAAAGCCAGTGACCCTCCACAGGGCTCAGTTCTCTTTTGGGTGGAAATGCGAATTTTCCTTTCACCCCATCCATATTCATCATCGCTCTGATAGAAGACACGCCCTCCTTCCTTGCTTGCTTCCTTTTTCTTCTTTTTTGCTGTCCATTTTCCCACCGCAAATGCCGATGGCTTGACTTTTTTTTTTTTTTTTTTTTTTTTTTTTTTTTTTTTTTGAAAATACCTGTCACATATTGCTGGTGGTCTGATGCGATCAGATCCGCGTCGCATCTTACTTGGATGGCCAGTCGTTTAGGGGAGAGTTACATGGCCGACATATTTACTAGCATGGAAGGGCGTCGTCGTGCGACTAAGCATGTCCCGGAGTTTTGTTCTTTTTTTTTATCCACATATTGCATCTTTTGCCTCTTTGTATAATTGGAACCCCCCACGGGGTTCAAAGAAGAGGGTAGGGAAGGGGGGCTGTCACTTTTGCTTTTTTTGACCATGTATGCTGGGAATAGGATAATACCTCACGGCATCCGCTAGGAGAATGGACCAATGGATATAGAAGAAAGATACATATTGAACAATTTCAATTGGAATATCATACCTACGTACCTAGCTTATTTGCAGTTGCATTGACTATAAACTACCCACGTTATTCAATACGTATGTATCTACGACCTCCCAACCCCAACAGCCGCAACCTCCTCCCCCAACGGCAAAACATCCGGCACCGGTCCGACAGGGGTAATCCCAAAGGGATTAATCTGCTTATGACTCTTGGTATAATGCAACTTAATATGTTCGAAATTGGTGGTGTCCCTGAACGCGGGCACATTCCAATACAGATTCCGCACCCAGCGATGAATGGCCGGATAACCGGAGCGAATATCGCGCACGTTGCACTTGAAATGCTGCACGTAGACGGGGTCGAAGCGGATGATGGTCGTGAAGAGCCGGATATCGAGCTCCGTGATCGTCGAGCCGAAGTAGTACGGCGTGTCGGGCGAGTAGGATTTCGCGAGGTGCGCTTCGACTTTGTCGAGGGAGGAGAAGAGCGTCGTCACGGCTTTTTCGTAGGCTTCTTGCGTGGTCGCGAAGCCGGATTTGTATACCCCGTTGTTGATGTCGTTGTAGGTCCAGTCGTTGGTGGTGTCGATTTGGGCGCGGAGGGCGGACGGGTAGGGGTCGATTTGTTGGAGGGGGGTGGGGAGGAGGGCGTTGAATTCGGTGTAGAGCATGCGGATGATTTCGGAGCTCTGGGTGGGAAGGAGGAGGAAGGGGTTGGGTTAGCGGGGCTTGGAGGGTTGGAAGGGGGTTTGGGGGGGGGGGGGGGTGATGGTGGCGGTGATGGACTTACCTCGTTGCTTACGATGCGGTTAGTTTTCTTGTCGAAGAGGACGGGGACGGTGAACCGGCCCTCGTAATCCGGGTCATTGGAGAAGTAGATCTCGCGCAGAAAACTGGATTTCGAGAGGGGGTCTGAGGTGACATTTTCGTCGGGTTGTTGTTCCTCGGGGGTTGCGAAGCGCCAGCCTGGTCATTGGAAAGAGGAATTGTGAGTTTTCCTGCTATCAAATATTGATGCGCAACATTGGAGGATTCGCGTTGGCATACCGTTGGGGCCTAGGTGCCAGTGGACGGACGTGAAGGAGATGATGTCCTCGAGGCCCTTGAGCTTCCGTGTAATCAGGGTGCGGTGGGCTGTAAGGTGAGGGGGGATATGATGTTAGTTTGTGCATGTATCGAGACGGATGCGCTAGAAGTGGTAGACTCACCCCATGGACAGGCGTATGAGACGTAAAGGTGGTAGCGGCCCTTCTCCGGAGGGAATTCCGCGCCGGGCTCACTGGAGATCCAATTGCGGAAAGTCGACGTTTGGCGCTTGAATTCGCCGCTCTTGTCCTTGGGATCGACCCAATCGGTGATCTTCTTAGAGGTGTTGGTCTGGCCGAGCGCGACAGGTCAGTAAAAGGTGGCAGAGAGATGGGATGGTGGAGGAATGGAGAGAGGCATACCGCCATGTTGCGCGTCAGAGAGGGGACGATGGGTGGTGCGGAGAGGATGGAGCTGTTGTGAGTTGCGGAAGGAGGGAATCTGGCGAGGACTCGGGGCTGTAATATATGGCGCGAGACCTGGTGGACTCGCGACAGAGCAGAAAACATCAGCACCGAGCGAAAGAGGGGCAATGGGCTGGTCGAGAAGCTTCAAGCCAATATCGCGGACAAATAAATTGGAGGGGCAATACGAGGCGCGGCGGTGCGGGGTGGAGATGACGTTATGATTTGCTTACGGATGAGGGCTCGGTCAGGGCTCAGTCACCGCTGACCAACCATCCGTCTATCTATCTAGTATCTACCGGGAAAATGGATCGAAAGAACTATAACATTGCGTCTAGTGCGTGAGTAAACATATCCAGATAGATCATGGCCTTTTCCCTAGCAGCTGGTAGGTAATACGCGGTCGTCGTCCATTTACTTCCTCAGCTTCACCATCACATACGGGATCTCCACATCCTCATCCGTTTGGTCTTCCGCAGTCACCTCGAAGATGATGTTCTTCTGGTGCTCCGGAACCGGCTTCTTGCTGATGTGTTCCACCAGCTTGCTCATCCTGCACAATAAGTGGTTAGCACCGCAGTCGTCTCAGAGGAAATTCAAGGTTATTTACTTCATGGGAAGACGGTCCTTCACCTTCGAGGGCCCGTAGAAGCTGGCATACAGGAGACTGACACCAGAGCTGACCATGCTGATCTCCAGGCCCAGGTCGGAAAAGTGCTTGATGAAGTCTTGCAGCGGGATGTCATCCACTTCAAAGCGGTCCCAGATTTGGTCGATTGTCACCTCCCCTTGCTTACCCATGTACTTGCCCTTAGGGCTGGCGATAGGCTCACTGAAGCCAAGGAATGGCAGTGCGAGGTTCACAAAGCCGTTCTTGTACTGCTCAATGTCATCCTTGCCGTCAATCACCTTAAACAGCTCCAGAGCGACCAGTCCAGTGACCAACGCGGTGGTAGTGGCGATGGCAGGGATGATCTTGCCAGCAATAAACTTGGTCTTGTGGCGGTCGGCCTGGGGGATGTCGTAGTTATCGGCACGCAGGTTACTGGCGGCAGTGATGAAGTCAATGTGGTGGTTGGTGTCGTCGTCCTTCTCGAACTCCACGGGGTCCAGGCGGAACCCTGCCAGAGAACTGGGCGACGGAAGCGAGTCTACCAAGCGCTGAATCTCTTTGCCGTCATCAAAGGAAGAGCCCGTAGCCTGAGCATTCGGGTCAGGCTCGTTCTCGTCAGCCTGGATTTTGATGCCCGACTTCGGGCTGAATTCGGGAATGATCATGTTGTCGACAACCTTCTTGTAATATCCCTTGTCAGCACCGGGGTTCTTGATTCCGTAGTTGAAAGCATGCAGGTTGGCTGCAGCAACGACGAACGAGAAGTGAGTCGGGTTGGAGCTGTCGAACTTCAAAGGTGTGGGGGCACGCTTGGGTCCAGACCAGAAAAGCTGGCCACTGGAGGTCTTTGAGTCGCGCGGGAAGTTGTAAAGTAGTTGCTGGATGGCATTGTTGTACTGGGCCTCGAATTGCTGGCGAGCCCAGATGATACAGTCGTCGAAAGTCAGGGGCTTTTCCGTAACCAGGAAGTCACGCAGATTCTCCAGAGTCTGCTTCTCATTGCCCGCCTGCTTGAGAGTCTGCTCGATGTAGTTCGCCTGGGACAGATACAGGTTGACAGTTTCCGGGGGTCCAACGAAGAACGACTGGAAAAGGTCCCTAGCCCAGGCGATCGTATGCTCGATCCGGTTGGGGAAACTCTTCAGAGTGCACATCGGGAAAGTCTTCTCCGGGGGGTCTTGGGAGCTGGAGTAAGATTCCGTGATGCGGGGAAGGACAACCTGGGTGTTGCCCTTCGTACCGAGAGTTCCACTCTCAAGGAGAGGCTTTCTGAAGAAGACACAGCGGCGATCAACGTAAGTTCTCGCATCCACGTTGTCGAGTGCGTTTGTGACACCATCCAAGCTTTCCCAGAACTCTTCGTTGAAGATGTGTTCGGTGTCGGGTCCGACACGGTCGCGGAGAGTGACAATCTTGCCCTTCAGTTCGGGATTCATTGCCTCGACGGCAGCGGAAGCGCATTCACTCTTCAGCTTACCGACATCTCTGCTGCGGAAAAGGAACTGCCGATTGAGGTTACTCTTCTCAATCGTATCCATATCAGTCACAATGATCTTTCCCTTAGGGCCGGCTCCCAAGCCCATCATGGCCCAGTTCTTCAGGGTCTCGCACCCAATAGCACCGGCACCAACGAGGAACTGTGTGATATTGGAGAGCTTCTCCTGATATTCCTTGCCGAAAACGGCAATTTGGCCGTCGTAACGAGAACCAATAGGCTTGCAAGCCTCCTCGGAACGCTTGACAGAGGTGGGGAGAGACTCCAGGGAGTCAAAGTAAAGCCACTGGTTCACAGGGTTGAACTTGCCGGAGACAGCCTTGAGAACTTCCTGAGCTGCAATACCTCCGAACAGGGCAGCCAAGGGATTCAGATCACCACGGGCTTGATAACTCAGCTCCTTGAGGAGCTTCTCGTCAAGCTCCACCTTCTCCTCTAGCTCCGAAGACAGCTCATTTGCAATATTAAACAGTTCCTGAGCATCGCTGTCGTTGTGAGGGCGAGGAAGTTCACCTTTGTGGTTCTCAGCAAACTTGTGGAGCGCCTGGACGCCAATGTGCAGCTGCTGCGGCCGATCGAATTTGGCGAAGTCTGAGATGATGAACTCAGGCTTCTTGAGTTGTTCTGCAAGTGGCGCGAAGTCCATAAACTTGGGCATCTTGACCTGGGCGTAGATACCACCGCTCTGGTACGTCCCAAGGTCAGATACATCTCCGATTGAGAACGTGTAGGGGCCCTTCACGGTGACCTTGCGAGGAGCGCAACCGTTCAGGCCCTCCATACCCTTGACTTCAGAGAAAGTCACGAAGTCACCGTCTTCGAGGCCATGTCGGGTCTCATCCAGAGCCGAGACCAGGCCATTTTCATCGATGGCCGCCACGATTCCGCTGACAGCTTCTTCGCCCGTAGCATCACCGACGGTGAAGTTTTTTCCAAAGTCGTTGAACAGGTATCCAAAAAGACCGAATGTGTCCGTGATGGTGAGGTAGATGCCATTCTTGTGGCAAAAGTCGGCAATTGCAAGCTGATCTTTCAGAGGGGTTTGGGTAAGGACAATAGCCTGGTAGCGCTTCAACTCTTCCAGATTATCGGTAAGATTGCCGCCGTCATGAACCGTGACAGGGACATAGGAGTTCAGCTCGGCAACCCGTGGAGCTGTCACCTCGGCACGGGGCTTGCCGACGTCTTGTGGCTGGAGGAAGAACTGGGAGGATAGGTCTGAGATGGCAACGGGTGCAGGATCGTACAATGTGAGGGACTTCACACCGGCGAGGGCGATGTTCTTGGCTAGATGCCGTCAATAAGCGTGCCCCGACTCCATCCAGGAGATTGTACCCACCGATTTCGACACCAAGACCCTTCAATCCGACGACGAGAACATTTGAAGAACCCATACGCTTCATAGCTTCATGACCGAGAACGTACCTGGATGAGAGACATCATCAGCATCGTGTTGGGCATCAGGCTCAAGGTTTTTGGAAACACTTACAGTTGGCGACTGTACAAGGACTCATCGATCTCACCCTGCTTGATCGCCTCCACAGTCTCCTGTGGGGTATCCACTTGCATCTTGACGTCCTATAGCTGGTCAGCACCTGGGCGTTGGTCATATGATGCGGGCACGTCTCGAGCAGGCATACAGTCATGATCTTCTTCTCCGGCGGAGCTTTGGATTTATCGGTTGACGCTCTCCGCTTTCCCAGCTTCGTAGCGTCACGAACGGGGATTTCGGTGGTAATTGTGAAGATGTATGGAAAGCCTTGCCTGGAAGAGCAAGACTTTCTGGTATTGACTTAGGGTCTACAGCTCCCGGCACAGACTCGGGAGGGGTAGCGGTAGCAGCGGTGAGGTTCTCGGAGGTGGGGGTAGTGTACAGAAAAGGGAGACTCTATAACAAGAGCAAGAGCAGGGCTTTTGGGAGGGGAAGAAAAACAGGGGGAAGGCAGGAGTAAATAAGAAGAGGGCAGGCGACAGAGAGACGGAGAAGAGGAAGGAAAGATCACTAATGTTGCGACCCTCGTCGGCGGCGGCGACGTAAGAGGGGACAAGCTGTCGGCGGCTGACAAAGCCTGTCTCGGGGTCGTGATTGGCTGGAGCCCCGCGGGCTTGGGCGGCAGGCGGAAAGAGGAAGGAACCAGGCGGATCAACCGCGGCGGTGATGCGGACGCCGCCATGGCTTTTCTTCGATGTATACACCCCCCCCAGGCCGCCTGGATACCACTGGAATAGCAGTGGCTCATGGCACCTGGCCTCTAGCTATCTCTTTGCAACCTGAACCACGAATGCCGGTCACTCCCGCATTTCTTCCTCGATCCCGTTCTCCCTCTTCGCTCTCCGCAGCCCGCGCGACGCGCCGCAGCGTTGCCAAACCGACGCGGTAGGCCTGACAACAGCCACACGCCTTTACATGTGTCGGTACGAGCTTTTGGGGTGTGGGCTTCTATACTGGCAGCGTCACAAATCGAAAGCAAATAAGGATCACCCTTTGAGGTCCGCTGCCACGTGTTATAACTTCCTGGGTGCTGGTCTGACTTGGTCGGTTTAGGGAGCTCCGCGCACAATGCTCCACGAGATCCTCCTCTCCCTCTCGGGCCAACCGTCGCCTCTTTTCGATTCCAGATCTGAGGGAGATGCTTTCCCACTGGTTTCCCCTCCGGAGAAAGCCCTCCTCGCCTCTCTTGCCCGTCTGAGCCGTCTCCATACCGAGCTGCGAGCACATACGACTCTCATCTCCGCCTCTCACCCTTCCGTCATTTGTCGTGCCGTCTCAACGGCTATCAGTTCACGCCACCTGGGGGAGTTTCAAAGGAAGATACTGGAGGTGGAGAAAGACATTCTGGTCGAAGACAGTGCTTATGTTGGTGGCTACGGGATCGTGCCGTTGTCAACAATCGTCAGGGAGTTTTCTCCCTGGGCACGACGACTGGAATGGCTCTGGGAGACCGTACGATTCATGTGGCACACTGACTCCCAGGACAGGAATCAAGTCTGTACTGGCGTGGCTTTGATTGATCACCTTCGGGGGGAATCGCAGACGGGATACGTGGACCTGAAAGAGATGGCATTGCACCTGGTTGGGATTGCAGAGACTGCTTGGATGAGGCAATTGTCTACCTGGCTGCTGTATGGGAATCTGCCCATCCTTGGGAAGTCTGACTTCTTCATTCAACGCGATCACGCGAGTGAGGATGGCCACCTTTCCGCAGTCGTGCAATTCGCCGTGCATCCAGAACTGCTGCCGCAATTTGTAACCGCTCACACAGCCTCCTCCATTCTGTTCATCGGGAAAACCTTGAACCTCATCCGGGCAAAGCGTAGTGCCCCCTCCGCAAACTCTTCAGCTGGCCTCTCGACTTCCCCAGTCACCCTACATGCAGAGCATATCGAGCATCTCGCTTCGTTGAAGTCACCTATATCCGCGTCGCGGTTATCAGGTGCTGTGAATTCGATCCGATTCTCTCTGTCGCAAAGCACGCTCTCCAAACTTCTCCCCTTACCCAAGATACTTGAGACTCTGTCGGTTCTGCATGATTTCCTACTGCTGAGACGCGGCGAATTTGCGACAGCACTCGTATCTCATGCCGACGCCCGTGTGCACGAAAGGTATCGAAAACACGAGCCTTCTACTTCCAGAAATCAGCCCTCAGGGGTCTTCAGAGGACTTTCTATGAAAGAAGGGGACGCAGTAACGGCTTTGTCACAGACACTGTCAGAGCTCTACTCGTTGCAAAATGAGGAGGATCCTGCAGATGATGCGCTTGACCTTGCGAAGGACTTGCTCCGGTTGTCGATCAAGGAGGATTCAAACGACAAGGCAGCGGCGATACCACCAGACATGACTGAAATCGATATGGGAGCCAACATTTCAGACGTTGCCTTTGATAACCTTCTTTTCCCAACGCCCACATCTCTTTCGGTCCAAGTCCGTCCACCTCTGGATCTGTTCCTTTCCGCATCCGATATCTCGATTTATTCGAAAATCCACTCGTATCTTCTGGGTATCCGTCGCGCCCAAATTCATTTGGGTGATCTGTGGAAGCATACATTCCTTCGAAAAGTTCACCCTTCCCCCTGGGGGCCCCCTCGCAGCAGTACACCTTACGGCCAGAGTAGACTCAAGGTCGGCAGACAAAGGGACAACACCAGGACCCAACAGATGAGACCCATCTGGGCAACAAGCAGCGCGTCCCTTTTCGTCCTGTCAGAGATTGGAAGTTATTTCCAGGGCGAAGTTATCAATGGTTCATGGCAGCACTTTCAGGAGTGGATTGAGGGTGGATCTCCATCGGGATCCCGGCCAGGGAGCGCCCACTCCTCAAAGAGTAAGCGTAGCGATCATCCGTTGGATACCGAAATCACGTCCGAAGCAGACTTTAGGCGCCCCGGCCAAACCATCCAGCGGCATGATCCCGAAACCCTGACGGCTGCGCACCGCCGGTACCTTTTCTGTCTTGTTGAATCGCTGTTCCTGACGGACGTACCATTCACCCAAGCTCTCCGAGCCTTGCTTACAAGTGTTGAGCACTTCCTTGCACTTGTCATTCGACTAGAAAGTATACAGCGCAACATGGATCTGGAGACCGACGAAGGTGTCATCGATGCCTTGGTGGATTACGCAGGGGAAGAGAGGGATGTATGGCAATCACTCAGCGCCGCGCGAGCCAGTGTCGAGGCGGGGATTAAGGACGCCGTGGCACGACTGAGAGACATCGACGACAGCCGATCTGGGGAGGGCCGGCAGATGTTTGGTTTTGTGAAGGACTCGCGCGAGAACTGGTCATTTCATCCCACGAACGGCCCGGCAACCGACCCTGGACTTTGCCAGTATGTGCCTCGAAAGGCCTCTGGGGTTGACCGACTACTCATGAAGCTAGACTTCGGCAATGCCAATGGAGGCATAGGTCTTGGTGCCGCAGCAGGGAATTTCGCCCGGATGGCATAGAATCCCGTCTATCGCGGGGTTGCATCTTGTTACTCGGGGCGTCATCAGCAATATCGAGGGCTCATCTCATGAACGGCGAAGCCATGGATGTCACGTTATGATTTATGAATAGCATGATTTGACGGTGTAAAACCGATATCCCAGCCACGATAGGGCGTTATAAGGTCACTTTCTTCGCCCATGCACCCCATGAAACGCAACTTGGGGCGAGTCGCGGCCATTTCGCAATGCCAATGCGACGCTTCTTCATTGCAGGGAGTTTATTTCTTCTGCTCGTGCCCGCCAGCAACAAGCACGTAACACCGTCGTGCGCCCTTCCGCATCTGAGCGTTGTCACGCGCTGGGGCTTGGACTTTGTCGCGGTCCAAGGATCCTCTCGTCGGTTAGACGGACACGATCGACAGTGCTACAACGAAGTATTGTGACTGCGACACCTCCATAGACGATTGTCTGTGGGAAGTCCACTTTACCTGGTCACAAGAGACTACTTAACCAAGGTCCAGCCAACTTGCTAGTCCATGCTTACATGCATAAATAGTACCTAGTAGGCATGGAGATACCACCGACAGACTCACGTCTCGTGGATACTCATGGCTTATCGTGCTGTGCTGTGTTGTGCTCGTGAAACGAAGATCACCCTCCTGAAGGATCAATCCATCCAGGACCCCTGCATATTTCCAACCGCTGGACGGAGTAACTATTGAATAGTGATGTGTTGTTGATAAAAGTCTGCCGATGCACATGACCGGTTTCGGGCTGACCTCGGATTACCCAAACGGGATAGCCGGGCTTGAGCTTGGAGGGCCAGATTCACGATCGGACGCCCGAGACATTCCTTCTGGATCTTTTCTTGGCCCTCCTTCTCTTCTGGGCTGGCACACGGCCGTGGATGGGTTCAGCCCAGTCAGATTGCTAATCGGTGCAAGGGGTGGTCAAGTCGACTGAGCCGTGAAGGACAGGAGGGTGACTGGGCCGATCTCAAGGAATTACTAGGTACGGAGTACGCCCTGGCATGTCCTGATCGTGAATGTGAATATGCTATGCTGTCGGCCCAAGAGCTCAGTCTTCGGGATGTCATTTTTCGGAAGCCTCGCGCGACAGTGGCAAAAGTACTGAGCTGCTCGGCAGGGCTGTTTCCGGGGTAGAGCCGGGAAAGGGGAGCAGACGAGGAAGGGTGAAGGGCCTATCGGGGAATTATCTGGCAGGCCACCGACAATTTGGAGGATGCAGGATGCAGGATGCAGGATGCAGATGATGGACATCTCATGTGCCCAAACCAAATGGCTTGATATTGACTACCGAAAAAAAGCCCCAAGCGTGGGGAAAACGGCAGCCGGGACATCTAGAAGGCTTCGAAGGAGTGAGGGTCCGAACCAAACCAGCAACACCAGCAAGGACAACACCCGCAATCCTCCTGATCCCTCCTGCATTACACCACCACTGCGATGCCGAGACCGTTATTGGAGGGTCCATTCCGTGGAAACCCCAGATGGATACGACGGGAGACCTCCCACGCTCCCAGCTGTCCGGCCTTTGTCCTCTTCCTCCACGGCTATTTTTGTCCAGCAGCAAAGACATCCGTGGAATCATTCTCCACCCCACCTGAGAGACAGCTGGTTCTCCTCCTTCCCCACTTTCCGAGCTGTTTTGACCGCTAGTGTCAGTGTCGCAGTGTCGCAGCCCCAGTTCGAGTTCGAATCTGATCCCGCAGCTCGGTCTCCCCGTACACGGGAATCCCGCTCTACTCTGGTGGGCCATTTTCATTTTTATTCCAATCAATCAATCAATCGATCGATCGATGAATGGTCGTCCTCTGTTGCTTGCTTGCCGCCTTCAGCAGCCAAGCAATGGACCCGGCCAAGTCATGATCCTCCCCCTGTCTATCTATTGTGCAATGTGCACGGTGATGCGTATGCGCCCGGTCCCCATCCCCCATCCCTGGCCCTGTGGCAAGCTTCCCGGGGCATACATACGGTACATAGCTTATGCATAGAGGAGGCGGGCGTGGTACCGTGGACCAAGAGGTCTGGGTCTCGAAGTCATCGTGAAAACAGCCTAGAATCTGACAATAGACCCATCGAGGCAATCACGCGAGCCTTCGTGTTTTCCCCCCCCCTTCTCTCCTTTCTAAGTTGGGTTCGTCTTGTGCGACAGCGAGACATTTGCTCTCCTGGCGTAGACTCTTCAGGATCTATAAACCCCAGGCCCCTCCGACGAGCCAGACCATGGAAACGACGACATTCCGTAGCCATCGCGACTTCGTGGGTAGCAAGTCTCTCTCCTCTCTTCTCCTCTCCTCTCCTCTTCTATTCCTTTCGCGTGCATCTGTTTTCATCTTATCCATTCTTAATCCTTAATCCATCTACATACGGTGACACCTAATTATCTTGCTCTCCTCTGCCTACCGTAGCCATGCGTTTCGCACTGTGTCGGTCGCTGTCAGCACTATCTCCTGCCCGCTCAGCAGCATCAGCAGCAGCAGCATCAGCATGGGCTCCCTCCGCGATGGCGATGGTTCAGCCACGGCTGTACTCGACTACCACCACCCCCCACAGCGCACATCACATCCAGACCCGCATTCCCGATCTGAAGGCTGAGCCCAAGAAGTCTCACCGGTTCCGCGAGTTCGACCTCGAGGACCGCGTCTACGCCATCACCGGCGGTGGACGCGGACTGGGTCTCGCCATGGCTGAAGCTCTGATGGAAGCTGGCGCAAAAGGTACGTACTATATACTACTATCTATACTTAGCCCTGCTATCTAACCCAACCACCCTCCTCACCCTTCCCTTACCCTCACCTCCACTCCCATCCCCATCCCACAAACAACCCCAAAGCCAAGCCAAGTCATGCCCATGCCCATGCCCATGCCATGCTAACCCAAAGACCAGTCTACTGCCTCGACCGCCTCACGACCCCACACCCCGACTTCCTCGCGGCACAAGAACACAGCCAAACGCACGGAGGCAGCCTCAGCTACCACCAAATCGACGTGCGAGACGAATCCTCCGTAAACAGTCTCTTCGCGCACATCGCCTCACAGCACCAACGCCTCGACGGCCTGATCGCGGCCGCGGGGGTCAACCACCTCCAAAGCGCCCTGTCGCACACCCAAACGGCGCTGAACGAAGTCATGCAAATCAACTACAACGGGGTCTTCAACTCGGCGACGGCCGCCGCGCGCCAGATGTTCCAGTACCAGCAGAAGGGCTCCATCCTGCTGATCGCCAGCATGAGCGGGCTGATCGCCAACAAGGGCATGACGTCCCCCGTGTACAACTCGTCCAAGGCGGCGGTGATCCAGCTGTCCAGGTCCTTGGCCATGGAGTGGGGGAGGCATGGCATCAGGGTGAATAGTCTGTGTCCGGGGCATATTATTACCCCCATGGTGGAGCAGGTGTTTGAGCAGAATCCGGCTGCTAGGGCCGTTTGGGAGGCCGAGAATATGCTCGGGAGGTTGGCCGTGCCGGAGGAGTTTAGGGGCGCGGCTCTGTTTGCGTTGAGTGATGCGAGTAGCTTTATGACGGGGAGTACGTTGTTGATTGATGGGGGGCATACGGCGTGGTAGATTGGATTTGGTGGTGGTGGTGGTGGTGGTGACGGGGTTTGGTTTGGTTTGGTTTAGGGGGAAAGATTGGAATTTGTGAGTGATATGGGGTGGTCAAAACGTGGATGAACGGATGCATATACATAGCATAGGTAGGTATGTATTACCTACTACGGACGAGGGTTTCCAAAACAGCAGGGGAAAAAAAAGCATGAATGCCCAGTTTCAATGGCATACCGAATGGGCTTCCCGTTTTTTTGTATCATACGACTTTTGATTCATTTTCTCGTGCTCTCTCTGTTGCAAGTTTCAGTATGATGATCAAGCGCATTAATCCTATCTAGTTTATTCTTTACTGAGGGGGGTTGTTCTCTAGGTCTAGGTCTCTAATCCAAAATGGTATGATTGTTTCATTTTTTTCCCAATATCCTCTACCCATTCATTATCCAAATCGAGTCGGACTCATCAACCTATCTCAGAAACATCTATATACCGACAACATAGATAGTACGACCAACCAACCTACAAAATATACTCAAACTTCTCCCCATCCTCCTCTCTCCACCCCCTCCCCTCCCCCTTCCACCCATAAGCACCTCCCTCTCCGCCCCACCACCCTCCATCTCCATCTCAAACCCTTCCTCCTCTCCCACCCCCTCCCCCCTACCCATTTTATTCCTCCTCATCTCCAGCCGAAGCAACCACCTCAACCCCCCCGCCAACACCGCAACCCCCAACATAAAGCTCCCACAAATCGCCATACCCTGGACATACCACGGCCCCTGAGTCGCAGGATACAGCCTCGTACCTAGTAGCGGCCCACACTGCCCCACGATATTCATCAGCGCAACGCTGGCGCCCTTAGCCTCCCCCGCGGGACGGTTATCCATCGTCCAGGTGATGATCAGCGTGATGGCGGAGAAGAAGCCCGCGACGGCCGGGTAGACGCAGAGATAGCGGATGGCGATGTGCACGGGGGCTGGGAGCGAGGCGTGGAAGTGGCCTGTGAGGGCGATGACAAAGTAGGCGGTTGAGGAGAGCAGGGCGTGGAGGATTAGGTAGGGACTGCGGGTGCGGGTGCGGTCCGAGAGGTGGGAGGTTAGGAGGACGGTGACGAAGGCGACTAGGTAGGGGGGCGCGGAGAGGGCTTGCGATGTTAGGGGGGTGTAGCCCATGCTAAATTGTGGATGGTTAGTTGGGGGTGGGTGATGGGGAAAAGAATGAGGGAGCTTACTCTTGGATGATGGTGGGGAGGAAGACAGGCATGGAGCTGAAGGCGACGTTGCAGCTGAAGAACATAAGCTGTGAAGAGGGTGGCTGTTAGTTTGTTTCGCGTTGAAGATACATAGATGGCTGTGGGGTAGATTGGGAGGGTTGGGCTTGAGGGCAAACTAACAGCTGTTATGTAGGATTTGGGATCGCATAGTGTCTTTGTGACTTCTTTCCAGTTGAAAGGCTTCTGTTTCTGTTGCTGCTGCTGCTGCTGCTGATGGTGTTTGTGGTTGGGACTTCTCTCGTCCATGCGCAGCTGTGCGATTGCTCGCTGTCGGGGTTTGAGGAATGCAGCACTCCCCGGTGTATCGGGGATGACGAACCAGGCGATGACGGCGACAATGATACTTGGGAATCCTTCGACGAGAAATAGGGTGCGCCAGGGTGCGATGGGCCCGTTGTTACTGAGCCGGACAATAAGCCAGGCGAGACTGCTGGCAAACGATGAGGCCAGGGGAGCGGCGGAGATGAAGAGCCCGTTTCGGAAGGCCAGCTCCTCGCGTTTGTAGAATAGCGAGAGATAGAAGGGGACGCCCGGACCGAAGGCCGCTTCGGTGATCCCGAGAGCTGCTCGGAGGAAGACCAGGGCGCCGAATGAGGTGGACAGCGACTGAAGGGAGGCGACAAGACCCCAACCGAAGACGCAGAGGGCGATGTAGACGTGCGGACGGACCAATCTGTACATCAGGGTCATCCATTCGAAGAGGATGTATGTGACGTAGAAGGCCGTGAGGAGCCATTCATATTGCGAGGATGACAGACGCAGGTCGTCCGCGAGACCGGCGATTTTGGCATTTCCAATATCTGGTTGGTGTTAGCTAGTTGATGGATGGATATCGTGGATGACGGAGATAGCACGGACTGGAGCGATCCAAAAAGGAAAGTAGATAGAGAAGAGCTAGGAATGGGACAAGTTTCCGATCGAACTGTTTGACGACCTGCCGTTCTTCCTCTTTGGTATACTTCGGCGTGCGTCTACTGGATCGGGGCCGGATCTCTTCGTCTTCATATGAGTCGTAGCCTTCGTCGATTTCGTCGTCGTCGTCGTCGGAATCCTGATCCCCGTCCGTGCTGAAATCGGTCTGCACTTTCAGGGACCCCGCGGGGGGACGCTCTGCGTTCAGGCTGGGAGAGTCGCCCTGTTCGGATCTATCGGACACGGGGGTATACTGCGCAATTGAGGACGATCCGCTGCTGGGGATGGAGGGGACGGAAGAGATGGCCTCGGTCGGCCCCGGGCGCAAGGAGGCCATCTGGGTGGGTTCGGGGGTTGCGGGGGATTGCGGGGTCTAGAAAGGCATGTCTCGCGGGGATTCTGAGACCACTACTCCGGATGGGGGGATATTTGTGATATATTCTCTGGCAGAGAACACAATGGATATGATGCGATTCGAGGGATTAAATAGATAAGTTACAGCGAAGGAGGAGATCGGAGGGCACGTGGCAGCCGCTAAAGCTTGTGATTTGCGCCAAGCAACGGTGGAGGGTCTCGGTCTTCCTGCCAGGAGTCACTTAAGTTCGTCCGCATTCGTCTGTCCCTCTCCTCGTCCCCCCTGAGCCACATGGTGAGAATTTCAGCATTCATATTGGTAGATAGCACAACTCGTGTCAACCTCGGGTCTCAATGTCTCGGATACGAGCGATCGATCATTCCTCCATATCCAACCACCACGCCAGCCCATCTGGTAGACGACTTCATCTATAATCACGAGGCCGGTAAGAATCGACACTCCGATGGGACCGTCTCCGTTTAGTATGCCTGAGATGTCGTCTGCCGGAGTCCTTAAAAGGCTCATCGAAATGGCGTGCTCTTCCCCCAGACAGCTGAGCGGCCTTGTCCTTTGCCATCTCGAACGAATACTTGATATCCGAGACGAGAGGATGGTCCGCCATGCCGTTCGCCTGGAGGTACAAAAGCGTATTCTCGGCCGTGTCGCGGAGGTATCGAACCAAGCTGAGGAGGTCCACGCCATCGCGCTTCTTCTCGCCGTAGTATTCGCTCTTAGCCAGACGGTAGACCTCGATCAGACGGTCCGCCTGTGCTCGGAGGCGATCGTCATCGAAGCTCGAGACTTCGTTGCGGGACATCGATGCGTGATCGGGCTTTTTGTCCTCTTCGTCGGCACTTGCGGTTCTGTCCGTGGTGTGTCCGGATTCCGTAGCTGCGAGGGTTGTGAGAAAGATGCAGAGTCCCATGTGAAGAGGAGGGAGATATACCTCTGGTCAGTGCGCTTTCAAGACTGACATGGTCGTCGATCTTCTGTCGGTCCAGGGAGCCAGGTGAGGTTGGGACGATTCCCAGAAACTCGGCCAAGTACAGCTCGAGCGCGCCGGTGTCTCGGGGGTCATCGCCGTGGTTCGACAGAATCAACAGAGCGCTGTCGTAGACGGTGATCTGCGCGTCCTCGATGTCCTTGGACCGAGATTGAACGAGCAAGACATGGCGTCGGATAGCGTTCATGAGAGAAGTCAGTCCATCTGCGTTCCGGAGAAAATCACGCAAGGCTGGGCTGGGTTCATTGCTGCGGTCGTATTTCTGCACCAGCTCATCCACCTTCCGATTGAAGGATTTGGAGAGATGGATGCTGTGGCTGGGCATGATTGATATCCCGATGACGTACGTGTCTTTGAGGATATACCACGATCTGCCGGAGTAGGAGACAGACAAAGGGAGATGTTTGGGTCGGCGATGGTGGGGGATGGGCCAACGAGTTTTCAAAACAAGAAGCACGATGCAACGAGGGGGGGGCACAGCGTGAGCAGGGTTTTGTGTACGTGTGGTTTGTATAGTTTGTGCAGTACGTGTAGGACATGTAGGGACAGGAAGAAAAAAGCTACATGTTAGAAGTGAATGGTCGCCGGAGCTTTGGACTGGAGAGCAATGCTCGGTTGTAGGAGGGTGGATGTGCTGGTGCACGCCTGGTTGACATGATAGCAGACAAGCAAACGGGATAGATGCCGACCGTTTGACGACTTGAGTAGACTAGGAGGAAAACCGAATACTAGATGCCACGAGTTGAGTAATGATAATTACAATTAGACTTCCCATGCACACTCAGTGGTCAACAGCCTGTCAGGATTAAATATACAAATAGGCCTCCGTAGATTATCTCCTTTGCAACGCAAGTCCAGTCTCACGTCAGTCGTAACACATTAGTATGGCCGTTCCACCGCTCAACTTAGTTGGCCTTCTCCCAGAGCTTCTTCACTTCGTCCACCAGCGCTGAGACCTTGCTGCCCTGTCCCTCTTGGGCGCAGTCTTTCCAGACCCCACCGTCTCGAACGCACCAGACAGTGTTGTTCACTCGAAGGGTGCAGCTTCTTTTGACACCGAGCTTCTCGCTGTGCAGAGCACTCTTCCGCAACAGAGCAATGCCACTCAACGGTGTCCGCAGGCGGTCCTCATCGTCATGATCGGGGTCATCGTTCTCCTGGCTGGCACACCGGTTCAAGGCCTCGAAATCGATCCCATGCTCCAGAGCGCACTGCTCGACCAACTCACGCTTCGGGATGTCATGATACGAGCTGATCAGGCAGTTGGCGAAGCCAAGAGACCGAATAGTAGGGGTACGCGACTCCGTGGAAGAGACAGCGTCGGCCCCCCGAGGGAAGGGTAAGTTCGCCGCACAGAGTATGAGCATGTCCCCGATACACTCGGTGGGACCGTGCATGCACTGGATCTCCGACGATTTGTTGGATACACTGGCGGTGTTATTAGCCTTAGCCTTGTATACAAATTTGTTCGAACAGGATCGACGCACCTAGCAATGAAAGACAAGTCAAAGTCGACCTTATCGCTGATCTGCTCCATCGCAGGTAGGACCAGCTGTTGCAGGCAGTCCCGCGCATCCGGACATTTGCTCATGACGTGAGCCTCCAAAGGGACTTTGTTACTCGATAGGAGTCGGGCCGGCGGAAACACCTCGTGCAGGGGCCCCATCAAGGGGGCTTCAAGCGACGAAGCATCGGGGTGTCTCCTCCCTCGATGGCACGAGGGGAGCTTGAGGTCGGAAATCGAAATGGGGCCCCAGGAAAATGCCAGGAAGATCAACGAAACGATTCCCAGGCAGGCGGCGAGTCGAGCGACGACCCGGTCGCGTCGGGTGCTGATCGGGCGCGCAACGGCAGACTCGGAGGTGTCAACAAAGCCGGAATGGTCGGGCTTGGGGGGATCCTGGAATTTCTCCATCTTCGCTACTACCTGCACCTGGTACTTGAACGGTAGCAACCGGGGGTAGTCGAGGGGGAAAAGGTGGAGGCGAAAGGAGTGACGGAGGATGCGATCGGAAGAAGGACCGGTACGGTGTGGGGAGATGAGATCCAGTGATGCGACTCGGCGGGGTTTCCGCCTGCAAACCCAGGAATCCCTCCGTCTTCGCGTTACACTTACACCAACTCCCCCCGGTCATGATTCATGAGTCCCGTCATCCTCGCCTGAGACAGCGATTCAATGATATATGTACTGTTCCGTGGACTCTTGCCTGCGCATCTGGAGAATGAACCCGTCTGCCACCGGTCAATGAGCGCTAAGAGCCGCACTACTACACAGGGCCACAGAGGACTCATTGAGGTTGCATCGCGTCCTCTGCCTCGAGAGTTTTACTTGGGGAGACCTCCCCCGGTATATCCCGGGCATATTCCACTCTGCTTACCGTGCAGAAAAAGGTAGCAGCACCGATGACCTGCTGTGGAGCAATCTCTACACTTTCTCCCAGCAACTAGATAAGCAACTCACGGCGGATACAATAATGAGATCGGGACCGTCGCTGGAACAAGGCCCACCAGAACCGCTGTCATGCAGGGACATACAATGCTTGGCAGCGAGAGTCTCGATTTAAGGACATTCACCTTGCAGCTGAAGCTGGTCAATAAATGACACACATGGACTCTACTGGCCGAGGCTCCACAAACCCTGCACGTTAGAACTACAGACTACTACGGACTAGTCGCTGGTCATTCGAGTTGCTTTTGTTTCCAGAATCCGGCGCATGGCAGCGGGTTGTATAGGAAGCGGGCGGCGCAATCAAGAGGTGCAATCTTTGCGAACTTCAGTTTCCAGAAAACTGCAACGCATGACATGATTCTGATTACTACTTGTATTGTTCGATAGGCCATGTAAGACCGAACCATGGAATGGCCGGTAGATGACAACATCAGGCCTAACTATCACCAGCGCTTACTTGGGGCCTCATGCTTAGCTGGGTTGCAGAAATATCCACTTGGCAGTCCTGGCACGCTACGGGGTACAGACCTCAGGAGACGCCCCTGTCAAGGACCAAGGGACTCCGTATCTATAGTAGTCTGTTCTGTTGACTACAACGCCATTGACACTAGTCGAGGAAGCAGAGTGGCTCTCCACGTCATCGAGAACGTTTCTGGCCAGGAGAAAACCAATCTCAAAACGACTAGAGAGCTAGGCCAACCTGCTATGCCGGACTACAGGGTCCGGTGGTCCTAGTTCTAGCCGGTATGGCGCAGATCGCAGGGCCAGTCTGCTGCCATCTCGGACTCTCCGCAGGCTATCTTTCCTCCTGCCCCAACTTCCCCCAACCAACGGCTCTCCGACTTCGGAGGTAGGACCAACGGGTGTGGTATAGAGATAGTACGGTACCCGTCTGACGCGATCTAGTCGGCACAAAAAAACCGAGATTTGCGTATATGCTCGGGGTGGTGTACCGGATGCTCGCAATTCCTTCGTCCCAAGACCAAGACCAGCCTGCAATTGGACTTTATCGACTAGGGTACCGCAGCGTTAGGACTAGTTAGTACATAGAGCCCCAACAGAGAAGTGGAATTCAGGCATCGCCAAGATGGCAAGTTCTGGCGACGGACTCGGTCAAATTGGCGGGCTTATATCGCTTTGACCACATGGTCAGTTGATGTAGTTGTGACTGGAAGCTGGAAGCCCGCTTACACACTTAGCTTTTCAGAATGACGGTTGAACCGGAAAGGAGAACGTCACTTCGGATGCGATGCTGTATACGAAGGAGCGCGGAGGTCGAAGCGCCCTTTCCATCTTACGCTTCCCGGTCCACCCAGACAGTTCTTTCAACGAATTGGAGTTGGCAGTTAGCGTCCTAAGGCTTGGAGACCTTCGGGTTCTGACTCGAGAGTGGTGATGTTGAGTCTGTGCATGTCGGAAGGCTGTATCGCCCCACCCTCTACCACATGGCTTACTTTTTTGAGGGATGAAGGCCGTTTTCCTCGGCCCCCCCCCCTCTTGCCTGATCTGGGTTTCCCCGTCGGTTGTGATAAAGCTGACTAGTCGTCTTGCTTCATGGTTAGATGTTTGCTTTAGCGTCGAGGTAGACTGGAGCAAGATCGCATTGAAACGGGGGCAGAGGGATATGGACACGAGTAGGAAGGGGCCTGAAAGGAGGGAGACGAATTAAGGTGAAAAAAAAAAAAAAAAAAAAGCAACGAGCAATAATCAATAATCAAACGGATAAAAAAAAAGACACATAGTACCAGTGAACAAAAGTAGGTAGTATCCTCCCGATAAGAAGAGGAGAAGGTGACGTTGGTTGGAGAAGGGGGGGGAAAGGAAAGAGAGAAGAGGGAAGGGGGAAAAAAGAGCGGCAGCCCAGAAGGGAAAAGACCACGAAGACCGAGCAAGACCACCACGAAAAGAAAACAACACAACAACAAACATCACCACCAACCACGTTCACTGATCCAACATCATCGGCCAGATCATTGGGAGCTGCCGAATTCTGATCTCGACTGATGGAATGAATAATAATGGACGGTCCATGGGCCGAATGGGGCCCCGATCGAACCATCCCTCAACCCATGGTTGTCGACTGACCGGCCAGCGTCACATCGCCGTTGCCGATGGTCGCATTTGCTTGCTCCATCTGCTCCATCTGCTCCATCCCAGCGGCCCTGAAGAGCGAGCTGCCTGCCTGCCTTGGGGTCCTCGCGTTCCCCTTCTCCCCGATCTTGATTCCTCTTCCATCCATCTGGCCTTCTTTCCCGCGCGGTGGGGAACCGGCAATGGTCTCGGATCCACTGGTTGGACCTGTTGCTTTTGTTACTGTTCGTTGTAATTGATCATAATACTTAATCGATGATTCCCGCCGTTCTTCCGTCGATCCCGTCCTTGACATCCATACCTCCAGACCTCCATACCAGACACCTCATATCTCCCATACCCTCCACCCCCCCAGTACCTACCTTATTCCTCTTGTTTTTCTTCCATCGCTATATATACCTTTATCGGTCCATCTCCATTCGTCCCATCCAACCTCCCGTGTGGATTAGCACCCCAAGGGAGCTCTACAAGTACTTGTATGCCACACCCCCCCCCCCCCCCTCCCCCTTCCTGGATGCTGCCCCCCCTGCCCTTGAGATGCACCCAGGCTCCCTGCATAGGGATCGTCACGGTTGTACCCTACTTCGCAACTCTGTCCCCCCATCGTCCTATCGCACACTTGCGTCACTGCAGGTTGACAATGCGGATACCCATCCATCCATCCATCCGTTGTAACCCTGGGGACTGACCGTCACACTTGTCACTGTATAGATTAACTGCGAGATAGCAGGCCCCCTTGACAGCAACCGTTCCTGAAGGTGTCCGACAGAGGTTATTCCTGGTTAGGGCTCGCATCCTAGCTTTACCCCAGCATCGCAGGACTCCCCCAAGTCGCATGCGCTTATCGCCGTCTGGACCTGGACCTTCATTCCTGGTTCCCCACGTCCTGTCCTACCACTTAAGACATTCCACGGGGAGGAGCAGATAAACCCAATACTACTTGAGCCCTGCCTTCCGCCGACTTACCGCTCGGTTGTACAAGGCCACCTCCGCGGTCACCACCTACGGGCTGCGAGTCACACGGGCCGACCACTTGCCCACCTGGCCGCTTCGCTCGGCTGAACCTCCTCTACAACATGGCACCAATGCATTCGATAGACCCCGAGAAAGGCAAGGATGATGAGCACGATCATATACACGAGGAGCCGGTGGAGGAAGATGAGGAGGATGGTGCCGAGATGGACCCTTCCCTCCAGGAGTACTTGGAGCACCAGCGCATGCTGGACGAGTTCCTGTCCCCAATAGCTCTAGACGAAGCGGTCCTGTATAAACTGGCCCGTCGCTTTTCCACAATATACCGGGACCTGGCCCTGCATTCGAGCGAGCAATTCCTGCCGACCCCTGTGACTCGGTTGCCCACCGGTCTGGAGACAGGCCGGTACCTGGCCATCGATGTCGGAGGAACCAACCTGCGGGTTGCATTCATCGAGTTGCTGGGGGAGGCTACCGAGTCAGATGTACGTTCCACAGACGCCTCGGAACGGTCTCGGGATACAATCCGGAAGGCGCAGAGACAACGGGTTCAGCGGACTCTCGAGCGAGCTTGGCCTATACAGGAGCATCTGAAGATGGACAAGGCGGAGGACTTGTTTTCATGGATCGGAGATTGCATCGCGGAAGTAGTGGCAGAAAGCTTAACTTCGGAGAACACGAGAGGCAACGCTCCAGAGGAATTGGAGATGGGCATTACCTTTAGTTTCCCGATCATGTAAGTCTCCCCGGGTGCGCACAGCCCACGGCCCTCTTTACTCCGTCTGACTAACCGGCAACAGGCAGGAGTCTCTCGCGGAGGCTACGTTGATGCCAATGGGCAAGGGATTTGCAATCACATCGGACCTCGATCTACACAAAATCCTTCTAGGCGGCTATGAGAAGCACACAAGACGCCCGGACGATGAATATGAGCCTTCGAGCAAACGCCGGAAGCTTTTCGACCTACCCAAACTCAAAATCGCAGCCATCACCAACGATACCGTGGCCACCCTTGCGTCTCTGGCCTATGCCGTGAAATCACTGCCCAACAGCCGGGTGGCTATGGGTATTATTGTCGGCACGGGATGCAATGCGACGATCCCGATGAAGCTCAACATGCTACACGAATCCAAGGGGAAGCAAGTGAAGCTGAAGAATCCCGAGGCTGAGGAGACCGTCATCAACACCGAATGGACGATCGCCGGCGCCGCGCCACCCTTGAAAGAGCTCGACATCATAACCAAGTGGGATATGGATCTCGACCAAGCATGTGCACGCCCCGGCTTCCAGCCCTTTGAGTATTTGACTGGTGGCCGGTATATCGGTGAGCTCATTCGGCTCATTCTCTATGACTACCTCACCAATGTTAGCGGGCTATCTACAAAAGTACTGCCTGCGCCTCTCATCCAGGCCTATGCCTTGACAACCACGTATGTTTCGGATAAAGTCGCCCGCGCTCGATCGGATCAGGAACTCGCAGATGAATTATCGCGCTCTATGTCTCCGCCAGAGAACAGCGAATGGAGCTGGGATGCTCGGTCCGCAAGTGTCTTTCACAAGATCGCCCGGACTGTTCAGAGACGGTCTGCTGGTCTGATCGCTTCGGCAGTCGTAGGACTACTTGCATGCGCGCAGGAGATTGAGCTTAAAGTGGATAGCCACGAGAGCTCACCGAAGAGTTCCAGCGCGTCTTTGCCTGGGAATGACAGCGCGGCGGATTTGTCCGCTGTATCGAAACACCTCTCCCCTTCGACATTAGAGCCACCGAGCGCAAGCTCAAATGACCCTATAAGCCGCGGTCCCATTGTTCCTGTCCTCTCCCCCACCCCCACTCCCGCGGACTGGCAATCGGGTCCCGAGGAACTGGTCGTGGCATACACCGGCGGGATCATCCAGCACTATCCGAACTTCAAGGAGACGTGTCAACAATACATTGACAGGCTCATCATGAGAACCGGGCCGCAGAAGAGCGGGAAGTCGGTCTTCTTACGGGAAGCGTCCGATGGCGGTGTCATTGGCGCAGGCGTTCTGGCAGGGATGGAGGGGAAACGGTAAGACTTGGACATGATCTTCGGTTCATACCGACCTGAGAAGATCCAGGAAAGCGTTTTATTGGAGTATGATTTAGCTGTTGGGAGATAGAACCCGCTTTCCTCGTATAGCGTTTCTGAAAGTCTCGTTTTGGTTACATCATCGCTATTCACATGGCTTTTATTATACATAGGCTTAGGATCAGAGACTGACAGAATTTGACGCATACTCATGATCCCTTGCTGACTGTTCGTGCGCACTGTCCATGGTGTCGATGGCGTTCTATTTGCTGACATCGAGCACTTGATGAGATGGTTGTTGTCGCAAATTGCGCCATCAAGGCTGGAGAGATCTGCCAGCGCACGAAAGTCCCTCGCGTGTGGTTCATAGCTGCCTTGACCCACCATTACAGATTTAGCCCAGCTTCTCCAGGCCGGGGGATCGCAGCATCGAAATTCGATACGATGCGGCATTGTCGGAGACCTCGGTAGATCCAGGACAGCTCGTCCTTTAAAAACAGCCGGTTGAACCTTGAGTGAGCTAGCCGGAGTCCTGCCCTGTTTATATATAGCGGAACATGTTGTTTCGGACGCTGCGCTTCATGGCCGCCGGCTTTCCATCCTCGTATTCGATTCCAGCCGCGCCTCCATCCCCGGACATTTGCTCCATGCGCTCCCGGAGCTCTTGGTCTGCCTGGGTGACACTTTTGGCAGAGTCTTGCTTGGAGGAAATGGGCGTTGGTGGGGTTTTCGACTCGCTGTCTGAATCGCTGGGCCGTGACTTTGTGTCTGACATCACTTAGCACTCACTCGTAGCTTCGATACTAGAAACATGTCTACCAACCTCTAGAGTCTGTCAATTTACATCCAGTTGTGGTTATATGTCTTGCCTGTGAAGTCGAGGATACACACGACCAACAGACAGTCCGAATACCCGGGCGAGCCAGAAATCTAGAAAGAAGCATACTTGCGCTTCGCAACAGAAGAAACCAGTGCAATTGAACAGCAAAACAAAAGATGCGCTCGCCTCATCGCCATCCCATTGATGTAATCACCGATCACATGACCGTCTATCACGTGCAGATTACTCCCCGCCGCCCAACCGACCGATCGCGGCTCCACCGACCATCCCGACGTTCTCCATCATCTCCCTAGCATCATCAGCAAAATGAGCAACGCCCAGGCATACTACGAGCTCTATCGCGGGAGCAGGTACGGATGCACCCTGTCACGCTGTTCATCCATCATAGGGACGCCACTAACCCCGTCATTTCACAGTCTCGGACTCTCCCTCACCGATACCCTCGATGACCTGATCAACGAAGGCCGCATCGAGCCCCAGCTCGCCATGAAGATCCTCTCCACCTTCGACCGCATCATCACTGAGGTCCTGGCGGATAAAGTGCGCGCGAGACTGACCTTCAAGGTGCGTGCTTCTGCCTCCTGTCTCTCCCAGATCAGATCCACCCCGTGCCAACAACCACCACCGCACGAACCCCAGCACTAACCCACATATCTCCAACAGGGCCACCTCGACACCTACCGCTTCTGCGACGAAGTGTGGACCTTCCTCATCAAAGACGTCACATTCAAGCTGGACAACCAGACCACCGTGTCCGCAGACAAAGTGAAGATCGTGAGCTGTAACAGCAAGAGGCCTGGGGAGGTGTAGCGGAAATCAACCATGTTACGCATGCAGTCGATACAACACGGACGGGCGTTTCTTTTTTTTTTCTTTACTTGATTTCAAAATATCTGAGCTGGGTCATGGGGGTTGCTTGATGATTTTTCGGCGTTTGGAGGGTCTACGATATACTGAGGTACTGGGGTTGTATTGTATTGCGATGTGCTGCAAAATATGAAGAAGGGAGGGAGTGGGGATGGGGGAATAGATAGATTTAGATACCCGAGAATGAGATGGTACTTTGTTTTTTCTATTTGCTGGCAGTATGGGGTAAATGAGGCACTGTAGAGTGAGTGAGTGAGGTGGAGTAAAACCAAGGGACAGGCAAGGCTGCCATCAGTCTGTCATGTGAACGGACGGAGACTAGATTCCTGCTCAGTAGCAGACATGCGGAGGCGGGGAGAGCAAGCGGAAAGCCGCCTCCCGTCGCGATCGCCTGTCTAACTTTCCTTCCTTCTCATTGACATGCCACCCACCCCAGACTCGCTCTCCAACTCCCACCCCCTACTCTCAGTAATCGAACCAGGGAGAATGCCTCGGACCCTCCCGTGGCTGAAAGAAGAAGCCATCATCAAGCGCGAACAACTGACGCCGACACCGACGTCGCGACGAGCAGTGAAATCCGAACCACCCAAGGAACCAAAAAGCGAGAGCGATGTGACACCCAAAGCAGAGGGGACGCCGAAGTCTCGAGGACCCAAGAAGCGGGATTTTTTCCGTTCGTGTGTGTATACCCACCTACCCACCTACCCTTTACCCTGAGCCTGGTTGCCGTCGTTGCTCTACCGGGTGAGTGAGCAAGTGAGTGAATGAATGAAGTTGTGAACTGACCGTCCGACTCTTTCTGGATAGCGCCCACCCCACCATCATCCCCCATCCACCGATGTCCGTCAGAAGAGTACGTGGGACACCCCTCATCCATCCACCCATCCTGTCCTCTCGCCCTCCGCCTACCCAACCCCGCAAGAACACTACCCACAGGGCGATAAACATTAACCCAGTTCTGAAAATAAAAAAAGATATCTCCGCGAAGGCTTCGACAAAGATGACATCTACATGATGGTGGAAGACGAATTCTACGCCGTGGCGCAAACGTTCACCCAGCATCTCCACTACGCGGAGTACGTGAGACGAAAAAAAGAGGCGAAGCTGCAGAGCGCAACCGTCATACAGAACTTGGCGCGGCCTACGGACGGGGTGACGCCGATGAGCGAGGAGGTGAAGAGGAGGAAGGCGGCGGAGGAGCTCTCGTTGAAACAGAAGGCTGGGGTGGAGAGGGGCAGAGGGGAGAGACCGGCGGTGGATTCGGAGGAAGAAAGGGATGATAATAATATAGAGGAAGAGGGGGAGGAGGGGGACATGTGGGCGGGCACTTCGCTGCATGATCTGATGGTTAGTCCGCGCAAGGCCCGGTCTTTGGTGGGGATACAGGGGGTTAAGTCGTCGACGCGGGCGGCTGCTGGGTTAAGGGCGTCGTTGGCGACTGGGACTGGGAGATGGGGCAGTGGGGATGATGGGATTAGGGGGGCTGGGGCGAAGGATGAGGAAGAGGTCGATCTACTGGAGACGGACTCGGGAGATGACGATCTGGACGCACGGACGGAGACGAAGACGCCAACTCCAATGAGACCTGTGAAGCAGGGGCAGCAGGGGCAGCAGCAGCAGCAGCAGCAGCAACGGCGCTCGACTGATTCGGACTCCAAGGTGAGAGGGATATCTAGCTTGCGAAGCAGCCCTGTGGCGGGTCGCGCTACAGAGGATCGGGGGATAAGAAGAGTGAAGTCTATGAGTGCTAGAACCAGTACGCCAACCGGGACCCAATCTAAAAGACGATTATTATTTGACGACTTTGACGAGCTTCCAGAGCTACACAAGTCGAACATTCAGGTGCAGGGCCAGAGATCCTCCCCGTCATTAGGTGGCGACACGCAACAAACTCCACGCGGCATTGATCCGAAGGCAAAGAAGAAATCGCGTCTGAACGAAGTTCCAACATTCTTGTTTTGATGATGACGTCCTGAGGGATATCCCGAGGGGGGGGTATGTTATGTACCCTTCTGTCGGACGTGATGTGATTGATATTGAGTGATGGTCGATTGACTTGGGGGATGATTCATTCCTCGTAGTCTTCGTCGTCGTCGTCATGGAGCGGTCGGGCAACCCGGACGCTCAGCCTCCGGACATGGGTCTTGATCTTGTCTCGTGTCGACGGTTGATGGTCCATGGCCGTGACCGCTGCTTCCTTCTCCTTCTCGAGGGTCGATCCCCGACTGTGCAGGGTGGCCGCACTGCGAGCGATGGTCAGAATGGCTGTCAGGACGATCGGGGTGCGAGGCTACTGACTCGTCATCTGAAAAGAAGGCGGGCAATTCCTCCTTGCGAAAGTCGGTGGGGGGACCCTGGGGTGGATGCATTAGTACGATCCGAGAGGGAGCAGGGATCGGACGGAAGAACTCACGATTTCGAGGACCTTGTGCTGTTGCTTTTCGCGCCGGAATGGGGACTTGACGAGTCGAGCTATCTGCCGAAAACACTCCATGATGGTTGAGTTGTGATGTTGTGTTGTGTTGCGAGGTGGTGATGATGGTAGAGGTGATGGATGAGGATGAGGATGATGATGATGAGGATGAGGATGGTGGTGTGGTGTTGATGATGATCAAAGAGTGGATGGATAACGAGTGTCCAGATCGGTCGCTATCTACGCAGAAGCAGGACCGAGGCAAGCAAGCAGCAATTAAAAAGGTCTAATCGAAACCCAATAGGCGGAGCGAGTGGACGCTTCTTCTTCTTTTTCTTCTTCTAAAGAGAGAAGAGAAGAGAGAGCTCTATCAAACGAGGGACAGGAAGCGAAAAAGAGCGGAAAACACCGAAACAAGAACAAGAAGGAGAAAGGAAGGACAGGCGGGAAAAAAAAAGCTCTATGACATTAAGGCGCAGGAACAGACACAAGACAGAGAAAGGAAAAGAAAAAAAGACAGATCCTCCGACTGGGGGGCCGGCCGGTGAGGATATATACCAGAATAATCAGAATAATCCCACCCAACCAACCCCAGCTGGGGCGCCCGGTTTTGGCCCTCTTTTGCTACTGCGGCGGCGGCGGCGCGCGTCGTCGTCGACGAACAGCGGCTGCGAAGCAACGGTTTTCCGCCCGTGCAATGCAGGTTTAAGCTGATCGGCAAATTCGGTGGCACGACAACCGTGACAGCCTTATGTACGGTCTAGTCTAGTTCCAGGGCCGGTATGAGTATGGGTATGGGTATGGGACATGGGTATGTTGGATTGGGTGGATGTGGATGTGACACATTCCGTTGGCAGATTGGCCCTTGGCTTGGCCTTCTCCCCCCTGGCAGTGGCAGTGGGAAGAACTTGGAAAACACTGCACGGATGAGGCGTTTCTGGATAATTACTACGACAAAGCAAATATGCTGCGGCGGCTTTTCCCCCTCCCGTCCCCTCCCCTTTCTCCTTTCCATTCTGGGGGGGGGGGTTGTGGCACTGACACCTTACGTAGATACCTACTGACCTACAGCCTGTCTGTCTGCTCTGGTGGTGGTGGTGGTGGTACTATAGTTTCTTTTTTTATCCGCTGCTGTACGACCAGCTGCACCACAACGGAGCACCACCCAAAATAAGGCGTCACCAGCCAGGCTGTACGCTCCCGTTCCGAGGCAAGCAAGCAGGTAAGCAATCATCTGGCTGGCATATGTACTTATGTTAATGTCAAGGTACGTATTACCCAGGATATCCTCTCCAGCATCATCACCACTAGTATCACCCTAGGTAGGTAGTTACTACTCCGTAGTACTTGGATAAATGCAGGAAAGAGAGTATGTGTCCAAACTTCAAACTTCAAACAAGCCAGACCCCTCGTCATGATCAATCCGGTGGCTTGGGCCGATCGCCTCCGATCGTCCCGATCGTCCCCAGCTGAAGCAATAACGCTACCAGAATAGATCCGACGGGAGGGAGGGTCGGTCGCATCATTCGCATTGTGTTGGGGATGGGGATCGGGGTCTATTCATTATCCATAATCCCTTGATTCTCGCACCCATCCCAATCAACTCGTACCCTATCTATCCATCTAGTTAAGTATCTATCTATCTACCAACCTAAATACTGTACTTACTACTTACTTACCTACCATACCCAACCAGGTCCAACTAATAGCTATGTACGAGATAGCTATCCAGTACACACACATACGTAGCTAGCTAGCTAAAAAGTCCAGACCCAGACCAAACTAACAATGCAGAGCAGAGGAGACAGGACCCAATCAAAGGGCAACAACAACATTCATTCCAAGCTCCCAAATCCCAATATATGTAATCCAACAAACACTCACCCTAGGCACTTACTAACTATACTTACTAGTGCCCAACCCTAAATCCGATAACTGCTGCCCATGCCATGCCATGCCATGCCATGCCACCGAACAATCAACAATCAACAATTAACAACTAACAATTAAATTAATAATAGTCCTCCTTTATACTGTACCTAACCATAAATGATAAACAATGAAAGAAAGAGATTGCTCGGAAAAAAAAAAAAAGATAACAATCGTCATCGAGAAGATTCCATCCTAAATTCTTACTGTACTGTACTGTACTGTACTGTGTCTGGCTGGCTGGCTGGCTGGCTGGCTGGCTGGTTGGGGGCTGTAGGTAGGTAGGTTTGGCTTTGGCTTTGGCTTTGGCTTTGGCTTTGGCTTTGGCCCCCATCAGTAGGTAGGTAGAATAGGTAGAGCTCTCTCTCTCCCAGCCTCCCTTACTGTGGAATTGTGATTATTAGATACATTTACATTTACATTTACATTCAGTACTTACCCTGATGGGTGCGGAGGTATTTATCTATCTACCTATTTACCTAGGTAAGTAGTAGCAGATACTACCTAAGTATCTCGTAGGTAACTAGGAGGTAGGTAGAATGAAGGTACATACGGAGTACCGGAATAAATCTGAATACGAATAGTTATGGTGGTGGCAGTGATATGATAACCCGGGTCATATAGTAACTACTCCATACTCCGTAAATCCACCTTACTAGGTATGGTACAGGTATAGTACTATAGATACTCCGTACTTACTTACTTTCTCTGTTTGTAACTACCGGAATGGTACCTGAATGGTATAGTACCTACCTATATTAAGGTAGTACGTACGTACTATACATATAGTACGTACCTACGTATCTAGGAGGTATAGTAGTATTGTAGTACCCCGGTAGGGGCACAGGCAGATAGATCTATCCACCTATCTTCCCTTGCAGGACACAGGACAAGGAACCAGCCCAGCGTTTCGTAATCGTATCTACCCGGAATGGGATGAGGGATCCGCAAAATCAGATGGGAGATCAGGGTCATGAATAACTAGATAGATAGATAGATAAATAGATAGGTAGGTAGGTAGGTAGCGTTCACTGGGAAAACTTGGGGGGGGGGGGGTAATTACTCCGGACGGGCACCAGATTCGGGGTATACTATTCCGGACTATGCATACTTTGTTGGTTTGTGTTTTTTTTTTTTTTTCTGGATTTTCGACGTATTTTCTGGGGTCATTGGATTTGGTTTGTTTGGGGGTCTGTCTACCCGTCCGTCCGCTGTACGGAGTACTCAGATAGAGTATATACCTAAAATACTCCGTAGTTAGTGAGTGCTGTTTGGTACGGGGGCTGTATGTATTGGGGGCGGCGTCTGCAGGAACTGGAGCTGGATCTACTAAGTACAGTTCTGACTACTGTGGCGGCGTAGTCAGATAGCTTAGCTGGCAGGCAGGCAGGCAGGCAGGCTATTAGAGGTTACTGACTTACGTACGGAGTACATACATCGGCAAAATATCTACATCTTGACAGTGACAGCATGATGCTTACCTACTAGATACATGGATACATACATAGCTATCTAGCTTCCATTCCTTGGTACTTACTTACTGTACGACCACAAGTATCCGTAGATGACAGGACTCTCTACTCTCTACTCTCTACTCTACTCTACTCTATCTACCGTATACCCACCCACTTAGATGGTACCTGGATACCAATACCCACCTAGATAACCTCACCCCCATCCAAACTCAAACATACTTACCCTATCCACATCCACATCCACATCCAAATCCAATATCCAATTTGCCCCATTCCTCCCTTCTCCCCCTCCCTCTTTCTCCCCCCCTTTAGACCACCGTCCCACCCCCCAAAAATGCCCCTACTAAACCCCGGAATGCTCCACACCGGAATACAAATAATCCACCCTCTCCCTACCGTCTCCCCTCCATAGTTGGGCGCTGCGCCGCTCCATTTCGCTGCGTCGGTTGGTATGTACTACATGCATACATATTAGTTACTCTGTATGGAGAGTATGTTCGCGATAAGCTGAGACCGAGACCGAGACCGAGACTGAGACCCAGCGGACCCTGGGCCTGGGTTAACCACCTAGCCTGCTCACTTGTTTATACCTAGATATGACTGTTGATATTGGACTGACACTGGGGCGACAGACGGAGACAGACACAGACACGGACACGGACACAGACTAAGTTACTCACTAACCCGGGGCGGGGCCAAAAAGGTTGGCGTGGTTTGTTTGCGCTTCGTATCTTCAGGTTAGAAAGAAAGAACGAACTATCCTAGTGCTTATTGTTCATGCTTACAGAAGTATAGAACCGTTAATTTAGTGGCTCGGGGTTAGTATTCATCAGGGGAACAAAGAGGTCGTTGTTGTTATTGTGGTAGCGGTGGTTGCTATCTATCTATTATTAACGAAATGACTATCTAAAATGACGGTGCTAGGGGCAGAATCAGCAGCAACAGAGGTAGCAGGACAGGGGCTTATTTCGGGTAATCCTTGATGTGGTAGCTCTTCAGCTTGACGAACTGCTCGAACCCGAATCGGCTGAGGGTCACGCCGCGCCCGGAGTTCTTCCAGCCCGTCCAGGCCAGGTCCTGTCTTCGTTAGAGATTTCTTTTCTCTCTTTTTAGAAACAAAAGGAAAAAAAAAAAAAAAAAACTCACCGGACTAGGATAATCCGACCGATTGATGAACACCGTCCCGGCCTCGACGCGTTCGATCAACTCCTCCGCGGCCGCGACATCCTTCGACCACACGCTGGCCGTCAGCCCGAACTCACTATCATTCATCAGCTGGATCGCCTCGTCGTCACTCTCGACCTTCATCACCGGGATGACCGGGCCGAAAGTCTCCTGCGTCATGACGAGCATCTTGTGGTTGCACCCTGTCAGCAAGGTAGGTTTGACATAGTTCCCTCCCCCCGGGAGGTTATCGAAGGTCTCGTTGGCGGGCGTCTCATCCACGGCGCCCTTCTCGACCGCATCCGCAATATGCGTCTCGATGTCCTCCTTCGCGCGGCTGGAGATCACCGGCCCGATCTGCGTCTTGTGGTCGAACGGATCGCCGACGCGGTAAGTGCTCAGGACGCGCTTGACCTCCGCGACGAACTGGTCGTAGATCTTCGCGTGCACGTAGACCCGTTCGATGGCGCAGCAGCTCTGGCCGCTGTTGAAGATCGCGCCGTCGACGATCTCTTCCGCCGCCCAGGCGACGTCCACGTCGTCGCGGACGTACGCCGGGTCCTTGCCGCCCAGCTCCAGCCCGATGTTGACGATGCGGTGCGCGGCGACTTTCTGCACGGCTAGTCCGCCCTCCACGGAGCCGGTGAAGCAGATGTGGTTGACCATTGGGGTCTGGATGAGGCTTTCGAGGAGGGTGGGCGAGCCCGAGTGGATGTATTGCAGGGTGTCGCGGGGGAGACCCGCGTCGTGGAAGGCGCCGGCGACTTGTTCGGCTATGGTGGGGGTCTGGGGGGAGGGCTTCAGGATGACGGCGTTGCCGGCGAGGATGGCGGGTATGAGGCTGTTGACGAGGACAAGGTAGGGGTACTGTTTTGTTTCAGTGATTAGCCAGGTTGTGAGGTGGATGTAGTGGAAGGAGGACGTACGTTCCAGGCAAACATGATGAAGACGACACCGACGGGCTTGCGCTTGACAAAGCGCTTGAAGCCCTTCTCTGCCTCTCCGGGCACCGTGCCCGCCTCGCCGAGGACGGAGTCGCTGATGCTAGTAAGGTAGTGGCTACGCTTGATGGCGGTCGCGACCTCGATCCCGGTGTAGGCAATGGGCCGGCCCATTTGCTCGGTGATCTCGATGGCCAGCTCATCCTTGATCTTCTCGAGGTTGTTCAGCGCCCGCGTGACGATATTTTGGCGCTGCTTGAGGGTGGTGGACTGGGAGAAGGACTTGAAGGCCTTCTGGGCGGTCTCGGCGATGCGCACGACATCCTCCGGGGATGCGCCGGTGCGGTGGAAAATGGGGCGGTTGGTGATGGGGGAGATGGTGGTGAGCTGGGTAGAGACGGACATAGACATGATTATTAGATTATAGTGTACGCATGGATAGATGGATAGATAGATGGATGGATAGATGTATGTAAGTACCTAGTTGGATAGGAAGAAGGACGAGAGGGAGTATGGAGAGAGAGAGAGAGAGAGAGAGAGAGAGAGAAGGAGTTGAAGGGAATCGGACGGGGATGATTGCGTCATAGGGGCGGGCGGGAGAGCTGCTTTGTTGCGGGGTCTTAATCGTCCCTATTATACAACTATACCTACGCAGTACCAGTACACCTACACTGTACAACAGCACACCATTACATCGGACGTTGATCCCTTGGGACAATTCGAAACATAACACAACAGGAAAAACTCGGTCACTCTGTTTGCTTCATCCAACGGCACCAGACACTGAAGTCATTGCTTGGTATTCATTGATTGATCTATAGATCCCGAACCAACCGTGCTCCCGCCCAGGGGTAGGGGTAGTTACGCTGGTACCAATTGACACTGCGAGGCAGGTTAGCTGGATCCTCAGCATCCTCACAAGACAGACACTTACAACGTAGTGCGTCCCGCAATCCGCGGGTGCGTCGCCCACGATCCTCCGAGGATGACATTGTGCTTTCCGTCGAAGAAATCGGCTGTGCCCAGTCAGCGCATTCCCCCTTCCAACCCCCAGGGGAGAGACTTACACGTATATCCGGGGTAGATCTGCATGGCCTCGAACCCGTCATGCGGTGCGAGGGTCGTGCTCGTCCACTCCCAGACGCCCCCCATCTCTCCTTGCCCGGCGAGTCGGTCGCCGTTCTGGATGACGGGGGTAGGGTGCCAGTGTTTGAACCCGACGTTGCAGTCGTCGAGGTCGACAAACACCGGCATGCTGTCGGGCGAAGGGTCCTGAACAGGCTGGTGGTTCGGGGTACGAGGCTTGAGGGGGTTGACTTCGGAGTGTCCGTTTCCGTTGACTCCGTTGGATGTGCTGTGATGGTTAGTTCTGTCCGCTACATATAGGACTTGCGGCACATACCTGTGTCCATTCATACCATGGCCAGCTCCTCTTAGCTGTGCCGAGTAGGCGTAGATGCTCCTGGCCTCTTCGAAGGTAGGGATTCTACAGCCCACCCACTGCGCGTACCGGGCCAGTTCATCGTAGGACGCAATGACCGGCCAGTCCTGGGCGAACTCCAACGGAACAGGGCCAAAGACAGTGCGAACCGCAAAGTTGGACACAAAGTCTCTGGCGGGATGCGTGCCATTCTGGCCGATTCCATTGGATGTCTCATCCGGCTGCACTAAGACCCACGACTCTGGCTTTTGGGCTAGCTGGTTGGCTTGTATAAATTTAGCGTATTCGCCATTGGTGATGGGCCGCGCTTGGGCCTCAAAGGCTCCCACGGCGATGGTCCTCCGAGGCTTTTCGTTGTCCCACCCGTATGAAGCACTGGGCACCGAATCACCACCGTCATCCAGCCCGATCGACAAGGCCTGTTCGGGAATGGAGAACCACTGGTTGGGCTTCTCCTCTGCCCGAGCGTCCCGGAACAGTTTCTCGAAATCTGGCAGCGGGACAGCCGGAGGCGAAAGGGTCCGTTCGCTCTGGAGGAGCATGTAGAGGAACGTCTCCAGGTGCATTGCCTCGTGCTCAAAGCCAATCCAAAGCGCTTCACCCAGACATCTGTTTTCTGCCACCTCATGCTTCTGGAAAATCGACTGCACCCTGCTTCGGACCCTCTCTTGATAATCCATGATATCTCCAAGGACAGGCCATTCGTCTGGGATCTCGCTGTGCTTGTGGCACTTTTGTGGATCGTCAACATCGGGATCTATCCCCCGCTCGAATATGAGTTGAAACGATTTAGGATGCGTAAGCTTTCCACCGAGAGCTCGATTCAAATGGATGTCTGGCCCGGTCAGCATGCTGCTCTGTTACACAGGTCCTGCTCAAATAGTCAGACAAGTATACTGACCGAGGAATGTGGGAATATGTCCCAGGTAGAAGATCAACGCATTTCGCAGTTTGATCGGCTTGGAGAGAAGGTTCTCGCGGGGAACCATTGCCTTGGTCACAACGTCCCACGCTGTCCACAGGGACTGGAAGTCTTCAAAGCTCGGAACTGCATGGGCTGCATACCGTGACGGCGACTTTGGATAGCTGAGAGCAGCCGAAGAAAGCAAATGAATGCCTGTCATACTGGTCAGCGAAACGTGGCTCAATGCTGTGTAACGCAAGCTATGTCACGACGATGACATCGGGGCCAGGGCCTTAGGCTGCTGCCAGGTACTTACGATACTCCCCAGAGTCGTTCCCAATCTCCATGTTATGAATAAAGCCCGCATCATGCCACAGTTTCTCGAGCTGCTTAGCATCGTACTTGAACGCCTCCTCAAAGACAAGCCTCTCGCCCTTCTTAAGTAGTACGCCGTTTATAGTCACATCCCGCGTCGGCGCATAGAAAGCTTGGTGTCGTCCCTCAACGGTGTCGTATTCAGTCACAACCTCCCATTCATCCGGTTTGAACGCTTCATAACCGAGTACGGTATTCGCGTGCACAAGTCCGTTATTGTAGAATTGTCGCGTGACTCCCTTGGAGTCGTTGTAGGCCTTAAACACTTTGTTCGAGTCAGTGCAGCTATCCAACCCAATCACCATCATGTCAGACGGCCCCAGGATCCTGGAATATTGGGAGAGAAATTTCGCGGCAGAGTGACGGTCAAAGTTGCCCATGGACGACCCCATCGACAAGATCACCGTCGGCGATTTCCTGTTCTCTGGGATGTTCAACCAGGAAAGAGCGTCATCGTACGTCCCATGGAGGCCATGGAGCTCGACATGGTGATACTGATCGATCGAGACCTCCGAGAAGGTACGCTCCAGCTCGGACAACGACAGGTCCAAGGCATAGTAGTCCACGTTCTTGCCCACCGCTTCGAATTCCCGGAGAAGTATCTCGACTTTCCGCAAGTTTCTACCAAAATGTCAGACTGGCTGCCATGTGTATGACCAGCCCGTGTCTAGTACGTACCCGCTACCTAGCTCCAGCAATTGCGCATTGTCAGGGAACCGTTCCACGATCCTCCTAGCATGAGTCTGAAGCACCTCAATCTCCGCGTTGGTCAAGTAATATTCCTCCAGATAGGTGATGTCCTCAAAGAGCTTGAGCCCTTGAGCATCATAGAGCAGCATTGTGGGCATCGACCGGCTGGTTCCTGGAGGAGGATCGATGCCTCTCTGGATATCATTTACTAGGGAGAACTGTACGTCATTCTGACGAATATCAACAATCTCCACACTCTTCGCAACAGGACACAAGGGAGACATAGTTGACAGACGGACGTCCAATAGCAAGGAACAAAAAAACAAGTGAGAAGAAGAAGCAAACAGCTCCTAAAAGGCTACCAGATCGGGGGTAAAAAGTCCAGTGCAAGGGTAAGCCACAAGGCTTATATTACTTTCAGGGGAGTGAAAGCCACGGAGTTCTCGAGGGGAGAGGGGGGGTAAGAAGGAGGGGTAGAGGAGAGGGGGATAGTTCGGTCCTTGCAGCTAGAATATGCAGGACAGGCTGATGAATCAACTGATAAATCAAGCGATGAAACTGCGACCTTACGGATTGATTTGAATGGATAGTTTGCATGGAGGGAAGAGGTCCAAACACTCGGGCTGGGTGTTCCACCTCTCCACTCTCGGTGTAGACTGTTCCTGGACCATTTAGGCCGGGAGGGGACCCTTGCAAACAGGCCATCGCGATAGTCTGGACGCGCGAAGCGCTGGGGGAGCCTGGGACAGATCAAGGCAGTCTGTCGCACGGGAGGCCGACAAATGCCGCGGAGGATGCTGCACGTCAATCAGGCCACAGGGCGTGCATTCCGACGTGGGATGGGAGGGGCAGCTTTCCAAGGAACAGCGACGCCTCGGACAGTCCAATGAAGCCTGGGCAACTATGCAAGTGACGCATGCGGAAGATCGGCCGATCCAGCGGGGGAGCAACGACGAACGACGACGAGCGACGGGGAGCGACGGAGAGCAGCGGAGAGCGACACGAAGGTGATGACATCGTGTTTGCAGCCGTTGCACCGTTTGTCTGTGTTTGCACCGTGGGGCGTGTCGGTGTTTGCACCGGTTTGCAGTGTTTGTCGGCCCCACTTCGAGATTCCTCCCCGCTTGCTTCCCACTTCCACACTCCCCATCATCCATGCACCATTTCAGCTGACAGTATATTAAATTCGCCCGGCTCGTATTGAAATCCAGCAGTGGCATACACGGGAGAATGAATGATGAACTGGTCAGCACTAACACTCGGCCAAGGGTCATCCCTCTCGCGAACAGCCAGTGATAGATAGACCCGGCCACGTCCCGGTCATGATGCAGCGCAGCAGCTCATTTGATCAGATTAGGGCTGCGTGTCGAATGCCTTTGGGCCCCACGCTAGGACGATTGCTTACACAGTACGGAGTACACAGGAATCCATGCGTTTCCATGACCTGTCTAACTTTCAGAAGGGGCAGATCGAAGGAATGAAGTTGGTTGGGGTACAACGAGTCCACGGAAGAATACCCGGTGATTCCGCTCTCGGCGTTACTTATATTATCAGAAAGAGAGAATCAACGCAACGAGAGTCGTTCTACGGCGCAGGACCCTTACAGACAATCAGCCGCAGCTGGCAGCTTTAGTCACTCAGGCTTATCGCATCCTGTCAGAAAGAGCAACGGTAATCCCTGCTACATCGATTTGGGATTCACCTTGTGAGGAGCCCCAACCTCCCCAGTCCCCCGAAGAATGCGGTTACATTCCTTCCAACACACAATAATCCCATCGTTCCCTAGGCTTCCTCTTTTCGAGATACCCATTCTGGTAGAAGCACCCACATAGGTGATGTACTCCAGGGATTGGCGGTAAGGTTCCAGCACTCGTATCTGTCCTGGACAGCCTATGAGGTGGTTGTTCCACAACACTTTTAAACATGACACAACTACTATCCCAAAACGAAGCACGTCTGGTTCAGGGAGGAATGTGCAGCGTCGATGGTCTGGTCTGGCGTATGTCAAGCTGGTACTCCGTGATTGGCTGCATGTTCGATTAATATTGGTGGAATGAGCAATTTCTATCCAATGGCATCAGCAATTTATAACCCATGGCCAAGACAGCCAATTTTTCGAATCTCTCGAGGTCTGGCCACTGGACTAAAGGAGCAGTTCCGTCCGTTTATTATCTGTCCAACGATGATTTGATATATATATTTTTACCCTGTCAGCTAGCGGCCGTCATAGCATCAGCATTACCATATCACATATCCAGTTTCGATTACCACAATCCCAATCCGGCAGCATCGATGCCCCAGGCCCAACCGGCAACGCCCATCGCCCCAACACTCATCGTGAAGGCCATCAGCACGTTCACAGCATTATTATCAAAAATATCCCACCCACTCTCCACCCGACGGCTCTCATGTCCCTCATCAGCCTCTTCCGCCGGAGCGTCGGTAGCTCCAGCCCCCCTCAAAGTTGCCGCCTTCGTGGCGGCCTCGGTCTGCGCACCAGAAGCCGAGCCCTGGGTGGGTGTATTAGCCGCGACCCCGGGTTTGGTCGACGACGGATGAACCAGGACCTGTAGGGGAAAGACTAGATTAGCATCGTAACCATACCGCGGATGCTCGGGATGAGATGAAGGAACCAACCTTCTGTCCACCCGCTCCCTCCACAATCTTTCCGGTCCTCTTATCCACCACACTGGCCTGGAACAAAGCGCCCAGAACGCTGTCCAGCACACTGCCCAAGCCTCCCCATAGCGTCACGGCCAGAGCCCACTGCGCCCGTGTCTTCCAGGTAGATCCAGTGTCGCCTTCAACACAAAAAGGCATCAGGGCCGCAGAGGTTGCGGCGATCGTGAACGCGCCCAGCAAACCCGCCAGGAGGCCCGTTCCGGTGACGCCGCCGTTGGTACCGGGGGGGACGACACGAAGGGTAGGGGATGTGATCAGACGCGGGTTGGATTTGGAGAGGATGCCGAGTTCGGAGGAGAACGTGTCAGCTGCTACGGCGGCGTAGTTTCTATCAGAGATAGCTAGTGTCAGCTTTTCGCTCGGGAGAGGAAGAGTTGGGGGCGGCTGGGGGGTCGTACGCGACTATCCCAACGACCAATAGGTCCGCCGCATTGCGACCATTCGAGAAGCACTGTGTAGCGCCCTGTCTCGAGAGGATGTAGGTATGGATGAGGATGAGCACCGTAGCGACGACAGAGTTCGCCAGGACCTGGATGTGGGTACGTCGGCCCTCGCCGCCGTCGGAGCCGGTCGCGGACAGTGTCAGGCGAGCTTTGATGTCGTGTTTGACCTGGAGAATGAGGAAGAAGGTAGGTTAGAGACCGCTGAGGGGTGTCAGGTGTGCTGTAGACCCTCTCACCTTGGTGACTTTGGTGCCGCCATAGTAGAAGACGCCCAGCAGGACGAAGGGGAGGGGCCAGGGGTGGAGCGAGTGGGCGGTGGCCGTCAGGGCGGCAACGGTGAGGCCCAGCGTGGTCAGCGACTTTCGCGAGTAGGCTCGATAGACAAGGGCCGCGACGGCGGGGAGGCCAATATAGGGCTTCATCGTGACGGGCGAGGGTGGATGAGAGGGAGAGGAGAGAAGCAGCTGGATTGCTGGAGGAGCTATCTTAGTCGGCTGTTAGTCGGTCCTTAGCTCCGGGTGACAGCTCCGCGATGGGGCGGCGGGTGAGGGTTGATTGGCGGGACGGTTGTATGGATCCGTCGACAAACAGAGAATGGATCAACTAACAGATCCTATCATAGTAGGTATGGTATCTAGTAGACACTAGGAATGATAGACATTATTGAACCAAGAGCACTGGATCTCTGATATTGCTCCTCTGGGAATCAGTCACTCGCTTGCTACCTACAACAATCCCAGCCTGGCTGCCTCAGTCAGGCCCACTACTGTCACAGCAAAAGCTCAGGCACTCCACCTGAGCTTCCTACGATTGATGGGCGCAGATGGGACGAGTCCTTAGCTGGAGGAACACCAAATTTATACGCACCCAATCCCAGGTATCAGCGGCCTTGGAGCCTGAGAGGCTGCACCAATCAGGAAACCCCTCTGCGGCCCCGGAGTATACATCACCTGCAAGCCAACCCCACCTCTTCCTTACCGTCATCCTGTACCACTTCCAATCACTCTCCTTTCTAATGAGACCCTTCCACTAAATCACCTCCTTTTGCTCCCATCCCCCAGTCTTCCTCCCAGCAGACATCATGGCCCTCGACTGCGGACCGACAACCATAGCATCGGGGATCGCTTCCCTGGTAAGAAGTCCAGTCCAACCCAGTCCAGCTCTCTCAGCAATCCAGCTTATCCTGACACGCGTCTCACACAACAGTGCGCCATCATCGCCCTGATCCTAGGAGCGTAAGCGCCCCCTATCCCCTCCTCTCCCCACGACCCAAAACAACCAACTAACCCCATCTCTCGCACCAGCCTATCCTGGTCGCGCACCAGCTCTCTCTACCTCCCCCTCCCCCAATGGCTCCCAGCTCTAGCAACCTTCCTCCCTGCAATCAGCGCGCTGGCGCTCTTCCTGACTCACCGCATCCCCTCCGCATCGACCACCTCCCCCCACAACCGATGGCAGACCTTCCTCCCGATCCTCTCGCATCTGCACTCCATCCTCTCGACGCTCCTCGCCGCCGTCGCCCTCGCCTACCTCTACCCGGAATCTATCCTCCTCTGTCGTCTTGACCAGGAATGGCTCTCGTACTACCGCACCCGCAACGCGCAGCCCATCCGCGCCATCCAGGATAACTTCCGCTGCTGCGGGCTGCGGAGTATCCGGGACCGGGCGTGGCCGTTCAAGGATCGCACGCACGGAGACGACGCCTGCGAGGTGCAGCTCGGATACGGGCAGAGTTGTCTGGCGCCCTGGATGCAGCAGCAGCAGGGGGCATCGTGGATGATTTTTGCCGCGGCGGTTTTGGTGCTGGTTATGAAGGTGAGTCTTTCATTTTTTTTATTTTGTGTTTGTCTGAAGGATTAGGCTGGAGGTGCTGATTGTGGATCGTGTGGCTTTTAGGTCGGGTTTTATCAAGCTATGCAGCCCCGATCCAGCTGGATGCGTCGCACGTTTGGGAGACAGGCGCCGGAGTATCAGCGTATCACGCATCCGGAGTTGCAGGATGGGGAGGATGATGGGGAGGCGGAGGAGGGACGCGTTATCTTGCCCCGGGGAAGGCCGGCGTATGAGCATGAGAATGAGTGGGAGCGGTAGGCTGGCTTCTTTGAGTCTGTAAGATCTGAAGTGTCAGGGGAGAGGGGGGTTGAGTTGTGTTGTTCGGTTTCCTGCAGGGTCAGATGAGATGATTCCGGGCATATCTTGAAAAGTCTTTCATTAATACCCCCATCAGGCGAGACTGTTTGCTGAGTGAAAGGAGATGGGGCCATCTTACTCTTTTACCAATATCCTCTCAAAAAGGTATCTGACTAGATGACGGTTATGCTTCGGTTCTTTGTAGCTGATAGCCCGCTGCTAAACAGGGCTAGGCTAGTAGCTGGCTTCCTTCTTCTACGCCGTAATAGACACCGGGTCCCTCACTCTCTAATGACTACCATATATCTATCCTAGATCAATGGTCCCCAAAGCGTCAGAAACCCGACAACACCCCCTTCAAGTATGCAAGCAGCTCCTCCCAGTCCTAGACAAGTGCCACAACCCCTCAACAGAAACCCCACACCTCCCCAAGCCTCTCCAATATCAACCCTCGTGAGCCAAATATCATAACGACCTGCACACAGAATAAAGCAGGTCCGAGCCCACCTCGTACCGTACCCAAGCACATAAATATCCCAATATCCACTGAAAGGAATCAAATCCAGGAACACATGCAAGGATTTATACTTCAACATCAAGGTGACATGACACGATGGTGGCGTTTGCGATATCGCTGCATCTATATACCGGATGCCACGCCGGCTTCTCTTTCTCCCCCCCCCCCCCCCCTTTCCCCCTCCTTCCATTCTACAAGCCCTAGACAAAGACAAAGACAAAGAATAAATAGAAGCTCGTCAAGTTGTTTCCTGGTGCTGGTACTGCTGTGGAATGGAACTCCGTCCGCCCCGGGCCGGCCCGCTTCGCTTCGCCTCATCCAGAAGCAAGCCGAAAGAAACATCGGCAAGGCAGATAGATAGTATATAGATAGATGAAAGAGGGCGGGATCAGCCATCAGCCAGCCAGCCAGCCTTTCTGGGAAATGCCATGCAGGGTTCCCGATATACTTACTGTATTCTGCCAATAAGCCTGACTACGTATGTCAGAAATATACATTTCATGAGACTCCAGAGGGAGAAATAGAAACAACTAGAAGATAAATAAATATGATATATATATATATATATATATATATACAAACGCCGAGGTTTTAGTACTATACCATGCCAACATAAAGCCAACATAGAATACAGATAGAAAGGACCACATCGCCGCAGTGTAAAATAACATATTCATTCACATATATAGCCTTGCCCCCTAAGAAAAGGGAGATTAGATTAGATCAACCCTAGACAGTTGGCTATTTCAGTTACCCATATTGCGCGGCAGAACACGAGGACAGACGGGTGGTGTTGCCAGTACACACACACACACACACTATCTATCTCCACACAGCACGGGTAGAGATGTACGCAGCAACTCGCAAGAAAGTCCAGAAACCTGGAAGCGGGTCAGAACACGCCGGAGTGGCGGTCTGGATGCGTCTGGTCCAGGCCGAAAGGGACCTTTAGCTTCGGCCGAGATGGTTCTTATTTAACCGAGTTCATTCCAACACCAACCACCACTGCCTGCCCGTACACACGATATACTATATATAGGGTATGTATCTACTCACTCCATATCTGGATCACCATCCCAGAATCATACTGTGCATGAGATTAAATAAGCGTATTTAAATAAACGCACGCTCACTACGACCCAACTGAATCGATGTCAAAAACTCCTTAAAAAAGCACGTGGCCTAACTACTTTGTTTAACTACTTAGTACTTTAAAGTTTAGCGGTTGAGCCCCCTAAATCCTAATACTAATACTAATACTAATTAATAGTAGTGGTTGCCCTAATATATCCACCCTTGCCCCATTGGAGTCACATAAAGGGTGTTGTTGGGTTGTTGTCTTGCCGGAGTTTCTTACTGGCTTGGGACTAGACTAGGGAGAGGACTATCTATAACTAGTAAGTATCTAGTCGGTTCTACAGAGTAGATAGATAGTCACTAATCTGGAGCGGCGTAGAGTTAGACCCCTAATAGGAGTGCAATAACTAGATACCTAGTACGGGAGGTTTTTTTTTTCCTTTTCAGCGAGTAAGTGGTATTCAGAATTCTTGATAGAGATCTCTTGATACATAATTTAAGATTTGTTATTGTGCGCACCATTGCGGATAGCTACTTAACAAGAGGATAATAATATAGCCATACTAGATAAGACTACTTAAGAAAAAAAAAAAAAAAAAAAACTCTGTGAATTTTAAATTAGACCAGACCCGTTAACCAAAAGCTTTTCTCATAGTCATACTCATACTACTATACCCCATACGTCCAACGCAGCCTCACCCCCCACAGCCTCACAGCTCACATGGTCAACAAATGACATGATGACATGATTGAGTATTTGAGAGTCTGACAATGACAATGACATACTTATATATATATACTAGTACATACACCCATCCCCCCGTCACGGTCTCTCCCCCTCCCCTTAAAAATATCATCATCCACCACACAACCACACAACCATGCCCCCAACCCCCCCAAACGCCAACGAGGGTACATCCGCCGCACGCGCACCGGGTGCCGCACGTGCCTGATCCGGCGCATAAAATGCGACGAAACGCTGCCGTCATGCCGAAACTGCACCTCGACCGGCCGAACCTGCGACGGCTATCCTCTCTTCCAACTGCCCATCCTCGCACCGCGACGCCCCCCTCACCTCCACCTCCACCCCACACACACCAGCCTCCCCACACCAGCACCCGGCCTCACAGCCTCCGAACGACGCAGCTTCAGCTTCTTCCGCGACCACACCATGCCCATGATAACGGGATACTTCGACTCGACGCTATGGCAACGCACGATCCTGCAAATGAGCCACTCCGAAGCGGCGGTCAGCCACGCGGTGGCGGCGCTGGGCGCCTTACACGAGGTGAGCGAAGCGCGGGCGGGTGAGATGGTGCGGGCGCGGGCAGCCGAGTATCACCTGTTCGCGATGGAGCAGTACGGGCGGGCGATTTCGTTGCTGCTGAAGCGGAGGCCCGCGGGGTCGCGCGATCCCGTGCTGCGGTTGACGACCCTGGTGTGTTGTATGGTGTTTGTGTATTTTGAGTTTCTGAGGGGGGAGTATGCGGTGGCGTTGGTGCATTTGGGGAATGGGTTGAGGATTTTGCAAGGGGGGGGGGAGTGGTTTGGCTATAAGGAGACGCAGATGAGGAGTGCGAGGGAGGGCGAGGGGGAGGGCGAGGGGAAGGGGCATGGAGGGGGAAAGACGACCGAGACGGATTTTATCTGCGCGTTTTTGAAACTTCATATCCAGTGTGCGCATCTCGATGATTCCGGCGCCAAGGTTAGCTGGTATCCGACTACCACTACTACTACTACTACTACTACTACTACTTCGGATACTTCCGCCACGTCGAGCTCTACGTCGAGTGCTGACCTGGCGCTGGCGGATTTCACATACACCGCGCATCTGACGCTACACAACCTCGAAGATGCGAATAACCGGATGCACCCGATTCTGAACTACGTGTTCCAGTTCTGGCCGCACTGCGAAGTGGTGCTGCGGGATCGGCGACGGGACGCCACGCCGCTGTGGGAGGCGCAGGCGAAGCTTCGCGAGAATCTGGCGCAGCATGCGCGGGCGTTCGACGAGCTGGTGGCGCGGGCGCCGCCGCGGTCGCCGAAGGATGTGCGCAGCGTGGATCTGATCCGGGTGTATCATCTGGTGCTGGGGGTGAAGGTGGAGGTGTTTCTCGAGCTGGAGGAGATGGTGTACGATGGGTATCTGGCGGAGTGGGAGCGCGCGGTGGGGCTGTGCGAGAGGATCATGAATAGTTTTCTCGTCGAGTTTGGGGGCCGCGAGCAGCTGCCGAGTGTGTTTATGGATATGGGGGTGATTCTGCCGTTGGCGTGGGTGGGCATGAAGTGTCGGCATCGCGGCATCAGGGAGCGCGTGTTGCGGATGTTGGCGGCGTGGCCGCACAGGGAGGGCCCGAGGGATTCGGTGACGGTGGGGATGATGATTCGGGGGTTGATGGTGGTGGAGATGGAGGGGATGAAGGCGAGGGGGTTGGAGATGGGGATGGTCGCGGAGAGGGAGAGGGTCCGCACCGTGGGCGTCGAGAGGATGGCCGATGGGAGGCACGCCGTGCTGATCTATGCCCTGTCGGATCCAGAGGGCGAGCTGGTGATGCGCCGGCGGGTGTTTAAATTGGAGGATCTGGAGGTCAAGTAGAGGGAGCAACAACGGGGATTATATGGGTGGGGTATGTACAGGTATGGACACGCGCTGTAGTGTACAAAATGCCAATATCAACAAGAAAGGATGCATATACGTCGGCTGATTCCTATACAGAAGAGAAGGTGCGATGCGACATAGAAGGGGAAATTATAAAGCAAGACCGCTGCCATCGCCGCTCCAGCGGTACAGCGCGAGCACCTCTCGTCGGCGCTGCTGCTGCTCGCCAAAGTCCTCGGGTATACGACCCCGAACCTGCGCGAGAGCCGAGCGCATCACCTTGCGGAATGTTCTCTGGGGGGAAAGGGTCAGCCACGCCCACACCATCTGGGAAAGAGGAAGAAAGATAAGATACCTACCTGGTACTCAGTGTTCAACGTCACCACGCAGGCCTCGTGTGCTCGCACGATCGTCTCGCAGGCGCGGACGACGCTGGGACTAGCGTCCGCCTGCAGTTTGTCCGCCGCCAGCAGCAGCAGAAAGCTGCCTTGCAGGAGATAGATCCCAAAAAAGAACGGCATGAAGCTGAGATCGGGGTCATACTCCAAGATCTCCGCCGCAGCTTCCGCCGCCCCGACCGCGTGGCTCATGGCCTGCACAAAAGACTCCGAGGAGATCCACAGGTCGTGATCTTCCAGCAGATTGACCGGGTCCCATTTACCCGCCAGCAGGATGTGCAGGACATGCATGATGTGCGTGCCGTACGCGACCACCATCTTGGTGTGAACGATCGATTCGTTCACCCGGGACCCGACCGTGCTGCTCGAGCGCCCAGAGGGGCTCATATGGTCCAGATGGGAGCCTTCCACGGCAGGCTCGTTCTCCGCCGCCCCCATGGCCAGACTTCGGGTGTACCGGGCCTCGAACTCCTTCAAGCTGCGTCCATACGTGTCCAGCTGGCGGGTGATCTCCAGAACATGGTGTTCCCATTCCGGGCTACTCCGGAAGGCAAGACCAAATCGTGGGTGGTTTTCGGCATGATGCAGATCGACAATCTCGCCCAGGATCGTCATCAGTGGCAGGAAGTACCCAAACATGCTGTGCCCCGTGCACTCGACTGGGGGGCCGACTTGGCGATAAACGGTTCCGGCGAAATCACCGGCCTGCCACAGATCGTCGTTGATCGGCTGCAGCAGCCCCCCGCACTCCAAGTCCAGTAGCGTCAGCGGGCGGTTGTAACAGAGAGCCAGATGGCGATCCGTCGCGTACAGCAGCCACCAAAGGCGCCGGCGCTCTTCCCGTTCCTCCTCCGTAACATCCACGGCGGAGCTTCCAGAGCCATGGCTCATTGATGTAATTAGAGGCGGAGGGTGCCGTGTCGACGGGTCGACTTCGGAGGTGTCCCCCTCGTGCTCGCCGTCCTGCCGTGGATGGGAGACGTTGGGCGGCAGCTCGCGACCCAGCTTCAACTCGCGCGCGAGTGACCACGCGGCAGTCCACCACCGCATACTGGCCGCCTTGTATTCGCTCGCGGACACGACAGTCGCCAGATGCACGTAGGTGGCCACATCATCCACGACGCCGGTTGCGCTGCTCTGCGCGCCCAGCTGGTCCATCGAGACCCCAAAGCCTCCCAGGGCGACGCCGTTGATGACCATGTTCGCGGCATAGTTGGGGGACGCCTCCCCCGTCGCAGGGCCATGGACCAGCGGCCGGAGCAAGCCAATGGTCAGTTCCAACAGTTTCTGGCAGACGCGACCCCGAGCCGACGGAGGGGACGTCAGAAAGGCAGCTTCACTGGTCTGTGCTGCGACCCACAGCATGCTCGCCAGAAGTCCAGGACTGCACATTCGGGGTTTGGTAGGATGAAGGAAGGACTGTTTGCGGAAGATGTAGCCCACCACGTACGGGGACAGAGGGGACAGGTGAGACGAGGAGGAGCTGGTGAAGTAAACATCGAGAAGATCGCATGCCAGCGATTGGGGAATTATGGACGCAATGTGGGGCAGAACCGGCTGCAGGACAGGGTATCGTAACGTGCTCGAGAATGGGTGCAGGCTGAAGGAAGGGAAGTTTGCGGGGGATGGCGACGGGAGAGGCAGCCAGCCGGGCGACTGCGCGGGAGGCGTCAGCCCCAGGAACGGGGCTGACGGGTTGTCTGCCGAGTTTCCCAGTCGGAACTGGTTGACCGACGAGGAGCCCGGCTCCTGTGAGTTCATCAAGGCGAATGCGCTCTCGTGGTACCCATGATTGAGGCCCTGGGGCGGGAGAACGGAAGACGGCAGCGACCGTAGATCCGGCACCGACATCGGACGGGCCGATTCATTCAGAGGATGGAACTGGCTCATGTGCATCGCATCGATGGTCGTCCCCAACGCCGGCTGGGAATGGGCAGGTGCTGACTGTGGATCCTGCAGGCCTGACGGGTGTTGCATTTGCGACTGCGCCGAGGGCAGGCTGTGTGCAGCCTCGAAGGCCGGATCATATCGCCCATTTACATCCTGCCCCGACCGTCCATCAGGGGACGACTGGTCACCCAGTAGCGATGCGCCTCCTTGTCCTTGATAGCCGTTTGACCCGTGCGCCGCAGCGGCAGCCAGGTCCTTCTTCGACGCCTTCCCACGTTTCTTGCGTTCTCGCGCATACTCGCAGGTCAACCCGAATTCTGTGGAACAATAGTCAGACCAACGGACCAATTTCCCGCGCGAACGAACGTAGAAAGCATACCAACGCAGTGGGCGCACGGGTTCTGCCCGTCGCACTTGGTTCGGAGTTGGTTACACTGGTCACACGCACGGCTGATACGCCGGCGGACCGGGGCCGACGATGAATTTTTGCGGATCGGGGAGCGCGCCTCGACCAGGGCATCGCGTTGCGAGGAATGACTGAGCCCTAAGCCGATAGTCTGTTTATTCTCACTGTCGTAGAAGGAGTGGTCTTTGGAGTGGGAGATGGAAGAGTTCCTCAAGGAAGTGGAGGCGGCCGCGCCGTCCCCGGCGCCGGCGCCTGCGGCATCCCGAGACAGCTGCAATTGCTCCAGGACGTACTGCGAGCCCTCTGCGAGCGTATCCAGGCCGATGGTGCGGGAGTGCGCCATACCGGCCGACTGCGATGCCGAGGAGAAAGAAGAAAATGGACCGGTAAATTGCGGGAGCGAGGTGGTCGACATCCTCACCGGGCGGAGCCGTCCACTACCGGGGACATCGAGAGGTGTGGCAAGTGCAGGCCGCTCGTGATGAAGAAATCATGCGACGACAGCGAGAGACGGGCGAGATCGGTGCGAGGGGCGCGACGCGAAAGAGAGATCGATCCTGCTGTGGGAGGAAGAGGAGAGGGAGAGGGAGAGGAAGCGGAAGCGGAAGCGATCAGACCGACGGCATGGCCGACGCGAACTGCGGGGGAAGGACTAAGTAGTAGATAGCGTGGCGGATGGGCTAAAAGAAGGGACCTGACGAGCGAAAGAAAGGAGGAGAAGTCAGCAGGTCGCAGGATTCGCGCAGAGAGCCAAACGAAGCACACTAACTGGTTGCGTGGTAGTTCGGGTTGGCGAGGCCGGGGAAGGCTGCAGAGCTGCAGAGGAGGCCTCAGCGCTGATCGGGGGAGCCGAATCAGACCACCAGGTAGTGGGGAGAGGGGAGGAGGATGAGGAGAGAAACGACCGGATCCCACATCAGGAGGAGAGTTGGGGGGAAGGGGGGGTGGAGGATGGAGGACTTGAGGACTTGAGGACTGGAGGGGAAAGCAAAGAGGGAAAGAATGGGAAGGGCAGGAGGGATTGAAGGCGAAAAAGGCGGGGAAACCCAAGACGGAGAAAGAGTGAAGAGGGCGCCAGTCGGAGGGAGCTCCGGATCGTCAGGTCTGTCAGTACTGCATTTACTTGCTGTACCTACTAGTAGTACTCACACCCCCCTCTTCGTGTTTTTTTTTTCCTTTTTCTTTTTCCTTTTTTTTTTTTAAGTATGGTCCGGTGCCACTCCACCAATGGGTGACTTGACAGAAGCCACAGACTCAAGACTCCGCGGCATTGACTCCAGAATCAATCAGACCAGTACGGGTAGTTGCTAGTAAGGGATAAATACCACGAGAAAAGAAAGATAATAAAAAAAAAATAATAATAATATATGTGCTCAGGATCACATTCACTTCATCTATCTCAATATATATATACAGTATACAGTCAGTAGTAGTATGCACACGCCAAGCTCCAAAGCCCTAACTCATATATACACCGGAACATCCACCCGTTTGATGCCGAACAAACAAAACAACCCACAGATCAAACCAGAGCAGGATCTAGACAGGAAATACTCCGTGGTAGATCGTACACTCCAGAAAACAAAACGAACAACAGACCTGTACAAGTACAAGGGGATATCGAGACAAGGACGCAACAAAAATCGAAAGCAGAGAGGAAGGAAGGTATCGTGCTTCTTCGTCTTCTTCTCTCAGCAGAAGAAATACTTGCTGTCCCGGATCCGCGAGAGATCCCAATCACCTTTAGTCGGGACGGCGCGGAACCGCAAGGGAAGCCAGATATACATGTACGACTTGGGGGACTGTTTTTTGGGCCCGGTGGGCTCTTCTTCTCTCTCTTCTCCTTCTTCTGCTTCTTCGTGGACAGAGGATTCTTCGGCGGTAGTCCCACCCAGCACATCGTGGAATCCCTGGAACAGAGTCTCGATCGCCGGGTCCGATCGGTCTATCTCCATAGACTGGCTCGAGAGGTTCCGCTCCGCCGCCGCCAGGTCCGTGGGGACGTGACCCACACCGGTCGCGCCCAGGGAACTGACCATGCGCAGGTCAGCCTCGCTTGCCGACTGCTCGAAAAGGCTCGCCGGCGTCACCATGGCGCGTCCTTGCGCCCGGAGTTCCGGGTCTTCCGACTTCAGAAGAGTCTGGCGCTCGTGCTCCCGGATCAGCTCCGTGACCCTCCCGGTCTTCGAGGCTATGATCTTCGCTGCCTTGCGCTGGGCTTTGACCGCCCGCCCGAGGTCGCTGTCGGGTTCAAGCTTGGCAAGGAAGAGGTGCTGGCCGTACCGGACATCAAACTCGGCGGCCAGGCGCTTCACCACATCGTCAGAATGCATGCGAACGAACGCTTCCCGAAGCAGTTCGTTCATCTGGTCGACATCGGAGGCATGGGTCCAGAACGAATCGTGGACGGCGGAGAAGCTGAGACCGGCTTTGTTGCAGGCAATGGCAGACAGGATCATGTGGGTGGCGTCGAGCGAGTGGATGAAATTGGGGGGGAACGCCTGGAGCTGCTTGCGCTTGGAAACGACATCCATCGAGGTGTTATCGACGATGCTCAGAGTCTGGAGAGTGGTCAACAGGCGACGCGACTTGCGGACACGGTAGGGTTGGACAACGGGCAACCCGAGCGGAGTGGTCCAGATCACCGTAGATCGGAACAGCTTGGTGGGATCTTCCTTGCCTTTCCCCGACGCCATCGCCCACTCTTTCGCGATGTGCTCGATTTGTTGCGGGGACAGAGACTGGGTGATGCGACTGGCGCAATCGCCGAGCCAGTGCTGGATGTCGTGGGCACCGTTGAACATGGTGCCCAGAGCCTCAAACACCTTCCGCGCAACGTAAAGAGATCCTTTGCTCCGCACCTCTTGGGTGAGATCGGGGTAGTGGTCGGTGAGCTGCTTGCGAACCTGTTTCATAGCTCCCATGAAGGTCACACCGTAAACGTTGGTCATCACAGTCTGCTTCACCACCTTTCGCGTGATCTTGCCGTCCAGGATTTGGGCTAGAGGGTCGCCCGCAGCGGCTTCCCGCTTGATTTCCTCCTTCACGAACTCGGCAACACCAGTGTACACATCGGAGGGGCGGTCGGAGGGCTCAAGATTGACCTGCTGAGCGCCAATCTTGTCACCACCCAGCGCGGCATAGTGTTGCAGTCCGTTGCAGGATCCATCCTGGTGGATTGGCAAGCGCGACAGATATTGAGTGGGATCCGCGTGCCGAAGAGCATTCCGCAGCTCACAGCAGGCGGCCAAGCATTGCCACGGATCGTCGGCCTTGAGCCACCAGCGCCTGCCGTGCAAGCCTTTGTCGGCCGAATCAAGCACGTCCTCCAAATGGTCCATGGTAAACTGCTCTCGTTCCGAGAGACTAGCCTTGTCGAACCCGGAAAGGTTGGCGATTTGTACCTTCAACCATCTCAGGCCAGTGGCGCCAAGAGGCTTGGCTTCGCTGAAGAGGAGAAGTCCTCTGGCATTGTCCGCACCCATCTGGTTCAGATAGGGGGGGAGAGGATAGGCGCGTCCACGGAAATCCAAGTTGTGGGGGAGATAGAACGTCTCATCGAGATACGATCGGGCGACCTCCATCTGGAAGTTTTGGAAACACCGCTGGGAGTGGAACCCGGCTCTCAGGTTCTCGAGGTCCCGCATCTCGTTATCCCATTTCCTCTCAGCCTCGAAGCCCTCCTCTGGGGACGGTTTAGGGGGGTAATTTAGGTTGGGTTCCTGGGGAGCGAGTGAGGCGATAGGTTCTCCGGAATTCCAAGCTTCCAGCATGATATCGAAGACATCCCGATTGATAACCCACCCCGTACTTCCGAGAATATCCAGACCTTGACGGACTTGATCCAATCCGTTGTCCTGAAGCGCCGCTTTGACATAGGTGGGCTGCAACGTTTCGCCCGGGGTCGTACGGATGAGGTGGCTCTTATAAACATGATACCCGCCGTCGTTCATGCCTTTCCATGACTTCGGCTTGCACAGCATGGGAAGGTGGCGACCCAAGAGATCAGATGCCGGCTCCTTGGTGATAATCTTGACAATTGCAGGATGAAGATGAAGGTACCCCGAACGCCTTCCCCAATGGATTTGATAGGAATGCTGGAACGCAGGCTGCATCTCCGTTTTCGTCTCTCCTGCATTGTCCACCTTGACAGGCGCTTTGGCCACTTCAAAAAGAAAGCTCATCAAGGCAGCACCGACCTTCGCCTTCACACGGGGTGACCAGACAACGGTGGGATCGCTCTTCTCAAGATTGCGAGCAATCGTGCGCCACTGTGCGCGTCCATCACTCTGCTTGCGAAGGGAGATAGTTTGCTTGACAGCCTTCATCCGCGGAGCTTCTGCTGCTGACTCCTGTTGGAGGAACCGTTCCGCCAGATACTCGTCATGAAGCTCGGATCCGATGCTAGAAGCGATAGAAGATAGCTTCAGTCCTCCCTCCATACCTCCCCGACCGAATGCAGACATGACGGTAAGAATAGTGAGGGCGGCGAGCTTATCTGTGCTAATAGAGCGCAGAAAGATACCATAACCAACACGCTCTGTGTCTTGTATATCCCGAGGTTTAACTTCCGCCTGTTTAACAAGCTCGAGTTCTTCGTTGATCCTGGTCACCACATCAGAGTGCCACTGGTTTACAAGACCGCCCAAGCGCCTATCGCTACCAGAAGCAGTTTTTTGCCTGTCAGCGGCCTCTTGTCGCCAGCGTTTCAGCGCTGCTTGTATGGAGTCAGCCTCAAGATGCCGCTGCCTGGTAACGTTGTATTGTTCTCGACTCTCCGCATCAACGTCAGCATCGACGGGGATGGCAACTCTGCCCGGGGTGGAAAAAAGCGAGAGTGATTCTTTCAGAGACGAAAGTCCCAAGCCCTTTTGTTCAACGGATTTGACATTGATATGCTCGGAAGGGGCTGCAGTGTGGGTTTCCGGCGCAGTGTCCACTTCCATAGGACCCATTGCAACGCGTTGAATGTCCGATGAGCAGATCTGGAGTGCAATCCATGGTCAGCAATCATGACTACATAAAGCTCGAGGAGCAAGTAACGCCATGGCGTAAATGAAGGAGAGCGACCAACCTCTGAAAGTTCACCGATTTCCAATTCTGACAAAACAGGAGTCGCCAGAACTTCCTCTTCAAGAGAAGCGTTCTTTGTAAATTCCCAGTATCGGCGCACGCATCGATCGCGTTTCGTGCCGTGAAACATACGGAGTGCCATCCTGATCATGATTGCGTAGGTTGTCGCGTCCGCGTCCACCCCAGAGCTTGGCATGATGACTTCGAAGAACTTTTGCATGGGGAGAGTCAAATTATGTTGTCTGGTTAAAATCATATGCGAGACAAGTTCTTCGAGGTAGCGATTGTGGAGTGCAAGATACACGGGAGAAGCGGCAGGGTAGTACGCTCTTAGCCGAGTGAGAAGACTGGCAGCTCTGTCATAGCGATGAAGTCCAAGAGACACGTCGAAGTTCGCCAGCATCTCTTCTTCATCGCCACCAAAACCCTTCACCCTCCGCGACAACTTCGGTTTCGTTTGCAGGGCTTCATTGATGATGATCAGCGACGAGGTGTCGAATTCGTTGGCCATGGGTGAGTAGAAAGAAGACAATTGCGAGTCGAAATGCTGCTCGGAGCTATACGGGCTAGTTTCGAGAGACGCGTAAGAGCCTTGATCCGCTGCGGTGGCGAGACTCCGGCTGGACTGGAAGGACGACCGACGGGGACGCTCCTGGGGGGTGTTGGTGGAAGCGTTTGTGAGAGGAGTGGATCGAGTCGAATGCGAATGGAGTCTCAGGGATGCAGAGGGGAACACCGAGCGCCCCTTGGTGAGCCGCATGCGCAAGACGGCATTTTTCTGGAGGGCAAGCCGGGACAACATAATGCACGAGTGAGTATAGCAGGGATGAGTATTAAAGAATTATAACAAGATAGAGAAGATGCAATCTAGGCAACAACGATGGATGGTAGAGCAACGCGAAGCGCAAAAATGTCAGAGAAGAGAAAAAAGCGAATACGTGCAGGATGGGGTGCAAACGACCCAGGATCAGAAGCTGTCAGACAATGGACATTTATCCAAGCTGACAAGCCGCCCTGCAGCCCTCCAACGACAGGAGAAAGAAAAGAAGATGGGTAGGGAAGAAACGTGGTTGTGGTGAAGGAGGAGGAGGAGGAGGAAAAAGAGGAGAGAAAAAGGCGATGAAGGCGAAATGCAAGCAGGACGAGACGGAGACTTCGGCGCGGGAATGAAAAATACGACGCTTTGGCGCTCACCGCCCGCCGCCCGATAAGCACGTGAGCCGCACGTGATGTTCTCGAAGGCGCTGGAATTACGTGCGCCTCCCATTGGTTGCCTCGCCCCAGTAGTACCGGGGGTTCTAGTACCATGTAGTACTATGCTACGAATATAAACCCTAAAGCAGATCTCTCCATGCACGAAGGAATGCAAGTCATGGGAATTCGTAATGATGTCTACTCCAACCTCACGCCCGTCATACCTCCACCGGATGCCCTTCAGCAGCCCGCCCCTTCCCTTCACGCTGCTTCCTGCGGTTCTGTTTCATCGCCCAACCCGTCATGTCCGGACGAGCCGGATCTATACGCGGCGCACTCATCTGATCGAGATAATCCTCACTATTGATAGCCGACTCCAGCTGCGGCAGGCCGTCGACCTCCTGATGCATCATGTAGTTTTCGTACAACTGCCACGATTCCTCGGTCTGCAACAACATGATTAGCCAGCCATACGCAACAACACAGCATCCACCACCATCATCAGACATTGCCAACGTACCTCAGCATCCACCCACTCATAATCCTTCCACTTTTCATCCTGCATCTTCTTCAAAAGTTCCAGGTTGCCCGCAACCATAGCCGCCTCGCCATCCTCCGCGGCCTTGATCTTGACATCGATAGCGCGGGCCTCACTTTCAGCGGGACGGTCCTCCTCGCCCTCCTTCCTGGCCTTCCCCTTGCCCTTGACGGGGACCTCATCCAAGGCATCCAGATGATGCAACTGCGGATGCAGCTGCACGACAGCCGAAACGGGTGAAAGATGCAAGTTCGCTAAACCGTAAGCCCCCCTCATTAGCACCATCCCATAACAAGACGAAGAAAAATGCAAAAGAAAAGAAAAAAGAAAAAAAAACTCACCACCTCTGAAGGCAGCCAACATATAAACCGGATCCCCATCCTCTGGTCCCTTAATCCTACCACCCAGCGTCTGCACCCTCAGCAACGAGGCGGCATCCGGCCTGTCCCCGCCCGCATCAACCGCAGCCTCCATCTTAACCTTCCCGCCCATGGACGACGCGCCCTGCGAACTAAACCCCCCCGCCATGCCGTACGCGCCACCTTCGCGGGCGCTGCGGCTTTTCTTCAGCGCGTCGCCGTAGCGCAAACCCTTGCTGACATCGTAGTTGACGCGGGTGTTGATGGGGATGTCGACCTCAACGAGGCCGGTGGTGGGCTTGAGGCGGAAGGAGGAGGGTTTTTGGCCGTGGCGGTCGTCGTAGGCGGAGCCCGTGGGGCGGTCGAGGTATTGCAGGACGTAGCGCGAGATTTCGGAGTCTGTGAGGTAGATGTCGTAGGAGGCGACGATGGGGTCGGTGGTGTCGTCGGCGGTGGGGGGTTGGTGTTGGTGGTGGTTGTGGTGGTGGTGGGGTCCATTGTGAAGTGAGGTGGGGGTTGTGGATTGGTGGGTGAGCAGGTTGGTGATGGGGGAAGGAGGCTATAAGGGCATTGAGTCGAAAGAAGGAAGAGTCGGGGTGACTGGGAAGGGAGTGATTAGAGTGTGGAGGAAGTTGGGGACGAGCAATGTCTTCCTCGGTTTCGGAGGTGCAACTTTTTTTTTGCTTTATCGGAGGCGGAGATTCGGGTGATAAGATGCGGGCCGGCAGAATGGGGAGTAGTACACCGCTTACTATATTTGGAAGGGTCCCTCTCACATACTCCATACTACGGCGTAGTCAAACTAGTTACTTTCTCTCTCCCGCTTGTTTTCTCCTTTACTTTTGGTCTTGAGTCTTACGTGCACATTCATATCAATTAATCAATTAAGAGCATTGGTACGAACAAATTACCATATCAGCGTATATAGAACGTAAATGCGACGAAGTTTAGTCATAACAGTATGTACAGAACAGCTATATCGTCGTGGAAATCATGACAAAATCTTCAAGATGCATGCAGAACAAGATCACCGCATGCCTGGAGACCCAAATGTCTCTTTTTAATGTACCTAACATCTACTCTTCGTCATCTTCAGCAACCTGTACGCGAGAATGTTAGTTCGAGTTCATGAACAAGGGAGTAACTGGAAGGTAAAAGGGGTAACGTACTCCTTCGTGGAAGTTCTGTCCATCGGTCGTCTCCTTGATAACGCCGGCGCGGATGCACCAGTCTCCGAACCGCTCCGGAGTCTCACCGTCGGTGTTACGTTCCTTGGAGTACCGTCTAAGGAGATCCTTCATGATATCCAGGATCTCATCCTCCTTGATGGAGGAGCGGTGCAGCTTGTTCAGACGCTGTCCGTGGTATCCACCACCGAGGTACATGTTGTAGGCGCCGTACGCCTTGCCGACGAAGGCAACTTCCGCCAGCCAGGGTCGGGCACAGCCGTTGGGGCAACCGGTCATACGCATGACGATGCTGTCCTTGGCCAGGCCCACCTCCTCAAGAGTGGTCTCCAACTTGCCGATAAGGACCGGCAGGTAGCGCTCAGACTCGGCCATGGCGAGACCGCAGGTGGGGAAGGCGACACAGGCGGACGAAGAAAGGCGCATGCCGCTGAAGGAGGTGTTGTCAAGCTTGTACTGAGCCATCAACTCCTTGATGGCGGGCAGGTCTGCATCTTCGACGCTCGACAGGATCAAGTGCTGGTTACCGGTAAGACGGAACTCACCCTTGTCAAGCTTGGCGAGCTCGCGCAGACCAGTACGCATCTTGAAGTCGGCGGTGTCCTCGATACGTCCGTTCTCGATGAAGAACGTGAAGTGGTTGAGGCCCTTCTCGTCCTTCAACCAGCCGAATGTATCGACGTTGGAGACGAACTTGAAGGGGCGGGGCTCGGCGAAGCGCATGCCCTCCGGAAGGAGGGCTTCGACCTTCTCCTTGTAGCCAGCCACACCCATGTCATCAATGGTGTACTTTAGACGAGCATGCTTGCGGTTCTTGCGGTCACCGTGATCACGCTGGACCAACATGATCTTCTCACAGAAGATGTGGGCTTGATCCGCCGGAACGTAACCGAACATACGGCCGGTCTGAGGATAAGTCTTCTTGTTGTTGTGAGTAGCACCCATACCACCACCAGCGGTGACGTTGAAGCCTTCCAGATGTCCATCGGCGCCCTTGATGGCGATCAGACCGATGTCGTGTGCGTAGACATCAGTATCATTGTGAGGAGGAATGGCAATAGTGATCTTGAATTTACGGGGGAGATAAGTAGGACCGTAAAGAGGCTCGCTGTCGACAATCGCGTCGCCAGCCACCTGGACCTTCTTGTCGTCATCATCCTTCAGCCAGATCTCATGGTAGGCGGTGGTGGAGGGAAGGAGGTGATCGCTAATCTTCTTGGCGATGGCGTTGGTTTCGCGGTGGAAGTAGGAAAGCTCGGGGAGAGAACTGCACATGACGTTACGGTTGACATCACCACAGGCGGCAATGGTGGTCATCAGCGACTTGTTGATAGCCCGCATAGCGCCACGGAGGTTGCGCTTGATGACACCGTGGAACTGGAAGGTCTGTCTCGTCGTGAGCTTCATGGTCTCATTACCGTGCGAGCTGCTGATAGCATCCATCTGCAGCCACTGCAGGGGGGTAGCGACACCACCGGGAAGTCTGCAACGGATCATGAAGCTGTACGCAGGCTCAAGACCCTGGGCTTTCCGCTCATCACGGACATCACGGTCATCCTGCATGTATGTGCCGTGGAACTTGGTCAACTGCTGGTCACTGGCGGAGATAGCGCCAGTGGTCTCATCCAGCAGACCTTCGGCGATGGTACCGCGCAAGAAGTTGGACTGGATCTTAATGTCCTCGTTGGTCAACGGGGGAGGCTCGTCCGCAAGGCCCTCAACCTTGTCCACTCCCAGAGCCTGCCAGAGACGGGGCTCCCACTCGGAGTAACCGGTTTGGAAGGCGTCAGGGTCTTGATCATCACCGAGACCGATGTCCGCAAGCTTCTTTCCACCGAGGAAGGCAATGCGAGCATCAAGATCCTTGGCGGGCTTGTTGTAGTAGATCTTGTCTTCCTTGCGTGGCCAGTAGTGGCTGTCACCAAGACCGAAGATAGAGTAGTTGATGGAAGATAGATCCAAGTCACCCGTGTTCTTCACGAATTCCCAGAGACCACGACCGTTCTGGGGGAACTCTCCCTGGCCAGCCGTGCTAGTGATCAAAACGACGTTCTCCTCAGTCGCAAGGTCGTCCAGGGGGTAGTCATCCATGGCCATGACCAGAGTCTTCAATCCGCGTGCGCGACCGCGGTTTCCGAGACGCTTCGCCAGGGTCGCCGCATTGCCGCCGTCAGAAGCGTAGAGAATGGTCAAGGGAGCACCGAAGAGACCCTCAAGAAGCTTCTCATACGAGTCCTTGGCCTTCCGCTTCTGCACAGCACGGACCTCAGTGCCGTAGGACTCAGACAGGACGGATGAGAACTTGGGGTGACGGTTCATGAGCTGCGTCAGCTGGTTGTCCCTCTTCAGGAATTCCTCAAGCTCGCGCTTGATACGGTCCGAATCCAGAGAGAACTTCGGCTCGCCGTTCTCGTCGTTGCCAGGGTTCCAGCGGTACAGGGGCCAGTAACCAAGGTCGACAGCCTTCTTAGTTTCTTGAAGAACGGTCAAAGGAGAGTCATTCTCCTGGTTGTAGGGCAGATAAGCAACAATGACCGAGGGACCGTCAAACTGTTCCGCCTCGGCCATAGCCTGGAGCACCTGGGTGTAGGAGCCGTACACGGCAACGGAGGCGACATAGGCATTACCATAGTTCATAGCATACAATCCGATGTCCTTCTTTCTGCGAGTGGGGTCGGCGGCGGTGCGTTCCGAGTAAGGTTGAGAATCGATGACGAGCATGTTGACGTTGGCGCCCGAGGCGAGAACGTGGTGAACACCGGAGTTTCCAAGGTCGTACGCCCAGGCATCAGAGCCAACGAGCCACAGAGACTCATCGTAGAACAGCTTCTTGGAAGACAAAAGCTGTCTCGCAAGTGCGGAGCCATCATTAGAAAGGCGGGCAATGACATCAGGAGCCAACTTGTTGGCCTTGGAGGCATCTCCAGCGCTAAGGGCCCACTTCGACAGCCATGAGCGGGGGATATCAGTAGCAAAGCTAGTGGCCTTGGACGCTTCCTCGACCTCCTTGATGAAACGCTGACGGTGTTCCAACCTGGCAGTTAGCGCGCCAAATCCGTACTCGGGGCTAGCGGCAATAGTGGAGGAAATGCCTGCATTCTTGGAGCCCAACTGGTTAGCGATGTGCAGACGCTCACCAAAGAGCTGGTTCAAAATTTTGAGGTAAGCGTTCTCGATGGCGGGTTGCTCCAGAGAGGACTGGACGGCAGGGACCTTGGAACTTCCGATCTCTAGGTTCTGGATAGGCGAAGGAGAGGTCAGGTTCTGGACAATGCCACGGAGAGCCTGAACCGCCGTGGAGGGCTCGACATATCCCAGCCTGTAGCCGACAATCTGAGGGGTAGTACGACCAGCAGCGGGGGACAAGCTGGAAAGGAGATCCATGAACGCAGGGCCCCACTTCGTGGTCTTGCGGACCTGCTCCAACACCGCAATCTTCTCAACAGAGCTGGGAATGGAGTTGACAATCTGACCGCCAATCCAGGGACGGTACAAACGGGCAGTTATCAGTCCAACTTTGCCAAGCTCGCCGGTAGCTTCCTCTTTGCCCAAGACGTCCACAAACACACCAGTCGAACCAAAAACGAAGATAGCCGACTTGGCCTCAGCGGGACCAGTGTACTCGATAGCGCGGTAGTTGCGACCCACTGTCTCCGACAGCAACCTCCATATTTGAGAAGTCCACTCGAAGATATCAGCAGCGCTCACAGGCCGCGTGGATGAAGCATCGACGGTGGTGGCAGCAGAGCTGGTAGCACGGCTATCTGCGCTGCTGTCTCTCCGCGAAGAGCCAACGGACGAGTTGTCCAGACTGATGCTCGAAGGGGTCTGGGCCGGCCGACCGGGAGTGGAGGAGCCTTCAGTCTGACCAGCGGCGCTGTCCACAGCATCCTCAGAGACAGTGGCAACCCGTCCAGAATCAGTGTACAGCGTCTGGGCACCGTGACCAGAGGAATGTGTGACAGAGGTTCCCAGGCTGAGAAGGGCCCTTACGACATCGGCATTCTCCTCTGCAATCGCATCGTCGCGAGCCGAGTTGGCAGGGTCGAAGAAGTGGATGACACCCTTTCCGGACTTGCGGGCCAACGCGTGGGCGGTGATGGCGATATCCTGGGCCTCCTGGACCGTCTCAGAGTGCAGGAAGGTGAATCCACACTGTCTGATCGAGCTGATCACGGAGTAGTCTGGGAACGGGTGGGGCTCCAGAGCGACGTGGATGACGACGGGGCTGTTGGCCAGACGGTAGAGGTGAGGGATGGAAGTGAGGAGGGTAGAGGAGGTGGAGACCACCGAGACTGCATTGCCTGCCTGCAGCGGGTGGAACACGGAGAGGAGGGGATCTTCGTTGTATCGAACGGCCACCACCTGGACGGACTATTAGTTGGCATTCGCTGCTGAAGGGGACCTCGCGGCACTCACGTCAGGCACGCCCCTTGGCAAGACGTTACGGGCATTGTGTCCCTTCAGGGTCTTGAGGGTCTTGGAGAACCAAGAATCCACCTGGAGCGATGGTTGCACGGAGAGAACGACATCGCTGGCCAGGTAGGCGATTCTCGCCACTGCATGATGCGATCATACATTAGCACTCGGGGAGGGAGTACGAGACAATAGATGGAAATCCAGCCAAAAAAAAGCAAAACAAACAACAATGTAGGAATCATACCTGCTTCCCCAGCAGTCGAAACGGACGCCATCTTAGACGATAGCTGGCTGCGCTGCGAAACGCGCGCAGGGATATTATAAGTGGGATGGCCCGGAAAGTAAGTAGTAGTAGTGATATCACCGCATACGGGTGACTCCCCACTCAATTCGAGATCAAGGCGAGATGAGGTGGACGGGAGAAGGAGGGGAGGGGAGAAAGGAAGGAAAGAAGAGGAGAAGGAGAATTAATTTTAGCTTCACGGTCAGCCGTGTTCCCCTAAATTTTTTTTTTTTTTCGTTTCCCTTATCCTTCCAGCAGCGAGCGAGCAGCGGTGGTTTGCGCTGCTGCTCCTCATAGACTTTTGGGCGTTTCTCCGCCATCGGGGTTGGATTAGCCCCTTTCTGATTGGACTGCGATCACGACATCGATGCAAACAGCCGCAGGGTCGCCGTGCAAACACCCCCCATCGGGTTAAGCGCGGGGAGTCCCGTGATGAGCCCGCGAGCACGTCAGCACGGCGGCCTGAGGCTGCCAGCATTCGGCGGGCTGGTGGGAAGAATAATGCCGGCGAGAACGTGGGAGTCGATTTGCTGCAGTCCGGGGAAATCTTGCAGTGCCGAACTCGCGGATGCACGGATACAGTATTATTACCTCGACAATTCCTCTCCCATTGACTGTTGACCCAATAATAACAGGGACATGGTATATGTGTACAATCGTGTGCATTGTGTAATCAAAGAGTCATCGAATTTGTTTCTCTTAGTAGTCCACGGATCTTCGTAATAACCCACCCGGTTCCATCGAATTACAACGCATACCTTCGTCATCCGGGATTCATGCCGGGCTCTGCTAGCTGATGGCGCAGTACCTACCCGTCTCGCCCGAGAGGCCGGATATGACTCCGCCAAGGCAATGAACATACGCTGAGGTACGACTTACATACTCTAGACAGGTCGATGCGCTGCACACAAAATAAATAAAGTGGTTCTCTTGGCCAGATATGGCGGAAAATATATGCAAATCCCTAGCATGATGCAACAAAAATGTACCCTGAAGACGCCGGAAACCACCCCAACCCCCCATCGATACAAATATACAGGTCCAAGACGCCAGGTACGTATCGGGCAATCACCTAAGGCCCCCTCCAGGCCGACGGATATGTTCACCATTCCAGCTGTGTCGGCCCCGAGTGGCCTGGTCCTGTTCCGCGTGTCCAGTACCGACGTCCCATGTGAGGAGAAAGACGGCTGCGAGACAGGCAGAAGTAATGAGATGTCGCCCGGGCACCCCGTGTCCTCCATTCACCCAATTCATAAACGGTATATGTAGATCATTCCGGCATATATAATAACAGGATTGAGAAGAAAGCATGCAAGGTTGGGTGGGGCGGAATGGAGAGGCCGTGCATGCGGTCAGCCTCTCCGCAGTGTACCGTGGCGGTGTTGGCTAGAAGCGCGCGGCGATTCTGGGAAGGAGGGCAGACGCCCACAGATCCCTAGAACCTCCAACAGGTTGGACGCCAGAGCGAGATGTGTCCTGAGGAGCCCCAAATGGTAACCCGATCTCGAGAGTTCGCGCATTACCTGTTTTCGCTCCATGGATGCAGCTTCCCGTTCATGCCGGGTATTTGTTCGTGGATTGGTGATTGCAGGGCTACCCCTTGGAAAGCGGACGGGGAGGGCTGGGGAGGACCGGTTCCAGATCGACGTCTTCTCTCCCTCTCCAGCGGGCCCGGGAGCTCGTTGCCTTCGCCGCGGGCACGGAATCGACGGCCCATGGTGGCCATCCAGTTGCCTCCCTCCTCGTCTTCACCCAGCCAGTAGTTGCGACCAACGCCAATCATCGCGCGCCCCAGCTTTCCCTGCCACCCTTGACCATCGGGGCTGTAAGGTGAGAACGGCTCCCGGTCGATGTCGGCAACGCTGGCCACACTGGCGATTGAAGTATTGCGACTGTGGGTCGGAAGTTGGGTGTGGCGAGGCACGGCGACGTAGAGACGGAGCGCTTGGCGGGCAAATGCGAGCATGACGAAGACAAAATAGATGCGGATGGCCCAAAGGGAGCAGATGAACAGGATGCTTTGGAAGCTTTCGGGCTGTGCGACTGCGTTTCCAAGGGCCTCGGGCCTCCGTCCGTGGTGACCGCCCTCTCCTTGGGATACATCGTACTTGGGGCTCGTGAAGCCGGCGGTTTGAGCGATGGTGTCCCCGCCCGGTCCTGCGGCGCTACCGTTGTCGTAGTGCTGGGAGACGACGAGGAACCAGGTCACACCGAATGCCGCGGTGTAGGCGGCGTTGATGACACTATCGAAGACGTAGAGCCAGGCGAGCGCGAGACATTGTAACGGGGATTGTTTGCGGATGTGTGGGAAGAGCAAGGTTACGAGGCCCAGAGCGAGGAGGGAGTAGAGGTACATGGACAGCTGCACGGGGGAGAGGTGGTACCCGGTCAACAGGGCGAGGAGGCCATAGAGACCGCTGATTTTGTTGAGGAGTAACGAGAGGGAGATCAAAGAGGCGCCTGTTTGCAGGCTCATAACATAGAGGAAGGTCTGTGTGAGATCACCGGGCGAGGGGGGGGGGGTGCGCTGGTTAGCCTCATTTCAGTGAGCGACCGGGCAGCGGCACGGTCGGGATGGAGGGTCTCGTTCCCATCGTAAAATTTCACGCGGGAGCTGAAACATACCTCTGGCCGCGGGATGCGGAGGAGACGGGTTGAAAACCCCATGATTGATATCGGCGACCGAGATATCAGAGTTATTGGGAGTTATTTTGGGGATGAAGGGGGTTGGTGAAGGGAGCGACAGAAAGAGGAAAAGGAATGGAAGGCGACGGGTGCGACGGGGAAGAAGGGAGAGAGAGGGAGGGAGGGAAGGCTTAGTAGTAGTAGTGGTGGTGGTGGTAGTGTACCTTGCGGCGTATGCGTAGTACACAGTCGCAGTGACGCTGACGCTGGCGCTGACGCCCAATTGCGGGTTACGCTGTTGCACCAAGTAAGTACTAGCAGTACTAGCAGTACTGCCAGTACTGCCACCCAGGGGCGCGATTTTCCGGTCGATCCGCCTGCCGATCGCTGCCCTTTCCTGGCAACGACCCTGTTGGTTAGTACTTGTAGTACTGTTAGTCTAGTAGATGCACTCCGTAGCAGGCACGTAGACCCTATCACCGCCAAGCGCCCGCATGACGTCCTGATGAACATGGTTTCCATATCATAGTATCTAGTACTATCTTTCCACGGAGTACTCCATAAGGAGACGGCTTGTCCTTGTGACACCTGATCAGGCGCACCTTTCCCATGGTGGTCTGATGGGCCCGTCAGCTAGGAGGTACTAGTAGGTCGGGTATTATGTATGTCTGTTGCATAATGCTTGAACTGTGCTTGTTTGCCAAGCAATACGAGTACGAATCGCTGGCTGTCGCCTGCGGAAGTAGTACTCCGTATAGCGCCCGTCCCGTCCTGAAATCCCACTCAGGGGGGCCCGGTTTGGGGGCCCCTCAATAAAAACATGGGCCTCGGTTGCACCGTGTCTTACTACTTTGTATTCAAGTCTGCTGAGAAAACGTCGAATCGTACCTCGAGCGGTGGCCAGGCACCGACCGTTGAATTCATGCATCGTACGACCAGTACCGCAGCCCGTGGTATAGATCGGCCAACTCTAATATGGCCGCCTGGGCTGCGGAGGTAACAACAACATTAACACCGTCCGCGGGAGTGGTATTCCTAACGCGATTGCACGGGACGGAGACAAAACAACGCAAAACTGGGAGCCCGCGGGGAATGCAAGATGATGTCAATGCACAAGCCAAACGCCGGATTCTCCCGTCCAGGGCTGGGGGTTCGAGTTCGAGGAAAGATGGCAAGGAATTAGAGGACGAAGAGAGAAAAAAAAAAAGAAGAAAAAAGAAAAGGCTCAGACTTGATCTAAACACGCTATTCACCTGGAACGTAAAGAAAGAAAAATGTACATCTTAAGAATGAAGAGCATTATGGACAATCTCAAGCCTCATCATTGAGATTCAGGCACAGGGGAAGGGAACGCAAGCAGAAAGAATGACCCGGTGGATCGGGCGCCATCTAGCAGGCGCATCCATCGTTGGTCGTGGTCTCTTTCGGGGTAATGTTGACATCAATCACTGTAGACGCTCGGTCAGTCTCCACACCAGGGGAACGATGACAGGGGAAGGGGGGAGGACGAACTCTGGTTGTCTCCTCTGTTGCCCTCGCCCTCCATGCCTGGTAGGGCTTGCGCTATTCTCCGGAACAGCTGCTTCACGTTGTGGCCGACCTTGGCACTCGTTTCGATGAACATCAGGCCGTTCTTCTTCGCCTCCTCCTCGCCCTGCGCCGTTGTGACCTCGCGCTTGTCGTTCAAGTCGGTCTTATTGCCGACGAGCACAATGATCACGTCGTTCCCACGCTCCCCACGCACGTCGTCGATCCACTTCCGAGTGTTTTGGAAGGACTTCGCGTTGGAAATGTCGTAGACGACCACGGCGACACTGGAGTCCCGGATGTACGACGGAATCAAAGATCGGAATCGCTCCTGACCGGCCGTATCCCAAAGCTGCAGGCGGACCGTTCTGTCCTCCAAATACATAGTCTAAGACGACGAGAAGCGTTAGCGTTAGCGTTCCTTAGCAGCGCGAGCGGATGGCAAACGAGGGGGTCGGGTGGGTGGGATGGCGAGACACGGTAGGTCTGTTACGCATGGGGACAAGTCGACCGGGCGTGGTATACCTTCGACAGAAAATCGATTCCAATGGTAGCTTGGTACGTGTTGTCAAACGAATCGTACATGAACCGGGTGATCAGAGAGGTTTTCCCAACTGTGAGACAGAAGTCAGAGATCGGGTGGCGCCCAGGAGGGGAGTGTGAGGGTGCGTCTGGTCGCGAAAGGTGTCCGTACCACTCTGCTCGCCCAAAAAAACCAGCCTGTTACTCGGTTAGCCGGTCATGATCACCGCCAAACATCCCGCGTGCGATTCAGACGTACTTGAATTTCTTCAGAGGGTTCGAATACGACCCTACTCCGGAGGTGGATGCCATGGCAGCAGAGGTCCTGGTATTCAATGCGGCGGCGGAATCAGGGGTAGCGGTAGCGGTAGCGGAGGGATGTCGCAGTGGTGGGGAAGGGAGGAAGATACTAGGGATACAATGGCATTGAAGGGGGGGCGTTTTGAGGGGGGGGGAGAAGGTGTCGAGAAACAAGCAAGGTGATGAGGAAGAGGAGGAGGTTGTTCAGAGAGTCGAGTGGACAAGAGCTGGACCCATGGATCGGTCCGGGGAAGTTGACAGTATTATATGGGATTATTATGATGGACTCGGTCTCCGTATCGCCGCCCGCCCACCTGCCGCGGAACAACCCCGGCCCGGGCTCGTCCACCGCCCGGGCGAGTTCCAAACATGAACACAGTACACGCTACTAACGCTACGCTACACGGCCCGCCCGGTCAAGAGCTCCTACGCTCATCCTCTGTCTCTGTCTCTTCGCTCTCTCCTATATCGATTCATCCCCCCTCTCGTCTTCACCGGACCACCCCCCCACCCAGCTTGCTGTCCCCGATCTCCTCCAGCGCCCTGATTCTGTTTTCCGCGGAGGGTTCATCATGGTTCTCGTCTATCCTGCCGGTGCTGCAACCGTGGCACTCGTGGTCGTAGGAGTGTGTAAGTGGTGATGTGCTACCTGGCCGTGGGAAAGGAAGGAACATACTGACGCCTTCTGTCTTGTCTCTCTGCGCAGATCTGCTCTTCCACGGTGAGGGCGAGAAATTCAATGTATGCACCCGCCTTCACGCGCTCTCCTACCCTGCCTGCCTCATAGCCCAACTCCCCCGCTAACCCGGTCTAGGTCGGCCTATTCCTCGAGTCGGTGTCCCCGTATGCCTGGGCGAACCTCGGAATTGCCATGTGTATTGGTCTGTCGGTCGTCGGGGCCTCATGGTAGGGACTTCTGCGTCTGGCGTGGGATGGGATACAAGAGCGGGTTTGCTAACGACCTTGGCTACCAGGGGTATCTTCCTGACCGGCTCGTCGATTGTGGGTGGAGGTGTCAAGGCACCCCGGATTCGCACCAAGAACCTGATCTCCATCATCTTCTGTGAAGTGGTGGCTATCTACGGCGTCATCATGGCCATTGTCTTTTCCTCCAAGCTCAACCTCATCGAGGGCGACCAGCTCTTCTCCGGCAGCGACTACTATACCGGGTTCGCGCTGTTCTGGGGTGGCATCACCGTCGGCGCATGTAACCTGATCTGCGGCATCTCCGTCGGTATTAACGGTAGTGGTGCTGCCCTGGCCGACGCCGCCGACCCGAGCTTGTTAGTCTTTCCCGCCCCTCCCCCTCCCCCTCCCCCTGTACGGAATGGACGCTAACTGTGCCTGCTATAGGTTCGTCAAGATCCTCGTGGTGGAGATCTTCAGCTCCGTGCTTGGTCTTTTCGGTCTGATTGTCGGACTCCTGATCGGCGGAAAGGCGCTGGACTTCGGGGCCGCGTGAGAAGAGTGTCGAGGGAGGTATAGAGGGCGGTGGTGGGGATGATGTGTATGACTTATATCATTCTTGTCTTCAATTTTCTGTTGTCCTTTTCATAAGCCGCATCGGGGCGCACGGATTCGATTTGATTGTAGAACCTTTCTTTTTTTTTTTGGCTATGCGTGAATTGCATTGATAGTCTTGCTGTTTGGTTTGTCTGACGGAGAGATCGGGAGGATGTGGTGTACAGTAACGAACGAGCGTATCCAAAATGAAACCCTGAATTGTCGCCAAATCAAGCAAATCCACCACATCAAACCAAGGACTACTCAATTTTTTCAAGTCGTACTTACCATCATGCGCTTCGGAAATGTGGACTGGGATAGATAGATAACCGGTACCATGATGCGGCCTAGCGCTCTCCACATTTCAAGTTATCAAGACTAACCAACCGCGCATGGATACTTCCTTAGTACTACTTGACTTTCCCTTCCTCCTCCCCCTCCCCCCCAAACTGTCCCCAACAACCATCCCATCCCATCCCATCCCAAACATGACGGACAACACCCTCAACGTCGCGATCCTAATTGTCTCCGACACAGCCTCCCAGGACCCCTCATCTGACCGGGTCGGAGACACTCTGACGACCACAATCTCCACCCAAGGGTCGAACCACTGGGGAACGCCCGTTATCAAGATCGTGCCGGACAATGTGCTGGACATCCAGCGCTCGATTTGCGACTGGACCGATGGGCCGAACTGGATGAATCTGGTCCTGGTGAGCGGAGGCACAGGGTTCGCGATCAAGGACAATACGCCTGAGGTTCGTCCGTAGCCCCCGCCTTCTCTCTTCGAAAGGTGTATTGATACTAATACATCTTCCCCTCGTCGTCGCTGATATCTGGGCAGGCCGTTTCGCCGCTCATTCATCGCCATGCATCTGGCCTGGTGTGCGTCATCCCCGCATTCTTGTGTCCTACAAATGAAATGGGACTGCTAGCGTCGCGTCTTGGTGTCTTGGTTTCTTCTGTGTACTGACTAAGAGATGCGTCCAGACACGGCATGCTTGCCGCTTCATTGAAAGTCACCCCGTGTACGACACACCGCATTCTACTATCTACCTACCCACTGTCTATGACTGCTAACAAGCATGAGGACCAGTCGCGATGATGTCCCGGCCTGTTGCAGGCGTGAGAGACAAGACACTACTGATCACCCTGCCGGGATCCCCAAAGGGCGCCAAAGAGAACCTCGAAGCCATCATCAAGCTCCTACCGCATGCGTGTAGCCAAGCGGCGGGGGCAAACTCGCGCGCTCAACACGCCGGCGGGGTGAAAAAGCTCGAGGCCGAAGCAGGAGTATCTTCCTCTGCCTCGGCAAGCAAACCAGACGACCATCACCATCACCATCACCATGGCCACCACGACCATTCGCATGCCCACGGCCACGTCGTGCCTAGAGCGCACACCTCCCCATCGGAGCGACCACCGCAGTCCAACGACCCCAATGCCGGACCGACCCGTCGATACCGCGAGTCCCCATACCCGATGCTCTCGGTAGACGAAGCGCTCCAACTGATCAGCCAACACACGCCGGACCCCGCGATCATCGAAGTCCCCGTGACTACCGCCCTGGTCGGATCGGTGATCGCCGAGGATGTGTATGCGGGCGAAGCCGTACCGGCATACCGAGCCAGCATCGTGGACGGATACGCGGTGATCGCACCCGAGACGGCGGACGCGGGCCCCAGCACCAAAGGCATATTCCCCGTTGCTTCGATCACGCACGCCAATGAAGGCGGCACCCTGGCCCCTCTGGAACGGGGCACCATCGCCCGAATCACAACGGGAGCTCCGCTCCCGCCCAACGCCAACGCCGTCGTAATGGTCGAAGACACCATCCTCGCCACCACCACGCCAGACGGCCAAGAAGAAGCCACGGTCGAGATCCTGACGGGGGAGATCAAACCGCGAGAAAACGTCCGCGAGCCCGGCAGCGACATCGCGCTGGGGTCGCGGATCCTACAAAAAGGCGATGTGATCACGTCCGTGGGCGGCGAAATCGGACTTCTGGCCGCGACGGGAACCCGGACGGTGAGAGTGTACAAGAAGCCATGCATCGGGGTACTCAGCACGGGGGATGAACTGGTGGAACACGACGACCCGCGACCTCTGCAAGGCGGACAGATCCGCGACTCGAACCGGCCCTCTTTACTCTCGTGTCTCACATCCTGGGGCTTCCCTGTCGTGGATCTCGGCATCGCCCGAGACACTCCAGCCGGGGAACTCGAACAAAGTCTCCGGGATGGCCTCCGCGGCATTGGCCCGAAATCCAGCGCCGACGTGATCATCACCACGGGGGGCGTCTCGATGGGCGAACTCGACCTCCTAAAGCCCACGATTGAGCGTTCCCTAGGCGGAACCATCCACTTCGGCCGCGTGGCCATGAAGCCCGGAAAACCGACCACGTTCGCAACGATCCCATTCAAGCCGACATCTGCCTCCCCGTCGTCGTCAGCAGTGCAACAAGAACGCGAATCAAAACTCATCTTCTCTCTCCCCGGAAACCCGGCCTCGGCACTAGTCACCCTCAATCTGTTCGTGCTTCCCTCGCTGCACAAGCTCATGGGGATGGGCCAGAGACAGCAGCAGCCGTCGGCAGGTACGGCAGTGTCCGTGCCCCTCGGGCTACCGCTCGTCTCGGTGACCCTGGCGCATCCATTCCCAGTAGATGCCAAACGGACGGAGTATCATCGGGCCGTGGTCACGGCGTCTCGCACGGATGGCCGGCTTTATGCCATGAGTACGGGGCTGGAAGGAGTGGGACAGCGGAGTTCGAGGGTGGGAAGTTTGGCTAGTGCGAATGCGCTGTTGGTGCTGCGGCCGGGGGGTGGGAAAATGGACAAGGGGGCGTTGGTGGAGGCGTTGATGTTGGGCACTCTGGTCGCGGAGGATTAAAAAAAGAGCTGTACGGAAACTGAAACGTCAGTCTTCTCCTCGAGGCGCACACCCCCCCCCCCCCCCCCCCCCCCCAAACACGAAGTGAAAGGGGAGAGAAAGACAAGGAAAGAAAAGGAAAGAAACAGGGAGAGATATTTCCATTTATTTTGTCGCAATGAGGTTTCTTCAAACCCCAAAAAAAAGAGAGCAAGAGAAGAAAAGAAATGAGAGTGGAAAGTATATACATCTGGCAGTGCCCATCTTTCCTAATGGGCGGTAAGATCATTAAAAGTAGTTACTCACATCGTAAGATGTCCAAGAAAAAACGCCAGAGGATATCCGAGAATGGTCATTATGCATCATGAAAATCAGGAGATGGCATCAAGTACTGAAACGAAGAAGCGCTGGCTGTGTCTCTGTGTTTGTGCACTGGAGTCCAAACAAGGGCATCGTTGCCAAACTAAAGCGATTTCGCGCTGCGCCATCGATAGGGGAGGGACAGTCTGACAGAAAGCATCTGGGAGAGGGAGAGAAGGAAGAGACCACGAGTGACATCTAGCAAGATGTGGAAAATCATGGAGGGCGTGAGAGGGGGAGAGAATCCAATCAGCCTTTGTGAATCTTCCAACCCTTCTTCTTCCCGGCCCGCAGCACGGGGAGTGTGTGATGTCGACCCTGTTTTCGGGCTATCTCGATGACCAGGAAGCGAACGAAATCCGTCAAGGTCCAGTAGCTGCTATGGGCGCTGAGCATGTTCAGGTACTGGATGTTCAGGGGCCCGCCACCGCCGGAAAGGAAGTAGTCGATTTGGCCGTTATCGTTGAGGAGGAACATGCGCTTTTCGGCGATTTCCTCGCGTGTGAAGTCGTGGGTTTCGAGCTCGACGTTGGTAGGAAGCTTGGTCACGGTCGCTGGACGGGTGGGGATGGTGGCCGTGGAGGAGATCAGGGCCGGGGGTGAACTCCAGCGGAACACGGTGCCGACGGACTGCCAGAGCGATGCGGTGGAGGTTGGGATGGAAGCGGGTTTGAGAGAATTGGCTAGGTCGCTATCAACTGCGGCGTTGACGTGGTAGGCGATTGCTGCATGGTGTTAGTATGTAGCGGTTTCGATGGAGGGATGCGGAAGAGACACGTACGATCGGTGGTGTGCATGATATTGTACAAGTTATCCACGGCCAAACAGCCATAGGTATCTGCTTCGCCTGCGACCCCTCGTAGTCGGTCATCGCCTTCGCAACCTGGTTTCTCTCTACCACGTCGTGGCAGAAGGTTCGCTGCATACAAATGTCAGCGTAGGGGAATGGAAAGGAGAAAGGGCATCTTGCCTTTGTTTAAAAGCAGAAAGAAACCGGCCGGGCTACCGCAAATAAACAGGTTCCTCGTGTCAAACTCAAACATGTCTCCGTGAATGCCAGTATTGGAAAAGTCCAGGTGCGGGATCTTGGTCGGCTGATGACTGAGGATATCCAGGGCCATGGCACTGCCCAGAGAATGGGCGAGGAGGTGGACCCGTCCATGCTGCTGAAACCCTGGGTTGTTTTCGCACCAAAGCCGGAAGATGCGGTTAGCTTCTCGGACCACTGCGCGGATCATCTTCGGCTTATGATGGGACAGATAGTAAGGTATATCCAGCATGACATCGCTGATCAATGATCGGACGGCGGGAATAGTCGCAGGCGTGATATCATCAAGGGAATAGTGGTTGGCAGCCGGGTCCTCGGCGGCAGGGGATTCAAGATTGGCTTCATCCAAAGACAGGGTGGACCGCCAATTAATTGGGAGAACCATGATGCCCTCATGGCCTGGTCGTACGTGTGGCCAGACCGTCTCGCTATTTAGTTCCATGTTGATTTGCCTCCGGAAAGCATTAATGGCGTGGGTAAAATGAAAGCTTTCCATACGTTCTGACAATTTCTGGCCAATCCCGTGTATGACAAGCACCAGGTCCGTTGGTGCGGGTCGTAACTCCTCTATCGCACAGGCATAACAGATAGGCTCACCAGATGTCGCTGACATGGCCCGGGACTGAGTCCTGCGAAGATAATTCCTCACGTCTACGGGGCTGGGTTTGCTTGGATGTAATCGGTCCCACAATCGCCTACTGAAGCCACGAACCACGGGGATGCCGATCTGTCTTCCTTTACGAATCGCACTGAGCGGCCTTCTCCCCCTCGACACGGAGGGAAGGAGGCTGGGCCGGAGGATCTGCGCGTTCCTTCCATCGGCGTAGATGACACTAGAGTTCAGGAAGAGCTTGACCGCTTCAGAATGTGCAGAAGTGGCCCCCGCAGCCCGATTGGTATCAGTTGTCATGCCATGGAGCCCATCGATCCTGTGTGGATTTGACAAACGCGCAGCGGAGCTAGAGGTTTCAGAACCCGGTGCCACCGCCGCTGTGGGTGGTCGTGTCGTGTTCACTTTGGGCCACAGTCTGTGTACGATCTTCACCTCAGCGTCAGCCCCGTTGTCGACACAGCTATTCAGCTCATCCTGCCATGTCTCGGTCCACGGCTTTAGGTAAGTGTATCCGTCTTCTAGTTTATTGGCAAGCTCGGTCTCCACGGGCAACATGGTATTCTTGTAAAACCAGGTCGCGCGGATGACATTTGAGATATCGTGTAAAGGACTCCAGTATATGGGTTTCATCTGCCAGAGGATTAGCGCTTCACCTGTCCAGCGCCAGAGGCATGGGCAGCGGAGTGACGGCAGTTGTACGGTACCTTTAGAGTCGGCAGTTCCACAAGGTGGAGGCGGGACGCACCAACGGGGACCTTGCTCTGTGTCTCGTCAATCGGGGCGGGCCCCCCAGTCTCGTCATCAGAGCCTTCGGGAGACCTCTGACGAATCGACGTTCTGAGACCCGATGGCTTGGACGCCGCTTGAGTCATCGGCACAGTCTGAGGTACCTCATCCCCATCGTTTGACGAAGCAGACCCAACCGATCGTCCCAAGGCGCTCTGCATCTGGGAAATAGGGGCTCTGGCAAAGGGGGAGCCAGTGATGCTCGCATCGCGTGAAGGGTAGCTTCGTGGACTGGTGCCCTCTGCTCCGTCAGGTGCTGTCTCCTCATTGAGCGACGTCCCACTGGCCTTAGTTTCTACTGTCCTGAGTTTGTCACTCAGAGCCCGCTCTTTTCTCTGACGGGTGCCGGTGTCGAACGTATGACCGTACTCTAAGCTACTGCCAACTGTGCGTGACCTTTCTCGGGCTCTGTTGTTTCCGTTCGCCTCGCCAGCTTCGTTTCCCGGTCGCATCCGGAGATCAGTCGGCATTCGGTTGTCCCACGACAGTGGAGGGGCACTGCCCCCAAGCGAGGGTGCATCGCTGCGGCGCCCCATGAATTCACGGTCGGGTCCGTTTGTCTCCCAGTTACCCGCCGGCGCCGCACCGTCCTGAAATTTGGATTTCCCAGAAAGCCTCTGTCTCACATCCCGCTGCAGTGCCTTCCAGGTGTCTTCCAGGGTCGCATTGTCCCTCACCGAGAAAGGATGGAGCGGAGCCCTTTCATTTTCGGGACCCTGACCGCCAGATGGGAGAGCGGCCAACGGATCATCGATGGGTAACGGGGAGGTGTAAAAGAACTGTGGACGAGCGGCAGGTGGCCGGTCTTGGAGAAACCAGGAGGATGGATCGGGATCATCGTCAGCGAGAAAACATGTAGGGCCATAGGTATGGATGGGTCCGGTGGTCATGGTGACGGGCCGCCGCGGCAGGAACACAGGACTCCAGATCGCGGGGAGTGCGTAGAGCGTGGAGAAACAAGACCAGTAGGAAAGAATCACGGCGGCCCAGCAGTCATCATTGAGAGCTCAGCTGTGGGTTTAATAGCAATCCCAGTTGAGACACGGGGGTTGGCCGTGGACGGCCTCCAGCAGGAGGTCGGGTTGAGCAAGGGAGGTCGGGCATCAAGGAGAGCCTCTAAAGAGCTCAGTAGGTGGATGGAAGACGGAGAATACCATAATTAGAAGCAGGGGTGGGGAAGGGGAGGGCATACGGTGCTCCAGCCATCCAAGGGGAGCGACGTGGAGCAGGAGGAGATAGATAGTCGGGGGATGTCAAGGAAGGAAGGGAGAAAAGCAACGAATGTTGTTTGTTTTCTGGGGGAAGGCCAAGATGGGGGGACATCCAATGACGTCGGTCCACGTGAATACTGCATCTGGACGGTACCGTAACGGTCCTATCTACTGGACTCGGTATGATCATGGTATAATATGGTATGGTATGGTATGGTATAGTATGGTATGGGCCTCTCCTCCACATCCACATTCACCAGGCGGCGACAGAGGGACTGGAAGAGAAAAGGAAGCCCGAGTTCTTTGGTTTCTAGAATCCTATGGCTTTCATGACCGTTTCTGGATTTGTTTATTTATCTTGCTTGGTTACTTTGAGACTGGCTGTCTTCCCCTCCCCCGCCTTGGAGGTCTTTCTTGCTGAACCCTAATTTCTTCCATGGTATGTTTTTATTTTTCTTCTATAAAGGCAAAAAGTAGTTGGCGAGATGATGAAAAGTAACCAAATGCAATAATCCCCCCCCCGACATCAAGAGTCCAGCTGTGCCTTCTCGTCCATTTCGCTCGGCTGGCCCTCGACAAAAACAACGCCCTTGCCGATCAGCTTCCCCCTCCATCCCGATACAACACTGCACTTGACATCAGCAGGATTTTATGCCCGTCCAGCTCCTCCGAAATCTTCTCAGTCGCACCGTGTGCTCGATCCAGCCGTAGGCTGTTGGACTTGTGACGAAACTCCAGCGAGTCGAGTGAGCGAAGGTCATGGAATTCCACGTAATGCGCGTCGAAGGCAATGTCAATGGACAATTCGGCTGCCTCCTCATACATCTGAGTAAACCACAGGGACCTTCGCTCGGCATTCTTGTCGGTGTCCTCGGGGGACAGGGGTTTGAGTAAGGATTGAAAATCCTCATCCGCAAGCGTATTGGATGCCAATTTTTGGGCCATGACCAGCCATCGATCGTGGGTTTTTTGGCCAAATTCCGGGTGTTTTCTCGGCGGCCGTTTGTCTATATTGGCAAGGCGGACGGTGGTTCTTCGCCATAGACAGGCTTCGGCGTGGTCAACTAGATGGCGTGTGTGAATGAATGAATGGATGAATGAATGTAAGTCAGGCTGGCAGGGATGACAGAGTGGTACGCACCTTTCATGAAATCTTGATGAAGGCCGTGGAGCTGTGTCCCTAGGGACGTACTTATAGGTCCATCTTGGCCATCTTGGTGGTCCTCGAGGAACCAGAAGGGGTTTATCCAGAACCGTCGGATCAAATCTTTGTAGAGCATTCTTTCGGCGGCCCATATTTCGATACTGCTCCTGGCCTCCGACGGAAGGCGAGTGACTAACTCATCCCATTCGAGGCCTTCCGTGTAATAGCCATCAAGTCTCGCAAGGATTCTCTGTTTCTGTTCTTTGGACAAACGGTCAAAATCAGTAACTCCATCGTAGCCATAGTGAGAGACAAAATTATGGCAGCCTTTCCACATCCCACCGACTTCCATGGGCCACAGGCTTGGACAGAGTGCTGTGGTCAAGGAACTTCCCTGTTGGAATCCCCGCTTATCCCAATCATCCTCATAGCTGAGTAGCTCCCTTTCCAAATTATCAACTTGAAATGTCAAAGTATTGATCAGATTGTCTTTGTTGTCGCTATCAGACTGCTCGGAGGGCTTGGTCTGGCCGAGTGTTTCGACCCGAGATATCGTTTGCGTGCTGTTCGCCTGAGATTCCAACCCTTTGAGCTTCAGGCGCTCGGATTTGCGGGTGCCTTCTTGGGGTGCTTTGCCCTGGGTATCCTTCCTGATCGAAGAGGCAGGATCACCTATACCTTTGGCCTTGAAGGAAGGTCAGTAAGATTCATAGTATTGGATACTGCTTGACTGTACCTTCATGTCTTTTCGTCTTGGCAGCATCCTTGGCCTTCCAGTTAGCCCAAATCGACGGAGGAGATCGTGTTGTCAAGGTAAACACGCTTGTTGTGTTGAATGAGGGCAAGTAGAAACTCAGGTTCCTGTGTAGAGAAGTTGAAGGGATGGGAGACGGGGGAAGATATGATAGAGAGGAGTCTTTGCTTGGGTTCTTTCTTTGTCCTTTGATATTCATGCCTCCCAGTGCTTTTTTTTTTTTTTTTTTTGATTTCCTTCCCGTGGACACTCTCACTGAATCCGAAATTCATCTAGCTAGAAACATGAAGAAATTCACACCAATATATATATATATATCCAAACATCAAGACTCCGACTGCGGGTTGTCACCCCCGGTAGCACCTTCGCATTGGCTGGTCCTCCAAAAAAACAAGCGCTTTGGAGCACAGATCATTCCGCACGTCCAGCGCCCCTCCGACTAGATACATTGCCGGTCTCTCCACCAGTAGGACTTCATGTCCGTCCAACCAATCCTCTCCGTTGAATAGCTTGTGGCAGCGAGGGCCTCGGCCTCATGATGATAGACCAGAGGTTGGAGAGACCGGATATCCTTGAAGTCAACATAGTAGGAGAAGTAGCACATCATAATAGACCACTTGGCTGCCTTGCGGTATATATCAGTCATCTCAGTGAACCTTTCATGTTCTTTCCAGGGCTCACTAACCGGGATGTGGTACACCCAAAGGGGGTTCCCTACCCCTTACACCATACCTCTATCGTTAGGATTGTCTTTTTCCATCGACAGGGTGATCCCTAGCGTTGCTGTTTTGTGAAAGAAAGAATTTCAAAGTGACATGCGAGCATTTATCTGCTTATAGTCTAGCTTGCGACCGTGACTTTACGTTTCGAGACCAGAGCATTCATTCTGCAGAAGTTGACAGACTACGATAGCTCAACCAGAGGGATTGTAGCTAACAAGATGCAGCCATGAGAGCTAGGGCAGGTCTGGAAAATCCATTTTTTGCCATACATGTCAGATGAGCGGAGATGCTAACTACCACACTCCTAGCTACTCCAAACCTAGCATATCCTCCGAGTATCCGAGAGAGTCCCGCCTCTCAAGTCAGTAGGCCATCCAGTGCGATTGCTCGTACTTTCCCGTTGGTCGAAACAAGCGCGGCTCGTCATCCCCAGCGGGCGCGTGGTGGCGAAGCTGCTCCAGATGCGATTTCATGATAGACAGCGTCTCCATCTGCAGCTCCTGGAACGTGAGATAGGTGATGAGCGGCGCGCCCAGCATGTCGAGCAGCTTGTGGATATCGTGCATGTGCTTGCGGATGGCGCTATCCGGGGCGCAGAACGTGCGGACGCCCATCTCCTTGCTGACGGCGTTCCAGTTATTCAGGGTCGACTTCAAGAGCACAGGATTGACAGCCCATTCGCCGTGGAAGCGCAGCGTGCGAATGTTGGCCAGGATCAACTGCCGCTGCGTGGCCTGGTCGAACTGGAACTCGATCACCTGCGGCCGGTTCTTCGCGCCCCAGAGCTGAGTGACCTTGCGGATCGACTCCTCCGACAGCCGTCCTTCGGTGTGCTGCTGCAGCAGGAATCTGTTGGCACTGCCGCAGATCATGACCTCCATCTCCGAGTACAGCTTGGCCTGCGTCGGGGCGTCCAGGGAGATGGGAATGTGTGATTCGGGGACAGCCCGGGAGCGGAGGGGCGTGTGATTGAGGGGATTCGGATAGGCTTTGGCCATCTCGTCCGCCTGGGGATGGTGGAGGTTAGCAGGTATGTCTGGCTATTTTTTCAACAAAAGTGGGGGAGTTGTCTCTGACTTACCAGTACCTCGACTTGCTTGATGACCTTCTTGCCAAACCCCCTCAGACCCTTGAATCGCCGGCTGCTACGTGGAAGGTCCTTCAGGTCGGCGGTGCATCCAAGCCAGCCTTTCTCGCCGAAGAGCTTCTTGTGCGAGGCTGGGGTCTGTCTCAGGGGAGCTTCGATCACCGAGAGATCCAGCCAGTCTGTTTGACCTGTCTCCGCTGATTTGGGATGGCCCACGTATTCGACGGCCGCCGCCATCTGGCTGGACCCGATCCTGGCGGGAGTCTGATAAGACGGCGTGTACTGCTTCCCTGGGTGGAAGACCACGTCCGGCGTCTCCGAGGCATATAGACTGGAGCTAGACGGGAACTGTCGGAGCAAGGGGGACGACGATGATTCGTGCCGAAGTCGAAACAAATCGTGGCCGGTACCCATGCATGGCAACGATGAACCACTCGACGAGGCATCCGAGACGACCGTTCTGGTCGCGGCCAGTAGTGCCTTCCGGTTCCAGAGAGTCATGATGTCGTCGTAAAGCGGATTGAGTCCAGAGATATCGTTGTACTTACTGTTTCCACCGCTGCGTTAGCTTGTCCGCCGCTGATCTGCTGGGGGGGATGAACTGGTCTTACGCCGGACTGGGGAGGACGGAGACGTCCGAGGCCGTGTCGGTTTCGTTCTTGCTCTCCATCTTGGGATCTTGAGTCCAATGCGACCTTTGAGGGTAGAGCAGATGGCTATCGGCAGAGAGTTGTACAAATCGGTCAAAGCAAAGACCTCGAAACATGTAAAGACTACCAACAACTGGGATAGCAGAGTGCCTGGAGGACATGAACATGCTGTGTTGTGTCGAGAGAATCAAGAGAAGTATACAGAGCTCATCCTATATTGATCCATTCAAGAAGGTGTTCCTCCTATTGAAAACAAGACAATAGAGTGGGGTTGGTATTGAATTAAAGTAGATAGGGTCTATTCATCAAAGTGGGTCCTGAGAGATCTTATGATTCTATGCAGTAAGTGAATCCACGCTATTCTCTTAAGATAATAGGAAGATTTTTTTTTCAATAGATTAATAAGAAAGAGACAATCTTTCTATTTTCAAAATGAAAAAAACTCTCTTAATTGCACCTTAGATGGGAAATCTCTTGCTTTGGTGCCATGTGGTTTTTCTTATAGGGCTGAATCTCATATTGTTGGGTTGTAACACCTGCGGTGCAATTAAGCTTCATGCAAATAAGCAGGCGCGCTAATTCTCCGACCCCCCGACAGGTGCCAAGTTGGATTGATTCTGGAAGCTTCTTTATTATATTAACATGCTTTGATGAGGATAGATATTCAGTATCTTCACACATGGCTTAATACAAGGACGCAGAATATACGCCATCTTAAATCAAGCTATATCATAAAATACACCCATTGTTGAGTATGTAGGTAGGTATTAGAGCTCCAAACATGGATAATACCACATATTACCCAAGATCTTACCCCGTGTTGTGTAATCCGAATACCGTATGGTACATATCTGGTATCCGGGTTACCTGTGGTATGGCATCATGGTCAACGGTGTCGGCGGATGCTTCCGCAGGCTGTCAGGCACGCACAGAATGCCATGATTATTCTGGAATAATATGCAGAATATTTCCACTGCATGCATATATATATATATATATATATAATAACGGTGATGATTAAGATATCCGATAGATAATATTCCATACTAAATAAAATACAATAAGTTAATCTCCCCCCTTAATACAGGTAATAACCCATAAAGGCGGCAACACCTGAAGTGTAAAGTTGTGCCGAAGACCGACAGACAACATCAATCACATCACGGCCCCGCACCGAATCCCTTCACCTCACTCCCCAACCCAACCGCGCCAACCAGCCAGAGAATCGCAGCCACCAGCCAGAATGCTCTCCCTGGTCCTCTCCGCAGAACTGACCGGGTAAGTAAGTTCCATCCGGATCACAGCGCCCATCCCCCTCCCCTTGGCCTCCAACACCCACCCCTCCTCCACCATCCTTCCCCGCACCCCTCCTCCCACCAAACAAATCCCCAAACTGACCAACCTCAAACAGAGTCACCGACCTCCGGCCCACCGACACAGAGGACGAGCCCTACTACTACACCTTCAAGGTGCAATGCACCTCGTGTCGTGAAACCCACCCCAACTGGGTCAGCTTCAACCGCTTCGTAAGTCCATCAATCTATCTATCCATCCATCTTCCTTCTCTGTCTTTCCCCATCCACAACAATAATCTCACCGAATCCGATACAGGAGCAGCACGAAATCCCGGAAGCCGAGGTGAAGCGAACTTCGTCTGGAAATGCAAGCTGTGCCAGGTAAGCCCGCCCCCCCACCCCCCAATTCTCTGATGTTTTCGATCCCGTCTCTCTAACGCGCGCCACACAAAGAAAACCCATTCCGCGTCCATCATCGCCGGCCCGAATACGTACGAGGCCGACGAGAAGCGCACGGGCCGGAAGGTGATCGAGATCGACTGTCGGGGACTGGAGTTTACCGAGTTCAAGGCCGATGTGAGTCCATTCGATCTGTTGTTGATAGGATGGGAGTTGACTTTTTCTTTTCTTTTTCTACAGGGTGAGTGGGAGGCTAAGGGCGTTGAGTCTTCTACATCTTTTACGGGCATCGATTTGGCGGAGGGGGAGTGGTACGACTATGATGAGAAGGCTGGGGATGAGGTTGCCATCAAGGAGATTAGCTGGCAGGTGGGACGGGCGTGAGTGGCCTGGGAAAGAGGTTTGTATCTTTTTTCTTTTTTTTTTCCCCCACATGATATGATATGTAATTTGATGCGGGAATGGGGGTTGCTGGTGTGGTAGTTTGTTTAGCCCGCTTGATTTGATGGATCATGGTGGAAAATTCTCTTTTTTTTTCCCTCCTCTGACTACAGTTGGGAAAGGTGCTGTGGTGGGCTGCAGATACCGGGGTTGAGCGATATGTCATAAGGAAGGCAGGTCGGGGGCAACTACTACTGCCTAGGTAGACAACTAGTTGCTCAGCCTGACACTCGTCTAGTAATTGAATGGAACAGAACAATCGATTTCTGTTGGCATCGCGATATTGCAGTGGCTTCGGAAGGCGGTGAGGCAGCGAGCACGGTGATTGGCGGCGGACCGCGTCTAGCAGCATCACATTTTCGCGGACAGCAGCAGCTCCGTCGAGTTGGCGACTGCGATTCCCGATAGACCCCATCCATCTTCATCCATCCATCCTTCCTCCCATTTAACTATCCAACCAACCGACCGACCAATCTCACACGAAACCCAGTCCCATAGTCAAATTCAGAGACGGGACTTCCATTCTATCCAGTCCACCCACCAGCCCGAATCCACAATCCCAGCTGAAGCAGCTGGCATCAAGCAGAAGTCACCCACCATGAGTGTCCGTTCTCTCTTCTCTCTTCCCCTCCCTCTTTGCCATCATCGCCATCGGCATTCTATCCTGATTCGCAAGATTTACTGACTCCCCGGCTCAGTTCAACCCCGTCAACCCCCGGCCTTTCCTGCAGGCGAAGTATGCAACCCGTTCTCTCACCGTCACGCGCCTCCCTCCTCTTCCTCTTCGCTGGGCGCCCTCCCCCTACACCAACAACCACCGCTAACATGCATATCTCAGGGTCGGAACCGAGCTCGTCATCCGCCTCAAGTGGGGCCAGACCGAATACAAGGGCAAGCTGGAAAGCATCGACTCGTACATGAACGTGCTGCTGCGGGACACGGAAGAGTTCATCGATGGCAAGAACACGGGAACGCTGGGTCTGGTGCTGATTAGGTGCGTTTGCATTCTCTCCCCCGTTTTTCGCGCGTCTGAATTTGGGGGCATGGTCTGCCTGCAGAAGAGAAGCCGCTCGGGATCAACCATCCTCATTTCGGCGCGTACCCAATCATTCAAGAGATCAATCCGCTAACCAAATCTCGTGTTCAATTACACAGGTGTAACAACATCCTCTGGATGGGTTCCGCGGACAGCGTGGAAATGACGGACCTGGGGCTGCGATAGACGGGAGGGTTTGTCCTGCCGACTCCCGTGACGCTATGACAGGCACAGGCTATTGAAGACACTTATACCAATCTACCTACCTACTACCTACCTACCTACCTACCTACCGTTTTTTCTCGATAAAATACGCGCACGACGACACGGGTGCTGGGAGGAGAAAAGGGCAAGAGGGAAGGGGGGTGTTGACGGAATACGGGTGGTAGCAAGCTCGCTCCGTCTTCTATTTTTCATATTTCGGAATATGGCGTTTTTTTCTCTCTCTTTCTTTGTTATAAACATCATGGCTATCGCGGATCGATTCGAGAGATAGGAATGGATTTTAGTTTGGGTTGTGCGGAGCTTGCAGGGAAGTCCGTCGTTAAGGGTATCGGATCAGAGATGAAAAGAGAGAAGAACAGAGAAAAGGAAAAAAAAATAAGAAAAAAAAAACTCAATATAGAGAGACCTCTCTGGTTCTGGGGCTTGACTCTGTGGCGCGCTGCATAACGAGCATATCGTGCTAGCTAGTATCGCAGCATGTGCCGTTGGTATGTACTAAGTATCTCTACTATACCTAGCCACCTAGATCATTAAACCGAATCCATATTGGCTGGGGATTCGTGTCCTTTGTGTGCGTTACTGTTAATTAAGTAGAGTCGCGTGGCCTGATGTCCACGGTTGCTGCTGTGCTGTTGTAGACTTTGATGTCCGCGGCGTAACTTCTTTACCCCACTTGGAGTAGCAGTACTAGCACTAACTAGCACTACCTTACCTTATTCGCATCAACGCCTCCCCGCCATATCAACACCATCAACATCTCCCAGCCATAAACACCAACATCCATCCACTCCATACATGGCAACCACAGACACCATGGCCGCCCAGGACCCCGACGAGCACTCCGACTACGACTACGACTTCGGGTCCTTCCACCGACCGATCAGCACGACCAGCGCGCAAGCCCAAGCCTGGTTCGACCGCGGGCTGATCTGGACCTACGCCTTCAACCACGAGGAAGCCGCCCACTGTTTCCAGAAGGCCATCGCGCACGATGCCAACTGCGCCATGGCCTACTGGGGACTGGCCTACACACTAGGTCCTAATTATAACAAGCCATGGGAAGCCTTCGACGAGCAGGAGCTCCACGCGGTCATCGGACGCACTCACCACGCTGTCGCTCAGGCACAGAAGTGCGCTGCCAGCAGAGACAGGAGTATTACGCCGGTGGAATCTGCTCTGATTGATGCGCTTCAAGCGCGATACCCGCAGGATACAGCCACGGCGGACTTCTGTCCCTGGAACCAGGGGTACGCGGAGGCCATGGAATCGGTGTACGCGCGCTTCCCCAATGATCTCGAGGTGGTGACGCTCTACGCGGACGCATTGATGAACCTGACTCCGTGGGCGCTGTGGGATCTGTCTACGGGGCAACCCGCCGGCGGGGCACGCACCGAGGACGTGAAACGCGCGCTGGATGCCGCGTTGACTCGGCCTGAGGCGCTCCAGCACCCCGGTCTTCTGCACCTCTACATCCATCTCATGGAGATGTCCCACGAGCCTGAGACGGCGCTGCGCGCCGCGGACCATCTGCGTGGTCTGGTCCCCGACGCGGGCCATCTGAACCACATGCCTAGCCATCTGGATATACTGTGTGGCGATTATCGGCGGGCGATGGCGTCGAATTCCGATGCCATCCGCGCGGATGAGAAGTTCCTGGCGCGCAAGGGGCCGGTGAATTTCTACACGCTGTATCGGTCGCATGATTACCATTTTCGGGTGTATGCGGCCATGTTTGCGGGGCGGGTGGACGTGGCGTTGGAGACGGTGGGGAGGTTGGAGGAGTCTATCCCGGAAGAGCTGTTACGGGTTGAGTCGCCGCCTATGGCGGATTGGTTGGAGGGGTTTGTGGGGATGAAGGTGCATGTGTTGGTGAGGTTTGGGAGGTGGGAGGAGTTGTTGGGGTTGGGGGTGCCGGGGGATAGCAGGCTGTATTGTGTGACGGCGGCGATGGTTCATTATGGGAAGGGGGTGGCGCTGGCGGCGCTGGGGCGGGTGGATGAGGCCGCAGAGCAGAGAGCGTTGTTGAGGCAGTCGGTCCAGAGGGTCCCGGAGAGTCGGATGATTTTCACGAATAAATGTGTGGATATTCTGGCTGTCGCGGAGACCATGCTGGATGGGGAGCTCGAGTATCGGCGGGGGAACTTCGACGCGGCGTTTGAGCATCTGCGGCGGTCGATTGCGTTGGATGATGGCCTTCCGTATGATGAGCCGTGGGGGTGGATGCAGCCGACGCGGCATGCGTATGGCGCGCTCCTGCTCGAGCAGGGTCGCGTCCAAGAGGCCGCGGATGTCTACCAGGCGGACCTGGGGTTCGATGATACCCTGCCCCGTGCGAGGCAGCACCCAAATAACGTATGGGCGCTGCATGGGTATCATGAGTGTTTGACCCGGCTGGGACGGGCAGCTGAAGCGCGCATCGTGAAGCCCCTGCTGAAGCAGGCGCTTGCCACGGCCGACGTGCCAGTGCGGTCGTCGTGTTACTGTCGTCGGGGAGTGCCGAAGTAGATCGAGATGGCGAGAATATAGTACCAGCGAATTCTTGGTCCCTGGCGTGAGTTGTCCATGGAATCGATCAACGGTTGTTTCCTCGACTCAGAGGGGGGTCCAGTAAAGCAGACACTGACAGACCTGCTGGTAATCCTTCTGCCGCTGTATAGGCGCCCCGACGGGGCTGTTTTTACCCCACCGAGTGCTGTCCATCAGCAGCATGGTCCAGAAACAGGAGATTCACCCGCAGCAGGCGATAAAACCCCAAAGTACGGAGCACAGATGAGTGGATCATCGGAGGAGGGTGTGAAAGGTATACTGTAGACGGTAGATGTGCTGGCAGTCCGTGATAGATCATGGATGGATAGTCCAGTCCCTCCCATCCCCACTCCACAGAGGAAGGAACTGGACCAGCGGGTGGCGATGGCTCGAGACCAGAGCTACTGGATAGCTGCATGGCTAGCCCGGATAGCCCTCATCGTCAGCTGTGTGTTGTGGTGTACAAAATAGTGTCCCGATCCCCGATGACGGCTGTGGCGGAGGGCCCGAGGCACTGAGGCATAAAGGCATCAAAACCTTGACACCTGGCTTTCCAGGCACCAGTGGTACCATCCCAGTCGTTCCTGCCGGTCGGTATCAGTCAGTGTTCACCCCCTCATACCTCTTTTTTTCTTGCTCTTTTTTTTATTATTATTATTTCCATCATCTTCCATCAAATATAAAGTCTCTAACCTCTGTACAGAGCCTAAACCCACAACGAATGGGCTAGCCATCGCCAGTAGCTGTTGAAATACAGGTCGTGTGGTGCAATGGTAGCACTCTGGGCCTCAACCCCCAGAGATCCCGGTTCGACCCCGGGCACGGCCTGCATTTTCTTTGATGGGAGAACGCCATATCTTCTTTTTTCCTCTTTTTTTTTTATCTTTTTCCGTTGCTTCTGTACTTAGAACTGACGGTCTGAGGATGGAATATTTTTCAAGGATGATTATCGATGGATTTATCGATTGGAAGCTGGGGGTGGGTTATCAGGACTTGGGGGGATCCACTGTGTCCACTTAACTAGTACAACAGCAGCCCCGATGAAGCAGGCTTGCCGGATGGGCCGGCCCACCGGGTGGTCATGGCTGCAGGAGAACAAAGCCTATCCACTTGGATAACTAGTGTGCTACTTCTGGGAGGAAGGACGACATGCGACATGCAGGTTGCAGGTGCAGGTGCAGACGCAGATGCAGAGTAGCTTTTGTGGTTTCACGTTTGTGCTACAGGTTTGTCGAGGTTGTCTTTCGGATGTGGTGCGACGAAAAAAAAAAAAGACATGCTCGGCTGCGTGCATTGCATTGCATTGTGCAGATGACTAAGTGACACAGCAGCAGGCGGCGTGACTTCCGGGAAATTGCCGAGTTTTGGAGTTCTCGAACTTGTCGACAATAATATTGCCCACCACATATAGCCTGGGATCCTCCGATACTTACAGCTGTACAGCTAGCTGTACACAGCATCAACACCTCCTATCTTCACTCCACTCCACTCCACTCCACGACTCCGTGACTCCGTCCACCGCATATCTCCCTCACCCGAGACTCTTGACTCGCGCGATCGCCGTCACCCATCCCCCGAAACCACTGCAATCGCCAACCATTGAGCACACCACAATGCAGCATTGTGGAGAGCAGAGGGGTAACTCCCGACCATCAGAGTCTCAGGCTCTCAGAACTCTCGGACTCTCAGACCGCCCCCCGCACGATGGAGCAGGTCATCCCGACTCCACCGGCCCGTCAGCCTCGACTGGCGGTGGCGACTGGCGGCGAAACAACTTCGGCTAATTGACTTTGCATCGTCGCCATCCCCGACCATCCTCCCTCCCCCCTCGCCCCAGCAGTGCGCCCGAATTTTCGTGATGCCGCGGGACACGATCGATGCTGTCCGCCGCAGTGGGTTCCCCCCGGCCAGCAACCACGTCCCCTCTCGGGGCTGCAGTGGCACGTCATGTCTGAAAGATAACGAATGCCCGTGTGTTGCAAGGCTGACAGGCTGTGTCGATACGCACCCGGGTGCCCTCGGCGGAACCCTTCTCGAACCGACCGTGGATGAAGCAGGTCGACCGATTCCACCGATGATCCACGACCCTTCCACCAGCTCCCGTCCATTGGCCCGCGCGATGGATCTGCCACTCAATCCAAGATAGGTAAGGTTCACCAATGCTGTGGAGATTGCAGAAAACTCAGTTCCCCTATCTTAGGTTATCAACGTTTGCAGCCACGTTTAAACCCCCGGGCTGCCGGCGCGCCCCCCGTTTGCTCTCCAGACGCATTGAACTGTTACACCGCAGCCGCATCCTCCCATCATGTCGCTCCCGCTTCCCAACGACATCCTCCTCCTGGTTGGGGAGTACGTGGAAGACCACCGGGACCGCTACAACCTTCTCTTTGTCTGCCGTCATTTCCATGACCTGTTCCTGCGGCTGGTCTACCAGACTGCAGCCTTGAAGGATTGCCCTCAGACACAGTCCTTCTTGGGCGCGCTGCTCCGCCGTCCCGAGCTGGCTCGGGCAGTCCGGACCCTGGACTTCCATAAGTGGCGCTCCCCGTCTTCACCCGTCTCCACCTCCGCCGAAGGCTTGGTACCGTTCACCCAATGGGCCCGGAGCCTCAGCCTTACCGATGAAGAGCACGCGAAGTGGGGGCAGGACCTCCTCAGCGGAGTGGGGGAGGCTTGGATTGCCCTTCTCCTGCCGATAGCAAGCAACCTGAGGCACCTGCAATTGGTGTATCCCAAGCAGAACCAGTACCTCGACCGTATGATGCAGCGGGCCGTGAAGGGAGAGAAGCCCTTCAACAGTTTGCCCGCCTTTCGGGCGCTGCGGGACGTGTCCCTGAGCCATCTGGCGGATGAAGAGGACAGCCGGGGGACCTATCAGCCCTCCCAGGTCCTTCCATTTTTCCAATTGCCAGCCATGCGGACATTTTCGGCGGACTCGGTGGTTGAGTCCTCCAGCCCGCAAGATGAGTCTGAACCAAACCAGCCGGTCGAGACCCCGGCCGCTGGCACCTCGCCTATTTCAGAAATCACCCTCAACGCGAGCAACGGCTCCCAGGGCATGCAGACTATGATCGCTTCCTGCACCTCCCTCAAGTCCTTCAGGTACCAGCACTCCGACTCTCATCTGCTTTCGGAAGGGTTTCAGCCCTCCGCATTCTACCGGTCGCTGGCCGGGAGCAAGGAGAGCCTGCAAACCCTGTGGCTAGACAGCTATGGCACTCATCTGCCCTTCACCATTGCCGGGGCGAATGAGACGCACGACGAATGGCTCGGGCCCCTGACCGCGTTCACCGCGCTGAAGGACCTCCGCATCCGCCTCCCCAACCTGCTGGACGTCCGCTACCAGGCGGAGCCGTCATGCCCGCTCACCGACGTGCTCCCGTCGTCGGTGGAATCGCTGTACGTGGAAGGCTGCAAGGAGAACTCGCTGGGGATGCTGGTCGGGCAGCTGAGAACGGTGCTCAACCGACGCAAGACCCAGTTCGGGGCGCTCAAGCGACTGGACATCGAAGGGTTCTTCCACGACGAGGACGATGAGGACGCGTCGGGCTACCAGCCGGCGGAGGCGACGGGGGTCAGAGTGATCAAGCCCCGCGTCTACGAGGCCGTGGAGCCGCTGCACCAGGCGTGCGCCGAGGCGGGGATCGAACTCTATGTGCGCGACCGAGTGTGCAATGCGGCATGACATGACATCATGGGCTGCCTTGACGATAGAGGGATAGATTTGCATTGCGTATACCCGATAGATAATGAGCTTTTTTTGTTTGTTTGTGTGTTTGTTTGCTTGCTTTGCTTTTCTGGTTCCGAAAAAGGCGTTTTGTTTGTGTGATACTGTTGATAGCGACCAGCCTGCACCTGATATAGATATAGCCCAGCCATGGGCGGGATGAAATGAAAGTGACATCATGCTGTGGTGATCCGGCCTGATAGGCCCTGAACAATGCCGGGGAACCTTAAGGAACCTTACCAGTTGCTGCATAACTGGGTTATTGCTGGTTCTATACTGTCGATCTAGTTTATGCCCTCCTTCGGATTTCGCCGACCGGATCGTCCCTCCCATGTAACCCCCACCCAACCCATTAGTTCCTGACTCACTCGTGGTGGTGGTGATGGTAGTGGTATAGTATAACCCTTCCCGGTGTTTCTGAGACGCGTGATCTCTCTCTCTCTCTCTCTCTCTCTCTCTCTCTCTCACTCTCTCACCTTCCTGCTCCGTCTCTTCCTTTCTTCCCACCCTTCCCCCTCCCCGCCATCTTCATCAATTATCCCTTTGTTGTTCATCAATCTGATCCTCGTCCGTGCCCGCCAGTGATCTGCACTAGATCGCCACACTTGCCCCTACCCCGGATTCTGCGATGTCACGTAGTCCGATCCGCGGCGTGGAGGACCCGCCCGTGGAACAGCCAAACAAGGACGAGACGGTGGCCGACAGCATCCCCCTGGCCGGTGAGAATCGTCCTGAACGCGAAGATCCCTTCGACGAGGATCCCTTTGGCCATGATGGTCTGGGCGTGGTCAGGTACCGCACTCTAGCCTGGTGGTGCGTCACTCCCCCTTCCCCTTCTACCTCATATTCCATCCCAGGTACAGCTCTGACAGTCGGGGCTTCCCACTCAGGCAATGCGGAATGAGTACGCTCCCCCCCCCAACCGATCTATACAAGCACAGACCCCCCTCTAATCATCCCCTCTAGTCATGATCGCCGAGACTATCTCACTGGGTATCTTGTCGCTCCCCTCGGCCGTGGCGAACCTGGGTCTGATCGCGTGAGTGTGATTGGCACTCCTCCCGAGATGTTGCCATGGTGGCTTGGGTGGCTAACAAACAAGCTTCAGGGCGGTGATCCTGATCGTCGGACTGGGCACCCTGGCTACCTACACCGGCTATACCCTGGGGCAGTTCAAGCTGCGCTATCCCCATGTTCATAGTATGGGGGACGCGGGTGAGGTGCTGATGGGACGCGTCGGACGCGAGGTCCTGGGCACCGCGCAGCTGCTCTTCCTGGTCTTTATCATGGGCAGTCATATTCTCACCTTCACGGTCATGATGAATACCCTCACTGATCACGGTGCTTGTTCCATTGTGTTTGGGATCATGGGCCTGGTTTTGTCCTTTGTGCTCACGCTTCCTCGCACCCTGAAGAAGGTGTCGTGGTTTTCCATTTCATGTAGGTTTGAGGGTTTGGTATGGCGGAGAAGGGACGAGGCTGATGGCAGCAGCGTTCATTAGTATCTTCTCCGCGGTGATGGTCACCATGATTGCCATCTCGATCCAGCGGCCCGGTGATGGGCGTGTGGAGGCGACCGTGTCGAATAGCTTCTATAAGGCGTTCTTGTCGGTCACCAACATTGTCTTTGCCTACGGTATGTGCTATGGGCGATTGGCGGGTATGGGCGAATGCTAACAGGTATAGCCGGGCATGTGGCCTTCTTTGGCTTCATCTCGGAGATGCGCGTGCCCACCGACTACCCGAAGACGTTGTTTCTGTTGCAAGGCATCGATACTTCGATGTATGTGGTCACCGCGGTGGTCATATACCGGTACGGGGGAAAGTATGTGGCTTCGCCGGCGCTGAGCTCGACCAGTCCCTTGCTGTCCAAGATCGCCTATGGCCTCGCCATTCCAACAGTATGTTTTTTCTGGCGAGCGGTGCTCTGCTAACAGCCTTCAGATTGTCGTATCGGGGGTCATCAACGGCCATGTGGCATCCAAGTACATCTACGTGCGAGTGTTCCGAGGCACCGGTCGCATGCACCAGCGCGGACTTGTCTCGGTCGGATCGTGGGTGCTCATCGCGCTGATTCTGTGGACGCTTGCCTGGATTATTGCGGAGGCGATACCGGTGTTCAACGACCTGTTGAGTCTGATTGTATGTCTGTCTCTTGTCGTCATGTGGTGATCGAGCTAACCGCCGCAGACGGCGCTCTTTGCGAGTTGGTTTACATGTAGGTGCCCACAGCTACTGCGTGGAGTGTGAAGCAGACACTAACGGAGCAGACGGTCTGAGCGGAGTCTTCTGGCTCTTCCTCAACTGGGGTAGATACTCCTCGTCGCCGCGAAAGATCTTCCTGACGGGTGTCAACCTGCTGGTGGTGGGCATCGGAGGGTGTCTGGTAAGTCGGCCCCCTTCACCACCCACTTCAGCCCGACTCAACTGACCGGATAGTGCGGGTTGGGTCTTTACGTCTCGGGCAAATCCATCCACGATAATCCGAATAGTGCCAGCTTTTCGTGCGCCAACAACGCCAAGGCTTAAAGCTGATTGGGGGGAACATGGGCTTATGAACAGAATAATGCAGGCATATTCCGGGGGATCCTAGATCCAGGCACACCCACAGAGGACACAGAGTACCTTAATAATGATGTCAGTTCTGGTACTCGGAGCCTAGAAAGGGTCGAGATAGCTGCTTGCCACTAGGCCCGCATGAGACATCCTCTTCCCTCTGTCTTCTGACATCATCGGGCTCCCGAATCTTGATAAACAATAACCAGTCATCATGTCGACGGCCGTATCGTATTGGGCTCATCGTAGTAGCCATGGAACACAAGCACGCAGACAGACACAGACAGTCCTGCCTCACCAGACGGGTCATACCAGCCCAGCCGATCGAGCTCGGAAAGCCGAGATGTAGAGAAGCAACAGCTGCAGGGGGGCCGAGATCCGAATATCGTCGTCGATTGGGATGGGCCTGATGATCCGGTACCGAATGTCTGCTGCTTACACTTCGCAACACTTCACCCCGATATCCTGACCAACCTCCCTCCCCCTCGGGAATCCCCACGGAACTTCTCTCGAGCCGGGAAATGGACCATCACAGTCGTGCTCGGCCTGATGACAGTATCCGTCACCTTCGCCTCGTCCGTCTTCTCGGCTACAGCTTCGGACCGCTCTTCCTCGGCCCCCGTCCTCCTGGAACGGCGCGCAAAACACCTCCGCTTCGAATCCTGCAACTGGGCCCTGCACGCCCGCTCCGAGGAACGCCCCGTCGACGATTGATGATTGATGGTTGATGAGATGGTTTGTATAGGTATAGTTATGTAGATAGATAGATAATACAGCGTTGCTTTTACTTTTACTTTTACTTTAGACAGCGTGGAAGAGTCCAGACTAGCGAACTTTAATCATTATCGTGAATAATAAGGATATTAAATATGTCTATTTCCTCTTAGTAGTATACTTACCTCTCTTCCCCTCCCCTCCCCCACCCCCCCTAAACTCCACTCCCACAACACCACTCCTCCTTTCCAACAGTATGATCCAACCCCCTTCCCCTACAACCCCCTAATAAAGCTCACGTCACAATGACCCCCACCCCCCACCCCCCGCACCGGATCCAGCTTTTCTGGAGTAGCGTGCATCGAAAAGCCTATTCAGGGCCACCCGTGGGTCCATCCGGTCAAGGTACCCGGTAGATCCGGTAGACCCGGATTTCAGCCACATGGATTGGATGGGCTGTCAAAGCACAGGACGTGGGCGGTGCAGACTGTCTGGGTCCGGGCGTATAAAGCAGTCGGGACGTGCTCTTGATTTATGGGGTGGGATATATATATATGTGTGTGTGTGTGTGTGGTAGGTAAGGTACTTCTGCCGCTTGATGCTGCTGTGCTGTACTGTGCTGTGCATCGACATACTTACATATCAGGGTGGATGCTTCTGCTACGCTACTGTGTATGGGTTGGATATGCGGTTGAGGATAACTGGTTGTTGTTAGTTGGGTGTGACTCGACACGACACGACGCGACACGACACGACCTGAGCTGAGAGTGTGGGTGTGGGTGTGGGTGTGAATGTGAATGTGAAATAAAAAAGAGAGAGAGAGAGAGAAATGGACGACGAACCCGAGCTCCCTCCTCCCCTTCCCGACCGGAACCTCCAGCTCCAGCTGCTTCTCATTCTCTGCTTGAGCGTGTATATCATTACTGCGATTGTGTATGTATTCACCATCCACATCCACATCCACATCCAATCCTTCCTTCTACTAACTGCAAAAAAAAAAAAAATAATAATAATAGCCTGGTCCTCAAATCCTACTGCGTCGCCTACGGCCCCTTTGACTTCACCCTCCCCAGCCCAGCACCTAGTCCTAGCCCGATCCCGACTGACCAACAACCGGGGACGGGGACAGGAGCAAGATCATCACGATCCCATCACTCTATCGAATCCCGTCTCAAGACCCTCAACCGCGTCGCGCCCCTAACGCCCTATGGGCGGTGGGTCAGGTCCGCGGCGGCATGGAATGAGCGGAGTGAGTTGTTGTTGAATCCTGGTGCTGGTGCTGGTGCTGGTGGGGGGTGGTGTGGTTAGTTTCTCGTTCTCTCTTTTCTATATTGTCCTGTCGGATCCTCTTCTTCCTACTCACTCTGCATGATTGATTGCTGTTGTTGTTGCTGCTGTTGTTGTTGTTGGTTCTCACGAGGTATACTAATGGAGACGGTTATAGTGCGATATGCCTCGACCCCGTCAATCAGCAAGACTCGATCCATGCCCTGCCGTGCCGTCATGTTTTTCATGGGTGGTGTCTCGAGAGTTGGTTCTTGGAGTATCATAATGCGTGTCCGGTTTGTTGGAGGGTGTTTTTGGTGGGGTGATGGTGGCTAACTATTCATTGGGTGGGTGGGTGTGTGTGTATGTGTGTACTTGACTAGTTATTAGCAGTTTTGCGTGCATGGTTAGGGATTCATACCCCCCCCCCCGGGATTAAACAGTGGATACCACATTATAATTTTCTGGGGTTCGGGGTTTGGAGCTTGGGGTCTGAAATCTGGGGTATCTAAGGGTGGTGCGCCATGCTAATCCTTCAGCCGTGATTCCATGGGTTGGGAGATCAGATTTCAGTATCTAGCTGGCTGTATGGCTGGCTGGATAGGGTGGTGCAATTCCTTCGTATTGATCAGCTCATCGTGATGCTGTGGCGGGGCGGGACCTTGGTTTTTGGAGGAATAGGGTTGCTGTGCCGGTATGATTGATTGATTGTACAGGATGTAGTTTACCTAGGTTGGATAAGCGGGTGTATGGGAATGGAGGTATTGATTACTGGAGTTGGAGGTGGTTGCTGTGCATGTGCACACTGCACTGGCTTGAGATGATGGCGGAGATCGGCTACTACCTACCTAACCTATGATTTTTCCCTTAATTCTCGTCTCTTGGGGGGGGGAGGTTGTATCTTCCATACTACTGCTTTCTACATCCCTGATGCTGATCACTTCTAGTAAGTGAGTGTATACTTGAAGATCAAAAAGACCGGTTGTGGCGCCCACCTTGTGACCACCGCAGATCCCTACATCTCTACTCAGTCATCACCAGCCCAGACTGGCCTGGCCCTTTACTCTTTCTTCTCCTCTCCTCTAGCTATACCACGCCCTCTACTCTACTCTACTCTACTCTACTCTACTCTACTCTACTCTACTCTACTCAACTCTACTCCACTCCACTCCCACGATCAACACCCATCATTAACACACTACTAACCGGCCATCGCCACTCCCAAAAGACACAATGCCACCAAACCTCCCCCTCAAACATCCTCGTCCCTTCACCCACCCCTTCACCCCGACCTTCACCCGCCCCATCTCCCTCCTCCCCCGCCGCCACCACAACCACCCCCGAACCCCATCCCCTCCACCCACACCCCCCTCTCATCCCCAGCCTACAGCTTTGACAATCACAACAACAACAACAACAGCTACGGTCTCGGCATCCCCTCCCTCCTCCGCGCCCTCGAAGACCTCACCACAACCCCGCTCTCCCTCCCCCTCCCCCTCCCTCACAGCCCGCGCTTCGACGTCCGCGAAACCAAGTCCGCCTTCCACCTGCACGGCGACTTTCCTGGCGTGAAACGGGAGGATCTCACCGTTGAGTTTGTGGATGCGGGGACGTTGTGTATTTCGGGGCGGGTGGGGAGGGAGGTTGTGAGGGTGGAGGGATAGGGGTGGGGATGGGGATGGGGATGGCAATGCCGAAAGCAGTGCGGACGGGGGGACAAATGCCAATGCGGATGGCGATGCAGATGCCGATGGGGGAGCATGGTGGTTCTCTGAACGGGCGACGGGCGAGGTTCGTCGCTCGTTCAGTTTCCCGGTCGCGGTGGATCGGGAGGCCGTCGAGGCGAGGCTGAGGGATGGGGTGTTGGAGGTGGTGGTGCCGAAGATGGTTGGGGAGGGTGGTGCTGGGGGGAGGATTGAGGTGAAGTGAGTGAGTTGTTCGCAGTAGGGGATGGATGTAATTGCTGGTGTGGTCTTTCTAGTATGCTGGGGCTGATGATATTGTTGCTGTCGCGGTCTGACTAGCTATGTCACTATGACTTAATATGCTATGTGTCCAATTGAATTTGGTGGGTACCGCAGTCCATATATCTATATATCTATATGTACGGCGGAGGGGGGGGGGGGGGGGGGGATGCCGGCAAGAAAGAAAAGAGAGGCAAAACATGCAGTCATTGCATCCACAGCTGAGTTAAAAAATATAAACAAAAAGAGGATGGTCCCAGAGGGGGTCGAACCCTCGACTTTAACGTTATTAGCGTTACGCTCTAACCAACTGAGCTATGGGACCCGGTTGTTGAGGATCAGCAAAACTAGCGGCCCTATCAGCCACTAACATTGTAGCGGGTGGAGATGCCATGAGTGGTTTTTTGGGTGTCATGTTTAGTGGGCATCATTTCATGGGTCAATCTCATTTTCCTGGATATACGTGATAGTAGTAGGTCAGCCTGATCCTTCTCTTACTTAATAATCTTTTTTTTCTGGGGCATATTTGTGGGTACTAACAGAAATGCAGCATGGAGGAGCGGAAGTGCGTGGGGAAATATATATAGGAGTAAGTCCGTCGATTCATCTACATACAGCTAAAGAATTCCCTTTTTGTGAATGTGCCTCCTTTTTTTTTTTTTTTTTTTTAAAAAAAAAAACACAGACAATCCTCCCCCACTGCCTACTATATGGTGCTTATTTTCAAATAGCATTATATCCACAATGAATTGGGCTGACTGCTATGTATAGGTTCAGGCCATCCACGAGTTGCCTTGCCAGCCAATATACATGTCCCTGGTAAGATAGCCCTCGAGCCCGAAATGATGGCCGGAAAGGTGCCTGGAGCCTGGGAAGCGTAGAATCTAGTCACGTGGGCAATGGCTGTGCGAATAATTGATGATTATGAGAGATATATTGTGGTACTTGGAGGATATCTGTATTCTCACTTTCTCAGGATGAATGTATTTGCTGTGAGCGGTAGCCGGGAAAGCTAAGTACGTACGCTTTCTTTCACTACTAGTTAAGTAAGATGCAGAATAAATGCCCGGGACCCTGCTCGCCTCATCTCGTCTTAATTATTTTCCCCTAAAGTTATGCCCAGTGAATAACCCTGATCTATTCAACGTGCCCGTATCTTTTCCTTTTCAGTTACTGTAACGGCCAAACAAACAAACAAACAGCCTAAACTTGAGATACATCCTTTTTAATGATAGGTAGTATAGATACCTCATTACTGTCTGACTAATTGTCCAGTTGGGGTTGTGGTTTAGGGGTATAACATTCCATTTGCATTGGAAAGGTCCCGGGTTCGATTCCCGGCGACTCCACATCTTTTTTTTTCTCCCCCGGGTGGGTGGGCGCGTAGCGGCAATTGGCACTGGCACTGGCACTAGGACTAACTATAGTACTCCTCAAGGGAGAGAAGTTTTTCTTTTCCTTTGGTTCTTTTCCAAAGATTTATTTCTGGGGTGTAAAAACAGAGGAAATTGCCGTGTTGGATTTGATCTTTACAGGGCTGTCTGTCTACACACAAGAGAAGACAGTATATTACAAATTACAAACCAGGCAGTCAGGGCCAGGTGAAGCAAACCCCAAAGATTATCTATCCATCAATCGATCAATCAATCAATTCCATATCCCTTAATAGTCCTAGATCCTAGATATAGTAAAGTACAGAACAGAACAACCCTCATCCCCCCCTCTAACTAGAAAGAAAGACAAAACAACCAGATAAACAGGATAGACCCACACCCCCCCATCTAACACTTCAACTCGACCGACCCAAACGCCACCCCAAGACAGCCGGTATCGGTACCGGCGTAGACAATCGAACTGCCCTCGCAGTTATCGCCCGACCAAGTGGTGACCTTGCACTTGCTGCTGGTGGTGTCGATGTTGAACGAGGCCCCGGCAGGCTCTCGAAGCAGCCCGTGCCGCCGCTGATGGACGGGTGCGCGGACGAGCCCTCGCAGTTGTCGCCCGACCAGGTGGTGATCTCGATCTTTTCGCTGCGGGTGTCGAGCGGCGAGGCGATCGCGGAGGAGGCGAGGAGGAGGGCGGTGGTGAGGGTGGTGAAGGTCTTCATTTTGATTTTGAAAGGTGGGTGGTTTGAGATGAGGGTTGGATTGGTTTTGGTTTGGTTTGGTTGGATTGGATTGGATTGGATTGGAGGCTTGTTGATGAGATGATGAGAAGGATGACTGGATGGGGGATTCGAGCGAGGCTTTATAGGCTTGGAGGGACTGCGTTTGTTTGAATTGACGTTGAGATCGGGAGAGAGGAGGTGTAGGCTGTGGTGATGGTGGTGGTAGATGCATTTCGCCCCTATGCAGCACGTCTGCCGGCAAGGTAGTAGGCTGTGTATGCTCGTGTAGAGCAAGCCCTATTCGCCCCCATCCTGAGACGTGAGGATATTCCCGTCCAAGGTCCTCTTCTCAGTACGCCTGCCAGTGGACTTCGATAGACTGGTGCGTGCACAGCCTGAATAATCGACAACGCTGATCTGTCAGAGTGATGTTGCACTGCATGTAGGCACGAAGTAGATAGCTCTGGGGCCATTGGGGGCTCTCTCCACACCGTACGATATCTCTCAGTGGCCAGTCTGATCATGCTGGTCTTGCCGTCCCTGATCATCCTATCTAGATACCCACCCTCACCCCCCCCCCCCCCCCCCACCCCCCAGAAAAATAAGACTCGAGTAGATAGATAGTCCAGGATGTCTGCTCCTCCCCTCTTTGCATCACATCACATCCCATCCCGCATTGGCCAATTCAGTCGGTCGCAATAAGGCTGACTGCGCATCATCTGCATGACTTGGGGTTGGGGCTAATTTCGCCCAAGAGGCGGCGGCGGCTGACATGGGCCGTCTCAACTCGAAGAGAGAGATAGTCGATCGTTGGATCGTCTGTTCTTGATGACTGCGCCTGGTTTCTGCAGGGGGTGGGACGCGTCATGGTTAGGGTTGTAAGGAGAGCCTTGCCTGTGGGGGCTGGAAGGTTGCTTGCCTGCGAAAGCTTCAGCCCCCACGCCGGCCTGAGCTTATGTCTGAGTTTACTTACTTTATTTTCTCTAGCGTGATGCATTGATTGATGAGGACAGCGAGGTTGATGTTTTGGGTGAGTGGTTTGGTGGAGTGGTGGGTGGGTTGGAGTTGGGTGGTTGGATTCGGAGGGGGATGATACATAGGATAGGATCAAATGAGTGTGATGCGATCCTGGATACTCACGAGTATATAGTGTTCTCTTGCCATTGCGATACTAGGTGCTGTTCCTGGGTGATGCTAGGGTGCAATCTACACCAGATCCAAAGCATCGCACTCAGTCATTCAATTCAAGCTGGAAGCAGATGCTCCTCCACCCGCCTGCAATGGACCCAAACCCCAGGATAAGCAACCAGACTTGTGAGATCACCGACCGAGTCAGACTACTGCAAGGCACATTGGAAACACTGTCAGCAGCCCCAAACCCAAACTCCTGCCCCCCAGCGACCGAGCTGGTTACCAAATCCGCCCAGACCCCATCATCCAGGGGATTTAAATCAGCTCAACCGGGCCAAATCAAGTTGCAGGCTGACTGCTGCGCCGAAAGGTTGGACTGGACGCCTGACGCCCCACAGCATTTCGCGAACGTGAAACTTGATGATTCAGGAAAGGCTGGCAGGGGTGGGAGTCAAGACCAAGAATGATGACAAGTTGTTGAGCCATTTTTCTGGGTCAGGGGCGATGTGTGGCCTATGTGGCCTATATGACCCTCCACATATAGGGCACCTTCCTCTCCCCCTTTGCCGCAGCGGTGTTCCCACAGGATGAATTGTCGGAGTTGCACGCCATGCTTTTCTCACAGAGGGATGTTGCTTAGACCCCCACCCTACCACACGCGACTCTTTGACTATGGAAGTCCGATAGGCACTTCAGCTATAGGCGGTTATCGCAACAGGTGCAGACATTTTCAGCTTGCTGCGGCGGCAGTTGGGGCGGCCATGACGCGACCGGATAGGGCTAGAATCCATGTGCCTTGATGCCACACCGAGTCAAACTGGCCATGAAGAAGGGAGAGGAGGAATCTAGGGATTTCTGGAAACTCATCTACCCAGAAATTCCAGATCCTTCCCACGGATTAGTAAGGCCCACAAGTGACAGTGAATTTCAGGATTTTATCCATGGAGATGCTAACCACATGTGGTAAGATGGACCCCTGCCATCTTCACTGCGAAGTGGGGGATCTTCATCCCATCACGCAAACTCCAATGTTTTTTCAAGTCCAGCTCAATGGCTCGAATTAGAGACCGCAGCAGGCCTGTCATTTCCCTCCTGGGCACGCGCAGAAGTGTGATAAATCTCACCTCCAGATGGGTTGATAGTCTTCCATTAAGTAGGTCCGCTCAATCAGTCCTCCCTCTCCAGGGTCAACCAAGAGCCCTCCGCAGAGTAGCAGGAATTAGGACGGCCTCAGTGACAGAATGCGAGAAGGATTCTCCTGCCTTGCTGGCATCCGTCACGGACCAACCGAATTGCACGATCCAAATTAAAGCCAGCCCAATACGAGGAATCACGAAGACGGCGCGAGGTGGCTTAGAAATGCCGCTGATTTCTCAGCAAAGCGCGAGGCCGAGCCAATATTGGCCCATCGCCATCGCCACGATCAATAAATACCCATCCTCGCCCGCCTGCACAACACACCCCACAACAACCACCCATCCACGCCCCACCAGCCACCAGAATGACCCTCAAATTCCTCCTCACCGGCGCGACCGGCGGCCTCGGCGCCCAGGTGCTCGAGTACTTTACGGCCCACGTCCCGTCGAGCGACTACGCCGCCGCGTCATCCCGCGCGGAGAACGCCCGAGCGTTCACGGACCGCGGCATCAACTTCCGCCAGGTCAACTACGACGACGTCCGCACGCTGGACGAGTCCTTCGCGGGCGTCGAGAATCTGTTCTTCGTCAGCACCAGCACCTTCGACAACGTGCGACGGAGAATCCAGCACCAGAACGTCGTGGACGCGGCCAAGCGCGCGGGGGTGAAGCATGTCGGTACCACTGACGGCCGAGATTGATATGTTGCTGACAAGTCGCTCCCTAGGTCTGGTACACGTCTCTGGCGTTCGGCGGGTTCAAGTCCGACTCGGGCGCCGCGGTGCAGCAGGTGCACTATATGACGGAGGGGATGCTGGAGGAGTAAGTCGCCGTTTCCATCCATCGCTTGCTGCGCTCGTCGCTAACGGGTCAGATCCGGCGTGGTGTATACATCTATCCGGGAGGGCGTCTATACCGAGGCATTCCCTCTTTTCCTGAACTGGTTCCCCGAGAACAAGAAGATCCTTCTGCCCGCCGACGGCGGGGTGGCCTTTACGCGTCGCTCGGAGCTGGGGGAAGCGACGGCGAAGTTGATCCTGAAGGGGGGTCATGAGAATGAGATCGTCCTGCTCACCGCGCAGGCGAGTATCACCTTCCAGGAGATCGTGCAGATCATCAACGAGACCACCGGGCGAGATGTGCAGCTGGAGTTGGTGGCGCCGGAAACGTATATCGAGGTGAACGGCGCCAATGACCCCGGGAAGAAGCCCGCGGCGTTCTTCGAGAAGTTGATCTCGTGGTATGAAGGCATCAGTAAGGGAGATGCCAGCACGACGGACGGCCTGATGGCAGATGTCCTCGGGAGGGAGCCGACGCCTGCCTCTCGGGCTATTCGCGATCTCCTCCACGACAACCCGGATTATACCTGGCACCAGAACTATGCTTGAATAGTGTAGTAGAGAGAGAGAGAGAGAGAGAGAGAGTGTGTGTACATGCTCTGTTTATATGTACGAACGAATGAAACGAACGGATCTACTTTTTTTTATCATACACGTCTCAACTCTATGCATGCATGCATGCATATGCAAAGGGTACAAGCCCTAGACAATCAATCAAACACGCTGCTCACCCGTCTCGACATTCCCATGCGGACTCTGCACATCATGCTGCGGATACGCCGAATGCGTAGCCCGATGGACCGTCGCGGGCTCGACGCCATCGCCCTCCTTCTCGATCTCGATCTCGTCGTCCTCATCCGTGGCGAAGGTGGCCTCCCTCATGAACGGACTGCGTCTGCGGATCTCAGGGCCCTTCCAAATCAACACCACCGGCACGACCGACAACGCGATGCCAATGAACCCCAGCAACGAGCCCGCCCAGCCATATCCCAGGGTCTCGAACAGCTCATAGCTCGCGAGCGGCAGGAAGGCGCCGAACGAGTTCCGGCCCAGCGACGCCGCGGACAGCGCCGACGCCGCATACTTCTCATACGCGTCGGTCAGATAGTTCACCACCGCCATGTAGATACTGTAGATGCCAATGCCGCACGCGCCGATGCCCAGCGTCGGCACGATCCACGGCACGGACGGCATGCTGGCCCAGCCGTACCAGAACAGGCCGCCCGCGAAGAGCAGGCTGCCCCCGACACTCGAGTACAGCCTCGCCTCGGGGATCGGGTAACCGGGCTTCTCCCGATTGCGCCTCGCCGACCGGAGATACCACATGTCCTGCAGCGGATTGAACACGGTGCCGATCAGGGCGCCGACCGAGATGGCCAGCTGGATGGTGCCCGTCTGGAGGGTGTTCATGTTGTAGTTGGCGGTGAAGGTCTGCACGACGCTGCTGAAGAACAGATACAGAATGCCCCAGGCGAAGGAGATCCACAGGGTGAAGAAGGCGACGACGGGCTCGGTCAGCAGCATGCGGGTGGGCCGTTCGAAGGAGATCTGCAGCGAGCGCCACACGCTGGTGTTATCCAGCTCGGCCTCAGCGTAGATGGGTCGTCCGGTCTCCTGGCGCAGTTTCTTTGCGCGCCGTGCCAGGATCACGTCCGCGCGGGTCTCCTTCAGGATGAACCAGAAGACGGGCAGCAGCCCGGTCAGGTAGATGATCTGGATGTAGAAGATCCAGCGCCAGGGCTCGGTCTTGGGGATGGCCACGATGGCGGACCCGACGAACGGCCCCAGCGCGATGCCAATCACACTGGTCAGTCCGAATAGCGACATCGGGAGACTGCGCGCCTTGTCGCCGTACCACACGTCGCTGATGCTGCCGCCCACGATGTTGATCGAGACCGACGACCCCCCGCCGCCGAAGAACCGCGTCACCACCAGCGTCGCGTAGTTCTGCGCGAACGCCGACGGGAACAGCGAGATGATCAGGATGATGTACGCGACGAAGTACCCCGGCATCCGTCCGGATGATTCCGTCAGGGGCACGAAGATTAATGGCCAGAACGCCGCCCCCATGTTCCACGACGTCGTTGCCCAGTACAGGTTCGGGAATGGCGTGTTTTGCACGTGGAATAATGGCCCCATCCAGTTGTCGCCCGAGCCGTACGATCCGGCGGGGATGCCGGTTAGGACGGAGCTTGGATGGTGTTAGTGGAGGTGTTGGGATGGGAGGGGAGGGGAGGGGAGTTTACATGAAGCAGACGGTGACAGTAAGGACCCATTTGTAGCTGGTACTCCAGTTGAACCTGACGAAAGGGTTAGCGGCAGGCAGGCAGGCCTGTGGAGGCGGGGAGGCAGCTGATGCCATACGGATTATCAGGGTCATCTTTGCCGTTCCAGGTATGAATCTCCACGTCCTCTCGGTCGCGGAGGTCATTGTGGCTGACCACACCGACGTGGGGATCGCGGTTAAAGAATGACCGCACACTGTATCATCATGTCATTGTCATGGTCTCGAGTGTCAGCCCGCGCACGCCTTGCAAGTTTCCCAGTTTCAAGTTCCAGCAGGGCAAGGATTAGCGGCACAACGCAACATACCGCCCGACAAAGGAATCGTCAAACTCATTCGTGTGCACCGTGCTGGGCCGACGCAGCGACGGGCGTTGAGTGGTCTGAGCAGAGACGGACATTGAAGAGAAGAGTCAAAAACACCACACACAACGAAATCAACTAACTACTACCACAACAGAGAAGAGCAGCAGTTAACTCTTAAGCCATTTTTCCCCCCCTGGGAACCGGGGGAGCCCCGGGGAGTCAAATACTGCACAGAAATTCCATCGGAGCCATCGGGACAGTTCTGGTGGACAGTCTGGTGTCGTGTCGTCATGACCGAATCCGGGCCGAGTCGCCAATCTCGGGACAACTGGGGAATTGCTCGATTCCGAGCTGCTGATTGGCCGACCGTCCGAACTCCCGGCGGTTTTTGGGGGATTATTACGGTTGGTTGGTTTGGGAGGGGAAACCGAAGCCAAGCGAGCGGGGTATCTTTCCATTATTATTATTAGTTTGGTCTTAATAATAATAATAATCCTGGCGTTACGGAGGAGTACTTGGCAGATCGCTGCAAGTTAGGGCTTGGGTGGGTGGGAAGCCAATGGAAATGAGGGGCCAACCGGTTTGGGTCATGACATCACCACCGCGAATGACCTCATCGCTGCCCCCCCCCCTCACGGCTATATAAACACCACATTTGCACTCCTTCCTTCGACTCGATCTCATCAACACAACTCCTATTCTCAAATCAATCCTCACTCCTCAAACCAAACCAATCCAATCCTCTATTTCTCCACTCTCAAACCAAATTTCTCACACCACCACCACCACCACCACCATGCCTGTCTCCATCCCCTCCGCCTCCAGCCTCCAGGACCTCTTCAGCCTGAAGGACCGGGTCGTCATCGTGACGGGCGCCTCCGGGCCCCGCGGCATGGGCATTGAAGCCGCGCGCGGGTGCGCCGAATTCGGGGCCAACATCGCGCTCACATACTCGTCGCGGGCCGAGGGCGGCGAGAAGAACGCGGAGGAGCTCCGCAAGACATACGGGGTCAAGGCGAAGGCGTACAAGTGCGACGTGTCGGACTACAACAGCGTGCAGAAGCTGGTGGACGACGTGATCGCCGAGTTCGGGCAGGTGGACGTCTTCATCGCCAACGCGGGCCGCACGGCCAGCAGCGGCATCCTGGACGGCTCGGTCAAGGACTGGGAGGAGGTCGTGCAGACCGACCTCAACGGCACCTTCCACTGCGCCAAGGCCGTCGGCCCTCACTTCAAGCAGCGCGGCAAGGGCAGCTTCATCATCACCTCCAGCATGTCCGGCCACATCGCCAACTTCCCCCAGGAGCAGACCAGCTACAACGTCGCCAAGGCCGGGTGTATTCACATGGCCCGCTCCCTGGCCAACGAGTGGAGGGATTTCGCCCGCGTGAACAGCATCTCGCCCGGTTACATCGATACGGGGCTGTCGGATTTCGTCGACAAGAAGGTCCAGGATCTGTGGATGTCCATGATTCCGCTCGGTCGCAATGGGGATGCGAAGGAGTTGAAGGGCGCTTATGTTTACCTGGCCAGTGATGCGAGCTCGTACATGACGGGTAACGATATGAAGATCGATGGTGGCTACACCGTTCGGTAAATTCTACCGCGCGCTTGGGGAAGAAGGTGTTGTCGATGTTATGATGTGTATGTATGTTAATGCAGAATGACCATGTACTCTACTATATAAGTATCTATGATCCAGAAGGATCTGTTGTCTGGAATCAAATGATCCACGATGAATACTGTTGTTTATACTTGAACTGTAAACTGTAAACTGTAAACTGTAAACTTGTACATTTGTAGACTCGTTATTCTCACCCCTTCCCTCCCCACCTCAATCATCCATACACAGTGAGCTCATATCCAGCCAGCCACGACCTTGGCAGTTGGCACAAACCCCCTACGTCATAATTGCTCGCCCCGAGTTGAACCTGAAACTTGGTAATAGCCTATCTACTAGTTATTTAGATATTAATTCTAGATCCTTCCCCTGGAAGCTAACCCGTGGGTCCGGCTCTCATCAAAAGACCCTCTAATTGGCCAACCCTTAGCCAACAAACAACCACGGACAGGCCTAGACCCTGTGGAGTCACCGTCACCACCGCAACATTTCCGAGCGAATCGGGGACCGCGACATCTAGTTAACTACACGGCATGATATCATCATAGCTTGAATTTGCTGGATTGAAAGAACGAATATTGCATTTCTTGCGCAGTAGTAAGGTATGTTTTACTATTGATGTTTTGGATGGAAAGGAAGAAAGGAAGACGTTCGTGGAAGTTACCCTTTCTGTAAAAAGTACCTCGTATGTACTAGTTATGTATGGATTGATTGGTGAGAACGCTTGGCTGGGGCTGGGTTTCGCAGGGCCGGCTTGATGCTGGTTAGTAAGTGGCATATTTGGTAGAGGTGCTGGGTTGTCTGGATGGAAATTGGATTGATGGCTTCGAAAAGCAATCATCAAAATCATCCTCAACTAAAAAGGTGTCCAGCTCCCTAAAAGGGGTGGAATGCTGATTGCTGACTGCTGTGTTTTGTCTGATGGCCCCACGGCCTGAGGAATACCTCACTTAGTTCAAGCTGTTTATCCAAGTAAGGCTTTGTTGGGGCTTTCAGGGGCAAAATACCAAGGTACTATATTCAAGCCCGTTGAGTTTTTTTCAGAAAGCAGAGGGATACGATATACTATATACCCTGTCTCGACAACCTTCTACCTGGCTAGGGGATGCGCCTTTCTATTTGAGTGTTAGTGACCGGTCTTTTGTTTTTCATGCTGGCGTATAAGTATGATCTAGGCAATGATGCTGGCGATAGGCACGATGCCAATCGGGGGACTCGCTGCTTTGGCCTACTACTAGTACTTTCTTTCTGCTGCTATCCGAGAGTCTAGCAGTCTTCAACCGAGACTGGGCACCAGTCACCTCGTTGCAACATGTTGGTCTGGAAGACTTAAGGGACGAGTCATTTCCGGAAGGACAGGTTGTGGGAACCGATCGGCCATGGATGTCCAAAGAGAGGTCAGGCAGTATCATGTGACCGTCCTTAGCGAGGCGAGGCGTTCTTTGTTTCTCTCCCTCTGTCCTGCATCCAACATCCAACATCTAACCAACCACCTCAAATTCAGGGGGGAGGTTACCTCCTTTCTTCCCCATGCGCACTCCCGACATCATCTCCCGGAGAATTTAGCCTCCCACGAGTTCTGATAGGGCGACCAACGCAGATGAACCACCTGGACACAAGCCCGATGCAGCCCGATGCAGCCCGATGTGCTATTATTTCGGAAAAAAAAAAACAAGGTAAATCAACGTCAACCACCAATAAATTACAAACCTGGAAAGCAGACATCTGAAAGAGCCTACTCAATAGGGAAGGGGTCCATCGCCCGAACCGGCCCAGCAGGCGGCATCTGGCAGCATCCGCAGCCCCGTGTGGCCAACAGGGAGCTGCCATCGTCCGATCTCCCTGCACTTTCGATCTGCACACTCGGCACTCCATCGACAAAGATCGGGCAATTCCCATCGCACAAAGACGCACCGCACCCGACCTATCCAATCTCCGAGGTCCCGCCTGCCGATGAGGCGCAGGGTCGTGCGACCATCGGCCAGCAGGCAACCGGGCACGCAGATTGCAGATTGCAGACTGCAGGCTGCAGGCACCAGGCACCTGGCACCTGGCACCTGGCACCTGGCACCTGGCAAATGAGTGGAGTTCAGGGTCCTCGCTAAGGATTAGGCAGGCGGCGGCTACGTGCTGCTATAATCTTCGGTCCCGTCATGGCACCGGGATCAGCCGCCAAACGGAACCACAGGACCGGGTCCATCGACCCAGCTGTGCTTGACATTTTCCCCATCGGGGAAACCGTTGACCATCGGAGCAGAAAGGAGGATATGTCGATTTTGGTGGCGATCAGCATGTCTGCGTGCTATATAAACTCGCTCGTGGCCGTACATTCAAGCTGCATCAATCCACTCATCATCACACACTCTCTCAGTCAGGACACTCAGCCAAAACACTCTCAGCTAAGACATTCTCAGCCAAGTCACCTCAGCCAAGATGATTCCCGCCATGTTGACCACCCTGTCCATGCTAGGCGCTGCCTACGCTGCCTCTGTCCAGCCCGTGCTCGCCACCGGCGGATGCGCCAGCATCAATTCCTATTCTCCCCAGACGGGCTCGGCCGAAAACTTCTTCCTCGCAGCCACCGGATGCGTGAACGTCACCGCCCCCGATCAGGCGTGCCCCATTGAGGGATTCGCGCAAACGTCCGTTGTCCTCCAGGCCGCCGGAGTGACCGGTATCAGTGAAGGATATGTATGTAACTTCCCTCTTTTCTCCCATGACCGCAAAGCTAACAGCCTCGAGATTGCAATCGGCTCCAGCCCCAAGGCTAAGGACCCGATGTTCTGCAACGACGCCGCTTCCTCCCTGCTCCAAGGACTGGTCCAGATGGGGGAAAACGCGTACACCCCCGAGCCGCTGAGTATCGCCTCGACCCCCGAAGCCGCGCTGCTGATGTGGGGAGCGCCCGCGGATGCCATCATCCCGGTGGAGTTCTACCACCACTACGTGGACGGGGTTCAGCAGGATGGACTGTTCATCGGGGCGAACAACGTGACGACCTGGGCGATTTCGGAGCATGCAGACCCGGACGCGACGCTGTCGTACTGGAGCCCCCGGCTGCTGGTGCCAGGAAGTCAGAACCCGGTGACTGGGGCGCCGCTGGAGGCCGATGAACTGGTGACCTACATCAAGGTTGCGTATTTCTAAGCCGCATGGACGGGTTGTTTAATCCCAATGGACGAGGGTAGCCAGATTGCGGATTTTTAATCCGAAAGGGGGGGGGGGGGGGGGACGGGGGCATCAGGAGGGCGGATTTCTAATCCGAGTGGACGAGGAGATCGGAGGGGGAGATAGAGTTAGGTACTAGTCGAAAAATGTCAAGGAGAACTTTTCACCTGAGCATCAAATCAAGTCATCTGTAGGTGCAGACGAATCGAATCGCGGTGTCAGACAGCCACCGGGTCCACGAAATCGATGGCCTGGGCCTCGGGATGTCCCAAAGGAGGGCAAATCGGACGGGTCTGACGGGGGATCATGCGCGATTGCATCATGCAGAAAAGCCGGGCCGATCGCGTGGTGACAGCGGCCATCATCGATCGATCGGCTTCCGCATCGTTCAAGCCGCGGGTTGTTCTCGATCGCTTCGTTGCGCGACGCAGGTTGCCTTCTCTGCCTGTTCACCTCCTGCCCGCCAGCGATCATTCGATACATCATCGCGTGGAATAGGGGCATGCGCGGGGGAACGCTGTATAAGACATGCGCTTGCGCCCGTCGTCCGGGGAGGACAGCCAGACAGTCGACAGTGGACAGTGGACAGTGGACAGAATTCACATTCCCACCATCATCATGGATCGATACCCCAGCTCCAGCTACGACGACGCCGCCTCGTTGCGCTCGTACCCTTCCACCGTCGCCCTCGACGATTATCCCCCACCACTGTGAGTCTTGACCCTCATTTTGATTTTTTTCTCTTTTCATTTTCATTTTCACATCACTAACCGACCAGACACTCCCATCCCCCTTCGCTCATCTCCGGCTTCCCCCGTCCCCCCAGCCGCGCGCACATCCTCGACCATCCCCATCCCCATCCCCATCCCAATCCCAACCCTAACCCTAACCCGACCAGCCTCACCTCGCGGCCTTCGCTCAAAACCCTCCGTCGCAACTACATGGTCAACGAGCTGCCCCTCCTGCAACAGCAGAACCCCTACGACGGCTCCGAGCAATTCCACCCCGTGCAGGAAGCCGGGCTCAGCTACGACCTGATCGCGCCCTTCGACGCGACCACCGACGCCCCGCTGCACGATCTCGAGCGCCTGGCGGACCTGATGTTTTCGCCCGAACACATGCTGTCGCTGCTCAACAACCCGCGATATCTGGCGCGCTTCCGCGAGTTCCTCCTGGAGGAGCGCCCGCGCTCTCTCCGGCTGCTCACCTACTACCTCAACGCGCGCAAGGCGCTCAAGGCCATCGAGTACGCCAACGCGCTGGTGCGCTGCTGCATCGACCTCCCTCTCCCCGCCCTCCCCGTCGCCGAGCAGATCGGCGAGACCACCCATCCGGCCCTGCAGCGGCGCGTCCAGGAAGCCCTGCAGGCCCTGACCGACGAGGAACTCCCCGCGTTCATCACCTCGCGCTGCATCAACATCACCAGCCGCGTCGTCGAGGAGCGCGTCCGCGGCACCCTCCCGCAGAAGTTCCAGGGCACGTCGGACGCCCTGGCCGAGGTGTTCTGTCTGACGGATCCGTCGAGGCGCGATAATCCGATTATTTTTGCCTCGGAGGGTGAGTTCCCCCCATTTCCCTTCCCTTCCCTTCTTCCTCGGGGTGATGAAATGGGTGCTAATAGAGGGTTAGAGTTCCACCGCACCACGCAGTACGGAATGGACTACGTCCTCGGTCGGAATTGTCGATTCCTTCAAGGGCCTCATACGAATCCGTGCAGTGTGCGACGGATCCGAGAGGCGTTGGCGGCAGGGAGACATCATTCGGAGCTATTCTTGAATTAGTACGCATTCTTCTTCCTCTTGACCCCCATCCTCCCTCCTCTCCCACCTGGGCCCCTCCAACCAAGTTTAACCCATCTCATAGTCGCCGCGACGGCTCCCCCTTCATGAACCTCCTCCAATGCGCCCCCCTCTGCGACAGCCACGGCACAGTACGATACTTCATCGGCGCGCAGATCGACGTCAGCGGACTTGCCATGGACGGCGCGCAAATGGAGTCTCTGCGCGCCCTGCAGGAGAAACAGCGACGCCGCGACGAAGGCCTCACCGACACCGACACCACCACCGACACCACCTCCTCCTCCACCAAGACGGACGCCGACACCGAACCCGAACCCACAACCGACATCGACAACGACATCGACCACGACAACGACACAGTCATGGACACCGGATCCCCGGCCCAGAAAACACCCGTCCAGCCTGCCCCCCCCACCGACGAATTCCGGGACCTGAGCGAGCTGTTCAGCCCGCGCGAGCTGGGGGTGGCGCGCGACGTCGGCGGGAATCTGTTCCAGCCGGTGACGGCGGCTTTGGATCGCACCTTTCAGGGACATAGTCGGACGTGGTCGATGGCGGATACGGTCGAGATGGAGGCGATTAAGGAAAAGGATTTGAAGGCGGAGTTGTTTAAGGGGTCGTTGACGGGGGTTTATGAGAATGTGAGCACTCCTTCTTTCTTCTTCTTCTTCTTCTTCTTCCACTTTCTACCCTTGCCCTTACCCTTACCCTTACGATTTCCAATCCATACCTCCTCTTCTCAAGAGGACAAGAAAAAAAAAAAAGGCTAACAACCACTACCAAAACCCAGTACCTCCTCGTCCGACCGTACCCCTCCCTCCGAATCCTATTTACCTCCCCCTCGCTACAGATCCCCGGCATGCTGCAGACGTCCTTCCTGTCGAGGATCGGGAGCAGTTCCGCGGTGAGAGACGAGCTGCTGCATGCGCTGATGAGCGGGAGGAGCGTCACGGCCAGGATCAAGTGGGTGACACGGTTCAATGCGCAGGGCAGAGATCGCTGGGTTCATTGCACGCCGCTGCTGGCGAGTAATGGGGAAGTCGGGGTTTGGATGGTCGTTGTGGTGGATGAGGAGTGAGAGTTGGAAAAATTGAGATGGGAGTTAAGGGGGAGGGGGAGGGCTGTAGGCTGCGGTGCATTTTTCTGGTTCTTTTGGTAAATAGTATAGGGATTTCAGTTGGGTTGGCGGGTCTCAGGCTATTAAGTAATGTAACTAACTCACTTACTCACTTACTCACTCTTGGTTCTACGGATCCTAATACATACATATACATATACATATACATATTGAAAGGTCAACTGTGATATGGAGTAAAAACTAACCCGCAAATGAGGAATCGATCTACCTGGTGATTTGGATATGATACATACATCGTGATTCAACGGTCACGTGTCACTGCCTCCCCAGCCATGAGATGTTGTTGTGTTGTGAGGTTCACTTTCACCCACATCGCGATAGATTTGTCTCACTCACATCGTGCATCGTCCTTTGGCCCATAATTCATTCCACATAATTCATCCATCCCCACCTCAAGTCCGGCAAGGCAACATAAATACCCCCCCTACCCCCTCAACAACCCCTCTCCCTCCTCGCCTCTCTCCCAATCCCCATCGACATCCCCATCGCCATCCAACTTCTCCGCCACGGCCACGCCCTCCCGGCGTCCCTTCTCGGCATCAACCATCCACACCAGCGGAATCGGGAGAACGATCAGGACCGCAATGAAAAAGAACCCGGACCTGACCTGCCCCGTCGCATCAATCAGACCACCCACAATGGCCGGCCCGATAAACGAGCTGCCCTTATCCGTGGCCGCGTAAAGGGCGTAGAACGCGGCCTCGCTGCCCGGCGGAATCAGCAGCCCGAAGAACGAGCGACAGTACGACGCCAACCCGCCCGACACGATGCCGTGCACGACGCCCAGCGGATAGATCTCCCACGGCTGCTGCAGGCCGATGACGCCCCATCTCTTAAACAGCGGGATGTAGGCCAGCATGCCGTAGAGGGGGATGAGCTCGAACAGCGCGATGCAGAGCATGATCGTGTGGTTCGACTTCAGGCCGAAGTGCCGCGAGACCAGCGGCCAGAGGAAGGCGCCGGACATGCCGGAGACGGTGGCCGTGATGGACAGGAGCGCGATGGATGTGGTGCTCATTTTGAGTTCCGTGCGCGCGAAGAGGATGGCGGTGCCGGAGACGGTGGCGATCGCGTCCGAGAGCAGGAACCAGGCGATGAGGAAGAGGACGACCTCCCGGAGTTGGAAGGCGATTTTGGTCGTGTGCCAGAGGGATTTCCAGGCGAAGGTGATGAGGTGCAGAGTGGCGCGGGGGCGCGAGAGCCCGTGGGTCGATTCGAGTGGAGGGCCCGGCCGGTTGCGCAGCCAGCTGCGGCTGACGAGGGTGAACAGGAACCACCACCCCCCCACCAGCAGGAGGACGAAGCGGAGCGGCAGTGTCGGCGCGATTTGGGGCAGCGAGGTCTTGGACAGTCCGAAGAGGAGCAGGATGCTGAGGATCTGCACGAAGACGGCCGCGCAGTAGCCGAGCCCGACGCCTTGGGAGGAGATCCGCGTGGAGAGTTGCAGCTCGGGCGAGGTGCCCGCGTCGGTGGCGGGTCGGAGACGCGGAAGCTCTTCCAGGTCGACGGACGTGCGGGAGTGGCCGTCGCTGTCCGTGTTGAGGGAGTGCAGTTCCTCGGATTCCTTGGTCTCGTGCTCGATGGAGGGGTCGTTGGCGACGAGGACCGGCAGGAAGGAGTTCAGCACCACGAACGACGAGCCCAGACAGACCACCCCGATCACGACGAGGACGGCCCCGAGGGGGAAGACCGAGGGGGTGACGAAGACGAACAGCATGCTGGTGAAGGCCCCGAGGAAGCCGAAGCTCAGGAGCAGGGTCTTACGATTGTTGCCTGGTTGGTTGGGTGGTTGGTTGGTTAGCAGCGGCTGGGTTGGGGATTGTGAGGCGGATGGCATACCATAGTCGGCCAATGCGCTGAACGAGATCAGGGTCAACGCCTGCACGAGAACCGCCAGCGAGAAGGTGTACATGGCGAAGCTGGCGGTGTTGATCTGCAGTCCCATCAGGGGAACCACGCACTGTTCATCGTTGTCCTCGCCGGTCGCAGAGGGCGAGCCCGGACCAACGCACGGCAGATGGCTGGTCTGCAGGAATCCACGCTCGCGGGCCAATTGCTCGAGGGTGAGGGGGAGGAAGGAGCCTGCAGCAGAGGCGCGACATTAGCTCGAGCCACGACGGTGGGTTGCTCGACTCACCAACACCGCAGACGGCGAAGACTTCAGCGGCGATGCCATAGGCGTACCAACCCCAGATCTCTCGGCGGGTGGTGGGCTTGGTATCCTCGCCGGGATAGCGCGGAGCACGGGCCTGGACGTCCTCCTCGCGAGAGACCGGCGGGAAGGGGAGCTCCATGGCGAGGATGGGAGGGAGGGAGGGAGGACAGAGAGTCAGACTCGAGGACGATTTCTTCACAATCCGAGCATCCAGCAGGAACGAAGAGTTCGGAGCAGCCGGAGACCCGCGGAGATGAGCAGGCGGAGTTGTGCTGGCTGCTGCCCGGTTAGTCAGCACGGCCGCATGCACAACCACGCTAATGCACGGCTACGTCATCCGCCCCCACTGCCGGTCCGTCCTCGTGCCGTTATCGTGCCGTTATCGTATCAATCGCTCGGATCAGATGCCGAGAACTTTAAACCCCCAATATCATTATATCCTCATCGGACGGGGTGGGGTTCTCTTCTAGTTCTGCCTAGCTCGATCTATACCTCAGTAGCTGGGAACTCTACCTACATGTTGGTGGTAAAGTAGTCGGGGAAGAGCCGGCGGCAGGTCGACCTCGACCACTTCTTTCCAGGTCGCGGGCAATTCCTAACTGCCCAGACTCAGGTACGACGACGGCCACTTATAGGTCAAAAAGTAACACATCACTTCCTGGATACCGGATGACCCCTGACTCGAGAGGGCCTCCGGTTCCGGGCCGGTGGCTCGAGACACGTCGTCCCAGATGGGCCCGTCCTTCACTGTCAACAACACGCGAGACCCTTCTTCTTCTTCATCTCATCTCACCTCACCTCTCCCCTCTCCTTCTCTCCTCCTTCCACCTCTCTCCGTCTCTCCCTACCCTCCGTGCTGGCAAGCGTTCGTGTCTGAAGCGTTCTCGCGTTGAATTCCTTGTCTTCTTCATCTCAAGTCTTCCACTGCTCCAATAAACCTCACCTCTCCTTCTCTGACCGCTCCTTTCGCTCTCTCGTTTGACCACCGTCAAGATGTTCGCCCTTGTTTTGGCTTACCTGCAGATGATTTTGTTTAAGGCTCTGTATTTCATCAGAAACCATGACAAGAACCTGATCTGCAACTCGGTGGCCTTCAAAGACCACCCGGAGGCGACCATCAACCTGGAGTCCCCCGAGTGCGGCCTGTCCGGAGGTATCCTCCGCGACCACCACACCTGCTTGGACGAAGACGGCCAGGGAAAGCTTCCCGAGTTGCGTTGGAACTTGCCTCCTACTGGCCAGGTCGCCGAATTTGTTCTCATTGTCGAAGACCCCGACGTGCCTATTCCTTTCATGGTCTTCACTCACGGACTCTTCTTCGGCATTCCCGCCACTTGCCTCGCTGCCTACAACGAAGACGTCGAGAAGAATTGCAATGTCGATGGTCGTGTGACTTACGCCGGCTGGCACTTCGTTCCCAACCTCCTCGGCTCTGCTTATGTCGGTGCTGCTGCGCCCTATGGTCACGGCTTCCACCGCTATGTCTTCACCATCGTGGCCTTGAGTGAGCCTCTGCAGTTCGTCAAGCCTGACAAGGTCACTGTCGGCATCATGAAGGCCGCTTTGGTCGACAAGGTCCTCGCCTGGGGCCAGTGGGTCGGCCATTTCAAGCGCCCCCTCCCTCGTTAATCGACCCGCCAGTTCCTTTCACTGGGCGGTGCAGGGCTGGTGTTGATCGATGCTTGGGTTGCTCTTGCTCTTGACTTGTCAGCTGGGCTTGTTCTTGTCTCATCGTTCTTCTCGACTTGAACTTTATCCATCGGCTTCTCTCGACTTTTTTTTTTCCGAATCTTTCCATCGAATGTACATTGACTTGGCGTCTCATCACCGTCTCATATTATCGACCTCTCGTCTCATCGACGCCTTGTCTGTCCGCTTTACACCAATCTCGCCTCATCAACGTCTTGTCGCCGACCTATTGGTGTTAGTGCTCGTCAACATCTTGGTGCTTGCGGCGGATTGCATCGTCCGGTGCTGGATAGGAATGGGTTGGTGTCTACTTCTGTACTTTTCCTTTTCGTTTCAGATCTGGCTGTGTTTCTCCAAACCTTTTTTTTTTTTTTTTTTTCCCTTTCGTCGTTGTCCCATGCCAGTTCTAGGTTAAGTTACTGAGTGAAGCTCGCTTACCTCAGTTGGAGATCACAATAATCTAATGAATTCATTCCATTGCTCTCGCAGGTCTAGCGCCTTATATCGCCGTCGTCGTCGCCGTCGTCGTCCTTCCTCCCTCGATAGTCCCTCCTCTATAGTCCTCCCCTCCCGCCTCGTCATCATCGCCATCAATTCACACCCCCTACACCAGCCATTAGCCACCGAATAGATCAAAACAACCCAGAAGACAACAAAATAGCACAACACAACAAAGCAAAGCAAAGCAAAGCAGAATACCTACCAGCCTCCACGCCCACCTTCTCCATAAACACCACAAACCTCCTCACCACCGCCTCCACCTCCGCCCGCAATCCAGTCCTGTCACCCACACACCCCTTCTCCTTCCCCCTCACACCACCAGAATCACCACCACCACCACCACCAAACCCAGCCCCAGACCGAGAACCACCCCTCAACGCCCTGCCCACCCCCTCCAACACCCCCACCACCTTGACCAAATACCTCCCCACCAACGTCCTAACCAGCAACACCTCCTCCTTGTCATCCAGCTCCATCTGTCCCAGCCGCGTCTTGCTCCGCATGCATATACACTGTGATAGCGACACGGTGGACTGCTCGGCTCCAAAACCAAGGTCGAAGAGGAAGTTGTTGTTGTTGCTGCTGTTGCTGTTGCTGTTGCTGCCACCTGCGCTTCCACCAGCACTACCAGCACCACTCCCACTCCCACTATTACCACCCATTCCGATTCCGATTCCACTTCCACCGCCAACCCCCCTCCCGATATCAGTATCGAGATCGAGATTGAGATCGAGATCGAGATCAACACCAACATCAACATCAAAATCAACACCAACACCAACACCAACACCAGCCCCCCCAATCCCATAAGCCAAACACACGGCCTCACACAGCAAAAGACACTGCTCTGCAAGGCCAGGCAAGACGCCGAAAGAGGTGTGTGGGGCTTTGCGACACTCCGGACACGAGAGGATGGTTTGGGCGTGGGTGTGGATCCGTTGGATGAGGGAGAGGATCGTGCTCAGTTCGAGGACGGGTTGGATTGTGCGCAGGTCGGTGGTTAGTTGGAGGGTGGTGAGGGGGCAGGGGCAGGGGCAGGGGGTGGGGGTTAATGAAGTTGTCATGGTGGTGGTGGTGGTGGTGGTGGTGTCGATTGGGGAGAGGGAGAGGGATAGGGAGAGAGGGAGAGGGAGAGGGAGAGAGAGGGGGAGGTCGAGGTCGAGGCTTGGAGGGACATCTAGGGGGAGGGAAAGTGGGAGGGAGAGGTCGGTGGTGGAGGTTGGGGTCGGTTTGGATTTGGTGTTGCTGGAGTTGGGACGGTATGTACCTCCTCCTCCTCCGGTGGTAGTGGATGTCCACATTGTTGATGGGGAGGGAGATGGATAGGGATAGGGGTAAGGCATCCTGATTGTTGTTGTGTCTGGTTTGAGAGAGGGAGAGGGAGAGGGAGAGAGAACGAGAAAAGATATGAATGGGTTGGGGACGTGGAAGGAAGGTTAGGGTATACTACCTCCTCTCTGTCTGTCCACAGACATACATGGACACTGGACACTGGATACTGGATACTGGATACTGGATACTGGATACTGGATACTGGATACTGGATACTGGATACCGCATCCTGCTCCTTCACGTGCGTGACAATGCCCCCATCCCGTCTCTTGCGTCTTCCCTATCCACGAGTACAACCTCGGTGTGGCATGGGGTGGCTGGCATGGCAGCCTCACATTTTCCCTTCGACCCTGCGATTAAGCTTTGTTGGCTGGGTCTGGAGATCCGCCACTTCATCGTGGAACGTATCTGTCATTCGACCCGCGGATGGGTCGCACAGATGGCGATGGCGACTGACTGACGGTGACGGGTGGCTGGCTGGCTGGGCTGTCGCTGGTGCTGGTAAGTTGCTGGGTTGCGTGGTTGGGTGATGGGATGGATGGGTATGCTAACTGGAGTTTGGACATAGGATAGGAAACAATAGAGAGAATGGACTTGGAATGACTGGGGTGGCGTCTACGATGGAGTCTACGGTGAGATGGATAACATTAGGCGATGGGTATTCACGGAAACAAGTACACGATATCAAACAACCCCCCAAGCCAAATTTATTTAAACCCTACACATTACATCCCCCGGATACCACCAGCTACGACCTATATCACGGCCTGGCCAACATCTTCGTCCGCATCATAATCAGCTCCAGCCTCCGATCTGTCTCCATCATCATGATCAGCTTCCCCCGCGACGCCGAAACAGGCGAAATCTCCTGCGTGCAGACGCGGATCTTCCGAACCGTGGCCAGCATCTCCGACAACCGCAGCCACAAGACATGCTTGATAAAGCAGAATTTGTCCTCCGTCGGCACGCAGAACCCCCCCACGACCAGCGGACACGCCTCCACCTGGCTCCGAAACTGCAGCCCGGGGCCCCGATACCGTCGGTCCGGGAGCAGCTGGTCGTGATGATGATAGCCCGCGAACAGCCGGTCCGCGAGCCCGCTGTCCACGGACGTGATGGCTTCCAGCGCTGTGACGAGACTGTCGATGCCGACGATCACCACCATCAGCAGGTTGGCTCGCGTGCGGCAGCACACGGTGCATTGCAGGATGGTCTCGGAGAGCTGCTGCAGCACGCGCTGGCAGCTGAGGATCGAGTCGATCGTGGCGTAGGGCCCCGCGCGAGACGCGAAGATGTTCACGCGGATGAGCTCGCGACTGGTTCGTTCGTGGCATTGGCATTGATATTGTAGCATGGCGGGCGTGGGCGTGATCTCTCCCCCGGTGGGTGGGAGTGCGTATCCGCACCCCCGCTTGGAGACTTTCGCCGGGGTGGAGTCTGTTATTGACACTGGTCTGGGGAAATTCTCCACCGGCTGCGGCCAGGCTAGGAGGTCCTCTTTGAGGTATTTCTGGTCCGGGACATCTGACTGTTGCTGCTGCTGTTGCTGCTGCTGGTGTTCGAACGTCGTCGGCGCGAGATATCCCTCGTCCTGCGTCTCGGTCACGAACCCCTTTGTTTCGGGGGAGTTTTCGACACAGCTGCTCTCGGGTTTGATGCTGCTCAGACCCAGCGAGTCGAGCAGTTCGCGTTCCTGTGCTAGATCTGCGGCTGGGTTTGTCATGAATTCGTGCAGCCAGCTGTCGGTCGAGAGGTCGATTCCGTCGGAGACTGGCGTTATCAGCATCATTCAGGAGTGTCCATCCATATCACATCGCCATAAAAGGAGAAGGAAAACAGAAAGAAAGAAAGAGAGAGAGAGAGAGAGAGAAGAGGAAGTACAAACCCGAAAACAACCCCCCATCCATAAAACAGTCCGTCTGCACGGACGACCCCCCCTCCAACGAGACAGGATCCATCTCCACGCCAGCCATATTCTCCAGCATCAGGGTATCATCCAACCCATGACCCCGATGTCCCAGTGCATCCACCTCCTGCAGCCCCATCTGCACCTCCATGCCCATGCCCATGCCCACGCCCACCCCGATTCCCATACCTATGCCCATATCCATACCCAACCCCAACCCCATGCCCATGCCCATGCCACCATCCTCCTTGACCTTGTTCTTCTTCTTCTGGCCCCCACGCATCATCCCCCGCTGCGCCCCCTGCTGCTGCTGCTGCTGCTGCGGACCAAAACATCTCTCCAAATCCAGCGGATCATGATCCAGCGTCCCCCCCAGCCCACCTCCCCTCGCAGCCGTCCCGGCGGGCGTGGCGGACGGCGAGGAACAGCCGTCTTTCTTCTTGGCGGGCCGCCCCAGTCGCCGGGAGATGCTGTAGATGCACTCGATGTTGTGCTTCTGGCATCGTCGGCAGGAGGGTTTCTCGTGGCTGCACCGGATCTTGGCCTGTTGGCAGGCGTTGCAGGTGGAGCGCACTTTGACACTTTTGGGGAGGGTGGGGGGTGAGGTTGGGGATGGTGATGGGAGTGGGATTGGGGGTGGGATTGGGATTTGGGAGAGGGGTTCATTGTGAGGGTGGATGGATGGGAGGGGAGATGAAGTAGAGAGAGAAGGCTAATGGGCTGGGTGGTGAGAGAGTAAGAGAGTAAGAGAATGAGGAGGTGAAAAGGTGAGTAAATGACAAGTGAATGCACAAACACAAACATCTTCCCCATCCCTCTAAGTAGACTCTCCCCCAAACACACACACACACACACACACACACACATATACGTATACACACACATATCCAATCCAATCTAGATCCCCCAGACTTACCCCCCCCCCCCCCCTTCAACCTGCTTTGATTAGTTCTTGGCCACGCACCTCCACAACCTTAACCCCAACCTATCCCAAGCAAGAAACCACAGTAACAATCACAGCTCAGCCATGTAACCTCTCCTCTCCTCTCCTCCCCTCCCCTCCCGATCAATCCAGGTTCCACATCCCTATGTCGTGCGAGGATCTAAGGCTGAGCTGAGCCGGCAGAGAAAGGGATTGGTCGGCGAGCATGCACGGCCGTTTGTGTTTCTTTGCTGGGTTGCAGGGCAGATCTTGGTTGGACGGGGAATTGGGGGATTTCCGGGGTGGGAGCTTGGGTAGATTTGTGGTGATGTAGATAGGTAGTAGACAGACTAGATATCTCGAGGGATAGGATATAAGTAGTGAGTAGTTAAGAAGTAGTGAGTAATTAAGAAGTAGTGAGTAAGTAAGAAGTAGTAAGTAAGTAAGAAGTAGTAAGTAAGTAAGTACTGGCTAGTATAGTATAAGACACAAGAAAACAAGGCTGAAACCAACCTAATCCAAGATATGATATCCCAAGCGACTGACCACTCCAAAAAGCAAAGCAAATCAAATCAAAACAAATCAACGCAAATCAGAAAAAAAAAAAAAATAACAAAAAAAAAATAAACCAAACCCTCATCCCCGAACCTCTCCAGTCTCCAGTCACAATTCCATTCCGCCGCGTAACACCACCACTGTACTTTATCGCATCTCATTTCATTTTTCTCTTTTTCTCTTTCTTTCTTTCTTTCTTTCTCTCCATCCATTGAAGCTCCCTCGCCTAATAATCCCTAATCCCTAATCCCTAATCCCTATTCTCTCCTTGGCACGAACTCCCTCTCCCAACTCGCTAACCAAACCCGTCCACAGGGCACAGCACAAGCCACCAGCACCGCACCGGGTAAGACCATAGGAATAAGATCAAATAGTAAAGTACTATGCTATGCGTGCGCACGTCTGGGCATCGCGGCGGGGTGTAACCTGGCTGGAGGCAGTCCTATTGCGGTATCCCTATCCCTTCTTTGTCCTACCCGGGAATGTGCCTGTTCCGAGATGGTCTGCTGGGGGGGGTGATGATGATGATGTTGGCAGGAGTGCATGGGGCACTCCAGAGTGAAGTTGTCGTCGGACTTGTCCGCTGTGTTTCTGTTTCTGTTTCTGTTCTGGTGCTGTTGTTGTTGCTGTTGTTGCTGTCGGGGAAGGTGGTGGTGGTGGTAAACCCCGGCCGAGAGGTCGCCATTCCCGGTCCCATTCCCGGTCTCACTCCCGGTCTTTCTCTTTCTCTCTCCCTTTCCCTTTCATCACTCCCCTCCACCCCCATCTCCACCCCCATCCCACCCATAAATCCACCCCCACCCCCACCCCCAGAACCCACCTGATCATTCACCACATAAAACCAATTCCCCGCCACCGGGCCGCCCAACCGCGCAACCTCGACAAACTGCCTCGTATCAAACCCGGCCCTGGCCTCCGCCGTCGGGGGGAAGATATGGTTGAAGCACGTCGGGAAGACATAGGTGTCGGGCTGCTCGAACAGCAGGTAGACGTAGCGGTGGTGGGAGGCCGGTGGGGGGCGCGGGGCGATGTAGCTTGCGTTTGGGGAGGGGGAGGGTCTGGGTTTGGGGGTTAGATGGGAGGGGGGAGGGGTGGGAGGGGAAGTTGGAGTTGGAGTTGGAGTTGATGTTGATATTGGTGTTGGTTTTGGTTTTCGTGGTGGTAGGGTTTGCGTGTGGGGCTTGGAGGGCTGGGGATGCTGGCGTTGGAGATCAGATCGGGCTGGTACCAGTGGAGGATCACGGTGGAGGATTGGCCGTAGATTACGTCCAGGTCCAGGAAGAGGAGGAGGTAGGTGGTGTTTTGGGAGAGGTTGTGCGTGCTTAGGTAGGGGAGGGGGTGGGTTTCTGTATATATATATATATATATATATATATATTTTTGCATTATTATTATTACTTACTCGGGGTTTCTTTCGAGGTGGGGGGAGAAGAAGAGATAGAAGAGGGAAGAATGAGGAAAAGGGAGGCAAACCAGACATCAAAAGATCATCTCCCGGATTCACCCACGGGGTATTGGGGTACTTCAGATACAGGGTCTGGTCAAAGGTCGGCAGGTCGATCTGCGCAGGGACCAGAAGGGGGAACACGACGAGCAGGAGCAGCAGTGGATAGAACATCTTGGAATGCTCAATTGTTCAAGATACGAGATACTTGATCGAGAATTGGAGTCTGTCTCGCAGCGCACCCCACCAGCTTTATACACCCAAGCCCAGGACAAAAGACAGAAGACAGAAGACAGAAGACAGAAGACAGGTAACCCTCCCACGACAGCATGTGTAACTCCCATCCCACGCATCGGCAAATAATCCACTCCACTCCCCGGAGACATTTCCTCCACTGCCCTGCCCTGCCCTGCCCTGCCCTGACCGGTCCGGTCCGGTCCAGATAGAAATCCACAAGGCATCGGGGCATCGAATTCAATCCACAGCTATGCCATGCCCATTGCCATGCACCCTCCACTCCAGTGCATACCGATACACCACTCCCAACAACACCAACGCGCCCCCCATCACCCCGCCACCACTACATAGGTCGCCCCGTTCCCCCAGGCCAGGATCATCGGGTGCACTGCCCCCGTCGCCGCCGCGCCCAGAAAGCACCGCACGAGGTTATTCGCCGCCATCGCGGTGGCCGGGGTTGAGTAGTGCAGGTCCACGATCAGCACGTTGAGGATGTTGTATGCTGCTGTGATGGCGAAGCAGATCGTGAAGATCAGGGCCAGCGCGAGAGGCAGAGGCGGATGGGCGTCGATGATCGGGCCGTAGAGGAGGATGGTGAGGCTTGCTAGGATCTGTATATGCCATGTCAGGTTACTCACTCGATTGCATTGCTTGGTTGGCATGCACGGGTTCTTGTCTTCTCTCTCTCCATCTCCCCTCCCCATCCCCTATCCGTGTCTTCCTTGTTATACGGACGGACATGAAGAAGCCTAGACATACCGTCATCGGCCCCCCAACCTGCAACCTGGCCCTCTCAATCGGGAACGTCCCATGGTCGTGGTCGGGGGCTTGTTTCCGGGTCCGCTCGACGGGGATCCCGGCGTGGCGTTTCAGACGCCGGTAGTTCCAGTCGACCACCAGACCGTTGAAGGTCGTGCTCAGGAGAGAGCCGATCCCCGCTGGGATGAAGACCAGGCCGATGGCGAGGTCGTTGAGGTGGTAGATCTGCTGGAATTGGGACGGGATGCCCGCCGTCACGGCGTAGTAGCTGGCGAAGATGATGCCGTTGGCGAGCAGGAGGAGGCCGGTGGGGCGATGGAAGAGCAGACGGAGGGTGGAGAGGGGGTTGGGGAGGGTAAGCTTTGTCGTGTCTCTGTCTGGGGTTGAGTCTGTCCCGGTGCTTGAACCAGATTCAGGCTGAGGGACCGGAGCTTGGATATGTATAGCCGAGGGGTGATCTCGATACCACGCAAGAACAGACCGATTCCACCCCGTTGCGGGGATCGAGCCATCGCCCACGATATTCCGACAAGTCTCGGGGAAGAAGAGCAGCAGCGGGAGGAAGAAGAGGGCCGAGGTGATGGCCAGAAACCAGAAGATGGCCTGCCAGCCGAGGTACTGGCTGAGCAGGCCCCCGAGCAGGGGGCCCAGCGACGGGGCCAGGATGATCCCCAGCGAGGTGATGGCCATGTAGGAGCCCCGTTCCGCGGAGGTGATCACGTCGGCGGCCACGGCGGACGCCAGAGCGACCGTGCCGCTGCTCCCGCAGCTTTGGATCGCGCGCAGGACCAGCAGCGCGGCGTAGCTGTGTTGCAGGGCCAGGGCGACGTTGCCGACGAGGTAGATCGCGAAACAGACGATGTAGGCTGGTCGACGGCCCGCCTGGTCGGCGAAGGTGCCCATGAAGGCCGGGGCGAGGCCTTGACATAGCTGGTTGGGTGAGTGGTTAGAGAAGAGAAGTCGGGGCTGGAATCAAGTTGGGATACCGACCATGTAGGTCGTGATGGTGAGGTTGATCTGCGAGTTGCTTACGTGCAGGTCGGCGGCAAGGGAATTCAGGGCTGGGTAGTAGATGTTGGCGGACAACGGCGAGAAGCTGGATGCCAGGGCGGCCGTCAGGATGATCAGACGCTTCTGGTTGGTCGTGAAGACCGAGTATGGCTGGGATGGGAGCAGAGCTGTGGCTTCAGTGGGGGACTGGGATGATGGGTTGGCCATGATGCTGATGATGATGCTGCTGATGATGCTGATGATGGTGGGATTGTACGATGGGGCTATGACTATCGAGACACGGGCACTTCAACGTCGGACCATTTGGCCCTGATTGGATTGGCTCCTATGAAATGGACGCATGATACTCAACTCGGCCCGTCTAAAGCTTGGGCAACGGCCTGCTCTCTGCCTCCCCAGTGTAGATGTGCAAAGGCCGCAACAACTTTCCGCGTGTCACTGTCCATCGTCAGAACTCCCCGACATCTCACCGGCGCATCACACGCTTACCCATGTATTCCCGCCAATGTGCCATGATGCCCATGATTCGCTGCGCCAGCATCGCCGCTGGGATCATCTCCGGCTCGAAGCCACTGCCTTGTCAGTCATGCCCCGGGGAAGAGGGGGGGAGGGGGGAGTGTGATCGACGTACAGGCCCGTGAAGACAAAGTTTCCGTAGAAGTCAGCGTTCGGATGCAGGCCACGTCGCCGGAAGAAGTCGTCAGTGGATGCCACCGTCTCGATGTGCTCGGCTACTTTCAGCAGTCGGTTCGAGGTCAGGTCCAGGTCCGTCAGGATGGCCTGGATAGGTCGCACCCGGGGGTCGATCCCCTTGTAGGAGCGGTGGCCGTACCCGAACAGCTTCTCGCGGCCTTGTTTGACCCTGGCGATATATTCTGGGACCTTGGCCGGGTGGCCGATCTGTCTTAACACCCGCTGGGCTGACTCGGTGGCGCCGAAGTGGAGGGGCCCCCAAGCGGCCGTGACGGCGGCGATCAGGCAGGAGATGGGATCGGTGAGGGATGAGGCTGTCGTCAGGGCTGAGAACACCGCCAGGGCCATTCCGTGGTCCGCGTTGAGCATCGCAAATCGTCGGAAGCACGACAGCTGCACAGGATCAGGGCGGCCGGTCTTGGGATCGGCCATGCCGGCCATCATGAACAGGTTCTCCAAGTAGGTCCTCCCCTCGGCCGGGGGGGTGAACTGCACGCCCTTTCGATGACAACTTACCAGGCCGAATACCACCGCGTAGGCCGCCACGGTCTGGACGATGGCTCGATCGCTGTTCTCAGTGCTATCCCGGTACAGATTCGCATCGGTGGATGCGGGAATCAGGTCCGAGTTGCTGGCGAGATATGCGGAGAGGCCCGCGACGATGAGGGACAGTGGCGAGGACGTGCCCCTGCACTAAGTAGTCAGTGAATGTCCAGGTCCTGTACACAGTACACATGTCCTTGTCCTCACGGAAGGCTTTGGATTGTCCTTTTCACCGTGTCCGGCACGGCCAGCATAGCCTCCGTCAAGCTACGGCGCAGGACATCTCTTTGCAGCCCCGTCGGATACGAGGCCCAGACGAGGAGATGCAGCATGTCTTCGAAATCGCTGTCCCAGAGCTGCTCCAGACTGTGGCCACGGAAGAGCAGCAGGCCCCTCTCATGATCCCTGCAACGTCAGATCGATCGCATACCCGGAAGAACTTACGAGAAGCTTATGGCGGTTTCGACGACCGTGGTGTTCTGCAGCCCCGGATCGTGCACCCGCAGGCCACTCGCGACCTGGTCAGCCCGGTCCGTGCCATCTCCTGGGGCTTTGATCTTCTTGATGTCCAGGGCGGACACGGCGTTTCTCCGGACGGGCACATCATATTGCACGCCGGTGCGCGAGTCTGTGATGTGAAGGATCCCTGAAGACATGTCGCTAGATAGACTGGAGCGTGTCGGGGTGAAATATCACTTGTGACAGTACGGATGATGGCGAGATACTAGTACCTCATATGCCGTAGTCAGCACCAACAGGACTGTTAGTACCAGCTGTCGGCATACCAGGTGCTGATAAGATGCATCATCGTTCGACTGGTTAAGACCGGCATTATCACCAGGCCGGGTACTACCATACCAGCCTTGTGGCACATCCGATCGATACTGCCGGGCCAACGCCGACGCCTACCGGTGGCCATTCGAGACCACTGCAGAAACTCGTCGCTCTAAGGTTTGAATTGAAGTCTGATCAATCATCAACATTTTCATTCACTACGTTCGGATTATTCGTCGTCTCGGTCATAACACGTTCCCCCGTCCATTAACTGCCAACTGACTGCCTACTGAGGCATGTGCTCGAAAGGCTTGGCCAGGTGCTCCTGGCAGAAGGGCAGCTTGCTGACGGTCCAGATCTCGGTGTCCTGTTCGAGTGGTTAGTTGGCGGTTGGGGCGACTGAAGGACAGGCAGGCATACCGGCTGGAGGGTCTTCTTGATCTCCGTGTCCAGGGTCCCGGCCTTGAGGGCGATGATCTCCGGGGCGGCATCCGGGTCATGGGCAATGGGGGAGCCACATTCCGAGCAGAAGAGCCGGTGCACGGCCTTGCCCGAGGATCCGTAGCCGGTCCACTTCTTGACGGGTCCGTTGAGGGTCAGTTTGGCTTTGGGGACCACGGCGACCAAGGCTGGGAGGGATTATCAGTACGATGCGGTGGCTGGGGTCGTAGGGGTCGAAGGGGACACTCACAGTAGGTAGAGCCGCTCTGACGCTGACAGTCATCGCAGTGGTCGTAGGCGACGAGGGCGGGCTGGTCGACGTCGGCCGAGTAGGTGACGGCCTTGCAGAGGCAGTGGCCGGTCAAAGGCATGATGATGATGATGGTGATGATGATTATTGGTGGTGGTGGGGTGGGAATGTGCGACCAAGGTGCTCACGGATGAGGACCCCTCGAGACAGAGACAGACAGGCCTCGTATTTATAGGGCAGATGTCCCGGTGGACAACCTCCTTCTCCTCCTCCTCCTCCTCCCCCCTCCTCCTCTCCTCCTCCTGCTGATCGGTGGTGACGACATGGCGGGGAGATGGGCGCGACTAGAAGGGGAATTAGTCATGGCCCTTCTGGTTCCCCGCCCCGGCACGAAACTCTGCTCCAGCAACATTTAATATTACTATTCAACAAACTGCCCTCGATGCCACGCTTACCCCTTCCGGCGAAAGATTTGTCACGCTGGATCCCGGGGAAGAGGCCCCGACCGTCGATCGCAGGTCTGCCACAGTAATTAGTTGCATGGCTTAGCTTAGCTCCTGTGTCATCGCTAACTACAGAAGAGAATACCTTACTACTATCTACCGTGAGTTGTCGAACCACAGCCAAGGTCCGAGAAAAAAAAAAAAAAAAAAAAAAGCAACCATTCCACACCGGACTCAAAAATCGGGGCTATCGGATCGAAGCGCATTCACGGAGCAGGCGGAGCTAATATCTCGTGTTCGTCTGACTGCCTGACTGCCTGTCTGCCTGCTTACCACCCAGCACTTACTCACTCACTCTTACTTATCACGATGTTCCCGTCCCGGGTGGTCTGCTGGAACAAAAGGGTATGTAGAATGTAGATTAAGGTAAGTATATGTATGACTGCATTCCTCGACCCTGATTCCAAAACATCCATCGAAAAATGATCTTCTTCCAGGAGTCGGCTTGCTTGCTTACTCGGGGCGGCATTGTGGCTTGACCCAACAAAGCGCATAATTCCCCGAGGGCAGACCCGAAATTCAGGGCGGCAGGAGGAGGCGTGCTTGCTGCATCGTGCTGCTGCAGACTTGGACTCTTATGTGACGACCTTGCATCTGGATGCCCCCAACCTATGCAGTAGCCAGCTAAATCAGTAGTTCGTATCTCCAATGGGAGTCCGCGCGGGGGTTTCACCTTCCGCAGTATGGACTAATTCGATGACTGCAGGATGATACCACTTCTTCTGCGCAAAAAAAAAAAAAAAACCGCAGCATCGCGCTTGACAAATACTCGTCTGCTTGCTTGCTGCCAAGCAGGAAAGCTGGTTCCTTGGCGGCGGAGACTCCATAGCTGAGGGTGGATGTGGAAAAGACCCACTAAGAACCACCAAGTCTGAAGTCGAGCTGTAGCTTGTTTGTAGCGACATGATTTCCCCGCCGGGAAAGAGTGACATGGGTCACCAAATCACAGGAGGGGGGGGGGGGGGTATCTAGATTATTTGCATAGGAGATCAAAGAGGGTAAAAAGTAGTTAGTTGTAGTAGCAGGTGGCGGACAGAAAAAAAAAAGAGTGGGGGAAAAAAGAAAAAGATATTACGGCCCGCCCGATGCGAGACTCGAACTCGCAACATTCAGATAATCCTTATGTGGGATAAAAGTCTGACGCTCTGACCAATTGAGCTAATCGGGCCGAGATTATGGCGACGATGCCCAGCTTTGGCCTGATGAGCCGGATAACAACCCATAACCAGGAGAGCAATGGAGGATGTGTCCAGTGTCACTGTACACAGCCAAATACCCAGAAAGCAAACGCACAAGCCTTCTACATGGATGGTGCCCGCAAACACCGAAGCCGTGGGTTACCAATGTCACGTCGCCCGAAGAGGAAGGCCCTGACGACTGACTGACTGACTGACTGACCGATTGTAAGCACGGTTCTCAGCACTTGTGGCACTGTAACCCGATCCTTTGGTCTTAGATGGCCTTTGAATCGGGGATACTGTCGGCCGGGAACCTGCAGGTCGATGGGGACAGTACTCATCTTCGGTAAACGCCGATGTGTTGAGCTGCCGCTGGCTGCTAGCTGCTGGCTCCTGGTGCTTTTGCTTTTGCTTTTTGCTTTTTGCTTTTTGCTTGGAGCGGAGGCCCACATGTTGATCACCTCTGGATAGAGTCTGTTCTGGTCTGGGTTTGTGTTTGTGTACCTGTGCTACGGGGGAATGGGAGTGTCGGTGCGTCGACATGTGGCCGTGGTAGCGGATTCAGCATCATATGATTTTGGCAGGGAAGGGGGGACTGGAGTGTAAGTATATCTGTTTGCCTGGATGTGTTTAGTTGGTTGGTCTGGGCATCCTGTCCATGTTGCGGAAATCTTTCCTACGCCATGTCATTTTTGATGTGATGCACAGGTATTGCAGTAAGCCTGGACGACTTCTTCACTGGCGCAGTAGATGATGCTTCCTCTTTATCAACCTCACATACGCGCGCCAAGCGTAGACCTAGCTAGGTCTATAAGAGTCCAGGCACTTCCTTCTTAGGATAACTCTCTTTCTGGATATCTGGTCACCTTTTTTGTCGAGGGATTTTGATCGACATGACTTCCGCGGTCGCCGGCAGCTTTATATATCCTTCCTGGGTGGTCCTGTCCGGGGATGGAATTCGTCAATTGCAGTATTTACAGAGAGAATAGAAAGACAGCCGGATAAACTTCCCAGACACAAGTGTATCATAACTTCCCAACCCAACACCACCTCCCCTCCATTTCCTAGGAACGAAATGGACAGTGCCCGCAACGCCGGTACCGGGCCGTGGAGTGGCCGGTTCCGGACTTGCCAGAAGGGGAGGATCGCTGGCCCCAGGCAACAAGACTCTGCCCGGATGCCGAGTTTAAGTTGATGATCAGTACTCCGTAGTAGAAATATGAATATTCCCCTCCCTCGTTCCCAAATAATCCTGTCTCATCCATCATGCACGCACGAGATTCTCTCCGGACCTTGCAGATAACTGCGCGGTGTACATTCTACGAAACTGGCCAGATATCCTCCCCCCCCCTTTTTCAATTTCTCGCCCCCTCGCCATCTCATTCACTATCCAGTCCATATCATACCCACTGTCATACACGGCTCTATAACCGCCTGCCGGGACTTCTTGGCCCTACCACCGTCGATAATCCCCTGGCCCTGGTCTCATCCCGGAGATTAGCATGGCGTTATCTCCGCGCGCGGGTCCGGACCCGATTCTTGGCCGTCGCCGGCTTCCTCCTCCTCTTCCTCCGCCGCCGCCACCGCCAGCGTCGCGACAGCACCAGCAACAGAAACAGCATGTGCGGTCGCTCCGCAGATTAAACACTCGCAGCCACCCCACATCCTCGAGAATGGAGCACTTTGAACGCACGTAAGCGACCCCACCCTCGTCCATCGGGCACGGAGGGAGGAAAGAGAAGAAAAGGAGAAAAAAAAAGATATTTCTGACGGGAAAGCCTAATAGGCCGTCACCGGCGATCAAAAGGAGCAAAAAGGCTTGCACGGAGTGTAGACAGCAGAAGGTACGTACGGGGGGACCAGACACGCGGTGATCCCGGCTCTAATTCCATAACATACAGGCAAAATGCAATGCGTACTTGACCCCCGATCAGCCGTGCACGCGGTGCTCGAAGCTGAATATTCAATGTGTGATTTCGGATCCCTTTCGCCGAGAGCATAAGCGCAAGTGGGTTGATCTGGCTGTTGTGGGGGGGGAGGAAATGGATACGCAGGAGGGTAATAATGATGATCTCGAATATCTAGGCGCCTCTCGGAGCTGGAGCAGGAGACGGACGAGCTGCGACAGAGATTACGATTTACGCAGCCCAACAATGATAATGACCCCAGACCGTCGCCGATCGCTATGTTGACGGCCGCGGCGGAGATGGAGGGTCACTCGGTCCCTACTAGTGGGGGGGAATTGACGCTGGCTCCGGATTCACAGACGCCGTCGGTTGAGAGCCAACAGCCGCTGCTCTCGTCGATTAATCCCAGGCCGTTGGATCTGGACCTGGGAGTGGGAGTAGTACGCGCGTTGGATCCCACGGAGGCAAGGTCCCTCAATAATGTGCACTTGACAGGGTGTGAGGTGGATGAGTTGTTTCGGATGTACGTGCTGCGTGCATATGCGAGTTTACGGCTGTCGGATGGAAAAGCTGATAGGAAACAGATTCTTTCACCAGTATGCGTCGTTTCTTCCTATCCTGGATGCCCAGACTACGCCGAATGCAACCTACACGCAGTCTCCGTTTCTCTTCTGGGCAATCGTCGCCGTCGCGTCCAGGACGTACCCCCAAAATCCGACGTTGTTGATGGCTCTCTCGCGGAGTGTGGTCGAGATGGCCTTTCTGTCGATCGGGTCGGGGGGTTCGGCGTGGTGCATCATCCAGGGAATGCTGCTCATTCAAACGTGGCCGTTTCCCAAGGATGTCAACGCGACGGACGTCACGTTCCCGATGAGCGGCATGCTTCTACATATTGCCATGCAGCATGGGATACACATCCCCATGTCCAGCAATGAGTTTCTGAAGAGGAAGAGACTGCCTGCCCCGTCAGAAGCGGAGATGACTAGGCGCTCCGAGCTCTGGGCACATTGTGTTATTGTCTATCAGCGGTAAGCTGTCGGCCTTGATGGAAGCTCGTTGTCTAATCGAGATCAGTGCATGTGTGACAAAGGGACACCCCCCGCGCGCTCTGATGGACCTGGAGCCGGATGGAGACCTGAAGCGGATGCTATTCCAGCGAGTCTCTCCGTCGCTGGCACTCGAGTTGAAATGCGAGGACCTGATTACCCGGTGTAGCGCGGCTGTGCTCGAGTTCGGCGTGCGGACCCTGTCCCTCGACCAGGAGAAGTCGTTCGATATTCTCTTACGGGCATTTGATTCCCAGGCGGTTGACCTAGAGGCTCAGGCGATGTCTGGTATGTATCCCTGTCAATCAAAGAACATCAGCTAAAGAGGTTGCAGCCTATGATCGTTTCTCTACGGCAATGTGTCGTCTCAGCATCCAGATCTTCCACCTCTTCCGAAATACCAGTTCATTCTCGGCCGGATGCCTCGCGCAGCTTCTGAGCACAGCTTGTAACACCATCGATTCCATCCATAACCTGGGGCAAAGCATGGCCAACATGGCCACCGCGCCGATGCAGGTGAACTACGCGTTGCTCCTGGCCTCCGCCGCCCTACTGCGGATCCTGAAAGGGCCCCAGTGGGCAACCATGGACGTCGACAAGGCCAGGTCGTCGTTCTTCAGCACAATCAACCTGGCCCGGCAGATGTCTGTGGACACGTATGACATCGCAGCCAAGATGGCCATTGTGATGAACCAGCTGTGGAACAGCACGCGGGCGTTCCGCAAGTCTGATGGGAGTGAATATGTAGCTCTTCGGATTCGCAGTCGTCTGGTTCTCAGCCCCGTCATCGATACGGTCTGGTGGTGGCGGGATGAGTTCGATCCGCAATTCTATAACATGCCAAGTGGTCAGAATAACATAGCAGACGGTAAGTTGGGCGATTCCGTGGGCGTGGTCCTCACTTACACTCCGATAGGAGTCGATGCGAGTCGAGACAACCCTGGGTCTCAGGGAAATGCACCTGGGGCTGCTGTCGATCGACCGGATTTCTCATATTTCGACGAGCAGTTTGAGGCGGACTTCGAATGGGCATTGACGGACGAAGTGCTCTATGGCCACTTGGATACGAACCGGTCTGCAGTGTAGTCAGTCTATCGTGTGAGCACCACGGGTGTGGCACGAGTCGTGACAGCTATCGCCGCCCGCACTAACCAACACCCATGACCGTCGCGCGAGTCAGTGACACGCCAACCGGCCGAGCCATGCGTCTTGGAAGCTGTCGTGAACATGCGATTGATGAGATGCATGCAGGGGGGGGAGGGGGGTTAGGTGCTGACGGTCAAACGAGCCTCCAGCCTTAATCTTGGCGATATCGAAGGATTGCTAGCAGACATCGTGGGATGATGGATCAATCGAAGCGACCAATGATGCCCAGCTATCGAATCAGCGCCGATAGCGAAAGGGGCGAAGGAATGCAAGCCCACGGGCCAAGCCGGAGATGCATCGTACTGCGCACAAATGAGTCAACCGCTCAAGCTCGACCCATGTCGCTGGCACGCTGGATTGCTGGATTATCCAGATTCTGGGTAGAAACGGAGCCCCGTTAGCCCCGTGGCTAAAGCAGTCAGTTAGGTCGGGCCCATCGCCTTGACCGTTGAGCAGGGGAGCTCGAGCGAGTATCTAATTTCCGGGTTCCCAAGGCAGAACGCCGGGCTCTGTAGCTCATTGATCAAGATTAATATCACCCCCAGTTAAGAGGATGGGCTATCTAGGTTCTGCCCAACTGCCTACTACCGGCGCAGCAGTACCTAGTGCTGCATACTAGGCATTGTGCCCTGCTGGGTATCCACCATAGCTCGTTGGCCCCAGTGAGCATGATAGATGGATACTGATAGAGGCGTAGATAGAGGCGAGGCGATCGGTTTGTCGCGCTGGACGCATCCTGCTTCCTAACCAGGTTTTCTTTGTTCCCTTTCCGTTTGCCTTCCCCTCCCCACCCCCCGGTCAGACAGGAATTGCCACACCTGCGCGCATCGGCTGTTCACGGCATGATGTTGATACAGGGTCGCATCGGGGCTGACCCTTGAGGGGGTGGCGCACTGATGGCAATATGGCATCATGGTACTGGCAGACCACGACTGCGTGCGTAAAATAGACTTCACTGGGGGTAGGGGAGGGGCATAAAACAAGGAAATTAAGTGTAACGCGAGGGGGGCAGTTGGGATGGTTACAAGGAACAGAAGGCGACGCCGATTGGGGGGAGGGAGAAGAGAGCGGGATGGCGAACGGGTCAAGTGATCTCCTTCTTCGCGTCTTCTTCCTTTCTTCGCTTCTTCCCGTTCCGACTTCCACCTCCCATCCACCCATCACTCCCCCTCCCTCCCCTGGGCGTTTTCAGGAACACCCCACTCATTCCATCAGACTCTCGTACTTGGGTTCCTGTCGCGACTCACCGCTTCATCTATTTCCGCTGCCTTCTCCGTACCTATCTACACCGCATCTACCACGCGTTTGCTTGGGTCCGGACGTCGGAGGTGAACTTTCCCCTCCTAGCCCGGAGAGAGCCAGGTGTTCCACGCAGGATGGAGGCTAACTTTGCACCGGCGCATCCCGCGCGCACCTCTAGCGGCAGATAAATACTGATACCGGCTTGGGATACGGAGCACTAAAGGTGTACTTGTTTACCGTGGGTCCAAACCTGGAGATGGCGCGAGATGGTGTGCCATGGGTCGGCCTATTGCTTATCAGTCCCCACTCGCATTCCAGTGCTGCTTGCCCGCTGCTCCCGTCCAATCTCATCCGCCGCTTTGTCATGCCTTGCCATCCTTGGATAGACAGACGGACAAACACCCCGGTCTCGATGCGTGACACCGTAGATGGCAGCTGATCGACATGGGCGCTGCACAGAGCCGGCGAAGAAGGAATGCCACGCGGAGGAAGGAACATAAGCACAAACGAGATGATACTACCCCAAGCCTCGGCTGTGAGACAAAGCTTGAGACAACCGCTCGTCCGGGCCCGCCACTCACTGCGGAGGCCCGCCGGCGCCCTTCGCTAGCTTATCGCGAACAAGCCTGTCGCCAAAGAGGCTAGTAGCCCTGCAGCCCGTATCTGTCTGGCTGATATTTGTTGGTCATGTTTTCGTTATCTCTTATGCACTTTCCCCCGTCGGGCTGAGCCATCTTGCCACCGCCTGCATCCTGTCGCTCCAATCCAGACATTCCTCCGGCTCGGCGCCTGTTTCCCCAGGCGAATTGGTCGCCTGCCACTGGTGGCTGGCGTTTAGCTTCGGCGGCCGGACCACCACCGCACGTGTTGTCAATCGCCTGCCAATTTCCATCAATGATAAGCCTAATGGACTTTGGAATTTGGACCGCCTCCCCACGGCCCACCTGGCGCGACCGGAGGGAGCACCTGCCTGATGCCTGTTGCTCATGAGTCCGCGATGATCGGAGAAACGGGGAAGAAGGAGTGTCCGTCTCCCAATTTTAAGTCGTAGTCGCTCGCGCTGATTGGGGGCGCGTCCGCTGCTGTGAGACAGCTCCGCTGCATGTCAGACTCCTATCCTCGCCAGAGATGACCGTTTTTCCGGGGCCTCTAGGCAGCCAGAAAGCCAGACTGCAAGGGCAGGGGCGCGCAACGAGGGCCGTGCATGTTGTGCATGGGCTAACAATGGCATCCACCCTCTCCAGGGCCGCCACCGGTTGAACGTCCTATACGTTCGATCGGACTGGATCCGGGTTGGTTCCGCAGCGAGTCTAGGCTGCATTCAGGTTACATCGGAGCACGGCGAACGGACTGGGGTAACTGATAGCTGGCCAGATAAACTCGCCCGCCATCAGTGGTCGCCACAATCACGTTTAATTTATTTCCTAGTCCGATAAGGCGTCGGGTTACCGTCGGCTCTAGCTGAAGCTATCCGGTCGAGAGTGGATAGGGATCATTATATGACCCGGGGCGTCGCCCCCCCCCCCCCCCCTCCAGCTCCTCTTTCTCTTCTGTGTACCACCCCGTTTGTTTCCTCCATTGTTCTCCATCTTTCTTGGCTTCATCGACCGCCACGATGAGCGAGAAGGAGCAGGCTTTCAGCAGCGCGGTGGCTGCGGATGAGTCCAGCCCCGAGGCGGCCACTCTCCACCTCAAGCACCTGAAGGCGCAACATCATTGGGACCCTAACCTTCCCGACGAGATCGCCGACGAGATCGACGATGCCCTCCACACCGACGACAAGGGCGCCCGCGTGGGCATAACGCAGGAGTTGATGGACAACTCGCCCTACCCGGAAGTCCGCGCCGCTGTGTCCAACTTCGACGAAGGCGGCCACACCAACACGATCCGTGCGTGGGCCATCGGTATGATCTTCGCGACCCTCGGTTCCGGTTTGAACATGCTGTTCTCCATGCGTGATCCGTACATCGTCATTCCCTCCTACGTCGCCCAGGTCGTCGCCTACCCCGTGGGTGTGGCATGGGCCCGGTTCATGCCCGCCTGGCAGTTCCGTTTCTTTGGCATCGACTGCAATCTGAACCCGGGTCCCTTCAGCAAGAAGGAGCATGCACTCATTGTCATTATGGCTAATGCCACCTTCGGTGGTGGTGCCGCCTACGCCACTGACGTCCTGCTGGCGCAGCGTGCCTTCTATCACCAGCGCTTCGGATGGCCGTTCGAGATCTTCATGTGTATCTCGACCCAGATGCTGGGATTCGGCATGGCCGGGTTCTTCCACCGGTGGTTGGTCACCCCGGCCGCCATGATCTGGCCCGCCAACCTGATCAACACCACCCTCTTCCACGCACTCCATGACCACTCCAAGCCCGACCCGGCCAAGGTATCCGGCTGGAAGATCGGCAAGTACCGCTTCTTCCTGTACGTCATGCTGGGGTCCTTCTGCTGGTACTGGATCCCGGGCTTCATCGCTCCTTTCCTGAGTGTCTTCGCCTGGGTCACCTGGATCAAGCCCCAGAACGCCGTCATCAACCAGCTTTTCGGTGGTGACACCGGCCTGTCACTGATCCCCATGACCTTCGACTGGACCCAGATCTCGGGTTTCAACTTCAGTCCCCTCATTGCGCCCTGGCACGCTATTGCCAATACCCTGATCGGCATGGTGATCTTCTTCTGGATCGTCACCTCCGGCATGCACTACAGCGGCTTGTGGTATGGCGAATACCTGCCCATCAGCGACTCGAACAGTTATGACAACACCGGTGCGCAGTACAACGTGACCCGCATCTTGACCTCGGAGTTCACCCTCAACCTGAAGGCGTACAAGGAGTACTCGCCGCTCTTCCTGTCGACGACCTTCACTCTGTGCTACGGTCTGTCGTTCGCGGGCGTCATCGCCGTCATCATCCACGCGGGACTGTTCCACGGCAAGGAGATCTGGGAACGCTTCCGCAACTTCGGTAAGGAGGAGGAGGATATCCACGCCCGCCTGATGTCCCGGTACAAGACCGTCCCGCTGTGGTGGTACGCTGCCGTCACCCTGGTCATGATGGCCATCAGTTTGGCTATCATCCTCGGATACCCGACTCACCTGAGCTGGTGGGCGTTCTTTGTCTCTCTGATCCTGGCTGTGGTGTGGTATGTGCCCATCGGTATCGTGCAAGCCTCGACAAACATTGCCCTTGGTCTGAACGTGTTGACGGAGTTCCTGGTCGGTTACATCCAGCCTGGAAAGCCCATGGCCATGATGCTGTTCAAGACCTACGGTTACATGAGTATGTACCAGGGATTGTACTTCAACCAGGACATGAAACTTGGTATGTTATGCGCGCCCCCCCCTTTTTTTTTGTGTCAACGTGTCTAACCTGCTCCAGCCCACTACATGAAGCTCCCCCCTCGTGTCACCTTCTCCGGTCAGATGGTCGCCGCTCTGTGGTCGTCCGTTGTGCAGATCGCCGTCATGAACTGGGGTCTGGCCACGATCAAGGACGTGTGCAGCGAGACGCAGGCCAACAACTACACTTGCCCCAACGGCCGTGTGTTCTTCCAGGCCTCCGTTATCTGGGGTCTGATCGGCCCCCAGCGCATCTTCTCTCCGGGCCAGCTCTACTCGGGCATGATGTGGTTCTGGCTGGCTGGCGCCATCCTCCCGGTGGCGATCTACCTGGCGGCTCGCATGTGGCCCAAGAGCCCTGTCCGCTACCTCAACGCGCCCGTCATCTTCGGTGGTGCGGGTCTGATCCCCCCCGCGACCCCGCTGAACTACCTGACCTGGGGTCTGGTGGGTATCGTCTTCAACAAGTACATCCGCGACAAGTTCCGTGGCTGGTGGATGCACTACAACTACGTGCTGTCGGCCGGTCTGGACGTCGGTCTGGATCTGTGCACCATCCTGATCTTCCTGACCCTGGATCTGACCAGCACCACCTTCCCCACCTGGTGGGGCACGTCGATCACCTCGGCCACCATGGATATGCAGGGCACTGCCGTGCAGAAGGTGCTGCCCAGCGGCGAGACCTTTGGTCCGAAGAGCTGGTAGAGACGTTGACGTCTCGGTCGGGGGCTGTTGAGCAGGGGGGGTGGGTGAGGTTGTGGATGTGGATCTTGTGTAATGTTATCGATATGCTATGCAGCTATGATCATGACTTGATAGTGATACAGCTTAATTTAATTGACTACACTCTTATGTCTTTGTCACCTACCTTGTATCATCTTGTAGTTAGTTATAGTAATCGGAGAAGTCATCTGGGTAGATATATACGTTCTTGTTTTGTGCTAGTTGTAGGTCTCTTCCTTCTAACCGTAAATACTAGGCCTCCATGTTCACAATGTTGACCCTCAGTCTCCTCTCCTATAGTTAGTATTTTTCCTAGTCTTTCTCCCAATCTTTCTCCCGGTCAGTATTATTCCTCCCGCTATTCCTCCCAAGGTAAGTATTCCTAATTCCCCTCCCTCCTCTCTCCCTCCCTCCCTAGTATTGATTATATCATACTACTACTATTACTACTACTACCACCACCACCAGTACCCCGTCTTCTCTTCCCGCATTATCGTCTAAGAAAATAATGCTATTAAATACCATGCGCGGGGGGGAGGGGGAAGAGAGAGGATGATTGATAGATGGAGATAGAATTTAGAATTGGGGGTGAAGCACTCGGGTAACAGGGCAATAAGGCCACGGGGTAATAAGGCATCATGGATGAGGCAGCAGGGTAGTAAAGCAAGAGGGCAGGCATACAGGCAGAAAGGCAGACAGGCAGATAGGCAGACAGGCAGACAGACATACAGGCATACAGGCATACAGGCATACAGGCATACAGGCAAGAGGGTAACCAACCAGGCATACAGACAACAAGACGACAAGGCGACAAGGCAACAAGGCGACGGCCTTTAAAGAAGCCAGGACCGAGAGAGATAGAGTTTCCATTCCCATGGACTTGGTTGGGGTTGCAATTCATTAGGGAAACTTTTGAGTTTTGAGTTTTCAGTTGAGGGGTGTTGTCTATTGTCTATGGTGAGGAGAGAGGTATGAGGTGGTGGTGGTGGTGGTGGTGGTGGTAGTAGTAGTAGTAGTAGTAGTAGTAGTAGTAGTAGTAGTAGTAGTAGTAGTAGTAGTAGTAGTAGTAATAGTAATAAAAGGATAAAGAAAGGTGGAAAGGAAGAAAGGCAGAAAGGTGGGGGAAAGTTTGACGAATACAGTAAGTGTATAGCTGAACACTGAACACCGAACACCGAACACTGAAGATTGAATATTGAAGATTAAGCCAGGTAAAGTAAATAAAGTAAATAAAGTAATGAATTTGCTTTGCTCACGCTCTCATGTCATGTCATGTCATGTCATGTACATAAACCATACCAAACCACAAACATCCATCCATCCATACATACGTATAAGTACATACATACATACATACATACATACTCAACCTAAAACTAAAACAAAACAAAAATGAAAAAAAAGCCTCCACCCCTTACCCAAAACTCCATATCAAGCCGCAGCAGAAACAATCTCCCTCCTCTTCATCCCCACAATCAAACCGACAGGTTTCCGCAAGAACCCCTCTCTCGTCTCCATGGGCCCACTCTGCTGCATCTCGAACTCAAAGAGCCGGAACACCGTGGCGCAGATAACCAGCAGTTCCATCTCGGCGACGTTCCGACCCACGCAGGCGCGGGGACCCGTGCTGAAGGGGATGAAGGCGGCTTTCTGTCGCGCCGTCAGACGGGCGGGGTCCCAGCGCTCGGGGACGAATTGCTCGGCGTCGGCACCCCAGATCTCCTTGGAGCGGTGGATCGTGTAGCTGGGCACGGAGACGACGTCGCCCGGGAGGAAGGTGTGGCCGGAGATGTTGATGGGAGGGGTTCCGGCGGGGATTTCGCGCGGGAGTCCCATGGCGGAGGTGCTGTGGATGCGCATGGTTTCCCAGATGATGTATTGGAGGCTGGGTTTGTTGTGAGCGAGTGTTTGGGTTTGGGTGGGAGGGGATGGGGAAGGGGGACGTACTAGGGGATTTCCTTGACCATGGAGTGAGTCGGTACGTCGATGTCAGCGGGGATGGCCTCGTCGAGGACCTGCTGGAGTTTCTCGATGACGCCGGGGGTGCTCATGCACCAGTAGAGGATGGCGCAGGAGGTGTTGGAGGTGGTGTCGGAGCCGGCGATGAGCTGGGTCAGGGCCTCGGCGGTCAACTCGGCGCGACCGAGCTTCTCGCCGTTCTGGTCCTTGCCCTCCATCAGGCGGGCGAGGAGATCGACGCGGGTGTTGTTGGCCATGACCTCGGGGCGGAGACGCTCGTTGACGCGGGCGACGGCGATGCCAGCCAGATCCTCGACGGCCTGGATGCCGTCGCGGAAGAAGCGATCGGGGAGGTACTTGGCGTAGGGCTTCAGGGCGGGCAGACAGCCCAGGGTGGCGGAGACCTCGCCGCGACGGTTGAGGACCTCGACGGCCTGGACGTAGGAGGGGGGGGCGTCGGGGGTCTTGCGCATCTCGGCGTAGTCCTTGCCCTTGTCGAGCATGCCGAAGGGGGCGCCGAAGGCGAGGTCACCGATGATGTCGAAGGCCAGGTAGTTGAACCAGTTGAGGGCGTCGAGGGTCACGAAGCCGGTGCGGGGGTCGCGCTGGGTCTGGGCCAGGCGGCTCCACTGCTGGACGAACAGCTCGACGTTGCCGTGGATGTACTGCTCGAACTGGCCGATGGACTTCATGCTGAAGGTGTGGGAGACGGTCTTGCGCTTGCGGGAGTGCTCGACGCGGTCGCGGGTGTTGAACAGACCACGGTGGATGGACACGAAGGCGTCGTAGAAGTCGCTCTTGAGGAAGCCATTGCCGTGGCCGTAGACAGCCTGGATGGCGGCGTCGTCGGCGATGGAAGTGTGGCGGGGGGCGATGCGGAGGAGTTTGCCGTGTTGCTTGTGGGCGTCGTCGATGGTCTTGAAGCGGTGGCCGCGTCGCGTCTGCAGCAACAGCCACAGATTACTGACGCTGGCAAAGCCAGGCGAGGGGATGTCGTGAAGGTGCCAGCGCTGGACGTATGGCACGATGTAGTACACGGCCAGGGCGGCCAGGCCCAGATAGACCCCGTAGGGCGATAATAACAGGGCCAGCATATTATTGACTAACTGGCTGGGTGGGAGTTGATGACAAGGGGGAGGGAGGGAGGGGGAAATCTGACAGCCGACGGTTATCTGTCACGGCAAATCACACCAAATGGTTTAACCGAGAATGAAGGGGGGAAGCAAAGTGTCAATATGTCAATATGTCAATATGTCAATATGGCAATATGGCAATATGGCAATATGGCAATATGGCAATATTCACAGAACAGAACAGAACAGAATAGAATAGAATTGCAAGTCCTAACCTTCTCTGACGATCAAGATACTTTACTTTATATGCTCCCCCCGCAAAAGACTCCCCGAGGCAAAGGAGCAGCGCCGGGACTGAACATCGGGAGTGCGACGCCCAGCGACTCTGCCGATTTGCGGGCCCGACCAGTGCGTCTCCCCGCTTATGGCTCGGCTAACTAAGGGGAACGGCTGGCTGGCTCCGTTTTAGACTCGGCCACTGACACCGCGTTTATTACGCTCCAAGGGCCTGGCTGCCTTAACCGCATCCGGGGGGGGAGGGGGAGAAATCTGGCAACGATGGCAAATCGTATTCTCTCCCCCATCATCATCACCCATGGGTGCGCCAATGCTGCATGCGTGCCGTCTATCCATGGACCACATCTCGGATAGCATCGTCATCGCATGTACCATCGCCACTGCTCTGGGCGACGTCTAGATCTGGCTGATCTGCTGGATACTTGCTGGATGCGTTGTGAAAGTATATGTGCGGCATGTGCGTTGTCTGTCTTCCTCTCTCTCTCTCTCTCTCTATACGTATCTAGGTGTTGCATGTGGCTGGGATACCGTGTTGGGTATGACTATGTACATCACGTCACCATCGACTCCCCTCCACCCTGAACAATCCACTCCGCCTCTTCTCCGCCTCCCACCGCTCCATCCACCCCTTCATGCGCTCGCGACTGGGCCGACTCCCCACGTTGACCGTGGGGATCACCCGCCCGATCCTCAGCGCGCAGCAGAACATCGTCAGCTCGCGGAACGAGCTGTGCTCGCTGTACGGCACCCCGAAGCAGGCGCTCTCGCGCGTGCTGCCGCGCTGCGCCGTCAGATCGCGCGCCGAGAAGCCCGTCCGCCACTGCGCCGCGTGCAGCACCGCCGACACGGCCGGCTGCTCCAGCGTGCGCCCCGCGGGGCCCCGGTACGTCCACCCCGTCGGCCGGAAGCCCACCACCCGCGTGAAGTGCGGCTTCAGCGAGTCCAGGTAGTCCGTCAGCGTCTCCGCCCGGATTTCGAACAGCGTCTGCATGTGCACCTGCGCCTCCCGCGGGTTGTCCGTCAGGAGGGCCGACAGCTCCTCGTCCTCCAGGCACGCGCAGATCCGCTGTTTCGCCGCCGTCGCGTAGATCTTGCTCTTCAACGCCCGCGCGATCCCGATGCAGATCCGTTCCTTGCCGATGCTGTACGTCCCGATCACTACCAGGAGTCGGCCCGGCCGGGAGGCAGAGCCAGAGGGCGTCCGGGAGCCCGTCACCGTAGAAACGAACTTGCTGAGCATGCTATTCCCACCCCCACCCCCGCTGATGGCGCGTCCCAGCGCCCCGTCATCCCCGTCCAGCTCCACGCAGAGGTCGGCGCACGCCTGGATGACATCTTCCTGGCACGGGAAGGCGTATCGGGGGCTGAGATACGTCGTATCGAGATAGCAGGCATCGATGCGCTGTTGGCGAAGCTGTCCGGTGGCTGCGTCCACGACATCTGGACGCAGGAGCGCGTGCTGCACGTGGAGCGGAGAGGCGCGGAAATCGCCACAGTGCAGCACGCGGTGCGTCCGCCGAGTCGGGCCGGACCCCATGGGTTTCTCAAAGAGGAAGATCGCGCTCCCGGGACAGTGGTTGGCCTCGATCAGCGTCACCTGCACGCCCGTCCCCGGCACCTCGGCCGTTTTCTCAAACTCCAACGGCACCAGCCATTTGCGGTCGACCTTGAGTTGCTGGGACACGAGGTTCGCCGTCGCCCGGCTGCAGTAGATCGGCCCGTGGCGCCAGGACTTGGCCAGTCCGATGTAGTGGTCGCTGTGGAAGTGGCTGAGGAAGTAGGCCTGACAGCCCTCCACGGCCCCGTAGCGGAAGGCATCCACGCAGATAGAGAACCCGGGAATGATCTTGTAGAACGGACATGTCCGTTGGTAGGCCTGTTTGCCGCGCGAGGCCACCTCGTTGGCTGCGGCGGCTGCCCACGCCGTGTCTTCCGCGTTGCCAGACATCAGCTTCGAGAAGGCTGACCGCGTACCGGCCACTCCGGAGGCATACGGATCGCGCTGTGCGGGCCTCGCGACAGCTGCCCGGTCCGCGCGAGTCAAGCCTGTCGGCTCCTTCTCCGGCTCCTTCTCCGGGGGCTCCGACTTGGATAACCTCATAGGCTTCCCATCGAGACAGTCATTCACGTGCACCGAAACATCCTAAACTATTAGCCACTGTTCATCCCAACCGGTTCAAGACAAAACACTCACCGTGTCCGTCAGACCCGCCAGCACAGTCTGACATATGGGACACACAGGCGCCTCGCAGCCAAAGTCCTCCGCGTCGCCCGTGCCGTCAAGCCCAGTCCCATCCACATCCACATCCCCATCTTCATCCTCATCCTCATCCTGAAAGGTGTCTAAGAGCTCTTCATCCCGGAACTCGTCTTCTAGATCGTCAAAATTCGCATCTTCCTCATTATCGATCAGACTCGTGGCTTCTCTTACCGATGGTGCTGGGGTGTCCGGCTTTGCGTCCTCGTAGTTTGGAGATTCCTTTCTGTCGTGCTCATTGCCATCACCATTGTTCTCGGATAGAGATGAATCTCCCACCTCCCGAAAGCGCTCCAAATCCTCCTCTTCCTCACTATCCGACTCGTCGATGAACGGGCCACTGATCTGTCTCTTCTTCGACGATGTAGTCGTAGACCCTATCTTGACCCCATCCCCGCCCTCCTCCTTCCGATCTCCAGACCCAGAATCCTCAACCCGTCGCCTCTTCACCCCCCCACCATTCTCATTATACCTCCCCCCATCCCAGTCTTCATCCCCACTCACAATCTCCACCACCTCACCCCCATTCCCACTCCCACTCCCATCCCCATCCTTATCCTGATCCCAAAAATCATCCGGCGTCCTCTCCCTCTCCCTCTCCCTCTCCCGTTCCCTTCCCCCCCCATTCATCTTCCCAAACCCCTTCCCCCCCTCCAAAAACAACCCCCCACCCCCACTCCCGCCATTCTCAGTATCTTTCCCCGACGCCGACGCCGACGCCGACGCCCCGCCCTCCGTCTTCGTAGCGAACTGCGTGATGCGCGACTGCCGCGATGTCGCTTTCGGGGGACCGTCAGCTTTCTGGAAGAAGTTCAATAGGCTTGCGTTGCGCTTCGTTTGGGATTTGGCCGGTGGGGTCGGTTTGGATTTGAAGGGGGTTTTGGAGGGGGGTTTTCGTGTTGGGATTGGCATGGTTTGGTTTTGTCTGGGTTTGAGTTTGTTTGTAGGGGTTCGGTTGGTTTGCGGTGCGGTGTGGTGGTGGTTGGATGTAGAGAGTAGATATGAGGCGTTGAGGTGATGCGACTAGGGCATTTTAATCCGTGGATTGTGTGGATTGTGGGATCTGCGGTAGTAGGTAGGAGGTAGGAGGTAGGATGACCTGACCTGTCGTGGTGGCGTGGAATCGGACAGACTGCAGATTGGAATCCAGTATAAGTCGTATGGACGGAGGCGACGGGGCGCGGCGGCGCGGCGGACTCGATTTTCGCGACACGAGGACACGTGATCCGGCTATTGAACCATTATAGCCGGATCGGTCAATGGTCTACTCCATCCAGCTATCTATCTGTCTGTCTACGCAGTGAGACTGATTGATGTGCCTCTAGGCATTTCTTCTTATTTTTGTGAGGTAGGTAGGTTGGTAGGTACCTGTTCTAGGTTCACAAGAGACATCGCATCTGTCCGTCTGTCTGTCTGTCTGTCTGTCTGTCGTCCATGTCGACGTACCACCTATCCGATCCCTTCTGTCTTCGGAAGCACACGCCTGGTATCTAGTCCAGTCCGGCAGTTACTCCACGTCCACGGCACTGGGGTGTAGTACCAAGAGTTCGGAGTCTATCGTATCCATCCACCCAACCCAGTACCACGTAGCAGTACTCCATCCATCCATCCATCCGTCCGTCCGTCCGTCCAATCCACACCGTACCGCACCGCACCACGCCGCACTGTAGCAGCCCAGCCCAGTCCGATCTGATCTCATTATTCGGAATCTGTCTTCTGTCTGTCGAATTCAGACCGGAAACCTCGCATCATCGGTAATGCAATCAATCAATCCTCGTCGGGCACGGTAGACATCACATTGTGATAAGTCGTAGACAGCTCCTCCCCCCCCCCCCCCCCCCCCAAAAAAAAGGCACAGAACAAAAAAAAAAAGGGCGAAAAGAAAAAAGAAAAAGAAAAGCCATAACCGCAGGTATCAATGATAATAATCACAGGCTACACTAACATTCTCCTCACCGAGCCTTACCCGCCTGGTTTGCTGCTTCTGCACGAACAAAACCAATTAGCATACGCCCATAATACACAATAGCCAATGACCCCGCGCGGGGGGGGGGGAGTAGCTCTGGGTTGTAGGCTTTTCCAGCGTTAAAAAGACGAAAAAGGAAAAAGGAAGCTCACCTCTCCGCGTAGCATCCTCCAAAAGCCCAATATCGACCTCGGACCGCGGCAACATCACATACCGCACCACGCTGCCTCGGATGAACATGTTCTTGACGGACGACAGGTGCGGGTATTTGTCCAGGTCCAGGACGTCGACGTCGTCCAGCTTGATGTTCAGGTACTGGTCGACGGATTTCAGGGTGCCGCGGATGCGGATGTCGTTTTTCAGTTCGATCGTGACGGTTTGGTTGGTGAGGGTCTTGAAGAAGCTGTTTCGTTTCTCGGGTTAGTGCTTGCTTTTGGTTTCGGTTGGCCGATTGGGTCTGGTTGGGTGGGGGTGGGTTGGGGTTATTGGGGTCGCTGAGAAGTATCGGGCGGCGTACCTGAAGAAGAGCATGGTGGCGGTGGGGTGAGGTTATTGTTATGGGGCGGGTAGAGGTGGCTATCGCATTGCCTGTGGACTGGGGAGACGAGGAGTGGATTGTCCGGAGCGTTGTTGGCGGGGAGAGCGGAGGACGAGGATATGCGATCTCGAGTTGGAGCTGCGGGTATGATGCGCCGTGGTGGTGAGCATGTGCTGTCACGTGTAGGGTGAGTCAGCTATGCCGTGCATTAGTTACCTTATGCAGCCAGACGCTCTCGAGATCGGGACTTGGAATAGTGTACGGAGTACGGAGTACCACAGTCTACAGTCTACAGTCTACATTTCATACCATGATCGGGAAAGTACAACTTGGCTGCTGATGAAAAACGAGCATAGATTTCATTCCCCCCACTATCCACTCCCATAACATCATCACTCATCTCACATAAAAAACGGGGTATTCAGAGAGCGATAACGACTCGAGTATTATATTATGCTCGCCTCCAGGGCGTGGGTATCATGAACCTTTCGTCAAAGAATGAACGCCTTCCCAGGCAAAAATAGCACACGCAAAGGTTCAACCCTTGCTACTCTTCCGTCCGTGCGGCCGCTTCTTCGGTCGCGGCTTCATCGCCCACCCCGACAAGCACGTCCAGCCTGCTCCGTTCTTCCGTCCCTCGTCGAATACCCGTCCAATCCCCGCCAGTAGGTCAGGTCGGTCAATGCCCATCTCCATCTGCAGTTTCACCAACCACTGTTCCCAGAGCCAGCCGCCCAGAATGCCCGTCACACTGGCAATATCCGCCGTGCTGCCGATCGGACCGTGCACGGCCTCGTATTCATCCATCAGGCTCTTCACTCTCGGGTCGGGCGTCTCCCTGGGGAACTCTGGCTTGACAGGCTCCGTGCCCATGGGCAGGAACATCCAGGCTCGTTTGACGTCCGCGAAGTTTCTTTGCAAGCGAGTGAGGAAGCCTTTCGTCGGCGTTGGGTCATAGCCCCGAGCCGTGAGGTTGGATGCAAACTCCCCTGACGTGGCAGACGCCTGGGGCCCTGCCCGCGTGATCTGGGCGTCCATGATGAAGAACTCCAGGTAGCCGCCAGGTTTGAGGCAGCGACGACACTCTTTCAGGCAGAGGTCATACTCATCCTGGGCTTCCCCCGTAGGACACTGTTTTTTCAACAGAGCCGGTAGAGAGCGAGCGGAGATCACATCGAACTTGCTGTCGGAGAATGGCAGCTTCCAGAGCTGGGACACGGAAAGATGACGGTGATTGGGAGGCCCTTTGATGCCAGGGTTGATGTCCTGATGCTCCGTGACCACCGTGTAGACCTTGACATTCGGGTGGTCGTGGGCAAGTTGCCAGCCCCATTCGCACGAGGCATGTCCACCAAGATCCAAGACTCGTAGTTGACGGGGAGGAACCTTTCGCGAGTGCGACGCACCGGAGAGTCTCTTCAGAGCAGGGCTCACGATTAGGCTACCCCCATTCAGGTACTTGAGAGCATCCATGGCCCACATCGGTTCTCGGAGCTGGGACAGCACCGCCTGCTCCTTTTCGACCATCGAAAACTGAGCCTTCTCCACCAGGGCTGGGCCCATCGTTGAGTTGCGGGGAGCCAGTGAAAAGGGCCCTTTGTAGGCTGGGCGCTCAGGGCGAGTGACTTCGTAGCTCCCCCGCAACCGGCTGATGTGCGTGTTAGTCAGACCGAGTCGGGAAGATTGGACAGCGTCGAACCGTGTGTTCCGATGCACAAACGTGTCCTGGCTGCTGGATTGCTGATGCACTGCTTGAAACCCTCGCCAGTAGATGGAGTCTCGACTTGCTTGCGCAGAAGGCTGGGAGCTAGGTGCTTCCGGGATTGTCCCAGAAGGGATGGACATCTTGCGGACACGCTGGGGAGGGGGCTCGATCTTGGCTGCATCCTTGGGATCTTCCCCATCTAGCATATTCACGGGGTTGGTCTCGTGAAGGGCTGAAAGGTAGGAGGCCTGAGCTGCCAGCCAGACACTGGTTCGATCCAAGCCCGACATCGCCTTTTCTCGCAGTTCAGTGTCGTAGTTTTCATCTCGTTCATACTGACTGTCCACGGGAATCGAGTCATGATCGACCTCGGGCTCGGGAAACACTGCATCATCCTGCGTGTCTTGGGGCGCAATTTCCGGGGGAATCCAAATGGCGGTCGGCGGGTCATACACGGCGGTTACCTGTTCCTCTGTCGAGCGTTCAGGATAGTCTATGACTTGTTCGACAACCTCTCCGTCATCCCGGGAGAATGGTAGCTTGTAGAAGTTCTCGGCAATGGCAGACGAAGGCGGCTTGTTTCCCCTGGGAATAGACCACGTGTGACGAGCCCTCGGGGCTAACGAAGCAAAGAAGCCTCCAGGGGAGGGTATGCTCAGCCTGCTGAAGCTATACCCCGAGATGTCTGAGGCAGGTGTCGCGTCGCCGGCACTGTGTGGGCGCTCAGGTGGTGTATGGATCTGCCACATCTCTTCATTTCCCTCGGAAGTCTCCGACCAGGGATCCGGCGTCCCATCGAAGGAGATGTGCCTGAGCATCTCCAAGGCACCTGCAGGAAGGCAAACCCCTCTGTCGGATGGAGTATCCTCCCGTGGAGGTTCAGCTCCCAGGTCGATAGGAGACGATCGACCTGGAATCCGCGGGAATCGGCCCAGGACGTGCTGCCAGTCCTCGCTGGCGCCCTCGATGGCAATCTCAATGCTTTGAACTTCTGGATCCACTTCCAGATTTGGTGCTCCTGCGTCCGGTGCATCCTCCAGATCAGGTCGAACATGAATGTCTTCCACATTCCAGTCATTATCTGGTAGAGACTGCAGGTCTGGAGTGGCCGGGGCACTGATGCCCGACACCTGGTCTGAGGACACACTGCCATCCAAAGATGGTGGAGCATGCACAGCGGGTACCGGGTGACCCAGCAACGACAGAGCAGCGGGAGAGACCGGGATTTTTGACGGCGGAGTTGGCGGAATCGGAGAACTCTTAGGGGCGCCATGCAGAGACGGCCACACCGCGGACGACGGGATGGTGAGGCTTGGGTAACGATTGCGGGAGATTGGGGAAACGACCGAGGCTCGCGTCGTCGGCGACACCAAGCTTGTTGGCCGCGTGCTGGCAAATGAGGTACAGTCGTCGCTCGTCTCGGATTCCTCGTCGGTGGCTTCGTACAGATCCTCGAAGGGTCGCATTTGACGCTGCCATTCCGTATCCGAGCAAGATGACATCGACCCTGCAGATATTGGCGAGAAGAATCGATGCAACCTGGCTGACACCAATGGGAGACCGCTGGTCTTGAGCTTCAACTGTGGCAGTGGCTGCGGTGTTGGATTGGGGGTCGGTAAGACGCGGACTGCTTTCTCTGAGTATTGTTCCTCACGCTCATCCTCGGGTATGGTATTAAGTCTCGTCCCTTGGACCTGCCGTAGGGGCGGACATTTGGGCGGTGCAGGGTGGAATAACTCGGCCATGATGTTAGTACGGTCGATAATCTTCCTCCTTGTCGCTCGAAAGAATGTATGAGACGCAAGGCTGGAAGGGACGTCTGATCCACCACAAACATCCGCAGGCGTTGGGTATCTCGAGTGCGTTTGAACCGATCAACGGTTGCAAAAGCAGAGTAATGACAGAAGGATGACGGCCTAGCTACCAGAGCTCGTGCACGACAAATCGACAACCCGAGGACCAAGAGAAAGGGATGAGGACGACCGGGGAAAGGTGGGTGACGATCGGAAGTAGCGCATGGCTCTCTACTAATAAACCGCCGGGGGAGGGGAAGAGAGCAGATCTGGAGGGAGGGCTTCACACCTGCCACCAGACGTGCAGGAACTACTGCAGCATTGCGCACAAAGCACCCGAAATCCCTGCACGGATGCATGGTGAAGATACTATCATTGGACGTGGCCGGACAGGCGCTTCGGGGCAGACGAATCCCAGCGTTCGGGGAGAGCTGGTGGGCGACAACGGACAGACTCGGGAGGCAAGCGTGCCAATCATGGCGAGGGCTATCTTTGTGTCTGCAGAGGACCGTCGCCGACAAGGACGAACAAGGCCTTTGGATGCGTGAGGGGGTGTTCGTGTGATTGGCAGCGTGTAAGCGCCCGGTCTATCTTTAGAAAGCAACGACGGAGATCGGCCCAAGCGGTCAATAGCGTCGGGCTGGCTGTCACGAGGCGCCATCTATCTTGTGGAAGGTAAAGTTAAATGGCGAATGTTGAAAGTTGAAAGTGACACCGGCAGAGGAAAGCTGTCGAAAGTCGATCGAGTCATCGTTGCTAATCTGCCCCGAATCCTCGGCGGATGCAATCATGGCATGTCATTTCTCACGGCAGCCTGCCATGCGTGCAGATGACACAACCAAAAGGGTAACCCGACCTGCGCTGGCAGGCTGGCATGATTGGGTTGAGTCACCCGACAGACAGCTGACACCTGGATCCAGTGGGTGCAGATGGACTGGCGACGAGGGGTAGTGCTGCAGTAGTGCGCAGGAGGAGTCCGGAGGAGGAGAGTTGTGCGGAGGAGTAGAGAGTAGAGAGCAGGCAATAATCCTCCGTACTCCAATAACTCCAATAACACTCCAATCGCCGGTCTCGACCGAGGTAAGCTCAGGCATTCAGGCATCACTGTCTCCCACGTGCGGGCCCAGCCCTAGCCCTTATCGCGGGGCAGCAGACTTCCCGATGCGGCATGCCGGAGAAGGACCGCTGACGTCGGGCGGTGATGGAGTCAATTGCCATGCCATCCACTCAGCGCCGTCGTATATAACGCTTCTCCATCTCGGCGGTCTGTAGTCCGTCCCTCACCATCACAATTCTGACTTCCCCTCTTATATCTCTCCCCCACCTCCTCCACGATCCTCTATATACCAACAATATACCCCCGTTACTCAGATTCAATCAACCACCACCACTACCACCACCACCATGTCCCCCCCGCCATCATCGCCCCCTCCATCCTAAGCGCCGACTTCGGCTCGCTGGGCAGCGAATGCTCGACCAAGATCACCGAGGGTGCCGACTGGCTGCACGTCGACATCATGGACGGCCACTTCGTCCCCAACATCACCTTTGGCGCGCCCGTCGTCACCAAGATTCGCTCGCATGTTGCCCGGCCCACAAACCCCCACGGCAAGGGTACCTTTGACTGCCACATGATGATCATGGAGGTGAGCCAGCAATCATCCCAATCGCATTCCCTCCTTCCCTCCCCCTAATACCAGTACCAATATCCATATCAATATAAATAAATAACCAGGCTAACCAATGAATCCAACCCTCCCCGAAAGCCCCACAAATGGGTCAAAGACTTCAAAGCCGCCGGCTGCGATCTCTACTGCTTCCACTACGAGGCGGCCGTGTCGTCCGTCGCGGCCACCGACCCCGCCGATTACACCACCACCACGAAGACCTCCCCCAAGGACCTGATCCGGTATATTCACGAAGAGGGCATGCAGGCCGGTATTGCCATCAAGCCCGATACCCCCGTGGATGTGCTCTGGGACATCTTGGCCAACGAGAACGAGAAGGAGAGACCGGACGTGAGAACCCCCCCCCCCCTTTTCCCCTTCCCTCTACCTTATTCTTCACGACTACAACCAACCCCCGACCCGACCCTATCAAAAGCCCTAGGACCCAGTCCCATAAACACCAACGCTAACTTCTACCCCTTTCCCACGAAATAGATGGTCCTAGTGATGACCGTGTACCCCGGCTTCGGCGGCCAGAAATTCATGGCGTCCGAGCTCCCGAAAGTGAAGGCGCTGCGGGAGAAATACCCCAACCTGAACATCGAGGTGGATGGTGGTCTGGGTCTGGGGACTATCGATCAGGCCGCGGAGGCCGGCGCCAATGTCATTGTGGCCGGGTCGGCCGTGTTTGGCGCCCAGGATCCCGCCGATGTCATTGGCAAGCTGCGCGAGGCTGTGAACAAGTATCGGACGGAATAGGATGCAAAAGCTAGGAAGGCCGTGAGGAGGGGGGGCGTTATGTGACACGACTTATGTTGCAGATCTTCATTGTTTGGTGGCTCGGACTGGGCTGGTGCTGGCCTTCCTGGCGCTTAAAAATTTTAATGCATGGGTGATTTCGAGTTTCGGGGATGTGGCATGTGATGGATGTCGGAGATGAGAGGTCGGTTGGGCGGTTAGACGGTAGACGACTACAGGCCGGGATACGCATCGGATAGACGGGTCGTAGGATCATGAATAGTGTATGTAATGCAAATAGCTCAAGTACAGTTCGAACATACAGCCTCGGGTAAGAAGATACAGATAGAAGTAAAACATGGTATCTTTACACAGAACGCGAAAAGCAGAAATGGGGTGGGCCGAGATAGACAAATCGTCATCGCTCCACGATGAGGCACCGCTGCCTAACGACTGGCGTTGGCATCCGACGTCGATTCCTGTTGGCCTTGGGCTCCATCCTCTTCGCCCTCCTCGGATGATTCTTCCTCAATCCCGTCTTGCTGCTCCTTTCGCGCCGCATGGTCCTCTCGCAATGACTTCAACAGTTCCTGCTCGCCCCCGGATATCGACTTCCGCAGATCCTGGGCCACCTTCGCCTGTTCCTCCTTGGACGTGGCCGAAATGATCGAGCCACGGTGGTGCCCGACCATCCCTAAAGCTTCAGCAGCATCAGTATGAAAATTGGCAGACGACTCCGCCGCCATCTCAGGCACGAGAGACGGCCGTTTGGGCCTGCTCTCCAGCGACTCAGTAGCGACCTCACTCCGACGTACAGTGTCTTCCTGTCCAGCCTGGGACTGCTCGCCGGCTGCCGGAGTCGGGTTCTTCTCGTCTGCAGCCGCCGGGGCCGGTTCTTTGGGTGTGGATGTGGGTGCGGGCGCAGGCGCGGGGGTGCTGGCGGCCTTGGCCTTGGCCGCGGCCTCCTCGCTGGCCTGGCGCATGGCGATCGTGGCGGAACTGTCCTTTGGAGTTTCCTTGGACGGAGGGCTCTGGATCTTGATGGTGCTCTGCTTGAGGGTGACGGTCTCGGGTGTGGGCGTGGATGTGGCCGAGGGGGTGGCGGGGGCTGCGGTCGTGGTACTAGAGGCCGGGATTCCGTCGATGTCTTCGACGCTGTTAACCGTCATCCGCAGCTCACCGTATTCGTTCCATTCTTCGACCTCCTCCAGGTCCTATAGCTTCCAGGTCAGTGTTACCGTCCTGAGACAGGGGCCTCCTATCGAGCCACGTGCGGGGAAGGAACGGAGGAGGGACGTACTCCGACAACCTGGCCGAATTTTACCAGCCCGGGGAGTTTCTTGCCCTTGGAGCGTCGGCCCCAGAGCTTCCGGGCGGCATCATCGGTGGCCACATCGATTGCGCGGAAAGGGAGCTTGTTGGCCTTCAGGATCGTCTCCAAGCGTGCCGTGGCGGTGACGATATGGGACGACCCCGCGGTCAGGGAGGTATAGAGGTAGAGGGTTGAATCGGCCATGTTGGTGGACAGGGGAGTTGTGGGTAGTTCTCGAGATGGTGATATGTTTGGGATGCTGAGAGAGAGAGAAGATGCAAAAGGAGGAAGAAGGCAAGAATGGCGACCGCCTCCAGGAGTTTGAAATGTCGTGTCGGCTTTAAAAGCTTCCCCTTTTGCGCCAAACAATCGACGGGGGCTTCCCGACCGGCAAATCAGCCTCACCGCCAAATGACGTGGCTTGACCCTGCGCGGGGTCACGTGGTACTCACCAGTATATAAATAGCAGACAGTACGGAGTAGCAACTCTGGCTGTGTGACTTCTCTGGCTCCGGATATGATACAGCCTTCGCGCGGACAAATCGCTCCCAGAAATCGAGGATGAAGCGAAACATGCGCCGGGAGGGCAGCCCGGCAACTAAATATCAAAGGATAGACGATAGACTAACGCCTGATTGTGGGGGATCTGATTCCAGGGTGGCAAGCTGACGTCAGTGGATCCCTTCGTGTCGTGCCAATATCAACCCCGACCGCAGCTTTCAATCCCTTCAGGCGTGCCTCGTGGCCTATAAAGTATCCCCTTTCCTATGCACACTACTCGGTACCGTCCGTCGCCTCTCCACATAACGATATTCAACCTATAGAGGGTATGTTGTTGCTCCTCGCGAGGGCTCGAGCATCAGGGCAGTAGCCGGTGGAAACACGGAAAAGTCCCCCATCATCAGTGGTACGCTTGATGTCACGGCCCCATCGAGAACACTTGGGACAAGAGGTATCGGGCCCTCAACCGCCAATGACCTACCTCATTTGCTGTTACTGGTCACCGGCTGCGTTCCAAAAAGTACCGAATCCCGTCTATCATCGTCGCGAAACTTTCTTTCGCAGATCCCTGACCGCTTGTCTTGGGTTGTTGACTACAGAAAATGCCAGCCACGGAGTAGGCATGTATGAAGTAGAAGAGATTTTAGTATTCAAATCTGCGCCTCCTGCAATTGATCGCCTGGACGGTGAGCTACGGATGATGCAATGATACATGCTGAGCTATATGTCTGCCTCCGTACAACATATGATTGTCGTGGTTGGGATATTGCGTAGGAATCGCGTAGCTGGGCCTCTGCGCAAACCCTCAAGAATCATGTCAAACACTTGATCACATGGTTGGGTCCTGTGGAGTGGCGAACCGGTCGGCTGTTGACTCGCGTTCGATCTGGGCTTCAAGGATATCGGACCGAATCGTCAGCACACTACCTTCGCCATCATTGGATGGGTAGATGACTGTGGAGACTCCCCATGTTAGTTTATCCCTCTTCTCTAGTCCTTACTGCGGATGCGGGCCGAAATCATAAACCCCCTATCAAATAAGAGAGGAGTGTGGATGTTGGCGCAAGAAGTAGGGTCGCCTCAACTATATACTTCGCCCGAAGCTGTCCAGCGGATATACTACCTATGTAGTATGATCCGCGTACGGTGTTGCAAGGATTCGCTGCTGACTCTCGCTCTCAATACTCTCTGCATCGCCACTATCTTGCCCCTTGAACAAATGGGCCCAACGCGGTTGGTCTTTTAATTGATACCCCCCATGGCTGCCCCCTAGCCCCCCCTCCTGGCTCGGACCGGTGTTCTTGCTGCTGTTCAACCCCGGGATAAACTTGAGCAGCACACGCAGTGACTGCAGGGACCCGGTGATTAAGCCGAGCGCGTATTCAAGGTTCATCAAAACGAGAGGGATGGCGCCGACGTCTGCAGACACTAGTCAGCGTGCAGCCTAGATCGACATGGTCAAGTTATACAGACAGGTATAGTCGGTAGAATTATCCTGGAATCCCAGAAGCGGGATCCGTGCAAGGCCAGCTGCACACGCCACAAATCCTCCGAGAAATGAGCGATATTTCCGAATCAGGAGGTTCTTTTCAACGTATCGATAGCAAATAAGCCAATAACAAATAATCGTCGCTGGGCTGGGCCGGCATTTGGAGCTTCCAGATAGTTGGGATTGGAAGGCCAATGATCATCACGTCGAACAACAGCATCAGGATCGCCTGATATAACTGGATATCCTCCAATACGGCATTGGAGAAACACCTATAGTGCGGGATGGTTTTGTCCCATGTTGCCTGCACGGGCCAGCACTGGAAGATCAAGGGTAACTCTCCGGAGATAGTCACGATAACCATGAGTCCTATGATGACAAGCCCAGTGTGACGGACCCAACGGGTGGGGAAGACCCGCATGATAAAGACTGTCAGGCTGCATTTGACAGCCAGAGCCACCCAGAGATAGAGGCAGACTAGAACATAGACATACTGAACACAGTAAGCATTGAAGATACCCCGACTCGATTGAACAAACCTTCTCCATAATAATCATATCTGCTTCGGGAACGGTATCCTGGTGGTAGCCGATTCCATATGTGGTGAGGATAATTGAGAGCACTGCGAACACGAGGACCATGATTTGTCCCGCCTGTCAGAGGATTCATTTACCTTAGAGACACGATTCATACCAAAGAAAGAAGCACGAGACAATCATCGAAGCCGATGGCCTGCGTGATGAACTTTCGTACATAGAGCTATAATCATATGAGTGGATATGGCCCGGAAGTTTATCGTGGTGCCTGCCAAAGCTTAGTTTGACATACTCTAAGACAACAGACCAGCAAAGTGAGTAGACCACACGTCCCAATCACACCCCTCACTGTGCGTACCATTGGAGGTGTATGGTCTGGTAGACGCGCTGGAGTACCACCTGTGGCAGACATGTTCGCTCCTTCTCTGGCTTCATAGACTTTGGTAGGGTGTGCTCATCCTGCGCAATGGGTTTGGGGGAAGATGGAAACAAACAGCAACCGGAATATGAGAAGGCACAAGGTCCTGACTCTCTCGGTCGCTTAATTTGGCCCCCATGGAGCACCAGTACACCCATACATCCATTAGATACTCCCCGAGATCTCCTTAAAGCCAAGCTGTAAGCGGGCTACCATCGCTGTGGGCACTAATGGGAGTCATGCCATTGAGCATTATTGAAGGAGTGGTCGGAACCTGTTTTGTGCCGCAAGAGGCTTGCATTAAGCAAGCTACTCACAGTAGATTGGATGATCGTGAGCTCTCTATCATCTATGCGACATGGAGATTGGTGCTCCCATAATGGCCCACTTAGTATATGAAAGGGCCGATGAGCCACCCTCGGCCTCCGGGCCGGGGACGGGACGTGGTCGATGCTTTGCCTGTCGCGCTTCATAGAAAGGGTCAATGGTGGCCACTTTGTAGATGAACTGTCGAAAACAGCTGGGCTATATAGTGCAAGCTTCGGTGGGTGGAGTTATCGCATGAGTCGGGGACAAGAATAATGACTGGTTCCTGGCCACGAAAGCATGGATGGTGTGGGTAGTGGAACCTCATTTCGGTGTCTAATTCACTAGCAATGTAAGCGGCTGGGGTGGAATTCAGGATCCTGGCTAGTTGCTCTACCTGCTTCGGGTTTATAAGGATGATACCAGCCTGTTGAGGGGCAAATACCGCTGCGGCAACCAGGGGGTGCCAGGACTGATGCTATCTCATTAGGAAGCACAGTTGACTCCAACCACCTCTCGTCAGCTCCTTCTCCCCAAGATCCCTCACTATGCCGGCCGTCTCTGATATCCTGGGCTTGACGCCTCTGGACCACTTGCCCGCGAAGCTCTTCCTGCCGTACATCCTGTACTTCGACCACCCCGACCCTCAGCTCGCCATCAACACTCTCCAGAGCAGCATCGGAAAAGTAATCTCACAGCTCCCCTGGCTCGCTGGAGATGTAATTATGCACAGTGTGCCTGATGGGCCTAAGGACAGAATGCATATCGCGGCCCCGCGGGTCCCACTGTCTGAGGTCCCCATATTACAGGTCAAGCACTTCGACCGCGATGAAGACATCCGCTCGCACCCAGTGCAATCCTATCTTCATCTTCCCACAATTTGTCCAGCCTCCGAGCAAAGGCCCGTCCTTCGCTTCCAGGCCAATGTCTTCCCCAGCAAAATCGCCTTGGCCATGTCCTTCTGGCTGCGTCGTCGCTGATTGTGATGACTGGACTAAGATCGAGGCATCGCCGGAAAACATCATCGTCACCAGCTGGGGGAATCTAGAGGTCTTTTCACTGGACTTTGGCCCTGGTCTTGGGCGTATCGAGGACTTCGAGCCCGGACTGGCGCTCGTTCCCGGTGGGTGCATCCTTTTGCCATCGCGGCCGGTCAGTAACGGGTCTACTGCACCGTGGGAGGTGTGTATCACGTTGAAGAAGGGGGATTCTCAGACGCTTGCCCAGGATTCCTTGCTAAGTCGGATCTTGGCGTGATTGGACGGGGCGAACTGACTTTGCGACGTGTGTTGTGGGATTGGTTTGGATGGCTCGTCGCTCCTAATCCATCGCAGCCTGTAGGTTGGTTCGTACGACTTTCACAGACATGTGTGGCAACAATTAGATGACTGGGGGCTTGTTATGCATCATAAAGCCGACATGACCACTTTTATTCAATGGATATGAAGATCTTGTACATGGTTTTGGAGTATAGAACAACAGTGACAGTTGAAGACGCAAAGATAAGCGGAAACCACGCCCCGATTACCTAATCTGTGTATCTACTGTAGAAGCTGATGCAGTATATTCCAAACATGATACACATACTAAAGGCTAGTAGACAGTTGAGTACTTGATCATCAGATTATAGTATATGGAATCACCTTTCCTCCTTAGCGTCCCTGTCAATAAGGGAGGATATTCAGGGGGGGGGGGAGGAGGGTAATTCGGATCTACACCAGATCAATATAACAGCAATCTAAGAGTAACTAATCTTGGAGTAAGCTGACAGGCGCCGGTAGGTCTTAAGCTAGCATAAACTATTTGGATGATCCAACTAGAATCCCTTAGGGGGTGTGGGCTAAATTCCCATAGTTCCACTTAGCTCAATTGATCCCTGACGCATATTAATCTGACGTCTTCCGTCTATGCAACTACTAACTCCGTGTATCTAGCGGGAAGCAAACATGAGATGACAATTTATATTATCTTCAGCTACTACTATCATATGATTGATTTTCATTTCATTATCATACTACCCACAATGACTTCCAGGACTGCTGGAAATGCTCATATAATTCTTTAGGAAGTGCCAGCGATTGCCACCTTTGGTATAGCTTTGCACATAGTATTGCCTCTCATCAGATATCAAGCAATCCGCTCCTCATATCATCGAGACAGAACCATCTTTGACAAAGTAAACCAACTTCCAAAAGAATCCACCATTCGATTAACGCACCTTAAATGGGACCTCAACTACGGAGTAGACAACACAAAACCTCCCTTCAAGTCTCTCTCCGGGGGGCGCATCGTTCATGCGCCATCCATCCTACCTGATACCACCGATACTAACAACCCTAGCACCACAATATTATTTTCCTCCAGAACCACATACATTCCAAGCTTTGATATCCATATCCAACATTCCCGGTTTGAAAAAAAAAAAAAAAAACATGAAGACGCAGTAACGATTTACCCACCCCAGTTTATATTCCCATCGATATCCAAGCAGCCGATCCTCACGCAAGACTCTCTCTCAGAAGCCACCAGGGTAGAATCCTAGGATGCCGTGCATCGCAAAAAGTAGTTAATCGCACATATTATGCATATCTGAATAGCAATACCGGACTCACTGTGCAATCTTTCGCGGGCATCGGGACGTGGAAGCCTCTATGCGAGATTTCCTTCTTGCCAGGCAACCTCGTTGCATGGATACACCGTGATCGGATAGAGAGGAATTTGGTAACTACATAGACGATACGCCACACCACACGCGACGGATATTCCTAGGTGTAAGAACCTTCTTATTTATGTTGCGATGGGTAGGAATGGGGTATTCGGGATTTCGCCGGGTGGCATGTATATTGATCCTGGAATCATGGGCTTTCGGGACTTTTCTATATATAAAGGCGGTTTTGTGGTGGTATTATCAAGTAGGTAGACGAAGCTGAGGGAGATGTGTTTCTATGAGTTCTGGCAAGGGGTTGGGACACTCTTTAAGTTACGATGATTTCCTTTCCATATAATTGATCCATCCGGTGTGTTGTGAAACATAACTATAAAAGTCCTTTTTATCTACTATTTTGAGCACCATTTGACCAGTATATCAAGAATATGGCCTTTCTGCAAGATAGTCCACTTTTTCAGATTACCATAATGCCTGACCTGTGCTTCAACCAAGGAATGGCATCTATTCAGCTCCTGTAAGTATAGAATGAATCCCTTGCTGCCAGGCTGCACGTGATGGATCATATGACCGTTTCTAACTATAAAACGGATTGCCTATTTAGAACTTCAGCACGGAGTTCTCCGAATGAAACTCCAGCGAGAGCAACAACAAGACATTGTCCAGTGTCACTATCCCTCAAGGTAGACCGGAAAGGGGCAAACATCCCAGTGGATGCTTTGAAAGTATGTGATGGCACGAATGCTCTCTTCAGGCAAAATCTCAGCCGGACCAAGCAGCGAGCAACAACCACCTTGTTGCCCGCCCAGAACGGTCCATAGATAGATAGATAGATACCCACAGCAGATGTCCGTAAGTAGCTAAACGCCACCCACAATATAGATCACATCCAACGGTCCACCAGCCCCGAGCGAACCCCGAGCCCGCTGAACTTCTGCCAGCAGACGGTCGTCACACAGCCGCACGGCGAGCACAGCCCAGCAGATACTGCTCCGTAGAATTAGGCCGGCTGTAATGCGGGATTTGCCATTGGATCCGTTCGGACATCCATCTCTAGTTTCGCCACAGCCACTTGGACAAAGCAAGTCCCTCTTCCGGCAATCGAACACGCTCCAGCGGTGGAGTAAGAAGGAAGCCGTGAAGGCAAAGCGCCCTGAACTTCCTTCGGACCTTCAGCCGCGTCATCACGGATGTCTCTCATCCACTTTCCAATCGAGGAAGATCGATCATCCCTGACTCGAAAGGCGATGGGATGGCCGTGGCGGTCATAGCACCCGTTCAAGCCCAAGCCCAAGCCAGCTGGACGGGGCAAAAAAATTTGCAAAGGGAAAAAAGAAGGTGGCCCAGCCGCTGGCTAGACGCCGTTCCAGACTGGACCCTGGGCAGGCGCGACGCCCAAGCTTAACGGTGTGCCTGTTGGCGGGAAGCCCACGTATAGGCAGCATCGCTCGGTAGATTGACGGGATGGGAATATCCAGCTGAGTGGCTAGCCAGCCAGCCAGACGACCAGCCCACCCGCCAACTGTCTATGATGTCGAGATTAGCAATCGTCATCCATGGAAAGAGGTGATGAGGAAACAGGACAGGGCGCCTGGCTGGCTAGCTGGCCGACGGGCTGGGCAGATGCAGTCTGGGCCAGTTGGTACCTGGGTGTCCGCGATCTCGAAGCGCTAGAGGCAGGTAGATCTCGTCTGGGTCTGTCCCGTCTTTCCAAGCCATGATGGTTGCCCGAATTCCCCATTCTCAGCCCGGAAGGTCAGGTAGGGTGTGCTCACTGCTCAGTGCTGGGGTAGTCTGACTCGGTCACGCTGGACAGGCTGGAGACAGGGAAGGGAGAGTAAGGCCGAAAGACACTTGACTAATCGGAGCGGTTGGGCATGGGGCGTCAGTTGAGTTGAGCCGAAGGTTCCATGTTCCATTTTCCATGTCCATGTCCATGTCCATTTCGATTGCGAGGTGCGAGGATGTTGTCATCGTCGTTTCAGGTAAGATGACAATGATGATTCTAGCCGTGGTTGGGAAAGAAAGCTGTCGGGCGGGCGCGGTGGTGACATAAGTACTACTTACTTAGTTAACTACTTGGAAGCGGTTCTGCCTTGGGCTCGCGTACCCCGACCGTTACTAGTGACTCGAAGTTGTTCCTCCTCCTCCTTCTCCTTCTCCTCGATACTCCATACCTAGTTCGATGACAGTAGGAAAAGTCAACAAGTAGAGTTTGATGATTCGCTGTCAGCCACAGCGGATTGCAGGCGGGCGCCGACCGGGCGTCTCCCATGGAACCTTCCAATGTTCGGGCGGGTTTCGCACGACTCATGGAAATGAAGGAGAGAGACATCTTCTGGAAAAAAACATCCCGCCCGTCCCTGAGGGACCACAATGGAAGGTTATTTGCATCCCCCATCTAGATGCTCCGTACACTTCGACTGTTCGACGAAGAAACCGAAGAAATCTCTTCATCTTCCACCTCCCCGTACGAGTTAGTCAAATGGTAGGTGCGGTTGGGTCCCTCCATCCTTCTCAACCCAAAACCCAAACCCATCATCCATCCCTCCCGCCCCTCCTCCCTCTCCATCTCTTCCCCCCCATTCATTTACCATCAAATCACCCGTCGCACACGGTCTGCAGTTCTGCGCATATGCTGCATGGAATCACAGATGGTACGAACTAGTGGACCACCGCGAGAGACTTTTCCAGCCTATCATCCACCCCCCCCCCCCCCCCCCCCCCTCCTCCCTCAGCGAAATTGGACGATCACAGAACGTCTAGCGGGCCCCACCGATCCGGATTTCCATCGAATGGGGCGGGCTTTTTTTCCGTTCTTCCTTCCAACCCACTGTACTCCTGCTATGGAATAGCGTCACTCGTCTATTTTTGTCCGTATAGGTAACAAGCAGGGTCGGGTCGGGTGTACCTAAGCACGCTCGAGTAGTTACTTCCCCCCTCTTTGGAAACTCTATACGATCATGTGTACTTGGTCTGTACAGTGTACAGTGTACATAGGTACACACATACTGTGAGAAAGAAGGGAGGGGAAAAGATAGGCAGGCAGACAGGCAGGCAGGCACACCTAATCGCGCCAGCTTAACCCGGATAATGTCTTCCGGGCGATGGAAAGAGGCCCAACGACGTGGGAGGAAATAGGTACGGTGTTGTGCTTTGCTTTCGTGCGAAAGTCCCGGTTGGTTCTTGTTGCCTGACTGGCACTGGCACTGGCACTTATCACGGTGCGTTGGTAGAGTAGTGTATCTGTCTGTCTGTCCCTTTTGTTGCTGCCAAGGCCTTTGTTATGGTCCATCGCATGTTTCGAGAGGGAGAGTAAGAGAAAAAAAAAAAAAAAAAGGACCAGGCTGTTTCGATATGCTATGTTGGTTGCAAGGTACAGTACTTACCTACAGTATACTAGTTTAGTAGATTGTGTTGGCTTCATCATACGAGATTGCGAAGACAGCGTCCGATCGCTTACGACCGGACCGGGTATGTCATTGCCGTCGCGTTATCTTTATGAGGTATTCCTCTACAATGCACAAGGAAGTACATTGTGTTCTGTTATCAAAGCGCTTGTAACTATCGACGGGCATCTTAGATAATCGACTCCGTCAACAAGGCACTCACTGCCTTATGCTCCAACCCGATCGACTTCCTTCTGAAAGGGCCGGCGCGGGGAACTTGGGAAAATCCGGACAGAATCCTCGTGTCATAGACTATCTAGATCGCCCTTTTACCGATGAGCACAGATGGTGTTGAGTCTGGCACTTTCTCTAGGCGTCGATTAGTACCATTAAAGTGCAATAATATGGTATGAGGGAGCGAGAGACTGGAAAGGGTAAGGGGGAGAGAGATAAGGGACAGACAGAGTGAGGGAATTACAAAGAAAGCGGAATTCTTAATAGTAGATCCCTTCTTTAACTCATCTAGGTATGGAGTTTACTATAGATGATAGACGGTGACTACAGCACAGAGTACAGTCATACTTGTCTGCGATTGTCTATGTATCATATTCACAATAATGAGGCCCTAGTAACCGAGATCGCGCTCCGGCAACGGGACCGAAAAGCCTGCATTTTCAGTCGATTGAGACGGCATAATAGAGAGACTGGCTGGCTATACCGCCAAAGAATTACTCCATGCCATCTATGCTTGGACTGTCTGTGTTGTTTCTTTCCTTGTAGAACAATGTAATCCCAAGTATGGAGTTAGCAGTCAGTCGTCTGTTGGGCAAAACCCCGTGAGTCATTCATTTTCCGGATTGGAGATCAAATCAGTAGTACCCCGCCATGGAGGTCTGCTGTTGATCTTCCCGTACTTGACGGAGACCTCCGACTTCGTCCCGAGTATTTGACGGACTTCGAGAACGGGCAAGAGGGGAGAGAATCCTGCTCTGTTCTGCCCCCCCTCCCCTCCCCTCAATCCCCTCCCCGACTCCCAGAATGACCAGATTATCCACGGTGGAGCAGTACCTCTGCACACCAATATCCCACGTAGTCCCTGATTTCCGCCACTATTCTCGAACAGACTATGTGCCGGGGCGCTGATTGGCCTGGGCATTATTCAGACACGATAGCCGGTACGAGGAATGGCGCTTTACCCGTTCGGGGCCAGACTATGGGCTCCTACGGTGCAGTAGTCGGTCCATAGTGGTCGCATCGACTCCGTCGCATCGTCATTGTTCAGGCCTCAAAAAAGCGGTGACCTTCGCGGCGGGCGCGCGGTGGATGCTGAGCGCCTGAAACAACGGTGGGATGAGCTCGTTGACCGCCAAAAGCACTGCCCTCGAGGGGGGGGTTGAACGTGAACTTGCAAACAGCGTCCCTAAGACATCATCTGGTTAGTATCATCAGGATGGCGCAGCGAAGGTGAAACGCCAGCACACAGATTGCTCCATCCCGATACACATCGAGAGTGGTTGTAGGGGCCACGACTAAGATCGCTGACCCCCTCCCCCATGGACCAACTGTTCTTCCTGCCCACCGAGGGTGATAAGCTGGACTGCTGGAGCCCAAGATGGCCCGGTGCCCGGACTAGGCCGGACCCGGACATCACGTGCTAATCATGTGACCTCAGCCGTGGGCGGGACGGTCAATGGTGAACTGGTCAAGGTGCCGCCCCACGCATCGCCCTCTCCAAATGATCAGTCCGTCATCGATAGTCTTGCGATCGGCCGGTCACGGCGCCATTAAAGATCCGGGAAATATTCTAGCAGGCCTGCCTACGAAAAGGTTTCGTCACCTCCCTGTGACAGACGGCCCAGAATAGCCGCGGATGCCCCGTCCATTTCCACTTCCACTTCCAACTTCCACTTCCATTTCCAGTCGGCGGTGGCGGGCTGGCAGCGACCTGGCCCGGCTCGTGTCATGCTGGAACGGCCATGTGCAGACAACACCGACGACGAAACCCTGGGTGTCTTCCGCGTGGTACCGTGGGCTGGTCCCGGGCAGTACCCATTGTTAATTGTTTATTCGGCAGGTAGATAGAAGTAGTTGGTACGCCGGACTTCCAACGGCCGTGGAATAATGGAGCCCATGGAGACCTCCTTCCCTAGCACAGTAGATAGTAAGGCCGGGGAGGCACCGAAGATGGGATCCCGGATACCGTCAATAATAATCAACCCCATTGCTACCCGATTGTCGCTCGGCAAGTGCGATCATCTAGAACGCAAGGTTCCTGGCCCTGGCCCCGATACACCTGGAGGAGGCTTGTGCTCATCGATGCTGAGGAGATGCTTTGCCCTCGCTTGCTCCTCTGCCGCGCCTGATACGACCGCAAGCGACCGCGATAACCAAGGTCCTGGTGCTGCTGGCTCATCATCTGCAAGAGCATCACCAACAACTACTACTAGCAGGAGGGGGGACGGGGACAACCACAATGGCAGTGGGCAAGCGTATGGGAAGGAGAAGAACCCGAACGGGTGTAGCCCGAAATCGACGTGGCAGCCGCAGAGTCGAGGGGGGAAAGTTGGCAGACTTCCCGGGTGCTTTGCTTTGTATGGAGCAAGCCGGGGCTCAGGTGGCCGGACCTGGCCAGTCGTAGGTCCCCAATCGTGGGCCGTTAGCACCTGCTGTGTGCTTACTTTGCACTGTAGATAGATAGAGGCACAGGCAGCGAGTCAGGGCGTACTCCCGACCTGTGGTGACTCTGTACCTAGAGAGGAGGTACAGTATCCAAGGTAGGTACGGGAGGTACCTGAGGGCACGGCGTCATGGGCTGGCAGGCCCTGGTAGTTGGTACCGCTGTAGGCGCTCTGGGGGAGCGGATCAGGACCAGTGGATTGGAGGGATAGAGCGGGTCCCGAAACGGTTAGTGCCTGGGTACGGGATTTCATACGGCGCACATAACCCATCATAACCGCGTGGATGACTGATCATGAAGGCTCTCCAACGCAGCCGTGTCCTTTTACTGGTTTTTGCTGGTTTTTGCTGGCCTCTGCTGGCTTCTGCTGGCCCGGGTGGACAACAACGCGTTCCGTTTCGCTGCCTCACTTTGGGGGACACACCGTGTTCGTCCGTCCACTATGACTCGTTCGATCGATGTATCTACCCCGTTGCAACCAGGCCAATTCGGGCCCTTGTTAAACCGTAGTCAGCGTGTCACCCTCCCCTTTTCTTCTCCGGGAAGGTCTAGTCCTTTCTGGGTGATGGGATGAGGACTGAGGATCACGGACTGTGGACTGCGGACTGCGACCTGCTAGTAATGTGGACGGCGGACTGGACTAGTAGTACTCCGTAGTAGGCAGAGAGTACCTACCTAACAAACAGTATGGAAGCGGGATGAAGGACGGATGGATTTGGTTTGACTGGTTTGCTGGTGGTTTCCCCCCCCCCCCCCCCTCTTTCTCTCTTCTCCCCTCCCGGATCCGTCTTTCGCTCCTCCGTCCGCTCGAGTCCCCTCCAGGAAGAAGATGGCCGATGACCGATGGATGGATCAATGGATCAATGGATCAATGGATGGATGGATGGATGGGCTGCTTCCTCATCTCCTTTGGCACTAGCGCTCCGATCACCATCGCAGACCTGAGCAGGAGAATCAACACTCTCCCCCTCCCCCCCCCCAAAATTACACTCCCAATAATAATAATAACAATAATAATAAATAATAATTCCTTTTTCGATTGCTCTGCTGAGTTGCTCGCTCTCCCTTCCCCTTCCCCTCAGTCCTCCCAGGCTCTTCCTCTACCCCTTTCCTTCTTGGGGAAAATAAAAAGAAATACGGCGTAGGTAAAAAAAACCCCATAAAAATAAAATGCCAGAAAAGAAAGAAAGATAGAAGAAGAAGAAAAAAAAAAAGAGACAGATCCTGGCCACACCCCAAGAGGGTCTGGAACCCTCTGCGATCCCTCCCAAAGGCCAATCCGTCCCTCCATCCTCATCCCCGCCCAGTTTCAACCTTTCGATGGACGATGAACTCCTAAACTAACCTGCAACTACTGCTTCTCCTTCTGACGGATCTTTTGCTTGCGTGCCCTCGTTCTTTCGTACCGGACTTCTTCTCTTCCCCCCCCCCCCCCCCCCCCCTCCTCTTTCTCTCCTCTCTTCGAGTCTCTCCAAGTCCAGGGCCCAATCCATTCCATTCTCACCTTAGTTTCATCCTCGACCCTCCGGACCATTCGACCAACCCGGCTGTGGGGATGGTGGATGGTGGATGCCCCATTTAATTGATAACCTCCTCCCACCTCAATTCCCTCCTCGTTCTTTATCGTTATCGTCATCCATCCTCTCTACGTCGCATACATCTGGCTCCCCGTTCTTCTCTGCTGCTCCACCGTGCCTTCATATATTCCCTCCCCCCCGTCTCTTTTCTCCAGATCTTCATCAACTACTACTACTACTATTACCACTATCACAATAACTACTCCCACTCCACTGCCACTACTTCTACCTCTCACCCTCCCCTCCCACACTACTTCTCTTTCCCCATCGGGTCTCCTTCACATCCCCGATCTACTTTTACCGGTCGTGTCACTTGACCGCGTACTTTCTTTTTCATCTTTACTGGCATTCCCCTCCAGCTCCCCATCGGCTCTTTCTCACTACCCTCGAGCCTGATCCTCCTGTGAGTCTCCTGTCTGCATCGCCAGGGTGTGCTCGTTGCCAGACGAGGTCACCTGCTTGACGTTGACCGACAGACCGAAGACTAACGATGGTCCCACAGAGACCCCTCCAACCCCCCTGAAATCACTTGATACTGATACCAGCCCTCCCTCGCTCATCCCACGTGAGAAGAGGCAGCACTCAGAGAGGACTTTCCCCACCTCTCCCCCACCACCCACTATGGCTGGCACCATGGCCGACGACGAACTCTTCACACGGGCCATCTCTGGGTATCGGGACGCGTTTTTGGTTCGACACTCCCATCTTACGGAATCAGAGCGCAATGAACTTTGGAGTCAACGGTTAAGCCAGTTCATGACCACCACGGCCTCTTCCTCCGCATTCCCGTCCGCCGCGTCATCCAGTTACCGCCCGGTTTCCGGCTCTGGTCTTCCTGGAGATGGCGCTTCAGCTCTCGAGAAATCTGGGAAAAGGACGCGACAGGATACTCCCCGGACCCTACCTGGTTCTGGTCTTCCTCCACCGAAACGACGAGTCACCGTATGTGATCCATCTTGGTCTTCTGCTCCCGCCTCTCCATACCCGCCTCTCTGCCCATCCTGTTCTTCCCGCGCTATTCCATGATCTCCCTTCATCCTGTCACCTCCCGCCAACCGTCCCTGGATTGACAATTGGCAGACTCCGGAACCCCCAGTGACCGTTGATCTGACACGCGAACTGTCTCATGCGTCCTCGCCGGCAGCGCCGGAGACATCCCGGCGCCTAACAAGAACGAATTCTCGGAAGGACAACTCGGTTTCTTTCTCTGGTCCTGGGCCCTCCCGGCATACGGCCATGGTCCGCTCCCAGAGTCAGCAGATTCCGGTTGCGCACCGTCCGTCGCTGGCCTCCGCGGTGACGGGATACCGACACTCTTATGGACCCCAGCGTGTTCAGCGTCGCCTGGACCATGTGAACGAATACACCCCCTCCGAATATGCCAAGCAGTACTTGGATGATTTCCAGGGCCAGGGACACGTGTCGGCACTCTCTCTGGCCCTTTCTGCGGATCCGTCGATGTCTGGATTTCAGCAACATCAGCCACAGCTAAATCAGGGCCAGCCTGAACTGATGACAGACTTCGCCATGGCCAACCCCGCGATGATTGATCATGCGGTCCCGTCGGCCGCTGTGGAGATGAGTCGGAGTACGACCACGGACTCGCTTTGCGGGGGCATGGGGATGATGAGGTTCGATTCCTCGGGACCGAATATGGATTCTAATTTCTCCTTCTCTGTTCCTTCTGAATTTGTCCCCTCCACTGCACCGATGAACGTCCCCTTCCCCCCCTCCTTCAACGCCATGCACCGAAACCCCGGTCATGAAGTCTCCTTCCCTTTCACCGAACAATTTGCCCCCATGTCGTTTTCTTGCTCCGCCCCCTCCTCCACATCATTCCACCACCCGTCCATTCACACAATATCGCCGTCGCCTGCGACGGAGATGAAGCCTTCTATGTCTGCTGAGAGTGACAGTTCGTCTGGCTCACAGCCGTCTAGAGCGGCTCGCAGGACCCAAGAACAGATCGTGCAGGGCACTCGTCCCATTGCCCCCAAGGCTGAGCCGCTCAGCAGCTCCCCACCCAAGGTGGCCGAGCAGCACAAGATGATTCGCATCTCATCATCCGATGGTACGGCCAAAGAGGTTGCAGCCATTCCCAAAGCTTCGATACAACGGCCCCCGCGTCAGAAGACGTATTGTGATATGTGCAACGACCAGCCCGACGGGTTCCACGGGGAGCACGAGCTGCGTCGACACGTCGAGCGGGTGCATGCCGTGTTTCGCAAGGTTTGGGTGTGTGTTGACATCTCTCCAGGCAAGACGTTCCTGGCAAACTGCAAGGCTTGTCGGAACGGCAAAAGATATGGTGCTAACTACAACGCCGCCGCGCACCTTCGTCGCACCCACTTCAACCCCTGCCAGCGAGGCCGCGGTGGTCGTGGGAAAGACAGTGAGAAGCGCGGCGGCAAAGGCGGCGGGAACCATCCGCCGATGGACGTTCTGAAGCACTGGATGGTGCAGAAAGAGGAAGTTGTCCTCGAGAACGCGTCCAACTATGTTGGCAAGCAAGCGGTAGACGATGATATGGGTGGTTCCGAAGATGTTCAATTCTCCGGGACAGAAGACTTCTCTTCACAGGGTATGGAATCGACCCTGGTGAACGGGTATGACTCCTTTGCTACACTCCCCACGATGGGGATGGATCCGTCCATTGATGCTGCACCCTGTTACTTCGATTCTCAGACCTTGCCGCCTGAGATCGACTCGTATGTGTGACTGTATAAACATGATCTTGGCATTTAACGTTTCTTTCCCGAGAATCTTGAGACTAGATCTCCAGCAACTTCGCGGGCTTCTTGTTGATATATCCATTAACCGTGCGTCTTTGGGGCTGTTTCTATACTTTTCAGAATTTCGTGTGATAATTGCTCTCTTCGGCTCTTCTCCCTTTTCTTCTTTTCCTACCCCTTCATCTCATCTATGGTTCTTTCTTTTTCTTTTCTCTTCGCTTCTTTCTTCCTCTTTTCTCCAGTGATTCTTCTCTTCTCTCTTCTCTTTCTTCTCTTTCTTCCTTTTCTTCTTTTCCTTCTTTTTCTTCTTTTTCTTCTCTTTCTTCTACTTCTCTATTCTTCTTGCGACACCAGAGGCCGATATAGCCGGCCTGGTGATGCCCTGCAGGGGCGCTACGACATAATGTGTGATGATGAGCAGTTCAGCAGCCAGACTCAGATTCCTGAATAACATTGATTTGGTGACTGTCGTGCATGAAAGCAACGGCCAGCCCGTGCGCATCCCCACGAGCCTGTGGTCCGGGGAAGAAAGACTCCAGCCGGCCGCAGTTCCCGCCATGTGACTGCAGCTGCTTACTACTAAGGTTACTAAGATGCCCAGGGAAGTGACAAGTGACATGCATGCTTGATTGATGCTCCAAACAGACCACACAGTACCACACAGTAAGGTAGGCGGTGACATCGGGGCATCGGGACATAGAGACCCAGGCGCGGGGGGCTGTGTGACGCGATGATTGGAGGCCGACGAAGGGTCTCATGAGCGCCATCAGCCTGCAGTGGAACCTCCAGCTGATGATCCTGCCAATCACCGCGGCGACAACTAACCTCTCATTCCCTGAGTCATCGTCTAGCACGGCTGAGTGCTGATGGCGGCGAAGCTATTGGCCATGGGCATCGGAGCATCGTCGCATGAATGGCCGTGGCTGGTGCCTGGCGGTTAATTGGGTCCTGTAGGGCTGCGCTTTCTGTGGCTGAGTCTGGGCGGTGCTGGCGGTGCTGGCTGGGCTGCTGCTGTTTGCTGCTGGCTTTGCTTGCTGCCGGGGGCGTACGAGACGTGTACTGTAAGAATGCCCGCTGATGGGCGTCGGCCGGGGCAGGCTCCGGCTGACGGACTGGACAGCAGTCCTTCAATAATAATAGAATGATGAATATTACTTAGTTGTCTCATTGAAGTTGGGTAGGAATAATAGTGGGAATAAGCGCTGGGGGACCACGTAGGGACTAGTCACCGTAACAAGTCGGCCCCCACGGATGGCTCGTGGGCGTCCCTTGATGATTATTGCCAGGCCCAGCGGCCCTGGGCGCCAAGACTGGTGGCCGGATGAGAAATGAGAACGGTACTCACTCCGTACGGGGGAGTAAGAATCAGTAATAAGAATACGAGCAAGTCGCAAACCAACCTTAAAGGTACGGCGGCTCAGCGATCCTCTCCTCTTTCTCCGCCTCCTTTCATTCACCCTTCACCTCCTCCAACCCCTAGCGATCGTTCCCTCCCAGGTCTAAACCCCTTTCCACTCTTCTCCTCCTCCTTCCCCTCCCTCCCTCCCTCACCGACCCGTTTAGAACTTGGCGTTGTCTTAGGTATGTCCTAGCTCCCGGCTATTGGTTCTCCCAACTCCCACACGAGGCCCGCCTCTCTCTCTCTCTCTCTCTCTCTCTCTCTCTCATCCTCTCCTCCATCGCTCCTGTCATTGCAAACTTAACCTCGCTGACCGGTCTCTGTTGTCACTTTCTCACTATAGATTCTCGCCCGTCACCATGAGCTCCCATCAGTACTACAACGGCCCTCCTCCTCCGCCCCAGGCGTAAGTCCCTCGCCTCCGTTGCGCTCCGACCCCGTCCTTTGTTCCCGCCGCCGCCCGGCGACCGCATCTCCGATCGCAAGCGACCGCGGCGTGTTGGTTCACGAATCCGGGCCGAAGTTCCATGCTCCTCATCGAACATCTCGACTCGGCTGGCACATCTGGTTGAACCACCGCTGGGGAATCTGCGTTGGATCATACCCCGGATTTGCGCTCGGTTCTGACTCGTCTCCGCACAGGTACCCTCCCCAGGGCTACCCACCTCCGCAGGGTGGCTACCCTCCCCAGGGATACCCCCAGCAGCCCTACCCGGTACGTGACGACCGTGCTTGATGCTTGATGCCCTTTCGAACACGGCGCTGATGTGAATGTAGATGCAATACCAGCAGCAGCCTCCCCCGCAGCAGAAGGACCGCGGATGCCTCGGCGCTTGGTAAGACACACTCCCTTCTGCCCTCCCCAGTCGACTTCGCGCCCCCCTCCCCTCACTAACCCCGATCGCTTTCTAGTCTGGCCACCCTCTGCTGTTGCTTCCTGTGTGAGGAATCCTGCGAGTGCTGTTTCGAGTGCATCGAGTGCTGTGAAATGTGCTAGGCTGCGATCGATACCGGGCGCTGCCTTGCCCGCCGCGAGGGCCGCGACATAAGCCCAGCTCCACGATCGATGTATGACCCTCGACGATACGATAATTCCCTCTTCATTGCGTGCCACACTAGACCGGTCAGGTTCGGGAGCGCGCACCAGGAAGCGCCGGGTGCTGCAGTTGCTTACGCGGTCTAGTCTATCTCAGACATTTTTTTTTGTTTCTTTTTTTTTTCTCCGTCTGTCTTCCTCCGTGCCTCCATGGAAATGCGCTTTCTGTTCGTTACGGGGAAATCCCTCAGTCCGGGAAAATGGGTTTAGGACTGACTACTACTACCACTACTTTACGAGGTGCTTTGGAACGGGATGCAAGTGGAATAATTCCCCTTGTTTCATGGGCGCTTGTAATTGATGACTTTGCTTTTTCTTTCTATCTCACTTGGCCTTGTGTCTGCTGCGTTGGCTGTTTTGCTTTTTACTGCCGGTAAATCTCATCTGCGATCTGTATCCCGTGAGCGCGAGATGGTCCCTATATCCAGTACTTATCTACCTTACTAAGGTAGCTCTCTGTGTATGATGTGCAGTAGACCGAAAAAAAACTTGGTTAGCTTAGTATATATCTTGGTATCTTGGCGAGCGATCCCCTCTTGCTTGGCCTGCCTGGGTCTTCCTGTCTTGTCTTTCAATGGGATAATACTCAAAAGGACCGCACTGATTGGTCGTACCGTAGCACTGCCGACGGGCGGGTTGTCCGGGCCAGTCCAGCCCAGCCAGGCAGCCTTCCTTTCCCTCTCTGTACTATCTCCATCTAGTAAGTAGTACTTGCTTCCTTGGTACTGAATGGGTGGTTTAGGCAGCCACCGAACCACTCTTTGGCCACTCGGACGGGGCGGTGGATTCTGCAGCCCTATGAGTATGGAGGGAGTCGGTCGGGTCTAGACTACTCCGTAGGTAGGTAGTTAACTGATAGGGAATAAGCAGTCTTGAAGAAAGGCTTGTCTGCAGAATAGTAGACTTGGCTGTGGATACGTCATAGCGTAGCATGTAGGTGGGTAGGTAGGTAGTAGTACTCCACAGACGCACACAGCCACAGTTCACCCGCACACGGCTCACAGCTCAGTAGAGAATTTAGATAACCAGTATGGATACCGGTATATTCAGTCCCTACCGCATTCAGTAATGGAATGAGTTTCCTTCCATTATTGCGTGAGGTAGGTAGGTAGGTATGTAGGTATGTAGGTATGTAGGTAATTGAATTGAACTCCGAGTCCCGTGGAGAAAGAACCTCTTCCCAACTCTGCTTCGGGGGCTAGGAGATGGATAATGCCGGGGCGGAAACCGTCGGGGTATTTTTATTTCCTACCGAACTGGATAGGTAGGTAACTAGATAGAGAGATTAGTTAGTGGATGTGGATATGGATGGGGATGCGGATGATATCATCGTTCTATTCCTGCTAGCTTAGTGTTGTAAGTATCTATCTATCTAGTGCATAAGTGTAGGTGGTGTAATTCAGGTACTGTGGCTGGGGGCTCTAGGCAGCAGGGAATGGGCGCTGTAGTTAGTAACTAGTTAGTTGGTCAGTGTGTATGTCATAGTTAGTAGTTATATATAGTAGTAGTAGGTAGGTACTTGGATGCTGTCGGACTTACTGGGTTGGGTAATTATGTCCGCCGGGTAGGTAGGTAGGTGGGTTGGATGGATGGTTGGTAAGAGGGGGATGGAATATCTATTTATCTGCTAAGAAGATTATTATATATTACTAGATTCCTCCAGTGATGCTTTTCCTGACAAATACGAATATCAGACGAAATTCAGATCCATCATAGCATAGTTACTATCTAGTCCACATCACAAATTATTATCCCCCACCATACAAACGGATAACCGTCTATACAAAATGCTGTCATCCTATCTACAGTACTTTCTTACCTAGGAACCTTCACACCCTCAAACAGAGATAACCCAAACTCACAAGAAGTTACTTACTTACAGCTACTTACACTCAAACGCCACACACACACCCAGCAAGTCCCCCCCCCAGAGGCGCACTCATTCTTTTACCACATAAATTTTCATCCGAGAATAGGAAACTAAGATAACCGATTCGATACGATTATGATATGGTATATAATCCGATCTGTCATCGGAACGTTTCCGAAACGCGGATCTCAGCGGCTCTTCTGGTGGAGAACGCCCGACAGCCGTTGAATAACCCGCGATAAGATAATAAATACTAGTTGATTTGATGTACATTCATCCGTGCTGGAGATAAAGTAGGGTTCCATCTGGGGTGGGGCTTTCTATCTATGCTTGTTGGAATTGGGGTGAGATAGATGTGCATTAGGTGGGTTGGTAGGTAACTAGTAGCTATGTATGTAAGTGATGGTTCCACGTGGGCTTTCTTTTGGGTCGTGTCCGTTGGTGGGATGGGCAGTTAGGGTTGGTGGGTGGTTCTTGAGGCTATTATTATTGTTGTTGTTGTTGTTGTTGTTGTTGTTGTTGTTTTGGGGGTTGGGATTTGAGGTAAAGTGTATGTCTGTGAGTGGGATGAAGGATGTGTTCTAGTCAGTGCTTTCCTACTTGCTTTTTGAATGCCATGTTGACTGATTTTTTTAAGAAGTGTGGTTGGGTTTTGAGATAATGGTGATTACCCTATCAGTCCTGGAAGTGAAAGAGATTCGCGGGCTTAAAGTAATATAATAAATGCTAATTCATAACTTGTCTATAGTGTAATATGTACGGAGGATCTCATCACTCATTATTAACTAGGCCTCCAACCGCGGGCCATGGTAATTCCGCCTCGCGTATGCGAACCAGTTCCCAACGCCCAGAATCAGCATAATGGCCAGCACAACTGAAGCATAATCTGTACATCATTAGCACCAGACCTAAGAGCCAAGGGGGGGAAGAGCGGAACGTACTCATATTACTGCCCGTAACGGGAAGCTCGGTGGGAAAGCAGAAGAAGATCGTTATAATGATCGCCCATATCACGCAGACTACATTTGCAACGTAGCCCACCGCGTTGGGAACTTTGAATGGGCGGTTGAGAGGGAGGTAATGCGAGTCTCGGCGCTGGTAGAGTAGAAGCAGGGCGGGGACGGCAAAGGAGATTTGAGCAACGACGACGGTCGTGCTGATGAAGGCGTTGAATGCTGTTCTCTGTTGGTCTGGTGGCGTGTATGTGTCCGAGAGAGAAACATACCTGTCGTTGAGCAAACGTATACAATGCCAACCAGTAGCACTGCAAAGCCATTGAGAAAAATTGCGTAGACTGGCACTCCCAGGGAAGGGTGAATGGAGGAGAGTCGGTGGGAGAAGAACAGTGCATTGTCGCGGGCAAAAGACCAGGTGAGTCGGGAGGCAGTCTGGTGCACGGCGTTCAGGGCTACGAAGGAGACCACGAACATGGCGACCATGAAGACTGTTCCTGCGACGGCAGAGTGGGTGGCTTTTTCCCAGATGAAGTAGATGGGGAATCTGGTCAAAGTCCACGTCAGCCCGAAGTTTAACATATTCATAGAGTATGGGACATACCCAGTTGGCGTGTCGAGGGAGGCTTCGATGTCGCTATAGCTGTAGAGGATGGCAATGGCGAACGGAAATCCCGTCAGAAGCCCCACCAAGACAGTGACAATAAGAGCCTTCGGTACAATCCTTGCTGGCTCTAGACATTCCTCTGCCAGGTGCAGCGCGGCATCAAGCCCAGAGAACATGAACTGAGGCGTGGAGAGACCGGTGAGGAAGGAGATGCCGTTCGACCAGCCGCCAGACCCGTTATCAAATTGAGACCATGTTTCAGCGGAGTTGATATCTGCCGAAGAGCGTGCAGGGCAAGCTATGATGATGGCAAGGAAGGTCGCAATAGACAGGACGACTACACAGCGAAAGCCTTGATTAGAACCGACCCCATGACTTACAAACAGGAAGAAGATACTCACATGCCATATTATACACCCAGAGGGTCTTGTTGGTCAGAAAGATGTTGTAGGTAACCATAATGGCATTCATCAACTGATATACCAAGAAATAGTGCCAGCTCTCAGCGACATATGAGGGATGCCATCGGATCACAACGGCCATGAGCGCCTCCGTCGCGGCCAGCGCGATAGAAGCCCCAAGAGTAATCCATGCAAACACGGCAGCCATCCCGCTGCTATATGACAGAGCCCGACTCCATCGACTGGGCGCCAGAATGGAGGTGAAATGGTACTGGCCGCCAGCAGTGGGATAGACGCTAGCCAACTCGGCCAAGGTCACACCGGTGCAAAACATGGCAAAGGTGACGACAATGATGCCGTAAAGGAGAGAGACTGCCCCTCCAGACTGTATGGCAATCGCGAAGCTCGTGGCTATGGCCACCCAGCTGTTGGTGTTGTTGTACCCTAACGCAATGATACTGATCATGCTAAAGTTCCGCTTCAAGTGTCCATCCGGGATGCCCGCAACGACTTGACCCTTGTCCATGTCGATTTCGGGGTCTGGCGAAGCCGCATGGCCCGACTTGAGCTCGGAGGTCTTGAAGCTGTCTGACTCCATTGTGTATTGGTTTGTTGTTTGTTGGCGAGGCACTGCGAGACCAAGTGCCATGGGAGGAGTATCCATCTTATTATGAAGCCCTCACATGGATGGTTCCAGCTCCGCTTTGCATATACGCTTTGACAGTCACGCCCCAGTGTGATAAGCAAGCCAGATTCGATAAGATGCGTGCGATGGGGATTAGATTTTCTTGATTCATCATACCTCCAGGGAGGCCCGATAGGGATGACTGATGGTTGATACCAAGATAGCCCGGAACGCTTATCGAATTCCGAGCCCGTTACCGAGTTCCCGACCAACCGGGAGGAAATTCCAGACGAAGTCGTCGCCAGAATAAGGTTAGAGGTGCTTATCAAGGCGGAATAGGGCGGAACTGTGCATCAACTCTAGATGATCGCTGGCGATCCTGCGGGGAATGACTGCAGCTAGCAAGTACCTTAGCGTCGTAAACGATGTCCTACTTATCGAGAGACGCCTCCTGCATGATCACAAGAAAATGGCATTGGATTTAGAAAACATCCTATTGGTGACCTTGATTGAGTTTCGAGTGTGAGATGTAAACCGTGGGTTGCTTCCTCGGTAGACGGAGACATCTCCGCAACGCGGAATGAGTCCTGCTGCAAAGTGAGCCTGCTCATATAGAACTCGCATGAAACCAGAAAGATCATAACTTGGAAAATAGGTGGTACAAAAATTCATACACAGTTCTAAATGAGTGTATTGGTGTATATTCTCCAGGATGGGTCACTTTTATGACCAGTCGCCTTGCCAGATGGCTCGACTTTCCCCTAAACCTCCAAAGATTGCCACCACCGACGCTGACACCGATGGCAACGCCTCCTCAAACCTACCTTGACAAGGCTGTCGTCGAGTCCGCACGAACCCGGAAAATCCAGGCGGGGTAACAGGCGAACCAACCCACTGAGCGCGCGTTTACGCATCACTTTTACGCCTCGCTTGAGCGATGCAGGCCTTTTCCTCTTGTGAAGAACGCTGCAATAGTAGCAACGAACCCGAAACACGCTGATGCCAAGAATGACAGTCGGATTCCTCGGTAATAAACCATTCGCGCGGCCAGCTGAATTTCCGGTGGCAGGGTGTGGATTGCAGATACGGAATGACGAATCTCGTCAATTACCTATGTGTAAAATGCACTTGGGTCAGTCATTGCCTCAGGGTGCAGGCAGGCTAAATGAGAGGAGAGTTACTTTCCATTTGTCTGGTATTCCACTCAAGGCCTCCCCGAGGCCCGAGCGCAATGTATTCTGGATAATGGTGGATGTGATAGCAACGCCCCAGACTGTGCCCATCGAACGGACCAAGTACACGGTGGAAGCGGATACGGCGTGGTCTTAACATTCGGTTAGCTGATCTCCCATTTCGTCAGTCTGGTCAAGGGATCCCATACCTGCGTGGCCGAATGCGGCGAGAAACGTGAACAAAATCCCGGGATAAACAATTCCCTGGCCGAGACTGGCTGGGATCATGGACGCATAGTACTTCCATTCCGCGTCATTGAATTGTAGAAGCATGACAAGCAGGTTCCCAATGAACATGAGAAAACAACCAATTCGAACAAGATACGCCAGCTTTCCCCAGCGTGACATCACAAACCCGGAGATGACACCGCCTATAGGCGTAGCCAGAGACGGTACCGCAAGTCTCGCGCCAGCCTTAGTAGGCGAGTCCAGGAGGATGACTTGGAACAACAAGGGAAGCGTGAAGAGGAACTACAATAATTAGCGCTAAACCGAAGAAGGTATAGGATAGTCACCTACTGCATATGCAGCCATTCCAACGCATACATTGGCTATTTGCGTTGCAATCGGCAAAACACCTTTCAGCATCCTCGGTGGGATGAGTGGAACCGCAGTTGTCTTGGCTTCGATGACCATAAAAAGGACTAGCGACACCACGCTCGCGACCAACGATAGGATCACCCAAACATTAGACCAGGGGAGCTCATTTCCGCCCAGGCTCAGACCAACTAGCTGTGTTGACAGGCCTATGATAAGAGCACATGCTCCGGACAGATCCACGCGCTTCCAGATCGCCCGTAAGCTCCGATCCTCGCCGCCGAATTTGTTCTGCGAGGGGAGCTTAAGAACGAGATGGCCGGTGATAAGGGCTAGGAATCCAACTGGCACTTGTATCAAGAAGCACCACCGCCATCCGATCGAGTCAACGATTGTCCCCCCGAATGAAGCACCGCAAATCGATCCAAATCCATGCAAGACGTTCTGGACGGCTTGATACATGCCGCGACGGTGGAAAGGTATGAGGTCGGAGTTGATGATAGTGGCTATATCCCATCAGTCTCCAGTTTCACACAGTATCGAAGTGGGAAGGCCAGTGTGCGTACCCATTGTCATCAGACCTCCCCCACCAACGCCGGTGAGTGCCCTCATAATATTCAAAAAGATGACATCCTTAGCAACTCCACAGCCCAAACAACCGACCATGAATGTTATTGTGGCCGTGAAGAATGATGTTCGTCGCCCGAAGATATCCGAGAAGCGACCGTACAATGGCTGAAACGCGGTGCTGGTGATCAGGTAGGATGTTGTGAGCCACGATGCGGTGTTAGCAGCACTGAACTCGGAACTGATGACGGCGTATGTTGACGCGGTGATAGTGCCATCGAAACCGGATAGGAAAACATTGGACATGATAGCTGCGAGGACGGTCAGCGCCCAATTTCGTGGTTGAACCAACCAACCAACCTATTTGGATCCAGACAAAGCCTGCGGGAGGCTTCCAGGTATCCTCAGCCTTTCGCTGCAGCAGAGGCTCCTCCTCATGCGGTGTAGGCACGGCCGGTTCGATATCGGGCTCATTTCTGGCCGCGGCGTCAGGGAAGGATCGCTGAGTTGGAGCACGCATAGCTTATCCAGGGACTGGTCTTTCAAGTTGTGGCTAAAGGACTTCTGGGTCATCTTGATGGGGGTTCGGAGTACCTGGTTATAGATAAACACCAGGCACAGACCCACCGCGGGGAGCATCTCTAACCGAAGGTGAGATGCAGCTCTCTGCCCTGTCGCGCACAGCGGCACAATTATACAAAAAAAAAAAAAAAGAGAGCAAGTGCCGCGCACCGGCGGGTCTGAGCCCTTCATCAGCATGGTATCCATGGGGTCGCATTGGTTGATCACATCGAGTTTGCCGACGCTGCATTGAGTCCAGGGCGGGAATTGACGAGCTCACAAGCACGGAATGCCCCCGCACGATGACACGATGGTAGCCTCAGGCGCCAGCGTCACAGCCCATTTCTGCCTGAGGCTGCCGCAGCAGTATGCCTCATTATGACTCAAAGCGATGACGGTGCTGACTGGGGTTGATCCCACCAATGACAGCAGCCCGGGTGGGTTTAGCTCCGGGCCCGGGGAAGGGGCGAGACCGACCCCGGATTGTCAGGCAGCCAGGCTAGCATTTAACCTACTGGGGCACGGAGCACGGAGGTATTTCCAGGTACTTCTTCGTCTAGCTAACTCACTACCAGGGACATGGCAGGCTGCGGTACCCTTGAAGTGGCGCATCCTTAGGCCTGATCCTTTCACCAGCACAGGGTTCTTTGTTCGAGATAGTCGATAGAACCTATAGAACAGGTCATATACGAATCTACCCAAGAAACTTCCAGGCGGGCGTCATGGTGAGATGTTTCAAAAAGCCACCCAAGGAGAAATCACCATGCCCCTCGGAGAGTATTCAGGGGCATACGAAGCCTGTCCGACTTCCTCATTCGTCTCAAGTCTAGTGCCCGCTCAGTAGAGGTAGTATTCAACTTTGCTCCATTTCCTTTGTCCGGCTGCCTGGATGAGGCCAAGATCGGATGTCCCCCATCCCGGAACCACATCAATCCCATTCATGGCTTGCCTTCGATCCCGGAAGTTTTATTCCCTCGCGGTTCGGATGGCTTCTTCCCGGCTTCCGTTCACAAACAACTTTGCCGGTCCTCCGAACCAGCTGACACCATCTTTCTTGCCTCCAGTCCGACCCTCCTTCCTCCGACCCTCTTTCTCTTCTCCATTCTCATCAGCTACCACGCCGTGCGCCCATATACCTTCCCAGTTGCCCCGTTACCCCGTTGCCCCGTTGCCCTCTATTATGCCTCAGGTGACACCGGATCATTACAAGCCCTTGTGACGGTAGTGTTGAGATGGCTATCCCGCCCACCCCTCCTGCTCCTGTTGGGGCCTCCGCTCTTTCTTCCGCCGTGGGGGGTGAGCTTGGAAGCTCTATACACACGACGATACCCCCCGAGGAGAAAACAGAAGGCTCGGATTCGGCTTGTCGCGAGTCAGAGGAACGGGAGAATCACCAGAAGATTGTTGCGCTGGCACATAGCCTTTCCCACCTGTCGCAAAAGAGTAGCACCGGTGAGGGAACCAACACCTTTCTTGACCCCACCGGCAACCCTGAGCTGGATCCCAACTCGGATCAGTTCAACTCGCGCAAGTGGACCAAGAACTTGCTTCGCGTGACCTCTCGTGATCCTGATCGATATCCTCGCCGTTCTGCCGGCGTCTCCTTCCGCAATTTGAGCGCCTTTGGCTACGGCACCGCCGCTGATTACCAAGAGAATGTGCCAAACGTGTGGCTGAAAGGGTTTGGTTGGCTTCGAGACAAACTCGGCCATGGGAACAAGGTCCGGATCGATATCCTCCGCAATTTTGAGGGATTCGTTCGCAGTGGGGAGATGCTTGTTGTACTTGGACGCCCTGGAAGGTAAGATGTGCATTCAACTGACCAGTACTTCCACTCCTGGGGGAGTTTCTGTTTGATTTTGTCAGTTACTAAATTAATGGCATTTACAGTGGCTGCTCAACGTTCCTCAAAACAATCGCAGGCGAGACCCATGGCATTTGGCTGGACCAAGGGACCGACATTCAGTACCAGGGCATATCCTGGGATCAAATGCATAGCCGGTTTCGCGGAGAGGTGATCTACCAGGCGGAGACGGAGATCCATTTCCCACAGCTCACCGTGGGTGAGACCTTGCACTTCGCAGCCCATGCTAGAGCTCCAGCAAACAGGTTTCCTGGTGTTACTAGAGACCAGTATGCAGCACACATGCGTGACGTTGTCATGGCGATGCTGGGTCTAAGTCACACCATAGATACGCGAGTCGGCAATGAGTATATTCGAGGTGTGTCTGGTGGGGAACGGAAACGAGTCAGTATTGCTGAGATCGTGTTGTGCGGTTCACCATTGCAATGCTGGGATAATAGTACCCGTGGTCTAGACAGCTCAACGGCTCTCGAATTCGTCAGGAAGTTGCGGCTGTCTACCGAGTACTCTGAGTCTACCGCAATAGTCGCGATATACCAAGCAGGTCAAGCGATTTACGATGTTTTCGACAAAGTCATTGTTCTGTATGAAGGTCGACAAATTTACTTTGGTCGCGCGGATGATGCCAAGCGATTCTTCATCGAAATGGGATTTGATTGCCCGGACAGGCAGACCACTGCCGACTTCTTGACTTCATTAACCAGCCCTACAGAACGGAAGCCTCGCCGAGGTTACGAGAATCTAGTTCCTCGAACACCTGACGAGTTTTCTGCGCGGTGGAGAGAAAGTGCTGAGAGAAAGCAGCTACTTGCAGATATTGATGCCTTTCAGAAGGAATTTCCAATAGGCGGCGACAAGTTCAAAGAATTCAACCGCTCGCGCGCAGCCGAAAAGGCAAAAGGAACCCGTGCACAGTCGCCTTACACGCTGTCGTACTCGATGCAAATTCGTCTGTGCCTCCGTCGAGGCTTCCAGCGTCTCAAAGGCGACATGAGTATGACATTGGCTAGCGTTATCGGTAATAGCGTCATGGCGCTGGTGGTCGCCAGCGTATTCTACAACCTAGAGCCTACTACAGCCAGCTTCTTCCAGCGCCCAGCGTTGCTATTCTTTGCAATCTTGTTGAATGCATTTTCAAGCGCCCTAGAGATTCTTACCTTATGGCAACAACGGCCGATTGTGGAGAAGCATGACAAGTATGCTCTCTATCATCCTTCAGCGGAGGCAATCAGCTCGATGATTGTGGACCTGCCGTCAAAATTAATTGTTTCAGTGGCATTTAACGTGGTTCTTTACTTCATGTCGAATTTGCGTCGAACTCCTGGGCATTTCTTCGTGTTCTACCTCTTCTCCGTGACAACTACATTGACGATGTCCAACATCTTCCGGTGGACAGGAGCAGTCTCACGTTCTATGGCCCAAGCCATGGTGCCGTCCTCTATTTTCATGTTGATCCTTGTTATTTACACGGGCTTCACTGTCCCGGTGCGGGATATGCATCCGTGGTTTCGGTGGTTGAATTACCTAGACCCGATAGCCGTAAGCTTTTCCATATAGCTCTCGTCTGATCAGTCCATTCTGCCCAGTTTCGTTTATTGAGGGATCTCGCTAACAACGAATACACATAGTATGCCTTTGAGTCTATTATGATTAACGAATTTAGTGGCCGCCGGTTTCCTTGCGCACAATATGTGCCTTCTGGGCCAGGCTACGAAAACGCTCCTCTTAGCTCCAAAATCTGCAGCCAGAATGGTGCTGTAGCGGGTCAGGATTATGTTGATGGCGACCGATACCTCAACGTCTCGTACCAATACTACCGATCGCACCTTTGGCGCAACTATGGCATACTCCTTGGCTTTCTTTTCTTCTCACTGGCCTGCTATATTGTCAGCAGTGAGTTGGTCCGGGCTAAGCCTTCCAAGGGAGAAATCTTGGTCTTTCCTCGAGGGAAGATCCCTGCTTTCGCAAGAAAGATTCCTGGTGAGGGCGATCTTGAAACCGCACCAATATCAGAGAAGCGGCCTGTCGACGACGGGTCGGATCATACGGCTGCAATTGTTGAACAAACTTCGATATTTCACTGGCAAGATGTATGCTATGATATCAAAGTTAAAGGTCAAACTCGCCGGATCCTTGATCACGTCGATGGATGGGTCAAGCCAGGAACTTTAACTGCCCTAATGGGGGTAACGGGAGCAGGCAAGACGTCTCTCCTGGATGTACTAGCCAACCGGGTGACAATGGGAGTGGTCACAGGCGAAATGCTAGTTGATGGGAGGCCCCGTGATGACTCTTTTCAGAGGAAAACCGGCTATGTTCAACAGCAGGACTTACATTTGGAAACAACCACGGTGCGGGAAGCCCTTATATTCAGCGCGTTGCTACGTCAGCCAGCAAGCACACCTCGAAAAGAGAAGATTGCATATGTGGAAGAAGTTATCAAAATGCTAAATATGGACGCATACGCTGAAGCCGTTGTTGGAGTCCTTGGAGAGGGTTTGAACGTCGAGCAGCGAAAGAGGTTGACAATCGGTGTGGAAATCGCGGCCAAGCCAGACCTACTTGTCTTCTTTGATGAGCCGACTTCTGGTCTTGATAGTCAAACTGCATGGTCTATATGCTCACTTATGCGAAAGCTAGCAGACCATGGACAAGCGATCCTGTGTACAATTCACCAGCCGTCCGCAATTCTAATGCAACAGTTCGATCGACTGCTTTTTCTTGCCAACGGAGGAAGGACTGTATATTTTGGTGAGCTTGGCCAGAATATGGAGACCTTGATCAAGTACTTCGAGAACAAAGGATCATCAAAGTGCCCTCCAACTGCCAACCCTGCCGAGTGGATGTTAGAAGTGATTGGTGCTGCCCCCGGCTCCCATGCTGACCGGGACTGGGCAGAGGTATGGAGCCAGAGTTCTGAACGTGATCAAGTTCTCGTGGATCTTGGGCAAATGAAGCAAGAGTTACTGCAAAGACCACCACCACCTCGCATGGTAGGATACGGAGAATTTGCCATGCCCATTTGGGCGCAATTCCTCCTTTGCGCGCAACGTATGTTCCAACAATATTGGCGCAGTCCTTCCTACATATATTCAAAGGCTGCGATGTGCATCATACCTGTAAGTATCTCCGATCACTTGGCAATCTCCCTGGCTAATCAGTTCGTCCCAGACATTGTTCATAGGTTTCACATTCTGGCGGGAGCCGAATAGCATACAGGGTTTGCAGAACGAGATGTTTGCGATATTTATGCTTCTGATCATCTTTCCCAACCTGGTGCAACAGATGATGCCTTATTTCGCAACCCAACGCTCTCTGTATGAAGTCCGGGAGAGGCCTTCCAAAGCCTACTCTTGGAAAGCGTTCATGCTGGCCAGCATTCTGGTTGAATTACCATGGAACATCCTCATGGCTGTCCCGGCCTACTTCTGCTGGTACTACCCCATCGGTCTATACCGCAACGCCTCTCCAACCCACACGGTTATCGAAAGAGGTGGCACAATGTTTCTTCTCATCTTGATCTTCATGATGTTTACCTCCACGTTCAGCTCCATGGTCATCGCAGGAATCGAATCACCGGAGACAGGCAGCAACATTGCCCAACTCATGTTCTCCTTTTGCTTGATCTTCAACGGGTAAGCCGCAAACGTTCCCTCCTTCAACATCAAGATCACTCAACTAACCCACCTCATTGTAGCGTCCTCGCCACTCCAGCCACTCTCCCCCGCTTCTGGATCTTTATGTATCGCGCCTCGCCTTTCACCTATCTGGTCGCCTCTGTCCTGAGCGTAGGCATCGCAAACAACGCGGTCGAATGCTCCGACATCGAACTCCTACACATCCCCCCCCCCGCAAACGAAACCTGCGCCAGCTACCTGGACACCTACGTCCGTACCTTCCAGGCCAGTCTACTCAACCCGGACGCCTCGGCCGACTGCCAGGTATGCACCTTCTCAACGACGAACCAATACCTCACTGCCATGAGCATGAACTACTCGGATCTCTGGCGCAACGTGGGCATCCTCTTCGTGTACATCGTGTTCAATGCCGTTGCCGCCGTGTTCTTGTATTGGCTGATCCGCGTGCCGAAGAAGAAGTCTGTCAAGGACAAGAAAGACTAGTACGTGGATTAAAGGTAGTAGGGATTTGAAGATTGGTGAGATGGTATGATGTGGCGGCTCAGGCAGTAGAGGACACTCAGAAGTTGGTGATTTTGCGTGGAGATGCGATGCGATGCGATGCGACGAGATACGGAGACTTTCTCGTACAGCTTGCTTCATTTATCCTGGGGATGGAGATCGAAGATCGGAGTGATTTCATGGTATCGCTATCGTGGTATCTAGCTATAACTAAAGGGCTTTGTTACTGAATAGTGTTTTCATACACCTTCAATTGCTTCACCATTTCAATTGGTAGTATTATCAAGAGAGCGAAATGCGAATGATTTCAGTAGTACAGTTAGTACCACCTACCTATATATGTCCTCCTTCAGATTCAGGGTATCACGATCCTCCTTTCCTAGATGCCTACAGATATCTTCTAAACTGACCTGACAATAAATGTCAAAAACAGTCTACACAAAAAAAAAAAAAAAAAAAGAAAAAAAAGAAAAAACTCCATAGATAGGCGCATTCCAACACCATCCCATGTGACACTCACTGACCACCAACGGACACGATCAGCGCGCCCGGGCGGTAACTAAGTAGAGTAGATAAGTAGGTAGATGTCTAGTACTATTGTACTAGTCGCAGCGCATCGCGCAGCGGGCGCGCCCAGACGCCCGCATCTGCAGCAGGCATGGGTGGGCTCCGGCAGCCCCGAGGGGAGGGGGGAAAATAACGCGAGAAGGGGGGGGGAAGCGCGGAATGGACGTGACTTTCCAATTTCCATCTTATTATTATTATTATCATTATTTACTCCGTACATACATAAGTACTATACTGCTCCGGACGGACTGCTACTGCACTGGGAGATCACGAGGATACTACCTGTACTAACTAGTTAAGGTAAGTAATTTACCTAACTTTGTGCATGAGGTATGAGTACGGATGCATACCAGACCAGTGTATACCTATGTGTATATGTGTATATGTGTATTACTATTTCCTACCGATCGAGCCATGCAGGTGGCCGCGAGGGAAGGGGGGGGGGAACTCAGGAAATTGAAATTACATTGCTGGATCATGTGTCCAATCGAGCGCGATTACTTATCTGGGTATTTCATTCCCGGGGGGTTCCGAGTTTGGGGAGGGACCACATATTTAGAGTACTAGATAGGTATAACTACTAGGTATGGAGTACGTTTAGTAAGACTGACTGGACTGTAGGTGTAGGTAAATGAGAGTCTGAAGTCGGGGTCTAGAATAATAATGGGGTGGTGGGTTTGGGTTTCAGGGGAAGGGATGATAATATCGGGGAACAAGGCGAATCGCTTGGGCGGTTCGAAAGGAACACGGGGGAGAAGGATGATGATGAGGAGGAGGAGATTAATGAGGAAAGAAGCCTTACAAGACTCCGTCGGAACTCTGGAGCAAGGCGGATTTGGAGAAGCACAGCCGCCGAATGCCTCCGCCACTCAGACGCAGGCATGTCAGTATGCCGTTCTCCGTACTCCGTAGTACTCCGTATCTATCCGACTGCAGTACGAGATCGTACAGGGCTGATACCGTGACGCTCGCTGGTCTTTTGGGTTTGACGGAATACAGCAAGCAGCAAACAGACTGGTAGCTGCCGGCATCTGGTATTATCCATACATAGTAGGGAGTCATCTTGTGGAAGAGATTCCAACAAGAGATCGTTGCTGTTTACCCGTTCGGTTGATACTTCGGCTATCAGTGATTGGTGCTGGTCGGGGATCGGCAGGCTGGGTAGATCCTTCTCCCCATAGCGTGCCCATCGTCATCGATGTTTAATGAACCCAACGTGCCACCCGATGAGATTAATTGTTTTGAAGTAGGCAAGTCCTTAATCCGTACTAGGGAGTAATTCTAGGCTCGGATCCGTCGCGACTCGCGTGGTGGTGCGCGGTAAGGGGGTCCCGCCCCCAAAAAAGAAACGAGGTGGGCTTAAACGGTTGCTTCAAGAAAGATGAGCATCGCGCGTATCTCGAAGAATGACTGGAGATGTGGGCAGATGACGGATGACGGGAAAGGGGTAGCAGGAAGGGAGTGGGTCGGAGCTTTGATTGCAGCCAGCCGATAGTCACCACTGCCACTGGTAACTATCCAGGTTCCAAGCGACGGGGGGATCTCAGCTTCAACTTTCAAGGATGACCATGGTGCTAACGAGAGACCGACCGGCCGTGAGCTGTCAGACGGTAGACCCCGGGCGGGTAAGCCTGGGCGGATGGACGTCCCCAGGGCCGCCGAGATCCAGGACGGACCTGGCTGGACCTGGAGGAGTGTCCGATCAGCATCCTATCGCCATTTCCACCATTCCAGAAGCGTGTCGGGAACAACACAAGCCAGCGTGGCGCGGGCGTGTAATGTGTAGAGTGTAGATATGCCGGGTATGGGTAGTAGAGCGCCCGGGTCAACCAGTGGGCAAGAGGCAACCAACCAACCCATGAAGGCACGAACACATCAGGACATCGGGATTCGATGATCGCAGGCCGACTCTTGCCTGTCCGGGACCCCTGCACTCGCGCGGCCGAATCAGCGGGCGAGGGCGGGCAGCGACTGACTCACTGCTAACGCTCCACCGGCCACAACCATGACCCGCGGTGGCCCATTAGCTTTTGGCCCCCGAAACCCTTGTGGTTCCTCCGCCCAGTCCGTTTGCCCGGCTAATGCAGCATTACCTCAACGCCGCCTATCATTGAGGCTGAATCCTCCTCCCGGGGCAGTTGGGCAAAGACGAGCGCTCCCGCAGGCCAATGGCCGCCTGGAATGTGGGTGCATGAAACGCGGGCTGTGCGAGCCACGAGGGTAGGGGAAAGAAGCACCCTAACCACAACCTTTATCGACCAGACTCACCTCCCTCACCGTCTTTGCGGCTCTCGGGGGTTCGGGGACAACTGACGACCGACCCATTATTATTATTATTATTATATTTCCTTCCCACTTTGTTCCCAACTTCTCTGTCCAGTCAGTGCCCACTGCCCAGGACGGACTAGATAGATACTAGGGCCCAGAGTTCGATCGTTTCTCGGGTGGAGGCGTCCGTCCTGTCAATACTCAATAAGAATAATAATAATAATAAGAATAATCCCCCTAACACGAGGACAGCAATCCTGGCGACTCTCAGGCGCCGTCCTTCCGCGTGGTGGGAACATGCCTCACCCACCTCAATCAAAATGGAAAAATGGAAAATCAATTCGTAGAGAAAGTGGACACTCCAGGGGGTCCACCCAGCGGAAATACAGGGATCTGACTGGGCTGTCCGTGTAGTTTTGACGTCTAGCAGCCCGGGCTAGACAGACAGCATCGACCGCCGCTGCAGGGGCTCGCTGCTCCGGTTCCCAAGGTGCACTCGCGCCTGGGCGCTCCACGAATAATGGCGCGGTGTTCCCGATCCATGCGGCTCAACAATGGCCTTGAGTCGGCGCTCCTTTCGGGTCGCTGTGATCCATCCAATGTACCGCCCTCCCCGCCCAGGGCAGTGGTACATAAACATGCCTCCTCCAGCTGAAGACCCCACGCCCCTGGCCTCCGCAGAGTCCGCACAATATAAAGCAGCGCCTGTCTCGCCTGGCGCATTCGTCTGCTCCCCCGGATCCAAGAGAGCACCGCACCGCTGCCCTATCTGAACAATGGCCCGCTTCCAACCCTTTGCAGACCTCCCGCATATGCCCTCGGGGGATAATCTACCCCAGGATTATGAGCTGTTTCCCTGCCAGTACGAATCTTACCCGGACCCCACGATTATCCAACGCCCCTCGGCTTTCCAGATGCAGCTTTCGCCTGCTGAAATTCCAGTGAAGAGCCCCTACTTTGCTGCTTCCTGTGTGCCATGGTCAGGCGAGCCGATCTTATCCCATCACCCCGGCCCATTGACTGCTCCATCCGACTTCGGCTCTCCCTGGTGCAGCGATCTTGCATCTAGCCCTGGTGCCGAAAGCATCGAAAGCAGCAGCTCCAGCTGGTTGAACATGGGATGTTATATGTCCCCTCCTTACACGTGCGATGATGCTATGCTTTCGCAACCTGGTTTCGAATCCTGCTCCTCACCAGCCGCCTTCAGCGGTGTCGACAGTCTCGTGGCACCTTCCCAGGTGTACCCCGAGCCTGAGCCTATCGTGAAGCTCGAGACCGAGACGAGGAATTTCGTGAATGAAGCGCTTTGCTACAGCAGCACCCCGCAACCCAACGAGTCGGACATTGCCTGTGACGTTCAAATCTATACGTGTCCCGACACAACCAGTCAGCCAGTCACTTGCAACTCGCCTAGCTTCCAGGCCAAGTCCCGGAAAGCATCCAAACCTACCGCTAGCCGCATCAGCAAGCGACCTCGCAAGGCCTCCGCCAAGGCAGGGTCCATTTCCGCACCCAAGTCTCGCTCCAAGGCCAGTGGTAAGAAGGATGCTGCGGTGGCTAGCCGGGTGTTCGTCTGCAGTTTCTCACATTTCGGATGCCCGAGCACCTTCGTGTCCAAGAACGAGTGGAAACGCCATGTGACCTCACAACACATCCAGCCGGGGTTCTACCGGTGCGATGTCGGACGCTGCTGTCTCGACAACCTCAGCAAGGACCGGAACCCCGAATCCGACGACTGTCCTGCATACAACGAGACGCACCTGGTCAACGACTTCAACCGCAAAGATCTTTTCACCCAGCACCAACGGCGCATGCACGCTCCGTGGGTTGCTCGGAACCGCAAGCACCCGGAAACCGACCAAGAGCGGGACGAGTTTGAGCAGAGCCTCGAGGCCGTCCGGGAGCGCTGCTGGCACGAGCAGCGCAAGCCCCCTTCTCAGAGCTGCTGTGGCTTCTGTGGGCAACATTTCAGCGGGGCGAGAAGCTGGAACGAGCGCATGGAACACGTCGGGCGCCATTACGAGAAGGGCGACTTGCAGTATGAGGCGGAGGACCTCCTGTTGCGCCAGTGGGCGATGGAGGAGGAACTCATTCAGCGGGTGGGAGGAGAGTGGAAGTTGGTCGCTCTTTGCGACAAGTAAAAGTCTCTTCTTCCCGCCTGCCATCTCCTACGCCCCTTCCACGATTCTTCTTGTGTCGTTTTCTTCTTTGTTTCCTTTGTTGATTTCCCCCTCTACTCTTTTCTAATCCCCCTTCTCTGCCCTGGCTATTTTGAACAGACAGAGAGATGATGACTGACGACTGATGTCCTGTACTCACTACTTTCACGCGCATTTGCGACTACGTTGTTCTCCTTGGGAAAGGTTTCCGGTTCGCACAATACCCATCCATACATACATACCTACTACACTCGAGAGGGAGGAGCTGGCAGGTGCATGCATATGCAGTTGGCTTTCCTATCTCAAGCACCACTAGGAGTTGATGACCAATATAGAAATGATTCTTCACACTTACATATTATTGAGCATTCCTCTAACCCATAAATCTATAAGACACGGAAATACACCTTTGCAAGTAATCACCTACCTCGAGCTACCGTACATAAGTAGTGACTCTACCATAAATGTCATCCCCATCGCGCTTAATTGGCCCCCAACCGGACCAAGCCAACGTCTCATTCCACGTGGCAGCGCTCCATCGCTCCATCGTCCCGTAGTATCCTCCCTCCCTTCCTCCCTCTCCCTCCCGTCCGTCTCCCTCCCTTCCTTTTCCTTCCCTTCCCCTTCCCACCTTGGCAGTTAACAACTTGGCACACCATCAGCACCACCACCACCCGGCCTCTCCCCATCCCCATTCCACTCAATCCCACTCATACACAGATCCATCCCATCCATCACCCATATACATCGCATATTACATCCTAAATGCAAAGCCAACCCCCCAACCTGAAACAAATAGCCCTCGTACTAAAATCTGACAACCTCGTGGACTGTGGAGCGTCTACAACACCCCCCCCCCCCCTCTCCCCGTCGATCGCTCATTTCTCAGCTCGGGCAGGAATGCCATGTCGGGGTTTCTAGAATGCATGCGCGCGCGTCTCTTGCATCTCGTCTGTTTGGAATCCGGTCGTCCAGGGAGCGGCTGGTCGTGTCTTGTGGTCTGTCGGCGTTTGGCTAATGACGCGTGAGATTGCGGTTTGGGCTGGTGTCAGATTTTAGAGGGTGCGATCGACGGATAAGGTAGGGGTTGGTGGTGGTGATGGTGGTGGTGCTGCCAGTGGGTTCTGGGTGGTGGGTTGTTGCTGGGTTCTGGGGATTGGGGAATGTTGGGTGGATGGATGCGGTATGGATGTAATTTTGTGGTAGGTATTGAATGGGTGGTGTTATAGGGCGCTGCGTGGAGGAAGTACTATTGTTACCATGGAGAATAGCATATCTCCTGCAAGTACTAACTACTACCTAGCTGTACTTCTTTTGGAAATTACTAACAGGTCTACTCCGTACACAGAGAAGTAATTATTGCTGCTGGCTATACCAATAGAGCTACGTCACACTGGATATTTATATGCTTGAAGAAATAGATCGATTTCCCTCACATCATCATCTTAAAGGTAATATAGGGGCCTCATGCAGCAGGGCGGCGATACAAGACGTTTTAGTACCTTACCTTTAGTACTGAGAGTTTGTGAGAGCAATAGCAGTGTTGCCTAAGGATAGAAATTATTATTTGGCGTACGGAGTACTCCGTAGACAAATCATGTTCCTCAAATCTTCTTTCGCCGGTCTTTCATACTTATCCCGCACGGACTGCAGCCTGCCGCGCCTGCGAAATAGTGATGCCTGAGCTGAGGTTTAGTATTACATCTTTGGGTGGTACATACCTGGAGCTACGTAGGGCTGGGATCTTATTTTGGCGGTAATTTCTCTTGAATAAATTAGTCTGGGACTATGGAAGAAAATACTAAGTATATACAGGTATGAGACCCTCATACCAGGAACCGTAAGGTAGGAGAATATACTTCTCGGGCAGTGCGGAGGTAAACCAGGTACATATCTGCCAGAAGTTCGATCGTCCTCTTCATGTCCTATTGAGAACAATAGAATAAAACAGGTAAAAAATAACCACTGCAGAATGGCCTTTGCTATTCATATATGACCGCAGGGGTATTCATTTTCACATTGTGCGCCTTAGGCCTTCCATACTCGGTCGTGAAGCCAAGGAGTGCGGGGATGACATAACTCTGCGGGGCTCCACAGTCTATAGAACCTCAGTGACAGTCAACGCAAGACTGGGACAGCACTCGATATTTTCTCCCATCGCTGCTATTCCACAATAAACGTCCCTCACAGTAAGTACCTGGCACTATCCTCCGCTCCCATAAAAAAACAAGACACCCTCTCTAACTCAACCCCTCCCAAAGATGACACCCCAACCAACCCCTCCATATCCTTTCCAGTTCGCCGCCTCCGACCACATCCAACCACACACCAACCCATCCACGGAAGAGACCACCATAACGCTGAAGAATGTCAAGGGCCGCATCCCCTCCGTGCAAGCCTCCCGCCTACGCACAATGTGGCTCAAGGCTCACCGCGATCCCACCAAGATAGTCGCCCACCCCTGCAGCTACGACGCCCTGTCCTCACGACTCGTCGAGGAAGCCGGATTCCCCATGATCTTCATCTCAGGGTTTGCAGTGGCCTCCTCCTACGGTCTCCCAGACACGGGGTACATTGCGATGGCGGAGATGTGCAGCCGGATCCAAGAGATAGTTCGGGTCACGAGCATCCCGATCATGGTGGATGGGGATACGGGATACGGGAGTCCGATGAATGTGCGGCGCACGGTGGAATCATTCGCTGCTGCGGGCGCCGCAGGCGTGATGATTGAGGATCAGACGTGGCCAAAGCGTATGAACTTTGCCAACAAACATTGTGTTCCCTTCCTTCCTGGATTGGTCTGGGCTAACTCCTGTTGTATAGGGTGCGGTCATACCAAAGGCAAATCAGTGGTATCGAGAGGAGAAGCCTACGCTAGGATCCAAGCCGCTGTTGATGCGCGCAACCAAGGTCGAGACATAGTGATTCTGGCCAGAACGGATGCCTTGATCCATGGATGGGAGGAGGCCATGACCCGCGCAAAGGAGTTTATGCGGATCGGGGCAGATGCTATTTTCGTCGAGGCGTTGCCTGATAGAGAGGCTATGAGGAAGTGCGCGGAGGAGCTGGACGTTCCTTTGCTGGCTAATATTATCGAAGGTGGGAAAACGGAGAATCTTTCGGCTAAGGAGCTGGCGGGGCTTGGATTCGCAGCTGTGGCTTATCCATGGACGCTTGTGGCAGCACGGCTGAAGAGTATTCGCGATGCTTTGAATGGGTTGAAGAACAGTCTTATGACTGGGGCCCCGCCTGGAATTCTTGGTTATGATGAGCTCTGCGAGGGTGTCGGATTCAATAAGTATTGGGTAAGTCGTGAACTCGGAGGCTTTTGTGCGTTATGCTCATTGAATAACAGGATCTGGAGTCGAGGTATGAGTTTGATGATCAGGGACTCGTCAATCCCCAGGACGAGGGTAAATGATTATAGAATGTTCCTGGAGAGGTATGGTGCCTTAGCACCCAGGGTACACTACACCACTACGGCATCAATATAGAAGAAGATCGGAGCCTTCTGTCACAACGTCAGGGTCCTCAGCCCCGACTAAGTCGAAGGATGTAGATCACATGTCAATGACGGGACCATTTGTTGAGAGCTATGTCATAGCCAACGGTTGGATGAGTCCGGATACCTAGGTTTGGACCCCACGCTCGAGTCCGTTGGCAGGAATGATATCATATGCACCAGAAATACACCATCGAGTAGATCAATGTCTGCAACGCCGAGCCAGGAGATCGGAACTGAGGGTCGGCTTCGGCACTTCGGACATTCGGGCTAAGGCACCACAAAAAGCATCTGAGGCCGGTTTCGGTCCTGAATTCCGCATTGGGACTGTGGATCGCCCGGGTATGGCGGCGCATGCCTGAGGCGTCCCCCACTCCCTCTCTCAGCCCTATGGTATACCGAGTGCTATGCTCAGGTTCCACACAACAATGCCTCAAAGCGAGGAGCGGTGTTGGCTCATGTCGGAGATACGATGGAGTTCGCGATGGCGCAGCAGTCCGCGGATAAGAATACTCCATATCGATGTAGCTATTCATGTCCTATCCTCCGCCATATAAATACCCCTCCTGCCAATCTTTCCAGGTCGTCTCCAGAGTCCAGACAGCATAACACTCAATTCATCGCCTCTGCATCTACAGCCCCTCATCAATAACAAACAATCCCTTCTTGTCATTTTAACAAGCATCTACCAACCCACAACCCAACCCAACTACCACAATGGCAAGTTCACCACTCCAAAACCACCCCCCCCCCCCCCCCCCCAGTCCCACTAACAACAATCTTCCCCAGGGCACCCCCGAATCCAACGCGCACGCTGTTCACAAATATATCCTTTCCCAGCCGCAAGATGCCCTCCTCAACAACCCATGGGCCGTCTACCAAGCCCTGGACCTTTACAGCCGCACCGCCCACATGATGAACTTCAAACAAGCCAAGCTCAACGTGGCCCAAAAGGCGCTCTCGAGCATGCAGCCTTTCCCCAAGGTCGTGCTCGAGTTCGGCACCTACATTGGCTGCTCCGCAATCGCGTGGGCCGCCATCCTGCGCGACCTGAACGGTCCGTTCGCCGAGGGTCTGCACGTGTACACGTTCGAAGTCGACGAGGCGGTTGCGGCCATCGCGCGGGACTTCATCAAGATTGCAGGCGTCGACGATATTGTGCATGTGCTTGTGGGCCCAGCGTCGGAGTCGTTGAAGGCGCTGATCGCCGAGGACAAGATCACGCCCAAGGGCGTCGATATGGCCTTCTTTGACCACTGGGAGGAGTTCTATCTAAGTGATTTGCAGCTTTGTGAGGATCTGGACCTCTTCCACGAGGGGTCGAGGGTCATCGCTGATAACACGGATATTCCTGGCGCGCCGAATTATTTGGCCTATGTCAGGGAGGGGGGCCGTGGAGGGGAGGGAGAGGTGAGGTTTGAGACGCATTCGTATGAGTCTGAGGTGGGTGGGAATGGGAGACGTCCGGTGAGTTTTACTTCTTTTCTTTGGGGTTGGTATTTGGCTAATATATTTGCAGAATATTGTGGAGGTTTCCACTGTTGTGGCTGCTAGGCTTTGATTCTGCGTTGGCTTTTGAGGCAAGACGGGCATTTATATGCGATGATGAGCATTTGAATGGTTTCTGTATGGCTTTTGGAAGCTGGGTTTCAGTACTAGCATGATTTGATGACAATGCTTGGGATTAGCATGAATATATTTTGATTGGAAGCATGGCTGCAAATATGCCTTCTTTAAGTTATTGGACTCTCCTGGGATGCATTTGATAGTCACCTTCTTTTTCACTGAAATCATCTCCCTTCTTTCAGTTGTATTATGATATAGTGAGTGCAGTGTATAAATATTAGGCTTTCTTCTCACCATATACTTGCAGTAGTATGTGTTGTAGTCGCTGGGATTATCTACACGTATACCAAGTCCAAGCGGAGAATGGTCATTATCCGGCCGATATCCGGCTCGAGGTCCAAAGTCGAAGTCTCCGCGAGCGTCAAGAGGGTTAAATGAGAGAATTGAAATCCTTCTTTGGATAGAAATACAAATTCACGTTTCTGTCCAGACAGCCCAAAACCGCCAACTAAAGATCCAGACACAACTATGAAATACCGCACCCTGATTGGCCACACGCCTCCCAATCAAGGCGGTGAAGCAAATTGCCGGCACAAAGTGGGTGCGGTATAGACGGCCAACCAACAACAGGGCGCCGCACCTCCGCAACGAGCGACATGGCGATGATGACACGGACAACGATTACGATGTGAATGCTCAAGGACAGCTCTAAACCACCTCTACCACAACCCCCCTCGCCCCCCAGCCAACGAATCCAAGTGATGCTGCATGATTCACACGCCTGAAACCCTACGCGAAAGGACAGCTCTGTCCGACACACCCTCCACCACCACCCCGATCAATTCCCCCCCCCCTCCGCAATGTCCGTCGCAGCTACAGGCGCGCCCCCGACCCATTCATCCAGTTTCGAACCATGCTCACAATCAATCCAGGTCCGTCTTCTCCCTCATAATCATCAATAAAGCCGGCGGGCTGGTCTACCAGCGCGAATTTCAGCCGGGACTGCGCAAGCTCTCGACGAACGATTACCTCGTCCTGGCTGGAACCTTTCACGGGTATGTCTTTCATCTTCACTTCTTTCCCCCTTTCCCTTTCACTCCAATCCAGCTGGAAACCACCCAGTCAATAGACCGAATACCAGACTAACTTCATCATCTCCTTACTCGCCCAATCCCAGTGTCCACGCCATCACCCGCACCATCACCCCGAAACTCCCCCTCACTGTAACCGCACCCGCAACAACACCCACCACCGCATCCACGCCCAATGTCACCTCTCCCTCGGCCACTTCGACCCCCATGCCTTCCTCGGCAGCAGCAACATCATCAGCAACAGCAGCAGCAGCAGCAGCAGCAGCAGCAGCAGCAACAACAACACATTCGTTCCCGAACCCCGGCGTCCCCGCAACGGGTCTCGAGACCATGGAGACGGATAAGTTCCGGTTGACTTGCTTTCAGACGTTGACGGGGACCAAGTTCCTCTTGTTTACGGATCCGCTCATGACGAATATCGATGTGATCATGAAGAAGATATACGAGCTGTATGCGGATTTTGTCATGAAGAATCCCTTCTATCAGCTGGAGATGCCGGTGCGGTGTGAGTCGTTTGATCGGAATTTGACGGGGTGGTTGAGGGGGAGGGCGTGATTATGCGAGGGGATGTGAGGTATACATATACACCTTTTTTTTTTTTGAGGGGGTAGAGCGGATGGTTGTGGGCTTTATCTTTCCTCGTGCTTTTCTTTTTCTTTTTAACTTTTCATATCTTTTATATTTGGGCGCCATAGTTTGTATTATGGGAAACAGTTACGATGACGATAGACTGCATATAATACCGCATCCTTTCAAAAGCGTGTCGACTGGGAACCGCTTTCTACAATTACAGTATAAGAGGAAAGTACATGAAAACGCCGGGTATGCATCAAATCATCCAGGAAGGAGGTTATTCTGGTCCCCACGTTTAAGCGGTGTCCATCTTGTCGCCATCCTCTTTCTTGTCTTTGCTCCCGCTGGACTCACCACCGGGTTGGCCTTCTTCGGGGATGTTCTCCAGGTTGACTTTGCCTTCTTGTTCCTCCCGGTCCCGCTTCTCCTTCTCTTGTCGGTTCTTCTCCTCTTCCAGGGACAGACGCAGGGCGAATGCGAGTTCGGGGTCGTCCTCGGCGGCATCCTCGAACCCAAAGGACCCATCACCGCCTTCGGGTCCGGCGCCATCTGCGCCAGGGCCGTCACCACCCAGGATGGGCGTGAGCTGGAGCTCCTCGCTCAGCAGGTTGGGGCCGGGCGGGATGACGGCGAGGTGGGAACCGTCGCCACCCTTGACGTTGTCGACGAAGGCCTCCAGCTTCTGGGTCTGGTCGGACTCCAGGTCTCCGAAGGCGATCACGTCGATGGACACGTTGTTCTTCTTCATTTTCTTGGCCAGCTTCACTAATGTCTTCTCGTCTTCTTCGATCGGAGAGCAGGAGAACACCACGATGCGCTGTCTCTGGGACTTCTCGGAGCGGTGCTTCAGGGCAAGCTGTATCAATCGACACTGCGTTAGCACATCCGTAGATCGTCACACAAGATAGAATGGTAAAGCAGGTTCGGGACATACACCGGCCACTTGTATACTGGAGCTAAGGTGGGCAGTGCCGTGGATCTTCGTGCGATGGAGACCGGCCAGGATACCACCGAAGTCGGTGGTGAATGTTGAGAGAACCTCGGGACCCTTTCCACCCATGCTCATAAGACCGACGGCGGACTGGGGATGTACGCGCATTTTGCTGGTGTGGATGACGCTGACGGCATCGATCTGTGCTTGCCATCGTGTCGAGCTGGGAGCTGTTAGGCACGGAACGGACGGTCGGGAAGTCGACCCAGCACGAGGCACTCACGTATAGTCTCCGTTTCTGCTGCTTTCGCTATTGTCGACACTGTATATGGCGTTAGCGCATGGAGCTTGGGGTGGGGAAGGAGATTGGGGGGGGGTGGCTAGGCGGACATGATCATGGTAGCTTCGAGCGACGACATCTTGGCTCTGTGTTGGCGGGGTAGATTGGGGAAGAAATATAGAAGAGAATGGAGAGAATTCAAGTTTATGAGAGAAGGTTGTAAATGGTAGGAACGGGGTGCAGAGGCGAGCGCTGATGGGGGGGGGGAAATTGATGATGGGGTTGCAGGAGGAGAGGAGAGATGATGATGTTGGAGCTGTGGTGAGGAAGAGGAGGCAGATGTCACACCGTCCCGATCGGAGCTAACGACGAATTAAGTCAGCGCTTGTTTACTACCGCCCTCCCTCTCTCTCTCTCTCTCTCCGCTCTCTTCACTCCATACTTCGACGCGCTCCCCTCCCATTTCATCCCTTCCGACCTCAATCTCCTCCACCCACCAACCCACCCCCGTCACTCGAAATTCACACAACTCAATCATCTCCCACCCATCGCCTGTTTTCCCTCGGTCGCGCATATCCAATTTGCCCCCAATGGCTTCTCTCTCCGCCAAACGCAAGTCTCCCGAAGACGCGTCCCACCATGACGAAGCCAGAACGCCCACAAACAGCCCCCCCAGGAAGAAGCTCCGGATCACACGCAATCAGAAACAGGCCCTTATGGATAACCTCCAGCTTGAGAGTATGCTCGCCCAATATCAAGTTATCCCCAGCGCAATTCCTCTGACACTCACACAGTCACCGAGCGCGCCCGCAAACTTCGTGCACAGTATGCCCTTCAAGCCAACGATCTCCGCGCACGAATTGAACGACGTGTGAACCGCATCCCCATGGCTCTCCGCAAGGCCAAAATGGGCGAATTACTTGAGAAACACACGGCCTCTCTCCGGGCCCAGCAAGAAAATACGTCTCCGAGGAAGCTCCTCAGCCCAGCCAAAGCGCCAAGGAATTTCGCAACCATCTCCGTCAGCCCCAACGTGCAAAAGGCTTCTGCTGCGAGCCCCAGCGCCCGCAGAGTGAAGAAGCAAAGGTAATGCGGAATCAAATCACTGCTCCCCATCCATCCTCTTGCTGACTTGAACGCCCAGCCACGGAGAAATCTACTCGGACAAGGAGAACGCTCCCGCCGCCGGAGAGCCCCTCGATGTACTGAAGAACCCGAAGAGACGCGGCGCCGCTGCTGGTACTTCGCGCGTTGTGTCGCAGGAAATGCGAGGAGCAGACTATAGGATTCTTTCCCCCAAGACCTCGAATTCCCGGACATACCCACAGTCGCCGTTGCGCGCCTCACCAGAGAAGCCCACGAACTCATCGTATCTATCGCGACCCATGTCGCCTCTGAAGCCATCCAGTCCGCTCAAGTCGACCACAGGGATCATCCGGACAGTCAAAGGTGCCTCCTCCGCCATCAAGGATAACAGACCCCCATCGCAGGCAGCAAAGAGACCCGTCAGCCGCGCCGCCACGGGGTCCAAGACGCTGCGCTCCCCATTGCCAAGACCCGCGACGCGGCAGCTCGAACGCAGAGGCAGCGTCTCATCGTCCGCATCGTCCGGAACAACCGTTGCCAAGCCAACGAGGACCGGAACCGGCGCTCGCAAAGCAACCACCGCGTCAACCTCAAGCGCTACGACTAAGAAATCAACCGTCGCGAGACAAACCGCCTCCGCAGCTGCGAAGAGGAATACCACCTCAGCTACAACCAAGAGAGCCCCCACGCCCGCCGGGGGCGACGCCCCAACAACAACAACAGCAGGACGGAGAGTCCTCCGCAAACGAGCTTAGTGTGCAGCACATCACCACATACATTCAATCGACTTTCTCAAATTGGCATGTTTTCTTCAATATTTTTTTTTTTTTTTAGTTATGGGCGCGGAGTAAAACGGTGTTTTTTAATACCTTTTTTTTGGCAATGGCAGGGGCGAGGTCTACGGGGATATCATGGGAGTTTTCATGCGCCTTGTTTTTTTTTCTCTCCCTTTTTTTTATACAACAATACGATTCTCAGTAGCCTGATTTGGGCCTGTCTGGCTTCTTACAGTTTGGTTTACAGTACATTCTGGTTGAATAATGATCCTTCGGCGATTTCTTTTGGGGGTCGAGCTGTGGGAGGATGGGAGGCGAGTCTATAATTTTGGAACTTTGACATGCGTCCATTGTGCTGCGTATTATGTACTCTTCAACTCAATGTTTGACCTCATCATTCTGTCCTGGGTTTTTACAGCTAGCATGGTTCTATCCTGTTGAAGGGACGTGTGTCAGTTGAGCTAGATTACTTGCAAGCATCACAGAGGACTAGAGAATTGCCGTGATGCTATCGGGATAGCTCATTCAATTGTGCACAACAATCCCTATTCATCTCGCCGGTCTAGCAGCGCGAATCCTAACACAAGAAGAATAAAGTACATGTTTCATACCTGGACCACCCGAACACAAGTCTCAGACACATCAGCCACGGTGCTTGAGGCAGAGTGACTAACATATATAAGTCAGGCTGACGCAATACCACTTTAAAAGCTGGGAGCACCGTCGAACATGAAGGTTGCAAACCGATCAGATTTAGTATAGAAGGCAATAGTATTACCCCGGCAATCTTGCCAAATGTACCCATAGTCCAATGGGGAAGGACGACTGCTGTATTTCAGGAACCTCTGCGGGAGGGCCATAATTTTTTTGCTGTCGTGAAGGATCCAATGGCCGGCGCTGTCAACCGTATAGAACGGCTTTTCGCTCCACATGTCATTCGGGGAAAAGGTGAGAATGTTCACCAGCGATGGGGGACCTTCCCATACCCACTCAGTTGTTCCCGTGGCTATCTCATGGACGGTGACTTTCCACTCGTTCCATCCCACCGCTACCCTGGTGTCCTGCGGCGAGAACGCTATGCGTATCGGTTCCCCAAATGAGCGTTGTCCCCCCTGTCTGAGCTCGTGTCCCCATATAGCACCGATTTCCTTCCCAGTCATCGAACTGCGTATCTCCACCTTCCCAGCCTCCCATCCAATCGCTACCATCGTGGGATTATGAGCTAGAGTTGCGAAGCAAACCCTTGTGTAGAAGTTGTTGACTCGGTATTCACAGTGCCTGTTACCAACAGACCAGACCGCTAGATCGCAATCGCATAACGAGTATGAATGAAGTAGCACACGCGTCTCGTCAGACGAGAACTGAATGTGAATATGATGCATGTACCATCTCTCATCACAGCGCCCCTGGTCTCCGCTTCCCTGCAGATCCCACCGCTGACTTGCCTCGCAATATCCCCAAAATTCGAGACTCCCCGATGGCTTCATGATAGCTATTTTCGTACCACTCGGGGAAATAGCGAGCCCTACCCAGTCACGAGCATTCGTCGGGACGATTCGCCCTTGGGTAACCAGGTCGCCTTGGTCGCCCATCACACCCCACGCCTGCAAGTGGCCCTCGCCTTCGTCATCTACTTCGCCCACATCGGACACCGATGGTATGAGTAAAGTGCGGCTATCAAGCACGCTGATCGTACCCTTATCTCGGACTTGAAAGACATAACCCTCTTTCATAAAGTCCCAGATTTGAAGTACCGACAACGACACCGTGAATTTCTCCCCAAATACCATAATCCTTGTTCCGTCCATACTTAATAACAATCGATTTCCTGAAAGCGATAAGGGAGCGACGGAGGCTTCGAGTCGACGAAGATTCCACAGAAGCGCATTCGGGACGGATGAGCCCGATATCAATCTATGCCCGCGGGGAAATAAAGCGAGGTGCTTTATATCCATGGTGTGGTTGATAGAATGGTCTACCTGCTTGGAATCAAGATCCCATATCTCCAAATAAGTCTCGATCGCGTAAGCCAGTTTGGCTCCATTGTGAGAAAGAGCCAAACAATCAATGAAACCCCTTTGAAGAACCCCGATGTCGATTTCGTGGTCCTTGACCATGTCCCACACTGTGGCATTGCCGTCGGAAAAGCGAATAGCAGCTCTGGTGGCGGAAAGTGACACTTCGCCTATTTTCAACCCAAATGTCAAGGTGTGACTTATCTGCCTGGTATCAGTATTGCCAATGTGTAGTACGCGTCCCTGGGAGAGAGACATTATTGTGCCATCAGCGGAAACTGATACACCCTTGAAATTGATTTGAGTGTCTTCCTTCCTTTCAGTGGGAAGGCCTCTATCTTTCTGCTGCCGAGTGTCATGGCCAGGCTGGAAAGACCAGTTGTTCAACTCGGTTAGTGAAAGTATGCTCGACAGTTTCTCCGTCAATGCAGTGCTGGCCTTTCCAGTTGTAAGACTCCATGCTCTTATATGACGAGAGTGGAGGCCTCGTGTGAACAACACAGCCGCCAGCTCCGTCCCATCCCGAGAAAAGATAAGACACTCCACGCTCGTCTGTCCTGGTAAAGGGGCAGCAGCCAGTTCCAGTTCTGTATCGAAGGTGTGAAATAATTTCCCTGTGGTCGTAAACCAGACTGTGATGGTTTTCGTGGTGCAAATGGCAACCAGGCTCCCATCTGGGGATATCACAAACTCAAGAGGTCGATTATCCAATTCGAGGACCTGCTCTTCCCGGCCCCACTGACTCTCCATTGTCGGTGGCCTGAGTAACCATGCTGGGTAGTCTCTAGAAAATCTTCTTCGTATAAGGCTCTCCGTCGGGGTGAACACAGTTGCCATGTAGTAAACTTGAAGTGGAGCCTTTTCAATGATTGATCGGTGATAAAGGATGAAGCTATGGGCATCGTCGACAAAGTCTGCAAAGCCTTGATGTTTTAAGTCCTTTTTGAAATGGATTCATTAGCTGGGAGCCTTACTCGAAGCGGGGTGACAGTTCATTTACCAGTGCGAGACTTTTCAAAATAGCAATTCCAGTTACCGCATCATCAATCCTTCCTATCAGAGCGAGGGTCTCAACCCAATGCAGAAGGTGCTCCTTCAAGAATTCCAACGCCATGTGCGTCTCTCCAGTCCCCCATGGGGAAACCACTGCGTCCACTAAGTGGGAAGCCCAGTATTGGCAGCCGTATCGAACGATGGGAGAAATATGCTGAGTGATCATGTCTTTATCAATGTCGGAGAAGAGCGTCCCGGGTTCTTGTAGCTGACACATATCCTTTTTCAATTGACTGCCGATATGCTTCAAGCAATATTCAAATGATCTCCTATGAGCCTTGCTTTCATCAATGAAGAATCTCTCGTCCTGACATCTTCTTTTATCAAGAAGGAAGTCACGGAACGAAAGATGAAACAGCTGAACGGCCGCATTTCGATCTTGAGGGACAATCAAGACAGAATTCAGACTATTCAGTATGAACTTCATCTCTTCTGAATCGATGCCGAGGAAGTTTTCCATGTCAGATAACGACAATGGCTGTTTAGAAGCAAGTATCACCCCTACAGCCCGAGGGAACAACTCGACGAATACATCACCATCGTCACCCACAGCTACAATTTCGAGCAGACGACGATACATCTGGTCAAGATTGTCTGTCCCCTTGCCTGTTATCATCTTGGCGCTGAGAAACTCCGAGAGTCGTCGATCTGGGAAATTGCCTCTGAGAAACCGACATGCGGTATTCGCAGCAATGAACAACTTCCCGCTCCATTGCAAAAGCTCCTGGATCTGTTTCTCCTCTGGCCAACCTTTTCGAATCTTCTCAAGCTCGCTCCGGACATAGGTAGAGATGTCTTGTTCGGTATGTGTTGCCCCAACTCCTTCTTCCAGCGACAGACGTTTCACGTCAGACCTTTCTTCGAAGCTCTCAAGAATGTGTTTCTCATTCCGACTGGTCACAAAAATCATAAGCTGAATGCGCTTTAGGACTTTGGCCTCTAAGAATAGACTGATAATATCGGGAACGGCCCGAGTACCTTTGCATTCGTCTAGTGCGTCGATGACGAGGACTACACGAACGGGCACAAGTGATGTTGACTCGAGAGTTCTGAGGGGCTTAAGGATCAGACATTCCCACTGATCCTTCAAGCTTCTTTGTTGCATCTTGTCATACGCAGGAAGGCTTTGGTATAGACAGGCATCGAATCCAGGAATCCTCTGCGCCAGACCCCGCGCAAGCGTGGAGAAGAACATTTCAACCTTCGCTCGGTCTTCCTGGACCCTCGAGAAGAAAAAGCTCGCGCCGAGATAGCCTTGCTCGTGGAACTGGCCGGCCACCGTGCGGGCGATTGTGGATTTCCCGGTGCCAGCCATACCATTGAGCCAAAAGACACATCTACTCCCGTCGTCTTTACCTTCGCCCCAGTCGCGAACCATGCCCAGGATAGCTTTTCTGGTGTCCTTGTGGCACGAGGGCGGTATCTCTCCGTTAAGGCCTTCATTGAACGCAGCGCACACCGCCTGGGGAAGCTTTTCTATATGTTCGCGTTTGGCGAATTCCTGTCCTCATGGTGAGCGAGAAAATCTCAGATGGGACTGACTGTGTTCATCCATCGCTTCAATCTTACCAAGACATCACTCTGTACCTCCTTCAGCCTATCCAGGATCTCGTCGACACTTTGCCTCAGGGATGATAATTGACTATCAAGGCCGGCAATGGCTCCACTATCCAACGTGTCCAAGGTCTTGCTAGCATCAGCTTCAAGGCTCTGGATTTCCGAAAAGCTTGCTTTCCCCTGCGATGCAACGGCAATGTCCTTGACCATTCGTCGAAACTGATTAAGTGAATAATGGTGCAAGAGATCGGTCTGATATTCGAGAATTCGAGCATAAATGTCAATTGTCTGTTCCCTCAGCTGAGCGTGAAGATCCCTATCGTGATCGGAAGCTCTGAACCTCTCCTCTGGATGTTCCGAGAGGTCATAAACAACCTCGATGACGCGGAACCGTACAAGCAAGCTCGAGATGCCGTTTAAATCATTGAGAGCGTTGTCGGTGTGCGACAGAGCAGCGGACAAGATCTAGGCATGCATTGTTAGAATTAGAAACGCCTGCACTCCTGTCTGGTACCCCATTCAAACGAACTCACTGGGAGGAGGGCCGCGATACTCCCCCAGGCCAGGCTGGCATGAGATTCAGCGGCGACAGCCGCGGATATGAGAGAACTGTAGCCCAGGACGGTCTGGACCACTTTGATGACTCCATCTCTCACTCCTTGCGGTTTGCCTTCTCCAATCTGGATTTTCAGTCGGGATTCCTGGATGGCTTTCAGTTTCGCTATGGCCGCATCCTGGAGATCATCGCTGTGCCCATCCTGGATAAATCCTTCCAGTTGGCATAATCGTTCGGGATCCACCTTTTTGCGCGCGTTCGCCCAAAGTCCCTTGTTTATGGATGTATCCTTCACGCTTTCTGCTCTGTTGGCTCTTTCTTTGTCGGTAAGAATGGTTTTGGGGAGTGCATTTCTTCTGTGGTCTTGTTGAGTCGCGATGAAGGATGCATTCACTGGCGGACTCGACAAGTCAGATGAAGGATTTTCTTGTGCATTCTCTGGGGAGACGGCCCGTTCTATATCGTTCTTCTCTGCAGAGACATGAGGCTTTGGAGTGGATGATCCGACAGGTGGTTCCTCAGGAGAGGATTCCGGGTTTCCACAGCTTGATTCTGGGGCGACATGAGGCTTTGGCGCGGAAGATTGAGCTGATTGCTGGAGAACGAGTGCTGGTCAGCATGGTCACAATCACGAAGGGAAGACTTGATTGAATACCTTGGATCTACTTTTCCTTGTCCATGGCCAGCAAGAATGACAGGGCATTTTGGCTGACGTTGTGTTACTCAGATGCAAGTCCTCGGCTTTCTCCGGTAAAACAAGAGAGCCGGATCCATCTGGCTAATGGCGGGGTATACCTAGACTTATCCAGGCCAGAGAGATAGACAGGCACATCCAGCTTGTCGAGCCTCAGCCGAAGTCTCCAATTTGGGTGTTTGCGCAGCTGACGTGGCAAAGCGGCCTCTGCATTAGTTCATCGCTGGCGGTTAGCGAGAGGATTCAATTGGGGAAATGCGACTTGGCTCTACCCCGGACCCTAGTCTCCTCAAAGGACCAATCCCACGATGGATAAATTGACATAGCAAACAAGAGATACAACCTATCCCGTACATCAACTACAAAACTACACGAAAGAGAGATCTGCTTGAGGAACGGTTTGATTAATTAGGACTCGACTAAGCGCACTTCCACAGAGTTGGCACTATAGCATTCCTTTCATCCAGCGCTTGTAAATTACACCTCCTGTTTTAAGGAAACAACACCACATGGAGACATAGGTGTGATAAGAACCAGACGCGAACAATTCGGGATATCAGCAAAGTAGGTGGTATGGGTAAAATGTAAGTAAGAGGGAGAATTGAAAGCAGGAAGAAAAGTGGGAAAAAAAAAAGAAAAAGAACTTATGACTCAGCACAGGTATCTTCGACAGTCATTAGACTGGCTGGTAAAAGAAGAAAGAAAAAGAAGAGAAAAAGAAAACAGAAGGAAGTCTCGATAAGCTCACATCTTGATCGATGGCAAGTTGAGAGGTGCAACACCGGCGGGACATATGAAAAAGTAGGTAATGAAGAGAAACGAAGATACCAGGGGAAATTGTCCATGCTGGATCTGAATGGCAATGCAAGGGAAAGTCCAGAAAGGTAATGGTAAAAGTAGGGAGAAATGAACACACCCAAATCCCAGAATTTGTACCTAACAGCCACACCGGACGAAAAGAGGCGCCCCCGCCGCCAACCGAGCGGTTGGGTCCAAATTGAAGGGTACCAGTGGGTGGACACGCATCGAGACTCGCAGCCAAATGCAATGTACCTCACGCAGTCGGTGTGCAATAGAAAGGGAATTATAAGAGCTTCCATCCATCAGGAGAAGCTTTCAGCCGACCATCTAATCAAACCCTGGAAATCATCTCATCTCGAAAGGAGAACAAACTCCGTCCAACCTTGTTAAATCAAAAGAACGCTGAAGGGCCCAACAATACGCCAAGAGCATCCATTTTGAGCTCGAAGAATATAGAGGCGGATAATGCATTGGTAAATGACCTCGAAACTATGCAGAAAAGCAGCGCAGGAGTTGGTATCGCTGAGGATCTAGTCGGCAAGGACTAGCCAGCCACTCCCATAGGGCCAGCACCCGGACGAGCTCTGTATGGCATCTGTTGGGCTTGTCCGTCGGCCTGGATCGGATTCTGCTGGCTTCCATTGGAGGTGCTCCGTTCACGGTAGTCATTCGGCGGTGCAGGTGCGAGTTCTGCACCAGCCTGCTGGGCTCCACTGGTCGAATGCTGATGGCCCCCGGGGCTCTGGACATGGCGAACTGAGCTCTGCATCTGCCACGCTGCGTCCTGAGAAGGATCTGTCTCGATGCGGGCAGAAGCAGGAATATTTGCCCCGCGGTTTGAGTTTGTGATTGTAACAGTCTCGCCGCCGTTACTCGCTTTCGGAGAGATGCTTCCACGCGCGATGTCGCCATAGCGTTTGAGAATTTCCTTGGTAGTTACCTCGTTGTTCTCTCGGAAGAAGTTCGTATCGGTGAGGACAGATTGTAAATCGTCCGGTATCTAGGAGAGAAGTGAGCATGCAAGAACAAGCACGTAAGTGGGAACACAAAACATACCTCACACATATTGTCGTTGTATGTGATTAGACAATTAACAGCTTCGATTGCCAAGAAACTTTCATCCACGGTACTATTCTTCGCATTGGGGTAAAGAATGTTGGGTGTCATGACAGTCGCCAGGTTGTGGATGTCCATCTTACTACCAGTCTCTTCATCGACGTGGGAGAAAGACGAGGTCCAGTTGAGGAAAGCGAAGAGAACTTCCATGGTATCCCGGTGGGCCTTGGGAAGTAGGCAACATGTGAGATGCAAGACGCGCTTTTGTTTTTCGGGGTCGGGTATTTCTGCAGACGTAAGCAAGGAAGCTTGCGATCTTGGGGAAAGGCCGTTACTCACTTTGTGAAATGACGAAAAGGCGATGGAGCTTGAACGTCAAGAGAGGATCCGGCATCTCACGAAGAAACTTTTTCAGTAGAGCCGCAATCTGAACAGGATTTTCTTTGGTCATGTCGACCTGCTCATACTTGTTGTCGATCTGTTCGGACAGATCCTTGAGACGCCTGATGTTGCCATTCTTCCGGAAAACACCCTCTACTGACATGTCCATCTGGCGCATCGCGGACACGGCGTCGTCGACCAGAGCAGGAATCCTAAGTGCACCGGGACCCACGCCATGGCTTGATTCTGTGCCTTCTTTTTCGACGAGGAAATCCAGACTGACACCAAAAACGCCCTTTTTCTTCCCAACTTTTTTGCCCTCCTTGTTGAAAGCGCGACCAAAGATGTTCCAGATGGTGGGCTTGCGCGATTCGATCAAGGAGAGGAGCTCCTCTAATGTGAAATGCCCATCCAACAGAGGCTCCATAGACAAGACAGCAACGTGTCTAACAATGAAATACTCCAGCGCGGAAAGCTCGGAGAAATACTTCTTGGTCCTGCCACCTTGGTCCATAATGTGCCGTTCCAGACCGGCATCAGACACGCCACGTTGATGGCCATGATTGTACTTCGGAAGAGGCTCAGTGGTTCCAACCAGCTTGGTGCCAGCGTGCTTGTAGGCGTTGGGACGCTGTTCCTTGGCTTGCTCGGCAGCGACAATCCTGGGAATGTCATCCAACGTCAATGCGTCCTGGTTGCCAAATGTCAGCTCAGTGACTGTCTCCCCGTTAGCATCCTTTTCTTCCACGATCTGGAAGCCATGACCTCTCGAATCTGAGCCTTCGCCGCCCGACGAACCAGGTCGCACGCTACGACCTTCTGGTCCATCTATAATTCGAGATGCCCGCGCTTTCTTGTAAGTCGTTGACAAGGTCCGTTCGTTCCGAATTGATCGAAGACGTCGCATCTCACCGACTGTTTGCTCCAGGGATGATCCTTCAGGCGGACTTCTAACTGCGTTTGCGTACGTCTTGCCTCTGGTGGCAGACCGACGTATTTCACCGCCAGGGGCGCGACCACCTTCGTTGCCGTCTTGTGGGGCAGAGGGATCGTCTGGTAAATGGATTAGTGGTGAAAAGCGCGACTCGAATGACGATTATGACATACCAGTGATCAACGTTCCGCCTGCCCGTAGAACAGCGAGGAGCCGCGCGAGAGCGACCTTGAGCAAGAACACAAACTGTTGGAGTTTGGTAATATGAGTAAAGCTCCCTTGGACGTCGTGTGTAAGCCCCTTCTGCGAAACACAATCACCACAGAAAGGTCGCTTTTCCTTGGGGCTCCACGATGCGTCTTGGATGGTGTGGGTTAGATCTTTTTGGCATCCAGCACACGTCAGATGAGGTGGCTTTATATGCCACCTGCTATCACCAATCATGATACACTCGTCGTCGATTGGCTCTTTACAAGCCGCGCAACAATCTGAAAGCTGGTCCGCAAGAGTATCAACCCCAACCATCAAATCGGTAAGCGACTCTTCCTCTTCTGGAGGTCGAAGTGCCTCAAGGTCTCCCAAGTGATCTAAGAAATGATGAAGACCTTCAGAAGCTCGTTGTTCCCTCTCTAGTTTAAGAGCCCCTTGCAGTCCAATGCGAATGAGAAGTTTCAGGTAATGTGCAAGGCCCGTTACCAGCGAAAGAAGCTCCTGAGTGACCCCAAGTTTTCGTACACCGGTTTCCTGTGTTTTTGACAACAGTGCAAAGAATGCAACAATCTTCTTGCACAGAAGTTTTGCTTCGCGCCCGTAAGCCAGATCTATGGTTCAAAAGAAACTGTTAGCCCGCGATTTTCCGACAACAGATCATAACGAGACTGCAAAAGATTTGGTGACTAACCTTTCATGCCTTGGGTTTTGATGTGTCCCGCAAGCTGGTCAATAGCAGAGAAGAGAACATCAACATGACCAATGAACCGTTTGGCTACGAGAACTCCATCGACATAGGTGCCATTGCTGACATGGAGAAGCATGTCCGAAATGCATGCCGCAGAAGACTCCTCGAAACTTGACAAAATGCTCCATATTTTGTACACTTTTTCTTCCATAACATCCTCATCCTCACGGACTCTGTTGCGCTCCTCATCGGTTGCATCCAAATCGGCTTCGGAAAGTTCGAGTGGTTGACCTGTCGGAGCTAACCGGACATTCCAAAACTTGTGGATCATGTAACACTCAGGATGCCAATGTTGGTTCTGGCCGTTGCGGAAAATCTCAACAAACTGTTTCAGAATGGCCGTATGGCAACCATGGCACCGTTGTGCAAACTGGGTGGAGTAGTGGAAGTGACAGTAAACCTTCCCCTCATGCTCATAGTATGAGTCCTGTGCGCCAAAGACGGTCGGGCAAACAGAGCAGGTGAAGTGTTCTATGTGGTATTTGCGCTCCAAGGCCGTAATGTATGAACCCCGCAGGGCACCACCGCAGTCATGGCACAGAAGATCTAAACGTCGGAAATAGTCCGTTTCACACAAGGGGTATTGACCACTTCCATCCTCCGCATCGACGGGGAAAAACTTAGACGCCACGATCTGACCGCAATCCTATACACGAGAGTCAGTCAGGAGAAGGTCCAAGATAGCTATAGCTCTGAGAACTTACCTCGCACTTGAAACATTCAAGGTGATACGTTGCGAGTAACGCTCGTACAAATTGACCAGTGAGGGGTTCGCTGCATTTCTTGCAGGTCCGCGACGAGCTAGCTGGAGATTTCGTGGGTGGGCGGCCATTCGGCCGGGATCTCTCCCGTGGTGTTGACCTTTCCCAGTAGCCATTGCGATCCCTTGGAGTGGATGGGTCCCTTGGGCCAGGATGGCCGGATTCCAATCGCCTGCTCATGCGACCATCTGAGCCCGGGGGTCCATCAACAGGGCTGTTTGTAGAGCCATTCCATCCTCCTGCCCTCGTACGAGGCGAGTCATAGGCGATATTGCTGTCCGCAGGAGATGTAGGTGTTTGCGACTGGTGACTACCACCGCCGTATCCACTGGTATTGAGCTTTGGACGGGCGCCCCCGTTGCCCGGCACGAGGCTGTCCGGCAAAGGAACGTCGCCGGGAGGCATGTCCGTAAGGAACTATGCCTTTCGGATACAGAGGTCGGAAAACTAACGCTTCGATGGATAACTTTTGCCGAAACTTGGAAATTGATGGCGTTGCCGCCAATAGGGTCAGGGAGAATCGAGTTGTCGAAGGACGAGGAAGGAAGAGGAGTAAACAGAATCAGTGTGGGTTAAATTCGAGGTAGGAGTCGTCGAGGTCGCGCGTCTAGCTGATAATTCCGTCTTCTAAAGCGTGCCATGTTAGACTCGGGACGAAACTCCTGGTATTGTTTTGCGCGGGGTTGTTTAGGAGAGTTGGCGACCTTTCCCGTAGCAACTCACCTCACGCCATGTAGCTGAAACTTGCGGGGAAATCCGAGGGCAGAAATCGAGGCGCGTGGACAAAGTACAACAGTATAATCGCTCAAAGTAAGAAGCAGAGTGGGTGGAGTGTCCGGGGGAAGAATCCCTCCAGAGGCGAGGCGCAACCGCCCGTGTCGAGGGAAGCGGAATGGGGGATGGATGGGTTGGAGCTCAAAGTGAGACCAACAAGCGGCGGAGTGCGCTGTCGGGAATCACAACCATTCCTAATCCCTTCAGCAAGAGGGTTTTGGTAGACTGCCTGAGCCCAGAGCCAGGGGAGATGGGCCAGTGTAGCAGAGCCGGACAGGGAAAGGTCACGTCGAGTCTAGAGTACCAGCTAGAATGACCGAGGAGAAGTAAGGACAGGAAACCGCGGTGTTTGGGGGGAGCGAGTGTGCTGCTGGCAGTTGTCGCTCTGCCCCCCTATGCTTCAAGTCATGTTGCTGGTTGCCCGCTAGAGACGGTCACGTGAAAGGGGTCACCGCCTCGCACACCGCCCGGAGAAGGCGCTTCCATGGCTCCTGCAGTTGTGGGCGGATTACCATACCAGGTAACGGGGACTCCGTGCCTGGTGAGGCTACCCAAGGGATCACCACAACAACATCACCCCAGAAGGGGACCAGAAGGAGACCAGATGAACGTGTTCAAGAGGTGAAGATGGAGGTGTCTTTCTCAAACACCCATCAGCCTTTGTCCTATAATCTCCCATACAAGCAAACAAACAAAACACCCTCCCAGTTTGACCGGTTTGGCAGGGGAGGGGGAGGCCGCTCTTTTCGGAACACGCCCGTAATTCGATGTGCTGGCAGAAACAGACCCTGTAATGCTAAAGGAGGTGGAGCCCCAGGACCATACCATACTGGGTTGGGTAGTTGGTGATGGCGGGTTAAGGCATGGATGGATGGATGCTTTGCATGCTTCCCTCGGAATTGGCCCATAGCAGGTCCCTAACTCCTCTAAGACATCCAGAGGCCTTCCTCTGGCCCCATCGGCCTTATCACTCACCTACATGGTTTCTATTTTGGAATCTCACACTCTCAGCCGGCATGATTCTTTTCTGAGCCTTTGTTTGATTCCCCGCACCTGTTTCTACTTTCCCTTATTCATCATCGGCTAAAAACGCTAGTTGCTAGTTGACTAGCTGGGTATTGAGTATCAGCCTAGGATAGGTCGATGCCTCGTCCTTGCCCTCTGACTTATAAGCCCTTTTGTTTTTCCTATAAAACCATTAAACATTAAACAAGCACCTGTCGTCCCTGACATGCTGTACCCACCCATCCATGTCGATATATTTCGTCCTCATTCCAGGTCAAAACACACCCACCACACCACACCACCACACCACATTGCGAAATAGAAAACACCACTCACCTGGTAGTATATGTTCCATTTGAGGTCCACTTTCTTCCCTGACTCCATCCACTCTGTCTTATATCAAGACGGGCGTATTTGAATCATTGACTTAGTGATGAGTATCTAACTACTACTATGGACCAGCAGACTTGAGACCCGAAGAACCCGTGGGATCGTAAAAGCCCGTCCCCCCCTCCCCCCTCGCCAAGGTATTTATGGCGTACTTCATACTGGCTGGCCCTTCCAGGCGGCGGGTGACCTCCTGAGATGCATTCTCCTTTCATGCGATTCTTTTATTAACGATCTTCCGATCATCAAACGGTTTACCCAGGTGCCTCAGGTACTGCACTACCTCAGTGTGTAGTGACTATTCCTTACGGTAGCATGCCATCAAATTATAGCAAAGTATTCATCGAGAACCCCCCCCCCCCCCCCCCCCCAGATCAGCCACCTTTGGCTGCAGCTTGATATCATGGCCCTGTTTTGAGAATGATTTGCATTCCCGAGGCATTCCTAGGGAGCTAAACCTGATTCTCACTATCTAGATCACCCATCCGGGTAGTTGGGATGGCGGTATATTCCCTCCGTACATAGGGCCAGAGATGATATTCGACTATCAATTTCCTATTGTGACCATGGGAAGTTTGTGGGCTTTATTGTGGCTGGACGGAGGGATGGCGACCCTGATTCGTCCCGCTGCGTCTTTTCTAGGCAACACCTACACCTTCCCTGGCCACCTTCTCAATCTGCAGCGCAGAGACGTGTAAGGGATGATATAGGGGCACGCCGCACAGGACCACGATATCTTCTGAGGCAACTCGTATCCAGTACGCCTTCGGGTACTCCGTACTACAGAGCAGATGGCTGCTTGCAAGAATGATTTCGGACGGTCAGAGAAGCCAAGGCAAAGGTTGTTTTTTCAACTTCCCAGACCAGATCCAGTCATCACTCCCACGCACCTTTCCCGAAGGGGCTTTAGGCCCAGGGTCCTCCTGTCAGTGGTCGCCTCCGTCCCGTCCGAGTCCTCAGCTCCGTGTGCTCCACTCCCGTGGGCGGTGAGACAGGGGTTGTTTCCCATGGGATCTCCCTGACCACTGAGGGGGAAGGGGGGCCACTTCCGTATACCTAGATACTCTCGAACGACCTTGTCAAGATGTAGGACGGCTCTGAAGATGGACTGGTCAAATGGACTGTCGGAACCCTTCTCCCTGTACCGCTGCTGAGCGTGAGCCACATCTGCCAAGAACTCGGCCATCAGGGATGGTTCTGTTACCCGCGCCCTGGGCCTCTGCTCCCCTTTCCCCTTTAATGGTCGCTCTCAGCAGAGGGAAGGTCGGTTGTCGGACCACTAAAAGGAGAAGGAAAAGACTGCAGCTAGCGCCGGGGACTGAGGAGGCTCATCTGTTCTTCATGTGGGGAGAATGATGACACCTAGATAGTACTCCCACCCTGTCCTTTGTGATATGTATTAAATACAACAGGCAGTACAGAGTATTGTACCTATTCCACCCTGATTTGTGCTGGGAGAGTCGTTATCAGGGTACAGTCATTTACGTGCTGAAATTGCCGAGTCGTCGTTTGCACTTCACTTCCATTGCCTCACCAGCGAACGAAGAAAGGGCACCTGCAAACGCATGTCTCTTCACACGTCGAGGGAATTTGTATTGTCTGCTTTATTGGGGCGGCTGGGAATGGGCTCAGTGTGATCTCATCCTGGATCTATCAACTTAGCACCTGTCGCTTCCCCGCTATCAACCTACCGTACTTGCACCCTCAATGACATATCTACTACTACCGACGCGTTCTCTTCCCCAACTCTCTGGTCTCGCTTGATACCTTCAGCCCTCAGCCTAGAAACCCCCTAACCCTCTCGCCTCCCGGCGCTTTTTCTTCTAGCATCTATCGTCAGGATGTCCGATCAGGCGATCCTTCGTATTACTAGAGTCCGTCCCTCACCCCCCTCCCTCAAGCTTCATTGGACTGACGAGCGGCTTCTCCTTGGGCGGGGTACTAGGAAATCAAACAAATACAGCAAGGCGCAGACCTCTGTGGGTACTCCCACCCAGGATAGCGGAAATGAGTTCCGTCATGTCTCCGTTTATGGCAAGATTGGCTGACGATGACTTGTCATCATCCTGTTGTTTTGTATCAGCTCTCGCGGTGCATTATGAGGACTCTGACATCCGAAATGTCCGTGCCGTCATTCTTGGCCCACCAGACTCTCCCTACCAGTTCGGTTTCTTCGAGGTTTGTCCCTCCCACTTCTGTGGAGAACACACCATATACATCGCCATGTGCTAACGACCAGTACAATACCCAAGTTCTTGGTCAAGTTCGGCAAAGGTACATCACATCCCACATTCTATATAGCTCTCATGAAAGTACTACCCACATTGTCCGAATGCTAAGCTCTTTGGCTGCAAAGATTATCCAGGATGCCCCCCGACTGTTCGCGGCTTGACGACAAATGGTGGGCGAACTCGCTTCAACCCGAATATCTACTCCTCAGGCAGGGTTTGCTTGTGAGTCTGGCCCTGGATATCTGATCCCCACTTGCTAACAGAAGCGGGGCTGTTAGGTCGATACTTGGGTAAGCCAGTTGCATGATTCCTGTTGAAAAGGCATGGCTGATATTCTCACCCGTAGAACGTGGCGTGGCGAGCGCGGTGAACAGTGGTCATCGGCGCAATGTCTGGAATCGATCCTAATTTCGATCCAAAGTCTCATGTCATCCAATCCTTATGAGAATGAACCAGGCTATGATGAGGCGAAGTCACCAACTGACAAGCAGAATATGGACGCATACGTTGCCAAGGTAGGAGCTTTCCCTTAATACGCTCTAGAAACGACGAATCACTGCTGACCAGAATGTAAGATACGCCATGAGACCCTACGAGTTGCAGTTATTGAGCCCTTAGAGGTGTCACTAAACATCTTGCCGGATGCTGATGTGGACTTTCTGACCAGCAGAGCATCTGACAGTGACGACCAAATCGTGTATGACGATGATAAGCCCTGCTATGACCCGTTTTCGGATTTTCGGAAAACCCGCTTTCTGTGGTATTTTGAATCATACATGCAGTCTATTGACGCTGCGGTGATGGAGAGCCCGCCCCAAACCAAATTTAAGAGAATGCCCTTCGAGTCTGGCAACAATGCGATGGACGGTGTCTTTGACTATCCCGAGCTGAAACGGCGAATTATCGCAGTCAAAGAAAAGATCATGGACGAAACACACCATTGGGCCGTGGAGGGGCTTGTGGCCAAAGAGCAAGAGTGGGGTATAGCAGCGAGTCTACAGCGGCAGTACGAGCAAATCGTCGAAAGCCTCAATCATCAGAGTAACATCACAGTCGATCTGATTCTTGTCGATGAGAATCCTTTCGTTTGGAAACTTACATATTTCGGTCGGCCCATGACGCATTTGGACGGTGGTATGTTCACGATAATGATCTATTTGAGTCCACGCTTTCCGGAAGAACAGCCCCGTGTCTTCATGGACACGAATTTCTTCCACGTCCGTGTATCCAAAGAGGGAGTTCTATGCTACGTACCAAAACGGACAGAAGAGATGCGCTATCATATCGAAGGGATCGTTGCAACTCTAGAAGAAGAACACCCACCCTACGATCCACGAACCACTGTGAACCCGGAGGCGACCAGGTTGTTCTGGGGTACTCCCAGTGATCGCAAAAAGTACAACCGAGAGTTGCGGCGATCGGTGGAACGTACAGTGTAGGCCAATGGACCTTGAATGCTTTCATATGATGCTAATGCAAATGATTAGGGAGGCGTCGTAGGGCATTTTATGCGCGCAGCCCTTCGAAGCTTCATTTCTGAGACAGTTTCGTCTAGACCATATGCATGGACTTAACGCGCGTAATTGGCGTCGCAAACTCTTTCACTATCCTTCTTCGTCGCTGTTTTCATTAATATTCCCTGGTGCTCAGCACCTCTTCATCAGTACAGGCAAAACACGGGTTGCATCACCAGACTGCTAGGTGTTCGGGAGCAATGTTTAATCACAATTACGAGATAGCTCTTTTCCAAATACAAACCGCTCTGGTACTTTAAAACAGTAAGTAGATGGGGATATATCTAATCTTCATCTTACAAGACTCAGCAGAAGGGCGGCTTCTAGCTTCTGCACAGTATTCATAATTCCATATATTCCATCCAGCTCTCCAGCCAGTATACAGAATGTGAAAGAAAAGTGGGCCTCACGTGTGGCATGAGGCCTCCTCTCCTTCTCCTGCGGGGGGTCCGAGCTTTGGCCCGGAGATTCTGGAGGCGGGAATCCAGCGTGGCTCCCCCCAACCACACTCCCATTTCTCCCCTTCCCCCCCCTCCAGAACCTGCTCCCCCCCTCCAAGACAGTTGGTCTACATAGTAATCAACTGCCATCACAATGTCTGTCAAGCGCCCTACAATGGAACTGGGCACTGTCCTGGTGGTTGGTGGCTGCGGGTTCTTGGGCTGGCACATTGTTGATCAGTTGCTCAATTTCCCCTCCGAGACCGACCCCAGTGTCGCACTCCCCAAGCCACAGGGAGACGCGCGATTCGACTACCCCAAGCTGGGCGATCGGTACCCTCGGTGCATCGCCAAGGTAGCAGTGGTCGACCTCCGAACGACCCACAACCGGCTACCCGGTGCTGAGTACCACGACGGCGACATCACGTCCGCGGAGTCCATGCTGGCCGTTTTCCGCGCGGTCAAGCCCGACATCGTCATCCACACCGCCACCCCGAATGTTCTGGAGGGAAACAAGCCGTTGCTGCGCAAGGTGAACGTCGATGGAACCAAGACACTGCTGGAAGTCGCGGGCGGCGAGCGTGGCGACTGGGGTGGAAAGTGCAAGGCTTTCGTCTACACGAGCTCGAGCTCGGTCGTGCACGACACGCAGAGCGATCTCATCAATGTGACTGAAGAGTGGCCTCTTATCCGGGGGGCGCTGCAACAAGAGTACTATTCGGAGACCAAGGTATGTCCTGCTGGTTGATGTGTGGATGTGGATGACAGGCCCTGGCGCTGACGCGAAATCCTCTTTCTTCTTCTCTAGGCGGACGCCGAAGAAAGCGTCTTGAAGTACAACCGTGCCTCGCCTTCCTCGATGGTGACCTGTGCTGTCCGCCCGGCCGGAATCTACGGCGAGAAGGATACGACCTTCACTTTCAAGATCCTGGAACACTCCTCCAAGGCCTCTCCCACCGTCCTCCGAATGCAGCTGGGCGAGAACAACAACCTGTTCGATTTCACGTACGTTGGAAACATCGCATACAGCCACACTCTCGCCGCGTACCGCTTGCTCGCTAGTTACAACCGGTATGAGTCTGGACAGGGCGCCGCGCTGGATCACGAACGAGTGGACGGAGAGGCGTTCAACATTACGAACGACTCTCCGGTCTACTTCTGGGACATGACTCGTGCTGCGTGGGCGCTGACAGGCAAGGTCGTCGAGCCTCATCAGGTGTGGGAGCTCCCGGAGTCTGTTCTGGGCCCTATTGGCGGCATCGCGGAGACAGTGCTGGGTCTTCTCGGAAAGACGCCTCGCCTCACCAGGAGAACGGTGCGCTACTCGTGCATGACTCGCTACTATTCGTGCGACAAGGCCAAGTACCGACTTGGGTACAAGCCCCTCGTTTCGGTGGACGAGGGTCTTGCCCGTGCAGTCGGGTATGTGGTGGAAAAGGAGCGCCTGGCTGGCGAAAAGAAGGCTCTGTGAGTTCCGGATGGGATCTGATACGTGTGTATAGCTTTAATGTAATATAAATAATCCATCGAGTAATTTGAGTTCGATTGCATCCTACAGATAGATCCATGTTGTTCCACACAGACAGGAGATGGTGTCACATGCGCTGAGACCCCCAGGTAAGTCTGGAACCGAACACCTCCAACTTTGCGAACAGCTCATAACAGTCCCTCATCTAACCAGCAATCTATCGAATCGATCGATCTGTTTCAGAATTCTGTCACCGATCTGACTGATATTTCTTGTCTTCTCCATCCACTCCAGTCCTATTGGCCCCAGCCCCTGATGAAACTCACAGCAGCCTTCTTAGCAATACCTTGAGCAGACCGTCCTGCTTCGCCAAGTCCCTGCTCATGAATTTACCCGAATCCCGAGTATACGCTGCAAGTGCATGTTTGTTGGGGAACTTTCTGGGCTTGCGATCCAGCAGTCGAGACTCCAGGACATCGACAATGTTGACATGGACCTTTGACAATGCCTAAGACCCACGCCTTCTCAGTACTAAATCCAGCCAACACGATGAAGAGTCAAGAGTGATGGGGGGTACAGATCAGTTCCATACATACCTTCTTACACTGCCGGATGGAATCGAAGGGCCCCGGTAGATCCAGCTCCTCGCACAGATCGCGCCAGCCGTCCAACCCTGCGAGATGATTTCCAATAAGCTCTTCGTACTCCATGGTCGTGAATCGGTTCCACATGTTGCGCCAGGTCTTCGAGCCCTTTTTCCAGTGTCGCTGGTTGGCGAGACGCTTGAACTCGGCGGTGATTGGGGCGGAGGGGTCCAGCTTGAAGGCAGGGTAGTCGTCGAAGAAACTCATGATGGATGGGATTGAATATGATGTTCCCCGAGACAGGTTTGATGGTTGGTCTGGAGTGGCACACTGAACGGGTACTACCAAGGTGGAGGAGGATGCAGCGGTGGTGGGAGATGGAGCCAGGCAAGTTCGCATTCTGGCCCTGTATAAATACCAACTGTGTGAACTAGCGAGGTAGAGAATCATTCACTCCCATCTCGGCAAACAGAGGGGTTTGGCAGAACGGAACAGCACTTGTTTGTCGCTTGGGGATACCTTCCGTCTTCCCTTTGTGGCTATGAGGGTACACTCTTCCAAGATCCGTTTGGAGAGGTGGACGCAGTCAACTCACTCATCTCCATAATGACAAGGATACAGACAATTATGGCCTTTCACATGTCAGCAGGTATGGTGCCTGTGGATGTTGGTCGGCATTGGAATATTGGATTGTTGTGCATGCCCCGCATGACCTTGGGGGGGGGTAGGGGGGTCGATGGTATATTCTTTCCTGGTCTGGCAAGGAAATTGCTCCCTTGCTGCTGGGCAACCTCCAGAAGCTATAGAGCTCCACGTCCATCCCTCACCCCAATGACCTCAATCCACCATTTATTTATCTTCCTTTTGAAAAGTGATTGTCTCCTATATACTTATACCCGAGCCTTCCGTCTGAAAGAGTATCACTTCCAGGATCATCCAGACCACGAATACGATGTCTGGGCCGTTCTTTCCTATTCCATGTCTTCTCTATCAATACCCGCGGCTTGGCCGGCTGTTTTCCTTTGGTGTCTGGATAACGATTCTGTTGGGTTCAACAGTGGGTGCTCAGAGCTACTGGGCAAGTGAGTTGGATGGAGCGCAGGCAGGTGTTTCTGGGGTCAATGCCTCCTTTGACTATATCGTGGTTGGTGCAGGGACTGCGGGCTTGACTCTCGCAGCTCGCTTGGCAGAACAGAAATTCACGGTGGCGATGATTGAAGCAGGGGATTTCTATGAACACACATACCCGCTGGCAAGTATTCCCGGTGCTGCCATTGTTGGCATAGGGGCCGATGTCAACACCGTAACCCCCGTGGACTGGAGATTCGTCGCACATGCGGTGCCCGGAGCCAACTATCGCAATATCCACTATGCCAGAGGCAAGTGTCTGGGAGGCTCGTATGAACACCTTCATTCGCCATGTCTCTGTTGTCCAAGTACTGATCTATCTGCTTTCCTCTAGGTCAGCCTCCAACATGATGATATACCAAAGGTCGGATCCTTCGCGCTCACCTAGGAAGCATGACTGATGCAGGTGGTATTAGACCGAACAAAGAGGCGATGGAAAGGTGGGCTGAGGTCGTCCATGATGATAGCTACACCTTCAGACGCGTTCTTCCTTTCTTCCAAAGAACGGCCAACTTCACTCCTCCCGACAATAGCAATCGTGCACACAATGCCTCGGCGGCATTCAACATGGATGCGTTCACTAAGCGCGGCGAGCCTCTGCAGGTATCCTACTCCGACAACCCCGCGTCCTTTTCTAGCTGGATGAAAAGTGGAATGGAGGCTATAGGCATTCGGTCTATAGAAGATTTCAACAGTGGGACATTGCTGGGTGCCCAGTATTGCACTGTGACCATTCACCCAACCGAGAAAACACGGAGTAGCTCTGAGGCTGCATTCAGGAATGCGAAAAGACCACGCCTTGCTACTATGTCCTTATACAGGAACACGATGGCGAAGAAGGTTCTTTTCAACTCCAAGAGACGAGCGACTGGCGTGCAAGTCAGAACTCGGAGCTTGAGATATACGCTGCAGGCTAGACGAGAGGTCATAGTCTCCGCGGGTGCATTCCAGAGCCCTCAGCTCCTGATGGTGTCTGGAGTCGGTCCAAGTGCTGCTCTGAAGGAGCATAACATTGATGTTGTCGTGGACCTTCCGGGCGTAGGGCAGAATATGTGGGACCATCCGTTCTTCGGACCATCCTACCGGGTTAATCTCGAAACAAGCACTAGAATTGCCAACGACTTGACATATATGTCTGCAGTGATTGTGGAGTATATGACCCAGCGCCGAGGGCCACTGACTGCTCAGGGGAGTGACTATTTAGCCTTTGAGAAGCTTCCTGACGACGCGCGGGCCCATTTCTCTGCGGAAACGAATCGTGATCTTGCATGGTTTCCCCATGGTTGGCCTGAAGCAGAGGTACGCTCTTTTCCGTCCAAGCGTACAGTGTGGCTAACATATTGTGATTGCCAGTACCTTCCGGTTGCACTCTACCTCGGAAACTTCTCCGACCCTCTCTCGCAACAACCGCGAGATGGCTCAGACTATGCGACGATTATAGGAACAATCATCGCGCCCACATCTCGCGGGAACGTCACAATAATTTCAGGTGATACGGACGACCTTCCCATAATCAACCCCAATTGGCTCGCAACAAAAGCCGACCAGGAGGTAGCCATAGCTATCTATCGGAGGATCCGCGAAGCGTTCCACAGCGAGGGCATGGCACCGATTGTTCTCGGGGAGGAGTACTTCCCAGGAAACAAGGTGCAGAGTGACAAGGAAATCCTGGAGGTTATCCGAAATACAGTTATGCCTATCTTCCATGCTTCGTGCACATGCAAGATGGGTGTCCGCAAAGACCCCATGGCTGTGGTCGACAGCCGGGCTAGGGTGTTTGGAGTCGATGGACTAAGAGTGGTTGACGCCAGTGCATTTCCAATTCTGCCTCCTGGACATCCCCAGTCTGTAGCATGTGAGTTCTGTGTAATCTCCCGCGGGTTGATTTGCTACTAACTATCCCTAGATATGCTCGCAGAGAAGATCGCGGCTGATATCATAATTGGACCTGATTTTCCTCGAATGGACTGAACTTGGCATCCTATTGGTTGTCAGTATTATTACTTCTCACGAGCTATCATCCTCCCCGAGCTCCCTGGACTTCATGAGTTTTTGGATTTCCTTGGACTGCAAGGACAAGGGAGGACGAAAAGGCTGCGAGATTGAACCACGTTATCATTATTATCATCAAGTCGAGTAATAGAGAATGAAGAGAACGATTCGAACCCATCCTCATTTGGTCCCAATGAGGTCATTTCATATGACAGCTCACCACCAGCCCCTCCCATTGGCCCACCTCGACACGCTTCCAACAAGCACAATACGCAAACTACACAACGATGATGAAACCGATCGGCCCCAACAAACCGACCCCCGCACCGCTGGAACTTGCCCTACTGGTAGACAATGATACGATGCATCGCCTCGATCAAACACAATCGAAGGAAAGACATTCGTAGATAGTGGACGAGCCATGGAGGGATGTTTACCTGTCCCCAGACCCGATCTCCCTCAATACCCTATTACCCACCCGCCAGCCAGCCAGCCAAAGCCATCCCGATACCCCTTCCGATGTCGATGCCAATTCCGCACATCATCTGCAAGGATCCTTCTTCGCTCTCCCGTGCAACAGATTGCAAGCGATGGATAGATAGATAGATAGATAGATAGATAGATCCCCATTCATCCATTGATGACCCGTGTACTCCGTATGATGTAGGGGGCTGTGAGGGGGGGAGCAAACATGCCAAACATACTTATATACTTACATACTGCCTGATTGCCTGCCTGCCTGCCTGCCTGCCTACTTGCCTACCTGCCTACATAGTGTATGTGCATATGTATATGTGTATGCACATTTCCTGCACTGTACAGCACAGCACAGCACCTACATGCGTTATGTGAGGAAGGAGGCACGTATCCGGGACTACTACTACTACTACTACTACTACTACTACTACTACTACTAGTACCTTACAAAGTACTCTTCCGCACATACTGTGCGTTATGTATGTGCGTGGAGTCGAGAGGAGTAAGTTGGTTGGTTAGCTGGGATGTTAGAGTATCACCACTCTGTTTGTATTGTATTATGAATAATAATCTATATATTATTATACTATATTAACTAGATAGTATAATATCAGAACTTACTAAAATATATCTAGATTTTAAGATTATTATAATAAATAAACTCAAGGTTAGTGTCGTTGTTTCTTTTAAAATGATGTGCTGGTACAAATGGGTACATGGATATCAACATCCATGCTATTACTAACTACTAAGTTGGTATGGTATGTATGTAAGTAAGTAAAGTAGTGCTAATAAGAATAATGAACAGAAATACTATACATTGAATGCGGTGGAGATAGATATATCCGGATACCGACCTATCCAATCCAATCCAATCCAATCCCTGTTGTTTCTTTTTCCCTTTCTCTTCTATTCTCTTCTTTTCTTCTTTTCCTTCTTGTCTTTTTTCTTGTTTCCCTCCCCTCCCCTCCCCCTCCTCCCATAACACAGGTAAGTAGACAAGTCAAAACATAAACTCTTACCTATTAAGTATAAGTCCAAAGCCCAGTAAAGTAAACCGTCCCAACCCCGAAACTAAAAAAGCACATGCCTCGCACACGCCCATACCCATACCCATACATCTAGTAGCCATCCAGATCCAGACATCCAGACACCCATAAACCCTTATCAAATAGACCAGACTAGACCCCTCATCTTCGACCCCAGAAACTTGTATCTCTTGGTCTGGAAACCTGATAGAAGGGGGGAAGGGATCGGGGGATTGGGGTGGAGGTGGTTTCTCCCCGGAAGTTTTTTTTTATTTTTTTTTGGTCTTTTTTCTCTCTTTTTATCTTTTTTTTTTCTTCTCTGTTGGGGGGGGGGGGGGTGGTTGGGCTTTGGGGTAGGTAGGTAGGTAGGTAGACCGTAGATAGGTGGGTGTGGTAAGTGGTGTAAGTGGTATTTAGTGGTTTCTCCCCGTTTGCTGCTGAGTAGATTGGGTTGAGTTGGGTGGATGGATGGATGGATGGTCGGTTGGTTGGTGGTAGATGATGGATTGTGGATTGTGGATGAGGAATGAGGGGTGTTGTTGGATGGATGGGATAAGAAATGGATGATGAGGTGGTTAGTATGGTTCCGTGGGTGGAGGCTTGCTGTTTCAGGTAATGTGTACCTTTCCCCCCCCCCTCTCTCTCTCTCCCTGTGGAGGTGGTTTGGGTTTGGGTTTGGGGTAGAGAAGTAGGTTAGATGGATTTGAGTTAGTTGGTTAGTACCAAATTACTATACCTAGATGGGTACTGGGGAAAAGACGGCTCGGGTACCGGGGATGTTCTGGATAGATGGCTGTGGTGGTTGGAGGGAAGTGTGGGTTTGACTTTACCGGTGCTGGATATCTTTAATTTGGAGCTGACTTTAGGGCGAGTTTATTATGTAGTCAGTAGTAGTAGGTGTAAGTAGGGGTAGTTATCTGCCGGGGTGGTGGGAGGTTCTGTTGGTTGTTCTACTGGTGGGTGGTGATCGGTAGTGAGGAGGAGGAGTTGGTGATCACATCCTGTCCCTGTTCGGATGATCTCGTGCTTTGTAAGTAAGTAAGTAAGGTTGAAGAGGTTTGGCGTGCGGGGGAGTTGAGTTACTTTCGAGCAAGTGCCAGTGCCGTGAGAGGTACCTTTGTTGTTATTTGCTTGTCCTCCCTCCCTTCCTTCCTTCCTGTCTTACTTTTCCCGTCTGACTATTCTATTCATGCAGGTGGTTATCGGGTGATCCGGGTTGACATACGCTATATCTTGGCTTAATTTACTTCCTGTACTTTCTGTGGTCAATTGGATGTTTATGTTTACTATGTATTTGTCTGAGGGTCGATTTTGTACTGTGTACTAGGCTGTAGTATTACTCTTGTGTAATCAAGCATGGGCGGATGGAAGACTCATCTCCGATCTCTGCACAGCGCACAGGGCGATCGTTGTTCTTGTTTGTGTTTGTTCCTCCTCCACTTCGCCTCCCCCCTCCCGTCTGCTTTCAGGCTGCGTCCCCTTGGCTTCTTAGGTAAGGATTGACGGTGGAATGGATGCAGTCCCGGATGTGGGGGTCGTGCAGGAGATTCCGACCATCCACAGCGAGTTCTGTTGGAGGACCTTCACGCCACAACTTGCAGATATCTGGTGATCCGCACGTTGTTGGGGTCTACTTTAAAGAATAGGGACATGAGATCATGGCGGTCCCCCATCATTCATTGTCGGTATGAAGTCCGAGGGGGAAAGATCTGGGAGATTGAAGTCTATCAGTTTTATTGGAGTGTAGAGATATGGGCCAGGGGCTGACGGGCACATGGATTTATCGTTTATCGTCCCTAGATTTGGGGGATGGTGAAACGGACTGGTCCACAATCAGCCCATCATTGTCATCATGATGATGATACTATTGTTTAACTGTCAGACAGACAGGGGACAAGTCGCACGCTACTTGATCAGTGCTGTTCTGATAGGTAGTATTGGGGGATCGGAGGCGGCAGCAAGGAGGGAAATAATGGGTGAGAAAAAAGAAAGGAAAGGATCGTTTGCGGTCATTTTCCCAGCCCTCCCAATCATCCAGTCCATCAGCTTCGGAACCTTCCCCACCTTATTTTTACCCCGCAGAAACAACCACCTGTGTTGGTATACCGATCGTTATCGGAGGTATGTATGTGTAAAGAGTCGCGATGATGACCCGGGTTGCCATTTGCGTTCTGTATTAGATTGACGTGGGCAAACTAGTATATATCATGATACTGCCCGAGGTTGATAGCGTTGCTATCGTTATCGGCAAGGAATGTGGAGAGCGTCTATCTACCCTAGTCGTCTCTCTGGAGTAGATATGTACCGGTATGAGTCGGCAGCAGCGCCAGCGCTGTACGGAGTAGAGATTGATGGAACCGCCGAATCCATTGAATACTCGTAACCCCAGGCTGGGTATATGATCTGTCACTGGCCAATAACCGACCGCAACCCCGAACTGCGTGCAACTGCAGTCTGCAGACGACCTGCCTCGCTTACCAGCGGGAACACGGAACACACCACTTTTAGGTCTTTCCCCAGAAGATCCGGGATTCTAGCGTCCCTGTCCCAGATTGTATGATGTATCTATCTCTGGGGCGAAAGGAAGTCAAGTGAGCAGCCCATCCGCTGGGTCGCGGGGAGCTTGATCCATGGATCGGACGAGCAGACGAGACTCTGGTGCTTATCCATGGGCACGACCCATCAGCGTTCGGCGGGCGGTGACGTCCTGGTGGTCCCCGCCGATTATTGGCGCAATGGAACGGGGCAGGACACACACGTACGCCATACAGAACGGGTGGGTGGCAGCGGGGGGGGGAGTGTCTCGGGTATTGTGTAGGGAGGGATCCTTTCCTGGGTGGCCGGATGCCACCAGTCTACAGGGGCTTCTAGATTGCGAGGACCGAGGGCAGGGGAGGACGAGGGTGTCGGTCGCACAGAGCTTCGAGAACAGAAGTCCATTGGAGTGGCCACCAAATAAAAATGGCCCGACCGTTGCGACGGGGTCTGAAGTGGCGCTCCGTGGCTGCGGAGGTGTCGTGGGTGGTTCGGAGTGACAACCCCTTGAGAGCGATCGAGACCAGAAGGAAGCAATCCGACCGACGGGAATTACGAGGTCCGCATGCTGCGTTGTTATGGAGAGGGAGGGGGGATTGCTGGTTCCTGGGTGCCCATGACGGCGATGATGTTGATGGCAACTGATAGTATTCTATCATCAGCGAATGAGATGATGCGTCCTGAGGAACGAGCCGTGTCGGGTTCGACTCGAATCGTAGCGCAGCGTCGGACCAGGATTAACTACTGCCGCATCTCGAAGGGCTGGGATTGTTTGACGAATGGCAGCCAGGCTGAAGCTGTCGCTCGGGAGAGTCGACGGTAACAGACTCGATGATGAGCGTCCTGACACTATGCGAGGATGCACCTAGATAACTATACCTTTAGAGGATGTGGCTAGCAGCTAGATGCCTCGACCACGGGGGGGTTCGGCCATCCACCGCGGCACCTCTAAGGCCTGAGTGGGTTAGTGGACTGTGTGATCCGTAACTTAATGCACCCATTGCAGATGGAGGATGGAGCCACTCCGTTGCCAGCGCGGTAGTACCCAGACTACTTCTGTACTTAGACTCAGTGACGCTGAGAGAAAGAGTGGTGTGGATGGAGGATGGACACTAGACTGGACAGTGGACATGCGGACGATCAGAGAGGAAAGAAGAGCAGTCTGAGGAGAGAGAACCTTTGATTATCGAGAGTGGGTCAGTTGATAGGAAAAAGCATGGCCCGTAGTTGCATAAGCCATACAGACCGACGACCGACCGACCGACCCAGATCATGCTATCGGGGGGACTGGAGACTGGAGAATGGAGAGAGGGCTCGTCAGCTCAGGTGGTGGAACCGGTTGGGACAGTTGGAGGATTTGTCTGGAGGAACAAAAAAACAAGCGGCGCTTGGAGTTGAAGATGGTTTCAGGCGGGAAACCTGAAAGTCAATCAGTTTCCGTTCTCTTTCCAGTAGCAGACTCCTTTGGACTGTTCTGTTGTACTGACTGTATATCCGCTGCTGCTTTTCCCGCTGCTTTCACCATACCATACCGTACCGTGTCCACCCACCCGGCTGCACCCTGGATGACCACCTGTCCGGTACAGATTCGGTAACCAGACCGGTAAGCAACTCACCTTTGAAAGGTTCCCACTTCCAGTTCCAGTTCCCTCCCTCGCGCTGCGTTGCTTGTCCTCCTCCACTGCGCCTGTCCTGCCTTTTTCCTCTTTTCTCTTTTTTTTTTAATTCCTGATCTCCCCTATCCCTTCTCTTGGCCGGTGATTCTGTTCGCGTGGTGCTCATAATCTACTGTTCCTCCCCCCGATCTTGGGTGTGTCTTTCCACCTGTTTCCCCCGTGCATCTAGTCAACCTTGCTCGGGGGTTGACTCCGTCAATCACCCTGGCTTCGCGTTGACGCTCCGTCGCGCCATTCCCCCGCATAGCCGCTTTTCCCTCTTCGTTTCGCTCTCCTGTGCTGTCCTTACGTGATCACGAGGTTTTCTTCTTTTTTTTGCTAGTCTATCTTCAAAAGATCTATTTTAGACCGGATTTGACGCAAAAAAAAGCACAACTTCACCTGCCTGCGTGATAGTGTCGTTCTGCTTTCACCCATCCGCGCCCTCCCCCGCTATCTAGCCATGGCCAGTTAATGCTGCGAATGAATTCATAACCTACAACTGAAGGGCATCCGCTCTGCCCAGCAGACGGTTCTGCTTGGAGCTGCTCATTGTCTATACCTACTTTCGCTTGTTTTCATACACTGCACCCCCCCCCCGTTAGTCACTCGACCTCGTCCACCGATCCCCTCGCCCGCGTTGCCTGTCCAGCATGGCGGGCAATGGCACCGAAGATGTCCAATACCTTGCTCCTCCGGCCGTGACTGCTCTACGACAGGAGGCCCGGAGTATCGACCCGAGATTCTCGCCCTCTCGCTCCCCTAGCGTCGATTACATGCGAGAAGAGCGCGAAGATTTGAAGCAGGCGGCGGAGCAGACCCTGAACGTCATTGTCGATCTGGATCTCGATGGTCGCGTCAAATGGGTCAGCCCATCATGGAAACAAGTCGTGGGAACGGTCTCGGAGTCAATCGAGGGACGGATGATATCGGAGATCATCGTCGGCAACAAGAACGTCTTCCACGATGCGATAGAGAGTATGAAGGAGGACGATTCTCGCAGTCGGTTTATTCGCTTCGCTGTACAGATGGGCCCGGACTCAGTCTTGAAGTTCTCGCCGGAGCCACGACCGGTCGAGACCGAAGTTGGGAACACAGAAACAACTGAGGCCGTGGAAATCCAGGAGGAGCTGCCAGAGAAGCAAGAGGACCGCCATCATGACCTCCTCCACCTCGAAGGACAGGGAATAATGGTGTTTGACCGTACGGCTGATGGGGTTGGTCATGTAGGTCTTCACCGGTGTTTGCACTAAATGCACAGGATGGAACTAACTCCCAGTTTGCAGACCATGTGGATGTTGCGACCGTTTACGGAGCCACGAGAAGTTACCATCGACCTTCCTCCCTTGCTGGTGGAATCCTTGGGCGTGGGAGCGGAGGTTTTAGCGAACTACTTGACGACTCTGGCGGAGGCTGCTGCTACCGAGCCCGATCCTTTGAAGCATCCTGCCCCGAACCCGGTTCTGTGTCGCATCTGTGAACGTCAGATTACGCCTTGGTGGTTTGAGAAGCACTCGGACCTCTGTCTCCAGGAACACCGAGCCGAGATGGACGTTCAGATAGCCCAGGAAAACCTCAATGAGCACCGTCATGCGATCGTCAGGGTGCTGGATGCTCTCGAGGCGAGGCAGGGCAGGCCGTTAGTCCTCGGGGAGACCAATCCTCCCCCACCTCAGCCCGAGTACAAAGGACGGCCCATCGGACCATCGCCGACCGCTTCAGCACCATCATCGGGCTCGGTATCCAGTAGCAGCTCCGCCCCTGGCACGCCTCCTAGGTCTAGAGACCATTCAGCCTCGGGTATCGGGCATGCTCGCGCTCGCTCTTTCGCAGTGCGGCGCCCGCTGGCTCGCATCGTGGAGTTGATACTCGATCTATGCGACACTTCCTTAGAGATCAACATGCCCGTGATCAAGGAAAGTCGTGCGGATAATGGGGATGACTTTCGGACCATGTCGCCGCAGTCCGAGTCTCGTATCTCTCAGGTTCTTCAATGGCAGTCGCCCAGTTCCAATACCCTCGAGCAGGAACAAGGCCTCGCCGCACTGTGTACTGATACGGAGGAAGTTGCCAAGGCGAAAATCGACGCGGTCATTCGGCACAAGAGAATTGTCGAGTATGCGGAACGGATTCGAATTGAATACACCATCCTAGTCGAAGAGTGCATCACCGCAGCCCTTAGCAAGGCCGAGCAAATCGCGGCCGGTCAGCTAAGTGACTCCAGCTCTTCGGAAGACGACGCTTCACCGGAAGTCAATCCGTCAGTGGTTGCCTCCAGTCCGATAATACACGGGAAGCGAGATGCAACAGCCCCCCTTCCAATGTCTGCTTTGACGATGTCCATGCGCAACTCGCCGGATCGATTCCAATCAGCGCACTCATCAGAAGGAAAATCTTCGGTTGCCGTGTCGACTGGATCGAATAGCCCAATGGAGTGTCCTACGCCCCGTTCGCACAAGAGTATGGCCGGAGTTCTAGGGACGTCTCAGCCTTCTAGGCGCGGCCTATCCTTGCTTGATTTTGACGCAGGCGACAACAGTGATAGCAGCGTTCCTTCGTCTGCTTTCCCCGGTGCCGTGAGGACTGATTCACCATCCTCCGATCGGAGTATGGATAGGAAGCGTAGGAGCCTGGTACTTCCTGGGCTTTCCAGCTCTCCTCGTCGGCAGCATTCTCCCGCTAGGATTTCGGGCCCTCATTCTCCCTTGCGAATGCCTAGGGCTCGCCTTTCGAGCGGTGCTGATAGCTTACCATCCCCGGTAGTCTCGCCTTCGGCGAACGCGATCGAATTGGCGCAACTTCATTATCCTCATCATCGTCGTCAATCGTCAGCCACCTCTTCTGATGTAAAGCCACCTGTGTCACCTCATCTGTCCTCTGCTAGTCAGCCACAGCCACGACCAGTGCCGCCGTCAATCAAGGATTTTGAAATCATCAAACCCATCAGCAAAGGTGCCTTTGGAAGTGTTTACTTGACAAAGAAGAAGGCCACTGGGGAGTACTTTGCAATTAAGGTGTTGAAAAAGGCAGACATGGTTGCAAAGAACCAGGTCACGAATGTCAAGGCCGAACGTGCGATCATGATGTGGCAGGGGGAGAGCGACTTTGTCGCTAAGCTCTACTGGACATTCTCTAGCAAGGACTACCTATACCTGGTAATGGAGTATCTCAATGGTGGTGATTGCGCTTCCCTCGTCAAGATTTTGGGCGGTCTACCTGAAGACTGGGCTACAAAGTACATTGCGGAAGTAGTCCTCGGGGTAGAACATCTCCACGGCAGAGGGATCGTTCACCGTGATCTCAAGCCAGACAATCTTCTTATAGACCAGACGGGCCATCTCAAACTGACCGATTTTGGTTTGTCCCGGATGGGTCTTGTCGGACGTCAAAAGCGCGTCTTGAAGAGTATGAATGAACCTGCACCCGACCTTCTGAAGCAGGGCTCATTCCCTCGAGCTACCTCAATCGCATCATCACGGTCTGCCTCGTTTGATTTTCAAGGCGGTTCCCCGGGGTCAACCCCTTTGATCACGCCAGATGTTGCGAGCAGTATACCCCAGCCGTCTTACTTCAGCCTCAACCAGCAGGGAGGAGGGCTCAGTCGGCAGACCTCGCGTCGGGCATCAGGATACCGCAGCGATAGTGGGGCCAGCGAGAGCCTGAATGCCATGTTTCGAACTATGGGTCTCAATGAGGGTGGTGAAGGTTCAGGCACGATGCCTGTCCCCGTCCCTTCATCCAATAATCAATGTCATCATCTGCCCGAAGAAGAGAGCCTGAGCGAGGCAGAATCCCCTCATTTATTTCCACTCCAGCCGACAATGAGCAACTCGTTTTCGTACAGCACTCCGCCGCAGCAGTCGATGATGCCACCTCTGATGGCGCTTTTTGACCCCGAAGACCACAACAGACGCTTCGTCGGTACTCCAGATTATCTGGCCCCAGAAACCATCAATGGATTTGGTCAGGACGAGATGAGTGATTGGTGGTCGCTGGGCTGCATCATGTTTGAGTTCATCTTTGGCTACCCGCCTTTCAATGCCGCGACTCCGGATGAAGTCTTTGATAATATTCTCCGCCGAAATATCAACTGGCCCGACGAGCCTGAAGAACTGGCCTCCCCTGAAGCTCTCGATCTCATGAACAGACTAATGGCTATGAATCCACGTGAACGTATTGGTGCCAATGTTGCCGAGAAGTATCCAAACGGAGGAGCGGAAATCCGGAGCCACCCTTGGTTCTCCGATATCAACTGGGATACCTTGCTGGAAGACAAAGCCGAGTTTGTGCCGAATATCGAGAACCCTGAAGATACGGAGTATTTCGATGCTCGAGGTGCCACCCTCCAGGCCTTCACCGAAGAACTCGAAGATGGAGGAAGTCCTCCGCAACAGCCGTTGACTACCGGAGCATACCCCCAGGATAGACCCCATGATGCTCTGTTCAAGGTCCGCTCCCAAGTGAACTCGATGAAGCGGCCATTGATGCCCTTACATATTCCACCCCATGTACGAGAATCACGAAGCAGGAGGCTGAGCGAACCTACGATTGCGGACGACTTTGGCAGCTTCTCATTCAAGAACCTCCCCATGCTTGAGAAGGCCAATAAGGACGTGATCCAGAAATTGCGCCAGGAGGCAATGCAAGCGCAACAACGCCATAACGTTCCTGCGGGCACCCAACCGCCGCCACCGCCACAGGGGCAGGGACAGGATCCAGCCCCCTCTCAACCCGCCCCGTCTCTGGAAGGAAGTCCATTGCCGATGTCCTTGCAACGGACTTTGTCCCAGAACAAGGGCGGCAACCGACCCTCGTCTCCCTCGAGTATGAGCCAAGCGAATTCGTCTCCCAGCCGCCCATCGCAACCTTCCTCCCCTCTCCTCGTTCAGTTCAGCACAGGTCACAATCATGAGCGAAGAAAGACATCTGGATCATCCTCGACCAACTCCCAGAGCACTGGAACTTTTCAGTCTTCTAGTGCCGACCAGGGTCGGATGGCAAGCCTTAAGCTTGGGTCTTCATCATCATCATCATCTCCGATCAAACCTACCCGGGCTACTGCTCACTCACCCGACAAAACGCCTTCAGGGCCGCCACGCCACGGCAGTGCTCCCGCGTCGAGAGCAAGGTCACAAACCATCGGATCTCAAGATGGCGATCTTCCATCTTCACTAGCTAAGGAAACCTACGTTGCTGGCCACTACAAGCGTCGCAGCCAGTTGTTTGATATCTCACCCTCTTCTTCCGACAATGAGGACCCGCGCACTAAAGCTTTGCTCAAAGTGCAGCGACGTCGTCACAGTTCCAGACGCATGTCTCAGATCAATTTCCCTGAAGGGCCCTTTTTCCGACCCTTGGACGTGCTAATCTGTGAGGACCATCCAGTTTCTCGCTTGGTGATGGAGCGTCTCTTTGAAAAGCTTCGATGTCGCACAATAACGGCCGTAAACGGTGCAGAGGCGATGCGTTACGCCCTAAGTGAAGTCCAGTTTGACATTATCATGACGGAGTTCAAACTACCCCAGGTAAACGGGGCGGATGTCGCACGTATGGTACGAGAAACACGCAGTGCGAACCGACACACTCCGATCATTGCGGTCACAGGCTACCTCAAAGACTTGCCGGAAACCCATCATTTCGATGCTCTCATTGAAAAACCTCCGACTCTGACAAAGTACACTGAGGCATTGTGCAAATTCTGCCAGTGGAAGCCGCCTCCAAAGGATTACAACCCCATGCAGCCAATGACTGTTCCGCCTCCTGCCATACGCCAGCCCGAGCACAGCCCTAGTTCAACAGCATCATCCGGCTTCGCACATGTGCCTTCCAGCTCTTATAGAGCCTCTAGCCGTGAAGACTCTATTGGTAGCAGTTACTTTGGTGATATGGAACCGACCAAACCTGAGGATGTCCCTGTTATTGTAAGCCGTCACAATGATGAATGGGGGCAAGATAAGGAGGGCCTTGGTATATCTGAGGACGCAGCCAAGGCTCAAGAGGGTACAGATACCGGTTCCAATTCTGGCTCGGAAGTGGTTCCTTTCCCGAGCCTGCTCCATGCCACCTCTGCGCCTCCTGCTTTGAACCAAACAGGGACTCTGACCCCTCGCAAACAGCGATCTAGTGAAGCGATACGGGCCAAAAGAGAATCCCTGGAGAAAAAGCGCTATGAGTGTGCCGAGTCCGGTGATGATGAAGATGAGGAGCTTGGAAATTCTCAGGCACGAACAAGCAGTCCGCGGCAGAAGTCTCGTCGCCCAGGCTCCAAGTTGGGCATAGAAATGATGAGGACCAACAGCAGAGGCAGCGTGGTTAGTGGAAGCGAAGAACTTCTCAAAAAAGAAAGAGATTCCTTAGAAAGGCGCAGCTCTGATGGCCTCAGCGATGGCGGCGAGGAGCGCGTTGGCTCTCGCTCCCCCCCTCGGAGCTCGGGGTTGGAGACCAGGTTTGGGGATCTTCGGATTCCAGAAGAGGTCATTGTTGGGTCCCTTGACGACGGATACAGCCCGAGGCATTCCCCGGCGTTCGACTTCGAGTCCAATTCAGAAGTACCTACAATGTTTTCGGGAAGACCAACATCTCAGCACGGGATGGAGCCTTTGGCTACGGAAGCTAGCGCAGAGACTCCGAAAAGGGGACATATAACACCCCCGGTCAGATTTTCGAAGGATGATGAAGCGGACCTTCCAAGGAGTGATCTCGACACCCCATCCATCAAAATTGCTGGTGATTTCTCGGCTACAGAATTTGGCGCTGAAACCGATATCGACCAGTACCTGGATGCTGACGCCACACCGCGGCCATTGCACACACCTTCACCCAACCCAAACTCGGATATCACTCCTCGTCAGTCAGAAAGATAGAATTTTTGCTATCTTCTCTTCAAAAGATAGACACTATTGCTGTCTTCCAAAAACTTTTCGCGGTTTACACTGGACATCCTTAAGACCTAGTGTACGTTCGGAGAAAAGCGTCGCACCAGCTTACTTGCTTCACGTGAATTAACCCCCGTGCCCTATAACCTCTCCTCCGTGCTTATGACCTTTATCAATCTTTCTCACCTGTCCGAATACACTTCTCCTCTTCCTATGCCTTTCCTTAAATACTTGCACATGTTTAAGCAAGCGGGTGTTTGGGAGTCTTGTCATCTCAACCAGGCTGTCTGAGTTCCACTCGTTTCATATTCTTTGATTTTCGCCATTCGGGGCTGTTCTCCTTCCTATTCATTATTCATCGTTCTGTCGGTCAATCGCCTGCTGACCCTTCTTTTCGCATCTTGTCAAAATCCGGAGTATGCTATTTTCCTTTGTTCTCTCTGTGTGTGTGTTCTATATCTTATATCTTCCCCTCTTCCTTCTTTCCCCCTCAACCGCAAAATTGTGTGTATGTATGAGATATCTCACCTTGATCCTTCTGTCGGCAAAAGCAGGTTTTTTTTTTCTTTAAAAAAAAAACGGCTTTTGGCAAAACAAAAAAAAGAAAAAAGCAAAGTGACTCGCCAAACAAAAAAAGAGAGTTTTTTTTTACCGCTCCCCAGGCGGGCAGGGCAGGCAGGCGGGCTATTCTTGTGGAAATATCATTTTGAGGTGCTGGCCTGTTTGCTTGCTTGATCCATTTTTTTTACTATCATGTCTTGTACATATAGCATCCATGGAGTTGATCTTCGATCCTTTTTTTTTTTTTTCCAAATTATTATTATTATTATTTTATCACTAGTATTATTCCTATTTCCCGTCTATATGTAGTAGTTTGTCCATTATATGAAGTTTGGTATGATGATGTAGTTACTAGTAACTACTATTTGTGAGGTGGGGCACTTTGGGGGATTTAACGTGAGATGACCCTAGAAGCAAACAATGCGGTATGTAAAGAAAGCAATGCCTTTCTTGTTCAGTCTTATAAAAGTCTTAAAAAAAAGCACCTAGTTCTGAAAAAAAAATCTATAATATGTAGATAGATAGATACAATGAATGTAAAAAGAAAAATAAGGGGGTTTGACACTTTCCAGAGCACCACAAAACATTAGCCAGTATCTATAATAGATATTAGATAGGTAGTTATCCCCCCCACTTGCCCAGTACATCAGCATCGAAGGAATCCAAGGTATATCATCGATCACATGACGAGATAGAAATTGCATGTATGTATGCGTTGATATATCATGATCATCATCATTGTCTCAATTTGAGAGAGAGAGAGAGAGAGAGAGAGAGAGGGAAATGTACTGAAAACTGCCGCCCTTTTGTGGAGAAGAAGTTGCATGTTTGGGTGGGAGGGGGGTGGGGGTGGGGAAGGTTATGTATGTGCGGGTGTTGCGGGTTCTGTCTGAAATGCTAAGGTTCTCTTAGGGGAGGAAAGAGATCGATTAGCAGAGCAAGATCAGATCGTCAAGAGGATGAAATGGATGGTGGGGGTTGAGAATGAGGATTATTGTTCATGTGCGTGTGCATGCAAGCCCTTCTCATTCTGGATGGAGGACATGCTGCGAGCTTGGGAGGTCGAGCGGCTATTCGCCGACTGTCCCTGCTCGAGATCAGCTGGCGCCCGGCTGCTGATACTGCTGCGGTGACGGAGAAAGCGACCCCGAGCGACGGAGGACAGGCTCTGACCGCCGTGAGAGTCGACGGACGGGCGACCCGAGCGCGCAGCGGACGGGACGCTCTGGTTGGAGTGGCTTCTGCGGTGGGAGACGGAAGCACGGCTCTGGCGCTCGGCCTCCTCCTCCTCCTCTTCCTGGATGCGACGCTCGGCCGTTTCGCGGTTGGCGTTGCGAACGACATCGTCGATATGAGTGCGGCGGTCTTCAAACACATCGCCCATGATATCGGCGGACGAGACGTTCTGCATGCCCAGGGAGAAGTCCACGTGCTTGCGCGTGAGCATGGAGTCGCCACGGGCGCGGGCGGCGGCGGTGTCGATGCCTCGACGGAGGATCGAAGGGTGGCGGGTGGCGGTGGTGACGCCGGTCTTTTCGTTGAAGGAGTCGTGCTCGTGCAAGGCGGGCGGGGGAGACCGGCCGTCGCTGCTGCCGGGGGGAGCGGCCCCGTTCTGTGGGGGGAATCCGGCGATGTGGAAGGGGATGTCGACACGAGCGCCCTGGAGGTTCATGCGAGAGCCCTCGATGCCGATCTCCTGCAGGGCGATCATGAGCATGCAGATGAACTTGTTGCGGCGCTGTAGGCGCAGGCCCTCGTTTTGCCAGTTGGATTTGTAGAAGAAGACGATGTTGAGGGTTACCGAGAAGTTATCGGTCACCTCACGCATCTCGGTGAGGATGTTGGTCTGGAATTCGCGACGCTCGCTGCGAACGAATTCCAACAGCCGCTGACGGAGCCCGTCGATCTGCTCGAGAGTGGTGCCGTATTTGATCACGATGGGTACGGCTTCGGCAAGGGCGCCGGATCTGCGCTGGTTGAGAATGAAAAGACCGTTGAGATAGCTGTTGGGGGCTTGCACGATGTGACCCTGCATCTTCTTGAACTCGGTGTACAAGAGGGAGATCTGCTTGACGAAATAGTCGTCGCCCAGGCCCGAATCTCCGGCGTTACCGTAAATCGTCACACGGTCACCGACGTCGAATGGGTGCTTGACGAAGACGAAGATGATGGACTGGAGGAACTCCTGTGCTGTAGCAGAGAAGAGCCAAGACAGGGCAAGAATACTGGAACCGGCGGACGTGAGCACGCCGGCAGCCGATGTTGAGATCAGAGTGAGGAAGACGATGAGGGCGATGATTATCACGAAGAATTCGAGGATGTTGTCGAGTCGCCCGACGACAGAGTCGAGGTCCTTCAGGGACGCGGTGATAGCTTTCCGCTCACGCCCGATTTCCACACACACAGATTCCAGCTCTTCCATTGAAATATCGCCATTCATATCCTTGTCAAACATGGTGAAAGCGGCATCAGCTTCTTCGTTATTATCAAACGCGTCTGTCAGGTCCCCAGAGAGAACCGTCTCGTATCCATCCCGTACCAGAGTCCGGTAAAGACGCCGGGCCAAGACCTGGCAGCCGCTGGTGGTGCGCAACAATGTCAACACGACCTGATAGGGGTGATTGCTGTTGGTGGCCGTGCGGCCAGTGAAGTCTGCGGCCACTGCACCGGCGACATCACCAACCTTGTTCAAAGCCCCCTTGGCCAGCCGCCCGGCCTTTCCGGCATATTGCAGAGGGGTCTTGACGCCGCTAGCTTCAGGCTGCTTGTTTTCTTCAAATTCATGGTCCTGGGCAGTGATCTTCCTCCGGGAGAAATCGTATAGTTTGGTCAAGCTGCCAATCTGGAACTTGTTGATCTCAATCCGATCCGCATAGGTACGCGTGTGGAAACTGATGGCGATGAGTTGAATGATGAACTTCTCGATCAGGTTCAGAATAGTCCAGACAAAGATGGAAATGATGATTTTGTTGACTGTGGTTTCCCACGAAGGCGTGCCCTTGGTGCCAGCGACGTGGTGATTCCTCATGGTAGGCAGGAAAGAAACCTCCACACCCAGCCACCAGAAGAACAAGGTGGCATGCAACTCCAATTGCCTGGCTAGGTCACGCCACTTCTTCGCATTGTTGGTGAAGATACTGGCAATGGCACCCACAGGATGGGGAATGAATTTGGAGAGAATCTGAAAACGGCATATTAGCAACTTTAGAACTACGTAAATGATGGACAGTGGGTACACACTCTTCCAGCCCACAGAGTAAGCCAGACAATCTCCAACCAGACCGAAAACCAAAGTAATTGGACACCACCCACGCTGGCATTCGGATACGCCAGCGCACCGACCAGCAATGGGATCAACAGAACGAGCACGAGCGGCACGATGTAGGTGAAGTACCGGACAATGAAGCTAGACTCATGGAGCTTCTTGATGAATCTCGCGATATTCGTATTAGGGTTCTCTGGTGGATTATACACAGCAGCTTTTTCGTGCAACGGGTTTGTGGCTTCATCAAATTCGTCGACCCGTTCAGACCGGCGCGAACGCGAGCGCGACATGGATGTTCCATCATCATTCGCTTTCCTCTCTGACTCTCCGTCGTGGGTGTGGGTGGAACGCGAAGCCATGCGCTCCGCCTCTAAAACTGCTAGGTCGTCGTCAAGGCGAGTGATCTCTTCTCTGGCCGTGCTGGGTGAGTACAGGGCATCTCTGTCAGGATCATGGTAAGAGGTATCAACCCTGAGGTGGTGTCCATTACTCGAGCCATCTTGGACGTAAGTGCCCTCGTCGGATTCCGGGGACCCATCATCGGACCTCTCCTTTCTCTTTTCCTCATGATGCTTTGGCGCAAGACGCTCCTCCATCGAGGTCGACATGTTGGCACCAGGCCAAAAGCCGAGACGACAAGACTATACGGAAGGTGGACGCAGGTACGGTGGACGCAGGTACCGTGGACCTGGTTGTCCTAGATCAGACTAGAAGCTGCTGTCAGAATTATTTGTATTCTGGAGAACTAATGGGATAAGAACATGAAGGTGGCGGCACAGAAACGAGGGTGAGGTCCGAGGATGGAGGAAAATATAAGCTCATGGTGGTGCCTTTCTCCGCCTCGATATTATGGACCGAACCAAGGAACAGACAGGAATAAGAAGAAGGCATGAGGAAGGGGGGAGACCGACCGACAGTGGTGAGAAATCTTTCCGATAATCAGCAAAGCCAATGATGGATCGACTCCCGCTGATCGTGGAAAAAGAAATGGGGGATATCCGGATACTAGTGGTGTTGTGCAGATGAGTCGCAGCAAGCAAGGCAGTATGCATGTACTGGAAGAGAAGGAGAAGAGGGAAATGATCCGATTAAAAAGTGACAGGAGGCAAGAAGAGAAGAGGGGAGAAAAATAAAGCTCCGAGGACAGTGGGGAATAGAAAAAAGAGGACGAAAGGTTCAGTGCGTCGCCAACGTCCTCAGAGCACCAGCTCCAGCTGGACTTTGGGTCAGTCGGAAGGAGGAGGAAGAGGAGATCGATGCGGGAAAGACGCCGATCGCACGGGACAGTTGACCAGTGGACATTTGGTGAATGAGAGCTGTGCAGTCCAGACCTTTGCGATCTTGGGTGATGAGGATGCCCATGATCTGCGCATCTGTTGCACTTTGCATCGTACACCCACCTGCATTCTGAGAAGAAGCGGTGATCCCTCCCAACAGCAATGTATGGATTATACTGATCTCAGCCACCGGGGAGCAGTTCGTCATGCAAAGCCCGGGCATCGCGAGGACTCTCGGACAGTGGCCAGGATCGCATCATGGCCAAGATCGATACTGTGGACCCTCCCTCAAGTCTCAACATGGTTCTGGCTGGTGGTCCCGGTGGCCCCGGTGGCCCCAGTTATCTAACGTTAGAAACTTCAACCGGGTCCAACGAAAACCTTGGGACCCAGAACACCCTGCTGCTAACCCCGACTACCTGCGTTAGCCCCTCCATCCTTGCAGCTGATAGCGCGCTGTCTCAGCGCAAGACTGGGAAGTGGGAAGTAGAAAGTGGGAAATGGGCCTTTTCCGTCCTTGGCGTTGTCCTGAAGGCTGAGAGACGAGTTTGAGTAGAATGTCGATAGATAAGAGCGTCTCAGCATTCTCACATGGTAGAGAGTCTCGGTCGTCGAGGTACGGGGTAGAGTGGAACAGGGGGGATGTCTTTTGTCGGGACAGAACGTGTCACACAATGGCAATCTGCGACTGGGAGATCCACGTACGTCGGTGGTGTTTTTCCAGTCTTCCAGCGGGCGGACAGAGCGGAGACCCTCGCCAGTCAGTCCGTCACTCGGCGTCCAAAGTGGCCACCGCCAAGCCAGCGCCACCTCAGGCACTCCCGGTCCTGTGTCTGTGTATGGCTGCTTATGTCGATAAGTAAGCAGTGAAGCAACGGCCAGGCGGTGTTTTTGCCCCCCCGTGGCAGTGGTAGTTCTTCCACTACAGACGGACTTATGGTTGCGACGCGACTGGTTGCAAACTTTGACCTGGACTTAAACATGGAATGGGTCGCTTGGTTCCGATACTCAATCTGGCCATTTATATGGTGCCTTGTGCAAGGAGCGTATACAACTATCCCGTAGCCTTAAGATGATCGTTATGGTTTGCGAGTTGAGATACACGAGTCAGTGCACGGCTATAGATTGAGCGCTAATTGACACTAGGCCAGGGCGAATCCACTGCACTTAAATTGATAGTGCCCTATAGTCGATCCTTTGCTCCAGAGCTCCATGATGAGTGAGTGATAGGGAGTTATGAATCGCAGTACTGCGTATATATACCTCGACTGAAATGCTGCCCAGGTGCTAATGACTGTGTTGATTATTTTGACGACGAGTATGTAGAATAGAATACTACCTACCGACTGCACTCCCTGTTCGCGCATAACTAATGGCGCGCATCACGTGACCGTTATGCAGTCGCAAGTGTTGGATGACGATGTTTCAAAACACCAGGCCTATTTTAGGACCATCAATCGGCCCTCCCTCGCCTGTGGGCGATTGTCCAAAGGTAAGCCGAATCTCGACCAAGTGATCGGCTTGCAGCATCATCGACTCGGCCGTGCCGTCTGCCCTTTCGGCTGTTGACGTGTCTGGCCCCGCCATGCCCACTGCCGAAGGATCCTAGTGGTCGCCGCCATGACTGCGGAGTAACATCCTTCCTTCCTCTTGCACAGCGATATACGGAGTATGAGGTTGGGGATATCTGCATCTACAATATGATGGCATATCAGCTCTGCTCGCAAGATACCTGTTGGGGGAGAGGGTGAGTTGATAGAGTATAATTACCCGTACATAGCTGGACTGGCGTTTATGCTAGTATCCGTATCCATCCATCCATCCGGCTTTTTTGTTCCCACACTGTATTTCTCTATAGCTCTCCTGGGTTGGTTCCGTAACTGCACTGTGTTAGGCATGTTTTCTCCCGGGGTTCAAACCGCTCTGCGACCATCACGAGCCTCAATGCCTGGTCCTGGTGGTGCAGGGGAGGTCGCTGTATATAACATAGCCCCTCTTCAGGGCGGCTTCCCCGCATTCCGCGCCGGGAGACGACGCGGACGCGGCACTAGGCGGAATACGGCAGCAGAGGTGGGAGGGGATGCGAATGAGCTGGAGGGGCTTTGCGATCGATAGATGTATCTATACAGAGTGCTCACTTTTAAAGTACTAGTACTATGGACCTTCTTTTGGGTTGATCGACTGATGGGCCGGTCGGTCAGGGGAGAAGCAGGGCCATTGATTGGCTGAGGGAGGCATGTTTATTGGACCGGCAGGAACGAACGCCAGCCGGTGTCAGTCACCGATCACTCCATCACCCAGCAACTTCTCTCCTCTCTCCTCTCCTCCCTCTTTCTCCTCCTCCCACTCTCCCATCCTATCCTGACCTCCTACAACTTACCCCTTCCTCTTACAGTTCCTCGCGCGGTGAAATTGCAGCCGTTGGGAGCTTTCATTGTGCTTTCGCATCGATAACGAGTCTTATTTACCAAGATGAGAGGCGAGGTACGAGCTACCCTTAGCCCCCGTTTATTTACCCCCCCCCCCCCCCCCCCGCATTCTGCATTTACCCCCCTTCCCTAAAACGACCACCTTGCCGCTCTCCCCCATCCCACCATAAATCCTTCGTTTCTGCCCGCATTGAGATCTATAGACCCTAACACGTCCTATGCTTTGCCCAGGTCTGCCACGTTCACATCGGCCAGGCTGGTATCCAGCTCGGTAACAGTGCTTGGGAGCTGTATGTCCACACCGCTTCTTATGATATCCCGGAAGCGATCCCATACTGAACACGTCGCGGTTGATCTAGGTACCTGCTTGAGCACGGCCTCAAGGCCGATGGTCGCCTGAACCCCGAGGCAGCTGAAGAGATCAACTCGGGCGGTTCCTTCGAGACTTTCTTCAGCGAGACAAGCAGCGGCAAATATGTTCCTCGCTCGATCTTCGTCGATCTGGACCCGTCGGTATGGACTCTGAACAATAGATAGGTGGTGGCCTCATACAAAACGTGTTGCAAGCTAATGGTTTTGGTTTTAGCCTGTCGACGAGATCCGTACGGGCCAATACCGCCAGCTCTTCCACCCCGAGATGTTGATCAGCGGAAAGGAGGATGCTGCCAATAACTGTGCGAAACTCTTTATACCAGGTTGAAAAAACAAAAGCTAATATACGGCAGACGCTCGTGGTCATTACACGATTGGAAAGGAACTTGTCGAAGACGTCGTCGAGCGCATCCGTCGCGTTGCAGGTGAGTTTCCAATGCGGCCGTAATGGTGAACTGGGCTCATTTCCACCAGACAACTGCTCGTCCCTGCAGGGATTCTTGGTCTTCCACTCCTTTGGCGGCGGCACTGGTTCTGGTTTCGGAGCCCTGCTGCTCGAGCGCCTCTCCGCTGAATATGGAAAGAAGTCCAAGCTCGAGTTCGCAGTGTATCCCTCTCCTCGTGTCTCGACTGCTGTCGTTGAGCCATACAATGCTGTCCTGTCCACCCATAGCACCATCGAAAACGCCGACTGCACCTTCTTGGTAGACAACGAGGCCGTTTACGACATCTGCCGTCGCAACCTGGATATCCCACGTCCTGGCTATGAGCACCTGAACCGCCTCATCGCCCAGGTTGTTAGCTCCATCACCTCCAGTCTTCGGTTCGATGGCGCCCTCAATGTGGACTTGACTGAGTTCCAGACCAATTTGGTTCCATTCCCTCGTATCCACTACCCCTTGATCTCGTATGCACCAGTGGTCTCGAGTAACCGTAGCTCCCATGAGAGCTTTAAGGTGCAGGATCTGACCTTTCAGTGTACGTGCCTAGCCCGACTTTTCTTGGTACTGGCACTACGGCTCGCTAACCACAACTTGCAGGCTTTGAACCTAACAATCAGATGGTGGTTTGCGATCCTCGCAAGGGCAAGTATATGGCTGTGGCTCTGTTGTACCGTGGTGATGTTGTGCCCCGTGACTGCACCCAGGCTATCGCCTCGCTCAAGGCTAAGTCTTCGTTCAACTTGGTTGAATGGTGCCCCACCGGTTTCAAGCTGGGCATCAACTACCAGAAGCCCGTCCGCGTTCCTGACACCGAGCTCGCCCCAGTCGACCGCTCCGTCAGTATGCTCTCCAACACCACCTCTATTGCTGAAGCGTGGGGTCGTCTTGACCACAAGTTCGACCTCATGTACTCCAAGCGTGCCTTCGTGCATTGGTACGTGGGCGAGGGAATGGAAGAGGGCGAGTTCTCTGAGGCTCGTGAGGACTTGGCGGCGCTGGAAAAGGACTATGAGGAGGTTGCCAACGACAGCCTGGAGCCTGAGGTGGAGGAGGGGGCTGAGTATTGAGCCTTTTGCACCTCCGGGCTCATTCTGCTTTGGTTTCTCTGATTCTTGATCTGTCTGACTTCACCCATCCAAAACCGAATGTATTCCATCCTTTTGTTTGCGACAACCCCTTCTGTTTGTGCTTTTCGTTTTAACTTTTCACCCTTACCCCATAATAAATTGGTATCGACCGCGGGACAATATGAGCAGATGAATTTCTCTATCTTCAAACCAACGCCGAGGTGGTATCCAGCATAGAACATCAAAAAGGTCTAATAGGCTGTTCATTAATATACAAAATAAGCAAGCGTAAGGGACCAGCCGCCCTCAACTCGCCGCGACTTCCATGTCCTGGAGCCTCCGCAAAGTCGTCTCATAGGTCCACATGGTGACCGCGCTCGCCGGGGCCGCCTTAAACAAGCTAACCGTCAAGCCCCGGTAGAGCCCCTTGACACCCTGAGTTCGCACAATCAGCCCCATCGTATTAAACACGCCGCGATACTCCGGAATATTGCGATGAATATACAACTGCCGCGTGGGGCCCTGCACCTGCAACCTCTTCCGAATCAAATCCAACGGAAACATAGCCGTCTTGGCCAACACACTCGAAATCACCCCGGCGGCCGCATCCCCGGACCCAAACGGCAGGTCCTGAAACTGCGACAACGGCGGCCGCAGCGACTCATACGTGGCAAAGAACAGTCCCATGTACGGAATAATCTGGCCCACGGCCGCCGTGCAGCCGCGGAAGAACCCCGCGGGGCCTTCGTTCCGCGCGATGTCCTTGACCGACGAGAGGAGCGACGTGTAGATCCGCTCTGTGCCCTGCGCGGCGAATCGCGTCCGCAGGAGATCGAGCGGGTATGTGGAGGCCGTGGCGAGCCCGCCGGCCGCTGCGCCGGCCACGAAGGATTCCATGGACGGGGGAAGGCGGTACGGGTCGAGTTGGGACAAAGCTTGCGTGGTGGTTCGGTAGGCCGTGAATTGGATGATCCCGTAGCATACGTACATGAGTTCGGCGGGGATGTTGCCTTTCCAGAGACCCTGTTGGTTTTGGAGAAGAGGTTTGGTGAGTTGGGGGTGTGGGTTGAGAGGAGGCGAGGGGAGAGGATAAAAGAGGAGGGGAGAAACGTACGGTTATGCCCTCTTGGCGCAGGATGGCCTTCATTGTGGACAAGGTGCCCTTGTATACTGGACCGGAGACATTGTGGTGCGAGACTGGATCGGAGAGGGAGTGGATTTGGAGTTGCAGGCGGATTTTGACGACGTCAAGGGGGGCGACGCAGAATCTGGATTGGATAGTTGGTTGGTTAGTTCTGGGGTCTGGATCTAAGATGGTAGGTAGGGTAAGGAGGTGGATGGATGGCGTACCGTGAGATGAGGCCGGCAATTCCTCCTGCCAGCACGACTTGTCGCCGTGTGCCCTGATGAGAGTCAGCGGGAGTTGAGTATGAAACCATGCCGTGGCTGGTAGCTAGCTAGTTGCATGCTTGGTGATAGGCAGGCACGTACCTCATCCTTGAGGTGTTCTCCCCCGGCCGACATGCATGTGATGGTTGGTGGTCAGGGAGAGAGAGAGAGGACGAGAGATCGAGACGGGGGTTCGAGGTTATGTGCGGGTTGTCATTGATGTGCTTGTTGGTAGTAAAAGAAGGAAGTGAAGGCAATCTGGGGGTTTTGTTGGCTTGTGTCCAATTGTTCCTGACAGGAGGCGGAAAAGATCAAAAAAAAAAGTGAGAGAGCCTTATGACGTGAGCCAGGATGTGCCTGGCCTTCGGACTTCGGAGATTAGTCCCTCTTGCTGCCTGAGGCCACAATAACAACGTAAAAGCGGCGAGCGGGCTAGTCCGCAAAACGGTCAACCTCGGCGCGACGGTCCTTGCGGGTATTATTTCTGGTGATTGCCCGACCTCTTCTCCGTGCCCATCCCCTCAACCTGGGTCGGTTGTACCTTCTCCTTCTCCCCAAGTGACATACCAGGCCGTCATTGAACTCGTCATGAGTCGCCTGCTGAGAATTGTTCTCCGCGCCTCTCGGACGCCACTGCGTCCAACCTCGATCCTTTACCGTCGCGCATATACGACTTCTGCGGCTCCTCCCCCATCAGATGATACATCTCCATCATCATCACTATTGATTCCCAGCTACCTTGCACAAGCCGATAACTCCCCCACCGATCCGTCCTCACCTCGTGGCAATCATAAATACGCCATCGATATATTGGAAAAGCACATTAAGATCAGTGAAAATGGCCAGGAGCCTTTCAAAGTTCTATTTAGTACTCTCCGCGATGCATGCAAATGTCCTCGCTGCGTGGACCCTCATTCCAAGCAGCGTAACTTTCGCACCACTGATATACCCCTCAACATCAAAATTTCGGAGTGCAACCACACCGCGCATGGGATGGAGGTGCGATGGACCAATGACATCGCAGGATACGACGAATCTCATATTTCAGAATACAGCTTTGACTACATTTTCAATCCCGACTATGAACGTTATGAAATGACGACGACAGGGAAATTACGTGAGCGCGGGCTCTGGAATAAAGCCATGCTGAAAAAGTTTCAGCATTGGATCTCATACGAAGATTACATGAAGGACGACGAGGCATTCTCCGCCGCCATGCGTAGGCTTGCAAGACATGGCATCATCTTCTTAAAGGATATCCCCAACTCACGTGAGCTGGTCGAGAAGATTGCCACACGCATGGGGCCTCTACGCAATACCTTCTACGGATCAACGTGGGATGTACGCACTGTCCCGGAGGCAAAGAACGTCGCTTACACGAACCAATTCCTTAATTTTCACATGGATCTCATGTATATGAACCAACCACCTGGCTTCCAACTACTTCATTGTCTGGAGAACTCGTGCGATGGAGGAGAGTCCCTCTTCTCTGATACCTTCGCCACTGCATTTTATATGTATTACGCTCAACGTGAGCTATTCAACGCGCTGACTAAATTCAACTTGATGTACGAATACAATCACGACCAACACCGCTATTCCAGAAAGTGGCCCGTATTCCAGACCAAGGAAATGAGAGGAAAGCAGCCTGATTCTGATTCGGAAATAACTATCTATAGAGTCAACTACTCTCCTCCCTTCCAGGCCCCGCTGACTCGTCATATGATTAACCAGATAAGAGATGACGAAGTGGAGATCAATTTCAAGGCTTTGGATTTTTTTGCCCGTCGACTTGAAAGCCCCGAGCATGTTTTCGAGCTGAAGCTGAAACCAGGCCAATGCGTCATCTTTGAAAACCGTCGCGTGGCTCACGCCCGGCGTGGGTTCAATACCAGTGAGGGCCGCCGCTGGCTGGCTGGCGCCTATGTTGACGACGAAGATGTGATCTCCAAATTCAGGGAGTTGCGCAAGGCTTACCCGGATATATGGCGTACTCGAGAAGAAAAGCAACGAGAGGACGCTAGGATTTCCAGGTGCAATGGCAATGATATCTCTCGACTACTCGACCCCTCTAAGACAGCCGAATCTCTGCGGAATTGGTGGGAAAGATAATCAATGCCAATTATTCTATATAGCTCCATGGAGCCAAGATGCGACACTGCACATATCCGTCCCGGTCCTGAAGGTACTAACTAGTTTCCTAGCATGATATATATATCGTGTGCTTTATAGTGGCAATATATCATTGTATATATAAGGGTATTAGTCTTTTAGCATTTCCATCGCTGGAACAGTCCCCCCCAGCAACACTGACACATGGATTATCTGGAAAAGTATATAATCAACCAGGAGGCCGGGGGAAGGCGCGGCACAACCAAATCCTAGCTTTGAAACCCACCCACATCGCTAGGCCATAGACTAACAAGTCATGCTGGCGACGGAGACTGGTGAAAACAGAGAGAAAAATAGATTTCAGAGAGCAACAAACGTAGCTAATCCGTATTATTCACATATTCTATAGCCTAGGCAACAGGAGCCTTGTTAACAGAGAACTGACCCAGGAAATCGGGGTCGTTGTTAAGTTCCTCCTTGACCTGTTTTCAAATGTATCAGCACGGCGTCATTGACCCCCATAGATTAAGCTGGGAATAAGATGGGGAAACTGGGAAAGAAAGAAAAAAAGAAAGAAAGAAAGAAGAAAACAGGGGAAGGGAACGTACAATATCCAAACCACCAACCAACTCTCCCTGCACCCACAGCTGCGGGAAAGTAGGCCAATCCGCAAACTCCTTCAACCCCTGCCTGACATCCTCATCGGCCAAAATATTGAAAAACCCATACTTGACGCTATTCTCGCGGAGAATGGCCACGAGCTGGCGACTGAAGCCACACTGCGGCGAGCTGGGCGTCCCCTTCATGAACAGCATGACCGGCGCAGCCTTGACCAACTCCGCTAGTCTCGCGAACAGGGCCTCCTTGGACTGTTCGGGGGTCAAGGCGGGGGCGGCGCCGGCGCCATTAGCTGTGACGGGGGCCTGGGTAGCGGTCGTGGGCACATTCTCTCTCGGAACGGCGGTCAATGGCGGGGGGATGACAGTCTTGGGGAGGCCATCTGCGGCGGCGGCGGCGGGGGCTCCGCCGGCGTGGCGCTCGACGGCATTGCGCACTTGGATAGCGTCGCTGCCGCTGATGGACTCGAGGATGGTGCCGTCACGGACGAGGACGACGAAGGGAACGGCGGTGACGTCGTATTCTTCCGAGATGTCGGGGAGTTCCTCGGCGTTAACGCTGAGGAAGACGATGGAGGGCGGGTTGGTCGCAGGGTATTGGGAGGCGAGGGCGGAGAGGACGGCGCGCATTTGGGCGCACGGAGCGGCCCAGGGGGCGTGGAAGTAGAGGACTTGCAGGCATGATGGGGGGAGGGAGGAGATGTAGTGGGGGAATTCGGCCTCCGAGGTGACTTCGATGAGAGAGGACATGGTGGTGGGCGGGTGCGGTGAGTGGGTGGTTGGGTGGGTGTTATGTCTCGCGCTCTTCTTTCCGTATGACTGATTGACGCTTTTGCTTGGTTGCTTGCGTGGGGTGGGGGTTTAAGGCGGGGAACCTCGGAGTGGTGAGGCGAAGATAAGAGGGGGGTTTGACCTGGATGGGTGGATAATGAGAGAGAGAGGAATTTAGAAAATGTGCTGGTCCGAAGGGGAGGGGGGATGACGAAAGTGAGGAAGAAAGAGTCACAATGTGCCCCGCGGGTCTGGCTGGAGTCGAAGAGGATGAGGAGAAGAGAGAGGGAAGATGGCGAATTTTTGGCCGCTTATCAGATCGAACCGTCGGGGCGACCGGCGTATGTAATCCCATTACCCGCTTCTGGGACTGCGATCTTCGGCGTAAGACGGACAAGTCAGTGGCTCCGCGGCTGTTGGTCAGCAGCTCCCAAGGAAGATTCGATATCGAAGATATGAACCACTCTCTGACTCTGTAGGATTTATGCTCTATAATATATGGAGTATTGTGGTTGGATTGCAATGCAGGAGCTTCATGCAGGACATGGGAGTCTGTGTGCATGAGATGGCCCTGCATAATACCATACCTAATGTACAGTACGCCGAGTAGGTAAGGCACGTACAGTAGGTATGGTCATTAGATACACGCTATCATCACGTGCCGTAAAAGTCGACGGGTCTGGTTCTTCCTGCGCAACCTCCGTCACTCTACAATTCGCGACAATCTTCCACCTTTGTTTGGACAACTCGTACGCGCGTGAGCTGGAGCTGTGATACTGGAAGAGCACCGAACGCATCTGGTAGGTTCTTCTGCAGCTTCCACGCCCTCGGTTCCCCGACCATTGTCCTTTCTGCTCGTCAGCGCCACAGAGATGGCAGGAACTAAGAAGCGGAAGCGTACAGACGCCTGTTCGGACGACGATGACCCAGTCAACAATAGCTCGGATGCAGGCAATGGCTTCGGTCTAGCTCAGACGTTGTCTCGCCTCCAATACCCGGATCCAGCGGCCAACAGCGACTCTATTGCTTCGTCGGAAGAGTGCCGGAAGGCACAAGATGATACGCCGATACAAAGAGCTTCGAAGAAGAAGCGCGTGGACGGTGAAAAGACGAAGTACCCGGTCCTCACATACGTCGAAGGTCGACTGCAATCAAGCATTCGCATCTCGGATATCCAAAACCTGCTACTATACTGCTTCGCGGATGGCATTGCACCTCAGTGGATCTCGATAAAGCACTCCGGTCATGTCCGGAAGATTGTCGTGGTCATGGTCCCTGGTCTGGAACTGGGTATGCTTGATGGCTCGCTTCCTCTGGATGCAGATGCAGTCGATGATGAGATGGAACAAGAAACCCCAGAAAATGCAGAGAAGGTCACGGAGGAAGATGCGAAAGCGGCAGATTTCGCTCGTTGGAAACAGGGCCTGCCACTTGAGGATCGATCCCAGAAGTTCAGCCCTCGTCCCCTCTCGCGCGATAACCTTCCAGAACCCCTGCAGCCTTTAGCAGACATGTTCCCTCACGCTTGGCCTGTCAAAGCCCCCGGCGACTCCAAATACAACAAGGTCCACTCTCCGCTTCAGGCATTATTGCTCTCTGCGCTTCCCAAAACCAAGGACAGCAACGCAAAGGGAGTGAAGCCGGCAAAGGTGGGCAAGAATTTCGTTTTCGAACGTACCCCGATCACTACTTTCCTTAGCACCCTGCAAGATCTTCGGGAAAATGACTATACTATCCACCCAGCTCTTGTGGCAGAAGATGAAAAGGCGACTCTGGCGGAGAACCGCAAGCGGGCCGGCCAGTCCACCGAAGACGGGTGGGTCGACACCCATGTTGAGTCCTTGGAAGCTGGCCAAGTCCCGGAGTCTGAAATCCAACAAGGAAGCATGACCGCTGGCCGGGATGTGTTAGCGTTGGACTGTGAGATGTGCATCACAGAAGGCGGCCAATCCGAGCTCACTCGCATCAGTATGGTGCGTTGGGACGGTGAGGTTGTACTCGACGAGTTGGTGAAACCTAAACGACCCATCATCGACTATCTCACTCGATTCTCCGGTATCACCAAGGAAAAGCTAGACCCTGTCACCACCACTCTCGCCGACATTCAGCAGAAACTCCTCACCATCCTTACCCCCCGTACAATCATCGTCGGACACTCCCTCAACTCAGACTTCAGTGCTTTGAGACTTGCCCACCCGTTCATTGTTGACACCACCTTCCTTTACCCCCATCCCCGCGGCCCCCCGCTCAAATGCAGTTTGAGGTGGCTTACCCAAAAGTACCTCGGCAAGGAAATCCAGAAGGGCCAGACCGGCCACGATTCGATCGAGGATGCTCGCGCGGTGCTTGATCTGGTGAAACAGAAGTGCGAGAAGGGCGAAAGATGGGGCACCAGCGACTCTTCAAACGAGAGCATCTTCAAGCGCCTGGCACGTTCCACACGACCCGGAAAGTCCCCAGCAGAGCAAGGCCGCACGGGAGCCATCGTCGACTGGGGAAATTCCGAGCGCGGATTCGGATCGCAGGCGACCGTCGCAGTCGGGTGCAGCAACGACAACGACGTCGTCAACGGCATCTCCTCCGTCGTCAACGGCGACACAAACAACACCTCTATCCCCGGCGGTGGCGTGGACTTCACCTGGGCGCGGCTACGGGAGCTCGAAGTCTTCCGGGGCTGGTGCAACCGCATGCCCGGCCCCAACAACGCCAACGACTCGACCACGCTGATTCCCCCGCCCGAGGAAACCACCCCGACGTCTGGGCCCGCGCCTTCCACCAAGGAAGCCACGCGCAGTCTGTCCGATCACGTCTCCCGCACCGTCTCCAACATCCAGAGGATCTACGACTCCCTGCCCCCCTGCTCGCTGTTCGTGGTCTACACCGGCACCGGCGATCCGCGCGAAGTCAGTCGCCTGCAAGCAATGCACAAGACCTTCCGCGAGGAATTCAACTCCCGCAAGCCCTGGAATGACCTCACCTACAAGTGGACGGACACCGAGGAACAAGCGCTGAAGAAGGCCTGCGAGAGAGCCAGGGAGGGTTGTGGGTTTATGTGTGTAAAGTAATTACTACTGCCTACTATCACATTTTACATAGAACGACTTTTTGGTAACCAGCCATTTTTACTATTGCAGACCCAGCTCCAGCTCGTGGTCCCGTGGCTTCATTGGCAAGCTTTTCACCGGTGTCTTGAGAGCTTTCTCTAGGATTTGGTAATCCCAACATCAGTCTACATCAGTCTACTTCTATTTCTACTACTACTACTACTACTACCGAGACCTTATTTACGATGAGATGAGATAGAACTATGGGAATGGATGAGAAACCACTCGAATTGGCCAATCTGGGGATATCATTGAGAACAGAGACCTAGGCCCTAGGGTGGGGGTGGGGGGAGGAAAGCGTGGACAATCTAGTCCAGCCAGTGATGACTGACTGACTGACTAACTGACCTACCAGTTCCTAAATCTGTAAAATATAAAGATGGAACAAAAACGGCCACTTTTGTACAAACACATAGAAGAAGAAAATGAAGGAAGGAAGGTAAATCGAATGTACCTAATACATTGATAGAAGGAGACAAGACAGTCTAGCTCCAGCTCTCCAAACTCACCGGGAGTCCTCGGTTTCCATCGCTTCCTCGCGCTGCATAGCTAATCGCACCATAATGTCCCGCGCAGCGGTCTGGGCTTTACGCTTTTCTCTGGTTTCCGGCTTGTGAACTCCGTTTGTGGTCACGTGGGAGTTTTCTTTTCCGGCGCTGAGTAGATGTGATTCGGTCTGTTCGGGACCTTCTTTGTTTGCGTGTTCGTTGTTGGTGTTAGTGTTGATGTTGTTGTTGTTGTTGTTGTTGTTGTTGGTGGTGGGGGTCTGCTCTGGTTCTGGGTGGTGGCTGGCCGCGTTTGCTGCGGAGATACGCCGTGAGGGAGGTCGAGAGCGACTTCGTAGGCTTCGGGAGCGGTTGGGGCGCGTTTCTTTTGAGACGCGGGAATCGCTGGGGCTCGGTTCAGTGGGTTGGGCGTCTTTGTTGTTGGTGGCGGTGCTGCTGAGATTCCCGTTTTGCTCGGTAAGTGGTGTGGGTTTGGGGCTGAGGATGTTGTCGGGTTTGGAGGTCTGGTTGTTTAAGGATTTTCGGGGTGGCCGTCCAGCTTTTTTCCCAGTAGAAGGTTTGTCTGAGGGCTGAGCTAGGCGAGGACGTTTGAGGATGGCCTCGTGTGGCGAGTTCGAGGCGGTCTCGTGGTTCTGACCCAGCCCATTCTCAAGGTGGGGAGTCTGGCGTTCAGACTGGCCGCGTTCGATGCGAAGTTGTGGGGTTCCAGACGGGGTTGGCTCGTGCGTCGTATCGGTAGTGGTATGCATTGATTGGGGATCCTTTATAGGAATCTTGACGGGCGGAATGTTCACGTCTTCCAGGGTGAAGTCTGCAATGCTGTCATCATCGTCGGTTTCGTCGAATGAGTCCCCGATGGGCTGGGTACGGCCACTCGGGAACGAGTCTGGCCATGGGCGTTTCCTGCTCCCTTGGAGTAGACCTGGGCTCCGGACTTCCGGAAGCATCCCCACGTCTGCGCTCAACATAGGCGGAGGTAGCGGTTTAGCCGATTGTTCCTCCGCGTAGCGGTTCCTCAGTTTCATTGCCTCCATTTCCAGCTTCATCCTTTCGATTTCATCCGATTTCGATCGAAGTTCTTTTAACACTGTTGCAATCATCATATCCTTGCTGGCGGGCGTACCCATATCGGATCCAAACCGACCGGGGCCATTTAATTCGATGCGGAGGGCGGTGAATGCGTTCTTCAGCTCGAACATGGTGTCGTGGAGGTTGCTGACCGAGCTGGAGATGTGGTCGAGGCTTAGCCCCTGATGCTGAATGTGTTGCTCGACCGAACCATTGTAGTTCTCGATGGCCGTCGACCCGGTGGGTACCAGCGCCCCTGGCTGGACCGGCGTTCGGTTTTGGCTGGCCGGGGTTGAATATAACAGGCGTTCAAGTGATCCTTCTTTGAATGTGGGCTCAACCGTGCGCATGGTGACAATTTCGCGGAACGAGACCTTCGAAAGCTTCCAGAAGACATTGGGGCTGATGGTGTGTTGGTCAGACATGAGACAAAAGACTTTTTCAGGATCCCCCACTCACCCATTGTCCAGAGCGCAGAGCACTCCCAGTTTCTGCTGGCAGAGCTTACAGGAAATCTCTTGCAAGATGCGACCCCGGAGGACGCTCAGTTCAGAGGATTGCGGTATTTGTTTCTTTTCGTGGGATATGGAGATGCGATGTAGTTCGACACTTAGCCATCCGGCCGCTATGGAGTAAGAATTCGAGAGCTTGGCCCACTCGTTCTCGAGGGCCGCCAGCGAGCTCGAGCATCGCGAACACTGGCAAAGGATCGCGGGGCGAGTGAGGCGGGTGAGATCCATGATGGTAGACATGGGGGAATGGTCGAACCCACGACTGGGAGTCCGTCTGGCAGTATGGTGCCCACCTGGAGTTGCGAGATGGTCGGAGGATCAGGGCGCAAACCTGCCCGCAAAAGTCCAGACGGATCTCGACTGCTGACTCAGCCGTCAACTGGGGACACGCTGGCGGGTCGGCTAACCCGTTTAGGCTATCGATCAGGACCGCAACGCGTTTCACTGTCGTCATAGCTGGAACACATCAGTAACACTAATGCTAGCTCCGGGCGGGTAACTTACTGTAAATCCGTAACGGATTAACAGTAGTACCTCAAAGGGCAGCCCGGGCCGGAGCCCGCCGCGATAACAACATTTCCCTTGTCGGACTCGGAATGCATCGCTGCTAATCCATATGTGGAGAGGTTGCAGACCGGCTATGTCGGTTTTTAGCGTCGCGTGGAATGAAAACAGCTTAGTAAGCAGTTTGATCACATGATTTCCACGCGATCTCTTACCACACAGATTCAAAATTTCATTTCATATTATCTCTTTCATTCCTCTTACATACCACCACCACTAATCATCTTCCCCCCCCCCACATCCACAACCATGGCGCAAGTGCTTGATAAAAATAAATTTCAATAATTAAAAACAGTAATTTATAGAATGGTGTGGAACGAAAACTGCTTATTAATCGTCTTGGCATCACGTGCACGGTGAGCATTCCACACCACCCTAAAAAAGTGCTGCACATATGTGGACCCCGCATTCCTGCTCACTCGCTATAATAAGCACCCTAATCCTTGCCTGGGCTGCAGCGGCTTCCTGCTTCCACCACTGACCAGAAACACTGATGGGATACATGCATCTCGCACGGTCCTGTCTTCGAACTCTGCCATCTCTGAGGTCTTCATTTCCCATTCCACGGGTCGGGTACGTTTCGCGAATCACGATGGCCAGTGTATCAACAGGTAGCAGACCCAGCACGTGGCAGGGCGCTGGCGCTGCTGAATTCGACCTAAGGAGTGAGTCTGACGCATACCAAGAATGTTGCCCTAGTGGCGTGAGCTATGCTGAATGTTGCGGTTCATCTTAAGGTGACACGATGACCAAGCCGACCCCGGCTATGCTCGAGGCCATCTGCCAGACCACCCTTCTCGACGATGTGTTCGGGGAAGACCCAGTTACAAATGACCTGGAAGCCTATGTAGCAGAACGTACTCAACACGAGAGTGCTTTGCTGGTCATGTCGGGTACAATGGGGAACCAGGTTGCCATCCGCACGCATCTGAAGGAGCCTCCCTACTCGGTCCTGTGCGATCATCGCTCGCACATCATCTGCTACGAGGCCGGTGGGGTCAGCTCCCTGACGGGCGCGACGGTCATGACCATTGCGCCGAAAAACGGCACCTATCTCACCCTGGAGGAGGTCCAGAAGCGTGCGGTGATCAGCGACAACATCCACTACTGTCCCACGAAGCTCATTAGTCTTGAGAATACGCTAGATGGGATGGTTATGCCCCTTACCGAGGCTCGCCGGATCACTGAATGGGCGCATCAAAATGATATCAAGGTGCACTTGGATGGAGCGAGACTCTGGGAAGCAGTGGCGTCCGGCGCCGGTAGCTTATCCGACTACACTACTCTGTTTGATAGTGTAAGTCTATGTTTCTCCAAGGGACTAGGCGCGCCCATTGGCAGTATAATTGTTGGGTCGAAAGACTTCATCAAGAAGGCCCGGTGGTTCCGCAAATCCATTGGTGGGGGTGTGCGCCAAGCTGGAGTCATCGCTGCGGCCGCTCGTATCGCAATTGAGGAAACGTTTGGACCGGACCCTCACGGGCAACAAGGCAAGCTTCTGGAGTCGCACAAAAAGGCCAAAAGGGTTGCCGACATGTGGACGAGCCGTGGTGGCAAGCTAGCCAATCCTGTAGACACCAACATGATCTGGCTGGACGCTGAATCGTCCGGGCTGGTACCCGACGACCTCACACGGATTGGACAAGAGAAGGGCTTGAAGTTGGGGGGTTCTCGCATTGTCGTTCACTACCGTAAGTTCTCCCCGTTTACACATGCTGGAGGCTGGATGGATGGATGCTAACTGGGCGGCAGAGGTGTCCGAGGAGTCTCTCTCCCGGCTGGAGCAAGTGTTCGATACGGCTCTGGGTGGGCGGGATGCGCCGGTGTAGCACGAGTATCACAAACCCCGTAGTGAACTTGATATATGAGCATAGTCCTCCGTAGATATAGGCTTAATTAATGCCAGCACTGTACATAACTACGATTTCCGTCACTCGAGGCTGAAGGGTTCCACGGATTCATAAATGCGGCTCCCCGCCAGACTGGGCAGGATTGCACTCCCATTGGCCAGGAGTCGGCCGCGGGTGAAGTGCCTTGTTGGTGCCTGGGGCTTCCGCGGGCTGCCTTCAAAATAATAAAGAGCGGCGGGTTTGACCCCAGCCTTGCTGCATGTTTCTCGGACGACGACGACGACTCCTGCCGGGCAGCTTCTGGTCTCGTTCCTGTCGCTGAACTCCACCCTTCAGAGCTGACTCCATTGCCACAACCACCAACCCCCTCTGGTTATGCAGTGGACGGCTAGTGGGGAGTTTGTCAGCTGTGTGAGTCCAACCTTCTGTACCTGTACCCTCTGCTTCCCTGTGCACTGTCCAAGTGATGGGTATCCTGGAGTCCTTGACTGACCGTGAATGCCTTGCTATAGAAATAGCCCTATCCTCCTTTATCACAAAGCCCCATCGATCGATACTCATTCCCTCTCGCTCCTTGCTTCAATGGTTCAATACTACGACTTTTCTGCTGTTCAGGTTGCGATCCGGTTGGCTGCCAAAGCTGGAGCTAACCAATCATACGGGAACCCTTCCAAGGCTTGTACATCGTACAGACGGTTATAAGAGTCTGGTTTGGCACGATTGGGCTCCCTCTGTCCATTCATCACCACATACTGAACAGTTCTGGATATTGCGAGCGTAAACAGGTTGCCATTGCTGCGGCTGTCCTGCCTGAGGGTCGCCGGGACATAGCACAACATACATAAAGCCGGTTTAGTTTCTCATCAGGTAAGGTTACTACTTGCTGCTGCAGTTCAAAAACCACCCACAAATCACGGCAGAGGTTCCTTGCCATCAAGGCTTATACGTGGTTAGGATTGTGACATGGAGCCGTGTTGATCATCGCCTTGGCTACACCACTCTCTTTCCATTTTTAGTTTCGAAATCCAGCAGATATACCCTGATTTGCCAGTCTTGTCATTTTAGTTATCTTTGTTAATCCCTCTTTCTCCTGTACCCATCCACCCATCCTGCCTTTTTTTGTCAGAGTTATACGAGGTCACTATTACTCGTACAAATGGAGGCAACGCAAGAGTCAACTCAACCATGTACGGACCCTCGTCGCATGGGCCGTAACAACTCTGGTCTCCACGATGATGACATGACGGATATCATTTGTATCTTACATCCAAACTCGCCTGCAGCTCACGATGCGGTAGCCGCAACCGCTCGCGTCGCCCCGCAGCACATCCTACAGAAGGATGAGCTAGAATATGAATGGTCAGATACCGCGGCTTTGGACTTCGCTCTTAGACTATCATCACAGGTGCGCAGTGCAAGTGGGGGATTTTGCTTCGGGCGCCATGTGGCTCGCTGCGACCTTATCGCTCCTGATAACTCGAAACGTATCTCGAACCAGCACTTTCGCATTCATCTCACTCACGATGGGATACTGATGCTGGAGGATACATCGACAAACGGAACGGTTGTAGACAACTGCGCTCTTCGCAAGATTTTGCAAAACAACAGCCGCATGCTGGTCAATGGTTCAGTCATCCAAGTCCCGAACGGCGACCAGCCCTCCGAGGAAGTCAGATTTATCGTGCGCCTTCCTTCTCGGGAAGGGTTTGCCATGCAGTACACGGAGAACATGCTTCGCTACTTCGAACAAATTGAGAAACAACGGACGGGTGAAGCGCAGGCTAAGCTTCGCGCAAATGCCGCGGCAAACCTGCAGCTACCGCAGCCTAATACATTCGGAATGCACTGGACTGGCGGCTCGACATACAACGTGACCGGCCAGATTGGCAAAGGCGCGTTTGCGACGGTCTACAAGCTTGCCACAAAGCAGCATGGAGCTGTGTACGCGGCTAAGGAGCTTGACAAGCGACGCTTCATGAAGCACGGCATACTCGACAAGAAGGTTGACAATGAAATGAAAATCATGAGAGATTTGAAACATGTAAGTGATGAAGCATTCTCTCGTAACCGATCACAGTTAACCCCCTATGCGTGCCAGCCCAACATCGTCCAGTATGTTGACCACCATGAGCATGAGCGATGGATCTATATCATCATGGAGTACGTTCCTGGCGGAGAGCTGTCCACGTACTTGCACTCTCATGGCAAGATTCGCGAGGACATGGTTAGGCCTATGGCGCGTCAAATCGTCCATGCCCTGCACTATCTCCATAAGCGCAAGATCACGCATCGCGATATCAAACCCGATAATATCTTGATTTCCTCCCTCGAACCTTTAAGGGTGAAATTGTCGGATTTTGGTCTTTCAAAGGTAGTACAGGAAGAAACATTTCTCAGAACCTTCTGCGGCACTCTTCTGTACTGTGCACCCGAAGTCTACCCGGAGTACGATACATACCGGCGCGGTGAAGTTAGGAAACGACGAAGGCTCGGCGATCCGTAAGTGACCTATCAAGTTTTTAAACTGAATTTTGCTGACGAGCAGGCCCCCGAAAACGTCACCTTACGATCAGTCCGTCGACATGTGGTCATTCGGTGCAGTCCTCTTCCACCTTCTTGCTGGGGTTCCTCCATATGCGCCACGAGGTGAAGATCGGGGAGCCCAAATGCTGAGGATTATCATGAGCGAGGATCCGGATTGGGATGCACTTCGCAGCGCAGGGGTCTCTGAGGCTGGCATCGATTTTGTCGCTCGACTTCTCAATCGCGATCCTCAATCACGACCGAATGAAAAAGCATGTTTCCAGCATCCGTGGATCTCTGAGATCAACGACGTTGATGAATATGACGACGACCCCAACTCGGAACTCCCATGTGAACTCTCTGACATAGGTGAAGACCTGGAGGACGAGCTGGATGCCTCTCAGCTTTCTCTCAATGATAAGATAGGAGCCAAAGCTGTGGCCGAAGAGGATAGTGATGTCGCCCAGTCCAAGAAGATCAAACTGGACCCCCCAGCGGAAATTCTCTATCCAGCGCTTCCAAGTTTTGAAAGCTTTTCGGCGGTTCAGCCAGTGGCTCAATCTACTCCCCGACGACTTTTTGGGGAGATCACGCCGTCAATTCTTCGTAGCTCCCATGCTCTGGGGGGCAACGTCGATGCGTTCGAGGGTGACGATTTTAGCATCCATGACTTCATTTCTTCAGCCGGTGAGTCGATGATTAGCGACGGCAACAGCCTGAACTCCATCCTCTCCCTTCCGGACAACCCAGTCGCTGGATCCGCGCCTAGCTTGATGGGAGCTGAGAACCTTGTTGGGCAGCTGAACATGAACTCGTGGCACCCTGGCACGTCGAGCAACCCTCCCCAGCGCGCCACGACGCCGGGGCTGCCAAGTAGCGAGGCCGCGGCCGTCCCCGAGAAGGAAGCCCCAGCGGCACCCCAGCAACCTCAGCAACCCCATATTGATGACGACACCCCCAAAGCCTCAAAATTCAACCGCCGAATTGAGTTGCCTGTGCCTGATACAGCTAGTGAACGCTCGAGCCCAGATGATACAACGGGGAAGGGCGACGACCTGCCAGCAGAACCCGAACCCGCCCCCGGGGAGATCTTCGACATTGAGCTGATGAACACCATCGATGCGAAGACCGGACAGCAACTTCCCGATCTCCCCGCCCGGACAGATGATCGAGCCTCTGCGGAACCCGTACCAGATCCGATACCGCTTCAGATCCCCAAAACCGTGCCCCAGCCCGGCCAAACTCTCCCTCTCTTAGGCAAGTTGACCAGCATTTCCGGATCCATCTTTGACCTCACGATTCCTTTGGAAACTCGGATGACTTCGTGGGGCCGTGGACCCCAAGCGACCATATGCTATCCCGAGCCGATGGACACTCGTATCCCTGCATATGCCTTGGAGGTTACCTTCTGGGCTCCCGCCATCGAAACGAAGATTGCTGCTGGCCAGGATTGGATGAAGGTCCCCGGGGTGATGGCGATCCTCTCCACCAAGACGCGCAAGTGCATCTGGGTCAACGACACCGAGCTCCGACGAGGGCCGGAGAGCGACAACGGACGGGAGGGGTTTCATTTCGGCAAGCTGTACAACGGAGACATCATTACCGTTTATCAACATCGGAACAAGTTCTTAAGGTTTGTGTGCGAATTCTACCACGGAGACAGCGCGCGCCCACGTCCGGAGGAAGAGAAAGGCTTTACCGTGCGCAAAGTTTTGATGTCCAAGGATACTACCGTGAACCGACAACCTGTCCGGAAAGCGCTGGGGGGGAAGCGGTAGACACCCTTCGGCCTGGCCTGGTCGCGAATTGGAATGGCTTGGTGTGAGCTATCATGGGCAATGCTAGGTGGATCTTTGTATGGTTTTGGAGTTGTTCACACGTATGGTTTGGGTTGGGTTGGGTTGGGTTTCTGGGTCCTCTTGGGTGGAATTGGGCGGAATTGGCAAACTTCGGGTTCTTGGGACGGCCTTGGACGCAGACTACGATCACCTCTGCTGTTGTACTACTAGCAAGCATAACTCACGACATTTTCTCTCTGTATCTCTGTTTATCTATCTAACTAGGATGTAGTATCTACACCGTAAATCCGGCGACTCATGTGGCCCTGGCGCTAAGAGGGATTGGCGTGGGGACGGATCCACTCGCTGGCGGCGACCGAACTCGAACTAACCCTTCAACCATTCATTATCTGTGTGTCTCTGTCACATCATGCCCCCAACACATAACGGTATCGCAGCATGTCATCGGGGGCAGGGCTGAGGTGAGACAATGGCCTGGAAGGGATGTAACGTCGGACCAAGCAGGCCCTCGCCGTCTCCAATCGGCCTCCTTTGGGGACACCAGACTGACGGTGAGGGAACGAACCCCAAGCGAGGGGGCGGGGCTGTCTCCCATGGATTTAATTAAATTAATCTGCCCTTTGCAGTCTAATCTCCTTTCCTCCCCACCAACAACGAATTAATACCGAGGAGATACGGAGTACAGCAGTCTGAGTCTCCTGTCTCGCGCCGGACACCACCTCACATTCTTGGGCGATATCTATCTATCTATCTAGCCCTCGGGATGCGAGAGAGGGCTGACTGATCTCGGTGGAAGACCCCTTGATTCATCTCGTGGAACAACCAGCAGTCGCATCTTTCTTTCTATCGGCGTCTGCGTCTGCGTCTGCGTCTGCGTCTGCGTCTGCATCTGCATCTGCATCTGCATCGACATCTATTGTACTCTGTACGGTACATAGATACATCCGCATCCGCATCCCCATCCCACATGCCTCCGAGCTGTCTCATGGATTCTTTGTCTGGTTCTGGAGGAGCCCCTAGCGCGTGGTGGGAAATGGACTCCGACTGACAAGTGGCCCTCCAACGAATGGTGACGGAAACGGGCAGACGGCAGACCCGTTCGCGGATGCTTCTGTTCCTGGATGGCGATCCAGTTTTTGCTGCTGCTATTCCCCTTCCGTCGTTTCGCGCCTGTGTCTCCTGAACCAGGTAATTTTACTTTAATTTCTACCACTGGCATTTTTGGTTCATAGGTAGGTAGCTATCGCTCTGTCTGTTTAATTCATTACCATCTCTTTCTTCCTTTCTTTCTCTCTCGCTTCTCTTCTCTTCTTCTCTTTTACTTCCTCCCTCCCCCCCTCTTCCCCTCCCTTCCCGCGCTCGCTTTGTTTCAGAGAAAGACATCATCGGCAACGTTCCTCTGACGTCCTCCTCCTCCTCCACCCCAACAAACGCCCAGCCGAATACGATACGCCCCAATCACTCTGCGGGCCGTTGTGCTCGCCCGCTATTGCCCTTTCTACATCCCTGTCACCTCCCCCGCCCATGTCCTTGTCACGATCTCCCTCTCCCCACCCCGCGGGAGGAGGTTGGACCAGCCCGGGTCTCACTCCCGGCAGCGGTTCCTCAACGCCTCACAGCGGCTTCCTGACGCCAAATCCCCTCGGAGCCAGCGGCATCTCCTGGGCCGCCGCCAAAGCGAAGAGCGACGAGGTACGGGGCTATCCGTCCTTCTCGACGCGGAACAGCGGCTTCTTCTCGCGATCGAGGCGCCAGCTATCCGCCACCCTCCCGAGCTTTCGTCTGGGCTCCGGGTCCCCGAATGGTTATGTCGACAAGGATGAGTTTGGGCGTGGACGGCACATTTCCCCCGCCACCGGTTGGCGCTTTGGGTTTGGCAGGTCGTTGTTGCGGCGCCGGAGATCGCGCTTGTTTTTCACCCTGATCCTGCTCTTGGTCGGGTATTTGTTCTTCGGAGGATGTAAGTTGATTATGTGTTTACATGTGAAACGGCGTTTCCTGCATGCAGTCAGTCAGCCACTAACCTCGGTTTGCTGCAGCGATCATCCAGAACTACCGACGGTCCCCGTTGGGCGGAGGGCGCAAGTTCGTCATTATCTTGGAATCCAATATCGAAGGCGGGGTGATGGAGTGGAAGGGGGCCCGGGAATGGGCCCTCGAGCGCAACAGCGTTTGGAATAAGAACCGATATGCGAACGAATGGGGCTACGAGGTGGAGGTCGTCAACATGCTGGCCAAGAAGCGCTATTCGCACGAATGGCGCGAAAGCTGGGAGAAGGTCGACCTGATCCGGGAGACCATGAGGAAGCACCCCGAGGCAGAATGGTAAGTTTGAACATTGGGGGGACGAGTGCATTCATGTGTGTACTGACAGCTTATTGCAGGTTTTGGTGGCTGGACCTCAATACCTGGATCATGGAATACTCATACTCCCTGCAGGAGCATCTTTTCGATCGCCTGGATGAGATTGTGTACCGTGACATCAGCGTCTACAACCCGTTGAACATTACCCACCCCCCCAGGGAAGTCTACCTGGACGAAGTCTCTCGCTCCCCGAACGGAGACGGGGACGCATCCTCCATACAGCTGCTACTGTCGCAGGACTGCGGCGGATTCAACCTCGGTTCCTTCTTCATCAAGCGCTCCCTCTGGTCTGACCGGTTACTGGATTCGTGGTGGGACCCCGTCATGTACGAGCAGAAGCACATGGAGTGGGAGCATAAGGAGCAGGACGCACTGGAGTATCTGTACGAAACGCAGCCGTGGGTTCGGAACCAGGTGGCTTTCCTTCCCCAGCGATACATCAACTCCTTCCCCCCCGGCGCATGCGGGAATGAGAACGATCCGACCGTCCACTATCAGGAAGCAGACCGAGATTTCATCGTCAACATGGCCGGGTGCCAGTTCGGCCGCGACTGCTGGGCCGAGATGTACCAGTACCGTGAATACAGCAAGCAGCTGAACAAGACCTGGTGGGATCGCATGAAGGAGAGACTGAACGGATACTACGAGAAGTTCTACCCCGCCGAGCAGGAGGAGCAAGAACAATAATAATAACTGTTGGCCATTGGCATACGACGTGATGCCATTGCTTGTTTTCTGTGTTTTCTTTCTTTTTGCTTTTGTTTTCTTACTGTCCATCGTCCCGAAGATGACCATGCAGGATGCGGATGCGGATGCGGATTATTGTAACGAAATGGCGACTTGGGGGCTGGAGTCTCAGGATGGATTCATTGCTTGTTGCTTTTGGGGGCTAGATACTTTGCTTTCCTGTTTCTGTCTGCATTAGTCCGGTGTGCTTGGCGTGGCGTTTGGTGTTGGCCGTATCTGTCGGTCAGTGTATGAGTCTTTGTAGCATAGCTGAATGATTTCTTTTGTCACCAACTCCAACTCCTCCTTCTTCTTATTATATTTAGTATCCTGTAACATCCATTACCCCATCCACGAGTATACGGAGTACACCCACTACCCATCACCCCCTCCCGTGATAAATGACTAATCAACTACCATCCACACCCCCCCCCCCCCAGACCGCCCACAAACGCACCCAATCACAACCCCCCAATTGCAACGCCCTTCCACCGGCCGAACCTCCGAAAGCACCTTCACCTTCACCTTGACCTTCACCTTCCTTGACCTCGACCTCGACCTCGACCTCAACCTCGACCCCAGCTACCAGGACCTACCTTCCCACACCACACCAACACCACTCACCCTAATCACTCACACCCGCGTCCACCCCCCCCCCCCCCGACCGCACCGCCCCGCCGTCACAATGCCCACCCCGGAATCCGCCGCCTTCCTGGCCAAGAAGCCCACCGTCGCGCCGACCTACGAGGGCGTCGACTTCGAAGACACCGTCGCCCTGCACAACGCCCGCGACGCCATCATCCGCGAGCAGTGGGTCCGCAGCATGATGTCTCGTCTTGTGGGCGAGGAGCTGGGAAAGTGCTATGCGCGTGAAGGCGTCAATCATTTGGAGAAGTGTGGGGTTTTGAGGGGTGAGTTGTTCTTTTCCTTCTTTCTTCTTGCTTCTTGCTTCGTTTGGTTTTACTTTTGTTTTTGTGGGCTTGTTTGCTTGCTTGCTTGCTTGGCTGTTTGTTTGGCTGTTTGTTTGTTGGGTTGGGCTTTTTTTTTTTTCGCTCCCGATTTTCCTTTCATCTTCATCTTCTCTGTCCTGCTTCTCTTTGGGAGTGGGAGGGGAAGGGGAAGGGGAAGGGGAAGGGGATGATGGGGGAGAGGGAGAGGGAGAGGGAAAGGGGAGGAACTGCATTCCACGAAGAGATTTGGCTAACTGTTGTTCTTTTTTTTTTTTTCATGATTAGAAAAGTACTTTGAGCTTCTCAGTGAGCGCAAGATCAAGGGTTATTTGTTCCAGGAGAAGAACTATTTCGCTGGGGAGAAGAGTACTTAGACTCTTTTTGTTTTTTTGTTTTTTATTTGATGCTATGGATTTGTTGTGACATTGTGACATTGTGTGATATATACTTGTATGGGTTTTCTTTTCATCATCTTATTCAACTTTGTTTCTCAAGTGACGGGTCATGCATGGTACAGGGCCGTTGCACGCTGGTTTTAGCTTCGTTACTTACTTGTTATGGTCAATTGAGGATGTGGGTTCTTTTTTTTTTTTTTCTCTCTCTTCCTTTTGGGGATGGGGATGGGGGTAGTTAGGGATGGGAGGGGGATGATGGGGAGAGGGGAAGAGGTGAGAGGTGAGAGGTGAGAGGTGTGGTTATCTGTCTATCTGGACTGGCTCAATTACTGCATGGCAGCTGAGAAATAGTTGCGGTCGAGACATACAGACATGATGTATGGGATCTGGTCTTTATATAGAAAAAAAGCATCTTCCACAATACCTACATTACCCAGTCATCTCGCTCAATGCCAAATATTCGTCTCGTCAAGGGTATCAATAATAAGCACTGTCGCTGCGCTCAAGCGTGCCGGGGGTATAGACCCGAGGCACACTGGCCGGGTCCTCGTCGCTATCGTCGACATCACTGCCGGGTCCGGACTCATCGTCTGCCGGCGGCGCACGCATCCGCACCAGCTGCTCTTCGTCCAGGGACGGGATCTTATACGGCGCCGGCGGGGAATGGATATCACGTCCAGAGGGCAGGTTGGCGAGCAGCTCCGCCGACGGCGGGATCAGCTGCGTGTTGATCTATCCAATGCATGTCATGTCAGCACAACGCCCACTCGGTATACCTCAACACCACCAACACCGACACAGCAGACAGACAGCCAGCCAGCCAGCCAGCCAGACTCACCGTATCATTCATCCTCACCCACTTCGTCTCCAACATCTCAATCACGCGGCCCTCCTCCTCCCGCCCAGCATTATCCCCAGGCCCCAACCCGCCCTTCTCCATCGCAGTACGATCGCGACTCCCCGCATCCTTCTCCATGCGCCTCTCCTCCCGCCGTTCCATCCACCCCTGCTTCAACCTCGACAACCCCAACCCGCCCTTCCCCCTCGCACTCCCGTCCCTATCCCCTCTCCCCCGTCCCCGTCCCGCTCCTCTAACCCCCAACACCCCCTTCGCGGCCTCAACCACGCCACCCCCTCCCCAATCTTCCCCGCCAGCTCCGCATCGACCCCGAAGAACCGACACGCCCGCGCCCGCGCCACCCGTCCCAGCACGCGCGCATAACCCAGCAAGTCCTCGTCGATGCCCATCTTCCCCTCCGACTTGACGGACCCCAGTCCCGCGGCGGCCTGCTCCGCGTACTCCGCCGCCCGGATACATAATCTGGCGAAGAGATGCGCCCGCACTTTGGGGATCTCGGGCGCGCGCACCATCCAGTCTTTGTCGTTGGGGTTGCGCGCTTGGATGCAGGTTGTTACGTAGGAGTCGTCTTTTAGGACCGCAAGGAGGGTGGCTTCTGCCAGGGCGAGGCAGGAGAGGGCGGCTTGTGTGGCGGGGTCGAGGTCCGGGAGGGTGGGAGGGCTGTTGGAGGTGGAGGTGGTGGGGTGGGGTTGTGGTTGCTGGTGGTGTAGAGGGAGCGGGCGGCGCCGGAGAAGGAGGGCGAGGAGGCCAGGAGCGAGTGCACGGCGCTGGCCTGGAGGAGGAGTTTCGTGGCGGTTTGGATGGCGGCGGTGCGTTGGTCCGGGGTCGGGGTTGTAGCGGCGTAGAGGATGCGGGTTGTGCCTGTGCGGGCGAGGCCGCTGAGGATGTAGCCCAGGGTTGTGAGGACGAAGGCGATTTCGAAGTCGAGGCCTTGGCCTGGGATGCGGGAGGGGGAGGGACGTTGTTTGAGCGAGAGAGTGGTGGACGGGTTGGTCAGGGTGGCGCGCCACGAGGAGATGATCTCGGTGCGGAGCGTGATTTCGATTTCCTCGCTGGTCGGGGAGGTGCTGCTGCTGAGGCCGGTGGAGAGGGCCAGCAGGTAGGGGAGATAGTTGGTGAGGGTGGTGAGGAGGGTTGCGAGATGCGCGTCTTGTTGCGCACCGCGGGGTAGACGCTTGTGGGCTTTGAGCGCTTGTCGCAGGGCATGGCGGGCGGTGGTGGCGGCTTGGGGGAGGGAAGGGTGCGTGCTGGACGTGAGAAAGGTCTGGAAGGAGAGGTGCGAGGTCGTGGGCAGGGTGAAGGCGTAGACCATGGTTGTGGTGGTGGTGATGGTGGTGGTGGTGATGGTGGTGGTGTGGTGGTTGAAGGGGAGGTGGGATGGTGGAGTGGAAGTGGAGGTGAGAGTTGGAGTTGGAGCTGCAGCTGGAGGTGTTGGTGGGTGGTGTTGATTGCTGATCTCCGCGGTAGCCAAGAACCAAACACTCGGCGTCCCCACGTAAATAATGTAATGTCTGCTTTCTACAATGGGATGAGACGAGAGTTGGGTGGTAAAGTCAGGCCGACGGGCCTGTTGGATTTATCGGGTGGCTTTTATATGCTCGCCAGTAGTAGGTAGGTAGGTAGGTAGATAGATACATCATTTTCTCCTGCAGCATGGCCGGATGGGTCCCGGTGCATCGTCCCAAGAGCTTCTTCACCCGAGTGAGGCATTGTAGACCATATCCTGTCCCGGCAGTTCCCCTGCTCATCGCTAGCTGTTTCCGTCCCAAATCATCGATCACGGGTGATTTGGTGTAGCAATTGGCTGGATTCTGGAGCTTGTTGATGATCGGCTTGTGACCGGCACCGTCATCATGCTGGACCAGCCAGCCGTCCCGGTCCCAAGCAAGCATGGCGTAGATGTTGCGATGCAGGCAAGTTCGTATATGACTTTCTGGCTGTCTTGCTGTGGTCTCTTAGAACAGCGGTAGCCGCGATCTTTTCCCGAAGTGAGGTCTTGCTTGAAAAGGCCTCCCATGTCACTGACTCTCATACATCCATCCCTTCGCCATCAGACAGGTTGCTCGGCGCACTGCTGACCCCGGATGAATCGCTATCCGCCATATACGGCGCTCGCGACCGCATTTGAGAGCCCCAATCGTGAAGACTGGGCGCGCCGCCCTCGATGACGATGGGGTTTTCGTCCGCCGTCTTCCCCAGCGCGGTTCCCATATACCTCGACTCCTCGCCGGTTTTGCTGTGTTTCTTCTTGAGGGCCGTCAGGAAATCCTCCTTCTCCAGAGCGTCCGCGTCAACCATGTCGCCTTCGCTGGGCACAAACCCGGCGATTCGTCGGATCTCTCGATTTGCCGGGCCGGTGAACCACGACAGGAATCCCTCCAGTCCTCGCACGTCTTCTTCTCCCTCCCAGTCCTCCTCCCAGTCTCGCAGTTGTGGTCGCAGTGCGCCTGCATCTTGCATGGCTTGGTAGATATCTTCGAGGGCCGGGACGGGGTCATTCGGATGGGCGTTCGCCGCATGGGAGGTTGCGGACGAGGCGAGGATCATGATGTATCGAGCGGTGAGGTCCGCGAGGGTGTCTAGAACGGAGGGTCGTGTGGCATGGAAGCCGGCTGCGCGCAGGATCTGGATGATTGGCGGGCGGAGGAGAGCGTTGTGTAGATTTGAGCCGGACATGGTCACAGATGGGTGGGAGACGTAAGGATGAGGATAGAAGAGCAAAGACGGGCAAAGGTAGGGCCACAGGAAGCTTTTCAGCTTGGGACACAAGGTTATATAAATAGGAGTAAGAATGGACCAGCCGGCCCTATTGTCGCTGGTCGGTGTTGGTTGGATGAATAGCGAGGGAAGACGGGAGCTGGTATTGATGATTGATGGGCGGGCGGGCCTCGCCGTCTTCCTCTTTCGGCCTTCCGCCTTCTGCCCTCCGAACCTCCTTCACTTTGCACCTCTCGTCTCAGCCACCCAACCTGGCCTAACACTTCGCGTTTTCTCACCCCGCGTCCACTACCAGCTTGCTGGTTCCTCTCCCGCCATGTCGGACACCCCTCGTCCATCCCTCAAGCTCACCTTCGGCAAGAAGAAGGCCCCCGGGGAATCCTCCCAGAGCCAGCCTCCCGCTCCTCCGCCGCCCACAGAAACCCCTCAGCGCAAAATCACGCTGAAGATCGCCCGAAGGCCCGTCCCCGAGCCTGCTCCAGAAGAAGAAAAGCCGAAGAAGAAGAAACCCTCCAAGAAGCGCCCGGCAGATGGACCCCCGGCGTTGCGGGAGCCCTCCGCGGCGGTCACGACAGCCCAACCCGCAGGCCCCAAACGCCTCAAGCTGAACACATCCAAGAAGCCCGGCATCCAGTCACTCCGCATCAAGAACAAGGGGCTGGTCCCCAACCGACCGGTGGGCGTGGGCTACGACTCGGAAGCCTCGGACACGGAAATCGATCCCGCCATCGAAGAACAGTTTATTCTGCGCATGCTGCCGGGCGAAGATTGCGAACTCTTGCGACGCGCGATCGCCGAGCGCCGGTTCGATCGGTCGGAATTCTCTTTCAAGCCACTCAATCGCGAGGGCCGACGTGCTGTCTTGAAGATCCGTGATCATCAGTACGCTGCGGCCCTGGTCGACTTGCCCTGCATCATCGAAGGTATGAAGAGCTGGGACCGGCGTGGGTGGTACAAGTCTGCGGACATCTGCCAGATGCTGTTGGTGCTGGGACCGGTCGCCAATGAACAGGAGGCCCTGGAATACCCGCTCCCGTCGGATATCCAGTTCCCGGACGACAAAACTTTGCAGTACCCGCACGGTCTCGTGCCACCCCTGCGGTGGGTGAGGAAGCGGCGTTTCCGTGAGCGGGTCGGCACGCGGACGATTGAGCAGGTTGAAAAGGCGGTCGAGGATCTGATCGCACAGGACGAGGCGTCGCTGGCTCCTCCGCGGTATGAATTGGTGGACAGTGCGTCGTTGAATCGGGCTGAGGGACTCGTCCAGAGTGGGGAGTACGACGAGTACGATGAGGAAGATTACGACGACGAGCAGGATGCAGAAGGTGAGGTGGATGAGGATGGCGGTCTCTTCGATGACTTCGAGGACACGCTCGCGGCGGAGATGGAGGCTGCTCTGGCTGCTGGAGACGACGGCGAGGCTGCTGCCACGGCCGCGACTGGAGGCGAAGCACCAGCCGATACCGGGGTCTACCAAGCCGGCACCCCGATGGCAACCAAGCCGTCCACACCGGCTGCAGAGACCTCCGGTGATGATAGTGATGGATCCGACGATGTTCCGGAAGACGAAATGGACGAGGAGCAGCTGGAGCAACAGCGACAGATGCAGCAGCAACGGGAGGAGATTGCCGAACTGGAGACTCTGATCCGCGTGGAGACCGCCAAGTGGGAGAAGATGCAGAACGCCATCCTGAAGGGCAAGCTGGCCAAGCGCATCCACGACTTGAAACAGGACCTGTCGTTGAAGAAGGTGTCTATCGGGGAGGGAGACGATGCTGATAACTAATTGTTCTTACGGTGATGTGATGACGGATGGCCGTTGCTCTTTGATACCCAAATACAACCTACAATGCTTTCTTCTTCTTCATAATAATAATCCAGATTTCTTCCACATTAACAAGACTATCCAGCCACAGCTACCAACCTATATTACCTATATTACCCAGCCAAATCAACCCGCAAACCCCCCCGCCGACCCCTCCCCCACAGCCCCCTTCACATCCAACTCCCTCTCCTGCCTCAACTTCCTCTCCCTAACCGCCTCATTCTCCCCCTCCACAGACTCTCCCCCACCCCCATCATCCTCTCCCCAAGCATCCGCTCATGCTCCTCCCCCTTGCGATCCAAATCCGCCGCCTGTCCCTTCTCATACCCGGGGTCTCCGGGTCGCATCTCAGCCCCCGTCTGCGCCTGCTCCTGAGCCTGCGCCCTCCGTTCCGCGGTCTTCCCCTCCACCGCGCGCGCTATATCCCCTTCTGCTGGCTGCTGCTCCACCCCGTACTCCGTGTCCACGTCGGGGGTGTCCTGCAGGGCGGTGCGCTGCTCCGCGCGCTTGGCGTTCAGTTGACGCAGGGCTTCGTCGTTGGAGGGCTGCGAGGTGGCGGTGCGGGTTGTGCTACCGGAGGAGGAGGTTGTGTGGTGGGGTTGGGTTTGGGGGTGCGTTGCTCGAGAGGCGTGTGGTCGATTGGGTTGGTGGATTGGGTGTAGGCGGCTTGTTTGGGGGGTTGGGAGGGTTGGGATTGCGATTGCGATTGAGATTTGGTGGTTTGGGAGCGGGTTTGCATGGTTGTGGTTCGGTTTGGGGTGGAGGCGTGGTTAATTGACCTGTAGTATGTAATATGTAGTATGTAGTATGTAGTATGTAGTATGTAGTATGGTAGTAGATGTAAGATGAAGAATGGGGTTGGTTGAGTTTGTTCTACTTCTGGGAATTAAAAGACGCTGTGATGAGATGACGTCAGTGATGATGTCGGTTTGAGTGGAGCTCGGATACGAATTGTATGGGGAGGGAGGGTTCTGGGCCTTGGGATCCGGTTGGGGGTTTTGAGATCATATCCTTGTCGTTATCACTTTATATGATGTGTTATGTGAGTAGGTAGGGGAACCCTTGTTCCTTTGTCTGGGTTGAGAGATGATATGTGGTTGTATAGTGTCATTGTACATCATCGGCAACTATAGTATATAGTAGCTTCGCGGATGCGGATGCGGTCCTGCGATTGTGGCTGCGAGGCTGGGATGGACTCCATCGAGAATAGAAATGACATTCTTGGAATGTTCTAAGAGGCTTCAATTGAGGTGTATATCAGATAGAAGTAGATAGGTCGAGGTAGAGGTTTCATGGTTAGTTGATGCATCTAGCCCTTCAGCACTGCCCATCCGTATGTCCCAATCCCCGCGCTTTCAAGAGAATCAAGACCTGTGGATATACATGCCCCACATGGCCATACGCCATACGCCATACGCCATACCCCATTCTTGAGTCAGGCTACCTGAAAGCGATCGGTCGAGGAACCGCCGAGAACGAGGCTGCATGTGATGCCGCGGGAGTCCCGATTAAATATTCAGGCCAACAAGGACAACAACTCCATCACCCCAGACAGACTCTTACAACAACACCACCACCTCCTTCACAATACACACAGTAACTCACCATGATGGCAAATACTAACCCCACCACCCTCTTCACCCTCTTCATCCCCTCCACCTCCGGCACCATCACCTGCACGAACCCATCACCCCCCTCGAACCCGCAACCCATCTACCTCCTCACCTTCACCTCTCCGCCCGACAACCGCCTCACGCCCACCTTCATCGACGCCCTGCTCCTGGCCCTCGATATCGTCGAGCACCGCTACCCGAAAGGCGTCCTGATCACCACCAGCGGCATCCCCAAGTTCTACAGCAACGGGCTGGATCTGCAGCTCGCGCAATCCACCCCCAACTTCGTCGAGAAATGGCTGTGGAAATTATTTAGACGCTTTCTTGGGTGAATAGCATCTCTCTCCCCTTTCCCCTTCTCCCTCTCTTCCCCCTCTTTCCCCCACACATACATATATACATATACATATGTCACATATATATATATATATAAATACTGATATATCTACAATGAAAAAGCTACCCCATGCCCACCCTCTCCCTCCTAAACGGCCACGCCTTCGCCGCCGGCTTCATGCTCTCGATGTACCACGACTACCGGATCCAGAACCCCTCAAAGGGATTCCTCTGCATCAACGAGCTCGAATTCGGGGTGCCGCTGCAAGCGCCCATGATGAGCGTGTTCCGGGAGAAGCTCACCCCCGTGGTCTTCCGGGACGTGGTGCTGGGCGCGCACCGGTTCCCGGGGAATGAGGCGCTGAAGGTGGGGATTGTGGATGGGCTGGGTGGATTGGAGGATGCGGTGAGGTTTGTGGATGAGAGGGGGCTGGTCAGGTTGCCGCGGACGGGCATCTATGGCGTGATGAAGGAGGAAATGTATCGCCATTCGTGGGGCATTTTGGATGATCATGAGGGGAATGTGAGGTGGAGGGGGAGGGTGGAGGGGTTGAAGGGGATGGAGGGGGAGGAGGGAAAGGGGAGGGTGGAGAGGTGGGAGAGGGAGAGGGAGAGGGAGAGGGGAGTGAAGCTTTGATGGGTTAGAGGGGATAGAGATAGAGGATGGAGAAGGGGGGGGGAGTGTATAGTTAGAGGGAGGGGGTAATGGAGTTTGGGTATTGATTTGGGGTTTCTTTGTATTTGTATTGTGTGCTTGTGGTATGTGTGAAGGAAAAGAATAGGTATTTTATATTACCCATATCTGATACGCCCTATATCTATCCATGCTGTTGGTGGTGGTGGCGCTTTATCCATTGGACATCACTCATGCACTGAGCATCACCCACACTGAAACCACCATGCAATGCTCTCGGCGTGAATATACCCAACAAAACATGCTATTCAATGTATCTCTACAAATCCAGCAAACACGCGGGTCCAGTCAGTGATGCGGGTCCGTCTAGTCCAACACTTGCATCATTGTATCCCAACTCTCACTTTCGATGCGTGTTTCCTCTTCACGACTCATCTCCCCCTCACATAATCACAAACAGCTCTTCCATTTAATTTGCTGCACCTTCAGACCAGAATCATGGTGAACCGCAAGCGCAAGGCCGTGGCTCTGCGTCTGGCCGAAACTCCCAGGCCCAATCTGTCCGAAGCTGGATCCGCCAGAGTTGCTGCCGCTGGAGCCAAACGCAAGGAGCAGGAAAGAGTCATGGCAGAACAGTCCCACATGTCGATGGCCCGGTTCTGGGCATCCAAGGCCGAAAGCCTCGGGTCTCCGTTCCAGTCTCCGAAAGCGTCCAGAGAGGCTCGAGAGGCTCGAGAGGCTGGAAGTATTGCAAGCCAGTTGGAACCCGGCGCGGTAAGCCAGACACGCGATGTCGGACAAGTGGATCGCTCACTGACGTGTCACACCACCCTAGACGCTCAAGCAGGCCCCTGCCTCTGCCTCGAAGTTGCCTTACTGCGAAGGTGTCGATAGGTCCCTTATGATCCCGCACGACGCCATCGCCAAATTCCTCCGCGAGACCCAGCATGACTGCCCCAAGGCTCAGGCGTGGCTCAAAGCCCACGAGATGACCAAGATGATGATGAAGGGTAAATTGCCTGCGGGGATTGAAGGCCGCGAGGATCTCCGAAAGCAGCTCCTGTCCAACCTGCGCTTCCGGACCCTCGTTGCGTTGAAGTCGGCCAATGCGTCCAAAGACGAGGTGCGAGAGGTGTTGTCGAAGTTCCCCCCCGCCGAAGAAAAGACCGACGAGCCCGACGACGACAAGGAAAATCAAGATGACCCCAGCTATGATGAACCCAGCGCTCAGTTCCAGAGGGTGGTGGCGGCTCACGAGAAGCTCCAGAATGCCATGGCTTGGTATGAGGAGTGGCTGAAGAGTGGCTGCCACGCGAGTGAGCACCAGGAGGAATAGCGAATCCCCTCGTCGGAATCTGGGCCCCTCAGTGTCTGTCTGTCAAGCGCCCGCTGGCAATTCGTTGATGTAGTATGATGGATGACCGCTATGTGCTATGACTCGCCCTAGTTCATACAGACAATACCTGTATCTAGCTTTTAAGGATTCTCTAATCAAGGTCTTTTGTTTTTGTTAGCCCCCTTCGTCTTCCCCGGGCTCTCCAGCTTATCCACGAGCGGACGGTACGGTGACGCCAGAATATGCTCTGGTGCCCGCGGGGCGCTCTCATCCCGACGAGGCTCCCCAGACGACGGTCGTCTCCGCTGCTCCTCGTGCATCTTATCCAGCGATTCGCCCACGATCTGATACTTGTCCCAATTGATCGGAGGCATGCGGACCACATTTTGCGGCGTAGGAATCGTTCCCAGTCCCGACCGGGAGCCACGCTCGGGACTTCCCACATCCTCCTCGTCGTCGTCCGATTCCCTGTCTTCGTGGGTGAAATTGATAAAGCCCCCCTGTTCTTTGGCTGTTAGATTCCCCGCCGCCACTTCGCGAGCAAACCCCTCCGGGTCCTCCGCGGCCGCCCTCTTCAACTTCTCCAGGGTCTGGATATCGCGCAGACTCTGTTGCTTCTGGAGCTGCAGGATGGAGATCGCGGACCGCAGAGCAATGGCATCGGGGTTCTCGCTTTCCGATATCGGGACCGGGGCGGGCTCGGGCGCGAACACGGGCGCACTTGCAGGGGGAGGGAAGTCCGGGGGCAGGCTGTACGGAGGGACCTTGGTTGTCGGGGAGGGCGATGTCGCTGGAGGGACAATGGGGTGGGGGGTACCGTTGAGGGCAGAGGGATTGATGACCGGGGCAAGATGCGCGAAGACGGGCGTCACTGGGGAATAGGGCGGGCGCGGCGGCGTCCCTGGCCGACCAGGCTGGTTTTCTGGGGTTTCCTGTGATGGCTGCATCATGAAGGAAGAGGAGATAGACACCAGAGGGAGTGTCAAGTGGATGGACAGGGGAGGACCGAGGACCTGATCCAGAGATGGTCGATGGACCGACCGATGCGATGATCGGCGGCAATGACGTCTGTGTTGTGTCTTCCGCTATCCAGGGGTCCAAGAGGGGACGATGATGGGGAGGTCACAGTGAAAGCACGGTGCAGTAGAGACACAGTGAAGAAGAATCTTACAATGTCAGGATTATACTCTCAACAAACGAAGGTTGTTGGCTGGGGGGGGGGAGAAGAGGGGATGGAATCATGGAAGGTGATGGATGTGATTGTCGGGGCTGAAATGCTGCCGTGCGGAGTAAGTGACTGACTGCCTGGGGCACACCCCGGGGCAGACTCTCAACTTCCATGGGTGATGGAAATATCTGAAATCATTGCAATGCATGTTGCATGTTTAGCTAACAATATCCGGATACTTCCAGATCGGCCAGATCGAGGGAAGGAAACTATTTGGGGAAAATGCCCTATCGCAATCAATATTAATACCAATCAATACCATACGGAGTATGGCCTGATGTACTCCATAGTGGCCTGATTGATGCCTGCAGATTTTTCACCGCCAAAGTATTTTCTCCGGCTTCCGCGCCCGTCTTTGAAAACCCTCAGTCTTCCCCTCCATCCCCCCCCCCCCAGGTCGCCTTCCATTCCACCCCCAAAATGAAGCGCAAGACGAATGGAACCAGCAAGGGTCAGCCCGAGACCAAGAAGCGCGCCTTGTCGAGCGAGGAAGTCGCCACGCGCTTCCGCGACGGCCTGTTCGAGACCTCCGAGCAGCAGAAGTACACCGAGCAATACGCCCAATCTGCTCCGTATGTCCGCCTCTAGCCTCTCTACCCTCGGCGAGTGGGTGCGTGAACCGAAGCTGATTATCGTCTAAGGTACAAGCATGGCGTCATCCACCCCCTGATCGAGCCCTCCCTGCTGCGCGCCGTCCGCGACGAAATCCAGGCCCAGGTCGACTTCACCGAGAAGGAGACCGATATCTACAAGATCTTCCAGTCCGGAGATCTCGCCAACCTCGACGGCCTTGACGATGCCTCCCTGTCCCGCCTGCCCTCCATCCTCAAGCTGCGCGACGCCATGTACTCGGCCCGCTTCCGCGAGTACCTGTCGTCCGTCACGGGCTCCGGGAAGCTGAGCGGAAGCAAGACCGACATGGCCATCAACGTCTACAACGAGGGCTGCCACCTCCTCTGCCACGACGATGTCATCGGAAGCAGACGCCTGTCCTATATCCTCTACCTGACCGATCCCGACACGCCGTGGCAGGCCGAATGGGGTGGCGCGTTGCGCCTGTACCCGACGACCACGAAGAAGGATGTGAACGGCGACGACGTCAAGATCCCCAGCCCTGACTTCACCCTCAGCATCCCTCCCGCCTTCAACCAGCTGAGCTTCTTCACCGTCCAGCCCGGAGAGAGCTTCCACGACGTCGAAGAGGTGTACCACCCCAGTGAGGGCGAGGACAAGTCGAAGAAGCGCGTGCGCATGGCCATCAGCGGCTGGTTCCACATCCCGCAGGAGGGCGAAGACGGCTATGAGGCTGGCCTGGAGGAGAAGCTCGCGGAGCGGAGCAGTCTGGCCCAGCTCCAGGGGCGCGGCGACATCTACGACCTCCCGCAGCCCAAGACGGTCGAGTGCGAGAGCGAGAACGAGGCGCAGGACGACGGAAAGGGCAAAGGCAAGGCCAAGGTGGAAGAGCAGCCCACGTCCGAGTTCACGGAGGCCGATCTCGGGTTCCTCATCCAATACATCGCGCCGTCCTACCTGACACCCGACATCGCCGAGGAAATGTCGGAGACCTTCCTGAACGAGTCATCGCTCAGCCTGGACCGGTTTTTGTCCGAGAAATTCTCCGCGCGCGTTCGGACCTACATTGAAGAGCAGGAGAAGCAGGAGCTGCCCAAAAGCTCCGACGAGATCTTCGCGCAGACTGGGTGGACGGTCGCCCGCCCACCCCACAAGCAGCGCTACATGTACCAGCAGCATGGCACCGCTACGCAGGACCAGAAATCTCCGATCCAGGAACTCTTGGACGACCTCTTCCCGTCCCGGGCGTTCCGGAAATGGCTGGCCACGATTACTGGCTCGGAGCGTATCACGAGCTACGACTTCCTGGCCCGTCGCTTCCGCAGAGGTCAGGATTACACCCTGGCCAACGGCTATGACAGCGAGGAGCCCCGTCTGGAGCTGTCGCTCTGCCTGACGCCCACCCCCGGATGGGAGAAGGAGGACGAGGAGGATGACGAGGAGGATGACGAGGACAAGCCCAAGGCGAAGAAGGCCAAGGACGACGCCAAGACCGCCGAGGAACCGGCCGTCGGTGGTTACGAGATCTACATGGCCGGCGACGACGAGGACGACGGCGATGCCGCGATCTACCGGTCCGCCGGGGCGGAGGAGGATGACGGCATTCTCTTCAGCACCGCAGCCGGATGGAACCGGCTCAGCATCGTGCTGCGTGACAGCGGCACGCTGAAGTTTGTCAAGTACGTCAGTGCGGCTGCCAAGGGCGACCGTTGGGACATCAGTGGTGAGATGGGTGTTGTGTTCGGCGAGGGTGATGATGACGATGATGAGGAGGAGGAAGCTGGAGACGATGATGAGGATGAGGATGAGGATGAGGACGAAGACGAGAACGACGAAGAAATGAACGACGACGAAGAGTGAAAAAGTGGCCTTTCACACTGTATATACATACCCATGACACTACTTACCTTACCATATTCTGAATGAACCCGCGACCATCCTGACTGGCGCACCAAAATAGAATCGATCCAACCCATCACATCACATCATATTTTAGCTTAGCACCTAGCCACCCTCCACATATAGAACCGGACCTTCATGACACGCCCCCGAATTCGTAATGTGGCTCAGACCCTTGATTCGATTCCAGTAACCCCGTTCAATAGGTTAACCCGTTCAATGGGGTAGGTAATTTGGTTACATCACCAGGCAACAACAACAACAACCGCAACCGCAACCGCAACCATCCTCATACCCGACTACTTACACAGGGTAAGTAGGTACTTACTTGGGGCACATACGAAGTACACCAGGATCAATCCCCAATCCCCAATCCTCAACCCACCACCACCACCATCGATACGAAACGACAAAACCCCAAACACAGCCTCGCTTACCTCTCTACAACAGTGAGCATCGATCCCTCAATCCTTCGCACACACATAAATTCATACAGCAAGTAGATAGGTACTATAGGTAGGTATCTAAGCGACCGACCCAATCAAATCACCCCCCCCCCCCCCCAATCCCAGGGAAGGAAGGGCAAGAAGAAACCCACCGCGTCTCACATGCAAACTCAAAAAGAACAAAAAAAAAATTAGTTCTTACATGGATCTATCTAGGTAGGTAGGTAGGTAGGGCTAATACTTGTGCCTCGGTCCAATCGATATCTCAATCCTGATGATCCTGAAGGATTCGGTAGACTGACTGGTCAGATCATGATGTGATGTTGTCGGTATGGTGTGACTGACACGCGTGACTGGATCGACCGCGGATAGCCGGCTGGGAGTTAAGTACGTAGGTTAGGTAGGTAGGTAGGTAGGTAGGTAGGTAGGTAGGTAGGTAGGTAGGTAAGTAGGTAGGGGGTATTTACTACTAGATATGTATCTATCTACGGTGTGGGTGTGGGTATGTGTCTGTTTGGGTGAGAGGGTGTGTGTGTGTGTGTGTGTTTGTGGACTGGTGAGTGGATGGATGGATGGATGGATTCGATTCCTTGTTTAGTGCGTTAGATGGGATAATTGGGTGTTAAGATAAATATTACTACGAAGTATTAAGTAAGTGGCTAAATCAAGTGAATCATTCCCTGATCACAGAATATAATTGAGACTTGAGATACTCTGGCAATTGGGAAGGAAAGCCGGGGCAGTATGGAGATAGTTATACTAGTACTTGATGAGCGACTGCGAAGGTGGGTGTATATAAGTAGTTATGTATATAAGATCGCCTGTCTCCAGTCCTCTGTATGTAGTAAGTAGTAGATATACACCCCGACTATTAATCAGCCTTGTGTCACAGACAATTGTTTTTAACTTCTTTCACCAGTAACGACATCCCTTCCAAATATTGAACATGGTACCTACGGAGTACCCAAGTATGATAATGAGCGTCACTCACAAGCCCGCCTCCAAATCAGACAAGCCTGATGGAAGACGATCGAGGAAAATCCATCATGCCTTGAAAAAAGCCTATACCCTAAAAAGTCACCGACAAATCCAACTCTCCCACTCGCTTACATACCACAAGGCTATATACTCCGCGGTTTTACAGTACGATCAGCCAGTTCGCCAGTGAATCCGAGTCAGTCAGTGCCTTGATATAAGGCGGAAACCCTGGTGGGACTCCTGACCTGACAGACTATCACCCAGAGCCTCACCTGCTCTGCCCTGTGCTGTATCTACTATCTATCTACCTAAGTTACTGTCTGCCCTGTTTGCCAGTCCAGCAGTGCCAACTAATACAGTAATCTCCTCGCTTCGCTGTTTCCGGATATGAGCGGAGAGGGTTCATTCCTCTATTCCATCCATCCACCTACCTATCTATTTACTTTGTGGAAATAACAGACATGCATACTAAGGTACTGAACGAGCAGCTATCTAAGTTGAGATAGAAATAGATGACTACAGTCGTATTCACTTTTCTCTATTCCACCGAGATACTTATCTAACCATCACTCACTGCCTAGTTATCTAGATACTATATAGTAGTAACAGGGCGCCTCGATTTCCCAAACAGGAATATTTAACAAATCACTACCTACCTACCTACCTACTTCTCGGCCTCGGCCTCGGCCTTCCTTCTACCGTACTTAATAAGCAACTACTTACTTACTAACTAACTAACTAGTTACTTAGGCACCTACTATGTAAGTCATACTCCCCCCCAAAGTAAGGTAAGTAGCGTGTCTCCACGTGGCGGGGGGCCGGATCCGCGTATATTCGGTCGGTCGGAGGGTCGGAGTTCAGGAACGACGGGTGGCCTGTCGACCTAATTGGGTAAGTTGGTTGTAGTTACCCAAGTGCCAAAGTGGACACTTTGTGTTTGCCTAGGCTTTTAGGGAAGTTGTCAAGTTAAGTTAGGTGAGAGGGTTGGGTACTTCTTTACTTACTTTCCTGTATGGATAGGTAGGAGCTATATAGATAGATATATATGAGAATGGGATTTCTACTATGCGGTGAATCGATTATCGGGCTGAGATGGATGTGGATGTGGATGTGGGAACTGGGCGTGGTGAGTGCAGTGCAGTGCAGTGCACAGACCAGGTTCAAGTCCAACAGTAACAAAGTGAGTAAGACGATTTCCCATCGGATTACTATTCGGATCATATGTGTCAGGGAAAAGTTAGACCGTCTGGGTTTGGGGATTGGTGGGTGTGGTGTGTGGATGTAGGTGTAGATGTGGGGTTGGGTTCAGGGCCCAGGCAACCAACCCAAACCAGGAAAGCAGCCAAGTTGAGATGAAATGGGGGCGGAGATGCGATGGAGATGGGATGTGCCTCACTAGTAGTAGATGCTGCCTTGAAATCAAGCTTGCCTTAGTCTTCTTCACCATCCACATTGCACCCGAGAAGCGAAGCACAAATAGATAATTACTAGTAGTAGATAGGAGATATATAGAGACTAGTATCGGGGTCTGCTTTTCTGGGGCGACTCGGGCATGAATGGTCTTGCTCGTCTATTTAGCACTATCTAGATAGATAATTCTTGCTCTTATTTTTAATCTCATTCTCAGCTTCCGTAGGCGCCGGTGCCATCAGAGGAGAAGTGCAAGTAAGAGTGAGTGAGTTAGTCAGTCAGTTAGTCAGTCAGTTAGTCTAACAGTGGATAAGGATATCCATCTGGCTCCATCATCCGTGGCCCGCGGCGTGTCAGCTTCAGTCAAGTTGAATCCTTCGCCGGGCGGCAGGTTTCGTTTGTCGCCCGGAGGACGGTGTCGCACTAAGCGTATCCGTATCTACCTAGATAGACGAGCGAGCAAGCAGACCAGTAAGTAAGTAATGTAGGTAGGGAAGTAAGTAAGCGCTACGGTGCTTATTAAGGCGACCCGCGACAGATGCCGCGGAGTTAGTTAGTTGGTTAGTTAGTTAGTTAGCTAGCTAGTGAGTTAGTTAGATGCCTAAGTATCTAGATAGATAGGTAAGGTAGGGACTTAGCATCGGACAGGAGAGCTTAACATACTATAAACATAAACATACTACTTCTACTACTACTACTGTACTTAAACAGGCGTTGTGGATCGATCGAACCGATTTGCCTGGGCTTAGTGGCAGGCCCCCGTTCCCCCCCGTTCCTCCCCGTTCCCCCCCGTCCCCCAACGGGCCCAACCCCCAAAACCAAGACGGGCAAGCCGAGTTAGCCTAGTCTAGTCGTAAGTGTTCCTTCGTTCCTTCGGGGGGGGGGGGGCAGACTAGTCATCTAGTTTGGGTTTCGGGTGGTGTTATTGAAGGAATGCCTCGGTTCAATTGTTAGGCTTATCCTGTCTGTCTTTCTGTTTGTCTGTCTGTCTGTCTGTCTTGTCTTGTCTTGCTCTGAGTCACATAATTTGATTCAGTGGTTAGAAATAACAAAAACAATAATGATTAAAAAAAAAAAAAAAAAAAAAGAACAGATAGACAACCAACTATCCATCTATCCATCTAGTATCTACTTCCGGAACCGTAGATTAATATACGTAGTGCCTGTCACCGTCACTAAGGGAGATATCTAGACGACGACCACGGCGGAGATACTCCGGACCTAGTAGGCCGACTGAGAAACAGTGAGCTCCCTTCTCCGCGGAGCGACAACAACAACAACAACAACAATGATGACGATGACGATGATTATGATGATGATAGTAATACTACGCAGCAATAAGGCATGCACATCCACGCTGACATAATCCTCACGACAAACCATGCGCATCACAGCACAGCACGTTGTTGATATTGCATTGCATGGTTGGCGTGGGGTCCGGCCCTCTGCGCCGGACGCTGTGGACAGGCATGCCGAAGTCCGAGCGCTTGCCATGGCATGGCGTGGCATAGCATGGGGAAGGGAAGGTTTGTCCCGAGAGCCAGTCAGTTAGATAGGTAGATAGATAGGTAGGTAGGTAGGTTTTTTTTTTTTTTTTTTTTATCTATGATGCCTAGGTAAGTATTCAGATACATAGTCGCGTGTTATTATTTGTTATTTGTAACCGTCCAATTGTTTCCACCTGCTATCTAGCACTCGGAACCATGCGAGGGAGCTATTCCGCACATGGTTAATGGAGGTGGCTATACCAGAGCCCGGTTATAGCTGGGTACGGACCGGGATCTGTCGACCCGTTCGTTGTTTCGCACACGCACGCACGCACGCCCGCCCTCAACAAAACAATCTGGGCTGAGAGGAGACGTGTCGGAGGCCTGTATCTATCTACCTATGGTCTATGTGCATACTTCGTAGGCAGGACAATAATCTACGAAGCGCCCTGACCACAGTCCAGACACTGGGTGCTGACGCGGGTACTCACAGACAGGGTCGATGTAACCGTTCGGGCTTATCGTTTAGATTCCCCCCGGGCCTTAATCTAATCGAGTGAGCACGGTGCAGGAGGCAGAGAGTCTGGCCCACGAGCGGCGACGGGGATTTGTCAGGGTAAACGCCCTCCAGTAGGGAGGGATATTTGCCAGGGTATAGATAGTTGCTTCTTCCAGGATGGGGCCGGGTCAGGGTCGACTTGGCCCCAAGGGACACGCGCCCAGGATTCTAAGATTAGTCCGGCACGCAGCGTCTGCAAGGGCGGCTCCTTCTTCAGGCATATGAAGAATTGGAAACCGGTCGGGGTCGGTCTGGATAAAGAAACATCCCTTCAAGGTTGCGATGCCGAGGCACGTCGCGATGCAGCGTGGCAGACGGACTGCCATCTGGCCCTGAAGGAGGGGCGGATGGAAGAATGGATCTGTCCACGATGGAATGGAGTACGGAGCAATCAACGGAACCTGTCTATCCATCCCATCTCGGGCAGGTGAAGGGACGGGGTGTCAGGTAGATGAAAGCACATGGCCCAATGAAGCACGAGGAACCCCGGGCTGGTCCCAGCCGGGATGCATAAGTTCGGAACCGACTGTGCAACAGGCTAGCATCCTGGTCGCCAGGCCCTTCCCTCCCCGTCCCTCGTCCATCACAATTATTATATTAATCTCGTGGCCGGCGGCGATGCAGGCTGGCCTCGTGCGACCTGAACAATGACCGATCATTAGCCCTCGCGACCCGTGGCCCACTCGACCCCTGTCCGGTCACATTGACCAGCGCTGCAGAGTCCGTAACCGCAGCACTGATCGAGGTAAGCGGGTAAAATAGGATAGGTGGAGGGGAGGAGGGGAAATCGGAGGGAGCAATTGTTCTGCTGTTGGGCTTTGGAGGATGACGGGACTTCTGGAGAGAGATGGATGCCGGACTGGCAGCAGACAAATCGGGATGGAGATGGGGATGGGATCCGCTTTTTCCCCGTCAGGTCAGCCAGCCGTTGTGAAATGTGAATAATGTTCCCGATCGGGCAACCTTCAAGGCCATTGTCTCCCCAGAAAGGCCAAACAAGGTAGTACGAGATACTACTCCGTACCACCACACACAATGGGTTGGTGCTTGGTGACAGCTGAGGAGAGCTCGATAGCACACAGGACACGCGCCCGGAGGGGCCAAGAAGCGACAAAGACCGATACCTTGCCAAAAGCGACACCGAAGAGGCTAGAAGGAGCGGGTCGTTGCATGGGTCAGAAATCCTGCCTCCCAAAATCTTAAGTGCCACATCCGACTCCGACTCCGATCCTTCCTCTCCTCTCCTCTCCTCACTTGGAGGGGCGCACGCGAGCGGCCTTCTATCTTCGCACGCACCCCACACTGTGAAACAGTCTTGCTTATGGAGTTGAGCTGAATGGACTGGGAATTAGATCAAGCAGATACTCCAGGTCCTTCATCTTGTCTCGGTACTGGATTCATGCCGTCGTTCCCGTGGAGTGCCAGTGTAAGTGTGATGAGTGATTGGGTGGGCGACGAGGATGAATCGCGATGGGGAAGCTGGAGTCTGGACGGTTGGAGGCGCCTGCCGTCAGTGCCTGGCTCCATTTAGCCTCTGCCTCTGGTGTCACCCGGCATAACCCTCCCTTCCCTGTCCTTGGGTTACAGAGCATCACCGTGCAGGCTTAGTTGGACTTGGGCGCATACAGAGGGGGTGGCCTTATAATGGCCGGTGCTACCCTGGCGTCTGACCAAAATCGTTCATTCGACGCGCGATGCCACGCTAGCCGGGAATTTCTGTTGTCAGATCTGCAGCAGAGTCGAAGAGGGTTGGGAAAGAAAGCATGGCAATCGTTGTGTTTCTTTCTGTTCACGGCCGCGCGGGTGTTGCCTCTCCTGGACTGTCCGGACTTATTTCGTCCTCGTACTCAACATATAAGTAGATAGGTGGTCCTGTGCATAGCCCTAAGTATCATCTTTCTTTCCCATGCTTCGAGATGGAAGGGAGGGACGGAGCGAGTTGCCGGTGATAAGATCGAACTTTACTTTTAGTGCTTATCACCTGCCAGTAAGTAGGATGGATTGGGATCTACCTAAGCACCGTTTCTCCCCGGGGTTTCTGCTTTGCCCTATTGCAGTATACCGGGCTAGGGCCGGGGGGGGAGCTGAATTCCGGCTAATTGACCATGATGAGGCCGCGGAATTGCTCTAAACGATTATTATCACGTCAAGTCAAGTACTGTAGATCGCACAGGCAAATTGACCTAAACAGGCAGGTAGAGAGATGGCACGGAGGTGCAAGGATACGATGAGTGAGCAAGGGTTTTGGTCGAGTAACACCAGTTCAAGCTGCTCGGTGAAGTCTCAGCGACTCGAGCTAGACGCCACATTCTTTCTCGACCCATGTGTGGAAGCAGTTTGACATGCTGCAGAGTGCAGAGTGACAAGGAAGGGATAGACCGGGGGAAGGGGGAGGGGGGGGGGGGAAACAATCAGGTTCCAGGGGGTGGAAGTGCCTTAAGTCAGAGTTGACCGAATGGCCGTGGCGACTACTTGAAAGGGGGCCATATCAAGACGGGGCATGCAGTCGGATCGACATACAGTACTTGGCAGGCAAGGGCATGAAGGGGAGGCAGGGCGATCACAGATAGTTGCTGGATGATACGCGCTGTCGACCTGCACTTCGCCCACATGTGCTGTATGTGTGGATGGATGCATGTCGAGGATGGTCATGGTCACATTCCATCCGAGCGGGGGCTTACATACTGCCTGCCCACCGTCCCGTCCAGTCCAGTCCAGTCCAGTCCAGTCTCCTCCCAAGACAAGACGACCCAGTATTGAGGTCTATGTTTATTGGCGCCTCCCTGCATTAGGTGCATGAGGATGCGCATGGGGATGATGGGAGCGTGTTTGCTCCTTGGCCACGGGCAGGTTGCACCCCATGCGCCCATGCATGCTGTCTGACTTCACCACTCATGACAAGACCCATTCTTTGGCTTGTCTGGCTTTCAGGAGGGACAGACACACCATGGGCTCTTGGCGCCGTGTGGCTGAACAGGTCCAACCGTCGCACGTCCAGAACCCCCCCGAACAGCGCCCTTAGCGGCGATCATTCCATCATGGTTGCCATGTGTCGAGCGCTGGAAAGTCAAATTAATCATGTTTGGGGTTGGGCGTCAGACTAAACACCGACTAAACCCTTCCTCCTTTGATACACAGTGGAGAGAGATCAGGGTGGGTGCGCGCGCGCCTGCGAGTTTCATTTTCTTTGACTTTCCTTTCCTTGGCCTTTGTTGGTTTCCTTTCCTCCATTTCCATCCCTTCCAAACTTTGTATGTGCCTTCGATATCGAGCAGACACCGAGCCTGACTCGAACCACAACCTAACACACAACTAGGTATGTAGTTAGTTACCAGTTGGTAGACCTCGGAATTACCAGCTACGACCCTTCCGACTCGCAACAAAACTGCTGCAGCCACTCAGGCCTGTACGCGATCCAGTCCCTGCGGGGCTTTTCACGACCGATAGATAGGCAATAGGCAATAGGCAAAAGGTAGATACTCGCTCGATCTTCAAAGGTCGACTGCAGGGTGCATCCTGTACGTAGAACCAGCAATAATATGTAATACCTTCGTCGGTGGGCCGAGATACGACCGCAATGTCAACCCACCTCAAAGTCCGCGGACCTTTTATCAGACAGGAATTCGCAACAGACCCAAGAACCTGTCGAGTTGACGTCCTCCCGCATACGCTGCTTGGCGATTACAGGATCTCCAAGGCCTTCAGACTTTCCAGGTCTGCAAGGAGAAGCGCCCATGAGAAGAAGACATACTTGCCTGCCTATACCCAAGGGCAGGTCCGCGGAATAATACGGTAACTACGTTTACGCCGCTTACGGCAGTTCGCAGGCCGTGGGACCCCTGAAGGCCGATCGTCCAGCGCGGCCACGTGAAAGCAGTTCGCATCGAGATCGTTGCCGACCGGCGGATGGCCTTGGCTTTGCTTTGCTTGGTCCTGGGTAACTGGCGACCGCTCATCCATCATCCAGTACGCCATCGCCATCTGTCCCCGATCACGTTGCCTCGTCTCACATGCGCCCAAGACTGCATTGGACTAACCAGAGTAAGTATGTAAGGAAGGAAGGAAGGATAAGAGAGACAAGAACGAACAACAGCCTGAGTTTGAGCTTATCCGACCGGAGAAGAATGATGGTCCGTTTGCTACATCCAGTTTAGACCCATGTGCTTGCCCATCCAATGGACCGTATGACCCGACTCTCAACCTAGAACCGCGAGTCAGTATAGCCAGGAGTCAGTCCAGTCTCACCACCACCACCATTCCAATGATGCAGAGACTCTGGTCCGTGATGTAATGGGCCAGCTGCCGACAATGCGGAAGAGCAGTGCGGACTGTGGACTCTGGACTGTGGTACCTAGCGCCAGCGGCTGGGAAGTCAATCCCTAGCAGCATGGCGGTGGCCGCCCCTCCCCCTTCGCCCCAGAATGCCCGAGACAGGCGCTCAACAACGTGTTCTTCCGTCGTCGGCCACGCTCGCGCTGGGGGGGGGGGGGTTGAGAGGGCCGGGAATTCTTCAGCCCACGGGGCATTTTGCAGGCGTGGAGGATGCATTTGCCATGACAGCCGTTCGGGTGCTGATTCGCCCACCGGGCCTGGGATCGACTGCCTTAGTCAGTGGTAAATTGGTAACTAACTAGTTAACTGGTAGATAACCAGTTCAGTTCAGTTCAGTTCAGTTCAGTTCAGTTCCCCCATCCCATCCCATCCATCTATTTAATTCTGGGCCCCACTTCCCGGTTGGTCCAAGCTGCTTCAACTGTCGTACCTCTTAGATATCTACTACCCCCATCACAACATATCTACTGTGTAGTAGATACTCCGTAGTGTGTACAATTACTAGGTACGGAGTACAGAGTAGATAAGTAACTTATCCTCAGTTACTCACTAAGGGTAGATAGACAGATCCTCTCCATACAGCCTATCTAACAGTCAGGTACTCCGTAATATCCTAGTCTCTCCAGTATCTGTATCGTATCTCCGTATCGGCTTATGTACAGCAGCCGCTCTCTCCCCGCCCCGGCCCAAGTTTCCACCAGGCAGACACAAACTTTTCCGCTGGATGGGAAAGTTATGGATCCCGGATTCCCTAGGGGCACGACATGTGGGTCGCCCATGGCCCATGACAGTTGTGAATGATATGAATAATACCAACTCATTATAAGAGTTAGCTACCAGTTACCACCACCATTTTTTTGTTTCCCGGCAGCAGGTGGCCCTAACACAATAAATAGTACACCGGTATGCTTCCTTTGCCCCGTGGTCCTCTTTCCCCCGATTCACGTCCTCCCCGGTGAGGTGGGGTGGGGTGGGGTGACTGGGTGTCATGGACTCGGTCGGACCCGATTTCTCTCGATTCACTGCAAGTATCTACCTATCTAACCAGACAGGAAAGAAAACGGGTGGGATGGGTTGATGGCGGAGGAGAGAGTGGTGGCATACCCATGGAGCAGAGTGAGTGAGTGAGTGAGTGGGGTGGGAGGGAAGGAAAGAGTACGACGGGCGCGAAAGTAACCTCGGTACGATCTGCGTGAAGATTGCCCAAGTCAGATTGCTACGATTACCCAAGTAGGACAAGACTCAATTCGGGTTCGGGTTCGGGGTCACTTCGCGAGTCGCAACACCAACACGATCGATCCATCCGTCGGCCAGAAAGGCGATAACGAACACCTCATTTTCGCCTGCTAGATAACTACCTAGATATCTACTTGAAAGAAAAAATAAAAAAAAAAGAAAAGAAAAGAAAGGAGAGAAAGAAAATTAACTATCGGTGAAACAAGATCCATCCAGTCTCGACGATTATGACAGATGGATGGATACGTACTTATGTTCATGACCCCCCCCTTCTCCCTCTCCCCCCCCTCCCCCGTCCGCTCCCGCGAGGTACAAATATTGATTGAATGTAGGTATCATTTATTCATTAGTCCAAGAGTAAGTGGAAAGAGACCGGTTGATATCTATCCATCCATCCATCTAATCTATCTAACCATAACTTGCCAATATTGATTCGGTACGGAAGACAGTAGACAATGGACAGTAGACAATGGGCAGTAGACACAGGGATAGGCCAATAATAATAATTTACTAGCATTCTCTATTCTCTACCACTGTACTTACCTACTCACCTAAGATTGAGGGGGAAGAGATGTCAAACGTGGCTCCGATGACGCCGAGAACACACCCAAATAAAATAAAAGGAAAAAAGGAAAAAGGGTTAAAAAAAACAAAACAAAAAGGGAATAAGGAATAAGGGAAATGGAAAACAGCGAAGGCAGAAATTCTTTCTGAACCCGCCAGAGAGCTATCCGATACGCTAAGTCGTTAGTGGAGGACTAAGCAACTTCAAGTTTGGTACCTGACATTGACAGTGATAGGTAGTTTTTTTAGTTTCGACCGGTAGGTTTTGATTTTGTTTTATTTTAATTTTTTTTTTCTTTCTTCTTTGGCAGTGAAGATGGAGAGGTTCGGGACTTCGGATTCAAAATTTCAAGACCCGGCAAGGTCAGGCCGTGGACGGTTGGAAGGTCCAATGGAGCCCATTCTTCGACCTCGTTCTAAAAATTGTGGCAGACGGGCAACCCATGGAATGGACGTGAGGGAGAAAGCCTGGAGACAGGCAACGTTCGTTGGCTGGGTCGACCGTCGGACAGACAGGACCGACCAGACCACTGACCAGACCGTCGTCCGTCAGACAGAACCAGAACCCCCAGAATTAATGGCCGCCTCGTGGCGGTGGACTCTCCCGTCCCTATTTTATTTTATTTTGTTTTATTTTATTTCATTTCGGTTCTGATGGTTTTTGTTGTGATTGTTCTTGCTGTCAGTCAGTCTGCCTACTTGCTATCTTATTTTGTTTGATTTGATTTTTGTTTTCTCGCGCAGTAGTGCACATCTATCTAATGCTTGGCTTGGCTGGCTCCAGATGGGATCCCCCTTGACTTAGGTAAGTAGTAAAGTGCTAACTAACTAGTTATACCGATCTAGCATGCTGACTTATGACCTATGCTATTATTACTGTATCTACCGTCTGCCGTATACCTATTACCTACTCTACCTCGATGGGAGTGGATATCAAATGGAGAGCTCATGGAAAGACGGAAAATGAATGGTCGCCGCTGTGGATGATGTCCCCTGGCTGTTGGACTGGTGACAAGTGCTGACCACGTAGATACGATCCCAGTACTCCGTACACCGCGCCAAGAAAACATTATCCCCCATCCCAAAAATTTATCTGTGCATGTAGGTAGGTAGCATCTATGGTCGCTGGGTCGATGATGGTTGATCCAGGCCCCTCCGGATCGCTGGGGGGTAGACAACCGATCGCCTACCGTGGTGAGGGAGTCCGCCGCAGAGAGGAACGCAGATGCAAGACAGTGGTTAGCAGGAACATCAATGCGAAACCCGCGGAAAGGGAAAAGCAACAAGCAGACTGTATCTACTCCGTAGGTCAGGACAGGTTTGATAGACAGAAAATCTGGAGGAAGGGATGGGATTGAGGGGGCTGCACCATTTTATTCTTAACCTTCTTTTTTATTATTTTTATTTTTATTTTTAATTTCCTTTTTCTCTCTTTTCCTCTCGTTGTCACATTTGCACTACTATTTTGCTTTTGGATTTTGGATTTTCTTTTTTAAATCCAATGTATTTATTTATTTTTTTTGGCCCTTAAATCATTGGATTTGTTTTGGGGTTAGGTAAACTGCATCTGTCACTCGATCTCGTCATTATTTCCCTTATTGTGATAATTATTATTATTGCTACTGATTTTATTGAATCCGCTGCGGCGTTCGGGGGTACCTTTACCACCTCCACCTCCACCTCCACCTACTGCTACCTTCCTATTATTATTCTTTCCTACTCGTCGTCTCCAACTCTCTCTCTCTCCATCGCTCGTCCCTTTTTTTTATTATTTGATTTGATTTGGTTTGATTTGGTTTGATTTCACAAGGCTGTCTGCCATCTTCGATTGAGCGCCTGTCCTCCCCCATTATTATTATTATTATTCATTCTGCCCTTGGAGGGTGCTCGTATACGGAGGACAGCTCGCTCTCTATCACATCGGTCCTCTTTTCCTTTGTCATCTGTCCCGTCCCCTATTCCGCAACGACGGCCTTCGACTCTCCTTCGGCAAGCCCACCTTTTTTTTTCCAGACCCGCCCCAATTCCTCCAACTAGCCTGGATAGTTCCCGCGACTAGGCTGGACTTCCCATCTCCCTACCCTCTTAGCATTATTTTTTCCACCCGATCCATCCAGGTTCCAAACCACCCGTCGCGGCAGCAGGAGCAGCAGCAGAAGCCGCAGACCAGACCACAGTTTGGTTCCTGCGACGAGGACAACCAGACGAAGGCCACCAGCTACAATTACACCTGCCACGCCCCTCTCGGGCTAGTCCTTCGTCCTTCACCTTCAACCTTCAACCTTCAGCCTTCACACAGTCTCAGTCTCTGGTCTCAGTCTCACAGTGACAGTCGTGACAGTACCGCTCCCCACCTGCCCACACCCTTTTGAGTCTTGCAACCGCCCCCCTCTTTCTACTCTCAGCCCGTCCCTGGTCGTCTCGCCTCGCCTCATCTCCCTTCCCTTTCGTCGGTCGGTTCTACTGCCACTTTCGCCCCTCCCCCTCTCTCCCACTCCCACAGGCTCAAGCCTACTTACTACTACTACCCCCCCCCCCCGCAGCCTTCGTTCTAGCCGGTCACGTTAAGGTTCTGCTGGCCATCGGTCGGAGCCTTTGCCCTAACGCTTCTTCCTGCCCAATTGTTCGTCGTTTTAATCTCGTGCCACGTTCCGCTGCGCCGCCCGAGCGTTTTGCACCTTCGCCATCAGGTAAGCTCCAGTCCCAGTCCTGCAACTGCAAACCAGCCCCAGAACCATTGGCCCTGCCGTCGATAATTTCCGTCTCCTCCCATGTGGCCGAAGCTGACACGATTTGTTCCTTGTTACTACTTAAAAGATTTAGCGTTCCCTTTCCCTCCCCCCTCCCCAAATCCTTTCGTGTCGAAACCCTTTCCTTTATATCCTCGGCGATCTCCATTATACCCTGGGTCCCCAGTCCTTCCCACCTTCTCCGCCCACCCTCCCCTCTACCCCCCCGTTCGCTTTCACTCCCACTACGACCGTTCCTATCCGGCCCGCTGGACGCCTCTCTCCGGTAATTTTTGGAATCGCCTAGCCGGCTTCGACTGGACCTCGCGCCCGACGATCTCGTATGACTTTCGCCTTCGTCTTCTCTGCACAGTGACCGTCGATTTCCCACCACCCGTCTTCTTCAGTCTACAGATACAGTCCGTCGGAGGGTACTCTGCAGATCGCTCCGCTGTATTGAGTGCCGGGAGGAGATAAAGGTCAAAACACAAATTCTGGAACTGCCTGCAGCACACCATATCCCGAGCCACCCGAAGATTGCGACAGATATCCTAAGCCAGCGCGCCGATCGGAATCGCAACGACCCTGCTCGACTCTTACTTGCCCAAACCGACGACTGGCAGCATCCGTCTTTTGTTCAACTATTGTTGGTCGAATATGAAATAGCGGACACAATTTTGGATACCAAATTATTCGGACCCTCAACAGAAACACTCTTTGAGCAGCCGTTTTCTCCTTTCGCAGTCTTCTTCCCAAGGCCTTCTCTCGTTTATTCTTACTACACCGCCGCCATTCATCCGACATGGACGGCCCTCTTGTTCACCGGCAATGGATGCCCTCCACCACCGGTCCGCAGACGCCCTCGGTGTCATCCGCTCAGACTCTTCCGTCTATCTCAACATTGACGGGGGGCATGGCTGGTGGGATCCCTACCCAGGCTGAGAAGTCGCCGGGAAATGCTTCGCTGAACACCATAGAGCGAGATTCCGGGAATTGGTCGATGCCTCAGAGTACCAGTAAGAATTTGGATTGTCTTTCATGGGGGTTCGCGGATACTGATTCTTAGTCCTAGGATCGTCGACATATTCTACGGCGACCAATGGAACTGGCAACTACCCTTCCCTCTCCTTCCTCACCTCTACTCAACCTTCCCCCAACCGCACCTCCCTCGTGTCGGATCGATCTCCCTACCCCACCGACCACTCCAATACCAACACACCTTCCTCTGCCGGGGCGCAACCGTCCCCTAACTTCGGTTCCACTCAGCCCACCACCACTCTACCCTCCATAAACCAGAATTATGACGCTCCGTCTCAAAGAGCCAGTTTCGCCGAGCCAATTGAATCACGACGCAGCAGTGTGGACAGCAGAATGAACCAAGGGATCAGCTCCCTTGCTATCAACCAGGCTTCCCCATACCACAGCACAAACGCCTCGCAATCGTCGATAGTTTCGGGATTGCAGAGAGAGCGCGGCATTTCTATGGATGTGAACATGAACAATTCTTACCGGGGGCCTCGATACTCTGGGGGGCAGCCCCTGTCCCCTCTTGGCCCACGGGGGGAGCATCGTAGTTTTGCGGCTGGCCGCACTGCGCCTGCGATCTCTTCGAACCCTCGCTCGGAAATTTACAACGCAGAGGCGCCGACCGCTGGTCTCGCCTACGCCTTTCCAGACCCGGACGTTGCGCGATCCAATTCAGTCTCCTCTACAACCGAAAAGTCCCACAACCAGTTCTCCCGAAAAGGAAGCACTGCTGAATCTCTAGCCAGCAGCGTCTATTCGGAGACGCGGTTGCCCCGTGGACAGCATGGTATGTTGCTCTCTCAGATACCGTTCGTATTTCTCTGACTCTTGTAGAACTCCCCCAAAATGTACATCACCACCATTCCTTACAGCACAAACAAGTCCGGGGCCTTATTGGGGAAGCGGAGGCACACGGGGGCAGCACTCCCTATAGCAGAACGCCGGAGCTCAGGGTAACCCACAAGCTGGCGGAGCGAAAGCGCCGCAGTGAGATGAAAGATTGTTTCGAGTCTTTGCGCATACGCCTTCCACAAAGCCAGAACAACAAGTCTAGCAAGTGGGAGACCCTCACACGAGGTAATTATTCAACTCGGGACTCCACGAGTCTTGTTCATTGGCTAACGCACTGATAGCTATCGAATATATCTCGCATTTGGAGAAGATGCTCGGTACTACTCGCCGCGACAATGAGATTCTGAGGAGCGAGCTTGACGAGATGCGGGCGCAACTCAGCCAGCAGCAAGCCAGCAACCAACCTCGCCAGCCATCGATTTTCGAGCACCATTCTATGACGGCGCAACAGCCGAATGGACATGTGCATGCTCCCATGTTTTCGGGGTACGCTCCTGGATCCGGCATGGCACAGGAGCAGCCTCGTACCCTACCTCCTCTCATGAACGGGACGGTTGCACCGATGCAGGGGGTGCAGTATACGGATGAACGACGATAGTCGATGGGCTATCGAACACTTTCCAAAACAAAAAAATGGCATTGCGACGAATGCATTGGTGACGGTTGCTTTTGCATGACACAGTCTATTCCCTCCTGTGCCTTAGACATGCGCTCGGACTTCCCTGTCTGGCTTGTAGATTTGATTTGGGTGGCTATCGTCTTTTTGAGCGACAATCTGCTTCATTTTCCGAACCAACTTTTCGTTCCATGTATGACACTTGCTCTCGCGACGTGCGCTGGCTTTTTCTGGCTAGCCTCGAGGGCGACACTATCCCTTATCATTTCATCCTCCTCTCCCGACTTGTTTTTTCTCTCTTGCTTTGCTCCCTTGAACATCCGACCCTCCGTCATGCCCCACTGCATTTGCTTCAACTCTTGGCGAACAGCCTCCCCCCCCTTGGAAATTGGATCTGGATATGGGAAGTCTTCTTGTATTGCAGGTGTTGTGATGGCTCTGCGTGTGTGTGTGCAGGGAGGGTAACAAAAGGGGAACCTGCTGCAGCGGAGTTTGGAAAAGGTGTATTGTGTTGTGTGTTGTGTTGTGTGTGTGGTGTTCAACTTGATATCCCCATGGCTTGTTTATTATTATGTATGTTTCTATTGAGATCCGGAGATGCGGAATTCAGATGCAAAGGTATCGGTCGACCCACCTTACTACCAATATCAAACCTCATCTACGTAGGCGAGTCGGTAAAGATGCCCGCCCCTCTTGTTCCCTCTCATCTGGTGCTATTTTTGTCACTGAGCGCGTGCCCGCTGATTGGCGAGGCGCGTTCATCTGCAACCCGACCGGCGTCTCGGATCTTGGATCTGGGAGCTTCACTCAACTTCACTTAGCGCCCGCTCCCCGGCCTCCGGCGCCTACACACCTGCCATGGCCTCTTCACCAGCCAGTCCCTCCCTGGCAGCTGTCCGTCAAACATCATCCTGCAGAGCTGATCACACCACCCCCGCCAATGGATGCCCTCCGTCCAGCTGCAGCTGCAACTGGCAACTGCAGCTCTGCAGCAGAACCCGCCCGTCGACGGGATGGAGATTCGGAGGATTGCCCATTCTGCACAAATAGTAGCCCAGGACCGTGGGTGACGAAGGTGCTCAGGACCAGGATAGCTGTCGCAGGAGACGCATGAAAGCTCCTGGACGCTGTATCACCTGAGGTGAGTGAGTAAGTGAGTGAGTGACTGAGGGAGGGAGGGTCTGGGCTTTCCTGTCGGCTCCTCTTTTCTTCATCAACACTTTCTCCCATTCTTTCTGTCTTGATCTTTTGACCAACTTTCTATTCTCATCGGTTTCTGTTTCTGTTTCTGTTTCTGTTTCTTTCTTTCTTTTTTTGGTCTGCACTCATCCTTTGTGCCATATGACTGGCCAGCCAGGGTGTTGTCTTTTGAAACCCATTGTCTGCCGTCTACTTCATTCACTGGTGTCTCACCCCAGTCCTTTATTGATTCTCAACAATAGACCCAGCACTTCATTGTTTGCCTGCTGTGAAAGCCCAGCTTGCTGATTGAGCCAGGGGTATGAACTCATCTTCACGCAGTTGACCTGCTCGTTTGAAGTTGCTTCATACTCAAAACGCACCATATACAGCGTCCAGTTGGTCGACGGTATTTGGCCTAGTTCAACCATCTGAACAGCACTATTTGAACAAAACAACCAATTGCAGTATAAGAATACTTCATCCTCACGGGCTCTGCTGGCAAGATGGTTTCCAGGCCTCAGATGCCCCCATCGGAGCTGCGGATCCCTGCAGTCCCGAATTTCCCTCTGTCGTCACCCATTACGGAAGAGGTTCCCAGTCCGGCGTCGTCATCCCCAGAGGACCATGATATGGAAAGAAATCGTCCCTTTGCTTTCTTGAACAAGGCGGCTCGCAAGAATCCTTTCATCCGTAAGGCAACCCATGACAAACTTGGCCAAGAACAAGAACTAGCCAGCGAGACCCGGGCCTCTTACCTGGGGGACCCGAACCACCAGGATGCCGGCGATCTGAGACTCTATACTGGCAAGAGCGGTGACAGACCCACTGGCTTGAACTTGGTCACGGATTTTCCACAACCCACTAGTCAGGGGTCTGGAGATGTCTCGATGCCGTCCTTGGTGGATCTGAATGATCTGAAAGCGCTTGCCAAGGCGCGACAACAGGAACAGACGACGCAGGATATCAGAGGGATACTGAAAAGGGAGTCGGAGCCGGAGTTCGACCAGATCCCCGATGCGCATTCCAAGCCAGACAGAAGACGATTGTCCTGGCTTAATGCCCGGGGGAAAAAGAAAGGCAAGGATGAATTATCGCCCTCGGATCGTCATATCATGATTGGGCTGAGCATGCCATTTGAAGAATCTACCGGCTCGAACGAAAGGAGGCTGCAGGTGAACACCGGATACGCCCAACGCGCAGCCCTGACGCCGTCTATAGTCGTCACGCCCGCAAAAGATGATACCTTTTGGAGCGGACTTGAGACGCTGCATCCCCGTCCCAGGGCAACATCTAGTATCTACTCCCAACCGACACCATATCCCGATGACAATGACATCGATATCCCCCCGGTGCCTGCTATTCCGGCCTTTCCGTTCCTCTACCAGAATGAGAACTCAAGTACCGAGTCTGCCGAAAGACAGTCCATGAATTCGATCAAGCGACTGCGTTCATTCTCAACTGGGACCGTGTTTGAAGAAGACGGTCCGCAACGAGCGAGCCGTCTGCGTTCGAATTCAGGCGGGACGAAGCCTGCCAGAAAAATCCCGGACAGACTCAGCATCAACACCGACACAAATAGACACCAGTCCCAAGGATGGTGGACCTATCTCCTCTCGCCTCTCCTTAGCCGCTCCAGCGCGGTTATGGGAAACACCACTCCAACAGAAGCTACTCGACCTCCACCCCCCAGCGTCATAACCGACTCAGCCGGCTCAAACGACGAGTGGTGGGAAAAAGAGGTGTCCTGTTTTTCGCCCGACACGCCGGAGGCAATAATCCCTCACCACAAGGACGCAATCAACTGGCCCGATGCATCGACTAACCCGTTTGACGAAAGACACCTGTTCAACCAAGATCGAGCTCTCGAAACTGGAGAACAAGCCCCGCCACCTTCCACGTTCTCCGCAGATGCAATGTTCCCCGGCGGAGCCATCCAGGGCGCCGCTGCTGAGTACTACCAAGCATGTGCTCACGAGCTGTTCAGCGGAAGACCGTACTTCGAGTGCGTCAACCATGTTTGCTCGATAACGCCCAAGGACAAGATCCCTGGATATAAGAAGGACTCTCTCTCAAGCAATTCGCAGGACAGGGGCCTTATAGATATAAACGATAGGTCCCAGAGTGGGAGCCAGGGCTCGAGAAATGTCTTGATCATGACGCCACCAGCACGCCCGTTTTATGAGCCCAGTATTATGGATAAGAGATCGGAGGCTGGTCTTGATGAGCCTAAGGAGGCCGATGCACACAATGATCTTGATGGGCATGTGCTTGTTGAGCGTTCCTTGAGTGAAAATTCTCCGGTCGAGCGTTCCCTGAGCGAACATACGTCGCGTGTGCATCCCCTGAGCGTGTATTCTAGAAGTGTCTATCCCCCGAGTGAACACCCTGCTACTGAGCTTCCTCCGAGCGTGCCCCCTCCAAGCGTGCCTCCAAGCGTGCCTCCAAGCGTGCCTCCAAGCGTGCCTCCAAGCGTGCCTCCAAGTGTGCCTCCAAGTGTGCCTCCTCCCAGTCAACACCCACCGAGTGAACCCAGTGAGCAATCTCTCAGTGAACAGACGAGGGAAATTCCTCAAGAAGCCGCGCCTGAACCTCAGCCTCAAGCTGCAGAGGGGTTAACACCACCGGAAGAGGATCCATCCCAAAGGAAACTCTCTTGGCCTATATTTCAACCGATCATTCAACCAATAATCCAGCCTGCGCCCCAGCCAATTGTCCAACCAATCATCCAGCCAGCGCCGCAGCCGGTTATTCAGCCGATATATCAACCAGCGCCGCAGCCAGCACCCATGATGCCCCCCAGTCATAATGTCTACGTTTACCCTGCCACTGTTCCCTCGCCAATGCTCATCGCTCACCCTGAACGGACCCTCTCGCAACACTTTGCAGCTCAGAACCACGAAGCCCAACCACAGCCCCCGAACCCTACATCTCCTGGTCTTCAACAAGCGACAGAGAGGGGTGGATCAATCCCTTTAACCGATATGCATACGACTCCAGCGCCTGCATATTTATCTCATCACAATAGTTCCACTTTACCGCCTCGCATGGAACCACTTCCATCAACGCGGGAAGAAATGACATTTTCAATGACGGAAAGAGAGAGGATCGAGATGCGACTACGTCAGCTCGAGGAAGAGGAGAAAGAGGACAAAAAGAAGAAGAAAAAGACCCGCGTTTGCTGCTGCTGTGGAATAATCAAGTGCCTGGGGAAACGGAAAAAAGATGGTCACGCAAAGCGCCGGTGGTACCTGGCGATCTGCACGTCCTTCCTCATAATCATCGCCCTCATCCTCCTTCTTGTGATGATCCTGACCCGGAAAAGCGGCGACTCAACTCCCGTGCAATCGCAATGGCTCAACCTCACCGGCTACCCCCCGATGCCCACCGGCATCGCGACAATTGCAGGGCCAGAACCACAGGTCCAGGACTCGGGATGCATCGTGCCCTCCACGCTCTGGAGCTGTTCCCTACCGCCAGAGGAACAACCCGCCAACGAGCCCTACGCCGCCAACGAGCCCAACTTCCGCGTGGAGATCCTCTTCCGCAACGGAACCTATCCCAACAGCACGACCGTCGCCTCGAAGTCCATATACGGCAAAAGGCTCTCCTCCAGGACCTCCGACAGCTCCTTCAGCCCGTCGCCCTCCCCACCCAGTCTCAAAGACCAGGCCTTCCTCGGCAACACCACAGACAACAACACCATCCCCTACGCCGGCGAAGAGACCCCCTTCTACATGACCTTCCTCTCCACCACCCACCTCACCTCCACCTCCACCGTTCGCCTGGCGCGAAGATCCGACACCGACAGCTCCTTCCCCAACCTCGCAACCATCATCCCCTCGCCCTCGGAAAACTCCGACGGCACCGCCGCGGCGGCAACCCTCCACCCGCTCCCCTCCTCCCAGCCCATCCGGCTCTACAACCGCGGCCTCGACACCGAGCACTACGGCTTCTACACCTACTTCGACCGCTCCATCTTCCTCTCCTCCCTCGCCCCCCTCAACGGCAGCGCAACGGACTACTCCGCCGACGACCAGAACGGCGGCTCCAAGGAATCCGTCGCCAACGTCCGCTGCACCTGGTCCCAGACCCGCTTCCTCGTCCAGATCTGGACCCGTTCCAACGATACCCTCCTCAGTGCAAACTCCACCGCCACATCAACCTCCACATCAACCGCTACCGCAACCTCCACCACCGCAGCCTCGTCCTCGACCACCTCCTCGTCCGCCACAGACTTCACCCGCCCCGGCTCCTTCCCCTACCCGGTAACCATCACCCTGGACCGGCACGGCGGCGCCGCGGAGGAGAAAATGGTATACTGCTACGCCATGGAGACCGGGGAGCGCATCAACGCCACCGAGAAGAAACTTGAGCTTGAGAATCGCAGCTACGGCGGTACCTTGGTCAATCCCGCCCCTGGGATCTTTGATCTGTATAGTGGCAATTCGTCGTCGTCATCGTCGAATGAGACCGAGTGGGGCGGGATTGATGGTGGGACCGGGGGATGTAAGTGTAAATGGGCGAATTGGGGTTAGGAGTCGGATGTGGGTGGGAAGGATGAGGGAAGGAGATGGTGGATGTAGGGGTTTAATAATATTGGTCTATGATCTACAATGATATATAATTATCGCTTGTAGGTTTCTTTTGCTACAGGCCTTCTTATTGGTCCGATCTGCTTAATATTATATTTTAGAATAATTAATTAACTGGCTGTAACAGGTAGATATAGTACTCTTATTTACCATTTATATAATTTATTAAAATTATATATCTTCTTTAAATTTTATACTTACTCTATAACTACTAAATCCTGTTTTATTTAGATAACATAAGGGATGCTTATGAGATAGTGTGAGGGAAGTATATCTATCGCGAAGTCAAGGTATGGGCTGTATTGCTTAAAGTGTTGTTGCTAGTTTCCTATCTAGGTTCCTCTCGCGAATAGGTGTATATTCGCGAGGACTGTGTAGGTCATGTGCGTGCCACCCGCTAGTAACTACTATATAAAGTCTTGACGAGGGACAGTCTCGAGCCCTCCCGCGGAGGGACTGTCTTGCAGCATGGGTATTCCTTGTGATATAATATCTCACAAGTGTTATAAGGATTGTATGTAGGCAGAGTAGAGACGATATCTAGACAAAAGTCCACTCTGATTTTATCACGGAGTACAAACCGAAAAGATATTGTCAGCCGGTGGCTGCCTGAGGTTGGCATCTTCCAATGCCTGCCTCTGCGGCCCTTTCCAGTTTAGTACTTACTTCTCTCTTCCTCCCTCTTCCTTTCCCTTCCTTTCCCTTCCTCCTAGCTAGCCACCCAGATCACATCAATCCAACGGTTCCTACTACATCCTCATCTCCTTGCTGCAGGCTTCCGCTGTCAGATATTCTGTTCTTCTTTTCACTCTATATACTCTATCCCTCTTTCGGTTGCACCGGACTGGCCAGCCCGCCAGCCCGTTAACAGCACAGAAGCAGAATGCAAACGCACCCAATCATCCAGCCCAATCGTGGTACCATTTCAACTTCAGTATCACCACACCACTACCACTATCACTACCAGTACAGACAGATAGACAGCCAGCCAGCCAGCCAACCTACCTACATCCAAAGCTACCTGCATCTCTTTCTCCATCTACAGTACCAGCACCGATACCAGCACCAGCACCAATACCAGCACCAACACCAACACCCCACCATCCTCAGATTCCCGCACATGATACAGAGTGAATACCCAACGCCGATCACCGATCGCCAATCTCTGGGTGGGTCAGGTCATCGCACAGGACCCTTGCTAGGTACCTAGTTAGTTGACACGAGGTCGGGGGAGGGAGGGAGGGAGGAATTCCCCGCATTTTCAGCTCTCCCTTCTACCCCCATTCTCATTTTGGATCTCCGATCTCCGATCTCTGTTTTTCCATTTCTTATGGACTGACAATGACTCCCTGGTGGGATGGGTGTCTTTTCCGGAGAAGAGAGATGGGTGGTTGGTACATACACGGAAAGGGTGTGATAGTACTGTGATCGGGGCGATGATTGGGGTAATTTCGACTCGTTGCGAATGGGGATAGATGGTGGGATGCCGTTCCTGTTCTGGTGGATCCGCGGGGTTCTTTTGCTATGCGGGGTAAGGGGAGGGAGGAAGAAAGGAAGGAATGGAATGGGATGGGATGGAGGGGATGGATAGACGGTGAAAAGAAGGAAGAAGGGAAGGGAGGGAAACACGAGACAGACGGACTCTGACTCTGATCCGTCTGTCCGGTTGAGTTGAGGAAAGAGAGAGATCTTCCCATGCATACTTCATGCTCAGGGTTCAGGGTCCAGAGGCTCAATAGTGGCTGATTAGCCCTCGGACCTGAACCATGAATGCCCCCTGGGTTCCCTGGTTCGGATCCACACTATCGGGCAACTATCTATCTATCAGCATCAATAGTGGGTTACGACATTGCTATACAGTCGGACAAGCGGACAAGCGGACAAGTGCTCAGACGTCATGGTGGGGGGGGGGGGGGGGGGGGGGTGTATGACTCCAACAGGCAAGGGATGGAGGGCAGTTGGAACCATCTCATCTCGCACAAGTCTGGTGGAACGGATACCTATAACCACGTCACATGTGAACGACTTCCATTCTCCGTGCCTTGCGGTTGGGCCATCGGGAAACAAAGAGTGTGCAACCAACCAACAAAGAGCGAGCAGGCTCGGAGAATCAGCCCTGCTGCCATGCCATGTGTCTGGTGCCTTGGGCTGAGCCGGTGGACTGGTCGACTTATGGGGGAAAAGAGTTGAATGAACGGATCGGTCATGTGTCTCGACCCTTTCACTATCTCACTTTCTATTCGAGAGACGATGCAGAAAGAGTTCCCCCCCCCAGGAATGAAGACCCAACCAGCCCATCATCGGACTTGAGCACCCGCCCGTTTGCCAAGCACCACCAAAGCCCTGCCTCCTGCCTCCAGCTCGCTGCCAAAACGTCCCCACAATGCCTCTCTCCCAGAGATCTGACCTGGAAAAATAGGATCGCGGCAGTGGCTGAAGCCCGAAGACATCGCATTGGCCCCGTCCGTCCAGTTCCACCAACACTAACACCATCAGGCACAGGAGAAAGGGAGGGACGTGCAGCCCTGCAGTGCACCCACCCAGCCACCCACCCCGAAGAACTGTCCCGTTGATTTCCCAACTAACGACAATTGTGTCAGTCTTCTCATAGATATTTGTTCATAGATCGGTCGGTGGCATGATCACTCCCGCTACTAACCACCCCTTGATGATCGAACCCTGCCCTGCCCTTGCGTCCAGCCTCATCCACCCGTTCCACCAGACTTCCTAACCAATGAGAAGGATTCCATCGTTCCAGCATCTTTTCAGGATAACCACCTTGTAACCCCTCTCGTGGGTTAGTTAAACCCCGGCCATTGAACCTCCGACAAAAGTCAGTTAGTTACTAGTGGGATAGATATGCCTGGTGCCGCGGAGCAGCGGGCATGCGATTCCCGTTTCCGGAAACACATCACATCCAAACTCAGCCCTCGGCCGATAACATCGATTTCGTGCCGCTGGTATTGCCTGGGTTTGAAATTCCCCGTCCGAATGACCGAGTGCAGGTTCTGCTGCCGGATTGATGGGCAGAGCAGCCAGCCAGCCTTGCGGCACCTGCACGACAGAGCGTTTGGATGCCGCCGTTCAGTTGCAAATCGTCATGCCAAGATGATGGAATATTGTCCGCTACCTAGCTCAGCTGGATGATCCACTCATCTACTTACACACTACACTCTTTTTCCAAGCTACAGCTAGATACCTCCGCACTGGGCCCCCGAAGGTCCCGCTCCTCGCCCAGCCTAAGCCCGATTCTACCTGGGCCAGCAGACAGACAGACACAGACAGACAGACATCGCTGGCGGGTCTAATCCCGCGGGATCAACTGATCGATGATTCCGTACAGTATGGAGAGCTGTGCATCCCTGCTAGCGCCAGAAACGGTCACCAGAACGGTGGACCCCGGTCTATTGCCCTGTCGAGTATATAACCACCGGGGTGCTTCTGAGGAATCCGCATGCATACATACATACATACTTCCATCCATTCATCCATTGCTTCTTTGTTCGTCCTCGGCGATAGATAGATATATACTACTATACACTCTTGCTCTTTGCATATCCCAGCCTCCTCCCTCATTCTTTGCATCTTCTCCCATCCGTCCATTCCCAGGCTCTAACAGTGGCAGCGGCAGTGCTGCATAGCAGAGGCAGCAATGTGGCCCTTCTCATCTTCCTCCTGGACGGCATCAGCAACAGCAACAACAGCAACACTAGGGTTCACCCTGGTATCATGCGTCCTATCCTCGCCGGTTGAGATCCGCGCCGCAGGACCCTGGCTCGCCCTCGACACCGACTTCCCTGACCCCGGCTTTGTTCAAGCTGACGACGGCTCGTGGTACGCCTTTGGCACGAATGGAAACAACAAGACTATCCAGGTTGCCCACTCCCCAGACTTCCGCTCGTGGACTCTCCTCGATAAAGAGGTCCTCCCGACCCTCGCTGGCTGGGAGACGAGTATTGATCATTGGGCGCCGGACGTGATTAGACGGGTGTGTTTACCTTCTCAGCCTGTCCTCTGTCCTATCTATGCCCTATGTTCAATGCCTTCATCCATCCCACCCAACCCATGAACCCATGAACCCATGAACCCTAACCCCCAAAACCAACCAACCAACCTAAACCTAACCCCCCCCAAAAAACCAACCAACCTAAACCTAACCCCCCCCTTCAGCCAGACGGCCACTACACCCTCTACTACTCGGGCGAAGCACAATCCGACCTCCGCCACCACTGCGTCGGCACCGCCGTCTCCAGCACCACCGATCCCAGCGGTCCGTACATCCCCAACCCGACCCCCCTATCCTGCCGCCTCCCCTCGGGCGGCTCCATCGACCCCTCCGGCTTCCTCGACCGCGACGGCAGCCGCTACGTGGTCTTCAAAGTCGACGGCAACAGCATCGGCCACGGCGGCGACTGCAACAACGGCATCGCCCCGCTCCAACCCACGCCCATCATGCTGCAAAAAGTCTCTAGCGACGACGGCTTCACGCCCCTCGGCGACGCCATCCAGATCCTGGACCGCGATGACTCCGATGGCCCGCTCGTCGAAGCCCCTAATCTTATTCTCGTCGGCGATACGTACTATCTCTTCTATTCGACTCATTGCTATACCGATGCTGGGTATGATGTGCGCTGGGCGACGAGTCAGAGTGTTACGGGGCCGTTTGTGAAGGGCGATGGTACTGGGAGGCAGTTGGTCAAGAGTGGTGATTGGGGGTTGACTTCCCCCGGGGGAGGCACGGTGTGTGGCTGTGGTGATAAGATGCTTTTTCATGCGTTTTGTAGGGATGGGGTTAGGTGTACGTATGCTGCGGATTTGAGGATTCAGGGGGGGATGGTGGAGTTTGTTTAGTTTCTTCTTTACTTTGAAGTGGGGGGAGGGAGGATGGAGGATGGAGGATGGAGGATAGAAGAGGAGGGAGGGGAGGGGGTGCGGTATCTTGGACTGACTGACTGACTGGCTGACTGACTGACTGTCTGTCTGTCTGTCTGTCTGTGTGGATGATAGTGTTTCTTTTCTTTCTCTTCTTGTGTGGACTTTTAAACCCTACATACTACATACCTACTATATCCTAGATGCGCTTTTGGATAGTGCCAGTTGGTTTCGGGCAAATGAATCCTTTCTAGACCAAGGTATTTATTACCATATCCATAGCCTACAGCGACTGACTGTAAGGAGGGGGGTATATGTAGACAGGTAAATAAATAAATAACCATAAGAGAATATTCATTAGTAATAGTGGAGTAAGGGTATATCTCTATCATCAAGTACACCCAAGCAATGCATGCATGCTAGCTAATAAGCAAAGCAAGGCAAAAATAAAGTAGCCCATCATATGCAAAAAAAAAAAAAAAAAAGAAAGCGAAGCAAGTCTAAATCAAACTAAGCCTCCTCCAACGCCGCCTTCTCCACCCTCTCCCTCCTCATCACCTCCGTCTTCTCCAACCACCCCTGCACTCCCTCCACCGCGCCCTCCGGATCCGCCTTGTGATTTAGCAGGAATCCCTGGATCTCCGCCGCCGTGAACTGGCCCGCTGGAATCAGCGCCGCGAAGTCGTCAGCCAGTTTGACGATGCGCGCAGAAATCGTAGGAGTCGAACAGGAGGAGGAGGAGGAGGAGGGTGAGTGTTTCTCGGATGTCTTTGCGGGGCCGGCGCCGTTTGTCTTTGCGGTGCCATTCTTGGGACCGTTGCGGCGAACAGCCCGTAGATCGCCTTCAAGGGTCGAGTAGATGGACGAGAACAGTTCGCGGATGTCCGCCGTCTGGGCGTAGCCGAAGGCGATGCTCATGTCGACGCGGCCGGGGCGGAGGAGCGCGGCATCGAGTTTCTCCGGGTGGTTGGTGGTCATGATGAGGATGCGGCCTTCGCTGGCGGCGACGCCGTCGATGACGTTGAGGAGGCCGGAGAGGGTGATGCCTTGTTTGTCGACGATGGTGGGGTCGTCGGGTTTGGAAGAGCCGGGGGTTTGGGGATTGGGGGTGTTGCTGTTCTTGGGTTTGTCGGGGGTGGATTCGTCGGAGGCGTTGGGGGCGCGTTTCTGGGTGATCCCGGCGCAGTCGACGTCCTCGAGGAGGACGATGCAGCGACGGGGCAGTTCCTGGAAGAGGGACATGAGGTCGTCTTCGTCGAGGCTCTTGGAGCTGAGGTTGAGGAGGTAGAGGGGGAGACCCAGGAGGCCGGACGCCGCGAAGCAGAGACTCGTTTTCCCTGTGCCGGGGGGGCCGTGCAGGAGGTAGCCCCGACGGTAGGGGATGCCGCGGTTGGAGTACCATCTCCGGGTGCGGGGGTGGAGGTATTCCTTGATGTCGGCGATGAAGGACTGTTTCTGGGAGTGGTCGAGGACCACGGTGGAGAGGGGCCGCGGGGGCCGCGCCATGCATCGCGTCCAGTCGGTGCAGCCGCTGTTTTTCTGGCCGCGGTAGATCACGGTGCTGCTTCCGTCGCGGGTCACCCATGCTTTTTGTGCTTCGAGGAGGAGGTCCTTCAGGATGGTGGGGTCGCGGCCCAGGCAGGAGATGAAGAGGCGCTCCGGCACAAAGCGCATGTATGAGATGGTGTTGTTGTTCTCTTCCTTCTCGCGGGCGAAGGCGAGCAGACGGCCCTTGAACCAGAAGTAGTGCGTGCCTTCGCGGGGGGTGAAGCGCAGGCGTTTGAACTTGTCGCGCGCGACGGTTTTGGCCCAGTAGTCGTCGAAGTTGGAGATGACGTTGCCGTCGGAGTCGTAGTCGTCTTCGTCGCCCATATCCTCGTCGTCGTCCGAGTCGTAGTACCGCGCGCCGCTGGTGATCTTGGTGTTGGCGACAAATTGGGTGGATTTGTTGGTGGACGGCTGCTGCGTCATCCAGAACATCAGGTAGTTGTATACTTCATCTTCCAGGCGGATTTCGGCCGTGGAGACGCAGTATTTGGTGATCAGCTCGCGGGCCTGTGAGAATACGTAGCGGAGAGATGCGACGAGCGCGATGCCCGTAAGGATGTATGGAATGTATTGGGAGAGGTCGATGTGGAGGTAGGAGATGAGGAAGCGGGAGATGAAGGAGTAGCCGGGGATGAAGGCTTCTAGGAGGGCGGTGTCGGTGGGACTCATGTATTGCGATGTCGAGTTCATGGCCGCGCTGGTGTTGGTGGTGCTGAGGAATGTGCTTGAAGCCATGATGGGCGTTTGATGGGGAGAATGGAGGATATTGGAGCACCCAAGCATGAGCTGGATGGGATGTCTTGGGGGCCCGGCGGGGATGCACGGGAAAGAGAGGAGTGAATAAGGCAGTGAATGAGAAAAGCCTGGATTGAAGAAGAGCACCTGGTGGCCCTTTATACTTCATTCCCAACGGTGCACAAACGCGCAGAGGCAGCAGCTGTGCCATCTAGGCATCCATCACCCCGCGCCTTATGGCGCTGCAAGGATCTAGGCCATGCCCAACCCAATCATGGGGGCGTCCTCGGGTCTGACAGCGAATGCAGCCTGCGCAGGAGCCACTTGAGTCATCGGCGGGCGCCAGTTGGGGCTAGACGAGGGCCGATCGCGGGTGATTTTCTCTTCAGCCTCATCCGCGGGCAACCCTTGCGGTCAAGTTCAAAAAGGCGCAGCGGACCGATGGCGTAGCGCCCAATAACATCACGATATATGGGTCCAATCTAACATCTCTAACATTTAACGCCAAATGTGGGTATCTGGAGGATGACGTAGTGTCCCGTGTCTTCCCCATCCAAAAAAAAAAAAAACAAAACAAAACAAAACAAAAAAGAAAAAGTAAAAATGAAAAACGGCGAAACGGCGCTATCTACGCAGAAAAAAGCCAACAAAATTATGCAAGGTGATCGTTCACTGCGCCGAGGTGAAGTTGTCTTTCACGGTCTCGATCACGTCGCTCGCCCAGTCCTTGACGTCCTCGAGCTTGTCCCAGAGCGTCCCCCACCACGTAGGGCCCTGCTCGTCATCGCTCTCCGAGTCGGGCTCCGGCTGGGCCTCTGCCGCCGTCTCCGTGGGCATCGCGGGGGTCGTCATTTCAGCTGCGGGCGTCTTTGCGGGCGCTGCTATGACGGAGGTGCTGGATGGTGGGTCGGACGGACTGTCGAGAGCAGGGGTGTCTTCGTCGGAATGGAGTCCCACCGGTTTGAGGGGGAGATTCAAGGTTCCATTATTCGGGTGGGGTGTGACGCCGAGAGAGTCACAGATGATGTTGTAGACGTTGATATTCTCTGCTGGGGGGTCAGCTCAACGGTCATGGACCGCCGACAGGGGTCGTGACTCACGGAAAACATCCAGCCGGCTGTTGGGTTCGTGGGGGAATGCAGGGCCCCGGGCAATAAAGATGGCGCGCATCAAGGGGTGCTCATGGTCGTACCCGTGGATCCCGCGCGGGTGATACACCTCCCCCTTCGCCAGAGCTTTGCGGGCATCGAAGTCGACCCGTTCGACAATCGCCCAGCCCGTCTTCGGGATCACCCACAGAGGCGCGATGCGATCGTTGTTCTGGAAGTGGTACCGTTCGGGCATGCTCTCCCGCGTGTAAATCTCCACCGCGTGCGAGTAGTTCGAGGCCACGCTCTCGAGCTGTTGCTGAAGAATCGGAAGATCCTCCGGGCGCTTGGGACGCAGCCCGCGTAACGGCCACCCGTCAATGCGCTCGACCAGACTGAGGTCGACCAGATCCTCCAGTTGCACCAGCCGTTCGGTGGCAGTGGTCGCCATCCCGTGGTCGGAGACAATCACAATGTTTACGACATCGGTCAGATTGCGCTCCTCCAGGCCCGAGAACAGATCCCCCAGCATCTCGTCGACTTTGGAGATCGTCCCCCGGATCTCTGTGCTGTTGGGGCCATATTGGTGCCCATCTGCATCAACATTCGGGACATAGGCAGCGATGAACTGCGGGCGTTGCGGGGAGATTCGCGATGCATCTTCCAGCCCAGGCATGTCCAGCAGCCCGAGGATGCGGTCCACCTTGCGGGACAGCGCTTCCGAGCCATTGTATTGGTCGAGATACGTCGGCTCTACCCCTCCGATATGTGCCTCTGAGCCGGGCCACATGTGGATGGCGGTCCTCAACCCCTGGTTTTCGGCCGTCATCCAGAGCGGTTCCGCGTTCCACCACTTGGGCTGCATGCTGACCGCGGGGTGGGTGTAGTAGAACTCCTCTTGCAACTCTGGGTCCCAGAAAGTGTTTCCGACAATTCCATGGCTCTCGGGATATAGTCCTGTAACAAGCGTGAAGTGGTTGGGGAAGGTCACGCTGGGGAAGCTGGGGTTCATGTATTGCGGGGAAACGCCGTTGGCGACGAAGGAGTTGAGGGTCGGAGTCAATCCGCGAGTAAGGAAGTCGGCTCGGAAACCATCCAGAGAGATCAAGATGGTGGTGGGGGCGAACAAAGCCGTGCCGTTCGACAACAATCTCCTGGGCGAGTGGGAGACCCGAAACCTTGCCGATGCTTTGTAGGCCCCCAACAGGAATATGAGAAGGAGGACGAAGATTGCCGAGAAAATCAGCGTAAGTCTGCGCCATGAAACCTTCTGTGGCTGTTCCTTGGGTGTTAGCAGAGGGCCCAACGTATTTCTGTGGCCAGACCGCTCATCATGACCACACATACCTGCGCGTAGGTGTACTCTTTGGCTTGGGTGTCCAGATCAGACGAGGAGGCATCGCTCAGGAGCGAGCGCTCATCATCCCGGTGACCTTCCTCCATCTCGAACATTATCTCGCCGGATTCCCGTGCCTTTGCACGGCGGTCCCTGCGCGCCTCCTTCCTGGCCTGTCTCCGAAGGCGTTGGCGTTCCTGCTTCCCGATCCTGACGCTGCTGCTGTTGGGGCTGAAGATGCGACGGAGGCCATGGGTTGGGCCGCTCCGGGTGAGCAGCTTCTCTGTCTCCTCCTCATCGTCCAGGACTCCGCGGTCATGTTCAGCGAGTTCGAGGGTGGTGCGGGAGTTGCGTAGGAATTCGTCGTCCTCGGAGTCGGAGTCCTGTTCTGACGGGGAGCGTAGCGACTCGGCGTCATCGTCATAGCCGCCGGGGGACAGGAGAGCGGAGGTGGGGATGTTGCGTCGGATAGGCATGGAGGGTGGAGGCGAAGGGGGAAGGTGGCATGAAGCCGAAGTGCAAGGGCACAGGGTGATGGTGATGGATGGGGAATGGGGGATGGGGGGGTGGAGCTGGGAAGAGTACAGAGTAGGAACAATGGAATCATAATAGGACTCGAGGGGGCGATCGGCGGATGTCCGGGCCGATGCCGACAGCGACTAAGCAGACAGACAGACAGCATAGCATCCCTTCCGCACTTCCGCTCCTTCGCTCCTCTCCCCACACTCCCTCTCTCCATGGATCTACGGAGTACCAGGGTTGATTACGGGGCCGTGTCGCTCAGACTGACGTGCTCTAGTGGATGAAGATATTGCAAAAGACCGATAATGATCCCACAATCACAAGGACAACCCAACCATGCTTCAACGCGCCACGAGCTACACTATACTAACACCACGGACCATACGGACCACACTGACAATGGAAGCGTTGCTAGAGAATATCCAGCTTCCTACAGGTGTTTCATAGACACAAACGCAGTTTGAGATTTGGTCGTTGAAGTCTGACTGTTTTGGACCAGAGGACCTGTTCAGAATTGTGTCAGAAAGGACCACGCTTGAAGGCCTCGAAAGAGCAGCAGCAGCAAGAGCACGATGCACGAAAGGAAATACTTGCATCAGTCGCAAATACCGACGCTGACCACGGGAGGAGAGCCGCCACATTGATGCATCCGACATGAATGGGCTGGATGGAGCATTGGGCTCTCTTCATCAATTCAGCCCTCTGTACGATGGGCGAAACGTGCAATCGGCCGACCGATTGGGACTTGAGTAGGGATGATGAATCACCTGTGTTCTGCTTGCAAAAGAAGATGGCCGCGAACTAAAGCAACCACAACGTGGCGATCTTGAACCTTCGCCAACCGCTTCCGTTTCTCGGCAGTCACCACTGCCTGAAAGGCCTCCTAGTCTTTCTTCCAGGAAGCTTAGGGGATGCGAGGAATGGATCGACATTCCTGGGAGGATTTCTGATTCCGGCCGCCGGGCGGCCGGATTTCCCTTTTGGGAAGCCTTAAGGCTGAAGCCGTGAGGTCACATGATATCAGAAGCTCCTGGAGCTGGAGACTCCATGTATGGAGCTGTCTGCTAGCAGTGGGCCAGCTGGGGGTCTTGATCCGGGCAGGAGGCAATTACCGAGATGCTATTTTGATGTTCGTCTCTGAAAGCAGTGCCTCGGTTTCCCCACGTTTGTTCTCAACTACGGCATCCGGCTCTCCGGACACACCTCAGTATTCCTGGATGGAACCATGGAGTATAAGCATCGTTGGATCTAGATCCTCTGGCGGGTGATGAGTCCGAATCGGTACGCCAGAGAGGTTATAAAACACCCCATAATTCCTCCCGATCACCGTGCATCGTTCTCCTTATCCAGATCCAGTACCAGTACCAGTACTCCTTCTATCATTGACAGTGCCAGGCTCTTGCTATCTCTCCCAAGCAAACGCTTCTTGCCCTTCCTGAGCAGCCTCACCACGATGCACTTCTCAACCCATGTCGTGACTGCCTTGGCCATCGCAGCCGGCACCGCCCACGCTGGCTTCTCCGAGGAAGCCTCGGAAGCCAATGCTCCCGGCAGCAGCAGGATAGGCTCAGCCCCTACCACCCAGAAGGCCGAAACCTTCGTGAAGCCCACTGAGTCCGCCACGACGGCCAAACCCACCATCATCGCCAAACCCGCCACGACGGCCAAACCCAGCACGACCCTCTACCAGCCCATCTGGGAGCCCAGCGTCGTTGTCGTCGAGACCAGCGCCACCGTCTCCGAGCCCTGCCCCTCGTGCACCCACGCCCCGACAACCACCGCCCCAATCTACTCCAGTGCCTCGCAGCCTCACTACGGCACTCCCTCCAGCGTGTCCGAACCGCAGCATCCAGCTTCATCCGTCCGACACCCCGGCCCCGCGGCCTCCCACAGCACCAGCACCAGCACCTTCAATAGTGTTGGACCCACCGCCCCTGCTCCCACGCACCCCATCCCAGCAACCTCCACCCCGGCAGCAGTCCACCCCACCGTCACCCAACCAAGCGTCCCTTTCAGTGTCATCGGATCGACCGGCGCACCAACCCACCCTCCCCCGGTGCCCCCGTCAACCCCCCGGTCCTCCCCTCGACCATCCCAGGAGCACAGTCCATCCATCTCCTGACCACGGCGCCTCCGCCCAGCATCCCCATCCCCCTCTCCACGGGGTCCGTCAGCTCGTCGACCCACCGGTTCTCCAACTCAACCACCTCCACCCTGTCCCGCGCGACGAGCGGTAGCAATGGCGGCGGTGGCGGTGTGGTCCCTGCGGCGCCCACTGTTACAGGGTTCGAGCCTTCCAGCTCCGGTGTGAGGATGATTGTCCCCGGTCTGGCTGTGATTGGGGGGATTGCGATGGGGTTGCTTGTTTTGGCTTAGGAGATTTTTTATCTCGATGGAGATTTTTTATCTCTCGCCAGTGCTTATTTTCTTCTTGGGATATGAGGTACTTTCCCTGTCATAAAAAAAAAGAAAACAATGAACAGTGAACAGTGAACAGTGAACCTGGGATAATTTCTTGCTTGCATGCACAGTTCATCCATTCAACAGGAGTAAGGGGGGGGAGTTCATTCGTTTTTTTTTTTTCTTTTCTTTTCCTGTCAGTCCCTAATATCCTCATCAACATCACTTACTGTCCGTTTTGCATGTTCTATCTGTTTGTTTGTTTGTTTGACTATCTATTTATTTGTTTTCCCTGCTTTTTTTTTATATATATGGTTTCTAGCATAAAATAATTCGGAATAAGCATGTTCTCTTTCTTTCTGTTTTTCTTTTCACTTGTTAGAAATGGTGAGATGGAACTATCACATCTGTAGTCTCCATCTTGATATAAACAGTCTCATTCGAGTCATCTATCATTCCATACACATCCTCATCCTCATACCCGCTAATAACAATAAAACAAAAACCATCAACGCCCATATACCACCCCACCCCAACCCAACAGTAGAACATTCGAATCAAAACCCAGTCAAACCAAATCAATTCATCAACACCCACTCCTCAAACGGCACCCCCCTCTCCCTCCCCTCGCCGACGCCCTCAAACCTGCCCACCCGCGCCCACCCTCGCACCAACTCCCTCCAATAACACGCCTCCGCCGCCGGCGTCAAATACCTCTCCCTAAAGACCCGCACCGCCCTCGCGGCAATCCCCTCGGCCACCTCCTCATTCCCCAGCAAGAACCGCATCTTATCGCCCAGATCACTCCAATCGCCCTTCACCTCGACGTAATTCATCTCGGGCCCGGTCTTGACCAACGCCGCATGATGCAGCTCCCTCCAGACCAGCGGGTGGGAGATCAGCACGGACCGACAGTTGAGGAGGTAGGCGCCGCGGCCGGAGAAGGAGCGGCCTTCGGTGTGGGCGAGGAACTGGTAGCGACAGTGCTCGGAGATGGGGAGACGGGTGGCTTGCAGGCTGGCGGGGGAGGCCCAGTCGAGGGGGTGGATGCTGGACCAGCTTTGGCCGCGGGCGGCGGCGAGGAGGGCGTTGCGCACGGGCGGGTTGGGGGCGATGGCGCCGCGCCAGAGGAGTTGTTTCGTTTTGTGCTCGAAGGGCAGGGCCGATTCGAGGGTGGTGATTTGGTGGCGCACGGTGCGGTAGGGTGGGATGTCCACTTCGGGCCAGGTCCAGTGGGTGAAGGGGGGGATGAGCCAGACGTGGGTGTGGTGGTCTTGTTTGGTGTAGCTCCAGATTGGGGGGGTGGTGATGCTGCTGCTGCTGCTGGTGCTGGGGGGTAAGTCGTCGGTGGTGAGGAGGAAGGAGATGGTGGGGAGAGTGTGACGCGAGGGGTCGGAGGTCAGGGAGCGGTGCAGGGCGTGCAGGGTGCTTTTGGCGCGGGTGAAGGTGTGTGGTTGGGGGGCGAAGTCGAGGATGTACAGCTGTTGATAGAGCGATAGATCGATATTAGAGAATGGGATTGAGGGTGAGGATGAAAATAGTTTGGAGGAGAAAGGAAGGGAAGAAAAATACCTCGCCGCGATCAATCACCCCCCTCACCATCCCATCTTCCACCGGGCTGCTCTCCAGTTCCTTCAACGTGATGGGCTTGTCTTTCCGGGACGCGACGGATTTGTCCAGCTCGTAGAACAGCTTCGGGAATGCCCGCCGGCATTGTGTTTCCGACAGTCCCAGGTTGTCGGCGTCGCGCGAGGAGATGAATTCCCAGTCGGAGTCGGTGGTGTTGGATGAGGAGGAGAGACAGTCCGGATTCTGCGACGCTGTCTTCAGCGCATACTTGGCGACGTCATTGGAGGAGGAGTGGGCGTAGAAGACCAGGAATGTGGTGAGGAGCAGCGACAGCGCAGCCCCAACGGCGAGGAACCGCAGCGAGCTGGGGATTTGCAGTGGCATGGCGACATGGACGATGCGGCCGGTTCCCTGGTTCCTGGTCTGGTTTGGTGGTGGTGATGGATGTGGTTATGGATCTCGATCAGATGGATGAGGCGGGGGATCGACGTCGCCATGGCAACCCCAGGGTCTGGGCTGATGGCCGGGTCTAGAAGGTGGGTTTTTTTTTAAACGAATTGGAAGCATGAAGAGCATGCATGAATCAGGTCCTCGATACTAACATGACCGTGTAGGGATTGGTGGCATCTAATTGCAAATCAAATATGTATGTACAGAGATCACAAGACCGTGAAGGGCGAATTTATTCAGGGGTATCTCAAAATCAATCAAGAGCGGATGGGGGGGGAGGAGGACGGACGAAAACGAAGGAACACCAGGGCTGCAAATCAGATGATGAACAACAAAAAAGAGATAAAATCGAGGTGCGTAGGTGAGGAGGTAAGGGCATGCATGCTTGGGGGCTAACGTCGTATACAGAAGAAGACCAAGAACAACCAGACACAGCCGAAACTCGAGAGGGGTATGTATAAAAATAAGCCTGTTCAACAGGTGAACGACCCCATGGAGTCGGTCCATCAGGAAAGACCATTCGTCATGGCCCGCGCACCGCTACTGCTAAAGTAGCTCTCGTCGATCTTCAAGATCCACTCGACCTTCTGCGCCTCCGTGCGGGCCGCAAAGAGGAACGTGTTCTGGGCGCCATACACCGCGAACACATTCGGACGACCGCGCGGGGACGTCCCCCGGTCGGATCCCGCGGCGGGCCCGTCAAGCAGCCGCGCGAAATCAGGGGCGTGGTCGACCCGCGAGATGCGCAGGTTGATGGCGTTGATCTCGTCGCCGTCCGGGACCGAGTAGATGTGCAGATAGGGCCGGCGGAGCTCCACGAAGCGCCGGACCCAGTGGCTGTTGGTGTCGTCGGGGGTCAACAGGTAGCCGGACTTCAGCGACGAGGTGTTCTTGGGCAGGGCCTGCACGGTGGCGACGAACCGCGGCTTGAGGGAGGCCTCATCCGGGGCGGAGCCGTCGTCGTCGTCGCTGGAGGGGGATTGTCGCGCCCGGGAGGCGAAAGCCGCCCCGCCGGCTGGGGGCTCGGTGTTGCTTCGTACGAGGATGGCCTCGATGGGGTCGGTCTTCTTCGTCCACAGGTCGACGTACTTCTGGATCAGGCGGGCGCGACGTTCCGCGCGCTCCTGGTTGCGGAGGGGCGTGGACCGGCCGCTGCGTGGCGGCGAGGCTACGAGGCTGTTGGCGCTGAGAGCGCCCTTGGCAGCGTTGAGTTCGGCAACGCGTCGGCGTCGTTTGCGGGCGGCGACGTAGTCCCGCACGAGGGAGACTTTGCGCGGAGACCAGGTCGTCAGCAGCTCCTCGCCCTTTACGTAGTCGTTCTGCGTGTTCATCCGCCACAGATCCGCCGCGCGTTTGGCCGACACCGGGCGGACGACGAGCGAGAACATGCGCACGGTGGAGTGCACGATGCGCGTGGAGTTGAAGAACTGCTTGAACATGGACTGGGGCCGGACGTACGTCCGGCCCTGGATCTGGAGCGTCAGGTCGATCTCGAACGGGACGGTATCCTGGAGGCGCGAGGACAACAGATCCCACCGCAGGGTCACCTGCACGCGGTACTTGTCGGCGGTGACTCGGTCGAGGAGGAGAGACCCATGCAGACTCGAATCCCACTGTCCGACGATGGTAATGTTGGATGTCCCGTCGGCATTCTCCTTCACGTTCGGCTCCTGCACAAACTTCAACGGCACATCGGGCGTCTGCAGGTCCTGGTCCGGGATCTTGCCCCAGGGGTCCAGCAACCGCACCGACCCCACGCGAATCTTGGTAATGTCATCCCAAGGAAGCGTTTCGGTCGAGCTGTACGTGAGGTTCACCAGCACCCGCCGCTGGAGTCCCTGGTGGAGCTGGTAAGTGCCCGTGTCCAGGCTGTTGTTCTGGACCACCTCGACCGGAAGGTATTCGCCAGACTCCGCCAACTCCAGGACTTGCGCCCTGGCAAAAACATCATGCCTCTCCTCGGAATAGAACTCGGACTCGGCGATCCGCGGGGTTTTGCGTTTCTGCGGCGCCGGTTCGGCAGAGTCGCGCATGTCATCCCAGCTGAGAAGCTTGTCCAGATGCATGTGGGTCACGCGCGCGTAGATACAGATTTTCAGGGCCGCACTGCGCGGACTCGAGAGCGGCAGACTCATGCTGTGCACGCTTTCGAACCGCACCGGACTCTCGTCAAAGCCGGTGATCATCTGCGTCGTCGTGGCGCCCCCTTCGTCGGAGATGCCAGGGAGGAACAGTTGCGCGTGCACATCCGACCCCTCCCATTCGGCGAATCCAATCATGTCGCGCATCACGACGTTGAACTTCAGGGTGGACGAGGGCGCCTGGGCCGAGGAGGGTTCCAAGGACAGTCTGACAATACCGATGACATTCTGCGTATAGGGCGAGATGACCTCGACGGACACGTCCTGCACTCGCGTCTCAAAGACCGCCGTAAGTGGGATATCAGCGTCGCCCACAAGTGAGTACTGAGGCGAGCAAGGCTCGGAGAACGGATTCTCGAGCTTGAAGTGTTGGATGTAGTCAGGTCGGTCGATGTACTGGTGCAGCTGGCGCATCGCCTGGACGCGACGTTGGAGCTTCTCGATCGACCACAGGTGGATGACGCATTGTTTGAAGTCGATCACCCGAACGGCAACACACGGCTTCTTCGCGTCGTCCAAGATAACGTCTTCGTCTCCCGAGATGCCGTTCAGCACCAGATCATACGACGAGGCCATGTTGTGGCCGTGGTCGATGATCGCAAACTGGAACACGACATTCTTGTCCATGATATGACTCATGATTTGGGCTTCCTTCAGCAGGGAGGCATGTTGAAGCACTTTCTCGGCCATGCGAACGTAATTCTGCTGAGACCAATGGCGGTAAACCGCCGTCGCGATGGCCAGCTCCTGGGCGTCTAACTTGGCAAACCCATTCTCGTAGATTTTCGGCACCGGCTGGCCCAGGTCCTTCATGTGCGACTCGAACGCTTCCTTCTGTTTCTTGAGCTGTTCTTCGAATTCCTCCTTGGCCGCCCGGAGGGCTTCTTCCATGCGTGTCTTCTCGGAGCGCAGGTCATCGACGCCCTGGGTGGAGGACGCCTCGGCGTTCCGCAGCTTGTCCTGATACTCCTCTTTTTGGCGGTCCAGCTGGCGCTGCATGTCCTGGCGCACAGATTGTAACGTTGCGTCACCCCCGTTCTGGCCGTCGTCCTCGTCGCTCGGCCGGGGAGTGCCCGGCATCGTAATGGCCGTGTCCAATGAGAAGTTGTCGATGGTGCCGTTGGACATGTACTTATCGCGCACCGGGAACGAGCTGAGCGAGTCGGAGTCCTCCTCGTTCTCCATCAGCCCGCGGCGCGTGGCCCGCACCTTCTGCACGTCCTCGAACAGGGCGTCCAGCTCATCGTCAGGCATATGCGAGATGTGATCGGGCCCCAGCACAGCGCTGACGGCTTCCCGACGCGCCTGAAACCAGTCAGACTCTCTGTCGCGCGTCGAGGGCATGGGGGAATCCGCTCGGCTGGAATCCCCGTCGATCTCGGAGCCGGTTTTACTCAGGGTTCGATCGTGGGTTTTGTTGGGCGCCGGGGAGCCCAGCTGACTGGTGGTCACGGAATGGCGCAGCAGGCTCTGCTCGACTCGTTCGGCCCGGGCTTCCTGGGGGTGGTTGAAGCGGAAGATGTGGAAGTCGCCCAGAATGATGCGGAAGCCGCTCTTGAGTCGCTTCGGCTTGTCGATGCGCAATCCATTCACCATGACGGCAGCGCCCTCGCTGGGAATCACCGTGACGACATTGTCCACGTTCTCGAACTTACAATGCTCCGGCGAGATTTTGGACCCGTTCAGTCGGATCTCGACATGGCTCCCTTGGTCCATGTTGCCGACGATCGTGGTTCCGGGTTTGATGTTGTACACCAGACATTCCGCGAGCAGCGGGTCATCGCTGAGGTTGACCAGATGCGGCATTTTCTTCGGCGTGCTCAGGCCGATGAAGCCCTTCTCGATGCTGATACCGAGTTCCTCCAGGGCAGTCTCGCGCTCCTTGTGGATTTCTTCGGTCTTCGCCAGTTTCTCCTCCCACGTCTGGTTCAGGTCCTTGTAGAGCTTCTCGCTCTGATTCAGCTGCTCGACGATTTCGGCCTTGCTGACCTGCGTGACCGATCCGTCCGCCTGCTGAATCGAGACCATCTGCTTCTCTAACGGGGTATCTGGGGGGTAATATTCCTGGGCTTGGATGGCACCGCCGGCGGCACCGCCAGCTGCACCTCCCGCCACTGCACCCCCTCCGAGCTTCGATCGCAGTTGCGCCAGCTCTTCCTTCAGCTCCCGGATCATGCGCGCGTTGGGGTCCTCGTTCACGACGGCGTGGTTCTTGATTCGCTTCGCCGAGTCGGCATAGCGCAGCGTTCCGAGGGTCTCGTCGAAGTTGATGTCGGCGGGTGAAATGGCGGCAATCATCGCCGTCATGGAGTTACCTCCCAGGGAGTCTTTCAGCAACCAGGTCAGGATGGAGTCACGATACGGGACCATCGAGGCATTCTTCTTCTTTCCCGCAGCCACATCGGCGAGCGCCGCAATGACACGACCCAGCGTCGAGAGCGAACGGTTGATCTCCGCACCCTCCTTTAACCGGGCACCGGTCGCTCCCGTCGACTGTGCTCTCTCCGAACCTGCCAGATCGACCAAACTGATGCGCGACACCTTCTCCGTATCCATCGACGTCTCCGCGTCATGGCGCTTCTGGGTCAGGGTCAAAGTGAACACGGCGTGGGATCGACTGGAGGTTTCGTTCATGTTCGTGGCGGCGACCGTTCTGGCCTTGTTACCCTCGTCCATCAGGTTCTCGATCTCCTCGAACGAGCGCACGACCAGCTTGGCCAGGTCTTCGACGTAGGGACCGGTCGACGGATGCTCACGGACTTTCAGGTTCCCCTTATTCGACGGGTTGAGCAGATCGCGGACCCTCTCATTGTAGATTTCCAGATAGGACACCTCCACCGTGCAGCCCAGATTGGTATCCTGTTGAATATCGGAGATGCGCTCGAACATCGACTGACAGATCCGCGGGATGACACCGAACTCCTTGCCGTACCCCATCATCGAATACGACTTTCCCGAACCCGTCTGCCCGTAGGCGAAGATACAGTTGTTGTAACCGCCAAAGGCATTGTCGAGCAGGGGCACACCCAGATCGAGGAAGAGGTTGTCCTGGCTGGCGTAGTTGGGGGCGTTCTTGTCGAACGACCAGTACGATCGGTCGAAGGCGAAGGCCTTGGGCCCTTCGATCGCACCTTTCCCTCCGCCGGCCTTGCGTGATTTCTCATCGGCGCCTGGTGGTGGGATGATGACGGTCTGGTTGCCTTTCATCTGCACGATACATTTTGCACCGCGGTCGATTTCTAGACACACGGCCGGGTCAGCCCTGTTTGGGGGAATTGGGGGGAGGCTGAGGCTTGGTCGCATTGCCAATGCCAATACCAATGCCACTGCCACTGCCACTGCCAGCCAGACATGACCGTGTCCGTGACCATAACCGGAACTCACCTCTGCTGTTGAAGGGCCGCACTCTCACCACCACCTTAATGTTTCCTCCACCTGCTGGAGCCATGTTGGCTTATTCCCCATACACCTGGGACCGAACGCCCGTTTCCGCCGGTTCGAGGGGTATACCGTTCGCGTGGAGGGGCCTGGTCAGGGGGACGAAGTGGGTGGGTGGGTGAAATCACACGGAGCGGGAACGACGAGGGTCGAGTTGCGAACGCTACGGAGAGCGCCGCCCGATGGGAATTGGCAAGCTGGAGGGGGGGGGGTTGTCCGGGAGTCGAGGCTAGAAGGGTTCGATCTGGAGCGTGGGCCTTGGGAATTGACTGCTTCGAGCGGATGTCAACAAAGACGTCATGTATATTGTGTGTGGGTTTGCGGGCGGATCAATCGGCGCGTCCCAGGGGGTAGGACGGCAGGACGGTAGGACGGTAAAATCAATCCCTGGCGAGGAGGGAGGGGGGAGGGGGTCGAGGGCGGTCCGGGCGCGCAAAACAGACGGGATAGAGGAGAGGGCCGGGGGGGTGGGTTTGGGAGAGAGATAGATGGGGATGGAGATGGTGAGGCTCGAGCCAGCCAAGGGGAAGATAGCAGCAGTTGGAGTGAATAATAATAATAAAGTCCCTCTCTCCTTCGGGGAAAAGCCACTCAGGCGGGATCTCAAGGGCGGGTTCGAGCCAGATCACGTAAGCCGGGCCTGCCCAATCAGGGCGTCTGGACTCGGGCCCGGCTGGTCGGCCTCAGGCCTGGTCCTGGCGAAACATCCTCGAAACATGCTGCCCCGATGCACCGTCATGCAGGCACGCTTCCAACCAGCTTGGAGTCGGGGAACTAGACCCCCTGATTCGCGTGTGGCAACTTAAGGTCCTGGCGAGATCGAGCGTCGAGGAATCGTTGCTCTGCCATAGGTCCGTGGTCCTGCAGCGGACCTAGTACTAGTAGCTGTTCTTAGGCTGCCAGTATGTACTATAGTATAGTAGTTATGTATAGCCAGCCAGCTGGGAGGCTCCAGGAACGCCCATTGCCAGGGGTATACACACACACCTTCCAGAGCTATTTTGAGTCACTGCGGACAGACTGACGATCCTCACCTCATCTCTAACATCTTCCCTGTCCGCAGTCGCATCCGGAAGCTCCTATCACCCCACTGTTTACCCTGATATATACTATCTGCACGGGGGGCTCTCGCTTAAGCGGAATCCTGCAACAACTTACATACTGCACACACAGAGAGAATGGAAGTAAAATAAATTAAGAACTGATTCTGGTTCTCGTGTAGGTGGTCTCAATTTCCCCTCCCAATCCATAGGTAGTAGGATTTTCGATATCCCAGTACCCAGTATATATCCACCCCCACCCATACCCCAATACATCTACCTAGCCAGATAGAAATATACCAACCTCTCAACCACCCAAACAGCATAACACCAGCTCAATCCCCACTCCTTATCCGCCATTCGCATACACGGGAAGAATAAAGCATCCGGACCCGAACCCCCTGCTGATAATGTTTAGTATATAGCGCACAGGCCGACATGGGATTTCCTCGGTGCGGAGCCTTGAACATGGCCATCAGACCCGGCTGGATCTGTCAAAAGAGAGGATGCCTGCCGTGAGGGGAGTCAACCATGGTGGGATGAATGCGAGACGAAATATTATGATTTCCTTGTTTCTGTGGGGACAGACTGACAGACAGGCAGACTGACTGACTGACAGTTGTGGTGGTGGTGGTGGTTGCCTAGTTGTTAATTATATGGGCCGATATCCATCAACTATGGGTCATGTCAATAACCACGATAGCCCGAATAGATTCACGTTCGCCATAACAAAAGAGAAAAATTGCAAATAGGGTGGAAATCAGTCCTGACAGTCAGGACAATAGATAGACAGAGTCCTAGATTCTCACCAGCAACCAAAGGGGTAGTGACATTAGTATCTAGTAGATAGTAATAGCAAAGAGTTGCTAGCCGACACAAAGAATGAGTAAGAAATGTGTTGGTCCTGCACGAACAGCTGGCACCCACCCTAGTCCAGCGCCAACGGACCTATAAAACCCAGCCAGGTAGCCAGCGGTGAGGGCTAACGGGGTACATGCTACAGGGTACAAGTACATTACATATGTACGTACCATCTCAGGGAGTAAGTAGCTACCTGTACCCTACCCAGTGTACATTGGTACCTTGATGCCCAACCGCCCGCCGCACCCTACCCTACCCTCCGGTGTGGGTGACATAAAGAGAAACCCAGGCGCTCTTTGCTTATTATCCTATCCTGTTGCAATAGGGAATACTATTTCCGGTTTGATTTGGAGGGGTTTGTCTGCTGCGCGGGGAAAGCTGTTCAGGTGTCTGCGCTCGTGTCAGGCCACATGCTTCGGTTATCGGTATGTACTGGGCTGATTGATGATGTATACTACCGCCATGCCATGCCATATCTATCTACGGACGGTCGGTCTCCCTGCCGGGCCTGGCCGTTGGGCTTGATAGGTCCTACATGCTGTGTTTCAGCTCAGGTCAATCGGAGCCCGGTCTGTGATCCCGTTCGCCGGAAGTGTTGATCGATGACGTGAGAGATCTGGCTCTGACCCTTGGATCCCTTGGATTGTCTCGGATGTCAGTCAGCTGTCGGTCTTGTCGGTCTTATCTGGCGCAAGTGTGAAGAATAATACTAGCGCATATCTAGGCTGGCTGCTAATCGTCAGGGTTACTGAGTGAGACAGGATACGGCAATTTGCCATGCTGAACCGGGTCGGTAACGGACAAAAGCCTGGAAATGGCTGCTTGCTTGCTTGCTAAATCGCCACACACAGGAGCGTCCTACTATGCGTGAATTTTAGAGCAGCGCGTAATCTCGGAGCTGCCGAGGACAATAGCATGATCCGCCGGACACCGGTTGCCTGGAGAAGCAGTGAATACCGTGACTTGGGGTAGGGGGGGAGGGGCGGGGGGGAGGAGGCACATCCCCATGTGACGAAATTCTGATGCGCGGGTGTTTGATTAAAAAGCAAATTGGTGCGAGCTCTGACGGGCCTATTAAGTTGCGTTTTCTGGAGGCCTGATAGTACGCACCGAGGGTAACGGGGCCGCAATGTCCTGACTGGATCAGGGCCGTATGTAGTGACCTAGCGAAGGCGTCACACACTGCTCTATCAAGTACCAAGAGGGTGTCCGGTCGATTCTATTGGATGCTGGCCCCTGGACGAGATCTGCCTGCTCATTCCTTTGCCCCTTGCAAAGGTCAGGAGCTGCCGCTGTTCAACCTGGGCTATTAGTTGTGTGATGTGATGGCACCAGCGCGATGAGGGTTATGTGTAAGGGGCCTTCCGACAGCCCGTTGCGCCGTCTGAGGCCGCCACTGCATAGATACATGAGACAGCAACTGGGACGGGGGAAGAATCGAGCTGATTCGTACCCCGTAGCGAGTCGGCGGTCCACAGCGAGTGACAACCTGCCTACCAAGACGTAAGCCACGTCGACCAATGCCGGGGCCGTTGGCCTTGTGGATCAGACGGCACAGAGTGTAAGGTCAGGAGACGGCAGCCATTGAAAAGCCCCGCGCTTCGCGATAGATTTCAACATTTACAGGCCGAAAGCAACTGAGTGTGTGTGTGTGTGAAGTTCGCTCCTTGCGTCCTCTTCGTCGGTTCTTTATTCGACTGATCGGTGGCGGACGGGCAATCAGAGCGCTTGGATGTTACTGCAGAACCGGCCGTGGCATCTGGGCTTGCCCTCTGGCACATGATTGAGGAAGCGCCTGCCACATAGGGAAGGGGTTGCTGATGGCCTCGTGTGTCCAGGCTACTGCTTAGCACCGAGATAGAAAGTGTAAATCCTCTTGTGTTGCTGGCAGTGCAGCGCGATGGTCCTATGATCTCCCTGAGCAAACCTTCAGCAGCAGTCGATGACTGTACACCTCTGGACATCTTTCCTGGTATGGCCGATGGTATTACCAAGTGCAAGGTTATATCCTGGGCAAGCGTTCCCTGTTGCCCTTTTGGGTGATTTGCTTTTTCGTATAGTAAGTAAGAGAACGGGATTGAACTGCTGGATGTTACCTACCTCGCGTTTTCCACCTACCGCAGAGTCAATGTGACCGGACGATCTTCGTGCCAAGGAGAGATTCTCGAGTCAAGATCTCTTGATCTGGAGTTGTAGTCGCAGGGGTCGATCTCACCTGAAGCGATGCGGTGTCGGATCCGAGGGCCCGGGATGGAGACTGCGCGCGGAGGGCTTTCAGAAGATCCATGCATGTCCCCAGGATACGAAGAGAAGGACAAAAGCACCGTGGACAGCAGCATGTGGCAGAGACTCTATCGGAGACAGTGCCCTCAATGGGGAGAAGTTGGTCCGGAATATGTCTCCCTGCCGCCGTCATGGAGTGTTTGGTGGTTATGTAACCTTCTATAGGGCATCCGATGCACGGGATCAAACGGAACAAAGTACGCATTATTCGATGCGAGACAGGAGGCTTCGACATTCGTCAGCTTTCAGTTTCAGATGACGTATCAGTACCACAATGTGACAGAACAAACAAAGCGATAGTGTGAGCTTATGCGACGGTCATTGGCATCGACTAGGCAGTGAAGGAGGTGCGAGACTAAACGAGACTACAGGTCTGCCGGGGAACACACCTAGGTAGGTCCATCTTTCCCTTATACATCGCAAGTTCGACCAGAGAATCCGACAGACTGGTTGGTGGGACCCCCAGCAAGGCCGGGGGCAGGCCAGGTGCCATGGGGGCCTGGGGGCCTGGGGGCCTTGGGCAGATTTACTCCGCAGTCCACGCCGGCATGCATACATACACAATGCATCTCGGAGTAAACATTTTTGGCACGATAATCCCAGGGAAGATGCCGGAGGGATACGTAATTGGTTGTAATGGTAGCCGTCAAACCTGCCAGCCTCCAGGACGGCCAGCCCTAAGGGTTCAGCTTTGGGATTCGTGACAGGCTTCCCCCAAGCCACCTCGAGAAGCGGTGTGGCGGGGAATCCAGGCTGCGTTGACGTCACATGGCCCAAGCTTGGCCATGGTCTGTCAGTTTGTCAGTTACGCCATTACCATTCCGTAATCATGTGGTAACCTGCTCGTGGATGCGCGGGCGGGCGGGCGGATGGAGGTTCGTATGGCCGACGTACTCAGTACTCCAAGTCTCCAACAGCAGTATGATCTTAGCCGCGGCCAGGTTTCAGATTGGAAAGACGAGACAGTACCGGCATGAGAGACAGGATTCATTCCCATGGCACTTTGGTGCAGGTCGACGAGTTCGAACATTTCACTATCACATCGAACATCGAACACCTCGAATTCCATGTCTCCAGGCCCCAGGAGACCGGGGCACGTAATTTTACCCCCCCCCCCCCTCCCCCCCATAAAAGAACCTAACCAAGCGGTCAAGCTTCACACGTGGTGTGGAACAAGATCGGCGCCCCAAGCCTCTACCATCGTGCCGGTCTGCCAGGTCTGTGGATAGTCGATGAAATTGCAGACTGCCCTCCGTGCTCCGTACCACTAGATATTGATTAAGTACTCAGCGCGGAGTAGTCCGTGTTTCATATTCAAAACTTCGATTGAGGTCATTCGTACGGGAGCTGCCAAGGATGCCGCCAATATATACTACGGAGTCCAGCCTAAGTATATACCACATCACTTCCGCGACTGACACAATGAATAGCTATATTTTTTATTGATATTAAGTTAACATCCGATCTCCTTGAGCTTCTTTATCCGGATAGCGCTTCAATAATCAATAGCTAGCTCCGTAAAAAAAAAAAAAAAAAAAAAAAAAAAGGCAAAATGATGGGGCAGGAAAAGAAGATTTTGAAAACTAGGTGGGTAGTGTGTGCCGTCGTAGTACACGGGAGGCTACACTGAATTACCAGGTACTACTATCAAGTTCAAGGAATCGCATCCATTCACCCCACACGGACAGGATGTATCTATCGGGTAGTTCAACAAGCCATACTACTCCGTAGGGAGTCCTCAAATGCCGATGTTCACTGTGCCCGCCCTATTCTTCCATTATTCGTCGCTTTTTTCTAGACGCCGGGATCTGATATGCGCCTTCGGATGTCGTTCGCTGCCAAGACAGCACGAGACAAGTTGGTTGTCGATACCCTGGACGCAGGTAAGGCCATCTCCATCCCCTGCGTGCAGGCTCTCATTCCGCTGGGGAATTCGAGTAATTAGGGATAGCTATGCAGTTAGCAGCCGAGGCCGAGTGAGTTACTGTTATTCATGTTTACGCCGAATCGTACTTAGTACAGTGAGCATGGTTGGGGCTGGGGGTCTTACCCAGATTGGGTATATAACCGAGACTGGTGGCCATGGCTGAGATGCACTCCGCTGACGTTTGGAGGTATCTCCCAGTACTGTACGTATTTCCCCATACGGTAATTACAACCCGAAAGTCAGACTTCAGCCCGCGCTTACAAAGAAAGAGTGTGATCTCACGGCAAGAAGGCTGCATGCTGCTGCTGCTGCTGTTGCTGCATCAGTACCACAGTTTAGCACCGCCGAAACTTGTCCCCTATGAGTCTAATTAATACGCCTAGTCCTCCCTCGGCATCCAGGCGACGCATTACTGCGATTCCTCTCATTTCGGGTGCCACCTGGCTTGCAGAGAACAACCAGTTCCTTCGAAGAGAGTGAGAAAGAAAGAAATAAAAAGAGAGAGAGAGACGCGAACATGATTCACGCCGTCAAGTCCGAATGGATATTTTGGTTGGCGGGAGCCATGATTCGCACAAGCAGAGCCAATGGGGGTGGCTGGTTGAGAGTTCCTTGGGTCCGACCGGTTTTATTCCCGAGGGCGATTCGCCAGTTTTGGGTTGCACATGATGAGCGTCACAAATTCGGGATGGCCGGATGCTGTGCATATTGGCGGTTACCTAAGATAAGAAGATGCCTCCAGCAGTCGGTTTTCCACGGAGTGAGATTATGGGTGAAAGCTCATGCTATTTTTTGTTGTTCCTCTTTTTTAACAGGGCTGGCTTCTTTTCCTCTCTGGCTGGAGAGGGACCGCCAAAGTTCATGAGATGGGTCGTAAATGTCGAGACTCGAGAAGCGAGCTCAGCATTGTTGTTGGGGGCGCGCGGACCTCATTTTAATTCTTTTGTACCCATCATACCATTTCATGATACGGAGTACGGGACAGTACCATACCATCCCCCCCCCCCCTCCCTCCCTCGAGGACACCCACGGTCGGTGCGGTAGCCGCCTTACCCAGGCCGGTCAAGAGCGCAGGCGCTAAGTGGAGCGAACCCTGGGGACAATACCGGACCGTATGGTTGTGGCCTTTGTTGGTCCGATTGCTCGCCGCCTCGTCCGCTAGACGAGCTGCCGAGCCAGTCAGCTCCCCTCAGAGCGCGTCCGGTACAAATGCCCCATCGCTCGCCCCTTCTTCTCGCTGCGGCTTTCTCCTTCTGCTCCCTCTCGTTGGTCATCCAGCCTCTCCAGTCCTTGCGTGCCCTCCAGTCAACAACGTTGGCCTGTCCTGGCCGCACCGCGCCCATTGGTTTCCTGCCATTTTCTTTTTTTTCCTACTCGCTCCTCGCCCGCCTGGCTTCAGATTAAACCCGTCAGGCCTCGTCCAACCCAATCATCGCGCGCCCGCCCACCACCACCGCCCGTCCACCACCCACCGTCTCCCCCCATCCGCTTGACCCTCGTGATTGATCACTTTCCCTCGTCTCTTTTCTGCCATTACCACGGTTTGTCGCCGAATCACCATCCGATCCCCAGGTACGTACGTCCGCGAAGCTCTCTCCCTCCTCCCTCTCCGTCCGCTCTCCGCCAGCCAGCCGGTCGGTCGGTCCCTTGCGCGACGGATTTGCGGCACTCTTGTATTTTTTTTCCCTTTTTTTTTTTTTTTACATTTTTTTTTTTACATTTTCCCCCTTTGGTGATTGCATACCTTAATTCCCTGTGTGCCCAATCAACCCATCAATTGCACCTGTCCTCTGTCCGTCCCGAGGCAGGCCCAAACGAATCAGCCGAAAGGCCTGGTCTCAGTGGCCTGGTTTTCCCCCGCGCCCATCATCGGGCCTGCCCTCCTCCCCTCCCTCCCTCCCCCCCGTCCCCGGTCCCCGGCCCCCCAGCCCTGGTGCGGTGCGCGCGCATTCGTGCTGTTGTCGCTGTTCTGCCAGCACCAGCACCAGCACCAGCGCCAACACCACCCAACCACAGGCCACTGCGCCGGTTCCCCCTTCCCCTCGATCGCTGGCTCTCCACCAGCGAACGATACAGATCCGGGCTATTTTTGGTCCCGTTCTGTTGGAACTCCACTTTTCTTTTGGTTTTTTTTTTTTTTTTTTTGTTTTGTTTTTTTCAATTTTCTTTTTTTCCCTGCTCATTACACATACTGTTTCTGGTCATTTTTTTTCTGCCCATCATTCCCTTCCCCATCTGGTGCCGCCTTTGTGCTCGGCCGCGGATCAACCCGGGCCGGACTGACATCAGCGGCAGCCTACCGTGCGGTGAGGAAGCCTTTCTCGTTGGCAGAGCTCCGTCGCGTTGCTTTCGCCCCACGAATCATCACAGTGCCTTCCCCTCGTGACTGGAAGCCTTTCGTCAAATCATTGTCTCGGTTGGCTTTCTCTGTGTCGCGCTGCGCTGAGTTGCTTGCTGCTTGTTAACCCCCCCTCCCCCTGCGGAGAATATCCCTCAATCAAGGTAATTAACCTTTTTTCCTCCCACGAGGCACGCATGTTGTCGCTGCTGTCGTCCTTGGCTCCAAGTTGCTGCCCACCCCCGGCCCGCCAACCGCGACAGCGGTTGATTCTCCCCCCCCCTCCCAGCCATGATGGATGACTGGATCGAGGCTGCCATGGCTTTATCCACCTCCAGAGCAAAACAATCCATCTATCAGAACTAGTGTCGCAGGTACTCCCCAGTACTGCACGCAAGACCCTTCTGCCACGCATCCTCCTATCATCTCCCCGTCCCTGTGAGCTGCTGTTATGGCTTATGCATTGTTATGTTTTCTGTCGCGTTTCAGTTGCGACCCCCGAACTCCCCCGCCTACCATGGCCCAATCACCACGCGTCAACCCCTGCCCACTGTCTTTCCCTGACAGCTTTCTAACATCATTCTCTCTGGATAGGCGCGCGTTCGATTTTCACGGTCGCTGACGACAACAAACTCCGTCGCCTGGCTGTAGTTACCTTTCCTGCTCCCCATTCCGGTTTTTGCGCGCGCGCGCGAAACTCTGCCTACCCTGGTCTTGGGTTGAGAGTGCGTTGCATTTCAACAAGGTATGTCGCCGGCTGCATCATAATTCCGCTTGCCAACGCATACATCCTTCAGCCCTGAAGACACTAAATCGCCACGATGTTGCGTTCCCCCCCCCCCCTTCTCCCACCCCCCACCACTTTGACTTCCCTCCCATCGTCCCCCCCGAATCCATACCGTGACAGCGCACAAATCAAGAGCCGACCCCTCTGGTTGGTGGAGAACAACGGATGCTGATAGTCTCGTGTAGTAGCCTTCAGGCATACCGTACCCTGGCCTGACATCAGCGCCGTGTGGCATTATAGCTCGGGGACTGCCGGACCAGGATACTTCCATACTCCCGGGCCCAGGCGAACTAACTCACCTCGCTGCCAGCACCGCCTCATATGAACGTGGCCCAGCAGCCTGATCAATTTAGGATCTGAGCAGCGTTCACCCAGGTAGCCTGCCAGTTGTCGTCCCATTATACTGCGTAGCTTCTTGTTGTGTTTGCGATAGACTTGCGCGCCATCATCGACAAGATCGCGCTTTGTCTGACAACGCATCAAGTGCGACATCTAGTCGAGGGCACCCTGGTTCCCTGCATCGAAGCCCAACCACGTTACACTCGGAGGCGAGCGTAAGAAAGATTTCCACAAAAGACGCAGAACCTCCGGAGAAAGCGGTTTGAAGCATTTTTCGGCAAACAAGCGTTCATCTCCTTTGGGCGAATTCCGTTGACGCCAGAAGTTGATGACTGGGTGGATTGGCAAAACAAAAACAGAGGTACGCGCCCAGGTGTAAGCGCCTTTCCTCTGTTTCCATCCCCCCCCCCTCCCCCTTCCCCACCACCCGCAACCCAGTGACCGGTGGGCGCTGCGCTCCATGCTGACACTCGAACCCAGAGCCTGCAGACTTTCGCAGTTCCCTCGTCGAATCATCAGACAACCGTGTCGCGGCTGCCCTTCCTTTGTGCACAACGGTGATATCGCTAGGTGCAACTGTGCTTTCGCAACCTATCATCGCCCCCTTCCTTTTGCCACCGTTGTCTCAGACCAGCGATACCCTTCGATTGGTTCGACTTTGGCCCTATTATTGGCCCTAGCCCGCTGGTTCCTGACAGCTAGGGCACTCCAATCACGACGCGACTTGGACGACTGACGGTGAAGCCCGTCGCGACTCCATGATGGAATACCCCCCGCAGTATCAACAGCCTCATGGGCAACACGCCCATGCCTCATCTCACATCACCGCCCCTTACCAGACCGCCCCTCCGAATGCAGGGCCGACGGTGGGGTCGATGGCCTCCCCCACCAACCCTCAAGCACATATGCAACAAGCCCATCCCTCACACCAAGCCTCTCCCATTGTACCATCACAGTCCCATTACCAGCAGGCTCAGAGTGGCCCGGGCTCCGTCCACCAGCAGATGAACTTCCCCCAGTCGTATGGGGTTACCACCGCGATGCCACAACCCTATGGCATCTCGCCCACCCAGGCAGCCGCCATGGCCACCGCTGCGGCGTCCGGGCAATTCTATCCGCTTCATCAGGACTCCATGGCGGGTCAGATGCCTCAAGGGCCCCGGGGCTCGCCGCGCATGGCGGGAGTACCAGTGAAGAATGATCGCAACCCTCGTTCGCCGCCACAGATCCCGGGACAGATGCCGTCCATCGGGACTCAGGTCCAGATGACCCAGAACGCTCAGATGCAGCAGCGTCGCATGAGTCATGTCAGCAGTCCACACGTTCAGAGCGCCCAGCCCGTTCTCAACCACGTCGGACGGCCTTCGGTGGCTCCGCCCATGGCCCCTCCCCCCCAGCCCCCGGTTCAACAGAGTCAGCCCTCGCCTGATATGGTCGCTGGCGGTGCGGAGGAGTCGCCGCTGTATGTGAATGCGAAGCAGTTCCATCGCATCCTGAAGCGACGGGTGGCCCGGCAGAAGCTGGAGGAGCAGTTGCGACTCACGTCCAAGGGTCGTAAGCCATACCTGCACGAGTCGCGTCACAACCATGCGATGCGCCGTCCTCGGGGACCTGGAGGTCGCTTTTTGACGGCCGATGAAGTGGCCGCGATGGACAAGAAGGCGGGAGGCTCCTTGGCCCACGATGTCGTCGATAGCGGCGTGGTGAAGTCGACTGGAGACAGCACGCCGTCCGCCCAGAAGCGGAAGTCGAGCGACGTGAACGACGACGGTTTCAACTCGGCCAAAAAGGCGAAGACCGGCGGACCCAAAACAAGCACCAGCGCGGACGAAAGTGAGAATGACTCTGCCGAGCTGAGCGACGAGGACGGTTGAACGACGCCTCGCCCTCGGGCCGGCTTCTAGGACCTTTCTTTTCCGTGACTATTTTTATTTATGGCTTTTATGGATGGATGTCTGGATTTTATTTACCCCCCCATGTTCCCTGCCCTTCTCTTCCGCAGCGAGCGATGTGCAACTGTCTCATCTTCCCTCATACCGATTTACATTCCCCCCTTCATCTTCCCCCCCACCCCCGCCTCTTGTGTCTTCTTGAAACCCCTTCCCGTTTCTCCTGCTCCGATCTTACGTCTGTTTATATTGTTATGCTGGCACGAAGTATCACTACCATTCTCGCTTCATCTAACGAAGTTCAGCCTGTTAGGATCGCATGTATGAGATGATGTATGTTCTGTTATTTTCCTTTCTCGGGATGGTGCACGATTTCTCAATTTCACGAATGGTTACGTTGTTCCTCCCACTGCCGATGCTGGCTGGATGATCCGGGGGGTTATTAATCCTCTCGACGGTCGAGATCCTCGGCGCTGGCGGTCCCCCACACCTTAAAGAAACCCCAAAAAGACGCACCGCCACCAGGTCCACTCCGGCCACCACCGCACTCAAATGTCATTGGCAACTTTTTCTTTTCTCTACTGCAGTCCCTTCCTCTCCCCGCGTTCCGCGCCCTTCGCCGGGGTCGGTTCCGTTCTTTTGCATAGTGCCTTCGAGCCGTGGTTGGTATTAGAGTGCAGCCTCCATCATCGCTGGTAAAAACGCCCACCACCATAAACACGCGGCTGATGGGCGCTGGCCTGGTTCTTTTCGGACGGCGCAAGAACTTGCCTGAGATTTTTGATCTGGTGGTTCTAGTGGATCGGTTCTGGACTTGACCTTTTGTTTTGTTTTCTTTCCTTTTCTCTTCTTTGTCTCTCGTTCGGTCCCACATTTTCTGACCTGTTCTTTTGAGCTTTCCCGGATGATTCCCCCGCTAGTCGTGTACAAATACCAGGACATACTTCTCGATCTCGCTCGCCCGGATCATTTCCAGTGAAGGGCGAGGATCAAGTAGATAGTTGTGTTTTATGTGTGAAAAATCCAGTAGTAGAATAAATAGAATGGGTTCACTGTCCGTCTTCACTGGTTCTGGACTGGATGCTCTAGGAGACAGGGGTAGCTGCCATATCTGCGCGCCTTCCCTTCTTCATCGCCCGTTCTTGTGCTCTATAACCGGGCCGGATTCTCCATCTCTCTGCTTCTCATCCTCGAGTAACGAGCCTCCCATCCGTGGGAATTGCTCCATATTCATCATGGCTGCTGCGGCTGATTCTGACCTGTCGATCGACATGCAAATGACGTGTAAGTCGCACTAGCATCTCTTTCTGTGGTGTTTTGTTGTGTTTGTTGGCTGGAGGGGACTGGCCTGGCCTGGGGCTAGCCGGACAGCCTCAGGCCGGCCATGGCCCGGACGGGGTTAGCGGGGGTCTCGGCCAGCCTCACTCATTGATCGCTCGCCCACCCGCCGCCCGTCGCCGCCTCTCTCTCGCTCGCTCGTTCTCCTTCTTCTTCCTCTTCATCTTCCCTTCCCTCCTCCTCCTCCACCTCCATCCATCCGCATCTCCTCTCCGCTGATCGCCCAATCGTCCTCTCTTCACCCCCCCCTCCCTCTGGGATTGCTTGTCGGATTGGACGCGTTTCTTGCAGGATCTTCTGTCTCCAATTCCGATTCTCCTAAGGCTTCTTCTTTCTGTAGGTCGCCTGCCTTGCCTTCGCTCTTATCGTGTTCAGTCGAATCACCGCCCTTCGTCTCTCTTCTTCCCTCCCCTGCCCTGACTCTGGCTGGCCCTGTCAATCGGGTCGCGATCGCTTTTGATCCCTCTTCCTAGTCATTCAATCCATTGGAACCGCGCCCTACCTGTCCTTTGCTGGTGTCTTGTCTTCTCTTACTCCTTCACCTCTTCTCGGGTCTCATTGCCGCGCGCCATTCCTGGCCTGCAGTGACTTCCTTCTGTGCTTACCTCCCACCACCTCTTCTCGTCCATTTGATCTGTGCTCTTTCTCTCTCTCTCTCTCTCTCTCTCTCCCTCTCCCTCCCTCCCTCCCCATCTTTTCTATCTCTCTTCCATTGGCTCTCCTGAGCAACACTGCTTTTCATCTGCTCCGTTTTCGGGGTTCTTGTCATTCAATCCAGACTCATCATCATGCCTTGTCCATCTCCCTTTGCCGGTGGCCGGCCAGCACCCCCCTTCTCATCCTTCTCTTGCCCAGCCCGCCCTCCCTGCCCTTCGTCAACGTCCTGCCCATCAGGCATTCTTGCAATCATGAAGGACTTGCTCTAATGTTGATCATGTCGGATCTTAGCCTACGATTACTGCCTCTACGTTCCGGAGCGCCACTCTTGGCTCTCAGTTGGCAGACACCCCCGAACCGACTTTCCTTCAGGATTTCCACTTCCTCCCGTCTACGCGATACTCCACATCCCCCACCTGATGGATTCCTACGAGGGCTACGGCTCTCCCGGCAGAAATCGAGATGCAGTCGACTCTTATGCCTCCAGGGCACCCGTGGATTCGTATCGCCGCAGATCACCGGGTAGGTGCCCAGCTCGGATATACCGTTGTGTCTCATAACCATAGCCTAACATTCCGGATGCTTTAGTATCTCAGGATCGACGTCGCGCTCGTGGACGTTCGCGCTCGCCCGTGATGATTGATCGTTACGAACCCTCCGATCGCCGTGCTTCGCGAGACGATTACTACGCCGCCTCCCGGGAACATGCCGGACGGGATCGTGAGGATCGTCGCCGTCCGCCGTCGCCGACCGTTGCCAACATCGACCGATATGTGCCGGGGCAAGATTCGGTCAAGCGCCCGATCCCCACCAACCCGCTCCCCAACCCCTTGAACCTGGACTTCCAGGTCGGCTTCAATTGGTTCGCGGAATGGTGGAGGGCGGAGCAGTCGATCAGGGAGGAAAAGGAACGCGCCAAACACGGCGGCCGTCGTCCGTCCGATCGCGTCAAGGGAGAGCGCGAGGCTCGTGAGGACCGGGATAGGGAACGCGCGCAGATCCAAGCGGCATACGATTCATACAAGGTGGACCTGCAGGCAAAAATGGCCCGGTCTTTCGTCCAACACCATCGGAATGAGGAGTGGTTCAAAGAGCGCTATGTTCCTGAAGTCCGGGATCCCCTTCGTCGTCAACTGATGGACTTCCGCATGGGTGCCTACCAGCAATGGGAAGCCGACCTCGAGAGCGGACTCTTCGACGAATTCACCCTTGAGGGCATTTACAAGAGCGAAAGCGATGGTGCAGGTGGCGTGATTGAGAAGGAGGAAGGCGAGGCCACGGCCGTAGGAGAAACACTGGGCGTCCTGGATTTGCTCCCGGCCAGAGGTGGCGATTTGCGCGACGAGGCGCTGTCCCAGTCTGCCCTCTTGATCAAGACCTTGGCCCCGAATGTTAGCCGGGAGAAGATCCAGGAGTTTTGTAAGGAGCACCTGGGAGAGCAGGATGGCGGGTTCAAATGGCTTAGTCTTAGCGATCCCAATCCTTCCAAGAAGTATCACCGGATGGGGTGGATCATGCTTCATCCTGCTCCTGATGTCGAGGTCATCGAGAGAGGCGACGGCAGAGAAGAAGAGGGCGAGGAAATGGAGCAGGATGACACGGCTAACGGAGCAGTGACTGTTACCGCCGCCGAGAAGGCTCTCGAGGCGATCAACGATAAGACCATCCACGATCCGGTTCATGGCGACTTCACATGCCACGTGGGAATCCACGTCCCCCCATCCCAGCCACGCAAGAAGGCCCTGTGGGACCTTTTCTCCTCCCCCGAGCGCATTGCGCGCGATCTCGAGTTGGCACAGAGGCTGGTCTCGAAGCTTGACTATGAGATGGGCGGACAGGCCGATGGCTTCACCAAGATCGAGGAGCGTGTGGAAGAACTGCGGGGCAAGGGGTGGCTCCAACCACCCGTGACGGGCCCTGTCAGCGTCAAGAAGAGAAAGACCGACTTTGATGCCGATGATATCGATGAGGGAGAGGCTGAGGAGGGAGAGGAACAAGAGTGGGAAGATGACGAGAATGATGACGAGGAGCTTCTGGCGAAGAAGAAGAAACTCGATCTCCTGGTCGAATACCTCCGTAGAGTCTATAATTTCTGTTTCTTCTGCGTCTTCGAGAGCGATTCGGTTCACGAGCTGGCCCGCAAATGTCCCGGTGGACATCTGCGACGCCCACGTGCTGGCCTCACGACGCAGTCGAAGGCCGTGGCCAGAGCCAGTGCTCTTGGACAGCCGTTCCCTGTCAAGCGGAAGGAGCCCAGCGAGGAGGGCGAGGAACAGCCGGTTGTTGAGGAGAGGCGGCCACAGCGCTACGGTTCCAAGTGGGAACAACAGCTCCAGCGTGCCTTCAACTGGGTCAAGACGTTTGAGGACAAGCTCTTGCAGATCCTTGAACCCGACAGCGTTGATATTGGGAAGCTGGGCGGCAAGCCCGTGGAAGACTCCTTGGAGGAGGAGTTGAGCAAGCATGTGAAGCAGGAGGACGAGTCGAAATTCCGATGCAAGGTGCCCGAATGCACAAAGCTGTTCAAGGCCGATCACTTCTGGCGCAAGCACATCGAGAAGCGCCACGCCGAGTGGTATGAGACCATCCGCAGTGATGTAAGTTGATTGTCCCCGAATCCGCGTGGCTGCCTGCTAACGTAGCCCCAGCTCGCATTGGTGAATTCCTATGTTCTGGACCCGGCTCGAATCGCGCCGTCGCGGTCCGATGCGAACAGCAACGGCCACTTCCCTCTCGGCTCTGGCCAAGGCCAAACCGGCACCCCGCGTGGATTCAGCCTGGCATCGTTGCCCCCATACCTGGCCGGTAGCGTGCCGCCCGGCTTCTCTGGTGTTCCGGGGTCTGGCATCCCTGGGTTCATGGGCGCTGGGGTCCCCGGCGACGGCTCTGGCTTGCACCAGCCTGGTGTTGTGCGCCGTGGCGGTGGTCGCTATAATAACCGGTCTGGTCCGTACGACCGTCGTGGCAACCGGCATGGCGCTCCCGGCATGGGCAGCGGCCGTCTGAGCCCGCCCCGTGGCTTGCCCAGCATGTATGCGGGTGGCCGTCTGCCTGCCTCCGGTCCTCCCTACATCCCTCCGGGCCACCCCGCCGCGGCGTTGATGGGGGCCGGTGGCTTCATTGATTCCATGGGCTCCGGGTCCGCCCAGCAGGGACCGCGCGAAGCCGTGCAGGGCCGCAGCCTCAAGAGCTACGAGGATTTGGACGCCGTCGGCGGATCCGGCAGTGGCGAGCTGAACTACTAGATGTCTACGACTCCACAAACTCTCTTCTCCGAGCAAATGGCGTTCCCTGGTGTGTCTGTCTGCATTTCCGCAGCCCGGTTTTTATCCGCCGCATATGTGCCTTTTTTACATTCTATCTACCTCTTTGATTGTAATCTTTGATTTTTGCGTACATGAGCCCAAAATGTTCCCTCTTCTTCTTTTCGGTTATGCTTCTCTATCTATCTCTCTTCCTCTTCTTCTTCGGGATCAAGCTGTGTGTGCAATGGAGATGGGGTTGTTTACTCTTTTCTCCTTTTCCTTTTCAACTTCTCTCCGTCTCCGCGGTCGGGCTCATAAAACTCCAGGGTCTTCGGATTCCCTTTCCTTTTCCAATTCTTTTAGCTGTTTCTTTTCTTTATCTTGCGTCTGGTATCGGCATCGTCAAATTGTACTATAGTTTATATAGCCATGTCCTTGATCTTCGAAACATAAGTTCAATGATATATGGTTGCTTTATGATTATTTGATGTTGGTATCTGGAGTAGCCTAGTGACTGCAAGCCGTAGATTCGTTCGTTCATACTGATTCTATGTATGCATGTAGTCTTCGCCAGCACCACCTCCCTCCCACAAACAAACAGGTAAACAAGATAGGTATCTCCAAGACAAGAGATCAATCAATCAACCAACCCACCCATATATTCATTATTTTTAATTATCGAGATGGTTAACATGAAATCCGCAACTAGAAATCACATCACATCACATCACATCTGAATAACCACCTCATCGGCCCCATCCCGCCACTGCGCCCTCATCTTTCGCACCCGCCGCTCACTCGCCAGGAATAGCAGGCAGTAGATGTGCGAGGCGATTTCGCCCCAAGCGTATATCTTGATGGTTAGGGCAGTGGGATCGGGATTGGTATTAGCATCGGCATCGGCATCGGCATCGGCATCAACATCAACATCAACATCAGTGCTGGTGATGGTGGTGATGGTGGTGGTGTTGGTGTTTGTATTAGTTGGGGTTGTGGTGGTGATGGTATTAGTTGGGGTTGTGGTGATGGTGGCGGCGTTGACGGTGACAGGCGATGATATATCCTCTTCCAGAATACACCACACGCCCCATCCTGCGCGTCCCTCGGTGATGATCTCTGACAGGAAGGTCCAGAAGCGGGTGAGGAGGGGGAGGGGCCAGGTGTTTGCATTATCATGCCCATGCCCATTTCCATTACCATTCACAGTCCCTGCTCCAACGGTATTACTGGTATTCAATTTCGATTTCGAGCCTGGATGCCGGTTCTGGTCCACATTCTCATTCTGTGTCTGCGAAGGACGTGCAGAGGACAGATTCACCCGTAGAAACCAATACCCTCGCTCGAGATCATCCAGGTCGCGGGTCTGCGTGGTCGGGGTGTAGGTGCGCGAGGACTTGAGACGGGTGGCGAGCATGGCGAGGGTGGGGGTGATGTGTGTGATGTAGTGGGTTGTGGTTATTGGGGGGAGGGGGTTGATTGTTTGGGGAGGGGGAGGGGGAAGTGGGAGAGAGAGAAGGGGTGGGGAGGGGGTGGTTTGGTTTGGGGTTGGGTTGGGTGGTTGGTTTGGAGGTGGAGGTGGTGGAGGTGGGACGGCTTTGTTCGTGGTGGTTTCTTTGGGTGCTGGTATGGTTTGGTAGACTGTCTCTGTGGGTGGTGGTGGTGGTATTGGGGGTTTTGTGAGATGCCCGGAGGTGAGGGTAGAGTTGGGGGGAGTGGTTTGGTTGGGTTCGCTGGGATGTTCATGGGATTGTTTAGGAACCTTGCTGGATGATGCTTCATGAACCTCGCTGAGTTCTCTAGGGGTTTCCTCGGATTCTCCAGCAGCATCGTGGGTTCCAGTGGGAGCGTCCTCGCCTCTGAGATTCTCACGGGATCCCTCAGGAATACCGCCGGATTCTCTATGAGCGGCGTGAGTTTCGCCGAGAGCGCCATGGGATTGTTTAGAAACCTCGTTGGACTCTCCAGCAACATCGTGGATTTCCCTTGGAGCGCTGTCTCCAAAGGCCTCATGGGATCCTCCGAGAACATCGCGGGACTCTCTATCAATCTCGTTTGATTCCCTGACAGCCCCGTTAGACTCTATAGAAACATCGTGAGACTCTCTGGGACCCTCGTTGGATTTGCCGGGAGCCCACGAAGACGACCCCAACCGACTTCGCTTCGCAGACGGAGACTCCAATCCGCCCGCGAAAGGCGATTTACGAGTACCAGGGTTCAACAGTGGAGGCTCAATCTCAATCTCCCGCAAGTCGTTGTCATCGACATCGACGGGATCAGGCAGTCGTTCGGGCTGGGAGTCCGGAATAACGCTCAGCGGGGTCCCGAGGGAATCCTTTTCATATCGAGTTGGTTGCTGGGCAGATGAGAGAGGCCTGGGGGGTTGGGATGCTGCGGTCGACGGGTTGGATGTGGAAGAGTTGGTGGTGAGTTGCTCTTGGCCAGGTGCTTGGCTGGCAGCTGGACTGGCAGCTGGACTGGGTGAGGGTGCGGCGGATTCCAAATCCGCTCTTTGCTCGTGCTCATGCTCGTGCTCGTGCTCGTGCTCGTCATCGCCAGGCCCCACGGTGATCACCTGGCGGGAGACGGACTGGAAGCCCAGGATGGCGCTGACCTGGGCGCGGTAGTGCGCATCGTGGGCGAAGGTGCTGGGGGCGGAGATGTGGACGAGCACTTCGGGATCGGGCATGGCATCGGACGGACGGTTGATAGAGACGGGACCTGGGGCGACATGGTGAGGCTCTCACGGGGAGAGTAGACTGACGAGTTGTGAGGGTAGCTCCGTGGTGGTGAGAGGAAAGTGAAGTGGAAGACATCTGGACGGTGATGGGCGCAGCAGCAGCGGGAAAATCACGAGCCATGGAGACTGCCCGATTGGGGTATGTTGTGGCCTGAGGCGGAGCCGTGGTGGGGGAGTTGTACAGTCAGCGTCATACAGTAGAGACAGACATACAATGCTGTCTCCGTCTTCCGTGCTCTGTCTTTACCTACTTCCATCTACCGGCGAACATCCTCGGGGACCAAGAATCCCCCAAGCCCCCCCATCACAGACAAAGAAAAGAAAGAGGGCAAAAAAAAAAAAAAAAAAAAAGCCACAGGACCCCGAAGAGGGGAATCCTGGTCGAATTACATCACCCCTCCGGATTCCTCCGTATCATGCGCGATGCCAAATAATGGTCAATGCCATCCCATCCCATCGCCCAGGGCCAGCCTCCAGCACCTACCCGCCTGGGCAAGGAGCGGCGGACGGCCACAGACGCCGACGGACGGACGGTCCGTCCTGATCGTGATGCTGCGCCTGCTTCCCCCTTACAGCTCGCTACACTACCGCCGCACCCGGGCCAGGAGGAGGCAGCTGCTTCCTCCAGGTGCGTGGCTGACTGGCGCCTTGGATATGTAGGTACCGCGTACCGTGAGTCTGACTATGTAGATACTATCTATCCCCCCAATTCCGAGCGTTGGGGAGTGGACCACTTGTGCCTGCCACTAATGGATCATAACGTCCAGCGCTATCCTGGACCGGGCGACTAGTCCGAGGGCTGCTGGCGAGGCCAGTGGGGCCGATGGGTCCAGATAGACAGGTAAACGGCAGCCATGAATACTTACAGTATGAAGTTTAAAAAATAATATATATTCACAAGAATAAAAAAAAAAAAAGATGAAGAAGCTCCATCCCAGTGACTCTAGGGAGAAACAAAAACAAAGAACTCCGCCCGAGGAGGCGAATGAGGAAGGACTTTGGAAGGCTGAGGCTGACGGTCTCTATCTGGAACACCCGCCGCGGAAGATCGATCGAACCAAGCAAACAGCCGGCTGGAGGGAATCGATGGATGGGTACGCGCTATGGATCAGGTTTCAGATTGGGGACGACGTTCACTTCTCGTCCCCTCCCCTCACTCGGAGTCAGACCCATCTCTCTGCACGGAACAGCCTGCACCGGGTGGATGTCTAGTGAGAGGGAGCAGCACGATTATTGAGGAGGCGACGGAGATCCTGGACTATTTGGCCTTGGGAGGGAGGAAGGGAGTGACCAGCTCGAGGGGAAAAAGCAACGAGAGTGACGGACTGACTATCACATTTCCGATGCACCGTAGGTAGATGTTTTCTTTTTCTGTTTTCTTTTACTTTCTTTTCCTTTCTTTTCCTTTCTTTTCCTTTCTTTTCCTTTCTTTTCCTTTCTTTTCCGTTCTGCTTTTCTTTTTTTTTTCTTTTTTTTTTTCAATTCTCTTGAAATGAAATGCACACCCGACTGTTGTTTGGATGTATCAAGTCCCAGGGGAAGGGAAGCCTGTAGGAGGCCGCCTGGCTGTTTGGTGGGTTTGGTGGTGGTGACAGATTACCAGAGACCGTGTTCCGTCAGGTACCACGGCGTGTATCTCTGTGTGACCAGACCACTTTCTGCTGTATCTGGTTGTATCTGGTTGTATCTGGCTGTATCTGGCTGTATCTCTGTACGACAGCACCTACCTAAGGTATGTGCCATGTAAGTAAGTACAGACAGCATCACTCTATCTCCAACGCTGCCACAACGCGGAGGCTGGCCGGACTAGTGGACGCCCCGAGGGCCTGGCGGGCCGGGCTGGCCTGGCTGTTGGGTGGACTGGGTCCGTTCTTCATCATCGTCTCCCTCTCCTTGGTTCTTCTTCACCCTCGGCCAATAATGCTGCTGCTACTGCTGCTACTGCTGCTGCTGCTGCCACTGCCACTTGACAGGGTCTGAGACGGAGACGGAGACGGAGACTGAAACTGAGACGGAGAAGAGAGGGGAGGATCATTCGATATAACGCCGGCTCGCCTACGCTGCCTCCGATTATTCGATATTGCACTAGTCTGCCTGACTGCCTGCCTGCCTGCCTGCCTGCTTGCCACCCTCCACTTCCACTTCCATTTCCACTTCCACCTCCACTCACTCAACTTACTCAACTCACTCAACTCACTCCCCTTTCAAGAATCAATTCTCGCTCTTCCACCAGCCATCGAGAACTGCAAGCTGCACCATTGCCTGATCATTCCCCATTCCCGGAATCCTGCCTGCTAGACTCGTCTCCATCCGCCGCCTATCGGGGAAAACGTCCGACCCTGCCGGTGCGTCCGCCGGATCTCGTCCCTCAAACGGGGTGGGCGCTTGGACGAGCGAATCCACCCCGGGACGTAGTCCATTTTAAGGCTGACAACGGTCCAGTTCCCTCTGCCTCGCCCTCTTGACGCTTGACGACCTCCTCGTTTATCTCCATCTCCAGTCTCTTCCGATTCCTGATCTGCCCGTCTGCGCCCGTCCTCGCTCCTCCGTCCGCTCCTCCGCTCCTCATCCTCGTCCTCTCCCCTCTCCCCTCTCCCCTCTCTGCCCGTCTCTCGCCCTCCAATCCCACCAAACCCACCGGTCGCATTCGCCGCCATGGCTTCGATGAATGGCGGGCCCGTCCCGTGGGACCCAAGTGCGGAACATCGCCAGTCGATGCCGCCCGACGACCTCCAGAGTAAGTGCACCACCTCATCTGGGGCGCGGACCCTTTCTCTTCTGTTCGTATTGGGGTGAGCCGGTCGGAAATGCAGGGGAAAAAAATCATATACTGGCGGGGATGGGTCTCATGGACCGCCTCCGGGGATTGATGGCGCTGCAACCCGTCGAGCGGCTTCATGCGGGCGCCGTGGGCTTGTCGCCTGCATCTGCACGGACGTCGCTCGCTGGCGGCGGTGATGTTCCATCTTGGTCGTTCTGCGAAGACTCGTCGATTGCCTGCCTCTGACACCCTGATCGCAGGTCCGTCCGGGTCCCGACCCACCACGCTCGGCGCCGAGTTCTTCAAGTTTTTCAGCGGCGGCGGGACGCAAAAGAAGGTGACACGAGGTGGGTGCCATTGTGTTCGAGACATCCCCGTGTTGTAACCAACCCGGATCTAGATGGCCAGCCGGCCAAGCGCCGCGGCCCCAAGCCGGATAGCAAGCCGGCCCTCACCCGACGCCAGGAATTGAACCGCCAGGCCCAGAGGTAGGTGACCCCGTACTGTCGCGGGATTCGGCTTCCGTCGGAATGCGAGACCAACTGTCGTGCAGGACCCATCGCGAACGCAAGGAACAGTACATACGGGCGCTGGAGACGGAGGTGTCGCGGCTGCGGGAGGCATATACCCAGGAGATCTCGGCCGCCAATCTCACCGTGGTCCAACACCGGGACATGGTGCAGTCGCTGTCGGACGAGAACGGCATCCTGAAGGAGATCCTGGCGGCCCACGGCATCAACTATGAGCCCGAGCTGGACCGGCGCAAGACGGAACGATCGCAGCTGGGGTACCAGTCCAGCCCCTTCGCCAGCAGTGTCGGCTCGCAGCCCGCGGGGGTGGCCCCGTCGAATCCATCGAGCAGCAACCTGTACACGACGCCCCCGACCACCGTCTCGGCGAGCCTGAGCCCGAGCACCACCGGAGTCGAGCACGTGGACGTGTCGCCCATGCAAGAGATGACGCCGCACCAGTCGATGTATCCGGTGGCACCGTGCGACGCGCTGGCCACGCTGGATCAAATGGCCCCGACGAGTCGGATGCCGAGCCAGCCGCCGGGGATCTTCGAGGAGCACCCGCAGCTGCAGATTGACTTTATCTTAACGTAAGGCTTCCTCGATTCCTTGCTCGGTTCTTTGAACGAGACAGACTGACCGTGCTAGATTGGAATCGCCGTGCCGCGAGCACACGGACTACCTCTGCCGGCGGTCGATCACGGAGGCGGACGACGAGGACATGCCCTTCTCGGGGCACGCGCTGATGGCGACGTGCCCGCCGCCCAGTTACATCGCGACGACGACGCACGCGGAGACGTACCCGCACAAGACGTACGACCTGCCGCACGCCAACCTGACGACGCTGCTGAACCTGAGCCGGCAGCTGGTGGCGGAGGGGCAGATCACGCCGATCATGGCGCTGCAGTGCCTGAAGAACCACGAGCTGTACCGGCGGCTGAAGCGCGAGGACGTGAAGATCATCATCGAGACGCTGAATACGAAGGTGCGGTGCTACGGGTTCGGGGCGGTGGTGGAGGACTTCGAGCTGATGGACTGCCTGAGCAGCGTGCTGGGGGGGCGTGTCGAGGGGGGGCTGTCGCACCGGGACGAACTGATGTATGCGTGAGCCGAGAGAGAGAAGAGGCGGCGTTCTGAGCGGTTTTTTTTTTTCTTTCTTTTCTTTTCTCTTTTTGATTGTCTGGCGCGTGTAAATAAAAGCTCTGCTCGACGGGGAGCAGGGGTTTCCCAGCGGCTGTCCTGCCGTTTTTTTTTTTTTTTTTTGTCTGTTTTTTGTTCTTTGTTGGTGGTGGTGGGTGGCACCCGCTCGCCATCGTTGCCTTCCTGTACGACTTCTATGTGAAACCACGAGATGCCCTAATGAATCATATACATACATCTATACATATATACATACATACATACACACTCACCCTCCTTCTCTACCATCCACTCCAATCAAATATAGATAGCAGACTAACAGACCACATCCTTCGCAATCCCCCCCACCGCCTCCCCGGCCCTCAACCTGCCCACCACCCGCTGCACCTCCCCCCACTCCCCATCCCGCAACACCTGATACACGGCCTCCAAGTCCGCCACCCTGTCTTCCTCCTCCTCTTCCTCCTCCTCCTCTTCTCCCTCTTCCCCATCCCCATCTCTCCCCTCTAAACCCCCACCCCCCTCCTCCCCCGTCTCCCCCTCGAAATCTCCATCCTCATCCCCTATAATCCCCATAACCGAACTCGAAGCCAACCGTCCCCGCAACCGTCTCACCTTGGCGCGTAAATCGGCAATGACCTCCGCCTGCGCGATGGCCTGGCGGTCTGCGTCTGGCGCGGCGTACTTGCATTCTTGGGGGATGTTGCGTGCCGTGCAGGCTGTGCAGGGGGTTTGGCGGTTACACTGTTTTTTGTTATGAGTTATGGTGTTAGTGGGGAGGGGGTAGATTGGGATAATATAGACTATGAGGAGGAGGGATGTTTGGCTTACTTTTACTTTGCGCGTGCGGCAGGGGAGACAGGATGCCGTGGGGCGGGATTTGGGGCGGGGTTGGGATGGGGATTGAGACTGGGATGGGGAGGGGGAAGGCATTGCGCGGGAGGAAAGTGATACAGCGTATCAGATTTCCAGAGAACAACTGGAAACTGGAGGAGTGGTTAGTGAGTAGAAGACGTCTAGTCAGTGGAATAAAATGAGTGGGACGTGAAATTGGAGGATCAAATCATGTCCTCCCCGCTAGTCCCGATCTAGCCCTAGTGCGGCGGATAAGGTCGCTTAGCTAAGAACCTGACCCTCTCCCATTGGCGGCGGCCGTACTCCGTAGCGGCCCCATTTTTAAGGCGGCTGCGATTTGAGCATTTCCCTTTCCGGTCCCGGTCTTACTTCTCTTCCCTCTTCCACTTGCTCCTTCGTCTGGTCAATGCCTTCGGATGATCCGACCTGCGACCCAGGGTTGGCGCCTGTCTGGGCGTTCGGACTAGACTAGACTTCACGGTCTCCGCTGCAACTTGACATCGGGCTTCATTTCCTTCCCAGTTGGACTTGTTGCTCCCCCCCCTTCCCCCCCCCCGCGGAGTCGCTTGCGGAGGAGCATTCTTGTCGGTTTGATCTTGTCAACGACTGGTAGAGTCGATCGGGGTGTCGGTGGCGAGTGATGGGGATTGCGATTGTCAGGCAGGCTGCCATGCCATGCCACATTGTCTGCGAGGATCCCCCCATTATGGGGTCACCACCCAAGGGATCCTTCCGCGCAATTTAAACCTCCCCGCCGTCTCGCCTCGACAGCTCGACACTTTGCTGAATTTTCAGCTGAGCTTCACCTGAACTGCTGTTCGTCCAACTTTAAATGCATCCCCCCTTGTGCACCCCTTGGCCCCTCCCACATTCCCCCCTTCAATGGCCCCCCCCCCTCGACCTTGCGTCGCACCCACACCTCCTTGATCGACCCTTGTCATATATACTTAAACCCCCCCCCCTCCTCCCCCGCCATGTTCCGCCGTCCCAATGGACACCGCAGTCGGCCTTGCATCTAGAATCCCCCTGTCACCATGAGAGCGAGACAGACCAAGCGTCCCGCACCGCTCCTGCGCCGCCGCAGCACGCGGAAGAAGGCCAAGCCGTCCCCGCAGCTGCTCCCACGAGTTCTCTTCCTCGCCAACAGCGAGCACGGCCAGACAAACCTGATCCTTGCCTTGGCCCATGAGCTGCTCGTCCGCGGCGACATCGACGTGCACATTGCCTCCTTCCCCAGCCTGCTCCCGCGCCTCGAGAAGGTCCTCCAGGACAATATCTCCCGCTACCATCCGGCCTATCGCTCCCGCATCCACTTCCATCCCATCGCCGGTCCCTCTAACACGGAGGCCTTTCTTCGCACGGGTAAACGATCCATCTGCCATCCCCCCGGCTACGAAGGTGCCTTAAAGGGCTTCAACTCCCTGTTCGAAGAGCTCTGGGCCTGGGGCGAGGAGGACTACCTCCAGGTATATCACAGCTGCCTGGAGATTGTCCAGCACGTCGACCCGGCCACCGTCATCGTCGATTGGTTCTTCCCGCAGGGCCGAGATGCCGCGTATAATGCCGGTCATGCTGCCATTGTGTTGTATACGACCTCGCTGTCCCATATCGTGTACGGCCTGCAGCCTCATGCCGCGTGGGCATGGAAGTTCCCCATGTCAGTGACTTGCCACTCCTAACTGAAGGATGATACTAATGAGGACAGGCCCGGAACCGACTTCCGCTACCCCCTGCCCTGGCGCAGCATCCCTGCGAACGCTATGGCCGTCATCGAAGCCGCCAAGATATATCGCCGCAGCGGCCGGCAGCGCCAGATCCGCGAATGGCGGATGAAACACCACATCCAGGGCCGGTTCCCCTTTGCGGATGCATGGCGGCCGGATCGGTTTCATCTGACCCCTGGTCTGAAGGAACTCGACTGGCCGTTCGAGGTCCCGGACAATGTCCTCCCGTGTGGACCGATTCTGCTCCCGGTGGCGTCCGTCAAGGCTCAGGATCCAGAGCTGGACCGGTGGCTGCGCAGTGCGCCAACTATCATGGTGAACCTGGGGACGCTATATGCGCCGGATCCGCGCGTCGCAAGGAACATTGCTGCCGCGTTGAGGACCTTCCTGGATGCGTGGACGGGGGAGTCGAACCTCCAGGTGCTGTGGAAGCTGCCGAAACATACAGAGGATTGTGTTCACGTTTACGAGGAGGCGGTGGATTTGCTGCGCTCAGAAATTCAAACCGGCAGGGTCCGCATCCAGCCCTGGTTCCAGGTGGAGCCGCTGTCGATGCTGGAGTCCGGTCAGATCATCTGTTCCGTGCATCACGGCGGTGCCAACTCGTGGTATGAGGCGATCCAGTAAGTTTTCCGCTACCTCACCATGAACACGAGCTGACGGTCCCAGAACGGGCGTGCCCCATGTTGTCCTGCCCGGCTGGCAGGACTGCTACGAGAATGCCGTCCGCACGGAATGGCTCGACATTGGCGTCTACGCCAACAAGACATCCGCCCCCAGCGTCGACGCCGTCGAGTTGTCCAATGCCCTGCAGAAGGTCGTCGGCAATCCATCCTACCAGGCCAAGGCCGCTGAGCTGTCAGTTCTATGTCGCAGGAAGGAAGGCCGCGTCGTCGGCGCAGACAAGATCGCCGAGCTGGTGCGCAACCCCGAGAGAATGGCCCTGCCCATCCCCGGGGTCGACGACATCAACCACATCCCCAAGGGCCGGCTGCAAACCATCAAGAACGCCTCCGGCGACACCCTCGAGACCATCCAACCCCCATCCCTCAACATCCCCCTGTAAGCCTCCCTTCAACCCACCCCCCCTTCCACCCCACTAACCAGTCAATCAGCCCAACCCCCATCCAAAACGCCCTCGAACTCCTCATCGTCGCCATCTCCACCAACACATCCTTCCTCCTCCCGATCCTCGGCTACTCTCTCCTCATCTTCCCGCGCCTCCGCCTCCTCACAATCCTCTACCTCATCTACATCAAATGGATCAGCAACGCGCCCAACTCGGGCGCTTCGTGGCTCCGCAACGACCCCTTCCGCAACAGCCCCCTGTGGACCCTGTACACCTCCTACTTCCCCATCCGCCTCTACCGCAGCGTCCCCCTCCCGCCGCGCCGGAAATACATCTTCGGCTACCACCCGCACGGGCTGTCCATCCGCGGCGCCATCGGTGCCTTCGCCGCCAACGGCGCCGGCTTCTCATCCCTATTCCCAGGCCTCACATCCACCCTCCTCGTCTCCTCCAAGATCCTCCACGCCCCGCTCCTCCGCGAATACGCGCTCTCACTAGGCATCAACAGCGTCAGTCGCCCGTCATGCGTCAACCATCTCACCAAAGGCGGCCATGACGGCCAGGGCATGGGCAACGCCATCACCATCTGCATCGGCGGGAGTCGCGAAGCCGCCATCGCCAAGCCAGGCACAATGGACCTGATCCTGAATATCCGCCGCGGCTTTATTCGTGTTGCCGTGCAAACCGGCGCGGACCTCGTCCCCGTGCTGGCCTTTGGCGAAAACGAGCTCTTCGATATCGTCGACGCTAAGGATCCTCCCCTTCATCCCTCCACCTCCACCTCCACATCCGCAAATACCAATCAAGAGAAACCGAAATCCCTCCTCTCATGGCTCCCCCGCACCGTGAAATCCCTCACGGGCAACGACTTCCGTCTCATCGTCGGCCGGTTCGGCGTGACCATCCCGTTCCGCAAACCGGTGCATGTGGTCGTGGGTAAGCCGATCCGGGTGAAAGAGTCCCGCTGGGATCAGGATGAGGCGTATGTGGCGCACGTGCATGAGTTGTATGTGGCGGAGTTGAGACGGTTGTGGGATGAGTGGAGGGGGAGTTTTGGGTTTGGTCAGGGGGAGGGTGAAGTCAAAGGGAGGGGTGTGGAATTTAGGGTTGTGGAGTAGGTTGGTTAAGGTTCATTAATCACTTATCTCTATTCTCGCCTTCTTTGAGGGGTGGTTCTTTTCGGTCTCTTTCTTTTATCTCCTTCTTTACCTCTTTCTCTTCTTCTTTCTTTTTTCTTAAATGGATGGTGGGGTTGGTTTATGGGTGTGTATAATGTTTTATGTGAGGGGTTTGGATGGATATGTTTTACGAATTTGGAGTTGGAGTTGGAGTTGGAGCTGATATGTAAGTATGCTACGGGTCGAGTGAAAGCAGGAAGGCAGGTGTGAAATCAACGTCAATGGATCAAATCAAATCAAATCAAATCAAGTCAGTTCAGTCAGTCATGCTATGTAAAAGTCACAATCACACTCTAGAGTAAGGAACCCGAACCCGGAGACGTCGTTCCTAACCACAACAACCGTAACAACTTTTCAACTCTCACTGAGGCCTCAACCTCCAACCTCACAAAACCATTCATTCACATCAAGCCAGCGAGCGAGCGAGCGAGCAAGTCAATCTAGTCATTCATCATTCGCCTCGTCCTCGGGAGCCAATTTACTCATCATTCGCCTCGTCCTCAGCAGCCAATTTACTCATCATTCTCCTCGTCCTCGGCAGCCTGCTCCTCCTCGGCAGCAATCTCCTCATCCTCCTCAAAAGTCGACGAGGGCACACTGTACAGACGGAGGACGGGACGGTTGGGGTCCTTGATGAGGACATACTTGGTAACCTTATCCTCAGTCTCATCGGCATCGAGGGCACGAATGCGATCGACGATGGTGCGGACGATACCCCAACCGGTGCTGAGGTTGAGGTTCATCTGGGCGGCCAGATCACGGGGCTTGTAGCCGACGACACCGAGCACGACGTGGGCGGCGGCGGAGCGAGCATTGGCACGGGAGACGAAACCGAGCTTCATGGCATCGGCCTTGGCGAGGATGGCCTGGGTGGTCCAGCGGGCGAGCTTGACGCTGTTGTTCTTCATCTCGGTGGCGACGACGGCACCGCGCTGCGACCACAGCTTGCTGCGCCAGTCGAGCGCGCCGCCGGAGCCCTGCGCCTTGCTGTCGAACTCGTTCAGCGCCTTGACCAGCAGCTGCTGGTCCTCGCCGGTGACGGGGTTCTTCATGATGGCGTCGACCTCGGTGCGGACGATCATATGGACGGGCTCGTCGTCGCGCTCCAGCGACAGGTCGAAGCGACGGTACTTGTAGCCCTTGCTGGCGAGGGGCTCGGTCTCCTCGGCGGCGTTGTAGAAGGGGTTGGGGTTGGCGAGGTCGACCTTGGTGTCGGCGGACTCGAGGACGGTCTGCAGGGCGAAGTTGTGGTTGATGATGGTGGCCTCGAGCGCCAGGGCGCTGGGGGTGTTGATGGCGTCGGCGGCGTTCTTGGAGGCGGAGTCGGCGAGTTCCATGGGGGCGTCGGCGGCGTTCTCGTTGACGGTGACCAGGTCGAGGGACGAGCCGTCGCGCTTGTCGAAGTAGATCTTGTTGCCCTGGTGGACGATGACAATGTCCCACGAGTAGACACTGCGGGGCGCGCACATCAGCATGGACAGGATGTCGGCGTTGGCGAACACCGTCGCCTCGTTCTTCTCCGCCAGCTCCTGGATCACCGGATCCTGCGACGTCGTGACGTTGTACGCCGCCCGCTCCAGCGCCTGCAGCCGCCGCTCCGCGTTCTTGACCGGCGCCTTGTCGTACGTCCGGTCGTACGTGTACAGGAACCCGTACGTGTCCAGGTCCTCGCCCTCCGGCGCCTCCAGGTTCAGCTTCGACAGCCGGCTGAAATCCACCTCCTCCAACATGTTCCAATCCGGACGCACGTTGACAGACGCCTCGCGAGTCCGCTGCGGCTTGTCGTAGTCCTTCCATCCGAACCGACGGCCTCCGCCGCGTCCGCCCCGTCCGCCTGCCCGGTTGTCGTAGAACCGGTCGCCGCCCTGCCCGCGGCCTGCCCCGACCCGCTGGAAGCCCGCGCGTCCGCCGCGCTGGGCGCCGCCGCGCTGTCCCCGTCCACGGAACACAGTGCCGCCGCCGCGCCCGAACGTGCGCTTCGCCGACGTGCGCGTGTTGTCGACCACCGAGAACGACGACTCGTCTTCGGCCACCTGCACGGCAAACAGGCTGCCCGAGCCGGCACCGTACACCTGCTGGTCTGGAGGAGAGGAAAAGAGGTTAGCCGTGCTGTCTCTGTCTGCTCCTACAATCCCTCCTTCTCCTCCTCGTATCCCCACCAGGTTATATTGGGGGGAAATGCTCTCACCTCTGTAGTTCCGGTTATACCCCTGGCGACCACCGCGGTTATCTCCCTTGGCCTCGGCCGTCCAGTCGGCCATGCGGCCCAGCTTGTCGCCCTTGGAGAAGGGAGCGTAGGGCACGCCCTGCAGCATGTTGTCGGAGGCCGTGGCGGGGCCCCAGGTGTCGTCGGCCGGGAGAGCGGCCACGAGGTCCGCGATAGAGATGGGAGCCATGATGTTGATGTCTGGATCTGAATCCGAGTTCTGATGGTTGATCAGAAATCTGGCTTTTTTTGGGGGTGGTGGTGGTGGGGGAGGTCTGGAGAGTCTGGAGACGGCGGATATTCTCCTCCTGTTGACTTTGCACTTTTTTGTGTCCCGAGAACTGTGGCGGATGGGTGTGGCGCGGTAGATGGCACGGCCACAGATGGGTGAGAGGTCACGTGTGTTGGATCACGGGGGATAGATCACGTTGACATGGGTCAGGGTGTGTATTGGTGACTAATACTAGTTATGCATGCATGCAGCGTCGCGATGATCGCTCGCCCCCCTCTTCATGTTCCTCTCCATCTCTCTCTCTCCCTCTGCATTCAGCCGAGGTATCGCATTCATTCCATCACTTCCATCACTCCTCACAGCCCTCCGTCCTATCTGGCATCTCACTATCTTATCTCGACTTACATCCACCGTGACAAATGTCCTCAGCCTGATAGATCGACATCCTGTCGATGCACGAGTACTGTGCACAATTTCCGATTCCGATATCGAAGGTATCTCCCATCATTGGCCGCTCGTCCTGCAGCGTCCGATTAAAGCCCGACCCAACGCCAACTGCCTCCAGACTGGACTGGCCTTGCCCAATCCGGATTTACGTAAAGGATCATCTATCAGTCCTCCGTCCCCATTTCCCAGACAAGGTTCAATCAAGGTTGGGAACAACCGGCTCCTTCAGGCCGATCCGGACGCTACAGTACAGCCATAGTGGCTCCGGCACCCCTGGGCCGGCACTCCAGCTCAGTATGACGTCCTCCACCCGGGCCACGGTCGACCATCCGCTGCGCCGGCCGGCAGTCAATCGCGAATGGCGTGGATGCGGCGACCTGCCGACAATCCAATTTTCGAGACCTCGCATCGCATCGCATCGGCCCTGGCTCTGCCCGAACTGGTCGGCACCGGCGCTGATTCGTCGCCAGAGACGTCCTCGCGGCGGTTCGCTGATAAGACGTCCTTGCTGACAGGCAGACAGCCTCGCTGGCGGATCTCTCCCATCTTTGGGAACGATCGATCCCCGCTCCCTTGGGACCCTGGGGTGGACCCGGTTCCTGCGGATGCTATCTGTGGCGTATCCTTACCCTGTCTGTGGTATATGTCTTTGTGAACTGCACTGTGACTGGTGCTTTATGCCTCAACCCATGGGTTCGATTTGGGTTCATTCGGCGGTACAGACCGTCCGCAGATCCCTGTTCCATCGGGAATGTGCCTGGCTTGCTTTTGAGGCTTCCTCTGGACCATTCTCGACCGAGTGCACTATGGACATTGAGATAACCACCACCGGCTGATGGGAAGTGTTCGTCGACGGTATCAATGCCCGCACTCGAGGCGTGGTTGGGTCTTAGTCACTGTCTGTCCGAGACGATATTTAAGGCGCCTGGACCCCGCTGTAATATCTCAAGTCAGACTCAAGCCACCGAGTACAACAACACCCTCTTCCTCCTTCTCAAGCTCTCAAGCTCTCAACTCTTCAACTCTTCAACCCTGCCAAATCTTTCCATCTACCATCACAATGCAACTCACCACCGCTCTCTCCATCCTGGCCATCGCCACCACCGCCTTTGCTTCCCCCGCCCCTCAGGGCAGCTCCTCTGCGGAAGCCCAGGCAGCGCAGGTGGCCAATTCCGAGTCCGGCTCTTCTACCAGCGAGGGCACCGTGCCACAGTCCAGCTGCATCCCCCCGGTGCTGTGCTGCGGCTCCCTGACCACCCCCCTGGACCCCCTCCTCGACCCCATCCTCTCGGACCTGGACATCGACGCTTCCAGCATCGTCGGCTCTGTCGGCCTGGCCTGTACGTTTATCCGCACAAGTGATATCACGATTATATGCTAATGCCAACACTGCAACAGGCAAGACCTACGACACCAGCTGCACGTCCGCGCCTCAGTGCTGCTCTGAGGTCAACCTCCTGGTATGTACATGTCATGTCCACAGATCCTTCTCTATATTATATATCAGCAGTTATTCTAACAAAAATACAGAACGGCCTCCTGGCCCTGGGCTGCTCTGCCATGGAGCAGTAGATGACTCTTTCATATGCATATCCCGCCATAATACCATGTACCATATCGGAACGTTGGGCGGATACGGATATATTCATGATTTTCTGGGACCTATCGTGTCTGGTTAGCTTTAATGTGTGAAATATTATTTATTTACTTATCTGTATTGGAACATAGCATATCACAGCATCTTCTGAGCGCTGTCAGGTAGTTCGACTGTATTCAATATTTATGGGGATATGGAATTTTCTTGGATTTTCCATTCGGTCAAGGAAGATCACCTGATCTCGTTGATCCCCGCCGCCGCCCGGCGCCTTCATCACCATCCAATCCCTTCAGCGTTCACATCACCTTGACCGGAAGCTTGTCTCGCTGTTTTTCTCACAGACTTACCCTTCCCATTCTCAGAGAAATGCTATCATCGCTCCTCCGGTCTTTACCCCGGCTCGGCCGGACGTGGAAGCCTCTCAACTTCTCCAATTCGGGTTTCGTTCGGATACCCGCCAGTGAAAGGATCGAAGAGGAGACAATCCCAGATTATGTCGCTTCGCGATACTTGACTCGTTCGATGTCGCAGGGCCCGAGGATCGGCATCGCTGCCTTGTGCATCCTCCCTTGTGGGAGAGTGTCTTGACCTTTCTGCACCGCAACCCGATCCGGAGGCTACCTGTCCCGGTTCTGGCGTTTGTACTGAAGCGCTTGTTTTTGGCGCTGGACTATCTACATTCTGAATGCCAGATTATACATGCCGGTATGTGGGGTGTATGGTAAGGAAGTAGCAAAGCAATTGCTTGTCCAGTTGCTTGTATCCGTGGGACCAGATTGATCACTTACATCGCTTAGATCTGGGATATCTTCGAAGAAACCAGCCCCTCTTCACCGGCTACGATCCCGAACACCAGACATATCGGAGTCGAGCCCACCTCGCTGAGATGATCGGTCTTCTTGGCCCCCCGCCGCTCAGTGTTCTTGCTCAAGGAGAGCTGAGCCATAAGTTCTTTTCTGATGAAGATTAGCCACTTAGCCACTTGATAGATTTCGGGTTTCATCTGCCTTTCTTTTTCTTCTTTTTTTTTTTTTTTTTTTTTTTTCTGACATTTTAGCTGACTTCCGTGCTGGAATCCCTCTCCCTGGCCGAATCCCACTCGAGGACCGGGAAACCACTCTCGAGGGCCAGGACAAAGTGGAGTTCTTAAATCTCATTCGGAAGATGTTGCAGTGGGAGTCGGACAAGCGTAGCTCCGCCAAGGAACTTGCGGAGGACGAGTGGATTCGTAAACATACTACCTAAGTGCGTGATGTGGTGTTTTCCAAAAGGGCAATATGTATTGCATTGCGAGGCCAGGCGACCGCATCGTGTATCATATATCTACGTGTATGTTCTTTACGTTTCCATAATCCTGCTCTTATAATTTGGGTTTCTGATATACATCTAGAATCACTAGTTCCCACACCCCCTACCATCCACAACAGCCAAAACTAACCGTCGCTTTGATAACTGGGCAGTCCAGTCTTGCACAGGTATGAACTATGTATGAGTGGTTGTTTGATTCCAGAAAAGCACTCGAGCTTTATACCATTCAAATACTGTCGGTTTATCAGCGTATATCGGGGTGGTAATAGAGTTATTATGAATCAATGCCGTCATGGGATCTAGGACCCCGAAGACAAGTATTTCCCTTGTTCATCTCACCATACGCCATAGACCGGGTATATGTGTGCCATCTCCACTGGATTGAGGCACCCGGTGAGGAGGCAAGTGGCATGATATTGTTCCAGGCATTGGGTAAGTCAGTATCCGACAAATAAATCTATAAGCTTCTTAACAGATTCTTTCAGCCTAGCTCTGTCTCTGTAATGGGGTCTTGGAGGTGGTTTTGCCAGTCCACCTAGGGATCCTCAACTGGCTCTGAGGTTGCTGTCTTTTTTTGCCCCTTTGGGGTTTTCTTGTCTGTTTAAAAGCTGGTGTTTGGGATATTCATACCGCCATTGAGGGAGGACAGATGCCTTCGTGTAGATAGATGGTGGCGGTTTTTTTTCCATGTAGAATCTGTCTTTTTTTTCGACATATACATCCATCGAAAGTCAGAGACAGTTCAAGCCCCAGAGATAGAATAACTCGAGGGCTAGACTTTCTTAGCAAGTACTACATACACCCACAATGATCACTTTCTTGCAGGCTTTTCAACTGTTGACCAATGTTATGTCATAGGCTCCCTCATCACTGTCGAGAGTTTTCCAACAGTCAGAAGCCACAGATTTGAGGCCAGCTTTCCAGCCATTCGACTCAATAAAGTGTGTTGTTGTCCATTTCAGCAATGCATACAGATCGAATGCGTTGTCAAATATCCCAGCTGTTGGTCGTGATGGCATCCCGACCCCATCCGCCACCTCTGCCATGCTACTTGTGAAGACCTTCTTCCTAGCCCGTTCCCAGTGCCTGGTGAAACTCAACCGGATAGTATGAACCAACAGTAGCAAGTCAAGCCCCAAGCAGATCCCAGCCTTCTTTCAGCCAGGACAATGCAGGCAATTGTCCATCACCCACTGATCCTGAATCCAGAGCATAGTACTCACACTTCCCGCGGGTAGATCAGATCATATGAATACGCGCCCTCTGAATCGAGACGATCTTTCTCTTTCCTTCCCGGACTGTAGATAATTAGGCCGGCAAAGACCCAATAGATCCGGTGTCTGCGAATCCTTTTTCAAGAGCGGGACCAAGTGCCGCGGACTGGTATTCTTTCGAAGCCATTCCTGGGTTGTCTTCGGCGAGGAGACAACCCGCACCCCACAGCCATGACCGGCTGCCAGTGTGGGAGCACTAGCACGGATTTCCAGTAAGTGGCCTTCTGTTAAGATAGATATCTTATCGAGAAATATCCTTCGTCGTGGCCAGGTTAATCACGATAGTCGCCTCCATAAGAAAGCTTGCTTCCAATCCTCGAAATAGGAAATACCCATGAGATCCAGCGGATCAACGGGTATTCCACCGGATACGTGGTCTGTGTGCAGTTTCATTGAATCTCGGGATCTTCTATGATTTTATCTTTTCGACCAAAAGTAGCCCTGGGAAGTCCTGTAAAGGCTGTATTGCATGGATACGCTCCAAGTCAGAGCGCTGGGAGCTCTCGACCGACGGTAAAAAAAGTGCAGCTGGGTTCAAAAGTTGCATTCCGCACTTATTCTGGTTAGTATGGAGTGAAACAAGGGTTGGTGGGACTTGCAGCCCGGGATTAGCTGCAGCAGGATAACCGGGAGAAGCCAAAAGTGAGGAAGCTGTCCATATTTATTGGATAGAGACGGGCGAGGTCAGTTTGGTAAGAGGAATGGTTCATGGGTTATGTTTGATATTGTGGGAATTTGATGGTTTCGATGGGATGCCGGGTATAGGGATGAATATTTATGAAGGAGAGGTGGGAAGGAAGGGGGATTGTAGGAACTGGGGTAGATATAGATGTTACGAGGATGGGTTAGGGTATTGAATGGAGGTTGGCCATGTTGGTAAGTTGAGTTGGTGATGGGTATGGATTCACAGATATATAGGTTTGCTTGGATGCAAGTCTCTTAATTCAATGACGCAGAAAGTTACAGTGACTGGATAGGTAGGAGTGTAAGCCATAGGAAAAAAAATCAAAAACCCTCATTCTCATCCATCCACCCCTCCACCACCGCAACAATCGGATCCTCGTCCACCTGCATATTCTCCACCACTGCATCATCATCATCATCATTCTCCCCATCTACTACATCCCTCTCCTCCAAGAGCGTCTCATTCCGAAACGAAACATGATACACCACATCCCCAATCCTCGCCCCCCCAGGAGCAAAGAGAACCGTCCCACTGGCCAACCGAAAGAACTCACTTTCCTGCACCTCATCCCTCCTCGCCGGCCCACTCCTCGTGTACTCATTCCCATCGTTCCTACAATTCGGGCGACTCTGACAATACCCCAGCCGACTGGCATTGCTAAAGGCGACACTGAGCCGACAAGGCGGTTGGTTATGGCAGCCTCTGTTCCGGAACTCGCCTCGCGAGTAGTAGAAGTTCCGGAGGGCTTGGCCTTGGGCTGCAGATACAGGATACGTCAGTCAGTCAGAGCAGAGACAGACAGGTTGATCGGTCTAACGGGGGATATGGTGGGTAAACACGAACCGTTATTCTGCCGTGCTGCAACGCAACGATTGACCTGGTTGCCGCGGTCTGACTCCCTCACGGACTTGAAGGGGTACTCGTCGCACTGGTAGCCGCTGCCGTAGGGGGGTCGACTGCATCGGTTGGGTCGTCCGCAGCCGGCTCCCCGGGTGCGTTGCTCGGAGGTTCTGTTGGAGGGTCGGTCCCAGGTGAATGTCGTGCCCCAGTTCTTGCATTTTGCGCCTGTGGGTATGATTAGTGTGGTTTGGGGGGGGGGAGGGAGGGAGGTGTATGAGTACCGTAGCACATGTTGAGGCAGACGTCTGGGATGGTTGATGGTTAGCATTGCAAAGTCGAGAAGAAAGAATGGGAGACCTGGATGGATGGATGGCATACCGCCAACTTGGTTGCTATTGCAGTTGAACGCTATGGTGTCTGCAGACCCTAGCGATAGCAGAGAGAGGATGCCCAGGAGGAGAAGGAACTGTTTCATGTTGAGTTGAGTTGAGTTGAGTTTTTCGATATTGACTTAGGCAGTGAAGCCCGTACCTTTGACGACCGTTCATCTTCGACAGATGAGGCACTTTATATACACCATGTTCTATAGACTGGCCCTTCTATGCTGTACGCAAATGACCTCGCGCACAGCCATATAAGGAAGGGGTCGTACAGTATCCATCGACGCTGAGAGCTGGCTGGAGTCAGCCGCGCGGGGAGTGTCGTACGAAAGGCTAAATGATAGCGAAGAGAGACATGGAGAAGAAGAAGAAGAAGGTGGCACGACTGTCTTGTGGATTGGGCTGGGGGGGGGATTCACCAGCCGATGCGGGTCTCTCAGGGTTAAGGTTGGCATGCCCCGTGCAGGTGCAACATCACTTCCCTTCCCTTCTCTCCCCTCTTCTCCCTCTTTCCTCTCTTCCTCACTCCCCTCCATCCCTCCCTTCTTCTCCATCTATCCCAGTACACTTACACTTCTTGACCACGCGTCCCAAGCACATAATACCAAACAAGTAAGTAAACCCCTTCCCCGTGACCTCTACCCACTCACTCACACCCCCCTCCATCTAGCACCACATCGCATCCTCCCACCATGACCTCCCACCCCAATCCCAACCCCAACCCCAATCCCACCATCGACCTCACCCTCCCCCCACCTACCCCCCCCTCCACCAAGCCAGCAACGCCAACTGGGACGAAGCCTCCTTCGCCATCTACACCCTGATCACCCTCCCAGCCTCCTCCCTCTCCGCCCTCCTCACGACCCTCAACGACGAATGGACCCAAAACATGACCGACGAAGCGCCGCCCCTCGTGCGCACGCCCCCCGTGTATGACTTCACGGGAACTAGTCTCCGAGAGGTGGTCCAGGCGCACAGCGCGCTGGACAAGGGCTTCACGCCGCGTGACGACAGCGGCGCGGACGGGAATATCCAGTGGTACCCGACGGCGTTCATTGTCGTGACCAGTCTGGATTGGAGGGAGAGGGGGCTGGTGTTTGTGTATGTGGATGGGGAGGACAGTGGGTTTGCCATGGAGAAGTTTGTGTTTATGGTGGATGATGCGTATCTGATGCTGTCGAGCTTGAGTTTTGGGGATGAGAGTCTCGCGGGAAGTCGGGAGAATTATGGGGTGGGGGAGTGAGTGAGTGAGTGAGTGAGTCAAGGGTCTATGATAATAAACTTATTTAAGATTGCAGATACGTGTAACAGCTCATCCATCCCATTACTCCCAGTGTGCAATGTAATCAGGCAGATAACTCGCTACTACAGCCCCTCTACAGTCTAAGGTCTGCATGAATGACAGGGTAGGTCATCAACCGTCCCACTCTCAGCACTCGAATCAACCCATCCATCTCTCCATCTCGTCTCCTGTTGCTCCGCTCGTCTACATCAGACAGTTCAGCCAACTTTGGCCTTCAAATATGGTCCATCTGTGCCACTTCCACCATTCGATCAAGGTATCAATTCGGCTTTTTTTTGGGGGGGGGGGGGGTTGGTTTGTGGAACAGTAACGAGCAACGGTCCACGCTTTTCTTCTATTGCAATTGCAAGTCTAAAGAACATGTTGTCGTACAGCCGAGAAACTGTCATCGGAGGCATTCAGACGATATCGCTTCTTAGAGCCGATTGGACATAAGGTCGACTTACTTCGCTCCATCCAATAAATGGCCCATCCGCTTGACCAGGCTGAGAGACCAGACAGACAAAGTAGAATGAACTGGCCGAAGATGGTCAGGGGACGGAGAAATCCCTCTCTCCTCTCTCCTCCCCTATCCCCATCACAACTTTTCCAACCCCCCTGCAATTATCCAGAACAGTCCATCTGTCCGTCAGCAAATCACCCCGACCCCAAATCCCCCAAATCCCCCTCAACCTTGGGCCCCCTAAACCCCCGCTTCCCCATCCCAAACCACAACCCGACCACCACCCCCCACAGCCCCACCAACACGACACACGTATAATTCATCGACTCGACCGCCACCGGCAACGACAGCGGCAAACAAACAAACACCCCCAGCACCACAATCCACATCACCACGAACCCATTGCAGACGTAGCCCAGCCACCCCAGGTTCAGATACCGGCGGGGCAGCGCGGCAGATCGGCCCGAGATGAGGATGATGCCCTGCGGCACGACGTAGGTGATGTTGAGGAAGAGGACGGCGCAGTTGGTGATCATGCTGAAGGCGCTGGTGGAGGCGAGGTAGAGGAGGCCGTAGATGGCGACGAAGGTCAGGGTGGCGAGGGTGGTGCGGACGGGGAATTTGAGGGTCGGGTCGACGTGGGAGAAGTAGGTTGCTGTTGGGGAGGAGATCTGTGTTTTTTTTTTTCGTTAGTATTGTTTTATTTGGTATGATTGGGCGGTTTACTGTGGGGATTGAGGGGGGGCTTACGTCTCGGGCGAGAGACCAGGCCATGCGGCTGCATGTTATCCATTGGGAGGGGATGGATGCTTGATTTTGATTAGTTTGGTTGGAATATGTGTGGCGGTTGCGTGTGGGTGGAGGTGGATGCTTACCGGCGTAGACAATCAAAAGCCACACTGATAAAAAGGTGGTGACGCCTCTGTTCTGGGTCCTGTACGGATGGGTATAAGTCAGAAAGGGCCCGGTATATGGAAGACTGCACCTACGCCTGATAGATCAACTCCAAGCTCGGAAGCGCGGACCTCACGACGGCATCCATGTCGGACATGCAGAACATCAGGGCAATGAACAGCGGCAGACAGGTGGCGAGACTCAGAAGCACGCTCATGATCATGGCCTGAGGAACCAGTCGACCGGGCTGAGGGAGTTCCTCGCTGATATGGATAGCTGAATCGGTCAGCAGCCATAGATGTGTCTGTCATTAAAAGCATACCTGCGTCCGTCCCTGCGATGGCGTACATTGCGTTCATGACGCCCAGCATCCACGCAGTCCCGTCGTTCCAGCCGGTCGTGCCGAATCCATCTTCGAGGAGGAATGAGGCGGGCTGCTTTTTCTCACACAGGGCCAGCGAGAGGATGAAGATGAGGAGCATGCCTGCAATGGATAGGTACAGGGCTATTTGGACGATCCAGTGGAGCTTGTTCGGGACCGTGAATAGTGGAATTACTGGCCTGTTAGCTGCTTTCGTCCTCTGACCTGATTTGAGTGATACATGATACTTACAGGTCAGCACCGACACAGCGAGATAGATGAGGTACACGTGCCAGTTCTCGGCTATATACTCGGGGCGCCAGAAGCTCACAATCCCCGTAAGGGAAGCCGTGACGAGCGAGATTCCCGAAGCCCTGCAGTTGCTATCAGCAGCTATCCAGATCATACTCAAAGACGATCCACTCACGTCACAATCCACCACGCCAGAACAGACATGCATCCGACCACGAAGGCAGAAAACCTTCGTGACTTTTTCGGACTAAGCATATAGCAGAAGTGATACTGGCCCCCGCTGGACTAGTATCGTGAGCTTTACCGCCCAGCAAGGCTGCGGAGGAGCGAACATACCGGAAAGGCCGAGGCCAGCTCACTCAGCCCGAGAATGGTAATCATCTGGACCGCAAACGCACAGATGAATCCGAAGATCACGAGGCGAGGGCCGCCATACGCTAGTGTCTGGCCGAAATTACTCTGTTTTTCATGCTTCTTAGCGGATGTCCGTGGCCCTCGGGATGTATCAGGTTTCTACTGACCAGATATCCGGCCCAGGAGTTCGTGATTGAGAAGGAAATGCCCAGAGTCGACGCCCAGGTGAACTGATGGGGCATGTCGGGTTTTCCGCTTGCATGGAGGGCAGGGTCATCCAGGTTGATGGCCTCCATTTCGTCATTCTGGATGCTCTCTGAGCTGACGATGGCATCTTTCCGATCGGTATCTGCGGCCATGGTGAGGTGCCTGGGCAGCTTGACGCGGCGGAGATCAGAGCAGATCGCCCGGTCCTACTCCTGGGTATGTGGGATCGGTGTCAGACTCTTAAAGAGTTGTGTCCCTCCATGAGGATGCAAGGGGCTGTTCAAGTGATCGTGCTGGAGCCTGGTCTGCCCTTGCGTTCGAGCAATGCTTCTAGCCTGCTCTGACAGATACGCTGCGCGCCCTAAGAGGCATTCTCTTGCTCGTGTTACTTGGCCCGCGTGGGCTTCGATCACATTGATAGAGTTGGAATTATACTGTCGTCATAGCTGAATGGGAGGACAATGGGATAGGCAGTCGGCCCTATCCCTATCCACACAACAGCCCGACTCCCCGAACCAAGGGCTCCCACACCACCCCCCTATTCCTCCACAACATCCTCCCGAAGAAACCCATTGCTCCCAGCCCCCCCGCGAGCGCCATTGCGGCCACCGCCATCAAATCCCAGTTTCGGGCCTTGTACGCAGGCATCCTTACATCCGCAGTCTGCAGATGCATGGGCCTCGGCTCGCTCCCCTCCCCGAACCTCAACTCGTCGTCATACATGACCTCCTCAATGAGATCAGCAGCGTAATACTTCCGCCGCGACGCAACGCAGGCAATGCGCTGCAGCCGCAGCGAGTTCCGGGCATACGTGCCCTCGAGGTCCTCAACCACCCTCTTGGCCTTCCCATACACCTCCTCCGCCGAGAACCGGAATTTGTCCAACGACTCCGCGACACCCGCATGCACCAACCGCGCCATATTGGCAATCTGGTCCGAGAAGATCCCCATCACGAGCATGCGCTTCCCGTGATACAGTCCCTCATTCGCACTCGACCCGCCGCCATGCGTGAAATAGATCTGAACCGCCTCGTGGTCGAGGATCGCTCGTTGGGGCGCAAAGAACGGGAAGAAAAAGTCCCCATGTCTGCCACTCAGAAGATCATCGAACGTGATCCCCGCACCTGCATCAGTATCGAACCTATACGCCAGATCCAGATCCTGCCGCCCACTCTCCCCTACCGCCCAGATCACCCCATCCAAGACCCCCTCCGCCAGTAACCTCAACAACGCCTGCACGATCATCACCGCATCTCCATTCGAGATGATAACATGCGTCCCCAGCGCAATATACATAACCTTCCTCCTGCCCTCCAAAAACACCTCCTCCCGTTTCCCCAGCCCAGACAACTCCTCACTCAACACCGGCCCCACCAACGCGGCCAGCGGCGGCAAATCCCTCGCGACCTCAAGCCCATAGAACGAATTGACCAAGACAATGTAATCCGGCTTCTTCAACGCGGGCAAATCATACGCCACGCCCTCCCCCCTCCTCATCCTCTTCGTCCATCGCCACAGCCCCAGAATCTCCCTCAGGGCCCAAACAACAACCATCTCATTCCGAATGCGCAACCACAGCGACGCGTCCTCGGACGTCACCGTCCCATCGATCTGAAACCCCGGCTGGCCAGGGATATAGCTACACGGCAGCATCAGCGCCGGCATGGTAGGCGACATTACAGCGATGGGAATGCCGAATTGGATCTTGATGTCGCGGACGGCATCGACGGCGAAGAAATCGGCCACGATGAAGTCGGGGCGCGTGGCGGGGGAGGAAGTGATGCTGTGCAGGCCGTGGTAGGTAAGCGGCCAGAAGGAGTCGAAGAGGTATTTGGATGGCATGCTGGCGGCGAGGCCTTGGGACATGTCCCAGTTGCGCATGCGCAGGTAGTGCGCGTTGTATTGGGCAGGGGTGGGGCCGGGGCCGAGGAGGTGGGTGGTTGTGATGTAGGGGTGGGAGGAGAGCCAGTCGTCTTGGTCGTTGAGGGTTGCCAAGGTGATTGTGTGGCCTCGCGAGGAGAGGATTCGGCCGAGTTCGAGGATGGGGGCTGATGTGGTTAGGGTGGTTTGTTTTGATGGTGAGAGGGGAGGGGGGGTTTACCGGCGTGGGTGTAGCCTCCGGTCGTTACGACCAGGAGGATCTTGCGGGGTGGGACGGTCATAGTGATGGTGATGGTAATGGTGATATAGAGCTATGCATTTGACAGGATGCGCAGTGGGGAGGAGACGGTCGTTCTAGGTATATCGGTCACATCTCGCCCCCATCTGATTGCTAGTTCAATATTGCCAAGCTTCGGGCTCGGCCTTTCGGGGTGATCAGATCAGGCCATCAACGCCCGACGGTGAATCCTGGAGGAAGAGACAGGCCGAATCGGATGATCGTGAGGATCCCCGCTAACGAAGACATTTGCAGGATCCGCTGCCCTGACGCAATGAGCGGCAACGTGAAACGCGGGACAGCCCAATGAGTGGAAGGTGGGGAAGATGGCCCGGGATTGCCGAGCTCAGCCTCGCTGTCTGCAATAGTAGTAGTGTATCTACTATCAAGGGCCTGTCTGGACTCTGGAGTCCTTACTTCTTACTTCCTTTCTCTTATCAGATCCGGGGTGGAATCTTGCGGCCTAACTAACATTGTCAGCAACCGCCACTTTCCCAGGGTTCAGCGCAAGGCTCACCGGCGAGGCTTGGCACCTCCCAGCCCCCATCAGCATCCAGGATCCAGGATTCGGGATTCACCCATTCACTCGGACCCAAGTGGGTAGGCAGCAGTATTAATATCCCTTACTTACCTGGCTTGTCTGTCTTCCTCTTTCTTATCGCTACTTCCGCCCTTACTACCCATACCACCCCACCAATAATCGCCACAGTAGCCGCTACGCATACTCCGTACTACAATCGCAATGGGCTGTCACCCATCATCATCATCGTCGTCCTCATCCCCGACGATCTCCCGCTCCGAAATCACCAACAACACCGCCTTCACGAACCTCACCCCCTCCGACACCATCACCCGCAGCGCCCTCGACAATGTCGCCATCACCCACTCCTACAGCTCGCCCAACACAACCATCACCCGCAGCACTCTGGCCACCAGCACCATCTCCCACGCGTACCTCCGCCGCTGCGTCGCTTCCAATAGCACCTTATTCTCTGTGCTTGCCTCCCGCACCGAGATCCAGAGATCCGTGGTCGCAGATGCCCGTCTCCGGCGGTGTACGCTCTCCAACGCGAACATCAGCAGGCAATGTAGGCTGGCGCGGAGCGTGGTGACAAATTCGGAGGTGGTGGATGGGTGTTCAGTCCACCGGGGGACGATCGAGCGGTCGACGGTGCGGGGGAGTGCGGTGAAGAGGTCGAGATTGGTGGATTGCGATGTGGCTGGATGTGTGATTGTTGGGTCCGACTTTCGGGGGATGGTGTTGCGGAATGGGGTGTGGAAGGGGGGAAAGTTGGTGGGCAGGATGGGGGCGGGGGCAGAGGTCGTGATGCAGAGAAAACGAGATGGAGTGGTAAGTCTTCCGTCTCTTTTTGTATCATTCTTCTATCCGGGCCGGGCTAATACTTCGCAGAGAATGGCGGTACCGGACAGGCTGGAGACCAGGGAGCCGACGGTTTGGATGAATGGAGAGGAAGAGGGTGATAGTGGGATGAGCGAGGGAGAGGAAAATATGAATATGGGGGTCCCGGGGACGTTGGCAACCAGGGAGCCGGCGGTTTGGACGAAGGGGGACCAGGGGGCGACTAGGGGGGTCCCAGAGGCGTTGGCAACTAGGGAGCCAGAAGTTTGGATGAAGAGAGATGAAGAGGGCGGCAGTGTAATGGGTGAGGGTGAAGAGGCACCGCCGCCGTATGAGCCTTGAGTTGGACTACTAGTCATGGGGCCCAGCTGGCTGATGGTTCCGAGTCTTTGATTAGAAAGGCACCTTCTGCAGTTAATTAAAACTGCTGTACCCCGTACAATGACCCGAATATGGCTGCATTAGAACCCGTGTTGCCCCTGGTGCGAAGACTAAACGGCAGGGTAGAGGATGCTGCTGCTTTAGACGTAAGACCATAGTAGGGGTATGAGACTCTGACAGTTCAGATCTCAAACGTCTTGGCTGGGTTTGATCTTGCTGGCTTAAGTAAAAGCTCGTTGCGCCGTTGGTGGTGATTGGAGTCGGACAAACTTCAGTGCACTGCCAGGTGTTTCCAGTACGGTGTGGCTTGTGAAAACTCATTCGAACAATGTTCAAGCTAGAACTCTACCGGTACGAACTTGACTCGGTGTGAGATCAATGAACTGCGTCGATTCTGCTTAGGCGATCCCGGGGCAAGTCGCAGCTGCATGGATCGACAGGATCGAGACAGCACACCCTAGTTCCGGAACAAGTGTCCGTAGTTCGTACCTTTGGCCAAACGTTTTATACATTGATTGGCCGGGAGGACGCCTGTTTGTTGAAGAGTGCGACAACCTCTTCGATAGATTGGGCTGGTGTTGGCAGAGCCTACATCTTGCACCCATGATAAGCAGGCTGCCTGTGCAGGGTGAAGTGGTCTTGCAGGCCGCCATGTCCTCCATCAAAGCTATTTGTCCCGTGGAAGAGCGGCCACTGAGCAAAGAGCAGAAATTCGAACCAGCCTGTGCGCAAGCCGAAAATATCCGACGTCTGCCAAGGGTGTCACCAGTCTCGGGTGGAGCGCTGACCAAAATGAGGACTCAGCATATTTTTACTCGATGTGGATCATGGTAGGCCGGGTGCTTGGGCTAATCCCATGGTGTTCAACGACCAGCTCCGTTATATGAAACACTAACTCGACCTGGTTGCATTCATCTCGACTGTGCATGCTGATCGCCAGCTTCGCTGGTCCTGTGTGAGGTGGGCATTCTTGGGCTCTCCACGAGTTCGTGGGCTCGACCTCGCAGGCCCATGCCCATTGCCTTCCATAGCAACCTCGGCCCCTCAACTTTGTGCCCCCGAAAACCTGGTTTGGTGCAATGGAGAAGTCATCTCAATTGTTCGCTAAGGATGAATAGACCAGGAGCCACAGGGCTAGCGCACAGACGGCGCCATGGTATCCTAGCCGTCGCACTGGTCTTCCGCATTAGTGTCATTTGCTTTTTTCCTCCGAGGCAAGCTCGACCGCCCGCCGCCGCGACAGCGGTCTGTTGTGAGGTTGACGAGAAGGCCAGAGGTGATGGATCTTGCGGTCAATGAACTCCAGGTGCGGTTCAGGAAGAATCAAGGCTCTGGGGTGAGCTGGGAGGGCAATTGACCTAAGGCATCCGGGGGGGGGGATTTGCTTTATAGACGCGTCGGACTTTCGGAGGCAGTGGGGAATCCGGTTCTGCCCCGTGACGGTGGAGCCGGGCCAGCTTGTGTCCCGCGATGATGTTGGCCGCTGTAGCAGTGCAGGGAGGTGGTTGCAGGTGGAAGGGTAGAAGGAGGGTTGTGGATGGTCATTGAGGATGAGTGGTTTGAGAGGATGTGTGATGTGTGATGTGTGATGTGATGTGATGTGAGTCTTTGCGTGGTGGAAGGAGAGTAGAGGAGAGTAGAGGGGAGCGACAGAAAGAGAAAGCAAACAAACCGGCGGCGCCGAGCGAGAACCTGATAAGGCTGGCGGGAACCCCACCGCGCCCATGGCAGCCTGAGGCTAGTGCTGGGACTAAGCCAGTAACGCCACTTCTGGCTCCGATGGCCTTCCGCCGGGCGGCCACAAGGAATTCTGCCTGCCTTTCCTGCTTCTCCTGCTCCGTCATCCCCAATCTTATTTCTCTTCCCCCATCCCCTCCCCCCCCGTCTCTCTCTTCTGTGCTACTTCTTGTCTCTCCTTTCTCCATTACTTCTCATCTGCCTGCTGGTTTTTTTTACAGGCGTATATAGTGTCTGGACAGTGTACTTCTATCCCCCCCCCAAAAACAACTGCTATATCGACGCCGACCGGCCTCTTCATCCGTCCCTTTTCACGCCGCATCGCGCCTCAGAGCGCACCCCCCTCCCGTCATGGGCCTCTCCAAGACCAACAGGATTCTGATCCTGTTGGCAATTGATTCCGCTTTCTTCCTGCTGGAACTGATTGCCGGTTTGTTGCCTCCATCCGCGCTCACAGTGGCTCTGTTGACTCCCTACTAACTCCCCGTGCCTCCCAGGTTATTCCGTCCATTCTCTTGCCCTGGTGGCCGACTCCTTTCATATGGTACGCCTCGCGACTCCCACAACCTTCCGAACCCCCTCCTAACTCGGCCCCTACAGCTCAACGATGTTTTATCCCTGTGTGTCGGACTCTGGGCCGTCAAGGTCGCCAACCGCGAAACCAACTCCAAGATGTATACTTATGGGGTAAGCTCATTTACCCGCATTCTGCGACCCGTCTGACTCGGGCATCTAGTGGCAACGTGCGGAGACCCTCGGTGCGCTCGTGAACGGTGTCTTTCTCGTGGCGCTGTGTCTGTCCATCTTCCTGGAGGCCATCCAGCGACTTGTTGAGCCGCAGGAAGTGAAGAACCCCAAGTTCGTCTGCATTGTGGGCTGTCTCGGCCTGCTCTCGAACATCATCGGTCTAGTTCTGTTCCACGACCACGGGCATGCACATGGACACAGCCATGGTCATAGCCATGGAGACATCGAGGAGGGAGATAGTGAGGCGGGCCATGACCATGACCACGACCACGACCACGATCATGATCACGACCATGATGCTCACGTGAGGACCCCTTCTTCGATTCCAAGTACCCTTCTAACCAGATCCAGCGCGCCGATTCCTCCCCCTATTCCCGCCGTCGCACCCTGGACAGTCAACCCCGTAGCTCCCGCCGTTACAGCGGTGCCACCGGCCGATTCGTCGATGTGGAAGACATCCAGGTCCACCCCGCTAGCTTGAGACAGGAGATTATCGCCGCCAGCCGCAGCCATTATGAGGACGAACAGTCCGGATCGGACAGTGACCTGCAAGAGGGCGGGAACCCCTCCGAGCGATCGGCGCTCTTGGGCCACCGGGATCGCGCGGGCAAATACACGGATGAGGACGATGCGCCCGTTCGAGTGCCACACGCGGCAACCGATGACGATCTCCACAAGTCCCACAACCACGCGCAGCCCAAGCCCAAGGATCACGGTCATGGCCATGGACACGACCTCAACATGCGCGGCGTCTTCCTGCACGTGATGGGCGACGCGCTCGGCAACATCGGTGTCATCGCGTCCGCCCTCATCATCTGGCTGACCGATTACTCGTGGCGGTTCTACGTGGACCCGGGCATTTCCTTGGTGATCACTGTGATCATTCTGCTGTCGGCCATCCCACTCTGCAAAGCGGCGTCGCGGATCCTGCTGCAGGCGGTGCCCCACGGGCTCAGCATCGACCAGATCAAGGAGGACATCGAGAGGCTGCCCGGGGTGATCGGCTCGCACCACCTGCACGTGTGGCAGCTGAGCGACACGAAGATCGTGGCGTCCATCCACATCCAGGTGGACACGGAGATCAAGGGCGAGGGCTCGGAACGCTACATGCGGCTGGCGCGGCAGGTGCGGAAGTGCCTGCACGCCTACGGCATTCACTCGTCGACGATCCAGCCCGAGTTCGCTCCGGACAGCGACGTCGAGGACACGCTCACTGCGGCGCCGTCGTCCGCCCGCGGGGCCTCGGCGTCGGGCACGCTGCCCAGCCGCACGCCCAGCGTCCAGGGAGACTCGCAGGCCTGCCTGCTGGAATGCGGGGAGGAGTGTGCCCGCGGTGGCCAGTGCTGCCCCAAGAAATCGCCGTGATTTACCACCAGCCTAGGCTCTCTCTTTACTGCACCATAATATTCCCTTTTCGTCTAACATTGTTTAACATACCCGGTACCTTGACTGCACCTACGCGTTGGGTTGGCCTTGTCGATGCTTCTCATAAACTTGGTGTCTGTTTGGTTGTTTGGGGGCTTCTAGATGTCCCCCCGTGTGGCTTACATCTTTCTTTTGAGTACCTACCTACCTTACCTTAGTATTCTTCTTGTATTCATACCACATTATTGCATATTAATTCTCCTGGTACCAGCTTTAGGTAGCATGTCTGTGTAACTCCCAGGGTGAAACGTCCTGTAACGAGCCAGGATGGCGCTCCTCATTTTTGGGGCGGCTTGGCAACCCCGTATTGTCACTCCATACGGCTGAAACCCGACCGCCCACGTGACCGCCCATCGCCGGCGATCCCCCTTGGGCCAGATGCCCTTCACTTCCATGTCGCCAGGATACCATCGTTAAAACACCCTTCCGGCGTCTCTTGGCCTGTCATTCGCTTTTCTGTGCCTTCTCGCTGCTACCATTCATGCGTCCTGGAGCTTGATTCTAGTTGTGCGACTGCTAGCTGCCCACTCGTGTCGCCTCGGCGCGGCAATGCAGAGGCGTTAGCTTGCGCTGACATCCACCCGTGAACAAACACCACCATGAGCTATCCATACTCGCACGGCATCCCCGCCGACGCCTACCGTCCAGCCCGTCGGGCGTCTCCCGTCGACTCCTCCCATGCCCTGGGGGGCTGGCGTCAACGGACCACACAATGGGGCGCCGAGCTGCAGCAGGAGCTGAGTAGCTGCAGCGGACTGTGGTCGCTGCTTAAGCGGGTCATCCAAACCATCTTCACAATCCCGAACGGGTTGATCCTGCTCTGGTTCTCGACGCTCTGGTGGGGGAACGGACGGTCTTCCAGGACAGTGTGAAGACGTGCGCGTGGGGCGATTGGGAGAAATGGGTACGTGCCGGTTTGGATGTCTACTGTCTATTGTTTACCTTACCGCCACTGACCCGATTGTTGTCCGCAGCCTCAAGATGCAACCCCCATCATGTCGCCTTCATCGCCGACCCCCAGCTGGTGGATCCTCACACCTACCCGGGCCGCCCGTGGCCTCTCTCGACCTTGACCGTCAAATTCACCGACCAATATCTCCGCCGCTCCTTCTCGTCCTTGCAACAGGAACTCGGCCCCGACTCCGTGCTGTTTCTGGGGGATCTCTTCGACGGGGGCAGGGAATGGTCCACGCAGCACAGCGAGAGTCCGGAGGGGCGGTATCGCAAATACGACGATCGGTTCTGGAAAAGGGAGTTCCATCGCTTTGTCAAAATCTTCGTGGATACGTGGAACGAGGGAGATGGCCACATCCGACACCCCGTCGGGCGGAGGCTGCTGACCGGGCTGCCGGGAAACCATGACCTGGGGTTCGGGTCTGGCATCCAGACACCCGTGCGCGATCGGTTCCAGAGCTTCTTCGGCAAGAGCAACCGCGTCGACGTCATCGGGAACCATACCTTCGTTTCAGTTGACACGGTGTCGCTGAGCGCGATGGACCAGCCCGACCCGGAGACCGGTAGCTCGGGCACAGGGTCTGGCGACGGAACGCAGCCCAACGAGCACATCTGGCGGGAGACGCAGGATTTCCTCGACCGCATGAATGTGCACCGGGGCCGGGCAGAGGTGGAGGCGCTGCGCATGCTGGGCAACCAGAGCGAAGGGCGTCGGTTCCAGCACCGCGCGATGGATATCCTCGAGCCGTCGCTGGCGCACACCGCTGCTCCGGAGATCGCGGGGTTCCCCACGATCCTGCTGTCGCATGTGCCGTTGTATCGTCGCCCAGCGACGCCGTGCGGACCCTACCGCGAACGGCATCCCCCATCTAGTCCCAACCTGGAGGAAGACGAGCGGAACGCCATCCCCATGGGCCGGGGCTACCAATACCAGAACGTGCTGACGCCGACGATTTCCCGAGACATCGTATCCAAGGTGGGGCCCAATCTGGTGCAGATGTACTCGGGCGACGACCACGACTACTGCGAGATGTCGCACCACGAATTCAGCGGGTCGCCGACCGAGATTACGGTCAAGAGTCTCTCGTGGGCGATGGGCATCCGGCAGCCGGGGTTTGTGTTGACGAGCCTGTGGAATCCCATCGACCCGGCCACGGGGCAGCCCTAGCCACGGCCCCGGGCCCGGGACACAGTCTCCAGAACCAGCTGTGTCTGCTCCCGGACCAGCTGTCGATTTTCATCCACTACGGGCTGCTCTTCGGCGTAACTGTGGGGGTGCTGCTCCTCCGCGCCGTCTTCCTCGCCCAGTACCCCCCTTCCCCGGCGGCCAGTGCCGATCCCCTCCTCCCCGTATCGGAGCACCGCTCCTCCCCCCGCCCACGCCCGGCCCGCTACAAGACCCCCTCCTCCAGTACGTCCAGCTCCACGTTCCCGTCCCCGCGCGGGCTGGCCAGTCGTGCGGTCAACGCCCCTCCCCAGTCCCCGTACGCGGGCGTCGGCGATGACGACGGCAGCTCGAAGTGGAAGCCCACACGGCCCGCGACGAAGGGGACGTTGATCCGGGCAGAATTAGTGGCGTCGGTGAAGCAGGTCGCGCAAGTCGTGTTTGTATGGTACTTCATCCTCGTTTGGCGATGGTAGAACAAAACAAAAAAAAGCCCTCGAAAGGGAATGGGATTGTAGTTGGTGTGGTGGTGTGTGTACATGTACATAGATAGATATATATTCTTCCGGGAGTATTGTACGTCCAGCATGGTAAGGTCATCAGGGTCATGGTCAATGGCGTTTTTTCTGGTGGGTAGAAAGGCCTGTTACATTATTCATTGATCCGTTATTCTTTATTTGTCATACGAGTATTCTACTACAACGTCTTAAATCACCCCGATCACATTTTGTCTATTTAATAGACTATCTATCGCCTGTCATCACGACATGAAAAACGCAGATGAACTTCGTACCAGAAGAAGGCCATATATCTAAACCTAAGGCAAGTACTCCATCAATCCGATATGGTGTAACGGCTAACATCGTCGCCTTTCAATCCAAAATTGTCCGCGACAGCTCGGGGTTCGATTCCCCGTATCGGAGATCTCATAACCACTTCTTTTTTTTTTTTCCTTTTCATCTTTTTGCCCCCTGCGCTGCTTTCTTCTCCACCCATCGTTCTTCACCCCAGTCCCTGGGGTGAGTGAGTGAGCGAGTGAGTGACATCCCTCATCCTACACGCCAATAATCAATATTCTCTACCTCAGACAACCCCCAATGCTCACTCAGTCCCCCGCAATCCCATAATCACCTCACCTCGTCTGCCACTCCCAATCCAGCCACGATAGTCGGTATGCCATCATCTCATCTCCTCTCCCCCCGCCAGTACCCCATCCCCGCAGCCTGCCCAGTGACAGTCTGAGTCTGAATCCCCACTCCAAACCCCCGACCATCGTCTCAAACCCTTTCCCCCGGAGAGAAATCGGCGAATCCTGAATCTTCCAGTTCCTTGGCGTTGATCGTCCTCGCGTGGCGTTGCCCGTCGCATGAAAGGCCTTGTTATCTACTTGTTCTGTCTGCCACACCAGCAAGACAACCTTCCCCAACGCGGGCTCCGGTGAGCCCTGAAATCTCTGCTTTGTCTGGTTCATCTGTGGCGGAACCATGGGCTGGGGAGTCTGGAGCGGTCGCTTAGTGGCTGGCGAGTTGAGTCGGTCGGTGGGTGGATGTTGTTAGCGGGAAAATCTATTTTTTGACTTTTTCTTTTCACTCCGCGTGAGAGATCAGGGGAGTCTGGGGTTAGGGTGATTGCGATGGGCCCTGGGGACTGGGCCGGGGGACTGAGAGTGCGAGAGGGAGAGGGAGGGTTAGGAGCGTGTATGTTGCCGGTTTGGGGTTAGGGGTTTGAGAGCAAGTGTCTGGGAATAGATTCGGGGTTGAGCTAATTGGGCCAGTCAGGTCATGCGGGCCGACAGAGATGAGAAATGGCAGCAGGGACATCGCGTGACAGATGCTGACAGAGAAGAGAAGAATCTCGGGCTGCCGACCGACCGGATGCGGCCGCTTTGCTCCCATCCCGGCCGTTCTTCACACTCACACTCACACTCACAGCCATCGTCCCGATGACCAATTCCGCCGCAACAGGCAAAATCGTGCTATTCCCAGTTCTACCCTCTGGGCCGGGCCAGCAGTGGCTGAGCCTGAGACGGTCGGGTCCCAGACCGGCCCAGCTTGGCCCAGCTTGGCCCAGGACCGGCCCAAGTCCCCTTTCCGGGATGATGGGAGCCCTCGTGTTAGGGCTCCACTCCGGTCCGGCCCCAACGTGCTGCGTGTGTTTTTCTCCAGACTCGGCTCCCGCCGATCTGGATCTGGCGGCCTGGCCTGCCGTCTGAATGGCGCCAGAGTCTGGGGCCCCGGCCAGATCCTGCAGGTCTGCACCATTGCACAGCCCGATTCCGGTCGGTCGGTCGGTCGGGGGTGGCCGTGGTCGTGGTCGTGGCTGCTTCGGGCTGGGTTTTGCTGGCCGATGGAGGAGTACAAAAGCGAGGTCGTGCCCCCCCCGTTAGATGGACTTCTATCTTCATCTCATACCATCTCATCACATCTCATCACATCATATCGTCTCATACTACATCTACATCTGCATCTACATCTGCTACTACGATTACTCCGACTACATCTACTACTATCTTCTTTGATTGACCCTACCTACCTTGCTCTATCTTTGCTTGACTATCACTGCTTGATACACTGCTTGATATCATCGTTTGACTGTCACTGCTTGATACTACCATGGGCTTCATGCTGAAGAAACCCGCCGATGCGGTGGGCTCGGCCGCCCCCGCCATCATGATCGGCCTGTTCGTCGCCTTTGGCGGCATCCTGTACGGCTACGACACCGGCACCATCAGCGGCATCATCGCCATGAAGTACTGGCGCAACATGTTCTCCACCGGCTACATCAACCCCTCCGACGACTACCCCGACATCACCTCCGCCCAGTCCTCCATGATTGTCTCGCTGCTGTCCGCCGGCACCTTCTTCGGTGCCCTGGCCGCCGCCCCCGTCGCCGATAGCCTCGGCCGCCGCCTGGCCATGATCGTCAACTCGATCGTCTTCTGCTTCGGCGTCATCCTCCAGGTCGCCTCCACCTCCATCCCCCTCTTTGTGGCCGGCCGCTTCTTCTCTGGATTCGGCGTGGGTCTGCTCTCCGCGACCATCCCCCTGTACCAGTCCGAGACCGCCCCCAAGTGGATCCGCGGTACCATCGTGGGCTCGTACCAGCTGGCCATCACCATCGGCCTGCTGCTGGCCTCCATCGTCAACAACGCCACCAAGGACCGCAACGACACCGGCTGCTACCGCATCCCCATCGCCGTGCAGTTCCTGTGGGCCATCATCCTGGTGGCCGGCATGCTGGTGCTCCCCGAGACGCCGCGCTTCCTGATCAAGCAGGGCAAGCACGAGGCGGCGGCGGCGGCGCTGGCCCGCCTGCGCCGCATGAGCGTGGACGACCCGGCCCTCGTCGACGAGCTGCTGGAGATCCGCGCCAACCACGAGTACGAGATGAGCCAGGGCCAGGCCAGCTTCCTGGACATCGTCCGCGGCTCCATGGGCAAGCGCCTGGCCACGGGCTGCGCCATCCAGGCCCTGCAGCAGCTGTCGGGCGTCAACTTCATCTTCTACTACGGCACGACCTTCTTCCAGAACGCCGGCATCTCGAACAGCTTCCTGATCACGCTGATCACCAACATCGTCAACGTCGTGTCGACCTTCCCGGGCCTGTACCTGGTGGAGAAGTGGGGGCGCCGGCCCTTGCTGCTGTTCGGGGCGATCGGCATGTGCGTGTCGCAGCTGATCGTGGCCATCGTGGGCATGACGGCCACCTCGAACGTGGCCAACTCGGTGCTCATCGCCTTCGTGTGCATCTACATCTTCTTCTTCGCCAGCTCCTGGGGGCCGTCCGCCTGGGTGGTGACCGGCGAGCTGTTCCCGCTCAACGCGCGCGCCAAGTGCCTGTCCATCACGACGGCGACCAACTGGCTGTTCAACTGGGCCATCGCCTACGCCACCCCTTACATGGTGGACTCCGGCGCCGGCGACGCCAACCTGCAGTCCAAGGTGTTCTTCATCTGGGGCGGCTTCTGCCTGGTGGCCATCGTGTTCGTGTACACCTGCATCTACGAGACCAAGGGCCTGTCGCTGGAGCAGGTCGACGAGCTTTACCAGAAGGTGTCGTGCGCCTGGCGCTCGCCGGGCTTCGTGCCCTCCGCCGAGCAGTCGGATATCAGCGAACTCGATGCCATCAAGGTCGAGGGGACGAAGCGTGAGGCTCAGCACGTCGAGAGTGCCTGATTTGATTTTCTTTTTGAATTTTTTTTTATTGCGAGAATATGTTTCCTTGTTTCCTTCAGCGATCGGTCTATGATGATGGTATATGTATAATATGGTCCTGCATTGTGAATAGTTAGTTAGTTAGTTAGTTACGAGCCACGAGTCAATGACATCAATGTCAGATGCATCCCCACACTATTCTCCCGTCTGATGTACTTTTTACACAGTGGATACCAGTACAGTCTTTCTCTCTCTCGCGAACAGCTGTTCGAACAGTACCGACGTCATGCCTTGGCTGCCTGAGGCAGATTGACCCTCAGGCCCCTCAGGCCCCTGACCCCGACACTGTGATTGGCTGCCCCTGCCCGGGATGACGAGTCCGCCTGCGCCACGTGACGTGACCCGGGATCATCGAATGTTTCGTCAGGCGGCGAGAGTTCTTCCCCGATCGAGAGCATCGATCCAGACGATCTTCCGCTTCGACTCTCATATTTCGACCTGGGACACCACCATGCCGTCCTTCTCCCTCTCCCCTCCTTCCCCCCTCTCTCCCTCCCTCCCCCCTCTCTCCCTCCTCCCCGCTCTCTACTCCTAATCCTAATCCTCATTCCGTTTCCATCGCCATGTTCATCTCCGATCTCGACCCCGACGAGCGGGGCCTGTCGTCCAGCGTCGCCCGCGGCCCCGACCAGCCCCTCCGCGACCCCAAGACCCCCTACTTCGACACCACCATCGAGCTGGGCTCGTTGCAGCAGACAGACTACGAAATGCAGGACCTGACCGCGCCCGCCACCGAACGCCTGCTGGCCGACGACACGCCCTCGTGGAAGACCGCCCACCCGCTCTTTCCCCCCCTCCCCGTCTACGGCCCTCCCTCGTTCCTCGCCTCCCTCCAATACCTTTTCCTCCGCACCGTCTCCTTCGTGCTGTCGCTGGCCTTCCTCACCGTCGTCATCGGCGCCGCCCTCGTCCACACTGCCAGCACATCCGTCTCGCTCCTCCGCATTGGTCGGCAATTCCCCGCGGAAGAGCGGTCACGGCGGCTGGAGCGCCACCGGGCCTTGCGCCGCTGGAGCTCCCGCGACGACGAATACAAGGAGGCGGACGAGGCCGGGCGCGACCTGTGTCCGCCGCTCGAGGGCGGGAAGGATCCGCTGGTCTGCGACGTGGCGTACTACGCGCGCCGTGTCGGGCTGGACGTCGAGACCTTCAAGGTGCAGACGGAGGATGGCTTTGTCCTGACCCTCTGGCATGTCTACAACCCCCAGGAATACACCCCCTTGCCGGCGAAGGCCCGCCGACCGCGCGGACCGCATGTGTTCCAGGGCCAGACGAATCCGGAGGCGTCGAGGTCGTCGCCGCGCAAGTATCCCGTGCTGCTGATGCATGGGCTGCTGCAGAGTGCCGGGGCGTATTGCGCCAACGACGACGACAGTCTCGCGTTTTTTCTCTGCAAGTCCGGGTATGATGTCTGGCTGGGGAACAATCGCTGCGGCATGGTCCCGGAGCATACGACGCTGGAGACGTCGGATCCGCGCATGTGGACGTGGAATATCCGGCAGATGGGCGTGCTGGATCTTCCGGCGCTGGTGTCGCGGGTGCTGTTTGAGACGGGGTTCGAGAAGCTGGGCCTGGTGTGCCACTCGCAGGGCACCGCGGAGACCTTCATCGCCCTGGCCAAGGACCAGCGCCCGGAGCTGGGCGAGCGCATCTCCGTGTTCTGCGCGCTGGCGCCCGCGGTGTACGCGGGCCCACTGGTCGAGCGGGTGTACTTCCGCTTCCTGCGTATCATCCCGCCGCTGGTGTTCCGCGCCTTCTTCGGCATCCACGCCTTCATCCCGTTCATGATGACGGTGCACCGCCGGCTGCACCCGCGCGTCTACGGCACGCTGGGGTATTTCGTGTTCGCGTTCTTGTTCGGATGGAACGACGCGCGCTGGGACCGCGCGCTCCGCGACCGGATGTTCCAGTTCGCGCCCGTGTACGTCAGCGCGGAGACGATGCGGTGGTGGTTGGGCCGCGAGGGGTTTGCCACGCAGAAATGCATCCTGGCGACGCGCGCGGCCGGACTGGCGGAGGTCGAGGAGGACGAGGATCGCGGCCTGCGCGGGGGCGCACAGCGCCGCGACACGGCGTGGTATGGCCCTCAGACCCCGCCGGTCGCGCTGTGGATCGCCGGCAACGACGGGCTGGTGGACGGGCGTCGCCTGCTGGCGCGGCTGCAGAACGGGCGCGAGCCGCACGTGCGCTTGGTGCACGCCAAGGTGGTCGACGAGTACGAGCACCTGGACGTGCTGTGGGCGATGGACGCCATGGAGCAGGTCGGCCAGGAGGTGCGGCAGGTGCTGTGGCAGACGATGCCGGAGGAGGCACGGACTGTCTGCATCCCTCCGTTACTGACTGGCGGTAGGGAGGAGGAGACCTAGACGATGATTGGACGGCTCGTAAACCCACGCCGCTCATTGGCTGTACATGGTGGGTACATTATTATGTCGAATATGATTAGCCTGCTTATCTCCGAGTCAGCACTAGTTCGTATCGTGGGCAGGTATATCTGGTGTAGCCTGTCAAATCGTGTCTGGTCGATAGTAGTCTGGACTCGTGGGGGAGGAAGTATATATACTCGGAGTACGCTGTTGCTGTCTGGTGTTGGGGAGAGGTACTCGATCGGCGACACACACGGATACAGAAACGGATACAGACGTTGAAAGAGACACAGAGAACGAAAGAACGAAAGAACGAAAGAGAAAGAGAGAAAGATACAGACAGTGTTGAGAATGGTCTCGTTTAACCCCGAAACCGATATCCCCGATCTCTCGGGCAGGGTGTTTCTGATTACGGGGGGTGAGTTTATTTCTGGTTTTCTTTATTCTCAGGATGTTGCATATGTGAATTTCGGGCTATGATTTCCTGCCAGGTGGGAGGGATGCTTTGCTGCGAAGTACATACTGTACTCTACTCTTGTCATGCTCTTGTGCTCTGTTTGTGCTACACCCACCCACCACTCTTCTCTCTTATTTTACTCCGTACACCCTAACCCTGTTTCCTCTACCCCTACCCACTCTTGTCCTCTTCTATGCCCTAGATACCTATCATACTGTCCTTTTATACCCAGTATACTATACAACCCCATTCTCGTGGTGTATCTCGTACACTCCCTATACCACCCTCTATCATACATCCCCCGCAATCTGCCCCGTCCCTCGCCCGTTTACTTTTTTTTTTTTTTTTTTTTATAGTATACTTTAGTATATACTTCCCCTTCCCCACAAAGATCAGCGATCGGCTGTGCTGTGCTGCATTGCATGGAAAACGTCTAACCGACCGGTCAGTCGGTCGGTTCGACCTATCCTGCTTGTTCCTTGTGTTCCCACTGGGGTTGTGGACTGCCCATGCTTTCGAATCGGTCTTTCTCATTTGCTGGGTTTGGTTGGTGGTGCAGCTCGCTGTTTTGGTCGCTCGAATGTTTCTCATACACGTCATCGCTGGGTTATGTCTATTCCGGATTATTGTGTTTTTATTTTGTTTTATGCTGTCTTATTCTGTCCTACACTGTATGGTTGATTGTGTTACTCGGGATATAACCGGGTTATTTTCCACAGCCTTGCATCCAACCGGCATCTATCTATCCCTCCCTCCACAACACACACATACACAGCCTATCCCACCCATTCCATTCCATCCCTCCCCAACCCAACCCAGCCAATAATCCCTTCCCCAAAAAGAACCCCCCCCCAAAACTAACAACACTGTTAAAAAAAAAAAACAGGAACAGCCGGCATCGGCAGCACCACCACCACCCTCCTGGCCACGCACACGCCCTCCAAAATCTACATCACGGGCCGCAACGCCTCGGCAGCAGACACCCTGACGACGCAGCTGCAACGCATCTCCCCAACCACCACGATCACCTTCCTCGCCTGCGACATGACCTCGCTGACCTCGACCCAATCCGCCGCGCACGCCTTCCTGGCCCAAGAATCCCGTCTGGACGCCCTGATCTGCAACGCGGGGATCATGGCCACGCCGCCTGGTCTCACCCAGGACGGATACGAGGTTCAGTTCGGGGTCAATCATCTCGCGCACGCCTTGCTCATCAGGCTCCTCCTCCCGGTTCTCAAGGACACGGCCGCCAGAAACATTGCTTCTCCATCCACATCCACAGCTACATCTACCCCGGAGAATCCGAAATACGGCGCACGAATCATCCTCGTCACATCCCTCGGCTGGCAACTCCATCCTCGCCCGCAGCCCATCTCCTTCTCCTCGCTGCAAACAACCATGGACTGCGGCTTCGGGGGCAGCTGGATGCGCTACGGCCAAAGCAAACTGGCCAATCTCCTGTACGCGCGCGAGCTCGCCTCCCGGTACGGGAGGGACGGCATCTGGGCTGTTTCCGTGCATCCCGGGGTCGTGCGGACGGGGCTGGTCGAGGGGCTGGGATGGGGGAAGTACGCGTTTACCTGGGTGAGTAATTTGGGGAGGTTTGTGGCGCCGGAGCAGGGGGGGTGGAATTCCGTTTGGGCTGGTAGTGTGAATCTTCCTGTTCCTGGTCTGGGGGGGGATGGCAACGGTGGCTTTTATGAGCCGGTGGGGGTGCCGTCGAAGACGGTGATGGGGAAGGCCAAGGAGGAGATGTTTGAGGCTGTGGGGCGGGAGCTGTGGGGGTGGACAGAGGGGGTTTTGGGGGGTTATATGTAATTGAGCTATTTATTGGGGTTGGATTGGATTGGATTGGATTGGATTGGGGGGGTTTGGTATGGTACGGCCCAGGGGTAGGGGGGTTGGGGTTGGGGTAGGTTAAGGTATTCTTGAGTTGGGGATAGGGATGGGTGGGACAGGTAGATTTGCGGTGGAAGGATGTAATAGGTGTGGTGGATTGGGAGGGGGTGAACAGTGTTTTTTTCTCTGTTTTTGTGTCTGGGGTTACGATAGTGTGAGAGGATTGTGTTGTATAATAGAATCAGATAGATGTGGGTATGGGGGATGTCAAATGAAGAGAGTAGAGAATTGGAAGTGCGTCCATAAAATTAGCGAAATCGGTAAGAGAGAGAGAGAGAGAGAGAGAGACAAAGGAACGGAATATTGAAAAAAGAGTAAATAGTGGCAGGCAAAAGATGAGACACGAACAAAGGACCAGCATAACAGGAGAAAAAGAACAAGAGTATCCTCCAAGTAAAAGTATGAGTGAATATTGAAAAAGCAAACAAGCAAGGAGAGAAGTTTGTCGATATGTTGCTGATATGTTTGTTCGACATGTGGTTGCAGTTAGGGCTGGCTATATATAGGGATGACAGGTGGCCTGTAGAAAGAACTGAAGTCAGTGGACTCCGTACCTAGCCAGGAGTTAAATCCGGGTAAGCCTTTCAAGGCCAGCGGCCAGCGGGTCTGCAAACATGTGCCCTGCAAGGAGGTCAGTAAAAGTACACTGCTGCCTGCTCACCGCTGTATTGCGGAGTCAATACTGTTTGTCTGTCTGTCTGTCCATGCCATCAGGATCAGGATCTGCTATCTTCCCGTCCATCTCCACCAGGCTCATCTATATCCCACTCCACTCCACTCCCCTACCGTACCTTACCCACAGCTCCTATAAACCAAGTTATAATCCCTCAGCCTGTGCACGGGCACCTTGTGGCTGCCTGCCAACCCGGTCCTCGAAACGCCCCAAACAGGGAACGCCATTGACGTGTTCATCCGGCCCACCGACTGTTCCATGCAGAGCGCTAGCAAACGCCTGCAATTCTCCGCACGCGGGGCACATAAGGCTGCCGACGGCCGATGTATGCACTTTTCCCTTCTCAGGACATAGGGCATAGAATAGTCAAGCTCTACCAAGCTTTGCCTCTTGCGACAATAAATCCATCGTCGTGCATTGTCCGCCCGCGCGCGATTCAAGGGCCTCTGCCCTGCCGTCTCTGCCGTTCGCCTCCCTGGAACCACTATAGTACTAACTGTACTATCTACCTACTGCATCCTGTACGTGTGGTGCAGCCGGATAAAACAAAAGCAATTGCCCCTGCAAGGTCCTCTCTCGCAAACCCACCCAGTCCAGATCGCGCGCGCACTTCTGAATCGTCCCGTCTTGTACAACGAGAGAAGGAGTGACAAGTTGACATCCGACTCCATGCCATGGATGCCCCCCCCCCCCGCATGCTGTGTCCAGCTGGCGAATCCTCCCCCCCTTTCCCCAACGGCGGGTTGAATTTATCCCATCCATCCACGGGCAGAGCCCGTGCTATGCCATGAGGGGTAGGTACGGTAGGGAGGGAGCGGAGAAAGGTAACAAACTTCACGTCATGAGGGGAAGCATAGATAGTGGAGTGGACCTGGATCAGCTCCGGCGAGGACGCTTTCGGTCGGATGCACATCCGTGGCCCCCAGGGTTGATGGATGGATGGATGGGATATGTCGTCTGCAGCCGGGGCGGGAAACCTATAAAGCTGGGCTCGACTGCATTGTCTTCCCAGTCAACAGCTACAATTCCATCCTCCTCCTCCTCCTCCTTCCCCTCACCATGAAGTCCGCTCTCCTCTACTCCCTCCTGGCCCTCCCTGCCATCCATGCCGCTCCCACCGGGACCAACCCTCCCCTGCGAGGCTCCGAGGATCTCCTCGGATACTCCCCCTCCAACACCATGTCTGACAAGCAGACCGACGACATCCCGTACGTGCCGGTGCCCGGGCAGACGGACACGCCCGACATGGGCGTGTACCTCGACTTCGAGGACGCCGACAGCCCGCAGCCCATGCGCGGAGACACCGGCGGGACGGACCCGGGGCCCCGTAAGTGATTTTTTTTCCCTGTCTGTCTGGGTCTGGTCGGCTCTCATGAAGAATGCGTCCAGGCAACGAAAACTACGATCGCATCAACAGCGACAAGCTCGCTCCCCCGGGAACAGACAGCGGGCAGACGATCAATGCCCAATGGCCCATGGGTAAGTCCACTCCACTCTCCACTCCCCACCCGCACGCCCACGATGACGATGACCTCTACTGACCGGTTCAGGCCTCAGTCATAACCGGTAAGCCACCGCCAAGATGGCATGCATACCGTGCAGACAGGGCAGCGCAGCGTTAATAATACTACAGACTCGGCCTGAGCGGATCCGGGTGGGCGCGCCAGGAGAACGAGGTGGTGATGCCGGCGGCGACGGAGATGGCGGGGGTGGACATGCGCCTGGAGGCCGGGGCGTATCGCGAGCTGCACTGGCATCTTGCATCGGAATGGTCGCTGGTGCTGAACGGATCGTGTCGGATCGAGGTGAGATCGATCGGACTCGAAATGATTTCGTGGCTGATGTGATGTGATGTGGCAGGCCGTCAACGAAAATGGACAAACTTTCGTCGATGACGTGAGTGAGGGCGATGTCTGGTTCTTTCCTCCGTATGTCCGTCCGGGCTGAATCTAGGTTTCAGTTAACTGACTGACTGACTGACTGACGGACTGGCTCCTGCAGGGGCATTCCGCATTCCATCCAGGCGCTTGATGACGGGGTCGAGTTCCTGTTGATCTTCGACGACGGGACTTTCTCCGAGGACAACACCTTCCTGGCCACCGAAGTCTTTGCCCATCAGCCGGTAACTACACCCCATCCCCAAACCCTATCCTACTTCCCCCAAACCCTAATTCCTCAACCCCCCCACTAATAGAACCTAGAAAGCCGTACTCGCCAAAAACTTCGACCTCCCCGTCGCTGCCTTCGACGACATCCCGGAAGACGAACTGTACATCTTCCCCGGCACGCCCGCGCCCGCCAACATCTCCGAGCAAAACGTCACCGGCGCGGCGGGCGTGGTGCCACGCGAACAGACCTACTCGTACCACTTCTCCGAGCAGCCCGCGCACGAGGTGCAAGGCGGGTCCGTCAAGATCGTCGACTCGCTGACCTTCCCCAGCTCGTACAACACCGCCGCGGCGCTGGTGACGGTGCATCCGGGCGGCATGCGCGAGATCCACTGGCACCCGTCCAGCGACGAGTGGACGTTCTTCATCAGCGGGCAGGCGCGCGCCACGCTGTTCACGGCGCCGTCGACGGCCACCACCTTTGATTATCGGCCCGGTGATGTGGGGTATTTCCCCATGTCGAATAGCCATTATATCGAGAACACGGGCGATGAGGACCTGGTGTTTTTGGAGGTCTTGAAGACGGATCAGTTTACTGGTACCCCATCCCTCCCTCCCTCCTATTTTATGTTATGTATGTTGCTGGGGATAGGTGCTGATGATAGTCCCAGACATCTCCCTCGGCCAATGGATCGGCTCCACCCCCAAGCAGATCGTCGCCGACACGCTGCATCTCCCGCAGAGCGCCCTGGACCGGCTGAAGACGCAGAAGATGTATGTCGTAGCCGGGGGGAATGCGACGGACGCGTAGATGGGTTGGTGAGGTGCGGTGAGGGGGATTTGAGATACCACTGCGTTGCTGCTTACTTTCTTTGAACTGAGCCGAGCTAAGCTACCGAGCCTTGAAAATATGAGCAATTGAGCTATATCTACAATCTTGACCGACCATGCATCTGCTCCTACTCCCCATCTGGTCTGGACCTCTGGAGAGTGTCTATGCCCTGTGGATATGGTATGCAAGGGGCGGATAGACTAGTAGACATGGACATACCACATACATGCGTAAGCACATTCTTTGATTCATTGATAAGACACCACCAATCCAATCCCAGACATTACTTTGCACAGTTGACTCGACATGGATAATATAAGATGCGTTTGATTTACTAGACTGATCTTCTCTTCAAGCAGCTGCAATCAAGCAAGCCAGCCTGCCTTGTTCCAGCGGTTCCTCGCTCTATACAGATAGATCTATATACTAACAAGCCTGAAAACCCAATGCTCTTACGCGATAAGTCTCTGAAACCCAATGGGTACATATACAATAGACACTGATGTATGTACTGGCCAGATGCAAGGGATGTCCGCTAATGATAGATATATAGATAGGTAGATAGAATTAAGCCCCTAGCAAGCAGGGGTCTTAGATTAGCTAGCATATGGGAGTTCTACATCCGACTTAACCGCCTCCTTACGTTTAGCTGCTAGGACAAGTCGATAACTAACGACTATTTACTTGGAGGAGATTAGATTATTACCTAGTATGCTATACCATGCTCGCCCAACAATTAACAGACAAACCTACTGAAATACTCCACAAATAGATAGCATATCCCCTTCCGAATGCCCCACTCACCCAAAGGGCCGAAATCATACCCAACGTAGAGACGTAGATACGTAGATGCTCAAATGAACATCATCTCGACCATCCCCAATCCATTATCCTACCATCTCACCCAGCCAGAAAGCAAAAAAGCTAAATCTAAATCAACCCCTCAATATCCCCCCTTCCCCCCTCCCTCTCCCCCTTCACAATCCCCTCATTCACCCCCCTCACCACCCTCTCATGCTCCTCACTCCTAGGCACCACCCCGACCCCAAACGGCGCCGGATGACTCACCACGCCCGGCAAAAACTCCACCGTGGTGTCCTCCGTCCTCAGCACGCGGAACATCGCCAACGACTGCGCAATGCTCAGGTAGAGGGTATTCTCGGCGAGCAGCTTGCCCGGACAGACGCGTCGGCCGAACCCAAAGGCCACGGTCGCGGGGTCCGGCTCGGGGGTGTCGGTCAGGTAGCGGGAGGGGTTGAAGCTGCTCGGGGAGGGGTGGGTGAGGGGGTTGTGGAGGATGGACCTGTATTATCACGTCGTATCGTTAATATAATCGATCACTCGTATTGATGGATTCATAGGACCATACCAAATATTAACCATAACCACCGCCCCCTTGGGAATCAAGTACCCCTCGTAGATATCATCCTGCGTGCAGAGATGCGGGATCCCCATGGGCGCGACGGGATGCCAGCGTAGCGATTCCTTCACGATGGCGTTGATGTAGGGGAGACGCTCGCGGTCAGCGAAACTGGGGAGCGTGTAGGGGCCGAGCACGCGGTCGAGCTCTTCGTGCGCTTTTTGTTGGACGTCTGGGTGCAGCGCCATTGCTAGGTAGAAGGTTGAGAGGGTTGAGACGGTCTTGTTGGTTTAGTATGTTTCTTTTCTTTTCTTTTCTTTTTTTTTTTTCCCGGGGGGGTTGAACAGGGAGTATGGGTATATAATAGTGTCAGAAGAGACATGGCATGAACATAAACATACCGTATCGGCACCACCCGTATACAACGCCCCCGCCGTCCACTTGGCCACGAGCTCCTCCTCCTCCGTGAGAGACTCCTTCCCTTCCAGCAGCCTGCTCAGGTACGACGGAACGTGCGTGCCCGCGCGCATTCTCCGGCGGACCAGGTCGTAGGGCTTCTCGATGACATCGAGGAGGGTTTTGCGCCAGGCGCGCCCGGTGCGTTGGAACGAGGCGCCGGGGAACCACTCGGGCATGTATTTCACTTGGAAGCCTCCCGTTAGCTATGCTATGCAGTCATGACATGATGGAATATGCCGAGAAGGTGGATCGCTGCATGGCAGAATGGGCAGGGGGGGTTTCATACACGCCGGGATAGTATCAACCAGCCAGCGCCCCGGACTCGCCGCGACCGAGAACCGATCCATGGCTTCGTTGGCCAGGTCGACCAGCGGGTCGCGTCCGTGCGGGTTGATCGTGTAGCCGTAGGCGATTTTGAGGATGACGGCGCCGGCTTCGCTGGAGGATGTGGTATTAGTGGGATTTGGGATTTGGGATTGGATCATGGAAGAGAAGTATAGAGGGAGGGAGGCATACGTCCGAATATGCTGGATCAGATCCGCTGGGCTCTCCAGCACGCGGAGAAGAAACCGTCGCACTTCGATGTCCTGCAGTGGGTAGAACTGCGCGGTTGATACCTTGGAGCCCAGAACTCGGTGCATGGCCTTGCGGTAGGTGCGGAAGCGCGCGTTGTAGGGTTGCATGGCGAGGATGTCGGACCAGCCGACGCTGTGGGCAATATTATCAATATTATCAATATTATTTTGTTGTTGTTGTTGTAGTGGAGGTGGGCGGTAGGAGGTAGGATGTAGGGCTGTTCTGGAGTGAGGATAGGGTTGTGGGACTCACATCTCGCCGGCAAAGGTCATCCTCGGCCGGGACGAGTAGATGGTCGAGCGCTTGTCGAGGAGGTCAAAGGCCGAGCGCTTGTCATTGAGGACGATGATGGTCTGGCCGAGGATGGTGAGGGAGCTGATTGGGCCTGAGGAATCATTATGAAATGAAATAAAAAAGGCGAGAGTGAATGGCAGGCTACAGATAGGGCAGCCTGTTAACCGTGAATAAGAGTGGCAACATACCATAGAGCTTCTTAAACCCCAGCCAGTGCTTCCATTCCTGGGCACCCGGCGGCGACAGGTCGGCCAGGTTCCCAATGATCGGCTTGCCTTTGGGTCCCGGTGGCAAAGGGGCGGCGGACCTTTGTCGAGGCAGCAGGACGAGCTTCAGCAGCCACAGAATCGATAGTCCAGCCAGAATCTTGATCGGGAGGGAGGCGTTCATGGTGAAGTGAACGGTTGCCAAACAAGCGAGACAACACGTCGGATGAAGTGGCTTGCGCAGAGTTGCTGAGACTTGCAGCGCTGCACTCTGTAACAGCAGAGACCAGGCCTCTTATCGGGGGAAAACTGACTGGTCCAGTCTGTGCTCTCCGCACAGATGATGCAGATTTAATCTATTTCCTTTCCTGAGTTGGAAAAAGGGAATAGAGTCAGCTCCAAAGGGGGCTGTGATTCGGCGGCGGATGTGGTGCAGTGGAGCCAATTTGGCCGACGGACGGCCTGAGCTCATGGGATGGCCGTCATTCGTGTCGTTAGGATCCGGTGGGTGCGGGGGGGATGCCAATGGCAAAAGTACTCGCTGCCAGGGTGGATCAGCATGGCTCGGACTTGCTGAGCTGCCGAGGTGGCATTCTTCGCCGGATCGGGACATGCAGAATGACGCTGCCCTAATCTCAGCTGATTTGGATTTCTCGGCCTGCCAATCCACACGAACGATGGATCCTGCACGGAGATATCACGTCCTGCAGCAACGTGCTTGTATTTCCACACTCCCCACGAGCTGCCTCGACAGGTCAACTCGGCCTCACCGTCACAACCCCCCCCCCCGCGGGTCCGATCTGCCACGATCCGGATATTTTGTCCGCGACCCCTGCAGAGCTGTGGATGCTGGCCTGTGCCATGGCCGCTACACGGACCGTGCTGGCGCGGTCCGACCACTATTGAATCCTTGCAGCCCCGATGGGCCAATCTGCGGGCACTATGGACCTGGGAACTGGCATCCCGGTCACCGGGTGCATCGCTGACAGGGCATGGGCCATGTCTGTAATTTCAGCTCGTGGGTGGCGTGCGGCGTCAAGCTACTTAAGCCTGCGATCTCGTCGACGATTCTCTCCGCACTGCAGCGGCCATCATGAATTCGACCATGTCTGAAGCGCTGTCGAGCGACTTGCCTGCGTGTGCTGTAAGTCTCCCGGCAGGCATTGTATCCGAGCTGCGCTGACCCTCCAGTGGAGCTGTGTCGCACAAGCCCTCAGTGCATCAGCCTGCACAGCAATGGATACCTCGTGTTTCTGCAAGAATGCAACTGTAGTCGACTCAGCCATCGGGTGCTACAGTCTCTCGTGTCTCCCCAAGCAGATCCTCTGTACGTGCATCCCTCAGCATCAGACCCGACCAAACAAACTGACCCGGCAGACTCGACCAACACCACGCGATCTGCCTGCGGCATCCCCGAGGCCAACCAGAAGGATCTGACCCCCGCGCTGGCCGGCGCCCTGGGGATGCTGGCCGTGCTGATGGTCGCGTTGCGGATGGGCCAGCGGATCTTCATGAAGAAGTCGTTTGGGTGGGATGACGGGTTGATTCTGATGGCCCTGGCCTGTGCCTTGCCGCTGAACATCATGGCATTCCCCAGTACGTGAATGCAGGCTGCCATCGTATTCCATTCTCGCTGACCGTCCAGTGCAAAAATACGGCCTCGGCACCAACATCTGGACCATCCCATTCCCCCACATCACCAAGCAGCTGAAGGTCCGCCCCCTCGAATCGCCCCCTCGAATCTCCCCCCCCCCCCCTCCTCGACGATGCCTGCTAACCCTCACAGCTCCTCCTCATCGCCGAGGTCTGTTACATGCCCGCCGAAGCCCTCACGCAGCTGTCCTTCCTGGCCTTTTACCTGCGCATCTTCCCCCTCACCAACTTCCGCTACGTGGTCTACACCATGGCCGCCATCTCCATCTGCTTCGGCGTATCCAACACCCTCGTCATGATCTTCCAATGCACCCCGGTGTCCTACTTCTGGACCAGCTGGACCGGCGAGACCAGCGGCACCTGCATCAAAATCAGCGATTTCAGCTGGTACCGGGCCGCGATGCAGATTGCCATGGACCTGTCCATCATCGCCCTGCCCATCTGGCCTTTATCCAAGCTGTGTCTCAGCCTACGAAAGAAAAGCTTCGTGCTACTAATGTTCTGCACCGGGTTTCTGTACTCTTCCCCCCTCTCCCCCCCCCTAATCCTCAATGACTAACAAAAATCGCCAGAATAACTGTAGTCAGCTGCCTCCGTCTGCAATCTCTTGTCCGCTTCTCCAAATCCACCAACATCAGCAGTAAGCCAGGCCCCCCTGCACCCACTGATTATCATTCCACCCACTAACCCCACCAGTGGAGGACAACCCCGCCATCTACTGGAGCATGGTCGAATGCGACGTGGCCATCGTGTGCGCCTGCATGCCCTGTCTCCCCTCGCTGCTGCGGCCCATCTTCCCGACCTGCTTCGGCACGCACCACTACGCCAGCGACATCGAGCCGACCCCTCCCCCGCCCATGCGGCTGGATCGGATCAAGAAGATCAATGAGTTCAGTGTGCTGTCGACGACGATCTCTGAGGACGCGTTGATGCAAAATCGGATGTAGCGTTACCTTTTCTTTCTTCCTTCCTTTCCTTCTTTTCTTTCTATTTCTTTTTTTTTCTTGCTTTTTTTTCCCTTTTCCTCTTTCTCCTTTTTTTTTTCTTTGTGTTTCGTATAGTAATGGGTGGGTGCATATGATGGACGGATGGGAACGGTGTATATGGCTTTCGGCTGGTTTTATTGTTGTATATAGATAGATACCCGGGGAGAGGTTTACTACAGGACTGTACATAGACAAGGAAAGAGAAAGAGGAGAGATCCAGAGTCACTAGACTGTCTAGGCTCCTACATACATACGTATTACATAGGTAATAGTCGATCTGCATGAACAAGAGGGTGGGTGTGGTGGGTAGAGCTGAAGTGTCGGTGTGCTCGATCTGCAGGATCGTGCATGTGCATGTGCATGGATGGATGACTCTGTCAGGCACGAGGAACTCCCTCCCCTCCCCACCCACTTTACTCGATCCTTGATCTGGTCTGGTCCCGATCCAACAGGGGAATCTACCTCCCTAGTACGGAGTACAGTAGACTCGCCAAACTAATTATGCCAAGCATCGGTGAGGCGTGCAGTTCCTACAGAGATAGTCGCGGTGGTGAAGAAATCCCGCAAAAGCAAATCTCGGATACGAACGAGGATCGGTGAATCGGTCTATTCCCTGCTGAGTGTCTCCCCCTGGAATCATCACAGTGATGCGGATTCGAATCGATGAATACCCTCGAATCCAGGATTCACTCGAGAAAATACCACCGAATCTTCCTACAAATTCGCCCAATCCCTCCCTTTCTCTTTTCCTCCTTCTTCCTCCTCCCCCCCCCTCCCCCATGCCAAAGACAGAGCCAATCCGATCCGATCCGATCCAATTTTGGTCCCCCACGGACCCCCGTGCTAATGCGAGTCCACACGCATAATTGCTTCTTTGATATGCAGGTGCGCTTTCGGCAGCCTGCCCATCTATCTACCCATCCACATTCCACCCATCCTTCGTGATTATCTGGCTCTTAGCCATAAGCCATGCTTTCGGTGTTCTTGTGAGACGCGACGGACGGACTAGTGGGTGGCTTCTGGCGCTACTCTATTCTCTCTTTCTCACCGTGCCGTGCGCTTTGAGCGATGGGGTGGTAGATGCTTGCTGACGTGCATGAACAACAGCTAGTAAGCGCATGGCGAGGCAGGCAGTAGTACAATCCCACTTACAATTACAATGTGCTTGTCTAAATAGCGCGCGCCATTTATGGATCAATATTCTGAGTGTGAAGAAAGAGAAAGGGTGCCCTCTCGGCACAATATGGCCACCTACCAATTCCTCACTGTGGTGTGGGGCCGCAGGCATATCATTACTGATGCAGTGCTGACCTATCTGCTTGGAAGACATTGCTGCAATCCGGGGGATGTTTCGATGAAAGTCCCGAGGCCTTGAAGAAGGTGATCTGTTGCGAATCTTGAACCGAAAAACCTTCCAAGAATGGGCTCATGTGAGACGACTGGCTGGACGGGGATCATCATTCTGGTTGGAGTCTATACCCCAGCTCGCAATCGAGTTTACCGACTGGGATTTCACAAAGATCAGAAATCGACACCAAGCAATCCTGAAGATTACCGGGTCTCATGGCTAGTATGTCCCTGGTCAACCTTGCTCATCTTCTCGGAAGGTAGGGCATTCGTCGATTTATGGAGATTTATCGGGCGTATCCGACATCCTTGACAAATGTTTGACAGCAGTGAGGCATTCTGGAAGATGGTAAAGATTAACCAAGCCTGGATTTATGCTTGTTCCTCGTCAGTATCATATCATCCATGTCGATGACAATGGTCTCATGTCACGTCAAGCACAGCAATGATGTTGCTGTCTGCTTATGAGAAAGGTACTGACCGGCATTATGATCATAAGAAGGCTATTTCCAGGACTTTTTCTTGCTTGGAACATCATAACGGTCATAAACGAGGGCTGAGTAACAGACTCCCCTCTCGACCCATGCCGGATCATGCAGCAGATTCAGGTCGAAAACTTGAAAGCCTATCCAGGGATAGACAGAATACCATGGACGATAATCACAGTGCTTTAATAAAATCTGGAAAATGGGTATACGACCAGAAAGCTGATTATGACAGCAAAATCTCGAATTTCTCTCGATACTCCTGACATTCAACCAAATCGGAGGGCAAGATATCTCTTCCGACGGCCGGTTTTTGACAGATCATGCTGCCACACCTACTCGTTTCATCCATTTTGATGGTGAAATAGGTAGCGATTGACAGCATGCGTTGACTGCAAACCACGCCCTGACCAATGGGTATTATGGCAGTTAAGGCCAATATATCGCAGTTGAAAATGCATGAGCAGACAGGGATATACCAGAAAGTCAGCCATATAACGAGACCTTCCGCCCTGGACAGGACAAGAGTACCTGTCCTGTCGTGGGCGGCGTTGGATATCCATGCCGGTTATGTGGTCTATTCTGTTCTACTCCTGCAGAGGGAGAAAGTCAGAAGAGTTGGCCCAGTTCCGCGAGGCTATCCTCGTGACTGGCTCCAGGACACAGCCACATCAAGCAAAGGCTGCGATGGTTGTAGTGCCCCAGATGCTGGTCTCCCTGTTGAGATTTGCATTTCTGGGCGTGTCTCGATCACAAATATAGGATCGCCTGTCTCGGTAGTTTGCTATCTAGGGTCTATTTCAGTATCGCCACGATACCATGATGTATTGATCTAATACGGCTTCGTCGATACATTCCTCAATGGCAGCAGGATCGCACACAGCCAGGCTTCCAGATGCCATTCTGTTCCTCAAGGATTGTGCAACACATTGTCGAAAACTCCAACAGGTGCTTTTCTTTACTATACGCCTTTTATCCCTTTCCCTCTCAAAGGAATCGCTTGAAGGGGAAAATGTTGGACCACGTCATCATTTATATGACTCAACACCCTGCCGGCACCTCAAGTAGGCAGCCGCCCCTAGCTAGTTGAATCTATCAACCTTCATCTCCCTAGCATCCTTCCTACAGAAAACATCGCCTATTTTCAGGAAGCGGGCTGACTCCAAAGATGAAAAGCCCCCCGAACAACAAAGCAGTATCCTAGAGATTTATTCTCTAGCTATACCCTTGGAGACGACTGAAGTCTCCGCTGGACAACAAGACCCAACAGGGGCTTCAACCAGATGGTGACCTCGCCCACAACACCGCTGTGCTGGCAGGCGCAACGGGCCCACACAATGGGAAGGATATTGCGGGATTCTTCACTACCAAGTCAGCGCTGCAGGAGGTGCTACTGGACTATCGACCGTTGTCCCACGCTTCGATCCCAAGGTGGGCACGGAGAGTGTGTCGGATGATAATTATCGCTTCATTACTGCCTCTTTCATCGCTCCGCTCTAGATGAACTTGTCTCAGTCGATGTCTTGGTTGGATGGCGGTCAAGGGATGATGACAGTCCGAGTCCCCAGGTGGACATCTTCTCATCAGAATGACACCCAAATCCATCGGTCGGACATATTCTATGTGTATAGCCTCTCCATTAGTCCAAATCCATACTATACTCCTTTGCATGCTGCTATATCTCTCTCCAGAGCCCAGAGTGCAGTGCCAGCCCATTCGACGACTCGCACGGGAAACCAGGCCCTAGCTGCCGGCGACTAGCCCACAGCTCGCCTCGTAACCGAGGGCCAATGGAAGAAGAGATAACAGCTAACAGTAGTGTCGTAGTCTGGCGTCTGACAGGCAGCAGTAGATACCCAGATACACCCGTAGGGGATGGATGAGGGTCAATAAGAAGGGTCACACACTCGACGGCTGGCCTAGACTTCCGCAGACCGCGGGGCCGCTGTCAAGGGAAAGGCTATTATTCATCCGGGCGAGCCCTGGGGAGCAACGAGGATGCAGGAGGGCGAATGAGGGTCAAAAGAGGGCGAAAATGGGCTCGTATTGCGAGGCACCACGTGGACCGGCCAGCCCCGACCGATTGGCGAACCTCCGCAATGGGGGAAGGAATGGAATCCCCGCAACTCCACAGCTTCACCTCTTTGTTTTCTCCCTTTTCTCTGCTCTCTGCTCTCTGCTGTGTGCAGTTTGCTACCTGCAGTCTGTTCCTCTCCCCCCCAAAATATCATCATCCCTAGACCGTTCTTCCCCCCCCATGGCCAAAACCCAAGGGGGCATCCTCGAGGGGAGCAATCCCTCGGACTATGACTCCTCCAACCCCATCATCGTCTTCATCTACCAGGCCGGCATCATCATCGTCATCTGCCGCCTGCTGCACTGGCCGCTGTCCAAGATCCGCCAGCCGCGCGTCATCGCCGAGGTGATCACCGGCATCCTGCTGGGCCCGTCCGTGATGGGCCGCATCCCCGGCTTCACCGACGCCATCTTCCCCGCCGCCTCCATCCCCAACCTCAGCGTCGTCGCCAACCTGGGCCTGATTCTGTTCCTGTTCCTCGTCGGCCTGGAGACCAACCTGCGCTTCCTCGTGAGCAACTGGCGCGTCGCCATCAGCGTGTCGGCCGCGGGCATGATCCTGCCCTTTGGCCTGGGCTGCGCCATCGCCTACGGCCTGTACAACACCTTCCAGCATGAGCCCGGCACCGTCGACGTCAACTTTGGCACCTATCTGCTCTTCATCGGCATTGCCATGGCTATCACGGTGCGTGAGCTGACATCGAGACTAACCCCCCCATCCCCCATCCCCCGTCCCATCCCCGTCCCCTGCTGGTGGCTGACTTGCTCTCTCACAGGCCTTCCCCGTGCTTTGCCGGATCCTCACAGAGCTCAAACTGCTCGACACCAACGTGGGCGTGATCGTGCTATCCGCCGGCGTGGGCAACGACGTGGTAGGCTGGGTCCTGCTCGCCCTCTGCGTGGCGCTGGTCAACGCGGGCACGGGGCTGACAGCACTATGGGTGCTGCTGGTATGCTTGGGATACGTGCTGTTCCTGACCTTCGTCTTCCGGCCCCTATTCCTGCGGTTCCTGGTGCGGACCGGCAGTCTGCAGAAGGGACCGAGCCAGTCGGTGGTGGCCGTGACGCTGCTGATCGCGCTGGCGTCGGCCTTCTTCACGCAGGCCATCGGCATCCACGCCATCTTTGGCGGCTTCATCATCGGCCTGCTGTGTCCGCACGAGGGCGGCTTCGCCATCAAGCTGACCGAGAAGATCGAGGACCTGGTCGCCACCCTGTTCCTGCCCCTGTACTTCACCCTGTCCGGCCTGCAGACCAACCTGGGTCTGCTGGACACCGGCACCGTCTGGGGATACGTGATCGGCATCATCGCCATCGCCTTCATCGCCAAGGTCGCGGGCGGGGCTGGCGCATCGCGTCTGTGTGGGATGCTCTGGCGCGAGAGTTTCGCCATCGGCGTGATGATGAGCTGTAAAGGATTGGTCGAGCTGATTGTCCTGGTGTGTGACCCCATCCCCATCCCCATCCCAGCCCTATCCTCCCATCTAACCCCGCCAGAACATCGGCCTCCAAGCCAAAATCCTCAGCACGCGCACCTTCACGATGTTCGTGGTGATGGCCCTCGTCACCACCTTCGCGACGACCCCCCTGACCGTCGCCCTCTACCCCAAGTGGTACCAAACCAAGGTCGAACGATGGCGCCGCGGGGAGATCGACTGGGCGGGCAACCCGCTGCAAACCGACTCGCGCGACAACAGCGTCGCCATCGCCAAAGACCAGCCCGTGCGCAAACTGCTGGTGTACCTGCGCCTGGACGGGCTCTCCAGCCTCTGCACGCTCGCCGCCCTCCTGGGGCCAACGCAGCCTCCCAGCCCCAAAACCCACCCGGACAAAGAAGCCCTGCCATCCCAATCCCCGGAACCCGACGAATCCGCCCCCTCCACCACCAACACCATCACCAACACCTCCCCATCCCCCACAGGCCTCCAAGTCCACGGCGTCCGCCTCATGGAACTCACCGACCGAGACTCCTCCGTCATGAAAGTGTCCGAAATCGAACAATACACCCTCTGGGACCCGGTAGTGAACACCTTCCGCGCCTTCGGCCAGTGGCACGACATCTCCATCATGGCAGGCGTCTCCGTGGTACCAGAGTACTCCTACGCCGACACAGTGGTGGGGATGGCCCGCGACGACACCTCGGATCTGCTGCTCGTCCCCTGGAGCGAAACCGGGCTGATCGCCGACCCGCAAACCGGTCTGGGAATCAACGAATCCGCCCGCTTCACCAACGGGCCCTATACCGATTTCGTCGCCCACGTCCTCAACACCGTCCCCTGCAGCACGGGGCTGCTGATCGAACGGTCCGTCTACCCTCATCACACTCACGCACACACACAGCAGCAGCAGCAGCAGCAGCAGCAGAAATCCCTCCACAAACCCCCCTCCATCTCCGCCCTCAGCATCCGCAGCTCCATCTGGAACACCCCGCCCAGCGCACCAGGCACCAAGACGCACCATGTCGTATTGCCGTTTTTCGGCGGGAGGGATGATCGCTTCGCGCTCCGGTTTGTGCTCCAGCTGGCGAGGCATGATCAGGTCACGGCGACGGTTCTGCATGTCGATGTGCCGCTCTCGGGGGAGCCGCAGGGCCATGAGTCGGATGCGATTTATTTGGCGTCCATGAGGGAGGGCCTCGGGGAGGAGATGGCGTTGAGGGTTGTTTTTAAGAAACTTCCTTCGCCTTCGGGATCTGGAAGTGCGGAAGGAGAGCGAGAGACGGTCGAGAGGACGGTCGAGGCGGTCAAGGAGGAGATGGGCCGTTCGGTGCATAAGGCGGGGAATATGGTGGTCGTGGGGAGGAGGAATAATCGGTTGGAGGGGGTGGGATCTCCGGGGGTTGGTACTGGGGGTGGCAGTGGCAGTGGCAGTGGGAATGGGTTTGGGTCGGGGCTGGAGGAGGTTGGGGAGGATGCGACGAGGGTGTTGGGGGTTGTTGGGCGGGCGATGGTGAGGATGGAGAGTCGGATTGTCGGGAATGTTTTGGTGTTGCAGGGGAGGAGGTAGATCTTTCTCTTTCTGTTTCTGATATTTGAGGGGGGAGACAGGAGGGAGGTATAAGGGGGGTTGGATTCTGATACCCGGGTTGGTTGGTGTGAAATGAAATTAGCTGCAGGCGGGAGTAGGGCAGATACATAGTGTATACCACCTACGATCTACTCCAAAGAAAAGAAATCACGATGAATCATGAAAAAAGTAGTTATTTTTTTCTTCTAATAAACAAATCACATATATACTGTAACTCATAACACCCAAGGACATCTCATATATACATATTCACATTTCCCATCGGAAAAAGAAGAAGAAGACGAAAACAAATCATACACCCTGACCGGCAGAATGCGGCTTCTCCTCGGCGCCATCCACACTATCACCGGCATGGGAGACACGGCTGGCGAGACGGCTCTTGGCGCGGAGCTTAGGGCCGTACCAGAACAGCACGTAGGGGATGAGGGTGAGGAAGGTGGCAATGAGGGAGAGGATCAGACCGGCATACTGGCTGCCGACGTTATCGAAGAACTGGGTGGCGAAGAGCGGGGAGACGGCACCGAGGGTGTTACGCATGAAACCCTGACCGGCGATGGCGGACGAGGAGCTCTCGCCGTAGCAGTCGGAGGTGTAGCTGTAGCAGGACTCGAAGATGAAGAAGATGCCGATACTGATCAGGACGAGGGCGATGCAGGGCGCGATCCACGGGAGGAAGCTGTACTGGGTGAAGGAGTAGATGAAGAGACCGATGGGGAGCCAGACGGCACCGAAGAGGGCGCCGTAGAGACGCGCCTCAGGACGCGCCTGTCCGGCTTGCACCATGGCGTTGTACTTGCGGATCTGGAAGAAGTTGAGGAAGAACGCGATGGTGGTGCCCAGCGCCAGGCCGATGTAGGGCAGGCCCGACACGCCCTCGTTCCAGCCCTTCTTCTGCTCGAAGGTGATGGGGATCATGCTCAGGAAGAGGAAGGTCAGGAACCAGGCGAAGGAGATCCAGAGACCGAAGAAAAAGACCACGGGCTCGGTGGCCAGCATCTTCACGGCCTTGACGGACGAGTTGTGCAGCATCTGCTTGAGACCGGGGGCTTCGAGGTCGTTCTCCGTGACGTAGCGGTCGTCGCCGGTGTTCTTGCGGAGGAGCTTGGCGCGCTTGTTCAGGGCCACGCTGCCGCGGGTCTCGGGAAGGAAGAACAGGATGACGATGCCCAGAGGGATGTTGGCCAGTCCCTGGATACCCTCCACCCAGCGCCAGTGCAGGTGCTGGTCGATGAAGCCGGCGTAGATGGGGGCGGAGACGGTGCCGAGAATGGCGATGAAGGCGAACGAGGCCACGGGGATGGCGCGGTTCTCCGGGTAGTACATGTCACCGAAGGTACCACCGACGAGGATGGTGCCGACGCAGCCGAACAGACCGAGCAGGGCACGGCAGACCAGGATGGTGGCGATGTTCTTGCCGAGGGCGAGACCGATGAACATGAGGCAGAAGCAGGCGTAGGAGCCGACGTAGACGATGCGGCGACCGGCCAGCTCACAGAAGGGGGCCAGGAAGAGGGGGGCCAGGGCGCAGGTGAAGTTGAAGACGAAGAGACCCAGCTCGGCGATCTCGCTGGACACGCCCAGGTCGGTGGCCATGTCGCCGCTGCCGGAGCTGTAGGCGGTGGTGGCCAGACCGATGAACAGGGTCATCAGGCACAGCAGGGTCGAGATGAAGGCCTTGTATTTGGGGTCCCAGTTGAACGGGTTTTCCTTGTCGCCGGACACGAAGTTGAGCACGATGAACTGCTTGTCGTCGTGGGTGACTTGTTCCGTTTGCGTGAAGGGGAGGTCGAAGTCGACCGTCGTGACGGTGGCATCCTGGGAGGAGAGGCCCTCCAGGTACTTTCCACCAGCAATGAGCCCACGGCCGCTGGAGCCAGTCAGGCTGGAGGGGCCGGAGGAGGCATTCTCCTGGTGGGAGGAGAGCCCGGGTTGGGACTTGTCGGACTTGTCCATGGTGAAGGGAGAAGAAGGGGAGGACAAGGAGGAGAAGGAGGGGGAGGAGTGAGAGAGAAGAGGATGGAGCGAGACGAGGGGAGGGGGAAGACGGGGGAGATATAAAGAAAAACACGGGGGAAGGGGGCAAACCCGGGTGCTCCGTACTCTCCGTGGGTGAGAACTCCGGAATTTTCCAACTGTCGGTCCACCGGGGCAGCAGCAATTCCTTCGATACCCTTCTGGGGTGCGTCATAAAGTCGGGGTGGGAACTGGACGGTGGTCCCGGGGCTGGAGAAGTCTCACTGCCTTGCGCGAATGACGCCGGCCAGGGCCAGCCTGCTCCACGGGATGGGTCGGTTGGGGTGGTTCGGTGCTGCCCCGGCCCAGGCATCATCGTGCTGAGATGCTGGACCGAGTGGGTCGCAAACTTTGCAGCCGATTGATCCTCGACCCCTGGTTGGAGAGTTTGACTCTGCGAAACCTCGGGGAAACCGTCCATCTTTTGCCTGTTCTTTTCTCCCAGGCACAGAATTTTTTTTTTTTCCCCCTCCTCTCTCTGCAGGCAGACGATTTTGCATTCAGACCCTCTGCCAGCGAGAGAGTGTGTTTCCCGTACATCTGGAGTCTTCCCCTCCCTCTCCAGACACGATTTGGGGCCTCCCCCTGGTGGCGGAGGGGGATCATCGGTCCGCGGAACTCGCCCGAGATCAGATCCATCTCACCCATGGCTGGCCAGTCGGCATCCCGAAAATGGCAAGAATCCTGGCCTCGGGCCGACTCGGAGGACTCGCCACCATGGGTCTCCCACGCATCTCGGGAGTAGTGCCGGCCTGACTTCGGCGAAAGTCTCACCGAAGCCGAACCGGGAAATGGTTGCAGTGAGGCGCTGCATGCCGTGCCTCATCGGCACCACTGACATGCAACCGATGACAAGTGTCAATCAGGCGAGCATACGGTGTGAACCCCAGACATCTAAACGCGCCCATCGCACGCCGTCTGGAGTAAACAAACCCTGATGTGTACATCGTCCAGTCCAAACTCCAAAAGGCCATCCATTGAGAACCCTTGGTCGGCATCCCGCACAGAGAGAAGGGGCCGCCCATCAATCTCGGGGCAGCTGGAACCTCATCAACCGTGCCCCCGTCGGGTCCACCGGGCCCAAGCAGTTAGTCACGCGTACTATGTAGGTATGTAGCAGCCAGCCCGGCTGACATGTTGCTTTTGCTGCGTCTGGACCCGAGTCGGATGCGTGCCTCTACGCCTCGCGTATATGTCCAACCTCTATAGCGCCAAAACGATGCTTTACCCGGAAGACTCTTTAGCCTAAAGTGCATTGGGATGCCCCTTTTCTCGCCTTCACGGCCATAGTCGCGACGGCTGGAGAAGCCGCCAGGATGCCGGCGGGTAAGAACTGGTGCGTTGTTATTGTTTGACACGTATTGTGTATGGGTGCATCTCCACCGCGCCGAGTGGCTGTCGAATCCTCGGGTCGGGATGCCTGGTGAGAATGGACGGAGGAGCACCGCGAGGGGCCGGGTTCCCCCGACGCAGACTGCCCGGCTATGGCTACGGCAATGACGGCATGCCGTGCATCAGAGCGAAGTCAGGCAGAGATGCCGACGCGTGCAGCTGGATGGGATGCTGCGGGGGCCAACACGAGACTGGGGTCGCGTGACTGGAGTGGCGATCTGCGTAGAGCTTTCAATGTCTGGAGATCATGATACATCATGATATCTGTCGTGTATGAATATATAGTTGGCGTTTCTAAAGAGGGCCGTGTCACCTGTGTTACCGTGATGTTGTTTGAGGTTGAGGTGGACGGCGCCGAGAGCAGCCCGCGCGGGATGGTGCCGCTGACGGGGTTAGGGCTGGCCTGGTGAATAGTGTCAAGAGCGGCCACAGTAGACATCAATTGGCCGGATGGTGTAGTTGGTTATCACGTATCGTTAACACCGATAAGGTCCTGGGATCGAGCCCCAGTCTGGTCATTTCTTTTTGCTTTTGCTTCTTGTCCTGCCTGTCAGTCAATCTCCGCTAGTGCTCGTGGAGTTGACTGACTTGACTCGATCCGGACAGGAAAATGGCTGTTGGTGTGCCAAATCGGGCCCGATCAACCCTGTTTCCTGCCCGAACCGGACTTCGTCACTGTCCGGAACCACGGCCGCAACCAGCTTAGCCTTTTTCTTCGTTTTTTCTTCGCCGTCCTGACTCGTTCTCCCCGACGTCATCCAACCACGTCGGTCAGATCCCGAGAGCGAAAGGGCCTCGAGTGGACTCAAGAAAACTCGGGCGCCCCAGTCGGTCGTGTGGGCTGTGTTGGCACCCGGGATTTCGCCCTGGCGAAACCGAGAATCACGCAGACCGCAACCGTCGAGTTTCATCCGTGGCGTTGCCTTGCCCCAATCAAACAAATCTGATACACCTCCATCCATGACGATGATTCTTGCAACCCGGATTTTCTTCCCTCGTCTCCAGATCCCGCGACTCGTGTGGACGAGGAATGGCAGACCATCATACGGTGGGCGACGAAACAATCTTGTTGTTGCTGTTGCTACGGTCTACCCACATTCTGCAACGACCCACACGTAGAATGCCCCATTCCAACATCGCCTCCAGGTCCCGGAAGTCCAGGTTGCCATCGCTCTCTCAGCATCGATGCGATGCGATGCGGTCATGGCTGGGCTCGATTGGACTTGACGCTCCTCTCATGTTGTCCTGATGTAGTGAAGTACTCTTCTCTGCGCGATTTGATTATGTGGCTTGTGTTCTCTCTCCTACGGTCCAAGCTACACTGTTATATCACCGCGGAACCTCTCCGTCAAGAAATATCCAATTGAAACCCACATTAAGCTGCAACAGAGTTTAACGGTGGAAAGCTTGGGCTAGGCTAAACGCGATGAATTGTATTTGGAATGAGACATGAATGAAGAGTAGCCTGCAATTTGATAAATGACCAACGCACGGAGACATTGTTAGTGGAGTTGGGAAATATTGGGGGCGTGAAAAGTCTTGTACACACAAACCCCCCGAGTGGCTCTGCTGTGTAAACAGGGTGTTTGAAGTAACTTGGGATGCATTTTAGGTGGGCATATCTTGACTGTAGACACCAAAGGAAGTCTCTTCTCTTGACAACGGTCTTGAGTGAATAATAATTGATCCGATGCCCTTTTCATCGGGCATGCCTGTCGGAGATCTCTTTCTGTAACCTAAAAAGTACTAGGCCTAGGCATGGGCTGTCTACCATGTCTGGAGTTGGGGTTTGTGCATAGAGCGGCCTGGATCCTATCTGTAGTTCAAGCATTTCTGGTGGGGGGGACATCAAAAGGTGCCAGAAAGTATCATTTCATAAAGCAAGCATATATATCCAAGATACTGGACATGGAAGAGGTCGTACTATCAGCTAGGGCAGATGTTGAAAAGGTCACTCAAAGTAGTGGTGTATAAAGCTATCCGGCAGCATACACCTCAAAATATGTATCCAGATCAAGTCTTAGAGCAATGTTCCAATACCCTTGGAAAACCGGAATTTCCAATAAATAAAACAGTACCGCAATAATCCCCAACCGAGGCAGATACAGAAGGACCCTTCCAGGATACGGACTTCACAGCATCCAGTGTCGTACAAATAAACTCAATGGATACCTCAACTCACGAGTGGATCGCTTGATCTTCAGCGGATCTTCACCTCGACCCTTACAACCTAGAGTGTGCAGATTCAGGCGGAGATAGCACGGACGTAGCCTCGAAGGCGACACTCGCCTCCACAAACTCTGACGGTGAAGCCTTGGCATGAGGTGCGGCGTCGGTACCGGTCCCGGCAGAAAGCCGAGGTGGCGGTTGAAGCTATACGCATCCGCCGCCGAGCGTGACTATCGAAGCAACAAGAGCACCAGGAGTATAGCACCTCTTTCTGATTCTATTCCATAATATCAACTATATCACCGTGATTAATAGCTCAACATTACAGCCACGAGCCGGTTGATTTTCGCCAGCTTCAAGTTCGTGAGAGTGGGCAGTGAGGCGAGCACAACCCCAACCCTCCTTCCCCAGGCCCCGCTTGCCCCGCAACACCAAGCCCTGGACGCCCGCATTTCCGAAATGTCGGCCGCCCCGGGGGATTCGGATATATAATATGAGAAATTGGACTAGCGCGCGGATATAATCCTACGACTGCAGAGATGAAATGATACTAACTCAAAGAAGCTAACCAGGAGGGATTTCGGGTAGCAAACACGGCAATGGTGCGTGGGAGACTAGATCCTATTTAGGGCTACCGTGTCTGTTACCCCTTAGGTGCTTCCGGACTTTGATTCCGAGGAGCAGCAAAAAGGATATTGGAGTTTTGGACTATTTCTGGCTTTGGTATCTTCACTTGTAGATTGGGTTCATTGGCATACATACTCAGATGATTATTGGAATTGGAGTATGTGGGGAAGGGGGGTCGGAGTGTAGATGATCGCTCGGGGAGGCCACGGTATGGTCGTGAGCATTAGAAGTATGAAAGTCTGCTTGTTTGATTTGTAGAAAAAGTAAGGGCTCTTCTTCTTTTCGATTCTCCACGAGAAAAGGAAAACTCTTATCATTCAGATGATACAGGTACCAGACACAATGAGCAACAGAACGATTCCCCTGATCACCAACGAACAAGATACGATCTTGCCCCCCGAGGAGGTGATGGACTGGCCAGATTAACGAGCGGTTCAACAGGGAGAAAAGCCCCCCCAAAGTTGTTTCGATACTAAGTTATACCTGTTTGACTATCCTTGTCAGTAATACATGATCCAAGGGGGCTGTTCTCCACCCCGCAGCCTTCTTGATGAAGACCTGCTGGTGTTTTTGGCGATTATCATTAAGGGTGGCAATCAGGATATCGATTAAACCTGTATGTAGTATTATAGTTGTGAAGTCGGAAGAGCAATGTCTGGAGGTGGGCGATCACTTTGTGTATGATCTTTTATTGTCGCTGTTCAGTCGGGACCTCTTCAAGACCCTGGAGATATTTATGGATATTGCAGCGGAATCTGTCCATATCAATGGTAGAATAGTGCACAACAAGACAATGGTGAGTATTGGCTGGTAAGAGAAGGGCGACTGGGGATGTTTTGAAGAAAGGTGGAGATTGGAAAAGATTTGGCAGACGGGGACTGTTTCTTTTAAATAATCATACTTGGCTTAGTGGCGAGGAATATTGAATGATTTTAAACTATCCCAGAACAGCTTTTAGACAAACATGATCCGGGTGATGTATTCGCTTCACCTAAGAAAGAGCACTCATCTAAATAATGATTTGCTCTGTCAGCTTCCATTTTTTACCAGGGGGATTTTGGAGTTAGGCCACTCTTCCCAACCACTCCTAGAACATGACCCATGGGTTCGATTTCGAGCTTTCCAATTCACCCAAGATGTTAGCGCTAAAGAATTCAGCCCGCTACTGCCACAGGAAGTTGCCCTCATAAGTTTGAGTTTCTAGCGGGACACGATCTGCGTTGCCATATATTGCATTCTCTTGGCCAGAGAATCAGGACAAATATCCCTACATCAAGATAGAACTTCCATCGCAGCCTCTACTCTGAAACTACGTACTCACCCCCTAAACAGCAGGGGAAAGAAACATAAAGTTATCTTGATGATTTGATCAATCTGATAAGATACACCCCCTCGGCCTCACCAACCAAGCCCAGGCTACAGCCCCACAGCAGATCATCAGCCATGACACAAACTAATCAATCCAACGAGCCGAAATAACGATCTTCACTCCATCCATATTACCCCCCCCTGCCGCATCTTCAAAAAAAAACCCCCCAGAGACGACACATTCAATCATGCATCTCCCCATCGTGACCCCCCTGGCCCTCCTCGCCACCTCCGCATTCGCCCAAACCACCCAACTATTCAACTTCACCAGCTACGTCGACATCGAAAATGGCATCATCCGACCAAACGGCCACCTACTGCTCACCACCTTCTCCGACGGCCGGCTCTTCACGCTGGACCCCCTCTCCCCGCACCCAGAAGCCAAACTAATCGCCACATTCCCCGGCGCCACCGCCATCACGGGAATCGCCTCCATCGGGCCCGACAAATACGCCATCGCCGGTGGCGTCAGAGGCAGCTACCACTACACCAACGAGACGATCTACACGATCGACTTCAACACCACCACGCGCGACACCAACCCAAACACCACCGTGCAAGCCGTCGCCCACCTCCCCAACGCCGTGATGCTGAACGGCATGGCCGCCCTCCCCGCCCACCCTCACAAAGTCCTCACCGGCGACTCCCGTCTCGGATGTCTATTCCTCACCGACACCGCGACCGGGGAAACAGACGTGGCGTTCAAGCACGAAGCGCTCTCTGCGCCGGCGAACGCGTCCATGCCGATTGGGATCAACGGGCTCAAGACCTTTGGGGAGTATGTGTATTTTACGAATACGGCGAGGGGGACGTTTGCGCGGGTGAGGATCACGCCGAATGGGACGGTGGTGGGAGACGTGCAGGTTATTGCGACGCTGAATGCGGAGGGGGATGATTGGGATGATTTTGATTTCGGTGCGGATGGGACGGCGTACGTGGCGCAGGCGAGTAATGAGATTGTGAGGATTGGGTTGGATGGGAGTCAGGAGGTTGTGGTCGGGGGTGGGGATAGTAATGTGCTTGTTGGGCCGACGTCGGTTCATGTTGTGAGGGGAGGGCGGTCGGCGTATGTGACGACGAGAGGGGGCACGGTGGATGGGGTGTTGTATAGTGGGCAGGTCGTTGAGGTGGAGTTGTGAGTCGAGTCTTAGTTATGGTGTTTGCCAGTGTCGGTCAAGAGGGCGCAGGGAAGGCAGCAAAAGGGAAACGGCATTTTCATGTGAGTACTTGTGTGAGTATTGTACATCGATGCGTCTGATGGGAGCAGCCTCAGAAAGCGCATTAGATCCGACATCTAGTAGAGACAGAATTTACAGGGGTTGAAGTAAGGCCGGTTAAGTTGATCAAGCCTCTTGATACGGTGCACACCCATGTCATATCCGGGCACTTACACAGAAGAAAGACGAAATATCAAAGAACAGTCAACACCAAATGCGCGCGCCGGCATCCAAGCCCAAAACAACCGCAGAAAAGAGCCTTTCGAAGCCAAGGCTATGTAAGTACCTTATGCGTCCTGCAGGTTGAAGCAGAGGGGTGATGAGCCTGGAGAGAGCACGAAAGAGCAGCAACTCACTCTGCATCGCGACCATCTAGTCTGAAAATCAACTCGTCATACGCACTTCTCGCATTACTCAACCTCGCACCGTAAAAGTTCACATCCATCTCCCGCCCGTAGGAATCAACCGTCGTCCACTGTCCTTTTTCTTCCAACCCCTGCAGCAGGACACCCACAATCGTGCCGATCATCTTGGGACCGAAAACGGGTTTCGCGGGACATTCGAACGGGGGCGCTCCGAACGGCATGAAGGCCCTTTTTTGTCCCTGAGTCGGATTCGCCCATCGGAGGGGATTGAACTCCCTGGCATCCTGTCCCCAGATATCCACCGACAGATGGCAGGCTTCGATGTCCGCCGCGTAAGTGTCCTGCTCAACGATATTCTTGCTTGCATCCTGCCACCTGAATGCGCGACAGATTCTTTTGGTGGGCGGGTATAGACGAAGCGCTTCAAAAATCAGGTGTTCCGCGCAGACCCCGGATGAGTTTCTCTCCTTCAGATTACCCGTAGTCGGCCTTCGAGAGAATCCGATCACAAGATCGATCCAGTCGGGATCACCACGCCTCAGCTCGAGAAGCAAGCGCAGCGCGACCCGCCACGTGGTTTCAAAGCCGGGGAGAATGAGATTCAACGGGTTATCGCGAGGCTGGGAGAGGTCATAACCGGGGCACAGCGAGGAGAGGGCTTCCCGAATGAGAACGCTTCCCGCGAACGGCGGGGTCTGGTCGCTCTCGGAGATTATCCAGAGCTCGTTGATCTGGGATGCGAGGTTGGCAAGATACAGCTCGTTCCAGACCTTCACGGGAAGCTTGATCTCCAGCAAAGTCATGATGACCAAGCGCAGCGAGAGGACCTGCACCAGTCGTGCGATAGGAATCTCTTCGATGGGATGGGCGAGCCATAGGCGAGCCGCTTTGCGGATCTTTCTAGACACGTAGTACCATTCTATCGCGGTCACATTCACCAGTGCCCTGGATCTGTGGACGAATTGGGCGGCAAGTTCCTCGTCGGGAGTGGTGAATGCGTTCTCGATGCCGAATGTAATCCGAAGCGGCCGGTTGGGTAGTTCTCGTGACGCGAGGGGAGAGAGCAGGTTGGTCTTGCCCATGAATTGGCCGTCTGCTGCTATGAGTTGGCGGCATTTTTCGACATCGGTGACACGGTTGCGAGGTCGATGACGTTGTTTCTGGAGGAGGTAGAAAAACGTGACGCTCACGATAAAGAGCATGATATCCAGAAGCATCATGAGAAACATTACGTGGAACAGATGAACGAAAAAAGCAGAAAGGGGACCTGTTGGATGAGAGGGAGGGGGGTAAGCGTCAGTTTCAGGCTCTCTTGATGGTGTCAGGAAAGATGGACTGGAGGTGCGCGTTTGGGGGGTTGGGGGATTAATATATGGCTCCGCCTATGTAAACATTGTGAATAGCCTCAGTCGAGTTGAAGCAAGGCTAATCTTAGTATAATACATGATACAGTTCAGTACAGGGACCCGGTCTTATGATCATATACCTTCGCTGTACACCATGCAAATGGATATAGTGAAGAAGAGCTAGGGGTTGATAACCTGCGATTCTAAGACGCAATGTAAAATCATTGAAGTAATACAACCGAAGGCTATGTTCCTTGAGATGCAGACTTGAAGGGACTCAGCAAACAGAAAGCGGGCACATGTTAAAGGTTATTCACTATAGTGGTAGTGAATATGGAATTGAGGAGGCAAAGCCTCGGCCATCAAGACACCCATTACTTTCCTCATTATAACTTTGGTATTTTCCCCTGGAGTTTTCAATATTAAACGTGAAAATAAAGATATATAAGGCCAGGCAAGTGATTATATTAAAGGTTTCTGTCCATTGAAGAAGAAGGAAAATCGCCCATAAACAACAAAATCAAAGCAGACCGAACCCTTACTTGCCGCCCCTATTCTGGAGCCACTCCTCATAATGATCCCTCAACATCTCCTCCGTCGAACGATACGACATCCCCAGCTCCCTGACACTCTTACCATTATCTGCCTGGAAACAAATACCAGCATTCCTAGCCACGAACTTCATCGAAACACCCACAAACGGCGCGGCCGCATAAACAAGAATCTTGGGAAGAGACCGCCGAGGCAGCACCTTAGGATTGTGATGGAACGGCCTCACCAAGGCCGCCATCTGCAGCAGACTAAGATTGTCGCCATTGGTAATGAGATAGCGTCCCTTGGCGGTCGAGCTCGTGCCTGCGCGGAGATGTGCCTCCGCAACGTCCCGCACATCCACCAGCAGAAAATAAAACCCAGGACATCCCATGGCGTCGTGGCCGCGATACAGATTCTCCAGCATGAAGAGACTGCCGGATACCGACTCAGCCGTTAGCGATGGACCGAGGACCAATCCGGGGTTGACGACGACGAGGTCCCAGCGGATCTGGGCTTCGTTGATCTTCCACGCCTCGCGTTCCGCGACGACTTTGGAGTAGAAGTATGGGTTGTTGGTGATGCTGGAGGATTCGTTCCAGCAGGTTTCGGAGAGGATGCCAGTGTTGGATTGGACGACTTCGATGCTGTCGCCGTACATGGCGGCCACTAGGGAGGGACATGTTAGCATGGCAGCATAACAGATGGGCTTTTATTTGGAGAATGGTGAATCGCGTACTGGAGGAGGTCAGGACGACGCGTCGAACGCTCGGACACTGATTAACCGATTCAAGCACGTTCCTCGTACCCCATAAGGCCGGCTCCACGCATTCCTTCAGACCATCTTTAATTTGGGAGGGGGTGAGGAATGGCGAGGCAATGTGGTAGACGACCGTGCAGCCCTCCATTGCCTCGCGGAAGGACCCATCTTTCAGAAGATCGGCTTCAAAAAGCGACAGTTTCCCCGGATGCTTGGCCTGCAGATCGAGAAGGGGCTTGCATTTGGCGGAGTTCCTGACACTTCGGACGGTGGTGTGGACGTGGTGGCCCTGCTCGAGAAGCAGCTTGATCACATACAGGGCGATATACCCGGTTCCGCCGGTGACCAGCGAAGGGGACATTCTGGTTCTGTAGAGATAGTGTTGCGCTGGATTATTGAGGTTGCGGAAGTGGTAGATATGTATTCTCGATGGGATCGAGGCTCCCTTTTAATCAGTCCGTAACCAGCTTTATCACCACCAGTGCATATGACGGTTCCATTCAGCCTCACAAATCCCGGTGGCGGACTGAATTGCGAGTCTATTTTCGAGACATACAGCACCTCGATGGCGTCGCATCGATGAGAGATGTGGATCGCCGATAGAACCGCGCCAATCATCGTGGTAGACTAGTCCATTAGTGCTTATTTCTGCGATCTGGATAGGGTTCGGCCGGTCATTCGCGCCCGACTGCCGGAAGGCTTACGGCCGTAAGGGGTGGGCCGCCTCAAGCAATCGCGAAGAACTTCTACGGCCGTAAGCGAAGACGATATGCTTGCTAGAGGCCTGTATTGGATGCCAGGCCTCCAAGGTGCCATGGTGAGAAAATCTGCACGCCAACCCCGGGCAGAAATTCCCAGACGGTCGAGGCTGAGATTTGGAAAGTCCAAGGATGTGAAATTATGCTCCAGTGAATGAAAACAGGCTATGACTGCAAGTGAATCTTCTACCCACAGGATCAACCCCCCCTGTTGTTTTACTCTACGACAGTCTCTATCGATGGCAACCAAACGAAATCTCCAAGATCCTGAACATCCAGATTTCCATCATTGAGCAGGGGTGGAAATACAGTGTCCCAGACGTTCTGCCAATCGAATGGTTAGTACAGGATGAGTGTATACTTGCGCGAAAAGGGATTCAGCGCGAGACTTACCCAGTCTATATCTAGCATTTCAGCATCGATATCATTAAGAGGGCCGCTCGGGGTTGCATACTGTGCGTACAGGACAGGCTGAGTTGGAGGTGGTGGTACACTACTTCCAGTGGCAGAAGCGAGCTCGTTAATGGGTTCGCTGCTGGGCATCTCGAGTCGCATGGATATTAGATCGTCAGATCCAACATCTCCGCTATTTCGAGCGGCAGTAACGCCATTGAGTTCATCATGGGCACCATGGCTAGACTGGAGATCGTCATGGGCATAGTTGAGCATAGTCCTTGGATCCGAATCGTCACTGCTCTGAGGGGTGATGACGAGTTTGAAATCCTGAATCTTCGAGGGCAGCTTCAACCCTTTCGCCGCCTGGTACACGCGCATCCTTTCAGCGAACAAGGTAAGAAGATAGCGACCCTTCATTTCGCGGTGTCCAAGAACATCCTGCAGGGTGCGCGTGACGGATACATCCGGCGTCGGGAGATTCGCCAGGGGTTCAGCGAAGATAAAGTCGAGACAGCGCCAGATACGACCTGCCTCCTTTCGCAGCGGGAAGGCAAACACCTCGAACAGTAACAGGAACGCCGTGTGGTACTGGTGATAGGAGCGACTGTACCACGCCCACGGGCGAAGGTCATCTGCGGACTCCAACTCGACCGCCGCTTCGAGAGCATCGGCACCCCGGCTGAGAACGATTTGGCGCAGTCGGTCGGGGGTCCGGTACGTGACGCTGTTCATGTAGCGATGCAAAAAGCAGGTCAGGAGCAGACTGACCAGCAGCTTCATTACCTGGCCGGCCATGCGTCGGAATGGCTGTGGAGGGGAAGAACCCTCGCCGTTGAGCAAGGGGCCGTACTTGTTGTCCATCGCCACCCGGAAGTCTTCGAGCTGGGCGATCGCTTTCGTGAGGCTGATTTTCTTCTCGTCGACCTCGTCGCGCAGCAGCAGGCTTTTGCGGTGCATCTCTTGACACTCGAATCGCATCATCGAGAATACCATCTCGTTCCAGACTGGGGGGGAGGAGAGCTCGAAGGGGAGTTTGGTGGTGAAGCCACCGGGCTGGATGAAGTGGCGGGGGCCCTGGATTTCGCTGGTCCTGTTGTCCAGGTAGCAGATCTGATACCAGATGAGTCGTCGGATCTGACACTCTGCTGGGGAGAAGTCATATTCGGTCGGATCCCGATGGAGGCCCATGCACTCGGCCAGCCGGATGGCCATGCCGACGAGGACCGAATGGGCGCGCGAAACCTCATCCAGACACATTGCGAGCTGATCACAGGTTACTTAAACTGCCAGATGAAGCGCGAGAAAGAACAAGGACTGATGGTCGTACCAAATAGGCCACGAATGCCTGCAGGGTTTCTGTCTTCGTCGACTTCAGCAACTGTGCCTTCCCGAGGGCAACCTCTGTGCCCAGTTGCAGATGAGCTTTCAACTCATCCCGGAGCGCGTCGTATTCGCCCAAGACCTGCCGACCATCATCGACGTCCATGCTGACAACGGCCGAGAAGAGGACTGCACAGACAATCGCACCCAACGACGGGGGCACTTCATACCCGTTGTCCACAAGCTCCCAGAGTGTCTCATAACGCTGCGCGAATGTCGGACGATGCAAGATCCGGCCGACAGGGTGCACCGCAACCCAGTATCTCTCGAGGAGTTTGTCTGCGATCTGACGTGGAGGCACAAAGCTTATTAGCGACTTATCCGACAGACTGGGCCCGAGAACCAGGTTGGCCGACGGGCCTGTGAAGTATCTTCCGGGCTTCAGGAACGCATCCGATGATTCGGGGGTGCCAGGAGTTAGCGATGGTACGGGCGCAAAACTGCCATTTTGCGATGTATACCGACTGCGCATGTGCAAGAGCGAGTAGGATATCTTGAGTATATACCGGGCGCGTTAGTGTTTCAGAAGAAAGCCGTGCAAGAGTCCAACACACCTCTTCTGCGATCCTGGGCCGGTAAAGACCCCCGACGCGTTCCCCTATTCGCAGACGACCTAAACTGATCCCGAGGTCATCGATGTCATTGTCCGCCTCGGCAGCATATGCGGCATCTTGACTGGCCATCGGCGTGGGCTCCAGATACTCCTCATCGTCGGTGGGATCGGATTCAGCAGCAGCGTGGTGTTGGCGTCGTTGCGACAAAGGCACGATGCCGTCGGGGTCACTGCCATCCCAACCAGCCTTCCTGGTTAGGCTTTGATCGAGGGCGTCCTTGGCCTCCTTCAGCTGGACCAGCTTCTGCCGAAACTGGGCGTCAGGGGTTGCATGCGTGACGTAGATGCACTGCTGCGCGGATGCTCGGCAGCCGGCGCACGGATGCTATAACTCGATTAGCCATGCTTGTGCTTCTGAAAACTGCAATCCAGGGTCGAGTGGGCTGTATACCGCGCGGTCACACTTCAACTTCCGCCGACGACATGCAAGGCACGAAAGGATGACTCGATTGCGGCGCCGTGGCTTCGGCGCAACGACATCGGGGGATTTCGGCTCCTGGTCTGACTTTCCGGGCAAGGGCGCCTCCATATTAATCCCGTTGGTATATAAGCCGTAGGCAGGGACAGTCAGGAGCACAGCAGTGGAGCCCTGGGATCTGTTATACGTGTCATCCCGATCGAAGTGACGGATGGAGCCTGGCGGAAGCTAAAAGGAGGGGCTGGGCCGCACAGGCTGACACCTAACCCTATGGATCATGGAACATCCATTTGATCCGCGTTGACTCGGTAGAAGATGCAGACAATCAAGTCCCGCGAGAGCTGGCTCATGTGCATCGGATTGGGGGGGACCGACCTTGGAATAATAAAGTCAAAAACCATTAGCTGTGTTACAGGAAGCTCGTGTTGAATCCCCGTTCTTTGTTCGGATGAACCTCCCCGCAAGAGATCCGGAAGGGTTGATTGTTCTTGGCAACTCAGCCTTCCAAAGCCAATGATATCATGCATGGGGATGAAGGAGAGCTGGTGATACTAAGAATATGCAGTTGCAGAAAGCATCACCCCCTGTGTTACTCTCCATCCGGGCAGAATGAACCGCCCGCCGTGTGATTGGGACGCCGGGGGAGGGGATACAGCTGAGGTTGGACAAGAGTCTGCAGAGATGACATGTCCGGGGAGCAATAACAGTCGCTATCTGTCACGGTTGACACCATGTTTACTCCATAGACCTCATCCAGCTCGAGTACAGAAGGCCTGGCCACCCCCTTGGCGCTGGTGGTGTCGCCAGACGTAGCCCTTCTAGGGCCTCGAGAGCGAAGGCTGAGGGAAGACCACCAGCAGGATGGATGGTTCACGGATTAAAAATACCGATCGGTACCTAGGGTTTTGGCAAGCCACGAGGCTCGGACAAAGAAACGCGGAGGACAGTGCCAATAAGCTGACTTTTACGTGCCGTCATTTGATCCATGCGGTGCCATGTCTTTAACCCCTAACCCCCCCCTTTTGCTCCCCTTGGCATCGCTGCCCCAACCGCCCCAATATAGACAGCTTCAGGGCGCGAGCATCTGATCAGATGGGAAAGCACTCCTACGACTATCTTCTTTCCTATACCTGCCTTTAACATCCCTGTGTCCTCCGCGCGACCATGTCTAAATACCATTGACACCCCACAGCCTCGTCCAATCGTGCTAGCATGTCTAAGTCCTGATACTCCACCGTCCTGCCCAATCCAACATGTCTACGTCTACGGACGGGTCGATACCCGACTCCAGCGACGAGAATGGAAGGGAACTGCGGATCTTCATGGCAGCCATGATAACATTCCCTACCATCGCGGTTGTACTTCGTTTCTGGTCCCGAGCGATCATGCCGCCGAATGCGTCTCAGATGCGAAACAGGCACTTCTGGTGGGATGACTGGGCCGTGCTTGTTACGTGGGTTTGTTTTTCTCCCACCCACAATATCTATCTACAGACTCTAACTGGCGGTACCCGCGACGACCCTCAGCTGTTAACCGTCATGTGTTCTATCGTCAGCTGTATCATGGTGGGCCTGGGTGTAGGAAAACATTATTCCGAGGTTGGCTTCGTGGGCTACGCCAAAATCCGCAAACTGGTATACGTCACCTTCTTTTCATTTGGGCTGGGGACGGGGTTTGGCCGAGCATCTGCCCTGCTGTTCTACGCTTTGATCTTCGATATGATCTCGCGCACATTCGCATATGCTCTGTGGGTCCTGCATGCCTTGAATGTGGCATGGATGGTAGGGCTGGTCTTCGCAGTCATCTTCCAATGTTCTCCGGTTGAGAGCGCATGGAATCCAGCGGTCAAGGGCCATTGCGTGGCTCTCTGGTCGCTCTGGATGGGGATTCTCTTGCCTGCGTTGATAATTGACCTGGCCATTCTACTGCTCCCAATGCCCATCCTGGGCAAACTACATTTGCCCCGGTCCCGGAAATTCCTCATTATCACCCTCTTCGCCTGTGGTTATATGTAAGAGAGTCCCCCCCCTCCCAAAGCTTGGCCGTGATCGTAGACTGACGCGGCGATATGTGCTCCAGGGTCATCGTGGTAACGATCGGACAACTTGTTGTTTTCTCAGGGCTTGGTCCGAAGCTCAAGAAAGATCCAACATGCGAGTACCCCTCATACCCTGAAAGAAGCCTAGCACTTCTAACCATTGATGCATACATCCAGATTACATGACCATGCCCATATACTGGCTTTCGGCGGAAATGCCGATCATGATTCTTTGTGTCAGCCTTCCAACCATATTCTTCCTCGGCCGGCGGGTCTACTACCACGGCTGGCGCTCGTTGACCAACCGAAGCATCCGAGGCAGTGATCACAGATCCGACACGAGCGACAGACGGATAGCCGCCCCCATCTGGGCCGGACGAAGATTGGGGGATGTTACCACGGAGGTGGGTGTCGAGCGAAAATCGGATGAGTTCTTCAGCACGTCTCCGAGGATATCATACACTGGCGATCATCCTGGCGAAGAGGCTCAGAATACCTCCGGAACCAGGATACTTGTTCGGACAGATCTGACCATGGTGTGAGCACGTGCTGGACTGACTGTTATGCATATATATCCCAGGTTGATCCATGAATGCCATGTCACAAACAGACCATACAGAGACATCCCCGTAACCGCTATCCCGCATCGTCGACCACATCCTCAGCGGCGGTGGGTCTGGCTGTGTCACCGGCGTGGCCAACGTCTTCCCGAAGACCGTTGCCAAACTGTGGTCTCTGTGGAAGGACGAGCAGCTCAAGGAGGCTGTCAAGTTGCAGGGGCTGATTGCGAAGGCCGAGAGAGCCTGTAAAGAAGGGATTGCGCCGACGAAGTTCGCGGCTGCTTACTTTGCTGGCCCGGCGGCGGGGGTTACGGACCCGCTGGCGTTCTGGCCGCGGACGCCGTATAAGCGGTCTTCGAAGGAGACGGAGGAGTGGGTGGTGAGTGTTATGCAGGGGTTGGTGAATATAGAGAGGTCGTTGCCGGATGTGGTCGGGGGGGGGGATTGTGGTAATTGAGGTAGACTGGATGATTAGGTAGCCGGAAGTAATGTTGTCATTAAACTCTGGAGTCTCAGATAAAATGACTGACGGTTGGCTTGGGGGTGCAGATAGGAGCTGGTTTCTCACAAGATAGGAAAACGAATATCCCTAAAAGCCTGTGCGCAGTAATGCGACTGTCCACCGATTCTGATTTGCCCAAAACCTGGACCTGGATAATTTATCCGGGTGGCCTGCCAGATACATCCTGCCAATTCATGTGGATGGGGCTTGAAGTCTATCCAGCGCAACGCCACGCTGCCCTACAATTTAGTCAAGTTTTATTTGCACTGATGCGTCTTCAGTAGATGTGTTATCTAGAAAATAAGGAGAAAGAGATAGTAAATATTGTCCTCACTGTTTTGCAAAAGGGTAATACAAAGCTTTTAACAATAGTACTTAAAGACTTCCTTGACTGGCCTTTTTTCTATCAAATGCTTATTAATATGTCTAGTATCCTACAATTTATCTTGCTATTATAGACTTTATTTCTTCTCCGTGTACTACCGCTTAATTCTATGCTCTCTTAATCTCTCTTATCAACCTCCTGTGCTATTATGCATTTATTCAAGGCTTTTGATCTTGATATTCAATTTATTCGACTGTCTAATCTTAGCTCTGGCGTTTATATCACCTTCTGCTACAGATGGCCAATCTCTGCCTGATCAGTAGTTTGCCTACCATCTTGATAACAACACCGATATGAGCGTTCCGATCCCCGACGGCAATTCTAATCAACTGGCTACTCGTCGAGGATCTGTTCTGTGACTGCACCGATGGGTGACTCCGAGACCGGTGGCTGGATTGCGCCAATATATCTTGCGCAAAAAAGCCCTGAGCCACCCCACCCCACAAGGGATCACGGCGACCCCGAGACAGCGAGACCAAAAAAAAGCCCACATGCTATTTTAGGGTCATTAAAGTTCCAGTAGTCTGATGCGGCTAGGACGCTATTCATATTTTGGTCGCCTATAATTGCTTACAATGACAGGATCCGAGGGTTCCTGACTTGGGGACCCGCTGCAAATCGATCGGGGAGAAAACAAGCGACAGTCGAAAAAGGTACTCCAATCACGTCAGATGTATGCTTTTGGCGGAGGATGCTCGGGCCTAATGCCTGCACTGCTAGTCTCAGATATGCTCGATAGATACGACAGTTAAATAGGAGGGGCTCCCGATTTTCTCTTTGCTCCCCCCGAGTCGTCCTTCTTTTTCTCTCGGCCACCCGGGACCCTGTCCCTCATTCTTTCTTTTTACCACATTCACTCCTTCTGCGTCGTTGTCATTCACTTGAGCACTGACAGTATGGGTGGACATCCACTCTCCTGGAGGCATCTTCTCCTCCTACCCACCCTCATTTCTTATGTCCGACCTATTGCCGCAGGCACGGTGCCCATCGTGTCCTGTTCAACCGCGAACAGCGAGTTCATTGAGAATGGCTCTTTCGAGAATGGCTTGACAGATTGGACCACCGCCATTGACTACCCCTACCAGGGGACCGTCTCCCTCGCTGAGGCAGGGGCTTCTGGAAGTGGCTTTACCACGGCAGAGGACGGCAGCTGGTATATACAGACAGTCGGCGCCAGTGGGATATACTGGACACTCTCCCAGACTGTCACTGGCCTCACTCCTGGAAAGACATACACAGTTTCCTTCTATTATGCCCTTGCTCCCAATTCCCTCTTTAACAGCGGAGTCTGCTGGAGCTGGATCTACCAAGACTCTACCAGCACCGAGCTCTCGTACTACACCCTAACGATGGGCAATAAAGCCACCTCCTGGACCCAGCACTCTTACTCCTGGACCCCTACCCAGAGCAGCCACGACCTGATCTTTGTGTTCGACTGCGGATTTTCAGCCAGTGGTTACGTCACTGGATGGGACAAGTTCAGCGTCGAGGATTCGAGTCCGACTACAAGTTGCACCACGTCCTATTCGACTATTGCGGTGCCGTCGACGGCTTCTTCTTCTGTTGCTATAACCCCGGCTTCCTCGTCCGCCATATCGGTAACACCTAGCTCCTCGACGCTCTCATCCTCCGTTGCCGATCTACATTTCTCTTCCTCGCCTGCGGTGTCTGCTAGCTCGACGGCTATCCCTTCATCGACACCAGTCTTTTCTTCGGTCGCTCGTCAATCTTCCTCCATTCCTCATGGAAGCCCAAGTCAGGCTTCATCCTCTTCCGTTGAGCCTTCGCAATCTCTTATCCGCCCAACATCCGTCAATCCATTTACTGTGTCTGTCCCTCAATCTGCTATATTGGCATCCTCTTCGGCTGGACTATCAAGAACTCCCATTCGCCCATCATCGACTGGATTGGGGTCTGTATCTACCGCTCGTCCCACCAGACTGGCTTCTTCAGCCAGGCCTTCACCATCTTCGCTTCGCCAATCGTCCGTGTCTATCCCGCAATCCATCAAACTAGCTTCATCTTCAGCCGTGCCTTCAGGATCTCTTCTCCGCCCATCGTCGGGGCCATCCCTCATTCTACCGGACTAGCCGTCCCTCCTGTCGGCTCTTCGCAGTCGCTGATTCGCACTGCCTCCATTGAGCCATCATCCGTGTCTATTCCGCACCCTCCAGCCTTTTCTTCAACCATCGCTACATCAAAACCCCCCTCTAATCCTACCCAGCTATCGGCAACTGCTACCCTTCAGCCACATACCGGGCTACCAGCGACCACCGAACAGCTGACAACGTCTAATATATTCAGCACACGCACAGCTACCGTGACAGGATGCGCCTTGTCCGTTACCAACTGTCCTAAGTCAGCCCAGAGTGTTTATGTGACAACCGAGACAGTCGTGGTTTCTACCACCATCTGCCCCGTTACAGCCGCAGAAGCCACAGCCACAGCGTCATTTGGACCCATGCCAGAGGTAGAGGGAGAGGGAGAGACAGTGACGACCGAAACCCTCCTCACTACTCGGGTCTCAACCATCTACGCCTGTCCATCGACGGTGACTGATTGTCCTGCGCGCGCAAAGACAGCATCAGTCACCAGTGAAACCCTCGTTGCCGGAACAACCGTATACCCCATTACCCATGTTCCGACAGCATCAGCCACAGCCACAGCTACAGTCATTCCAGGTGCCGTTACACCCTCGGCAATGGGCACCGGAGCAGAAACCGAGGCCTGGACAACAGAGACTATCTACAGTACTCGGACCTCAACTATCTACGCCTGTCCGTCCACAGTGACGGATTGCCCTCTGCGCGAAAAGACCGCGTCTGCCACTACGGAAACTGTGCTTGTCGGAACCACTGTCTATCCTGCTCCAGTGATTACTGCTGTCGCACATGCCGAGACCGGAGAAACGGTCACGACGGAGACAACTTTGACAACAAGGGTGTCGACAATCTTTGGGTGTCCACCGGGGGTTGCTAAATGTCCGCTCCGCTCACACACGGCGTTTGTCACCACGGAGACTCTCGTTGCAGGAACCACGGTCTACACCGTAAGCGATACCCCCGCTGCTACTGCTGCTACGGACAAGCCCCACGGCCACCACAATGCTGCTGGCGGTGTGTCTGCTGACTCCCAGGCTTCTGGAGAGGGAGATAGGACCGGAAGTACGATCACCGTGACTGATAATGTCGGGAGACCTACAATCTTTACCACATCTGGTGGGGATTCCGGGCTTTCTGTTGCCGCTGGACCTGGACTTACCCGCACAGTCATCAATAGCCAAGTAACCGCTGTGACTGAGAACTTTGGGAGACCCACGGGCTATCCAATTTCTGGCGAGGAATCTGGGTTTACTGTTGCCGCTGGAGCTGAATCTACCCGCACGGCCATCAATGGCCAAGCAAGCACCGTGACTGACCATGTGTCTGGTCAGACCCTGTCTGCAAGCTCTGGCAAAGAGTCCTCGCTGCCTACGGCTTCTGGGGCTGAATCCTCGGACTCAAGCAGTAGCGGCCATGGAATCACCGTGACTGAAGCTTTTCCAGAGCCGTCTTCGACCTCGAGCACTGGCAAGGGTTCATTGTTTTCCGGTACTTCTGGAGCTGAATCCTCCGCTACGGAGATCAACGGTCACGCGAGTGCGACGCATGAAGATGTGTCAGGATCTACCGTGACTTCAAATACCGGGGAAGGATCATTGTCTTCCAATGCCGCCGGGACTGGGCCCTCAGGTACAACAGCCAACGTCCAAACGAGCACTGTGACCGAAAGCCAGTTCGGACCTACCGCGAGCGCAAGCTCTGGTCAAGTGTTAGCTAACAATGCTATCGCTGGCGTCGACTCCTCAAACCTATCCACAAATAGCGAAGCGAGCGCCGTTACAGAAGACGTTTCGGGTCAGACTACTGCCTCTAACGAATCCCTACCCGTGGCCACTTCAGCATTCTCTGCCGCCTCTACAGCCTCTACAGCGTCTTTAAGCGCGGATCCAAACACGGCGTCTCAAAATCTGGGCACCGCATCCATCCAATCTTCCCAGGGCAATAACTCTAAATCATCTGGTTTGGCCTCTCCCCATAGCTCTCCATCTGGTCTCCAATCGAGCTCCGGGTTCCAAAAGCAGACCAGCTCCGCGTCTACTGTTGCCTCTTCAACCGCAGGAGCAGCCTCCGGCAAAACCGCATCCGGCACCGCGACTGCTTCACAGGCCTTGTTCACAGGTGGTTCTTCATCCCAGGCTGCCAACGTACCAAGGACGATCACAATGGTCTCCGGAATTTTGGCGTTGGCGTTTGTTCTGTGAATCTTTCGATAGAACAAGCTTTTTTAATCTGCCTAAATACTATCACAGCTGATCTTTGATAGCGGAAATCCACATGGAATAACGGCGACGATTTTGTAACCCAGGAATTACTGTATATATTATATTATTCGTTGTAATTACGTCTCAAATTACTCTTTCCCTTTCTCGAATCCACCCTACACAGTATACAAGCTTATTTCCTCGCAACAGTGTGACTTCCAATTCCCCGTCTGCACACCTTGCAAACTGGCCAATGTCTTCTGTCTGGGGCTCGATCCTGCGAAAAAGCAAGCCGTGCCCAGGAGGTGACGAAAGTCCCTCCTTCTTGTGGACGAGAGGTCTACCTGTTGACAATTATTCTCCAGCTTGGTCCGATCACTTGAGGCCCGCGTGGCAGAGCTCGAGGAACAGATGGTTGCCTTTCGGGCATTCCCTCAGAATATAACCCGACCTGGTTACTTCTGCCGTGGCACAGGCTACTGATTGATATGATGACATTTGGCATTGAAACGTTGGCCTGGGCTGGAATACATCGCCGCTGCTAGTGTCCACTGGATGGTGTTCCTACCTAGTAGGCAAGCTGCGTGTCTTCACTCTTCCCCTTGGTCGGATATACCTAGATTTCCCTTCCATAGCCACCCCTCCGGTCATGGGCATCCATCTATCATCAAGTAGGTTCGATGAAGACAAGCCAGCAGACTACAGCGTCCACACCAGAAACGGTTATCCATGCAATCGAGCCACATGGATGACGCCCTCTTGGCATTCGTTCCTCCCCACCGGATACAAAGAAACCCGAACGACCCAGTGATGCGATCACCCCGGGAATCCGGGGATTATGACATATTCAGCCCAAACCCGACGCTCAATCCGCTATTACCACGGATCGTTATCTCCACCCATCGATCCCAGCCCCACTATCCTCCGTGGAAATAGCATAACACGGGCGTGTCTCCATACAGAGAAAAAGCCAAAGCCACATTGAGTTCCAGCAGATGGAACTCTAACACGAGGCCGGAGAACGTCGCACAGAGCGGGGAAAGGTATCCATCGCCGTGCTGATGCGTGGATGATCCTATCGAGTTGCTATCAGTGTAGCTAGCTGATGAGACCACTGTTCGCTCCTGGTTGATCGCTTTCATTGTCCTTTCCTCTGCTCGCGAAGATGCTCGCTCGAAGTGTAACTAGGGCTTGTCGGTTAACTGCATGCGTCCCCGCCCCGCCGGGACCTGGAATCTGGGGTCGAGGGGATGAACCAGCACAGGCTCGCTGCGTCGTCAAGCAGCAGATACGGCGGTTCGGGTTGCTGGAGTATCACTCCCATGATCTTTTGAAACAGGTACGCGAGACATTCGTCCCAGGCACCGTGTGTATGCGATATGCTAAGCTTGGAGATAGTTTAACCTGCCAGTCCCCAAGGGCTTTGTAGTGGCCAGTGCGGAAGATGCGCGGTCGGTTGTAGCGCAGATCAGTGAGTTGGGACTGAACCCTACCAGTGAATCATCATCTGATGGCAAACACCCGCGCAGACGCCCCGTCCGTCCTGAAATCCCAGATCCTGGCCGGTGGCAGAGGAAAGGGAAAGATGGACAGCGACGGTCGAGGCGGAGTCCGCATCGTGAACTCGTGAGATAGAACCCCCCCCCCCCCCCTTCTCCACCATATAAAATGAAACTGACACCCCTCCAGAGCAGACGACGCATTCCACAACGCCTCCAACATGCTAAACCACTACCTGACAACGACGCAAACACCCCCAGAAGGCCTCCTGGTCCAAAAGCTCTACATCTACCGAGCCGTCGACGTAACGCACGAATTCTACGTCGCTCTCACCCTCGACCGCTCGCGCGGCAGTCCCATGCTCCTGATCTCCGACCAAGGCGGCGTGAACATCGAATCCAGCATCGACAGCCTAAACCGCTACTGGTTCTCTCCATCCACCGGAATAGGCGACGGCGCGTTGTCCGACATCCAAGCCCGGCTGCATTTCACGGACACGGACATGGTCTCGGTCACGCACATCCTGCGGCAGGCGTTCCGGCTCTTCTGCGCCAAAGACGCCACGCTCCTCGAGCTGAACCCCCTCGTGCGCACGCCCGAGAGAGCATTCGTCTGCATCGATGCCAAGTTCGAGTTCGATGATTCGGCCCGTTTCCGGCAGCCGGAGATCTTTGCCCTGGAGCCGCCGCCGTCCGACAGGGCGGATGAGAGGGAAGCGGCCAGGCATGGCCTCTCGTATGTGCGGCTGGAGGGGAATATTGGGAACTTGGTGAATGGCGCGGGACTGGCCATGGCGACGAATGACTTGATCAGCCATTTCGGGGGGTCCAGTGCGAACTTTCTCGATATTGGCGGCAAGGCGACCACCGAGACGCTGATCGCGGCTTTTAAGATTGTCACGTCGGATCCGAGGGTTCAGGGGATCTTGGTGAATATCTTTGGGGGTGAGTTGGTCCGTCAGGTACGAATGTCATGATGGTGGCTCTGATCAACGCTAGGCATTGTGCGATGCAACATGATCGCAGAGTCTATACTGGCGGCGGCGGATGCTCTGGGGGGTCTTCGCGTGCCGGTGGTGGTGCGGCTGCAGGGGACGAATTCCGAGGAGGCGTTGAAAATGGTGAGGAATTACTGTGAATGTTCGTCAGAGAAAGCAGCTCACCCTTCCTGGGACACCAGATCAGAGACTCGGGTTTGAACCTTCACACCGAGACAGACTTCGAGGCCGCGGCGCGGGAAATTGTCCGACAGACACCATCCTACCAGTAGTGGCTTCTTGCAATCGCATGATTCAGGATCCTGTTCCTGTTCCTGTTCCTGATGATATGTTTCTCTGACTTTCCGCGCAATGCGCTCTCAGTGCGTGTTCATGTTAGTCTAATCCTACTCTACCCAGATCTGCTCCAGAAACAAAGTCCTTCACGTCGGGTGGAGCCCCTTCTTTGGTCATTCATCTATTCGCTCTAATCGCCTAATGTAACTACTTCCGTGCGGAATGTTTTCCCCTCGACAGCTTGACTCTCCTCCTGTGTTGAAGTGTCGCTCCCTTGCGACTCCCTGAGCCTCTGTTCCTCCTCGGCCTTCTTTCGGTCCCGTCGAAGCAGTATTTGTGTGGCGGCTGTCGCAATCACTATGAGAGGTTATTGTTGGTTGCTGAGCAGAACGAGAGTTGGACTCGTGAATGGCTTACTGAGAAGAATCTGCAGGACCGCAGAAAACAGATATCCCTTCTTTGCCGCGGGAAAGTCGGTGGTCTTCCAGACGAAGTTTGGAGCCTGGATATATGTCAATCGATTATGTTTAATGACGCACGAAAAACTGGTTTCGAAAGCACGTACGACTGCCTGCACGACATATGCCAGGTCATTGGCCATCGCAAGGATCAGAGATCTCTTCTCTGTGTCCGCCGAGCAGATCTCGTTGATCCAACTCAGGATAAGAGGACCGGCCCCGTTCTGTAGCCATCACGTTAGCAGGGTGTACTACCGACTTTGGCACATAGCTTCCGTTTCCGTGAGAGAGAATTCGAAATACGCACCCCGATATTACTGAGCCAATACACTGCCATCCGACCGGAGATGTTCGAGTAGAGTGGCATCTGCCGCAGGAGGAGAACGAACAGGAGCTGTATGACGGGCAAACAGGTGAGTCAGGATCCGCCACAGGTATCAATCTAGCGAGGAGAATGTTTCAACGCTTACCGAGACAACTGCGCCAATGTAGATAAAAGGCCATCGCGACCCGTGACAAGGTCCGTCGGACAAGAACCCCCATATCAGGGCCACGACAATGAAAATAGCAGTAGTGACATTTGGATCTATTGCCGTGTTAGGACGGTGCTTGCACCTTCAGGAGGAATACTGACAGTTGTCAATTTGCGGGACGGTGAACGTGGTGCCCGGCACAGGCTCGGGGGTCTTGTCGAAGCTCTTGAGCCAATAGCCCATGCCAGCCTGGGGATAGGCATTGTTCCAGAGAATGTAAATCGCCGCTGTGTCGCGTCAGCCTATATTCAACTCTGACATCTCCATGGACAAAAAGGCCACACTCACGCAGGAGATAGGTATGCCAGCTGAGGAAGATTCGCTTCGCCTTTGCAACCGTCCAGGGTTCCTGGCCAGCACGTCCAATGGCCTGCATGCGTTTCACCGAAAGAACGTGCTCTTCTTCCGTCGTCCACCACGTCTTCTGCCCGTCCTGGGGTAGGTTGGGGAAGAAGAGAAAGCCGGCGACAGACAGCGGCAGGGTGATGATCCCGTCGATGATGAAAAGCCATCTCCAGCCCGCATACCCGTTCACACCACTCAGGTTCGTGTAGGCGGCTGCCTGAAGGAAGCCACTGAACAGCGTTCCGACCGACCCAGCAAGCCAGAAGATCATAGCGCGCTTACCGATCTCCTGCGGCGTGTACCACGAACCGAGCAGGTAGTGGATGCCGGGGTAGAAACCCGATCTGAAAGGGGGGACAGTATTAGTGCCATGTGAACAAGGTATCACGCGTGTACGTACTCGAAAAGTCCGACCAGGAAGCGAATGGCGTAGAGCGATCGGTAGGATTTCACACTAGCTGTGGCGATGGTGGCGATTCCCCATCCGACTTCCAGCTGCAGGTTTAGTGTCAGTGATCCGACATGCACATTGGGCGAGACGAAGAGGGGCATACAGCGGGGATCACCCATCGGGGGGAGAGTCGAGTCAGAAGCATGTTGGAAGGAATTTGGCCGATCACGTATCCGACAGTATAGATCGACGTGCTGGTGACCAGCTGGTTGCCATACATGTTCAAGTCCTCTTCCATGCCACTCAGGTAGGCATTGTTAATGTTGGAGAGATCGAGGTTCTTCAAGAAATAGCCAATCTGGAAGGTCGTGTCAGTCTCTACTCTTTCAACGAGATATCGATATAAATTGGGATTTCGTAAAGAGGAGAAAGAAGGACATACCGAAGCAAAGGTCAAGACGAAAGCGTCCACCTTGAACAACAACCAGCGCTGATCTTGCGGCAGCTCCCATGTATCCCAGATCCATCCTTTCCAGGACTTCAATGTCTTCACCTGGAGCGTTTCCGTGGATTCGGTCGATCCTTCCTCTAGATTGAGGCCGTAGGGCCTGTTGTCTTCCTTTTCGTGGCCCATGAGTGCTGCGAGCGTGGCATGCCAGATCTGTCAAGAGGATGCAGACAGGATATGCGGCCGTATTTGTACGAAGAATCCAGATACCGGCCATGATGTTAGTACTTGCTACTTAACATGGTCTCATTGCTACTCCCCATCACGCCATCTCTTATCTCGCAACCAGTGAGGTGCCCTACTACGCGTGCATGTCTTCTCGAGACCATCCCCATGACGCCTTCGCTTCAACGCGAAGCAACAACTCGCTTTTTCCTTTCCCGATAACCACAATACCCCCTATCCAAATTATATATACGCAGTGCGCAGAATGCCCTGACCCAGAGAATGGTTCTTGCTGGATTGCGGAAGGGCGCCTTGGTTTGGGTTGGGGTGAGTGGCCGATATAATTGCGCCATCGTCCCTCAATATTGTCCATCCCCCCCCCCCGCACTAAGGACGCACAGCCGTCCGATTACGGCACTTTATTCTAGCACCCATCGGGTGGAGCAGTGTTGTAATCATCTAGATTCCTGCCGGCGGAGCTGTCGTGATAGTCGGGAGCAGTGACGATTCTTGAATTAGGCTTTGCGTGCTACTTCGAGCTATGGCTTCTTCTAGCTTATCTCCTTGCCTTATGGGTGGCGGCAATGGCGTTTCAAATCGTGCCTTGTAGGCCAGTTGGGAAATTTCCGCGAAGGAACGGGTTACTTGGTATTTCCTATTAGGAATGGGCTGTAGGAAGCCCCGTTCTTTGCCGAAATACGAATCGTTTCATCTTTCGTAGTGTGTCGCAACTGAGGGAGACCGTCATTGGCCTCTTCTGCCATGTAAAGATGACCATTTATCAAGACGGAAACTGAAATGTCAAATGGTATCCATTGCATACAGAATCGCATAAACACGCCCCAAAGCCGAAATATAACCCTCGCCCATGATCCATGACCTATATCTTGCGCAAATACTGCACGATCTCGAAATGCCCCTCCCTCTCCGCCAAATCCAACGGCGTACATCCCTCCTTATCCACCAGATCCGGATCAGCCTTATACGCCAAAAGCGCAACAGCAGAAGCCAAGTGCCCATTCGCAGCAGCCTCATGCAACGCCGTTCTGTCCAGCCTCCCGCGATTCAGCGTCCCAGCACCATTATTTTCAATTAATAAAGAATATAATTCCCTAGATGGACAATACATCTTTGTTGACTATCAACCGACGATTGAGCAGTCGGGTGTTGAGCCTCTCCGCCCTTCGAGAGCATGTCGAGCAGTTCATCGAAATAGAACCCTCCTCGATTTACTTGCCGGAAGGCCTCGCTCCCGAAGAGTCCGATTCAAGCACGGTGCCCGATGTCACACTTCCGGAGACTGAGGAAGACTGGCAAGAGTATGTCGGGCAGTTCAAAGAAAACAATCTCTCGTCGATTTACCAGCCGAGAGATCCGTTTGTGGAGGAGGTGGTTCACAATGCAGCTGGGCGCGCGAGGGAAATCACGGACAAATACGACTTCCGGCCGGAGGTTACGCCCAAGGTGGTGATTATGGGCTTGTATGACTTTGTGATACTATGCGGTATGTTTCGATCGTTCCTCCACTCTGTCGGACTGGGACATTAGCCAATGGTTGAACTAGACGATAGTGGCTCAATGAATCGGGGGAACCGCTGGATAGCCAGGCGTACCAATTGATGTTCATTTTTATGTATTTTGGGAAGTCTTGTGGGAGGACATAATGCCGATCAGGGGTGTTGTGCGCGACCCTTTTGTTGAACCCTGTACTCTGTTACACAGGAAATAGACATTTTCCATCCACCCGCCCAACAAATGTATCGGAGCACGGAGTAGAATCCTTTTCCAATCCAATCCACCCAAGATTCGAGGCTCGGACCAAATTATCTACTCCGAGTGAAAGTGCACGACCCGTTCTTGCCTACTCCGAGCCAGTCCGACTCCGCAGTCCGCGTGTTGATGGCCGGACAACAACCGTCCGCCCAGACCGGCTTTGCTCCCAGCACGGCTTCAAATGGGTTAGTGTAGCGCTCTGTCCTACCTCTTATCCGCCTGTGGAAGGTGATAGATATCTGAGAGGGATTGAGGCGAGCCCCGTCTGCTGCTGCCTGCCGCCGATCTTACTTTAAATGCGCGTGGTCTCTTTCTTTCCTCGCTAACTCCTCGACCCCCAAGAACAACAATGCTGCTCCGTTACGCCTCCCTATTCGGCCTTGGCTACGCCGCCTCCACGCAAACCGTCCTGCGGGGCGAGGTCCCCGACCCAGACACCACCACCTCCTCCTCCTCCCCCGACAACTTCCGGGTGATCACGAGCAGCGTCTCCCCCGAGTACTCGGTTCGGATCCGAGAGCAGAACGACTCCATCTGCAACGCCGGCTCGGCCCAGTACACTGGCTGGCTGGATGTCGGCCCCAAGCATTTGTTTTTCTGGTATTTTGAGAGCCAGAATGACCCCGAGAACGACCCCCTGACGCTGTGGATGACCGGTGGGCCCGGCGGCTCCAGCATGCTCGGGCTGTTCGAAGAGCTTGGCCCGTGCTTGATCAACGAGTATGGCAACGGCACTGTGTATAACCCGTACGGATGGTCGCGCAACTCGTCGATGCTGTTTGTCGATCAGCCCGTCGACGTGGGCTTCTCCTACGTCGACGAAGGGTATGACCTGCCACGTGACTCTTACGAGGCCGCCGTCGACATGCATCGCTTCCTCCAGCTCTTCGTCTCGGAGGTCTTCCCCGAGAAGCTGGAATCGCCCTTCCACATCTCCGGCGAGTCGTATGCGGTGAGAGACCGGCTCCTGTAAACCGTATAAGCTCCACGCTGACCTCCCCAGGGCCACTACGTTCCGTTCCTCGGCGCCCAGATCGTCGAGCAGAACAAGCTCTATCCCCACGAGCCCCAGGTCAACCTGAAGTCCTGCCTTGTCGGCAACGGGTACATGTCCCCGAAAGACACGACGTTCGGCTACTGGGAGACCCTCTGCACCACCAACCCCGGCATCGCGCAGCCGGTTTTCAACCAGACAAGATGCGACATCATGGCCGAAAACCTGCCCCGCTGCATGGAGCTGTATGACGTCTGTATGGAACACCCCGATCCGGCTGTCTGCCACGCTGCCGACCAGGTCTGCTTCGACGGCATTATCGGATGGTATGACAACGAGTCATCCACCCCGGGTGGTCGCAACCGGTTTGACAGTAAGTCGGCCTCCAACAGCAAGGACGTTCATCCAGCGGTGGCCCTGCTCGATGTTAATCGCTGACTATCGCGTACAGTCACCAGACCGTGTGAAGTCGAAGACCTATGCTACATCGAAGCCACTTACATCGAGAAATACCTGAATTCTCCGGCCGTGTGGGAGGCTCTGTCGCCCCCGAAGGAGATCCCGGAGTACAGGATGGTGTCTAAGGCCGTCTCGGACTCGTTCGAAACGAGTTCGGATATGATGATCGCCACTTCCTCTCTTGTGCAGTACCTGCTCGCGAACCAGGTGCATTATCTCGCCTACCAGGGCAACCTGGACCTTGCGTGCAACACGGCGGGGAATCTGCGGTGGGCGCAGTCACTTCCCTGGAAGGGTCAGGCCGAGTTTTCGTCCAAGCCCTTGAAACCGTGGACCTCGGTGGTTCGTGGCAAGAAGGAGTTTGTGGGAACCACGAAGGAGGTCCGAGTCCGTGTGGGCGATTCGGATGTCCCCTCTCGCTTTGCGGTCGTGACTGTTGATGATGCTGGCCATATGGTAAGTTGCCATTGCTCTTGGGAATACTCAAGTAGTTGAGTGTCTGCTAACTGTGACTGTAGGTCCCCCAGGATCGCCCGGATGTGGCACTGGACATGATGGTTCGGTGGATCAACGGGGCGTCTTTCGATTAAGTGATAGGTCCGGCGCTTGCCAGTGCTGTCTGCCTCACTGATAGATGCGTTATGACTTCATAAGAAAAGTGCTGTGACAACGAATAATATTAGGTACTCTCTGTCTTTCAGCTGCCAAGGCAGGGAGGCTTTCTCGGAAATGAACCAAGTTCGGGGTTTCCAAATAAACCAGCATTAACCTTTTTGCGCCAGTCGTATTTCTAACAAGGCTGTGCAAAAAACAAAGAATTATCGTAACCATAATCATGACAGCAAAGTCAGACAAATCGTTCCCGAGTAATTTTAGCTTCACCGGGCCTTCACCCATCATTGCTCATTGGAGTAGGACGCGTTGCTTACTCGGTTCCAAATCAAAGTCATAACTTTTGTGCGAACTGCCCGCGGGACCTGCATTCTTATTTGACCACGCCGTTACACAGGACGACAACATTTTCACTCAGCACCAGAGTCAAGAAACCAAGACGATGACATGGACCCTGCGTTTTTCTTAATCTCCTGCGCCGAGTGTCCCGTTCCGAGGCTCGATTCCAAATCCAAGGAGTGAGCTGGTGATGTGTTGACTTTCAACTGACCAAACGCGACCGCATTGTTTATATCTATACAATTTACAACTTTCAGCTCGAGCGTGAGCATCACGAGCATCATGACCCCTTCTACCAAGCCCAGTCTCGCTTATCTCCCAAGAGCTAGGCAGATCTATTACCGGGCGCTTTGAACGATGGCCTTGATTACGCGTTGCCGGGGATGCTTGCTCGCAAACACGAATGCGACATTATCCGGATGGCATCTTGGCCCGAGCAATTCCTTTCTTCCCCCTGTCTAGCGATAAGAGTCTTATACTATCAGTGTAGAGATTCGGAGGCCCCAGGACGATCAGAAGATGTGATTCGATCGGTGCGAATCCAATGATATCACAACTCCATTGCAGGCCTTAAACTCGCTATCCAAGACAAAGAGATGAGAAAAAAAAAAAAGAAACAACAAATGACGTGGCTTGCTAATACGGTCAGCCAGCCGGCTATCTGAAACAATGTTTGAGCCGTCCACAATAACTTGTTTACGTGACTTTGTATCTTTGATTGATTTCGAAGCGATGGACATCCTCTCTAATATATTTGTCAAGGCTGTTAAAGTACGATTGATTCTTTAGATGGACAATCAGAATTGATGAGTATACCTTAGCTTGCTTGACTTTCAACACAGCGACAGCTGCACTGAAAAATATATGACGGAAACAAAAGCCAAAACACAGCCATCCCCACGACAAGAGACATCTCGGCAAGAGAAAGCAACGAGGGCAACGAAGATGATACGAACACGGGCAAGGATCCCCCGAACTATCCAATCCGATCACATTGTCTACGACTGCGTCGGTTGCGCATAACCTTCCTACTGGCTCGTTCTCCCCAACCCAGACAATATCAGGCCGTCATATCCCCATACTTCTGCCTGGCAGTATGTGCTGAGCTCACCTGTGCACGCTCATGAACCCCCAGCCACGGACAAGAAAGAAATGGTTTAAATATTTGCTGATTTCCAGCCGAGGGCAAGGTGGGAATGCTGTCTCCAGACCTTTTGGCTGCCCGAAAGTGCTAACGCGGCGCTTTCAAAATGCTCTTCCAGGCTTATTTTACCACCATTATCACTTTCCTCGGCTTCCCATCTTTCAACCCCCAGCAGGAGCCGTTACAGTATGGAGGGATCCCTGCCCCTTCTGTCCCTGAGGTCTTGACTTTTGTCCCTCCGGGAGCGGCGGAGTCGCCGGAGGATGTCCCGTTTCGCTGCGACTATTCTGCCATGGCGAGGGATTATATCTACAATCCCTCGCCGAATAATCGAGGCGTGTGGCTTAAGCATAAGTCTGACCCGTCTCTTGACTTCGATATCTTCACCGACTATGAGGACCGGACACCTATTGGTATCGAGCGGAAGGTAGATGCCCGACACACCTAGTGCTTGTGCGATATACTCATACTCTAATACGTTTTAGTATTTCCTCACTGTGGACGAAAAAAATTTGAATCTTGATGGAGTCGAGGCACCCCTTGGAAAGGTCCTCAACAATATGTACCCTGGTCCCTGGATTCGTGAGTATATCTATCGCCTCGCCAATAGTATCATTTGCTAACAACCCCCATTAGAGGCATGCTGGGGCGATACCCTAAGTATGGAACCCCCTTCCCCCTGCCCATCCCCATCCCCATCCCCAACCCCGGTGCTAACCAACTCAGACATCACCGTCAAGAACAACCTCCGATACAACGGAACAGCCATCCACATGCACGGTCTTCGTCAACTAAACACCAACATCATGGACGGCGTGCCCGGCGTAACCCAATGTCCCATTGCTCCGGGAGACAGCTTCAGCTACGTCTTCAACACGACCCAGTACGGAACAACCTGGTACCACAGCCACTACAGCCATCAATACTCGGACGGTGTTCGTGGTCCGATCACCATCCACGGACCCACGTCCTATAACTTTACCGATGCCATTGACCCCATCCTTATTTCGGACCATAACCATCGAAGTGCGTTCCAGGATTACTATCAGGAGCAGTTTGCTAACGCGGCTGAGAACCGAGTCCCACCTAAGCAGACTAGTATCATCCTCAATGGCCATGGTATACCCCGGAGACCTTGCCCTGTAGGGAGTGCAATACGGAGAGCTAACGAGTAACAGGAAGCTATGCGGGATCCTTCCCTGAGAGACGATACACCAAGCACGTCCAGCCGGTAAGATATGATCCTGTCAACGGTATGAATATGAACCCGCACACTAACAGACACACAGGGCAAAAGATATATACTTCGACTGATCAACGGCTCGACCGACACGACCTTTATATTCAGTATCGACGGGCACATCCTCCGGGTCATCGGTACCGATCTGGTCCCAGTGGTACCCTACACCACAGACCACATTCAAATCGGAATAGGTTCTTCTCCCCCCCTTTTCACCTCCCCATCCATCCCGACCATATATATATATCATCTCATACTGACTCAGATTACACCCAGGCCAACGCTACCACGTCGTCCTCGAAACCAACGCCACGCACCCCCCCTCCCTCAAGACAGGCTACTGGATCCGCGCCGAACCAGCAGACGGGTGCCACAACTTCGAAACTTACCCGGACACCCGGCAAGGCATCCTCTGGTACGGGCCCGGCAACCACGCGCCCATCCCCACCACAAACTCCTTCCAATACAACAACACCTGCAGCGACGAACTCACCGCCGTGCCGATCGTCAACTGGACGATCCCTCCCCCCTCCACCATGACCATGGTCGAGTACAGCCTCCCCCTCGCGGCCGTCGAAATCAGCCAGAAGACGCTGCCCGCGGAAGGCACCGATCCCGCCGTGACGGTCGACAGCTGGCAGATCCTGGAGGAGCCGCTCACGGTGGACTACGAACGCCCAACCGTGAAGTTCCTCACCCCGCCGTACGACAACGACTCCGTCATGTATCCCGCCCAGCCGAGGGATATGTGGAATTATCTCTTGATCATTGGCGGCGCGCAGGAGAATCCCTCCCCCGTTACCGGGGGGGCGTTGCTTCCTGTTGCGCATCCTGTGAGTTCTCTCTTCTTCTCTTATATCTCATTACCCCTTTAATATCATATTAGATCCACCTCCACGGCCACGACTTCGCGGTCCTCCAATACTCAACGGAGCCCTACGACGGGCCCGAATCCATCAACCTCGAACTGGAGAACCCGCGACGTCGCGACGCTGTCCTTCTCCCCCTGGATGGGTTCATCGTGATCGCGTTCAAGTCTGATAACCCGGGGTCGTGGATTCTGCACTGCCATATCGCGTGGCATTCGTCTGCGGGCCTGGCGTTCCAGCTGCTCAGCGACAGGGATGTCTTGGAGGACCAGATTCAGGAGGATGTCTGGGCGGATAGCCAGTTGAATCGCACCTGCAGGAATTGGGAGAGGTGGTTTGCGGATGATAGGAATCATTGGAGTCCGACGGGGCGGTTTCAGGATGATTCGGGGATTTGAAGGGGTGGGTGTGGGGGGGTTGGGTGATAGTGTTGTGTAGTGTATGTAGATGGTGTGGTGTCTAGTTTGGGGTGGATTTATTTGGAATGGAAACGAGTGTATGTTGAGATTGTTGAGATTAAGATGGGTAATTGTATGATTTAAAGTACTCACAAGTGACTCTCCGGTGAACAATTATTCATACTTAGACATTCGGATTCCTTCCTACTTGGAACCTGTCAGTAACGCATCGATGCCTTGGACTAAGCATGATCCACTAGTCGCAAGACTGGAAGACATTCTAGGACAAAATTAGCAACGCAGTTCATAAAGGTGTGGCATGGATTATTGAAGACTTGCCTGTTCCATATCCCCATTAACCCGCTCCTCCAAATACTCTAGCTGATACATGAGCGTCTCTCCGTCACCCACTCCTTCTTCCCAGCTCATGGAAAAGCCCCACACAGTGTCCATGATTATATCAAATATTTCTCTAGGAATGCGATGAAACGGGGGTGCTTTTTAAACTTCATCCGCCCACCAGTCCTTTCTCTGCGGGGGCACGTTAGCCGTCGAGAGAATGTGAATGTATGGGCCAACCAAGGACATAGCCAGGACTTTCTGGTGGCCCGGTTTGGTAGCATCGGTAATGCATAATGGCTGGACTCGATGCTGGAAAGTATTCGAGAATGCGAGTAGCCGGCCAGACTTCGTGAGAACACTTCCCAGGTTCTGAATTGCCGGCATTAATCTTTGAAATCCGAAGAATGCTTCAAGGGTTTCGCATCGATGCTGTTGTTGATATTGTCACTATTATATCGTGCCACAATAGATGGATATATGGAGATGAGTACCTCACATTCCCCCGTTTGCCATTTCTTGCCATCCATAGTATGACGAAATTCGAGGTGGCTGGGCATGATATTGGATGATGTAGCGGGGCGCCAAAACCAGGCAACTTTGTTACTCGTTCTGTGCGAGAGATGAGTTAGCTTGTTGACTGGAACTAGACAGATCGACTGGGCGTACCAAAGTAGTCCAAGAGGGTCTTCATCTCGGAACAGCCTTGCGTCCAGTAGGTAGCCTTTCTCGTGGATTAGATCGGTGTTTAGACCATGCAGACAGCTTCCCTGCCGATTCTCATCATGCGTCGTCACATCACAAAGGCTTTCTTCATTGAGGATGAGGTGTGGAAGCCGTAGACTCGGGGGTCAGAATGGCAAGTAACGTGTGTCTAGCTCGCGAGCGAGGTGTTTCAAACTGAGTGAGGTTTGTCGAACTGGCAATGGAGGGGTGTCAAAACTGCGAGGGAACGGTTAAGCTGGCAAGTGAAGCTGGCAAGTAGGGTGTTTCAAATCCGGGAAGTGAGGTGTTTGTGGATAGTTTTTGTGGGTCGCGGACGGCAAATGCGGAAATAAAAAAGGTCTAAACCCCCATCACATGGTCAGACTAGTCTCGGTTCAGATTAGCGTGGGTGTGGCCTGACTCTGGCCTGGGGCATGATTGATCCCGCCCGCGGACGCGTGAACATTCATTGGTGGTGTGGAATATTACACGTGGAATGGGTTAGGAATTGCTCCATCCCCATATCATAAAACGCGATAGAAACAACACCAGTATCAGAGTGAAGGATATGTGAGCCGGGTGATCTGGTCATAAAAGGGTAGGCAAAGTGAGGGGGAAGCAAACTCAGGAAAGAACCGGCCCAGGCTCGGGCGAGGACGGACTGCTGGTTGGTCTGAGGGTGAAGGGGCAGGAACTTCAAGTTTCTGGGTGAAGCAGCGGATCGGAGGCGGAGTTATTTTCCGCGGTGTCCAACCGGCTCGGAATCCATCCATGGTATGGTACGGGGAGGCACTACACGCACACCTAGCTTATTTACCACACCCGATCTAACTACATGCGTCCTCCATCGGATGGATCTCTTCCACTCGAGGAAAGAAAATCTGAAATGGTGTGTATGTAGTAACAATCCAGGTGCGCATCTCGCACCTCTATATAGGCAAAGGATGACCTGTTGCAAAGCTCCCCTCGCAGAAAATGTTTATCTATGGCAGGTGAGAGCTGAACTCTAGATTAGGAGTCGCGCGGACAATATAACACAATACGATGGGCAGGGGTATGCATATCTAGATGCATTAGCGTCGATGGTCTCTTGCTTCTGTCACGGGCTGTAGATCCGTGTGATGAAAGCTCGATCTTGGCAGCTGCGGGAACTCTGCAGCGGCCAAAGCAGAAAAGTACCGGATGTGCATAAGAACGGAAGTACTGTTCTTCTCGATTTCGGATGGCATCCTTTTAAATCAGATAGTCCACTCCCTGCCATCAAAGAATGGCAATCCTTGCAATATCAATGTTGATATAAACTTCTGTCACCGCAGGGAAGGTTTCTCCCGCCTGCGGGCTTGGCCGATGTGTATCTTGCCAAGCCGCGTGTTCCTCAGCCAGCCCCTTCGGCACTCTTCTCTGCCCCCCCAGTTCAGCCGCACTATGTGGCATTCCATCCAATCTGGCCCCCCAAGATCGATAGGGGGGGGGGGGGGGGGGGAGGAGAAATAATTAGCGCCGAGGGTTTGTCGCAAAGCGTGACGCCAATTGCGGAAGGCTAGGCACCCTGTAGGATATGCGAATACGGCAATTAGATGATTCTTTCTCCGAAAACCACTATGATAAGAGGAGAGAATGGGGAGCAAGTGAATAACAAAAGGCGTCGTCCCTTGTGTAACATCCCGGGTGAGATCCAGCGGGCTAGGAAAGCCAAGCATAAAGCGATGGGGAGTATAGAAGCACCGAAGCATACAATCAGTATGTATTTGGATTTGGTGGTTGATCTTCAAATCCATTCGGTGACTTTTAGCTGCGCCACCAGGTTAAACAGTAGCCTGCGCTAGGCCGTGACTAGAAGGACGATGTGGCTTAGACCCTGTCTAGGCCATCAAAACAAATTAAGGGGTAAGTGGCCAGTTCTGCTGTGAAGAAACGCCACTATCCAGCAGTGACTTATCGAGGGCTTTCACTGTGCATAATCATAGCGCCATCCTCTCCTCCCCCCCTCCCTCTTCCTCACGCGCCACTTCTTCTCTTTCCCCTCCTCTTTCCCTTCCTCTTCCTCTTTCCCTTCCTCTTCCTCTTCCTCTTACTCCACCTGAACAAGTGATCAGGAAAAGCTTGCAATAAAGGTCTTTTTTCATATCCCCGCTGTGTTCCCCCAACAGTCAAACATGCAGGAGGTACAGGACAAATATGTTTTCCCCAGAGACTCCAAAGAGTCAGAAAGGTATGACTCACCATCTAAATGGTGATGTTCAAAGCATAACAACAGTTTCTTTCTAGACTCAATGCACAGCACAACCTGCTGGTCAAAGTGACTCAAAACACCCTCATCCACCCATCGATTCCCAAGGAACAGTTGTTCTCTATTGCGGACATAGCCACCGGAACCGGGTAAGCCGGCCGCTCTTTCCCCCAACCGTTTCATGTGAGCTGACCAAATGAAAAACTCATAAGAATCTGGCTGGACGACGTTTCGAAGTGTCTGGCACAAACCTCTCCCGCCCAGCGCTACTACCACGGCTTCGACATCTCAGCAGACCAGTTTCCCAAAACCCCAGGCAAAATCCACTTTTCCGTTCAAGATCTCACCGTTCCATTCGCCCAAGAACACTGGAACCGATACGACCTGGTCCACGTGCGACTGGTGATCGCTGCCCTTGAAGAGGACGAATACCAGCTGGCAATCGCCAATATCCATGCAATTCTGAGTATGCCTCTCCCTCCGAAACCCCTCCCACCATATCCATCCAACACTGACACCACTCTTTTTTTTTTTCTCCTCCCAGAACCCGGCGGCTATATCCAATGGGAAGAACTCGACGAAGAAACATACATCTCCGAAACCAACCCCGTCATCCAGGAAATACACCGATGCCTCGCCGTCGGCTTCGAGGCCGAGGGAAAGAGTTCTCAGGCGTCCGCCAAGATCTTCGAAGAAAGCCAGGCCATTGGATTCTTGGATGTCGAGCGGATTTGCTATAGCTCGGACTGGAACATCGATCTTCGCCCCGATACGGAGGATAGGATCGCTGCGATTATCGGCTCGTTATATCAGAGGCTTCTCTTCCGAACTGGGCAGGTTCTCGACGAAGAGACCGCGGCGGAAAAGGCGGCGGATCTGATCGATCAGCATCGAAGACTTTGTGCGCAGGGTATGTCGCCGCCGCTTAAGTTGATGCGGGTTGTGGGTCGGAAGCCGCTGCGTGGTGCGGTTTTGTAGGCATCGGGGTCTTCTATCGCCATTTCAAGGTGTCTCTGTGCTGGGCTTGAGCCGACTTTTGCCATACAGTGAGCGGATAGATATTTTTGCGGGGGCGGGATTGGGAGTACCGGGGAAGCCTCCATCTCTTGTGTGGGGTCCGAATCAGAAGCTTCGATTGATCGCCTTTACGCGCAGGGGGGGGGGTGAGAATTTCTTTCTGTATTTTTTAACGGCTGCCTTCAAGTTATTGTCGGTGGGGTAACGTAACAATGAAGTATCACATTATTAACTTGTGCCTTTTAGCTCACATTCCGTGAAGATTCCCGCAAAGACTTTTTGTGGTCATTATTGTGAGATCATGGCATCAGGGCATTTTTTTCAACATACTCGCCTATTTTTAGGACGAGTATGGGGCAGGGCCAATATACTCCGCATGCACTTTGAGTTGCAGTAGCAGATCATTGGCGGTTCATCATCCATTTATATCAAACATCTCGTAATCGGGAGTTGTTACGGGAACGTGGGAACGTCCAGACAGTTTACAGTTATTTCTAAGACAAGACACGACCCCTGCACGCTGAAATGAGGTGGGAATGTGGATAGGCAGCAGGCAGTGAGGCCCAGCCGGTATATTGCTGACTCTCGTGGTCCCCACCAGAAGCTGCCAGAAAGCTTTATAGCATCAGCCAAGCCAGGAACAAGATTAAGGTACGGCATCCTGGAAGCCACGTTTGGGGATTTGACCACATTGGCTCTGCAGCCTCGAGTTTCCACCACACAATACCCTGCGCATGAGAGTCAGACAGGCGAAGCCAAGAGAATATGCATGACCCGTGTCTCTGATTCAAACCGTACCGGACCACCTGCGCCGCCCGTCCATATTGAAGCCAAGGCGCCGCTGTAGCAGTTGCCCTTGGCATCCAGCGGATGGACGAGCCAAATCCTCCGCCAGGGTCCAGTTGGCACCGCCCAGGCCGCCTCAGTGGAGCGTCGATCGACTCTGGTTCGCATTAAGATGAAACGTTCCTCTTGGCGGGCCCGCTCATCTCCGCCACCCATCCGCATCCCCTTCACCAGACCCTGCCCTCGACATGATATAAAAACGTCTCCTTCAGTCTCGTCCTTCCTTCCAGCATCTCATCCTTTCTTTCATCGGCCCGGATAGCTGTACACTCTTTTTTTACCCTTCTTTTCTCCCACCCACATTCATTGTTCCCTTCCCGCAAGCACTCTTTTGCCCTAACTTCCGACTTTCCACACCTTCCTTTCCACCATGAAGCCCTCCACTTACGGAATGCTCGCTCTGGCAGCGGCATCCAAGCTGGCCAGCGCCCACACCACCGTGCAAGCCGTCTGGATCAACGGCGTAGACCAGGGCCTCGGCAACACCGACGACGGCTACATCCGCACGCCCCCCAGCAACAGCCCCGTCAAGGACGTGACGTCGACGGACATGACCTGCAACGTCAACGGCGACGAGGCCGCGGCCAAGACGCTGTCGGTCAAGTCCGGCGACGTGGTGACCTTCGAATGGCACCACGAGAACCGCGACGCGTCGGACGACATCATCGCGTCGTCGCACCTGGGCCCCGTCATGGTCTACATGGCCCCGACCACCAAGGGCTCGGACGGCAGCAACTGGGTCAAGATCGCCGAGGACGGCTACGACGACGGTACCTGGGCCGTCACCAAGCTGATCAACAACAAGGGCAAGCACAACATCACCGTCCCCGACGTCCCTGCCGGCAACTATCTCTTCCGCCCCGAGATCATCGCCCTCCACGAGGCCGAGAACAAGGGCGGTGCCCAGTTCTACATGGAGTGCGTCCAGGTCAAGGTCACCTCCGATGGATCCAAGACCATGCCTTCCGGGGTCTCCATCCCCGGCGCCTACTCTGCCACCGACCCCGGTATCCTCTTCAACCTCTACGGCTCCTTCACCACCTACCCCATCCCCGGGCCCACCGTCTGGGACGGCTCTTCCAGCTCGACTGCTGCCTCTGTCGTCGTGGCTACCTCCTCCGCCGTTCCCACAGCCCCCAGCACCAAGGCCGCCGTGGCCGTCTCGTCCTCCACCTCCTCTGCTGCGGAACAGACCACCGGCCCCGCGGCCGCCACTCCCGTGGTCAACACCGAGTCCGTCGCCGCCGTCCAGGCCTCCTCCCCGGCCGTGAGCCAGGTCTTCGCGCCCACGACCTTCGCCACCTCCTCCTCCTCCTCCTCCGCCAAGGCAGTCCCGACTGCCTGCCGCAACAAGTCCAAGTCCAAGTCCAAGTCGAAGGCTGCCGTCTCCAGCGTCATCCCCGTTGCCACTCCCAGCGCTGTCCCCAGCGCCAGTGCCAGCGCCAGTGCTGGTGGCGTCGCCAAGAAGTACCAGCAGTGCGGCGGCATCAACTACACTGGCGCTACTACCTGCGAGAGCGGCACTGTCTGCAAGCAGTGGAACTCTTTCTACTACCAGTGCGTGGAGTCTTCCCAGTAAATGGGATCTGGAGTTGTTGGGGTACCGTTTATATATAGGTTGATTTGAGGGAGGAGTTGGAGAGATGATAGATGAGATATAGCAGTTCAATTCGATGTTAGAAGAAATTTTAATTCAAGCTGTCGTTGGCTTACAGAGTCTGAATGGAAATTGGATGTAGATAACTGAGTGTTTGTAATGTATATTATTTGGAATAGATTCCGTGTTGATGAGGACTTGATCAGAAATTGGAAAGGCTGAAACTATGCAGTTGGAGTACTATAGAGTGAATAAATAATCTCTGGGGAGGCAGTAAGAGCAGTAATTCTGTCAGCGGGGCTGGGTGTCTCCCTTCCTCCTGGGTAGCCACCACGAATCCAACGGTCCCTACGGCTTCGTTTCCTGCCTGCTGTAGCCTCTCGGCGTCAAATGCTACGAGGCATTTTACCTCCATTTCCTCCATGATTAGAACCAATAACAGGCTCAATTATCAAAAACAGAACAAACTAGCTCAAGAAACCCCCCCGCCCCAAATTCCAGCGCTAAAAGCGCCTCCCTCCTGAAATGCAGGGCCATCTCCAAAATATGCCCTCAGTTCCTCTTCGTCCAAAGCCCTGGGCGTGAATCCTTCTTCCTCGATAGCCTTCAAACCACGAGGACAATGCTTCATGTAGGCCAAATACACAGGGTCGCCGTAATGCCTCCGAGTCACCTGATGTTCGTAATCACGGTCAACAGGACATCCATCGCCATATAGATCAGAGCCGGCTCACCATCCCTCTTACTCTTGTAGTATTTAAGGCCCGTGTATCTGGAACACCAATCCAAGCAGCGCGGAAGAACTCCTCCCGCTGCATGTCGTCTGTCATGGAAAATGGATTAGTTTTTCTCGATTTTGATCTTTTCATTCGTTGGCAGTCTCTCGCGGAGCTGGTCCAGGTAATTGCGTGTTGTCATGGCGTGGGAGAAGGAGTAATCCAACCCGTTGAAGAGAATGGCCCAGGCGCTGAGATTGGTCTCTTCCTCTTCACTCTGCTCGAAGCGGGTCGTCATCTGCAGGAGGAGAATGGCAAACTCTAACTCTTCGATCTCCCGCTCAGACCTGCCTGAAACATCCTGTTGATTCGTTGCCATGTTAGACTGTATTTCAGAAGGGAAAGGGAGGGGAGGGGGGGGGGGGGGAACCGTTGGATGAAGCATACTAGGAAAACCATCATAGGCGCACGGTATAACTGGCGGTCTTTATGGTCGACAGATGCACCGCTGCATTTTACGGTTTCGCTAAAGCCAAAGCTTGGAAGATCAAACGTGAATTTATGCGACACGAATTCGCTGGTAGAAGGATGGGCATGTTAGCGAAGGACTGGGTCAGGCGTCTTATATTAAAAGCAAGTCTTACAGGCGATCCTTGAACAGGTCTAGGCCCATGAGACTGCCCATCACAACGTCACCTCTTGCGTCAACTTGAAAGCCTTCACTCAACTCGATCTGAACATCCAACCAAGCTTGACATACTTTCTTCAAGGGAGTATCGTCATTCACGGCCACCTCCACAGTTCGTCTCATATGCTCAATATTCCCAAACTCGATAGTTTTGATCCCTCTGACATCCTCCCAGAGCTCTGGAAAAGTGTGAGTAAAACACACATGCGCACAGGAAGAGACTATAACGTACCTTGTAGGTTCGAAGCACGCCAGTCGGCCTTTATAACAGTAACCGCTGAATCGTCAAAACCCTCGTCGATGCTCCTCGAGTGACGCCAGCGATGAAGTATATGACTATTCTTAAAAGCAACCGGCTCCGGGTTGGGCGGGCAACTTGCTTCGTTTTCGGTATCCCACCGCAACATTTCCTCTAGTGAGCTGGGTTTATGGGTGCTAGAGGCAGGATGGATCTAGGTTTTCTCTGGAAAGTGTCGTCCATATTTCCAGTGCCTTTTTCTGCTTGGATTTTTGGCGGGGTTCTTTAGCAGATGTGTGATGGACTGAGTGAATGAGCTGTCAGTGACAATGGTGTAGACTCTACAGGAAATTCAGAGTTAAGCAAGCCCTGCCCTTATATAGCTCTTTTTACAAGCCCTGTTATAGAAAAGGTAGGGTACGTAAGTCTCCGGGTCTCTTGAGATGCCCCGGGCAAGGAGTATCGTAGTACCTATACACTTTGGGAAACACTGAGGTTGTGTCAGTGTTAGGAACGTTGCCCGCAATACTTGTGGGCACAGCCAGACACAGAGAAATATTTGACAATTAAGAAGACTTGTTCGTGGGGATATTATCTTGCCAGGATGCCTTCGGTAGTTTCCCAGGAAGGCCTGGGCGGTGCGTTGTCCTTTTGCCTCCGCGACCTTCCTGTTATATCTGATTATGTGGGACAGGTCAAAAGAAGGGAACCACCTAATCCTAGCCAGAAGTGAATTATATTCTCGAACTCGATCAAATCATGATACCCATGCTCAAAGCAATCGGCAAAATTCTCTTCGATAATCAACATGCAATACGGACCTCACAAGAGGAAAGTTGCGGAATATCTCTACAATGGCAACGCCAGATTCGTCCACAGATAGACAAGACAACATTGCTAGCACTCTCGCCATTCACCACCAGGTTGTGATTTATAATCAACCCATAAAAGGGAATTGAATAAGGATACTAATCATCTTTTCAAAATATCAGCTAATTTTCCCATTTTGGTCAGTTATATCAAAACTTACTTTGGCTTGTTGCAAGATAGTATCATAGCAGGTAGGCATAATCATTAGACTAGAACCCATACTCTTTAAGCTAGATCCTTCCGCATCATGTCTCAAGGGTGTCAGGATCATATGGTCTCTCTTCCTGGAAGGCACCGGTGGGAGTTCTCCTTTTGCTGTAGTGATCTTCCGTCAAGGGGCAGATAATTGAGACTCGGCTTCATCAGTCTCTTCCCTATAACATAAATTGTCAAGTAGCAGGTGTGATCCACCTGAAGGGACATTCCTCCTGCGGAACAGTGCCTTGTTGGCTGGAAGAACTGAAAGTAGATTTTTGACTCAGCTCTTGTGGCGCATACAGGTTTGTGAGATGGAAGATATCTTCCCTTGGTATATTAAACATCTGGCTACCAGGCAATAGATATATGGACATGCTCCTAGTTTCTAAAAGTCTGTTGTTTTACTGCGTTAATACAGTAGTTATAATGGTCGGATTTGGGTGAGAAATGAAAGCAACACGAGCAGATCGAATTGGAAAGGGGAACCGAATCGGCCAGATTGTGGATGGATCATGACTCTGCGAGGTAGTACACAGCTTCAAAATTGATGGGAAGTGGAGATCAGCCTAAAGTATGCAAGCTTTTCCTTTCAACAGTTGTTAGTTGGTGGTGAAGGCTGATAGCGAGCGGGTAGGGTCTATACAAACTTTGACGGTAACAAAGAATATTCCAGCAGAAAAAAAAAGGAAAGGAAGAAGAAAAAACCAAAGTCATGGCGGAAATGCAAGAAAGGAACCTTTCCTTTCTGAATACCAGATGGGGGGGAAAGAAATAAAAAATAATGAAAAGAGTGGGATTCGAACCCACGCCAACTTACGTTGACCAGGAAGCTCAAGCTTGCTGTTAAGGTAGACCTTAACCTGGCGCCTTAGACCGCTCGGCCATCTTGCCCGTTTGATGAAAATGGTGCCTGAGTTACAATAAATAACTAGCAACACATAAAGTGAGCTATCTCACATCAACCCAACTCTGATATCGTATCCAGGACCGGATGGGCCTGGTCAGGGTGGACAGAGAGGACGGATATGTCAAAATGAGATGGGGACGTGATAGCAGGGTCTATTATAGCAGAATCTCAATATGTATGTTGCTTCACTTTTCTGATTCATTTGTGCAGTGTTTCCGAAATACCCTTGCTATATATTGTCTGGACCGGGTATCCCTCTTTCAGGGCGCCATGCGCGGGGAGTACTCCTTTTGCCGCAGTGGCGCTCGTCATATATATACTAGCCACCCCGATTGAATGTACTTAATGACGTACCTAGAAACGGTCACTATGCAAATGGAGCTGCCAAGAGCTGGAAGAACGGGAGCTCGAGGCTCATGGGTCAGTGGAGATAGTGGTAGACGTGAAAGCCTTGATGTTGAGCAACGCTGGCTACGGGTTGGGGTTGGGGACTCGATGGACGTATGACCTGACGAGCGAGGGAGCTGGAGGACTAGGAAAGGGGAGGCAATTCCAGACATAAAGAAACCAGAAGCGCTAAAAGAGAGTCGAGAGACAGCTATCTTCAAATGCTGTATCTACCAGACTATCGAAATTCAACCGAGCTGGAAATTTAACCTCAAATCAGGGGTTAACCTGCCCTCCCCCGTTCGATCCATCGCTCCACAAAGCGCAAGTTGTCTACACAACAGCAAAAAATTGGGGGCCGTTTCTGCCTCGGACCCATCGAAGCACTCAACCTCTCTTCAAACTCAGGCGGTAGGAATGAGGGTCTCAGAAATTGGGGTTTTCCCTGACCCGACCACGATCCGTAAAAACCCTCGAACAAATGTGGCCCTTATCGTCAGAGTATATTGAGTAAGCTTACTTTCGGGCGGTCCAATGGCCGCATAGAGATCTGAGGGGATATTGGAAAGATCACAAGATATGTACTTTATATGATCCAGCCCTACAACCCCATGAAATCTCAGTTTCAGCCACCGCTAGCGGGACGAACTCGGACTGAGCTTACCTGGATCATTCACCCTCTCTGGCTTGTCTTGTTCGTCACTCGAAAATAGGAGAATTGTGTAGTTCAGAGCTCGGTTTGGGGTGTGCAGCAGTTCAAAGTGCTTGTCTGTGCACTGTCCCTCGTCGCATGCTTCTCCCTAGAAAGGCCATGAGCTATCATTACCTGTCGCCTCCTACGGAGGCTAATGTAGTACGGACCATACACCGCCTCTGCCCTGAACCTGAACGATGTCGGACCTATCCGTCCAGATAGGAGGAACAGAGGCAGCAGAGCGATGATGTGAGTCTATCTGCTGGCTAGCTGAAAGAGGCAGAAGAAGACAGGTAGACTGTGGGCTCGGTCAGCTAGGCCTGATGACTGGGATCAACAGTCCACCAGACATTGACGGGAACAACACGAAAGCAGAGCCCCCATCCTGATCCTTTGTCTCGGAAAGCACGGAAAGGAAGTAGGACGAACCAGTGCGAGAAGAGGACAAAGAGACTGCCGCCGCAGCCATCATGAGGGGTTGATTCATTCCGGGGGTCTGTTCTTCCGCACCTTTTCTTTTGCTTCCATCTTTCTTTCTCCTGTTCCATCCTCCCTTCAGCCCTCTCTTCAGCCCCCAACTCCAACGCACGACCAACATCACGAGAAAGAAAAATCAGCAAGGTGAGGCTACTAGCCACGTGGTGAAGACGCACTCTATAACATACGCTGATCAGTCTTCTTTTCCTCTCTAGGCTGCATCCCACAGAGAGCCCCACACGATGCCTGCTAAGAAAAAACCGGGCAAAACATCAACACCAGAGGTCGTTGGTGCGCTCAGGGATAAAATTGCTCGCCTCCAGGCCGAGCATGCAGCCCTCAAAAACCAAGTATCTGAGCGTGAGAGCAGATTTCAGAACCGACAGACAATGCTGGAAGGGGGGGGTATTGAGCTGGGAGTTTATCAGCGAGCGGCTGTGGAACGATGATGACGGGCAGAAACAATGGAGGACCGCATTTTCGATCGCACGTACTGGGTGCTGCAATTATGCTGTATTGAAGACGGCTGATATCGCGGGGCTGTCCACCAGCGACAAGCAAAGTATCATCCAAAGCCTACAGGGCTTTTGTGTACAGGATCTAGACTGGGACACGCTGGTAGGGTCTTTCCCAGAGCCAATCCGCCAACAAGTGCCGGGGATTTTTGCCGAAGCTATCCTGGTCAAGAGCGTCGTGGGCAGGTTCTTTGACAAACCATTCTGGTATTTCGATTATACACCCGAGGGCTGTTCTGTCCCCTTGGTCGAGCCCCTGCAGTATCTCTATGAGCGGTTTAAGAAAAGTGAGCCCCACCCCCCCGGCGACGTCTTTCTCATCACGTACTGACCGGGTATACAGCCAACGACGACTCCGCCCGGCTCTGGAGATCGGAGACCACTCGGCTCGCAACCTCAGCTGACCTGTCTCAAGTCCCGGACACCGAACTGGGCCTGTACACGAAGAAGGAGCGCGAGGCAGGTATCTCGCAACTAGCCGTGTATATGCTCTCCGAGAGTCCACTGCACCTGCTACTCAATGAGGAGACCGAGTATCGCACGAATGAGCTTATTGAATTTATCTGTTACGCTGAAGAGCTAGCCACCCGTCTCAGCACCACCGCCGCCGATTTGCGGTACAGAAACTTGACGGAGCTACCTCCCCTGTTCACTCGGGCAACTGAATTTATACAAGCGTACCACGAACACAACCTCGACCTTACGGACCCAAGGCTGGACGGGCGTCGGATTCTGCTTCTTATTCACCCCGCGGCGGTGTGCGTGGTGAACAAGGATCGTATGGAGGAGTGTCGAATGGCCAAGGCAGAGGCAGTGGTCGAGCATCGGGAGTGGACGATCCAGGATAATGACAGGATCCTTGCTGAGAACGAGCAGAAGGGAGATGCCCGGGATAAGGTGCAGGAAGAGAAACGGTATAAAGAGATGGCGCTTAAAGATGAATGGAATAGACAGCAGCAGGAGGAAATCGAGAAGGGTAAGATACGGAGGGAGATAGAAGAGGGAAGAGAGAGATTGGAGGCAAAGCTGGCGGAGGAGGAGGAGGAGGAGGAGGAGGAGGGAGAGGGGAAGGAAGGAGAGGATGATGGAAAGAACGATAGAAAGACAGATGACGAAGAAAAGAAGACCGGGAGGGAAGGGGCTTTGGGTCCGGGGAAGAGAAAAAGGAATCCTAGATTTGGCGGGAGGTTTCGTGGTTAGTACACCATGTGGGCGTCAGAAGCACTGGCAATTTTATTGGCATTTGGCACCTAGTAATCATGAAGCTTGCAATGTCAGACTTTGTGGTAATCATAGAGCATGGTCTACAGTAAAACACCCGCAGTAGTAGTAGTAGTAGTATTAATTAACATCTAGCAATGCACCGGCGCCACCGGCTCTTGAGGATCTTTCTTAAGATATAAAGATATACTAAGCGCGGGTTTTATATATATAAACAGCAGTGTAATTTTAGGGATAAAATAATATCTAAAGACCCTTATTTCAAAGATGTCCCTAGATTTGTGAGTAGTTGAAAGGGTGTAAGACACCCGCATAGCCTTGTAATAAAGTATTACTGTCAATACTATGTGGCCAATGGGTCCATATTATATATCCATTGACCTGAAATACTATACACATCCGAGTGCTTCCAGACAGGGTATATTCACAACAGAACATCATAAAAAAAGCTATTCACCTATTCACCCCCCCTGCAGCTCCCGCCATCTCTGGATCACTGCGGACCGCTGCTGCGTCGTGGCTGCACACATCTCCTCAATCCCCTGTCTCATCCGCGACGTGATGATATCCCTGGTCTTGCTCTTGGCCAGCGAGTTCCGGAGATTCTTATGGATCCCGTCCAGCGGATATCCAGCCAGCCCCCAGAGTCCTAAGTCCGTCAGCCAGTGTTATATATTTGGATTCACTCAGAAGCGAACACTCACCCGCCATCGGCTTCAGGAAAACACCCCCCACCCCCTTACCCACCCCCTTCAACAGCCCCGCCCCCCCGGACTTCTCCATCCCGATCATTGGCTGCGTGACTAGCCCTGTCACCCCATTATAAAATCCATGCGTAAGTTCCTATCCTCATTGTTAGTTCTCACATCTTTCCATACTCTGGAGACCAGAACTAAAGCCCAAAAGACAGAGGGGAGAGAGAACACATACCGTCCCCGCGGCCCTAAATCCACTCCGCACCCCCAACACCTTCGGCGTATCCTCCACCAACGAATCATTATACAGCTTCGGGGCGTTATGGAACCCCCGAGACAGCGTCAGCGTGATATCAGTCGGCAACATGATGATCCAGTTCAACACGTGTTTGGCCGCTTGGCTGCTGTGGTAGGACGTCTCTGCGAGGAATTCCTTCGTGTTGGACATCTCGCGCGTGCGGAGTCGCGTGACCGTTCGCTCGAGGTCGAGGTCTGCACCGAGACTGTCTGCGTCCATGGTGAGGGTATCGGTGCTGGCGGAGATGGTGCTTGATCGGGGGCTTGATTCTCGCGCGGTGGTTTCTCCTTGCGTCGGGGTTGTGGTGGTGGTGGTAGTATTATCATTGTTGCTGTTGCTGTTGCTACTATTGGGGATAGATTCATCGGCAGAGTGATATGCCTCGTCGGATTCCATGGATCGCGAGTCGGGGTTGTTGGAGGTCGCGGAGGAGGGCTCATCGGGTGTCGTGTCTGTGTCTGTGTCCGTGTCGTGCTCTGATCTTGGCTCCGGGCTCGCATGGTTCACCACGTCGTGTCCGACCCCCGAGTCCAGCGACGACATTGTGCGATGGCGACGACGCACTGACGACCGTTCCTTCAGGTATTCCGGACTACGCGATTTCTTCCAATCGTGTCTCCGGTGCAGCCGGCCCTCGTGCGTGGTCGAGAAAATGCCCGCCATCCCACCGGGCACGTCGGCGATGCCACTGACGAACCCGGAGATGATGCCGTAGAGGACCTCTGCGCCTGCTGTTAGAGGGCCTCGGGGGTCTCGATTCGTGTCGTATTCGCGGGAGCGGTATCTGTTGACGTCAGCTTCATACGGACAACCAGAGATCAAAGAAATAAGCAGGTAAGAAACCTACAAGACCACATTCCGCGACTCGACCAGCCCCGTCTCCACCAAGACCGCCGCAGCAAATGTGCTCAGCTTGATATGCGAGTGTCTTACCCACCACACCGCTGGTAAATGAGGACAGATCGAGCACCGCAGACTCTTCGAATCAAGATGATTGTAAAAACTCGCCGCCGCGTTCCGAACACCCTGTTCCGTGCGCATCTCCTCACCGATCTCCTTAGCCTTCTCCAGTGTCTCCGGTTCCAGGGCTTTGTTTATAGCCGCGGTGAGCTTTTCCACCGTCAGCTGCTTGTAGGGGACGGGGACGGGGCCCGCGCCGGCGCGAGCGACAATGGAGCCCCAGAAGGGCTGGTCGCCGAAGAAGGGGATCACGACGGTGGGACGGCCCAGGACCAGTCCTGCGGCGGTGGTGCCGGCTCCGCCATGGTGGATGACGCAGGAGACGCGTGGGAAGAGCCAGTCGTGTGGACACTTGCCGATCATGAGGATGTTGTCGGGGATGTCATGCTCGTCAGCCCCGAGGTTGCCCCAGCCCTTGGAGACGATGGCCCGTTGCCCGGTCTCGCGGATGGCGGCGAACACGATTTTCGTCAGCGAGCCCGGATTGTCAACTACGATGGACCCGAATCCGACGTAGATGGGCGGTGGTCCGGCTTTGAGGAAGGAGGCGATCTCGTCGGGCGGCGTGTAGTCGGATGCAGAGTCGAGGAACGCGAAGCCGGCCACGTCGACGTTGTCGCCCCAGTCTCCGGGCTTGGGGAGGAGGGCTGGGGACCTGTGTTGTCGGTCAGCGCGTCAGTTGAATTTGATAGCTTGAGGTACTGCAATTGCTGAAAGTGCCCACCAGAGATATGTGTACGGAATACGCAAGCGATGCGCAATACTCGGCGCCCGAATCGCGTCCAACGGGTCGAGCCCTAACTCTCGCTTCCGGAAATTATTGATCAAATCCCCCAACCCCTCCCACATGATGACCTCGACAACCGCATAGGAGGCAAAGTTCGCGGCCGAGGGCTTGGTGTTCTTCGTACGGATCGTCGCCAACGGGTGCGGAAAAGCCTGCGTCGCCGACCAGGGCATCCTACCATCGTCAGCTCTCACCTCACCACCCTGCACCCCATCCCCCAGGTAAGTGTAAACAGAGCACTACTCACGTAAACATCATATTCAACGGAATGCCCAGCTTCTCCGCACAGCTGAGATGGGCAAAGCTCGGCGGATTGGCGATAATGGCATCCGCGACAAACGGCATGGACCGATAATCGGCGGTCTCATTCCAGGGATCCTCGGCGATGCGATGCATGCCGGTCCCATCGCCGGTCTCGAAGCACGATCGCCAACAGCCGGAGAAGATGGTTTTCATTTCCCGTCGCCGCCGCCGGATGGCGCCGCTCCGGATGGTACTCATGTGCGGCATCAGGCCCGGGTTGCGGACCATGAAGGCCATGAGTTCGGCGGGGTCGCCGCCGATGTTGAAGAACTCGAGGCCGTCGTTCTCGATGGACTCGCGGAAGGCGAGGTGCGTGGCGAGACGGACCCGGTGGCCATGCGATTTGAGGACCTTGCCGAGGGCGATGAAGGGCTGGACATCGCCGCGCGAGCCGACGACTTGGATGACGATGTTGAGTTTTAGGGTGCACGGGGAATCGCCTTCGTGGGGGCAGACGGAGGGTTGGCGGTCTTTGTCTAGCGGCTCGGGCTGACGTTGTAGGTGTTGGATGATCTTGGCGACCCAGGGTTTGTGTTCGTGGAATTTGATGTCGAGGCGGCCGTCGTCTGGAAGGGTGGTATGATCATGTTAGTGGTGTGGGTAATTTGGCATGGAGGGATGTGGAGATGGAGAGGGAGCGACGAACCCATCACCCGCACCCCGGTGTTCATCCCCCGGTCCCGAACCCGCGTGCGCCGATTGATGCCCCGGCCATGGGTGGTGTTGTTCGCCGGGGTCTCCCCGGGCCAGTCCTCGGTGGTTGGGCCATCGTGAGACTGAGGCGGCATGACCGTGGAGGAGCGGATTGAGTTTAGGTATCCCAGGGAGGGAGGATAGTGGGAAGGATGTGCATGCAGTCAGTGACAGTCGCACCGGGGAAAACAGGAAAGGAAGGGGAGGCGATTCATAAGTTCAAAGGAGGAGACCCAGCTGGTGACGACATCGGGCGATGGCTTCATTCCGGGCTTGGTTCGGGGTGTGGAGCCACGGATGATCGGATGCGCGAACCAGTGGAGGCGCCCTGTCTGGCTGTCGGCCAGGGTTCAAGCTTTGCTTTCCTTCTGTTTCTGCTAGACCCTCTTACGTAGTGAGCACTCTATTGGGCCTGTTGATCAATAATCCAGACTGTCCCCGACCGCGAACGAAGCCCTAGTCTGGCCAGCCTCATCCCGATCACCCGCCCGTATAACCAGCCGGCGAGCGCCCTGGAAGCAGAAACGCCATCAAAGTAAATGAACAGACCCTCAGCCTGCAGATTGCCCGACCCGACTGACCTACACACACACATATACACCATGGCTTCACCCTTTCCCCTCAGTCTCACGCGAGACCCTGAGCCTAACTGTGAGCGCCCTCTCCACCCTTATCCGCGAGGGTCCGAAACCCGCCACGAGAATTATCCGAGTAATCCCCACCTTACCCTTCCCAGTTTCCACGGCCTCAGTCATACTGCATCGCCCGATTGTATATAATCAGTAGGCGGACTAAGAGCCCTGTGCGTCGCCGATCGGCACACCTCCCCGAGTCATATAATAAATTCCACCACAACCTCTTCCAGAAGACTCCTTTCTGAATGAATGTACTTTGTATCTTCACGTCCCCACACCTGGCCACCAATCGAGTAGAATAACTTGCTGCAGTTATTTAACTGTGTACATCCGCAGCGGTCGGTGTCGCTTGCTCCAATGGGCGTTATAGGGCTAGTCAAATAACTCCAATGTTGGTGGACGGATGATTTATTCTATGGCAGAGGAGTCTGATGGGGAAGGACGGCTATCGGGAAAGTTCTTAGGGCTGCTGGATTGCCTATATCTATAAACTTTGTTGGCCGAAGGAACAGGCTATCTTAGAACTAAAAAATGTAAAACTACGATTCAAACCCTAGTTGCAACATTCGATGCATAATACAGCGGCTGTTGTCCTTATCAGGATGAAAGATATAAGAAATTGTAGACGATTGGTCTAGCAAGTGTATGAAGAGACACAAAATAGTCTAATATAATATATCAAAAGTGACGGATGATAAAACGAAGTAAAGAAAGACAAAAAGCAAACTGAGAGGTTGAGAAGTACCTGCGACCAGGTTCAAGCGTGACTCCCTGAGCTTGCTTGCGGGGATGTCGAGTATAGATAGTTTACTCACTAGAACGTGAGCCTACTGAGATCTATGGTAACCCCAGCCTCGTACAGCAAATAAGCGACCTCAAGATGCTTCCCGCTGACCGCAATGTTCATTGGGGTCAAGCCGTCGACTGGCTCAGGAGTGTGCAAAAATTGGGAGAATACTGAATTCAGAAGAATCGTGACGTAGGCGGTCTTTCCACCTCGGACTGCGATATGCAAAGGACTCCCTTCCGGATAGGGTACTTCCGACCAACCCCTATAATTGTTGCAGATCGCCACCATCAAGGACACCAAGCGGTCGTTCTCCAACAGGATAGCCAAGCGCGCAAGGCTTCCAAACATCGGATACACTTCATTCAAATCCTCTGGGCTCATCTTTTCCATCATGGAGTACGCGATGATGCTTGCAGCATCAGGATGCCTATGGGCCACCGCGTACTCCAACGGCCAAACTCCTTGGTTGTCTGATGCCATGTATAGCTCGTACACTGAGCCCTTGTCCCAGCTTTCAGCGGCCTTTACAATCGATGTGCACACTAATTCAAGCCCATATATAGCGGCATAGTGGAGAGGGGAGCGCCCGGAGCCGTCCTTGGAGAGCAGGACATCTACCGCATTAGGGCCGAGGTTCCCGATGAGAATAGAGATAATGCTTTCTCCAAGCTTTGGTCGAGGAAGCTCTGCTGCAATATACCACGGTGGTCGCTCGTTTGAATACCCGAGCACGGTAATCAGGCGGTTTAGTAGGTGCTCGTCGATCGAAAAGCCGTGCCGGGGAGCGACTTCTTCGAATAAAGCACTGGCCGTATAGGGAGCATGCAAATAAATTGCAAAGTCGACTGCAGACTTTAGAAAGTCTTCCCCATCCAGTTGACAGCGGTCGAATTTCTCGGTCACGAGAGAAACCACCGTCGATGCGTCATCCATCCATGTAGCATTTTCTAGCCGCTGGTAGTCACGGAGCAGACTTTCTGTTGCTTCTGTTGCTTCTGGCAAAGGGCTCCGCGGTCTCTGGCCCCCCTCTCCCGAATCAACATTCGTTTCCAGGTGCTCATTGCTTTGTCCTGCTCCAGCCCTTGATTCCTCGCACAGGCATGTAATCAGAGCGTTCAGCCTATCTTTCACATCTGCCAGCTTGCCAAAAAACTGTTCTGTAGTATGGTCAGACTGCTGCTCGGGCGTATCATTCGCATTTGATGCGTGCAAGCCCGCACGTTGCCTCACAAGGTCATGTAGGTGAGCGATAGCTGCGGTATTCTTCACCTGGTAGTATCTCATTTTCATCGCCGCCCCCTCAAGTTCATCCACTGATGCGCACATGAGCTCGAGTTGAATTTGAGACAGATTTCTCCAAGGTGCCATCCCAGGCTCCCAAGTATCCAGATCTAGACCGGAATGGTACTTGATCTCAGCTACCCGAAGGCGAATGTGCTCCTCCTGTCGTCGGCACCACCTGTCATGGACCTTAATTGCCCTCTCCAGGTTTGCCAGGAAATCTAAATAATGTTAGCGCATGCAATAGGTGGCTTTCATGGAGTACATACCAGGAAGGGCAGAGGGGGGTGCGTTGGCCCAGAGTGCCTCGGTCAGCTGCTTTTCCAGTTGCCTGTACGGCATGTAGTAGCTTTCCCATTCTGGGACCTGGACCCGGTAGAAGTTGCGTGAGTAGTCCATTATTTCTTTGTTCAGCTTTCTTCCCCTTTGGCTGGAACAAAGGTGTGTGAAACGATGGCTGTCAACGGGAGTTACACTGTTCCGCTGCTACTTGAACGGTAAGATGCGCGGAAAGTGGCAAAACAAAGGGGGGGTAACCTGCGTACTGCTAACCAGGGACTATATTGTATGGGTGGCAGCTTGAACCCTTGAATTGCAGGTGTGCTAGGGACCTTTTATACATTTTGACTGGTATATGTGGCTCCATCATTCTCACTTCAACGCTGCTATGGTAGTAGGAAACAACCTAGGTAGGAGGGGAGAATACCAAGGGCCTAGGAGGAAAAGGTCGCCTTAGCAAGAGAGTAATGGATGCCATCGGGGTGGGTCATAAGGAAGACAAAGAAACCCACATTCACTGTCCTGGTCTTCACGGGGCGAGCCGATGCGGCGGGTCTGCAGGACATCCGCGAAGCTTCTATCTGAGCTGACACTACGCCAGGCTCCGTGATTATTTCCTGGATCCCAACGCGATGGGCACTTTCCGTGAAATCTGCGGTTGATGCCGACGACTTCCAAGATCGTCTACCCAGAGATGGCTAGCATTGCCTAGGGATATCACAAGAAACTGGTCATCCTTTGTGGATTTGCCATGGAAATGGCCGAGTGGGCCATGAAGCAACGGACAGGCCCATTATGCATTTTGAAACACCACAGAGGTATTCTCGGCTTCGCGTGGTGAGAGAAATGCTGATGCTTGGCAGGCCAACAACTCCCAGCTCCTCTGCCCATCATCAATCACACCAATCGACAAACAGAACTCATGCGAAAGGCCGCGCAGGCATATCGAAACACCAATACATCATCATCACTCAACCCGCGTCCCCTCCCACGTCCCAGGCCTCAGACTCCTCCAAAGCTCAGCCTTAATCTTCCCCAAGAACCCCGCAATCCTCGCGTGATTCATCCATTCTTCCTTATCCGCATGCTCATAGGACCGCCGCAGCCTCCCCCATACATACTCCCAGTCCCTCCTCTTTCCCTCATCATGGGCTCTCCCAAACTTCAGCGCCTTACGTGCCACATGCCGCCAGTAGTAATCTGGGACTGCGTGTCTCGAAGCCGTTCTCAAATTGTCGATGTCATTGTCAGTGAGATACTCGAGGACGAGCATTTGGATCTCGACAGAAAGAGACATCCACGGGAAGAAGAATGCCGGTGAAGCCACCGGCTGGACGGGGGGTGGCTGCGTCTTCTTTCTCGGTTTTCGATTTTGGTCATCCCGTAACGTCCTCTTGATGGCGCAAATCCGTAACGGATCATTTACTATTCTCCTCGTTAACGGCTCAGACGGAACCAGAAAATAGAAGGTCAGAAATGGAGTGCAACAGGTCTTACCCTTCTCCCCCTTCGAATAAAGCCCCGGTCTCAACCACGCGAATCCAGACCCCCAAGTCTGATGCCACAGCTGACGCTGAATGTACTGCATATCCCACCCCTTCCGATACGCCGTCCACTGCTGCCGCAGAATCCGGCACAGAGCATCAAAATGCTGCTCCAGGACATCCCCGAGCACCACCTCTGTCATCGTCCAACAGTGCATATGGACCGGAAACCCCAGTACGGTATCGCTATCCTGTTTCAAGGCCCATTTCCTCACCTCCATGAGATCCTCCGTCGGCGTCACGATATTCTGGTCGATCAACGCGGCAGTCGGATCCCAGGGGACGTATCCGACTTCTCGTTCTGGATGGCGGGACCCGATTCCAGAAAGGGTCCATTCGTTGAGGTCCGGGTTGTAGATGACTAGTATCCGGTCTCCTGTTAGCGACGTTCTCCGTTGAAATTTCAAGGAATAAAGAATGAAAGATGCAGATATCCCACTTAGTCGGTACAGCGATATCCAACGATACGGATGGTTGCGGAAGTACGCCTTCTCCAGCTCCGCTGCAGGGTATAGCCGGATGTGTTTCCGCTCCACGGGCTTGGTCTCGAAACATCGGATTCTCGTTAGGTTGGTGTCCTGGATGCCGATCGAGACTCCGCAGATGATGCAGTGCTCCGCTTGCATGCTCACCGGCGTCTTGGGGGGGGTTGCTGCTGGCGACATGGCGATGGGTGGGGCGGTTGGAGATGGATGAGGGGAAGAGTTGCTGGTGATGTTGATGCTGGTCTTATGTCATGGTGATGATTCATTGTGATGAGAGTCTTTGTTTGGTTGTCTGTATGTCGGCTGTCGCTGGGACGCAGGTCCCGGAATTGAATAAGAGGCTGGGTGTGTTTCTGTATGTTTCTTGTGCAGGGCATTGGATATGGAATTTTCTGCATTGATTGCTTTTGCGGACTACTTGGATTGTTGGGTGATTGTTTGCCAGAGATACAATGATATAACTGTCAATGGATGGCGGGATTCACGGAAATGCCATAGAATAAGCATCTGATTGTCATCGGTGTAATAAAAACACCATCGGCCCCGCAGCACATCAATTAAGCCACTGAACAGAACAAATCTACCCTTTTTTGGATTCCTATGAGGGCAACAATTCTGATATAGCAGAAACATTACACGACAAAAGCCATGTTAAACTTTACCGCAGCCTCTAAGGCATGTTGCTGTAACTGTACTTTAATTTCAACCCTTCCGCAGTGTATCCTGACAGTGGAAATCGGAGACCTAACTAGCCCGCATACCACACACCTTTCCCCTCAGTAATATCTTAGCCTCCAACGCGCATAAAATGAAATCTAACTAAGCGGTCAAGTTCGCCATGAGTCTATCTCTAGAGCGGCAGCTTATCACACTGACGTATGCATGTCTCACACAATCAAAGGATCCAGCAGGATTCATCCATCCCGTGGCAGCACAGCCTCAACCTCAGTCTCAAATCCATCGTACAGTGTACACGGCCCCTGATTTTAATTAACAACTTTAACCAAACATTTGGCTTGAATACGGTCGCCTAAACAGCCTAGTCGCCGGTTTGGGGGCGATTATTGAAGGGGGGACACTGGACACTGGACACTGGGCCAGCCCACTAAAAATGACTCAGCGGCTATCGGTTCTCCAGGCAAAAACTTTATCCTGCCTGATCCGGCTGGCTGCAGGCAGTCGTCGTGGCCTGGGGGTGCTGACTGCTGGTGAGACGTGAAACTTGTGAAGAAACGAAGGCACGGGGGGGAGGGATTAAATTAAATTAACTGTGTAAACGCCATGGTCTTGGATTTTGGGGAAAAGATGCCGATTGAACACGAGATATACGATGGAGATGTTCGGTCTGGGGCTGTTGGCTAAGTTTTTTTCGGCCTTGGCGGGAGACTACCTCAATAGTCTATCTATCTGGCATTGGTCCTGGCCCCCATCCCAGGTTCACCAGGGGTGCGTACCGCCGTACCGTTGTAATTAGCCTCGCCGGTGGATCTCGACAGGAACGCAGGGTTTCAGGGACATTGTTGACAGTTCTTCTGGCTCTCTGCTGCACTAGTTGTTTACAGTTGGCTGCCTAATGAAGGGCAAGACCTTTTATATTTTCATTCATCACGAACATATCGGACCGGAATAGGGCAGTTGAGGAATGGACATCCCGTCCAGCGAGGCTACTCGACTTCCGGGATGTTGCCAGGGTGGCCGACAGTAGCTGAGAACACGAAGAGCGCCCTGGAATCATTTTCAGTTCGCACTGGAAATGGAGGTAAAACTAACCGAAATCGATGGCTCGAGAACAGCCAAGCTTTGGGTGGCCCTATCAGGGAACCGTCCCCAAGGGCCAGGTGGGTCGTCGAGGCTTAGCCCACTAGCCCAGCCAGCCATCGATCGAAGCCGCAGCCTTTGCTTTTTGCACTTTTGCACTGGTGATGACTGCCAATTTCCTCGGAGGGGCCGGAGTCCGTCCGGAAGCCGACTGGATAGGGATCAGCCCTACTATCTACTTTGTAGAGGCTAGATAGATAGAGCCTCTGCCAGACTGCCCGTGACGGTCGACTCCACTCTTTTTTGCCCCCTCCCACGCACGGAAATCGTTTAGGCTCCGGAATCCTGCGATCCCTATGCAGTGAGTGCTGGTCTCGTGCACGCGTAATTCCCCTAATTTCCCTCGGCCATGGCTCATCCACCTAGCTCCTTAGCTGCTGCTGCTGGGCTGACTCTCCCGACCAGGATCTACGTAAACCCTGGGCGGACAACCCCTATTGGCCCTGGACCCCGTTGATCTACTTATAAGAACAAGTCATGCCCCTCCGTCACGGCGCGCGAGGCCCATCCTGGCCCGGCCGTCGATGTTTCCTGCCAACGTCATCCGTGCAGGCAGAAGCAATTCTTCTGCCGGGGAGACAGACCAGACCTAAACCCCCGAGACTGCCCATGCTGGCTCCCTCGATCCCTCAACCGCAAACATGGCCTGGGATGAATTCCACCAGCAGAACATGAGCGTCTTCGCAGCTCTGCGGACCCTACGGGGAATCCGCATCCTCCTCGGGGGCATCGCAGCCATGGCCATCCTGTCGACCTTCTGGCTGCTCTCGTCCACCTCAACCACCTCCCAAGCCCTAGGGTTCGGCCACGAACGGAAGATCATCCACCATTCCCCCGAGACAGACATCATCCTCGTCACCGACGTCTCCGAATACTTCGCCGACATCCCGATCGAGAAGCCCTTCAAGATGAAATACGGCGAACTCGGTCGCCGCAACCGACTCATGGCCAAATGGCTCTCCCTCGCCGCCGCATCCCAAGACCCGACGACCCAAATCTACCTCGACGCTGTCGAACGCATCTGCATCACCCAATACATCTTCCTTAAGAACCCCCAAAACACCACCTCCCAACACCCCGTCGCCGACCTCCGCGCCACCTTCACCCGGGGCTCAGCCGGAATCGTCATCCCAACCAGCGACAAAACCCTGCGATACGCAGCACACCTCATCGGCTCGCTGCGCACCGTTCTCGCCTCCACCCTCCCCATCCAGGTCGTCTACGCAGGCGATAGCGACCTCTCCGCAACCAGCCGCGCCCACCTGGCCAGCCTATCCGGCACAGGCCCGGCCATCGAATTCCTCAACATCCTCACCATCTTTGACGACACGACCCTCCAACTGCAAAGCGGCGGATGGGCCATCAAGGCCTTCGCGGCGCTGGGCTCGCACTTCGAAACGGTGATCCTCGCCGACGCAGACGCCGTCTTCCTCCAACCCCCCGAGGTCCTGCTACAGCATCCCGCGGTCGTACAAAAGGGTGCCCTCCTCTTCCACGACCGTCTCCTCTGGCAATACGCCTTCGCAGACCGCCACGACTGGTGGCACTCTCAAATCCTACACCCCAGCCCCGAAATGAACGCGTCGCTGGTCTGGACGCAGCAGTACGCCGAGGAGGCGGACTCCGGCCTCGTGGTGCTGAACAAGGGCCGCCCCGATACCTTCATGGGTCTGCTGCATATCTGCTGGCAGAACTCGTATGAGGTGCGTGAGGAGACCACGTACAAGATCACCCACGGCGATAAGGAGAGCTGGTGGTTGGGGCTGGAGCTGGCCGGCGCCCAGTACGAGTTCTCCAAGCATTATGGCGGTATTGTCGGGTGGGAGGATGTGGATGATGAGGGGAGGAATGGCGTGTGCAGTTTTGTTATTGCGCATGTCGATGCCAAAAATCGGCTGTTGTGGTATAATGGCAGTCTGCTGAAGAATAAGGGGCAGAGCGATATGGAGTTTGTTTATCAGGTTCCTGAGAAGTGGATGATTGATGCCCAGTGGGTGAAGGGGGCCAGGAAGCAGGATCATAGTTGTATGGTTGGGGGTGAGGTGAGGAGTCTCACGGCTGATGAGTTTGGTGTTTTGACTCGCTCGATTGAGCTGGCGAAGACGATTGATGAGTTGGTGTATCCGGTTTGAAGACTCTTTCAGTTTCCGAAGTGAGATCTTTTTTTTTCGCATGCCCACGCTGGCCAGCATGGTTTGTGGAGGATGGTATCGAGGGTTTCATGTTCCAGTGCGCCCATTAAGGGCTCCGGCTGCCCTTCCCTCCCGTCCGAGGGGAACTGCGGCATCCTCCTCGAATGCAGCCTTGACTACAGCAGAGCAGAGCAGCAACCCAACTTCCATATCATACGAAGAACCGATGGATGCATCGGAGCAGCCATACACCATTTGTACATAGGACAAACATACCTAGAATAGCGACTCATTGCCTTTTGCGCAGCCGACGAATTTCATTTCAAGCCCATTCAATTTATATTTGACATTCATCTCACCAGTCACTGTCGTGAGGCCTCACATTCAATGGTTGAAAACTTACTCGTCTTTGTTGTCACTTCACTAACTCTGTCCCGGTTGATAAAACCCGATCATCCACCGACTCCCCAATCTCTTCTTCCTTCTCTCCTTTCTACCCCTCCCAGCTTCCATGCATTCAGCGATCAATACTCGATAATCATTGCTTTTCCAACAGTCAATCTAATTACAGATTTTCTTGATCTGGTCATCCAGAAACTCAGCAGGACCAGTGGATAACCATTCCAATATAACCCATGTTCCCATGGGTCATACACTCCGAATCCCAGCACATGAAAGCTTCAAATAATAATAAAGAGCTATAAAATTGTATATTACATCACAGACACAGGTCTGCGCCGGTCTTGAGTATGGGAAAAAAAAAAAAAAAAAAAAAAAAAGATGTCACCATGACACCGGTGCCTGTCTCCCAATTATGCCTATATTCCCCCTGGTAACTCGTCGGGAAATTCCAATCAACACACATCATCAGTCATGAATCAAAACCCCGTGGTTAATTAATTTAGGAGAGAACTGCAAGTCTCGAATGGGTGGGGGTTTTGCTACCAGCACTGTTTCTGCTGCAGTTGCTGTTTCTTTCAAATACTGTCAGCTACGACCGATGGATGGGTTGCAAACACCAGCAATCGAAGATTCAAGAACAGGTGACAATAAGGAAGTTGATTTACCAAATAACAATCCCAAAGGCCAATCAAAGGCTTCAAATCAACCACTCCGACGCTCTGCACGTCTCAAGAAGCCAAGTTTAAAACTTCGCGAGCATTTGCAGTCACATGCTGCGATTCTTCAAGCCGATCCCGATCTTCGCGAGGACCTCGGCTTTGCCGAATCCCTGCAACAACCGCATGTTGCAAATACTTTATTTGACTTGATGGCCAACGCTGCCGACATGGATACTTTAAACATTATCGCGGCCCGAGATGTGGTCTTTCATGAGAAGCCTATCTCAACCCTTCCACCCCCGATTGTTGAATACGAGCTAGACAACGCTTCCACCAATCCTCCGGTCGTCGATCGATCAAGGTGTTGAACAACGTCGTTATACTCCTCCAGAGTTCTTGCACATGCGAGACGCTCAGCCCGATACTACTACTGATTCCAACAAGCCCGCTGCCGCTGATCCACCAATCACATCTCGAATCGCTAGGCCGCAGACTGGGCTCGGTCGGTGCTGACAAGGCACATTGTCTGACTTGGATGTCTTGGGAAGCCATATCTTTCTCTTAAACGATGTAACCATCACCGCCATCACACCTTCTGATCAAGATAATAACAGTGCCCACGGAGCTCATTTGCTCCTCAGCACCTGGTCTTGGTGTTTTGGTCTTACCCAACTATACAAAATTAGACCAACCACTGTTTATAGACATGTTGGTCTCTCTGCGGTAGAGAGCAGAGAGCTTCACCCGATCACGACATTTCTTGGTTTGTGTCCGAAGTCTTCTACCGCACATCTAACACCAACGGGCATAAAGTAGCACGGTATGACCTCCGTGTGGGCTTACCATATTCAGAGCGATACAGATCACCCAGCATGCACAGCTCTTTATGCTCGTTGGGACGCTCCATAAGACTGGTCAGATACACTGGCAAGGCAATGTCAACGGTATGGGCAATGGCTGGAAGGCAAGTGCTTCAATGATACGAGATTCTCAGATTCAGTGCGGTTGTGACAGGATTCATAACCACTATAGACACTACACTCTACCAGCGAACGCTGGTGACTCTGGATTTTTTTTCAAGATGATACGATTGGAAGACGCCTGGAGCTTCGAAATTCCGAGAGAACCCTTACTGCGACAGCTAGGGGCAGAATCAATAATATAAGCAAGTACTCGAAGAGACAATGCGGCGAATACAAACGCTCATCCATGCGCGACCCGGTGCATCCGGTTCTTCCACGCTCGGGCAAAAATGAAACAGCGACATACTCCGCCCTGTATCTGAATCTGTCGGAGTCGAGCCCACGCCCGTTTACCCGCGTCCGCTGTCCCACGAACGAAAACAAAAAGGTCGTGCCCGGGATCGAACCGGGATTGCTGGAATCAGAATCCAGAGTGATGACCATTACACTACACAACCAATTGTTGATGATGTCCTCATTCTTTGGTTCTATAACACAAAAGTTTGAGTAAATAAATCCAATGACCCCATCAGCTTCATATCATAGCTCATATCTGTATTGTTATGCCATAGTCAATACATCTGGAGATATATCGTTACACAAATAAAACTACCACATACATCGGGTCCATTCTAGGTAGTATATTGGCAGTTATATCATATTTATCGGGATCGTGGGCGACAAAGCGCCCACAATGGGTATAGAATATATTCACACACCGATTTCTGGAACCTGTCATCGTAGACATCAAGGGCTACAGAATCAGTCGCAAAGCCGCACTCAATACATCGAGTCACCACCTCCAGGTCTACATAGAGTATACGAGGCTTGCTGTCCCCCAGCCACCGAAGGGACGGCCTGACATCCCCCGTTCAGGCCTAAAAAGCCGGGATCGGCCTCGTGCCGAGCAGAGACTCCATCATCGGGACGCCATACCAATCGCAAACGACTTCCGGCCCGCGTCTGGTTTCCGGGGAGAATATGGCCGCATATATCCTCCACTATCTGCCCAGTTGCCAGCCCAGACATGCTGGTCATCAGCGCTGAGGTTATGCCAGATGGGATGAGAAGACTCGCGATACTTGCCTCCGTGGGGTCTCGTGATCCTCCACGCCCTAGAAAGTCCCTCGGAAGATCCCCGCGGGCAGTGGCGTAGGGTCGCTCCTTAGCACCGGCTTTGTGTGCGAGGTATCCTGGAACGGCTGTCGGTGTCGGAATGGTTTCTAGCCATATGATCGGTGAAATGCGAACGCTTAGCTGAGGGTAATAGGGATGGGGATGGGGCGGGATGACGCGACCTGACTTAGCGGAGAAAGTCGACTCTCCGACTGTGTGCATTCACTGTCCAAACCCAGAACCAACACCCCGCTAGTAGAGATGGGCCCCGAGACTGCCGAGTCAAAAGTGAATCAGTCACCTTTGGAAAGAATTCCCGCGGCTTCGGAGTTGTGATGATTGGGTGCATATCACATTCCTGGTCTAACGGTTCAACCTGACAACCATGCCCGGGGAGGATATCTTTCCCTGGGTAAGAGCTGGCTTCGGTATTGGGAGTGCGACATTCACGGAGTACAGTAGCTATATTCGCTTTTGCTGAAAGCTAATACTAGTGCTGGAAGCGATGTCTTTCGCAGTTATCAGCTGTGCGTCATTTACCCATTGTCCGTGGGGATCGACAGTGGCGTCTCCAACACGTTGATGAAGCCTTACACCAAGTTTGGTTTTATATTTCACACGAGACTCCGAGTTGGCCGTCTTGGATATCCCAAGTATATTCTTTCTGGCGATTCGGGGCTAACGGTTGACTGGGCGCGACGGACAGCGACAGATGAAGATGAGACCAGGGTATTTACAAACCGGTGTGGTTACCCTCTTTGCCCTGTGGGAGTTGGGAACTTCTGCTGAGGACTATGTGTCCTAGACAGGTCACGAAGTACAAATACGAGTGTGTTCTAATTCGATGTGTCCGTCCAGTTACGTCCAGAGAACATGTTATGGGCCGTCGGAGCCAGCAATGGGTCTTGGATCCAAGGTCTTACTGCCAAGACATCAAGAAGCATCATTGGTCTAGTGGTAGAATTCATCGTTGCCATCGATGAGGCCCGTGTTCGATTCACGGATGATGCATCACCATTTGTTTTTTCTTTTTTTCTTTCTTGCTCCGCATTACCTACCATATTGAACGAAAGGTTGTACTATGGCAGTTCCTCCGTTGGAAAACACAAATGCCTCTTCCGATCCGCCCCCCACATCATTTCCTCCACCCGATCGATCTCCTTCAACGCGGCAGTAACCATCATCCGCGTGCTTCCAGGGGGGTACTCCGACTGGATGGCACGGAGGCCCCGCTCCCAGGTATGCCAGCATTTGAAACTGAATCCCGACCAAGGGGCCTCATACTCCTTGCGAAATCGTCGGTGCTTGCAGTTGTGCCAAATGCGCTCGGCGGCGTAGATAAACCATCTGCACGCACTTCGCACCTGGGGTTCGCATTTGTTGCGCCGGACAAGAGCATCCCGGCACATGTAGATTGGGAAAATGGAAAAGTCCAGCGGATGCCACTCATTCCCGGCGCCGTATTCTACGTCTGCCATCGCCGAGAGTTGCGCGAGAAAGGCATCCATGTTTTCAAAGTTGCGGAGCGCCTCGCAGTCATTATCGTTGTCGCCCCAGCCTGAATCAGTCTTAGCATTAACTCGCATAATAGACTAGCAGGGGGATGGACTTACCCGAATGCCACTCATCAACTACCCATATTCTCAATTCAGGGAGCCCGGTCCAGTACTTTGCAAACCCCGGATCGAACCAGATAGACTCCCCCGTCACTGGGTGCCTCAGGTCGAGCTTTTGCAACTGCATTAGGAAATCCAATAGTCTGGCATGGTGGGAAGGTGCGTTGTCCATCACTATTTCCATCAAGGTTTCCACTACGCCATAGGCATGGATATAATGAAGCTCATGTGGGGCCGGGCCGTCGAGAGATGTGTAACTGTAACCAATATCGACTATTTTCTGTATGGCCTCAGATACGGAGGTATCTGGGTTTTCGAACAAGTCACGCACGATTCGGCCCTCTTCGGTTTCCCTAGAAGGGACATAGTCGTCGGGGGGGGCACATGATGAGCTCTGTAATGCTATTTGAAACGGTAGATAAAGGGATAGCAGAAAGTGAATCGGCGAGTAAAACGATATTGGTCGGGCAAAAAGAAACCCTCAGACTGAATGAAAAGACGGGTTCTTTTCGGGGCGAAATGCTGCCAGGAGCTTCTACGGAGACATGAAAGGGGATTTCTTCCGTTGTGAGGTGGCCATGGAGGTAAAAGGAGATCTCCCCAGCCAGTTTGCTAAAGGACAGCTTGACTGTTTTTGCCGGGTTGACAGTCTGCCAATATGAAATCAGAACGCCATGGACAGGAAGATGCAGCCTCCTTAAAATTTTGAAAATAAATTTCTTTCCACCAGTGCCTTGTATGAGTATCCCCTCTGGTCCGATGCAGTCTATCGCGCAGGTAAATCTCCCCCATTTTGCCCCATTTGATAAACAGTCGGGAATGTGGCTTAGCTGAATGCATTTGCAAATCCGCAAACAAAAGGACGATTCCGAGTGGTGGTGAATAGGAATTGGAAGTACATGGGTGCGATGTATCATCCACTCGGTGACAGATCGAAGTATCAGAGATGGAAAGACATCGAGAGCACCGATGGTGGAAAGACAAACGCCTATTGCGAGCCCTCAAGTGGCAGCAAGGGCAAAGGCAAGGGAACGAGCAATTGGCAAGCGAAATGGGGGTTGCATAATGGGAAAGGGCATTGGGCGAGGACGGATCCGGTTGCTTGAGGCAGCCAGAGATCCAAGGCCGGTACCATGACAGCAGTTGTGCAGTTTTCGTGAGGGTTCCAATAGATTTCTTTGTCTGTCTTTGTCTTGTTGGGTTGGATTGTTTACTTAGAACCTGATTACCGAATGAATGTATTGGTGTTTATGTCGGTCACCTCCAAGAGCCCATCATTGAGGGCTTACCCAAACCGGCTAGCGTGGCTGCAGCTCCGACCCTAACCGGACCCGGTTACTCCCGACCGGTCGCATCGTGGACCCGGATTTCCCCGCACCGACTTGCTGGCATCAAATCGATTGACCATCTTCATTCTCGATGGAAAGGTATGGCTGTTAGCAGCAACACACGCCTGTGATCCATCGCCTTAGTCGCGAATTCATACGCTGAACTGCCTCCAATTGCCTCCAATTGCCTCCAATTGCCGCCATCTGCCGAGCGATAGATAGCCATCAACCAAAGAACTGGAGACAACGCGCCCGAGACCAAGATGAATGGACAATGCAGTCAGTCCAGCCTGTCATCTCCGCGTGGGAAATATCTATCCATCGGCCTGGTCATGGGCCTGGAACCTCTTCCCCATGGGACACGGAACTCTACCACCGCGGAACGGGCATCACAGACGCCGTTCCCAGGACTCATGAAGTAGGCATGACCTCATCCCACACGTATGCAATACACACACGCCAATCGAAGCGATGCGATGAACGTCCATACCAAGATCTCCCGGAACGTAAATTATCGATGTCCCAGGGATTGGAATCGATGCCGGTGTTATAAGCGCGCAGCTACCCCGGCTGCTTGATGGCCAGAGCACGTCTGATTCGAACAAACATCATCTATTGCGACCGTCCCAACTAACACCTTTCCGAGCCAAGATGGTTAAGAACTTGGTCAGTGGTTCTCGAAGGGAATGCTCACAGATCATGCTGATGGAACGTGCAGACTTTCGATGTCCGCTACGACAATGAGCTAGCTCATGAATACTACGGCGAGGGAAGCAAGCTCGCGGCCACGTATGTGGCATCTCCGGGTCCCTGAAGAAGAAGTCGGCGTGCTGATGAAGGCATCACTCATTCCAGAATCCGGCAGACCTACCATGATAGAGACCTGGAAGTCCCCGACGAATATGATTCCACGCTGACCACTCCGCCCATCCACTTCATGTCGTATGCGTGCCTGAATATCTGTCTTTGCTTTTGGCGGCAATTGCTAACGCACCCAGGGTCTCTGCCCCAGACACGGTGGATGTAGATAATTTGAAAGGCGTCCAGGTCCCGCCAGGATTGAACATCGAGATCTTGGATTTCGACATGTAAATAGGCATGGTTGTATGCCGCTGGGATCCAAAATTCAATCAAACGGATGACGGGCGGGGACCGAACTCGGCGGCCACACAACTCTAAGTTTATATATATAGATATATATGTATATATATATACTTGGAAAATGAAATGCCCAGTATGGTGGATAGGTAGTACCTCTTAAGAAATTAATTTCGGCCAGTCGGCATCTGGGCCCCCCGAAACCCCGACCGTAGCGGCGATCGGCTCCTCGTCCACTTCTGTCAAACCCAGTATCATTCGGTATCACGCCTACTGAGGTGTCTGGAACACCTTTTTAGCCGAGTGGTCTTTTTGGTCTGTCAACTTCCCCTGCTCAACAACTCCCACACACCCCCCAAATGGCATCCACCTCATCATCAACCCCTGGCCCCGCCTATCCCGTGTCCAAGCGACGCAAGACGCGTAAAGGCACCTTCTCCTGCTGGGAATGCAAACACCGGAAGAGACGATGCAAGTTCGAGCCGCCCTCCAGCCCCATTTGCGTCTACTGCCAGTCGCACGGATCCCCGTGCATCAGCCAGGAACATGCAGACCCAAGAAGCGGCAGCGAGGCGAATATTCAGCATCGCATGGTTCACGTCGAGGCTCTCGTCAGCCAGTTGATCCAACAGAGAAACCGCAGCTGCCAACCCCACCCGTCCCAGGAATTGATTCCAGCGCAGCATTGCAGGCCCGCGCCCCATGAAAGAATCGAAAGCGACATACAAGGACTTCTGTCGGCTGTAACTGATGGTCCGGATCTGACGAACCGTTTCCAGCAGCTTAGCGGCAGCCTTCGGGCGCTACTCCCACACCCCCATGTGGCCGTACTGATACTGAGCAAAGGAGGGTTCTTCAGCCTTCCCTTTCAGACGCTTATTCCTTCACGAAAACGACCATCTTCCACCATCGCGAACGTGGAACACCCTGAGACTGATCCCGGGCTACCAATTACCGCATCTCACCCGATCCATTTGGCCCGAAAACTCATCCAACTAGCGCTTGGTTTACAGCAACTGCAGTTCACCCCATCCGACCACCCAGAGCTACAGCTCAAGGACTCTACCACAGAAACCTCGCGACGATACCTAGAACTCGCGTCCTGTCACGTAACATCCCAGGACATTCTGATCGACTCCGTCGATGGGCTGGACACCCTGCTCCTGGAAGCCCGCTACCACATCAACTCAGGGAATCTGCGCGCAGCATGGCTGATATTCCGCCGTGCACTGAGCATAGCCGAAACCATCGGCCTGTCCCAGCGGAATGAGAAGGCGAGCAGTCGCGCGAAATTTGTCTGGTCCCAACTCGTATTCAACGATCGCTTTCTATCGCTGATGCTTGGTCTTCCGGTCGCCGTGAACAACCCTGGCTTTTCCAGCGAGCAGACGTTGGATACGTATCCGCCCTTCAGGAAGTTGGACCGCTTGCATTGCGTGATAGCAGGCCGGATTATTGCTCGGAATATGCGTATGCGACGTTGCGATCTACCTGGCCAGGAGACCTTGGAGAACGCATATGATGACTATGCGGTGACGCGGGATATCGATTCAGAGCTGAAGAAGGTGGCCCGGTCGGTGCCTGTTGGTTGCTGGGAGATTCCTACGACTGAGGATGCATTGTTGGATACGGACAAGATGGACAGAATCTCCAGGCTCTTTACGCAAATGCACCAGTATTACCTTCTGGTTGTCCTTCACCAGCCGTACATACTGCGGCATCGGGGTCATCATGTAGACGTCGCGACAGCGTCTTCACAACGACCAGATTATGCATACAGCAAACAGGCTGTCCCCCCTGCCTGTCGCGAGGTACTCACTCGCTGTCTCGCATTCCGCAACATCCGCCCTGTCCTTTCTTATCGAGGACTTCAGCACAAGGCCTTCACCGCAGCAGTGGCACTTGTTTTGTCTCATATTGAAGGGCACCGTCTAGGCGCTTCCAACGTTCTGGAACATCAACGGCCCCATGATCTGGGGATCGTTCGAAAGGTAATCCAGACCTTGGACGAGCTGTGCTGTTCGAGTAATCCGAACCGATACATTGCGATCGAGACGAGCACGCAGCTGAACAAGCTCATGAGTATCGAGGCAGAGGCTGCGAATGGCATCGGATACGTTGTATATATCGAAGAAGAGGGTACTGGGACTGGAAGCACAAGGTCTGCAGTCGAGCCAGCCCTGAAATTACCCATGCCGTACTTCGGATCGATTTGCATTACGCGTGGGGATAGTTGGAGGCTGGAACCGGTACAGTCGCTACTTATGCAATCACCTGCTGCCGTCTACAATCCTAGCGATGAAGCCTTCCTTCAAAGTTCCCTTTTGCATGATGTGGCCCCCTCCGACTTGGGCATACGTGGATTTACTCCACCCGTCACATTTGGTCTGGATGATCCCACGATCGAGTTCCTCATGCTTCCTGACATACAAGCATCGCCACAGTCATTGTCCAAGACACCTCATCTGCAAGCGCCTGAGGACCGCACGAGGTGACATTCCTAACTTTGAAGATATATAGTTATTCCACAATGAAAGAGAATTCAATGAAAACTGTCTAACCACGCCCATCTACGCGAAAACATCCTCGTTCCAGCATCACCCCCCCCCCCTTCACCACCAAAACAACCCTACCCCCACCATCCCCGCCACTCACAAAACCGGCGTATCCGCAAAATCAAACCCCGTCAACGCCTGAAACCGTCCCCCGACGACCCTCTCCGCCAACCGCCTCATCTCCCCCTCCTCCCCACCCAACAGCTCCACCCCCAGACTCCCCAAATTCTCCTCCAACCTCTCCACCCTCCGGGTCCCCGGAATCGGAAACACATCATCCCCCTGCGCCAACAGCCACGCCAACGCCAACTGCGCCGTGGTAACACCTTTCTTCCTCGCCATCGCCGCAATCCGATCCACCACCGCCACATTCACCTCGATATTCCCCTCCCTCAGCCACGGCAGCACGCCCCTGGAATCCCCAGGCCCTGCAACATCCTCCCGTGACCGAATCCCACCACCCAGAACCCCATTTCCAAGCGGACTATACGCCACAACCGCGACGCCTAGCTCCCGCGCTACCTCGAGCAACCCCACACGCGGGGACTCGATCTCCCGGCAGAAGATGCTGTATTCGACTTGCACGCAGGTGATCGGGTGGATGGCGTGCGCGCGTCGCAGTGACTCTGCGCTGCATTCGCTTAATCCTAGGAAGCGGATCTTGCCCTCTTTCTTCAGCTGCACCATAGCTTCGATCGTCTTCTCGATCGGAGTGACTTTGTCTAGACGGTGGATGTAGTATAGATCCACGTATGGAAGGCCAAGACGGGTGAGGGATCTCTCCAACGCCGCGCGACAGTATTCTGGTGTCGAGTCCATCCAGTATTTCTTCCCCGTCTGGGTTCCTTCGGGGGCGGTGCAGATGCCGAATTTCGTCGCCAGGAAGATGTCTTCCCGCTTGGAGGGGTTCATGGCGAACCACTTGCCCAGTATGGCTTCGGAGTCGGTGTATTTGTCCGCTATTTATTTCCCCTGTTAGTCCGATGCAATCAGAGATTATTAGGGGAAGACGAAGGAACAATACCTGTGTCCCAGAACGTCTCGCCGCGATTATACACCTCATCCAGAAAGGTGAGGTGCTCTGTCTCCGAGAGAGGCGCGCCGTATGTGCCGCTGGCAGCCATGAGCCCTAAGCCGATGCGCGGGATCAGAGGGCCGTTTTTGCCGAGTGGGCGGGTGGGCAGGTTGTTGAGGCGGGGCATTGCGAGGAATAATTTGTAAAGCTTTAGTGATGCTCTTTCCAGTTCGATCGAATGCCAAACCCTTTGAACATCGACCCCTTTTATATCCCCAAAGACACCTCGCATCGCATCCGAACCGCTACAGAGCGATCTTTACGTCCGCCGCTAACTCCGCCGCTAACTCCGCCCTCATCTTGCCTTGCTCCTTATATTCAATACCGTTACAGCCCCAGCCCCAGCTCCAGCTCCCCCAACCAGTACACTCGGTGAATCATGCCACCGACAGCGCAGCCCCGTTGCACGAGGAGGGGTAAGCATAACACGAGGTGAGGTCTGGCCCATCCGGAGGCGGGGCGGAGGTGGTGAGGTCATCCTGAGCAACACAAGGTTTGTGCGACCACTTCCCCCCCCCCCCAAAGACTATAAAGCGGACATTCCGTCCAGCTTTAATCATCCAACCCGATCAGCTATCCCATCGTGGATGTGTGTGTGTGTGTCTAAGTGATCAGATTCAGGCTTCATCCAGGATGGTTCATCTGTCCACCGTCGCGAAGGAGTCGCACGCCCGCCGGCGCCAGCGCGAACAGCGCGATAAGGAGGCTTCTGCCGTCTCGCCGTACGTGTATGGCACGCGCTATGCGATCGAGGAGCTGCCGGAGCATGTCATGAGAGAGGAGGAGATGCCTGCGTCGGTCGTGTATCGCATGATCAAGGATGAGTTGAGTCTGGATGGGAATCCGCTGCTCAAGTATACATCCCCTGTCCCTGTGCCTGTCCTTGGGTGGGCTGGGCTGTGTCTGGACTGGAATAGGTTAGGACTGGAGTAAAGTAACGCTGTATAGCCTTGCGAGCTTCGTGACGACGTACATGGTAGACCTACCGGATCCCACCACCACCTGAAACAACCTTACTAACGGCACGCAGGAAGACGAGGTGCAACAACTCATGTCCGACGCGATGAGCAAAAACTTCATCGACTACGAACAATACCCGCAAACGGCACACATCCAAAACCGGTGCGTGAACATGATCGCGGGGCTTCTGCACGCGCCCACGGCCAACGAACCGCGCAACGAGCAAGACGCCATCGGCACCTCGACGGTGGGATCCTCGGAGGCGATCATGCTGGCGATGCTCGCGATGAAGAAGCGCTGGCAGAACCGGCGCAAAGCGGCGGGCAAGGACTGGTCGCGGCCCAACATCATCATGAACAGCGCGGTGCAGGTGTGCTGGGAGAAAGCGGCACGGTACTTCGAGGTCGAGGAGAAGTACGTCTATTGCACGGACGCGCGGTATGTCATCGATCCCAAGGAGGCGGTGGATCTGGTCGACGAGAATACCGTGGGCATCTGCGCGATCCTCGGGACCACGTATACCGGGCAGTATGAGGATGTGAAGGGCATCAATGAGTTGCTGCTGCAGAGGAACATCGACTGCCCGATTCACGTCGATGCCGCGAGTGGTGGGTTTGTGGTCCCGTTTGTGAGGCCGGAGCTGGTGTGGGACTTTAGGCTGGAGAAGGTCATTTCCATTAATGTCTCAGGGCATAAGTATGGGCTGGTGAGTGAGATAGGTCATAGTCGTGGGGGGGGGGGATGCGCTTTGGATGTCCTGGTGGAGACTGACTCACCGAGTGACAGGTTTACCCGGGCGTCGGATGGGTCTTCTGGCGCGCTCCCGAATACCTGCCCAGGGAGCTCATCTTCAACATCAACTACCTGGGCGCTGAGCAGGCTAGCTTCACCCTGAACTTCTCCAAGGGCGCCCCCCATATCATCGGCCAGTACTACCAGCTGATCCGGCTGGGGAAGCACGGGTACCGGGCCATCATGACCAATCTCACCCAGATCGCGGACCACCTGGCGGCGGAGCTGGCGAAGATGGGGTTCATCATTATGAGCGAGGGCGGCGGCCGGGGGCTGCCCCTGGTCGCGTACCGATTTCCGGAGCAGGAGGACCGGCTGTACGACGAATTCGCCCTGGCCCATGTGCTGCGTCGTCGGGGCTGGGTGATTCCGGCGTATACCATGGCGCCGAAGAGCAATCAGCTGAAGATGATGCGGATCGTGCTGCGCGAGGACTTCAGCATGCACCGCTGCAATCTCCTGGTGGAGGACATCCGATTGGCAATCAAGTCGCTGGAGGAAATGGACGCCAGCTTGATTGAGCGATATTCCCAGTATGTGACCTGTGAACCATTCCAGCGGACATATGTTACAGAAAAGAAGCAGAAAGACTGACACCGAGCAGCTACGTCCAGACACATGCCTCGCGCGGGCCCGAGGGCCATCCGGTGTACAGCAACGAGCAGCATTCGCTCCAAGGACAAACGGGAAAGACGCATGCGGTGTGTTGAGTGATTGATTGGGAACGCGGCGGGTCATGATTCTAATCGATTTGGATTATCTGTCTGCCTGCGACGGGTCACACAAACAACGGTCGACCGCGTTCGTGTCCTTATTTAGCCCAGATTGGAGGTGGGAAGGAAGCCTGGTATGGGAATTTGTCATTGTCATTTGCCAAGTCATCCACCCATCCTCCATACATCCATACATCCAGCTAGGTACAATATGCTTCCCCCTGAAAGCTGTCAGTGGTAAGAATCCAACGGATCCATGGTTGCTGGCACAGCCCGCAGATGCTGCTCCAACGAACTCGTGCCCCCCTCTTGTCAATGCAGCTGTCCGGGTCTGTCCGGATGCATCGGACACCCCTTACGTATAGCCTAACCGTGCCTGCGAGCGAGCACCATTAATGAATGCCGATGGGGGGGGCGAGTATCGGTAAGCCGCGTAGTGGTTTCCGCTTTCTACTCCCCGCCATGCAGAGGCTCCACCGTTCAGCTAATTATTTCCGATGAACTTGTCGAGGGGACGCAGGGAGGCGGCGGTGGCTTCCGCCCATCATAATGGATCATATGAGGCTGAGGTTCTTCCAAGGTTCATGGCCGTCTATGGTCGAACTCTGACATTGTTTGCATCGCTGGTGGCGTTGGAGCGGAAGGCTCCGACTGAGTGATACAAGTGTGGGACAGAGCGCCCTTCCGCCACCTTGTCTCGGATTCCGATTCACTCGATAGCAATGCCACCGGTGGTATCCTTGTCTGCCATGTCTTATTCCACATTAGACGACCTGTCATGTCCTGCTCGCACCGGTTGAGGTGGAGAAGGAATATGGGGGGGGGTTCTCCACCGCGTGACTCTCGCTGCAATTAGGGTTCGCATTAACGGTTTTCACTTCGTCTGGCACGCCTTCTTCCTGTTTCCTGCGGCCGGCCGCAGCTGATGCATCACATCCAGGCCATCAATAGTCGGATTCGCGATGCAGTAGTCAGAGTCTGACTATCAATAATGGAAGCCACCGGCACATACCCACTGCCCGGTTCTCAACCCGTCCAGCCCCAGGTCGTATCCGCAATATCAATCCCCCCTCCCGCGAGACACGATATCAACGGCGTCCTACCTACCTACCCTACTCAACCCTTACCCTGTACGAGCAACGCGAACCCTTAGCCTTTCATTTCCCATCCATCCATTGAACGCAGTCCCCAGCGCCTCATCCAAGCACTGAAGCCTAATCCTCCGAATTTGACCTTCTGACCGCTCCCAACTTACGCAATGGCGTTCATTCCCCTCGTAACTATCATCATTATTATTGTTATCATCAGTATTATTATTATTTTCTCCCGCCTGCCTGCTTCGCGCTGACAACTGTGCTGTGCGCACCTGCAAGCTCCCTCTGTCGTAGACCGGTATCGGTATTCTTTATATAGATCATATCTCCTGTCGAGTCAGCATGAAGCACTTGTCCTAATTCCCCGGTCTGACGGAGTACTTAGGTCGTTGTTTCCCGGCCTCCTCCGTGGCATAACAGTAGCAAGAAAAGTAAAGACACTCGTTTTTTCAGTCTTCCCCTGCCAGCTGCCAGACATCATGATGTCCTTCGCCTGGCTCCTCCTGGCCCTGGTTTACCAGGTCCAGGCCAAGGCCGTCTTCGCCCACTTCATGGTACCCCCCCTTTCCCCTGCTCACCACCCCCAATCCACCACGCACACACCTACTAACCCCCCCCCGCCCTTCTTCTACACCAGCTGGCCAACAGCGCCAATTTCACCAAAACACACTGGGAGGCCGACATCACGGCCGCCAAGGCAGCGCATATCGACGCCTTCGCTCTGAACACGGCCTACGGGGCAGCCAACGCGACGAAGCTCCTGAACGACGCCTTCGCGGTAGCCTCGGACCTCGACTTCAAACTATTCCTCTCCTTCGACTACTCGGCGGGCGGCTGGCCCGCGGACCAAGTAACCGACTGGCTGAAGAACTACACCACGCACCCAGCGTACTTCACCGACAGCACGACCAAGCACCCGTTGGTCTCGACCTTCGAGGGCTACCAAGCGACCGGCGACTGGAGCAGCATCAAAAGCAAAGTCAACGTGTCCCTGATCCCGGACTGGAGCACGAAGACGCCGGCGCAGCTGGCCGCGCTGTCGGTCGTGGACGGGCTGATGAGCTGGTCGGCGTGGCCGTACGGCAGCGACGCGATGAACACGACCTCGGATCAGGAATACATGACGGCGCTGAAGGCGCACAACAAGGCGTACATCATGCCGGTCAGCCCGTGGTTCTACACGGACATGGTGCGCTACGACAAGAACTGGGTGTGGCAGGGCGATGACCTGTGGTACACGCGCTGGCAGCAGGTCATCCAGCTGCAGCCCGAGTACGTCGAGATCATCACCTGGAACGACTTCGGCGAGTCGCACTACATCGGCCCCTTGCATGAGAACGAGCTCGGCATCTTCCAGTACGGCGGCTCGCCCTTCAACTACGCCGAGAACTACCCGCACGATGGCTGGCGCCTCACCCTGCCGTATGTCATCGATCAGTTCAAGAATGGCTCCGCAGAGGTCGAGGACGAGGGCGTCGTCGTCTGGTATCGTCTCACCCCCGGCAGCGCCTGTCCCGCCGGCCAGACGACCGGAAACACCGAGAGTCAGAACCAGAACACCATGCCCCCCGGCGATGTGTTGCTGGATAAGGTGTTTTTCTCGGCCCTGCTGGACGAGGAGGCCGATGTGGCGGTCAGTATTGGCGGCAAGAATCAGACGGTCCAGTGGGGGGAGACGCCCAAGGGCGGAAAGGGCGTCTATCATGGGAATCTCGATATGGATAATCGCACCGGCGAGGTCGTGGTCACGCTGTCGAGGGATGGGAAGTTCGTGGCCCAGGTCACTGGGGAGAGTATTACCAAGGACTGTCCGCATAAGTTGACGAATTGGAATGCCTGGGTCGGCAGCTCCTCGACGAATATCAGTGGGAATGCCAGCACCTCGCGCGCGTCGTTGGATAAGTCCGGGGCGGGCTCGAGTCGCGGGGTCACTGGCTTGCTGGTCGTGCTGGGGCTTTGGATGTTCTGGATTGCGCTATGAGTGGGTTATATTGGATGAGGTGGGTCGGGATGGGATGGATGGATGGATGGATGGATGGGAAGGAATGTGGGTAGAGTTGGAGTTACGCGAGTACATACTTACATACTATCTATTCTATGATAATATCTAATACCTCGTATCTCGCCTGCCATGTCAAATGTCAGAATGTCCCCATTCTCGGTTAACCAAAGGGGTAGCTTTCCTTGAAGCGGGTCCAACCGCCAGGAGACCGACCGGAAATAGGGCTTCGGGCTGGCTCTCGTCTGGTCTCTGGCAACCTCGTCCAGGCTAAGCGAGACCGGTTGCCGGATGCGGAAATCTCAAAGACCAGACCCTGTCGGGGTCCCCGAGGGCCGTGCAGCTGCCAGCAACCAGACTGAAAGGCCGATAAGGTTCGGGCGACTTGTGGTTCGGTTCGCTTTGGCCAACTGGTTCTTCGTGCTGATGGGTGGAGGCTGCGGCCGGATTGCCGCCGGGGACCATTATCCCATCCCCTGATGGGCCCGACTGCGATCCTGGGGAGGGTCAGCGGGCTAGATCCTCGGGTGTGCGGTGCTAATATCATACTAATCACGAATCACAATATGGGGTCGGGATTGCGATCGGGGTCTGAACTGGTCTGAACTGGCCTCGGTGGGGGCTGTCGGGATCTGGGGATAACGGCCAGAGATATGGGGAAGGCCCACGGCCGATCTGTTGATCTGGACGCTTGTCGTCGGAATTCACGGAAATATCAGGATTCCCCAGGGATGGTGAACGAGATTGCTGAACAATCTATGCCAAGTCTACAGTTCTTGGGAGAGCACAGCCGGCAGTCTGGGGTGAGGTGAAGACAAAGAAAAGTCTGAGTCTGCAGCCATACGATGGCCATCGGTCTGGTATATAGCTGGTGGTCTACAGACGCAGGGACAGGAAGGAATGATCACAAGTCCGTAGACATCCAGGCAGATGGATCGGCAATCTCCAGACAGCGGCTAAATGGCTAATTGGCTTCAGAGGGTCGAGCCTGTCAAAGCTAACGTGGGTCATCCCCCATCCTCGGTATGGGTATAGCGATAAGTTGCCCTAACGGGAAAACACTTCTCTGACACTGACAGATGGGGACGGAACGGTTCGACCGGGACAAGATTCCGTTCCCCTATCAGCCCATATCAAGTCTGGAAGCGAGGCTTTGCTCGCGCGGCTCCTCCATTCACCAGCCTGGCTTTCAAGTCCATGACGCATCGACCAAACCTTGCTCGCCACCGGCCGGCGACGCCGACCCCATGCCACAATCTGGGGCCGTCCAGTCCACCGCGACTGCACGGGCTAGACGCGGCTAAGCTGGGTGACAGCTCCTGTGGACTCTGTCTATCTTTCGCGGCCGGGGCGGAGCCGAGCGCCCTGTGGCAACGACCGCCTAGACTTTGGCCCTGAAGCCTGCAGAACTCAACCCGCGATATACTCTCGCGCCAGGGCAAGTATAAAGCTGCCCTGAACCCTGCCCTGGGCTGGTCAGGAGAAGTCAACTCTCAATCACGCATATTCCCCCCCCACGGAGACAGACCATCGGATTATGTTAAGACTATAACATCCTCACTTCTTCACAAGAACACCAACCATCACAATGGCCACCACCGAAGGCCTCTCCCTCCCTCCTGCCCTGCTGCGCCAGGCCTCCCGCACCAACATGCGCGTTCCCCCGATTGCGCGCCGCTCCGTGTCTCCCTCCATCTGCCGCATGGCCGTGCTCTCCCGCGACAAGCTGCAGAAAGAAGCCTCTACCAAGAGTCCAGACCTCCGTCGCTGTCTGGCGCACCACCGACTGCTTAGCCAGTCGATCGAGGCGGCGCAGAAGGATGTGAATAAGCGTCTTGCCATGTTCGGGCTGGATGATGATGACACACCCATCTCCTCCTCCTCCTCCTCCTCCTCCTCCTCCTCCTCCTCTTCTTCTTCTTCTTCAACAACCACCACTTCTACACCCAACGAACCCCCCATCACCGCGATCCGAGAACAAATCACCAGCGCCGTAAAAGCAATGATCAGGCGTCGCACAGCCGAGACCACCTCCCCCACAAAGTCCGACCAGCTGGCCCGGGTATCCTCCAACAGCGAGGCCGTCGTGGGGACAGCAGAGAAGCAGCACATCGTTGTGAACACGAAGAAGAGCCGGAAGTACACCCCGCGGGTGGTGTTCGGGCGGTGCCGCGGGCCGCTGTACGGGCTGCAGGCCGGGGTGGTGAGCTGACAGGGACGGGCGTCAAGATGTCTGTCCAGGTGGAAGAAGCATCTTGATTGATTGAGTGGTGGCCATCAACTGGCTGCCCCGGGTATATACTGCATCCCGACGACTTTGCTGCTGCTGATTCTGTGGCCACGACTTACGTTTGATACGATCCGTTCTTTTCATAATACCACTGTATATATTCATTCCTTCTGATGACTGCACTTTTCACACTACACTACACTATACGATACAATATAGTACACTGCATCATACAATATAGTATACTGCATCATACAATATCCATCATCCACAGACTACCTCTTCAAGAATCAGGCACTCCAAAGCAAATAGACAGTCCCCCACAGATTGATTGATAATCCCCAGCCTCACCAACCGCCATCAAGACATGCAGCCCCGATCCGGAAATGATCACCGCTTCACCAAATGCACCAATCATCCACCCCCAGACCAGCCCCACCCGACCTCCCACCCAATCAAATCCCCCCCCCCCCTGCGCCCCTTCCAACCAACTGGTCAGCCCGCGACTGGATAATATCTGTTCAGCCTCACTCACTCACCGCATCCCTATATAAACATCCAACATTGAACAATTCTCCACCCCACCCCTCCTCTATCTATCTATCCATCTATCTATATATATATATATATTCCTCCATGCCCACCCCAAAAGAGAAATAAACCAAAATGCCCCCCTGGATCCCCTCGCCCAATGGACTGCCGTGCAACTCCTCACGGCCAGCACCGTAGCCTTCACGTCTGCAGAGTCATCGCTCCGCCCTGCTGTGGCCGTGCTGGCCGCCGCTCTGGCCTGCGCCCTGCAACTCAGCGCAAAGACGTACCTCGCCGGGACGAGGATCAGTGGGCCGCTGGTCGCGACGTGTTGGATTGCGGTGCTGAATGCGGTGGATTTGTTGGTGTTGAGTCGGGTGGAGTTTCCTGGTGGTTATGGCCGGGGCCAGGAGAAGGGGCAGGAGCGGAGAGATGGAGAGGGGGAGAGAGAGGGAGAGAGACAGCACCATCTAACCCCCAACAACTCCAGAGCCCGCACAGGAACCGGAAAAAGCGACATCCTGGCTCGAATCGTCTGGTCCCTCAACACGACGCACAACTTCCGGCGCATCCAAACACCCCATCAGATCCGTTCCCTGCCGCCCTTCACCTCGTTCTTTCCCTCTCCCTTTTCCTCTCCCACCCCGAATGCGGATTCCATCGCCCCCCCCGGTCCCTCTTCCTCCTCACCTCCCTCACCCACCTCCTCATCTCCGGATATCTCATCCACCTCCTCACCCTCGAACCCAGCGACCCGTTCCTCGCCCACGCAGTGTCCCGACTCCCCGTCTCGCCACACGAGATCCTCCTCCCCTGGCTGAGTGCGGCGGACAGCGGAGCGCGAAATCTCCTGCTGAGGGCCCTCTTCACCCTCTCCTTCGGGGTGGTGGCCCGCGCGGCAATCGTCGCGGGCTATACGGCGGCCGCGGTGGTGGTGGTGGGGACGGGGGTGCAGGGGCCGGAGATGTGGCCGCCTGTTGATGGGGGGTCGTCTTGGGGTGGTCGCTTAGGCGGTTTTGGGGTATGTATTTTCCTTTTTTTTTTTTTTTTTTTTTTTTTTTCCTTTTCCTTCCTTCCTTCCCTATTCTTTTCTTTTCTTTTGTCAGAGGAGATTCATTGCCTAAATTTTATGATTCAGATAAACTGGATGGATATAGATATACTATAGCCACTTACTAACACCAACCAAACCCAGCCTATCCTGGCACCAAACCCTCCGCCAACCCCTCACCTCCAACGCCGACTTCCTGTCCGCCACCCTGCGCATCCCCCCCTCCTACCGGGGCCATTTCCGCCTCGTCTTCGCCTTCGCCGTCTCCGGCGTCGTGCATCTGCTCATGGACGTGGGGTTCGGCGTCCCCACGTCTGACAGCGGCGCGCTGTGGTTCTTTTGTCTGCAGGTTGGGGGCATCGCCCTCGAGACCCTTGTGTGGCGCGCTGGTGCGTCCCTGTGGCTGCGCGTTCCCCGGGGGGTCGGCCGCGCGGTCGGCTTTGTCTGGGTCGCCGGTTTCATGTTGTGGACGCTGCCCGTGTGGGTCAATCCGATTCTGGTGCAGTTGTTTGCTGATGGGGTGAGGATGATGTCGCCGTTTTTGGGCATGCGGGGATGGTGGGTTTGACTTTTTCTTTTCCTTTTGAATTGGGGGGGTTTGTTTTGGAGGGGTGAGGGGAGGGGAGGGGAGGGGGAGAGTGCATGTATATGTATTTTGTATTTGTATATGTATATGTATTTGGATATGTACATGTATATGTCTGATAAAAAGATAGAGCATGTCCGGGAGGGGTAGGGGTGGGTCAGGATACCCCCAGTTGGCCAAGCTGCGGTAGCAAAGCAATAGATATAGATAGATCCTACACCCCAGCACCCCAATCCACCCAACCAAACGTATTCAGCAGCTCGAGATGGGGATACTCCGCGCCCGCAAAATCCGGAATACCCATACTGACACTCCTGTCCTCGAACGCCGGCATGGGGCCGCACAGCGACGCAGGCATGCTGAGGATCCGGTCCAGCGATCGCTGCAGAATCGCCTTGATCTGCGTCCGGACCGCGCCATCCGACTCCCACGGACGCAGCCAGTCGAGGAACGCCACCAGCAGACTCAGATTCTGGATGATTTCGGACCGCGGGAGGTCCAGCGTGTAGGACTGTGGGTGGGAGGCTTGGCGGAGGAGCTCGAGGCAGAGGATGCCGCTGCAGGGGGCGGCGTAGGACATTGCCTGATCGATTTGTATATAGAGATACAGTTAGTTGGTGGTCGGGGTTGTTTGTGGGGAAATATTATGGGAACTGGAAAAGGGGACGGGGAACTAGGACTAGGATTAGGACTAGGACCTCACCAGCCAGGAAAAGTCATGATGGTTGACGAAGCGGTCCTTATGTTTCCAGAATATCAGCGTCAAGCCCAGCATCTCCTGGCTCACGTGGATGAGGGTCTGCTCGGTGACGACTTTGTGGCGCGTTAGCAGTCGTTCCAGGATGAACATGCTGAGGAGGAAGTCCAGCCGGACGAGGATCCGCAGGAACAGCACGGGGCCGGGGACGTCAGCGTCGTCGATGTACTCGTCTTTGAAGGTCAGGTCGTCGGGGAACTGCGCGAACATCTCGTGCGCCGAGGCTTTGAGCTGGCTGTAGATGGAGATATCGTTAGCATACCACACCACACACCACACACCACACTTGTGCACCCGCAACCAATACAGTAAAACACATACAAGCATTCCTGCACCGCCGACTCGGTAATACTATCCTGCGACGTCTCCAGGACCTCGAGGATCGCCTCGCGATTCTTCGCCAGCATCGCACGTGCGCGGAGCAGCGTCGTCGGATACAGCGTCCGCCCTGCGCTCCTATCCCAGCCATTCGCATCAAGGTGCGCCAGCGCCCCCGACAGCCCCGCCTCGGACATGATGTCCTCGTCGCTGATCTCCCTCGGCAGCTGGGTGGTCGAATACCGCCGATTCAGCAGCGGAGGCCTCCCCGTGAACGTCGAGATCACTTTATCGAAGTTGTAGATCGACGCATACAGCCGTCTCTTGATCTCATGCTGGAATGATACCTTGTCCCACTCGGAGGACATCTCGCGGTGTAGTCCGATGGATGTCGTTACGGCGATGACGTCGCCGTGTTGGCGCCAGAAGGAGAGGCCTGGAATGTAAATGTCAGCACAACTAACCCTACTTCACTCTTCAAACTTGTCCTTAAGAAGCGTCCCAAGAAGAAGAAGAAGAAGAAGAAGAAGAAGAAGAAGAAGAAGAAGAAGAAGAAGAAGAAGAAGCACCCACCCCTCCCCTCCCCTCAACCCCCTAAAAAGGAAAAGAAGAAAAGAAGAAGAAAAAGAAGAAGACTCACTCTTATCCCCACTCGCCATACTCTCCAAAATATTATGCTTATACGCCAAATGCACAAACAAGGCATTGACAGCCCCAATCTGACTACACAACTCCATACACATCGCGGCACAGCGCTTCAAATGCACCATCAGATCCCGACTCCCCGCCTTCACCCCCCGGCGAGCCCGATAGGCCCTACTCGCTTCGCTCTCCCCCCCGGGGGACATCAGCGCCGCCCCGGCAGACCAGTACGTGAACAGGGTGCCCAGGAACTCCCACCGCGTTTGCTTGCCGGAGAAGGACTCGACCCATCGGCGGGGGCTGTCGGAGGGGTGCAGGGGGGATAGACTTGCGATGGAGATGCGGTGGGCCATGGTTTGCAGGGGGGATGGGGTGGAGCTGGTTGTGGAGCTGGTTAGTTGGCTCCGGTACTCCGACCAAGTGAGATCCGAGCCGAGACGATAGGCAGGTCGGAGACAGGCGTCCATGAGCGGGGAGAGCTTCTCGAACAGACTGTCGCAGGTTTCTTGGTCCGGGATGTTTTGGAGGATCTGGACGCCGAGGTGGATGATTCGGGGCGGGATGGTGGGTTCATCTGGGGTTGGGGCTGCTGGGGGGTTGGACGAGGAGGTGGGGGGAGTGGTCGTGCCGACGGCGGAAGAGGATGTTCGCAACGCATCGTCTACCTCGAATCGATCGCGGTGTTCCACGAACACGGACGTGAAGCTCGTCGGTCCGAGGTACTCTGCTGAGCTTTCGACGATGGGGGTCGTTGATTCCGCGCCGGGACAGCACGTTTTGCTGCTTACCACTGCTGGATCTTGGTTGGGGTTGCTCGGAGGAGGCGCCTGTATTGGGATTGGAGAGGTTGTGGTGGTGGTGGTGGTGGAAGCCGGGGCAGGGATGCTCCGGGGCACTTTGGCCAGCGGGTTCGCCAGATAGATGCATTTCAGGGACAGTCGGTGACACCGTCGGCAGGAGGGCTGCTCGTGGTCGCAGGCGAGTTTGCGCAGGCGGCATGCTTCGCAGGCGGGTTCGCGGCCGTTCTTGCGCCGGAGGGGCGGCATGTAGTGGGTTGGGAGGGCGGAATTCGAGGAATGGAATCAAATGGATTGAGACGATGGTGATGGTGAGTGAGAGAGAGGCTTGGTGTTGATGTGGGCGGAGTCGGGATTGGTCTCGGGATCGGACTCGGAGTGGGATCGTGCATGGCAGCGGGTAGGATCGGGTGAACCTATCTAGATGATGGATGGGAAAGATTTGATGAAGTAGCCAGGACGTAAAAATATCAATTGCATAAGACGCGAGATGTCCATCTCTGCACCATGGAAAAAAAAAAAAAAAAAAAAAAGACTGAAGCAAAAGAAGAAGCAAAAAGAAATGACCAGACTGGGGCTCGATCCCAGGACCTTATCGGTGTTAACGATACGTGATAACCAACTACACCATCCGGCCAATTGATGAAGAGACCGTCTCTCTTACGCTATATGTCTTTTACAGTAACCGATTGCAAGGAACTGCATTTTATTGTCCACCGTTGGCGTTTCTATACAAATTGATTAATTGATTATGTTGGTCGTAGAGTTCCCGGTAAACAGTTGGGGTGGTTGCGCTCGCAGGAATTGAAGGACGATGGACGGACGGATATGATGATATATCCCGTTCTGGGCGGCATGGATCGGAGTTTAAACTACAACAGCATACTTTGACGCTTTTGTGGAAACATGGATATCTCAAGTGGCCAGATGGTCATCCAAATCATCTCCAAAAATGCCAGCAGTCCCAAACACCAGCTGCGCATCATAGCAAAAAACCATCCATGTGTGATCTCCCACAGAGTAAGACCAAGACCGAGACACCAGAACCATCACTCCAAACCATCCAAATAGTCTATTGGGTCTATCATGGCCATGAAGTCCGTGCAAAACACCAAATCTACCCGCCAGATTTACCCCCAGAAGACGCCGGCAATCCAGCACGTCCTGAGTCCCAACATACCAGGCCATAAATCGTCATCATCGTTAATATCATAAGTCAACACCCACATGGGCATCACGATCACCCAGGACAGTCCACCACGATCATTTATTCATGGTGATGATCCAGCTCCACCATAATAACCACCGACAACACAAATGTCGTCAGAATAATCTGCCAGGAAGTCAGCGTTGTTCTCTACCGTATCGGTCCACAAGGATACAATGCAAGACAAAGCAAAACCAGAGAAACAAAGAGCAACAGAAACAAAAGGAAAGAAAGAAAGAGAGAGAGAGAGAGAAACTTACAACCCCCACCAACCCCCCGATCAAATTCAGCTCCCACCCCCCCGCATACACCGTCCCCAGCGCCACGACAGTCTGCTGCTTCCAGAAGCGATACGCGCCCAGCGACGCAATCAGGATGGCCACGCTGTGACAGCCGACGGACAGGGGCACCCCGACCTCACTGTAGCCCAGGGCGGCGTCGGGGGAGGTGAGGTGCTGCAGGCGGAAGAGCTGGGCGATGAGCACGCCCTGCATGGCGACCATGACGGAGGTGCGGATGTAGGCGAGGAAGGTCCGTTCGAGGGCTGGATGGTTGGTTAGTATTGGTATCACGATTTTTGTATGTAGATGTTATTGGTCGTGGTGGTAAATATAAATGGCAGTAAATGCCATCCCCACGTGGAATCACGCCATTTGCACGGGCGGGGATTGGCGAATTGGGATATGCTCCGCAGTCCAGTCCAGTCCAGTCCAGCCAGCAATAAATAGTACTACCCACCCACCCATCTATACAGATGACCCGCATATGGCATCCTCGTCTACCCCATCGAATAGTATATGGAATGGAGTATCAAAAAAGAAAAGAAAAAAAAAAAAAACCACTCACCGAAATGATCCCGATTACTCTTCTGCGGCACCGTCAGCACGACATTCCGAGTCCAGAGACGGCAGATCCGCGCCCAGACGGCCCCGACCTTGCCCTCCCCTCGTCCCCTGCTTTGGTTGCTGGGAGCAGGGCGGGAGACGGTGCGCGTGGGTCGGACGCGGTACTCGCCTGACGAGATCGAGTCGGTGGAGTAGCCGGCCTCGTCGTCGGAGTGGGTGGCGATGGCGCGGAGTTCGAGGGCGTCGAGGTCGGGGTCGGGGCGTCGTGCTGCTGGTTGTGGGTGGGGGGTGGTGGTGGTACTGCTGGTGCAGGCCCCGGGTAGTGGTCGTGTCGATCGACCATTTCGATTTGTGATGGTGGGAGTTGAAGTGAGGTGAGGAGGGATGAAGAGGGATGAAGAGAGAGGGACTGGAAGAGGGACTCACCGCTGGCTGGAATCCGGGCGGCTACGGGGCTTGGTCTGTGTGACGAGTCGTCCCGCTTCGGGGGCATTCATGTCTGGACTTGGGGGATGTAGTAAAAGAACAACACTGACGCAATAACTCTCTCTTCCGAACAGACTGATGTCATCCAATGGAATATATTCAATTTCACCTTATCAATTTGACGCCACGCACAACCCCCAAACGCTCAATCCAACAGCACAACCGAAATCAACCCCCCCGCCCCCCATTCAATACACAGTAACCTAGTAAGTAACCCCCAGCCACTCCTCCTTCCTCTCCTCGAAAATTCCCATCTCCGGCGGCGACGGCTTGTCGAACAGCGACGCCTTCAGGAATGCCTTGCCGGGCTGTTTCGGCGTGACGGTCATGGCGGGGCTAGCCATCCGGTCAGTAAGGTATACCATTTCTTTCCCATATACAGGTGGTAAGGTGAACATATATATATACCTTCCGCAGTGGGAGCAGAATATGCGCTGTAGGGGGTTACATCGGTTAGTGACAAATGCACCGACGGTAAAATAAAAGCTGGATGATCCTGTCTACCTTGACCATATTCCCCGATGAAGGGTTGAGATACTCATAGGTCTTCAGAACATTCTTGGGGTCGGCGATGACCATATCGGATTCATTGACGAGGTAGTTCAGCGAGAAGGCTGGTTCAGGGTAGAGAGAGGTATATGTATCAGTTTATGTATATCTATATCTGGATCATCTGGGGGTAGTAGAGTTGGGAGTGGGGACGTACACCCTCCCCCCGCGCGCTTGCAGTTCGTGCTGCGGACGACACCGTATTAGCGGAAATCAAATCCCCAAATCCCCGGAATTTGGATCTGGAAGACCGGATTATTACCAGTGGCAGACGCTGGTCCCCTTGGGCTGTTGGGGGAGCGTGATGGAAACATTGCCGCAGTTGCAGTGGCCGGTGTAGGACATGATTGAGAGCACTTGATCTTATTACCGGCGAGTGGTGTATAGAGTATGGAGTATGGGGTGAAGACGATGCGAGGACGGCGGATTTAAGTAAGGCGGGCACAAAAGAGGGGCACACGGAAAGCGGAGGCCGTACGGAGTCCCTCCTGCCTATTTCGACGGCAGCTGCGGTCTGGAAATCGGTCTCCACCCGTGATTGATCATCAGGGACTGCACTGGCCAGGTGTCTGGCTTGGCTGGTGAGAGGTCGGGATTAACTATGCGATGAGGGCTATCCCGGAGCCGTGGTTGTGGTTGGGCCATTTGATCATAGGTTCATCGTAGATCGGTGATTAAGTCCTCATACTATGGATGGGCCTAATACAGGTCGGGACGGATGCAGCTATTGTAAATCAACATCATTATTCCTGAAATGCGAATCTGCTCTCCTCTGAAATATATTCCGCAGTATCGCGATAGTAACCATTATATGACCGGTCTCCGTACGCCCGGTTGTATCCCTCCTTGCGCGGGGCATTTTTAAAAACCGAACCATCCAAGACTCATCCGTCTCTTTGGCCCGGAATAACAACTTAACTGGCCATCTCGATAGGCTAGCCAGCTTTTTATAGCCCGGGGCTCGGCTTCGTGTGCGTTTCGACCGAATGGCAGGAGCGCCGGGGGGCAATTGGGGCTTCTCCGCTGCCTCTTCGATGATACATACGCATGTATATTTGATCCACGCACAGTTCCATCCTTGTGTTCGCGAAGTAAGCACAGTACGGGTCAAATTCTTCCTGTCCCCCAGAGCCACGGTTCCCGGGCTGGTCCCCACTGCGCTCAGCCACCTCGAGGTGGTCTACAGTATCCGTCTCCGTCACCGTTAAGCGGTAGTTAATCGGTCCACGTCTTCATCGTCACAACAGCAAAGCCCTCTTCCGCGCCGGCAACACTGCCGTAGACTGTGATGCGCGCGAGCCAGCCCGCCTCTACACCTATCCAGTGGACGACCACGGCCCGGTAGAAGCGGTGGAGATATTGGGACGCGCGCGCCAGGTGGAGCGCGTCGTTGATGTTGGTTATATGACAGGAGATATCGTGGAGAATCTCTGCGGGGAGGCTGAGAATGGAGGGCATGGTGTGGATATGCCGGTGGAGCTGCGTATATACCGGACCGGGCGAGTCTGGCCAGCTCGCTCATCGATCGCATCCTCGAGAGGAAAGTCTGGAAAGTTGTTGAAGACGGCGGCCCGCTGATTGGCAGACACCCGTCATGTGACCTGGCCAGGTGTCGAGTCTGCCTGAGGCTGCTTGAGGCTGCCTGAGGCTGCCGGATGCGGTCTGAATCTATCTTGCTGGGGAAGCAGCTGAATCTACGGAGTACCTGGTTGTGGGTGAGCATACCCTCTGTACAAGCTGTACAGAGGGGGTATACCTCGAAGCCACATGCGCTGACACGGCAATACTGACGGTTCAAGGAGTACTATACAAATCGAACCCGCCTATTCGTACGCTCCACCATCTACCTGTCCATTCTAACCCACGGACTTTTCTCCCCCAAAGCCGACTCTAACCGCCTGATAACAGGCACAACAAACCCCACTTGTCGAATCACGCCTGGCATTGTGATCCTGCAGTGCCGTCATGCCGCATGACCGCTCCGACATCGGCACTCGGGGCGGCCAGTAAGGAGCCTCGTCGGCGGACATATAAACTTGCGCTGGCAGCACTCGGCTGGTAAACACAACATTTTTGCGTTTATTCGTTCCAGCCAAGAAGAACATACCCGGGAACCATCTCTGCAGTTGGGCGATATTCGCCATCCTTAGGATCACATATCACCCACACCATGGCATCCACGCAGCCCAAAGACCATTGGTCTGCCGAGGTATACCTTCCATATCCCAGCATAACCATCTATCCCTCCCTCCCCTTCACCCCATTCTAACAGTAACATATTTACCAGGCCTACTCAACATCCGCCTCCTTCGTCCCCAAACTCACCCAAACCCTCCTGCGCTACCTCGCCCCCAACCGACCGACCGCATCCTCGACATCGGCTGCGGCGACGGCAAATTCACCGCGCTGTTCGTCCCCGCCATCGCGCACGTCCTGGGCGTCGACTCCTCGCCCGCCATGATCGCCGCCGCCAACGCCGACCACGGGAGCCCCAAGGCCGAGTTCCGCGTGCTGGATTGCTGTTTTCTGGACCGTGACGGGAATGTCACCCGCGGTGGGTGGGATAAAGTGTATGTTCTTTCTTTCTGTTTTCTTTTTCTTTTTCTTTCAGTTTCTAGTGATTTTTTTGATTTTTGATTTTGATTTGTTTTGTTGGGAGGGGTGTGGGTTGGTGGCTAATATAATATGACCACAAACAGGATCTCCAACGCCGCACTCCACTGGATCTTGCGGAACGAGGAGACGAGAATCTCCACGCTTCGGGGCATACACGCGAGTCTGAAGCCGGACGGTGTATTCGTGTTCGAGATGGGCGGGCACGGCAACGTGGCGGAGGTGCAGTCCGCACTGATTTATGCGCTGGTGCAGCGGGGGGTCCCCCTCGAGGAAGCCCGGGCGATCAACCCGTGGTTCTTCCCGTCGGTGAACTGGATGACGGCTGCGCTGGAGGGGATTGGGTTCCAGGTCGAGAAGATGGAGATGGAGGATCGGCCGACCAGGTTGACGGAGGAGGCGAATGGCGGGTTGGCGGGGTGGGTGCGGTTGATGGGGGCGCCGTTTCTCGAGGTTTTGCCCGAGGGGGAGAGGGAGGGGGTCGTGCGGCAGGTCTGCGAGGTGCTGCATACGGCGGTGACCAGGGTGGAGGATGGGAGTCAGTGGTTGGGGTATAAGCGGTTAAGGGGCATTGCGAGACGGGTTTAGATCAGGGGGGGTGTTTTTGTTGGACTATGGGGTCTGTTTTGGGGGTTGGATATTTTCTTTTAGATGAGTGGGTTTGTGGATAGTTTGATTAGGTATGGTACATATTTACTGGTGGTCGGCCCTCCGTTGCATCAGGATCGCGAGCGGGATGTCTTCCTCGTCGTAGAACTCGATGTCCTCTTCCACCCCGAAGTCGCGCAGTCGTTCGCCTTCGGAGTTTCGCCAGCCTTCCTCCCCGTCGGAGGAGGACTCGGTGCTGTATGACGGGGATTCCCCGGCGTTGCTCGAGTCGGGTTCGCTCTGGGGCTCGCTGAATCGATCGTGGAATCGCTTGCGACGCCGGACTTTCTGGTCCGCGGTCGGAACGGGTTCGGACAGCAGGCTGCCCTCGGTGTGTGTGAACGCTGCGCTGGGGTCGTTGCGGTAGTTCTTTTTGGCTGCCACGGGGATGCGATCCGGGTCGGGGGGTGGCCAGAATACGTTCGGGTCTGCTGAGGTTAGTGAGTGAGGCCAACGGAGTCCGATGTCGGAGACTGACCTTCGAACCCGTTCACTTCGAAATCCAGTCCCGTCTTGCGGTCGGATGTTCTGGCCAGGGGAGAGAACCAGGCGAGGATCTGACCCGTGTTAGTTTTCGAATAGAGCCTGCATATGTCCGACTCACGTTCCAGCTCCCGCCCATCCCCGCCTTGATATTGGACAAGATCCCGATGTCGTACGGAAACTCTTGCTTCTGGATGCGCACACGCACGCCCCCCGGGCCGGTCAGATAGCCGCCAAAGTGTCGAGCGCGGCGGACGAGCGTCTGATGTCTTTCGATCTCCCAATCTTCGATGGTCGTGGTGTTGATGCTCAGTGACCAGATGGTGCGGACGAACAGGATGACGAGAAAGAAAGTCGTGAAACTGTTCAACACCAGCAGGACAAACAGAAAGGCCATCTGCATGGCACTCGGACCCAGGTACTAATCACGTTAAGCATGGCCAGCCGTCGCGGTGACGGACTTACACTGGGGAGATTGCGAGACGCCCAGACGATGGACGCCCGCTCATACAGCAGAGTTTCCAGATAGGACATGCCGGTTACGGTGTAAAACAGGAACCGGATGAAGTGGGGGAGCGTGAAGTGCGAAACGCAATTCGACGTCCACGGGCAGTGGTGGTCCATCCTTGGGATACATCTGACCGGGTCAGCATGGATCGCGACCTGGAGGTTGGCTTGACACTCACCTCTGACAAGTCCGGCAGTGATGGGCCCTGGGAGGCTTGTATGCCTCGCATTTACGGCACCATCGGTGGCGACCACTGCGGTCGGCCTCCAGCTGGTTACTGTCTACCGGCCTCCAGTCCTTGGGGATGCGACCGGGGTCTACGGTGCAGGTGCGGTAGTAGCAGATCCAGATGCACAGGGCGAAGATGTTGATGCGCCACAGCTCGGTGTCGCGGAGGGGGGCCGGCTCGAAGTGGCGGAAGAAGTACTGCGAGCCGTAGGCGAGGAAGCTAATCAGGAAACATACTGAGGGAACGGCCAGCTGCGAGATGCGGAACGACGAGGTGGCCATGCTGGGATTGTTTTCAGACCCAGGCCGCCTTCGACCATGAGTTGTCGAGGGAAGAAGCAGCAGCAGAAGACAGAAGACAGGCTGATGCTGACAAGGCAGCCACCCGTGACCAGACCACGTGACCCGCCTCGGCCCGCTCACGTGCCGGGCGTGGAAATAACATCCCGCACTCTCCTTCCACCTTCTTCCACTTCCCTCCATCTCCATCGCATTTCCCCATCAGTTAACCCATCTTCTCCTGTCCAATAGATATAGTATACCACCACACTGGCTCTGACGGCCAGACAGCCAATCGCCCAATTGCCCTCGCGCGGAGGATGCCCATCGCGGCGCTCCCCCCAACCACCGTGCGGGCAATTGGCTCGGCGTCTGCCCTTTCCGATCCGTGCTCCGTCGTCAAGGAGCTGCTCGACAATGCGCTAGACGCGTCCGCCACCTCCGTGTTCATCGAGATATCCCAGAACACGGTGGATCTCATCCAGGTGAAAGACAATGGCCACGGAATTCCCTCCACGGACCACCCGTCCGTCTGCAAACGCACTTTCACCAGCAAAATCCAGACCGTCGAGGATCTGAGATCCGTCGGCGGGAAGTCTCTCGGCTTCCGGGGCGAGGCATTGGCTAGCGCAGCCGAGATGTCCGGGGGGTTGACGGTCGGCACCAGGGTGGAGGAGGAGGCGGTTGGCACGTCCGTGAGATACGGTCGGGATGGGGAGCTTCTGAGGTGACTCGCCTGGTACTCGGATGAGCCCTGCTGACCGGTTAGTACGAAGCATGTTCCGCACCCGGTGGGCACCAGTGTCCGGATCACAGACTTGTTCAAGCACATCCCGGTCCGCAGACAAACCGTACTGAAGAACACGGCGAAGACGCTGGTGAAGGTCAAGAAACTTGTGCAGGCATATGCTGTTGCTCAGCCGTCGAAGAGGCTGTCGCTGAGGGTCCTGAAAGCGAAGACTGAGAGTAGTAATTGGATGTACGCCCCGCAGAATGCCACTCTTCTCGATGCAGCTTTGAAAATCGTGGGCGCCGAGGTCGCTGCTGGCTGCCTGGTGAGGGAATGGCCGGGGTCTCGAGCAGGGAGCACGGCATTCCGGCTGGTGGCTCTTCTGCCAGACCCAGGATCCGGTACGTAGCGTCTCACCATTCGTCAGTGACAGAGGGATGCCTCTTAGACTGAAAAGGTGTCTGCACAACCTTCTAGCCAGGACGGTCCTTTTTCTGTTCGATACTATTCGGACTAGGCTAACGGGCCAGATCTTTCGAAAATCAATGCCTTGGGGCAATATATCAGCATCGATGGCAGGCCCCTATCCGCCACCCGAGGAATCGCCCAAGATATCGCGAAGTTGTATAAATCCTATATACGTTCGACTGCATCGAACCTCACGGATCCGTTTCTCTGCTTGCACGTGGTGTGTACGCAGGCAAGCTACGACGTCAATGTCGAACCGGCCAAGGATGACGTTCTCCTAGAAGAGCCGCAAGAGCTTCTCTCCATGGTGGAAGACCTCCTGTGTGAGGTGTACGGCGCACAAGCCGATCGCACCGAAAGGCAGGCCCCCAAAGTCAAGGAAAGAGTCACATATAAGAACCCATTCGACTTGCTTCTGGCGCGCAAAAGCCCGGGGAGACCTACCCAGTCTAGCAGCGGTGGGAATTTCACGTCGGCTCGTTTTGTCGCGCAGACCCCTGCTGCAAGCCCCGACAAGAGTGCCGAGAATCGCATCGGGCCGAGAGCCAATCCCTGGAAGAATTTCATTACACCCACAGTCCCGAATGGAGTGACATCGCGGGATGATGCACGTGTCACCAGTCCGATGAAGAGGAACTCAGACCTGCCATGTTCTTCAAGGTCGTTCTTCCCCAGTCCATCCGCGTCCAGCGCCAAAACCTCTCCTGCGTCTGCTACCCACTCACCCGGTATGCCGACATCGGGGTCTCCCATACAGACCAGGGCCTCGAGGGAACGAGATAGAGAGCGCTACGGGAATGGCTCTCTTGACACCTGGTTTGCAAAGACCACTCTTGTCTCCCTTTCGGCCGATAAACCTGGCGAGCCGGTGGAGCGTCCGCTGAACGAACTAGCGCATGAACGATTTGGTCCGCAGGGGCCTGTCAGTACACATGAGCAGAAACGATTTAGTCCTGAAGAGCCCGTCGGTACACAGAGTGTGTGTCATACCCCGACGCAGGATGCTGCTGTAGATCGCACTGCAGAACCAGAAGACATTGAACCAGAACTCCAACAGAGACACGCGGGCCAGCCTGTCCTCGAACGATGGTCAGCGCGGCTGCACCAACTGTCCAAGACTGCCCACGAAGGACTGCAGACTGCACTCGATTTCGAGAACCGCAAGCGAGATGCCATCCTTCTCTGGCGGGAGCAGCAGTCCAACCCCCATCTCAGCCGGTATCAGGCCGCCCGGGCTGCCCTTCAGCCGGCCGACGAGTCCAAACCCGTACTCAACCCCCACGATCCACGGTCGTACCTCATGCGCCAGCGGGCGCAAAACGAAGATCCCGGGACGGGGAAAGTCAAACGGATCAATACGAACAAGCTGCCACTCGAAAACATCCCCGACGGGTGGGAGCTGCATGACGTCGGTCTCAAGGCCGACCCCGCGCCCGCGACATTCCTCACCATCGCCAAGACGGATCTGTACGCGCGGTGCGGGGAGCAATCCGACGCATTTACGGCGGATGACGCAGGGCTGGTTGATCTCTGCCGCCGTCGGTTGACGAGCTTGATGAATGCCGATTTGCAATTTGATTTTTCGCATCTAGCGCGGCGCTTGGAGGAGTAGTACACAGGCTGTTTCATCGCATCTGCTGCATCAGTTTCTCATCGTGCATTGATTTACATCGTTGCACTTGTTCGCACTGCAATTCTTCTGCGTCATATTATCACGCATCATTAGCATCCCATTTTATACCCAGAATAGCAGAATAATGAAGCAAGTCCGGGAGTTGTACCCCGGAACGTCATCATCATGGCATCACGTTACATAATCCTGACATCAACCCCCCCCTATTTATAAACCCAATCCCTCCCAACTACAACATCGATTACAATTGTACACAGCCAAAAGCACAGCTCCTCAACCCATCACCACCACCCAGCAGGAGTACCACACACCACCCCCACAATGAACCTATCCGGGCCCGGTCCCTCGAGGACCGTGGACATCGACCCCTTCCACTACCAACCACAACCACCACACTACCCCCGTCGCCCACGCACATCAACCCCCGCCCCCTCACCAGCGACATCGGACTCCTCCGCTCGACCATCCTCCCCTCCTTCACCCTGCACACCACCCTCGACATCGCGGCCTTCATCGCCGCCAAAGCCACCAACCGCGCCGAGCTCAAGGACTGGGTCTGGCCCACCAGCCAGCTCCTCAACGCATGGTGGAGCGCCCTCGGCCACCAGATCTACCACCACCAACTCTCCCCGCAAACCGCCTGGTCGTCCCTCTCCTGGACCGACAAGGTGCTCCTCACCGCCGTCACCGCCTGGGCGACGCGCCTATTCGCGCGCATCGCCGCCCGCTCGCTTACCCGCGGAACAGACGACCCCCGCTACGAGCAGATGAAGAAGGCCGACCCGAAGGGCTTCTGGTTGAATGCGCTCTGGGGCCAGTATCTCCCCGAAGCGGCGGTGTTGACCCTCGTGTCGTTGCCGTTCACGGTGCCGTTTCGGGGCGAGGGCAGCTTGTTGAAGATGGATGGCGATGTCAGGGCCGTGGTGAGGGCGTTGGGCGTGGCAGCTTTTGGCGCCGGGTTTGCCCTCGAGGTCCTTGCTGATGAGCAGTTGAGGGGACATAAGGAGAGAAGGGGGACTGGGGATCTGTGTACCACGGGCGTGTGGAGTATTGTGCGGCATCCGAAGTGAGTATATTCATTCATATACCCTTTATTCCCCCACAACAAAATCATCCAAAAGAAATACAAATACCCATACTAATAATAATAATAACAATAAAAGCTACCTCGGCGACACCCTCGTACACATCTCCTTCAGCATCCTCAACCTCGCCACGCACTTCAACCCCATCGTCCTCCTCGGCCCGCTGACCAACTACCTCTTCCTGCGGTTCGTCGGCGGCGACAAACAGACCGAGGCCAGCCAGCAGGAGCGCTACGCGGCCGAGGACCCCGCCAAGTACGCGCAGCTGCAGGGCTGGCGCGCCCAGAAGAACAGTTTCTGGCCCGCCGTCAAGGAGATTGTCAATCCGTGGGTTTGGGCTGTGGTGGGCGCGGGGGTGGTCGGTGTTGTGCTGGAGGAGGGGGTTAGGGGGTGGTTGGCTTGAGTATGTAGTTGTCTTTCTCTTTCTTTTCGTCTTGGTGTTTTGATTTTTGATTTTGTTGGGGTGTTGGGGAGTCGGGGATGGACGGGATGGGATGGGGGTTTAAATTAAAAGATAAGATTCATGTGGGTATTTATAGCGGATACTTTAGTTCTTTAACGACCGGTGTTATATTATGTTTGTTTACTGGGTAGGGTTCTTTTCTGATGTGTATCTGGCACGAAGAACAGCCCCATTGGGCATACATGGTCGTTTTACAAAGGGAAGTATCATCTCGTCACAAGATCCATACCATGGTTGGATAGTAGTTTATATATCATGATCAGAGATACCATAAATCTCATGCCCTGCCCGACCCTCACCCCCTTCATGGCGCACAATCTATGTACAAAAGCCCTATCCATCTATACATACTCCACCACCAAACCCCAGCAGAACATCTACTTTATATATCCATCTACTTCAACCTCGCCGCCTCCCCCTCCACCACCTCCACCAACGACGCCTCCAGACTCGGCCTGGAGGGCACCCACCCGACCACCTTCGCCGCCCTCCTTGCGCGCCCTCGCGAATTCAACCCCCAGGTCACCGCCTCACCGCCCCCATACTTCTGCGCCTCCTCCAGGCCGATCTCCTCCGCCTTGGCCTCGGGGATCAGCCCCAGCTCGGCGGCCGTCTTCGCGGTGGCCCGCGCCAGCTCGCCCCACGCGTGCTCGCCGTTCTCGGTGAGGTAGTACGCCCGCTCGCCCCAGATCTCGCGGTCGTCGGTCTCGGTCCCGGTCCTGGTCCCGGTCCCGCCCACCGCCGCCTCGACCAGCAGCACGTACAGGTCGCTGAGGTCGTGGATGTGGATGTTGTTCCAGATCGATCTCCCTGGTCCGATGATCGGGCCTTTTTGCAGTTGCAGGGTCGCTTTGGCGAGTTGGTAGACTTGGCGTCCGCGTTGTGAGACGGGACCTCGGCCGCGGCCTGTGTAGCATCCCATTTACGTGTTAGCGTGGGCAGAGCTATATTCATATCCATATCCACATCCACATCCACAGGCCCAGTCCAATCAAACAACACAACACAACGCAAAAAAAAAAAAAAAAAATAAGGGGAGGGAAGGGGAGAAATACCATAAATTGTAGGCGGACAAACCAACGCCGTCTTGACGACACCCTCCTCCCTCTTGGCGGTCTCCAGGACCAGACGATCGACATTCCGATGGAACGCATGATCGGGCAGATTCAACAGCTCATCCACGTTCTCCCAGTCGTCGTACACCTTCTCATCGTACTCGCCAAATCGATTCTGGTCCAAATCCTTGAACATCAGGATGCCCGTCCCGCTCGTGTGCAGCCAGTAGCCCGGGTTGGCGGCGGAGTGGCCCCTCGCCAGACCGGCGGCGATGGCTTTAGCGGCGCCGACGTGGTCGGAGGCGTCGGCGGTGTCTGGTATTATTATTATCGGTGTTAGGATGGTTGGATTGAAGTGGGTGGGATATGTTGTGGGGGGGGAGACACACGCAGAACGATATCCGCGTCGGCGCTTTCCTTCTCGAGAAGGGCGGAGTCGTCCAGATCGCCCACCACGACGCGGACGGATGGGTATTGAGCCTGCACCTGCTCGGCCTTCTCGGGGGAGCGGACGAGGGCGGAGATGCTGTAGGAGGGGTATTTCGAGGTGAGGGCGTAGAGGGCGTCACCGCCGATGTAGCCGGTTGCGCCGGTGCTGGTGGGGGGAGGGGTTGGGTTAGTGGTGGTGTGGGTGAGTTGGGAGTTTGGGGGGTGGCATGCTGAGGACGTACAGGAAGATCTTGGTCATGGTGGGCGGGTGGTATGTGTGTGGTCTGGGAGACAGTTGGAGGGGATTGAGAGGTGCATTGGCAGGTTTGTGGTCGTTGTTGACCCTACGTGTTTATATGCGATGAGGGCTGGTGTTGTTGATGCGGGGAGGGGATGAGGTCACCGGGCATTTGTCAGCGCGGAATGGGCTGCTGGTTGGCTGACCAGTTGGCGGTCGATACCCCGGCCCCCCCGGACTTGCCGTTTTGGGCAGCTGAGGCCGATGCCGACATCGTTTGGCTCTCTGGAGTTTAGACCCTGTTCCGTTGATCAGGGTGCTGGGTTGCTAATAGTAGGTGGATGGAACGTGTATCGTGCGTGTATGATCTAGGGATGACATTGAGTCTGAGGGAGAGGAGGTTACTTGGTTGACTCCTCCGTACGTGTCGCTGTGCGACAGTCAGAGCTTTCCATGCACGGGCCTGGATGAGGAGACGAGGAGAAGAGAAGAAGACAAGAAGATAAGAGGGTTTTCTCCGAGGAGAAACTCAATTTTCCTCTTGGCACGCCCTGAGGTCTTGGCCGAGGGTTGCAGGGTGTTCCAAACAGGCACTCGGCTAATTGGGTGCATCGTAATATCCTAACCATCTATCTATCTGTAGGTGGCAGTCTACTTAGATAAGATCATCTCAGACCGTGGTGCAGGTTCCATTTGACGGACTGTTGATTTTTGCAGCAGAAGAGCCATTCACCTGGATCGGACAGAGGCCTGGCCAACCGAAGGAAGACGACGGTACCATGGTACCACGCTTCAAGATAAAGTATGCGGCCCACGACCACTTTCCAAGCTTCAAAATTCAAACACAATCTAGAGACAAACCGACTCAAATCCGCCGATAACACACTCCTCAACCGAAACTCCAGCGGTCAACAGAATCACCGGCAGGGCAGCAGCCGTGGCATGATCTCGACCGGGCCACCAGCGACTGAAGAACTGAGAAAATAGCCGATAGCCAGACATTTCCCCGCTGCCATGCCCCCATGTGTGATTTGACAGGCAAAAATGCCACGAACAGGCCAGGCCGCGCCATGCCCCCATCCGGTGGGTCGCGCGTTTCCCCGATGCCTGGCGGGTGAAATTTCTTCCCTCCTGGTTTTTTTTCTTTTTCCAGCGACGAGAAGTCTTATCGCAGGGTTGAAGACGGCGTTTGAAGTGGAAGAAATGGGATTCTGAGTGGAGTATAAGACACGGGGATCTGGTCCGTCATGGATCTCAAGCCGACTGAAGCTGCTGGACAGTGATACCGATCGACCTCAACCCGGCCCCTCCGGACCATGGCAGACAGGCCCAGCACATCTCCGCGGCATTGGGTCTCAACCAGTCCACAGATAAGGCCTGACTCCGATCTCTCGGCCGCGGGCGAGTTCGCCCGCAGACTCGGAGGAGACTGTACATAAAGCGGGGTCTCCCTGAAGACTCTGCTTCGGCTTCGTCCTGCTTGCCTGGTCCCGGTTATCGATTCGCAGAAATGGCAGACCAGATTCAATCCTCGGGCCCTGGCCCGGCTCGGAACATCGAGGCCCAGAGCGCCTTTGCGTCGACCCTGGTGGCGGACGTTGAGAAGGCGCCGCACGCGAAGGAGGAGCCCTCGGAGAAACAGCACACCAATGTGTATGGGTCGGTGATCGAGACGCCCACGGCCGTGGCTGGGACGGATGCCGTGTATGCGGCCAAGGCGGCGCTGCTGAACCAGGCGCTGCTGGACATGGGCATGGGAAGGTACCAGTGGCTGCTGTTTTTGATTACCAGCGTGGGATGGTTTCTTGATAGTGTATGTCTGGTGGTCTCCCCATGGGGTACCGGTACGCTCGCTGACCATCTAGTTCTGGCTGATGTCCTTCACGGTCATCGCCCCCTCCAGCGCCAACGAAGCCCAGTTCTTCTACACCGATAACAAGGAGATGTACCTGTTCATCAGCCTGTACGTCGGCCTCGCCACGGGGGCTACCGCCTGGCCGTGGATGTCCGACTTCCTCGGCCGCAAGTGGATCTTCACGAGCACGCTGGTCCTGATGGGCATGGGTGGGCTGGTTGGCGCGGGCATGCCGGCCTTCACGGGGCTGTGTGTCGTTGGCTTCGTTGTCGGCTTCGCAGTGGCTGGCAACCAGGTCGTGGACGCCATGATCCTCCTGGAGTCTCTGCCCGCCTCGCACCAGTTCCTCGTCTCCATGCAGGGTGCCCTCTGGGGACTGGGACAGCTTGTCGCTTCGGCAGTCGGATGGTAAGCCAACCCCGGGTCTATCTCACACTCTACCCTACCTTCCACCCCATCTCACCACCCTACCCTACCCTCCACCCCATCACCATCCAACTAACCTCGTCTTCACTCCCCAGGGCCTTCATCGCCGAATTCACCTGCGGCACCGGCCCCGACGAGGTCAGCACCGGCACCGCGCTGGCCCACCAAACGCGCGCCACCGACTCCTCCTCCAGTTCGTCCCCCACCTCGACCACCTCCTGCCACTACGTCTCCAACAAAGGCTGGCGCTACGTCTGGTGGACCTTCGGCTGCATGACCCTCTTCCTCTACCTCTGCCGCTTCGCCTTCCCCCTCCGCGAAACCCCGAAATACCTACTCTCGCGGCGCCGCGACGCCGAAGCCACCCAACTCGTCAAAGACATGGCGGCCTACAGCAAGCGCCAGACCTGGCTGAACGAGTCATCGTTCGCGCGCATCGACTCGACCGTGGACGCGAGCGCGCGGCGCCACTCACGCACCAAATCCCTCCTTGCGTCTGCCGGGGCGATCGGCCTCCTGGTCCTGTGTCTGCTGTGGTCTGCCACCGGACTGACCTTCATTCTGCACAAGACCTACGTCGCCAAGTACCTCGCCACGAAGGGCGTGGATGTCGTGACCGCGACGACCGTGACCACGGGGTATCTCTACGCGCGGTATTTGTACATCTCCCTCTGCGCGATCCCGGGGCCGATCGTCGTGGGGTTCTTGGTGGAGGCGAAGGGGTTGGGACGGAAGCGCACCGGGGCGATGGTGGCGGTGTTGACGGGGCTGTTTATGTTTCTGGCCACGGTGGCGAGGTCCAGAGATGCGTTGTTGGCGTTTGAGTGCGTGTTGGCGTTTTTGCAGGCCAGTACCATGGCGGTGTTGGTGAACTATACCGTCGAGGTGTTTGCGACCCCGTTTCGGGGGTTGGGGCTGGGCGTTGTGGGCTTGTGCTGGGGCGTGTTTGGGTTGCTCGGCCAGGTGGTCGCCACGTTTGATGCCAGTGTGGCGGGCGGTGCGGCCGTCTGGTTTTGTGGTGCCCTTTGGGTGGTGTTGGGGGGAGCTTGGTGGCTGGTGCCGGAGACCAGGGGGAGGGCGGCGGCTTAGAGGGGGGGGGGAACTGTATAAGCTGTCTGAAGGTTGGATGGATGGACTAGGCGGAGGGGAGCTCCCGTGCCGAAGTGGTGAACTTGAGGATCTATTTGAGGTGGATGTGATTGATGATGGTATGACTGACTGACTGACTGTGACGCTCAATGATAATGGACGAGATAATGCGCGACTAATGCGAGGAGATGATAATAATCCGAACAAAAGTATTCAAGACGAGACAAAACAAGCCGGGATAATAATGCAAAAGTGCTTTTTTCCTACCCCTCTCCTATCTCTCACATCATGACTACCCAAATAACCCCCAACCAACCCTCCATAATAAAAATCAAAAGGCAAAATAAGAAAAGGGCGGGATTATCCCCTCGCCTTCCTAACCATAAACCACGGCCTCATCCCCTCCACCCCCTCGCCCTCCACCCCCTCGCCCTCCACCGCCAACTCAAACCCATACTTCATATACACGCCCCTCGCCATGGGCGACGACACCACGAACATCTCCATCCCCGCGGCGTCGGCCTCCTGCATGCCCCATTGCATGAGCGTGGAGGCGATGCCGCGCCGGCGGTATTGCGGGTTGGTGGCGAGGAGGCTGATGTCTATATCATTATGCAGCATCGATTAGGAATTAGTATCTTTTGGTGAGAGTGGGGTAATGGGGGTGGTATTAGAGAAAGGGGAAGATATCAAATCGAGGGAAGGGAAGGAAATAGAAATAGAAGGGGAAAGAAGAAAGGAAAAGGGGGGGGGGGATTGAAAAGAATTAGGTAGATAGAAGAAGGAAGAAGGAAAGGCTGAACGAAGCATACACCAAAACCCCCTCCCGCCCATAATCTGCTGCATCTTCCCCTTCAGATCCGCGATCATGGTGCCGAAGAGCTCTGCGTCTGCGCATGCGGGGAGGGGGGGATATTCTTCTTCCTCTTCTTCATCCCCCTGCTTCACTTGATCTTGTGGATCTTCAATGCCATTGCCAGCATCATCGTGCCCATCCCCACCCTCCCAGCTCCCGCCACTGTTACTCCCGCTCCCACTCCCCCCAGATCCAGGCGATGAAGCCGTTGAACCCGAATGAACTGGGTCGGGAACACCCCACTCCCCGAACCCCACCATCTCGTCCCCGCGCTCCGAATCAACCACCTTCATGAAACACGTGCGCGGGGAGCGCAGCCGCTGCGCGAACACGGCGGTCCACCAGGCGTGCATCTCCGGCACGGGTGGCCAGACGCGCTGCTCGAAGGGGGAGCTGAAGCATGTTGTGTGGAGGGTGGCGAGGGCCGGGGCGTCGGTGGGGGTGCAGGGGGTTAGGGTTAGCATTGTTTTTTCCTTCTTTGTTTTTTTCTTTCTTGGTTCTTTTTCGGTTCTCTTCTTTTCTTTTCTTTTTTTTTGTACTTGGTTTTGCTGGAGTGGTTAGTGGTAAGTTGTATTGATGGGGCTAAGTTGGTGGATTGTAGGGTTGTTTGATTGGGGGGATATAGCTGTGGTGGTGGGTTTGGTATATTGTGGGAGGGGAGGGGTGGGTGGATACAGGCTTTGTGTAGGAAATAGTTCGAGTGTTCGAAAGGATAGGGAATCGGAGAGATAGAGACAATAAACCAAGGCTCAGCACATTGAACCGCAATGGTCAACAGGGGCAGCGTGCAGTAACCAGACCAAAGGATCGAAGGATTGCAGGTGAAGCTGAAAGACAAAGGATTCAGGATCCAGGATTGAACACAGGATGAGGGGCATCCTGGGAAAACTAGGTAACCATCAATAAGGGCATCCAGCTCCAGCTTCTGGTCGCACAGGAGTGCAAGCATAGGGCCAGACGGAGGCCAGCCAGCCAAGCTAAGCGTTACACTAGCGATTAGCTCGGCGGGCTGCATGGGGGATCAGCCAGATGGTCCAACAGTCAGATTGATGGTCTGATCCTGGTCCGTGTCGCAAGCGTAAGCAATTAGCATCTCCATATGTATTATTGGATGGATAGATAGATGGATAGATAGAAGACATAGATAACTCACCAATCTACTTCTCCTCCCTCACTGTATCTCTCTGACCCACCCCTCTCCCCCCATTCCCGTTTCTATTCCCACCATCGCCCCCACTCCTCCCCTCCACCTCCCCTTCACCCCTCATACAACCCCTCAATAACCTGCACCTCGACCAAAACATCCAGCTCACTCCCATCCAGACACAGCTCCCGCTCCCGCTGCTCGATATATTCGCGCACCCCCCGCCACAGATTCTGGTCGTGCTTCAGCCGGTTCGGCAGCCCGGAGCCCTTCAGGTAGGTCAGCACGGCCGCGCCAATGGTGTTGATGGCGCCGAAGACCGTGATGGCGGCGTGGGGCCCGCGCGCGGCGCCCAGGACTGTCAGCGTCGCGGCCACGATCATCTGGACGCCGAGGCACACGTTGATCAGGATACCGAAGAACCGGTACCGTGACGCGGCGGTGTGTTCGGCGCGAATGACCCGGGTGTAGATGCCTATGTTGGGGGCGGGGCGGGCGAGGTCGGACTCGGGGGAGGAGGAGGAGGAGTAAGAGGTGGGGTGGGTCTCGGGGAGGGTCAGGGCGGGGACGTGGTCGATGCCGGTGAGGGCGCGGAAGATGAGGAGTTTGTTGGTTGGGGGAGGAGGGGGGTGCGTGGGTGATTCCTGCTGTCATGGTGGTTGGCGCGGGTGTGGGAGTCGGCGTTTGCGGCTGGGTTGGACTGCGGATTGATGCTATCGCTGGGTCGGGGACGTGAGGGTAGGGGATGTCCCGTGGGGGGTTGGACTGGTGGGTGTAGGCCTGCGGAAGGGGGTGGGGCATAGACATCGCCATCGCCATCGCAGGGAGGCCCTGTTCTTCGCGGTCCAGGGCGGCGGGCAGCAGTCGGCGCGGGAGGCCTGGACGACCGGCCATGGCGGGTGGAGACGGTTGAGCGTTTGATGGCCTTGGGGAAAGGGCCCAACCCCTATATTTGTAGCGAAATCCACACTGCAGCCATTTCAGTCGCAGGCATATCTCTATGCGCATGATGAGCGTCACGGCTGAAGAGACACAATGCAATAGACGGGTGCTGGGCAACGTGACAGCGGCATTCTTGTGCTGCACTGATTATTGATGCGCGACACTGGCTGACAGCTGACGGCCGGACTGACACCAACTGACTGACACCGGCATTGATATCAACATTGACAGCGACGGGAGAAACAACCGACCTCGACCCACGGATCGACATTGGCGCGTGCACAGGCACTTCCGAGTGGACGGACTCATTGGCAGCGAGGCTAGCGGGTGCTGGCTGGCTGGAAGGTCTGACGATAATTATTAGCGGGGATGCGTGACAGCCGACACGAGCTGCAGAAGACTAGCCCACAAACAGGCAGCTCTGCGGATGGGGTCAGGCACGAGGAGTTCATCTGTGCATTGCCATGGCAGGCTTGGATCAACCAGGCTGGCTGACAGCGGATGGAACGCCGATCGTCGCCGAGCCAGCCCTACTTCAAAGAGGCCGATATAATAAACCAGCGGCTGACACCAACGTCAACTTACCCCCGAAGAATCGGATCCCGTCGCCCTCCGAGTCACCTCCGAGCAGGATGCGAAGCTCGCGTATGGTTGATGAACGTGTATCCAGGAAGCCCCGCACTTACTTCCTGCCCCTTGATAATCCGCGCAACCCCGTCGCTGAATGGCGCCATTAAGAGTGTCTTATCTACCCCCTCTGTCAGCCCTCAAATAACTTGCTCTTTCCATCCACCTCAATCGATCCCAGCTATCAACTCCCTTCCTCCTCATCTTGCCGCATCATGGGCGAAACCACCCCCGTCAAAGACCACCTCCTGGTCGCGATCGCCCGCCCGCTGCCGCCGCCGGTGGTGAGGAACATCCACGCCCAATTCCCCGACGCCGAGCTCTCGGTGATCCAGTTGCCCAACTTTGCCCCGATTCCTAGTGGTATGCTTTTCTTCTTGAATTCTCCATTCTGTCCTCCTTTAGTGACCGATTCTCTCAGAAATCGCCCGCAAAGCCACCCTCATCCTGACCTTCACCAACCTCCCCAACCCCGAAGACGCCACCCAGTAGGTCCCCCTCCAAAACATCCATGCACTCTCAAATCCAACCCTAATTAACACTCACATCCACCCCCAGAATCAAACTCATCCACGTCGTCTCCGCCGGCCTGGACCACCTCATCTCGCACCCGATCGTCACCTCGACCGACATCCCCCTGACCACCAGCTCGGGCATCCACGGGCCCCCGATCGCCGAATGGACCATCATGAACTGGCTGGTCGCGTCGCGGCGCTTCCTGCACACCCACGCCAACCAGCAGCGCCACCTCTGGGACAAGGACGAGACGTTCACCCCGAGTGTGTATGATCAGGTGGGAAAGACGGTGGGTATTTTGGGATACGGGAGTATCGGACGGCAGAGTATGTCCTTCCTTTCCCTCTTTTTTTTACACACATACGTGCATATTCTACCCAACCCAAAACACAACACAACACACCACACCCTCCTAACACAGCATACCAAACAGTCGCCCGCGTCTCCTCCGCCCTCGGAATGACCGTCCACGCATACACCGCACACCCGCGCCCCACGCCCGAATCCCGGCACGACACAGGCTACATCGTCCCCGGCACGGGGGACCCCACGGGCAGCATCCCCGCCACCTGGTCACACGGCACCGACAAAGCCTCCCTGCACGCCTTCCTCTCCCAAGGCCTCAACCACCTGGTGATCGCCCTCCCCCTGACCCGAGACACCACGCACCTGATCGGCGCCGAAGAACTGGCGCTACTCGCCGCCCACGCCCCGGGCCTCAACAAGCCCTACCTGACGAACATCTCGCGCGGCAAGGTCATCGACCAGGCCGCGCTGATCGACGCCCTGAACAAGGGCGTGCTGGGCGGCGCGGCGCTCGACGTCACCGACCCCGAGCCCCTGCCGGAGGATAGTCCGCTGTGGGACGCGAAGAATGTCGCTATCAGTCCGCATGTCAGTTCCGCCGGTAGGGAGTATTTGGGGCGGTCGTTGGATATTTTGCAGTTGAATTTGGGGAAGTGGGAGAGGGGGGAGCCGTTGGTTAATGGTATTCGGAGGGGGAGGGGGTATTGATTTTCTCTCTTGTCCAGAGAGAGAGAGAGAGAGAGAGAGAGAGAGAGAGTTTTTTGGGGGGGGGGGGGGGATTGGATAGATAGATGGAGGTGGAATCGAATGGGGTTGTCGAATGGAGACTCCGTACATAGAATTGGTAGGTAGATAGACAGACGTAAAGTAGATAGCAATACCAAAAAGCATCCAAATTACATCACTATTTCCCAGGGAGTAAAGCGGGTGTTAATCAATTCCACAGTGGGTTCCAGCAGTTTGTGCTATGGGAATCATCCGCCTTACGCTTTCCATCAACCCAGCAGACTATACAGTATGTATGATCTACTATTCACTATGTTTTGCATTCACTATGGTGAGAATTCTTTTGCCTCTCTCCGCACAACCCCAAACCTCTCATCTTTCTTTTCTTGCCATCCACATATCCATATCCTCCCCCTCCCCTAAACGCCACCGCCACGCGCGCCAACAAACTTGCGAGTCTCTCCTCATCTACTGAAGCAGAAGCAACGATCAAGATTCCAAAATGGGAACTAACATAATGTGCTCGATTTCTGACGACAGCCCCGGCCACATCTCTAACCAGAGCCAACAGTAATCCAGTCTCGCTGTACGCTAGTTTGGCTGACTGGCTGGATAGTTGACAACGAAGGAGGAGTTCCCCTGAGCACAATCGAAGAGCGACAGCGACACCAGACCTCCTCGGCGTTGATCCTCTCGAAGGAAGACGTCCCCACCGAAAGCAATCCAGATCCAAAGCCCGATCACGCTCCCCAAGCGGAGCCCCACAAAAGCGCCCTCGAGACACTTGAAACCGAGCAACTCGCTCTGGACGCCAGCGTGCGGGCTGCGAAAAAGCAAGCGAAGGGCTACGGGTCCTTCAATATGGAATTCGGGTCCCAATTGGCCAAGTTGGAAGAGCTCATCATACAACAGACAAAGCTCCGAGTGGAAGTCTTGCGCGAGAGTTTCTCCGGCGTGAAGGCGGACTGGGAGAAGATTGACGGGCCAAAGGAGCTTTTTGAACGGAGAAAGGCGAAGGAGGTCTCTGCATCCCTGTGTAGGAAGAGGGCCCGCGAGCTCGACGGCCAATCTGAAGCACTCGTGGAGGAATTAGGCACTGAGTACAAGGAGCTCCTGAAGGGGGGATTTTCTCCATCCGAAGACCCCGATGATCCTCTGCTGAGTGTCGTTGTGGATCAGGTGGAAGTCACGCAGCCCGAAGAGCTTCGGGAAGATGTCTTCAGTGATGATTGTGATGAAGCATTGATGGACACACAACGACGAGGACTTTACTATTACCAGGTTCTGGGTTTAGAGAGAGCCCCTTTTCTCGACGGCTTCATCTCCTGGGCTTTTGGTGTGGTGCTTCGTCTTTTTTTTTTTTTTGTACTTTTCTATCAAGCTTTGTGACTCGACTCATTGTTCTTTTCCCACTCTTTATATATTCTTCTGTTTTGGCTCGCTTCATTATCATGCTGTATGAGGGTTGCAATACTTCACTTTCCTTTGTCATTTGCCTGTTGGTATTCATTCTGCAGAGGAACACTAAATTGTAGGTAGAGATGAACTGGGCAATCCACGCCATTCCACAAATCCAACATCCCTTGGTGGTAACAACTGCGCTGGCAGAGTGCTTGAGGAACGTGGGCCACTGTGGCAATAGCCTGACCGCTTCCTAGCTGGGTAAGGATTTGAAGCTGTATAGAGAGAGGTAATCGCTACTCTGCGTAGTAATTACGCATCATAGGCTGATTATAAGTGGCCCCTTTTGTGGCCCTTGCCACAGCAACTCTTGACATCAGAGGCCTGGCAGAGACCTGTGGACCTGATTCCAAAGCACCTGACCACAGTACACGAACTACTCTACTCCACCTATGCAGGTGTACCTCCCGCTCCACGGCTGGCGCCAATATTATCCAGTCAAATGTGCCCGCTCTCAGTATGTGGGCTGTGGTGCAGTAGTTCATGCTTGGTGAACTTGGAGCTTTGTGTTTGCCCCTCATTGGCTAGTAGAAAAGGTGATGAGGGGCAGAAGCTCAGACATCGAAATGCTTCCCCCCACCGAAATGATTCTGAAGCGATGGCTAACGTGTTCCCCATGACATACTCTCGATGTGCGTAGAGCTCAACACACCACCTCGGATCTCTCCAATATCAATTTGATACTGGCTGAAATGGACTACGTCTCTCCACAGGCATACGATACCAGTGACCTATCTGCGACCTCAAATCACCCTCAAGATCGAAACTGCACTCGGTGTTTGTCCTTGTTCCAGTGCAACTATCAGACAGAAGAAGGAGCTCTTTGGCGGATGGGCCCCGTACCCGGTGCATCGAAACACGAAGGTCAAGAGGACGAAGACCCAGGGCTTGAAAAAGCTCGCCATGCTTGCTTTCATTCCGATTGTGCCAAGTGTGAAGACTTATCAGACTCGCCCCTTTGTCACACCTGCAAGCATATGAGGCTCCCACATATTTTGCGATGTGTTCTTGCCGGTAAGCAGGCTGATACGGCCGAGGAAGAGGATATGATCGAGGAGCTCAGATTTCAACTGGGAACGATTGATGAGTTGCAGAAACGCTCTCAACACTGCGAAACTTGTGGTATATTCATGAAGCCATTCGCGTCGGCGTACGGCGTGGATCCGTTGTTTCCAGTGGAACTATGGATCCGATGTCGCAACAAGGGTCCTTCCTTGGAATTGCGAACTGCCGAACGTAAGTATTCGGTCATTCTTCAATTTGATCGACGCTTGCTGTGTCAGCTTGCTACCCCGTGTTCGTTTAGATGCTGATCTGAACTTCCTTTCACAAAGTCCCGAAATCAGACGAGGGTGAACCATCATATTCATACCAATGGGATACAATCAAAGCAGATGCGGATCTGGACGAGTTGGACTTCTCTGGTTGCAAAGAAACAGTCGACTGGGGGTTTCTGCGACGCAGACTCCAGGATTGCGATATGGGGGATTATCTACATGACTCTTGTCGATGCCCACAATCTCTCGAGAACCCCCCTCTTGGATTTAGGCTGATCGATGTCCAACAACGATGTGTTCTCCAACCTTCCGATCCCCTGAAATACGCCACTCTGAGCTATGTCTGGGGAGACCGAACGAGACAAGGTCTGCAAGCCACCAGCGAAAATATCCAGGACCTCGGAAAAAAAGACAGTCTATCCGATGATAAGATACCTGCAACAATAAGGGACGCTCTGGCGGTCTGCCAAATTCTCAACATTGACTATTTATGGATCGACAGAGTCTGCATTGTCCAGGACAATTTAACTGAGACAGCATGCCAGATCGAGGCTATGGGTGATATTTATGGCAGCTCCTATGCGACTATTGCCTTGTTAGATGGAGATACTTATACTGGAATTCCCGGGGTATCAGTAGGAAGACCGACCATCCCACGACTGCACCAATTGCATGGAATGGACGAGATGGTCCTGAAACAAACGGATCTGAACTATGACACAGCTACCAGGCAATCTGCGTGGTCTAATCGAGGCTGGACCTTTCAAGAAGCTAGGCTCTCCCCAAGACTTCTGCTCTTTTCAAACCGGGGTGCGTTCTTTGAGTGCGAAGCAGAATATGCGTTTTCAGAGACGGCAAGCTCTGTTTCTCTGCCAATATACAATGGCTATGCGCCATATGAGCTCAGCATGGGAGAATTCTCCAGAAGGCAGCTTACATTCTCATCTGATATCCTGATAGCATTCACAGGGTACCTGAACTCCATTTATAAGTCTCGGCATTACTTTGGACTGCCCTTATCTGGCTTCCATACCAGTATTCTCTGGGTAGCTGTGTCAGGGAAGTACCCGACCAGAGCCCCAACTAACGGTGACACTTTCCCATCCTGGTCGTGGATTTCCATCATCGGTGAAGTTATGAACCGATCCGTCTCGGGGAAGATATTGACGCCTGTTGCCACCATCTTCATTCCATCCTCAGGGGCCGGGAAGCCCGATGTGATTCGGATTAAATTGCGAGCCAAGGTCTGGGATCGCGGCGACTCATCAATGTGTGCTCCAATGGGCTTCATACAAGCTTGGCGAAAAGGATGCTTCCCAGCCAAGTACCCTGCTGCATTAAATGCCACGACTAGTCCCAAGAAGTACTCGGACCTTCTGGAGTCCAGGTGGTTAAGCCCTGATGATATGTATCGCGAAGCATTGGGCCTAGAATCTGATATGTCCAAATGGGAAAGTATTGGCCAGGATCATATATCCACACATTGTTGTCAGGATAGGCCGGGAAGACTCATTATTCATGCCGATTGGCTTCAAGCACGGGTGGTGCTTCCATCAACACACTCCAGTGCCTTTCCCGACGAAAACCACACTCTTCTTCAATCGGCGGACGGTTTTACCCTTGAGGCAATCACTTCTAAGGGCATTGATGTGAGCAGATTGCGTGAACTACACGGCAAGTGCCCATCGTTTTATCTTGATGTGCTCGCTGTGTGCCTGCATCCTGATGCTGTATACAACTACCATCCGGCTTCTTATTCGGAGCTCTATTATCCTGAGGTTGATCTGGGAGCGAAGGGGTTTACTCTTAGCGTCAGCATGTTCCTGATGCTTCTGGAGACTCACAATGGTACCAGTAGGCGTGTGGGGATCACACAGGTAGCTTTGAAATCTTGGGTGAAGGCTTCTCGTCAGTACAAGACATTTTGTGTTGAATAATTAGCTGTGCTGGCCGGAGTTGCTGCTCATTATAATTTGAAAACGTTGAATATATTCTAAACCACTGCTGTGAGAGATCATATAACCTTTTCATAGAACTCAGTATCATTTGACTAAAGCTATTGGAGCCAGAAAAGAAAGAAATAATCAATCAATTACAAAAATAACAAATACCGTATATGTTTACATAGGTTATACTACAATATATGTTAATGTTTTTCTTCTTTTCAAATATAATTATCTATAATTATAAATCCTCAGATTCAGGCGCAGGACAAACTTCAACAAATTCCCGAAGAAGGCCCCTCCTCGCTCATTAGGCGGGGGTAACGTGTTCTTTTTCCGAGCGAAGCGGTCGCAACCTTCTGCGCCCGGGTCAACTGAAAGGTATTTCCCTCTATCTCAATCTTGGTCCCGGCTTCAAATAGGGCACCTTTGGGCCCGTCTCCGCGTTGCGCAGGAGCGTCCTTTCCACCTCGATTGAGTAGAACAGTGGACTGGTGATCAAATTCCCCAGGAGCATTTGCTTCGCCAAACATGCTTCGGTTCCGCATCGACTCCAGGAACCGAGTTCAGTGAACCGCGATTGGTTTGCTTGACTCTCTCAATGACGAGTTCGTGCGTCTCGATCGTTATGTTCTTGTTCGGTATATGATGTTGAATAACTCGCACTTTCTTCCACACCACGGAGGCTCTCTTGAGGCGTCGAGGCTTTGGATAAAATATGTACCAGATGGGCATGTTTTCTTTTCATCTCTGTCGCTGGTGTATCCAATTCCATAAATTGACAACCCTTTCTAGAAAGACAGATAATATCTATGACTTTACATTCCCCAGACTCGGTATTCGAGGCCAGTGGCTTGGCATGGCATGGCTGTGGCCTGCCATGCAAGATTGTACTGTCTCCTTTTCTTACTTGTAAGCATGCGTACTAGACGGTCCTGGAGTCGTGGCCCGAGACTTTTCTAGTTAGAGTGCGGGCTATCATACGGCCGACTAAGAACAACATTCAAAGTTGGGACCAGCGTCTCCAGAATCGATGGATTGGCTGTTATGTGGGATCCACCCCGCTGGGTATCGGGCCTGGTGTTCCGGAGGCCACGACGGTGGAGGTAGCTGTCGCAGGGGAGGTAGTGAAGAGTCTCGCTGAGGAGGTTGTGGCGCTTGCTTCCGATTCTGCGGAGGGAGTGGTAGCGCTTCCTCTCGGTCTCTGAGTCAAGTGTCTTGAATGTCTGTATCTCGAATGATAGCGATCCTATAAATAATAGCGATCCAATACTCTCCAGAGTCAGCGGTAGAATTGATCCGGATACAGTGAAGCTTGTCCTGTGGACAGTAGCAGCACGCACCGCCAGCTAAATGTGGCATTATAGCTGTGTTCTCTGGTATTCTTTGATCGCTGGGGGATATTGCCAGTAAAGGCGAAGACAGATACTATAATAGCAGTTGGCTGCCCCTTAATTGTGCTCTGAATTCCCTTTCCAACTAGCTTGAGATCTTCTGCAAAGATGGCTGCGATGGTCAGAGTAAATGAAATGGCTGTCCGTCGACGATCTTTGTATAGCAAACCAGCCGGTGTCAGATAGAACCCTTTCGGGGCTTTACCATTCAGGGCTTTATACATATTCCTATGTGCCCCAAAGTCATCAATGAATAAGAGAAAGGGGACCGACAGGACTTCTGGCTCCGCGGCGAGCCAAGAAAATTAGCCCTGACCGTAATACTCAGGCTCGAGCGGGGGGTTCTCATTTTGCCTCGGTGGTCTTCCGTTGTCATAAATAGGCCGGACTTGTCTCTCCATCATCTACTATCTACTGTTGCTTGACATGCGTGCATGCACCCAGCTCCGGCCCACTGCGACGATCATGACCATATTCCATATTTTCTCCTGTATCTACTCTTATATATACTCTGGACACACCGTACACTCCATACTCAGCAGAAAGCCATACAACCAGACATCAATTACCTAGCAGAACGATAATAAAACCATAACAGAACGACAAGGTATCTTGCAAACCCATTAACCCATTAAAAACGTTAAATATCTATGCCCCATGCACCATCAGTCAGCATCAGTTACTCGACACATGCTTCACCGGCCCCCTCTCCTCCCAGCTACCCTGCGTCGCCGACTCCAGCGCACTCGTAAGATCCACGTGGAAGAAAGGCCAATTGACCCCGTTCACGATCGGCGGCTTCCTCTCTGCACTGCCTGTCTGGCCCTGCTCCGCACCCGCGGAGTGAGTCTCGCGATCCACCTCGGTGATACTCCAGGTACTTCCGGCGGATTTCTCGTTCTTGGCGACACTCGACTCCAGATCTCCGCTGCCGCTGCCGCTGCCGCTGCGGTTGTGGTTGTGGTGGGGGGGGTGGTGAGATCTCGACTCCGAGCCGGGGAGATGGGTGATATCGACGCCGGTGAAGACGATCGTGGCGGACGACTCCTCATCATCAGACGGCGGCAGGCCGAATCCCGCGGCGGCCAGCGCGCGCTTGGTCCAGCGGTTGGTGATGTGCGCGAAGTGCCACTGGACCTTGTCGGGGGCGGCGTAGCGATCGAGCTGGTTGCGCACGTCGATGAGGTTCTGCACCGAGCTGACGTCGACGTTGTTGACGGCCGAGAAGTCCAGGATCACGGCGCGGAGCGTGGGCAGGGCCTCGGACTCCAGCGACGCGATCGGCTGGCCCTTGCGCGGTCCCGGGTCGTTCCAGGGCCGGTCGCCCGGGCGGGCGTACAATGCGGGGTCGGTGCGGCGGGTCGTGGCGAAGATGTGGGCGACCAGGTGGTCGGTGTAGTGGTTGGCGTTGGGGTAGTTGAAGCCCTCGGACAGCTGGTAGATGAAGACGCCCGGGGCGGGCTGGGCGATGGGGATGGCCGGGTTGGAGCCGTCGGCGTGGCTGAGCGGCAGGAAGACCGTGCGCTGGGAGGACGGCCGCCCGGGGCCCGAGGGGGTCGCTTGCAGGGGGGAAGGGCCCGAGGGGTCGCTTTCCAGCAGGTGGTCGCCCACCACCGAGTGGATCGTCGCCTGGCCCAGGAACTGCCCGCGGGCTTTGGCCGTCCGGAAGAGGAGCACCGCCAGGGAGATGCAGATCGTGCAGTAGATCCCGATCTCGATCGTCGTGAAGATGATGATGATGATGCCCGCGACGCAGATGAAGGCGTCCAGCGGGGCCACGCGCCAGTATTGGTAGATGGTGCGCGGGGGCGCGATCAGGTCGCCGACGGCGTGGATGATCACGGCGGAGAGGGAGGACGAGGGGATGTAGTAGAAGAGGGCCGGGAGGGCGTAGATGGCCAGCAGGACGATGATGGCCGTGATGACGCCCGCCAGCGGGGTGCGCACCCCGGCTTTGGCCTTGATGGCCGTGCGCGAGAAGGAGCCCGTCGCGGGATAGGCGCCCAGGAAGGGCCCCAACAGGTTGGAGATGCCGATGGCGATGAACTCCTGCGACGGGTTGATGGTGTAGTTGTTGACGCGGCCGAAGGACTTGGAGATGGCGATGTGCTCAATGACCAGGATGATGACGGCGGCGGGCAGTTCGCTGGCGAAGGCCTTGATGATGGTGGTGTTGATCTTGGGGACGCCGGCGTGCTTGAAGCCGCGGGGGACGGTGCCCAGCAGCTTGAAGGCCGGGTCGTCGCGGCGGTGCAGGTTCACCGCGGCGCTGATCATCGTGTAGAACAGGATCACGAAGACGGTGCGCAGCGTCGACAGGAAGAAGAACAGCTTCGCGCGGTGCGGCATCTTGCGCGACGCGTAGTTGCACGCCGACCGGATGGCATACAGCATCGCCAGCGCCGTCAGCCCCATGGCTGCGTCCATCTGCGAGGTCGGCAGGTACTTCAGCGTGTCGATGATGACCATGTAGGTGGCCCCGCGCGTCGAGAAGCCGTTGGTCTCGCCCAGCACCGTCTTGACCTGGCCGGCGGCGACGTTGATGGCCGAGCCGGTCATGAAGGCCGTGATGGCGGGCAGGGGGATGAAGTCGACGATGAAGCCCAGGCGCGCGAAGCCGATGAAGGCGACGATGGCGCCGCTGATGACGGCCAGGGCTTCGGCGATCACGGGGGCGGGGATGTCCGGGTGTTTCTTCTGCGTGTCGATGATGATCGTGCCCACCAGGGTCGACATGACCGCCACGGGCTGGAGGAGTTAGCGGGGGGGTTTCTCGTGGTACTTAGGTATGTGTGTTGCATGCATCAGGGAACACGTACTCCGATCGTGATGTCCTTGGACGTCGCAAAGAACCAGTAGATCAGCACCCCCATGAACGAGGTGTACAGCCCGTACTCGGCCGGCAGCTTGGCCAGCACGGCGTAGGCCATGCCCTGGGGGATGACCACCGCGCCCACCGTGACCCCCGCGATCAGATCGCCCATGAACCACTGCATGTTATAGTTCATGATCCACTGCAGGAAGGGGAAGATGCTGTAGAAGTAGTGGCCGACCTGCAGCCAGGACGGGACCAGCCCGCGCAGCCACTCGCCGGCCGTCGGTTCGGTCTCGACGTAGCCATCGTGTTTGGGTCGCACCGGGTCGCGGTGGGACAGGTCGATGCCCACGGCTTTCGCGACAGTACGGCCGACTGAGGCGGACATGGTGGGAAATCAGAGAGAAAGGGATGGTCGCGGATGGAGAGAGACGATCCAGAGAGGGAGACATCGAGCTTATGTTGTGGACGGCGAGTGGTGGGCAACGCATTATCAGATCGCAGCTCGCCGTCTGGAGCAGCAGCTTGGCGGGCGATGTCGTGATTTTAGCTCCGAAGTGCGAATACGGCTTTCCTGCACCGATCGAGCCAAAACAGACGAGTGAATCTGCCTTTGGCGCGAGTCAAAACAGCCCTCGATTTATCTGCAGCTCTGGAAGTCCTCTCCAGACCGCTTCATACTGTCGTTCCTGTCCGGTTCCTGTCCTGCTGTCTGGCCAGGTTGTCTCTCGAGTAACACCAAAAGGACCAAACAGAACTGACCCTGTTGCCAGAGTCAGACCCTAATTGCCGGGTCCACCTGCAGAGACTTCGTCTGCGTTCTTGAAGACGGGGCTGGCCCGGTCCACCGTGGTTTAATTCTCCGCGGACGCGATTGTCACACTTTAAACTCAATCGTGCCATCGCCAGACCTGTTTCTCTTTCTGTTTCTGTTTCTGTGACACCCGGATGGGTCCCTCGCGAACCGCTTTTTCCACCGCGGTGGAGAATGAACCGTCTCGCTGGTAGGGCTGAAACAGATGGGTCTTGCAACATGACATCCGCCTCCTTGCCTCAGGTGACATCTCAGTAGATACCCAGTAATTCTAGACAAGTGATCCATCCTCGAAATAATTCCATCATCACCAAACCAACCTTACTCGCAATAAAAAAAAAAAAAAAAAAAAAAACACACAAATCTTATCTCACGCAAGCGGGATCTGGATGGTGGCGGACAGCGGATCCGTGACTGGCCACCATCTGGATGAGGGCATTTTAGCACCGAGCACGCCATCATCCCGGCCGCTGGTACCACCAAAAATAAAAAACAAAAAGAAGCACCTTATCCTGCCCGCCGATCGCGCGAGGGAAAAGCTGCTGGGCGGTGGACCATTATTATTAGTATCAACTCGTCGCCCTCAGTGGCTGGGAGGTCTCCACTGTCCCTGGTACTTATATACCGGGTTGCTACTTACTACCCAGATGGACCTGGTAGTAAACCCCACGCGATGATGCGGGTCAAAGTATCAACCTTGTCCCAAGTACCCATGCATTTATTTATTATTCATATATTTGGTTAATAGGCTCTACCCACGGAGTTCCATATACATACGTACCCCAGTTATTGGCTTAATAGTACATGACTAGCTTCCCCTCCACTATCCATCCGTCCAATCTTTTCGACCTTTCTGAACTTCTTAACGTCCTCGGCGCCCACGAAACATGGTACCAGAACCAGAATAGAAGGGCCCGGACTACCGCTACCCCCAGACTGGACGTAAACACGGGCTCATCTCCAATCTCGCTCTTTTTCACCTGTTTCTGTCCTTCTTGTTCTTTCTCTTCTTCTCTTGGGGTGAGTCTAAGAGAGGATCTTCTATTCTCTTCCGGTTTCGAAATGTATCCGAATCCTTCTGGGTCTTCTCAGTGAACAAACCTTTCTTTGATTTAAGTTGTCTTTTCTTGGTCTTTACGTCTACATACTCTGGGGAAGTTGACTATTCCTCTTATTCATCAAGTAGCCTTCACCTGTCATGATGATGTATTTATTGCGTTGAGAAACCTTACCCGTAAGGCATCCAACTTTCTGATCCTTCCGGCAACTTTTTCTGAATCCCTCCCAAACGGGAAAGTCCCAACCGTAAATTATGATGTCATGAACAAATAACCCATGGAACTCAAGCCCGTCGCTCGAAAGATTATGACACATTTCCACTCTCATGGTACCTGTTCTAATCACCATCCTCCATCTTCCTCGTAAGAAGGAAAGCATCCAGTCCCAGCTTCAGAAAGACAAGATATATAAGACCGCAACCTAGGGGAGTTGTTGTCACTGAGCCAAAAGATTAACATTACCCGCAGTTACCTGCGGACCCCTAGAATCCCATATATATACTCAGGTACACCCGGGAGGAGGTGGGCTTCACCCTTATAAGTATACATATCCCGCGGATATCATCCCTTACAAGATGTTGTTCGATTCCCGCAAGTCCCCACCAGGAACCCCTGGGGTGTCTTCTCTCAAGCGTCCAGCAGAGAAGATGGAGGAGCTGCAGAAGAAACGGCGAAAGCTGAACGATGATCTGCAAGTAGCGAAGAAAAGGGCCCTGCCTCATGGGTCCTTTAACGCCGAATACTGGACAAGAACTGCGGAGGTGGAAGAGATCCTGTTAGAGCGAACGAAGCTCGATCGGGACTTTTCCCAGGGATCATTCCCGGGGACAAAAGCAGAATGGGAGCAGACAGAAGAGGCCAAGAGGCTGTTTGAATCTCTCCGGGCACAAGAGGTCTCAAGCGCCATCTGTCGACAAAGAGCCCGGGAGCAAGACGGCCGGACGTCGTCTCTCGGACGACGGCTTTGAGCTGCGTTCATCACGCTATTTACGACCAGCAGGATGGGACTGGGGATAAAGCATACCGGGGCCGGAAGAAGAGACAAGAAACTGCAGTCCGACTTCCGAGATGGCATGATCGACGCATACGGAGCGAACGGCCCATCAAACACTGTGGTGTCCGATTTTCGGGATGTATTTCGAGAAAGAGCTTATGAGAGCCAGCCATCTATTCGCCTATATGCACGGCCAGGAGACGATGGACGCGATCTTCGGCAAAACCGACCCGCCCGAGCTCTTCTCGCCAAAGAATGGCATTCTGATCTTCTATGAGATCGAGGAGTTTTTCGACCGTGGAAAGCTGGTCATCGTTCCGGATATCCCCGAGCGGCCAAAGATGGAAGAGTTGTTCTCGTGGATGCAGAAGAAGCCACGAGAGTATAGGCTCAAACTCATCGATCCTACCTGGGATCAAACCGATCGGCCAATTTTCTCAGTGATAGATTCTACATGGAGGGATCTGGATGGCAAGAGACTCCAGTTTCGAACCCCCTTCCGGCCATCCGCGCGCTATCTTTACTATCATTATTGCCTCCAGATCCTTCGACGTGCGTGGCAGAAAGGTGACAAATCCGTCGCTCGGTCGGTTTTGACTGATGAAAAAGGAAAGCCGTTCTGGGGTACCCCGGGAGACCCCCGGGAGATATCTCCCCAAAAATATGCTTCTCGCGTTTGTGGAAGAGCTCGGACATGAATATAGGGGCCTCCTGGATGGGGCGAGGGGCTCCACTGGGGAACCAGGGGGTTTGCTGGAGGTCGTCGCGAATCAGATAAAATGCAAGCAGCGGAAGCGACTGCGGGACTACGGCCTGTGGGAAGACCCTCAAGACGATGACGATGACGATGATGACGATGACGATGAAGAGGAGGAAGACTAGCAGTCACATGCGGATGTGTATTTTTAGCTCCAAAGATACTGGGGTGGATTTTCTTGCGTCTGTTTCGTATCTTCTTATATGCGAGAGAGAATACACCTATTAAACACGCTTGACTCTCATTGAAACATATTGATTCAACCACTACTACTGTATTCATACCATCAATAACATCACACCACACCACACCACACCCACCCATCTTCACCTTCGCGCTATACAAACCCCACGAAACCTATATACCCCCCCTTTCAATATATCATTCATATATATCATATATCACACAAGTCAATAATCCTCCCTCCCCACCTTCTTCAACTCCCGATACCGCGGCTCCCACATCTGCACGCGAATCCACTCCTCCAGGTCCTCCTCGCCGGGGATGCCCTCTTCCTGCGCCAATCCCTCCTCCACAGCGGCCTGGATAGCAGCCTTGGCAACATTCACGCTCAGCTCCCGCACATCTTCGACGTCCGCGAGCAACGGCTTCGTGTCATCTTTCAGCGCGGGAGCCTGCGCGGCGAGCGCTTTCGACGCCGCCACGATCATCTTCTTCGATAATAGCCGCGTTCGGGAGAGGACGGCCCCGAGGCCGATGCCCGGGAAGGCGGTGGAGTTGTTGCATTCCGCTGGTTTAGTTAGTATATAGGACTCTGGTAGCTTTATCTAATGGGTAAAGGGTGATGGGTGAAGGTGAAGATGAAGGGTCAAAGGATAAGCCGTACCAATCTCCTTCGTGACACCGTTATACTCGACGGCGGGGAACGGACTGCCCGTGGCGATCAGGGCGCGGCCTTCCGTCCAGGTATTGATATCCTGGGGCTGGGCCTCATGGAGACGGGTGGGGTTGCTCAATGGGAAGACGATGGGCTGGTCGACGTGCTTGGCCATCTCCGTGATGACTTCCTGGGTGAAAGCGCCGGGTTTCGTGGACGTGCCGATCAGGACATGAGGTTGCACTTTCTTCACCACCGAGAGCAGATCCACGCCCTCGGCGTCAGTCCACTCGCGGTCTTCTCGGGCGAAGGGGGCTTGCGATGTTGTGAGTCTGTCGCCGTGAGACTTGAGGAGAAGGCCGGGCTTATCGATGCACCTGTTTATTGCTTTCAGCGCTGTTCAATAGAGTGAGCTATCCGGTTACGCACCAGATCTGCTTCATCGCGTCCTCCTTGGATTTCCCCGTCTCCGTGGCGATGGCATCGCTGATCTGATCCGCAATGCCTGTCCCAGCAGACCCGGAGCCGAAACAGATGACTCGGACGTCTTCCAATTTGACCTTGCTCACGTGTAGACCGGTGAGCAGGGCGGCCAGCGTGACGCAGCCCGTCCCCTGGATGTCGTCGTTGAAGCAGGGGATCTCCGTGCAGTATTTCTCCAGAATGCGCTTCGCGTTCTGGAGACCGAAGTCCTCGCTGAGATACAGTGAGCTTTTCCGGCATCGGGGAGAGAGCAGGGTGCAGCAGAGCAGCAGAGGTCTCACAAATGGATATACGCCTTCGGAAACCTCTTCCTCGCAGCGCGAACAAACTCCTCGACGAAATCATCGTACTCCTTCCCTCGCACCCGTGGCTGCTTCAGCCCGAGATACAGCTCGTCGTTGAGCAATTCCTCGTTCTGGTATCGTCAGTCCAACCCGCATATAGGAATGATGTGTTGAACAGAAGGAAGAGGAAGAGTCATACATCCGTCCCACAATCCAACACCACAGGCAACTGCCTCGCCGGGTGAATCCCGCCGCAGATGGTGGTAATCGCCAACTTGGCCGACGAGATCAGAATGGCGCCCACGCCTTGGTCGCCGATGCCGAGAATCTATCCCAAACCCATCGCATATCAGCATCTCCCCTATTTCCATCCCCAGGAGTAGAAAGAGAGAAAGGACGTACCTGCTCCCCATCGCTCACAACAATATAATCCACCTCATCCCTCGTCTCGAAATTCCTCAATACACCCTCGACGCCCCGGTCCCGGATGTTGAGAAAACACCCCTCCGGCTTGCGGAACAGCCGCGAGTAGTTCCGGATCGCCTCCGCCTCGGTGGGGGTGTATATCACCCCGAACATCTCCTTGAGGTGCGTTTGGATCAGCTGCATTAGACTCTTGTTAGCACTGTTACCTTCTTTCGTTGGATGCCATCGCATCCCTGCCCTGCCCTGCCCAGCACAGTATAGCATGGCATAGCATAATAAAACCAATACATCACATCACCAACACAAGATCCACCACGAAACCAGGGAGAGAGTGGGGAGAGGGAAATACCTTATAATACAAAACCTCATTCTGCGCCTTCATGCTCGCCATGAAGGTATTCTTGGCCAGATCGTCCCCCCGACTGCTATACTGCTGGTAGGCGCGTTCGACCTGCTCGTCCAGGGTCTGGACGTGCGGCGGCAGCAGGCCGTGCAGGTTGAAGGTTTGGCGTTCGGGGGTGGGGAACGCGGAGCCTTTGTTGAAATGGGCGTTGTGGAGGAGGGAGGGGCCCTGTTTTATTATTAGCATTATTAAGATTAAGATTAAGATTAAGATTATTATTATCATGGCTCTTGTTCGTGTTGTTGTGATTATCGTTTAGGGTTTGGGGGGATTACCTGGTGCGGACACTCCAACGGCGAGGACGTGGCGCGGGGGAGGTGCGCGAACTTGGATTCGGAGGCCATGGTTCGGTGGGGGGGATTCTGGTTGTTTGGGGGACAGGGGTGCGGAGGAGATGTCGATGGGAGAGACGCATCGATTCTGGTCTGTTGGGTTGGTTGGAGTAGAGGTTGAAGTAGATATAGTATAGTAAATGGTAGGAAAGTCGGAGATGGACAAATGGACAACCAGCCAGCCAGCCAGACAGACAGCTAACTATTTATCTATCGCTCTCTCAACTGACGAAACAGTGACACCACAGGCAAGCTATAAACCGACTCCGAGTCCCTCCGGCGCTCGGACGGTCTCCGTGGGTTGGATTGGATGGATGGATGGATGTGGCAGCCGCTGGATTGGATGGATGTGACTGACAGACCACTAGTTATCTATGCGACTATCCGTGCACGGAGGGATAGAAAGCTTGGTTGGGATAAGCTTGTTCCTTTCTTGCGGGAATAACACTGCAGGGAAAGATGGAGGGGAGGGAGGGAGTTGGAGGGAAGTCCAGTTCAGTCTAGCCATCATCGCCACCCAGGTACAGTACATCCAGCCCCACAGTGAGATCAGTGAACCCTATCTTGTTGCCTTCCTGCTTCATTCACCATCCATTCCCCATTTGGCCTTGGATTGGGTTCACCAACACACTACATAATGACATATGCAGTAAGAATCTATCTATCACTTTGAATATTCATTCACGATCTAGCTTATGACTATCCTCGATTTTCAACGCAGGCCCTGCAGCCACACCTCCAACACTATGGATAGGTATTCCACACCGACCACTCTACAGTACACAGCATCCGACACTCCGGCTTCCCGATCTCCCGGTTTGCCATCCCGACCCTGCATGGGATCACGGTAACAGTAACAGAACAGCAAACGGTCGGTCGGGTCCATGCACTCGGAGAATGAATTCATACTGGATTCCATCCCGGGTGGACCCGACCGCACGCACGCACCACCCACTACTGACCGACCACGGCTACGTCATACCATCGACCAAGGGGAGAGATGAGATGAAACAGCATGGGAGATGGATATCTCGATCCCAACAATGCAATTATACCAATGACCCTACTCCACCACCGACCCGACCAATGCAATCAAAACCAACCCACCCACCCACCCACCAAATCACCAAGCCTCGATAAATCCATCCATCCATCCACCCATCCTGGCGCTACCGATAGCGCACGCAAAATACAGAGACCAGGGTAGGGTAGGTAAACGTAATAACAAACAGGTCATGACATCGTTAAAAAGCCAAGAAAGCACCACTACAACGGCCCACCCAACATCCGCAACCTCTCCCTTAAAGCATCAACCTCACGGTCCTCCTCCCCGTCCGTCCGTTTTTCCTTCAGCGAGACAGAGCGATACTCGCCATCCCCGCCGGGCGCACCGACAGTCACCCAGACGAACTTGCTGCCGCTGCCGCTTGCCGCGCGCTCCTGGGAGCCCTCCCAGAAGAGCTCCTGCGAGCCGCCGCGCGGCCGCCCGCCGAGGCGGCCTTGCTTGATCCAGCCTTTCATGACTTCTTTGATGAAGCTGATTTTCTGGAGGAAGGAGTTGGCGTCCAGGATGTCGCGCGTGCGATCGTCCAGCGAGCTGGCGCTGGTGCCGTAGGAGATGCCCAGGAAGGTGGAGACTTCGTCGGAGGCGACGGCCCGGGTGTCGAAGCCGGAGGGGTGCATGCGGCCTTTGGTGCTGAGGTAGCGCGCCGCGGAGGGCGAGAGGTGGTAGAAGTCGATCCAGGGGGAGGAGCTCCGCGTGCGGCCGGGGGATAGGACGAGTTTAGTGTGGTCGGGGAAGTTGAACTGCGAAGGTTAGTATTTCTTGTACGTTTGATGAACCCGGAATGACTTACCTGGAACGCGCCATCCCCGAATCCCCACACACCAACGTTCCCCAGTCGCTGGTAGAACTTGATAAACTGCCCCCCACTGGTGGAGACCAGCTCGTCTTCGAGAACAGCGTCGTCGCCGTGTCGCCCCAACGAGCCGATCATGTACTTGCCAAACTGATCGACCAGCTTGACCCGTTTGATCTTTTCCGCGTCGGCGCGCGCGCAGTCCAGCCCCGAGTTTGTGCGGATCTTGATCCCAGGCCCGGTTGACCCGCTCGACGAGCTCTTCACTTCGAAGATGGACGGCGAGATCAACGCCCTCCGCATCCCTCCCCGGCATTCGCTGAAGTCGCCGCCACAGTTCTCGTACAGCTCCACCGGCTTGCCGTTTCGCGGGATAAGCTGGTCAGCCTCTGAGTAGATGTAGGCGACTTCCTGTTTGTCCTGGCTTCGGGCCTTCCGCCGGATGTGTCTCTCGCCATCTCGCACCACGACGCCGCTGGCGGGTTGGCCGTTCTCGGCTTTGAAAACACACCCCACGCTGCCATCGTCTAAAACATAGCCGATGCCATACCGGTTCGTATAGTCGACCCACTTGATGACATATGCGTGGGGGGGTCTTCGAAGCCCGGCTCGTCTTCGCGCAGCCGAATGAGGTACCATGTTGGACAGCATATGCCGCAGGTCGGCATTCACATCCTCAAGCGACGTCCCAGGCAGCACCTCGCACGGGTCTTCCACGTGGAACAGGGGATGGATCCCCAGTGACGAGCGGGGCTTGCTTCCAGACGGGGCGGTTTTGCTGCCAGAGCGACTCACGGCTTGCGAGAGAGCCTCAGAACGCGTCGATCGGGTATCTGTCAGGTCCTCCTTGGGCAGCCTCAGGTCCTCCCGCTGCTTGAGACCATCTCTGGCCTCCAGCTTGGGCACCGACCGTACCGAGGGCTGGCGTGGCCGGACCGGCAGATCATCCAGTGCTGCCGATACGGACCGCTCTTTTACCGGCGGCGGGCAGGGTTCCTGGGTAGCCTCCAGTCGTCGGGACTGCGAGCGTGTCTGCGAGCGCGTCTTTCCGATGGCCAGCATCGCCGGGGCCGTGCTGGATTTGACCACCTGCGGCGCGATGTTCCGGTCGAGATCGCGCAGGGAGCCATGGGATGCAGCCACCCCACGCCGAGTGCGGATGGGTCGATCCGCAAGGCCCCCGGACGGCACGATGTCCTCCTCCGTCCCATCCGATACCGTCCGCGCTGGAGCTACGGGGTCGCAGATCGCGATCTTCCTGACCGAGCCTCTGCCAGTGACCGCCTGCTGCCGCAGCGTCGCGGCATGGCTTTGAGACTCCTTTCGTCGCTGCTGGGCCGCGGCCAACGCCGCCTGGGTGCGGGTGAGAGAGGCCGCATTACTCCGGGCAGACGCACTGCTCTTTCGCGACAGCACACTGTCATCGAACGAAGAGCCGTCTCTACGGGTGAGCAGGAGGGAATCGGGATCGCTCCAGTCTCCCACCGGCTCGTGAGGATACCTGTATACGATGTCCTCCGGGAGCGGGATGACCGGTTGGAACCCCTTCTCCTCCTCTGCCAGACACTCGGCATACGCGGACTTGGCGCAGTTCTTTCCAGCAGCCTTCCGGGCCGTGCCATCGGGCTTTCTGCCCACGCCACAGAGAGTGTAGAATGCAGCGCGGCAGATGAGATACCGCTGCGTCGGATCATCCACGTGCTCTATATAACCAGACAACTTCTCGTCGTACTCCAAGCTATTGCCAAACATCATGCGGTCCCCGCGGGGCTCATCGGGCCTGATCCAGATGGGTCTGCTGAGGCAGCATGACGGGTCCAGCCGTTTCGGGATGCACCCATCGTACATGCGGAAGAAGGGGTGCTCGACGATGTCGTCCGGGTCGGGGCGCTCCTCTTCGGCGAGGTTGAGGCACGAGCTGACTAGCGACTTGGCGTCATCGGGGATGTGGTTGGCGCATTCGGAGCCTTTCGGCCAGACATACGTGAGGTTGCGCACCTTCCTGTAGATCTCCTCTTGCGTTTTCGATTGGAACGGGGGATAGCCAGTAAGCATGGCGAAGCTGCGGGTGTTAGCAATGACCACACGCAAACCGAACCTCCTTACCATATAACCCCCAACGACCAAATATCCACCTTCTGCGTATGTCCTCCTTTACTTTTGTCCAGCACCTCCGGGGCAATGTAATTTGGCGTCCCGCACAACGTTCGCCTCCGCTTCTCGTCCTTCTCAGACACAATCATAGCCGCAAGCCCGAAATCGCCCACTTTGATATCCATGTTCTGGTCCAGGAACAGATTCCCCATCTTTAAATCTCGATGCGCCACATTGCGCTTGTGTAGGTATTTGATGGCGCCGCACAGCTGGATCATGAACCGTCTGACCTCCGGCAAACTCAGGCACTTCCTCTTCCTGACCATATCCATCACGGAACCGTTCGGGCACAACTCGAGGATCACGTAAATGCTGCTGTCGAATGCGAACGCGCGGTGGAATCCGACGATATGGGGGTGGCGCATCTTCGAGTGGATCTGAAGTTCAGTGCGAAACTGCGACGGTCAGCACACAGAGAGCCCAGTTCGGGAAGACGAAATACCTTCTCTTGCATCTTCTTCTGCGCCATCTCCGATCGTACCACCTTCATGGCGAACACGCGCCCTGTCCGCAGGAGGGTCCCCTCGTAGCAGATGGCGAACCCTCCTTTCCCCAGAAAGGCGCCCGTCGAGTACCTCTCTCCATCCTCCTCCGGCTCCAGGACCAGCGACGGCGGCGGCGGCGCATGGTTCTTCGACGAGGAGGCTTTCTGGGCGGCGGCGGCGGCGTTCTTGTCCAACACCTTGCGCTCCATGCTTTTGGGTTTGATGATGTGGTTTGTGGAGCGGGGGGATAGCGCCTCCATTTTGTATCCCGCTCTGTCTATGCCTTAATATAGTCGGGTATCAATGCTCGGACCGAGGGCAGGCGAGGTCAGGGCGGATCGCAACGGACATCAACTGCGATATAGAACGACGGTACGAGGCTGGCTCAGGGTATAATGGGTCGACTGGTGTCGATGCGATGCTTCTATGAACGGTCAGCCGTGACACACAATGGTGTTATGCGATGTGTGTTCGTCGGAACGGCGCAGCCACCTGTGCTGCGCTGGCTGATGCACGAGATGGGTAGGCCCCGGCAACACGGAAAGGGATGAAAACTCGGATGCGGGACGACGTACTTAAAACAGCAAAATGGAAAACAATTGACGCTCAAAAACAATGCCATGCATCCAACGCCACACCGAACAGACAACAACGACCGAGGGAGGTGGAGGGTGGTGGGGGGGGGGGGGGGGGGGGATGAAAGAAGTAGGGGTTGTGGGTGGACGGAGTAAGTAGTAAGTAGTAAGTAGATAGATCGCAGGGGAAAGCTGGCGGAGCAGTCAACGGACTGCCCGATGCGGCAATCGATAAACATTGATCCGAATGCCCGAACAACGGGCTCTGCTGACCTCAGCACGCGCCAAGTGCAAAGTCCACTGGCCCTGTCTGGGACTAGCGTCGCCGGATGACGCTCAGGCAGGACTCGGTCGGTGCCTGGCAAATACACTCCCAATCCACTCCGCCCGTGATTCATCCGAATCCATAGCCTTCCCCATGGATATAACCTGCTGATTCTCTGCATTCCTTTCCTTCTTCTTTCCTACCAACCCCCCCCCCCCCTCCTCCCTCCCACCATGTCCCTCACCCTCAAACTCTCCTCCCTCGTCATCCGCACCCTCTCCAAGCCCATCGCCGTATGTCAAACCCACCCACCACCCTTGCAGTCCCCCTCCCGCTGCCCGTCTCAGTCTCAGTCTCACTAACCCCTCCCTCTCAGAACCAACTCAAAGCCCAAGCCCGCGAACATGAACGCTTCCGCCGAATCTGCGTCTCCATGGCGCAAGGTCTGCACCAGATCGACATGCGCCTCCGCCTAGGCAGCATCCGAGACACCGCGGCGTCCGAAAAACGCGCCGCCGCCGACGCGGCGCTCCGCAAACTCAAACCGTCCTCGCCGACCGCGAAGACCGAAGCCGAGGCCAGGGCCGAAGAGGCCGCGATAGCGAAGGCGAAAGCGGCGGCGGAGGAAGCCGCCAAGCCAGCCCCCAAACCGCATATCCGGCCGTTGTCCGAGTCGAAGGCGATCGAGTCCGGGGCCACGTTCATCAGCGAGACGTTTCTGTTCCTGGTCGCGGGAGGGTTGATTGTGTTTGAGTCGTGGAGGTCGCGGAGGAAGGAGACCACGCGGAGGGAGGATGTGGAGTCGAGACTGGCGGAGTTGGAGCAGTCGGAGCGTGCGGCCAGGGAGGCCCTGTTGGCGCTGGAGAAGGAGGTGCTCCTGCAGAAGGCGAAGCAGGGTGGTTTGGCGAAGACCGCGCCGAGGATTCTGCCTCGTGCCGTTTGGGATGTGCAGCCGGAGGAGGTGAAGGAGCCTGAGGAGCCGGGCTTGTTGTCGTGGATTGTCTCGTATCTGCCCTTTGGGGAGAGCGCGGAGCAGCAGGCTGAGTCGGTCATCAAGGAGAGCAGGACGGCGAAGCCTGAGGAGACCGGACCGCGTGCACCGGTGTTTGAAGCGGAACCGAAACCGAAACCCAAACCGACGGAGGAGAAGGCGCAATAAGGCGTGTCAGTTGGTGTACATATCGGTATAGACTTGGGCGATATATGGTGTGGTGTATACTTGGCGTTGTTTTGGATACCCTTCTCATGTGGCGAGGACGAGCGGCGTACATAGACTAACTACCTAATTCACTCCTCTCTTCTCCAATCCGCCGCTCTCTACTCTCTCTCTCTCTCTCTCCCTCTCTCTCTCTCCCTCTCTCTCTCTCCCTCTCTCTCATCTACGTCTCGCCATGGAAACCACCCCCTCTGTTCCGGGCATATACTGCTCGTCCCTCCGCGCACGTCCCATCTGGAGAGTCCTCGGTCCCATTCTAGCTGCGTCGACGAACATGGCGGGTTTGTCCCTTCTATTGGAACTGATTTCTCCGAAGCATCTGACAGGTCGCTAGAGGGTAGACTGCCCGGATGTGACTTCCGCTTTTCCCTGGGGAATGGCGAAACGCTGAGCCTTCTCCTCCTCGCTCCGTCAACTGTGAGCGACACCCAGAGCGCGATCGCCAGACTGCAGTCGACCGGCACATGGGCTGCGGGGAAGAAAGCCGTCGCGCTTCTGCTCTCCGAGGAGCCGTTCAGCAGCGCGAGCGGGAAATGTAGCCTGGATGGAATATTGAGGTTGCAAGTCCTGTACGACTCGATTTGTGTCACTTGGTTGATTGATCTACTATGCTTATGATTATTGTACTCCGTATAGGATGGTCGAATCTCTCCCCGCCATGTTGCCGATCATTCCCGTTGCGGATGCAGCGTGTCTCCTGGCCGCCGTTCAGGGATATATATCCAGCTTAACGGACACTTGAGGATGCTACTGATTTTAACCCGGATCCAGCCATCATGATGTACATAGTACTGTCTTTGTTAATTTGTTATGTGATGTTTCCTATAACTAACTCACCCCAGTTTCGAATCGCAATCAAACGTTGTTCATTCGATTATCCATGAGATGCACTGCCCGTCCACATGATCCCATCTGTTGCAATATCAAAACTGATCTGGAGCCAAGACAAAGTCCTCTTAGCCATATCCCGGAAGAACACACTCCTTGTATGGCGGGGGAATGGAATGAACAACCAATGTGTCAAACCCAGTATCATTCAGTATCACACCTCCTCAGGTATCTGGACACCTTTTTTGCCGAGTGGTCTTTTTGGTCTGTCGCAATGCGACAAAGGACCCATACAAGGTAGGTCGACTGGGCAGGAAGAACCAAAACGATGCCCTTTCCAGCGCCAGCCACACTTCCAGCTAGGCCACCAGCAAGCAAGCAGTGGCTAGATACGGAGTAGTAAGCAACAAAAACACATCGTCATAGCAATTAATCAACCCTCCAGGATCGTCTAGACCCCTTTGTTCGTACGAAATAGTCCGTACATCTCGTCATCTCGCCATATCACGTGTGGTTGCCCAACCTCGCGGACAAGAAACAATCAGATCGAGGGGGTTGTTAGGTAGGAATGGCCGGCCAAAAATATATCTGGCGACTGCGAGGGAAGGACGACGAGTGGAGACCGAGACCACCGGGTTCCCCCTGTCGGGAGGGGCAGCCGCAGTGATCGCCAATCAGTGATTGTGCTATGTACACGACAGAAGGCACTGGAAGTAGTGTATTTAGTAGTAGATAACTATTTGCTTAGAAGAAACCGGGAAAGAGGCGGCAGGAATGGATGGGCCTGCAGGGGTGACGTAGGGAGGGATTATTATTATTATTATTATGAGTACAACCACCCAGTCAGACGGAAATCACGGTGGCGGTGGCCTCAGGCAGCAGCAGCAGCAGCAGCAGCGGCGGCGGCGGCGGCGAACGTGCGTGCGTGCCTGGGGCAGGCAGGCGGTCTCCATCTGGGCTTCGGATGGGTGGCCGGCCCAGCAACCAGTTGGGCTAGCGCCAGGGACCAGGGGGAGGGGCAGGCTGTAGGCAGGCTGGAGATGGCTGGACCTGGGGAGGGGAGGGATGGGATGGGATGGGATGGGCTGGTCGGGTCTGGTCTGGTCTGGTCTGGTCGGGTCGGGTCTGGTCTGTAGAGTCGAGTAAGAAGAGTCAGACGAGTACGCAGCTGGGGAGAGGGGGAGAGAGAACCGGGGACGAGGATCGGGTAGCGGGCGAGGATTGCGCGTATCTGTGAGGCAGGGCACCAACTGTGGCGCAGGCCCATCGGTCCGCCCGCCGAATAACAGTCGTACTACTTGCACTTCCTCCACCACCCGCAGGCACCCTTCGTCATTCTCCCTCTCCCTCTCCCTCTCTCTCCTCCTCTTCCTCTCCTCTCCCCCCCTCATAACTTCACCACCACCAAATACTCTTCCTCTCTTCCTCTCCCTCTCCCTTTCTACCCCCACTCCCTCTGCGGTCCCCCCCCCCTCCCCCCTCTCCTCTCACTTCCTGGAATGAACCATCTGCCCGCGCCGTTCATTCCCTCGCTCCAATCCCATCCGCCTATTCCCCGTGCCTACTGATAGGCCAGATATCGTGACGCTTGGGCGCAACTCCCCGGGAGGTCGGAAGCCACAATCATGGTGAGTCCCCATCGCCGCGCCCGTCCGATCCGACCCGACGGGCACTCCTCCGGACCCTCCTAACCGCGCTCTCCACCAGGGTCACTCACGACGTCCTGCCGGCGGGGAGAAGAAGAGTCGCGGCTTCGGTCGCTCCAAGGCCGCCGACGTGGGCGACGGGCGCCAGTCCGGCAAGCCCCAGGTCAAGAAGGCCACCTTCGAAAGCACAAAGAAGAAGGAGATCGGTGTCTCCGATCTTACCCTGCTCAGCAAGATCTCCAACGAGGCCATCAACGAGAACCTGAAACTCCGCTTCGAACATGACGAGATCTACGTAAGCCTTCCTTCCGAGACATGGGCCGCGATGTCTGCCGCTGACCGCGGACGCTGACCACCACAGACATACATTGGACATGTGCTGGTGTCCGTCAACCCGTTCCGGGACTGTAAGTGCCCAAAGTGCCCCAGTGCCCCTGAGCGCACGCATCTCGGATCGCGGCTAACCTCCCCCTTATCTAGTGGGCATCTACACCGATACCGTCCTCGATTCGTACCGCGGGAAGAACCGCCTCGAAGTCCCCCCGCACGTCTTCGGCGTGGCTGAGTCCGCCTACTACAACATGAAGTCGTACAAGGATAACCAGTGTGTGATCATCTCCGGCGAGTCGGGTGCCGGCAAGACCGAGGCGGCGAAGCGCATCATGCAGTACATCGCCAGCGTCTCCGGCGGCACCGACTCCTCCATCCAGCAGACGAAAGACATGGTGTTGGCCACCAACCCGCTGCTGGAGTCGTTCGGAAACGCCAAGACCCTGCGCAACAACAACTCCTCGCGCTTCGGGAAATACCTCGAGCTGGAATTCAACGCCGCCGGCGAGCCCGTCGGCGCCAACATCACCAACTACCTGCTGGAGAAGTCCCGCGTCGTCGGCCAGATCACCAACGAGCGGAATTTCCACATTTTCTACCAGTTCACCAAGGCCGCCCCGCAGAAGTATCGAGGTATGCACCCCCCCCGCGGCCGTCGCGCCCGCTGACCAGTCTAGATACCTTCGGTGTGCAGCAGCCCCAGTCCTATGTCTACACCAGCAAGTCCAAGTGCTTCGATGTGCCGGGCGTCGACGATACCGCCGAATTCCAGGACACCATCAACGCCATGGGCGTCATCGGCATGTCCGAGGCCGAGCAGGATAACGTGTTCCGCATGCTGGCCGCCATCCTGTGGATCGGTAACGTCTCGTTCAGCGAAGATGACTCCGGCAACGCCGCCATCACCGATCAGTCGGTCGTCAACTTCGTCGCGTACTTGCTGGAGGTCGATGCTGCGCAGGTCAACACGGCGCTCACGATCCGCCTGATGGAGACAGCCCGCGGCGGGCGCCGAGGGTCGGTCTACGAGGTGCCGCTGAACACGACGCAGGCGCTGGCAGTGCGCGATGCGCTGGCTAAGGCCATCTACTTCAACCTGTTCGACTGGATCGTCGGCCGCGTCAACTCCTCGCTGACCGCCCGGGGCTCCGTCACCAACTCCATCGGAATCCTGGATATCTACGGGTTCGAGATCTTCGAAAAGAACTCGTTCGAGCAGCTGTGCATCAACTACGTGAACGAGAAGCTGCAGCAGATCTTTATCCAGCTGACGCTCAAGGCGGAGCAGGATGAGTACGAGCGCGAGCAGATCCAGTGGACCCCGATCAAGTACTTCGACAACAAGGTTGTGTGCTCGCTGATCGAGGACAAGCGGCCGCCCGGCGTCTTCGCGGCCCTGAACGACGCTTGTGCGACCGCGCACGCCGACTCAGGTGCGGCAGACAATACGTTCGTCGGCCGACTCAACTTCCTGGGCCAGAACCCCAACTTCGAGAGCCGCCAGGGCCAGTTCATCGTCAAGCACTATGCGGGCGACGTCAGCTACGCGGTGGAGGGGATGACTGACAAGAACAAGGACCAGCTGCTGAAGGATCTGCTGAACCTGGTGGGCTCCAGCGGCAACCCGTTCGTGCACACACTGTTCCCCAACCAGGTGAACCAGGATGACAAGCGGCGTCCACCCACGGCCAGCGACAAGATCAAGGCGTCGGCCAACGATCTAGTGGCGACTCTGATGAAGGCTCAGCCGTCGTACATCCGAACCATCAAGCCGAACGACAACAAAGCGCCCCGGGAATACAACCAAGGCAACGTGCTGCACCAGATCAAGTATCTGGGTCTGCAGGAGAACGTGCGCATCCGCCGCGCGGGCTTCGCCTACCGCCAGACGTTTGATAAATTCGTGGAGCGCTTCTACCTGCTGTCGCCCAAGACGTCCTACGCCGGTGACTACACGTGGACGGGCGACTCGATTTCGGGCGCGCGCCAGATCCTGAAGGACACGAGCATCCCCAGCGAGGAGTACCAGATGGGCATCACCAAGGTGTTCGTCAAGACGCCGGAGACGCTATTTGCCCTGGAGGCCATGCGCGACCGGTACTGGCACAACATGGCGATCCGCATCCAGCGGGCCTGGCGCAACTACCTGCGCTACCGCGCGGAGTGCGCCACTCGCATCCAGCGGTTCTGGCGCCGGATGACAGGTGGACTGGAGTTCATCAAGCTGCGGGACCAGGGACACAAGGTGCTGCAGGGCAAGAAGGAGCGTCGCCGGATGAGTCTGATCGGGTCGCGGCGGTTCCTCGGCGACTACGTCGGGGTGGGCAACAAGGGAGGGCCGGGCGAGATGATCCGCAACGGTGCAGGCATTAGCGGTATGTGTCTGTGGACTGTCTGTGAACGTGTTGCTAACGAGAGTAGGATCGGAGGATATCCTGTTTACCTGCCGTGGTGAAGTGTTGATTTCGAAATTCGGGCGGTCCAGCAAGCCGTCCCCGCGCATCTTTGTTCTGGTAGGTCTGACCCGGAAGTTGTCCAGTCGAACCATGCTGACCAGCAGACCTCCAAAAATGTATATATCGTGGCACAAACGTTGGTGAACAACCAGCTGCAGATCGCCTCGGAGCGGACGATACCCATCGGCGCTATTAAGTCGATCAGCACATCGAACCTGCAGGATGACTGGTTTTCGATCGTGGTGGGAGCGCAGGAGCCAGACCCTCTGTTGAACTGCGTATTCAAGACGGAGTTTTTCACGCACCTCAGCAATGCACTGCGGGGCCAGCTGAACCTGAAGATAGCGGATCAGTAAGCCTCTCGTCCCCTTTCCTCTCTTTTCCGCTTTCCTTTTTTTCTTGCTCTTGGTCAGAGCAAGCTTAGCTAACGACTGCAGCATCGAATACAACAAGAAGCCCGGCAAGCTGGCGACGGTCAAGGTGGTCAAGGACCCTGGTGCCGGCGTCGACAGCTACAAGAGCAGCACCATCCACACCAGCGCCGGTGAGCCGCCGAGCTCCGTCTCGAAGCCCACGCCCCGCCCGAAGCAGGTCGCCGCGCGCCCTGTGACCACCGGCAAGCTGCTGCGTCCGGGCGGCCCGGGCGGTGGCCCGTCGAAGCTGGCCTCCCGACCGGCGCCTCCACGCCAGCCCTTGCCCGCTCGCCCCCAGCCTCAGGCCGCTGTTGTACCACCGCCAGCGCCGCAGCCAGCGGCCCAGCCTGTCGCGCGGCCGGTCCCGCAGCCGGTTGCTGCGCTCTCCGGACACACGCGCAACGCATCGTCAGGATCCGCCCGTGGGCCGCCGCCACCGCCGCCGGCCAGCCCGCCGGCGCAGAAGAAGCCGACGGCGAAGGCGCTGTACGACTTCAACAGCGACCAGACCAACGAGCTATCGATCCGGGCGGGTGACATTGTGCAGATTGTATCGAAGGAGGGAAATGGTACGTATACATACACCACCCAAACCTCTTTTGCTGCTCTAGTACTCGAACCTGGCTAATTGTGTAGGATGGTGGTTGTGCATGAACGCAGCGACATCGGTGCAGGGCTGGACACCAGAGGCATACCTGGAGGAGCAGGTTGCGGCGACGCCCAAGCCCGCGCCGCCACCGCCGCCGCCGGCCGCACCGCGGGCGAACGGGGCCGTGGCAGCCGCCAAGTCGAAGCCCGCGCCCCCGGCTCCGCCGATGAAGCGGCCCAACATGGCAGGACGCAAGGTGGCGCCGACGCCGCCGCCGGCGCCGCGGGACAGCGCGGTGAGCATGAACTCGCACGACTCGTCGGGCGGCAGCGGGCGGGGGACGCCGAACAGCGCGTCGAACGCGAGTCTGGCGGGCGGGCTGGCGGAGGCGCTGAAGGCGCGGCAGCACGCGATGCAGGGGCACCAGGATGATGATGATGAGTGGTGAAGACGGCCGATCACAGACAGCGAGCGATAGAGAACTCATACATGTATGTAGCGTGAGACGAGAATAAGACTAGATGTATATACATACTCGATGTAGATGGAGAGTAAGTCGTGATCATGATCATGATAAATAGACAGATTGTACGTGCAACCCCATAGTATGAACAATATCAAGAATATGCTCATGAACCAGAGTATAAATATCAAACAACCACCCCCCCTCGTAAACATCCACGCATATACACAGCCTATCCATTCAAATCCACCAATTCAACCCTCCTCTCATCCAAAGACTCAACCTAACCTTGCTTCGTCTTAAGTCTCACGTCCAAAACTCAAGTCTCAAGCTCAAACCAAGGTCGAACGAAGTTGAGGAGAAAAGTTGAGAAGTTGAGAAGTTTACAAAAACTTACTCGCCAAACTCATCAACCCCGCCGGACCGCCCGTGCCACTCGACCCGCTCCCCTTCAGGTACATCTTAAACGCCATCTCCGCGGCCGAGTTGATGGCCGATTGCTTGGAGCCGGACTAATCCTCACGAACAAAGACAGACACAAACAGTTAGCAAGATTCCGGAATAGCCGGCAGGGGAACTGCAAAACAAGCATCATGATAATCACAATCACGATCAAAAAAAAAAAAAAAAATTGATAGTGATAACAACAACAATCACAAACCAGAAAGGTGAAACAAGAAAGAAAGAAACATACCACATTGCCCCCCCCCGCATTCTCCTCCCACAGCTTCCCGGCCTGCGCCATCGCCATCCCAATAAACTCATTCTTGTCGCCGCTTCCCCCGCCCGACGAGAACATCTTCAGCGCTTGCATCGCGGCTCCCGCGCCGAGGGAGCTGCTGTCGTGCTGTTGCTGTTGTTGCTGTTGCTGCTCACCACCATATCCACCGCTGCCACCACCGTTGTAAAGGGCTTGGTGGGATTGCACGAGATGCTCCTCGTCGATGTCGTCGGATTGCTCGGCGATCTGGGACTTGCGCTCGGAGAGGAAGGACAGCGCGGAGGAGAACAGCGAGGGGTCGGTCGAGGAGTGGTTGTTCTGGGCGTGGGTTTGGGCGGAGGTGAAGTCGCCGAGTTCGGAGGAGAGGGCGGAGGAGATGAGGTTGGAGAAGGACATTTTGGGAGGGTCTTTCTTTCTTTCTTTCTTTCTTTCTTTCTTTCTTTGTTTCTTTGTTTGTTTGTTTGTTTGTTTGTTTGGCTTGGGTTCGGGTTCGGGTTCGAGGGTGGTTGGTTTGGGGGTGAGAGGGATTATAGATGATGGGGGAGAGGAAGGGAGGGAGAGGAGGAGAGGAGGGGAGAAGGGGAGGTAAAGAAGGTAACTAAGGGTAAAGTGCCCGGGTGGGGGGTTTTACGTAGGAGGGGTTGGTGGCGGTGCAGGGTATCGTTACGGTACTGTATTATGTGGGACTGGGTGGGGTTGATTGGGTTAGGCTGGTTTGATGATTGGGTTGGTCGTGTATGGTACTGTATTGGATGTACCAGATCGGCGGTGGGGCATTCAGCTGCCAAGCCACAGTCTTTACTAGCAGGACTATTGAAGACTATCGAGGGGATGGTATGACTGTACGCTGTCGAGCAAACCGAGGAAAGAGTCAAGAAAAGAGTAATGAGTAGTATGTCCATTTGGTATGCAGACTAACAGATAAACAAGTGGTATCTACGCTAAATCACAGCTCCGCCCATGCACACCATCCCATCACATCCCATCCAATCCCTGTCACCATCAACAACCCACTACAACAGCTGCAGCTCCAGCCCAACACAACTCAACTCAACTCACTGCTGCTGCTGCTAAAGCAGCAACATCTCATGCTCCTCATCACTCGTATTCCACAAGAACCGTAACTGCCGCTCGCGCTCACTCAACAAGCACCGCGGATCCTCGTCCAGTCCAGCCCCCCTCACCCATTCATTCGCGCGATCGCGCAGCCCAAACCGTTGCCCCCACTGTCGCCGCTCATACTCTAGGAAGCCCCCGAAGTGTTCATCCGTGTTGGCGACCCAGATGGAACTGCCGTCTGGGGCATAGTCCGCGCCCCCGATCTCCCCGAAGAAGTCGTGCACCTGGCGGCTCTGGTACGTCTGCGCGTTGACGATGGCGATGCGGTCGGCCGGCTCGCACAGCAGCAGGGTGCGCGGGCCGCCGCCGACGGGCGACCACCGCAGGGACCGGTACCCCGCGACGTCCGACTCGATCTTCTGGATCATCCCCCACGTGCGCGCGTCCCAGATGATCACCGATTTGTCTTGATTGCTGGTCGCGATGTGGTGCATGTCGGGCGACCAGGCGCAGGCGAACCCGAAGTCGCGGTGTCCGCGGAGGGGGTGCACGGGGCGGCCGGTGTCGGCTTCGACGACCCAGGCGTCGGACGAGTCGCCGATTAGGACTCGGAGGCGGCCGTCGGGCGAGGTGGAGGTGCAGTTGATGGCGCGGGACAGTTCGTGGTCTAGCACGAAGGTGTTCGTCTCGCAGTCCAGCACCCGCAGGTGGCGGTCGTTGGATGCGAAGATGCCCATCGGCGAGCATTTCGTCCGGCTCGGCACGATGTCGATGTGGTTGGTGATCCCGTTCGGGTCCTTCGTCACGTAGCCTTGCGCCGCCGCGCCCGCCCCCCGCACCGCGTACTCCCCCGAGAACCCCCCCGCGATGGTCAGGTCGTGCGCCGACTTCATCGTCGAGATCTTGACCGGCCCCGCCAGCCCCGACTCCACCGCCGGGCTGGCCAGGTCGATCAGACACGTCAGGTCGTTGTACGCCGGCACCCACGAGTACACCTTGGACTCGTGCGCGAAGTGCACCGTGTTGTACGCCACCACCGACATCAGGTTCCGCAGCTGGAAGTGCTCGATGCTGGCCTTGTGTTCTGTGTACATCGCCTTCCCCCGGAAGTATCCCTCCTCCTGCGGGAGCCGCGCTCCCGGCCGCTGCCCCGAGTACTCCAGGTTGTGGTATGACGTGTAAGATTGGTCGCGCAGGAGCCGCGCAAACGACCGCTTGATCCGCAGCGTGTCCCACCAGGGGATCTGCTGGAGATCGAAGTCCTGCGTCAGCCCCGGCGGTCGTATCATCTGCGCCGGCGGGATCCACCCCATCAGCTGCACGATGGCACTGCGCGGCAGTTGTGCAGGCGACTGGGAAAAGCTGGGCATCGAGCCCGCCGACGCGCACAGCCAGTGGGCGATAAATTGGTCAACGTTAAGGTTCCGTTCGCGGGCTGCCATGGTTAGCTGCATCCCAACACACTCACTCCGAGAAGACGTACTGGTTCCCACGACCGGGTCTGCAAAATGCGGTTCCCCCGTCGGATCGGCGTTGCTCGAGTCCTCGCCCTCCGAGAATGCGTTGCTGTAGTCGTCGCGCACCGAGCCCACCAAGTCTGACAGCGGCGGACCGTATCCTGGGCTGTATCCCTGGTAGAAATCCTCCAGGTCGACCTCCGACAGCGTGCTGGTGTCGTGGCGGGCGCGGAGGTCGTCGTCTAGGTCCCCGTAGTCCCCATCGTCCGAGTAGAACTTGTGCGTATCGTCCGGATCGTCATCCTCCGACAACGTCGTCAGCCGGTCGTCCACCGAGGGCTCGTAGTCCATGATCATGTCGGTCGCATCCTCGGTGTCGCTGGAGAGGGTGGAGGCGATGGGCGCGGGGCGGGGGTTTTCAAATGGGGAGAGGGCGGCCAGACCAACGTGTCCGCCCAGGTAGGGCTCCAGCGGGACGCCACCCATCTCCGACAGCGCGTCCGTCATTTCCGAGTCGGAGAGGTACCACTCCCCGGACGGCGAGGACGGGTTGGGCAGGGCGCCCGGGTCGGGCACGCGGTCGGGGGGTAGGCGAAGTCGTCGCGCTCGATGGCCGCTTGGACGGTCTCGGCCATGGCGGCGTACGACCCCTCATGGAACTCAAGGACGTTCGGATAGTGCGGGACCGCCAGGAAGGCGGAGACGGCCGATTCGCTCGAGGGGAGATGCTCCGAGACGACCGTGGCACTGTGGGCGGCCAGAACGGCGGCAGAGGGGCCGGGGTCGGGCGCGTCCGCGGCGACGACGACGCCGGGGGGGTCGTCTCTGGAGGACGACATGTTGATGGGTGTGGCGGAGGCGATTGGAAGGGAGGAAGAGGAGGGGTCAGCGAGCCGAGGGTGCGACGATCTGGGGATGTTGCATGACGAAGGGCTGGCAGATGATGGCGGGAAATCGGGCTCAGCCGGGCCAGGCATTGACAATCGTGTTGGGGTTCGCTTCGGGCGGTGGCGAATAAACAAGATTGGGAAGTGGGAAGGCTGAGTTGGGGATAGCAGCGGGTGCAGCGGGGGGGGGGAAGGGGGGGGGTCCGGGCGTGATTGGCAGCCCGGGGGGGGGGGGGGGGGGAACACAGGCGCACGTTGCTGTTCTGGATGCAATCAAAAATGCGACCAGCACGTATCTATACCGTGTACAGTAGTGGATTGGTAATGATTGAATCCCGGTGCGTCTCCTCCCCCACACGGAGGGCGGTGATGGTGTTGTGCCAGGTGGTGGGTAGAAGCAACAAAGAAAAATAGCAAGGATGGTGGTGTGGTTGTAGTGTACAGATAGGGAGTAAGTAATGTAAGTAGTAATGTAAGTAAAATGTAGAGCGGGGATGCAGTCCGACAGGGAGGGCGAATCCCAAGCGGCAGGGCGGCGTCGCACGGGGGGAACACGAGGAGAGGAGAGCCTCCGGGTTGACTCGGATGGGCGCAGCCCGAGTTAAATAACAATAATAAGGATGGATAGTCACGAGGATTCCCGGAAAGATCGAGGGGGGAGATTCGATGGGATGCAGAGGGATGCAGAGAGATGCAGAAGGATGCAGAAGGATGCAGATGCAGCGATGCAGGAGAGAAGAAGAGGGGAAGGAAACGGAGAAGACGGAGGCGGACTCGAGATGGACTCGAGGTGAGACTCCAGATGGTTGGCTGACACCTCAGACACCTCAGGCAAGACACGCGGGACTGCCTTTGTGCCTGACTATTAAGGCATACAACTACCATCATGCTCACCTCAGGCTCACCTCAGGCTGCTCGGTCATCACGCATTCATTCGTCAGTATCGCATCCGCTTTACACAGTACAAGAATTCCCTGCCTGTCCCTCGACCAAACCAGTCATCTCACTGTGCGGTCGACGCAAGGATCGCCCTCACCCCTCGTTAATTACAGTCCCCCCCCCATTACCCAAACTAGCTACAGTAGAAAAAAAAATAAATAAAAAAAGTCAAATCGCAATAGTACATCCGTCGTAAATCATGAACCGTCCGAAATATATACCCCATCACATCACCCCGAGTACGGGTCGTACCCCGTCCAGGTGGGCTGCATCCGCTGGCGACGATCTACATTCATCTGGTGTCAGCATCTATCTGGTCCTGGTGAACTGTAACTGTTCCTGCAAGGGATGCAGACGTACCCTTCTCAAAGTCCCGCCACCGCTTCATCGTGATCTGGCTGCTGTCGAACTCGCCCTCCCCGGCCTCATGGCCCTTGTCCTTCCCGTCCGACGTCTGCCGCGTGTCGCCCCAGCTGAAGTCGTCGAACTTCCAGAACGAGTACGTCGGCAGGATGAAGTTCCACACCGGCAGCGACATCAGGTAGATCATCATCCACCACACGTAGATCAGCTTGTGCGCCGTCACCACCACCAGCACGCCCGGCAACCCCAGGATCAGCGCCAGCAGCACCAGCGGGATCACCTGCACCGGCTTGTGCACGATCGAGTTGATCACCACGTAGAAGGTGAAGGCAATGGCCGCCGGCAGCACCAGCGTGCCCACCAGCTCGATGAAGATGACGAACTGCATGCTGAAGCAGAACGTCCCGCACAGGTCGCGCACCAGCACTAGCTCCATCAGGTTGTGCACCGTGCTGTTGATCCACCGCCGCCGCTGCGACAGCAGCACCGAGAACCGGTCCGGCACCTGTGTCTTGCACACGGCCTGCGGCACGAAGATCTGCTTGCGCTTCGGGAACGTCCGCAGCATCAGCGTCGTCAGGTACCGGTCCTCTCCCAGCAGCAGCAGGTTCTTCTTGTGTAGCGTGTCCACCACGTTCTCCGAGTAGTGTTCCACCACGTCCGGGTTCGCCAGGATCGGCACCCAGTAGTTCTGGCCCCCCTTCGGTGCCTTGATCCGATACATCGAGAAGCATCCGGGCAGGCACGTCACACCTCCGAACACCGACTCGAACGCTTTGGCCTGGTGGTGCGACACGAAGTACTCAAACACCTGGATCATCGTCACCCAGCTGTCCGTCTTGTTAGCGATCTTCGTCTCCCCGCACAGCCCCATCACGTCCGGGTCCTTGACCATCGCCGAGATCATATGCGTCAGGCTGTCCGGGAACACCTTGGTATCCGCGTCTACCATCAGCACCACCTCGTAGAAGTCCGGCGAGATCCCCGTCACCTGCCACAGCCCGTTGAACATCTCGTACTCCAGCTCCGTCATCCGCTCGTCGAACATCACCTTCTGCAGGAACGACATCAGGATGATCTGACTGTCTCGCTTGCCGCGGTTGCCCGGCTTGGACTTGGTCGCTTCGGCCGGCGTGCCGCACTTGACGATGATCATCATCGGCACCCGCTGCTGCTTTTCCTCCGGGATGATCGAGTCCGCCCCGTAGTCGTAGAAGCCCGCATACACCTTAGACATGTTGTGCCGCTTCGACCCGCTGGCCACCGCCACGTACGAGAACGGCTGCACCTCGTCCTTCGGGATGATCGGGTCGCGCATCATGCGCAGCACGATCTCCGGCGTGGAGTACTTCTCGCCCTTGCCCTTGATCATTCCGTCACAGATCACGAGGATCGTCTTGTGGCTGTTGGGATAGTCCGTCATCGCGATCGAGTCCAGCGTCGTGCGGATTCCGTCCGCCCCCTCCGAGTAACAGGTCACCAGGCAGAGCGAATGCGCCAGCGGGAACCCGTAGGGCTGCCATTCCGGCGGCGGTTGGGGGATCACCCCCTCGTGGACATATCCGCCTAGAGGGGCTTCCGAGTCCAGCATGGCCGTGGAGTACCGTGATTCCTGCCCACCCAGCGCCAGACTCGATCGGCTAGCCGATGGGCTGCCTCCGCTGCTGTTATACTGGTGCTTGTATACGGAGTTGGTCGCGCCTGGCACCAGCCGCGTGGTCGAGTTCTGACTGGCCATGGTGACGTACTGGTATTTCTGTTTCCCCCCGTTGCTGACTGTGTACGGGCTCGAGAACCGCGACGTCGTGGGCAGGAAGCTGGCGCGTTTGCTGGACCGATCGAGCATGCTGTGTTCCGCGATGCGCGGCCCGGGTCGATAGATGTCATTGGACCAGTCTTCGATCTGCTGGTTGCGCGTCTTGGAGTCCGTCCCCATACTGGTCTTGGTGGCGGCGTACTTGGAGGAGAGAAACCACTGGAAGAAGACGGCGAACAGGAACTTCAGCACGGTGATCGACAGGATGAAGATCAGCGAGACGTAAAGCACGACCTTGGATGCGATGCAGCCGACCGTGTCAGTGTCGATACTGCCCACCTTGATGATCTGGGACAAACACTCGCCGATCTTCTTTTCCTCGCCAGTCTGCAGGTAGTAGGTCAGGTCGACGCCACGCACCGCGGAGTTCTCGCGGAGCTCGTCAAACTTGGCCGGATAGCTAACCTGCGACGTGTTGAACCACCGCAGAAGGTTGAGGTCCAGAACGTCCCCGGAGTAGACGGCCAAGTTCCGGCTCATATTTTTGGTGTCGTCCCACGTGAAATAGACATCACCCGAGCTCTTCAGATCGTAGAAAGCCTTGCGCGCCTTCCCGGCGGTGTGGCAGGCCCAGCCAAGGTAGTACGGTACGGTGAAGTTGGGTTCGGAAGAGCCGTCTTGGTTGAAGGCGTTGCACGGGAAATACCAGGCCAGGTCCCCGTCCGAATTCGTGGGCACATCCGATCCTTCGGCGAGGGTAATGAGGTTCTTGCACGCTCCGTTGACCTCCTGGAAGAAAAAGCTTCCATCCTGGCCTCCGTATTTGTGAGGGAGGTCATACAGCACGTTGGATCCCGCCGGGATGCCCGCCGCCGCAGGATGCGTTGAGTGGGACAGGTCGTAGGCCTGTCCGTGGAAGATCATGTAGTTATCACTGACCTCATTGATCCGCATCCGCGTCGGGGGGGTCCGGCACACAGTCGCTGTAAACCCGAACGTGAGGAACCCCACGAACGCTCCGATGAGCAGAATAATACTGATCAGGCCGATCTTCTCGCGCCAGGCGCTGCGTTGGGCCTTCTGCGGCATGCCAAAGCACTTCATGACGAAGTCAGGCGCCCAGAACGTGATGATCGCGCAGTACGTGGCCCATGGGCTGGGCGGGCGAACCTGCTCGAGCGCTTCCTGCCGTCGCTTTTCCGCAACGGCTCTCTTGGTCATCTTGCGCGACGACCGCCGCTTCTTGATTCGACGTCGAGTAGTGGGCCGGTCGGTAGACTTGTTAACGTTCCCTTCCGTTACGTACACTCCGTCTTTACCTCGGTAATCCATACTCCGCGAACTGTTTGTCTCGGCTTCCCCCTCCGCTCCCAGCATGGGTTCATCCCCCGTTGTCGAAGGCTTGGTGGGCATGCTCTGCGATTTCTGGCGATAGTGGTAGTTGGGATGGCTCGGATCGACCCTATTGCGTTCTGGCTTGGAGAAGCTCTTCTTGGGCCGTGACTCTCCCCCTTCGCCTCTTTCTTCATCCACATCCTCCCTTGGCTTGGAGCTGCGTGAGCGGTGATGCCGATGGTGATGGTGACGGTGCCCGGACGGGGAAGCCAATGGGTCATTGTGGCCGCTGCTTTCGTGGGTGCGGTGTCGCCGCCGGGAGGATTCACGTAGGGGGCCGTGGAATTCTTCTCGTCGCGGGGAGGCCTTCCCCGGACGCTGAGGCATCGACATGGCCCTACATCAATCGAGGTAGCGTTAGTTTATTTCCCGAAGCACCTTCCCGTACGGGCGAAAAGCATCCAGTCGCTCCAAGGCTTCTGCGACAGAGATATCGTAGACTGACCTTTACTATCGCATAAGCGGACTGGTGGGTGAGTAAGCCGAGCGATGCGGGGATGGGTTCGACGTAGTACACAGCGCGCTGAATGCTGAATGTTAAACAACGACGCAAGTCACCGACGATTTGGATCACAGAAGGGGTGACAACAGAGATGTAGGATGATCAACAGGAACAAGCGGGCCGCCGAATGGTTGGCGCAGGCAAGCGTCCGCTGATCGCAAATCACCGGCCGAAGCAAGCAGGGAAACCCCGGGAAATAAAGCGAATGGGTCACCGGGAAGGGAAGACAGCTGGAAAAAGCCCCTGCCAAGAAGACTAGGAGAGGAGGACCGGCAATAGCGCGAGCAGATAGCGAGGCGAAGGATGGGCGAGAGGTAGGAAGAGGAGGAGGAGGAGGAGGAGGAGGAGTAGGAGGAGATGGTGGCTCAAAGAAATGGGGAAATGGTGCGGAGGCTGACCCGCGGGACAAGACCGGGGCCTGGCGCCGTAGAGGCACTAACCGTCGCTAGACACCAGTAGTGATTCCAATCCCACCTTGGCTTTCTTGGTCTGGATGGAATGGGAGGATCTACTGAGTAGATAGATGATTTCTCATTCAGGCAATTAGTAGTCGGAGTAGCGTTGAAGTGGCGGTTCAGGCACCCGTCCTGAGGTGGAGGTGGAGGTTGAGGAGAGGGACTGGGGAAGAAGACCTCGAGTTGCCCGTAAACTGGGTGGCCGTTGGTGAGACAGTCAGTATCACGGGTCTGGTCGCCAAGGCTGGCCGTCCGATCTCGATCTCCGGTGAGGAATGCACCCGAGGAATGTGAGATCTGGGATCGGTGGAGGGGGAGGGGGAGGAGGGGGAGGAGGATGATGATGGAGACCAACGTCAACTAACCTGAATAATAATTGCTGGCAGGTTCAGGATCAGGATCCGGATGTATGCCAGATCGTCATATACACAAATAACAGGCCATGTGCCGCAGCGTTGCGTCGCTAGGGGCAATCGGTCGGGGCCAGACCGAGAGCGGGTCTCCCGCCCAATGCCATTGCGCCCAGCCCAGACCCTTTCTAACCCGACCGGGCTAGCTCCCCCGTGTTCCCTCCGCGTCCTTTTTTTGAGGCAGACACTCCCTGGTCCCTGGTCCCTGATCCCTGATCCCTCCTACCCACAATCCACTTCAATGCTCTGCACAGCTGCATATCTACTCTACTCTGCTCGCCGCTCCAACTTCCCACCACCCCTGACGGTTTCTGTGCAGCACCCCCTACCAGGGAACGTGTCGGAACTTACCAATCGCCTGGCATATGCCCGCGTTCTATTTTGGGTGCCCCCCCCAATCCCCGCCACGCACTGCACCATAATTCGCCGCCCGCCACGCTCTGCTGCGGACCAATCTGCTGCCCTCTATTTATACGTGGAAATGTCTCGACGCATTCGAAGCCAATGCGCCTAACCAGCTTTTACCCGGTTCAGCCTATGTCGGTGCCGAGTAGACACACCTCCTACTGCTGTGTGACTTGCGTTGCGATCCTGCCCACTGCAGTCCGGAGCTCCGACAAAAGGGGTGCGAAAAGGGGCGAAGGAAGCACGGAGACCCGAGGCCTAACAAGCAAGAGTAGGTACGGGAGTCATACAAGACTGTCGTATAGCTTCTCCCTAATAAACTTTGGGTAAGAACCCCGGAGAGGGAGTGCCGGATCAGATGGCCCGGTCGGACTCGGGCCAGCGGACCCTGATCCAGCCCCCAGGACCCTTGAAGCATGTCTGACATCTGTATGGTCTGATGTCGTGATCCTGGATATTTGACAGCATCGGTACCGTCTTACCACGGACTAGCAGGGGTATGTCGAGCTATATATCTCTTCGAACTGCCTTGCATAACTACGACGCTAGTCATCCTACGACGTGAAGCTGTTGCTAGCTCCAGATGGAGGTTGGCTCTACTCGACCATGCCATTTTGTATGATGCTGTTGAGCGGATAACATCAGCGATATCGCCGAGCTATCAGCCCCGCTGATTGGCACTGTCGGCCGACAGGGAGCGTGGGGCTGCCTCAGGCCGGCCTTATCGCAGGAGCTCAGCTCGCCATGCCGCCTTTCTGCTCGCGTCTCTTCTATCCATCTGGACTTTTCTCTTCTCACAAACCGAACCCCCAAGTCCAACCAACCACCCTCCTCCTTGACGAGACCATCAAACAACTCACAATGGCCGCGCAAGAAGTCGTCCTGATTCTCACGCCCTGGACCCCTCCGGCGGAGTGGGTCTCCGACCTGATAAGAATCATTCCCAACGTCCGCGTCGTGAGCCATGAGATCAGTAGAACCGACACAGAGCTACCGGCAGAGATCTCCGCAGAGGCCTGGAAGGAGGTCACCGTGCTCTTCACCTGGAGACTCTTCCCGTCCCGAGAGCTCGCCCCGAACCTGCAATACGTCCAGCTGCTCAGTGCGGGGTGCAACCACGTTATCGGTCTGCCGCTGTTCGAAGACACTGATATCGCCTTCTGCACAGCCAACGGCGTGCACCCGTAAGTCTTCCCCATACGTCCTCGAAGAAGCAACCCAACTAACAACCCAGACCTCAAATGACAGAATGGATCTTCATGACCTTCCTCGCCTTCCAGCACCACCGTGCGTCTGCCCCCATCGCAAAACACCCCCACACCACACTAACAACCAGACAGTCCCGGAACATCTCGACAACCAGAAGCTCGGCAAATGGGTCGATCCTCCATCCGACGAAGACGCCGAAGACGCAGTCGGTCTCCGAGTGTGCGTGACCCCTCCCTCCCATCCGATCCCAGCTGCACCGCCAGCGGTGGACAAGCCAATACAAGTGACAACCTACTTACTCCCTCTACAGCGGAATCATGGGCTACGGCAACATCGGCCGACAATGCGCGCGCGTGGCCAAAGCCTTCGGAATGGACGTGTACGCCTACACGATGCGGGAACGCGCCACGACCGAGTCCCGCAAAGCGGATTCCTTCTCCGAGCCTGGCCTGGGCGACGAAGACGGCCAGTTCCCCTCGAAATGGTTCTGGGGACAGCACCAACTCAACGAGTTCCTGGGCTCGGACCTTGACCTCCTCATCATCACCCTCCCCCTCACAAAGGAAACCCGCGGCATCATCGCCCGCGACCAGTTCAAGCTGCTGGGCAAGAAGAAGACCTACGTCAGCAACGTTGCCCGCGGGGCCGTGATCAACACGGATGATCTGATGGCTGCCCTGGATGAGGGCTTGATCCGCGGTGCCGCGCTAGATGTCACGGACCCCGAGCCGCTGCCTGAGGGCCATAAGCTCTGGGGGTACAAGAATGTTATCGTCACGCCGCATTGCAGTGGGAATTCGACGCATTATAATGAGCGTGCGTTGAAGATTTTGGCTACGAATCTGGAGAGGCGTGCGCTGGGGAGGGAGTATATCAATCGGGTCAATAAATCTTTGGGGTATTGAGGGATAGACTGCCTACTAATCTGGGATAGACAATAAACGATAATTCATCAGTCAACATCAACATCTGTTGATGGATGGTTGGATAAGAATGACGTCATAACCTGGGGTATCGTTTAGATCTTCATCTATACGCAGTGAAGTCCCGGATGTAGATCAATGTCCTATCCCAATCTCGGGCATCTTTTAGATGGTGAGGGATCGAAATAGAGGCTCTTAGCGAATCTGGATCCATCCATAATGTGGCCTCGAAACAGACACTGCAAAGACACTTGTCTTGTAAGAGTATGTCCAGATTGGACGGACATTTTCGGATGAAGATTCTGGGAAAGCGTTCAAGTTCAGGACAGAGTAGAGAGAGTCAGTAAATGTGTAGTTCGGGTGGCTTTTGAATGGAACAATCCCATAGCCTATTGTGTCCCCTCTTCCTGTGGGGTTGGACTGCAGTCTTATTCGTTCCTTCCGCATTTTTTGCGCAGGATCGGATCTTGAAAGCAGCAAGATACATTCGGCCAGAGGGTTGATGCGTGCTCTCTGAAGGGACAGGCATGTTGGCTACGCAAGGACGAAGGGAAAGATCATGAAGGCTGACTGGCTGGCTGGTTGACTGATAGTCACCCACCAAGGCGCTGAACCTTCACAGAGGCACTGGCTCAATCTTTACCGTTCATGCATCCGGCCACAGCAAGAAGTGATACTCTCCTGGCTCCTCCGATTACGACATGACGAAAGACCTTCTATTCACCTCGGTCTTGCAAGAGGTAGCCGAAACGACTCTCTCGCTTCGCAGCTCGCAAGCAAGGCATGATGATGATGCATTCATTTCCATTTCATTAGCTTCAAGTTGGACATTCAAAAAACAGCATTATCCGAGATGCCCATATGGAGCCCCTCGTGAGGCAATGAGTTCCGAAACGGTTCGAGTGCATTTTCACACAACACACCCACCCTTATGTGCTAGGCTGATTGCGGTGACCGAAGTTCCAGTATGACCCAGAGATATGATCAAAAGGTTGAATCTATCGCATACATGTATCTGCGAAGGGTCTAGCCCTCGCATCGTCAGCCCGAAGAATGGACGCGGTTGGTCACCGATCGGGTGGGCTGCAGTGTATGCCGCGATGAAGTTATTCTGGTTTGGTTACGCATACAGGTATGCAATACGATTCAACCCAATTGAATAGCAAGGGTACCTTACTTACGTCCTGGGGGCTGGAAAGGGTGATCACGAGAGTATACACGATGAGAGGGGGAGATAGAAAGAGGAGAATAGAGTCATGAAAACAGCCCTACTTGCTATCTACTTGTGTAGATCAGGCGCACAGTTATGCAGCCAGCCGTAAATGGCAGCTGAATGTTCATGATAAGAGTTGGGGCATACATGATGATCTTGACGCAGGACACTCCCAAAGAGAATAGGATAGTGAAGATCACTATGATGCAATCCATGTAATATTGGTTGCCAAGGAAGAATTGGACAGAGTGCATGTCAAGCGGATACTTATTCCAAGCTCACCTGCTCAGGCATCTGTCTTTCAACCCCTTGCAGGACCATTTGCAGTGGATGACGGGTTTGACTCGTGGGGATATAGAACCCGAGTAGCCCTATCCTCGGATCGGATAGGATCATTGGGGGGTGTCCTACTTCTCTACGAACCGATATGCAATTCACGGCTCATCCCTCAGTTTACTTCGAGTATTCGGATATGGCTGAGGAGCACCTTGCTTCACGTACTATATTCCATTACAGGAGTATCCAACAGGAGGGTGGACCGAAAACCTCTCGTCTCAAACGGCGAGCATCTATCTTTCCAGATATTGACGTAACGCCGATCAAGCAAGGCCTGCTCATCTGATTTCTGGACCCCTCCACGATCAGGACTGGGAGAATGTTGGAATGTCATCCAATTGACCGCTATCATCAACCAGCCTTTGATAAATAACGGACCTCCGCAACCTCATACAGCCCGATGAACCATTAGCTCTCACCCGAGATCGTCTTTTACACACTTTAACCCTACTTCAACAATCCATACCTCGCCATGACTGTAGATAATACTGCATCTGCACCACCAATCGTGGGCTCCCCGCACAAGATCGCCGAAAGACAAGCACCGACATGGGACTTCAGATCCCACCCGGGCAAGCCACTCCACGAGGTTGAGCGACCGTTCTACGTGGACGACGACCGAACCGCCTTCAAACACCACGAAGACGACATGAAACTCCAATTCTCCACGGACTGGAACAAAGTCAACCAATCCAGTCACGAACAGTCAGACGTCTGCATGGTTTATTACCCACCCAGTCTCGACCTGTCCTTCGACCTTGACCTGGAGGATCGGTTATTCAGAGACCTCCAAGAATGGTCCTGGTTCCAATGCATTCCGGAATACGCCATCAAACAGGGCCTCATCACTGCTCGTTACTGCTCGCTGAAAGCAGACATCAGGTATGAGCAGCGAGCCATCATCCACCACTACTTGGTCTGGATCTTTGTGATGGACGCGGTCTCTGAACAGCTCCCCCTGCACGGCCTCCACTCGACCGCGGGCAAGGTGTATCTGGAGAACCTGAAAAGCATCATGCGAGATGGCCCAATTGAGGACATGAAGCGGCTGTTCCACGGCTCCTGTCCGGACGAGGTCCTCGACACCGCCGTCCTCGCCCAGCGCCTCCTGGCCGAGGACATCCTGCCCCTCATGCGAAGCATTCTCACACCCCACCACGTTCAAATGTGCGTAGAGACCCTCGACCTCTTCTTGGACAACCAGTACTACGAGGGCCAGCAGTACCATTCCCAGCCCACCTCCGACGTCGTCATGCAGACAAGAGCCTACACCATCGGCACGATGATCTGCGCCCTGTTCTACTTGCCCTCATCCGAGGCCCAGCTCTGGAACCCGAATGATCCGCTTGTCATTCATATGGCTATCTCGGTCGCCCATTTCAATGACTTCATGGGCATGTATAAGGACAGAGCTAGCCTGGAAAAGGGAGGTGATGCGTCCGCGGGCATGAACATGGTCCTGTTGAGCATGAAGGAACATCAGCTCAGTGAGCATGAGGCTTTGAGGCACTGCGCCCAAAAGATTAATGTCTTTTTGAGGCAGTTTGAACAGCTCTCCACGAGCCTGATGCCCGATCGTCAGCGATTCTATCATCACGTTCTGAGGGGACATTTCGCCCTGTATGACTTTCATCTGCTGGGGCTGAAGGGGAAGTGTAATGGGCGGTATGGGTGGAGGGTGCATGAGATGTAGGAATGGCTTGCCCTTTTTGCCTGACATCTTTCTTCTGTTTCTTTTTTCCCTTCCTTCTCTTTTCCACTTTCCAGTGAACAGGATGCTTTCATGGAGATGTTTGGTTCAGGGAAATTCCAAATTGTCATGTTGTCATTGTTGTCTGAATCTTGTTTCGTTAGTGGTCTACATAAATTGCCTATCTCTTGCAAAAGCCAAGACCCTTCTCTGGAAGAAACTCCCCGCAATATTTGATAAGGTCAAAAAAAAAAAAAAACCAAACGATCGATGGCTGTAAAGCAGAGGGGAAGATGTCATAGCTCTGAACCCAACAAGTGTTGAGGTTAACAGATGCCCTCGGAGTGAAGTTCTGCCCGAGTGCAAGAGATAGGGGTCTGTCACAGGATCTTTGAGCAGACACCCTCCGGAAAGAATTCTGGGCGGATGTCGAAGCTGGAGGGAGTAGGTCAATGGATAATCATGTCATGTCACACTTGAGCGAACGCTCTGAGTGAATATTCCGAGTGAGCCAACTGCGAGCGTTAGGCAACGGTAGATATAACTAGCCGTAGTCGAGAAGTGCGGCTGTTGCCTTGACATTATCTGGACTTGAGGGTGACTGTGATTGTTCTTAATATCTCTGAGCTCTTCGTGGTAGAGGGATATTAAGATAGGGCGCTATAGTAGTCCCATGGCTTCTAGTTGATGGGCTGGGGGTTGGGTTCAATCGGCCGGTTATAAGTGCTGACTGACTGTGGAAAATTGTGGACTAAGTACTCGGTAGAACATTCCAAAAAAAATACGTTGCAGAAGATACCAACTGCACCATCAGCAGTCATCATCATCACTCTCTAATACCCCATGCCCAGGCCAGTCGGGTCTGGGGTACAGATAGATTTCCCCAGACTCGTAATGATTCATATTAGCAAGACTTAATCTCGCAGAGGCGAAGTGCGCCCCCCGACCCGGCAGTCTCATATACTGGAACCCCCGGATCTCAGGAAAAGTAACATCTTCCAGCATCTCTAACGCCACGGGGTTGGAATATCCGTAGAAAACATAATCGGGCTCGACGAGCAGGACGGTATTATCGACCAATGTCAGATGATCAATGAAGAAGATAGGAAAACGAGACCCGGTCCGTCTGTTGTGACGGTTAACCTCCCAGAAGATCTTCCAAACATCGTCAAGGGTCCCATCAGGCTCATCACCCTCCCAGGGCACAAATATAGATAACTTATCACCCGATTCAGGCTGATCGACTTCACCCAGAGTGCGGATCTCGGCTTTGATCGCTTCGTCTTGTTCCGGAGTGATGTTTCTCGTGAGATAGAACATGGGCACACAGTTCAGACCGCGCTGTGTGGGGCGCCATCGCACGGGGTCATGATAGAAGGGTCGACTGGGGGGGAACATTAGCTCGTTGTCGTCGGTTTCGTGATGTTGGAGCTCATATTCCCTTGGCCTGTATGAGACTTCTGAACCGTTGGAAAATCGGAAAGAGTCACAGAAGCCGGTCGCCCGAATGATCCGATCCAGGGTCTGAAGCGATAGATAGGCGGGTTCCCGCATGTTGTAAGAGATCGTGCCAAGCTGAATGTTTGTAGCCCGTTCGATGGGTTTCAGTAGAACGTAGATCTCATAGGCCCATATGTCTTCTCGCAGATGAGATTGATATTCCTCCCATAGATCCAGCAGTTGCCGGCGCGATGCCGCCCGGTGATGCTCCCACGGGATCAGTGTGATGGGTATCTTGGGGCATTTTAAACTAATTTTTTCTGCTATGTATGTCTTCGCAGCGTTGTCGAGTGTGGCCTGGATGTTGCTGAGCTCCTCTGTCGTCGCCGGAAATCCGATGAAGATATTTAAGTGCTTGCTGTTATGGTCCATCCACGACGGCAAGGTGGCGCGAGTCTCGCGGCCACTGGTGGCACGCGTCATGATATCGGTCACCAGCTCCATGGGCAGGGGTATATTAGTCGCCAACATCTGGCTCATCGAGCGCAGGAGCTCTTCTCGCCCAAGCCGAGCCGTCGTGTCAGGGGTAAGCATGCTGCGATCTGGATCATGAAGTATCATTCCGCCGTCCCTGTAGATATCACACTTGCCTGGGGGCAGCTTTTCAGGTTTGAAGGTGCGAAGGATGGGCAGCAGCTCTGCATTGTCTGGCGCGGACCCGGTCGTTCGTCTGGCGATGACGCGAACTTCATTTTCCTGTGCTGTAGCCGGTCTGATCGCAACCATGACCACGGACAGCAGTGGGCTATCGCCGACCCGGAGATTTCCCTGCAAGTGCCTCTTGGTCAGATTGTCCGCCACGAGAACGCTATCCCAACCGGCTCGACGTGCCAGAATCGCGACCGCATGAATATTTGCCTGGCTGTCGCGGTAGGGGCCTTGGTTGGCAACCTGCTCCAAGATGCGGATGGATGGATGCCAGGTCGATATCTTCAGCTCACTCCCTTGGATAGAGTTCTGGAAATGCTGGACAAGGGAAGCTTTGTCGCCATTGTCCAGGTCTGCAAGAATGATAAGCAGTAGTGGGGTTTCCGTATCTGTGGCCTTCTTGAAGGGCGGTAGCCCGTATGTTGTAATACCCATGGCTCTTAAAATAGACCGAGAAGGAAACTGGAGGGTTGTAAAAGGTTGGAAGGACTATGATATAGATAGAGTGACGACGGAGAAGCGAGGCTGACCGCTCTGAAGGCGCCTGCATGCCCCACCAGGCACCAGCCGGGGGGGGGGGGGGGTTGCCTGGCCCAGGTTGCACCGTTGCACAGCCTGTCGCTCAGCCTTGTCCATTCCCTTTGTCATTGGTTGAGATGTATGGTAGATCTATCATACCTTTTCGGTTGACCGGTGTTGTTTTGCCCGACCCTTGCTCCATCTATAGACACCCCACAAAGTAGGGTTTAACCAGATTGGTGTATATGGGGTGTTCTGGTAAGGCGGGGTGTGGAACAGCCCTACCACGCGATTGAAAAGACGGAGATACAGGGAAGGCTCTTCATGACAAGGTAGCACATATATGAACAAGGTAAGTGCTTGGCCCAAAATTGTTCAGCGGGCAAGTTCTCAGCCGCTGTCTTCGGTCTCAGACTCATCCAAGTCAGACTCCGACCTGGAGCCCTCCGGATCCCACAGCAAATGAGGATTGTTATCGGGATTATCAACATCCTCCCCATGGGGAATCAGTTGATCAACCCCCTCAACTTGCTTCAACTTTGACGAGCCCATCTGCACGAGCTCCATCAAGGCATCGATCTGGTTATCATGCTCCGGATTCGCCCCCTTCTCATACCCCCGTATACACAGATACTCCAAATTCTCTGGCAGCCGATCCACCAGCATGACTTTCTCCCCAGAAACGCCCTTGACGCTCATGACGCCCTTTGCAAAGTACAGCAGGAAGCCAACTCCCATGCTGAGTCGCTTTAAGGAGCGGAAATCATTCAACGACCCAGCCTGTGTCCACATGGCCTCTGGCAGCGGCATAGCATTATCTTCCTCCCCCTCCGCTCGATTATCATACATTTCGAAATCATATTCCAATGACTCCTCATCAGCCCCAGTCGTAAAGCCAACAATATGCGAGTCGATATCCATGTCCAAGACCTCCAGTGTCTCCTTGTGCGTCAAGATGGCCTTGATGAAGGTCTTTGCGCTGAACCCCGGATAACCACCGTCCCTGGTTGCTCTGCCCCCAATGGAAAACTGAAATTTCCGCAACGCTTTGCAAGAGCAGATCACTTGAGCTAAATGAAGACCGCTCAAGGAGGCGTGATTAATCGAGATGTCGCTGAAACTCGATGACACAAGTTCTAGCGACTGCTTTCCATTATCGTCCCACTCTAGCAGGTCTGTGCCGACCGACTCAATTGATGGAAGACGGTCGAAAAGTGTCAGAGCACCAAAAAAGTCCATTCGATGGTAGAACCGTTCATCATCCCAGACCCCGTTTGCTTCGTTGACGATGTATATTTTTCGGAGATTCTGAAGCCACGGTTTGTCGTTGGGATCGGCGTTCGTCTCGCGCAGAAGCTGCTCGAGAGGGAACTTGATGAGCTCTATATCACCCCGAAGTTCAGGCCAGTATAGCCCCGACCAGCCGGAAAATGGCAGTGTCAGGGTCATGGAATCCAGATTTGGGGAGACTGAGATCAGAAGGGCGGCGAGGGCCTGTGGGACAAATACTCCACTCGTGTCCGGTCTGGACGTTTAGCTATTCCTTCCAAGTGAATTGACTCGAAGACGGCAGACCTACTTATCACGATAGGGAATATAAACAGGATCCGAGGTAGTCTCCTGCAGAAGCATATTCATAATCCGGCCCTCCTGTGAACCTGTGAATCCAGCTCGACGAGTGGCATTTTCTAGCAACTGCATGTGCTCGTCCTTAATCTGTCGGATGTTTTTGGATTCGACATAGTCCTTATAGGCTAGGGGATGGGCACGACAATCAATATGACGGACATATTGCCCGAGACTCGGCCGTTTCAGGATTTCCATCAGCATGTCAAATGCATGATCGATCCCGTCTGCGTGCGAGATCCGGACCTGGTGGTACTTTTCACGAGTCTTCATGTCGCACAGGGAGTGGAGAGCCCGAGACTGGAGAGACATTGCGGCGACATCTCGATTAGAGAGGAGAAAGGAGAGAACGTGTCGCTGAATGTCATAGGGGAGACGCTTGAAGTTGGGCATGTTGGGGGAGTTGGAAAGGGGAAGTGGTTTGGTGGCGTCGCGGGTCCTTTAAACCGATGCCCGGGCACCTTAGGCACCCACGGTGCTGCCTGGGTGTCTCGGCCAAGGATTCCAGGCCCTCCACCGAACTTTCTTCTCCTTCCCGTTATCAACCATCAACTTCTTTCATTCTCTCCCATCATCTCCCGTCAACCACCATCGACTGCATCTCGAAACACCGATACCACATGTCACTACAGTCTCCGCATCTCTAGCCCGACATAAGAAATTTTATTGCTGGATCAGCTGAGCGTGCTGAGAAAGCACAACAGAAGTCTAAGACTCTAAATACAAATGAGCGGCTATGACAGTGCTGATTGTATGTCCCCAAGAACAATTCATCAACCCTTGTCAAACTTCCCGGCGCCACTCCAGAGTTGTCAAGACTTTAATACCACCCGGAGGCGCCCCGCGTGCCGCAAGTTCCACATCAGAGTGACCGTCCTGGCTGTCTTCAGTCGACCACCATGATGGCGCGGACTTCCGTTCAAAGAGCATTCCTCTGAAAAGAAACTCCGCCGTCACAACACCATGACTCATCCAGGACATGCTGGGAGCCTCATTCGAGCCGTTGGGGAATTGCATCCGGCCAGAGGACTCGACTGCTGGCCGTCGTGGAGAATCAAACCATCTCGCTGGCAGGATGGCCGCGAACAAGTGCCGTACGAGCGGGAGGTTCGCACAGACAATTGTCAACTGCTCTTCGACAATGGTCCACATAAACGGCAGGGGCAGCGAGTGTGTGGGGTCCATAAAATTGATGTGCGCAAGGCTCACCACGCGGATTATGCTAATGGCACTGACACTGCAAGGGTCAGTACTTTGAATCACTTCTTTGATATGTTTAACGTACATCAGTCCCAAGCAAAACGCCAAAGCCAGCCCAAGCTTCCGCCCCACGGGCAGCTGCAGTGTCCATACGTAAGGCAGAGGAAGCAGCATGATGATGAAGTCCGTAACTATGTTCAGCACCCCAGCCACGACGAACGCAACGTTGCGATTGGCGCAATGGCCACCAGAGACTGCCCGGCTCCAATTGTATGCGAAGGGCATGCACAGCAGGAGAGACTCGAGGACGATGCTCAGGGCCCAACCCCACACGATGGCGGTGGTGGCGTAGATGGCGATTCGGAGACTTTTCTTCGTTCCGAAGAGCCGGTAGTACAGGAGCATCACGGAGGATTTGACAAGCGCAAGACCGACTCCGTACAGTGCCTGCCAGGGAATGATGATCTATCTCGGAGGTCAGCGACATTCCTTGTCAACTGGCTATGGTATTACCTTCAATGTGTACTCGACGTCGGTCAATGCAATGTCGGACGCATGAAAGCCGACTCCCCCTTGTGTGACAGCTGATCGAGTCAGAATGAAGCACGGTAAGAGTGGAAATCTACTCACAGGTTATGACAAGGACTGTCGACGCCAGAACAAAACACTGGTCCTGTTAACAAAATCCACATCTTCGTCGGGTGTCACTTACCAAGGCTAAAACCATAAGATAATCATCTAATGCCAGCCTTAGGTGTTTCTTCTTTCGAGACACGATGCGCAGGACCACCGAAAGCACCGCGACGGCCCCCAGCACACTGACCACAATGACTACATTTCGCCCCTCCTTGGCATTGAGCTCATAGTTGGCCATAGCGTTTCAATGTGGAGGACAGAACGGCACGGTCCTCCCGGTGATCACTGTGGCGGATCTTCGTTCACCTGGGACTTTCGGATTGACACTTGCAAGCTCATGAAGAACGTGGATGCAGATCAACCTGTGCTTTGAAAAAGAGAAAAATTCGAAAGTGTGCTGTGCGAGAAGTAATCTCCTGACATGGCCGGCGACATTATTTCTATGATTATTATGCAGCTAAGGCGCTACGAAGGGCTTGAAAATGCCTCTTAGCACACGATGAAATTTTTTGGAATCCGCCGCAAATTGCATGATGTCGTAGCTGATGCTGACTCGAGCCTTTCCTTGTCTTGCCTAGCATGCGAGAAACGTGCATTAGCGGCGCAGTCGCCGCACTAATAGCCCTGGCATGGGCCAACGCGGGCTAATCGGTTGTGTATGAGGCCCAATTTCCCTCCGTCCGATCCGGAAATAGGCAGCCGGCGCAGCCAGGATTCTCCTCCTCCCTGTCACTTCCCTGAACCCATTTCTCGCACATCTAACCATATTCCCCATGGATACCGACTCGGTCATCGGCCTAGGTGAGACCATCTTCGACTTCGTCGTCGTGGGCGGGGGTACATCCGGTCTAGTGGTAGCCAATCGACTAACCGAGCTTCCTGACGTACGCGTCCTGGTGCTCGAAGCCGGTACTAACCGGCTCACTGATCCCCGGATTCTGGTGCCTGGCCTGGCTCCAGCCTCATACGAGGACCCGGACTTTGACTGGGACTTTCGATCCATTCCCCAGGAGCAGCTACATGGCCGCCAACTGGTGGGTTCCAAGGGTCGCACGCTCGGCGGATCATCTGCCATCAACCTCGGGATGATAATCTACCCGTCGCAAACCGGGATGAACGCCTGGGAGCAGCTGGGTAATCCCGGATGGGGATGGCCTGAGTTTGCGCCGTACCTGCGCAAGTTCCATACTGCGACGGGGCCCTCGGATTCAATACGGGCGTTCTTTAATGGCATGCAGTATCAGCAACGGGATCAGGGATGCGATGGTCCTGTCCAAGTATCATTCGGTGATCAGTATATGCCATACCATGCTGCATGGTTCGAGACTTTCCAATCCCTCGGGTATCCCTCTAGCGCGGATCCCATCAAGGGCGGGGGCATCGGTCCCTTTGTCTCACCCGGTGCGGTCGACCCGGCCACCCACACCCGCAGTCATGCCGGTGCGGCGTATTTCTCCGAGTCTGTCCAGCAGCGGCCTAATCTGCGGGTGGTGACGGGCGCGTTGGTAGAAAGGTTGATCCTGGAGCACCGCAATGGTTCAGCCGTGGCGACGGGGGTCCAGTTCTCGAAGGGAGACAGGACTTATACCATTGCAGTCAACAAAGAGGTTATTCTAGCTGCAGGAGCGACACAAACCCCGCAGATCCTTGAGCTATCCGGGATCGGAGATGATGGTCTGCTCCGTATTCTTGGCATTGACCCTGTCGTCAACAACCCTAGCGTCGGAGAGAACCTGCAAGACCACGGGGTTGTGTCCTTTGGATACGAGGTGGCTGACGGTATGCCTTCGGGAGATATGGCCAGGGACCCGACCGTGGCAGCTGCTGCCATGGCTGAGTATCAGAAAAACGGCTCAGGACCGCTGGGAATGGTCCCGATGGTTTCTGCATTTATGCCATGCTTGGAGCTTCCCGACGAAGAACGTGCCCAACTGCTGCAACGGATGGATGACCTAAGCCAGGGAGCTTCCAGGGCCATTCTGAAGCAATCACAGGCTGTGCGCCAGTTGCTAAATGACCCCAACGAGCCCACCGTTCAATACATCCTCGCTCCGTTCCAGCTGCTCCCTCGAGCGGGACCCAGCCCGAAAGACATCTTCGGACTAGGCCACCCCGGCTTTTTCATTAGCATTATGTCCCTGCTCAGCCATCCGCTATCACGAGGCTCAGTCCATATCCGATCCAACAATCCTGGAGATAGTCCTATCTTGGATCACGGCATCCTCACCCACCCCGTCGACGTGGAGCTCCAAGCCCGGCACTCGCTATGGATGGAGAAGATTGCCGAGACGCAGCCCATGGCCACGCTCCTCAAAGAAAATGGCCAGCGTCTGCACACACCCGAACGTCTAACCGACCTGGAAAAAGCAGAAGAGGCATGCAAGGAATTGGTCCTATCAATGTACCACTTCAGCGGAACCTGCGCCATGATGCCCCGTGAAGACGGCGGCGTCGTGGACCCGCGCCTCAAAGTCTACGGCACGTCCAACATCCGAATCGTCGACGCGAGCATGTTCCCCCTTGTTCCGCGCGGAAACATCCAGGCCACGGTGTACGCGGTCGCCGAAAAGGCAGCAGATATGATCCGGCAAGATGTTTAATTTCACAACAGATTGTGTAAGTTTTAATATGAAACAAATAAATATAGTCACAAAGAAGCGAAGACGAAACAAGAAAAATCCAACAATCAGCAGGGAGCAAACATTCCCATGGATATACAGAATTCCCCAATCCCTGCTCCATCACGCCACAACAAAGAGAAAACACACACACACAGACACAGACAAAGGGGGCAAAAAAAGAAAAGTCTAGTACGCCGTGGATAAATTAAAGCTGATATTCCAGCGGCACGACCGGCCAGGCATCCACTCCATCGAGCAACGCCACGCCCAGCCCGCCATACTCGTGCATCATAACGTGACAATGAAAGAAAAACGGGCCGGGGTTCTGTACAAAGTACCGCAGGGCCAGCCAGCTCGGGCCGCCTCGGGAGGTCGGGGTGGGATAGGTATCTCGGTACTGGGGGTTGACGAGGTTGAAGTTACCGGGGATGTCTTCGACCGCTTCCGCGACGGAGGCGTACTTCCACTCCGAGGTGCCGGAGCCGATGACGAAGAACTTGTTCGAGTGTTTGTGGAGCGGGTGTTGAGGCTGTCCGCCCGTCACGTTGACGATGAGATCGACCCAGGTGCCGTTGAGCGTGGAGATGGTGTTTTCGGGGGGGATGGCGCTGCGGTTGAAGAGGGCGGGGACCGGCAGTTCCTGGATCGACATTGGGTAGGTGGTGTTGCTGAGTTCCCACATGTAGGATGAGTTGTGGAGGTGGAGGTTCAGGATGTGGGTTTGGGATACGTCCTGTGAGGGTTTCACTGAGGGGAAGGGGATCAGGTTGGATTCGGTGAGGAAGGTTGTGTTGCTGGTGACGCTGGTGCCGATTTCCGTGATGTACGGCTTCGATGGTCGGAATTGCTCGAAGGGCGGGTCGTAGTTGAGGATTGCCGTGCCGTTGATGATCTGGTTCGTGTAGCTGTTGGCTGCCCGGATAGTGTAGTTTCCTGCGGGCTTGTCCAGCTTCACCATAATGGAATACCGGGTGCCGATGTGTACCGTTAGGGCTGAGACAAGGGTCGGTTCGACGTACCGCCCGTCCACGGCGTAGATGTACATCGGGTGTTCGTCGATCGAGAAGACGAACTCGCTGCTTCCGGCCATGCTGCTCACGTCGTAGCTGACCCATTTCCAGATCGGGTTGACATGCAGAACCTCCTTTTCACCTTGGGTGGGTTTGCAGCCTTGGTAATAGCCCGTAGGGATGTTGGTTGCGTTGAACGGGAAAAAGCCCAGACGAGAGGGGGTGGGTGGCATGCAACTTCACAAACAGGGTCAGTCAGACAGCATTTCTTCCGGGGGAAAGGGTTAGACTATACCCCATATCAGTCATATTCCTCCCGTTGAGCACCTGCTTCAACTCCGATCGAGTGAGGTCATTGATATGTTCCTGGGACGGGCAAATCACGGAGCCCTTCCCATTCAACAAGATGGAGCTGGCACAGTAGTTCTCCACGCCCGAGTCTTCCTCGATCTTGATGATTTCATCCGAGGTGAAAGTCCGCCAGTCGGACAGGATAATGGGATGGGTGTTTCTTTCCGCGCGTCTCAACGCCTGGATCTGTTCGGGATCGAGGGAAATCTTGGTGAACGGTCTCTCCAACGAGGGCTTCGGATCGACGTAGATGGCGCCGTAAAGCCCGTCATCCAACTGCGCGGAGTGATGAGAGTGGTACAGGTATGCGCCATAGTCGTCGGCCCTCCAGGAATACGTGAATTGCTCGCCGGACTTGATGGATTTTTGCGTGAGACCGGGGACGCCGTCGGACCAGGGGGTGCCTTGTTGTTGGATACCTGAACATATATCGTCAGACGGTGACCAAAATGGGAAGTTATCAGGAAGGACGAACCGTGCCAATGAATACTCGTCGCAAAAGGCATCGTATTGTTAACAACAATACTAACATCATCACCCTGGTTCATCCTCAACGTCGGACCAGGAAACTGGCCGTTCGTCAGGATCGTATTCTTGGTTATTCCAGCAACCTCATGCTTCTCCCATGTCAGGTCGAGCTTAAACTCGACCTTGTCGCAGTAGACCCATTGGACGAGGCCCAGGAACGCTGACACCGTCAGCTTACAGTGGGATATTCTCATGTTGTCGATAGTCGTCAATGCATATGTCGAAGTCGAGTCAATTCAGAAAAGCAGCAGACGCCGGGGGGTTCTGTTATTATAAAGCCGGAATTTGTTTGGTGTGGACATACTACATAGCAAGCTTTGTTTGTCTCAGATAAGACTACGTGGGCTGGAATGTAGGGGCACTGTTTAGGGTGGGAAATTTGCCCGTTAGGTTGGCTGAAAACAACAAACAATGGCATACAGTCCGAGACAATTGTGCTGGACTAGCGGGAAAGAGCTAATGGGGTCATCTAGTGGTTGTGGTTGAAGAACTTAGTGGCTGGCTGGTGGACGAAAACAGGGTCTGTTCTCATGGATTCCGCCAATGGTGATAGAGTGGACTTTAGCCACTGACAGGCGTTTATCATGGATAATGACTTATAATTTTACTCATATTCACCGCAGGAAGATATCTTAATCACAATTTGCTTGCAGTATACGGATGGTTGAAAACAACGAGATAGGGCTAACGTGTCTGATCCCCGAAGACGGTGGAGACTCAACAACAACAACAGCAAAACCAACCTCGATTCTTCGACACCAGGATGAAGGGCAACAATGTGTCCTGACTCAGTCCACCTACGATCAAGAAACTATTAGCCACATATTTCCAAGACGAGCCTCACTCGTGTCCGATACTCCAGCTATCCATCCAGGAATTCCATCTAACAACCACAACCAGCAGCTCAACCCCACCACCCAAAACAGACAAAAGTAAGCACGACCAGCCCAAAAACAAAACAAACCCCGAGATCTGGAATGCGCCACTAAGCAATACCAAGCCTTGTGCACGGCTCAACATCGGGATGTTGCGCCGGAGATGACCTGCATTCCGGACCCGGCGGCTAGGGAGGGACCAGCTCGTACCGACGAATGCGAAGGCCCGAAACGAATGCAAACACCACATCCGCACACAACAATCGAGAAGCCACAGTTCCGCTGCTTTTTTTATTTCCATCTCCATTGGATCGCGGATGGGGGGTCTGCATGCCGGGGATCAGGTTCGGGTATGAGATGACGCTGGGGGGTTTGCATGTTCCCAGGAAATAATGGCCGGGTCGGGTTGGGTCTAAGGGGTGGATGTAGTGGGCCAATCGATCCCTGGATTGCGCGTGCTTGGGTATACGAAGACAGTTTCTGATATTTTTAGCGCTTGGATAGCTGATAGCGATATATTTCGAATGATTCCGTCATCGGATATCATGTTTGTCGGCTAGCCGGGGTGGCTATTGAAGCAGAGGAGACAATTTTGGAAGCGCCGGTGGGATAACCTGGAAGGTCTTGCTCGATATCTTTCTTTGATAGTTGTTTTCGATGTTGTTCTTATCCTCAGTTCTTCGGTGGCTGATACACGTCACAGCCTGAGTATGTTTCCTAAACTCAAAGACTGCCTCGCAAATGAGTATTCTATGTGTTCTTAAACGAGGTTCACTACATGATGTTTAGTTCCAGTCAAATGAACGCATCTGAATATGCTGTAGAACTTGTACATTTGATATTACTGCCATCCAATAAGATACTCGCTTCTCACGTGAAAAGTCCATTAGGAAATGATCCTTGTCCTTGGTCCTCTTCAAAAAGGGTCTTGGGAAACGATGGCATCAATTAAAGTGAGCTGTAAAAAGATTGTCATAGAAATAGATCGAGGCCCCAGGTATGCTCGTACAAACACATTGAATGGGGTTGCAATTGCACTGGTATGGAATAGAAGTGGGGCTAGAATCACATGTGGGAGAGGGTTAAGTTCAGCCATCACAGCACTGGGTGTTAACCGATATATATCGCTGACCCGACCCAACATCAGAATCAAATCCCGATAGCAGTACCCCCATCGTGCGCAGTTCGAAATACTTAAAATGGATCGTATCAGGACAAGGAAATAAAGCCGAATAATCATCAGAACATTCTTCATTTCCTCTTCCAAGGATGAGGGATAGCGTATTCAATTTCAGACATCCCTGTAAGCATCACGTGACCGGATCTGTTTTGTTTACATTCCTCTTCTCCTTGTGCCCCTCATCCTCACCATAGTCGCCATGGCTGTAAAAACATTGTATCTAATATTTTTGGACTAAATGCTATCGATATGTACGGCGGCTTTCGCTATTCTATGCAGTCACCCCCATCCTACCCTGAAGACCCAACCAGAGGCTACCGCCCAGCATCCTCTAAAACTAACCTAAAACTAAACCCAAAAAGCGACTAGAATGATTGCCGCCGAAACCCGAAATGAAGAATGGCCGAGGGGAGTAAAGGGACTTATTGATAAGTTCCTCGGCCAGGTATACAATCACAGTGAATATGGCTGCTTGCGTGGCTGAAACAGCACCGCGTCCCAGCGGCCGACAGCGTATCTATATCCGGGCTACGTTTCGACCGTACCCTTAGTTCAATATATTATGGATGACACATATGGCTCCTCGCCACCGCTTGACTGCCTCAAGGTCCACTGAGTCGTCACTTGTGTATTGAATCTGTTCATTTTTTCTTCTCATTATGTTGGTAACTGATCATCTTTTCCTTGGTAATGGTCCTCTGGCCCTTTTTAAACTCGTGCAGTTGATTAAAGAGAGGCCTCGGAGAAGGTTATTGTAAGAATTTAGAATACCTGGTATTCGTATTGAAGATAAATCAACCTAGAAAGTAGTGATATTGTGCAGGAAGGACTTCTCCAACTTCCACCGTGCTTGGGTATCGAGAGTTCAGGGCCATTATGGTCATTATGGCAGGTATCAAATCGAAGTGCCGATTCCAAGGCCCCAAGAATGAGGACAGAGAAAAAAGGTGAAAGTGAAAGCCGTGACTATTGTATGTCTAAAGCGTAACCCTCGCCGCCGAGCCTTCGAGATATTTATCCAGGATGTACCGGGAATTGGAAAGCCTGATCCAGAGACCTGGACATCAGCGACGCTGGGTCAACATCATAGGAGAGGGGGCAAGTTTGCCAGACGACTCACGACCACTTGATATTTCCCAGCATCATGTTCTTGCATCCTTGGATGAGAACCTGGACATTATCTTTAGTCTCCTGGCTTAGTTGCTTGAATTCGCTGCTCATCTGGAGTAAGTATTCTGCTCTACTGAAGGTCCTCCTTGACTTCTGGAGATCTTTGATCACGTCTTCCAGAGCGGTCTGGGCACTATCTGTATCGAGTTGCAGCATCTTCAGTGGTATTACATTGTCGAACCGGTCTGCAGCCTGGAAATGGAATCAGCGGCAGGTACATGACGGTGTGGAGGAGAGTATACTTACGACTTTGTTCTTGAGCGATAGGACGTCGTTGACACTGAGAATTGGAAATATAAGCTGGATATTTATCCGAGAAACAGGTAATAAAATTACTTACATGATACAAGATACAGCAGTCTCTCTAAACATAGTCCTGGATGTTTCATGACTATAAACCCAAGCTGGAATAGTCAAGGCGTAAGCAAATCTGGCCAGTTGGTTAGCGACGCAGCGCCAGAGGTATGGCACGCGGATGTATCAGGACCGAGGAACCACTTACTCCATTGCCATGATACATGGGAAGGCACCAATGGGGTGTATTCTGTTAAGCAAATACTCGTCCAAAGTTGGGACTTCTTTGCTGCGAGTCTCCTGCACACTGCACACCGAGTCAATATATTTGTATAGGGAATCGGCAAACCGGTTGAGTGCATCTGGAAAACTCCGTACTATCCGTTAGCTAAAATCCCCAGGTAGAAGGGACTGGAAGTAATAAAACGGACTGACCCCTGCTATGCCCAATTTGCATCGCCTCTCCAATCTCCTGAAAGGAATCGCAGTTATGATACCCCTGGATAGCAGGGCGAGCCAAACGAGTTTGATGATAGTTGTCGGGGTCCAGACACCACCGCAGAAAACCCTTCGAGGCTTGACCGTACGCCTCCGTTCCTTCCCGGTCGTTTCGTAGATTACTACAGCCGAATTCTTTATTCGTCAGTCAATTCAGCCAATGTAGCACAGATTAGGTAGGGAAGGGTGTGGTACCGTCATTCCAACAGAAGAACTGGCGTTACAAAGAAGTCAGCACCCCCTTTTGTTCATACAGGCATGGCTTGGATTGCTTACCCAGTACATAAACTGAGCCAAGGGTCGAAATCGCTCCACAGAACTGCCAGACCAGAAGTAGCCGGCCAACATCGCGGCGTTGCTTCTCTTCAGTTGCTGTTGTTTCTTTGCACTAGGGACATAGCTGCATATGATTAGCCTGAAGGCACCAATGATTCATGATTGCGGATCACCCTACCGCACGAGGAAGTCGCCTTCGATCTCAGCCTTGAGTTCGCGTTCATGATCATGCCTCCCTACTGTCCAATCTGGGTAGATTAGGGCAGCGAGGTCGGGGATCAGCAGGGATTGTCCTCTGAGCGTATTTGGGATGGCCGCACGTTTCTCGGAGAGGTCCATCGTGGTTGCCATCTGAACAATATCAAAGGGAAGTTATCTTGTTAAAAGCTATGCTGGCACTGTAATAAGTCTCTCATATGCTCCTTTATGAACAGTGAGGGCGGTCCACAATATGCTATCCAGATGGTACCGGTGAGCGTGTGTAGCTTTATTATCCCACGGGTTGACTAGAGCCAACACTGATGACATCTCTGGAAGGAAACATTACCCAGATTGATAGTGAATACTACTTTTCATCACTGGTTATCTTCACTGTACTGACTGGGTCAGCGGGAGGGAGCTAGGCTGAAGGAAGCCTGCGATTCAAGGGGATTGGCTTTGTGAAGTTAATGGGAGAAGATTTGCTCCTATTTTAAAGATTTCAAAAGGTAATTTGGGTCTTGAATACTTCGCACCGACCTTATTGCCTATTCCACCATATGAAGCCGATTCAACGCATACATTTTCTGGTTCCCAGGAGTTAGAAGCAGAGACAGGCTCTTTATTCTTCGACTACCAGGTCTAAGTGAATCAGCTGGTAGGCTCCCTTATAACATGTTATCTTTCCCCAAGTCTGCTACCTATATTTCCTTCGGGTATCTGACGGGTTTCACAAACACACAAAAACTAATCTCATCATGTGGCATCTCCTGCTCGCCTGGGCATTTGCCTACCTTTTCCTGAAAGGCATCTATCGCCTCTACTTCCACACCCTCAGACACATCCCAGGGCCAAAACTGACTGCTGTCACATACCTCCATCAATTCTACCATGATGTAATTCGCGGTGAAAGAGTTCTTTGCGAGATTGAAAGAATGCATGAGAAGTATGATAAGGGCTGTCCCGCCCAAGAAATGGAAACCAGCCTCTCATTCAATCATATTCTGACCTCATTTCCAACCGTAGACCAATTGTGCGAAGCACTCCTCGCGAAGTCCACCTTACAGACCCCTCATTCTACGACAAATGATGGAACAGTCAATGGATAAGCAAAAAAGGCCATGTAGAATGTTGAAAACTAATAGATTAAAAGAAACACCCCACATCATCCTACACTGGGAGACATGGAAGGGATGATCACATGATTAAGTGAATATATCAAATGGTGGATCCACTCTTGAAGACTCGCCCACAGTTCATTTATGAGAATGTATGTTCCAAAGTCATATTGCTGAGCGCTACCTTACGCGCACGCCCTATACCCTTCTCTTGATGATCAGATATTTGCTCGGAATTCTGTTCTCAAAGTGTCCATTGTGAGGTCACATGAGGGGCTCCACTCAAATGGGAAGGGGGTGCTCCTGTAACATTCCACTAGGAAGCAGTACAGCTTGGTCACATACCCTTCCCGCTTTAGGAAACGGGGGTCGCACGAATGCGAAGTGAATGCTTGACTTGGTGGGGATATATATTCTTGTCAACTTTCATCCGAGACTCTGGGTTGTATTACGCTCCTGGCTCATGAAACTCGCAGATGAACTCTGTCTGTCGAAGTATTACGTATTTGTGATACACCTATGGGTCTACTCTGGTGTTCCCTTCGACCATCCCCTCCACCAAATTAGGCGTCTGCCGCAGGACTACAATAGAGGTTCATCATAGGTTCGTTGAAAAAATGGCATTAAAAAGATTCGCCAAAGGAAGTAGACTGAAAACCCAACTCCAACCATGCTCTTAACCCCCAAGACTCCATAAAATGCAAAAACCCGACAGACACGACCATAAAACAAGATCCAGTCGCTAGACTTTCCAGCTGTCCATCCCCGCCAACCACAACCCCCCGTACACCATCGAAACCTACCCAATAACCCTCCTAGCCCTACACATCTGCACCGTCGGGCGTCTCCGAATCAAAAACATCTTCGCTGCGCGATACGGCGCCGGGACCGAGGCACAGGACGACCCTGAAAGCACCCCCTCTTCGCCCACCTGTTGCCTCCCACCACATTTCCTGACCCCATCAGCACACGTCCGCTGCACGAAACCCATAATCGTGCGCAGACTCTCCCGGTCGCGGGGTATGAAGTGGCCCCCGAAATAATGCAGGACCTCGGGCGCGACGAACGAGTTCACGAGGAGCTTGCTTTTCTCGGCCGCGACCATCGTGTCGAACGCGCCGATGGCGTGGAACGAGGGCGTCTTCAGCATGGTGCTGTACAGACTGCTGTAGTAGTTCATTGTTCCCTTGAAGCCGCAGAAGCTGAGCACGAATTGCAGTGGTTGTTGGCCTGGGAGGCGCGCTAGGAGGGTTTTTGCCGGGAGGCCTTGGTCTTCCATGGATTGGATTCTGTAGGGGTTGGGATCGGTGGCGGCTTCGAAGATAGATGTGAGCATCACGGCCAAGGCACCGCCTTGTGAGAAGCCGATTGCGCCGTGAATGGGCTCTCCGTGGAGGAAGTCGATGAGGTAGTGTAAGGTCTCGTTGAGGAAGACGTAGCGGCTTGTGTCGTCGAGGTTAAGCCACCAGGCTTGGTTTTCCGAGTGCTCGGGGCTGGGGGAGGTTCCTGGGGCGTGTAGGTTGATTGGGCCGTCGGGGAAAAGGAATTCGATTCCCCCCGGATATTCTTCGCTTAGGGTTGGGGTGATTGATTGGGTGATTTGTTCCATTAGGAGGCGCATTTTGATGCGGAAGACTCGGGCGGATTGTGCGTAGCCTGGTTTGGAGGGTCAATGGGTGATGGGGGATTGGGGTGTGGGGGGTTGTGCGTACCGTGAAGCATGAGGATTCTGAACTTCTTGCTCTTTTGGGAGGTGGTCCTTGCTGACTCCATGATGTCGATGTAGAAAGAAGCTGGTGTGGAAGATTGATGGTATAAAACAGTACGCACAGTGTGTGAATCCCGGCTGTTGTTGATTCCATTCTCTGCACGGCGCTGCTTACCCTTTATATCATCGAAGAGACCTCAGCTGGGGTTTCACTTATCTCCTTTCTCTCCCTGGAGATGGAGTTGTGGAGATAGCTAGCTCATTGCAGCTGACCATTGCCGATAAGCTATGACACTTCCAACCCTGCGCCACAGAACCCACTCCAGCGACGCCCTGTATGGCTTCAACCCTTCAACCCACCAATTGCGCAGAGCCAGGGTGCGATTTCAACCCGACAATGTATCCCACCTTTGACTCGACTGGACGATAGGAAATTACACATTCCCCCAGCGCTTCCACACCCACCTGTCCCAGCAGGCAATGAGCATAGAACCCAGTAGACCAAACCATCCCATCCACAATCCAGAGACCGTATTCCCACCAAGCACGGGCTAACAATAAACTTCATCGGGCATACAAAGTTTCTTGCTAACAAAAAGCCATGAAACGTGGCTGACACCAGAGGTCCCGAAACCTTTGCTGCCTTTTGTCTTCGGATACGCCGTAGTGTGACTCCTTTGGCACTAGGGGCCAGTCCATGCCCGAGAACAAGATCTATTGATCTATTGTCGTCGAGAGTGGGTCTCTGGGTTGCGAACGTACCCGCTGCCTTGGGCTGCAGCCCCGTCGGCTAAAATTTCCTGTCAGATCGATCATCGCTCAGCTGTTTAGGAAGAGGGGGGGGAGGGTGGTGACGTGGTTTGGACTGGAATGTAAATAGATACGGAGCACAGAGTGTAGGTAGTTGTGTCTATGCTCTATCCCGTAACTGTTGTTTTTCTTTCATTTCGGAAGATGTGGTATGATGGTATGTTCATTTCGTGATGCTGTGTTGTGTGGTGTCTGTAGATTTGAGGTAGGGCTTCGATTACCTCATTCGGTCATAGTATACAGGCTGGAATCTAGATGGAATTTACCTGAAAGATCACAGAAAAGTTTGATCGATAATCTTAAAATAATTATCCTCTGACCGTCTCCTTTTGATCCCCCCGAGCTAATGCAGTTATCGCAACGCAGGTTTTTCACTGTGGCTGACTGGACTCTCCAAAAAGACAAACAAAGACCCGCATCTGCGGCGCAGCTGAAGCTGTCACCCACAAACAAACATATCGGCATCTCCGGGGAGTCCCGAATCTCAACGCAAACTTACGGAGTATGGAGTAGGCATGTCAAACCTACCACTAAGGGGTATGTAGTCCCGATTTCCCCAATCCAAGACAGTGCGTAATACTACATTTGCAACGTTCAAGCCTCAAAGGCTCAGGTTCAGGCTCAGGTTCAGGCACGAAAGTTCCAGGCCCTCGTCCATCCCATCCATCGGGTGAGTGACGATTCGACGAACGCGATCGCCGATATGGAGAAACTTTTTCCGCATCAATGGCAATATATCCAGCGACTACGAGTATTTTTTCACCTTGACCGGCTGAGCTGCCGTGATAGCGGAGAAGAAGAAAATTCCTTACTGGGCTGGGATGGCGGACTATTGGTTGTGGCTTGGTTAGCGCGGGATGTTATGCGACAGTAGTCAGATACGGGTTGGAAACTTTTTGTTTCAAGCTTTTCTTCCACATGGTAAGCGGTGGGATGTGATCCTGTGAGTTGGAGAGATTGTTTTGTATTTTGTGCTTGTGTGGTATCAGAGGGGGGTGCTAAAAAAAGAAATCGTCGAGATGGTTAGGGCTGGTGGAGTGTGGCTGTGGCTGTTGCTGCTGTTGTGGCTAAAGCTGGTGCACTTACTTACGTCCACACCCTGTACAGTTTCACTTGTCGGATAGTGAACAAATGATTATCTAGGAGAGAGATGCTGCAGGCATGCTCGGAATCTCTATCGTAACCAAAAGTAATCATTTTCGACTACAGTGCTGCCTACTTATGGGGAAGATGCCCCTGAATCAGTGCTTCCAGTTGGCGATTGCGCAGATTATTTCACCAGAAAAATGTCTGTATTAGCAGGGGTATAAACAGAAGACTAGCAATACAAGCAAGGGTCTCAGTACAAGTCGAAGGTCAAGATCCAGAGCCTCTCTGCGAATCCATTTCCAAGTGATCCTTTTGACCCTCAGCGGGAGTGGAAGTGCCATGAAAGTCTCCAGACTGCCCCCTCCGAGCAGAACCCATCGACACATCCCGCTGTAAAACCCTCCCCAGGACGCGATCAACCCACCCCCGACACCTCACACCCCTCACACACACAGGATCAATCTGCCTCTTCGCCTTCGGCACAAAAGTCAGATACAACGGGAACACAGCCCCAGCACAGAACACCGCCACCAGAACACAATAAGAGTAAGTCACCCCATGTGATTCCGACACTCCGTACTGAGCGAAGGGGAGGAACGCGCCACCGCTAACAGCAGTAGCTAGAATCGGCGCAGCGGTCTTGGTATGCCGGCCCATTCTGCGCAGGGAGATGGTGAAGACGGTGCTGAAGATGCCGCTTTCGAAGAGATAGACCAGCAGGCCCATGATCACAGCTGTGGTGCCGCTGGTGCTCATGCAGAGGATTGAGAAGATGATTGTGCAGGTGTATGCGATCGAGAGGACCCAGCGGGGTTTGAGGAGATATAGTACAAATGCGGTTATGAAGCGGCCGGCGGCGAAGATGGCGTGGCCTATTGTGAGGTAGTCGAAGGGGGAGAGACGGGAGCTGATGGGGGGTGGTGTTAGTAGGTAATGGAGGTGGGCGGGTGGGTGGGTGTAGGGAGCGTACTTTGGGATCGAGGTGGAGACTAAAGTCTCGAAGCTGGTGGATAGGATCTCTTGTCCGGCTGTGTAGAAATAGAGTGAGGTGGCACCTAACACCAGGGTGATCCAGATCACAGGGACGCCCATGATTTTCGTCGGATGGGTTTCTTCATTGTGCGTCGCTAGTTCCTCCAGGTCTTCGTCGGGTGCTTCTGGGAGAGGCACGTAATACAGCACCACGGCGAGGATGAGGACAAAGAATGCGATGCTCAGATACGTCCACTGAGGGTCAACAAGGGCCGTGTCCCGGGTGACACTCCTGAATAGCACCTTCTGGGCCAGAAGAGGCGAGACGACGGACGCCGTGGCCTGAATGCCCTGCACGAAGTTCAAGCGGATTTCAGCGTATTCAGGTGGTCCGCAGAGAGCGATGAACGAGTCGGAGGCTGTTTCTAACACCCCGAGGCCTATGCCAATGACGAGGTTGGAGACGACGAAAGCAGGGTATGAGAGCAAGACGGCAGAGGGCCAAAATATCAATGTTCCGCAGGCGTATAGGCACAGCCCTGTGATGAATGTGCCCTTGAAGCCCCATTTCTTGAGCGTCCAGCGGCCAATCAATAATGGGCTAAGCAGGTATCCGCTGAAATATGCACTGTGATTGCCCAGGAATTGCCAGGAGTTTAGACCCAGGATGTCCTGGAGGCGAATTCCTAAGGTCCCGAGAAGGCCGTATGAGAACCCCCAGACGAAAAAGATGATTGCAACGATCGCGAGAGGGGCTAGTGATTCTTTGTTGGTCAGCTTTAGCATGCTCTTTGGTTTGTTCATCTGCACAAAGTCGACAAAGTCGACAAAGCCATAGTTCTGATTTGTGGGAGAGAATTCCATGGGGAGGGCGCCAGTTGACTGGGCATCTGCAAAAGTTGTGTCAGGATAAAATCACAGGTCTTTCGAATTGGAATACGACTACCTAGGCGGGATTCCAACGGATATGCATGTTCGAGCATGTCTGTTGATCCTTGATATCCCCGCTGTGTTGCTAGTCTTGCATCACTGTCGCGCGTATTCCTCTTGTGGGCAAATGTTCCACTGCTACTGGATGCTGAACGAGTGATCTGTCTGTTAGAGAAAAATACAGCATTGGGCGAGGGCAAAGATGGATAGAGTGCCGCAGGAAACTGTAGGCTATTCTTCGTACTCCCATGTTTCTTATGAGTGACGCCAATGATGGCTGGGACAACCCGAACAACAAGTGGTTTCAGAAGCGGAATGCAGGTGCAGATAACAGCCATATTGACCTCCGCGACAGACCACATCATCGACAAGGCAGCGGGTGCTATTCAAATGATCAGTTATATCCACAAAGGCATGAAAAAGAATCGAGCAGGATATACCTGAAATCTCAACTAACGTCGTGCCATCAGTCTGTCCTTGCGTCAATGATGACTCCTCGCTATCTGTCACGGCGCGCTGGATGTAGATGATCCGAATGACATCGATGATGGTTACAAAGATTCCGCAACCAAACAGCCCAGTGACAATAACCTTCTGACTCCGAGGCAGATTCATATTGGTCAACATGGGAATCGGCAGAAACAGAATCGCGAGGCCTGTGAGGATGTTCACCGGCGCACTGGTCAAGGCCAGCGAGATGACATTCAGACATTTTGCTGTTGAGCGCAATGAAGACGTAAATGCAGCTGCGACTGGACTGCACTGGAACACATTGAGGAAAGTCAAAACCAGGCCGGCCACATTCACCACGAAAAGGGTAGCGTAGATGGCCAGTCGGAACGTTGGATGGCCTTTGGCGAAGCTCAAGTAGAAGACAAGGAATGAAGTCTTGACTGTCATCATGGCTGGGTTCTGGATGAACATGGTAAGATGTTATGTCTTCATACAATACCAGTTGGGGTGCATGTTGGACTCACATGAAGCACAATAAATGAATAAACAGATCGCACGATCCGATCCCGACACTCCGGGTCTATACTTGCAGAAGGAAGACCCAGGCCATTACTTGCTGCATAAAGGAGCGAGAAGGTGAAGCCAAAGTCGACCATCTGGATATTGTTATTTTCATTTCCCTGCTATATTGGCTGGCGACTTACCCAGGCCAGCAGGCACCAGTAGTCATGTTGGTGGACATTTTTGACTATGGCAATCCGGGTGTAAAAGCGGAGGATGACACAAATACTTGCCACGACAAAGAAGGCGATCGAGACACCTATGACAGGACCCCTTGCATCGCTCATGATCGAAGCAAGAACCCCGTCCCTGCCGATCGGGAGGAAAGGGGTGCGTGCGTGCACTGGCGCCCAGCCAGAGCCCCTTCACACGGTAGAGTCCCACGAAACAACACGCGCAAAAGAAGAGGCTGGATCTAAGTTCCTGCCGCACAGGGACTTCATCATCCGCGAAACCAATATGCCGAAGTAAGCAGTAGAGAGCATGCGAGGCAATCCATCCACCCAAGGCGAGTGCAGGGAGAGGGGGTGTCACCAAAAACCTAGACTGACAGCTTTCAAAGGTACAATATGGCCCCAGGCGGTAGATTTTCTAAAAGCCCTAGCGAAGGAGGAGACGGGCAGGAGGATATATGACATCACGACCACGAAATGATAGGCACGCACAGAGTGTCCCAAACTCCGAACCATGGCGGATCGGCCAGTTGATCCGTGGGTGGCGGGTACAAAACCCTAACGCCAATCGGCCGCGACTGGCCTGTATGGTCGGCACTGCCCGACCGGTGCACGAACTACCATCGTGTCGAAAGCCTATCGGCTTGCTTGAACTTGTTGGGAATCTTGTACCAGGCTGGTCGGCTGAAGGGTCCGTGGAAAAGAAGCGCAGGGGATGTTTGGCAGCGTCTTGCTTTCTCATTGCTAGCTGGCTCTTTCTAGCGGGGTCGCGCCTGGACCGGCGGAATCCTTCGGGCTTCTGGGCCACCCAAAGTTCGCCCCCAGAGATGGCTCTGGTTCTGGGGTTTTCTCCATAACTGCGAAAATTTTCCACACCGGCACTACCAGCTGAAAGTAAAGGTCAGACCAGCTCTGTAAAATCCCACCACACAAAAGTGTTGACTGAGTGAGTCTGAGACAGTGTACAGTGTACTGAGAGGTCAAACGACCGGTGATCTAACAGTCTTTCGGCACATGCCCTGCTGTTCATCTGACTTTATTTCGGATTCTTTTCTTTCGCGTTGATAGCTTCTGGCACTGTAGTGATCTTGGCCAAAAACTTGCCTAATTATTATTCTTGGGAGTCTGGGCCCACTCTTCGGTGTCATGATCCGCCATTTGGCGACGTCGTGAATCTGCCCACTCTATATACACTCATCACTTCCATTCCTCATTATGCACACATCCCGGGAGCATCACGCCAGAGGGACCACAGGCCAGCAAAGCCCGTTCCCTGGAAGAGATCACCGGAACAGATTCACCCCGATCCTCCACCAGCCCCGTACTCTAGATTTCGATGAATGGCTTGACCTTCGGCTAAGTGGAATATCAGCGCGATTGGGCCCCTGTAGACTGTCGGGAGCGCTGCCGGAAGTGAGACCGACATGCGACGGAATAGTTCGTTCGTCCTTGAAGGTTATAGACGTCCCACTGAAGGGCGGATGAAAGTCGGGGTTGAAGCTGGCGCCTGATATACGTCTTGATGAGTCGGGCGGTACCGACGAGCACCGCATGTGTTGTCCCTCCATCATGAATTGTGCGGTCACATCGTCGAGGCTGGAGAGCCCGAACTGGTCTTTCGCTAGGTGCAATTTTCGTGTCGATGGGAGTGTGGGAGATGAGGAAGCCCGACTGGCTAGGAATTGGATGAATATTGAGGTTTCAAGGAGATCGTAGGTGCTCTGGACGATTGGGTCGATGAGACGTGGAGAGGGAGGTGATGTGGCATTGGTGAGCTCGATCAAGCGCTGTCGATCCTCCCCTGTTACGTTAATTTCACGGGGCGATCCATTGGAGATGTAGAGCGCGAGAAGCTGTCTCCAGAGTACCATCAACTGCTCGAGCTCCGAGTCTGATAAGAATAAATTGGATTCGTCGTGTGGTTGGCGGCTGGCGTAGTAGGTCTTCTTGTAGTGGTCTGTTTCTACCAAGAACTCCAGAGCTTCGGAGCAGTGATTCTGGGAGAGATACTCCACAAAGGATTCCAAGGTGTATGGGTAGTGGGCGGTGTTATCCAGCACCTCGGCCAAAGTGGGAAGTTTTTGGTAAAGAGACTCGGTGGAGATACGTAATCGGGGGGCCGAACTGTCGGAAGATGGCGCCATGCTTGGCTTATCCTTTGGTGATGCGTTCTTCAACTGATTGGACCATGATAGGAGACAATGAATTGATACGATCAGACCCAGCGCATGAGGTTGATTTTAACAGCTCAGTTTCTTCTGCAAGGACCTGACGTTCGAGGTGGCGGCGCGCCGACTCACCGTCCCTTCGCAGCGCAACCTGGGGTGAGAATGCCACCGCAGTCCGAGAACACTGACGTCTTGGATTTGGCTCGAATACCCGCCAATCGCGCGACCTTCACTGGGGCCGAGACTCGCTTGCGCCAACCTTAATTGTGGATAGTGGATCTCGGGTGTCCCCCGGGCCAGATCCCTGAACATGCTGAGATCTTGAATCCCTCCCATAGGTGCGAGAAACCGGATTTCTCAGTCAGCAGACAGCATGACTGAATCTGACAGGTGGCTTGTGTTGGGGGGGAACGTGTTTTGCGGCACTTTCTAGAAGCCGCCCTTGCCGTCCCTTGATCGAGACTGATCCATAGGCGAGAGGAGGCCTCACCAGCTTAGCAAGCTTCGGAGACTCGATAACCTGCCTCAGAACATGTGTCTTGAAACCTAAGATGATTGGTAATCCACGGGGCAGGGGGAAAAGAAGGTAGGAGAAACAGTGCATCCGTTACCTAATCCAGCTAACTTCCCTATCTCTTGACGAGGATGACAGGCAGTACAAAACCTTGGTAGCCGATCGAGACCGCTGTAATTCCCTTTTGGTTGTGAATCTAGCCCTCACGGTGTGCAGTCAGAGTTGAGTCATAGGATTGAAGCATGTAGACCAACTCCTTGGAGATCATATTAATAATTTGTCAGAGGTGATTAGTTAGAGAAGATTTGACTAGTTATTCAGCAATATACGCTGCAATGTGGCTATTGTAATGTTCATGAACTCGTCTCGTCATGTGTGTATGTGCTTGTTGTGACTATTATTAATCGCTGGTGTTCAAATCACTCGTCTCCAAATATCCGCCAAAAGGATGGCATGACGCCCTCCATGAGGTGCAATGCAACTGGGCCTATCTGGCATATTAGGCCGGACTTTGTAAGGGATTCAGGATCTCTTGGCCAGGAAACGGAAATCACAGATAGCATCTTGCTTTATCCTTTGCTAGGTCGTTGTATCCATCATCCTCGGGGCTGTGTGTTCTTCTCGATTCGGAAGCGGGTCACCTGGGACCCATCGGCGAGGTCCACGGAGACCGGACGGAGACGGTAATTGAACAGCCAGGGCATAATCTCGAAGCGGAGGGCATAATATATCACCCCCAGTCCCAAGATGGCCAGTGCCACGACGGGAACGAGCCAGTAAGGAAGGCTTGAGGTACTGCTTTCAGGCGGGACGAAGGGCATCACCAAGAGGAACTGCAAGCACATTAGAGCAAACTTCTAGGTAAATGGGGGGGGGGCTCAGAGGATTCAACACATACGACATTAGCTGCCAAATAGAAGGCAATGGCCGCCCACGGAGCCGAGTACGAAGATGACCAGTCATCCGACCGGGACAGCCTCATCTTCACTAGTCCCACGGTGATGGCACTGAGCAAGAGGCATGTAGGGTAGGAGGTGAGGTCCACCACGAAGTCGAAGGCCTCTCCTGCCGGCGGAGCGCAGATAAACAAGATAGTAACTCCCAGATGAACGAAGAGAGAAACAATCGGAGTTTTGAACGGTCGGTTCTGCATCATCCAGTTTGGGAATGGTGTGATTCCGTCTTTGGCCAGTTCTTGCAGAAGGCGGGCTATAGCGTGGTATTCAGTTAGCAAGTCTGTAGGCTTATGGGGCTTTAGTGAGCTTTGAGACACTTACGGACAACGAAAGCGACTCCAAGAAGATGGCCAATGGCCGACAGGGCAACGAGAGCAGGCAGTGCTTTAGAGGCGGCTGTATTACCATACACATTCTTAAATAGTGTGGCCGCAATTGTCACACTGGAGGTGCGAAATTCTTCCTTAGATACCCCGGCAAACTGATCATGGACACATGGTTAGTACTTGGTCAAATGGGGAGAGATAATATAGAACATACGTAGGCCACATTGGCTAATATATAGAGAACGGTGATCAGTCCCATGGCGCAGGGCAAGGCAAGGCGGAGGGTTTGCTCTGGATTCTTTACCTCGGACAAGACCTATACAGACAACCGGCGTCAGTTTTGCGTGTAACAGAATGGACAGCTGATCTTACCGCGTTGGCATTGTCGTAGCCTTGATACGAGAAGATTGTGTCCAAGAGGGCCGTTCCAATATTATAGCCACTGTTCGATGTGCCCTCGAACGACGTCTTGATATCAAAGTTGTGTGGGTTCGGGATGCGCAAATGGCCGGCTAGAGCAGCAAATCCAGTACACACAATGAACATCAAGGTGAACAGCTTGACCATGCTGAGTACATTCTGCAGGGCCAGACCGATGCGGGGGGCTATGGTGTGTACACCGACCGCGAATGCGACGGCAGCGACGGCCAGACCTCTCTCCTTCCACGTGGTTGAATCCACACCGGCCGCCAACAGCAGGTAGGAAGACGCAGTGATAGCGTTGCTGGCAGAAACCTCTGATAGCTGGTCAGTAGACAGCTTCGGTGGATGAAACAGGGGACTCACGTAGGAAAAGACAATAGAACAAATAGACACATGTCTGCAGTCGCTTGGGCTTGAATGATCGCTCCAGATACACCTTGATGCCACCAGAGCGAGGAATCCCACTTCCCAGCTCGAGCATCACCAGGGCGCCACAGGTGGATATAATTCCACCAAGGACCCATAATACCAGAGACATTCCCACGCTGCCACTCAGTTTGAAGATCGTCGATGGTGTTGAGAAGATACTGAGTGTGATGGTCAGTCATAGCCGAAAACGCGGGGCAAGCGGGGATGGACCAACCCAGCACCAATAATCTTGTTGACAATCAGGGAGATGGCCCCCAGCAATCCGATCTTCCGGTCTTGCAGTACATTGGATTCATTTACCGCGAGCTCATCCTGCGCTTTCGGGTCATCGTCCTCGAAGTGGGAGTTTTGGGGAGCAACTGTTGCAGGTGTTAGTTAGCCATGTGCGTTATCTCGGGGAACATGCAACTCACAGCTGGTGATGGTATCATCGCCGGTACCCATAATGATGGCTGCGAGTTCGAACCGCTGGTCTTTTTCCGTCTTGGTCGCTCTTCTGGAGAGTTGATTTTATAGCCATCCTCCTCAACAGCTTGCCAACAAGAATGATGCAGCATCGACGCATACTATGGCGTGATAACAGACCACTCCACTGACACGAGAGGGGAAACGCAAAACACATCTCAAAGCTGGGATTTTTAATCGTATCAAATGACTCGCAGTCCCTCGGTGATCTTCCGAAACTGTTGGTGGGGATGTGCTCACCTGCAGGCGTGATGGTGTCATCGCGATCGAGGCGATAACATATCATCCTGCCAGCTATTAAATCTCAACGGCGCGGGTGGTTTTAGGGCTTGCACAATATCGAAACTCCTGCTTTTACATCCTCAACCATGACCCTCACCTTTCAGCCTTTCCACATCCCAGGAGCCCAGACTGTTCATGGAAACACTTTTCCATATGGGCTCCAGGCTAGCCTAGCCGACGGGGCCAGTGACGTGCCCGCTGTCAACGATGCCGTGATCGCGATCACGGCGCTCGCCGAGTCGGGCCGCCTATCCGAATTGCTACAGAAGCATGGCGCTGTTCTGATCCGCGGGGTCGGCCATCCATCGGCGGAGACATTTGCTCGACTGGTCAACAGTGCAGAAAAAGGCCGTGGTTCCAACCCCTTTATCCAGATCGGATTGGCAGGAAAAAGGACTATTCTCGCCGATAATGTCTGGACCGCAAATGAAGGGCCCTCCGATCGCCGCTTCTATCAGCACAATGAGGTAGGTGAACGATGATGTCTTCCTGCCCAGTCACGAGGGATACCATGTTAATTGGTCGCCGCAGTATTCGCGCTACACACGCTTTCCCTCCAACATCCATTTTTACTGCGAGAAGAAAGCGCTTGAAGGTGAGATTGATCACTCGCCGCATGGATGCGACTCGAGCTGACGCATCCAGGGGGCGAAACTCCCGTTGCACACAGCGCATTGGTCTACGATAAGCTCCAGGAGGCAGTGCCTGAGCTGGTGCAGGCAGTCCACGAAAAGGGGTTGGCCATGAAGATGGCCTTTCGCGCTCCCGGCCACGAGGGCAAGGGGAACGAGTTCAACTGGGCTGGTGTGCATAGCTTCGGGCAAGAATTTCAGCCGGGCGATGACCGGGATACCCAGAAGGCCAAGGTCGAGGTGCAAGTCCGCAAGCTCACCCCGGCGTTTCGCTGGCTTGAGGACGACGCGCTTGAATTGACGCAATACATTCCAGGTCGGTATCCCTTTGTTCCAGAACGTCCATATAACCGACACTAATATCCCGACCAGGTATTCGAAGATCCCCAGCAAGTGGGCTGCCAGTCTGGTTCAACGGACTCGTTGGCCGTTATGGGATGACGCGCGACCAAGGGGCCTTGGACCCCCCCTACATCGGTCGCGATGGAATGACATGTATGTTTCCCGGCAGGGCAGAGGGCGAGTAGGACTGACTCTCGATAGATCTACCGTGCGACTATGGAGACGGGACGGTTATCCCCAAGGAATATCTAGAGCGATTGGAGCGGGTGGTTGATGAGCTGGAGCTGGACGTCAGCCTGGAGGAGGGCGATCTCCTCCTGGTAGACAATTTCCAGGTGTCGCATGGTCGGAAACCTTGGACAGGCGAACGGAGAATCCTTGTCAGTATGTGGGAGGGGGGAAAACCAATTGAGGCGTTCTAAATGATCAAGAGTAGGTAAAGGAGCAATGAAACGGCCATCGTTCACCGTGACTGAGTCAAAACTTTGCGCGGATGTAGGCCGACTGGCAAGCTGACGCCAATGGCGGGAAAATGGCGTCATGAAAACACAACACTAGAATCGTACTCCTCACGCTAGTTCCGTGCAGTGGACACGGCCCCGCAATGAGGTGATACAACGATTCTAATCTCGGGCATCTTATCCGATAGATTGTGCCGGTAGCAGGGCAGTCAACAATTATAAATATCGACCTGTAGCTCCCTGTACATCCTCCCAAGGTAACTTTGTGCAGACTACACAGAATCACAGCTTCACCATGGCGAGCGTCTTAACTCCCACTCAACCAGACATCGAGTATCATCCCGATTGGGATAAGTACCAGGCGCGGACGCTCCGGCGAAAGGAGACTGAAACCCTGCAGGAGTCTGTTCCAGAAGGTTTTCCCACGCAGCTGGATTCCAAGCTGGTCTGGGAGGGTCGCGAAGTCGAGAGTCGAGATGACTGGGTGGTTCAGCTCACTGACGCGGAGCTGGATGAGATTGATTCAACACTGAGGAACTTCAAGGGTATGGAGCGACCTTCCTTCACCTAACTAGACATCCCAGACTAACCCTCTGTAGCACAAAACCTTCACTGGGGATTGATCGATCAGTCTACCTTCCCCTTGCCAACGCTGCATCAACGACTTCGGGAGCAATCGAGAGAGCTGCACCTGGGGCGTGGTTTCTTTGTACTGAGAGGCCTCCGCGTTGACCAATACTCGCGCGACGATAACATCATCATCTATGCCGGTATATCCTCCCATGTAGGTAACATCCGCGGGCGACAGGAAGACACGAGGTTTGCCAACGGTACTTCGCTGGTCGTTTCGCATATCAAAGACATCACCAGCAGCACACCGACTGGGGCCATCGGGGCACCTTCGAACACAGCCGACAAACAGGTCTTCCACACTGATGCCGGTGATATTGTCTCTCTCCTGTGCCTCCATCCCGCAGCATCGGGGGGTGAGAGCAAGATTGCCAGTAGCTGGCTGGTATATAACATCCTCGCGCGTGAGCGACCGGATCTGATCCACACTCTGTCCCAGGACTGGCCGGTTGATGGGTTAGTGGTCTCCAGATTCTGATCCATAGCTCCCACACGCTAAATCGTTATCACAGCTTCAACAACCCAGCCGCCCCGTACACAAACCGGCCATTGTTGTACTACCAGAAGCCCACCGAGTCGACGCCTGAGCGCGTTCTCATCCAGTATGCCCGTCGATACTTCACCGGCTTCAAGGCCCAACCACGGTCTTCCGACATCCCACCTATCACCGAAGCCCAGGCGGAGGCGCTTGACGCGTTGCATTTCCTGGCCGACAAGCATAGTGCCGCGCTGGACTTCCAAAAGGGAGACGTGCAGTATATCAACAATCTCAGTATCTTTCACGCCCGTAACGGGTTCCGCGATGAGCCCGGAAAAGAGTGCGTTCGCCTCCCCCTATTTTGCCTTTGTATGGTATTTCGCTAACACGCACAGACGTCATCTGCTGAGATTGTGGCTGCGTGACCCGGAGTATGCGTGGGAGACTCCTGAACCGTTGCGGAAGCGATGGGACAACGTGTATAAGGACGTGAAGGTGGAAGAGCAGGTGTTTCCCCTGGAGCCACGGTTGCGGAAGACAGTGGGTGCGTAGGGTACCGTGGGACGTGACGGGATCGATGTTGATGCTGGATTGGACAAAGTTTGCACTCGGGCCTTGGGGCCCTGACACAATGATGTTTTTGAGAAGAAAGAGGATGAAGGAACAGGAGTGATGGTGGGGTAGTGCCAGAAGCGAAGTCCGTTGGCAGTTCCTCCGTCGAGACAAGGTATATACTATCTGTCGGGTGAAGAACACCAATACCGTTTCTGTATTTGATGACCCATCAACCAACCACAATATTCTAGTCCAATGTGTTTAGCTGCTGAGAGACCAAAACAGAAGAAGATCAGCCCTGTAATGGCCTCATGGGATGGAAAAACCCCCCACGATGCTTATCTTTGTCCCACAGTCACGTGCGCGAGGCATCTGTTTTGGGCATGACAGGCCGGCTCCAGTCATGGGATCGGAGCCTCACCGGTTTGTTGACTTGTTCAGCTGGATCCCTCATTCTTTTCATCCACTCTCACCTCGTCCGTTCTCCTGGTGGTTTCTACCTCATCTCTCCCAGTCTTATTTGACAGAGCCCATCTGCATCCCCAACGAAAGGCTGACAGCCAAAGGAAAGTCACGATTGCACCAGACTCTCAGCCTGGATCGTCGGCACTAACGAGCGGGCCACATGCAACGACTATGCGACCGCTGCCGCCAGCGCAAATCTCGCTGTGTGCGAGAGAAAAAAAGGAACAAAAATTTGTGTACATTGCACCTTTCTTCAAGGGCTCCGGCCGCGGAAGCGGGCCGCCAAGGAGCTGGCCTCCGCGAACAGAACAGACGCGTCGAAGTATGCCTGTCCCTGACAAGCCAGTGTCATGGGGTGCCTTATTGCCCAGCCAGGCTAATCAATTCCCCGCAGTGGTCTCGCTTCTCCATCAGCCAAGCCTTCCTCGGCAGGCCAACCAAGGTCTAGCGCCTCTACTTCATTACTGGATGGCACCCTCGGCCTCGAACTTCATTCCCACTCGCGATATATTGGCCCTGCAAGCTACCATGAGCCCGCCCTTCTGGAGTTGAGAGCATCCATCATTGCTTTTCCCGATGATCAGCATAGATGTCGCCCACGTCAGGTGGATCAATCCGCCACATTCATGTCCTATCCAGACAAGGATGTGGCCTCTGAGATGCAGCGCATGGCCGATCTCGACCTCATCGAGGAGTACATTCGCCCTATGGGTCCTATCCTGATAGGACTCTACTTCCGCATCATGCATCGCACGTTTCCCATTCTGGACAAGGGAGCTTTTCTGGAAAAATATGAGCAGTCATACCGCAACTTCTCTTCGCCCCTCCTAGCCGCTGTGTGCCTTGTCGCGCTGGACTGGAAGCCGTTCAATCGAAGAATGACGATTTCACCTCGGACTCCTGACACCTTAGCGCTGGAGGCACTGGCAATGCGCACCATGAGGGAGGATTTGAAACGGCCGAAGCTCTCAACCTGACAGGCTGGCCTTTTACTATTACAACGGACAGGGTCCTCCCATGAGATTCTGCTGGCCCAGCTACTAGCTCTGGGACGGAAGCTTGGTATCCATTTGGATTGCAGTGATTGGGCAATACCCCAGTGTGAAAAAAGCCTGCGGCGCCGGCTGGCCTGGTCACCTTACATGCAGGACCAATGGGGAGTTCTTATTCATGGTCGACCATCTCTCACCCCTGTTCACATCGACGACAGGGAATGCACCGCCGACTGAGACGTCAGCGCTTGTACGTTGGACGACTTTCCAGAGGCTGCAGATACTGAGGAAGGCAATGAACAGGGAGGCGTAGACGCCTCTGCAAGTTGAGACGCATTTCCCTTGCAGAGGGCTGTTATGGGCTCTTTCGAGAAGTCGCAGGGGGTGGATTGGTCCCTCTGCCATGTGCTGGAGGTTTTGCCATTGCTCTATCGTCAATGGGGACTCAAATCCACCAGTTGGCTTATCCTCAGCTATTAAAGCGACGTCTGGGGATCGGGCTTATGTTTGAGGTTGAAGTGAGTGTAGATCGCAGCTCCTTTAGCAAATACGAATATTTGATAAGTGTGGTTTCTGTTGCCGAATGCATTCCAGTCCATCTTGTTATTCATCTATTTATATTCCTGTTGCCAATGTTCGAGTGCTATCGACGTGCCGGGATGCTTATCTCTGCCAATGCCCCGGCCGGCATTTGCGCGACGGCGGCGACGGCCACCACCAGGACCGTGATTAGCACCACACGCAATAGCTCAGCACAGTGAGGACTCATACATTGTCACATCCAACGTTACTTCGCTAACTACAATGATTCATGGCTTGCTACAGGAGACTTACGATATAGTTCAAAGCTATTCGTCTTTCATAACTCGGAGATACCTATGTACAGGTTGAGAACCGCCTCAATACGAGAAGCTCTCCTGGTGAAACCAAACATCGCGCGGCTTTCCACGACTACCTATGATTCTTGCTTGAGCTGCTGCTGCAGCTTCACCCATATCGTAAGTCATTGACGCCGGCCCGCACACGACGATCCCCACCGACTCGCGGTCTTCGACAAACTCCTGCACGGCAAGCGGGAGATTTGGCCGGCCCCGAAAGAATGCCAAATTGAACCTATCCGCCCGTGGGCTTTTCTCCTCTTCGGTCCTCTGTTCACCCCCTTCTTTCATGTCCCCATAAGGCTGAATATGTGTCATTGTACCTACCTTGATTTCCGGCCCTGTCTCGTGCAGATGGATTGACAGTCCAGAGATAGTATCCGTTCTCGCATATCGCGCGGCAATCTCCTCTAATGCCTCCAGGTACCAGGTCCGCATGCTCGGATCGCGCGTCGACACAATTACCTTCAGGGCTGAGACCACCTCCGCATCCCGAATAAAGGTTTCAATCACTGACAATGTCAACCCCGCGCCGGCCCCTCCCCCGACCACAAATTTGGACCCAGAGGACGCGAGCAACCGACTTGGAACTCCACCATATGGCCCTTCCATGAGAACTCGAACCGCAACACCAGGCTGTTTTGTGGCAAGAGCCATCAGCCGGCCCGTGATCCCACCGCGCGGGCGCACGTAAAACACCAGCTGGCTTGGCTTATCGTGCTGTGGAACGGAGCAGATCGTGAACGGGTGCGCAGTCAGAAGGTGAGCATCACCGGTCAGGAAACGCAGAAACATATGCTGTCCCGGACTCCAGCGTACCGTCGTTGTGGGTATCGTGATCTTGAGGGTGTCATCTGTTTCGCGGTACAGAAGTGCCTTGTGCCGGATACCGTGCTCAAACCACGTCTTCAGCTGGGAATATAACCAACACACAGTGTATAGGACAGCGGTCGCGATGAAGTAGTCCCATGAGGACAGGCGGAAGTCGCAGTGGAAGAAAAAGAAGATGATGAAGACGAGTGCGGCGATGTAGTGGGTCGATTTGAAGAACTCGTAGTATCGGTTACTACACACAACACAACATTGTCAGACAAGGGAACGACGAAAGGCTGTATGAATAAGAGGATGTCATACCGAATCCAGGGAATCGACAGAAAAGTCAACCATGTCTGCGCAAGCAAAGCAACCACCCCCGTCACCCAAACTCCGCCGTCATTCCACTGCAAGACGATGTCGCCCTTCCAGATATGGAACACGATGAAGGGGAATGTATGTACTAACGCCAGGGTGTACATCGCCCATGCCACCCAGTTATGCCAGAGATTGAGCTTCTCGTGTGAAATGCCCGTCAACGCGCTGACAGGGTTTGCCTTCGCGCCGAAGACGCTATTCACCGTCAGCCTCCCACGATAGTTTACCCGAACAAACGAGATCACATACTAGAGAAACGGCATACACGCCAAAGCCATGAATCCCGCGCGAGTCGCAATCGGTGGAGAGTTGCCAAAGCTGATCTCCTTCGTATTGGGCCAGTAATACGGATGGGGGCCCAGGGTCATGGCTGCGAGTCTGTCAGCGATCACCACCAGCGTCCCACCATGTAGACCTACCCAGGAAATAAACAGCCCCGGCGCCACCTAGCAACAAGGCTCCTAGAGATGGGGTACTCCACACCATTGTCCGCCAGCTCTTGTATGATAGAAATCGCAAACCCGCGACCACACGCGACCAGCCAGCCGTCCGCTTGACGGAGACGGGGACAAGGATACTCGCCCAGTGGCCCAGGATGAACAGGAAAATGGCGACGAGAAAGAAGGCGACCGTTGGCAGGGCATAGCGGTGGTCATCCTGGTACCAGTTTACCCAGTATCCTGACTTGTAGGCGCATTGCTCGGGGGTCATGGTGCATTCACCAGGGTCTCGGTCGGAGTGTAGCATGACCGGGTGGTCTAGCCATGGTAGCATGCCCATGGTGACTCAGATCGCAGTGATAATACTGAGGATCTCTCGAAGCCGATTGAAGATGATGAAAATGTTTGGCCCCAGAGGGCGAAACAGCAGGAAAGGTCACTGATATGGTACGGCCAACGACCAGAGCCCTACCCTACCCTAAGAGAACAACGCAACCGATGACCGACTCACTACACTTCCTTCACAGCCAGAAACCCAACCAATATGGCCTCTCTGATTACATCTGCAACAACCGGCATAATGCTCGCCAACATGAGCGGATTAATTCACAGCAATGACTCGACCCGGCCCCATCAGGCTCGCTACCCTACGGAGCCAAGACCTGCCGCTGCGCATGTTTGAGCACATTTCTCCATGTGCTGCGCGGTCCGGCCCACCGCTACGTCCTCGCCATTGGCAGCTTGGCTGCGAGTTGTCGGCTCTGCCCGATCGTGGGTTTTTGTCCTCTGTCGTCTGATGGCTTATGCTGCAATTGACATGCAGGCGTTCCGGGTCATCTCTGATTGAAGTGGTGGTGGGAGTGTCCTCTGATCACGCCCTGAGGGGAATTGAGGGGATCTTGGGCATTGCTGTCGTCTGATCTGCTCGGGCTTAGGGGGCTTTTTTACTTGCTCATATTCTCTCTTGCTTCGCTGGATGTCTCGTATTTCTTGCTAAAAGCACCGGATTCCTTCTCCCACTCGCTGCGTCTAACACTGCTATCACCACCAACACAAAACAAAACAACAAGACAAACGCAATGGACATGAACATGGACATGGACATGGACACATCAACAACCATGGCCTCAATGGCATCCACAACCACATCCATGGCCATGGCCATGCCCTCCTCCACCACCACCACCTCCTCAATGGACATGTCCTCGACCTCAATGTCAATGACAATGACCTTCTTCACCTCCACCTCGACCCCCCTCTACTCCCTATCCTGGGCCCCCGCCACTACAGGCCAATACGCCGGCACCTGTATCTTCCTGATCGTCCTCACCATCATCCTCCGCTTTCTTCTCGCCCTGAAACCCATCCTCGAGACCCGTCTCTGGGCTGATTCCTCGCTTCACCATACCCACACCCACGCCCACATCGACAGCCCTGTCCACACGCAACCCGTCACTCCTGTCCGGGATATCCGACGGCGGTGGGCGCAGTGGAGGATTAATCCTGCGGCGGGGAGAGCGACCCTGGAGCTGGCAATTGCGGGGGTGGGGTATTTGCTGTTAGTACTTTTCTTTTTCTTTTTCTTTTCTCAAGGGTTAAGTTTGGATGTGGGTTGGATAGGTTGATGCTAATACTGAGTATGTGTATAGGATGCTGGCGGTTATGACCATGAACGTGGGATATTTTCTCTCCGTGTTGGGGGGAATGTGGCTTGGGACGTTCGTGTTGGGGGGGTTGGCGGCGGATAATTGGTGGGCTCATTGTTAGGGTCATGGTGATGAGGGAGTTTGGATTACATGTGTTTGCTTGCATAGCATAATGTGTTTTTCACTATGGGCTTGTTTGCTGGACGCTGTTGTCTTTTTATGAATCTTCTATACCCCGTCAGAGAGGGATGAGGAATATCTCATTGTGCTTGATACCAATACCATCTCAACTTAGATTGATTCTTTCCCAGATTCCATTGCATCCTAGGCCATGTTCTATATTACTTATTTAGGGAAACAACCTGCTAGATCCCCGCCACGATATACTTGGTCACTTGGTCGAAGTCATACTCCTGTTCTGTAGACTGTGCCGTCCACTCTTGAATGTCTGGGAGACGGTAAAGACCGAGGAACCTGGCGTGGAAATTCGCGAGTTTGCTGGCGTTTAAGCGCTCCATCAGCATCCGAAGAACGAATAGCTTATTATCATGTCGCATATTTCCACCATGCTAGCAACCGATTTTTTTTCTGAACAGGGCACGATACTCCATTGCCATTTGACCTGGGTTAGATGCGCAGTAGAGTCTGATCGAGTAGCTCATCGCCCCAGAAGAGGTGAGTCCCCCGCAGTGTGCCTCCATATCCCCGCCGTTGCTTCCGGATAACCCCCGTCCAACAGGCCAGGGTGTAGTGGTTGTGCAAAGTGTATCCGGTGCGGCGCCAGTATTTCTGTTGGCACTCTGTGTCGGTAAACCGGTAAACACAGGTGTGGACCTATAATGCTGTGCGATATTGAGAGGCAAGCACAGCCTGTGCATCTCCGAGGTCAAAGATCTTCACAAGATGTGTCCTCATCGGCATTTCCGGGTCGGGAAGACGGTTCTTTCATCATCTCGGCTGCAGCTATAATCACCGGTCAGAGATTGAAATGCTGGAATTCAATCGTTTTGACCCAGTGTCTCGAAACCCAGGAGGTCATGTCAAGCGTCAATTGAACGTGTGGGTGATCTTGTCTCCCAAATAGCTCGGATGTGGCAGGGTTTGAGGAGATATTCCATCAATCCACGTTGGATCGTCTGGCTCAGACCCAGCCTTGCCGAGTCAAAGTCTCCATGTGAAACGATCATCAATAGCATCTGGTCACTAGTCTTTGCAGCATCAGCCACGGTCTGCCTAAGACGTCCTAGAAAGAAACCCCGGAGCGCACCACCCTTGGGACCAACCGTGACTCTCTCCTGCCCCTCGGGTAGCATGTTCCCGTCGAGGACAATCAATCCTTCGACCCACTTCCCTCGGATGCCAAAATCAAAAAAAAAAAAAAGGAGAAATAGAAATAAGACTTGCTCACACTCGGATTCGAACCGAGGACCTCATGATTACTAGTCATGCGCTCTACCAACTGAGCCATGCGAGCTGGTGGATGTAAGTTGTCAAATACTCATGCTAGACAATTTTAACCTCAACATCAATCCAGCCTGGTGGGAGATTGATATTCCAGGCTTTCCACTTCCCCGCACATACTTTAAATCAAACCAGTGATTCGATTTCAGCCCGCAATCCCAGGCCCTCCTCCATCTGCACCTCCCAGCCAATCAACATCCTCATACTCATAAATCCTCGCAATCTATCCCCTCCATCCAAGATCCCTTGACACAATCCCTCTCCCTTACCATCAATTCAATCCCAATCACCACCACAACCATGCCTCCACCAGACCACCAACCCCAACCCACCCTCCTCCCTCCGGACCTGCTCGAATCCCAACTCTCCACCATCGACCTCCTAACCGCCATGTTCCCCTCGACAGGAGAAATCGACATCCCCCCCTCGAGCACCCCAATCATCTCTGCCCTCCAAACCTGGTGCCAGGACCCCAACACCCCCCTACCCAGCGGAATCCCCCCGACCATCCAGTTAGCCGTCTGCGCGCCACTGGCGGCCGACATCTCCAAAACCATCCCGATCAACATTTCCATTCCTCTGCAAACGACGGACCCAGACCCCCAACTCCCGCCCCCATGGACATACACCCTCCGCCAACCGACCTGGATCTCCAAGGCGGAACTCGCCACATTATCCGCCGACATGCCGCAGGACGACATCTTCTCCGCGCTGGAGTACGTCCAACACGAAGCGTCGCTGTTTCTGGAAACGCAGCAGAAGATGAACGACAGTCTATCACTTACGAACACGCCCTCGTCGGGGGCAAAGCGAAGCGCTGAGGACCCGTTAGTCCGAGTGTGGTTCTACTTCCCCTCGCTGTCGACTCGGGCGAAACGCAATGATCTCGTCAATCATGCGCCTACGTATTCACTTACCGGGTTTGTGTTGGCCGGGAAACCCGGCGTGTTGTGTCTGGAGGGCGCGTCGGTGGATGTTGATGCGTATATGAAATTCATTAAGACGTATTCGTGGGGCGATATCCCGAGTCATCAGAAGAAGGTGTCGGAGCGGTTTCGCGAGACGGTGGGCGTCGAGAGGGTGTTCTCCGGTATGGAGGAGATTACGGATTCGTTGGGGGAGAGAGGTGGGGAGAGAGCGAATCGGGGGGATATGCAGGCTTTGGAGGCGTGGTTGAAGGGGAGAGGGCTGGGGGAGGCGTTCGGGGAGGTGATTTTTTAGGAGATCGACTTGGGTTGGGTGTGCTATGTGATGTTGACAAATTCGATGGGACTGTGTCCTTTGATAGTATGATGATTGGATCTTGTTTGGATCGAGGGTGGACTGTCCTTTTCGCCGTTATATAGATGATAAATATGGCAGTGCTGAGTGTCTCCGCAAGGCATATCCACGGTTCAATCAAAGATTATAAGCACGCTATTGCCTTCAGATGGTGCACAAGGACACTGAGGCGTTGTGTGCCAAGGATCAATGCATGTCTTTAATAGAAGTGCCACTACACTGACGTCGACTTGGCGAATGTTAAGTCTCACTCCAAGGTTGGGAATACTGAAAGTGTCTCGAACCAATCGGTGCCTGAGCAGAAAAGGTTCCAAGCAATGGAAGATCATATGAACCCCGAAGTCCCTCAAGAATATTCCCTGTTATCGCCTTGATAGGAAGAAACAAGGAATCATCGATGTTGACACAGCTAACGAGGTGCCGAGTTGGAGCCAAAAAAATGGCCACGACCCGTCGGATGTAACATTGTCAGCCATTACTGAGAGTCCGGGGATATCAATGACGCGGCTAACTTTGAATATCAGTCGCTATATTAGTCGTCATGTTTTCAGTGGAAGGATGAATAACGAGACCGTCATTCTGATAAAGAGCTATTACTCGGTTCAGAGATCCGTACCATTGGCTCTGAGGAGCTCTTGTAAATACTATTCTGTCCCATAGAGTGGCGCAGAATAATGAAGGCAAGTTGTTTAGCATCTAACGGACGAAGAAGAATGACGCGCCGGTGGCGGCACGTGTTGCGCCCATACCTTAGGCATTTAGCATCTAAGGCACAACGTGCGTATATACCGATGGTCTCGACAAGACACTAAGGACTGTAATTCAATTGACACATTAATGCTGAGGCCTATGGTATGAATACGTCCCCAGCTCGAGCTCCGAGGATGGTCTATCTGACTATCTATCAAGAAACTCCATAATATCGATCGCGAGGGTGCAATACCTATCCCGGTCCGGGTTGGAGGGCATCTTTCTCGCGGCCGCACGAACCTTCGTTGTCCAATGATGCCAAAGCTGCCGACCTCGCTGCTGGCCCTCACCTCTGATCCAAGATTCTCGGATAACGTGCGCGCGGATAGTCTCCCCTGCTATGATTATGTAGATGGCACATACCATCGCTTTGCAGTCTTGCATCGTAGCAAGGGGATCGGCCATCAGAAAGAAGTCACGCAAGGCATGAGTGGGATAATTCAAAACATAGTGAAATCGGTCTTCCTCCCTCCATCGATCGAGTCGCAAGACCCCATATCGTATACAACGGGCGATGAAGGCGGAGAGGTTCACAAACATATCACAACGGTCTTCGGGTTTTTGTGTAGACTTGTCGGGATCTATGTCAACATCGCTGTCCAGATCGCTCTCATCATGATTTGGCTGGACTCTGCCGTCCTCTGTGTATACAGTGGCTTGTTAGTGCTCGCCCCTTGTAGACACCCTGCAAAAAAAAGGAATCCTTAGTACCGAACACCCTGGCCTTAGCCCATGCAGCATACGTCGTGCTCGCAAGTATTGGTTTCTGTGAATGATCAAGAACGTCGTCCTGTCTTTCAAGTAAGCAGTGGCCTTCAAAGACAAGCTGGCGCTAGAGAAATTCAATACGCACTTCCCATATTCGCATTGACATGATATCAAGCTTGCGGAGCTCAAGAATTAATTGGGCCAGTAAATATTGGCCTTCGTCGTGGAAGCTAGTTTGCTGTGCGTTGTAGAAAATACATCCATAGAAATTGTAGAGAAATGCCTCCACCCCCTGTTCACCTTGCAGCTGTGGGGGGGAGTTTCTGGAGTAGCGGATCATGACGTAGTATCTGTTGATATGACGTGCAATGGTGCTAGGAAGTGTTCCTTTTACTGCCAATAAGGGTTTGACAAGCGAAGCTATATTTCCAACGAGTTCGTGAATTTCCTCTTCCGGCAAAGGAATATACCAATTCACGCCATCGAGGATCGTGTTAGTCGATGCCATCGTGTTCCGTGTCGCGTAAAAAAGAAAATAATGAACGGTTCTTAGGTCGTTTGGAGCTGTGTCTATCTTAGGAAAGAATATTATTGTTTCATATGCAGGTAAAGATGCGTGCCTTTCTTGATGACACAGGATCTTTTTTATTTCAAGATAAGACCTTCTATGGAAGAAGCCTGGCAGGAGCGTTCAACATGTACGGTTGAAAACGGCAGGCACCTAGTTGCCTGGGTACCGGGCCGTTAGACCACTTCAGACTTGAATGATTAAAACCGACTGATCTTTGCATTTGTGGTTATATTGGAAAGATGAAACTTCCTGATGCAAATGTCAGTTCAGAAACGGTGGTGCTCAGTGCCACCAGTTGGTGGAAACAAGCTTTCGCAAGTGTAACGACCCCAGTCATGGCAGACGCTACAAAACGCTCGATACTTTATTCCGATAAAGCCTTCCCAGAACGACGATCGATTGCTGGACCAGGTCAGCATCTTCCGACTTGGCATCGGTGGGATCCTTTCAAGGGGGCACTTTTCGGTCTGCGGGCATCATGTTGTTGATCGCGAAGAGTCAAACTTGACGGGAAAAAGACCGGGGTACTCCGTATGCAAATTGCCAACGCGTTGTGACCGTGCATTTTATGGCCCCGCCTAGAAAGCAGTGTTTAATTGAGTCGGCTTTTTCTCTGCTTATGTCGATCGCGGTCGTGGTCCAGACCAGGTGACGAGCCTGCATCGGTCCGTCGGATGGATCAGGCATCTCCAGCTCTAGAAAACAGAGTTTTCCATGACTCTAGCCTCCAGATATCGAAGCACGTTGATAACCGCGAAAAGTCGCCATTCAACAGTCTCGGATTCCTCTCGATATCATTGAATACAGAATCAGTAACCCACCCGGCAGTCGATGCTGGGGACGCTAATTGGCGGCAAGACTAGTTCGGCAATCTCGCCATCGAGAGTGCCTCTTGCGACAATCTGCACATGGGGATAATGGCATCGGATCTTGCCGCTCGCCTGTCTTTTTTCGAGCGCGTGGGAGCACCTTTGCATTTCTATGACCTAATCTGGCGCATTCAAATCAGGTTATCGTCGGCCGGCGTGGGAAAATCTTTGCACGTTGAGATGGCTAGTTTGTAGCGGAAACATATAACTAGCGGCTGCGCGACGCAAGGCTCAATGCTGTGCTCTCAGTGCCAGCGACACATCACATCCAGTCCGCGATCCTCGACATTCGCAACATCCAGGGGCTGTGATTGAAGGAGTCGAACACTTCGGCATTATCAGCAACAAACATGTCGACCCATGAGATCGAGAATGGTGCCGAGGTGCCTGTCAAGCGGGTCTGGTACCGCACATCGCTATTCAATGCGTGTGTGATCGGTGCCGTCGGTTTTCTCGCGCCCGGTCTTTGGAATGCGATGAACTCGCTCGGTGCCGGTGGCGAGGAGAAGCCCTTCCTAGTCAATGCCGCCAATGCTCTCGTCTTTGCCCTAATGGGCTTCTTCTGTCTCTTTGGCGGGCCCATCGCCAATCGAATTGGTCTCAAATGGACACTCCTTCTCGGTGCGGCGGGATACCCTGTTTATGCAGCGGGTCTGTACACCAACAGCAAATACGGCAACGTCTGGCTGGTGCTTGTTGGTGCAGTTGTCTGCGGTATTTCTGCCGGTCTGTTCTGGGCCAGTGAGGGTGCCATTGCGATCGGATATCCCGAGCCTTCCAAGAGGGCACGATACCTCAACATCTGGGTTTGGTGGCGGACAATGGGCCCGATTATTGGTAACTCGATTGTGCTCGGATTGAACATTAAGACGAAAGGCGAGGGGAGCGTGGGAGTCTCCACCTACATTGTCTTCATCGTGCTGCAGTGTCTGGCTGTTCCGGTCGCCCTTCTTTTGACGCCGCCTGACAAAGTGCAGCGTGCAGACGGCTCCCCTGTAGTTGTTCGTGTGGAGGAGTCATGGGCAGCGGAGTTCAAAGCTCTTTGGAAGACCTGCAAAAACCGCACCGTCATCCTTCTGCTTCCGATCTTCTGGGCTGTCTACTTCAATGAATACTCGAGCAACTTTGAGACATACTATTTTGGAGTGCGAGCTCGCGCACTGATCGCCTTCCTGTCCGACTGGGTCACCCTTCTCGCTTCCCAGATTATCTCCCACTGGCTCGACTGGAAGAAGGTCGATGCGAAGAAACGTCTTACATACGGGTGGTACTGGGTTATCATCGTGCACGTTGCGACGTGGATCCTCGCCTGGGTAGTCCAGGAGGAGTACACAGCCAACCCCCCGATGCTCGACTTCACGGACCCCGGGTTCTGCAAGGGCGCCTTCGTGCTGTTCATGTGGTCGTTCGCCCAGCAGACAGGGCAGAACTGGCTGTATTATCTGGTCGGCTCGATGACGGATAACATTGCCGAGCTGACCAGATTGACCGGTATCCTTCGAGGGCAGGAGAGTTTCGGAGAAGCCATCTCCTACGGCCTGAACACGAGGGACTGGTACGGTGGTCGGGTGCCTATGGCTGTGAATACCATCTTGCTTGGTGAGTTAGATGTAGTGTGGATAATTTCTGGAGAGCATCAGCTAACCTGGAGGCAGGCTTGTGTGTGGTTCCCACGTGGATTGTTGTCCGGAAACATGAGATGGATGCGAATGTCGAAGAGGCTGAGAGGGCGACGGGGTGGGACAAGAAGAGGGCGGAGGACAAGAACATCGATGCCGAAGTGACGGAAACCACGGTGGGTGCCTGATGGAGGATCATGGAAGTGCTATTCTCTTGGGACGCACCAGATTGGAAATCCACTTAGATAGCCTCACAGTCCCCATAGTTAGTGAATCTCAAATGAGTAAGCATTAGCAGGTCCCATAATCTCTTCCTTCTCCGCCACAACCATGAGGTAAGACAAAGGATCCGCCCACTCCCGACCGTCAGCACCATTCCATCCCCAACTCCCAATATACAACTATCGATCCTTCCCACGACCGCTGGTTCCATGGTCGCTTGATCCTCAAAGCCCGCGCACGGTCCTGGACTAAGACTTCCCACGACGCGACATAACCTCAGACGCCCAGCAAACAACCGCGATGCCGTCTGCGAAAACCAACATTCTCGCGATTTCGATTGCGATCCTAACGGCACTCCTCTCCTCATATGTTCCACAAATCAACCAAGTTTTCGTCGACAAAGCCGTCGAACATGGAATCGCCTTACCCCAAATACTCATCCTGCCACCTACCGTCACCGATGTGACTCGCGACGTCAAATACATCGGAAGCTTCTCTGCCGGAGTAGATCATTTCCAGAATATCTTCTATGCAGAGGAGCCAACCGGCCCGCGACGCTTTGCTCCTCCGGTTCCTGTCAAGCCTGCCAAGGGATCGGTGATCGATGCTACCCGCCCCGGTGCATGGTGTCCGCAAGGAACCGGGGTTATTCTGCCGTTCACCAGTCTGGTGACTAATGTGAGCGAGAACTGTCTGAGCTTGAGGATTGCAAGACCGAGGGGGGTCAAGAGGGGAGAGAAGCTGCCCGTTGTGGTGTATCTGCATGGAGGTATGTGAATATTACCTAGTTGGCATCTTTGATGGCGATACTCATGTCGTTTGTCCGGAAGGTGGTCATGCGTTGGGCTCGGCTTCGGATATTCTGTATAATCCTGATGGCTTGGTGAAAGAAGCTGTTGCTTCTGGAACACCGGTGATTTACGTGGGGATCAACTATCGGCTGGGATGTAAGACTGTAGATTCTGGTTTGCACGAGACCCTTCGCTGACATCCGATAGTCTTCGGCTTTGCGACAAGTAGAGCCATGATCGAGACCAAACAGACAAATGCTGGACTACGCGATCAGCGATCGGCTTTGGAATGTATACTGGAGCAAATCAGCAATATGCTACTAAACACTAACTGGGTGTAGGGGTACGGGATAACATCGAAGCATTTGGAGGTGATCCCATGAGAGGTAAGCTTGTTCTAGAATGATTGGGCTGGAACACATGATACTAAGCCCCCAGTAACTGCCATCGGCCAAAGCGTAGGAGCAAGCGACATTGGCCTGCACCTGCTCTCCTTCAACGGGACCCAGGGTGTTCCATTTCAACAGGCTGTGTCAGTGACTCAACTGGGCACAATTCCATCACTAACCTCTTCACCATCAGGATGATGTCCGGCGCTCCAGGGTTGAACTTCAATAGCAACCCCGAACTAGTCGCAAACAACACAGCCAACATAGCCAGCCAAGTCGGATGCGTCGATGACGCCGACTCCCAGTCCATCAAAACATTAGAATGTCTCCGAACAATCCCCGCCGACGTCCTCACTAATTTAACCGTCACCTCCGCTCGCGCTGCTCGTCCCCCATTTGGCGAAGGCTACTTCTACCCGACCATCGACAAGGACTTCCTTCACGGCAGACCCTCTGAGCTCCTACGCGATGGTAAACTGGTCAAGGGTGTTCCCATAATTGCGTCCTGGGTGGCCAACGACGGCGCGTGGTACGCCCCACCCCATAGTGCAACCGACGAAGAGGTCCTAGATAGTTTCGGACTTTGGCTGTACAACCTGTCATCGTCGACGAAAGAGAGACTGTTGGACTTATATCCGGTGGAAGAGTTCGATCACATGGTCCGAGAAGGCTATGATGGCCCTATTTCCGCGCACTACTATCGTGCCGCACAGATGAACCGAGACATCTGGTTCACCTGCCCGGTTCTAGACTTCACGTGGAACTATGTTCAGAACAAGGGAGCGAACTTATCAGATGTGTGGTTGTACGAACACAATGCGACTCGATACACGCCCGTGTTCGAGGCCATGGGTGTGCCAATGTGGCGAGTTGCTCACCTGAGTGATATCCCATACGTGTTAAACAACCCTGGTCTGGTGGGTGGTGCGGATAATTCAGATGACCAACGGGAACTGGGGAGAACGGTCAGTCGCGCGATTATTGGGTTTGTTCATTCTGGTACCCCACAAAGTGAAGCTCGGAGTTGGCCATTCGCATTCTCTGGCATTGCGACGGAGCAGCTCTTGGGTGATTATCCAACCAAACTCACCATCCAAGTATTCGGGGGTGATCAGCACGCCGAGACAGTGACTGTCAGCAAGGATGATGACTCTAAACGCCGGACAGTGGTAGAGAATGCGGTATCTTGGGAAAGGCTCTTCGACCGATGCGAATTTATCAACAGTCCGCAGATGCGTCAGGAAGCCGGGGTGTAGAGCCCTCTTGATTGTTCGTTAACAAGCGATGTTAGTTCCCGGTGGGACAAGTTGTACAAAATCTAAAAATACGTTGGTTATTCTATCTATAATAATCTCAAACAGCCGAAGCACGTATTCGAATCACATCTGTATAGCAAATCTCCGCCCTCCGCCCTCCGCCCAGAAACAACGACGCACAACACCTTGTTTACAATCTCAGTCACCTCAACATCGGCAACACAAACCGAATGACCTCCATGCCCGTCTCCGACCCCAAGACCACCCCAGCACCAGGCTGCAACCTAACCGCAGACTCCTGCCTCACCCCCTCCCCAGCAGCGACTCCCTCCCCCCTCAGCACAAACAGCAACTGCACCGCATCCCCGCCTTGATCTCCACCTCCCCCCCGGCATCCACCTTCCACATATCCGCGACGGTCTCCCTCTCCGTAAACACCCCCAAGGGCTTCCTCCACGCGCCCTCCCCAACCCTCTTCCACGCAAACCCCTCCGGCTTCACCACCACCGTCCCCGCATACCGAGGGGCCGGATACACCAACGGCCGTCCACACATCTCCTCCCACAGCGCCTCATACCCATCCTTCCCCTTCTTCTTCCCTTCTTCTCCCACCACCACCACCACCATCCCCACCCACATCCCCACCCACATCCTCCCCCTCACCATCACTCCTCTCGACAAACCTCCCCCCCTCAAACCCCCCCTTACCATTCAACCTCGCCTGCGCCTCCTCCAACTCCTCAAACCCCAAATACCCCTGCCCGCTCGCGCCCCCGAACTGCAACACCAGCACGTCGCGCTCGCCCTCCGTGTCGCGCTGCGGGCCATATGGTACGCCTTCGGGGTGGTAGGAGAGTTCGCCCTCGCGGAGGAGAATGTCCGGGGCGATGGAGACGTCGCCGCGGTACGCGAAGCGGAACTGGTCGAAGTTGTGTTTGTGGAGCGGGGAGAAGAAGCTCGTTTGCCGGCCGATTGTGAATAGGTAGTTTTCCTGCGTGCCGGGGGTGCCTTTGAAGAGGTGTTTGAAGGAGAGGCCTGGGCCGCGGTGGGTGAGCGAGAGGGGGATGTAGGGGTGGGTTGAGCCGTGGATGATTTCCATTATTTGGGTTGGTGGGTTGGTGGAGAGGGATGTGGTTGTGGTTATTCCTGTGTTTGGGGGTTCTGGGATGTATGAAGTGTAGAAGTACGATCAGAGACAGGGATTATGGAGGGTTTAAATATATGAAATTTTGGGTGAGATATACTATCTGGTATCAGTCAACTGCCCACATGTATAGATACTTAGATTACTGACACGAGGCGGGGCTGAGGGATGGGCGGGTTGGATGGGATTGTGGTGGACAATGCTGATCCTGCCGACGGGGATTGGTCGGTTCGCGTATATAAGGTGCACTAGGCTACTAGCCGTTGTTTTTTTTTTTTTTTTTTTTGGCTTTCATGATGTAATTCCGCGTGTACATGATCAGTATCTGGTAGTGGATACTCCACTGGGGCAGTGAACCTTCTGCAGGAAGCTCCAAGTGGTTGGTATTGTATTTGCCATGACTGGCTACCTATTTCAATCGGGTACTACGACCAGGCCAATCAGGCAACTTTCAGTCTATACACTATACAGATCCGATAGTGTCATAGGATGGTTCCATTGATTTCGCTGACCTTCCTATCAGGATGTCTATGTTGATTATTCCCTCTAGCGCGCAATTTCATGATTTTGAGCCATATTTTCTATCCTTGTGATGTTTTACGTGTCCGACAATAAAACAGAGCGATGAGACTGTAAGACATGATACTGTAACCTGCCTCATCTGGTAATATAGAACAAGTAGCGAAGTAGCGGAACGTGCGCGCGACCAAATACAGTGGCGGATGCAAGGAAAGCATGACACTCGGCTAAGTGTCCTCTTCACTAGCAGCCAATGTAGCAACCGCCCTCCACGCCTGTATAATAGCACGTCTGAATCAATTTTACCAGTCGACACTCTGCTCCATCTTGTCCTCCGCCACCAATACGGTCGCCTTGGCCCACAACTTCTTTTTATCGTAATCTTCACCGTTCTCGTTTCCAAATGCCAGAACGGCGGGCTGGACACATACAAGAATAGGGTTGCCGTCGAGCCGGTTGTCATCTTCATCAAGATGATGGAAGCGATGCGCGGTCATTTCTGTATCCGAGGAGTCGAAGACTTGCAAAGGTTCTACGCCGCGGCAAACAATATAGGTCCGCTGGGTCCACAAAGATAGTGCAAGCGTTCCAGCCGTGGAATACAGCTTGTGCAAATCGGACGCTCGGACTTGCTGCTCTTCGTTGTTTTTGACTTGGCGCAGAAGAACATGGGCTGGCCCGCTGAGAAACGCGGCGACTTGGATGTTTACAACCCGTTCTAGCTGGCGTGATAGGTGAAGCTTCGTATCATTTGCCGAGGCCGATAGAACTCGCAATGTCTGAGATCGCCAGACATGAGCTTCCGCTTCATTACCTGCATCCTGGTCAATCAATTGTTTGGCTAGACCATTCATTCTTGGCATGCTTACCTCGGATCATGATCTGGTACAGATTTTGCATTTCCTCCTTTCCGGGCAGTTTGAGATCATGGTCCAAATGGCCTAACAGAAGGAACGGGTCGGTGAAGTCCGAAAATATGCTTTTTGCTAACAGTGCCTGGATGAAGACCATCGGGACCCTATTAGGTGGGATCGGGATCTGCGGGGCCAGAGACCTCCAGTTCTTCTGGACACAGTAGCCATTCAAGGCCTCAATCACCATATCCAGCTGGTCGCTCGAGACTTGCTGCAGGTCCGCAATGTTTCCAACACTGAAAGTCCTCGCCCAGAGGCGCAAACCTTCTTGCAACTTGGTCAGTTCGTCCCTCACCACCCTATGCTCTCTGGGCGCCCAGGCTCCTTTTGCCATGGATCGAAGGGCACCTTCTTGGGCTGTCACGGCTACAGATCGTAGCTCATGACAGACGTTTCCCAGGTCTCTCAATTTGTTCTCCTGGTGAAACGCAGCGCGCCTCAAGTAGTGGATCTGGGTATCACGACGATTGATTTCTAGTTGCAACTCCCGAATAAGCCCAGTGTAACCTGCTTCACTTGTTTCCCGAGATTCTTCAAGTCTGCGTATCTTTGTCAAGTACTCTACCTTGATGCGTTCTTTGAAAGTCTGGATATCCTCTGTCCCCTCTGAATCGTGTATGTGGGTATTGTTCTCAGGATTCTTTGAGTCGGTTTCACTAGGCTTCAGTCGGTAGCGCTCCTCATTCTCCACTTTTGCTATTTTGCGAAGCCGCTCATTGCCAGGTGGACTTCTGCTGGGGTAGTTGTCGCTTGCAGGTGTAATGTCCGGCGACCTCGGTGCGGAAATTCCTATTTGGCGTCGAGAATACTGCAGTTTCAGAATCAGGGCAAGGAAGATGGGGAGGGTCCGTCCTACTGAAGGAAGAAGTCCATCCACCAGATTTCCGAAAATGTCATTCAAACGGCTAGCTCTGTTTGCGTTCATATCTCTTCCCGAGTTCATGTCTTTAGCAGACAAGGGTTCCTTGGAAGGCACGTTGAAGAGTGTTAGCTGAGTATTCCTCCCATGCATGCAACCGGCAGTTCCTCTTACCTGCGGATTATTCTCCATAATGCCAACCCGAAATCAACAACCAGTCTTGCGCCTAATGAGAGACTTGATATATGATTGAAGCTGAATTATATCTGCCCAACCAGGCGACGGGGAAGATGAGATAAAGTCAGGACAGGAGACAAACACGCGAGGATGAGTGTGAGGCAATGATGAGTGTAAGATGAGGATGAGGGTGAGGTGAGGAGTAGTCTCAGATGAGCAAGAGCATGAGATGGGGACAATTGTGAGATGAGCATGGGTGTGAGGTGGAGTGAATATGAAAGGTAAGGAAGGCGGGGTGTGAATGGAGGGTTGGGGGGGGGGGTAGAAAAAGCGAGACCAGACGTATTGTGTTTCTTCTCCAGGCGCGTCCTTATTTTACTTTCTGCTTCTTCCCCCCGCTACCTACCCATCTCTTCTCTCTTCAGACCTCGTCTTGCCCGCTCTCTAAAGTCTCGCTGTATTGATATCCTTGAGAGGATCTGAACTATATCGAGCCCTCTGTTACCCTAAAAGGGTGAAGCGCCCTCTCCACCATCTTTCATACCTCAACACCTTTTGATTTCCGATCTCTGAGGGAGAAAGACGCGATGTCTACCACAGCCACCACTAAAATAGCTCTAAAGCACAAGATCATTGTTGGCGTCGATTATGGCACAACCTACACTGGTATTATCTCTAGCTGCTACTTGCTATAGGAAATTGCTAACAACAACATGCTGTTTCATAGGGGCTGCTTACGTTAGTACCAAGGAGTGTGGCCTGAGTGATATTGTCTTAATTAGTACTTGGCCGGGCCCGACTCGTGATACCGAGACAGTCTTTAAGACTCCATCTCGCATTGCGTACCCCGCAGATAACCCGCGGATTTCTAGCAAGCGATGGGGATACCAGGTTGAACCGGGAATGACAGCATATTCTTGGACTAAACTACTTCTCGACAACAACACCCCCCTGACTGAATATGATGACTCCGCTCTGAACAAAGCCTCCGGGGCTGGTATATTGGTTCTTCCTGAAGGCAAAACCGCTGTAGACGTCGTGGCTGACTATCTGGGCGAAGTTTACAGCCATATCATGAATACCATTGCCAAGCAGATTACCGAGCAGACTCTCAGTCTAACTCCTATCGAGTTCTGGCTTTCCATCCCTGCAATCTGGTCAGATCAGGCCAAAGCTGCCACTCGCACCGCCGCCGAGCGTGCTGGTTTTGGCTGCAGTTTGCTACGTCCCCAGGATACGATCTTCATGATCAATGAGCCCGAGGCAGCAGCTATCACGGCGTTGGAAAAGTATACGAGGTCTAGCAGAGGAGGATCAGTCAAAGTAAGCAATCACTGAATATACCTGACATACAAATATGTCACATACAGCTAATATTTGGCGCTAGCCTGGCGATGGTGTTTTGATTTGTGACTGCGGGGGAGGTACAGTAGTAGGTCACGCATCGACGCTATATATTTACATAAACAGCGTATCTGACTTGCCCTCTAGGATATTACTACCTACCTTGTGAACCAAACAGAGCCAGCGCTCAAGTTTGAAGAGCTCTGCACCGGGATCGGTAAGTTCTCAAATGGCCCGCCATCGAACGTTCTGCAGGTATTGATGAGCAGGGGGCAAATGCGGGTCAACCGCCGTGGACCGAAGGTTTTATCAACTCATGTCGGAGCGGTTTGGTGATGCTTTTGACACGCTTCCGATGAAAAGGAAGGGTCCCGGCAGCGACTTCATGAAGAGGTTTGAAATCATCAAACGTGACTTTGGATTTTCGGATGAGCAGACAATCTTCGGGATTCCAATCAATATGGCCCTCTCAGTTCCCAACCCTTGCCATTTTGACGACGAAGAGCGTCTTGTCCTTCTTTCCAGGTACGATGGCCCACCCCTTTAAGTTTACCTCGCTTACTGAGCTGCCTGAAGTGAGGACTTGAAGGAGATGTTTGATTCTGTCGTGGAGCAAATTCTCAACCTTGTTCGTCAGCAGATCAGGGATGCAAATGCAGAGAGTGGTAATGGTGTCATTACTGTAAGATCACAGTGACCTTTCCTAAGAAAGCCCTGATCGTGAATTGCGTCATATTTATCTGGTATCTAACGAAATGCAGAGAATCATCCTGGTTGGTGGTTTTGGGGATTCTGAGTACCTGCGAAAGGCGTTCCATCATGCCTTTGAAGCGGGATCAGGGGGTAACATTACCATCACAGTTCCTGATAGCCCGTAAGTTCCCCTATTTTGGCCGAGAACAGTTTTCGCGAGTGCCAACCTGTTGTTTCAGACAAGCCGCCATCGTACAAGGAGCAACTCTCCGTGGACTAGAGGGTTTTCGATGCAGCACACGGAGGTGCCGTCGTCATTATGGCTTTTCATGGGGCATTCCATTCAGACAAGGTTTTGACAAAGAGAATGACTCATATATTCATCCTTTCACCGGGGAGAAAATGGTGAGGGGCATCATGAACTGGATGATTGCAAAGGTTTGTCTAAGCCCGCTGGTTTATCTATTGGAAGGTCTCTGACGGGATGACCGAAAGGGGGAGAAATACTCGGAGGGCCACACTTGTACGGTTGCTGTCACCCATAGTGCCAGCACTCGTCAGATCTCAATCCCTCTTTACTCGTGTGATCTGCAATACGCTCCTGAGCGAAACGATGAACCAGGTAAGCATGTCGACCCTATGGACTAATCCTGTGTTTGACCTTGGTATAGCTATCAATCGCATTGGCACAATCGTTTCTGATCTCTCAAATATAGACCTTTCCGGGTTTGAGCAAAAGGTGATCGGAGGTGTTGTCAATAGCAACGTGACATACACTCTGAAAGTCATCTTCGGCGCAAAAGAAGGGGTGTTGAAGTTCAAAGTCGTCTGTCAAGTGAAGGTCATTGGGAAAGCAATGATCAACTTTACAACTGATATGGTCCATAGCTCATAATCATGAGTTATGGAAAGAGAAGCTCTACGTAAGTTACAAAGGCTCTGTGTTGGCACGCTTCAGTGTCCAGTTCATGTCATATTTTCACTCATAAGGGTAATATGTTCTTGAGTCCTTAATGGTACAAATCCCTGACAAACACTCCTTCACTCTACTTTCCTCACTGCCTCATCATCATTATATTAACACTGCTTTACTTCCTTAATCTTCCCTTGTCATTCCGGGGTAATGGCATGGCCCCTAATGTCTTGTATTGTACATGCTTGAGCATTGCTAGATACTAGTCTTCCATGTAGAAAGCAGGCAACTAGGTTCTGTTGGCCTGGTGAAGGCCTTCTGGACTCAAAATATTTACCAACACTCTTCATCCTGCGAACCCTCAGAGCAACAAATCTCGCAAGTACAGTTCTCACTATTTCTCCCTACCCGGTCTGCCTAATCCCCTTGATTTAACGAAACTATAAGTCTTTGTTCCACCACATATCTCGTCCTATACACCACATTTTGCCACTAATTAGGCAATTTGTCATCCCTTGAATAGTTTCACTTTACGGTCGCTTTCTTCCATCTTTATGATCGCGAGGCACCTAGAGTCATCTAGTCTACATCTCATCAATACACTGATTCCAGGTCCTTGTTTCTTTACTGTAAGTTCTGTCAAACCTAATAATGCTGAAATAGGGCTTATTTTAACTTTTATAAACTCTAGGAACGGGGAAACACAGCAACGCCACTAAACATGGTGGTAGATTAAAAAATGAGAGGCGACTACAGGCCTTCCTACTCCCTTCCCTTCGTGTATCCGTAGGGGCGTTGTGTTGATGATGATAATTGACTTCTAGCTAACGGCAAGAAGAGATCACTGCGGGGGATCGATTTTGGCTCGGAGTTAGTTGCCCGAACTCTCCGATAAATCCGCATAAGCCTAAGTCCGAGGGCTGAGGATCTTCAGAGCCTTGGGAAACAGGGCTGCAACTTCGGGCTCCGACGAGAGTCACTAAAGCGCGACCGGACCAGCAGCAGTTTGACACCCACTTTTCTCGCTGTGGTGATTTCCCCCGGCGTGGTTGCTAGCGTGTCCAGGGTTTAATGAGCATTCCTTGCCACCTCGGATTGACCCCGTCGGATGGTCCGACGCTACGGCAATTCAAGACTAGGGGATCCCCCCCCCCCCTTTGCCGAATTCCGATGGCGGCGGTTAAAAAGGAATCGATTTCCTGACGACAACACTTGAACACAGATGCGTGGAGTCGTAGCGTGAAAATCATCTCAGCATGACTGCCGTGCCTGAGACCCAGCAGCCGCGCCCTGCGGATGAGGAAAAGGCTGGACGACCGTCGGGACCGGACCCGAATCTAGTCACTTGGGACAAGAACGACCCCGAGAACCCGCATAACTTTTCCACGGCCTACAAATGCTGGATCACGTTCCAGCTGGGCATGCTGGCCCTCAGCGCCAGTCTGGGCTCCAGTATCATATCGCCTGCAGAGACGGCTCTAGAAGAATATCTTGGAATGAGCACCGAGGTCGCCATTCTTTCCGTGTCTCTCTACATGTAAGGGGTGAAATCTGACCGGCAGAATATTCAACCGCTAACAAAGCGCAGTCTCGGTTTTGCGTTTGGGCCATTATGCTGGGCCCCTATCTCGGAGCTCTGGGGACGTCGCTTGTCGATGCTACCGGCGGTCTTTATCCTCGGCCTATTCAGCATCGGAACAGCAACTAGCAAGAACACCGCCTCGCTGCTGATCACGCGGTACTTCGCTGGCCTCTTTGGCTCGGCCCCCGTCAGCAATGTATCGGCTGCCCTGGGCGATATCTTCCACATGAAGGCTCGTGGCATTGCCAGCACATCCTATGCCATCTGCGTGGTAGGCGGACCGACGATGGGACCCTTGATCGGGTCTGCTTTGGTCACGAATTCAAAGCTCGGATGGCGGTGGACCGAGTACATCGAAGCCATCATTGTGTTCTTCGTCTTCACCGTCACTTTTTTCTGCCTCCCAGAGGTATACGGGCCGGTGCTTCTACACAAGAAGGCAGTGCGTCTGCGCAAGGAGACTGGTAACGAAGACCTATACCACCCGCACGAGCACATCAAGGTCGACTTCCACTCCATTGTAACCAAGCACTTTTCCCGACCGCTTATCATGCTTGTATCTGAACCGATGGTCACCGTGATCGCGCTGTACGCCTCATTCACATATGCAATCCTCTATCTCACTCTCGAGGTATTCCCCATCGTCTTCGATGACATCCGCCAGTGGAAGCCCGTGGTGGCCACACTGCCTTTCCTCGGCCTCTTCGTCGGCGTGCTGTTCTCCGCGGCTTTCATCATTCTGGTAGGCCAACCCTATTACATCCGCAAGTGGGAAGAAGGCGGCGGAAAGCCAGTCCCTGAAGCACGGCTCATGCCCATGGCGGTCGGAGGATTCCTATTCACGGCTGGTCTCTTCTGGTTCGGCTGGACCGCAGGCGTATCTTATTCCTGGGTGTTGCCCGTTGTGGCGGCTGGGATGTTCGGATGCGGCTTCTGTATCATTTTTGGGCAGTGTATTAATTTCCTCGTCGATACGTACGGACCCTACGCCGCGTCGGCAACTGCGTCCAACACGTTCCTGCGAAGTGTGCTTGCGGCGGCGTTCCCGCTTTTCTCGCAGCCCATGTTCCGTAACCTGGGGGTCGGACCGGCCATGTCCATCTTGGGAGCTGTTGCGGCGGCAGCCATTCCGGTTCCTTTCTTGTTTATGATTTATGGCAAGCGCTTGAGGAAGATGTCGAGGTTTGCGCCGTTCAAGGGCTGAGAAGACTACTAGATTAGATAGTGCTTAATTACTAAATATAGACTAGAATATACAAGACGAGCTTGTGTTGGGCTTTTTCTTACCCTTGCCGTCTCCCGTGATAACCTGGCTTGTCTTGTCCCGTATCACAGTGCCTGTGGAGAGTGGGGATGGAGCGGAGTATGGTGGATAGTTATGGTGTTACTTCGAATTGTGCTTCTTTTGTCTCGTGGATCCAGGACAGTTGGCGGGTACCTGACCGGCAGGTACCTGGCGCGTGACTTGTCCCCGTCATCTCCCACGCTCTCTGAAATCTCAAGCTTCTCTTCCCATCTACCAATCTGCAGGCCAACCAGGGAATTACGATGTAAACCAACTTGGATCAATTCTTCTGCATAGCACACGTCTCTGCATTTGACGCGCATGATATGTCGCACTCTATTATCTAAGTCCACAAATCTCCTAGGTCAGTGCCAGCCCCCTCCTGGACCGCATGCTAACGTTCATTCACAATTATGCAGTTGGCGTTGACTCCAATAATGGATACGCCCCTCCCACCCGTTTCGAGTCCTTCCGAATATTCCTCGTCTGAAAGCCCACAAAGAGCATTGACAGCACCGATAACGCCTCGGGGAGAAACACCAGCACCACTCTGACAGCAAGGGAGCCGGTACTCGAATTGAGATCCTTTCGCTGGGTGCATACCGCGATGAGCTGGTAGATGACGCGAATTCCCACAAATACCAACGCGAGAAAGACACCTTGAATGAGCTGCATCGACATCTTGTCATCAGCATCGCGGCCATATAAGTTGTGACGGGAAGAGACCTACCGTTGTCCCGCCTTGGTAGTTGGTCCCATCTTTCCGACTCTGAGAGGGAAGCAGTGAGAAGCTGGCCCAAAGAGCCACCAATGCCCAGGTCAAGACCATCAGCCCCACGCCTGTCTTGTAGTGCGTCAGACTGTCTGACTTTGGGTGTCCTTCATAGATATCGAGTGCCCCGGTAACAGCCAGAACAAGGGCGACTGCCATTAAAACAGTTGTCAAGCCAATGAATAACCAGCCGACGACTTTGTTTCGGTCGGGATGGCGATATGTTCGACTATCGATGTTCATGTTAGGAATGACATGATTGGTTATTGGGGAAAGACTGACGCCTCGTGTAGCAAGCCGTCAACGGCCAATACCAGCGGCGAGATACCCACGCCCACGATAATATTGGCTGCCAGGCTACTGCTGTCGTGCACTCCCAAAGCCCCTCCGATCACCCGGGCGACGCAAAATATGACCACATAGTACCAAGCGAGAAACCCGGGCCAGCCATGCCACCATGCGACGAGGTGGACAGGGATTAAAAGGATCAAATAGAATATGAGGTCTGCGACGAAGATGTCGTTCATGGTGACTGACTTTATGAGGATGGATGTAGCTATTTTCAAGAGTACCAAGGGTCAGTGCTGTACGGGGGAAGTTCGTCCCCATATATATTTGAAGATGCCATGCTAATGTTCATAAGATCTAATTGCAACATCCTCGTTAGGAAAGCTCCGCGGTTGCAGCCTGGATATACACAGCCTTGTACCAAACTACAGACCTCTGGGAAAATCGCACTCGATACCCGTTGCGGAAGAGGGCATGGTCATCTCCCGCTCGGCCCCGCCTCAGTCGCTCTTTCTCGAAGAACCATAAAAAGCCTCGGTCAAAATTCAAAGTCGTCAGCCTAACAACCTCAGGGGGGTCAAGCATATCAGCAGTAATCAATAATTTGTGAGGATACGTGGACCCATGCCGATGACATATCACTGCTGTGCCACATGCTCAGCCCCCAGACAGGGCGAGTGGAATTAATCAACGAGGATCAAAGCAACAGTGGCATCCCTGCTGCGCACCACAAGATCCCTGGATGATCCTAGTTGAGGACGGCCTAATGATTGACGCCTGGCCTCCATCTGGGCCGTCAGGTTGGGTCGGCAAAAGTGCGCCAGCAGAGCAGGCGAGATCGGAGATGCGATTGGCCCGGAGAGCCCGCCATGTGGCGCTCGCAGCACTAACCCGATCGGGAATACACTTCGACACTTCCCCATCCGGTCGACTGGCGCCGGCCCTCCTTCGTCACGACCTGACCCTCTGATAAACCATCAACCCGCATCCCCGCCCGCAATATGACCCCTTTAATCGAGCATTCGCGTGCGGGAAAAAAATATTCTCTCAGTCTTCCTTTGCAGGATAATCCACCTCATTCCCCCTAAGTCGCTTATATTTCTCTACAGGGAAAGGACCTCGATCTGCGCATCATGGTGTACCGAGGGAAGCCAAGTTCCGCCTGCGCTTGGTGTCGTGCACGGCGCCTTAAGGTATGCAGTGAGATATGCTCGTCGTAGCGAGATTGACTAGCGTACTGATTCTTCCCCCCAGTGCGACCGGAAAAGGCCATCCTGCTCCTCATGCGTTCGAGCCAGGCGCACATGCACGGGTTATCGCGATATAGTCGCGCTTAGCTTCCAAGACCAGACCGATGAAGTGATCGGAAAGGCCCGTCGTCGCGTGGATAAACAGACAGTGGAGCCATCACCGTCGCCCAGTTCCTTCATCTCGGATCTGTCGACAGTGGCAGATGATGATACTAATGATGATGATCAGGTCCAGCCTGGACCAGGCCCACTGATGCTGCAACACATCCCCGCCCCGACCAGGGATGACGGAATTTCCTTTGTCCTTGCCAATCATGTCGCAACGGGACCCTCCGCCCACGCCCATCTTTCTTTCTTGCCGTCCCTCTTGCAGGCTGTCTCCAACCCGGCTATCACGGCGTCGGTCAACGCTATGGGCCTGGCCACGCTAGCCAATATCCAGAGGAATCCTCGCCTAATGTTGGCGGCGCGTCGAGAATACAGTACCGCATTGTCGGAAACGAACGCCGCGCTTTGCGATCAAGCCCGTGCTACATCTGACTCCACATTAGCTGCTGTTTTGCTACTAGGTCTATTTGAGGTGCGATTTATCGCCCTGCCCACCCCCTTTATTACGCGTCATGCTGAACGTTCAAAGATTGTTACCTGCGATACTCCTGCACTAATGGCACGCTGGGCTAATCACATCGACGGGGCTATGAAAATGGTCGAACTACGCGGTGCCGAGCAGCTTCGCACTCCAACAGGATTAGGTCTATTTATGCAGTTGAGATCGCAATTTGTACGTTTTATGCCAGGAATGATCCAAGCTCCCAGCTCATATCCGTCATTTTACAGGTTCTGAGTAATATCTATCGGAAGAAGTCTACCCCGACATGGTTACTTGAGCTGTCCCAGGATGCCGTAGAACAGCAGGACCTACAGAATGGTTCCATGGAACAACTATTTGCCTACCTGACAAAGACCAGCGACTTGTGCGCTCGGATCAGCGTCGGCACCCACGACGGCCCTACCGCAATCATCTACGAAGCCATGAAGATGGATGCAGACCTTGTCGCGTGGGCCCTCAGCGTCGACCCCAGCTGGCAATACTCTAGGATCAACATAACTCCCGACAGCGAGACAGACCCCCTATTCAGCCCCATTTACGGCGACTATTACCACATCTACTCCAATATCAACTCGGCCGTACTCTGGAACACATATCGCCTGACGCGGATCGTGGTCCACGAGATCATTGGAGCGGTCTGCCAACGGGTCTGCGAGATAAGCGGGGGAGAGAACGCCGAGCACAGGGCCGCCATCCGGCGTAGCGAGGAACTCAGTCTGCAGATGGCGGAGGATATCTGTGCCAGTGTCCCGTTTGTATTCCGATACTCTGCGAGCGTTTGTCCCGGGTTACCACAAGCGTCGGGGGGCATTTTCCGTCTGCACTGGGCCCTGTTTGTCGCGGCGGACTGTTTGGGATCGACTCCCCCCCTGCAGGCCTGGATTCTCGACTGCTTGGATCAGATTGGGTATAATTCGGGGGTTCAGCAGGCGTTGTCCATGTCGAAGATTCTGCGGAGTGGTATGCATCTCGAATGGCTGACGGGGGATTTCAAACGGCTGGGGGCTCCTGCTGGGCAGAGGGATATCAACCAGTCTTTAGATTGACACATGGACGCGATGCTGGGGGGTTGTGCACAGTCACCACCCCTCACCCCAAAGGAAGTCTTTTTGAGCGATGTAGTTTTTTTAGCGTGGATAGTTGAACACAATGAACCTATTCTGTAAGTGTTGCCATTCAGCTTCGATCAATACAAGGGTCTTAGTCTGGCTTCATATAGCTTGGATATGACCCACAAAACGAGGGATGATTCAATGACAGGACAAGGCAGTGCCGATTCCAAAAGGTGGAAGAGAAAGAGAACACGGGAGGGTGCGAGAAGAAAAAGAACACTTTTTATGGCGGCGAAGCGCCCAGCACGTTCCTTCCCAAACGGGAAGGCATGGGTGGGGACTGACGACCGAATGGCCTCAGGCAATAACAGAATCAACATGACCAGAACTGAATCGCACGACACTGTCTCTTAACCATCGAACTAATCCTTTGCATTGATTCCTTTCCCTCTCTACCACCCCTCCATTGACCCTCCCATCCTGTCCTCTCTCTGAATTAAATACCCTCCAAAACATTCGCAGACCTGACCAAAAGACCCCCCCCGTCCGCCACCCATTTATACCCCCCCCTCCCCGCACTCACCACGAGCAAGACTCCCCCCCTGAAGACAGCAGAAGAAACCCAGACAGTCATGTCCAACCAGTACCATCTACGTCAATGCTAAGCTGACGCCATTCGTTCGCAGCAGGGAGGGTGGTGTCACGGCGGTGTGACTGCCTCCGTCAGGGATGACCTCAGGCACCATCACAATCACCATCACCATCACCACCACCACCACCCCGCCGATAGAAGGTTCTAGATGAGACGTCTTGGTTGTGAAGTAATGATCTGCTGGATGTGACGAAGATAGTGTAGTGTCCTGGTAGAAACGACCGGCATGTCAATCTACTTTATTATTACTCTCTTGTCTTTGTGTTGGTTTTGCCTTGGATTTCTATTTTTATCTATCGCCTGTTACGTAACTAGTCGGAACATCTCTCTTTAGTTGTATCGTTTCCCTGATCCTGGCTATAATGAACTATCTGCCTGTCACTGATGTGTGCCATTTAGTTCTAGAGATTCGGATTTCGATACCGCTACCTGACTTCAAGTTATTACAGCCATTCCTGTCAGCCACAGCGCCCAGCCCATCATCATGGTACATCTACGCTTTCCTAATTGGGTCTGGTACCGGCGGTAGTCGTATGTCTCCCAAATCGGGAGTTAGGGCTTAGGGCTACATCATCAATCCATCCAACTGATGGGTGATCAATCGTATCAAGAAAGCCATATAGACTAGACTCCATAGTATTGTGTATAGCACATGCACATGCCAAGTGATACAAAGTTTGTACAATGCCGCCAAAATGAGAGAATGAAGAAAGAAGAAACATGATGAATAGTCGCGTTGCTAGGGCTAGAATCCACAGTACAGGCCCGATGTTATGTGCGCAAGAAATATGACGTGGTGTATTAGTTGTTGGTAGATTGCAAGGCTGGGTTATTGAGATGGCAGATGGGGATTGGATGTGTCGTGGTAGTGGTGGATATTCCGAGTCTAGAATATACCGAACCGCTTTTTTCCTTCTGTGATGCGGTCAGATGGGGTCAGATGGGGTCAGATGGAGGGTAGATAGATGGGTTGACTATTGGGCATACGTACCGGACTTTTTGTTCGCTTTGTTTTTGCGACTGTCGCTTCCGGTGGTAGGGACCTGCCCTTGCCTGACTCCGTCCGCTGCGGCTTGGATGGTTGCGAGACGGTGTTTGGCCCGCATGTCGCCCTGGTCGGCTGCTTTCACGTACCAAACGTTGGCCTGCAGGATGTCGCGGCGGCAGCCGATTCCCGTTTCGGTAAAATACCCAACGGCGTATTGGGCTTTGGATAACCCTGTGACAGTTTAGTAAGTGATAAAGTATGTGAATCATTTGAGGGATGTCGCTCACCAGTATCAGCGGCGCGTTTGGCCCATTCGTATGCTTCGGCCTCGTCTTTCTCCAGAATAGGCTCTGCGCCGATCAGGTACCACGCACACAGCGCCATCATGGCCAGAGGATGTCCACCTTGTGCGGCGGTAGTGTAGAAGTGGATTGATAGGGCAGGGTCCCGGGGACAGTTCAGCTTCCCGTGCTCGTATGCGTCGCCCAGGCGATAGCTCGCCTCGGCGTGTCCCAAGTCTGCGGATTTGGTGAACAGTTGGGCAGCATAGGAAGGGTCAAGGAAGATGTCATCTCCATAGCCAGTCTCGTGTAGTAGGCCTAGCTCATAGGGGCCAGAGTTGTACTGGGCGTCAGCTGAATCAGTGGCGCGTTTCATCCACTTGATCCCCTCCCGGTAACGCTTCCCCAGGCCCATGTCACCTTCCAGGCAAGCCTTTGCCATACGAAGCATCGCACCTGGATGGTTCTTCGACGCTGCTTGACGGTAAAACTGCTGAGCTCTCGTAGCTTCGACCTTGGTACCCCAGCCAAACTCGTAGCAGAGGGCCGTCCTGTAGCATGCCTCGACGTGTCCGTGCTTACTGGCAGCCACAAAGAGGGTAAAGGCCCGATCATAGTCCTCCTTCCCGTTACCGAATAGACCCGAAGCGTAGCCATCGGCTAGGTAGTATTGTGCGAAAGGATAGCTGCGATCAGCCAGACGCTGTAGAATTAACTTTGACTCTCGGAGGAGGCTAGCACGTGTGATTTCGGTCGCTTTGGGGCCGTATACGGAAGATGTGGCATCGGAACCGTCGGGGGGCATTTCAAGCATGGCGTTGATCATGAAGATCGCGAACTCGTACTGAATCGCGGAGTCGTCGGTTTTCTTGACGTTGGCCAGATACATATCGAAGGTTTGCTTGTGGCTGAGTAACGATGCATTATTGCCGATAGACGATTGAAGATGAGAGTTGCCAAACTGCACCGGAGCCGGGCCGGCTTGAGGATAAACGCTGTTGAGCTGGTCGATGAAAGATACAGGGCGGACATCCGGAGATGCGCTCGAATCCCTGGACGATGCGCGTGCCAGAGGATGGGGAGATAGCCTATTGCGTCCTTCGGCCGTTTCTGAAGCTAAGGAGTATACGGAATGAGTCCGATGTTTTCCCGCGGGGCGGCTGTTCGAACGTGGAAGATTCTCTCCAGACTTGGTTGCAGAGGGAGACTGTAATGGTGCCGCGGTAGTCTCGTAGGGGCGATGGTGGTAATGCAGGGGCTCGCACAAGTCCGATGTCTGAGCGGTACTGTCAAGACTGCCGCGTGAAGAGCCGGTTTGGCTGTCCTTTGGATCACCTTGATCCAGCGACGACGTACTGGTATTTGGCAGACTGCCATCCTTCACGCGGGGGTCTACAACGGACCACGAGGCGCTGCTAGTGGGCGTATGCCGGGATACCCGGGCTTCCGCTTGGGACCCATTGCGATCTGACCGATTTTCAGATGACCCGTCGACACCTTTCCCTTCCTTGTGAGGTTGATCCGAGAGGGATAGGTCCGAAAGTGTATCGATGGAAAGTGATAATGCGTAGTCGTCCTGAAGGTCCACTGCCTGATCAGTCTCCTCGTGATTCCTGACCTGTGGAACCGAATATTCTTGGCTTTCCGAACGACCGTGCGGGGTCGATGTGGATGAGGGCAGCGGCTTTCTCGACACACTCATGCTCGGCGGGCGATTCAAACTGGTCCGCTGAGGCAATTCGCGATGGACTGGGGGGATCGGAGGAGAGGATCGGAGATATACCGGAGGCGGGGAAGAGGGCGGCTGGGGGTACCGACCAGCTGCAGAGGTCGCCATTGGAACGGCGCTTCGCTCGGGGACTCGATCGATATTCGCAGATTGAAAATTCCGAGCCAGAACCGTCCCACACGTTATAAGACAATCCCAGCGCTATGCATTGGACATGGAGGCGGCCGTGAGCCAGAGTGGGGGTGGGGAAATCCGGAGGTGTTCAGAACGAACGGAGGGGCAGGTCAACGAGGTTGCGACACGAGCTGGTTATCAGAGATCGGAAAGGCGAAAGATTCGGGAGTCGGGACGAGGAAAAGACAGGGAAGGGCCAAGGGACTGAGGGATGTGGAGAAGGAAGCTGGAGAAAGATGGGTCAATTGCGCGCAAATCGGGTCCACCGGGGAGATATGCCTACCCTGCAGGAGACGCTAAACGATGGATCCTGATAAGCAGTTCCTGCTGGTGTCCATCACGCAGGCAGGCCACCCACCATTGGCAAAAAGGGCTCCGCGTGAAGGTCTTGACACAAAGCAATATGGCGAGAGAGCGACAAAAAAAAGAGGGAAAAGGGCAGGGAGAACCAAGTGGGATTTGCCCAAGAGTTGGGGGGGAAGACGAAGAGGAGATGCTCGGGAAGAGAGTTGCGCCTAGCGCACTAGCGGGTCCGAACTAGTAACGGTACGGAGTCCTGTTGTTAGTAACGGTACGGCCTCAAGTTCTTAACCTCAGTCAGTCACGGGGCCTGGGGTCGCCTGCAGCCACCGGGCCGTCGAGTCCAATGACTGACAGGGGGCCAAAAATAGCGAGGCTGGTTCGTACGGTTAGTATCGATGTGCTTCACTGCTTACACTGTCCGTACCATGTGTGTCTCACCCGCCAGGCCCGTCCCACCCTATATATATCGCGCCAAGCCAGCGTCAGGCAATGGACCCGAGGAACCAGACTGGACGGAGCCTATTTTCCAGTCTGGTTCGCAACGCCGCCGGGAAGCGGGCGTCGGAGCCGGACATCATACGAACACCCCTCTTAGTCCGTACTGTATCTTCTTAACGTGAGACTAACAAAGAGACGGATGTGCCTCCGTTCCTCAACCGCAGCAGATCATTGGACGTCTTCATCAGCCTGCTCCAGCCCAGAGGAAATAGCCCAAGAACACGTCAGAGTCACGCAAAGGAAATAATAACCGATCGATCTAGGTCCTCCGGGACCACGATGGCGGCCGAGGCTTTGAAACATGACGGCTAGCATGGACCCTTTTCCATTTTGGCGCCAGCTGGCTCGGGGTAAAAGGTCTTCCCCGCAGATAGTGCTCTAAAGTGACTACACCCTAGGTGGTAATCTAAATCATATGCCATCCCTCCGAACCGAACCCAAGCAGAACGAAGTCAGTGCAGGTTTTGCCCAGCGACAAAATGTAGACTCATCAGGTTCAACCAACACCATCACGTACCTGATGAGGCGATCCTGTGGCAGCCTGGAGTCATGGCGGAATCATCGGAGCCCCCTCCGGACGGGGTCTTGATTGGCGCGCAGGGGCTGAGGCCTGGCCGGAGTGGCGCCCGGAGCACCGCCAGCGTCGCGCCGTCAGGCTTCCCTCCCATTGGTGCGCATTGATTGTCCACATTCTCCCGACACGCCCCAGGCTCTCCCGGGCAGGGGGGTTACACCATCTCGATGATTCTCACCGCGAGAGGACAAGAGGACAAGTCCCTTTGGTTATAAGGATGACGTCTTCCACAGAAGCAGGTTGTGCGGTGGTACAAGGCGAGATCTTGAAACAGAACCATCCCTGGGCTGTCCTGCAGGGTGTATGCGGTCCAGATTGCATTCTCTAGTTAAAGTCAAGGTTGGATCCGAGGTCTTTTGGGCTTGTGTTTCGGGAGTGTTGCACAGGGAGGTCTTTCTCCGATGGGATAGGGATACTGAGAATGACTGTCAAACTTGGTTGAACCGTGGGTTTATGGCTCATCGTACGACGTTCAGAGTATATGATGATGGAACGAACCGTTCTATCTTATCTCGAGTGTGATTTCATCCTTGTGACTGATGAAGTGATTGACACAGACGCTTATATCATGCTGATCATCTCCACTTATTCGGAACCAGTTGACGTCAACTTTCCTGTTAGTTGTGAGGCATTTGTGTTACAGTTATGCGACAATGGTCAGATGGTTTGAGAGGTAGTTTCAAGAGAAGTAGCCTTTTTCATTCAAGAGCCTTTCGGTTAGTGTTCTGCTATTTATCTGGTTATACCAGGTACACGACCCTCAATGTGCATATTTCAGTCAGATATATATGATAAAGTTGGCAAATGAAACATGAGGGACATGGCGGAACAGACAGCAGGGTTTATCTCAGATACTCGATTTAAGTGGCATAAAATCTATATCCCAGAGACATCGCATCCGCCAGGGCAAGTTGAACTTCCGTGGCCCCCGACCCTCGAGGATCAGGAATGGCCGCGAAGCTATTGTTATCATCCGCACAGGCAAGAGCCCAGTTCTCCAAGCAGGTATACGAAGCCTGGGACAAGGGCGTTATCTGTCTGTCACACGCAAAGCATTGAGAGCTTGTCTTGACGGAAATAAATGAGACGAGAACCAAAGCCCCTAGGTCCCTTCAACCGTTTGCTTGAATGTTGGTTCCGGAAATGCGGTAGCTCATCCGCAGTCTGCTCCGGAGCGTATACTAGATCTTTATGCGTATTGATATTTTAATAATATCCATATTATCCGTTCCTCAAAAGCCGTCCGCTTGACAAACCACTGCGGTAGATACGTCCACGATACGACGCTCCTCCACATCGGAGAAGGCCAGAGACAGAAGAATCCATTCGAGGCCGGAGCAGGAGCCGAGTAGTGTGAGGCAAACAAAGCCTTATTATTTTCTTCCGCGAAAGAAGAATTGATTGTAGAGGGCCGTTTGCTCCCCCCCCCCCCCGGTCTTAATTGCGACGGGGCAAAAGACAGCACACCTCGCTTGAGAGAGTGCCGCTGCCGAAGGAACAATTGGTCACAACATTATGAAGCTTAGCTCTGATGGGCTGCAGCCTCAAAAGCCGTCTAAGTAGGTCATCGGAGGACGAAATACCCAAAGAAGATATATAATGTCTTAGGGGAGTCTACCGGCTGACATGGTTTCGGATGAAGGTGTCTTCGACCATTTTCGTCTGACAGCAGCTATCTGGGGGAGTATCCTGCTGGCGCTGTTGCGCTCAACCCAGCGGTGGATCGCCCTCTGGATAGACAGAATCCACGCTTGGGCCCTGATTTACTCCGCGCGGTATAATCAAGCGATTGATGGGAATAGAGCAGAGCTAGTTTTGGGTGGCTCGAGCAAAAGGGCGGGTGAGCCAGACGTGCCGATGTAGCCTGAGGGCTGCACAGTTGTAGATTGTGTGAAGAACTGTGAGATGTGACTTATATCATCATTGAATTCGAAGGTCATTTCCTTTCCGCCCGACATCGACAACATATGTATTATTGTCCCACCAGCCCACAAACAGCGTCTAGTTGGGAGTTTCCACCCCCCAGGCAGTAGCTGGGACAATTCTTCGATCAAAATAAAGGTAAGTCTAATCATCTGAAAAGTCCAACGCCTTGTCGTCGATCTCGTACAGAGTATTCTTACTCTTGTACCAGATAATCCATCGGACTTCGGCGACTTCACGTCAAGATTGCGATTGCGGTTTTCAAGCTTATAAGTCTCCTGTAAAGTTCGTAGTTACTCTTCCTGGATCCTCTTTGTCCGTGGCGGGGACTTAACAAAGACATTGGCCCCCTTTGGGACCGTTTATGATGGGAGATACGCTGGCTGAGACGCGTTCGACTATCTTTCTCGATGTCTGAGAGCCATATTTCCCTGCAACGCAGGGCCGGAATACCGAACGACAGTCGAGACAGAACCCACAGCTGTAATATATGGGTAAATCAAAAAGGGCTCTAAATCAAATTCGAGTAATCCGAACACCATGTTCGAGTAAAACTCAGGCTGTGTCGCATATTGCACCCCGAAATGGGCTTTGGGCCGTGAGGTGAGTCTGGACCGACGTAGGTCTCAGAATTCGACAGCCACCAGAAGGCTGTTCACGAGCGTTATGCTTCCTGGAATCATAGCCTTGCTTGAGTATATTCTGGGTTTGAAATTTCTGACGTATCGATACTGGAAGTAAACGTATCGAGGAGCCCTTCAAGCAGCTTATTGGGCGATACAGATAATACAAGACGAAAGTCGCTCGGTAATTGGGTGGAATCGCTGTGATCAGGTGCGGACATAACCAAATTAAATAGCTTCAATTCCGATCAAGCGGACCCTTCCAGGAAGGAGATAACGAGCCAGACGCAGTAGAGATCGAGAGCGAAAGGTGGGCATAGCGAGACCACCAGCCAAAAATGATCGCGGTTGACATTGCTTCTTTGGTAGGTCGGAAAGGATTATGAGAAGTTTCAGTGCCATCGACTTTGTTACTCATCTCCCAGCCAAGCGTTATGCTAGCGCCGCTCGATATGGTTTTTTTTGTATGGTGATGAGATACATCCCAACCTGTAGTTTTCAGGCTGGTAATCTCCGGGCTTTATCAGCCACCCCGATCATAGTCGAGCATAGGCGACGCCACAGATGCCCTAGGTGATCGAATGAAATCTGAGCTAAGAACGAAATACCATGCTTTATAGTGTGAAAGCTCTTATGGCTTGATATACATGATCCGAGGGAGAAGCACACACATTGACGAGCGATCAAGGGAGTGCTCGCCTCCAAAGCGGCAGTTCTCGGAACGAGGTATCGAGGCGGTAATTCCTGTCTCTCTTTTATCGTCCAATATTAGAAGCGCACTCTCAAGGTGCAATCGAGGTAACCGTAATGAACTTGGAATAGATAGGTGTATCTATTTCTGCTGGATACCAGGGACAGAAATTTCGATTTCCATCACATTCCATGAACAACAGAGGCCCCGACTTGAACGCGTGCACTGTCTAGTCCGACGAGTTTAATAATCTCGGTTTTGAAAACCAGGCCAAGGTCACATGAACATGTGTAGTGCCTGTATATCAAGGCTTCATTAAACACGGCAGGTCATTTCAGCTTGAGTATTTTCCAATTCGCGGAAAGCTCTTGAAGCAGCTGAAATTGTGTGTTTGCGAGAAGCGATACGGAAACTGTACATGGCATATATCTCCCGAAGGACAATGCAGCATGCTCTTCATTGCCGGTGACGCTTTCTTTGCCTCTAATTTTGAGATCGCCTCGCATGACCTCGTCACTGTGAGAGCGACAGCGCAAGCAGCCAGGTGGCGAGTGTCTTATATGTCTCCTTTGTTGAAGATGTCGTTGGCATTTCAAGAGCTATATCGTCTTGCTTGATCCTCGGAACATTGAGTGACTGTGCCGTTGCGATGGCGATGGCAGAAGTGACCGGAAGTTTTGTCAGGTGTGCTGTTTTAGGTACTTAGTATATGTCTTCTGTATTGAAGATATGTTTGACACTTCGCAGAGCTGAGGTATCGTGGTTTGTCCGCGAATAAGTTTGCCGTTGTAATTGGGGCGGTATAACCAATCATAAGTTAGGCCGATAATGCTGCTTGAAATTATGTCTCCTATCTTGAATATATCTTTGGCATTTTATTTTGGATGGCTCTCTTGCCATTGCTTAACATCTCAAAAGCCATCATTTATAGAGCAGGTGAAGACTTTCTCAGGATGGTCTAAGTTTCCTGGTTTGTTGATTCACCGGCAATTCGACAACAGAAGTTTATCGAGACAAAAGGAGAATTCCCAGCTTAGGTCATCCTAGGAAGGGCGAAGATGGTTTGATGTGGAAAGTGACGTGGAACGCCAAGTGAGAGCGATTGGCAGTTGTGAGGCATATGGGAATTGGAGGGGAAACATCCGTGCCTTTATAGACGAGGAGAGAATGGTCCCATGCAGTGACAGGTCTAATGACTGTTGCATCAAAGAGATGACAATGACTTATTAAGGACAATAAAGGCGCTTAAAGTAGGGACGTGGCCAGTGTAATTGAATCCTAGCCATCGAGTTAATGCCATGGGAGTGGAAGCACACCGTCACTGAGTACCCAGTTGCCCAAAACGAGTGAAGGAGAGAATTCGCCGGGCGGACAGCATCAGAAACCCTCGACGCCTAGAAACTCTGCTTAAGACACGTTGAGAGGTAAAACATGCCCTGTCTGCCTTGGCAGAAGCAGGGGACCTATAGTCAGGGCGGCTATAGCGTAGCGTCTCAGCCACCTGCATCAAGCATCACACCGATCCTGCGTGATGCTTTAATCTGCCTGGGATCTGTAACCTGGCGGGTAGATAGCTTAATCCAGCTCCCTTCTTGCCGTTGTAAGCGAGCCCCCAGCAATGCCCTGATGACGCCTCGAGTGGATTCACAGGGCTGAAATAATTTCCGGCGCAGTGAAGTGAAATGAGCAGGAGATGGGGGAGTTCCACCCAGGCACGGACATGATTAAGCAAGGGCTGTCTCAAGTTTGAGTGCCGTTAAGGGGTGTGACTGCATTTTATCGGGGCCGCGGTTAGGTATCGATGAAACCTGAGTTGGCTGGGATTCAGGGCGGTTCCATGTGAGTTGAGTAGTTGGTCGGCGATCTGTCAATAGGGGAGAGAGGAGAGAGAGAGAGAGAGAGATTATGAACTTACACTGTCTTGCTATCTGGATGCCACTAATCAATCCGCCATCAGGGTGGAATGGGGCTGATACCGGACTGCCCAAGCCAAGACGCCGATCGGGGGCCGGGAGAGTGTACTTTGTATTATCCAACCCGGGGGCGAGAATGTCACTCGCCGGCGCCCCCGTACGCGAGGCGACAGCGGCACCAATCAGGGGCCGGGGCCTGTCGATCTGGACCCCAGGGTCCCGCCGCCGATCCCGCCGATTGCTGTTTCAAGGTCAGTTGTTCCTGCATTGTTTCCCACCGTACACGCTGCACAGCGTATCTTCTCCGTACTGTGGCAGGATACAGTGTACAACAGTCCCACCGCCGTGTTTACTATGACGCCCAGTCCCTTCCAAACAGGCATCGATCGCCGCCCACCGCCTCCCTGCCGCCGCCGCGTAAATAAACCGTTATCCCTCTCCGGCATCCCTGCCTGACCAGTCCCTTTTCCTACTCCTCATCTCCTCTTCCCCCCTCCTTCACGTTCTCCCATCTCGATCGCCATTCCTCATTCTCCTGCCTCGTGCGTGATCCGGTATGTGCCACGTCCCGATCCTATCGTCAACCTAACCTTCTTCCGACCTATCTCATCTTCGGGGAATTCCAACCGCTGTCTTCAGAAGAGGCATGTGATGAGCTGACTTGCTACCGTTTTCCAGAGCTAAACGAACCTTCTTTCACCACAAACCTCATACCTCCTCCATACATCCTCAAGATGCGTTTCCTCGCCGTCATCGCTCTCATCGCCTCAGTGGCCGTCGCCAGACCCGCCGAAAACGCCATGTTCAACACCGAGCTCTCCTGCATCGGAGTGAGTCCATCCCAAACCGCCCCCCTGTGTAAACAACAGCTAACAACCCCCAGCTCAACGACAGAGCCTGCATCGGAAACCTCACCAGCGGAATGGGCTGCTGTCCTCCCCTCTACTGCGGAGCCGATCACGTAAGTTCCCCTCCCCCAAGCAGTCTGAAAGCGTAGCAGCTAACAGCGATGCTACCAGCGCTGCCACTCCTACCAGTAAATACGACGCGTGTCGACCACGTGCAAACAAACTTAATGAAGACCTACGGGCATGGCGATACATAATGCTGAAGAGGGAATCGGGGGAATGAGTGGATTGATGCTCGGATAAGACGAACGGAACAGAATGGGTTATCAAGGCAAACACCAGGATGGTTTGCGAGTTGTACTTGTTGAATACCACTAATATGTGTCAATACTTGCATTTGGTGCTTTAGGCACGCGGTGAAAGGAGGGTCCTTAATGTGCAATACATACGTCACTTCTTCTTACTACTTATGTTCTTGCCTTTTACCGAGAGAGATAGATCCTCGATTCTTACTTGGGGATGGGATGAGACTCGACTGACAGCAAGATGACAACTGGTTGCTGTCGAAGGGCAGAAGAAGGGCAAGTGGAACACCTCATCCTCCCTTCATTCGGGTATCAATACCACCATAGCTGTGCCCCTCCTGAAGCTGCTGCTCCGGGAACAATTCCAACTTCTATTACAGCCACTAAATCTGTATGTTACCCTCTGCCTCCCCCACGTCGCCTGTTCACCCTGCTACTCACGCTCCATCTATCTCCCCTGACCAGCCCATTCTCATGGTCGTGATAAATCCTACCCAGTAGTACAATCTCAGGATTGTCTGCGGCCGGACAATGCAGATTTAATATGGCAGGACTTGGCGTGGGTAAATTCCCCCAGCTCTTCTGCTAATTTCGGGGAGGGCGCGGTTCCTCGGGAAGTCGACTTGGTCAAGTCAGTCACTGGTATAGGATAAGACTTTAGTAGAGAGCGATAGGAATTGCCATCAGGGATTCATTTGATCGGACCTCTGCAGCGTGCATGCCACACAGTACTCTTCTATCTGAGACGTCGACTTTGTGGGATAAAGCTACGTGTATGCCCGGTGAATTCCGCCGCTCATGGCATAATGACGACAGATTGGTGTCAGAACAAAGGTCCCCTCCAGTTCGCCCCCATCCTCCTGCTCGCCCTCCAACTATCATCAATCGGAATTCCAGCAAGATACTCTTCCGAGGTCTTGAGCTACCTGCTCCCCATCCCAGCCTCAAAGGAGAAAAGAAGAAGATGCCCTTGTCTTTCCAAAATCTCACGAGAGGTATTATTCGCCGGGTCACCTCATGGCTTCCCCCAAACGATCTGATCAGCATGGCACTATGTAACCGCCAGCTCTACAACCTCCTCAGAACCCGAATTCTATGGAACAGGTTTCACGCGAAACGCGACATCGAGTCCCGAAATGTCTTCTTGCGGGAAACATACCGAGACCTCCACGCCTGCCGTGCCCGCCTCCATTCGGATATCATGGAACTGAAGCTGACTCCAACAGATATAATCGGAGATTGGATCCCCTCGGCACTGAAACATTTTGGAATTCGTCTTGGGATATTTCGGTTTCCCTTTCGGCTGGACTATATTCGTCAGTACTACTACTGTCCGCGACTCATACGGGTCATAAATCTAGGTGCTGACCACTGATCGAGAGGATATTAGGTGGCGAATTGGATAAGGCGGAAATTGGTATCGAGATTGCCAACAGGACACTGCTTTATATCGAGCAAACACTGCTTCTGGCGGACGCGCAGGTAACCCAGGGCCTCACCGGCCCCGGAAGCGTAGTTTTTCATCGGAAACCCAGAGATGTGGTGGACCAGTGACGTGGGCCAGCAATTGATCCCGGACTTGGCTGGATGATGAGGTGTGTGATGGTGGAAATCAAGGAATATCTTTCACTTGAGATTGGAGTGGATGGTATTGGGTCGATATGACACGATTTGATGGATGCTGTTCCTGTTTTCATTTGCTGGCTTTTGAGGGGGGGGGTGGTTCGTATAGCTCATCATGAGTACGGGGCAGGTGGACTGGTCTTCGGTCAAGTCTGCAACTGCTTGGGATGAGGATCGATTGCTATAGGATACCATCATCAGATGGTCAGTGCAAGTCCTGTGGATGGGAACGGTGGTTTTTTCATGGCACATTCTACAGTATTTGGTTGAATTGGGGGGGGGGGGGGGATGACGCTGTCTATGACTAGTAGAGCTGGGGGGAGAAGGGAGTAGATGCATGTTACTTTCACCAAGGACTGGTTAACACATTCACTCATTCACTGATGTGGATACCCCGTCACTGCTCTGGCTTAAGCTCTTCTTTTTCTTCTTCTTCTTCTTCTTCTTCTTCTTCTTCTTCTTCTTCTTCTTCTTCTTAGTGTCTGTTTCGTCACGGCCTCCCCCTCCTCCCTCTTGACAGATCTTTTTCCGTTGGGCCGGAGCCGCGCTGTGAGGAAAAGGTAGGATATTCCATAAAATGACCCTTTCTGACATCATTGTCATCACTATTACGTTGACTAATGAGTCAATTCTTAGATAGAGATGGCATGGCCAGTCAATATTCCCCGTCCCCCGTCCACCGCCACCACTGCGAGAATTGCAGAAATGGACATCACCTCGTGCCTCCCAATGAACACCGTCCATGCGATTGGATCCACCTCATCCGGCATCTGCGCGGTAATCCAAGACGAGATGAGGAAAAAACACCCGGCGCCCTATGTGTCGTTCTCTCATGTGCCGCCAGCGCTGGTCCGGGAATCGCTTGATAACCCTGAAGCTTTTGGCTCCAGAGCCGTCCGCATTTGCTACGATGAAGATACCCGGAGGCTCATTGTGAAAATTCCAGGGAATCAGCACGAAGTCGCGACTTGGCATTTAAGTAAACGGATTATCAACGACACTACCTCCATGGGTCTCGACGACCAGCTGCTCCTTAAAGGAGCAGCCAGGGTGGAGGACGCTCCTGTGAAAAAGGAGCCGGACGCCTCTTTCAGGCCCGTACACCGTCCACCTGGGCGCGACCAGAAATGGCCATCGGTGGTAATTGAGAGTGGGTGGTCCGAGTCGGATGCACGTCTGGAGGTGGATGCAAACCTCTGGATCGGACGTTCGGAGGGCCTCGTCCAAGTGGTAATCGCGGTGTGTATTGATAGAGACCAAGAGCTGGTGACGTTCAAGAAATACGTTCCCGCGCAAGCCCCCTTGCCCCGTCTTCAGACTCTCCGGAGCCACTCCTGGCGCGCGGCATTATCCGAAACGATCGCAGTGTCGCGAGTGAACCAGGTGGTCACGGTGACGGGTGCGCCGCTGACCATCCGATTCGAGGAAATGTTTTTACGCCCGGCGTCATCTCCCCTTCACGTTGGTTACACCTTTGATGCCGCCGCCCTCCAGAAGGTTGCGGAGATGGTATGGGAGGAATCTTAAGCAAGGTCTTTGCAGCGGGGAATATCTGTGCGGGATTGCGACGCTGAGAAGTGGCTGTGTCGGTCGTCAGGCGAGAGGGCGCTTGGCTGGAGCAGTGTGGGCGGGGTCCCCGTGCGAGGGTGGGCAGGAGGTGACCGGGGCGCCGTTTGTTATCAGATTTGAGGATATGTTTTTGCGACCGGCAAGGGGGACATTCGAGATGGATTATGTGTTTGATGCGGAGAGGCGGCAATCTTTGGCCGAGCTGGTGTGGGATGAAGGGAGCGATGTATCAGACTGACGAGTCAGGCGAGAGGGATGACAAGCTTTACCACATTCTAGGGAACGAATTTACTGGTTTTGAGAAAGTATAGCCATCGTAAGCCCGTAATGAATTAGCATGTACAAACTAACACAAAGAAAAGAACAGGGAAAAAAAGAAGAAGCCAACGACAACCCCATGGTCACGCGACCCAGGTAGGATCGAGATGGATAGATGGATGGATGGATAGATAGATAGGTGTGAGAAAAAAAAAGGTTATATCTACTACAAGAAATCTCAACTGTACGGGAGAAGAGAAAGAAGAAGAAAGGGTGGCGGAGGGGGAAGGAAGTGTTCCTGTGGAGGGGGAACGAGAATCGAATCGAAACTCCAAGCCGTTTGGGGAAGCAAAAAGAAAAGAAGTGGAAATGAACAACATATTTCTCAAGAACTATACATATCCGAGTGCAGCACCCGTTTAGAACTGGTCAATGCAGCCCCAGTACTGCTCGACGTCGAACTCGCCGGGGTCCTTCCACAGGTCGTTGGCGTAGGAGAAGAAGACGGACATCTCACCGACGGACTCGCGGATACCCTTGATGGCGGTGGTCTGCTCGGCAACACCGGGGACGGCGAGGCCGTTGGCGTCACCGGCGCTGGGCCAACCGGTCTCCAGGTTGATGACGGTCTTGTCTGTGCAGATGGCCTTGAGGATCTTGACCTCGGCCTCGGCGAAGGTACCGGCCTCAGCGGCGGTGGTCTGGGCGTTGAAGAAGGGGTGGATGTTGGCTCCGACGACGTCGACGACCGAGCACAGGTTGCTGGTACCGTACTCCTGCCAGATGTCGATGGGCTCGGTGGTCGTGATCTCTCCGGTGTAGCCGGCCGCCTCGAAGGACGCCTTGGAGGAGGTGATGAACGTGGCGAGCTCGGCGGCCGTGGTGTAGCCGTCGGAGATGGCCTCGTTACCGACAACGATCAGGGTGACCAGGGTCCAGTCCTTCCACTCGGTGATCGCGGTGATTTGGTCAGCAGCTCCGGAGGTACCGGTGCTGGAGATGTAGACACCCAGGATCAACTTCAGGCCGTACTTGGCCGCGGCAGTACCGACGTACTCCAGGGTGCTGCAGTCGGTCGAGTAGAGACGAATGTGGGTGAAGCCCTTCTCGGCGATGATGGCGATGTCAGAGTCGACGGTCGACTCGGACTTGCAGCCTCCCGCGTCGGTGTAGGGGGTGTAGGTCATTCCCATGCTGTTGCCACTGGCGCTGACACCGGAGCTGGCGGCCGCGGCGGAGGAGCTGGAGGAGCTCGCGACGACGGAGGAGGTATCAGCTGCGACGGTGGTGGCGGCGGCGGAAGTGGTAACGGCGGCGGCAGCAGTGGTCTCCTCAGCGGCGACGGTGGTGGTCACAGCAGCAGCGGCAGTAGTCTCCTCGGCAGCGATGGAGGTGGTCACGGCAGCGGCAGCAGTGGTCTCGGCAGCGACAACGGTGGTGGTCACGGCGGGAACGCTGACGGCGCTGGTGGCGGCCACAACAGAGGTGGTGCTCTCAGCGTTAGCGAAGGGGCAGGTGTAGGTGTAGTCAGTCACGGTGACGACCACGGTCTCGGCGCTGTGGGTGTAGACACCAGGGGTGACGGTCGAGACAGCCGGGTAGGTGATGATGGTGTTGGAGGGAACGTAGGTGGTGGTGGGAGCAATGGTGTAGCTGCCAGCGGAGGGGCAGACGTAGGTGGTGGACTCAATGACGGTGGTCACGGTAGAACCGGAGGTCTCGACGGTGGCGTACGGGTAGGTCACGGTGCTGGAGGCCGGGACGGAGGTGGTCTCACCACCGTAGAGCTGAGTGCCGCTGGCGAGAGAGGTGGTGGTGTCCGCGATAACGGTGGTGGGCACGGTGACCGTGATGGTCGAGGCGGGGATGGTGTAGGTGCCGGTCGTCGAGAAGACGGTGGTGGCAGCGGTGGGGACAGCCACGGTGGAGGAGGTCGTGGCAGCCGCGGCAGGGCTCGAAGAGAGCTCGCCGACACTGCCGGCAGCACCACCGGTGGAACCGGCGCTGGCACCCTCAGCAGGGGTGGAAGACTCGCTGGGAGCAGCGCTGCCGGCAGCTCCACCGGTAGCACCGACGACCTCCGTGGTTGTGGTGGCAGCCTCGCCGACGGACTCGCTGGCGACAACGGTAACGGTGGTGTAGCTGGTGGAGTGAAGCGTGGTGACGACCTCGGAGGTGATGGTGGTAGGGACAGGCACCACTGGTGATGTCAGTGGGTTGTTTACAAACGCCTCATCGCGTTACGTTCGTGATGTTGGAACCAGCCACTTACGGGTAGGAGAGCCCCAGACGGTCACAACCTCGGTGGTGCAAGCACAGGTGTTGTCGGCCTCGGCCTGGACGGCCCGGTTGTGGTGAAGCGAGTCGTGGGCGTGACGACGGTGAGCGCCGTCAGCCAGCGCCGTACCGGCCATGGCGGCGGCGGCGGTGGCCAGGAAAGCACCCCTCATGTTGACGGAAGGGGGCTGAAGGGGATTCGGAACAAGTCAATGAATGACAATTGCAATGAATGCCCGCTAAAAGAGTGAAGCGGTGGTCAAAAGTGCCGGGGGGGGAAGAAGAGGAGAGGGAGAGAAGAAGGGGAACGCCGGCCGCTTTTGATATCTTTCTCGAAGGGGGGAGAAAGAGACGGACGATCTGCGAGACGAAACCCGGGAGGAAAAGAGGGGGGAGGAGGGAGAAAAAGAAAAGCAAAAAGCAAAAAGAAAGAAAGCAAAAGGCCGGAAATCGGGCAGTAGAAAAGATCGTGGGAACATCCACGCCCCTGGGTCTGGCCCTGAAGCCCCCAATCGCAAAAGGGGGCGGTGTGGATGCGCCAGGCACCGCAGCGGCGCCATTGGTGGCCGGTTTCACGATGGAGCGCAGCCCGGGGATCCTCCCCCCGAGGCGCGTCCAGTGGTAGTCCGCACGGCTCGGATAGAGGTGGGGGCAGCCATTCCGTTGGTGGAGAGACGTCGCCCAGCTGCAGGGCACCCCGGCACTGCGGCGCCGTGATTGGCTGCACGGATCGATATGGGCGGACCTCCAGTCAATGGCCTCCAGGCCCGGTTTCAGACTCTTTGTCCCAAGCAGCCGATGGCCTGGATACGGTGCCGTCGCCGCTGATATTTGACTTGGCACAGTTCTGACATCCATTCAGGGTCTTCGTCCGCTCCAGGAATCGAAGCAGAGCCCGGGAGGATGATGATTCCGAGACTTAAGATTAGCCGGGGGAGGACACCCGCGATCCCTGACCTCCCTGGCGACTCAGACTGACGTAAGTGCCGTCATCCTTTTCCCTCCCATCACACCAGACTCATTCAAGACACCCCGGCAACCAGAGTCTCAGTAGGCTGTAGGCAGCAGAAAACAAGCTCGGCCATCAAAGCCAATCCATCGTCCACAGCGTGAGTTGCTGGCTGCTGCTTGCTGCGTTGTGCAGGCTGCAAGGAACCCACAAAGTCAAAGCCCCACATGGCTGCATGTGGTGTCCTCACTCTACCCGAAATAGCATGGCGCTGAGCCCCCACTGTCTGACTCGGGTGGCTGCCATTGGGCACTGCAACACCTTAATTTCCGGGGTTCCACCCAGAGAGGAAGCCGCGCTGGTACTCCGTACTCCGTACCATTATTCGGTCGCGGTGCGTCTGCAAGAAGCAAAAGCGAGACACCACACCGTTAAACCCGGCGGTTCTTTCAGCTGCATCGCAGGATCTGAACACCGGATGGCATTATGAAACACGCACGAGTTCACGGGGGAGGCACAAAGCCACAAGAATAGAAACAACCCCCCATCAGCCTCCCGGGTGGGCTTTTCAGCCTGACAGCCACCCCGTTCGGGGAGTATCCGGGCGCGCGGCACTCCGCGGCTTTCGCCCCCTAGACAAACAGCCGACAGCGGACAGACGGAGAGACACACAGCCAGGGTTGCATCGGGAGAAGGTTCAATAACCCTGCCTGTCGACTTGCAGTCAATAATTGACAATAATCCACGAGCCATGGTCGATCTCCATCTCATGCCCAGCCTGGGTGCAGGCCGATCGGTCGTCTATTGACCATTCTATGGGCTGGACGGTCTGTGGAGGTGGCTGCCATGACAGACGCGTTGTGGCCGCTCGATGCCGAGACCCGAGCCCACTGATGCGATGTGATTGATAGATAGAGATCAAAGTTCGGGTTCTCGTGTTTAACTTTTTCACTGGGCTTGGACTCCAGACTAAGTAGTCAGTCTAGATGCCTCCTACGTACGTACCCTCGCGACGAGTCAGAACGCCATCAAAAGGAGTGTTAATCTATCGCGCCTCGTGGTCGCCGGATCTCTGACTACCCCGGACTGGGCTTCCTTCGTCCCTACACCAACCCTTCTGCTGCACACCTCTACGCGAGTACAGGGACCGATGATACAGACAATGAATTTGATCGGGTGGCCAGCACGCTGATTCTTTCGTGGACGTACACCGTTCCGTGGAAGTGATCATCGTCGCCCGGTCTCGACCGGTCAGTGCTGCACTCCAGTCCTCCACTGCGGACGCGAATTGCCCCTGACGAGGCTTGGCCTGAGCCTGTTCTGAGTCAAAGCCATCTGCCGAAGAGACAAGTCGTCGAGGGGGCTTATTTTGGAAGGCCAAGTTGTGTCTTACTTGGACATGAGTTCAGCTAACACACTAACCGTCGATAGTCCCAGTCGTGGTGCGGTGAGACATGACTCTGATTACCCCTGAATGCAACAGCACTTGGAGTGGGCGAGTATAAGAGGCCACTATTTTACGTACGGGAATAGAAGTCTTGGTCGGGGCTTCTGGAAGAATCGGACGGACATTACTGGTCCCTGTCGCAGCCCTGCGCCTCGTCGCCTCCAGACGGCCATCGTCCGCCCTACGGGAGGGGAAGATATTTCCAGGACGGCACGTCCGTGGAATGTGTCAAACCTTGACTTAACGATCACAGCATTCTTGCTCCTCATTGACGGGCACACATTCCTGGAAGTTTGCAGACATTCTGGAACACAAGGTTCTGGAGCGTTTGTTTCTTCTTCCTTCGAGGGAGGGAGAGAGGTGGTCGGTCGACTCCAACAGCGCCACCGCCATCATCGCAGTTCCACCAGTCCACCAAGTCCACCAGCCCAACCAGCCACACCATGGTACATCAGATTGGCATCGCAGTAAAATCCAGCAGCAGCAACACGTAGCCAGACTGAGCCCTTTATATAGTTAGTCAATCAATCCATCCACTTATCTAATCACTCCATCTCGCAACGCCCAAGGGACAGGGGGGAAGGAATGGGAAAAAAAAAAAACAGAGATCGATCGTACCACCCACCATCTCTCACCGAACAGCAGCGCAGCAGCCACAACATCATCCCATTCCCGCCGTCCGCAAAACATCAGGCCACCACCCACGCCCACACGCCCAACCCAAACTCTCACCCTCATCCTTTCCTAACAATTCTCGTAAATGTCCGTCTCCCCATTGGTCGGATCGTCCCATCATCTGCCCAGATCTTCCGATGCCATCATCACACGTGATCTTACCCCGGACATGACCTCCCCCGGTGAGAGAACGCACCAGGTGAGGTGATTCGGATCCAGAGATGCCATTGTTGGTGATGGTTCGATGTGGCTTCTTTGCTGGGATGACGGCAGTTGGGGTTTCCGAGACTGTCGCGGTGAGGAAGGATGTCGATGCGTTGGTGTGTACTCCGTATGTGTATATAAACCTGTGTGGTGGATCGGTGGTGGTGGTGGTGGTAGTCAATAATCAATACTTACCAATCACTCTCATATCAAAGCAGTATCGAGTCTACTTAGCTTCAGCTTCGGTTCAAAAGCTACATTACATTCTGATATACCTGGATCTGTATACCCCCTCCAGGAACACGACAACACCACCACCACCACCACCACCAAGAAACACCAACACCATGACCGAAACAACACCCCACTCCAACACCGCCCGTCTGCAAAATGACTTTGGCGCCGATCTATGGGTGAAGAACGTTCCCAAGCGAGTAAGCACACACACACACACACACACACACCATCCCTTTCCTTCCCTTCCTCCAACCCTCCCTCCCCTTCACCTTATCATCTCAAATCTCAATACTAACCAACACCCCCCAGCACGCCGTCGGTGGCCGCGGCCTCTTCGCCGGTCTCCAAGACACGAAAAGCTATAACGTCGAGTCCGGCTGGGCCAAGCGCCGCGCGGCAGAACACCAAGGGTTCTTCGGGAGTATCTGGAGTCGGTACGTGCATTCCCTTCCACACATCACCCTGTCCGATTCGGCCGCAATAAGCGGGTGATGGAACTTGGATGTGAGGCTGACCAGTTGACGCTTAGATTCTGGGGCGGCTCGTACACGCCTCCCGAGTGACTGGCCCTGGCTTGGGCGGGGATGGATCTGGTTTGATGGGTGTTTCGGATTCCTGCTTATGCCCGCGAGGTCTTGTGTTGTGTTGCTGCATGGTGTTCGGGACGGCTTTTGTTTCCTTTAGCGAATAATGATGATACCTTTTATTACTTCACTTGACTTCAATTTGTTTTGGGTGGGAGGGGTGAGTGTGTAGGGAGACCTTCACTTGAGTGGTGTGTAGGTAGGTGGGTAGGTCGGTAGATTGTTGTGGGGGCATGGGTGAATCCCTTTGTTCGGTCTCTTTGTCTGGTCTTGCGCGGGGATCGTGATATCCTTCGTGGTTTGGTCCGGAGGATATCTGGAATCAGAAGTAAAGTGTCAGTAGAGTAGTATAAAAAAGGGGGGGGGGGGTAGATAGCAAGAAAATAAGGGCGAAGGATTGCTGTTCTAATTCCTGATAAGTAAGCTTTCAGTAGTTTGTTAACTTGTTTGTGAAGAGGAAGATGGAGGAAGCGCAGGGCGCAGACAGTCACTGCGGTATATTAATAGCAACCTCAGGCACCGCGAATACAGACCCCCTGGTATCTTCCTATGCAAGTGACTGAACTTCGGGGTTGTACTGTACACTGACAAAGCACGCTACTAACAACTGTACTAATGGTCTCTTTGTGGCTCTCTATCCACAGATGAGAGACCGCATACATATCCTTCTAATCAAACCACAATCTCCGCGTTCTCATTAAGTGGACAGCCAGACAGGCTGAATATCACGCGTCGCATAGTCAGCATAATGGAGGCCGGAAGATGTCCTAAGGTACTAAGTACGGTACACGGTAACATTCCCGGGGGGACAGCGCCTCCTCTGTTGATCTGCCACGGAAATACCAGACCGCAAATCCCATGGTCAAGGTTTATGGAACTTAATTCCCAAGCCACTATGCTTATTCCCCTACAGAGTACTACTTTACTCTTGGGACGAACTTCCTCTGCGTTTGCCTCTCGAGACAGAACTGGGTGCCAGCATCGTGATACACTTCCAAATATACACACTGAGTATCTTCAGAGTAGATTTCGAAAGCAATACAAGTATATCGAATCATAAAGTCTTTATGTGTATGGTCTTGTTCTTACCAGGGCGTGGAATACTATTAGGCAATAGTAGATAGGCGGTTAATAGATCTCTAACTTCGGGTATGACAGTGATATGACTGGTGCTGTGCAGAACTCACGCTTGCGCAATATCTGGAAAAAAGGTAGAAGAGTATTCCTGGTGGAAAGAGAGAGGTATGGCCACCAGTATATCAGTAATTACAGAGAAGATTATATAAGGTCAATTCGGATGGTAGTATGTCTGCGATAGTAGGTACCGACGTAGGTAGTAATAGGATCCTATTCAAAGTCACTGTAAAGTAAAACCTCAGGGTATACTTTAATTGGCGGCGGATGGGGGCTGTGATGGGCCTGCAAGATCCTTATAGGTTGGTTATCAGAAGTCTGAGACGTTGAGACAAGCAGTGGCTGTCATATTGCAAGCCCTTATTGCCACCCCATTTTTCAAGCGAGCCTGTGGAGCTCACAACAGGGCGGAATTGCATGGAAATCGAATGCACAGCTCTAGATACAGACACAAGACGGTTCACAGTGGATGGTGACTCAATCGCACAAGCGCAAGGATCTGGGAAGCCTGCTCAATGCCTGCAAGTCTCCAGCAAAAGTGTTCCTAAGTTCAACATCAACCCAGCCGGGTGAATAACCCCCTTCGAAATCAACGAGCCATGCATCACGATTCTTATCGATCACAATGTTTTCATCCTTGGCATCTCCCCAACAACAATCATTCTTGTGAAGAATGCGAATGGTTTCAGATACTTGATCATACCACTTCTGGCGCTCGGCAACGCTTGCTTCAAATGCAGTCCAATGAGAAAGAGTAAAAGAACTGGGGATAAATGTTATCAGGATCCCGGAATACTTGGTATTTATACCAAGTATCCCTTCCACTTTCGGTACCCGAAGAGAACACCCGACTACCTTCTGTAACATCGAAATTTCCCGGGCAAGAGGTCCAAGCGCCTTTGCCGGTTTGTAGAGGAAGGTTTTCCCTTTGATACTGACTTGATACACATGGCCATTGCCCCCTATGCGGAAATTCTCCACCTCCGACAGTTCAAAGACGGGGACATTCACCAGATCACCCTTCAGGGAAACCCAGTCGATTCTTTCCTTTTCTGGGAAGACTTCCGGGTAGGGTTCAAAAATCACCGTCTCTTCGTCCGCGGAAGTGATCCGGATGGAAACTAACCCGCGTTCCAGAACGGATTCCAGAGTGGTTGGAGGATCAGCCAACTTCTCTTCGAAAAGAGGATTGCAGGTCGGTACTAGAAACCGAATCAGTTTCTCAAATGACTTGTTGACGTAAAGATCGATACATTGCTGAACGATCGTCGGCGTTGGCTCCTCATCAGGCTGGGTCGGTGGCGGAGGAACGTCGAAAGCGACCACGAAGTTTATCAGCCCTATCGCCATACCGATGTACGCGGTTCTAAGGACACCTTGACTTGCTCTGTGACCCACGCAACTAGCGTTGAGTACCAGATCCTCAGGGGGATCCATAAAGTCAGATTTACCGGCAAGGTTTATCGAGACATGCATGGTTTCTGGATTGCCAATTTGGTCAGCCAGGCTACTACACAGGTGGATGGGTATTGAAGTACTTACTCCATTCATTCTGGTTGCCAAATCCTCCAATGTCATGAAGTCTCTTCAAGCTTTCGTCCATGGCGCTCTCGCCAGCAACAGCATTATCACTCTCGACAGACGTAGACCGAGTAACTAGAGTCAATTGGCTCAGCTTAGCGGGTATGCAGGTTGGTGGTGTTTTTGGACTACTTACCACTCTCAACCTCGTCACCAGACGACTCGGCCATGTCGTGAGACCACTCGGACATGTTAGACCATTCAGACAATGGGGATTCGCAAGGGTCGCAGAAAGAACCAGCTGTGGGAGATCCGGATGGGTTATCGGAAGGGCCGCTTTTCCGTCGCCATGTCGCCAACAATAGTCCGGCCACCCTCGACAGACATAGACCTAGGGCCTAGAGAAAGAATCAACCCAGGCTGCATGGTATGCAGGTCGATCAGGCCTCAAACTACTTACCACGGTCGCCAGAGTGTTCAGCAACATTTTGCCAGGCAAGCGATTGGTGAGCAAAATTGGGAGTAAGTAAAATAGTAGAGTAGGATTCGAAATATAACTTGAGTTGAGCAATGGGGCTGGTAGAGATCGACTGTACTGGATTCGGGGGACGAGGGCCCTTAAAGGCTTGCTATGTTGTCTTTGTCGAGGGAGCCATGAAAGAGCGAGCTTGCGGCAACAACGAGTTGAAAGGGCAAGCAGATCAAAATAGCGGCGATTGTCTCGTCCATCTTGACAAAGATACAGTCCAACTGTGGCAAACGGGATAAAGACGGTGACAGGCAGGTGGAGGGTTCAATAACCTGTGTACTGTCTCAGGTCTGCGATTGCCAGCCAAGTACCTTATGAACAAGATTAGACTCCAAGACTTTGGTTTCGACCGATGAAGGAACCAAAACATGGCGCTTTCAGGCAGATAGATACTTTCCTGAATGCCTCCGTTTTCTGACAATACTGTATAAGCACCCACCAAGAAGATTTGGGGCAAGATGAAGCATCCTTATACCTCGCGTGGGTGCTTTGCATTCTGCTGCTGGGTTGAGTGTAGAGAAAGGTGTTGACAGTTGACGGTTGACGGTTGACGGTTGAAGACGCGCCGGTCACATGGCCAGACGAACAGCCAAAGCCGACCGGCAACTGCAGACTCTCTCTCTCTCTCTCTCTCTCTCTCTCTCTCTCTCTCTCTCTCTCTCTCTCTCTCTCTCTCTCTTCGTTTCAAACCCATCCGACTTTGAAGAGTCCAGATTCTCCAGAGATCTGTCTTGAGTCAAGCTGGATCGCCGATCGGCCTTCAGACCCACTCCTCTCCCCAATGCTATCCTGGAGGATCGACTTCCCCAGACCCCAATCGAACTCAAAGACAACAGAATGACATCGTACGGGGGTTGTGAAAAGCGTGCAATGCTCTGCATGCCGCAGCGCTCGAGCAAACTGGCTATTGGAGCAACCCACATGTGGTCCACATGTGGTCACAACTGCTTACTCTACCACGCTAGCTCACAGACATGCCGTGAAGAAAGCTTCGTCCGACCCCCCGACCTCGCCCCTCGCCCCGGGACATCCATTCTCTATGCATCGCTGTCATACCTCCCTACACATATTCCGCGCTTCGGCCCGGGCCTTATACTCGGATGCTCCGCCTGCTGCCGCACAGTGACAGTGAAGCCCCTATTGAATGCAGGCTTATGGACTATGCTGTATCGGATACGAAAGGTGGACGGCACCTGTATATGAAGACAAACCCACATTCATTCTTCCAGTGTACGTACTACCTTCTCCAAGAAAACAAATCAAATCCAATCTTAATTGCTCTTCAACATCCACCCCCCATCCGTCCCCACCCTCTCCCCCGTCACAAACCAATCCTTCATACACCACAGATACGCCTCCGCCACGTCCCCCGGCCTGCCCACCTCCCCACTCAACGTCCCCTTCCGAAACACCCCCAAATACGTCTCGCGCTGCTCCCCAAACGCATCAAACAGCTCCGTCTCCACCGCCCCCAGCATCACCGTGTTCACCCGCACCGGCGCCAGCTCCACCGCCAGCCCCCGCGTCAGACCCTCCAGCGCCGTTGCGGCGGCCGCGCCCAGCGTCATCCCCGGGTGGGGCTTCAGGGCCAGTACCCCCGAGGTGAATGTGATGGAGCTGGACTGGGCCGTGGAAAGGTAGGTGGGGGAGTGTTTGGCGATCAGGATCGGGGCGAGGAGCCGGACGGTGGTGTGTTGGGAGAACGTCGAGGCCGTGAGCGTGGGAGAGGTGATCGGGAGGGGGTCGGGTCGGGAGCCCGCCGTGTAGATTATGTGGTTGAGGGGGATTCTTTCTTTCTTTTCGATTGAGCCCGAGAGTGAGGTGCTGGTGCTGGTAGGAAACAGATCTCCCGCGGTGGCATATTCCAGCAGAGCCACCAGGTTCGCCTCCATGGTGGTTTGGTCGCCCAGGTCGCAGGCAAAGCCGGCCACTCGGCTGGTGTACGACGGCTCCGGGTAGAGGGCCTTCAGGCGGGCGACGGCCGACAAGACCTTTTCCGGGTTGGAGCTCGACACGACGATGTTCGCGCCGTGTTCGAGGGCCCCGCGCGCCACCGTGAAGCCGACCCCCGAGGTGCCCCCTAGGAGGAGCACGCGGTGGTGGGCCAGTTTGTTGGTGGAGATGTGGTTGGACATGTTGGGTGGTGGTGGTGTTGGTGTTATTCAAGTTGTGCTGGAATCAGCAAGGTGTGTGCGGTTGTATATGTGGTTGTGGTGGTTGTGGTGGTTGTGGTGGCTGTGGTGGGACCAAATAATCACGGCTCCTTCAACGATGCAATGCCACCGTACTTATACTTATCTCTTAGCAGTCCTATATCTCAACCCGAAGTCTGAAATGACCTAACCCCCACCCCAAATCCGACCGTCATGTTATGTCCGCCGTAATTCCATGCCGTCGGCGGTTTAGGGCATCGGAGATTATGACTGCCACCGGAGATCCCTAGTTTAGTCTACCGTCTGTGTCTGTGTCGGTCGCGTGGATTTGTCAGCAACATGCCCATGTTGATATGATGTGAGATCGTGTGAGATCCACTTCATCTATCATCAGGATTAGTAAACTATGGTGTTAGTATTAGTGATCTCCAGCCTTAGTAGAAGTAATGTCTGTATTTGTATTAGCAACCTCTGCTCAGTACTACCCTCTAACCTTACCAAAAGGTTTCGTGAGATGTGGGGCAGGAGGCAGAATCAAGATAATGAATACCCAGCTAATCAAATCAGATTATCACAATAGAAGCCCTGGCTTCTAAAATATAGTATGTATTATGTACATGTACACAGATATATATGTGTGTATGGTCTGTCTATGTACAGGACCTACCGGTTAAAATGTATGCGGCTATACCAGGGCCGATACAATAACTTATGAAAGTATAAATACTCTGTGGTTGATTGGTCGGGGAAGGGGAGAGGTATTGGCGATTACATGCCGGGGAAGCTGTCCCGTCTTGTCCGTCATGTCATGTCATGCCGACGGCGATCACAACGGATCGGGATCGGCGGTATATTGCTATGTGCATTCTGGCATGGCACGTGGCCTGTGTACACTTTGTAGTGAAGTCTTCTTCTATCCCTCAATATACCATCTACCATCTATATACCCATTCATTCCTTTCCCTTCCTACCTCAATCTCAATCTCAATCTCAACAGTCTACACTCTACTCTCTACTCTACAACCCCATAATATATGAACTCAAGAAACGGTGTATTCAAAATTATGTCCAAACCAGAGCAATATACAACTCCAAAACTCAGAAAATTCCCGCTGGAAACGATCACACGCTCATCCCCTACCAACTATCGATCTTCATCGTGCCCTTCTCCTGCAGGTTCTGGTGCATCTTGAACGCCTGGAACAGCAGGTGCGGCTCGTGGCCCATGCCCTTCTTCAGGCACTCGAACTCGGCGCGGTCGAGGTAGTCCGTCAGGATGGGCTTGTAGTCGGGGTGAGAGCACTTGTTGATGATCACACGGGCACGCTCGCGGGGGGAGAGGCCGCGGACGTCGGCGAGACCCTAGTTAATAAAGTTTGTTAGTGTTGTTGTTGAAGGGAAGAAGGGAAGGAAAGGAAGACTCACCTGCTCGGTCACAACCACGTCCAGATCGTGCTCGGTCTGGTCAATGTGCGTGCAGAACGGCACGATGCAGCTGACTCCCGTCGGGTCGACCTTGCTGGGCCGCGTGCTGGGCGTGTGCATGATACTGTACTTGGAGTTGCGCAGGAAGTCCGCAGACCCGCCCAGGCCGTTCAGCATGCGCGAGCCCATGACGCACGTGCTGTTGGCGTGGGCGTAGATGTCGACCTCCACCGGGGTGTTCATGCCGATGCAGCCCAGACGGCGGATGATCTCGGGCGAGTTGGACACCTGCTGCGAGCGCAGGAGCAGCTTACCGGCGTAGCGCTCCCAGTTGTCGTAGAAGCGCTTGAAGCCGTCGGGCGAGAAGCGGATGGAGGTCGCGGTGGCGAAGTCCAGGTTGCCACTGTCGAACAGGTCCAGGAACGAGTCCTGCAGCACCTCCGTCCACACCTTGAGGTTGGTGAAGTCGGCGCCGCCCTTGCTCAGCCCGCCCACCACCGCGTTGGCGATGTTGCCGATGCCCGACTGGATGGGCAGCAGGTTCTTGGGCAGACGCCCGTGGTTGACCTCATGCTTCAGGAACTCGATCAGGTTGGTGGCGATCGCCTGCGAGCCCTCGTCCTCGGGCGCGTTGGGCTGCGTCTGGTCCGGGTAGTCGGACTCGACGACGGCCACCACCTTCTCCGGGTCAATGGGGATGTGCGGGGTGCCAATGCGGTCCTCCGGCGCCATGATCAGGTACGGCTTCCGAGCCGGCGGAAGATCCGACATGACGATGTCGTGCAGGCCCTCGAACGACGGACTGGCCGTGTTGACCTCGATGATGACCTTGTCGGCCATCTGGACCAGCTCGGGGGACGCCCCGACGGAGGCGCCGGGGATAATGCCACCGTCCTCGGTGATGGCGGAGGCCTCGATGACGGCGACATCGAGGCGGTTCTTGGGCTTATCCAAGGTGTACCAGCCCTGTGAGACGGTTAGCCAGATTCCACAACACCAACACCAGCAAAAGTAGAAACATACATAAACCAAATCCGACGGAAACATGCTCAGATGCTTATCAAAGAACTTGATCTGGCCATTATTAATGCCCTTGGCGATCTCCTTCCCGACCTGATGCGGACTGCGGCGCTCAATCATATTCAGGCGCGCCCATCGGTTCTCCGTCTCCGCGCCGGATGAGGCGCCCACGAACAGAGTGTATTTTAGCTTTCCCTCCAACTGGTTTTTCTCAACGTGGTCGGCCAGCGCCGTTGGAACTTTCCTAGAAAACAGGGCACATTCGAGTTAGTTCCTGGACTCTTCCACGAACACGACGACAGGAACAGGAACGAGAACGGACGGGATGAACCTACTTGGGATAGCCCACGCCCGTGAATCCGGACCAGCCGATGTACGAGCCATGGGGGAAGAAGTCAATTAGGTCTTCGGCTTTGGCGAGCTTGTTGAGGTAGGAGGGCCGGCGGACACGGCTCTTGAGAAGAGCGGAGGCTGCCATTGTGGTGGTGGATGAGGGAGGAAGGGAGGGAGGGAGGGAGAGGAGAGGAGAGAGGAGAGATGGGAGTCAATGGAAGGGGGAAAGAGAGAGGGAGAGAGGGAGAGAGGAAAGTTGGGGGAGAAAAGAAGCGCGGAGAGGTCGCAGGCCGGTAGAAATACGACGGAACCCCCGCCACGATCGTCCTCTTCTCTTCCACTGCCCCGGCCAGGCGGAGGTTGGCTGCCACGCCGCTGACTGGCCGGCTGCCTGTCACGCCGCAGCTCCAGAGGGTTTAATTTACTCCGTCGTGAGGAGAACGCCAGTCTAGACTCGCTAGACGAGACTAGACTATCTGACCATCTGACTATCTCCCCCTACCCTCGGCCTTGACAGGCCCTGCAGGTATGCACCTCGTCCTGTAGCCGCCGACGACCAGCTAATATTTAATCCCCCGGCCGACCACCCCTCGTCCGCCTGGGGGAATGGAGACTCAATTGCCCGGCGTTCGAGTCGCCTGCATCTCCACCGCCGCCCAAACCTTCCTGTTTCTCCCTCTGGGCGCGTACTTAGTGGGTGGGCTGAAGGAAGGCAGCAGCCAGCAGCAGCCAGCAGCAGCAGCCGCCAGATGCATTGGCGCCTCAGGTGCTGACGTCACGCCGGCAATTTCTCGGCCCGCCGCTTCCCTTCGCCATCGCAACCGTCACCCCCAGCTTTCCCACCTTTCCCCAGAAAGGGTCTGTTCCGGCTCAATTCAAGAAAGGGGAAGGGGAAAGGATTGAGGGGCTATAGGCTGATATATTTTACGCTTTAGGATCCAGAAATCCCCCGTCCGGGACTGCGTACGGTGGTGTAACCCACAGAGTTCGCTGACACGATCACCGAACCTGGGGCAAGGCAAGGGCCGAGCTTCGCCCAGGACAGCGCCGACGGGCCAGTCTCGGCCTGTATCGGCTAAGCTGCTCGGCCACACGGAGCTTTCGCAATTACTAACACGTTGATCAACAACTCCCATATTGCCTAGTTACACATCTAGCATCGGTGCGGACCAAGATGATGAAGGGGAACGCAAAATCAAGGAGAAAGGAAAGACAGTAGCAAAGAAAAAAAAACATCCCAGTTTGTTCCGTTCCAGTACCCCCCCCCTCGCCGACCCCACGCCAGAGAACCCCCCTCGGCGGCCGGGCAGGCCCCCGGGGCGTTCCCAACAAGCAGCAAACCATTCGTGCAACCATAGAGACCATCTTCGCTGTTCATCTGGTGATGAGAGATACACTGCGTTGACATAAACATGATATGGCTCGAGATGGAAAAAAAAAATAAAAAAATGGAAAGAAAAAAAGAAATGGAAAAAAATACAGTAGAAGACACGTAGAAAGAGACGCTGGCCCGTGCCGACAAGCTATGTATGGACAATGCGACAGGCTCGCCTTGAGGGCCATGTCACCCACGGAGGCAGACACATCTGCTCAGCGGGGGATTCAGGAATGCCCGCTCACTGCTCCGTTGACTCCGCCACGGGCTGTTCGTGGTCGGCCATCTCGGTGTCTTCCTTGTCGTCCGCCGCGTCCGACCCAGAGCCCTCCGCCGCCACCACCACGCCGCTCTCCCCGTCCGCCCCCTTGACCCACGAGCGGAAGCGCTGGTTCGACTCATCCACCTGGTCCTTGCTGAGCCCGTGCGCCCACTGCGGGTTGTTGACGAACTTCTCCATGAACCGGTCCCGCCGTCGCTCCTTCACCGCCGCCTCCTCCTTGGCCGTCTCCTCTGCCGACTCGCCCACCGGCGTTGTCGGTCGCCACCACCAGTCGAAGCTCCCGGGCTCGTACAGGATATGGTAGCTGTTGGCGCAGATCCGGATGATCAGCCCGTCCTGGTGCACCAGCGGCCGGTAGTACCGGTTGTACTCTTCTTCTTGCTCGAGCTTCGCCGGCAGGTTGCGCTTCAGGAAGGGCATCCGCATCTGCGAGAAGGCCACCCCCTCCGTCGGGTCCCGCATCGTGTACGCCGAGACGTAGTACGACCAGCGCGCCTCCTGGCTCAGCTCCTCGTTCTCCAGCGTCGCATCCTCGGGCGTTAGCAGCTGCACCGCCGTCTTCTTGCTGCCGGGGTTCTGCGCGGGTTCAGTCAGCATCCATGTCGCACCGCGCCGAGAACGGGGGGCACTTACGTAGGTAATCCGGTAGATGTCGCCGTCCTTGACCAGTCGTTCCACCTGCTTGCGGTACTGGATCTCCTGGTTGTGCGTCGTCTCCTCCCTGTCACGCTCCTTGAAGAAGAGGTTCATGATATCCGAGCTGCGGTCCTTCGAGTCCCCGTTGAAAATCGCTCCCGCGAACTTGGCGATGCCCGCGAACATCTTCTCCAAATTGTACAGCTGGTAGCCGCTGCGCAGGTAGTAGCGCCGAAGGGTGTCCTCCAGGTGGGACGTCTCCATGTCTCCCTTGATCACCTCTTCACACATGCGCACGATCTGCTGGTACAGGTTCGCCTTCGGGTCGCAGTCGTAGAAGAAGTCTGTCGGGAACTTGTCAATGAGGTTGAGCTCCTGCGCCGGCTTGGTGATGAGCGCCCGGCGCACGTCGTCATGAGCATCCTTCTCGTGGAGTTTGATGCGGAGCAGGCGAGAGTAGAGGATCTCGAAGGTACGGAAGAAGCAGTAGATGTTCGCGTTCGCGTACAAGTGATGCGCCTTCTTCTCGTACGTCTCGTTCAGGTTGTACTCCCGCTGCTGGTTGAAGTTGCCCTGCCCGGGGTGCTCCATCCACTTCAATTCTGCCACATCGAACGGCTCGGTGGGGTCGGGAACAGGCGTTGATGGGACCAGAACGGCATCTGGGGTGCCATCGCGGCTCGCCGGTGCACTGCCTTCCTTGTCGCTCCGCTGCACTTTCTCGCTGCGACGCTCCAGGACATCGCGCAGGAGATCGATCTTCTTGCCGTTAATGCCCTTTCGGCTGCGCGGCGTAGAGCTCTCCTCCGGACCCAGACTCTCGTCATCTTCATCCATCGGGGACGCGCCGCTAGAGAGTTCATTCATGTACACATGGAACGTGTCCCGATCCATGCCAAAGAACACAGGGATGAAGTCCTTTATGAACGTCATGACCTTCTGCGGGTCCGCCCCGAACCCAGCAGAATTACGGTCAATGAAGGTAAGCAGCAGGTGCGTGGCATCGATGATGACGGCCGGGTCGTTGAAGGTGGACTCAAACTGATGCTTCGCAGTCTGGTATCCACTCCTGCGCAGATTCCGACTTTCCTCAAACTTGTTCTGGATCTCCATCTGGATGTGTTTCGCCACAAACAGCTTCTTGTCGCTACCTTTGCTGGCAATTGCCTGGTGATCCAGACTCCGCCAGTAGGCCTTCTGCATCTGCTCCCGCCAAATCTTGTCCCATTCACGCTAGTGCAGGGTCAGCTACTTGCCGCATAATGAAACGGTCGTTGGGTCTTACCTGGCTAGCTTTCCACTCTTCGCACTTCTGCTTGAGACGGAAGAGAACAATGGGCAAAACATGGCACGGTCGCTCGAACATCTCTTTAATGATCTTTTCTCCACGCTGTCTGTCATAGATCTTCTTGATCACCCGCTGGTAGATCGCCTCACTCTGGCCACCAAGGCCGGGCGGAAGTTTGAATGCAGCGCGCTCGCTTTCAGACATCACCAGGAACTGCTGCACAATAGGCTCGATAAGCTGGATAGTGCGCGTGCACGCCTCGATGTGATGGTCGTAATCGTGTCTGTCCTCCTCGATACGATGCAGAGCATCCTCGAACTGGTTTTTGCGGTGTGCGACGAATCCCGAATCTTCCGATGCCCAGGTGGGGTGAGAAGCCCACTCATCGTTGAGGACGCTGTAACAGAGCTGATCGCGCCCACTGCACGGCTTCTGGCGCTCACGCTTCGGTAACAGGCGATAGCTGGGCCCAAGAGAGCGACAATGAGACAGATTGACAACCCCGGGGTCCTGTTTCGCCTTGACGTCGATAATCTTGTCTTCGGGCTCATCCACATGCATAAAGCGCTTGAACCAGGCCATCAGTTCCGGGTTGGAGCCGATGTAACTAGCTGCCCTCTTCACCAGAACATGTCTGTCAATGAGATCTGTGGAGTATAGGTTGCAGAGCTTGAGAAACTCGCTGAAGGTCTGTTTGTTTCCGATATACTTCTTGACCCGGTCAAAGAAGGCGAATTCCTCTTGAGTAGGCGTCAAGGAGAAAGTCGGCTGGATCGGCTCTGGCAGAGCGGGAACGAGTGTGGGAGAAACCGCTGGAGCCTCTGCCTGGGAAGGCTTATGGTGGACTTTAGCCCTCTGAGGAAGGTCAGCAATTTGTACCGAATTGAGATCGTGCGAGGTATAATCAGGGAACAGCACGCAGAAGAAAATAGAACTCACCTTGTTGGCATTGGTGGCCTGAATGGTTGCAGCTCGACCGGCTTGCGCATCGGCCATACGCGCCGCATCAGGAGCAGAAGGACCTGAGATAGATGAACCCATAGTAGATGGAGCTCCTGGCCCGCCTCGACGTTTCTTTCCGTCTTTACCAGAATCCTTGACATTGAACTGGCCCAACGGGGGCATCTTCACGTCGCGGTTTGGAGTCTGAGAGGGAAGAGCATTGGCGCTGGGATAGCTTGGCTCCCCACGAACATTGCTCATTGGGGCGGCCTCTTCTGCCTGGCGAGCCGCTGCTTGCTGCTTTGCATGCGCTGCAGACTCAGGCAGGAACTGCTTAAAATCTTCTAGTAGATCAGGAGCCGTATTGAAGAGTTGTGTGACTTGAGCATAAACGTCCTGAATTGGTTTAGACTCGCGCTGGTAGGTCTGCAATATTTCGAGGAATTGCTTATAAATTTCAGGGGCACTTGAAAAGCGGTTCTAGGCAACGAACAATAGTGTTAGTCTCAAGAACAATCATCAAAAAATCACAATCTGCTTACCTTGATCTTATTGACGTAACTAATAGCGTGGTTAAACTCAACGGGGCCCCGCTTGTTCAGGTCTGCCTGAGCACCTTGGAGCATCCCCGTTCCAACGCCCGCCAAGCTGTTCATAGGTTGTGTTAGGCTTGAGGGACCCTGTGTCGCTGCTGTCACCTGCAACAGAGAAGGCCGTCCGAGACCTGCGGAGGCAGCAGATGCAGCACCTTGAAGCTGGGAGACGCCCCGCTGATCCTGCTGGTGAGCCATGGCAGCAGCCCCAGCAGCAGCTTGCTGCTCTTGCTGGGTGGGATAGTCATAGTGATGTTCTTGAGCCTGGTTTTGGCCTCCTTGCTGGCCGAAAATACTTGGCCCCATTATGCGAGACCCGGGGGAGTATGATCCAGGAAGGTTGCTTTGCTGCGGTTGCTGCTGCTGCTGGGGCTGCTGGGGCTGCTGAGGTTGAGGTTGCTGCTGCCACCCCGGCCGCGACTGCTCAAAGAACTCAGGGCGCCCATGAGGGCCCATGTTACTGGATGGGCCAAGTTCTCCAGAGGAGTCCAAAGAGTGTCTAGCACGGGGCATGCTCAAAGTGTTCGTACCCGAAGGAGTTGTCACTCGAATCGCGTCTGGGTTATCTTCTGTTCCGCACTCGATTCGATATCCAGGGGGGAGGAAGGTGTTGAACCCCTGGATAAGAGCAGGGTGTCCGTTAAATAGCGTCGAGACACGTTGGATTACTCCGGGAGTATCAATCCTGCTGTCAAGTCAGAAACGCACATCCCATCGCGACACCGGACACTTACGCTTGACTCTTGAAGTCTTTCATGATGTCTAAAAACCGGTTATACACGTCAGGCTGGTCGACAAAACGGACCTTGACCTGGTCTAGATAGCTCAGCGCATCCTAGAGAACGGTAAGTGGGACGATCCGATGGAGCATCTGCCAGAAGGCTGTAACTAGTGACTCACATTCAGAATAGGCTGCTGACCCTGGGCGAGCGCAGCAACATTCCCGGGGATCGGTGGGCCAGTGCCATTAAAAGCCATCAAAGGCTGACCCGGGGGGCCACCTGGGTGCTGCATGTACGACCTGGGTGTGCCTTCACCATGTGGCATCTGAGGACCATAGATCCCACCAGGTCCCCCAGAGGCGGGCAACGATCCTTGGGGGCCATTTGCGGGGTTCGGTCCCAGGTTAGACAACAGTCCATTAGGACCGTGAATGGAGTTGGGCACTTTCGCTTGCGGCTGATGGATCGTGATGGAACCAGTGTGGCTCTGGACTGGGTGGTGCTGCTGCTCACGTTGACGCTCCAGCTGCTGGCGCTCGATCTGTTCGCGTTCGCGCTGCTCGCGCTCTCGGTGCGCCATCTCCTCCTGACGCTGTCTCTCGATCAATTCCCGATCTCTGGAGTCCCGCTCGCGTTCCCGGTTGATGGACTGTGGGGAGGGGTGTTGCATGGCTTGTCCGATGCCCGGGAGCGAGTGACCAGCATTATGAGCGGGGGCGGTTGGGTGCTGGCCATATGGGGTAGGCTGATGCGGACCAGCGTGGCCCTGGCTCAGCTCTGCCAGCCCAGGGAGGGAGTGACCGCCGCCAGGTTGGTTCGCAGGATGGTAGGCACCTAATAGCAGCAAGCAGGTCAGCCAGATTTCCGATGACGGGTCACGGGCTATATGGCAGTAAAGGGGGTGCTCACCTGGGGGTGGGAGGACCGGACCGGTGGGCTGCGAAGACGGGCCTTGTTGAGGCGGTGGGTTTTGGCTGGGTCGCGTAAGCACCTGGGTCAGCTATCGCTACAGAGCATAGATCTGGCGGGCTTACCCAAAGGAGCCCAGAGGACGAGGTGGCTGGCCCATCTGGTCCAGCCCGGGGTGCGCTGGCGGGCCACCGGGGTGCCAGTTATCGTTCCCAGCAGAGTTCATGATCTGTGCGCATGAATAGAATGTGGCAGCAGGGATTCCTCCTCGGAACACTGCACCGAGGCAAGGCCGGGACCGAAGACAGCTATGGACCTGCTGACAAGTTTGAGCAAAGCTCTTGCACTGTGGTTCCTCTAGACGCGGCGGGAGGTTCTCTTGGGCCAGCTGGATTTCACAGCGACATCACTGGCTTGGAGACTCCGCACGGCGCAGGCGAGAGGGCAGGCGCAAGGAGGCACGAGATGAGGATGGGCAGATGTAAGAGTGGGAGTCGGGGTTATCGGGGGAGACAGGACAGAAGCTGTGTAGCCAGCATGCAGCAGAGCAGCAGAGTAAGGATGGTTTGCGCTCAACCGATCACGGATGGTCAGTCTCCAGAGTCCACAGAAGGCGAAGGCGGAGAGAGGCTTTGAGGGCACTAACCCCTTTCCCGCATAGCGCGGCCTGCCTCGGGGCCACGATCTTCCGGTCGCCGCCGTCCCCGCCGGCTGATTGGCCCAGATGAATGACGCAGCAGGGGCTTGCCGCGGTTCCCCCACGTCATTGACCGGCCGACCGGCTGCTCCGTCACCACTCGCTTTTCTCTCACCTCCCCTTCACCACATGGTCTGGCTGACCGGGTATTATTATTCTTCCCCAACCTAATAGTAAGTAGTGCATGCAGATGGCATGAGACATTCTCAAACCGCGCTCAGCTTTCATTTTACTTTCCCTGTACCGGGTCATCTACTTCCTCTGGTGTGATTCATAATTCACCCTCGGGGATCTTGTCAGGTGACACATGTATATATATTCATCCGTCCGCTACAACAGGTCACGGGACTCATACTGAACTTTCCGCCGTAGATACTAGTAGACATCATTATCAATTCGGGCCATCTGAAGTCTTGCTCTAATTGCACTGGAGGTGGATTTATCCCATCGCCCATACCATACCGTCCGTGTAAGCAGCAAAAGAGCCCGGCGCCGGTCCCACCAGTATCTATCTACCCAGGCGGCAAGGACATCGGCCACCCCGGCACATCCAATAAGCAGGCGTCGGGCACGAAAAGGGACAAGACACCTTCTGGAGGCTCCACGTAGTCTTTCTCTATCGGTTCCCACTAAACGCCTCCCCCAAGCAATCATCCATCTTCCTCGGGCTCATTGCCATGGCCATGAGCCAGGGTCGACCGGATCCCGCATCCGAGCGGACGTAAAACAGAAGAAGGGCTAAGCGAAAAAAAAAAAAAAAAATGGAAGGCGCACGAAGAATTGATTGCACGGCCAAACTCCAACAGAACGGGGCAAAAAGAGAGCTCGACTGGAACTGGCAACTTAATTTTGGATTTGCGATGCTGCTGCTAGCAACCTTATTTGTCTCATATCTGTCCCATCTTTGATTCACATACGGACGTGCCTGTCCATTAATGATTATGGCCACCTTGTCACATACTTACAATGCGGAAAAGACAAACAGCTGTACGTCCACCCGGGTCAGCTTGTTCCTACGTAGAACGGTCCGAAGGAGGGGGACACTCACGTTATTGGTAGCAGCAATGGCAATGCTATCCTCATAAGGATGCCAGCTCATGTGCAGAATCTTCTTGTTAAAATCGATCTGATCCGCATCCGTCTCCTTCTTCATCCGACTGCCAGGACCCGCAGGGCTACCGGCCCTAGACCCGTTCTTCTTTCCGTTGGCACCCTTGTTCATCGGCGTGGGGACGCCAACCTTCTTCGCCTTGAAAGCAGACTTGTCGGCCTGCAGCACGATCTCCGTCTCCTTGCTGGCGTCGGTCGGGTAGATCATGAAGTTGTTGTTGTAGCTTCCCGTCATCACATTCTCCGCGTCGCCCGAGAAGACAACTTCAAATTTATCGAAGATGCTGTCATTTTCGTAGGTGTCGCACAAACGTGGCCGCAGGTGCTCGTGGATCGGGATCGTCTTCACGGGCTGTCTCTCCATGTTGACATCCCAAATCTTGACGGTCAGGTAATCTCGCGACACAATATAGCGACCGTCGGTTGAGAACCGTACGTCGGAGATGGAGGATATGATCTCGGAAAAGAAGGAACGGGAGGAGGCATCTTCTTCTTGCTCGAAGACTGGAATGGGGCAACAAGGTTAGCACGCTCCTCGGACAACCACATCGGGGGAAAGCACATACGCTTGGAATGCTCATCGCACAATGCCCGCTGCCGCATATCGGCTAGCTTGATTGTGCCCTTGGAACTGGCATACATGAACCAGTTGCAACTTTGCGGGTGGAATTCGGCCGCCGTGATGACCTCCGTGAGCTCCTCCATGTTTGCAGGCTTGATGTCCACAATGTTGAAACTCTGATCCTGAATATTAAGGTTCCATAGGTTGATTCGGAGATCATCACTACTTATGAAGGTTTCGCCATCGCTGTTGACAGAGATGCTGTTGATGTGGTATGCGTGTGCGTTCGCGTACGTTCTTCGGGGGACGGCAGCTACAACAGTGTCGTGGTGCGTCATCCGCGGAAGCTTCAGCAAAGACGGGTCCTTGAATGATACACGGGGCGCACGGGGAGCCCCTCCACCGCCGACACCCGCAGGGGTCAGCTCGCTCGAGAGGTTGTTCTCTGCAACAACCTTCAGTGACTTGTCAAACACTTTCCACAGCTTTATCGTCTTATCGTTAGTCGAGAGGAGGAAGTGGGATGCATTTTGCCGTCTACACCACTTGATTTTGTTGATCTTCTCTTCGATTTCCAAGGATTTTAGGTAGTCGAATTCCGGCTCGTGCGATTGAAACTCGGTGTGGAACTTGTACTCGCATGTTTTTTTCTGGACAGACTGTTAGAACCGTCTGTCCCAAAGCCTAGTAGGCGAGGGCATCGCTACCGTTTCGTTCCTCTCAAACAACACAACACGTCCTCCCTTGTCTCCCGTAGCCAGGTAGTTTCCGGTATGATCAAACTCGACGGTCGAAATGATATCCGCTGATCAGAACAAGCCATGTCAGCTGATTACAGGACACCCCACCGGCTGGTAGTTTTGCGACAGGTCCAAGTCCAGAACCAAGGGCCATTGAACGTACCTTCCGTGATATCCTCTACGTCTCCTTTGTCACCAAAGCATCTATTTGTAGCAATCAGCATAGGTCTAGATACTTTGCATGGGCCACTGAATTCAGATGCGGGGACAGCGCGATCCCCCAGGATGACGCCAGTTCCACCCCAACCTCAGCAGTAGACACAAGCCCACCGACATCCAAGACGGGCGCATCCGTGGGGATCGACCGCAGGCACTGCAACTGAGACATTCAAGGGATTCGACTCACTGCGTGAACTTCCAGGTAGGTGAACCTGGATCCCTGTCTACCATTTTCTTTCAGATCCACCCTTTACCGGGTTGTTTATCAGCGACCAGGACTGAGAAGTATAAAATCCACGAATCGAGGATCTCGGGTGCGAGGCCTAAGGTGGGGTTCTGCGGATACGGATGTCGTGGTGCGAGGGCTCAAGCTGGAGAACTTTTCACTCGACGGTCTAGGTCGTTCACGGCGAACAGAGGTGGAGCGATGGGAAGAGGGACAACCAGGCGATAGGATTCGGGATAGGAATGAACCTGAGGCGGGGATGAGGAGGGCTGGGAAGATCCGACGAGGGAATGGCACAGGCGGAGAGGTTAGGAAGGAAGCAAGGCCGCGACGCCCGACGAGCACGTAAGAGGCAGACCGGTTGAGTCACTTGTAGGCTGGGGAAGACAAATGATTGACAGCCAGGGCTGATCAGACCAAAGGAGGAGGAGGAGGGTAGGTGGGGGGAGGGGATGTTTTTGTTATTTTTTCCTTTTTAAGTCGAGATGGTCGCCTGTATCTCTCTGAGGGGGGGACCGAGTACTGGTGATTGTGCTGGAGTCTATAATAGAAAAAAGAAAGGCCAAGGCGAAGCACAGACCAGCCGCACCAACAGACGGTTGTCTGTTGAGAAGCAGAAGAGGGAGGAGGGGGGGGGGAAGGAGAGGGGAGTTGAGGAGGCGGGAAGTGGGAGGGGGAAGGATGATGATGATGGAGGGAGATGGGGGGAGGAGGAGGAGGAGGAGAGGAGGAGTGGTGGTGGTGGTTGAGGTGAGGCGGTGGTTTGGCAAGACCCGTCCGTCGGTGGTGGGGAGCAGAGCAGCCACACGTAGCAACACCCTACCCAACTTGCACGCACTTACTTAACCCAGCCGGGGCGCTGACATCAACCACTGTCCAGTCCACCGTCCCTCCACTCCCCCTCCATTCATTGCAACCCACCTTGGCTCCATTGTTGTGGCCCTTATTGTAGCATGCAACCAGGAGTCGCGGTGAATGGGCTCGTGTCAAGAATGGCCCGAAAAATAAGTCCGTTGTCAATGCCCTGCTTTGTCTCAGGGACCTGAGCTTCAATGGGGTTGGTGTTGCTTTTTCTCTGTGATCTACATAACACATAGGTATCTAGCTGGAGCTGGCAGAAACAACTCACTCTACTTGCTATACAGCCCATCCAGCCCATCCAGCTCATTCACCCCAGTGAGAGGTTCACGAAGGAAGAGGGGTCCTGCTGGGTCCCTTCCGAGCCATACTAACCCGAACCAATGATCCGATAATAAGGCTTCTGATCGGGCGATTATTACGATCTCTCCGAATCCGTGCCCGTATTTCTCGTGCCGGGCGGCTTTACCTTGAATCTCAGGACCCCCATCACCGCCCCGGCCGCCTTGCTGGCCTGAGGCTCTTCACATGCACGTCTTCCTACTCATCCCGAGTCAGTCCCTTGGACCGAACTCGCACCCAAGATCCCCCCGCGCAATTGACAAGAATTCCAGGGTCTCTTATCTTCGACCTCCGATCGCGTCTGACAACTTACCCACCTATCCGGATTGTTTGTACCCGTCTCTGTTGCTGACGATCTGGGACTTGCAGCAGCAGCAGCAGCAGCAGCAGTAGCAGCAGCACCGACAACTCCCCGCCCGCTGCCGACCATGTCCAACAACCAGAAGCGGGGCAGTGACGACAAGCCCGCAAACACACACCGCCACCGCAACGAGACCGACTCCTCCTCCACAGACCCCAATCCCAATGAAGGCCCAAACAGCTCTACTCTGGCCAGTCGGATTCAGAATTCGGCCTCAGGTCTCGCAAGAAATGCCTTTGCCGCTCCGGGCTTGTCAGCCGATACCGCTGAGCTGCTGGCGGGCAGCGGTAAGGCCGGGCCCTCATCGTCACCCTCGGCACTAGCAGCAGCACAACAACACTACCAGGAAACCTCAATTTCTGCCTCTCCCTCTACTCGAGACCGATCGATACATACCCCTGCTGAAACATTTCGGTCGACCTCGACCGTACAACGATCCGGGGGGTTCGAGCTCCCTCCGCTCACAGAAGATGAGTTCCAGCGCACGGGATCCTTCAACAACAACAACAGCGACCTCGTCGATTTAGACCCTCAAGGCGAAGGCAAAGGAAAAGGAAAAGAAACAACCGGAGACCTATACCAAAAAGAACCCAGCAATCTCACCTCCTCGCAGGACCAGCGATCCCTTCTCCCCTCAGAACCCTCCCTCGTCCCCTCCGACGGCTCCGCCGTCCTATCCCTCCTTTCCGACCGAACATTCGACCCCGAATTCCCGCCCTCCGCCCACGAACCCCCCGAAATCGTGGAGACAGAACTATTCCCCGTCCAACTCACCCCGCAGAGATACAGATGCTCGACTCCTTCCGCCGCCTGATCCCACCTGAACAAACCCAAAACCAAACTTCCCCCCCCCACAAACTGACCTCCCTCAGCCTGGTCCCAGATATCGGTACCTTCCTCGACACAGTCCCGTCAGGAGCCGTGACAAATTCCGACGTAGCCAGCCTGCGAGATGCCGTGCTGACCGGGTTACCCGGCGGAGCGGATTGGGTGGCGGTCGAGGAACGATACCATGATGAGGTCTGGGGCTACCTGCGCCCTACGCTGGAGGCGGCCGCTAAGGAGATGGAATCCAATAGGGACTCCCGGGGAGAGGAGGAGGGGCCTGCTGTGCGACGCTTGAAGATGATCTTAAAGCACATGCAGCATTGACCCGGTTGCCAAGCGCTTGGCTCATCTCATCCCTTCCTTCCCTTCGAATGAATCATTCTAATTCTCATTCTCCCTTTTGCGATAACTACCTATCCACCATGTCCAGGATATCTACGGAATCCTGCTACTGATTTAACCAGCCAGTCTGGTTTTAGTTTTATTACTAGATATATACACATAAACATATATAGTATATAGGAAAACCCCAACTACCTACTTATCATCCACACAAGAACGAATTGAAAAACACAGTATGTAATTGCTAGTTTGTATCTTACAACTAAGAAACACAACCATAGTAAAGGAAAGTAAAGTAAAGTAAAAAGAGGACATAACCCGTAGTCCTAAATTCATCACCGCAAAATACTATAACATGCTCAACCAAAACCATCATCATCATCATCATCAAGTGAAATAAAAATAAATAAAGGGTATGCATCAAAAGGGTGGGTTGGTTGATTGGTTGGTTGATTGGACAGGTAGCTGCACGGGTATATTTTCTGTCCAGTAGCAATACCCACCCAACCAGCCAAGCAAGCAACAACAACAACAACAACATCAAAGATCGATCAAGATCTCTTCTCCCATTCTCTATCTCTGAATGATTTTTTTACAGCTCTAGACTAGGGGTCTGGCCCTTGACACGGCCGATGACGATGTGCGAGGCGTACTTGGGGATGACTTCGTCGTCGTGCAGCATTGCGAATTCTGGGAGGGAGGGAGTACTGTTAGCGTATGGTTCCTTTTCTACTGTTACCAGGGTTCGTGTCGTACCTTCTGTAGCATCGCGGCCCATGAAGTTGAATAGGGCGTTCGCTCCGCCCGGATGCTCATCGAGCCAATTGGTCACGTCCAGCACGATCCCCTTGACTACGATCCATAGGTCTTCTTTCTTGTTGTGTTTGGAAATTTCTTCCATCGAGTATTCCTTCTCCGGGATGGTGAACTTGGAGGGGGGTTTCGGCTTGGCCGTCTCGGCGGCGCCGGCAGGGGTTGCGCTGGATTTGGCGCCCTGGGCCGCGGCAGCTGGGGTTCCAGCGGCCGCGGGGATCTGGCCACCTTCGGCGGCGCCAGTCCATTCGATGGCGATCTTGCCCGGGGTGGCTGGGTCGATGTGCAGGGAGATCTGGCCGAGACGCTGAGATGCTGTGGAGGCGCCGCCGGAGACCAGCTTCTTGAACAGATACTCGCTGGCGCTGTCGCCCGCAACACGGCCGTAGACAACGCAGCCCAGCAGCGAGGATCCACCCAGACGGTTGGCGCCGTGGACACCACCGGCCAGTTCACCGCAGGCGTAGAGGCCGTCGAAGGGCTTCTGCTCCGAGTTGAGAACCTGGGCGTGCTCGTTGATCTCGATTCCGCCCATGGTGAAGTGCAGGACAGGCTCCATCACGGCCACGTGGAAGGTGTCGTCGATGCTGAAAGGCAGGTTGTGGAAGAACTTCTTGTTCCAGGGGTCCTTCTTCTTACCTTCAGCGATGAGGTTGTACTCGTCGAAGGTCTTCTGGAGGGCTGCGTCGCCGCAGCCAATCTCCTTGGCGAGCTCCTTGCCCGTAATCTTCTTCATCAGCCCACGGCCGGAGTAGTGGCGAGTGTGGAAGTCCAAGACGTTGGAAGCCTTGCTGTTGAGCACGAGGCGGATGGGCCACTTGCCCTTCTCCTTCTCCTTCCACATCTGTCCCGAGACATAGTCACGATGGCCCAGCTCATCGGAGAAACGCTGACCATCCGAGTTGAGGAGAAGACCGCCCTCACCACGTAGGGCCTCCGCAGCCAGGAACTTGAACTTGGCGCCGGGGTCCTTGGGGTCCACCAGGCCGGTGGGGTGCACCTGGACCTTGTCCATGTCGATGCCGTTGGCACCGATCTCCATCAACATCTTCTGACCGTCACCGGTGGCGTGGGTACCGTTGGTGCTGGACAGGCCGAAAGTGTCGGGACGGTGCAGCTTGAGAAGCGAGCCATCACCGAAGTCAGCCGCATAGCCACCAGTGGCCAGAACGACGACACCATCCGCGCTATGTGTCTCGCCATTGTATTCGTATGTCACACCAGTCACATGGTTTCCAGACTTGTTGATGGAGGCGACGCGAGCCTTCTTGAGGATCTGCACACGATCGGGCTCAGCCTCGGTGATCTCTTCTAGACGCTGCATGAGGGCGTAGGTGATGGCCATGCCGGGAAACTTGGCATCGTGGCCACGATGCGTACGGGGCTGGGAGTGACCGCTGCTCAAATCAGCGTGACTCCTCGCAACGTAGAATGACACCCAAACTGGAGGTTACTCACCCGAGCCGGGAAACAAGGGTCAGGTCGAGGTTGAAGACATCCTGCAACCACTCGACGGCGGCGGCGGACTTGTAGGTGAGGACCTTGATGAGGTCCGGACGGGCCTTATCTCTGGCGGATTTGAGGGTATCGTCGTAGAAAGTCTTGACGCTGTCGGCGATGCCCAGGTCGACCTGGGTGCGCGTCAGGGCGCCGTTAATACCGGAAGTGGCCTTGGTGGAGTTTCCACCAAAGAAGGCTATTTTGGTCAGTTTTCGAGGAAATACAGGATTATGCGACAGTGGTTTTGCAAAGAGGTGGACAGAACAAACCCTGCTTGTCTAGAACGAGGACATTCCCGCCGTTGAGGTAGACGGTGTGGGCGGCACTAAGCCCGGACACTGAGAAACGAGCGAATGGTCAGCAATGCGGGGAAAGCTGTTTCGTTGCGGTGAAGATCACTCACGTCCACCGCCAACGACGATTACTCTGGGGGCGGTTGCCATCGTGGAGGAGATATGTGAGGAGGGGAGGATGACAGGAGGGGGAGAAGAGGAGGATGAATCTGGAGGAGAAGCCAGAAGCAGACCAGCTGGGAGAAGTGGGAGGAGAAGAAGGAGAAGAGAGCGGGCGATCTTAAAGCACCAGGGGATCCGGGGGAGAGAGAGCGTTCAGAAGCCGACGGTCCCTTGTGCTCACTCGGCCGAGGCTCATTTATCTTCCCTGCTTTGACGTACTGTCTGTACCGTACGCTTACCGTCCTTTACCCCAGACAGAATCCTTCTTTCCTTCTATCGACATGGCCTGATTCTGTTGGCACTAGTACTCCCTACCTACCTACCTACCTAGTTGGTAGTGGTATGCTCCACGCCATCCAACAGAGCCCGTATTCATACCACATCCCCAAGGCACCCCCCGAGTACTTTGTAGGGACCATCACATGCATCCAGTCCCAAGTCAGCAGAGCAGCTCTTCACAGAAGATCCCCAGCACTGCATGACACCACGGCCCTTTCACATGCCCGGCGGCCAGCAAATCAGCGGGCGGGCTTAAGTCAGCTCAGTCAGCGGGCAACGTCATGCTCGGCCGATAAACTTCTCCCCGGATTTGGGTTCGCTGGCGGCCTCGATTTTTCGGCCCTTCTGGGGTTGATCGCTTTGTTCCATGGGTTGCTGGGGCTAACTAGCCTGGAAGGATGCATCATTCATCTTTCTCACTGAAAAGTCTGACTTCTTACCTGCAACGCATCTAGAAATAATAGGAATACACCCTACTCCGTATTATTTGTAGACAACCTTTAAATTGCTCTTAGTAAATAGCTACAGTACTACTATGTAGCTAGTAGTAGTAATGTGGTAACCCTCAACATACAGTATGCAATCTATGCACAAGGGGCCTGAGGAATGCAATGATAAGTACATAAAGTACCTGGGACCGAAGCCATCACTCCATCCCCTCGGGACATTGACAAATCCCCAACCCCCCTCACCATTCAACCATATCATATAAACCCCATACCTATGTCCCCTTCAAAAAGAAACCCCCCGACCCCAGATTTTCAATTATTCTCTACCCCAAAAAGCAACCATGAGAGAACCCCAATGAATCCTCCTCCACCCCGATCGGCAATCCATTCGATCACCTGACTGCCAAAAAGCTAACCCTATCACTTTCCACCAATCACCACCCAGAGACCGAATTCCGAAAACCCAATGACGTAACCACCTTCGCTAAATGTGATTTCCTATTTCGGGAAACTCAATTGCCGGTCACCGTACGGAGTACCATGCATACCATGCAGTGTCTTCAGGGGATGATGGATGGATTTATATGGCTGGGCGAGGTTTAAGCTTAAGTGAGTCTATTCCTGTGTCTGTGTGTGTATTTAGGTATGTGTGTATTTGTTTGTATCGGTTTCGTTGGGAGGGTGATACGGATGTGAGCTCGGGAAGAGATATCCCGAGGGGGGTGTAGACGGGGTTGATGGGGCCGAAGAGCTTTGGGTGTGTTTTGTGTAGGGTGGGTTGGGTTTTATCAGGTTTCTTGGTAGGGGAGATTATACCAGATGGGTATGATGAAGAGAAATAATTGCAGCGGACACGGAACAATAGACATTGGGGATATCTATCTGGGAAGGGCCTTGGTAATATCAGCCAAACTGATTTCAACACCTAGACTCCGTTGGACCCAACTCCGGATCTCGATGGAGGCAAGAGAGTCAATCACGACTTCCAGTTTCTGTTCCTCATCGAGATCTTGAGATCCATATATGAACTTGTTGACCAGCTGAAGAGTTTCTCTCATAATAAGGTCGCCGAATTCTTTCAGGAGCATTATTGACGGATTGCTCTCTGCTCGGATCACTAGATCCCTCAATAGGTTACCACTCACTTCGCTGGAGCTCTACTCGGAAATGAGATCGATGTTTGCGTATGCCGCAAAACGAGCATCCCGGATTCCATAGTGTCCGTACGGTTGGGTCAGAAGTGATCTTGTGTACCCGAGTCCAGCTATAATAGGAGTGGAGGTCTGCATTCCGGGTCCACTGGGGCTCGGGGAGTGGGAGTGCAATATGCACATCTCCAACCCTTCTAGAACTTCATGCTCTTCCAGAAGCCATATCCCGGCGTTGCGCATTGCTTGCAAGAACTTTGGTTTTTGGCTAGTCACACCCGGTCTTTCCAAAGGCCCCAAGTACTAAAGCAGACGATGGAAGGCCTTTTTGGCGGCGATATTGTGTAAAGCCATCGCAAAAGGTGGTTGCTGCCGCGTAGTTGGCTTGGGTGCCATTGCCACAAAGTCCAATAACCGGGCTGAACAGAACAAAAAAGTCCAAGCTTTCCTGCGCTACTGCCTTGTGTAGGTTCCATACATGGGGATACCTGATGCGCATAAAGATGTCAGTGCAGCCATGGTGGCAGCTCCAGTGACCCCCTCCAATTTCGAGGATATGTAGCCTTGGTTTTGAGTGATAAAGGAAAGTGAGAAATGTGCTCCATTCATCATAACTCTGACCGAAGGTACAATAGCGACCTAATCTATCGTCATCCAGTAAGTACAACGGCGAAATCCCTCGGCAATTGGCGTAGATTTGATTCATGCATAAGCTATGTCATTGGCTCGTGCCTTTCATGCTGGCGAAGCGCCTACATCGCTAGCACAAAAAGCGGGCTCAATTAGGCCAATAGAACTTCAATTAAATTGAATTGTATACTCACGAGAATAGTAGGAAATCCCTAGGTTAAGTTTCTTGCAAAAGGTATTGGGAATACCTTTTCTGATACTTTCCACAAAGAGGTTTAGCTGGCCCACTTCTCCGGAAAGTGTGACATGTTTGAGGCTATTTTTGCATGCAACTACCACTCCATCGACAAGATATTCGGCAACTTCTTCACCGGAAAGACCAACACTTGCCATATCGCCACACCCCGTTTGTGACATAGCAAGCCTCCCGCGATAGTACGCGGGTATGATGGCTGATTTTGCTGGCTGAAAGGGCACCTGCAGTATAAGCAGCCGCAATTTCACCACTAGAGTGGCCGACCACGGCAAATGGCCTGATACCCCAAGATGCGAGTAGATTGACCATCCTAATTTGCGCCGCAGTGCATAATGGCTGGGAAAATTTAGCCTCGTTGACTCTGGACTCGGTCATTCGAGACAGCTCCGCTGAATATGGAACATCAGTAAATTGCTCATGTTGATAAAGGAGAAATTTATTTACCTCTTAATTGATATGATGGAGGGTCTTTAATTCCTTTAAGGATATCTTCTAGCTTCAAAATATCCGCTCTGAAGCCTTTGTATTTCTCCATTAGTTCTTTACCCATACCTAACCACTGGGCCCCCTGCCCTGTAAAAACGAAAGAAAGTCGAAGCGAAGTTTTTACAACGGATTTTTGGAACATTGTTGGTTCCAACAACATTGCTGGGGAAGCAACACAAAACACACGGTGGAGTAAATGTTCTCTTCGCACTCATAGGGTAAATGAGAGGTCATGAAGTCTATGGGCATTGATATTTGCATAGTCAGCCACCTCCTGAATGCGAGTGAAGGCTTGTGGCATCGCGGGCGGAGACAACAAGCAGCCTGGGACCCTCTGTTCCAGATGGACGTGAGGCTGGAGGTGCACAGCAAAGCTCCGACGCAGAGTCCAGGATGACATGGGCATTTGCGCCACCAACGCCAAAGCCGCTTATGCTGACTCTTTCTCTTCGATCAGCTGGCCACTGCATGGGCTCCAAAGATACTATCAAATTGGCTTCGAATACGTTTGAGCTTAACGTTTCAATGTGTGTATTTGGAGGGATCATTTAGCGCTCAAGAGACAGTATAGCTTCGATAAAACTAGTAATACCTGACACACCTTCCGAGTGCCCGAAGTTGGGGTCTACCTAGATTGATTCAATAAAAGAGCATTTTGAACATAATGGACAACGCTCACCGCACTAATAACCGCTCCTTTGGGTTTAAAGCAATTCGAAACTGCCGTTGTCTCGACCGCATCACCAGTGACCGTCCCCGTCCCATGGCATTCGATGAACGCAGTTTCCGACAGGTCATCAATCCCGGCGCGGCAATACGCACTCCGAATCAGGCTTTCTTGTAAGCGAATGGATGGAACAGTTATATTTGCCATTTTCCCGTCAATGTTCACAGCAGTTGACCTAATGACCGCTCTGATTGGATCATTTGCCAGTATTGCATTGTCTAGACGTGGAGGTAAACAGCGTTGATCACTTCACCACGACCGTAGCCGTCAGCATTTGCGTCAAATGTCTGACAGACCCCACTAAGGGATAGAACCATGTGGTTAGATAGACTAGTTGTCATTGTAGGAGTCAGTATAAGGTTACTCCCAGCAACGATAGCGGATGAACAAGCTCCAATGGCTAAACTCTGACACGTTTAATGAAAAGCGACGAGGGAAGATGAACAAGCAGTATATATATTGTCATACTGCATATCGTGTCAGGTCTCGTATCTTGAATGCATTAAATCACAGCCATCGGTTACCTCGGACGTCGAAAGTCATACTCATAGGAAATGCGATTCGCCAAAGCATAATTTGCAGTACCGAGCGCATGGAATCTGTCAATTGTTTGTGGATATCTGTGGGCGAGGCCCAGCCAGCCTTCCCCAAAAACAACATAGCACCCATATCATTTCCTTCCCAGTTTGTCCCTCCTGCATTCTCAAAACACCCCCAGACCAACTCTAACAAGAGCCGCTGCTGTGGATCCATGAAGGCTGCTTCATAGTCCCGGATGGAGAAGAAATGTGCGTCAAAGCAAGCCGGATCATCCTGCAAGAGTTAACCATACTCTACTCGAGTGCAACCGTCTTTGGTTGGATGATAGAACGAGTCCATGTTATACCTGCTCTTTGGCACCTCGCCCAGACCGTCTCCTTTATCAATAAGAGTGTTCCAAAACTGGGCTTCTCAGCGGAAACTCCCAGGGAGCCTCATTGCCATACCAACGACAGAAATCGGGGTAAACGTTCCCTGCATTTAATTTTTAGCAGATGCAACGCTGGTATTATCGCAGAAGCTTGAATTCGGTGCCCATTCTGGAAGGCGATTAGCTGAGGATTCATCAACGACAGTTGGAGATGTCTGACCTGGAATGTCATTCACCACTGGACCCACTGAGGATTGATTTTCTTCGCATCATCAACATGACTTGAGAATTGCATCTTTGCTCAAATTGGCTGGGCCCATAATGTGAGATAAGGGTTGAGAAAATTTGTATTCTTGCTGGTGCCGTTAAGGAATTCAGAAATGTTGAAATAGAAGTTCATATGCCCAATCCACCATTATAGAAAATACTGGAGAATAAAACTTCGAGAAGCTTCTGTTAGACAAGCAGGAGACGGAAGATCTATGAAATCTTTCAATGTGCCTTTAAAGTAAGATGACCATTGCCATCAACGGCATTCCGAAAAAAAAATGATTCTGAACCTCTCACAAAGAATAGCCACTTCGCGGATAGACCTTGTGTACTACCTCACCACTTGGAGCCATCACGAGGGAAGGCTATGATACTTTTCGAAGCAAACTGGATCACTCAATGGATGACAATAGTGCCACTTGATTGACTGTGAAGCTCATCATCTCAGTCCTCCCTCGTTATTCCAATGATGCCACTGGCGGCGTTCCACCAAAAAGCTGGTTCTATGATTTTCGAAGACGCGGGAACACTGAAAGGTGACGTGGAAAGAATCTGTACCTTAGATCCGATGTGTCAGCACGGATAATTGTGTTAAGAATGATGATTACATAGAAAGCTGATTACTTGATGGATCAACTTGAAAAAAAGATTTCCCCCCGTGGGAGTGTGGAATGGAACCAGATCCGACTCCGAGCACAAATTGGTTCCCAAGGGAGAAGTGGAAACAGGCGCTTGATGTTGGAGGGGGCGAGAAGATGGTTGTCATCTTCTCGTGGGTTTGACGTAGAGTGACTTGGAAGGGATAGCAGTAAGAATCTCCGTACAGGAGACTGAAGCGGTACTTGGAGGAAGATCCAGAAAAGCAGAAGGAAGAAAGAACGGCCAGTTGGTTACACCCGCCCCCTCCCAATTTGGCAGGAGCCTTGGTCATCCCACCAGGAGGGAATACTACTGGAGGAAACTCATCAGATTGCTTTCTTATTTACATTTGCAATTTCCCAAGGAATCAGTCCATCCAGGTAACACTCTTGGTTACTAAAAACTCATCCAAGCCTTGCGAGGCGTTGAATCGACCCCATCCGCTGTTCTTGACTCCGCCATGTGGCAGGACCGGTTCATCGTGGATCGTCATGCTGTTGATGTGGACAGCGCTAAAGACCAGTGTCGTTAGTCCGTGGTCGACCAGTGAGAATAGAATTGAGGAAAGATAAAGGAAAGCTCACCCTGACTGAATCCTCCGAGCCATTGCCAAACCCTTTCGCAGATCCTCGGTGAACACAGCAGCCGACAAGCCGTAGTCGCTGCCATTTGCTATTCGAATAGCCTCTTCATCGCTGTCGACAACCATACACGCTGCCAATGAAGCAAAGGCTTCCTCTTGCCAGACTCTCATCTTTTCATTGACTCCACCCAGCAGAATCGGTGCCATCCGAACCCCATTGTCTGTCAAATTAGAGCCCTGGTCCTTGGAACCGTGGATCAAGTGGGCGCCTTCCGCCAGTGCATCCTTGACGAGGTTACTGACTCGTGTTTTGGAGGCTACATTGACCAATGTTGGAGGTGGAGATGAAGCATCAATGTTTGAGCCGAGCGCTTTTTGAAGTGCGTCGATGAATGCAGGCGCGATAGCTGAATGCACAAGGATGCGATCCGTGGCCATGCATATTTGACCGGACTGCGAGAGGTTAGATCTTGAGGAAGGGAAGCAGGGGGAAAGGGTGTGGCACAAATTACATACGTTCAGATATGCTCCTGCAAGTACTCCCTTTACAGCCGTCTCAATATTGGCGTCGGCGCAGACAACGGCACTGTTCTTGCCCCCCAATTCCATCAAGCATGGCTTGAGGTTCTGACCACAAGCTCTAGCAATCTTCCTACCCACAGCAGTGCTACCTGTGAAGTTAATTTTGCGCACAGCTGAATGCTCGATCATAGCATTGACCACCTCCGGGGCATCCTGGGGTCGGCACGACACTAGATTGAGACAACCGGCTGGGAGTCCTGCATCGTGGAAGGCACGCACCAGCGCCCAGTATGAACAAGGGGATAGTTCCGAAGATTTGAGGATCGTGGTGTTACCAGCTGCAAGAGCGCAGGCTGCAGAGCGGACTCCAAACACATACGGAGCATTCCTGCTTGGTCAGTCGGTCCTTCACATGCATGACGATGTCGGACATACCAGGGCACAAGTCCGAGAATGACCCCCATGGGCTCCTTGTAAATCATGGCACTTTGTCCCTTCTCCTCCACGACGGGGACAGTTCCAGAAATGGAAGTGATGCGCCCCGCGATGTCCCTCAGCATGCGGATCCCGAGCGGAACGATAAAATGCTGCGATGCACCGACATCCGCGCCCATTTCAGTCCGCATGTATTCCGCATTCTGCTCGAGGCGACTTTCCAGGATATCCGCTGCCTTCAGCAGGAGGTCTCGTCGAGCTGTAGGTTTGGTCTGCGACCAGGACGGAAAAGCTGCTTCTGCTGCCTCGACCGCTCGAACGGCATCCTGGGCTGAGGCAGAAGCTGTCTTCCAGCAGGCCTGGTTAGTGTATGGGCTGATGACATCAAAGGTAGAGTCCGTTTGTTCCTCCTTGCCGTTGATGATCAAGGGAATTACTGAAGGACGGGTTGGTGCGGCCATGGTAAAGGTAGTCTGACGATAGGTAGAAAGATATACACAGCAGGACAGATCGGTTTGAGGATATATCTTCTTCAAACGGTGCGCGCTATCTCTTTTCAAGATATACACATTCGGATTGCAGGAGAGGTACGGGCAGGAGTTCCGCCCAAGGTCGAAATTGCGTAATGTGCAAGAGTGAAGGCCAACATGCCGAGTCGACGCAAGGGATACAAACACAAACAAGGCCAACTATACAAACACGCCCCCACTCTCCACTGCTACCTGACTATCTATGGCACAGCGTATCCCCTTCCCCAGGTACACGCCTGGTGGCATATAACCTAGGTTCATCCATGGGCGAAAAGGGTATATTATCCTTGTCCTAAAGTCTAGGTTATCCCAGGCACGCCTGAAACTCGCTAATTCAAGCTTATCCCTGCTAGCAACCTTGAAACTAGAAAGGCCACATACTCTCGGACGAACGCACAACAACCCCTCCGGCTCCCCGGCTTCCGTCCCATTGCAAATTGCCTCGGTAGAGAACATGAATACCAAGTCCATACCGATAAGGAGACACGCAGACTGAAGTGAATCGGCCAGAAATATTATCAGAAATCTACGCATGCTATGCAGTCGTCATAGGCATAGTTGTCGTGGAGGCCAACTACAGCTTAACTTTAAGAAACTACAGGCAGGTTCTATTCCTTCTAGTCACAACTCTGATAATGAACAATCTGCTTGGCTGTTTATAGCACCTACTGTGTACTGCAACTCTTTCAACTCCCTAATCGATGAAGATCGTTGGCTTGCGGCAACGCTCAGCCTTTTCGGGTACCATCCGCTGTCGATCAGCGAACGAACCGTGGTTCAGCTCCAGGGCGGATTCCCACCAACAAGATGGTGGACGCAAAGAGAAGCCGAAGGAGACGCCGGAGTACACTGGACACCATTTGACTGACCGGCTGAGAACCGAACAGTATACTGAGCTCTGAACTTCAGTCACCGACTGAGTGCGGATACAAAATTCAGCACCAAGGCTAATGTATCCACAGTTGAGTGGAGCAGCTGGAGCAGGACGGCCGAGTATGGATCAAAGGATTCTTATTGACTGCGGAAATAAGAATCTCCTTGATCGATCCATCTATTTTGTCCAATCCGAAACCGATGATGAGGAGGGGTTCAATTTAGCCTCCTTTCTATACCCACCCCGGGCCTCACCAGCCACCGATCGATCCGCTTTTGAGACCGCACGGATGAAAGTGCCGATGGGATCAGGTTCCTTGCCGTGGGAATCAAGGACTATACGCTCACCCCATCCGAAAATCAGTAATACCGTTGGTTCTTCTGTGACTTTAAATCATCGGCATTGATCTTGAAACATGACTGGTTTTTTCGAACTTCGCGAAGGGCGACCGGTTTTGATAGACGTAAAAACTGGAGGGTAGGGTGATTGGGACCCGTGGTTGTAACGGATTCAAAGGCTCAGCAGTATGGAAAAGAATCGGGCCGTTGCTATCCCATCTCCATTCAGGCCCAGGGCTCAGTTGGTCCGTGGACCCTGAGATTCGAATATGCTCGGACTTTAGAAGGCAACACCCCGAAAGATGGGCTGGGGGTGCCTGATTCGTGTGTCAACAACTGTGTCAGAGTTGATGGTCTGGCATCTGGAGCTGAAGTGAAACTCGAAGATCGCCTTGCTGCAAATGCAGAGTTACCTTGTCCGGCTCGGCTTAATGCTGTCGAAGATTTGCATATCGACTGCGCTCCCTGCCTTGCCACGAGACTGCGCAGTTCATTTGCTTGGTGGGTGTAGTATTCTCGTTCCGAACCAGAGCGGAGTATGAGCCTGTTCGCCGTCCTGATCTCACACTCTGGTCCCACAAAGCTACTGCGTACGCCTTGTGGACCATGGACGTGCATTGGTGGGTGATGCCGTATGGGTTTCAAGATATCGATTTTTTCTCGTCCTTCTGCAAAGGAGGGTTCCCGACTCCAAGGTCACGGGTGATAGAACGAGGATCGTTCGAGCTCCTTCTTTAAGTTAAAGCAATTCTGATCTACTGCGCCGAACGACATCTGTGCTCGTTACATATTGGTCTAGCTTCCACCTCGCATTTAGTCTTCTACAAGATTACTGCCTTCCCCCAGGCTCTACGGTACATACTGCTTCTTAAATCGGGGGTTCACCATATCTTTTCACATATACTTCAGGAAACTTTCATCAGACTCATCCCTTCTTACATATGAAGCACAACCTTTTCATATAAGCAGTGGGTGGCGGTATCATCTGCAGAAGCCCAACTACTTACCCGTGTTGTATCATCTATTTTTGCCTTTTTTCTCACGCCTATAAAACTGCGTTCATACAACCCTCGATATGGTTCTCACCTCAAGAGGAACAGAAATGATATGCATCATTTCGGTGCTCGTCTTCCTCTCCTTAGTGGCGGTTATCTTGCGCGTAGTTGCCCGATTGCAGCGCCGAGTGCAATTTGGAACCGACGACTACCTTTGCTTTGCATGTATCATTCTGCTTATTGGCATGTTAGTCGAACTGGAGCTTTGTGAGTTAGAACCAAACACCCATCTCCACAGCCAAACTGGCTAACCACCCACCATAGGGGTAACCATTGGAGGCAATGGCTCTCACCAAAACACTCTCAGCCCCGAGACAATGAAGACCTTCTACAAAGTAACCTTCAACCCCCCCCCCCCCCCCCCCCTCGCCTCTCCACTCCAATACTAACGCCACCCAGATCTTCCTCTCCAACCAATTCACCTACTTCCTCCTCTGTCCCACCATCAAAGTCTCGATTATATGCTTCTACCGACGGGTCTTCACCATCCCCTCCTTCCAATGGATCTCCTTCGGCGTCAACGCCCTGATCATCCTCTGGGGCGCGGGCGTTTTCCTCGCCTGCGCCCTGCAATGCCGCCCCCTGAAAGCCTACTGGGACACGAGCGTCGACGGCCAGTGTCTGGACGGGTACGAATTGATCGTCGCCAACCAAGTCTTCAACATCATCATGGACTTCGTCATCCTCGCACTCCCGATCCCCTTGATCTGGGGCCTCCACAAAGCATGGCAGGATAAGCTCGCCCTGAATGGCGTTTTCGCTCTCGGTGGCTTCGTCTGCTTCGCCAGCATCTATCGCATCGTCGTGCTCTTCTGGATCAACCCTGACGATACTACCTATACCGTATACCAGGCCACGCTTTGGACTCACATCGAGCCGTCTATCGGACTGATCTGTTCGTGTCTGCCCACTATTCGGGGCTTGTTTCCGCGCTTCAAGCTTCCCAGTCAGAAGCGGTACAGGACCGCCCCGTACTATATTAATACCGATATCAGCACTTCGCGTTGTGTTGCGTCCGGCCCGAAGTCCCCGACTGCGGAGTTTCTGAAGATGGAGGAGGGTGTCTCCCGGTCTCATTCAAATGCTTCAAATACTCAGGACTTCTCGTCCAGCTTTAAGAGTAACTACAGCTCTCCGTTGGATATCACGGTCCGGACGGATATCGATATCACCGATTTCCCGGCCTATTATCCCAGATAATTGAACCTGTGTCCCGGGGAATTATGACTCAGTTTGAGGGGTCCTCTCGCTCCATTCATGACGCCAAGAGAGACGAATACCAGCTCAAGCCACCTACCTAGACGTGCGTGGCGATACATCATGCTGGAAGACGCGTCCTACATCCACCCACGCATCTCGCAGTCAGAACCCTATTTTCCTATCTGGCATGACGCAAGCTATCCCTGCAGCGGCATACGTGATGCAACCGCCTTGCCAATATAGGACGCGTCTTCCTACGCATGCAGACGGGATGTGCAGTCTGGTGTAACACTCAGTACCACACGACCTGCCTCGCGGGTATGACGTGGAGCCTTCCTTGCTGGGAAGCCTATACATATCTAGGCACCGTGTACGGAGTACTCCGTACTGTGGCTCTAGCCCGGTCGATGATCGTCCGAGTATCTACTACATACCGCGGTTCACGATACAGCCGAGGGCGTCCTTGTTCGAGTGCTGGCACGGGTCATGGACAGGACAGGACAGGACAGGACACAGGAATAGTCGTGACGATCGTAATGCAAAAGAACAATGTGTTTCGTCCATGTCATTTCATGTAGGCCTTGGAAGTGAAGAGCAAGAACCTCGCTATAGCTAAAACCCGACGCATAGTGCACTGCATAGTGCATACTGCAGAAACATATCTCAATGTACTATCTGGCCGGCTGCGAAGTCCTACAAGAATGAAGATGTTAGTTCGGTACTCTGTAGCTGTTTCATCTTTCATAGACCATCCGCGATCGACCTACCGGGAACGCATCCGTAATACTCGTCGCCACTCGTTCGACATCCTCCGCCAACCCTTGTACGCCCGCATCCCACTGCCGAATATGCTTTCCCGTAGCGGCAACCCCGGAGTCGAAGTAGATGATCCCATCGATCTGATCGATACTCCCCTTCAGTCGGCCCTGCTCGACCATCCTCGCCGCATACGCCTCGGCCTTCTCACCCGCAGTGAGATCGCCACTCGCCTCCAGCCCCAGGATCGCGCCCAACGCATCCGTCCTAATATTCTCGTAGAGCTTGCTCGCGGCGACGAGATTATGTTCCACAACCGCCTTATCCAGCACGGTGGCGCCATCGGCCGTCTGCGCCAGCTGATGGGGCGCCAAGCGCTGCGCAAACGCGGCCACCTCCGCGGGATCCAGCAACCGATCCAAGAACATCTTCTCCAGGATGCCGAATTCCTCGACCGACGTCGAGCGATCGTCCTTGTAGAGCGTCGCCAGGATGCGGGATCGCTGGGGTCCCGCGGGGGCAAGCACGGCGCACCGAATCGCCGCGGCCAGCGCCTGCAGGCGGTCGCTTTCGTCCACCCCCGCCGCTAGACTGACATTGAAGTACTCCTGGCTGGCGTCGAGGAACCGACGACGCGCGTCGAGAATGCGAGCCTGCGAGAGCTTGAAATGCAGCTGCAGCTCATGGTCCTCGATCTTGCTGGGCAGGTTCTTGATCCGGTTCAGGAATGCCTCGGCGCTCGTGGTGTCGTCTTCCTCGAGGTAGTTTCGCACGATCCGGATCCATAGGCGGACTTTCGCGGCGTCGGAGACCAGCCGTTGTGAACTGTCGATGTGGATGCCCTGCAGCGCGCGGGCCGCCGCGACGTACTCGCCTTCGGACTCGTAGGCGTCTGCGAGCAGTTCTCGGAGCTGCGCGTCTTGTTCCTCGACGGACGTGGACCGGGATTGTAGTAGGCTGACGGCGTGTTGGCCGACGCTGATTTGGGTTTCGTGGGTGAGTTTGCGGAGCACGCTGATGAAGGAGTCGAGGATCGGGCGCGCCGCCACGATGCTGATGTCTTCGCTGAGCACGGAGTCGAGGAAGTAGATCAGGTCTTGCGAGATTTGCAGTTCCGTGGACGTGGACACGATGTCCGAGAGGAGGTCGTTGTAGAGTTGGAGCTTGTTTTGCGGGTTGCCGGACGATTCGATCTCCGCGAGGGCGGAGGTGATCTTTTGGGATGCCATCGGGTGAGGAGGGTGGTGAGTCTGTGGATGGGGTTATTGTGGGGGTTGGGAGGGGAGCATGAGAGCAGGTGGTTGTTTGAAGATAGATAGAGAGGGGTTGATGGTGGAAGTGGTGAGGGCGAGTGAGTGGGTGAGTTGGTTGTGTACGTCAGAAATGGCCTGTGGACTTATCGATAAGAGAAGAGACTGGCCTGCAGCTACAAAAGTACAACAGTTCTGCATCCCAACTCGGGGTTACTACTACTAGATAACTAGTTTACTGGCAGTTCTTCTCACTACTTCTTCTAGATATCCAGTCCTGGGCTGGTGTCCCTCATGGGATACTCCCTACCTCCCGCGGACAAAGGATCCATCCAACTTGTGGTGTTACAGTTCAAGCTCTAGTTGCAGGGAAATATGATCTCCCAGTGTATCCGACACCAAGAATGAAGTAAACCTATTGTTTAATCTCTGATTCCCGAAATCAATTGGGCCAGTGCCAGTGGTGGGATGGGTGGTTGTTTGTTCACTGCGAAAGTCCTTACTAGTCACTAGTCCTACTCCGTACAGGGAGCAGCTCCGCCGCCACCGCCTTTGTTGACCCGCTCGGGCGGCGGCTTCTTTGCTCTCGCAGCAACGCATCTGGAGATCCCAAAGCTTCGACATCCCCCCCCCGTACGTCACTGGCACTCCGCCCATTACCACCCCCGAAACAACGCTCCATCACTCGGTTTCGCTTCATACACGGTCGCGTTACTCCAATAAAAGAGTCCGGTCGCTCCTTTTCCCGTTTCGCATCAATACCAGATCGGGTGGCGCCATGGTCCCTCAAGTCAAGCAGGACCCCGATTCCCAGTCGCCATACATCAAACCCGACCCATACATCAAGGCAGACCCCGACAGCAAGGATACAACTCTGGCAGATATCGACGATGAGGATCTGTACGAAGATGCGGGGGATCTAGACTTCTCCGCTGCCGCGCAGAGCGTGTGGCTCTCGCGACTTCCCCGGTCGCTCTGGGAACATTGGTCGGCTCTATCGAACACCGGCGACGACGACGAGGAGATTACGATCGGGACAATGAGGATTGAGAGCAAGCCCAATGACATCAAGCGGGTGAGGATCCAGTTTGATGGCTTTTGTTGAGCAAGGGTTTCGGTTGGTGGCTAACACTGGTGTGCGTTTGTAGGTCAGTCTACGCCTGAACGAACGAGAGGACAATCGCGAGATCCCCAAGGATTATCTCCTGCAGCGACAAACGATAACAGCGGAGAATGTGTCGCACTTGACCCAGAATACATACCTGTTTACGGAAAGGGACATTCCTGGTCATGGGAACCGCATGGTGGTCTTTGGCGAAGCACGGTCGGCCCTATACGAGTCGATGAAGCGGGACATGAGAAAGAAGGAGCAGCGCAAGAAGAAATGGGAACCCTATATGCGGAAAACTGTGCCTAGTATGTATCGTCGCTTCCAAGGGGGGAGGGATGTCTGCTCACAGGGTCACAGAACAAACGGCTCTGGTAGGGAGTGTGGGTGAAGAGTTCAACTGCCTTCCAGTCGAGAACGAGGAGTTCCGAAATATATCGGAGAAGAAGGCGTTGGAGGCACTCAAGCCGAAGCGGGAGACCAAGTTCATGGACAAGATCCCTGGCAAGCTGCTCCAGCCGCGGAACGCTTTGCCCGGGGAGAAGGGTGCATTTGTGGTGAGCATCTTCCTTGCTCCGCTGTCTTTGCTTGTCCATATACTAAAGATTCTTGCAGCAAGCACAAAAGCCACTCAAGGCCAAGGCCCAGGAGAACAAGACTACACGTATGCCGCAGAACGAGCTGCTGGATCTTATCTACCAGTGCTTCCGGGAGTACAAATACTGGCCGTTTAAGCAACTCAAGCAGAGACTGCGGCAGCCGGAGGCTTATCTCAAGCAGACCCTTGAGATGATTGCTCATCTGGTCAAGGCCGGTGATTTCGCCATGACGTGGGAGCTGAAACCGGAGGCGCGGGAGAGCAACTATGCGAATGCGATGAAGGAGGAGCTTGCCCCCGACTACAACTTCGACGACGGCTCCGAAGAGGACGCTACTGCCTCGGGCATGGTTACAGATAATGACGATACGCAGTTCGAGACCGTCGGCTAAACCGCATGGCGTCTATGTAGCATAAGGGCATGGCGTTTCTTTTGGCGTTTCTTGGGTGACCTGATACAGGGTATTTTAGATATTTTCACCGAGGGCTCAGAAGACTGGCCCGGCATCTAGTACAGTTAGTGACACCCCAATATGAGTGAGCTTTGAAGCTCGAGCCACCTCTTGTAGATCATCATGACTTTTCTTCCGCTCCGGGCCAGAGAACCCCATCGATCACGTGACCCTCTGCCGCCACTGACCGCAGTCGTCATTTCATCTCCCGCTTCCGCATCAACACAACGCCGCATCGAGCATCAACCCACACAGTAAAGACAAGCTCATTTTGTCGCGTGATCTGCTAACTCGGCTGGTGACTCTCTCATCAGACCAATATGACAGAAGACCAGGATTTGATGGCCAAGATCAGCCAGCTTGCTGGTAAGTGACCCGTCCGGGCTCGCCCACCACACCCGCGCCCGCGCCCGCGCCCGCGACTGACCTCATCCCAGGCCAGATCAATAGGCACAAAACCGAACGCTCCCACACAGAGCCCCCCTACAGTAGCGAAATATCCGCAGGTCAACACGTATCGCGACATGTTCCTTCTCGAGGGCGTGGCTGGGCACCGTATCGCGGCCGACCTTACGCGCGAGGACGTCATGTAGCTGCTCCCCACCGCCACCGTACCCTCATCCTCAACAACACAGCAGCACCCGGGACCTCCGGCTCGACCACGCCCGCTGGAGCGGCGACTGAGACAGACGGTGAGGCGCGATCAACCCCCCCGAACGAATGGGTTGTGAAACGCGATCGCCATATGCAGCTGATCAACACCTCGATATACGACCAGGAGACCCAGGCGAGGACGAAGGCGATAGAGGAGAGTCGCAAGACCAAGCAGCAGAAGAGGGCACAGGTTGAGCAGGCTCGAGTCCTCAATTATGCGCAGGGGTTCGGTCGAGCGTACCCTGCCGCCTTTTCGGCGCCCCAGGTGGCGGCGACTGCGGAGCCCTCGGCCGAACATCAGGTTCTAGTCAACGACATCCCATTCCGCGTATCGCGTGGAGGGAGCAAGTTGGTCAGAGTGTCTAGTGCGTCTGTTGAAGATATTCTAGTCAAGCGAGCTGGCTTACCGGTCCTAGATGATCCGAACACCGCCAACAACACGCCGAAACGAGTTACGGTCGCAGGGGTCGTTTTTGTCAGGAGTAAGAACGGGAATCTCCATCGCTTGGGTGCAGTAACGTCGAAAAGGTGACGGTCGTCTTGTCCGCGTGGCTGAGTTGGAAGCTGACGGCGTTTACAGAAAACCAATGGCGGTTAAGAAGAAGGACGCGCTTTGCCAGCGATTCACTACGACGGGTACCAATGCTTTCCCTACACTGGGCCTTCAGTCGCCTGTTCCCTTTTTTTGCCATGTTTCATCTTCGGGAGGATCGCGCTGATCAAGAGTCGTCGAACGTTTAGGCAGCTGTTACAAAGGCCCCACGTGCGCCTACACCCACGACCCGAACAAAGTGGCCATGTGCAAAGACTTCCTCCAGACTGGTACATGCAATGCAGGTATAAGTTGTGATCTATCTCATGAGCCTTCGTCCCACAGATCCCCTGCTTGTGTGCATTTCCTTCGAGGCCGCTGCTCCAATCCAGAATGTCGCTATACCCATGTCCATGTTAACCCCGGCGCCCCCGTGTGCCGGGATTTCGCGGTCTTAGGTTACTGTGAGAAGGGGGACAAGTGTGCCGAACGACATATCCACGAGTGCCCAGACTACGCCAACAACGGCATTTGCCATAAGAAACGCTGCCGACTGCCGCATGTCGATCGGGCCGGGCAGATCAGGAAAAACACAACCGCAAGGACTGATGTCACAATTGAGGCGGAAGACTCTGACGCATCCAGTGAGGAAGAAGAGCACGACGAAATTGACACGGATGACGTTGATTCAGTCGATCTTGATGATGACGAGTCGGAACTCATTGCGGCGGAGACTGATACCGGCGAGGTCTCGCAGCAGCGCGACTTCATTCGTCTATAACTGTACATGCTCACTAACCCCACAACAGTTCGTAATTGAAACTTGGCTTTGATTCTAGGGACCGCATACGAAGGTCGCGCACGAACGGCAAAAACTAAACGGGGGAAAAAAAAAGGAAGAAAAGAAAAAGAACCGATGAATAGATGAAAGCAGAGGAAAAGGATGTTCCTACAGTGGGCGCATGCAAGCTTTGATCTCTTTTTATGCCTTACGAACTGTCGTGTGCCAGTCGCAGTATGAAGATACCCATACGCATTCAGCATGTTTCCACCACCATTGTCCATTTTGTCGAAGGTTTTGTTTTTGACGATGTTGGATTTTGCTCCGGTTGGAACGAAGGGGTCCCTTTCCCCCTCTCCAGGTTGGTTAGTTAGGGACAGGGAAGTGTAGCGCTACATGACATCGGGTCTCGAGAAGACCAGCCAGCCAGCCAGCCATAGGTAGCTTAGCAATGGAGAATACTATTTTCGGGGTTTGCATATCAGTACCTGCTGCCGACTTGCTTCCTTTCCCACCACCCACCGTCCACACACGTGCTCACTCCCCAGGTTCTCCGGGGGCATCAGGCAGTACCCGTCCTCGCATGGCGACCCCCGACAGAGACGTGTGAGTCATACTCCAAGGTACCAAGCTACTACCACCCAGTTCAAAGAAAGTCAGGTACTAAGATAGAAAGGCGGGCGCTCCCCCCCTCCTCCCCCTCCTCCTCCTCCTTCTTCCCCCCCACATCACAGCGTGGATCCGGGTCCGATGCAATGCAATGCAAGCTAGGCAAGGTAACTAGTGGTCGGTGAAGATAACCCAGCTACCGGAACGGACCACGGAGCGCGTACCTGGGCTTCTGGCTGGTGGGCTCCGAGATCCTCGCCCTGTCAATGGCTGCTTTACCCATATGGTTCGCATGGACCAAGGCGAGCGAGCCACGCCGCTGTGCCCTTTCTACCTAACCCACCCAACACTACCCTAACGTAACCTACTTACCGCGGGTTCCGGGTTGGCACGGCCGTTCTTTGTCTGCTCGGAGCGGGAGCCTGAGACGCGACACCCGCCAATCCATGCCATGCCATGCCATGCCATGCTGATGTGCGATGTGCGATGTGATGCTAGATGGATGGGAAGCCAACTCCTGTCGAAACACCTGTCCTGGGGCCATGGGCTTGTTTCAGGTTTGCTAGGCCCGCATCATGTGCCCTCCTCTCTTGTTAGTTGCCCGCCTGCCTGCCTGCCTGCCTGCCTGCGTAGTATAGATACAACCTGGCTTTGCGTCCGGGTACTATCGTACATTGTCCTATTATCAATCCGCCTGGGCTTATGCGTACGACATACATGCACTTCCTGTATGTATGTATGTATGTATGTAAGTACATCAGGTACCCATGTAGATACTACCAGGGAGGGAAGGGAAGGGATTTGTGGCACGATGAATGGTGGTTCCCGGAGACTAAAATCGGTAGGGTATTTATGTATGTATGTCAGGATGTCAGTACTGTAGTACTATATGTGCCTTGTACCTAACTGTCCCTCCAGCCACATGCCACACCCACGCCCCCATGCACGGGGAACATACGGTAGGTAGGAAGGAGTCGGGGGTGCTGTATAGCACTACTGGCCGGTGAGTGAAGAAAAAAGAAAGTCAAGGATGGAGGGCGATCAGATCGCGGACCGGTGCAGTCTGTGCCTGATGGCCAGCATCACCGCCATTGGCCCCATCTCCCAACCGGAGGGGATGCGTCCAATAGCGGGCGTTCCTTTCAACACCGATATTTCATCGACCCGATGAGAGATTCCCCTCGTTTAGCTTTCTGGGGAAGTTGCAGGTGGGTTCCGATAGGTAGACACTTCGAGAATGTTGACCGGGTCCACTATGTTTAATTTCGTTCCTTTCTGGGAGGGAGGGAGGGAGGATGTACATAGATACTTGGTAGTTACTGATGGTGGTGAGGGTATAGTAAGTAGATGGCGGTGGAAGTACTCCGTACAGTACGGAGTAAAGTAGTCAGTCGGGGTTTGACCGCCGGATGAGGGCTGATTGGCGGGGAGAGAACGTGACCTCCCGCGGGGTCTTTCCTCTTTGTTTGACTCCTTCACTCCTTGAGTAACTACCGTCGTAGACGAACCGCTATTCTTACCCTCCTATCCCCTACCGTGGTCCGCAACTGCAAGTCATTACGGCCGCCAGCTTCACCTTCACTTTCGCCTTCACTGGATCTTGCCCTGCCCACTGCTATCGCCTTCGTAATCAGCACTAAATTTATACGATCAGCAGCCCGTTGGGCAACAATTGCATCATGCAACCGAGTCCGAGAAAGCCAATCTTCGAGAACGAACCACCGGCCCACTGAATCGTGGAATCCCTTAATTATTGGCATGACATTGCATCCGCCCACACTAAACCAATCTACGTCGATCCGACGCCAGCGAGTGACGGGTTTCTGGTCAGTGCTGGGAGAGAAGAGAGCGTGATGCTGGTCAAGGCTATCTGAGACAGTCACTCACTCAATCCGACCCTCCACCCCCAACAAGAGCCGAAAGTCACCATACTGACAGCGCTCCTTAGGGATCGGAATCCTCTGGGCCTCCGAGAGGCGAACTCTTAATTTCCGCTCCGTAGCACCACTCCACCGATTGCTTCGCGCTCGTCAATTGGACCCTGGGCGGGTGTACACCGCCAGAACGGCCACTCGGCATCGTCATTGCGGACGAGCTCCTCCAAGCCTAGCGAGGCGCTCCCGAGGTGACACTGGGATGCTGCCCGTCACGAATGGCCCGATATGGCCCTCTCCGGATGGCAAATTCGATTGAGGAATCAGATCCGGACTCGTCGCCTGCATTCACGTGCCTGTGGCCACCGTCCTCCGTCCCCCCTGGTCTGTCCTATCCAGGACCCCGGGTTGAATAACGGTCAGGTCCATACCCACCCGCCCGCACACCGTATGTACAGGTTCGCCCCCCGGCTGCAATTCCAAATCCAGATGAGGATTCGCCGCCTGCCCTCGGGGACTCTCCTGGCATTGTTTCAAATTGTTGGCGGGGTTCCGATTGGACTCGATGCCCTGTCTTTGTTTGTTGTCCACTGGTGATTTGCTTCCCATCGGTATCGGACGCAATCGGCCTTCGGTTCCTTCACTGGGTGCATGAGATGATCTGAGCACAGGCAAGTACATGCATTGCATCAGCAGCAGCAGCATATGTAGGGCAAGCTAATTGCTTTTTCGGGCCTAATTAATGTTTGTATCGATTCACGCGATTGTCGCGAGTAGCGGGTGAATCGACGCCTTCTGCGACCCTCGACATGACTTACGTCTGACCCCTAAGGAAGGTTCCCTTTCATCCTCGGACTCGGGCAATTGGTCGGGGGCAGTGGCTCCGTAGGTGCTGAATACTACCTCTGCCTGTTCGTGACAGTACGTACCACGGTCGAATGGCCACCTGTGAAACGTGGCATCAACTCGACCTCAGCACATCATTCCCTCGACTCTAGCCTTCTCCCCCCCTCTCTCCATACTTAGTAAACTAAACACTAGACACCAACAAGCACCAACAAATCCATCAAGGCAGGGCGACCAGCCCATGGCATCTGTACACATGCTACCGGAAGAGTGCTAGGACGCCGACCTGAAACACCAGGTCATCATGCCTAGGATGCCGAGGACTTCCCAAACGGGCAATCATCTAGACGGTCATCCTTCGAGAACCAAAGCCGGAGGCACCAAGAGACTGAGAGAGCCGTAGTGAGGTGAGTCACACCCCATCCCGTCCGCTAGATACCTAACCCAACGGTTAGCAACGCGAGCGAGGAGCAACTACGGCGCGCACCTACCAACTCCGATGGGGGGCCCTCCACCCTCCGTGCCCGTCCGTCCGTCCAAGCTTGCCGAGTGCTACCGCACAGGTGTGGGTCGCTGGGTTCTTCTGGTCTGTTTCAGCTTATCGATCGCTGGGAGTTGGCGGTAAGCCACTGGACGAAGAACATAGGGGAAGTTTCTACTTCCGTCCGCCTGCATGGTGTTCCTCTGTCCTTGGATGGGGCGGGGATCGCAGCATTGTCTTCACTTCCGGACTCCGGCAGTAGTAAATACCCTGCTGACTGGGCGGTTGACACGTTTAGAGGGAAAGTTCGGTGATGCTGTTTCTCAAAACAGGCAAGCTTCCACGGGAAGAGGGGTCTATCGGCCGAATATCATTCCTCCTCGGGATATTAGTGCACTATAGTAGTAGGTAGGTATATGGCATTCACTGCCGAAGGCCGGGCATGTCTGTCTGGATTCGAACATCCACACCTAGTCTGGTAGATATCCCGACGGTGCTACCATGGTGTCCGATAGCATCACCACTGTAAACCAATCGTGGGGGAGTATATTTCAATGCGTAGTGCCGAGCACAAACTAGAGCCTAGAAACCAGAAACATCATTATCATCAACAGCATGATCACCATCTCTAACTCGCTCGGGTATAACGCGACAGGGCAGAGAGAGGTAAATCAAACAAAGCCAAGCAACTAACTACCCAGTACTGAGCAAGACCTGATACTCGCTCCCTGACCAACCACCTCGCCTTGCTAAGACAAAGTAGGCAGTTAGATCTGTTACATGCTAGCATGATGGCTACCCCTCCCTCCTCTCTAAACTCCCCAACCTGCAGAACCGCAACAACAGCCTCACAGCTCTGCCCTCGTCCTCCGACTCGCCCTCACCTCAAGCTCAAGCTCAAGCTCACCCTTCAATACAATAGGTCCATCCACTTCTACTCCGACTCTTCCCTCCCTCCCAGTCCACGCTTCAACCCAAACTCGCCTTGTCTCGCTGCATGAGAACCCAGATCGCGCGCACGCACGCACGCACGCACGCACATACGCACATACCCTTCCCGAGCACAGCAGGATCCGAGTGAGCGAGATGCCATGCCATGCTATGACATCGTTGGTTCCCCGCACCAGAAAAGCACTGGTGCCTTACCTTTCATGCGTTTCTGGGGTTAATTTACGGCTGTTTCGTGAGTCGCTTAGGTACTTAGTAGGGAGGTAGGTAGATACTAGGTCTTGACTTGGTTTATTGGGGGGGGGGGCTATGACGAGGGCTGGTTTCTGGTTTCTGGTGGTGGTGGGATGGGTACGTACCTAGGTAGGTAGGTACCTAAGGTAAGTAAGGTAAGGTAGGTAGGTAGGTAGGTACCGACCTTCCGATGGTGCTATGGTGCTGTTGTCTAACGCACCCGGTTTCATCCTATATCTACTTATCTTATTATACACGGGATATAGGGAGTTAGGTAGTTAGTAGTAGTGATTGTCTTCGGCATTATAGCCGGGCGGAATTGCTATTAACTATCTAGACATCTACTAGATGATACTAACTATCATACTATGGAGCTCTCTTGTCCCCATCTTGCCTAGTTAAGAGTTGGGTATGGGTATCGGTATGGGTATTCACTACTAGACATCTCCGGGCCCCTCTTGCCATCCGCAAGGTTCCCTCTCTCTCTCTCTACTAGGTAGTAAACCACTCACTCACTCACTAACTGCCTACTCTCGTGACGTCTGGGATAGTTACCTAAGGTGGGTAGGTGGGGAGACAGTGGTACAGTTAGTCTGTTAGAGGCCTTACTTTCACTTCCTATGACTTAAGTAAAAAAAGAAAGTGGGAAGCCCTTCCATCACCCCCCCCCAATCCAATCCACGAGCCCCATGGCCAAAAAGGAAAAATGCAGGTGAACCGTCAAATGTGGATTAAGTTCGGCCTGTGCGTTTGCCTAAAGAGGAAATTAACCTGGATGTGTAGTTTACTTACTTGCCTACTTACTTACCTAGTACTTTACTTACTCCTATGGATCACTAGACACTAGGTATCTATCTACCTAGATGATACTACTTTGGTACAGTAAGTACTTACCTGTCTGCCTGCCTGTCTGCGGCAAATGCAAGTATGCAAGTTTTATTTACTGCAGTGGAGGTTCGTAAGGCAGACGGGCAATGGGGAGGCTACCGTGTTTACGGGAAACTACTGGCCGACTGGCCGACTGGCCGACAGACAGGCAGATACCTACAAAAGAAAAAGAAACGAAGATAAAAGAAAAGGCCCCGGTATCGAACCCATAGATTCATTTCATCAAATACTTATGTAGATACTTAGGTAAGTAGTAAGTAAGTACAGGGCTTGGGGCTTGAGCTTGGGTCTTGGGATTTCCCAGATGGAAATCTGATCTGTCTGTGCTTTTCTTTTTCTGCATCTGGTGCAGCAGCAGTAGCAGCTTCCGCGGTATGTACATATCCTGTCCTGTCCTGTCCTGTCCTGTCCTGTCTTGTCCTGTCGGTATCATTGCTGGAATTGGTCCCAAAGCACGGGCGGGCGGCGGGTGTCGCAACAGAACGGGTGTGCATGCGATGTTTGGCTGCCAGTACCAGGCTAACCGAAATGGCAAAAGGGCCCTGATTCTTTTTTTTTTTTTTTTTTTTTTCATTTCTTTCCTTTCTTTTTTCATTTTTCTTTTTCTTGTTTCGCTGTGGATCTCTGGGTCACTGGATCTCTGGCCTACGACGGGCCGGCCCTAACTGTACCAGAGATGAGTAACTTCTTGTTGTTGTCCACAAGTATATTATTGATGATGATTGCTATTGTTTGAGGGTGTATGTGTGGATATGTGTATGTGTGTGTGTGTGTGTGTGTGTCTGTGTGGGATATAATGCCATGGTATACGAGGCCGTCGAGCAAACATCCCCGATAACAATCATTAGCATCAGCATCATCATCATCATCATCATCATCAGGCCCAAGAACGAGCGAGGCTTTGGAAGTTAGCAGGCGGATGGATGGGATCATAGCCCATCGGATCATTCTCATCGCCCACCCGAACCACCGTACTTTCCCACGGCCTGATCCAGCCCGGAAACCCCCATTTAGCCCATACGTAGTAGCTCTCTTGCCAGTTGCAAGAATGACACCAGCAAGTGGACTAGATACGGTACCTACCTCGAGGATCACGATGGAAATAGTTTCCTTCCTACCTACGGTACCGACCTAGGTGTACGTACTTACGTACTCTCTTCGCTTCCCGAGCCCGACAGGATGTCACACTGGCGCGCGAATGATTGGTCCTGCGGGACGGAGAGCGATGCGCTTCCTAACCGCAACTGCTGAACCCGGTCACCCGTATTGTATGACCTCCTGGACCAGTGTCCATCTGATCAATGGAACCGTTCCCGGGATGGAGGGGAGGGTGCTAAGGTATGCTCTCATCGTCGGCCGTACTTACCGATCGTATCGTCATGTAATCGGCGACTCGCCCTATCCCAGGGGTCGATCATGGGATGGATGGATGGATGGATGGATGCATACTGACTGAGCGCACAGACGATCCTCTCTTTGGGCAGCAGAGACTGAGAGGGAAAAGGGAGAGAGAAGGCGAGGAAGAGACAAAAGAGCCCCCCCAGCCCTGGTCTCGGGGAGTGCGCCGTTCAGGTACCTACTTACCCTACCTTACCTATTTACATGAAGAGAGCGGGAGGTAGATACATCCCTACCGATACTATGGAGGGACCGGTCATTCTACTTTTGAAACCCAGGGTGTTGGCCCAGGTACCAATCGTTTGCCTTGCCGTGTGATGAACCGCAACCGCAACCGCAACCGCACCCATTCATGCGATGTTGGATCGGGCTGCGGCGGATGCGCTCGCCGCTTGAAAGGAACTGGGACTGGAACTGGAACTGGAAGGAAGGAATCGGTGGTGGCCGCATGGCGAGTCGCGGAGGGCACATGGAGCGTTTCGACGGCGCGTCGGAGTGGGCAGTAGTTAGTTATCCGTACCCTTACACATACTGGATAGATAGTTAGAAGATACATAGATACTTAGATAGAGGGGTCGTTTTCTGGCAGGATGATCCATCTCATGATAGGCTATCGATAACCGAGTTGTGGCCCCACCCGTAATATTAACCATGGTTCCGTTACCGACGACCCAGCACCTAATACTTACTTCACTGTATGTAGTACTTAGGTACTACGGACTAGATAGCTAGCATCGGGGGAACCTCCCTGGGAGTAGTAGTATCTACGACGGCTCTGCTTTGGTCATAGTGCCACTGACACTGACACTGACAGAAGGCAATCGGCGTTGGTATCTAAGGTTGTGATGGTGGATGTGGTTGTGGCAGGCAACGGCTTTGCCCGTGAGTCCCCTCTCTCGGTCGATGGATGTTGTTGGTTAGGTTTGGCGGTTAGGGTTTTCTTACTATGCGACGGTTGGAATCTTAGGTACCCTCTACAGGCGACTATGGGTGGTCTCCAGAGCCTATCAGGGACTTCCTCCTGCACCATGTATGAGTCGCGTCTGGCCAAAGTATAGTAGGTTGTAGTTAGGTACAGGGTAGGGTGGTGGTGGTGGTGGGAGGCAGCAGGCGATCGGGGACCCGACTCCGTCCGCCCTGGTTTGAGAATCGACTTTGACAAAATAATTTCTGAATAACCTCAACGTTACCAAGCCAGGGCAGAAGACCGAAGATGGGGAGGGCGGATGGGGGAGGGGAGAAGGGGGGGGGGGGGGGACTTCACGGTACACGAGAAGCGTCATGATCATTATTCGTCCTTAGCAAAAGCACTGGACGAGTAACCGGCCAGGAACGATGATTATTCATCCTCTCTGCCTCCCTCTTCTGGGTTTCCAAAGGTTTTTTTTCCCCTGCCAGCTGCACGTCTGCCCAACGAAGCATCCAATGATCGCGTCTCGTTAATCTCGGGAACAGTCAGAAATCGTCGCCTCGTCTTTTGACTTTTCCGCTGACCGCCGGATGTGTGCTCTGATGTTTGGGAGCTGCGATTAGTGAGCGGGCGAGCGATGGGTCTGTGTTGACTTGCCTAATGCCTACCTACTTTCTCTTCTTTAGAGAAGGCCGTGGGAAAAAGGTGGGAATTAGTCGCGATTATTTTTTGGGGGTGGTTTTCGTTCTTGGCCGTCGTTCTCTTGGTCTTCCTCCTTCTTCCCTCTTTTTTTTGATTTGATTTTATTTTTGTTTTGAATTTTTCCGTTTCGGTTTTATTTTTATTTATTTATTTTTTTTTTTTCGTTCTCTTCCCTATGATAGCCGCTGTTGGTTTGGATATTATGGGTCAGGTCAGGTCCAGAGAAAGTATGGTTAGGTTAGCATTATGGTTATGTTCGCTCGCTATTTTACTTGGATTTATTTTTGTTCGTCTATTTTGAGGTGTTTATTTTATTTCCTGGTGTGGTTTTAATTTTTGCCTTGGGTTGGTCGACCAGAGCTACTATTCTGATCTTGGTCAGGTTCAGGGCCATCTCATGGTGGTTCCGAATTCAGCCCCGAAAGATATATGGCGTCCCCCTCCCGCTTGTCACTTGCTCTTGTCCTCCATCACAATCAATCAACATACTAAGCTTCAAACTCTCTTGATCACAAGAGACCTCATCATTTCCCCCTCCCTCTTCCCCTCCCTAGTTCTATCATACATACTTCTTCCGTGCCTCCCCCTGCTTCTCTTCGCTGCCTCCACTTCGCCTCTCCACTACTACCACTACTACCACACCACCACCACCACCACCACCACCACCATCGGACTCATCCACTTCTCCTCTAGCCCGACCTGACTATTTCTCCTCCCCTCGAGACTTCTGAGAACTCTCTTCCTCTCAGTCTCCTCCATCTTCAACTCTCCCCCGGTTACACCCATTCCTCTATTTGGGAGTCTCCGGTCCTGTCGCCCTCTCACCAACCACCCAAACCCCGCACCCTTCGGCCCCCCCAATTTACACACCGCCTCTTGCTTCTCTACAATCATCGACCGGCTTTTTCCCAGGGAAAAAAAGCCTTTTTTTCATCTTTATCTTCGTCATATACACACTCACAGTTATGGCAAGATATTCTCAACCATCTTTTGACTTCTACCAACAATCCCCCTCCACATTGGACGCCAAGCCGTCATATTCAGAAGAGGACGAGATGAGTGTACTAGACGATAAGATCCTCGACTCGACCTCCCCCGAACTCCCTTCCACTATTGCCGACCACCGGAGAACCTCATATGACCATGCACCCGATGCATTCGCGCATCGAGATTCCGTCTGGTCCGACTTCTCCCATTCCGTCTCTAGCAACCAGTCCCGGCACAACTCCCAAGTCAACCATGCTTTCTTTGAAACCGCCCCCAATCCTTTCATGCGGGTAGACGGCGCCCATCCCTCCGCTGCATATGGCCAGCAGGCATCCTGGCCGCTCGCGAAGGACTCGGGCTCCTGCACACCCACCGCCATGTACGATCACTTTCCCTCGGAACTGGACCACACCGCGTCCGCCCCCTTCGCTGGTGGCGCCGTCGGTCCTGTCAACACCATCAACATCCCGTCCATGTCATATCGCCCCGGCCTCGCCTTCGCGCACCCGGCTGCGGTTGCCATGTCCCCCAGTCCAGTCAGGGCTGGATGCCGGCTGCGACGGACCTGCCTGATACCATGTCGCGGCCCACCAAGAGCCCGACCTACCGCAACAGCTCTCCCTTGAGTATTCGCCGCGACGGAATCCGCAAGAAGAACGCTCGCTTTGAGATTCCTGCGGAGCGGACTTTGAGCAACATCGACCAGCTGATCAGCCAGTCGAGCAATGAGGAGGAGATCAAGGAACTGAAACAACAGAAGCGGCTGCTGAGGAACCGTCAGGCTGCGTAAGTTACCCCCCCCCAACGCCCCTTGCATAATGACATCACCGGAGAACTCATCCCGTTCTAGTTTGGATTCGCGTCAGCGCAAGAAGCTCCACACCGAGAAATTGGAGGAGGAGAAGAAGCATTTCACCCAGGTCATCAACGACCTCGAGGAGGAGTTGCAGAACATGCGTTTGCGGGAGGCCGACCTCCTTCGCGAGAAGGGCGAATGGATGTCCGCCCAGCAGGAGATCACCCAGTACATCAACACGATGCACATGGAGAAGGATGAGATAATCCGGGTCCACACCTTGGAGACTGCTGATCTTCGAAAGAAGAACAACATCCTCAAGGAGACCGTGGAGAAACTGGAGCGACACTCGAGGGCTACCGCTCCCACGACCCTGCCCACCGAGTTCTCTGACTTTGAGAACTTGACCATGGACAGCAGTCCTTGGGAGGATTTTACTATGGTGAACAGCCTCTCCCTGGAGGCGGAGCCTGTTCCCACTTCGGCACACTCCTCGTCGTTGGTGGTGTCCACGAACGACAAGGAGAAGTCTGCGACCAGCGATTACCCCTTCAGCTGGAACGCGTTCTACATGTGCCTGCTGTTCGGAGCCTTCATTGCCTCCAACAGCTCCTCGCTGTCTCGCTCTATTCCCCAGCTCTCGGAGGAGTATCGTGCGGAGTCCGCGAACGTCCTCAGGGCTGTGCTGTCCTCGTCTCCGCCCGAGTTCGCCCAGTCCTCGAACCAGGCGGCCGTCGCCTCCTCTTCGGGGGTGCCCATGCCGACCACCATCACCGGAGCCGAGATGGCCCAGATGACCGCCGGCGCGGTACCCTCGAGCCTGGATGCGCTCCACAACACGCTCACGCTGCCTACCAAGCAGCAAGAGCAGGAGCAGGTCTTTGCCCTCAACGCGGACCAATACAACTCCCTGACGACTTTTGACGATGCAGGCGTCGATTACAAGCAGCAACAGCAGCCTTCTAATCTCCAGCAAGCGCTCGCTGCTCTGCGCGGTAACGGCGCCCACAAGATTCCTAACAAGGCCACCTCTGAAGTCTACTCTCGCTCCCTCATGTGGGATCGAGTCCCTGAAAAGGTGATCCGAGACTTCAGACGGATGGTCCAGGAATGCGGCGTCTCCCCCGTAAAGGAGGAAGACTCCGCCTTCAGTCAGTAGTGCGCCCGCTTTAAGGCCCGGGGCTCGCCCGTCCGTCCCTCGCCCTTCTCAGCTCTCCTCACCATGCCCAGAGATATTCATCTTGCCTGCGTTCCTTCTGCAACCTGATCGAGTTCTGTGCTTCTCTCTCCGCCTCTCCCCCACCCTTCGTCCTCCTGCAAAGACACCTTCTCTACTAGCACATCTTGTGCCCACCGACACGACTGTTGGCCAGTTTTAGCCAGATTTAGCCATATACATACATAGACAGCTTACCATTCACTTCGACTGGATATATCTTACGGACCTAGCGTCCTGATTTGATGACTTCGTCTGACCATTTAGCGATGTTGCTCTACGTTTCGCACTCCTTCGGCTTATCGGCGTACATGCGTTTTTGATCATATTACGGACTGGGAGCGAATTTCACGGGCAACCCGGACACGTTGCATTCGTGTACATTCTACTTTTTTTTTGCTTTACGCCTTGGATTTACTTCTGGATATTTACATCTTGCCTCACGGGTGGCACATCATGCTTTTGGCTTTTTTTCGCACTGCATCCGCGCCGCGCGGACAGTCCTACGGAACAACGGGACGGAACTTGTCGAGCGCTTACTTAGCTTTTGCATATGCTTGTTCTTCGGGTTTCTGTGGTATTGCTATTGCTATTGCTCTTGCTATTGTTACTGTTACTGACGTTGACTTTTGAGTCTGCTTATTTGGGATCGTTGGCATTGGTTTTGTTTTCGCTTGCATCGCGAGGGGAATGGGCTGGGCCGAGGGCGGCACTTCTGTTATGATTGTTATGATATGACTGACATGTTTATGTTTATGATTTTGGGATGCCTGTTAATGTCTATGTTGCCGATGACTTTGTTTTCTGTTTTTTTTTTTTTTTCTGCCTTATTCTTGGACCGCCATGCTTGCCTGCTTGTCAGATGGGGGCTGGCTCCTGAGCGATCCTACCGCTCTTTTCATTCACTTTCTTTTGTCCAGATACTTACTTATCTGCCGAATGTCGAGACCCATGTCTTGTCTGGCACGGCACAGATGACCTTATCTTGGGGCTTTTTGGCCCCGTCCACTCCTTTTTTGGAACCAATTTGATTTTCTTTTGTTCATCTGTGCTATACTTTTACTTTGATTCACTTCGCTTGCTTTACTTTACCTTACTGTACTGTACATAGTTTGGACAGTGACGCCTCAGTCTCACTTTGCCACTACAGGCGCATGAAATAAAAAGTCTAGATGCCCACTCGGATCCGAGACGTCCACACTCACCACCGTACAGAGTAGAAATTAGGCTTCTGGGAATCTGGATGGTCGTGAATGCTGTAATCTGCGGTGTGCCGTGGGGGTGCGCAGTGGAGCCGAGACATTCATCCCGGTCCAGATGCCTCTGGGTAGGTCTGTCTTGCTACTGGCTGGATATGGGGGGGTTCTTGGGATTCACGTTTGTCTTGGCTGAAATGAAAGTCTCCCGGGGACGGTTGCCGCGGACGCCATCGCCATGGACGCCGAAATGGTCGCCGCGGACGCGGTCACTGAGAGTCATCACTGAGTTGGGCTTGTCTGTTTACTTAACCCCTCTTCTTTTCTGTTTTCCCCTGTCCCTCTCCTTCCTTCTCTCTCTCTCTCTCTCCCACTCTCATGATAATATGCAGAGACAAATGATTATGAAGTTTTATCTCGCTTCGCAAATACACTCTTTCTTCCTGAAGAGCTTTACTGTGTTAAAGATTACTTACTTTTCCTCGCTGTCTTCTTCTATTCATTTCTTTATCCTGAAAAAGAAGCGCTTCGCACTGCTTCTTGCAAAACCCTGGGATATATCAACCAACGAATCATGACTTCTCACTTGGATATCCACTGTCAAACAACTTGGCACGAACTTACCATTGCTCAGATCGATCTTGTGTGGTGTAGTGTGGTGTGTGTGCTTCGGCTGCACTGTAGGTACCTTGTTTGTCTCTTTCTCTGTCCCTCTCCTCTCACTATTCTATCCAGTACTATCCAATACTAACAGATACATCCCATAGAATCAAAGCAAGCACGCGTGTGAAAGTCCCAGGAACAAACCGGGGGGGTTATCAGCAGATACCCCCTACTCTCTCGACGGGCTGGCTACGCCCAAGACAAATTTCTGGCAGTATGGATATTTTCATCGTACACCTAGTCATGGCGTTATCATGAATATCCATTGTTTGGATATGTCGATATTCGACATTGTCCAGTATGGAGTTGATGAGACGCCTACATATGGTCTTTTCACATATGGGCCATATTTTCGACAGACGTTGTCTACATCAACAGCGAATGAGCTGTAAATCGCTGCTGCGCAAGCCATCTCTGCATATAAGGGCTCATCAGCAGATGTTCTCTACTCAAGAACAGCAAATGAGCTGGAAATCGCCCCTCCGCAACCCAGGCCCGCATACAAGGGCAGTAGGTCCGAGGAGATAATCCCCCGACCGAGCTTTCCCCGGCAAAGCGCCCAATGCGGACTTCTGGCAGCACAGATATAACTGGATTGCAGCATACAATCCTCCAACAATTGTTGGGATGAAGATATCATTATAGATATCTCGCACTTGGCAGTATATAATTGGGCCTCTGACCAATTATGAGGGTAGAATGTTCGATGCTATTCGCTCAAAAGAACAAGAGCTTTCACTTCAAGTCTGACTCGAGAGATGACTTACTGGAGCGACACATTTTGATTATTGGATCAACGTCGTCCCTGGTTGTATCATCTTTGATCCACCAAATAGCGAACTACCTATCTCCATCCCGAGATCTCTTTTTATCCGGGGACACTCAAGGGGCGGACAGGGCTATCCTGCCTTGCGGATGGGTGACACCTGGTAACGTTCAGGTTGCCGCGTCGTCGCAGATGATGGTGTTGTTGTGTGTTGAGCACCAGTATCCGCTGCCACTTCTATCTGTATTATCGGATAGAGCTTGCATATTGAGTCTTCATTTTTGGCTCGGGATACGGGTTAAATGGCAAGAGACATCCACATCATCGGATCAAGGTATCCGTCCTTTGGAATATCGCTTCCGACGATGTAAACAACAGCAGCATCATCTTACCCACCCTCCGAGCTGTTATTTTGTTTAAAGACGCTCAGGAGGGTGGATAGGGCTGTTTCTTCTTACAGACGAGGTTGCTGCGTGGTGAGCAGAAACATGAATGTATCATTTTTCTGTATCAACGGAAAAACACCTACCGTGTCGAACTCTTACTACCGCGTACCGACTCGAGACATCAGTCGCAGTCTCAGTCCAGCCAGCGGCTATTGCCAACACCAATACCTTCCGTTTCCTGATCGCACTTCATTGTCAAGCTAGCGACGTCCACAGAGATGGAATTGTGCCATACTGGACTCAATATGGAAGTTGTCCATCTATCCAGATTACTGGATAGAAGGCGTATCACGCCGGGTGTTCGTCCTCGACCATGTTCTGGTCGGTATATATATCTACACCGTGGGACTATCTTTTCCCTCGACGATGCTCGGGGTGGGTTCCCGGGGGTAACTCGAGGACGACTTTGTTCCGCAATCTGGACAATCATGTCTTTGGATTGGTCCAGAAGGTTCATGCCACTGCGGTGGTAGTTTGGTGGCATGACATGCTCAAGTGCGCATTTACGCGGCCAAGAAGAAGCCTTGCGGCATTGTGGCATGGGATATCGGGTCGATATATTGAGGTCGACATTCGAAGTCAATATTTCGAAATCGATCTACTATTTTGACACACCAAATTCGACAAACAGAAGTCGACACATGGAGACTGGCAGACTTCAATATTCAGTTTCCATACGAAAATTGAAATTCAAAATCGACAAACCGTCGCTTCCAATGCGCCACCTGCTCATGAGGAACCTCGATTGATTTTCCAACCAAAATTATCCCCGCGCGGGCTGGTCGTGCTCTCGATGCCTCAGGGCGTCGTGTCCTTCCAGTTCGCCAAAGACGATCTGATGGCCAGCTCTCGGGCTGAACGGGGTTTCAACACCCAAGCTCGCGCTCGATCATGGCTTCGTGCCGTCGGCCTTGCTTGTCATGGTTTGACAATTGAGCTAACACCAAGGCTCAGAAGCTAGCACTCATACAGCAAAATGTGTCGTACGGAGTCTCTAAGATCTACAGCTCGTGGTCAATATGGTCATTCAACGAAGTAGCTTCGTTACAAACTTTTCGAGACCTGGAGACGAGATCCCCATTGCTTGGGCGATACTTGGTCTCGATATGCTCTTGCTGTTGAATCGAGTTATATCACCTCAACTTTATAGTATTGATGGCTCTTTATATTCTATGTCTATTATGGTCCCGATAGGTGGCTTGCGGTCTTGCGTCCAAACTCTAAGTCAGATTACTTATTGTCAGGCAACAGCTCTGTCGAGCTTGAGCATCCCGATACTCGATTCCCGCACGTCCTTTCCAAACCAGGAAGAACTACCATGGCAAGCAATATCTTGCTTCGCGTCTGCAAAGTCGCACTGCATCTTACAACTAGACGGAAGCGAATGGGAGCTTGCAAGTATTGCACCTGTCATGCAAGTCTCTAGTTGGAAATTGGAATAGCCTCTTGGTTATGCAGCTGCTATCGCAGCGCTGCGATCTTCGAGGGTATGTGGCCCTATCGCATCCTCCCAAAACAGTTGGGGGGTGTCTCTGTCTCTGTCTCATATGAGACTTTGCGTCGATCGACTGCTTCAGCCCACTGAGCCTCGCACGCGCTCTATCACGGCGGCTCCTATCAGCAAATAACGCATTAAATATTTCAGTATAACACTATCATCTCCCTCATTATAAAGCCACCTTGGAGGAATTTGTAGCCGTTTCTGCGATCTAGAATATTTCTTCCAAGACCGCACCACGCGCACGATTGAGCACCTACTCAACATGGTCTTCTCTATATCTATAGCTCAACCGAATGACGCTATATCTACAGCTCAGAAAAGCCCTCCTGTCATGGCTTGGCAGTTGATTCCAAAAGGTCGACCTCCAAGTGAGATATAGTATATCAACTTTATGATCTATCACACACTTTCTCCTCCAGGTGTTAGTGTTGGTGTTAGGCGCTGTCTAGGCACCAATGGCTCTCAGCAGTTTGCTTAGGACGCAGAGCTCAGCATTTGCGGCGGCTCCAAGTTACGTCGATTGAGAAACGACAAGTTTCGAAACCTACATCTCTTCTCTCAATTAGAGCAATGCTTATGCTTTGAAGCATCATTGTCTCTTCGCGAAGAGAAGAAAGAGAAGAAAGAGGCGGCAGAGCTGAGCCCTGTCCGCGAAATTTCCTTCGGGTGGGAAAGATCATACAAGCGCAAGACGCAGGGTGTCTCGAATCAATCCTCGGTTCATGCTTACCGCGAGATGAATTCACCCAATCTATTCATTTCGCAGTCCTTCTCGGTCGCCGGTCCTGTTGGACTTTGAGCCACACCATGTGGTTCCTGGGCCCACAATTATAGTACTCTGGCAGACAACATCCACTTCAGTGGAAGTGATCATCAACATCACATGATGATTTTCCTCTCCGTCCCTCGACGACAGCTGGCTGCTTTTTTCCTTAAATCCCAGCTCTGACGCAAAGGAATTCAGAGTGAGATCAACCTCGCAGATTCGACGGCCGATGCACACATACTGTCATCGGCCCTGACTGTCAATCAGTCGTTGCGGCGTCCAGTGACGAGGATGAGCCTGAAGTCGGCTTGTTTGACGGAGTCAGAGCTGCCGTCAACATCAACACCACCATCCGAGCTCGTAGACGGTCTTGAACCTTTCCACAGAATCCTAGCTGACTGATCCCTACGCATCGGTTTGCTATGGAAAATAAACGCTGACTATCGATTGATTCTCCAATCCGCTCTGGGCATACGGCAAACGATTCTTTGCTCTGTCCCGACACACCGACCCCGATTATGGACGCTCCCCGACGGCGAAGATCCATGTGCGTGGGCTAAAGCGGGGGCTTTTGCTCTCCCAGGCATATTCGCAGACTACTGGATTCTCTTCGCGTCAGCTGTAACAGCACACAGCACACCCCGGTACTACTTGACACTCTGATCGAGTGGATTATTCACCAAGAGCCTTCACGGCCAACTTTGCTAGCTCTCAATACGAAGCCAGAGTTGGTGGCTATCTCCCGGCAAAGCCCGGTGACGCCCTCATAGAGGTCAAGCCATATTTCGGTTTAGCGTTTCCATGCCAGACATCCCAGTTACAAGAATGGATGTGACTATGCACCAAGAGCCTTCAAGGCCAGCTTCGCTAGCCCTCAATACGAAGCCAGAATTGGTGGCTGTCGCTGGGCAAAGCATAGTCACCTGTGCGCGCTCTGATAGAGGTCAAACCATATTTTGGTTTGGCGTTTCCGTGCCAGATATCCCAGTGAGAAAGATACATGTGACTAAAAACGGGATATTCGATCTAGAAACCCCAGATTCCACGAGAACGCGCGTCAGGATATATCCTATCAGAAAAGGCTCATAGCAACATCTTGATGCTATTTTTCACGAAGCTGCATAGAGCAATGATGATTCATTGTTGGAACAGTTCGTCAACGGCAATATCCAGCCTGCGAGCTGGAAATCATCTCGAAAGAACGTGCTTCAGGAGAAGAGACTGGCTGCTCAAAATGCAACATCCAAAGGGGCTCTTTAGTTACTCCTACTACTAAAAGAGGAGCTCCGTCGCGTTTTAAATATGAATGGAAAACTTTCAGCCTACGAAAAAGAGCCACACACAGCTTCAAAGCCCATGTTCTCGATCGCAAGAATTATGTTTTTTCCTACCTGATTCCAGATATCCGTCGCGCTACGCGGTGTCGGGGATACATTCTCCGCGTTACGGACGATGTATCCCTACATTGGGCGACTGCGTTCCGTGTCGTCTTCTTCGCTATAGGGGCTCTTGGCCGCTCTGGTTGGTTTCTAAAAGAGACAACAGACAAAAGAAGGAGAAGGGGGAAAAATATCTCATGGATTGAGATTCCAAAAAAGCTGTTATTACGGTGCGACATAAAAGCCGACGCCCACTCATCTCGGCTGAAGAACCCCCCTTTCAACGACGACCTGATTGGTCATTTATTAAAAGTTGGTTGTTTATATCCTTCCACTACTAATGGGAAGTCATCAACGCATCAATTTATAAGTCGTTGGCTTAGCTTCGGCCCAGCTTCCTATTGCACAACATACGGCATTTTCAGCATGATGAGTACAGAAAGCCTCGCAACATTCCTTGAAGCCTGCGGCTTTGGATTGCCATAATATGGAAATTACCATAGTTCCAAGCTGGAACCGCCAAAATCTCTCGCAGCAGAGACGAGCATCCTCATCTCCGTCTCTACCTCTTTATCTATTGGACGTGTCTCCCTCCAAACTGGTGGTTTTCCTCGGTTTCATCTCACATGAAGCTCTCAAGGCAGAACTTCGAAAAAAAGAAGGCGTCATGCCCTCTCTGCAGTGGCTGTGTGGCCTTGAAAGACAACACTTACGGTGGATATCCTGTCATCAAACAGGAAGCACGACCTTTCTATCTAGAGGTTGTCAAGACATTTCTTTAGTCTTACGGGTATTCCCCCGTTTTACGACCCCTGTGGGCGTCAAACCGTCCTAGAGTGGAGTATCCAGTCCCTCTGTCTTCAGACCAAGTGGCAAGAGCTGGTCAAGGCCGACAGGCTCACTGTGTCTGGTGGGAAGGGCAGTAATAAATCGAAGGAAAAGGCCAAGGGGACGGAGATGGGGGAAAACGGGGTTGAAGATGAGGTGGAGAACGAAGACTAAGAAGCGGATGATGATAACAAAGACAAGATCTAATCGTTCTGCTCTCTTTACAGACCCTGGTTCCCGGGTCTACTGGTTTACGACTCTTTTTTGTTGCCTGCCGGAAAACCAGATTTTATGGAAATCCGGGGGTCGATACTGCAGTGGTAGATCTTGGATCGTAACGCAAGAACTTATTGTTCGAGTGTGAACTTCGTTTCCAATCTTCCTCTCCTATCATCTTCCTCCTTGTTTCATCCATTGAATCCTGGTATTTCGGCTTCGAACTCGCTTGCTACGATATATTGTCCACCGGGACCGAAAAGAAGACAGTCCGGACAGGGCATCAAGTGCTAATCTACAACAGTTCTGATGTACAGACTGTGCACATCATTATACGTCCGAAATTGGTATATCCAAATCCTACCGTGGAGGGGAGGTGTCTTTTCTTCCCTTCCATTCCGTTGTCAAAGACAGGCACAGGGACACGTGGCTCGTGGCCCTGATGGGTCTTTCAAGTCCGTCTATAATATTCTTGTCGAGACCTATGATCCTAGATGGGTTGCTCCGGTCTTTCCGTGGTCAGTGCTAGCGGTATCAGTTGATGACTTCTCAGCATCAAGCAAGAATTAACGTGGCACAAATGGTATGGTATCAAGAATCTAGTTGATACTGTTGAACACCGACATTTCCAGCCCCTCAACACTGTATTGGCTGCGGAAAATGGCCAACGACTGGTCAATCTTAGAAGACTGATGTGTTTTTTCTGGCGAATCAATCTACGGCGAGAAGCCGCGTTGTTACATTGATGATCGTGTCAGTCGTCATTCGAAGGACTACCGCTGGTGTCTCGGCTTTTACGAGAAGAAATAGAGAATCGGTTTAGCATGATTCCTTCGGCTCAAGAGAGAACAGAAGAAGCACAGAGCACTGCTCTCGTTACATGATGCGATCCCTTATCACCAAGAATGGAAAAGGTATTCGATAGTCCTGCAATGCTGCATGCACATCAGAGTGCCAATCAAGTTCTAGATCCTTCAAGACCATCGAGCAGAGCGAGCTGATGGACGTCAAGCGCCGTCCGGTCTTCCCCTCAACTAAAAATAGGAAATCGCTCCTACATGGTCTCTCTCATTCCAGACAGAGATATCTCAAATTGAGATCCCAGCTCATATCATGGAGACCAGAAGTGAAACCCCTCTTCCTCCTCCATCTCAGCTTCGGCTGGTTGGAGATACATACTCCAACGTGCTGGTCGATAAGTTCCAACAAGGAATACATCAGTCGGGCTCTGTCCTGCCATACTACAGCTTCGAATCAACATATCGGGAATTCCATCACGAAAATAGAGTTAAACTCTCGAACCCTCGTAAAGGGGGAGGTACTATTCCTTCCCTTTCTACCGTCCGCGTGTCCTACTACACGGTGATTTTTGCATGTCTGAGTATACACGTTCATACAACATGCTTCTGTCTTGGGCTCGGGATGTTTGTCTTCAGAAATCAGACCTCCCCGTCAGATTACAGACTTCTCTGTGAGCTTCTTCGCAATCATCCTGATATAGACACGGTCCCAGAGACATTAGACACTTTTAATATCCATGGAGAGGAAGGTTAACCACTCCTTCACATCCATGAACCCCTCCTTCTGCGCCCACCACAACACCATCACCATCACCATCACCATTACCACGTTAAAGCCAAACATACCCCAGGCTCCACTCTACACCCTACACCCCCATACTGAGGAACAGATATTGGCCTAGCCAACCTTGCTTCATCTTCCCCTGTCTGAACCCATCGCGGTCTTCGCTCTACACTCTACATTCTACACCCTATAGTGTCGAAGAAAAGGATTTTACTGACCTACCGACGAACCACCCCACCGCTTACTTTCTCCGGGCTGGACTCTATAGCTACACTTAACAGTATGGCCTGCATTATGGTATTATTATTTTTGGGTTGGGGTGGGTCATGTTTATTTGTTTTGTTGGGCTGGGCTGGGCTGGGCTGGGTTGTGTTGTGTTGTGTTTTGTTGGATTAGCCGCATACGACAGATATACGAATTCATATCTGGGGTTTTATCTATATTGGGGTGTACCATTGCTACTATTATTGCTAATGGGGTTCTGATATATATAGTGTGGTGTGCTGTGTTGTTGGTGTCAGTGTTGGACTTCGTACTACCCCCATGTTCAGTTCAGAAATCTGTTTACTTGGCAATAGCTACTCTGTTCTGTATTGCAGACAAGCACACACACACACACACACACATCCAATCCAATCCACTCATGCATGCATGCATGCATGCATATACCCAAGACAAGTTGGATATCAATATTAAAGCCATTAACGCTTCGTAATATGTATGATAATTTCCTCGCTGGCAGTCTAGATCCCATGCTGCTGGTAGTGGTATTAAGGAAGGGGTGAGATGGGAAGACAAGGGAAGAGATGGATGCGGATGCGGATGCGGATGGGGGGCTCGAGCCTATCTCTTATCTATCTCCATACCAGGCATAACGTCGCTTATAGCACGGCTGTGGATTGCACGTTGGTCGGATATGCATGTATGCATGCAGGCATGCATGCAAGCAAGCAAACAGCAGACAGCGACCGAGGTCCTTTGTACCTATTTCCCTACTTACTGAGCCCGTCCCTCTGTCATTCAGGATTCAGCACGTACCTATATCCTACAGCCTACAGCCTACATTATACTATATTATACACTGCTCATGCAAGGTACTTTGCTTCAGGCTTCATGTTTGCGGGATGGGGTATAAACATGTCTGTTATTGGGTGTGTGTCGTATGTGTGATGTGGGGGGTGTAATATGACAGCAAGGACAACAGTAGCAACAGCAGAAGAAGAATGAGAGCGTGATATCGGATCGGGCTAAGGGAAGCAAAAAAAAGATACAAGTGAGAAAGTGAACATAGAGAGAGAGAGAGAGAGAGAGAGAAAGAAAAAGTACCGTATGGTGGCTGGGACCCTCGGTTTTGAGAGATTGGGTTCCAGAGATGAAAGATGAGGCTGACGGTTTGGGTGGTAAGCTCGGCGAGGGGGGTGCTTTGAGAAGAGGAGGGGGGAGGGATGAGGCCTGTGTTCCCCCCGGGCTGCCGTCTGCCGTCTGGGGTGTGGGTGGAGTCTGTCGGTTGAGGACGGATCGGATGATGGTGAGGGAGAAGGGAAATCCTTGGATGGATGGGGTGGTTGGTGGTGGTGGTGGTGGTACCGGACCCTCGATGCAAGCCTTGCGTTGCTTCAGCTACGCCATAATTCTCGACAGACAGAAGAGGAAGCAGGCACGGGCACGGACAGACGGAGGCGGGTCTGTAACAGGGACACAGCACAGCCCTAACTATCTAAGGGTTGTACTTGTCCTTCCAGATCCTATGGATGAGCAACGTCATGTCAGCCTGAAGTTGGGGCAAGATGGGGCTGTGGTTGGCGGAGAGCGTGACGCCGGTTTGCATGGCGCGGGTTGCGGAAACTCCACGAGCGCCTATCAATGCAAATGCAGAAAAACATGCGCCGTAGCACCTGCAACCTGCAGGTGATCGTTGGGTGCAGAGGGCGAGTTTAACGTACCAGGAATTGCCCATTAATTTGCTGCCTTTCTCCTCGGCCAATCGGTAGTACTTGGCGGCCGCGAACTAAATATGGCGCGCGCAGAGTTAGTCAACTGGCCAGCCGGATGATCACGAAACATCAAGGGGGATCCAAAGAGTGATGCGCGCCTCGAGGGAAGCATTGATGCCCGAGCTGAGAGGCCCAGAGGCACCCCCAGGGCCGGGGTCAGGGCCAGGGCAAATCAGGACATATCACCCAGGATGGATTGATTGAAGCAAAGGAACCATTACGCAATCAGCACGAACCTTGTCCTTCTTCCCCCCAAAGCCCTCCAGGTAGCACCAAGCGACCTCGTTCATCGCGTCGGTGTCGCCCAGATTGGCCGCCGTCTCGTAGTACTGTCGCGCTGCCATCGGGTCTTTCTTCACGCCCCAGCCGTTCCGGAAACAGTTGCCTAGCTCGAAGATAGCCAGTACCAGCTCCCCCTTGGCCGCTCCCCCCTTCTTCATGCCGGCCTGTAACGCCTCCGACTCGATCGAGGCCGAGTTCGAGGCCGCGGCCGAAAGATACAGGATGGCTCGGTCTGGATCGGGCGTGCATCCCCAACCATGTCTATAGTCCACCCAAGTCAGTATCATATAGCCGTAGAGCCCATCCAACACGCAGTCCATGATAAGGAACCGTCGGGCGTAAACGAAGCGCGACAGCGACACGGTGGGTTCTCACCTCAGCGCGAGTCCAAAGAGCACCTGGCTCAGCGCATTGTTGGCACCGTTGGGGTCTGCTAAGCACTCAATCATCTTGGTTGACCGTTCTAGATCTGTACTTTGGTGTAAGCGACTGACCAAAACGACCATCTTTGTGGCTGTTGTTCCTCATACCTCCCGCTTCATGGAGCCGAATCGCCTCCTGGATGTTGACCTATGTGTTGGTTAGATCCCCACACTGATTTGGCCACCGTCGCAGATATCCAACCACTTACATCCTCCCCCGGGTCGTTGACCCGATTCACACTCGAGCTTCGGGACCGCGACGGGGCTCCATCCAATCCAAAGCCCGTCGGCGAGGTAGGCGATAGACACGAGGCCGCGAGTTGCGGATTTCGCTGCACCAGCACCGTCGCCCTTCGCTCCCATTGTGCCTCCCTCTCCTGTTCATCGCCTTTATCCCCGTTGACCTGCAGAAGATCCGATGGAACGTTGACGGACGACGAGCTGGAGGTCCGCGTGCCGGCCCGATCGAGATGCAGCAGATGCGTTAGCCGTCGCTGGCGCGTGGGGGACGTCGTCGAGCCTGAGGATTCGGACGGCGCTCGCGAGCGACGAAACGGGTTGAATGATTTTCGATGCGACGGCGATGGAGGCACGGGGTCTAGATATTGATGATCGGGGTGATCGACATCGCCATCGAAGGCGGGCGGGCGGATGACCTCATGCGAGGTGGTGTCGGAGCGGACGAAGGTGATCTGGGGGACGGTGGTGGCAGGAATGCGATCGTCTGCATACCGACCCGCCGACACGTTCAGCGAGTCCTTCTTGTGAAGTATTTCGCGCAGCGGCATGGTATGATGGTATGATGGGCGTTGCGCACTGGCTTATTGCGGAGGGGAGTGGATACCAGCGCCTCAGCCGGGCGTTCAGGGACGAGATGGGGTCGGGGGTCTGAATCTGGGGGGGGGAGATGAGAACTGAAAAGGGGGACTGGAATAGAGGGAACAAAGACAAAAGACCCTGGAGAACAGGCTGGATATTAAAGTCGGCGACTCTTCAGCCTTATGGCATGACAGAGGTCAAAGACAACGAGGGAGAAAGGAAGCGCAGCGTCGAGGCTGAGAACCTTGTTTGATGACGGATTTCCTGTCGCGGTTATTTTTAAACCTGGGCTGCCATCAGCCAAACCATGGTTGACGCTCTGCCACCGCCGCAATCTCTGCGTCGCTTTTGATTGCCATTGTCACACATAGAGCTGGGATGTTCGGCTGCTGGCCGGCTGTTGGATATTCGATGGCGCGGATCGCAGGCCAAGATCCACTTTGGACCCCTGGTCATTAATCAATCCTTTCATCCAGGCACAGTACGGAGGACACCAAGGTCGGGTTGCGAGAAGAAGAACGGTAGAGAGAGAGCTTCATGGGAGTAGGGGTCAAGTAGGAGGGTAGGAGGTATTCAGGTCACTGGTTTGCTGGAGTTGGGATTGGACTGGGGATTAGTCAATCTTGCAGCAGAGCGTTGTTGTGTTGGCACGTTCCACCAGATCAAAATACATCAAAATACATCAAAATACATACATATCCCGCAACCATCTTGGCCGAACGTCCATTCAGAAATAACTACCCCTCGCTCAAAAAATAATAATATATATATATACAGACTGATAAACATTGCTATAACTTATATCTGCAGGGTTAATAACTTGAAACATAACAAGCCCAAGAAATTACGTAGTTCGACAATTACATCATGCCTGGTAGGTACATCGCGATAGAGCCACGCATGGCATCAAGGGGCGGTGACGACTCGTCGAACGAGAGCATCAACCCGGAGTTTTACGGAAAGAAATTACTACGGGACAAGGCCTCGACAAGAGACCCTCAGATTCCCTTTTAACTGACCACATTGGTCTTGTGTCTAATTGACAACAGAAAAGTTCTTTAATTTGTACATAGGCTGACGAGGCTATCCATGCAAGTCCACTTCTTAGGCCTTGGTGGACATGATGCCTAGAGCTCATTGTGAGGGTCCGATCGGGAAATGTAGTACAGACAGGGTTCGACTTACGCTCAACATCAACGACGCTCTGCTGGAGGATCTGCTGGAGAACCTTGGGGTTCTCAAGCTCCTTGTGGATCTTGCCAATGACGCTCTCGGCAAGCTCGCGCTGCTGGCGCTGCTTGACCTGGCCCTCGTAGCGCACCCAGGAGTCGAGCACCTGCTTGGCCTCGGCGGCCTGGGCAGTACGCTGCTCGAGCTCGTAGGCCTGAGCCTCAAGCTGAGCGGTTTCCTGGGGTAGCCCGTTAGCACCACACGTCCACCGCCGGGAACAGAGCCGATCAGACACTCAAAGGGGGTCGGGATGTACCTTGGAGACAGCGAAGAGCTGCTTGGTGAGCTCAACAACGCTGGAGAGCTCCTGGACGCTCTCCATACGCTGCTTGACGGCGTTGGTGTGGTCGGCACGGGCAGCGTTCAGGATGTCCTTGTGCTTCTGGACCTGAGCATCGGCCCACTCGCGGTAGGCGGGACCACCGTACTTGGCAACGGCAGTGAAGACGCTGAGAAGACAGAAGGCAGCCACGGTTTCCTCGTTCATGACATAGAGCTCGTTGCTGATGGCGGCGATGGAGAGACCGGCGGCGGCAGACAGGACGGCGGTCTTGGAGACCAGGGAGTTGCCGGGGAGAGCATCGATGATCGACTGGGCCTTCTTCTTGGGGTCCTCGGTCGGGACGTTGGAGGCCGAACGAGACGCGGTCAAGGTGGCAGTGATGGGAGCGACGTTGCGCGTGGGAAGGGTCGGGCGGAGCCGGGTGGCGCCTGGAGGGGGTTAGTAGACAGTACCAGGTGGTAGAGCAGACCGGAAAGATGGTGTGGCGGCATACCAAGGGCGCTCTTAGCCAAACGCGAAGCCATTGTAGCGATGGACAGACCTTGACAGGATGTGATGGGTGAACGGAAATGAGGAGACTTGAGGTTCGGTCGGGATGGCGGTTGGGACGGTGCGGACGCCCCTAGCCCCTTGCGGCCTAGCGTCGTGCGCGGAAAAACCGCTAACCGAGGGATCTCCAAAAATTCATGGCAGGAAAGACCAGGAAAGACCAGGAATGGGCCGTATGCCACATCGGACTGCCACTCTTCGTCGTCATTGCGCCCCTCGACACCATGCCTGCCCCGACGGTCAAGCCCGTCGCCTCCAAGAAGAGGAAAAATGTCAAGGAGGCCGCCGTGCCCTCCTCCAAGCGCCGTGCCGTCGCTGACCCCGACCGCGCAGATGCGACCGCCAACATCCAGGAGCTCGAAGACCAGATCTCCGAGTCCCGGAAATACTACAACAACATCGCGACCCTGATCTCCATGCTCAGCACCGATGAGGCGGCGAAGAAACCGAATATGGCCGTCGCGGTGGCCCTGTGTCGGGTTTTCAGCCGGTTGATCGCGGGTGGGAACATGACGGAGACCAGCCGGGCTGCAGAGAATGAGAAGGTCATTGTGGCTTGGTTGAAGGAGCGTTGTCGGGAGTACCAGAAGCTCCTGTTGTCGATTATTCGCGAAAGTGATTCTTCCTCTCAGGTCCGTATGTGCCCGTCTTCTTGCATCTCAGACCCACTAACATCCAGCAGATCACGGCCTTGACCCTCTGCCTGTGCCTCATCAACGAACGTGCCACACACCTCCCCGGCGAAGACATCCAAGTTTGGTCCTCGGGTCTGTTCAAGGGCGTTTTCGAATCCGTCGTCGAGGCCACAAACGGACAGGCGGTGCTGTCCGAGTTCATCGAGAAAACCAAGGAATTCGAAGATGTGCGCTACTTCACCTTCATGCAACTTGCGTACGTTCCACCTTCCACCAAGCCATCCCTCACAACTAACCAGCAACAAACAGTGAATACGCGACCACCGAGCGCAGCAGCGAGACCATCGACCTCCTGATCTCCATACTATCAGCAAGCGACTCCGTACCGGGACCCGAGCACGAATTCGAGAGTCTCTACACGCAATCCAGCCAGAAGAACAAGAAGGTGGTGTCGGTCAACTCGCAGAAGAAGCGCGCGCAAGACGCCTGGCTGGCGATTCTGCGCAACAACCTCTCCCAATCGCAGCGCAAGAACCTGCTGCGCATCATGGTCCACAACATCGAGCCGTGGTTCAACCGCCCCGAACTGCTCATGGACTTCCTGACCGACTCCTACAACGTCGGCGGCGCGACCTCCCTCCTCGCCCTCTCGGGTCTCTTCTTCCTCATCCAGGAAAAGAACCTCGACTACCCCCAGTTCTACCACAAGCTCTACTCCCTCCTCGACGCCGACCTGCTCCACTCCAAACACCGCTCCCGCTTCTTCCGCTTGATGAACACCTTCCTCGCCTCCACCCACTTGCCCGCCACCCTCATCGCCAGCTTCATCAAACGCCTCTCCCGCCTCGCCCTCAACGCCCCTCCCCCCGCCATCGTCGCCATCGTCCCCTTCATGTACAACCTGCTGAAAGAGCACCCCACCTGCGCTCTGATGATGCACCGCAACGTCCGCCCCGAGTCCCTCAAGGCCCAACTGGAAGCCGAGGGCATGGACGACCCCTTCGACCCCTCGGAAACCGACCCCGTCCGCACAAACGCCATCGAGAGCAGTCTGTGGGAGATCGAGACCCTGCAATCCCACTACCATCCCAACGTCGCCGCCATCGCCCGCATCATCTCCGAGCAGTTCACCAAGCAGTTCTACAACCTCGAGGACTTCCTCGATTACACCTACCAGGGTATGCTGCAGGCGGAGCTGGGCACCGAGGACCGGCCGTTCAAGAGGACTCCCGTTGTGGAATACCAAATACCCAAGCGGATCTTCACGGATCGGTTGCTGGAGGAGGACGGTGGCCAGGATACGGCGCCGGGCAGTCTCGTCAGGGAGCTGTGGGGGTTCGCGTGATGAAAGTATATATCCTATTGCGGGGCTGTGCATTTAGATTTGTCACTTCTTAGCGTACATAATTAGATTTGGGATCCGGATGGTTTATTATCACGGTGATTTTTTATATAAGAAAAAAAAAGTTTGTCATGCCTAGTCTAAAGAGAAAGAGAGAGAGAGAGTGTGTGTGTGTGTGTGTGAGAGAGAGAAACGAACGCCGTTTTCGCCGTCTAATTACTCTATGGAAACAATAATTCGGGTCAATCTCGACCGTTGAAGCCGAGAAAAGTATATATCCACGACCAAGCGACCATCCAAATACAGGCACCTATCTACCGATGATGAACCGTCGTATGTGCATGATGATCCCGGGTGAAATGATCCTCGTCCGGATTCACCCAGTCCTCGACGTGCTCGGTCCAGCCCAGATCGCTCTCCAGTTGCGAGGGCATGGGCATGTAGGCGCCTGCGGCGGCGGACTCGTGCCATTGATTCTGGAGATACGGGGAGACCGCCACCGACCTCATGGGCGAGCATCGCTCGGGCCAAGCGGATTCATGCTCCTCCGCCACCGAGTCTCCCGGATGGTAGTCGCAATAGACGTCCAAGGCGAAGACACCGCGCTTGAGATCATCGAAAAGCTCATCAGTGACCTTGACCGGGATAGACTCGATATTGGCGCGCATCTTCTGCACGATGGACTGGGCCTTTTTCCGCCTCCGTCTCCGCCGCGTGCCGACCTCCTCCTCCATCCGCTCGAGCAGACGGAGGATCTCCTGCTCGGATGTCGCGTGTGTGATATCCTGGTTCATCCGCCGCGTGAGCTGGTGCAGCTCGTTGGAGACCGCCCGGAACAGCGTATCGATCCTGGCCAACGCGCCGGTGACTCGAGATGACAGCATGCGCGCGAACGGCCGTTCGTAGATGCGCTCCCAGAACCCCAGCCAGTAGTGCAGCCCGGTCCGAGACTTGTGGAGGCGAGTGATCTCCAGGCTCGCGATCACGCTGCGACACAGCGAGAGCGTGTGCAGCGCATTCCGGCGAGTGTCCTCCAGCGACAGTTGACGCCGCACGGCGGCGGCTTCCGCCACCGCGTTGCGATCGGGGAACTCGGCGGATTCATGGCGGTTCTCGCATTCGACGGTGCGGTAGAATCGCTCGGACTGCTCGTTGGTGTTGGTTGTGGTGGTGCTTCGTGGGATCGGCGCGGTGGGCTGGGGCTCACACGCCGGCGATGAGGGCGCGGTGCGTTTCGGTAGCTCGGCTTGCAACATTCCAGGGATGAGGCGCAGCATGAAAGATGCCGGTAGGGTGGTAAGAAGATAGATCGATGGGTAGATGGATGTGCGGTTTGCCGGAATCGTAAATACACAATGAGAGGGAAAGACTTTAGAACGTGGTAATGAGTGAGTGACTTGACAGTCTATGTCATTAGCTAGGAATAGGACGATATGATTACGGGCTGAAGTCGGGGGGGAGGGAGAAACGAGCGTGGATGAGTGAGTGAGCGAGTGAGTGAGCGAGTCGAAGCGACGGAGGTTCGTGCATTGGGTTTATGGAGGGATGGTTGGTTCCTTTTCCATTTCTACGAGGGAAGGTGCGAGGGCCAAAGCAACAGTAACTTCCAGATGCATCCGGATGTGTTGCTGATGCTTATCAGGAGCCGAACTCTCGCAGCGGACTGGGGACTGGTTGATTTCTATCGCTGTCAGGCACAGACAGACGAGGCCTATCTGATTTCCGCTTTCGGTAATCGATGGACCCTCAGCCGAGTGTCACCGTTGCGATTCTTCTGGAAGACCCTGGTGGCTTTGGGGGCTGAAAACGAGTCCCTCAACTCGCTTCTGTTGCCCAACTCGGTTCGTCGACGACGAGATTGGTCGCTCAGCATTGGTTCCTGATAAGGACTGGGGGACTCTCCAGTCTCCAAGATCTCAACGGTGGTGCTACGGATTCAAGGCAAAATGCACGTCGAAAGTCATGCCATCATGACATGCAGTTCTCTGAGGGATGGCCTGGATTGTGTTACAGCAGCCACCACCTCACCGTTCTGATAGGCTCTTCTCGTCATCCGGACCCCTTCGTTGCTCCCCCTTGCAGGACAACAGCCGTCCACGTCTCCACGACCCCACGCGAAGGAGAATTGACCCTGCAGTGAGCAGGAGCTGGGACCATCTAACTATGCGCTAGTCGGACATAGACAGGGCAGAAGAAACTCCGTCAACGCTCCGGGGTGGGGATAGTTGGGCAACTGATCCGCAGTGCTCAAACACACGGTATGCAGTTTCTTATCCTGGTTGGTGCACGCCGCCCATCCGAGGCAAACACCATAGAGAATAGAGATCGATTGTCCGAGGGGCCTCTGCCAGAGATTTGCGCCGGGCCGCTCCATACATACGATGATATACTGCACTTGCTGTGCCCGTGGTGTCACGGCAATCAATCCGAATGCTTTTCTGCTTTTCTTGATCAGCAGCCTGGAGAATGTCGAGCCATCCACCGTGTGGGTGCTTTGTAGACATTCCCGCGCCTCAACCCATGCCAGGCAACTTGCGAGAGCAAACTGCCAGGAATGCTGTGGCACCAGCCCGGCATGTTTACATCCTCCATGTTCTGGCATGCGACCCAGTCAGTCAGTAAATAAACGGGTTCCAAGGAGGAAATAAAAGTCCATCCATCGGCTCCAGGTGCCTGCCAGCTCCTTCATCGCAGGTGCTTCTCGTCCGTACGCGCCACGCCGTTCTGCAACCCCCCGAGAGGAAACAGCTGTTGACAGCTTCGGTAAGTATTAGTATTTGGGATCAACTAACTAGGAAGAACACGTGGATTGTGCTTGTCGAATCCTTATCTCGCATATAGCAAGAAGCTCACTGGACATTTGTGTTGCTTCATCTGATACATCATCTCCAAAGTATCAGGATCCTGTCTCTACATTATCTTCTCCATTGCCTATAAACCGCCTTTATATCCCCTCCTATCAGCAACCATGCGTTTGACGGAGTCCGTCATTGCGGTCTGGGCGTGTCTGGCCCAAGTCCAAATTGCCGAAGCAGCACTGGCCTTCACGCAGTGGCCCACGGCCATATACACTGGCGTCCCCACCACTCTGAAATGGGAGACTGATTCTGACGCGGTATGCTATACACATACTTTCCCTCCATCAACCACATAGACAAGTGACTAATTGATCTTTGCAGCCCGTTAAAGTCACGCTGCGTAAAGGTGCGGCTCAAGACCTGGACACCGTCAAGGTCTTGACTGCGGAAGCACGCGACGGCTCCTTCACCTGGACCCCTGACGACACGGTGGAAGATGGTGACGACTACGCCTTCCAGATCCAGCAAGATGGCCAAGTGAACTACACGGGGCTCTTGAAAGTCTCGAACCCCAACCCACCCGCGAGCACGACTTCGGCCACCACCGCGATCTCTTCCACGACAGCGCCTTTGCCCAGCTCAAGTTCAGTCACGACTACGCAAGACGCCTCGCCGACCCAAACCCAGACCACCCCGAGTCCCACGCCCACTGACACCGCTCCTCGGGACGAGACGGACAGCGTTACTGCAGGAACCACTGGATTGAACGTCACGGATACGGATGAGAGCACCTCCCCATCGAGCCGCCAGTCCAACATGACCTCCGGCAAGAGTGCCCTTGCCGCCGCGATGGAGAGCGGCGGCGCGTCCTTCCGCCTGGTCTCCGCCGACCTGCTCCTTGGCGCCGTGGCTATGGTTTTCTACCTGGCTTATTGAAGTCGAACGAATGGAACCAGGGCAATAATCGAAAAAAAAAAGAAAGTCGTTTGATGGGATAGGGCTGGCTGTCATCTGTTTTGAATCCTTTACCATACGTTGTGGACGATGTTGGTTCCTGAATCTTCACAAACAATCCAGTTGCATTCTATATTTACCCATGATTTTTTTTTATCTATTTTTTTTTTTTTGCTTCTCGCCCTCAGGGGTCCTTGTGTTTCGTTTTCTGTACATACTGAGGTGGCATGGCCAAAGCGCGTGTTTCGTGGGCTGGGAAGGGTGGGTGATACTCGGGGTCGAAGCTGGTTTTCCTCGAAGAAGGCCACGATGGCCATGCTTTTTCTTTCAAGCCGGGGGTTTTCTCTTCTCTTTATTGTTTGACATCCACTAGATATAATAAGCAACAAAGAACGATGAAGAAGTCAATTACGTCAGGGTCGACTAGTCAGAAGTATCTTGCATGCACCCCTCTGCTGCACTTGTTTCCCATCGCGAACTGGCCTGTTTCAGGAGGGTGATCCCCGGCCAGGGAAGGGCGCGGATTGGATGCCGGCGGGGGGACGGCCTTAGCGGCCGGGGTTAGTGGCGGCAGCCTCAGGTTACTATTCTTGTTAGGTAGGAATTAGCCGCAGTTAATCGGTTTGTTCAGGTTTGTTCAGGCTCGCAGTGACAGGCAGACAGGCAGACACATCACATCACATCTCCCGTTATTTTATAAGAGCGCGCCTTTGCTCAGCAGCCAGCATTGTCTCGGCCTTCGATCCATAGCATCCTTCTCGCCTGCCTCTCTCCTGGCCCCCATTTCCCATTTCCCATTTCCCGTTTCCCCTTTGCCGGTCTGCTCTGGCCACCTGGGTCCAATATTTATTGATTCATTCTTTGTTGGCTCCGTGCACTTCTTTGATTGGGATAATCCCCGACCTGCTCTTGTTGGTTAACCAATGGTTCGTGCTGGTGTCTACGCGGAGTCAGCGGGTCACCACGACTGTTAGGAAACACTAAGGTAAGTCATGCCTCAAATCTCCTACTCGCTCGCCTTCCCTTCTCTGCGCCCGCTTTAAGCTCCTCTACTTCCTCTACTTCTGCATCTCGGCGCGTTCTGATGTCTCGGCGATGAATAAGCGACATCCTTCTCACAGCAATACTAATCCTCCTCCTCCTCCTCCTTCTCCTCCTGCTGCAGATCTCCTGCAATCAAGCCTTGATCCACTCCGTGGTATGTGCTTTTTTTTCTCCCCTGCCGCGTTGTCATTTCGTGCCTTCGATGCCTTCCACCAATCTGCCACTGCCCTCAATTCTCCATCCAATTCTCCAGACTTGAACCCTCCAAGGCCGCTGCGGGGATCCCAGGCTTGTCAGCTGTCAGCGGCGACTCGTTTGTTTACAACTCCGTCGGATTAAGTTGTTGCTGGGCGCTCCTTGCTGCGGCCCAACTCCGGGTACGGAGTAGCTTCCTGCGTGGACTGCTTCGCTCCCAAGGGGGGGCAAACGAGAGGGAGAGAGACAGAGATAGAGAAGGGTACTGGGAGAAGACTTGCCTGTTCCCTCTTCCATTGCCGCATTGCTCTTTGCGGCGACTTCACCTTAGCCAACATTCCAGTTCTATCCGTCCTCTTCGGCATGGCCCGATTCGGTCGGGTCAAAAAATCCCCTAAAGCAGGAACGAAAAATGCTGACCCGGAGTTGCTTGTGCTACCTACGTCAGATCCTCGCCGTGCCCCTCGTGTGAGCCTACCCCATGTGGAAACCCAATTGAACATGCACCAGTACAACGGCCTGTTTGAGATTGGCTCCTCGGAGCAGCAGAAGACTCCCGCGGCCGTCGAGTCGTCGACCGGTAAGTGGCTTCCGGCCCCCTCCTCCGGTGCCTCCCCCGATCCCGCCGGCCTCCCCTACCGTCAAACCGTTCACTAACCGCGGCGCATGACCATAGAATCCGTTATTACCCCGGCCTCGAATGGTACGAACCGCACCGGCAGCTCCAACGGCACGCACACCTCTACCGCGAACGATGCCGCGACCTCCGAGTGGTCTTCGGCGGTCGGCCACGCAGCTACGGGAAAGTCCGGCCGGGTGATACACAATCTGCAGGAGGAAGTTGCGCGTCTGACTCGAGAGATGACCCTCTATCGTTCGCGAGCAGAAGAGACCCAGCGCATGAACGATGCTTTCAAGACCCAGGTTCAGAACATGACCGAGCGGCTCCGGAACCTCGAGCAGGCCAATGAGACAAACCTCCACTCCATCTCCCGCAAAGACAAGAAGATCGATGAGCTCCGCGCCGAGATGCAGGGCGAAAAGGACCGACGAACTCAGGCAGAGGGCGAGTCACGCAAGTTCAACCAGTTGATGGACGCAGCCCGGGATGACTTCCATCGGAGATGCGCCGAGATGCAGGAAACCTCCAGCCATTCGCAAGCTCAGTATGACGTGCTCGCAAAGACCAGGCAGCGAGAGCAGGTGGAGCATCTGAAGAAGCTGAAGCTGCTGCGGGATGATTACATCAGTCTCAAGAAGCACAGTGATGCGAGCGTACACCAGCTGGAACGCCTGGATGCCATGATGGCCGATAAGGACCGTGAAATCGAGCAGACCAGAGCGCGATTCGACAATCTCTTCGCCAACTACGAGGCCTACAAGCAAGCGCAGGACGAAGAAGTGGGGCGGCTGATCGAGAATGGCCGTCAGGGCGAGGCCAGGCTCGATGCGGCTCTCGCTTCATTGAAGGAGACTGAGGGGCGAATGAAATGGGTCCTTCAGGTCAAGAACGAGATCAAGGATGCCCAATAAATGGGTCCATCCCGGCCGTCACGCGTGGAGTGACGGCGGGCGCCAAAGGCGCCCTGTACTGGCTACATGGCTTCGGCCTCCTCTTCGCCTCTCTCTCTACCTTGGGTTGGGGGAGAGGAGGCTCATATTCTATTCCTGTACTTTTCTTTTCTTTCCTTTTTTTTTTTCTTTTCTTTTCCTTTCCCTTCTTCTCTGTCCTTTTTTCCCTTCTTTCTTCTTTCTTTCCTTTTTTTTCACATTCATCTCGCCGTTCGTTCACTGTTCTTTACAGCATGCTCACTCTCCAGTCATCTCTGGCAGAGATCTGGAGTTTTAAGGATTTGTTCGATACCCCTGCAATAGATTGTTGAAAAGATAGCCACAATGACTGTACCTTCTCATATGCGCAGACTGATACGTGTATATACATAAAAAATAATACAAGAGTTCCAGCAGCAACAGGCAGCCACCAAACTCTCTCTGGCGTGACCAGCCGGGCTTGTGTCTCGGCCATCCAGCAGCTTCTTTCCAGATCTGGAAACCCATCCCCCCCACCATCCCAACCAACTGCTTCTTCTTTTCCCCAAGGTCCAGGCCATTCATTCCCCGGCCGTCTGGGCATTGATCCGGATGGATTGAATGCCTTCAACCCGCAGTGACAGGGACTGTTCACTGCCCGCTGCATGCACCCGCCGTCCGTTTGCTCCATTTGTTCAATGGTCTCGGCGTGGTACTGAGTCCCCAGCATTCACCATTTCCCCATGTCTCATTCCAAGGACGATTAATTGACTGCCTGACCTGCTGCCCCGCCTTCTGTCCGGCCGCCTTCCTTCTTGTTTCTCCCCTTCTCCTCCCCTTCCCCTCCTCACCGGTCTGTCCGCAACCACCACCCAAGTATCCCATCCGTTAGTTGAACGGCGATCTTTGGTCTTCTCTTCTTTTTCTTGCATTCTATCCTCATTGTTACTGCCCAAACTGCGGACCCGCGTACTTTGTTTCAAGAATCTCCCTCCCCCGTCGGGGTGACAGTATAATCAGGGCCTGTGCGGTGCGGCGTCGCATTTGATCATCATCCTGATTCACCGTTGTGATTCCCGCTGGACTTCCCTGCTGTTTTGTTCCGGAAGGCCCGCTGCGATGGCGTCAAAACAGCGTCTGACGCTCGCGTCCATGTGGGCCTTTGAGGCCATTGGGGTAGGTGTTTGCTTATATTATGTTGGAAGATGGAGCGGGCTGCTAACTTAACTCGGTGCAGGTGGAGGAGGTCGCTGAGGGGATTAGGCATGTAATCTAACTATGTGCGTGTTGATAGAGGGTGCTAATGTGTGTTCAGGAAATCTAACCCTGAGCTTGAACTTACATGCGAATACAATAAGTCTGGTGATGTACGCTTGGATCTGCATCTAGTTTGATGTTCCTGCTTTGTTAACATACTTAGGTGCTGGAGGTCAAGGGAAACCTGGAGAACTGCAGGCCTAAGCTGGCAAAGGTTGTCTCGGCATTCATTGATGGCCAGAAGGACAAGGATCTTCTTGATGTGGGTTTAGCTGTTTCTGCTTTTTTTTTTGCTTTTGTGATTGGCTGTCTGGAGCAATGGCTGATTTATTGGGTCTTTCAGATGCCTCGCATTAGCCAGCTTGATGACTCCGCTCCCCTCCAAGATGCTAGCATGGCCGGCTCGGATGAAGATGACCAGGGTCTTCTGGCTTTGGATGACGGCTCGGATGAGGTGTTGGTCTCCCATTCACGCCCCCGAGTTACCAAGATCTGGCTATCCTCTACCGGAGGTGCGGGTTGCTTTGCAGCCAATAGTTTCCAGGAGTTCATTAGTCAAATAGCGACGTTGACTGGAACTGAGATTGTCATTATCGGAGAAGATGGCGCTCAGGTCATGGGAAAGGATTTGGCAGACGTTGAGGATGCTCTAGCAAAACTCTCTCGCATTGAGAGTGCATTGGTAAGTCCTCGTCCCATTAACGGCTCATTCGCAATGCAGTCCGCTAACAGGCTCAACAGACCTTCATTAAGAAGCCAAATGTGATAAACTTCAATGCCTCTCCACCTAATGATGAACTCCGGTTCCGCATCCAGAACTATGGCAGTCTAAACCAGGTGGCTCTTAGTCGAATCCTGGCCGATCCGAGTATGCCTGGCAGCTCGGATCTCGGTCAGATGTTCGTCACCGTCCTCCTCTCTTATGATAAAGAGGTTCAGACGTTCAAAGAGCCTGCCAACATTCTCAACCCGCCACATGTGACAGAGGAGCCTGGGAAGTCTCGCATCTGGAACGACTTTACATTCCCGGAGATCGGAAAGGGCGATGAGTACCTGGCCATGGAGGCAGTCGATGAGCGTGTTGCCGTGAATCGTCAGGTGACGGATTCCTCCATCTCAGCAGCACACCCTTACCTCACTGCAGAAAAGGCAAAGCAGGTGAACCAGTGGGTTGTTGAGAGGGTTGAAATGGAAGAGCCGGTTCCTGCCGCTGAAACTGAGACTCATACTGAAGTTGAGCCTCGCGATATTCCTCGTCCTGTCCCTCGCCCTGAACCAGCTCGTACGGGAAGCCCTGCTCCTGCGGTCAAGAGACCGCCTGGTATAATGGCACGGAGAGCCATCCCCGCGAGCGGAAGGCAGCCTGCCCCTGTTCCTAAGCCTACCCCAGCTTCTAAGCCTGCACCGAATTCCATGCCTGCACCAGCTTCCAAGCCTGTCCAGACCGAATCTAAGCCGATGAAGACCCAAAATCCAGCCCCTGAAGAAGAGCCTCCCACCCCTCGCAGGAAATGGAAGATGATTTACAATGCTGAAGGTGCTACTACAAGGCAGACAGCGGATGCTCGGCAGGAGACGACCTCGACAAACGCGGACACTCCGATACAGGAGAAGAGGATCGGTCTTCCTCCAAGCTTCGATGTTACCAAGTATGGTCTCAAGAACCCCAGAAGCCCACCTCAACCTCAGCCGGTTAAGAGTTCGTGGGGAAGGTGCCAGAGTAAACGAACCACTTCAGCCCGGGCACCGTCAGGTGAGAAGAAATCCGGTAAACGGAATGAGCTCATTGACGTGTTTGGGCCGGTGACTCCTGCGCCTACCTTGCTTCCAACCGGAACGTCCTCCAATATCGTCAAACCCTTAGAGCCCCAGCCATCGACCAATGTGCTTGCTCTGGGAATAAGCGATAACTCTCTTGACCTTGCTGGTTTGACTTTCGAGACTTTTCCCATTCCCTTGGAGCCTGGCAATTCAGCATCGGTCCCAGGAGCGACTCCTAGCAGTGACGAGCCGCAATTCCCCATCGATGACAGGCCTTTTCCCAGCAACGAAAAAGCAGGCTTGTCCAGTAATGAAAGATCAGGCTTGTCTAGCGGCGAAAGCGTCTCCGAGCAGGCAAGAAGACTGGCTTCTTTGAGCAGGATGTACACGGAGAGTAAGGACACTGCATCTGTTCTGGCGGAAAGTGCCCATGATGATCGCCCGACTTCGCGCCAGAAACATATGGATATGGCTCACGATAAAGTCTTCGAGCTTAATAGGACCCACAAAACGGAAACACGGTCTGATGACGAGGTTGTGTCTCGAAACTTTCATCGCACGATGAGTCACAAGGCACCCAAAGCAGCGTCTAGCAAGGGCAAAACAAAAGCCGAGACCAAGGCAAAGAAACAGGCAACGCTCGAAGATGCTTGGGGGATTTTCAAGAAGCCACTGAAGAAACCGCCTAGTGATAGTTCGAAGCCTCGGCCCATTCCTGCCCCAGGCAAAGACGCAAAGACGGCACCGGCAATCCAGGAGAATGACGAAAAGGAGAAGACTGAAGTCAAAGACGCAATGGCAGCCCCGGTGATCAAGGCAGACGAAAACCAGAAGCTAATAAGCGTATACTCAAAGAAGGTTCCATTGATCCAGGAGAAGCAAGACAATCGGATGTTCCAGACGGACAAGGACGTGGATGAGCACATCCGAAAGGTCTATGAGGCCTTGAAACCTACTTTGGAAGCCGCCGAGTCCTTTCCTGGGGCGATGACATTGGAGATTCAGATCGGATTGCTCTTGGTACCACTTCTCCCGAAAACCTACAGCGGCAGATTGATATCTTTCGGTGAATGGATGAAAACATTCCAGCCACAGAATGGTCTAGCTGCCCCCACGACGAAGTTCTTCGGTAGAGTTACAACGTCGGGTGCTGATGCCGATCACTTTGTCGCCCTCAGAACATCTAAAGCAGAAGGAAAGCGCCGCATGTTCGAACAGGACGAGAGTGAATACAGCGTCTCATATGAATACCACTGCCGAACCAAAGCCGGCCAGCTGTTCGTCATAGTTATTGACGAACAAGGCAACTTCTCTGTCAGGCAGCCAGTTGTGCCTATTGGAGGAGTGAACTTGCATTTTCCTGGGAACACCTGGGATGCGAACGTGGTTGTCAATCGCGTGGGTGAGTATCTTCCGGGGAGCAACGTGGGTTTTTATGAAGCTGCCCAGCATATGATCGACCATCTCTGGGTGCAGCCTGGCCGGTCACTTCTCCGCATCTTTACTCGTCTGCCTGAAGGTGGAAAGGTGACTATTGACAAGGTGTTCATGAAACGTTGGACTCGGCATAGGTACATTCGCTCCGAGGAGGATCCCTCGAAGGATGTTCAGGCCAAAGGCGCTTCTAATATCGAATCATCGATTAAAGCGCAAGCCCGTCGTGAGGGTGGACGGTTGAAGTCGGTCCCAGAAGCCCCCTCAAATGGAAATAGTTCAACCAACGAGCCGCAGCCGAATGACCAGAATATCTTCCTGCAGATCACGGAAGTGCAAGATCTTCTGATCGGAACCTCTCCTGCGGATGCCCAGGCAGTGCGCGCACGCGCAGCAGGGCTGCAAGATATGATCCGGAGGGGACGCCTCTGGTATGAGGTATCCCTAGTCAGCCCCGGGATCGAGTCTCTGTTGAGAAGCAACGCAGATCTCGAAGTGGGTGAGCGTGCGGAAGACTGGCGCAGCGCTGACCTGCTCGGAAGAGACGCTGTCCTTGCCGGAGAGCCCACCCCAATCACGCCTGTCGCAACAGCCATTGGAGCGGGTGGTCTTGGGGATCTTCTCCGCCTTACTCACCAGGTCATGAGAAAGGCCGATGGTGTCGGCTATTGGAACGAGGGACCTGCCGCCGTCTTCGAGATGGCCGAATCCCTTGCTCCCGCGACTTTGCCTGACAACGCCATTGTATCGAAAGGCCAAGAGTTCGAGGACATTGAGAGTATCAAAGAGGCGGGAAGCGCGGATATCGTGGTTCTGAATCCTAGAGTGCCGTCCGTGACTATGGAACAGGTGGTGGAGCGAGAGTTTTGGTGAGAGATTTGAACGGCCTTTGTACCTACAGACGGATCACCATCACCAGCCAGCCATGCTAGTTGAATTGAATCGAATTGGTCCATAGTACTATTTGAAACGAGGCATCCCTTGTTTTATACCTTTTCTAGATGGTATATAGGGTCTATCTGCAGGCGCAAACCCGCCAACTATTTCCGTAGACCCTCAGACCGATCAAGTCGATCTCCACTCGACAACCACAAAGTCCAAAAACATCTACTATCTATTTATATGCGCGAAAAAAATACCACAGCCTGTCCGAAATCTCCCTTCTATCCATCAATCAACAACAAGACCCAAGCAAACACATTTTATGTCCGGGAGAGAAAGAGAAGACACAACCAGGGCAGCATCAATGCATAAAAGTAAGAAAAGAAAAGGGAAGAAAAAAGAAAAAAAGAGAAGAGAAGAAAAAGAATGGTAGAAAAGAAACAACAGAAATTTTAGATATGATCAATCAACTAGTGAAGGAATCGATCAATCAATCAATCATCATTCTCATCCGGGGCATCATCCACGCCCCTCAACCAAGCGGCACGGGCATCGACCGCCGCCTTGCGCACATCGCGCTTGGGATCATCCAAGACGAACAGCAGCGCCCTCAACACCTGATTCTTCACCGAGAGAAGCGGCGAGAGGGTCCCCGCCTTCGCGACAGCAGGCGCATCGGAACCCGAACCCGAAGGCACCTGTGCCAGCAGAAACAGACACTTGATGGCGCCGACGCGCAGACGAGGAGTATTGACTGCGCCGGAGGCAGGGGCATGTTCTGCTGTGCTGAGGAGTCGGGACACGAGACTCTGCACGTGCCCGCAGTCGTCGATGACGCGGACGCCATTGTCGCGGATGATGACGGACAGGGTGTCGAGGGTGGCGGCGCGGACGGGGGTGGAGTCGGCGGATTGGAGGTCCAGACTTTGGAGGAGGAGGGGGAGGAGGGTGGGGAGTTCGGGCATCACGAGGGATGGGGGGATGGTGGAGAGGATGCCGGAGAGGGCGGTTAGGTGGGCGGGTTTGATGTGTGTTGTTGTTGATGCTGTTGGTTCTTGGGGGGAGGTGGCGGTGTTGACTTCGCGGATGCGGGTGGACATGAGGGGGATGAGGGTGGTGAAGACGCGTTGTTTGGAGAGGAGACGGATGTTGGCGCCGTTGGGGACAGAGAGGACGTTGTCGTCGTGGAGGAGGATGGTGAAGGCGCGGGCGGAGGTGGTGCTGGTTGTGGGGTCGGGGGAGGAGAGCAGCGCGAGGAGGGTGGTGAGGATTTGGGTGGTTTTGGGGGCGAGGCGCAGGATGAGGGCTTTGGAGAGCCAGAAGATGGTCTGGATGGTGGTTGGGGGGAGGGTGAATGGGAGATCGGTGGTTAGGGTGGTGGCCGGGAGGAGGGTGTCGAGGAGGGTGGTGGCCTGGTCGAGGTCGGTCTTGGGGAGGAATTTGTTGGCCAGCAGGGCGAGGTGTCGGAGGAGGGCCAGGCTGGTGGCTGGCGAGGTTTCGGCGACGCAGCGGGTGGTGATGTCGGAGAGGAGGGGGGTCATGTTCGGGGTGCTGTAGGGGAGGGCCTTGCTGTCGGTTGGGAGACTGGCGAGCAGGTAGGTGGAGATGATCATTGTGCGGCGGTGGTTGTCGCTGGGGGAGGGGGAGAAGGGCACGGGCTGGAAGTCCTCGGCCGGGGTGAAGAGCGTGTAGACGTTTTCGGCGACTTCATCCTGCTTGCTTCTTGGGAGAGACCGGATGATGAGGTTGCACAGCTTGCCGAGCACGTCCAGGACGGTGGCCTCGGTCAGGATGGTGTTCGGGGCGTTGCCGGAAGCTGCGGCCGTTGCGCTGCGGCATAGGCTCACGACGATTTTGTCGTAGTAGAGGTCGAGGTTCGGGTCTTGGTCCAGTTTGCGTTGGTTCATGACGTAGAGGATCGTGAGGAGGATGTCCCGGGGGTAGTCCACGGATCCTGGCTGTTCCTTCTGCAGCAGGATGTTCAGCTTGCTGAGGAGTCGACGGACCAGAGTGTCGAAGATGTCCTTCTCCGCGCTGATCTGCGCGAGGGTCTCGAGGGTGGATATGTAGTCGGAGCCTGACCCGTCATCAGAGTCGGGAAGGGTAGCCACGAAAGCAGGGAAGGTGATGTCCAAGATGAGGCGTGGCTTGTGCTTGGAGATCTCGGTCAGGGCGGCGATTGCTTCCTTCTTCAGGTCATCGCGACCCACGGATTCCTCCTTGAGGAGAATCTCGTCAAGGTACTGCACGAATAGCCCAATTTCGTTGTCCTGGAAGTAGTTGCGCAGAGTTGACAGACGCAGGAATCCCTTCAAAGCGGAGACACGGAAAGAACCCTCCTCCTTGATCACTCCCATCAGGGCCTGGCCAAAGATGTCCGAGAACTGGTCTTTGAACTCGAGCAGGGGGTTGTCGATGGTGGGTTCCGGGTCACGCGTGGTCCACTCGCCGAATACTTGGATGGCAGCGTTGAAGAGAACGCCGAATGTCTCCAACAGGGCTCTTTGCTTGGCAATGCCATCAGCTCCTTGATAGATTGTCAAGAGTGGCGCAACGACCGTCTGGACAATGAGGGTGAATGAAGCGGCCGAGGCGGCCGAGACAGAGCTCAGGATCAGCTGAGCCGGCTTGGCCTGCTTTTGCTGGGGCTCCTGCAGTTGCTCGCTGCACTCTTTGGTGATGGGACGCAAGTACTGCGCGAGAGGCAACTGATCGGAGATCTGCGTGACGCCCTCGGACAGCCGCTGCGCAATGGCACTCAAGACCTCAAGGGAAAGATCGGAGAGGAATTCCTCCTGGGCATTGAGGATCTCGAACTTCAGGGTTTCCCAAATCGTGATCGAATACTTGGACACGGTGTTTGGGTCGTACAACTTGACACACGCAATCAGAGCGTTCAGGGCGTCTTTCTTGGGGTCTGTCAGCATGTATGTGAAGGGGGGGCAGTATAACGAGCACGTACCTTGACATTGGGAGACGTCGAGTCGAGTTTATCCAGCAGAGCCGGGATGGCATGCGGAGCAAACTGGCTGTTCGCCGAAATGCAATCTTGGAGACGGCCCTTCAAGTCTACCGCGGTGATGCCGTACGGGTCGTTCGGCGGGGGTTTAAAGGTGATGGGGAAGTAGTTGTAGACAGAGTCGAACAGAACCTTCGCAGGTCAGTTATCAGGAGACCAGATCCGGGCTGTGGCACATACCTCGGCATGGTTGGAGACATCCCATTCCATCATCACCACCTTCAGGATCGAGAACACCAGCATCAGGTTGCGCGGGTCTTTCTCGCCCGTCATCAGGTCCACTATGCCAACAAGGGAGTGATCGCCCATGTCATGCAGGGCTAGACCAGTCAATTTCTGAGCAGTATGGAAGGACAGAGGTGTAACGCACCGGCGCGATGGTTGATCATCAGTTCATTGAGCAACGTATAGACCTGGAACCGTTGGGATTGAGAGCGAGACTGGAGTTCCTGGAAGTGTTCGAAGATACTGCACAAGTCAGCCAGCAGTCCAGATAACAACCGCAACCACAAGGTATCCAAGTACTCACGCCTGAGCAACCTCCTCAGCCAGCGCCTTGTTAAACCGATCGAGCTTCTGCAGAGTCTCCAACCCAGCGACAGCCCCTCCATCCTCAATCCGGTCACTGAAGAAAGTCGTGAGGACCTGAATCTGCTGCCTCGACAGGAACTTCGGCGGGAGAGCTCTGATCACCGCGGTGAGGTAGGACACGGCCTTGCCTCGCAGGATGGCGTCATCGTCGTTGATATACTCGCCCAGCGACTGCACGACATCAATGAGGGAGGTCTTCTTGCTCTCCACGTCTTTACACCACACCCCAGCGGTTAGCCCGATACAGTCAATCAATGCCATACCCCTCCGCCCAGGCCCTCCGCACGTCACGTACCTTGAGCAATGCGTTCCGCGATCTGCTTAGCCTCCTGCTTGTCGTGGTCGACGACCAGCAGGAACGTCTGCAATGCCGACATCTTGCCTTGTCTGTCTGTCAGTGCGAGGAGTCGTGTAGGATGGATCGGATCGCCTCCGCGACCGGAACATGACGCCGTTTGTGCCCGCCAATCCATTGGCCCTTATCGATCGCATCACGTGCTCTCTCCGCTGCCTGCCTGTTGCGTCATGGCCCGCTGATCTCCCTCCCTCTCCCTCTCTCTCTCTCTCTTCTATATAGATAGCTAGACAACCCTTTTCAAAATGCGATATCCCTTCATCCTTCTCTTAGCAACCCTGACTCAAACCCAAGCCTGGGCCATCCCCATCCCCATCCCCATCCCCATCCCCGCAATCACCACTACCGTCCACAACCACCTCCCCGACCTCCACCTCCAAAACTGGCTCTCGCCCTCCATCCCACACCTACACCTCCACCCCAACCCCTCCCCTAAAATGGGCACCACCCCCTCGCAAGAAAACTCCAACCCCACCCTCTCCGACGTGCTCCCCAAGAACCGGCTCATCAACGTCTTCGCCTCGCTGACCCGCCAATTCGACTCGGTCGAGTCGCGCCTCAACGACCCCACCCAGAACATGACGGTCCTGGCGCCCCGGAACAGCGCGATCATGGACCTGCCGCGCAAGCCGTGGGAGAATCCGGACGATTATGCGCGGTACGGCGAGGCGGAGGCGTATGAGGGGAGTGAGGGGCAGGATCGCGCGAAGAAGAATCTGGAGAGGTTCGTGATGGCGCATGTTGTTGTTGGGAGTCCATGGGGTGATGGGGTGGAAGGAGAGGGGAGGGGAGGGGAGACGATGGCGGGGGATAAGGTGGGGTGGGTGAGGAGGGGGGAGAAGATTTATGTAGGTTTTTTCTTAATCCTTGCTCTTGGTTTGGGACTGTGCTAATGTTGCGTCTGTGTGTTCTAGATCCAACCCGGTGATGTCGAGGTGGATAGTATTGCGGAGAAGGTGTCGAATGGGGAGGTTTGGATTCTGAATGGGGTTCTAAATTATGCCTAGGCTCACGTGGGCACCTTTGTGGTATCTATGACTTGTTGATAATGATGGTGGTAGGTTCTGGTTCTGGTTCTGGCGTTATATATTTTATGGTTGATGCTGGGTTACGCTCTCATGCAGATTCGATTTATGATTATGGATGATGTTATTGACTGCTTGCTATACACATGACGCATGCTGCGCTTCTAATATAAATCATATTCGTATACACCTCCACGTCTAATTTCGGCCATATGGAACATAACACAGCCACGGACTCAAATGCCAGCAACCAAGCAAGACAATCAATAGCTCTTATGATCCGCGTAGTGGCGCAACACCCGCTCCGGTACCCCATCCAGGATGCAGAAGTGCTCCATCACCTCCAGGTTCTCCGCCTCGCTCTGGTACAGCTTATCGGGGTCCTGGCCGGGCTGGAAGGGGTTGATACCGGCAGCAGGGTTCATGGAGGACATCTGCTGGGCCATGTGGTTGGCAGCTAACAAGCATCAGTACTTAGTCACAGACCCCCCCCCCCCCCCCGCTCACTTTATACACCCCCAAGGAATGTGAAGCAACTCACCATTGTCACTGCCCAAGATAAACCCAAAGACAGACTGCAGTCCAAACAAGTTGAGGAAATACCACGACAGACTCGACACCCATCTAACATCCAGATCGCGAGTCATGACGCCCGACTGCAACATGGACTTGAACCGGATCGTAAGAGGGAAGGGTAATTTCACTACCCATCACCACAATCGTTAGCCCAGTCCCCCCAAACACCCCTCAAAAAAGGAAGGAACATAACTCACAAATCACAAAGCCCGAAAAAAACGCATTAATCCAGCTCATAATCAGCGTCTGGGGAATCATCATCATCATATTCCCCTTCATCATGCCCATCATAGCCTCCATGCCAGCGGGGTCCGTCATGGGGTTGGCGGGCGGCTGGCCGCGCTGGTCAGGGTTCTTGAGGAAGGCGCCGCTCTGGTACGCGGAGACGAGGTAGGTCTTGCGCATCTCGAAGGATTCCTTGGAGAGGACGGCGTGGGCGTTATTGCGCAGGTTGACGCCGCGGATGAGCGCGAGGCGTTCGCGGGATTCGGCCAGCGTGGAGGCGGGTTTGGGGGGTTGTTCATGAGGACGGTGGCGTAGTGGCGGAGGATGCCGGTTAGGATCTGAAGGCATATGTATTAGTGGGAGGGAGGGAGTGGTTGTTGATGTGGATTGGGGGGGCTGTACCATGACCACGGTGATGGGGAATACGATCCAGTAGCTACAGGCATATCATCAGTCAGTCAGTCGGTCAGTTACCACTTTTGACATCAAGCCGATCATCAGATTGATTGATTGGGAGATGGATACTCACAACAGAGCCGGATCCCGCAGGATGGTCTGCTCGACCCCTTGCAAAGCCATGATGAGCGGGAAATAGAGCGAGACTGGCGATAGCCTGTCTGTCTTTTCTTGGGATTTGCGGTGCGGTGCGGAAAGAGATGAGATGAGATGGAATGGCAGCTCCCCACGCACTTCTACGAGGTTGGACGGAGTTGGACCGGCCGGGGCCCGGACTTGGCGCAGGCCGCTTTAGCTTGCTTGCTTGCGCTGCGCGAAAGGGACAGCTCGCCGCAACGCATCTCTCCCCTCGCAACTCAACCCCTCCATCACCACTTCCTCTCGAGATAATACTTGATTTTATCTGACGGTTATCTTTTTTGAAGCGGTGGTCTATATTTGATATACAGACAGCTCGCGATGGCGTCCGCAGAGGTGCAAAAGGTGCCCGTTTACTCGGTCAATGGTTAGTTGCGCCATACATACATACATACAAACATACATACCAAAGCTATAGCTATATCTACATCCACAGCATGACTGAATACCCATATTCTACTTTTACAAGCTACACACACACACACACATACTAACCATTCACTCCCCTCACAGACCTAAAATCAACCACCGATGACGCCCTAGCCCCATACCTCGGCTATCTCCCACAGCCATACACCTTCTCGCAAGACCACACGAAGACGCACGTCCACCTGCTACTGGGCTACTCGGCCGTCGCCCTCGCCGGCTTCACCTTCTACGCGGATCGCATGCTGAAATGGGAGGCGACGCGGTCCCCCTGGATCATCGCCGCCGTGGTCGTCTACTTCACGCTGAACTCGCTGCTCACGTATTGGGTCTGGGGCGTGGAGGCGGGTGAGGTGTTTCGGGGGAAGAGGAGATCGGGGGAGACGGTACGTTTTCTTCCTTCCTTCTTTTCTTTACTTTTTGTCTTTCGGGCTTTGTTTCATGTTTCATGTTCCATGCTAGTCTGGAAACTACATCCACACCAAAGACCAAACAAGCTAATAAGCGGTGATTGTTATGCAAACAGATCTCCATCCGCTCCTCCGCCCAGAAACACTCCCCCCTGTACAAGCTACACATCCAATACAAGTCCGCCTCGAACAAGGTCCTCCAGGAGAAGGAGATCGAGACGTCGTTCACGAAGTGGTTCGCCGCCGACGGCACGTTCCACCCCGAGCCGCTGCGGAAGTGGCTCGCTACTGAGATTGAGGTCCTGCGGTTGGCGGCGAAGGATACGGAGAAGAAGACCGGTGGGGTGGCCAGTCTGGCTGGTGTGCAGGAGGCGGATGAGGGCAAGGGTGCTAAGAGGAGGAAGTAGTCCTGCTACCACTGCTACTGCTGCTGTTGCTGTTGCTGTTGTTGTTGCGGGAAGTTGGTTTACAAGCAAGCGTCGCGGATTGGAAATGATATAAAAAAAAAACCAGACAGGAGTTGGTTTTGTGTTGTGTGTATCATGCAGGTTCTTCTTATTCTTCTTCTTCCTTCGTCCAAAATGGAATTAGGCATGGCTGGCTGTTGTTCGTTTAGAAGTCAACGTGGCATTGGTAATAGCTAGGTCACGCGTTATGGTCTTGACGAAGCGTATATTTGAGGAATTCGTATATATTCATTTCTCATGCGTAGGTTTGTTCAATGGGAATGAGAGCCCATGCGGGGGGGAAGAGGGCGTTCTAGCTCAAAATGCTTTTATCTTTTAGGACAGGGTGAGTTACATGAAAAGGATGACTCAGGTTCAGAAGACATGGCAGAAGAGAAAGGGAAAAGAAGAGTGAAAGGGAAAAGAATCTATGACTGGCTCTGCTCAATATCATCACCCGTCGCAGGTTATAAAAAGACAATATACGGGTCGTAGGACGTGATTACGAGGCGGCTTCCAGGGTGCCTGGGCGCTCGGTGGCGGCTGCAGGCTTCACGTCATCTAGTCTGCTGTTCTGGATGAGTCTCTGTGGGGGGGTGGGGTGTTAGTTGGCAATGTCGTAATGCGATGGAGATGGGGGACACGGGGTCACGTACCAGCAGGTTCCGGAGCAGGACAACAATGGTCACCTTGCCGATCGAGGGCACGAAGAGAGAGGCCTTGCCCTTGACCTCGGGTCCGAAGTTCTGTGTATAACCATGTTAGCTGGTGCATCGTACTGGGACTGGACTGCTGATGGCCTGGAACATACCCTCTCACTGGAGAAGTTCACGCACACAGCACCCTCACGGAGGAGGCTGGTATCGAACTTGTACGAGTCGCCCGGAACACCGGAGATAACGACATCACACAGGGGCGCGACATCCTTGAGAGTCTTGCCCTGGAGGTCGACGACCTCATGCCTGCCCTTCTTCAGGCCGTCACCACGAGTGAACTTCTGCACGCCGGTGATGTCGACGCTGTAGACGCAGGCACCGTCGTTTGCCAGCAACGCGGCCAGAGGACGACCGACGACTTCGGAGCGGTTGACAACACAGATGGTGTGGCCGAAGAGGCGGTTCCCATAAGGCAATATCGTGTTGTAGATGTTGATGTATTCGAGGATCTTGATGACGGCCAGGGGCGTGCAGGGCAGGATGCACTTCTGCTTCTTGGTCTCCGGGTCAAGGAACCGGATGTTCTGGTACATGTTGAAGATGTACCGGTGGCTGAGGCCCTCTACATCCTTATTTATGTCGACGATCTGCTGCAGGTACTGGTCCTGGCGGTTGTTGAAGATGGGGTAGTATACGATGATGCCGTCGACTTCCGCGTCGACGTTGGCCGCGAGGATGGCCTGCTCGAGGTCGTCGCGCGGGACTTCACGGAGGGAGTAACGGAATCCACTGTACAATGATAACAAAGAACTACGTTAGCTACGAGGGTGTCTTGACGTCCACGTCCAAAGCCCACGATCCTGTCGGCCGCGGCGGTGGTGCTGCTCCGACATCGCAGGTTGAGTCATAGCAGACAGAGCTCCGAGCGGAGGGTCTGGCTCCATTGACGCACGCAAATGGGAGGTGTAGGAAGAATGAGCTCACTTTTCATGACAGGTCTTCTCCGTCCACTGGGCATACATCAGGGCGGCGGGGTCATCGTTGGCCAGGAATCCCACCAGGTGAGGCGGCCTCTCCAGGGTCTTGACGCCCTCCTGGACCTCCGCAACCAGGCGATTGGCGACATGCTTGGAGAGCATGACCTTGCAGGAGGCCGGAGCCGAGTCGGTAGTGGAAGCCATGGGGTGACCGTGGAGCAGGAAAGGACAGGATGGGAGCAAGCTGAGGAAGTTCAATGGAATTCAATCTATGTTGGAAGTGGGCTCTGGCGGAGGGGCTTCGAAGAAATTTTGGGACGGAAAAGCTGGCTCGCTTATCGATAACCGCAGTGCCCGCATTCGGTGCCTGCCATTTTCGGCAGGAGTGACAGCTGCTGGCGACTCCATAGACCCTGCCTTGAACTGCAATACAATCAGAAAGCGTAATGCCTTACCATTGACCACCGCTCACTACTACACCACTACCGCTTAATAGGTATACCCCCGGTGCACAGGTACAATGGCCCGGTGACAATACCAGATACCCAATACGCAATCCCCCCAGGAAATTCTATATATAAATCGTGACCCTGATCGGATCGCACACCATCGGACTTCCCTGGATTGCCACTCTATTTACCCCAGATTCATCGCTATGACCATCTGTGCACTACGCACTACGCACTACGGAGATTGGAGATTGGAGATTGGAGTAGCTGGCCACTAGCATGTAGCCAGGCCATGGTCCCTGACCTGACCAGTCTAAGCCTACACTACAGCGAGAACGGCCCGATTTTCGCGGTTCAAGGAAACAAAGGAAATCATATTCAGGCTGCGTATATGTAGACAAAGGATTCATCTGCAGGCCAGCCGGGGGAAGTTCAACCCTCCTCACCGGCCGATCCGTCCAATCCTGTTCCCTTGTCGCGCGAAATGATCTAAACGTACAGGATATTAATCGTATCTTTTTCGCCTTTTCTCGCCCCGCCATTTTACCCTGCTCCATTGCTACAGAGATCGGGCAGTCTCGAACTGCCCCAAGAGATGCGAAACTACACCCGATGAAAAGAGAAATTCGAATCTCGCCCGGTCCGATAGCCCTGGTTAACAACAAAATAAAATAGTGGTCTCAAATTGTACAAGCTATCTTGTCTATACACATCGAGTCAGGATGAGGAAACAGGACACGGTGGACTAGGCGCCCGAGAGCATGGCGGTGCTCACCTATGCGAGGAAGGACTTGTTGAAGGCGGAGATGGTCTCCTTCAGCTTGGCCTCGAGCTCCTTGCTGACCTGGCCCTCCTTCTCGATGGTCTCCTGGATCTCGGGGTGGTTGCTCTTGAGGTGAGCAAGGATGTCGGTCTCCCACTGCAGGATGCTGGCGACGGGGATGTTGTCGAGGAAACCGTTGACACCGGCGAAGATCAGGGGAACCATGTCGGAGACGGACATGGGGGAGTACTGCTTCTGCTTGAGCAGCTCGGTGAGACGCTCACCACGGTTGAGGGTCTGCTTGGTGGAGGCATCGAGATCGGAACCGAACTGGGCGAAGGCAGCAACCTCACGGTACTGAGCCAAGAACAGCTTCAGGGAACCGGCGACCTGCTTCATGGCCTTGACCTGGGCAGCGGAACCGACACGGGAGACGGACAGACCGACGTTAATGGCGGGGCGGATACCCTTGTAGAACAGCTCAGACTCCAGGAAGATCTGACCGTCAGTGATGGAGATGACGTTGGTGGGAATGTAGGCAGACACATCACCACCCTGGGTCTCAATGACGGGCAGGGCAGTGAGGGAACCACCACCGAGCTTGTCGTTCATCTTGGCGGCACGCTCGAGAAGACGAGAGTGGAGGTAGAAGACGTCACCGGGGTAGGCCTCACGACCGGGGGGACGACGGAGCAGCAGGGACATCTGACGGTAGGCGACGGCCTGCTTGGACAGATCATCGTAGATGATGACGGCGTGGCGGCCGTTGTCACGGAACCACTCACCCATGGCACAGCCGGTGAAGGGAGCAAGGTACTGCAGGGGAGCAGCCTCGGAAGCGGTGGCAGCGACGATGACGGAGTACTTCATGGCGTCGTTCTCCTCAAGGGTCTTGACGAGCTGAGCGACGGTGGAACGCTTCTGACCGACGGCAACGTAGATACAGTACAGCTTCTTGCTCTCGTCGGTGGAGGAAGTGTTGTTCCAGCGCTTCTGGTTCAGCATGGCGTCAAGGGCGACAGCGGTCTTACCGGTCTGACGGTCACCGATGATCAACTCACGCTGACCACGGCCGATGGGGACCATGGAGTCGACACACTTGAGACCAGTCTGCACGGGCTGGTTGACGGACTGACGGGGCAGAATACCAGGGGCCTTGAGCTGGGCACGGCTCTTGGCCTTGGTGTTGATGGGACCCTTGCCATCAATGGGGTTACCGAGAGCGTCGACGACACGGCCGAGCAGCTCAGGGCCGACGGGGACATCAACCTGGAGGGGTTGTAAGTACATATACGGGCATAAAAACGCGGGTTTCAAAAAAGAGCGAACGTACAATCTCTCCGGTACGCTTGACGGTCTCACCCTCCTTGACGAGACGGTCGGAACCGAAAAGCACAACACCGACCTGGCCGGCTTCAAGGTTCATGCACATACCCTTGACACCAGAGGCGAACCTGTGCTTCCGTTAGCTGTCTGATATCTCGCCGGATTTGATGGGGGTGGCAGGATAAAGGGCACATACTCAACCAGCTCCTCAGCCTGGACGTTGGTCATGCCATGGACACGAGCGATACCGTCACTATTTTGATATTAGCGATTGATTCCATGTCGAAAATGCGGACAGCGGTCGGAATTCCGAATCAATTCGATGATTTCGATGATGTTGGAGCTGCCGCCAAAATTTTCAAGGACGGGAGAATCGGCAACGTACCCGACGGAAAGGACACGTCCAGTCTCGGCGAGACCAGCCTCCTCCTGGACACCACGGATTCTCTGCTCGAGGATGGAAGAAACCTCGGTGGGAGAGGCCTTGGCCTCAGCAGCGTAGGAACGGACCTGCTTGGAGGCACCAGCGAGAGGGCCGGGAACAGCCGCGCGAACCTGTAGGCGTACGCAGAATTTGTCAACACCATGACCACGCAGTCAAAACGCGTCAAAACGAGAGAGCAAGGCTTGCGACAGGTGGAGAGGCGATTGGAAGGCCCATTGAGATGAGATCTTCGATGGAATTGGGCCCCAGGTCGAGGGTGGTGGTCGAGGACGCTGGGGGCAGGGATGGGAGATGGGACTCACCGAGGCGATCCTGCCAGTGGCAGTGGCGGCCGCGACGGTGCGGCTGGACTGCCGCAAAGCGTTTCTGAACATTGTGATGGGGGTTCAGAGGAGTGGGAGAGTGGTTTCTCTGAAGGAGAGATGTAATTGGGGGGAGGGGAGGGAGAGGAGAAAGGATTGTGGATGGGTGGAAGGAGAGCTTTGTCGTCGGGGTTGGGAGGGATTCTCAGGACTGCCACTAATCCTAGTTTGCCGAGACCTCACCAACCTCCGAAGCCGCCCTAGTGCGCTCACGGGACGCCCACCCACCCAGCCAGCCAGAGCTGTCGGTCGGGTCGTCCTGCACCGCGTTCGTTTCTCGGACGGGTTGGCCTCTGTTTTTTCCTTTCTCCCATTTTTTTCTTGGGGTTCATTGACCGCTGGATTACAATTTTCTACTCATACTAAACACCTACCCGCGTTAACAGCGTTGGTGGTGGATGATGGGTTCCGGTTGCCGGGTTGCTGGGGGATTCTGAAGTTGTGTTTCTCCGGGCCACCTGGCAATCCCATTTTTCATTTGTCTGTTCTCGGATCTGCGGATACTGCTGGTTGGCCGGCTTACTCACCTTCATTTTCGTCGCAGCAACCAACAACGGTAACCAACCCGACAGTCCGACACTCGACACCTCACGACCGCTTGACCGGTTGTCCGGGTGGGAATTGGATCTGGTTGACATCTTCCAACCTCCAGCCAACCTTGGACGGACTCTGGAGGGAGGTTCGTGAGCGCTGTCCAGATAAACTTCCCTCTGCCCGTCATTCGTATTCACACACTACTTATGTAAATACCACTCCCTCCCTCCCTTGCCCTTGGTTCCTCCTCCCACGGTCCCCCGTTCTTCTTCCTCCCTCCCTCGCTTCCCCAACTTCCCGTTGCTTACATCATAGGTCAACCGCCCTAGCTCCCGTAGTTAGTACTATGTAGGTAGTAAAGTAGCAGTTTGCAGCTGCAGGACAGGACATCAATGCATTCGCCAATAACGGAACAACCTTGCTACCTATCAATTTCCAACTCCCATTATCAACGTAGTCATAATTCAACATAGCATGGACAAACTCCTCACCCAATGGCTAAAACCCTCAGCAGTGAAAAAAAGAAAAATTAGGTATTGTGGACACCTGGACGTGCCCAGGCCAAGCCAATGGTTACCCACGGCAAACCACCAGCTACACACCTCCATTACCTTCCAGATCACAACACACTCCCAACGGTTACCTATTTGGCAGCCTTGCCCTTCTTGGATTTAAACGCGGCAACCTCCTTCCGCACGTTCTCATCGTACCGGGCCTTCAGCTCCGGGCGATACCCAAAGAAGAACAGGGCCTCCATCCAGACGAAGAGCGGTGCCAGCAGGAAGGCCTGAACCAAGTTATCTAGCAACGCAGGGGCCCTGCGCTCGAACGCGCCGTGGCCGACGAACTGCGCCAACCAAGACACAACATGGACGCCGGCAAACCAGTAGTTGACACTCGCACCGTACGTAGCAAGGAGGTGGTTCCCGCAGGCTGCACCCGCGATAATCAGGGGAGCGACCAAGGCCCCGGCGACCGGCTCCAGCAGGATGTAGAATGAGGAGTATACCACGGCCGCGATCGTCCCGAGGTTCAGTGGCAGGTTGTGGATTTGAAGGGCATCAGGGAGGGTTACAAAGGCTGGGGTATTTGATGCCTGGTCGGTTGTTGGTTCAGGTTAGAGGATATATGGCCCGGGGAGGGGCGTGGAGGGGGTAAGAAATAGTCATACCAGCGCGATCCCAGTAAACAAAAGGATCGGTACACATGTCATGTGAATCGCGATGTTGACCTGATGAATAGTGAGTCCAGGAGTTGGCGAGGTTATAAGAGGAAGAAAGGCGTTGGTCATACGGGGTTGTTGTGGTAAGCGCCATACTGCAGACATCGGTTAGCATCTCAAACCATGTGTCTGTCGGAGGCAGCGGGAGTGAGCATACGAAGAGAAGCTGCTTTTCGAGATTCAAGGCCATCTTGGGTGCTTTGTTTGTGGAGAAGGGTCGGGCCAGAGTGATCCTGGAGACGCAGGCAAAAAGAAGGGGAAGGGTCCTTTGCTCAGCTGCCACCAAGCATTGCCTGATCAGGCCAGACAGCAGGGCTCAATTTATTTGTTCCTGACGGGGGATGCTTCGTGCAGACGTCATTCGCAGAGCAGCAGCACAAGGGCCGAGGATAATCGTGATTAATTACGCCCGGCGTCTCACACGAGACAGCTTGGACCGTCTGGGCGCAAAGTTACACGGCGGGCCCTGTCCGGTCGGGCGTATGGGCGCGTACGGTACTCGGTAATGGCAGAACCGCCAGCTGTGCACGTGACCGCATCCAGCTCGGCCGGCCCAGACACACCAGAAACCATGATTGCTATGACTTCGGTGTCCAGTTCTTTACCTGGTGGCCGCCCCCCCTGTCTCTGGATTTGGTTGGATGCAGATTCTTGCTGCTATCATTTCTGTTCCTTGCGCTCTTTAACTGCCTGTGCGCTCTCTTGCCTTGTTTGCTGCAGCATTCTCCGGGTTCTGTCGAGTGCATATCCCGTCATCGAGCAATTGAAGGCTGGCTGTTCTTTGTCGCAAACACAGTTATTGCATCCCTCTTTCATTATCAATCCAACCTGGACCCCCGCTCTGCCCCAGCCAGGCCTGCCGACCTCCTCATCTAATCTCCAGCATCCCCCGCCAGACGCCGGCCGGAACCCGATCGATCAGTCGCGTGAACCGCATCCCCCTCCCCACACCCGCCGTCACAGCAAATTTCTGTATCATACCTCCGGAGATCACAAGCGTGCAACATGTTTTTCCTAAAAGAGGAGATCAAGGTGATTACCTTGCACCCGTCCTACTTTGGCCCCAACATGCGCGAGTACCTCATCAACCGGTTAAACGAGGAGGAGGAGGGACGTTGTACGGGTGACCATTTCGTGATCTGTGTGATGGACATGGTAGATATTGGCGAGGGCCGGGTGCTGCCGGGGCTTGGGCAAGCAGAGTACACGATCAAGTACCGAGCGATCATCTGGAAGCCCTTCCGAGGCGAGACGGTACGTGTGGGGGAGGTCGCGCTGATAGGTTGCCGTTGCTGTGTATTCTGACCATACATCCGCAGGTCGATGCGATTGTTACCTCTGTCAAACCAACTGGAATCTTTACTTTGGCCGGCCCATTGTCTGTTTTCATTGCACGGAAAGTAGGTCGACCCGACGGCGCTGGATCATTAGGACGCGGGATGCTAATACGTGAACAAGAACATTCCCTCCGACATCAAGTGGGAGCCCAACACGGTACCACCCCAATATACGGACCATGCGGACCAGGTCATCGAAAAGGGCACCAGTCTACGGCTCAAGATCCTCGGTGTGAAGCCCGACGTTGCCGCGATCAATGCCATCGGAACGATCAAGGAAGATTACCTCGGGTGAGTGGCTCCTGTGCCGGCTGTGGTTGCGAATGCTTCGTGCTTTACTGATGCGCCCTTCTCTACAGACCGTTGTAATGCGATTGCGACGAGCTCCACACTTCCGCCGTTACCCTAATGATTGATGTCGCCCAACCAAAAAAGAACCACTAGGTTCGCTTTTCCCCTTTCCATCCTCATACAAAAACGACCAGGCTGAAGGCGACTGCCTCGTAAGGAGATGCGCTCATCGGGGAGGATGAGAGGGCGTCCCGAAGCAGTCTCAGGATTCCGGAGATGATCGAAAGACGGTCCCGACTGCCTTTGGATTGCAGAAGCCCGCGCAGGCGAACAGGGCTGCCTGATTGCTGGAGAACCAGACTCTGTACTGATTAGCTCAAGTGCGACCGGAGAAAACGACGACGAGGAGGGCTCTGGGGGTGTTCGTAGTAGCCTTGCCAGCTAGAAGGGAAGTATATGTGTGTATATCTACGCCGGGAAGGGTCAATTTGGGGTTGCAGGACAGAGCATTGCAAATAGAATAATACTAGAGATGTTGATCTGGGCGTCGATTCTCTGCATAGAGCGGCATAAGTATCCAAGCACTGACTGGTATGTATAGCCCGTGGTTGCCGGAGAGACGCGGCTGGTGGCGGGCGATGGAAGGTGAAACGCTGGTGTGTCCCTCGCCGGTGGATTCCCCAGTTCTTAGCGTGGGTTTCGTCGACGGGGAGCTGAGCGATGATTATTATTCTTCCGATGAGATTGGGATGTTCAGGTGACAGGAGTAGACAGTAGACTAAGACTAGATAGATAGATAGACTGGGTCCTGGGAAGCAGCCAGTCGGCAGTGCTGGAGATTAGGTGGTTAGTTGTTAGTTAGATAGTTAGTGAGTGAGTGAGTGAGTTGGGTTCCCAAGGATGCCTCTGGGGAAAGTGAAGAGGAACTGCTGCTGCTCCTGAAAGACCTGACTAGAACTATTAAATCTGTGCCTGACCTTCCTTACCTTATTTCCCTGACTTCCTTACTTCCAGGTTGTTGAAGTTGGACGGTCTCCTCCGGATTTATTGTTGTTCTCTCCCAAGGAACGGCCACCCGTGGTTCGCGATTCCCCTTCTCGCTCTCCGTCAACAACAATCCCCCTCTCCTCTCCAGTCTCCATCCCATCCCATCCACATTCGTTTCTTCCCTTCAAATCAAACCCCCCCCCCCACCACAGCAGCCATGTCTTTGAAAGACGTGTATCAGCGCTTCCTGGCCAACCCCCAGCCCGCTGCCCTGGCCCCCGATGCCTCCTTGATCTATATCACCACCACCACCAAGCTGGACGGCGCCTCCGCGGTCCTCAGCCACCTCGCCAAACAGCAGAAGATCGTCAAGACCAGGTCCGAGATTGTCCTCGATGCGATTGAAAGTGCCAACTCCCTGTGCTTGGACATTGAGACCACCCTGGAATTCAACACCGGCGGCGGGGCGTATCTTCCCTCTCTCGACGATAACTTCCTGGCCGACCACGTCGCGACTTTCCCCACGGTACGCATGCACCTATTCTACAATCCCCCCCCTTTCGGCTTGTTTCTAACACGGGACTCTCCCACTCCCTTAGATCCACATCGTTCGCTTCAATGCTCAAAACCAGATCCAGAATGTCCGCATCTACTGGGAACAGGCATCGCTACTGAAACAGGTCGAGGTGATCGGCTCCCGGAGTCGCGGTTGGCCCATTCGCGATACAAAGGACCAAATTCGCCTGATTAAATCCGCCATTGCGTCCGCCCCGACCGACAAGGGACCTGGCTCTGCCAACTTCCCCGCATACACCGAGAGGGAGACGGAGACTGGCGAGGAGCGCAGCAAGAAGGGCTCCCCCGGCAAGAGATACATCAAGGATCCTCACGCCGCTGACTCCCTGTTCGAGCTTCTCTCTCCCGGCAAGGAAGGCAAGGACCGGAGTGACCCGGTGCGTGCGCCGCGTGCTCCTGCATCCGGTGCGCCCCCGCCCCGTGAATACGGCGAACTCTTCGTCGAGGATGAGAATGCCGCCGATGCTCCCGACGTGACGCCGTCCCGGACCAAGCCGCGCCCCAAGTCCGGTGCCATCAGGAAGTTCCAGCCTTCCCGCCTCTTTGATGACGATGAGACTGTCGCCGCGGAGAAGAGCCACGAGCAGATCGCCTACCGGGCCAACCCCAAGCGGTTCGACCACTTCGAGCTGGGAGCGGACAACAGTACCCGGGAGATCAAGGAGAAGCCCCAGCGTCCCCAGTCGCGCCAGGCGCCTCACTGGGATTTTGACGATGTGACCCCCGAGAAGCCGAAGCGTCAGCCCCGTGGCGAAGAAGTCCGTCACTTTGGCTGGAGCGACGATGAGCCGGACCTCACGTCGCCCCCGGTCAGGCCCAAGGTGGTGCAGCCCCGGCCTGACGCTGAAACCCACTTTGAATTGGCAGATGTCCAGGAGGACAAGGGCCCTCGCATCATCAGCTCCTACCAGAACAAGGGTCTGGGTCTGTACAAGAACCACCTGTTCTCCGATTCTCCGCAGAAGGAGTCGGCCCCGCCGGCCAACAACGCCGCTAACATGAAGGAGTTTGCGAGCCACTGGTCTGTGACGGACTCGCCACAGGACCCTCACAACGACGAGAACAGCAAGCCTGTCCCCGGTGACCGCCAGCAGGCTCTGAAGATGATGCAGCCCAACTGGAAGAACACCTACGACCAGTCCTCGCCTGCCAAGATGACACCTCCCCAGCGTCGCTCCATGCGTAATGCCAACCAGCGCCACTGGGGAGTCGGCGAGAACTGATTCCTTCCGCCTGGGCCTAAGCATAAGCATAAGCATGGATACCCTGATCTTCTTCTCTCTTTCTCACCCCTTCTCTCTCTCTCCCGCCTGCGACGCCTCTCAACATCCTATCCTGTATGTTCCCTCTAGAGACCGCACACACACACAAAAACTGCATATGATACGATACATATTCCCCACCCGTGAACTATGATAGCACACACAGTTCCACGCATGCACGGATCTATGATAAACTACCCACCCTTTCTTGCTCTTCTACTTACCCTGCCCGTTCTTGTTTCTGCTCCGGTTTCTATCTATCTAGTCGAGGTTTTATTCTTTATTTTTTTTTTTCGAGCCGTGTATTTCTGGAAGGATTCAAATATCATTGTATTGTTGTTTAATTTTCTTGTTTGGGTTTGATTCGATTCTTGTAATTCCCCTTCTGTTTTTTGTTTCTGCTTCTCTGGTTGAATTTGTCAAGTTGGGTCCTGGTCTGTTTGCCTGCCTGCCTGCCACCCTACCTACCTATCTACTACCCACTACCTATCTGTGTCTTATGCGAAGAATGAATAAATCAGTCTGGCTGGCTGGTTGATGACTGCCCGTAGATCCCATACTATACCATACCTATCTATCTATCTATCTATATGGTAGATATCTAAATACATGGCTTGATAATGCCGTGAGTATGTTATTACTGCCTCCGGGTAACTACACTTGTATCTACATATGTGTCTTCATTGAGCGGGATATATCGTTAAATAAATACCTTGAAGCAGCTACTTCTACGTCTACATCTACATCTACATATACATATACATATACACCTATAGCTGAACTGAAACTGAAACTGGAAGTACAACTAACTTAGTAACTACAACCACCATGATTACTACCATCATCCCCAACCGAAACCCAATTTTTCGACTCCACAAATATTCATTAATGACTAAACTAGACTAGACCAAGCAGACGAGAGAGAGAGAGAGAGAGAGAGAACTGAGACTATGTATCTACACCCCAACGACAACAACCCAACAATCCAACAATCCAACAACGACAATCTGATCCGTCCTTCCGTCCATCCATCCACAGTCTCATCACACTCATCTCATCTCATCTCTTATTCCAAAACAAAAAGGTATCATATCACATGCCCTCAATAGACAAAAAACGAATAGATAGAAGACCCGAAAAAAAAAAAACAACACCTCGTAATCATCATCATCGTGCATGAAAATACCAACAATTTCGGGTCACCTAGATGGAGGGTAGTGGATATCAAGAGACATACTTGCTGGGAGATGGTAGGTAGGTATGTATGTATGTATATATGTATGTATCGTTGATATCCAATAGGGTCCAAGGGGAGGTGGGGAATGGCGTGGGGTTTAGATTTCATGGTTTGGGGTATAGGTAGGTAGGTAGGTAGGTAGGGAAGTATGTTAGATGTAGAACATGGTGTCGCGGACGTTAGGATGGATTTTCACGTCAGTGTTCCCCAGGGAGGGTTCGTGGCCGGTCACCACGCTACCGGTCGGGGTCTCTTGATCGAAGACATGGCTCAGGTAGCAGCGAGCTCTGGTGCAGACCAGATCGGCGTAGTAGGCCGGCGGACAGATGCTCACGGCTTTGGTGGCCCTGCCGAAGAGGAAGCAGACGTGGTAGGTGAGGCCCTCGAGGATGTCTGCGGCGTTCTGGTGGGGGAACTTGGCTTTCTCGCGGCAGAAGATCTCGTCCCAGACGGTGAAATAGTGGGCAGGACGGGCAGTGCCTTTCAGCGCGGTGTGGGCTTGGAGGTAAAACTCCCAGTTGCGGGCTTCGGTGACGCCGCGGTCGACGACAGTGCCGTTGTGCGGGTTGCCGGAGCGGTCGGCGTCCTCGAGCTTGCTTGGGTAGAAGCGAGTGTGATGGCGTTTGCCGACAACCACGATGGAGATCCGGGGGAGGCCCTTGGCCGTGTCGGGGGCAGGGTAAGTCTCCTTGCAGGCTTCCTTGAGAAGGGTCAGTTCTTGCTGGACGACGAGGTCGTATTGGCCTTCGGAGACGCCGTCCCGGTAGACGATGATGTTCTCCGGGTAGGCGCTCTTGTGTGCGCGAGCCCAGCGATTCAGGTGGGCTTTCAGCATCGTGTCCAGGTCATTGACCATCTCCTGGCGCGCGGTTTGGATGCGGAGCTCTGCGGGCCACTGGCCCAGGGATGAGTCGACAGAGGCAACCATTCCTGCGACACTGGGGGCGGCGGACGAGGAGCCAGGGGAAGGGTGGGTGACATCGATGCCGACGAGCATCGTCTTGTTCTGTCCGATGAGAGGCAGTTCCTTGGGATCCAGGATCTGGTTGATACCACCGAGCTTCAGGTTGAACTTGAGCCCGACATTGGCAAAGTACTGGTCCTGGGACTTCGCGAATTTCTCGCCGAGCACGTTCACGTTACGGACTCCGTGCTGCAGGTCGCAGACTCGCTTGATGCTGTTGTAGAGTTCCGTGTCAATAGCAGGAAGAATCGTCAGGATCAACGAGGGCTTATGGACGGCCATCAGCTTGGCAACGGCCTTCTCGATTTGAGTCTCAGGCGACTGGCTCCTGTCCAAGACGACCCTTTCTCCACCCTTGGGCATCTGGGCAACCACGCCGATTTCGTTCAACTTCGCAGTGAAATTGCGCAGGCAGTTACTCAATTCATCTGGGGAGTTAAAGGCCCGCCTGCCACGCTCAAAGTCCAAGAGAATCCACGCCCAAGAGGAGAGGTTGGAAGACGTAGAAAATCGAATGGATTTCATATTCCAGCTTCCTCCTAGTGGCTTGATTGACTTTTGGTTGGGCTTACCCACGTCCTTGTACAAGACATTGGGTGGTGCAAGCACTCGACCAGGCACGGTCACCAGTCTGGGATCAGTCTGGATGCCGAATTTCACCTGGCAGGCATTAGTGATTATTCACGGAATGTTTATAGAGGATGATCTGCTCACAAGGGTCGGGTTGGCTGGTGCGCCCAGGCTCAGCACGTTTGTTCCCTGGTTGACGATAGATTCGGCGTTGTGGGTGGGAGAGCGCACGGCAAAGTTGAGCATGTTTCGGGTTTGGTTCGGCGTCAGCTTAGTATTCGCCTGCTGGCCCGGCTGGACTACACAGACTTCAACGGGCAGATAGCTGGGATTTTCGCTAGTCCCGACGTTCACCACCGGCAGGCTTGCGTCCACGTTCAGGTTATAGTCTTCAATGACTGTCAGACCAGCTTGCCCAAGGTCAGTCCGGGGAGAGAACACTTACTTTGACGGAAGAAGTCCGCGACGCTGATGTACTTGCCAGCAGGCGCGGGCCCCGCCTTGGCTGGCTTCTTGCCGGAGCGTTTGGACTGCTGGGCAGAGGAGGGCTGTTGGCCTGGCGCATCGAGGAAGAATTGCACATCCCTTGGACCGGCTCCATGTCTGGCCACCCTGGGAGGGTTTTGCAAAGACGCCCCATCCCTAGGAGTCGCAAGGCCCGAAATGCGCTTGATCCTGGGGATGACCTGGCCCTTCTTGTTCTTCTTTTGGATGTGCGTCACGCTGACTCGCAGGTTACGTAGGAACTTTCGGAGCTGATGAACATCACGCGCGTCGTAGGCAGCGATAACGTTTCCCAGTGGTCCTTCCTGGTAACAGGCCGCGTATTTCACCTGCACGTTCACCAAAAGACGTGCGGTTGCCGCCCGGACACTGACGAAGAAGCCACGGAGGGCCTCAAGGCCATTACCCAGGTTGTATTTCTCTTCAGCGCCCCCGCACATGGCAAAATGCTTGTTGGCCCCAACGGAGGCAATCGTCATGTCACTCTTGGGTTGGAAGCCGAGAATGATATTCATCGCCTGCAGCACGTCTGCCTTGGATGCGAACATGGCAGCAGCATTGCTCGAGGTCAGGTAATTGAGAAGATCACCGGAATTGAGAGTGCCAGTGAATTGGTACTTCACTCGGTAGACTGTTGGATTCTCCGGATACTCGTCCTCGTCCTCGTTTCGGTAGCGGACATCGTAATCGCGCTCGTCCTCTGGGAGTTTGACGCTTGAAATCAGAGTGGACATGTAATCGGTAACGATACTATCCTTGAGAGAAAGGAGGTGTTCTTCGAGGAGCAGTCTGACAACCTGGCGGGCCTTCTTGCCGGTAGGCTTCTTTCCGGCCGAGTCGGCGTGGATATCAACATTGTACCGGTAGAGCTGGGTGCTCGCGGACTTGAGCTCGAAGTAGTTGGCGAAGAGCGTGACGGGCCGTCCCTGCGTGCCAAAACCAGGCCGCTCTGGCCAGTCCGCCGACTTCTGCTGCTTCTTGGTCAAAGCTGCTGCCACGGCGTTCTCCGTCTTCTCCACCTGTGCGCTGGGAGGAGCAAGCGGTCCTTTCGGGCTGCAGGGGCGAGGGTATCAGGTCAACGTGCCATCCAAGAGCCGGGGGGGGATACCCACGAGTACACGGAGGGAGCCTCGAAGCCTCCACGCCCTCCACGGCCCCCTCCACGGCCACCACGTCCCCCATCGAACCCTCCGCGTCCTCGACCTCCATCAAACCCTCCGCGTCCTCGACCTCCGTCGAACCCTCCTCTGCCACGACCTCCATCGAACCCTCCGCGTCCCCGTCCCCCATCGGACCCGCCCCGTCCGCGACCACGTCCGCCTTCCGGGCCGGGGCGGAAGGGAAGGTCGGTGGAAGAGCCACGGCCTCCTCCACCTCTACCGCGGTCACCCCGGCCACGATCTCCGCCTCGACCACGACCCCGGTCAGAGCCACCTCTGGACGACATGATGCTTCAGCAGGGCAGGTGGGTAGTAGTTTATTGGTTTGAAAGATAAAAAAAAAAAAAAAAAAAGGTGCTCGCGTTCGAACCGACTAACAGACTAGCAACTTAGATAGAAATCGGGATGCTGGGAGGGAGGTGGAAGGAAGTTGGGGTGGACAAGCGGGAGAAATTAGTACAAGGCTCCCCACATCCCAGGAGGTGTTGGTGTTTGCTGGGGGCATTCAATGAACGCAACGCGACACGGGATTGCGGCAGGGATGTCAGTTCATGCAGGCTGAGTTGGCAAGTGAAGGACTTCATTCAATGAGAGACGAGCGGACTAGCAGGCCTCAAGTACTTATCAAGTCATAGTAGTAAGGACTCCGATGGACTCCTCCATTCATCCATGGCGTTCACAGGTGACAGTTCCGTTCCAATAATACTGAGACCCCAGGGACGATCTCGGGCTGGGAATGTCAAGTCATTCTGACGTCGGACCAAGACAAAGCCAGGCCTATCTATAGAATGGAGGATGTCGTAGTACTGTAAGGAAAAGCAAGAGTTCCGTATGGTTCACATGCCCGGTCCACCTTGTACTCCGTACCGTTCCGTACCGTTCCGTACCGTTCCGTACCGTCAAACCTTACAGAGTATACGGCTTACCGGCCGGTTCTGGCCCGGGAGGCTGACTTTCAGGCCATGACGGTGACTCAAACACGGTGCAAAGCCAGGTGATATTCCCTTCCGCCCCGGCTGGGCCTGCCTGAATTCCAGGCTGGAGACAGTTTACTGGCCTACCTGGGGACGGCGTACAGACTACATGTTAGGCTGGCTATCTAGTTAGATAGTAGTGAAGTTGAAGGAGCCGTCTTACATAACGTGTCCAGTGCAGGGGTTTTCTCCCTGAGACCTTCACTCTCCCCCATTTGATCCCTCCATTTAATCCCTCCCTCCATTCCAGTTCATCTGCCCCCCTCCTTACGTCAGCAGGGACCCCTCGCCCGCCGCAACTCGATTGCTGCCGCTCCTGACCGCCTCAAGGTGATAACGGAGATAGCCCGTAACTCTATCACTAAGCACCAACTGACGGACGGACGGACTTGCCTGCCTGTCTGTCTTTCATCCTCGTCTTTGTGGGAGGTCCGATTCTACTCCCACATTTATCTTCTCCTCGCTTCCCCGGGCATTTAGGACTGCTTCCCGGTGCCTTCAATATCGCTTGATAAAACAGCTCGGGTCGACGTGGTTCGATCACGGACTGCCATCGACCAGGTGGACCGCACCGCAACCATCCTCCACCCTCCACCCTATCGCGCCCCTCCTCCGTGCTCCCCCTACCCTCCGGCTGTCTCATCTCGGGTCGACGTACGAACGGGACCGGGTCGCATCGCATAAAGCTCGCTCGCGTGGTATTCTTCGGCTGGCGTGTGCCCTGCCTGGTGAAAGCAACGAGATCGTGCGACAACCGACCCTTGCGCACCCTCCATATCTCGAAAGCGGCATTCAACTGCCTCGCATTTCTCGGCTTCTCGCATCGCGTCAACCCGACCGCTGGAACGTGGCCTAGGCTTGCACAGAGACCGTGTCACAGAAGTCCCTGTCCATACGGCTTTCTTTCAGATTCCGCCGTGGCTGCGCGGTTCTTCGCCTTCAGGTTCTTCACACTCTGTCTTCGAATAGCTCGAGTCCGATCGATAAACCGCGCGCACAATATCGTTCCATCCTTTCGCTTTGGGCAAGTTCCGTTCCCCATAATCTCGCAATGTCTCCGACACCCCCGTCTACAACGTCGTCCAGCGCTGGCGCATTTTCTCCGGAAGGGCAGTTCAGGGTTATCAGGAAGAGGAACCGGGTGCCTCTCTCTTGTGGACCCTGCCGGCATAGGAAGTAAGGCTCTCGATGGTTCCATCCCACCCAAGTGCTGACAACTGGTGTACAGGCTGAAATGCAACCGTTCGCACCCGTGTGAGAACTGTGTCAAGCGGGGCGATGCGGCATCATGCTCGTACGCCCAGGTCAACGTGCGAAAGAAGAACACCCCCCAACAGACCGCTTCGAGCTCTCCAGACGATATGCAAAACAGGATCGACCGACTAGAAAGCCTAGTCCTATCCTTGATGACTAACGGGTCCCAGGCCGCGGGTCCTGCCGCGGCCATGGCTGCCCTCTCTGGCAACAGCAGCAACACTGGTTCGGTGCCACATACAGGCGACCTGGACCTGGATCTCGAAGATGAATCGCCCAACGGCCCGGAGGAGAGCGACACGGAGCAAGTGACCAAGTCGTTTGGTATCATGAAAGTCGACAACAACAAATCCCTGTATTTCAGCGAGGCGCACTGGGCCACAGTCATGAACGACGTGAGTCTCCTGCATAATCGGGCTGTTCGTTTGCTGATGATTCGCGACAGATCGCAGAAGTCCGCAACTTCTTCCAGACACACAAGAAACAGTATGAGGAACAGGCTGAAAAGTTGAAGAGCACCAAGCTCCCAACCGACGTTCCGGGCTCGGCATTGTTGTTTGGTGCCACGAAGCCTCTAAGCCGAGCCGAAATCATGTCTTCTTTCCCCTCCAAGTATACAACAGATATGTTGATTGCGCGCTACTTTAGCTCCTACGACCCCTCAACTCGTAAGTCTTGGATATTTCTACATCTTTTTAGACGATGCTAACGCATAGCAAAGACGTCCTTCATGGACCTACTTTTCAGGCACAGGTAAGCCGGAAACACTGACCTCTCTTAGCACGGTATTGACTCTGTCGTAGTATAACAAACATTGGGAAGATCCTTCCCAGACTTGTACTGTTTGGATCGCCATGCTTTTTGCCATGATGCGACTGGCAATGCTGTCATATCATCGCGATGGAGATGAACCTCCCGAGTTCCGGGGGAAGTCCTTGGATATGGCCGGCACGTTCAGAAACCTGGTGGCGCAGTGTCTTACCTTGGCCGACTTCACCAAATCGTATCCCAACCTGATCGAAAGCTTGATCTTCCACCTTCATGGAGATCTCTGTCAAACAAGGGAAGCGGATGTGTCGGTGTGGGTGCTCGTAGGGGTGATCGTGAGACTGGCCATGAGGATGGGGTATCATCGCGATTCGAAGATGTTCCCCAACATCACACCGTTCCAAGGTGAGATACGCCGTCGCGTGTGGACATTCGTGCGGCAGGCGGACCTGCTGTGCTCGTTTCAAATCGGACTACCGAGCATGATCCGTACCACCGACAGTGATACGGATTTGCCGCGGAATCTCTACGACGACGATTTCGACGAGACCTGCCAAGAGCTCCCTCCATCACGCCCCCCGAACGAACCTACCCCGATCTCTTATCTGATTGCGAAATCACGCCTCACGTTTGCTTTCGGCGGGGTCATGGAGTCGACCTCTTCCCTGCTGCCACCCACATCTTACGACAGAATCATGGAGCTGGATGCCGAGCTTCGCCGGGCCAGGGACTTGATCCCTGAACACCTCCTCATCCGACCCATGGAAGACTGCCCGTTAGATTCCCCGAACCTCATACTATCGCGATTTGCAGTGAGTCTATCCCGTCTGGTGCCTGTCCCATGCTGACAACTCGTAGGTTGTGAGTGTGTACCACAAAGCTCAGTGTGTGCTCCATCGGAGGTTCCTTATCCAGGCGCGTGAGAATCCTCGTTTTACGTACTCGAGAAGGACGTGCATTGATTCCGCGATGGAGCTGCTGCGGTATCAGTCATTACTCCACACGGAAACTCGACCCACTGGCCGTCTACGAAGCCGGCACAATCGGGTGACCTCGCTTGGCTCTACCGACTATCTCCTTGCCGCAACTATCATCTGCCTCGACCTATTCCATGGACAACGGCTCCAGGCGGCGGGCAGAACGTCCAGTGACTCATACGCCTGGGGTAGAGAGCGGCGAGATGAGATGCTCGCGGCTCTGCAGCGAACCAAGGAGATATGGGAGGAGCTCCGGGACGAGACGATGGAGGCCTGGAAGGCGGGAGGAGCCCTGGGGGTGATGCTTGCCAAGCTCAACTTGGGACACCCTGAAAACAATACTGCCGCGGCGGCATTTGAGCCACAGGATGAGAAGCAAAGCGCGGCAATGACACTCGGTCTTCTCAGCAGCGGGATGAGCCCGATGAATCCCGGCCATCAGCCCCTTGGTGACATCTCGTTCAAGATGCCCGATGCGCCTTTGCCAGCACAAGGAGCATTCGGCCCGACAGCGGACATGACAGGGGCGCCTTCTCCGTTCAGCACCATGTTTGGCCAGATGCCTGACATGCAGCTCAATCTGGACTGGGTATGTATATCGCCGAGAATCAAAATGTCTTCCAGCTAACCCAATATCAGGACGCCTGGGATACCTACATTCAGAGCTCAACGCTGGACGCTTCGTCGCAATGGTGGCCATCCGGAGAACTGCAGCAACCGCAGGGTCAAAACCCCCTGTCTCCTCCCCAACTGCCAGTGGTCCAACCTGGACCTGCCGACAGAATGCGCTCTTTGCCCCGTGGTCCCAACATGTTCTCTCCGGAGACCAGTGGCTACGATAGCAGTCCACTGGCGACCTACCCTGTCAACCCACCCCAACATCCCGGGAATCCGGTGACGGGGCAAGGGACGTGACGTGCCCTTGGCATTGACCGGACACGCAGTATATGAAATGAATGGGTAAAAGTTAATGTGCAGGTTTAGTTTCTTTCTGAAGTGCTCGTTGTAACCGCCTATCTCCGCTCACAGGAGACGTGTTTTCACAGTATATATTTAAGGAGTTGGTGTCTGAAATGGGGGAGATGTACAGTTGTTATCATTATCGACTCTCTGTCCGGTCAGGAACAATGTATGTAAAATAGTGGAAGTCATGATTACCAGTTGCGCCGAGTACGGATTACATTATTGTCACGCGTACGATCGAATTCCCGTACAGATGTCATACAGCCAAAGTCCAGCCCATCGACTGGAACGGAACTATACGATACGGCCATCACGTGACGTTATCGGAGCCCGGCCCAGCCAAACGTTTTCCTGCAAATCTCCGAAGCAACAATTTTCCCAATCCCCGAAATCCTCCCTTTTGCCCTTTTTTTCCGGCAGATTTAATCACTCCAGACGGAAAATCAAGATGTAAGTAGATGGGATCTGATGACGAGGCGTGTCTTCGACGATGTCCGGTCTAACTTACCCTTGCGCAGGCATTGCTTCAGAAGAGCCGCCTGCCGGCTGTTGACCTCCAGCCCGGCTTCATTGCGCTCAACCAGACCTGCCCCGTCCTTTTCCGCTCGCTTCTCCGTCCCTGTCAAGACTTCTTTGCCCTCTCTCCAGGCCCGCTGGAACAGCACCGAGGTCAAGTCCCAGCCTGAAGTCACGAACACTGAGGCCAAGGTCGAGTCTGAAGCTCCGGCTGAGTCTAAGTCTGAGGTCAAGGTCGAGTCTGAGTCTGAGGTCAAGGTCGAGGCGGAGCGTGTCACGGATGCCGTCACCGAGCAGATCGAGAGTAACGAGGTGACGCCGACAGAAAATCAATCCGAGAAAAAGACCCCCGAGTACGGAGTCGATGCCCAGTTCTCTCACCGCACCAGGCGGCTCCAACGCCTGCAGCGGACCCCGGAGCCCAAGGAGACGGTCTTCATCGGCAATCTCTTCTACGACGTGACTCATGATGACCTGAGAGCCCAGATGGAGAAGTACGGTGTTGTGGAGCGTGCGATGATCGTGACGGACAACCGGGGTACCAGCAAAGGGTGAGTGAGAGCCTAGCAGTCCGGTTCCGATTCCAATTCCCCCTTGAGGCACTGGTATTGACGGGTATTCTCTACCGCATAGGTACGGCTACGTTCAATTCGACAACGTGGACACGGCCCAGCGCGCCATCGAGGCGATGCACCTTCGCGTGTTCGAGGGCCGTCGCGTGAACGTGGAGTTCGCGCAGTCCAACCTCGACTACCACCAGCGCCTGTTCCCCGCCTCCAAGACCCTGTACATCGGCAACCTGCCGTTCCAGATGACCGATCGCGATCTCAACGAATTGTTCAAGGACATCGTCAACGTTGTTGATGTCCGTGTGTCGGTCGACCGCCGCACCGGTCAGCCCAGAGGCTTCGCCCACGCTGATTTCATCAGCGCCGACAGCGCCCGCACTGCTCTCAACTCTCTCAAGGAGAAGACTCCCTACGGCCGGAAACTTGTCGTCAACTTCAGCAATCACAGCAAACGCCAAAACAACCCGAACCAGGACCGTCGCGAGAATCAGGGCCGCCGCGAGAACCAGGGCCGCGAGCAGGAAACTCCTGTGAAGGATGTCCCCGAGATCTAATTATAAACTGTAGCTGGGTATCTCATGGGTTTGGCATTCATGTATTTTTTCACGGAGCAAATGCAAACATTGTAATATAGTCTTGTATATCATTGAATCATTCTTCTCTCTCTCTCTCTCTCTCTCTTTCTTTCTTTTTTGTTGTATTGCCCCGTCGGGCCCATCTCGGACCACGTGACTGCCGGGGAGCCTCGGCATGTTTCCGCCCGGAAACCCCACGTTCGGCGCTGGAGCTGCCCTCCTCCTCCTCCTCCTCCTCCTCCTCCTCCTCGGTCAACTCCCTGTCTTCCCCTATTCTGTATCCATTCACAGCGACCTTTCCTCTCCTCCTGTGATATACGCATGGTAACACTATAACCGAATCGCCACACCCACACCCACACCCACACCCCCACCCCGCTACAACATGTCGTTCCTCGGTGGCGCCGAGTGCTCTACGGCGGGAAACCCGTTGACGCAGTTCACCAAGCATGTCCAGGATGATAAATCACTACAGCGCGACCGGCTGGTCGGACGCGGCCCGGGCGGCATGCAAGAGGGCATGCGGTCGCGGGGAATGATGGGGACACAAGATCAGGTACGAGTCGACAAGCCCAGCTGAATGACAGCCAAGCCAGCCAGTCAGTCTAACAAGTGATATCCGGAATGACCTACAGATGATGGACGAGTTCGCCCAACAACCCGGCCAAATACCCGGAGCCGCCCCTCAACCGTTTGCGATGGAACACCTCCGACGCGAGCTCGATCAGTTCCAGACCACCCCGCCCCGGACGGGCTCGCCGGGCTGGGCGGCTGAGTTCGACGCGAGTCAGCATGTCCGCATGGGGGCCACCCTTGCTGGGCCCAACGGTCCCGTGATGAACAACGGGGCGGGATTCACCCCGGCCGAGTTTGCACGGTTTCAGCAGCAGAGTCGAGCCGGTATACCGCAGACGGCGGGGTCCGTGCCGGCCGCCCAGTCCCCCATGCTCGGGGGGTATCAGCGCCCCATGGGCATGGGTGGGTATATGGGCATGGGGGGCATGGGGATGATGCATCAGCCGGGGTTTGGGCCGATGGGGATGCAGCAGCAGCAGCCGGCGGAAGCGGCGACGCAGGATAAGGGTAAAGGGCGGATGGTGGAGCTGGATGATGAGAACTGGGAGGCGCAGTTTGCGGAGATGGAGACGGTGGAGAATACCACGCTGGACGACGAGGCCAATGCCGCTGTCGAGGCGGAGCTGAATGATCTGGACAGGTCAGTTCCCTTTACCACCCGCCCCGGACAGGATCATGACTACGGGGCTTTTGAGAGCGTGTGGGAGAGGGTCCAAGCTGAGACCGCGTTCAATAGGAAACTGGCCGAGGGAGAGACGGATTTCAATATCGAGGAGAATCTCCACACGGGTGATATGGACGAGTGGGAAGGATTCGATACCCTGAACACTCGGTTCCGTAACCCTCAGCTGGGCGATTACATGTTCGAGGAGGATAACGTGTTCCGCAACGTGACCAATCCGTTCGAGGAGGGCGTCAAGATCATGCGGGAGGGTGGTAATCTCTCGCTGGCTGCCCTGGCGTTTGAGGCGGCGGTGCAGAAGGATCCCCAGCATGTGCAGGCCTGGACGATGCTGGGATCGGCTCAGGCGCAGAACGAGAAGGAACTGCCCGCGATCAGGGCGCTGGAGCAGGCCCTCAAGATCGACCCCAACAACCTGGACGCGCTGATGGGGCTGGCTGTCTCCTACACCAACGAGGGCTACGACTCCACCGCCTACCGCACCCTCGAGCACTGGCTCTCCGCCAAGTACCCCCAGATCATCGACCCCAAGGATGTGTCCTCGGATGCGGATCTGGGATTCACGGATCGGCAGCTTCTCCACGACCGGGTCACCGATCTGTTCATCCAGGCTGCGCAGCTGTCCCCGTCCGGAGCGCAGATGGACCCGGACGTGCAGGTCGGTCTGGGTGTCCTGTTCTACTGTGCGGAGGAGTACGACAAGGCGGTTGACTGTTTCTCGGCGGCGCTGGCGTCTACGGAGTCTGGCACGACGAACCAGCAGGAGCAGCTGCACCTGCTGTGGAACCGGCTCGGAGCCACGCTGGCCAACTCGGGCCGCTCCGAGGAGGCCATCGAGGCGTACGAGCAGGCGCTGAACATCAACCCCAACTTCGTGCGGGCGCGCTACAACCTGGGGGTTTCGTGCATCAACATCGGGTGCTTCCCGGAGGCGGCGCAGCACCTGCTGGGGGCGCTGTCGATGCACCGGGTGGTCGAGCAGGAGGGCCGCGAGCGGGCACGCGAGATCGTCGGAGGCGGCGACGGCGACATTGACGACGAGCAGCTGGAGCGCATGCTCCACGTCAGCCAGAACCAGAGCACCAACCTGTTCGACACGCTGCGGCGCGTGTTCACGCAGATGGGACGGCGGGATCTGTCCGACCAGGTGGTGGCGGGCATGGATGTGAATGTGTTCCGGAAGGAGTTTGAATTCTAGCTGGGATGATGCCATTTCGTCTGAGGAGGAGGATGATGATGACGATGATGTTTACTATAATTATACATAAGCCATGAAATTGTAGCCCGTTTGTATGTATGCAGGCAGGCAGGCAGCAGTGGGAGCCTGGGGTGTCTGCTGCGTCATCGGGGTTGTTGTGCCTCGGCATCGAACTTCCTCCAACTTCCCCAACCAACTCTTCCCCAGCTTTCTCTCCGCTTCATCTTCTGGACTGCTGAGCAGCCAGCCTTGGATCCATCCACACCCCACCACCATGGCTGCTGCATTCACCGGCGCTCAGCTCATTGCCCGGACGCTGCGCGATCTGGGGGTGACCGTGATCTTCGGCATAGTCGGCATCCCCGTGGTCGAGATTGCCGAAGAAGCCATCAACCTGGGCATTCGCTTCGTGGCCTTCCGCAACGAGCAGGCCTGCAGCTATGCCGCCAGCGTGTACGGCTATATGACGGGCCAGCCGGGCGTGTGCCTGGTGGTCGGAGGGCCCGGGGTTCTCCATACGATGGCCGGGGTAAGTCGTCTGTCTCGCTAGGCTGCCTTGGCCTGGGCTAACCTCATCCCATCCGGCCAGATCGGAAACGCGTCTGCGAACAACTTCCCTCTCCTCGTGCTCGCCGGCTCGGCCGAAACCACTGGCATCACCAAAGGAGCCTTCCAGGAGCTCGACGCCATCTCGCTCCTCACCCCGCACACCAAGCTCGCCGTCCGCGCCTCCTCCCTCGACTTCATCCCGGGCGCCGTCAAGAATGCCTACAGAACGTGCTGGTACGGTCGTCCCGGGCCGACCTTCGTCGACCTCCCTGCAGACATCATCCAGGGCAAATCCCCGTCTGGACACCGTCTCCCCGCACCAGAAACCCTGCGTGTGCCCTCGCCCCCGAAACCAGCCGGCGACCCGGCCTTGATCCTCAAAGCCGCGCAACTCCTCCGCACCGCCCGCTCGCCACTGCTCATCCTCGGGAAGGGCGCCGCCTACGCGCGCGCCGAACAGGGCATCAACCGCCTCGTCGAGCAAACGCAGATCCCCTTCCTCCCGACCCCGATGGGCAAGGGCGTCGTGCCGGACTCGCACCCGCTCAACGCCTCCAGCGCCCGCAGCGCCGCGCTCAAGAACGCCGACGTGGTCGTGGTCCTCGGCGCGCGCCTCAACTGGATCCTGCACTTCGGCGAGTCGCCCAAATGGTCCCCCACAGCCAAGATCATCCAGGTAGACATCAGCGCAGAGGAAATCGGACGCAACGCGGGCACCGCCGAGCTCGGGATCCTCGGGGACATCGGTCTGGTGGTGGACCAACTCGCCACGGCCCTGTCGAGCTGGAGATACGCCCCCGCCGTTGACGGGTTCCCCTCCGCGCTCGCCGCATCAGCGAAGAAGAACGAGGACAAGGCCCAGAAGGCCGCTCTGCGGGCCACCCCGCCCAACGCCCCGCTCACCTACCAGCGCGCATACCACCTCATCAAGACAACCCTCAACTCGCTGACCCCCTGCGAGGCCGGCAATATCGTGTATGTTTCCGAGGGCGCCAACACAATGGACATCTCCCGCTCGATCTTCCCGCTCAACCACCCCCGCCAGCGCCTCGACGCCGGCACGTACGCCACCATGGGCGTGGGTATGGGCTACATCGTCGCGGCGCACGAAGCATACAACGTCCCCGGATCCCCGCCCAAGAAGATCGTCGCCTTCGAAGGCGACAGCGCCTTCGGGTTTAGTGCAATGGAGATCGAGACGCTAGCCCGCTACCGCATCCCCGCGCTGATCTTCGTGATCAATAACTCGGGTATCTACCACGGGGACACCACGTCCGAGGACGCCTGGAGGACGCTCCAGCAGCAGACCATGGCGAATGATACCAAGTCGGATGAGGGGAAGAAGGGGCTTCGCTCGACGAGTCTGTTGTATGAGACGCGCTATGAGATGCTGGCGGAGATGTGTGGCGGGAAGGGGTATTTTGTAAGGAATGAGGAGGAGCTGGAGACGGCTACGCGTGAGGGCTTCCGGAGTGATGCTGTGACGGTGGTTAATGTGATTGTTGAGCCGGGCATCGGGAAGAAGATTGGGTTTGCGTGGCAGGGGGAGGCGAAGCTGTAGTTTCGCTGTAGGGTAGGAGGCGTAGGAGGTGTAGGTGTATATGGGATTTCAGAGATTCATAAGGGATATTTATAGATTTTTTTTTTACGTATGAGAGAATGACTATCGATAGCATATTGTTTAATTTATATACCGTATCCCCATCCCCACCCCATTAGCTATTCACGTACTCACCTACCTTGCAGACTACTTACTATATATAGTACCAATCAACTCACCCAACCTACTAGTCAACTTATTCCCATGAACTTGAACCCATCCTGAACTTAACCTGAACCCAACCTGAACCTCTTTAGTACTAGTTAACAACACGACACTACACCACGCAATTTGAAGAAAAAGAACAAACTAATACTACTCCCCCACATCCTCCTTTATACTATATATAGATGTATATATGTGTATATGTGTATATATATGTATGTATATCCTAATTCACTCCATTCAACTCATCCAACACCCTCGCCACCGCAACCGCCTTCTCCTCCCCAAACCTGCCCCCCACAATCTGCACGGTAATCGGCATCCCCTGTACCAGATCGACGTCATCTAAGTATTCACGGGATATCGTCAGCTCATATCACATCACCTCACCTCACCCTGTCTCCGTGAACTCAACAGTAGAAAGGAAGAAAGAAAGAAAGAAAGAAAGAAAGAAAGAAAGAAAGAAAGAAAGAAAGAAAGAAAGAAAGAAAATAGAGAGACGTACATTGACCCCAATTAAACCCATCCGCCACCCCCCTCACAACCGCCCCATGAGCAACCCAACTCTCCCACTCCTGCCCACCCGCCCCATCGAGATCCCTATCAGCAAAAGTAACCGGCACCGTGACGGCCGCGTAATCCAGCAGATTCCACAGCGCGGTATACCCGAGCCACTGGTGGCTCTTGACCCAGGTCTTGGGCGTGTAGCCCACCCAGGGGGTGACGGGCATGATCAGCGCGTCGATTTGGCTGGTCGTCCATTGGGTGAGGTATTGGGTTCGGTAGGTTTGGGTGGTTTTTTCGAGCTATTTTTTTTTTTTAATTAGTTGGGGTTGAGGGATATGTATAGTATTAGGTGTATATTAGGGTAGGGACATACCTCCTCCCGCTCAGCAATAGTCAACTCATCATCCGGGCCCCCCACCACCATCCCCTCGATCAGTGGCTCGCCGACGATATCACATAGATGGCGACAGTGGGCGCCGCCGTCGGCGAGGATGGATTTGGTCCAGAGGGCGGTGCCGGTTGTGTGGAGGGTTGTGTCCCATTCGATTACTATCCCATATCATAGATTCATCAGTTGTAGTTGTGTCATTGGTGGATTATGGTTGGGTTGTGTGGTGTTGTGTTCATGTTCGTGTTCATATATCTGGATGAAAGGAGAGAGAGAGAGAGAGAGAGAGAGAGAGAGAGAGAGAGAGAGAGGAGAGAAAGAATACCCTCATGCCCCGCATCCACCAACTTGCGCGCCGTCTCGCGCATTGCCCTCGCGATCGGCGGCTGGGGCTTCACCACCCCGTCATCATAGATGATCCCCAGCCGGAGTTTCCGGGCCGGTTTCGCGGCGAGGTCCCTGCGCCAGGGGATGGGGAGACAGGTGGGATCGAGGGTCCAGGGCTCGGAGTCCAGCAGGGATTGCATGAAGTGTTCGATTGTGGGGAGGCTGCGGGCCATGGGGCCGGCGACGGGGGGGACGAGGTAGTGTTGGTGTTGACTATTAGGTTGGTGTTAGTTTTGTTCATCTCTCTTTTTTTTTTTTTTTTTTACTATTATTTGGGGGTGGTTCATTGCATTCCATTCCACTCAATTCCATCCCATCTCGTCTGGATATGTGTTGTTTTGTTGGTAGGTGAAAGGTTGAAAGATGGATGAATGGATGGATGGATGGATGGATGGATAGATAATAGATGACATACAAAGAACAATCCCACGGCACGCGTCCCGCAGACGGACAGATCGAATACAACCCCTGAAGATTGGCAGGGATGCGAATCGAGCCACCGATATCCGTTCCTATACCGAGGACGCTGCCCCCCGTACCGACGAGGGCGCCTTCGCCCCCGGAACTGCCACCGGAGATGAGCTGCGCGTTGAAGGCGTTGACGGATTGACCGAAGACGTGGTTATAGGAGTCGGACATCTGCATTTTATGATCAGTGGGGTGGGATTATGTAGAGGTGGATGGTAGAGTAGAGGTATAGATGGGTATAGATGGGTATAGATGGGTATAGATGGGTATAGATGGGTATAGATGAGTATAGGTGAGTATAGAATGGGATATACCATCAAAGACTGCGGCACATTCGTCTTCACATACAACACGGCGCCCATCTTCTCGAGCAACGTGACAATCGAATCCGAGCTGGTCGCCGGTTTCCCACAGAGTCCTACCCAGCCTATAGTATGATCAACATGTTAGCCATCATCATCACCACCATCATCCACCCCCCTAACCAACAACTACAAAAAGATATAGCTGTAGCTGTAGCTGTAGCTGTAGCTATAGATATAGATAAAGATATACGAACCAACACTCGTATCCCACCCCTCCACATCAAACCGATCCTTCACCGACACCGGCAACCCATGCAACGGACCCACCGTCTCCCCGGTCCTCTCCAGCACCTCATCCAACTCCTTCGCCCTGGCCAGCGCCCTCTCAAAGAAGATCTCCGTCAGACACTTGGTCAGCTGCTGCGCGAGGGCCGCGCGCTTGCAGAAGGCCGTGGTCAGTTGCACGGAGGTGATCTCGCGGGAGGCGAGCTTGGCCAGTAGAGTGGGCGTGTCTGAGGTGGAGGTCCATTTGTGTTCGTCGGGGGTGAGGAGGTGGCTGGTTTGGATGGTGGTGAGGGGGTTTGTGTTGTTGGTGTTGTCTTCTGGGGTCGGGATGTGCCAGGCGGGCGGGATGGCGGCGAGTTGGGCGGCGCGCTTTTTGTACACGGTTGGTTTCCAGGGGGGGATGGTCATGTTGGATGGAGTTGTGGGTGGTTTCTTGGGTGGTTGTGGGATGGGGAGGGAGGGGGAAGGAGGGGAAGGAGGGGGAGGACTGGGGAGGGCTGGGGAGGCTTATAACCCGGTAGATGGAGGTTATCAAGATAGTTGGCCGCTGCCAATCACGACAAGCAGGGTCTATCAGCACACAGCCTCGTATCTACCCCGATAGTTGAATCAAACATCAGTTGATGCGGGGAGATCCCCGATGTTTGTTCCCCTCACGCTCGGATGGCCAGTCCAGACCAGACCAGGTCCACGACTCGGCCGAGGCCCGTCCAGATACAGACCACCAGACACACGCGAACCCAGTCAGAACCTGCAGATAATATCATAATATAATATAATATAATATAATACACTACCCTACACTACACCGTCATCAACATGCTGGCGTTCTTGTACCAGCCCAACAACGGGTTCTCGCCGTTCTTCGTCTCCGTATCTTCAATATACGCCCACCGCTCCACAAAGTCGCCGTGACTGACCACCTGCGTCAGCTTGCCCGTGATCGCCCGGTACAGGTCCTCGATCATGTTGAAGTCCGTCGGGAAGAAGATGTCGAAGTAGCCTTGGTACACCTGCGCCACCGTTAGAGAGATGATGACGAAGCAAAAACAAGAAGAATATCTTACAAAAGGTGTCGACACCGGCACCGTCCGCCGCTTATACCGCGTCTGCACCACCGGCGCGTTCGTCCCTGGCACCGCATCCGGCAGCGAGCTGAAGTCACTGGCGATCAGCCGATGCGCCGGGAAGTACGTGTTCAGGATGTCGAAGAACTGCATCAGCCGCGTGGGGATGTACTCGGGCGGCGTGTAGCGGTACTTCTCCTGGAACGGCAGATGGCTGCGCAGCCGCCGCAGAGGCATCGCCAGACTGCCGCCGGGGCGCCCGTCGCCCTCCGCGCCGCCGCCTGCCGCACGCGCAGGAACCGCTTGGCCACCGGGTCCAGCTGGCTGTTGTAGTACTCGTGGAACTCGCCGTCGGCGTCGATCAGCACGCCGCCCTGCTGCGGCAGACCGGTGCGGGTGTCGAACCGGATGGCGTCGTGGGAGAAGTTGTCGAACACCTCGAGGGCGAGGAAGAAGCAGGGCGAGTGGACGTAGGTGTCCCAGTCGAAGATGGAGCGGTTGACGATCTCGACGTGGTCGCGATGGCCCGCGGCGTCCAGCGAGGCCGTCAGGTTCTGCATCTGCAGCGAGGCCAGCGCGGGCGAGATCTCGATGATCTTGAACTTGGTCCGCTGGTACACCTCGTAGTCGGTGTCGCGGATGTAGTCCAGGATGTTCATCATCAGCGTGCCGTTGCCCGCCCCCATCTCGTATATGATCAGGTCGTGGTACGGGTACAGCGTCAGCTTGTAGTTCGACACCAGGTACCGCGCAATCGTCTCGCCGTAGTACGGCCGGAACAGCTCCGTCGGCGTGTGCCACAGCTGTCGCGACTCGTCCGGGTGCTCCGCGTCCAGCCGGTCCTCGAACTCCTCGTACCGCTGGCCCAGCATCCGGTGGAAGGCCGGTCCGTCCTCGATCTCGTTGAAGTAGAACGGGTCGCCCGGGCTGAAGATCGTCGCGTGTTTCGAGAAGTAGCCGTAGTTCATGTTGTATAAGCTGTCTGCACCCGCCAGACCCCGGATTAGCGGTCATTCCCTCTCAACCACCACCCCCCTCCCCAAAAGAAAGCCAGACATACCATCAATAAACTCCCTCGTCAACATCTTGACCTGTTTGGGCCTCTCCCTCCCCCTGCGTATCTCCTTCGCCGTAACCAGCGGCGTCGACCGCAGCTCCTCCGTGAGGAGATCGTAGTCCTTGCGAACGAACTCGCGTCGATTCCAAAGCACCCCGGACGTGACATCCTGCTTCTTGGCCTCCTTATCCTCCTTCTTGCCCGTCAGTCGCGTCAGGAACGGGCGACATTGCTGGCGTGCGGCGGGCGTGGCCAGGCGCGCATAGCCCGGGCGGCGGGCTGCCGAGGAGCGCAGCGATGACCGACAGGCGGGATGGCGGAAGAGCTGACGGAACAGCTGGTTGAGGACGGGGGAGTCCATGGACTTAAGTACTTTGTACTAGACTGGGGGGCATGAATTGGGTGTGGTTGGTGTGGTTGGTTGGTTGGGGGAGAAGAGAGAGTGAGAGAGACAGACAGACAAGTGCCCGCAAATCACTGGATCAGCGTAGCGGAGAGCGGCTCTGGAAGAAGAAGAAGAGCAGAAGTTGGCCCGAGCGTCGCTTTTCTCCGTCCGCAACACCGAATCTCCTTCAATTCGGGAATAATTCAAGCAACCTCCTCACCAATTTTTGACCCACCAAACTGGTCCAACTGGTCCAACTGGTCCCACTGGTCCCAGTAAGCCAAAATGGACGACCACGCGCGCGTCTGCATCGGCACGGCCTTTGTCGCGGGCGTCCTGCTCACCCTGGGCTTCAAGGATCTGGTCTACCCCGAGCTGGAACGCCGCGTGCGGGAGTATCAGCTGTCGCAGTCGGACTCACAGTCGGACTCACAGTCCTCGTCGCCAGCATGGTCAGACTCCCCGGACGATGCATTAAGTGCTAGACCTGGTCCGCCGGCCATCGCGGAGGGTATCGAGGGGTGTATCGGGAACACGCCGTTGTTCAGGATCAAGTCGCTGTCGGATGCGACGGGGTGTGAGATTCTGGGGAAGGCGGAGGTAGGTTCTTCTTTTCTTCTACTGAGGAGTATTATGATGGAGGTTTGTTTCCACGGCGGACGTAGCTGACAGTGCCAGTTTCTAAACGGAGCCGGACAGAGCTCCAAGGATCGCGTGGCGCTGAGTATGATTCAAATAGTATGTATGCGTCTGTCTATGGACAATCCCCCACTCACGATCCACAGGCCGAAGAGCATGGCATCCTGAGCCCGCACTCGGGCGACACGATCTACGAGGGCACGTCCGGGTCAACGGGGATCTCGTTGGCGTCCCTGGCCCGCGCCAAAGGCTATCTCGCGCATATGTTCGTCTCCGTAGTCTATATGTACAGTCTCGTATGCTGACCCTCCCAGCTGTATGCCATCCGACCAAGCGATCGAAAAGTCCAACCTGCTCCTGAAACTGGGCGCCATCGTGGACCGCGTCCCCCCCGCCCCCATCGTCGAGAAAGACAACTTCGTCAACCGCGCGCGGGCTCTGGCGCAGGCCCAGACCGCGTCCGCCGCCCAGGGCACGGGCTTCTTCGCCGACCAGTTCGAGAACGAGGCCAACTGGCGCGCCCACTTCAGCGGCACGGGGCCTGAGATCTATGCGCAGTGCGACGGCCGGCTGGACGCGTTCGTTGCGGGCGCGGGGACGGGCGGCACGATCTCCGGCGTGGCCCTCTTCCTGAAACCCAAGATCCCCAACTTGCATGTCGTGCTGGCGGACCCGCAGGGCAGCGGGCTGTACAACCGGGTCCGCTTTGGCGTCATGTTTGATTACAAGGAGCGGGAGGGCACGCGGAGACGGAGACAGGTCGATACCATCGTCGAGGGCATCGGGATCAACCGGGTGACCGCGAATTTCGAGGCGGGCAAAGAGCTAGTCGACGACGCTGTCAGGGTGACCGACGCCCAGGCGCTGGCCATGGCGCGGTGGCTGGTCGAGAAGGACGGCCTCTTTGTCGGCAGTAGCAGCGCCGTGAACTGTAAGTGTCGTCTGAGATGCATGCCTGCGGAGCCATGTGCTAATTGCCTCCAGGTTTTGCCGCTGTCAAGACCGCCATGAAGCTCGGTCCTGGCCACCGGATCGTGACGGTGCTGTCGGACTCTGGGTCCAGGCATCTGTCCCGGTTCTGGGCCAAGGCCGGAGATGTTGGTGGCGCCGTAGATACGCAGCTCGAGGACGTCCTCAATGCACAAGATGACCAATAGGAACCGTACCGCGGGGGTTGGGCCATGAAGCCGTCGGGGATAAGGAGGCAGAGGTGAAAGAACCAGCTCGGGCCCGGGCGACCCCTGCCTGGTCCTTGCTCGCGCCCCTGGGCTGGCCTGTCACCGGGCTGGCCGCCATGGCTGAAGCTGATGCTAGTGTCCGGTCCGGCTAGAAATCAATCCGGGCACCTGGTTTCACGCTCGGCCTTACCCGGACTGCTGTCACCCATCGCCAGTGGGTCGTGCCGGCATCTGGGAGGATGCGTGCGCGAGACGATCTCCGCACTGACTGGCTGCATGTCAGCCATCAGCATCGCATCCTGGCTCGGGCGCCGCCCACCCGCCTCATGATTTGTCCTTGCCCATCGATCTGGTCGCCGTCTTGCCGTCTCCTTTGTGCGGAACGTCCGCCTCCCCGGCCCAGCGTCGCAATAGCTCGAACTCGATCTCCGGATGGGGACGCCCGCGCAGCTCTGCACGGATGGTGGGCCAGGCCAGCCCTCGTTGCTCCGCCAGTTGGTCCAATTTCTCCCGCTCCGGCCCCGTCCACGGCCGGGTTAACGGGGACGGGTTCGCTCGGCGATCGATCCAGTGTATACGATGCCAGTTTTGCAGCTGGGTCACCGTTTTTTGCGGTAGCTGGGCGAGGATCTCGCTCCACTTCTTGCTCTGTCCTATCTTCAGCGTAGCAATCAACCGGGCCTCATCGGGGCTCATGTACGTCCTGGAACGTTTCTTTGTAGGCGACGGATCGTCATCGACCGTTGTTGCATCCTCCGTAGGCGCCTCCCCTGTAGCGACAGAAGGGTTGGGCTTGGCCGCAGACGTAGTGACCGGGTTTGTCTGCGTGCCCCCGGCACGAGGGTCTGCCTGATCGGGTCGTCCCTCTGGCTTGGAGAGAAGAAGCTGTTTCAGATGGACGATGTAGTCTGCGGGAGCAAAGTATTGCTGGCAGTGGTCGCACTGTTCTTCTTCCGCACGACTGCTCACCGAAAGAACGCCCTTGGCCTTCCCTTGTCGAACCCCGGACCCCCCCGGCCCTTCCCCTTTCCCCCCTTTGGGCGTCGGTGAGGGCTCGTAGTCCTCCTGCAACGGGTCGTCGGATTCGTCCCCGGCCGGAGTCTCTGCAAAGGACCAGTCGCACACGACGGGGCTGGAGTGATGCTTCCTCTGGGCCTGGGGGTTCCTCGCGCGAGTCTTCTGCGCGGATGATCCCCGTCGCGAGGACCAAGGCAGCGCCCACAGCGAGCCAGTGCCCGGTGGAGACTGGGAGCGCACAATATTGCGGGACGGTGCCGGACGTGACCTATTCACTCTAGGTGTAGAAAACCCCCCGCTTATTTCAGGAACGCGCCATATAGCCTCCACCGCCTCACTGAATTTGACTCTCTTGGATTGGGCGGATGCTTCAGCCGCAGGATTTGCTTTTTCGCTGCCAGCCTTACTTGGAGCGTATGCCATGGCCTGTCGGGCCCGAGAGGCGCCCGCGTCGTTCTGGACGCATACTGCCGTGTCCAGCAGCGAGTCCACGCTCGAGCGGTCGTCATTGGCTGCTTCGTCCGTCGGGGTCTGGCTTGACTGGGCCGCGACCAGTCCTGTTTGCGATGGCATCGCGGCCGCCGGTGGAGGAACGCCATCACCGCCGGTTTCTGCATCGGCGTGATGAAGATGGCTGTAGCCGTCGTCGCCTGCTTCCTCCTGGTCGGGAGGTGCAGCCAGGTCCGTCTCGAACAGCCAACCACTCCCCTCGCCAGTGTCATCTTCTCCGTCCATTGCCTGGATGTGGCCATTGTTGATGACTATCTTTCCGGACTGTAAATCGATTTCGTCGCCCACCTCCGTAAAGTCCTTGCCGTATTTTTCAAAAATGCCCTCGAAGATCGACTTCAGGCGGAGGTCATTCTGGGCGCGCGCTTCGTGAATGTCGATGTCGTCGGCCTCGCCCTCTGGTTCCACGGTTGTGGAGAGGCGCGGCCGTTTTGCAGGCCTCTCCATGGTTTGTTGCAGCGTGAATGGAATTGGGAAGCTGGGTGGGAATTAACCGAGGTAGATTTCGAGAATTCTAGGCCGTGAGGGTTGACCGGGTGACACGGTTGGGGGGGAGGTACTTGGTGGTGGTACTTCTGGGGAAGCTTCGTGAGGTGTCAGTAATTGGGAGGAGATGCGCGTAGGAGAGATGAAGTTGACAGGAAGGAGATGACGAGGGAGGAGTGGAGTGGTGGATGATTGAGTAACAGAGTAACAGCAGAGAGGACAGACAGTCAGGACAGGCTGCAAACTCCATCGACATACATACCACTACCACTTGGTGTCTGTTCCAGCAACTGTGTGGCTGCGATTGTACTGCAAGCTGCATTGACTGCATTCAATATTCCATGGGGAATGGCAATCGGTTGAATCTGCATCAAACAAACAGAAGAGTCAAACGCGGTGCGCGGGTTGGCGCATGACGTCGCGCCCGTGAATCGAAGACCCGACAGACGGCCTGCAACTCCAAACTCCCTCCCTTCCTCCTTCCTCCCTCTTCCCCCCTTCCATCGCTATTCAACACCAGAATGCATGAGACGCTACCATGTATTGCCAGAAGTGTCGGACGCCCTTGAAGCTGGATGGCTCGCTGGAGTCTCTCAACCCCGCCGCTTTCGACTTGCTGGTCGGTGAGTAGCCCACTACCTTACCAACCACCTTATCTCCCCCTCCGCATCCTCCTAACCAGACACCCCCAGGCTCAACAGGTAAATCACTTCCGGACCAGCCGGGACCAGCTCCTGCATCTCGACCGTCCTATCCGCAAGACCGACGAGAGCTCTACGACCGAGCCTCCAAGCATGCCACCACCCCCGTCTATCGCCGATCGATCCCGCCCCCCCGCCAGCCCGCCAGGCTGGGCCGCGGGGATAGTGGCAACATGTCCTTTGTCATGCTGACGGAGTCCCAGGTTGGGCTACCGCATGGCGTCTCCGGTGCCAACGGCGACAGCCCGTCCACGAGCAAACGCCCCGCCAACCCTCCGACTAATGATCGCGGGGCGGATGAGGGATCGTTCGCGGAGCAGGTCGAACGGACCAGCCGGTTGTTCGACATCATATCCTCGCGCTCCGACATTGACCACCCCATCTGCACGGAATGCACCGAGATGGTCGTGGACGGCTTACAGCAACGACTGGTAGATTCCACCAAGGAGCGGGACGCGTATATCTCCTTCCTGCGCAACCTGAACGCCTCCGTGCCGACGGCGGAAGAGCTTGAGGCAGCCCAGAAGTCCCTGCAGGAAACCCTGGACGCGGAACAAGCAGCCTTTGAGGAGCTCCTTGCGTTGGAGAAGGAAAAGGCGGCCTTGGACGAGGAGATCGCCGGGCTTGAAGAGGAATCGCGCCAGCTGGACCTGGAGGAAGAGAAGTTCTGGCGCGACCGCAACTCGTTTGCCTTGGATCTGTCGGATTTCCAGAACGAACGCGACGCCCTGAATATGAAATACGACCATGATTCCCGTCAGCTGGAGAGACTACAGCGCACCAATGTATACAACGACGCCTTCTGCATCGGGCATGACGGCTTCTTTGGAACAATCAACGGTCTACGGCTGGGTCGCTTGACGAACCCATCGGTGGACTGGCCCGAAATCAATGCGGCCTGGGGCCAGACCGCTCTCCTGCTGGCCACCATCGCCGACAAGCTGGGCTTCCAGTTCCAAGGCTACCAGATCAAGCCGCTGGGCTCTACGTCGAAAATCGAGAAGATCGAGCAGCCCCGACCGTCTCCGGCCCAGTCCGCGCTGGGGGGAACGGCGACGTCCGCGGCCCCGAAGATCACCCTCCTCGACCTTTACTCGTCCGGCGAGCTGCCACTAAATCTCCCGTGGCTTCACCGCCGGTTTGATGCAGGAATGGTGGCGTTCCTGGAATGTTTACGTCAACTAGGCGAATTTGTGGAGAAGACGCCGACCCCCTCAAATCGTCGGGGCGCCAACGCCAACGCCACGGTGCCTGGGTTGAAGCTCCCGTACACCATCAAACGCGATAAGATTGGCGACGCCAGCATCAAGCTGGGCTTCAACCAGAACGACGAGACCTGGACCCGGGCGTGCAAGTACACCCTGACCTGTTGTAAGTTTCTGCTGGCGCATGCTAGCAACGTTGCTAGTGCCGGCTCCAGCAACTCCGCTGCGGTGGCCGCTGCGGCGGTTGCAGCAGGCGAGCAGGCCGGGGTGCCCGCGCCCAGCCCGACACCTCCTAAGTGAAGCTAGCCTTTGGGATAGACCGACAGTGTGCGGGATTAAATGGACTGCAGCCTCCCCGCCTTGAGTAGCCATGGCAGGTGCCCTACTGGTTGACGGTCCCGGGATGAGGAGGGGGGACAGTGGCTCCCATTATCGATGCGGCTGACAGTGGGACGTTGGGGATATGGTTCCTTCTCGGCACCGCAGCAGCTGCCCGGGGTACATGGAGGGAGGACAGCGGCCGGGTGAGCTGGCGGGATGGCATCGCCGCATGTATCCAGCCAGCGTGCTCTCTTCTCTTCCTTGCGTGACGCGGCTGTAGCATGGCCACCCGCGGCCCTCAAGCGCATTGCGAATAGCAGCATGTGATCAACGCTACAGCACAGTAGTTGGTATTTACGTATTGCCTCTTTTGTCTTATCTCATGGCTGGCGCCGAGCGAGGGCCGCGATCCCCGAGCCAGCCGGTGTCAAGGCAACTCCGGAAATGGCATTAGGCAAAGCGGGCTGAGACAGGGATGCACAGGAGTCTGGTCGGTTCTCTCTCTCTCTCTCTCTCTTCTTGTCTGTCTCTCTCCTTGTGCGCCTCGAGGGACGGACCTTTGAATTTGGGGCCAGGTAGATAGAAGAGGCGGGAGATCGTCGTCTAGCCGGGCGTATCTTTGGTTCTCTCCGATGCCTGACCTGACACAGGACTCTCATCCCGTAAGCGAAGAAGACTTAATGCATGATTGGAGGCCGGCGGGCATGGATTGGATTTCTTGGACCTGCTTATGTTCCGCCTTCCCCCCTGCGTTACGATGAGTGCGAGTGAGTGGGTGAGTGAGTGAGAGAGGAAGAGGAAGTGGTAGTGGTGGGCCACATGGGTCCGTCCACTGCACGACTGTCTCATGCTTGTTGCTTCTTTCCGATCACATTTCCTTGATTGCATGGGAGAGGAGGCATCGTTCTGGTTCTGGTTCTGGTTCTGCCGGACGCCCCCTGGAGTTGGACTGGACCCATCGATGCAGGCCAGCCAGACCAGACCAGACCAGAGGACAGGGAAGGATAAACAAAATGAAATAAAAACAGAAATGGAAAATGGAAAATGGAAAGCAGAAAAGAAAAGAAAAGAGAAGAAAAAAGGGCGAAAAAGGGTTGACGCCGCGGCGGGAGGCAACAAAGAAAACAAAGAAACTAGAGATGCAGCCACCAAGATTCGGACATTGTGCGGATCCATGGCGCTGGGTCTGCAATGTTATATCTAGTTACCTACAGATGGGCCACCGGCCAGGATGATCCTAGGTAGACGTCAAGCCGAAAGGAGGAAGAGGAGAGGAGAGGAGAGGAGAAGGATGAGATGAGGGATGAGGGATGAGGGATGAAGGAATGTTTCGGCCCGTTCCCCGGCTGGCTGGCTGGCTGCTACACGAGTTGGTCTTCTGTCTGGTCTGTTCTCTCCTTCCCTTTCCCCTCCTCCTCTTGATACAATTAGGGCATTGTCAGTCAGACACACAGCCTCGGAAGCACTATCTACTGTACTTATTCACACTGGATGTTTATGGTCGCGTCTCCTCCACCCCCCTGTCCCTTAAGTATCTACTAGTGATTAGCCTGTCTGGTCTGTCTGTCTGTCTGTCTGTCTCTGTCCACTCAGTAGACAGTAGATAGTTTCTGGCCGTCTGGAGAAGATCTCATAGGACAGGGCAGGGCCATTCTCGCCCCAGTTCGCCCGCCCATCTCGTTAGTTAGTCTGTCATGTCAGTTCGTTCGTTCCCTTCCCGCTGCAAATCACAACCCCCACACCGCACCGTTATTACGGATGATTATTATTATAATTATTATTATTATTATTAGTATTATTATTATTATTATTATTAATATTACTATTTTCCCCTCCGTCTTTTTTGTAATGATGATTCGCTTCTTTTGTGCTCTGTAGCTGTGGATGGAATTAGTTAGTCAGTTGGTTGGTTATTTAATTAATCAATTAATCAATTAATCTTTAGTTAGGGGCAGGGTTTGAAGGAGAGAGAGAGAGAGAGAGAGAGATGGTATTTGTCAGAGGTACCTTACTTAACTAGTTCCTACTGTACATTAAGTACTACCAAGGTACCTGGTAGTAAGGTAAATAGCAAGGTACTACTTTACCTGAGGTAAAGAGATGTACATACGTACGTACGTACGGTACTTTGATTCGGGTGGTACCTCTTTCTTCCGGCGTGTGCGTGCCTAGGTACAGTAAGGTAGGTAGGTAGGTACCTTGTTTCTGTTCTTGTTTCTTTTGTATGGATTTCTCACTTACCTAGGTACTTACTTATCCTTACATAGTACGGAGTATCTATCTACATAGATACTTACTCACTACAAAATGTTTATGAGGGTACGGATGATGGAGTACTGCTATTATGGCTATCTCAGTAAGGAGTTTTTTTTTTTTTTTTTTGCTTTACCCCGGTTATTCGGGTACTTGTTCGGGTGCTACTACCTCTACATGTAGGCTATCAGTGTAGGTATAGGTATGGGTATGGGTATAAATAAATCTAGATATGTACATAATTTGTCTGCCTTAACTTACCTATATACTTGGTACCTACCTATATCCCCTAAGTATCTAAGTAGATATATATATATACATTCTCCAATCTACAAGCCATATACATACTACATACCTATAGTATCAATCTATCCATGACCCAGACCAAACAAAATCGAGTCAAACAAAGTAACCCCCAACACAATCACAATCATAATCCCAGTTCCATAACCTACAGTCTACACCTAGACAGATAACTACTATACTTACACAGCTCCATCACTCAAACCACCACCCCCAGTAGCCTTATAGCCCTGTAGCCCTGTAACCCATATAGCCCAGCAACATAACCCAGTGCCCGCCCAGACCAGGTCTGGTTGCCTTCTTTGCCCTCTCCTCTCCCTGTTCCAACTTCCTGTTGCCCTCTCCCCCTTCCCCCCCCCCTAACCACAACACAACACACTCCCTACCTACCCTACCCTGCCCTGCCCTGCCAACTCCCCTCTCCACCACCCATCCTCAACCAAGGACCGGAGTATTAGTATCAGTAGTGAGCATAAATAGTAATTACATCAGACGTGCATCGGCTGGATAGTAGGATAGCCCTTACTTACCATTTACATTTACACTTCTAGATATCTGGGGGGGAAAAAACATGGAAGTATAACCTCGTTACTAATTATATATCCTAACTAATCCTACTATCAACCGCAGGTTGAACCTAGGTACTTACTACTAACATACCTTAGGTATGTCTGTACGGAGTACTATAACTATACACCTGTATGAAGTAGATAGTTCTATACGTACCTTATGTACATACATACATACATACTATATACATACATACATACATACATACATACATACCTAGTAGTAGGTAAAGTAAGTAGGTACATGCGTACGTCCATAGGTACCTACATGTAAGTACTTTCCCCCGGAACCCGGGCTTCCATCCCCCCCTCCCCCCTCTTCCTCTCTCTCTCTCTCTCTCTCTCTCTCTCTCTCTCTCTTTCTTCCCCTCTCCAAAAGAAAATAAATCAACCGAGCAAGAAAATAAAACGAAACAAACAAAAAAAAAAAAACAAACCCCAAAAGAGAAAAGGAAAAGAAAAAGAAAAATCGAAAGAAAGAAAGATTTGCTTTTTGAAAGGGGGGGAGGGGAGAGGGAGAGGGAGAGGGAGAGGAGGGGTATTGCTTTTTTTTTCTACGATTTTTTTTTTCCTCTTTAGCGCTTGTGAATTGATTGGTTGGTTTTTTTCGGTATGCTTTGCATTTGGTTCAGTTCAGTCCATGAGAATGGGAATGGGGGTTCTGTCTGTCTGTCTGTCTGTCTGTCTATATGGTTTTATCTGGGGCATGGGTATTCTGAATGAGATACGGAGTACATGGGCTAAATAGTAGGCTATCTACCTAGGCTACTGGGAGGTAGGTAGGTACTATAGGTAGGTAGTTAGGTAGGTAGGTAGTGAGGATGTGGATGTGAGGTCTGTGAGACTGTGACTGCGACTGCGACTGCGACTGCGACTGTGACTGCGACTGTGACTGTGACTGGTGATGATGGCTTGAAAGGTCTATGAAACAGCTAACTAGTACCTAGGGACTATCGTCTAATGGGATATACTACCACTCACAAAAGAGAATGGAAAGCCTGGCTTCGGTCTACAGACTGTATTTTACTGTATCTGGTATCCTTACCGATGTAACACAGATACACATGGAGGGATATTCCATCATGAGCAACGAGGGTACTGAGGGTAGTGAGGGACTGAGGGCGCGAGGGAGGGAGGGGCAGCTTGAGGTAGACGGTGTAGGCGATATCGTCCATATCAGAAGAAAAGCCACTAGGCCGTCCTAGTGCATCTCGCCTTCTAGGTCCAATGCATGGAAGCTTTTTGAGTAAGTCGAGGGTCACTTGCCAGGGAAGTGCCCGATGGGCGACAAGAAGTCAGTCAGTCCGTCGGTCAGTCAAGCCAGCGGTCCGGCCCCTTGCCTGCCGGACGAGACCATTGGGGGGACCTGACTGAGAAGCGCCGCGTTGCTGGACAGCCCGGCCATCAGCCTTTCGTAGGTATGCAGAGGAACACGATCACAGATTAGCTCTGCCTCGTCTTCTGTCCTTCCTCCGACGCGCGACGACCGTGCCCGGGATTTGAAGACAGACACCGCTTATGGAATCCCCCCCCACTCCGTAGCTGGGGTGACAGTCATCGCCTCTCGCATGCGATAGCCCTCAGGTGTGATGTGTGATGGTGATGGGCTGATACCGCGCAAGCGTTCAACAGCATTTTCCGGGCCATCTCATACGTCGTCGAATGTGGCTGGCTGGACGCCAAACCGCGAGGGTCGGACAATCCGTCAACCTGTTGGCTGCCGTCGTCTAGAGGAAGAGGCTGATCGAAGGCCCCCTCGTCCGCGCTTCTCATCAGCTGAACCGACCCGGCTCCGCGAGGCAGAACAAAGGCACGATGTCGACATCACCAGGTCACAATGCCACATGCAACCGTAGCAAGTTTGAGGGATCTTCTGCCCGATGCATGAGCGCGAAAGTACCTTGGCTGCTACCACAGCGCCCTTGAGTAACGGGTTCGCCTAGTTGGGAGGGTTAGCTGGGGACTGTGCTTCGTCCTGGTTTAGTTTGCAAAGTGATGCGCTGCGTCGGAGCTCCAATAGCCTGGATCATTGTCATGTATGTACTTAGCTCGGGGCATCGGATCACGATGGCAAAAATGTGCTTTTGCTTTTCCGCAGCGTTGTACCGGTACAAAGGGGGAGGTACACCAAGCGAGTGGCCATGGTTCTTCATGACCGTCCCGGGAGCCCTAGGCCGCTGTGCCCTGTGGCTTCTGTCTGATGTCATCCATTTGGGGAGATTTCCGTGATGTTTAATTTTCCTTCCAATGGGTGGCAGGTGAGACACAGATCGAGATAGAAACCATATTGTGTCGCGGAGGGCTAGTGGCAAACACAATGCACTGTCGAGGATGGCACCCGCGCTTATCAGAGGCTGGCTCGGAGAGGACGGCTATTTGAAACCAACCGAGTCCAGCCTTGACCGGGGAAGGGCGAACGGTTAGAGTATCAATCACGTCTCACTCTCACTCTCACTCTCTCGCACCGAATTGTTCTTCTGTCCGGAACCGACTTCAAGTTCCCCGACCACAGCCTTCTGTACATACGTACCTACTTTAGGTCTGTAGGACTGTAGGACGATGTACCTACCGTACGTACTCGGTAAGGTACTCCGTACTGGCTCCGAATCCACGGCGGTGCTCAGGCCGGCTCGGTAAGCTGAACGGGGCCCCCCGTATGGGGAATACGGTACCTCTGGAGGGAGGTGTATTTTTGCATCCCCCCGTCAGCCTTTTGGTTTTGGGTCTTTGGAACTGGAAGGGGAGGAAACGGGCGGACCTCCGATCCGAACCGCCAGCATGACGGGCCGAAAGTTCCCTGCTGGCCCAGGACTCCGTACCAAGGTCATGATTTTATGAAGAACCAGATAGTGGGAAAGTTAAAAGGGCAGGTAGACGGCGATCGGACGACGTGAACGGAACCGAGGGCAGAGAGGAACGAGAATGGGACGACCGCGACGGCTCGACAACGGCGGACCTCCTTATCCCCCTGATCAGGGCACCTAGGTGGGTAGGTAGCGTCCAAGCCACAGGCGTGAAAATGAAAGTTTCGCTTGGGGAGCTCAGGCCTCATGCTATGATCCTAGCTATGATCCAACTTTGCCACATCGGGTCATGAGCCCACATCGCAGAACACGGACGCGTGTGTAGTGAGCAGTCTAGTGTAGTGTGTCAGTGTGTCAGGGTGGCCGGTGGGAGGCAGTCGTGGGGATCCCCGAATGATTCAATTTTCAAACGGGAAAGGCACGCAGGTGCGGGATTGGTGGGGACCGTCCGGCATAGGCACAGGTAGGAGGCATCACGAAAGTGAAGCTGTCAGGTGTTGTTGCTGAGTCGGAGGGAGTCCTCCGTGTGTTTATCTCCATGCCTTTCCTGGCCGGCCTGCCCCCAGTCCTCGACCTCCTCGACTTTCTTCAGAGGCTGCAATCCACCCTGGGCAGATCCCGGTGTGAGGAGCGAACGGGAAAGCCTGCTCTCCCGATCCCTGTCCCCTGGCGATGGACACGCCTGCCGCCCACTGGACATCACCGATATATGCGCTGGAACTAGATGGATCCTCAGATGTTGCACCTGCAGCAATGGTGCATGTTTATATGAAGGGACCACTGGACTCCCACAGTAGTGTGGGATGGTGACTGGAGACGGAGCTCCCTCTTCGGTCTCCAAGGTCGGCGGTCTCGATTTGATCGGACTGTCGAAGACAGAGGAGATAGACACGACACTAGACCATCAACCCCCTTAGTCCCGTGGTTTAGTATCCCCTCCGTAATATTGGGTCCTGTGTGCTCCGTATGGAGTCGCAATAGCTGAGTTGACTTGCCGAGGCCAGAATCCGACCATGGCGTCATTCTGGAAATATTCTCCACGACCACGGCACACGCAAACAACAACACCGAGACCAGAAGGGCATGTCTGTGTAGATCGGTCGGTTCCTCTCTGGGCAGCAGAGATTGATACCTGATCAGAGTGTCCTGGACATGGCGCGCAGGGGCAGAAGGATTATTCTGCACTGGTTCCGTTTGTTTCATCTGGGACGGATCTGGGGTGGGGGGGGGGGGGGGGGGGGACTTCAGTATAGCAGTTAGTGTATAGGTATCTAGTGTATAGCGTATACACATGCACTATTCAGGCAATAGGTCTTAGCTTCCGGATGCGAGGCGGTTGGCCAGATTGACGATGCACTAGGCAGGTACCTATGTAGATAGCATGTACTCCGTAGTAGTATGTCATGTGTACAGGAGGGACCGCCTCCTTCCTTCGGTCATATAATTGTGAACGAGTGTAATGAGGAACGAGTCACGCCCAGACCGGGGCTGTTCTAGGCAGGCAGAGAGAACACCCGCAGGGAAGACAAGACAGACAGACAGAAAGACAGACGTACAAGCGGACAGAACGTGACAAAAGTACACACGGACCACTTGAGAGGGTCCGTGATTGGACCGCGGGAACCAGGATGGTGCGTTCCGCGGGCTTTTCATCAGCAAGTCGCCGCAAAGGGCAGGCGGATGCTATTGGCCCTGCCAGTCAGCAGCGTACTTTTCCTTAGCGCCCGTACTAGGTTTACCCCAGCGGCGAACCACCCGGTTGCCCTGTGGGATCCTCGCCCGCGGGTCGAGGTCGAAGTACGCCTTTACGTGGGTTGTTTACGTTGTTTACGTTGTATACCCTGTAAGTATCTATACCATGGTATAGTACACTGTACACTGCTCGTCGTTTTTTTCCCCCTTCTCTTCTCTTTTTCCATTTCCTTCTTTCTTTTCTTCTTTTTTCTCTCCCTTCCTCCTCCGCCGTTCTTCAGTTGGACGGGGGGAAGAGGGAGGAGGGGCTCCGGAGTCATCATGGGAAGGTGGCCTGGCAATTTGGCAGCAGACCGTTTCAATTTCTGCCATTTTTCCATAGCTTTGTTTTTAAATTTTTTTTTTTTATTTTTTCGAAACTGGAATTCCCTCCTGTTTGTTGGCATCGTTTGGTTGGAAGTGAGTGGAGAGTTCCAGATCGGTCCCGGTCAGTACAGACAGACATGCATAAGGCCAGTAAGTTACTGTCCCGATTATCTGCTCGCTCCTCCTGTGTGCCTGCTGGTATTATTAGGACGAGAAGCAGCAGCAGCAGGAGGAGGATAATTATAATAATTAATGATGTTTATTATTATTATTATTATTACCATTTTCCTCCCCTTCTTAGTCTTCTTAGAAAGCTACTTGTTTAGTGAGCTAGCATGAATTACCACTCTGGCGCTCCTATTCTGACTTTGCTGCTAATATTATCGCCATTGATTTTATCGCCTCGACGGGCTGCGACCACCGTGACACCTTACTGACTGACTGACTGACTGAGTGACTGACTGACTGGTTCTGCTCATATTATTACTGCGGATACCACTCACTATTGCGGCGACTAACTATTACTACGGCGTATCCCCCTCCCCCTCGAAGTATATCAGCGTCATTCCCTCCCTCTGCCAAAACAGACTCCTCGTGAACCAGCCCAGCGGTTGCTTCTGCTTCTGCTTCTGCTTCTGCTCTGACCACCTCCGCTCACATTGACTAACGCTTCGACTCCGTACGGTCACTGTTACTGTCACTGTCACTGTCACTCTTCCTGTTCCTGTTCCTGTTCCTGGCCCAATCCGAATCAATCCCTTTGACTTAACTGCCTACATAATAGCGTTTCTTGTTTCTTGTTCCTTGTTTGATCTTCATCTTCATCCTCTCCCTCCCTCTCCTCGTCCACATCCACTGCCACTGTCACTGTCACTGCCACTGCCACTGCCACCTCCCTTTCTATTTACTTACTATTACCATCTACTTCTTCCCTCCCCTCCCCACCTTCCCTTTCTATCCTCCTTCTCTCGCCCAGGCCGCCTTATCCAGCGTCTACACAGCCAATTCCCACTCGCCACTTCCCCAACCAAACCTACCACAGTAGTATGAATGACAACAACGCCTCGCCAGTGATTTGTTCATGATGGATGGTCCCATCCCGCCGCCGTCGTCGACCTCCTCCTCCTCTTCCGCCACCCTTCTTCCGCCGTCCAACTCGTCTTCATCTTCCGTCTTCCGACCCCGCAGATCCGACGACTGGAATGAGTATCGCCCAGCCATCGAGCATCTCTATCGAGATAAGCAGCTCAAGCTCCGCGACGTGAAGCGAGCCATGGAGAAGGAATATAAATTCTTTGCCTCGTACAGCCCTCCATTTCCCTTGTTGTTTCTATCCTTCTTCTTTTTTTTTCTTCTTCTTCTTCTTCTTCTTCTTCCTCTTTCTCTTCCTCCTGCGTATCCTGCTGCATTTTGTATTTGTCATTCGCGCTCCTGAGATCCTGCATTATTTGTCCCCCCCCGGTAAACCGTCGTCGTCCACTGCCTGTCACCTCCTGTCGAGGAGGAGGAGGAGGAGGACAGTGCGTCGTGGTGATTGTGGTTGCTTTTTCCGCTTTTCCTTTTTCCGCTTCTGGACGAGTCAAGACCGTGAAAAGCGTCCCCTGACATTGATACTCTCTAGAGAAAAACAATACAAGGACCGACTGGCCTCCTGGAATATTCGCAAGAACATCAAAGCCAAGGAAGTCCACATCATGCTCCGCAAACAGCAGAAGCGAGCTGCCGAGGGCAAGCAAACCGTATTCCGCGTTGCGGGACAGGATATCGACACCAAGCGCATCTCCCGCTTCGTCCGTAGATATGGCACCAACGTGGAAGCAAACAACTCTCGCGATGCCCCCTTGCAGAGCCCTCCGGTCCCTCAGAGTCCCTTGCCCTTCCAGCAGGCCCATCATATCATGCAGACCCAATCGCTTCTGCAGACCCCAATTTTGCAAACCCAACCATTTCACGCCGCGAGTCCTGAGCCCGGTAGGCCCCCTTCCCAACGCTATCATGCCATTGACTCATGCCCGCAGCGACCCCATCCGACATGAGCTATGGTACCCCGCCGCCGGATGAAAGAGGGATGACCTTGTCTCCCTCCACCGAGACGCATTCGCAATTCCGTGAGAGCCCTCGTCCCCGTCTTTCTTGCCTGCGGGTCCATGTCCGCCTTTGTGGCCACTCGATAGGACCCTGGAGGTTTTGGTTAACCCGGTGACACAGATGATGATAGATCAGAATCCACCTATAATGTGGACACCAACCACGTCCGATCTCTGTCAGTCTCGACCGCCTCAGCCTTCTCTACTGATACTATACAAAACGAGCCGTCCAGGCCCGTGGAAGATGCCATGCGTGACAACATGGGCTGGCCAGCCCTTGATGACTTCCAAAAGCACCTCATGAAACTTCAACGAACCCTCGACCAGTCAATGTCCAGGTTCGTCTCCCACGAGGAACGATTGCAGCAGGAGGCCCAGGCGGAACTCAGCCGCTCCACGGGCCAGTGACGAGAAAGATGAAAGAGACAACCACCCCGCGTGGATTGTAACAAAAGAATGATTGGATATCTGTCACCATCCTTTTACGTGCTACTTCCTGTCTCTGGCCAGGGCGAGTTGATTGCCGTCTGCTCAGTTTGGTATTTCTCTGTAATATTCCAGTAATTCCCTTTGTCTGTCCTGTTTCCCGTTCATCTGCGTTTCCTTTTTCCTATTTCACAGAGTGCCGACTATATAGAGCATCCATGGCTTGAATAAAGGGGGATACCAGGTCCAATGTAGGTCCCGATACACCCTTAAAAACAAGAGGCAGGGCTGGCGGGGCGAACCACTGTGGCGTCTATGGCTTTGGCTTTGTCGATGGTGTACATTGTCTCTGATTATCATGATTCTAGTGACCTCTGCTCGGATGATGCCGAAGCCCGACCACGGCAATGGACCACTGCACACGCACACACATTGATCCAGATACGACTGGTCGAGATGATATACAAATGGTGGACTGATTGGCTTCGAGCACTTTCCAAACATAGGATATTGAACACAACACGAGTCGACCTGCTGCCGTCGCGACCGACCTTTCACGCTCCGGCCAATCCGCAAGAGCCCTACGTCCCAGTGAAACCGTGAAACCTCAACGACAGGCCGCCAGTCGAGCCTGGGGACCGGGCTTGTGATTCCAGAAGCGATGTCGACTGCCCTACCAGCGTACAGCCCGTCACACGGAAGCATGGCCGGATGGCTGGCGGTTGAAGCTCATGGTCGCATTTGGTGCCATGCGCAGGACCAATTCCAATGCCCCCGATCCTACCGGTCGGGTTGTACTGTGCGGCATAGGGTGGAGGGGGAAATGTATCAGCCGCAGGAGAATGGGATCCTTGGGATCTATCACCACAGTGCAGTCGATCGACCATGGACGATGGACGGAGGCCGCGTTGTCTGGTTCCGATCGCCACTAGCCCCGGGTTCCCAAAAGCAAAAATGCCAACCCCGGCGACTGCTCGAGAGCCAGAGGGACGTCAGTCAGGGCGGTCGATCATTTTTGATACCCGACATTTCCTTATGCAGGCACCGGCACCATTGGGGGGGGGGCTTCCGGTTGACTGGAGTTGGGACAGCAGATATCTTCCGATCGTGCATCCATCACTTGTCTCGTTTTGAGGCAAGCGCAGGCACAGAGGACAACAAACAGCTCAGTGGGGGAGATCTCAGTGGTCGGACCACGACGAATGGCACCTGCATTTGGTTGACTTGTCTGGTAGTGGAGTGTATGTAGTGTATTGTAGCACCGTACACCGCGAGGAGTGGTCAGACCTCCCCCGCCCACGGCCAATCAATGAATCCATGGACCCGGTTTCGGTTTCATCCTCTCCTGCCATGCCATGCATGCATGCTTCATGCTTCATGCTTCACTTCCCCACCGCTACCATAGTTTTTTATTTTATTTATTTTCCGCCCTGCGCAATCTTGAGACTAGTTGGGTCCCTGGAGGAGAAAAGAGAGAGAGAGAGAGAGAGGCCGGGGATATCCGAGAGAGATGAGTGTAATCACTGCCCGAGAAGAGACTAGATGAACACTAAAGAGGGGAAGAATGGAGCCCGAGAGGGGGGGGGGGGACACAATAAAGAAAGAGAAAAAGAAAAGAAGCAAAGAAAAAAAAAGAAAAAAGCGATAAACAGGCGGGATCGGGGACGTGAACAAGAAGAAGAAGAAGAAGAAGAAGGAGGAGGAGGTCGGGGAACGGGGAACGAACGAACGGGGAACATTCAGGCAGGCAGGCAGTCGTCTGGGTCTGGAAATGGAATCCGCTTCCAGGCTCAGGCTCTCAGGCTCGGACTCGGGAACGCAACGCAGGGAGTAACTAACGGAACACAAAACAGAGAGAATCATCATGTCTTCCGTCTTCTGTCTTCCGTCCTCCGGCTTCCTTTCACTTTTCTTTTCTTTTCTTTTCTTTCTTTCTTTCTTTTTATTATCATTTTCATCATCCTGATTATCTTTATCCTTCCTGCCGCTGCCTGGCAGTCTGTCGATCACCGTCATCCAGTATCTAGTACCTACCTACCTACCTACCGTACCTAGGCACTCTGTACTATACAGTAAGTAAGTAAGTAAGTAAGTAAATGGTCCCCGGGCCGCTCACTCACTCACTCACTCACTCACTCACTCGCCTGCCGCATTGAGGCGGGCTCCTAGGACATCATTGACGCCACGCCACACCACGCCTTACTCCTCCTACCCAAGTATATACATACCCATCCAGATCCAGATCCAGATCCAGAATATACTCCGTCCCCGTCCCCGTCCCCGTCCCCGTCCTGGAAGTGGGAATGGGAACTGGATGATGTGATGTGACCTCCACGGCTGCAGGGCAGGGGCTGTAAGTAAGTCTGTAAGTAACTACCAGGCGTGTGTGACAATGACATCATGGATTATTGGGGAGGAGAGGAGGTTGTTTACTTACTTACTTACTTACTTACTTACTTACTTGGGTATGTGTATTTGTGTCTTGGATGTTCGTATGTTATGTTATATTATATTATTATGATTATTGCTATTGTTACTGTTACTGTTCTTGTTACTGTTCTTGTTCTTGTTATTGTTCTTGTTATTGTTATTGTTATTATTATTGTATCTACCCGGAGAATCATCCATCATCCATGTATAATATTACAGTATTATCAAAACACATACAGTATATTATTATATAGACCCCATCAGGCCCAGCCAGGGGAATTCACTCGGGGGGGGGGGGGGGGGAGTGAATAAACAAATAAAACAAATAAATATCATTTGTTATCGTTATCAGTATTACTTATCAATCACTTCGATTGAATGAAATCCTCTCGTGCTCGCTCCCTTTCTACCGGTGAGGGGAGGGGAGGTGGGATGTACATAACCTAGGTATGTAGATGTGGTAGGACTGTTTTATTGTGTGTGTGTGTGTGTATGCCTTAGGTATGTATGAATGGGCGATGATTTAGGTATGGTAGGTAGTAGGTAGGTAGGTAGGTAGGTAAGTATACAGACAGTACTCCGTACTATCACAGTACTATCACAGTACTATTCTCATTGTATGGTCTTTGAAGAAAAAAAAAAAGAAAACGAAATACGAAAAATTGCAACAAAATAAACTCTACTCTTAAACGTGTAACGCGTACGGTGTATTTACTTGGGTGGGTTAGGTAGGTAGGTACACTACACTATTAAATACGCAAGTAGGTAGTGGAGAGAATTATCACCATCATAATCATCATCATCATCTTCATCAATTTTCCCGTCCGTCCATGCGCACTATCTAGGTAGGTAGGTAAGGTGAAGTGGAGCAGAACAGAAGAAGAAAGGACTCCGACTCCGACTCCGATTCCACTCTCCCTCCCTTCACTCTCTCTCTCGGATGGATGCGAGACGGGGAGAGGGAGAAACAGACAGAAGAGAAGGGGAAAAGATAAGAAAATAAAAGAAAGAATAAGAAAGAATCTTTCCCTTTTCGCTGGAACGGTGCAACAGAACAAGACCTCAATGACACAAGACGTGAAAAAAAAAGAAGACCCTAAGAAAGAAGAAAAATAATATAACAATCCCCATATACCAGGTAACCCGTCGCTAGAAAATAATCCTGCAAAAGAAAAAGAAAAGAGAAGAGAAGAAAAATTCATCAATGGTCAACCTAGGCCCTGCCACAAGTTTCTGTATGTGAGTGGGTGGACCGTTCGGACATGCATGTGCGAAGAAGGAAGAGTGGGAGTGAACGGTGATCCGAGAGTAAAAATATGATATGAGGGCGGCGGGTATTAAATCTGCCCCAGTGCTGAATGTTCGTTCAAGGTCATGTGTAGAAGGCGCTCTTCTGGAAGCTTTCAGGGGAGATATCGCCTGGCTTGCCCTTGGCCTCGGGCTTCTTGACCGTCTCGGTGGCGATTTCTTCCGCCGCACGGGCCTGCATCGAGTTGCTGCGTTCGGTGCCCGAGGTGATCGCCTGCTGCGGGGGTCGTCGCTGGATCGTCTCCAGGTACGGGCCGGGCAGGTAGCCGACACGGCCGTCACGAGCACGGCATCGCCACCACTCCGAGGCGTTGCCCATGGGGTCAGACTTGCCGAGCACGGCCACGATATCGCCCTTCTTCACGGCGAGGTCGATCCCCGAGCTCTCCTGCGCCTCCGGGGAGTAGTCGTAGAGCACGCGGCAGAAGTCGAGCTTAGAGGGGTCGAGCGGGGCGCCCTGGCCCTGCTGCAAGGGCTCGCCGTCCGGCCCGACCATCATCTGGCGACGCTCCTCCTGCGAGCGTGCGAGGGCTTTGATGAGCTTGCCCATCAGGTAGGGCAGACCGAAGACGGCGATAAGGAACATGAAGAACGGCTTCTTGGAGGGTTTCGGAGGGGCGGGAGAGCCGTCAGGCAGAGTGGCGGGGGAGGAGCGGCCGTTCAAGAAAGCCGCGAAGGCCGACGGGGTCAGCGCGGTCGCATCCACCGGGGGAGGACGGCCGGTCAGTTTCGCGATCAGAGTTCTGAACCAGCGGATGATAGTGAAGATCCCCAAGGCCGAGCCAAGAGTGTTGCGGAGGTTCCCGAATTGCTCGGCAACCGAGACCATGGCTGGGGTACATGAGTACACGCAGTCAAACGAGTGGGACGGACAAAAAGGCAATAGATAGTCATACCAAAGAAAGAGCTGTGAGTCGCCATGTATGTGCTCTCCAGCATCTGAGCGAACCCGCCAAAGGCACCGACGATGCTCTCGATCATCTGGAACGTGGCCTGGGTGCTTTGGCTGAACGAGTTCGTCAGGCTGTTGGGATCGTTGGGGTCACCAGGCATGCCGCCGCCGTACATCCCACCCATGCCGCCCATACCCCCCATGCCACCGTACATGCCGCCGTAGCCTCCGTAGCCCCCATACATGGAGCCCATGGAGCCGAAGCGCGAGTACGGGGAGGAGTAGGACCCGTAGCCGCCGTAGGGAGACGAGCCAAAGCGGGAAGCGCCGTAGGGCGAGTAGGTGGATGCGTTGCGATTGACGACGGAGTTCAAGGAATTGGGGCGAGAGGGGAGATCGGGGGCAGCGGAGGTGGAGGATGCGGTGGGCGTTGGGGCCGAGGCGCTGGCCGCGGTCGGGGCAGCGGATGCGGTCATGGTGGTCGGGGCGGTGGGTGAAGGTGAAGCTGTGATGGCAGAGCCTGGAGGAGAACGTGTCAATCCCGATGCATGGGCGAGGAGAGCGGTCTACATACCCGCAGCAGCGCCTGCCCTCTCCCACGGCTTAGGTGGCGAAACGGAGGCCATGGATATGCGGGAGGGGTTGATAATACCTCAGTAGTAGTGTGGCATGGAGAGGACCCCACGAGGCGGAAGCCAGTCAGCAAGACGGGGAAACGTGGAGCGATAGCACCGACTGGGGGAATGGAGAGAATGGAGACGAGAGGGGAGGGGAGAGAGGGGAGAGGGGAGAGGGGGCGAGGAAGCTCGCAGGATAGAGACAAAGCGAGGAGGCGGTGGAGATCTCGCGAGTCTCAAAAGAGGAGAAAAGCTCGGCGCGGCGCATGTGGCCCGGTTCTGCCGAGGCTTCCACTTGCCGAACTCGGCCTACTCCGTCGTCCTTAGTAATCTAGACAGATAGTTAACTAACTAACTATCTAGTTAGTTAGTTAGTCTATCTAGTTATCTACATCCTACTATCTATTATTATCTCCTGTGAGTGTCATACGGAACACAGAAAAATTAACAATTGAGAGGGATATCATGTTTCAAAAAATCTCCACCGCATCGCTCCCCCCATAATGTACAGCGGCCCAAGCCATCCAAATGAACTCCCGAGATGCATCTCTTAACGCCGACCCAACCCTGAACGGAAAAAGAAATATCCTCGACAATGCTAGCTATCTGTCTATACATGCAAAGGACCCCTGCCACTTCACACCCGCACCATTTACAGCTCTTCGTGACGCGGGGGACTGGGGCGCTTGGGGAGCTGGATCCGCCACGACCGGGGTGGCACAGGCAGTCCCAGCCAGTAGTTCCACACCCGGGAAATTTCCAGGACGCTAATCTCGAAGCTGGGAACTCACGTCAGCATGCATCCATCGAGGGGAGGATCGTTTATCCATCACTTACATCGTCTTGGGCGCGTTGATCCAGCTCTTCACCACGTAGGCGAAGGTGTCCCAGATCAGGGACAGTTCGGCCGTCATGTCGTCCCAGGCCGTGTCGGTCTCGCGGCGGATCCGCACCCGTTCCCACGGGAGCTCTTCAGTAATATAGACGAAGTTGTCCTCGTCCTCGTCGTCGTAGTAGAACGTCGACCCGCCGTCCTTCAGGAGGCGTCGCGTTTTCTTCGGGCTGCCGGGCCCGCGTTCCTTGGGCGCAATGCTGGCCGGGATCGTGAAGACCTCCCCGTCGCCCACATCCATGGCGCGGTGGAAGCTCCGGACGGCGGCGATGCTATGGGAGATGCGACCAAGGGTGTTGATCAGCGCCACCAGTTCGGTGCGGCGCAGCAACGGGTTTTCGCCGTTCTTGGTCTCGTCGTACTCAAACAGCACCTTCAAGGCGGTGCCGTATCCGTTAACCTGGAGCTTACCCCACAGGCGACACTTATCGCATCCCACGCAGTCCATCAGCCGGCTGACGTTGCGGAAGCGGTTGCGGAAGTCCTCTTTCAGCCCAATCGCGCTGGGGTCCTGGAACATCAGGTGTTCGTCGAAGATCTGTTGCCGCTCGGTCAAAGTCGAGGTCAACTGGGACATCTTGCTCCTGGTGTCAGCATCTTGCACGGGGTCACTGGTACAGTAGTTGTAGCCCTGGAGGTGCTTCTGCAGTTTCGCGACAGCCCGGGAGACCAGCGCGTAGTTGAAGTACAGGTTGGAAATCCGCTCCGGGTGATCGTGCAGCCGGTCCTTGAAGCATTGCAGGTTGGGATGCCACTGTCCCGTAGTCTGGTTGAGGTAATCCCAGCAGAGATGGGTGGAGATAGAGGCGTGCATTCCACTGATCACGCGATGGAACACTCGCTTCTCCAAACACTCGTTATCCAGATCAAGTAGGTCCGGGCGTTTCAACTCCTGCTGGAGCACGTTGCGGAAGTCATGGACAGCCTGAATACCGCCCAACGGGGGGGCAGGTGACAGTCCCGGGGACGGCTTGAGAAAGCAGTTCTCACGGTAGATCGAGTCCCAGACCTGGCGGGATCCCATGCCAGCGTACCCCGTAAACCTTTCCGGGTTGTCCACGAGACTGACATAGTCACCCTTGCTGCTCGCCCCCTCGTCCTCGGGGACACAGTAATCCCGCTCGTCACATTCGTCGTCGTATTCAAACACACAGCTCTCCCCGACGTTCTCTCCCAACATGCCCTGGAGTGGCCGGTGGTTGGGCCGCTCCTCCTGTGCTTTGCGCCCCGGGTGGCCCGCCTTGGGGCCCTCGAGTTTACTCAGCTCCTCCGCGCGCCACGTTAACGGGATGTCTTCTTCGGAGTCGATTGTGTTCACCGAGCACGCGATGTTCCCGCACATGCTATTCGCATCGGACCAGAAGGGGCAGACTTTGTTGAAGAGGTTGAGGCGGTAGTAGGAGAAGAAGTCGGTTTCTTGCGTGATGGATTGGAGGAGAGTGTAGACTTGGTCGTTCAGTTGGTCGATGGTGGCGTAAGAGACGCAGGCGTCGGACACCATGGCGGAGGGGTCAATCTAGGGAAAACCCAGGTGAATTAGCCAAGCCCCATCTTTGGTTTCCCAGGAAGGATCAAATCGGGGCGTGGGATCGAATACTCACAGCACATTTGTCCTGGTTATGGTGCAGGCCCGTCTCGGCATTGGCAAGCCGCGACAAGGCAAATATTGCCAAATGGAAGAATTTGGCCGCGGAGCGCATCTTGGATCCGGCGGAACAAACACAGCAGTAAAGGTAGGGATGGGATTGTATACACTCGGGGAGGGAAAACAGGGAAAAACAATGGGATGGGATAACTATAACTAGCCAAGACAGGGTCTGGTTGGTAAGCAAACAGGGTCGTTCACATGAAGATCCGCGAGGGATCCGCAACGGTGGTCAACAACAATCGAGCAGATCAGATCAAATGGCAGTTCGGGTTCTCAGGTTCCCTGGAGGACAGAGAGGCAGTTCTAGTTCCAAAACTGGTCGCGCAGAAGAAGAGAGTGAGCGATGCGACAACGGGCCCGAGTGGAATGAGGGGGGGAGTCTTGAAGGAGAGGCCGTCGCGAAGTGGACAAGCTGGCCTTCGTTGGTGGCGCGGAGTTGGGCGAGTTGCATGATCCGCATGTAGTCATCAATAGGCCCTTGAGTTTCATTTCCTCCCCTCTCCTCCTTTCATCCTCCCCCCACCACTACCACCACCACCACCACTGCCGACTCCTCCCCAGTCCACCCATCCGGTCTAGAACTCGTCCACCGTCTGGTTGTCTGGCTGTCATGTTCCACTCTGTGCCTCGATTCGGTCTGGATTCTGTCTGTTGTCTGCCGTCCACTGATAAGCGGCGATTGGGCTAGTGCCTTGTTGATGAGGCCGTCGGGCCACCCGACTGCAAGAACCGACTGACTGACTGAGGAGTGAAATTAAGGGGGCGTGAGGAGCTTCATGCTAGTCATTGTCGGAATATCTCGATCGGCAGGACACCGGATCGATATAGTAACAGTCGATCGGTGGCTTGACATGTAGCCGGTTCCTGGATTTTCCTGATATTTCCGGTTCGCCAGCGAAAGTAGTCATCGATGAACGCCAATGCACCGCCGTTGCTATCGACCGGTTGGTTAACAGACCAGACAGGATTGGCGATAGTGGAGACCCTTGGGCTTGTTCCTGCATTTTGCAGAGAAGTGCTCTCTGTTTCAAAAGTCATCCAGTGTCACACTGGCTGTTCGGCTTCCCATAGAGCTACAGATCTACTGTCGGGCCTTTGACGGAATCCCCTTCGACTGAAGTCGCGCGTCGAGAAGGGTCTTATTATTCGATGCTGGTTCATTCACTGATTGTCTTACGAGCCTATAAACCATAGAAGCTGCGTGTCTATTACCAATCCACTAGAAGGAGCTGCGTCTGCCCTTAATGCTCAGCCCCCCCTGGCTCGGCCTTGATTTGCTCGCAGGTAGAGACTGGGCAGACGTTCCCAACCATCGCTTTAAATTAGGTCCCGGTTTCTCCGCAGACATCTCAGCCTCTGTTCCCTGATCCTCAATCTTATGCATATACTGTTGCGCTTGCTCTTCTATTTCATCCATGTGCTTTTGGGCTTGTTCTTCCATCTCCTTCATACAATCGTCGGCTGTGATGCATACGTCGGTCTTACTATCGTCAACGTGCTCGCTAAATTCAGTTTTGTGCACTTCGCATTCATCCAAGACCCTGTCACAACACTTGCTTAAAGCACTGTCGACGGTCTCCTGAACAATTTCCTTCAGAATATGTGTTTCAAGGATGGATTTGATCTTCGCTTCGATTACGCGTTCGAGGTGACGTTCGATCAATTCGATCTTGGTCACAATGGCTTTCTCCGAATCAGAGAGGAAATGACCCTCTAAATCATCAGATATGGCCGGTAGACATCGACATACTAAGCGAATCAATAATTTGCGGATCAAACCATCGGAAGCACCACAGAGCATATGCTCAAAACGCGCAAGTGTGTCACGCTCCGTGCGTTTTGGAGAGGAATGACGCGTAAAGTCGGTTGGTCGGATCGCGGCCGGTGAAGGGGGGGGAGGACTCGGTGTATTGACTTCGGTAGGACAGCATGGCGATTCTGGGGATATTAAGAGCGGTCGTTTTCGTCCGTCATCCTCGGGTGGTAATGAAGAGTGGTCTACAAACAATTAACAAACTATTGTAGAAGATAAAGTACAGAAGAATATTGGATTTGAAGGTACCTCGGGGCCGTTTCTCACCCGCACGGGCTAACTTAGATTTATCATGATATGGGGGTGGATTCACTTGCTGCACCCGTTCGGACGCAGACTCCTCATAATCAGGCGGTTTATCAAGCCATACACTCAGATCCTTCCAGCGTCTTTCGATCCGGCCCTGGCGGGCCTCATCGAAAGACACCGCCTTAAGGTTTTTTGTCCTTAAACCATGGACAAAGGTCCTCAGTATACCGAGTTCGCAATCCCTGAATTGTTGCCGACCGAAATAGATTCGTAGAGACTTGAACTCACAAATCCTTGCAAAAGCGGCGAAATTCAAGTCACTATGCGCTGCAGGGAGGCAAGACGGCAGATTAGACGGGCAAAGAACAGTCTCCTCCGCAAGCGCCCGATCAAGTTCTAGAATAAGTAATGAGACGTCCCGAACATTCTTTGCCCTTGTCTGGAGTCTTGTAACAAAATATTCTGGACATAGTGTTTCGTCGCTTACCAAGATTAACCTACACGTTTTGACTGACTCCGGAGAGATTCTGAACAAAAGTGAATTTTGGCCGCTCGAATTACCCGACTTTGCGTTGATACCGAGGGAAATGCATCCTTGATTAGTATGTTTATGATAGGCAAGACGAAGACTAGCCACAGAGGGATTGTCAAGAGTAGAAGTAGAAACAAGAACTTTCTTCACGCCTGTAGCCCACGGTGTTTTTGTCGATAATTCGGTCATGATGCTGTTGCGAGGAAATCGAGATCGAAGAGAAACCCTCGACGAATCGAGTTGCCCTCCCACCCGGGCTTTGAAACAATGAAAGCAGCCCTGACTTGAGTAATGTTAACGGAAGATGGAGATGACGAAGAAAGAGTAAAGTTGTAGAAGCCGTTGCGGCCTGGTCACGAGTACCTGCCCAATCCGAAATCAACAAGTGAGATCAGAGAGTCCTATGAGAACACAGGAATGGCAGGCCTGGCGGCGAGTACGGCAAGCAGCTAATACTTTCTCTTAAGTGGGTATAATGTGACAGCAAGAGGGAGGGTAGAGCTGAATAGGTGGTTGCCTGACAGCGAGAAAGGAGAAAGGGTACTATTTGCGAAGATGGGGAAAGGGGAAGAGAGAGTATAAGAGGGCTGGGAGGGGCGGGATTGACTAAAACTACAACACGCTAAGCCGCCTTTAGCTAGCGCATGTTAGTAAGCTCCGACTACACCTGCCGGCAGTAGCTGACCGCCTGTCATACTAGTAATTTGTATAACCATCTGTCCTTCCTCCGCGGCTGCAGTCCTTCAATATCATCAAAACAATCAATTTTTATCAATTTTTATATTATTTCTGAGCCTGCCTAATCTAGCATTTTTGAAGCCATACAACCTCTCAAGTTAGAACCCCTACCCTGTATCTTGAGATGATCTCTCAGCTGACCAACTGCCTTGCTTTGTAGGTTGCCGGTGCAGTGAGAGATCAGTGAGTGAGCAGGAGCAAAGAAGGAGCAGTCACGTGCTGCCCTCACAAAAGCGGCGGCACCCGTATAAGGCAAGCGGACGGATTCCAGTAATGGAGCTACTACTATACACTTCAATGCATTATCAAATGACCAATGAGAGACAGTCGGACAATAATAACACAGACCTAGTCCCGGAAGACTAGACTAGACCCATTTGGTTGCGTGATCCCTTCAATGATGCAACCTGGGCCGATATCTCCACAGACTGGTTCGCTTCCTCAGGCATACAGGCACCCCAGGTCTAGACTGGGCCAACTGGCGGGTACACAAACTTGTACGGTCGTGTCGTACCTGACCAGACCCACACGTCACGATCGACACGCGTAGCTCCCCTTCCTCTCTCTTCATCTTCCTCTCTTCCTCACCCGTCAACCAACCTTCCACCAACACTCCCCTCAAAATGTCCACCATCACCCCACCCCCAGTCACCCTCGTATGTCTCCCTCCCCCTCCACAAGAAACCAACCCCTCTCAAGGAAGCCCCCCCCCCAACAACTAACCTCCACAGGAAGATCTCCACGCCTTCCAGGCAAAACATTTCCCGGGGAGCGTCCCATCCCCCGCGTACCAGGAGCAGCCCCTAGAAGAAGAGCAACAAGAAGAATACTACGAAGAAGATGATGATCTGGGCTACTATCCCGACGGGGCGAAGCGAACCCTCACGGACGAACAGATCCGGATTTTCAGACACAGCGAGGTCCATGCTCTACTGAGGGAGAAGCAGCTGCGGGAGGAGGCGGAGGCGGAGGCGGAGGAAGAAAGGGAACAAGCACGGCTGGATGCAGCGGCAAAATTGGAGAAACATTCTAGTGCAGCTGCAGAGGGCAAGACTACGACTTTGGCGGCAGTGGCATCGAGTGGTGTCGGCGGTACCCAGGCTCGGTCTTTGAAGCAGACCCGCTCGGAGGAAGATACTGCCATGAATTATGGAGATGAGGATGTCTCTGTCGCTGCTCCCTCGCGATCTTACGAGGAGTCTTCCTCTCGACGCCCTTCGCAGTTTGCGGGACGGAGGATAATCTCGTATGAGGATTGAGGGTCTCGTGGTGGATTGGATTGCCCAGTTACACTTGGTTATCCGCCTACGAACTTAGTGTGCATGAGCGCTCCTGGCCTTGGGCTCTTTGGCTTGGTGAGTTCCTCCTATCTGCTCCCCTACTGCCCCCCCCCCCCCCCCCCCCTACACCAATGATGAAAACATCGTATCAGTCATCCTTAGTCGGAGGCCATACCATCTGCGGATGCGTAAGGCAATGTCGACTTAATCTTCTCTCTGAGGTTCTCCTCTTTAATCGCTGGTCGGAATTGACTACATGACCCTATGCTGACTGTCTGCGTCAATTAGACTGTCCTTGCCAAGCAAGGGCCATGCTTGATGCTACATGCCTCGTTTCAGATCACCCAAACGTCAAATCGCGATCGCCCTTTGTCTAGGAATGAAAGACCAGAATATGGCGATCCCCACGAGCAGTCCTAGCATGATGGGCTGCAGAACTTGGACGCCAGCCTGAGAGGCTATCGCTCCGGTCATGAAAGGGAATGCAGCGGACCCAGCTTGTCCTATGCTTGCAGTGAACCCTGTCGGAGTCAGCATAGGAGCCACGTCATGGAGAATCGACACTCACCCATCGCCCCGACATGAAGTTCCTGGGGGATCACCTTGGTAAGGACATAAAGCCCAACCGGGTAGAACGGGCCGATGAAGAATCCTGATCATCTGTCAGCCCGAGTCCTGGATCTATGATATGCCTTTCACTTGTCCGATAGATGAGTGCGATTACTGACCCAAAAAGCACACCGTAACTGCGTTGACAATAATGTCTGGAACCACCCAAAACAGAATCTGCATCACCACAGCCAGTGCAGTATAGATGAACACCATTCGCCGTTCACCAAATCGATGTGTGATGTCTGCCAGGGCAACCCGGCCGAGAGTAAACCCGGTCCAGAAACCAGAGGCGATGTAACCGACCTTCTTGGGGTCACCGTTCCTCACAGACACGAGAAATTGGACAAGCCAGCCTAGCGTTTATCAGCAAGGGGCCCTTCTCGCTTCAAGCTCAGACGTACCTCCAGCAGTTACCTCCGCGCCAACATATAGGAAAAAAAAGCCGTTGAAGATCCAAACCGTCCGGTTGGACATCGTATCCCTGAGCTCTTTGCCGGCTGTGTCTTTGGCATTGCTTACGTTCGGACTGAAAAGCCCTTTTCTGAACGTCCACACCAGGGACGAGATATTCACTGCTCCAAGAAGCAAGGTCAGCAGGTAGTAGTAATGCCAAACCGGGATCCGCGAGGCAATCGTGTTAGCGATCAATGGGCCGAGCACGGTCCCAACGCCATACACGGCATGTAAGATGCCCAACCACCGATGCGCATCCTTGACGGTGATGATAAACATGTTCACTTGGGCATCTTGAAACGCCACGCCGCAACCTGTGAAGAAGAACGCCGCCACGAACAGGGGAAAGGGCGGGCTCCAGAACATCAAGGCGTAACCCATACACTGGATCGATGCGCCCAGAACTAGTGTCCCGCCTGTCCCGATGTAGGAGCACACATGGATGTTGGCGAAGGAGGCGATGACCCAACCCGTGAAGTTCACCAGGTAGATCATGGAGACCTGCAACAGGCCCACCTGGTACGTCGGCTGAATGTAGGGGATCAGAACCCCCAGAGAAGCGTCTGCACGGAGTCCCTGGTCAGCCTCGTTTCCTGGACCATCAGCTCAACTGATGTTTACAGGGCAGGCACACCGTTCAGTCCGGCCATCAAAGCGGCAAAGTTGGTACTGAAGATCTTGCTCTTCACATCCCGGGCGCTCTTGGGGAGTAGAAACGAAGACTCCGTTGCCGGATATGTCTCATCCTGGGCATTGGGGCCATGCTCGGTGTCTCTGTTGTCGCCCATGTTGATGGCTCTCGTTCGATCGACCGATCAGTTGCATGGAGGTGGTAGACGGCCTCCGGGTCGGGGCCCTTATATGAGAGGGTTTGTGGCCTGTCGTCCGTAATCCTTGGCCGGGCCGAGCTATGTGGGCATTGGCCGTGGGAAATCGCGGCTAGGCTGCAATCCCCAGCTGGTGGAGGGGTAATCCCATGCACATGTCGGTGAGCAGGACAGGGTCTTCAAGCCTGTGGCCCGGGATTAAATCCGATGCGATAAGGGAGGAGGGACTGACTGTTCTGGGGGTTGGTCTGTGTTGGTCTGAGCAGAGAGCAGGTTGGAAGAAGAACATCCCCTTGACCTGCCTATTTGGGCAGTCCAGCCAGCAGCTGAGCCCGGCTGTTGCTGCTACTTGCGTCTTGCTAACCACTCTGGGTTAAGCCATCAACGCCTCGGGGCTAGTGCGGGGAAGGACCTTCCAAGTGCCAAGTTCCAATGGTCGGTGATGCACAGGTAGCTCCTTGCCAATTATTGCCCTGGGCATTGGTAATCTTCGGAGCCCAGGCCACTTCTCGATGCGAAGATCTTCATGGCAGTGCTGTGCTCAACAGCCTTGCCGCTTCACTTCCACTCATGGGTGAGCACGGAGAACTGTTCTACCTGTTCTACGGGGTATATCAGTTTACCGTGGGATCAATCAACTCGTGCTCTCTCATGGGCATATTTCCCGATAATCCCATCTGGCTACCCCATACATGCCATGAGACACTGATATAAGCTAAACGGGCCCTGAAAAGTCATCCCTATAACCCGCCGTTTCCCGATGAATCCAACCCCGCTCAGAAGGCCATGTCTTTCCGTGACTACCCGGCCTTTTCTTTTCTGAGCATTACGGTCAACACGGGAGGGAGTCTCCAAGCCTCCTCCTGTCTGGGGTACGGGGTATGTCGTTGGCCCAATGCGCTTTAGTAATTGTACTGCCCTACTCGAACAAGGGGATGAGTGTCTATGATTAGTGGAGCCTTGAAGTTATAACGTATTGGTGAGTAGACTGAGATCCACTCGTGTCAATTCCTTGACTAATGGAAGACCCTCAGGGTTGAAGAGAGGGGTCACCCCGGGTTCTCCAGCATTCTGCACAGAAGCGCCGTTGGAATGTTCTAGGATGGAGTTTAATAGGGGTTGGTGCGAGAGAGAGAGAGAGAGAAATGGATGGGTCAGAGTCAACTAGATAAATCATCAGATGATACGGACAAAGCCCAGCCAGGACAGGGTACTGGGCGGATTATAGACATGGATGGATGTCTGCAGAGTCGAAATGCCGCTGTTGCATTCGTCGATGCCGGAGCAGATCATTGGCCGGGAACAGTGCAACGTTGACGGCAGTGGGGGCCGTCGGGACCGCTGAGTGGCCGAGCCAAGCCAGGAGGAGGGCGGGAGGACTCCGCTGTGGGTCCGGGCTTGGCATGGCCTTGCCTGTTGGGGACTCTGGAGGGCTGGGATGTCACTTGAGTTCCTGGTGATGGCCCCGTACACACTTGCGTGATCGGGTCCCCTGCATTCCCATGGGAGCTGGTGTTACTACTGGCTCAAGGTGGTCGATTACGGAAATCTCCGCGCCGTATGCAGATCAAAGTTATGTTATCGAAATGACGAGAATGCGGTTATTCGAGGATAGCGCCTCCAGCTCACGATCAGAGAGGGCCCAATGTCTCGAGATTCTGTAACTCCACGCAGAAACAGGTCGGGCTTGACTGTTATCGATTGAAAGTGGACTCTACTCCATCTCGATCCAACATTCCCGACAACTGCACCCATGACCACCCATGACTACGCCGAGGGAACCAGAGACCCCGGAACCCTTAATCGCTTCTTCTCCAATCAAGGCACTGATCATTGTCGGCAGGATACGGCCGTTTGGGGACTCCCAGCCAGATCGGTTTTGGTTACGTCTTCGATTGCCCTCGCGGCTGGCCCCACCGAATGCATGCAACATCCAGGCATTGCCGAGGAATGGAGAGCCCGCAAGAGCCCTATCGATCCTGAATCACTCGCCCATGTCGCCATCTTAACCTTTCCATCTCCTCCGTCCGGGGTTAGCCAGCCGTTCATATATCCAGGTCGACGGAAGCTTTGCTTCCTCCCACTCGCACGCCCTCAACTGCAGTGCACCTCTTCCTGCCTCTCGTCCGATTCGACGCGGTGCCACGATGAATCCGTACGAGGTCAACGCCGCGCCCCCCACGACCGTTGATCTGGATCTGCATTTGGAACCGGAGCTTTCAGAAGGCAAGACCGAAGTCGCCGAGCAGACCTCCCTGGACTCGGTTGAGAAGAATGGCCTCACCCTCCCTTACTCCCCGGACGCCTTTGGCGACGAGGAGTTCGCGGAGGTCAAGTACAAGGTTCTGAAGTGGTGGTATGTGCGCCTTTCCATTTTCCCAGGCCATCTCGCATCCATGCATGCATGCTAATCAATCCCAGGCAATGCGGCCTCCTCATGGTGGCCGAGACGGTGTCGTTGGGGGTGCTGTCTCTACCCGCAGCCGTCGCCGGCTTAGGGCTAGTCCCGTATGTCCCTTGCAAGCCCTGCTGCCTCCCCGGGAGGTTGGTCGTCCGTCTACTGACATCACCACCCAGTTCGGTAGTCATCCTCGTGAGCCTGGGTGCACTGGCCACCTACACCGGCTATGTTATCGGCCAGTTCAAGTGGAGGTATCCGCAGGTCTGCAACATGGCCGATGCGGGTGAGGTGCTCGCCGGCCGCTTTGGTCGCGAGCTGCTGGGCAACGGCCAGATCATCTTCCTGGTCTTCATCATGGCCAGCCATCTGCTGACCTTTACCATTGCCATGAACGATCTGACCAACCATGGGACATGCTCTATCGTCTTTGGGGTCGTGGGCTTGGTTGTCTCTTTCGTCTGCACGATACCGCGCACCCTGGCTAAGATGTCGTGGCTGTCGCTGGTTTGTACGTCACCATCACCCTCACCCTGCCCCATCCCTTCATCGGTGGAACCCAACTAACCAGAACAGCATTCGTCAGCATCCTCGCAGCCGTGATGGTCACCATGGTCGGCGTCGGCATTCTCAACCCTGATAACGTGGTCGAAGCAACCGTCAAGACCAACGTCTACCACGGCTTCACAGCCGTCAGTAACATCGTCTTCGCTTTCTGTAAGCAACAACTTCCCTCCATCTCAGCCACACCTCCCCGGACCCACCCCATCCATTCATCTCATCTATCTAACCATCCCTCCCAGCCGGACACGCCGCCTTCTTCGGCCTCGCTGCCGAACTCAAGAACCCCGCCGACTTCCCCAAAGCCCTGGTCCTACTCCAAAGCGTCGATATCACCCTGTACGTCGTCGCCGCCGTCGTGATCTACTGCTACGGCGGATCCACCGTCTCCTCGCCAGCATTGGGATCCGCCGGCCCGGTCGTATCGAAAGTCGCGTACGGCATTGCTCTTCCAACCGTAAGTCCGAATTAAACAACATATCAGCCCCTCCCCCCCCCCTCCCCTCATTCCCACCTTCCTCTTGAAGAGTATACAAAGCGTGATATTACTGATTGTAACTGATTGTGAGTAGATCATCATCGCCGGCGTCATCAACGGCCACGTTGCGTCAAAATCCGTCTACGTCCGCCTGTTCCGTGGCACAGACCACATGCATAAGCGCACCTGGAAGGCTGTTGGCTCTTGGGTCGGTATTGCACTTGGATTGTGGATTGTGGCGTGGATTATCGCGGAAGCGATCCCGGTTTTTACGAATTTGTTGAGTTTGATTGTATGTTGTGACCCGGACATTTCTTCATCTGTTATCACCTACTGTGTGTTATCTGTCGTATATCATTTTCCCTGAGGGAACCTCATCAACACACACACACACACAGAGAGAGAGAGAGAGAGAGAGAGAGAGTGAGAGTGAGAGAGAGAGAGAGAGAAAGCTAACCAATCTCCTCTTACAGACAGCCCTCTTCGCCAGCTGGTTCACCTTCGGTCTCTGCGGCATCTTCTGGCTCTTCATGAACCGCGAGGATGGGCGGTGGCGCTCCTCGCCGAGGAAACTCGCCTTGACGGGTTTGAATCTGTTTGTTGTTGGAATTGGGGGGTGTTTGGTTCGTGTCTCTTCTTTTCATCCTCCTCTTCTTCTTCCATTCTTCATTCATTCATTCTTCTCTGCTGGTTAAATCCCTTTCCACGCTTTGTATTTCGAATGAAATCATACTTCATACTAACAGATTGTTGGTTGGTAAAGTGCGGTCTAGGTCTCTACGTCTCCGGAAAAGCCATTCACGATAACCCGAGTAATGCCAGTTTCTCTTGCGCGAGTAATCTTTCTTGAGGCCCTCCGTCTCTCCGCACACTTCCCTCTCTGGCTCTGCATGCTTGCCACTACTCTCCCTTTCTTTTCTTTTCTTTCGATTCTATTTTCTTCTAGTCTTGTCTTGTCTTGTCATGGTTATACACCTATCCGCGATTCTCATTCTTGCGCGCATGATCACCTCGGAATGAGCATGTTGGTTTTATTGGGATTGGGCTGGATGGATGGATGGATGGATGTCTACATTCTTATACTAGCATTTCTCTTCTCCTCTTGGTTGGATTGTTCATAGGACAAGGAAGGAAGGCAAGGCGGTATACACGAAGGCTGTACATATCTATCTCATGGACTTGATTATATTATATCACTTAGTTGTTACTTTAATTTACCTTACTTTAATTCTTACTGTTAAGTAGGTATACTAAGGCAAGACAAGACAAGGAGAATGGTAATGATTGGTCATGGTGATGGTAATGGTATATAGATAGATAAATAGATAGATAGAGAGATAGAGAGAGATAGATAAATGAACCCAACCCAACCCGCCTTGCAGAAAACAGCCCACGCACGCTCTTCTAAACAAGGAAATCACAGAAGTAGCAAAGAAAGACAGAGAAAGAAAGAAACAAAAATGGTAAAGAAAGAGAAAAGAAAAAAAAAGAAAAGAAAAGAAGGAGGGTAGTGAAGAAAGAAGTGAGGGAAGGAGGGAAGGAAGGAAGGAAGGAAGACGCTAAGGTAAGTAAGTCTGCGATGTAGTAAAATACAAACTAGTGACTAAAGTAGTAAGTAGTGACTAGTGGGGTAGGTAGGTAGAAACATAGGTAAGCTAGCTAGCTAGCTAGGTAACTTAGTTAAGTGAGGTAGGTATGTAAGAGGTGGGAGTAGGTAGGTATGTAGTAGGTAGTAGTAAGGTTAGGGTAGCCAGCCTACGGACTAAGACCCCACACCTCGCCCTGACTCCCACTAGCCCTGCGCATCCTGCGTCTCTTGCGACGACACGAGTCGATGGCTTCCGCGGTGAGGATGTCCGGCGGGAGCGAGAACTCCTGTTCCTCCATGTCCGGGATCGGGTGGCCGAAGGCGAGTCGGGTGCGGTTTTTGCGGTGGGTCGTGGAGAGGGCGAGTTCGCGGAGATGGGGTTTGGCGTAGAAGGAGGTGAAGGGTTTGAGGGGCTCGGAGGGGGGTGGTGGAAAGGGCATGGGGATCGGGGCCGGGGGCGGGGGCGGCATGGTGGAGGATGATGATGATGATGATGACGGTTTTTTGGACGAGGAGGTGGAGGCTGATGTGGAGGCGGGTTTGAATTTCTTGCCGGATGTTGCGGCGGTGGTGGTGGTGGTTGCGGAGCGGGCCTCCTGGTGGAGTTGGCGGGCTGCCCAGGCGTCCACGTCGTTGGGATCGGGGGGGTCGCCGTAGCTCTGGGCGTCGGAGAGGGTGGCGATGCCACTGTCGCCGGCGGCTTCTTCGTCATCGTCATCGTCGTTGGTCTCGGGGGTCTCTTTGTTCTGATCTCGGCCGTCCTCGACTTCGACCGGCTTGTCCTTCTCCAGCTTGCGCCGTCGCTCTTCTTCTTTCCAGATCTTGAACTTTTGCAGCACGGCGGAGATCTCCCGGATGAAGTAGCTGCGTTTAGACTCGTAGTGCTTGCGTTCCGGGTCGGAGATCAGCCCCGTGATGCCCATGACGCGGAGCCAGTCGTGGCCTTGGAGTTCGTCCAGCAGGCGGTCGAGGTTCTGTTTTTCATGCTGGGCACGGTCGCGCTCTATGTTGCGGAGTTGTTTCTCTTGTCGTTCATTGCGCCGGTGTGGACGGAAGTAGGTGTCTTCGCTGAGGGGGTCGGTGGCGGAGGGAGGTTCGGAGGTATTCGATTCGGGAGTTGGGTGTTCGGCTTTCATGGGAGGATCAGGGAGGGTGATGGTTTCGCAGTTGTGGAGGTTGAGGAGAGGGTTTCCGAAGGGGAGGTCGGAGTCAGCGCCGGCGTCTAGGGAGGATGGGGTGAATGGGGCGGGGAGGTCGTCGATTAGTTTGAGGGTGGTGTTGCCAGCGAGGAACTCTGGCGGTACGTGTTAGCGGAGCCTAGGCAGGAAAGATATCCCAGGTCGTCATTACCTGTCTTTGGAGGCTCCAAACTGAGGAGTTCCTCGTAGTTGGGGAAGTATAGAGCTAGCTCGCTGCGCGCGCGGGAGCCGCCATCGTGGGAGCGGAGGGAACGCCGTGACTCGCGCGCCGCGGGGGCCTGCTCTGCGGGCTGCTGGGCAGCGGCATTCCGGGAAGACCGACTCGGCTTCTGCTCTGATGAGGCAGAGACAGCGATCTCCGGCCGGGTGGGTGTGGAAGCAATCTCGATCTCGGTGGTGTCAGCGGCCGGGGCTGGGCGGCGCGGGCGACGGGCGGAGGCGGCGGCGGCGGCGGAAGGTCGCCCCGCAGGGGACAACCTCCGCAGAACGGAGGCCTTCTTCGTCGCGGAGGGCGAGATTGTGTCTAGCGGGTCGGGAGACTCGCGATTGGCGTGCAGATAGAGCGGCGCCGGGGTGGTGGCGGGGATGGAGTCATTGCGGAGGATGCGGCGGTCGGAGGAGGGGGAGGTGGTGGTGGTGGTCGGTCGGGGGGTGGACGGAGAAGGCGAGCTGGCCAGCGGGCGGCGCGCTGAAGTCCGCCGGCGCAGGGGCTGGTGGTGCGACGAGCCGGAGAGCTTGCGGTAGGGCGAGGTGGCGGCGGACGGTTCAGCAGCGCTGCTCGTCGTGTCCAGCAGGTCCGGAGAGCTGCGGCGGCGTCGCGAGGCGGGCTGGCTGAGGCGAGGGCGCTTGGACGGAGGTTGGACGTCGACGTCAAGCTGGTCGGGGGCGCCGTTGGGATCTCGTCGCAAGGAGACGCGGACAGGCATCAGGGTGGTGGAGGTCATTCGGAGGGGCAATTGGGGCGTGGGGGTGATAGGCATACGGGGGCTCGCACACACGAGGCCCATCGGAGATGAGGTCGAGCAGGGAGGCGAAAGGCGTGGAAGCAGAGGACGGGGAAGTGGAAGCTGAAGCTGAAGCTGCAGCCCGAAGATCTCGAGGTTCCTGAAGCTGCGCGTGTTTGGTCGGGACAAGACCGTACGGGACGGTATGTGACGGCTGCCGCCACAGCACGACTTGACCCTGTACGGTCACTCCATGGTACCGGTCAGAACAGATACCAAAGACAGGACAGACAATACAGACAATACAGACAATAAATACCCTTTCATCGGGAACAGCCCTTCAATCATCCATCTCCCTCTCTATTGATTCATTCCCTTCACTGCCCTATTGTCTATTCTCCATTCTCCCTCATCCCCAGCTGCAGTCTTAATGCATACATAGTACATACACCCCTCACAATCCACATCCACCTATGCACCCCTGCGCAGTTCCCCCTCGCATTTCTCCGACCTCTCCATAGTCCATGGTTCCATCCAGAACGTGGGGGTGACGTTGGCCCTGCAGCAGCTGGCTGCAACGGGGCAGTTGATGCGAACAATTAACTATGACCTATTACGCACAACCTATGCGGTTTCAACAAATGAAAGCACCGCCTGTGCCAGAGGATCGTCCACGCCGTGGGGTGCGTGGGGGTATCCTCGGCTCGCATCCCACGATTGATATCGAATGGCATGGCTTGGGATGGAGTCAGAGTCAATCGGGTCGAACTCCGACGGTCCATTGGAATCAGACACTGCCTATAAAACAACACAGTTCAATCCCCTCTTCCCCTCCCCTCTCTTGCACTCGTACTATCCCTCTTGTCCCTCACTGTCTCCCCTCCCATCTATCTATACCCCATCCATACAGACTATAGTATATACTCCTCCCACCCATCCATATTCCATACATTGATTAATCTATACTCCTATACTCCTATACTCCTATACTTCCATACTTCACGCCCACCCACCCAGACAAACCCACCAACCAACGACAATGACCAACACCACCCCACCCCCCCTCCGCCCCGGAATCTACGTCCCAACCCTAGCCTTCTTCCACCCGGACACCGAAGACCTCGACCTCCCCACCACCACCACCCACGCCACCTCCCTTCTAAACGCCAACGTCCCCGGCCTCGTCGTGCAAGGCAGCAACGGCGAAGCCGTGCACCTGACCCCATCCGAACGCAACGCCATCACCCGCACCACCCGCGACGCCATCACCGCCCACCCCTCCGCCCTCTCCACCCCACTGATAGTCGGCTGCGGCGCCGCCTCCACCCGCGAAACCATCCAACTGTGCCGCGATGCCGCCGCCTCCGGCGGCGACTACGTGCTAATCCTGCCGCCGGCGTACTACAAGTCCCTCCTCACGCGGGAGCACATCCTCGCGCATTTCCGGGCCGTCGCGGACGCCTCCCCGCTTCCGGTGCTGCTGTATAATTTCCCGGCGGCGGCCGGGGGCGTGGATCTGTCGTCGGATGAGATTTTGAGTCTGGCCGAGCATGGCAATATTGTCGGGGTGAAGTTGACGTGTGGGGATACGGGGAAGTTGGCGAGGGTGGCGGCCGGGGTGCAGGGGATGGAGAAGGGGGCGTGGGCGGGGGCTGGGGCTGGGGCTGGTGGGTTCAGGGTGTTTGGGGGCTCGGCGGATTTCACCCTGCAGACGCTGGTGGCGGGTGGGGATGGGGTGATTGGCGGCGTGGCCAATTTGATTCCTAGGTTGTGTGTGCGGGTGATGGAGTTGTATGGGAAGGGCGAGGTGGATGAGGCGAGGAGGTTGCAGGCCGTGGTGGCCAGGGCCGACTGGCAGGCTATCAAGGGCGGGTTCGTCGCTGTCAAGGCTGCGCTGCAGGTTTTCCGGGGGTATGGAGGGCCGCCGCGCAGGCCGTGTGTTGGGCCCGGGGTGGAGCAGGTTGCGGTGTTGAAGGAGGCGTTGGGGGAGGCGATGGAGTTGGAGTGGGATCTGGAGAGGGATTGATCTATGTTTGGTTGGATTTCATGGCGAGGTTGGGGGCACTGCTTTAGTGGGAGGTTTTGGAGGTTGAGTTAGGGCTCGGTATATGGTAGCCGTCAAGATCTGGTTGCTGAATGTGAATATTTACTACTTCCATAGCTAGACAATACAACCATATCTCAAGAAGATGAATACACCACGATGTGCCACCAGCTGATTAGCAACTGTCAGCACTCAAAACGACACTATCTCTCCTCTACAATGCACCTCATATCAGAGTCCAGAGCAAACAATGAACCGGCTAAACTCAAGTATTGCTGTGCGAACTGACGCTGGACTGGAAAGCGCCAGTCAAGTGGATAGATATATCGCGGGGTATGTGACTGAAGCAGAGGGTGTCAGTGTCAAAGGTGAGTAAGTGGCAATGGATCACTCACTCACGACCTCATGCATCTTTTCTGAAATGCTGCTAGGAGTACTCAACCATCCAAAGTACCTCAAGAAATCAGAAAAGATGAACATAAGCTTCAACAGGGCTTAGGACACCTATAACTGCTATACCGCCACTTGTCAGACTATATTTACAGGCAACCGCCAAAAGGCACCATATCCTTGCCGCAACTATCCTCTGCGTCGACCTAGTCCACGACAACGGCTTCAGGCTGCGAACGGAACATCCATGCCTGGGGTAGAGAGAGAGCCGCGGGGTTTCGAAATCTCGCGGCCCTGCAGCGAACGGAGAACCAAGGAAATATGGGAGGAGCTTGGTCACAATCCGATCAACGCTGCTTCATGCCCAGGGTATACAACTGAGGCACCCCTTCCCTCCTCTGGACGCTCTTCCCCATGAAAGCCCGGACGCCAACCCCCTCCCGCCAATGAGCCAAATCCACCGGCTCATCCCTCGACGCCATCGACGCCTCCCAGAGCACCCTCGCATCCCGACACTGATGCACCGACCCTTCCCCATCGATCTGGGATACCGTCTGTCCGTGCCCGTTGACTACATCCCGAGGCCGTTCAATCGTATCGTCCGCTGCGCAGAGGATCCCCTAACACAAACAGACAAGCAGAAGTCAGCCAGCCAGCCTCTCTCATCTCGAGAAACCCAACCCATGAAACCAAACCCACCTGAGCGATATAATCAAAGCAATGCGCCCAATGCTTCCCATCATGACCCTCGTCGCCCGAATGCGCCTGACTCGTCGAATTGATCTTATTCTCTGTCGATTCCGGGAAGACAATCCCCCGAAGAACAATCAGACAGTGGAGCTGGTGCATCATCGAGATTCCCCACGTGAGGGGCTGGTCGTGCGTATGCGTGTGGTTGGGCGAGTCCGGCTCCGGATCAGTGTACGAGATGATACCCCCGCCGCTGGGCGGGAGGAGGAGCGATTCCCATGTTCGGAACCCGGGGTCATCGGTGGTGGTTCGTTCTAGCTCGGGGCGCTCGTAGAAGGGTCGGCCGTGGGTTCGCTCAGGGTTGGCGTCGAGGTTCTGGCAGACCGGGAGGAGGATGTGTGGGAGGATGTGGTACGGGGTTAGGAGCAGGACGGTAAAGGTGAAGACGAATAGGGTGGTGAGGGTGAAGGTGAGGAGGACGGGGGTGGAGAGGAGTGGTTTGGACATGGACTTGGACTTGGACATGGACATGGACATCGTACAGCATGCAGCAGCATGGCAGGGATGGCTGTACTTGGCACAGGTACTTTAGGTGCTGGGGATGGGGATGTGTGATTTTGTATTCACTGATGTCTTATTGATGGTTTCCCGATCGGGGGTACAATGGGCGGAGCATCCATGATGGCGGGCGGACGGTACCGTGGTTGAGGCCTCGGGTGAACGAGGCATGTACATGTGTGTGTATGCCTTCATTGTCGAGGCCCTGGAGATGCGGTGGCGAGTGAGAGCCGGGTTACCCTGCAAAAAGCTAATTGCTTGAAGTTTGAAGCCGTTGCGATAGATGGTTGGTTATTTTGGCTGGTGTTTATGCTGAGAGTATATACTCTAGGTACCTGGTAGTTACCTCCTTTGTATAGGTAGGTACCTGCCAGGTCATTCCAAGCAGACACATAGATAGCTACAGCAGAGTTGCTTGTCCTTGACTAGGCCCGAGACATAGTTAGCTGTAATCAAGCTTCTGATAGACCCCTCCATCTACCCAACCCCAGCAACAAATTAACCGAGCCCTACTCCCCTTGCCTACCGTATATATCTGATATAATGCCCTAGACAGAAAAGAAACAAAGCAGGAAGCCCTTAACAGTACGGCAGTGCATCCTGCATAACCCCCGACCAGATAGACAGATAGATAGACAGATACCCACTACTCTAAGCACCACACTAACTAATCCAAGACTACCACCCAAGTAGTGTCCAACTAACCCACTAGCTCCAACCCATTTGGAATAAATAAATCCCTGAAAGAAAATAATCCCACTTCAGCCAGCCTCATCCCCTCCACATCCCCCATCCGGCGTAGTCTCTCGCGCTGGCTACACGACGACACCAATCAGACCCCTGTCCGTTCCCCATCCGTGACGCTAACCATTTCCCCGGCTTGAAGTTGAAGTCTGTCTTCTTCTTCTTCTTCTTCTTCTTCTTCTTCTTCTTCTTCTTCTTCTTCTTCTCCTCCTCCTCCTCTTCTTCCCTCCGAGGCGGCTACGCACTGGTCTGGGCGATGATTGGCGCGGGCTGTCATTTTCCTATCGTGCATCGGGTTCGCCGTGGGCCTTGAGAGACTCCCTTTTGCTTCGCTGCTTTGATCGGCCTGCACTTGAGGGTGTTCGGGTTGCCCGACCGTGCGTCTGTCTGTCTGTCTGTCTGTCTCTCTGTCTGTGTCTGCTTGCATGGGGTTAGGAGTCGCCGATGAGGTTTTGCAGGGGATGTACGGAGGATGCCGTGAATGTTAATTTATTTTATCTGAAGCTATAGGTAAATAGTTGCATTTGTGTAGTATCTGGCGCTCTATTATTCCAGTTATCTACATAGTGTACACAGAAAGAGTAGGCCAGTACCTAAGTACTAGATGGTCGATGGTGGTAGATTGTGTCGCACATGACAACACACACACACACACACACACACAACGGCATTGAGGTATAGTACTTACGGAGTACTCCGTACAGAGTACTAGCCATCCCTCCATCCATCCATTTAGGCTATGCTATCTAAGTATTCTACCCATTAGCCTCACCACCCGATATCGCCACCCACACCCCTGCAGGCAAATAGATATTTCATTCCTACTTATCTATGTAAGTACTACTGTGAGTATGTATAATGATATTTTCTTTTTCTGGGCGGGGGAGGGGCCAAAAAAGTGCTTATTATTTGCATCCCTAGGTACCTACATACATACATACATACATCCATACCGAGGGTCTCCGAGAAGATGCAGGAGAAAACCACCTACCTATCTAGGTAAGCTAGATTTGCAATAATCATCCTTCGCCGCTGAACGCGACGGAAATGACACGAGCCGCATCGATTCCTCCAGGCTGATTGGATGTGCGTCGCAGGGATTATTATACATATGTAGTAACTATACGTCGGCTGGATGGATAGACGCGATTAGAGCGGCCGGTCAGGGACACGGTTGATTTGTTATTATTTTGTTTGTTTTTGATCTACAGACTGAACATGACCTGGGTACCTAAGATAAGGGACTTAAGGTACCGAGGTAGATACCCGGATAGCAAATAGTAACTACAGTAACTACCTTGGGTATCTACGTACTAGATGATTTGGAATAATGTATCGCTATGGAACTAGTATGTACATGGCTCTAGCCTGTTATTGGCTATATGCCTACATATACTGGTAATATGATGATACCTTGACATGCATGTATACATTATACAAGCGTGTGCGTAGTATAATCAGAGTACAGAGTACAATCATCCTCCTCTATTCCAAATCTTTATTCAACTATCTCGCTACACTGCATTGTATTCTCACCTGAGTATAAACATTAACCGCCACCCAATCAGCCCACCCCCAGGAACCGAATGCTGACCTCTCCATCCACAACCAGTCGCTTCGTATCTCCGCCGTTCAGGGTACTATGTGTGGATTGTCGACTGTGGAACTCTATTCCCCCTTCTTCAAAGTTTAAAACGGGCAAGACCTCGTGGCTTTGGCAGCTGCACGGCGTGGTGTGGCAGAATAAGCTCGGAGAATAGTAGGTAGATACTTGCTAGTTTCTATGTACTACATTTTTCTAAAGTATGGCGGATATAAAATGAAAATTTGTTTGTCGGGTAGTATGTAGTACTATGGATAGGGAGAAAGGGACGGATGGTAGGGGGTGGTGTCCATGAATCTGGATCCAGATTCAGTGTGGCAAGGAATGAACCCCGGACTTTCGGTGTCATCGCCGTCACTGTCCAGTGTCACGCACGGTCTGGTGCCAGGGGCTCATAACTACCTTACATAGTGCCTAACTACCCCATACCTAGGCTACGTACCTACCAACCCACCGAGAAAGAAATGTGTATGTACCTGATTGTGTACCGGGTTCAGCTTCATTGGCCGGTTACCGAGTGCGTGTCGTATTCTTTTGGCCTTCTACTCGGCCGCGAGAATGAATAACCTTCTTCCACATGCAGTGCCCCGTACTCCGTATAAGATTATGCTTTGTGCTTTGGTCGGGTCTGACGTGGAGGACGGTGAAAACTGATATCTCCGCAACGTGGTAACCGGACCAACCAGCCAGCCAGGTCGGGAGTCTGGAGTCGGGAGTCTGGACGGGTCGATGAGATTTTCTTCCCCTTCAATGAATCAAAGGAGGTCCGTCGGATGGCAGACTAGTCGGTAGGAATTTACCCTCCGGGAGTCCACGCTAGACTGCAGAGGTATGATTTGTAGATGCCCCTGTACGGCAGTCATTAATAAGCGGAAATGCCGAAATGTAACTAGTAGTTATGAGGTGCGGTGTTGCCCTTGTCCGCGGTCCAGGGCCCGGACCGCAGATCCTTGGTCCTTATCACCGATTCCCAGCACTTCCACATCCACACTTCCACCGTGACACCGCCTCATGCGGAAACGACGCTAAGAAAAGTCTGAGATCTCGGAGTTCGCGAGGTGATGCCGTCATGGGCTCTACTTAGCCTCTAGCCACATGGGCTATCCCCGATCTGGAAACCTCGTCTCCACTTGGCTCGGGCCCATCGCGCCCAAGCCACATGCTTCGGGCGTCAGGCACGGGATTTGTGTCCCGGAGGTGCCGGCCACTGCCTGGTTTCCAGGGAGTAGTATCTAGTGCGGTCCGGTTTCATGCTGTCTGTATTGTATAGTAATACGCGTTTCGCTTCCGAGGGGAGTCGAGTTATGTCTCGAGACGAGTCATGTCGCCCTTTCAAGCAGGTTCATAATCGCTTCCATCTCTGCAGCTGATGATGTACTAAGCTGCGTACATACACAGTAAGGCACTCCGTCGTTATCAGAAAATGAAGCCTCCCCTGTTGGATGCATGTGATCTACCGAGTCTGCGCATGGATCGACCTACGCAGAAACAGAAACTATATAGGATGCAATAGGCTGTCTCGGAACCGGGGTCAGCATCCAATGACCGCGGCGGGGAACCAGATGAAGCATCGATTTCAAGTCTCGACCTGTAAGATTCCACTGATCTCCTTCCTCCACCAGCACCAACACACCTCGATGCGGAAGATATATCCGCCCAACGACCTAGGACGACCTGTTGACTCGAATCCCGAGACAGATCTTCGCGCTGTCTGGAGGAGGTCAAGGCTGGCCTCGACCGATTCGGAGAATGGAGCGAGAGACTATTGGGGTCGATGCAGAGCTCGACATAGCGTCCCATATAGTACCGCATCTGTGCAAGGCCCGTCGCTCGAGATCTGGGCTAGTGTCGATTCAGGTTGATGGTTGCCGAGTCCCGACATCGCGGAGCTCAAATTTGGGGGGGCACTGGAGCAGTGCGCCTCTGTCTGATTTATGCTATACCGTATACACCTACACTATCTGCCCTGTAATCGTGTATCCGGGCGTGGATTTGCAGTGATCGACGACGGTCCCCGAGGGGGTGGTGCAACCGTCGAGTGGCTGCAATGGCCGTGGATGATCCTGGATGGCCGGATGCAGTCCCTCCTGCAGGAGCTCTAAGCAGGATCCGGCAAGACGTGACGAAAGAAGGAGTATGACATACGTCGGAGATGATGTACATCGTCTCCATCCCCAAAGTAGCCCCCTCCATCCTGCAATCCCGTACCCCTCATCTGTGCAACGTGAAAAAACAAGTAACGTCTTGATGCGCATCCTGCCCGGTGGGAACGGGGGGAGGGGATTGGATCCCGGGGGGAGAGAAATCCATGGCATGGCCAGAGTTACACGGGGGGGTGTCCCCATGCAAGTTTCACGCAGCAGGGCAGCTGGGCGAATAAACTTTGCATCGACAGCGAGGGGGGGGGGGGGGGGGAGGAACCGAGTGACCCAGTAACTCTGAGCTTGTTGCAATCGCGGGGCCGCCGGGCAGTGATTGGCCGGCACCCGGTCTGTGCATCCTGACTGGGTGTCCGACTGTGAAGGGGTCACGCTGCCATGGCAAAGGCGAGTGAAGCCCGTGGTCACCGATAAGATCCCGCAAGTACAAGGGCATTCTTGGTTCTCCCTGCCAAGCCATCGGTCTTCATGTCAGGGATGTGCTCGCATCGATCTTTTGCCATCCGCCCGCAAAGTGACATGTCCACCGGATGGATGGACTAGGATGAGGCGGCATCCGGCTCAGGATTTGACCGAGACAGCAGCAGCCTCGTCCATGAATCATGCTAAACAAAATGGTGGGTGGGTGGACGGACGGACGGGTGGAGATGAGAGTGTCGGGAAGAGTGGGTTGACCAGAGAGACAGGTACGGTCCACAAGATGTTGGAAGTAATTTCAGGATCGACGCAGGGGGAACCTCATGTGACGGCTGCCTGGACGCGTTCGCTCTCTCTCTCTCTGTCTGTCTGTCTGTCTGTCTGGTGTGGGAGCACGGTAGGACGGGGCACCGCGTGAGGTCTGGCGAACGAAGACTCGATAGTTTGAGATCGGAAGTGGGCAGTCCTGGAAGTTGGCACTGGCAGACTCGGGTCTAGGCAGACATCCCAGACGACCCAGACAACCCGATCGAAAGCCACTATCGGGGACGTGTCGAAGTAACACACTATCATCAACCTGTTTGTCTCCTCAACTTTTCTACCCCCTCGTCCCGTCCCGATCAGGCATGCCGTCGTGCCAATCAGCGAGGCCTCGCTTGCCTCCAGGGGACCAGAGGCGGTTCCCAACCATCTGTTAGCTGTCAATCATAATTAATAGACGATGCAACTTAATATCGGTCAATTTAGATAGATTAAGGCCCCATCGTCGGGCGCCCGTCCCTCCAGTCACCAGCGATCAGGCCAGCCTGCTAGGGGAGCCACTAACCATTTCCCCGGCTCTCCCCCCCCACCCCCCAGGCGGTAGTCGGGCACTAGATCGACTAGTTCGCGTGCCGAGCTTCTGTAGAGTCATGACTTACGATTACGAGGAAAGGGGGAAGACACTGGCAGTAGATCAGTAGTCTGGCACTGACCGAGACGGAGTCGGAGACGGAGGTTGGGGGTCAGGGGAACGTGGAGACGGGAGCAATCTCGCGAGTCGTGACAACAAGCAGGAAGAAGAATGGTCTGGTGCGTTTAATTATGTTTAATTAATATATACTGGGGTACGCCGTGCGACCCTGGACTTTGGACTCTGGAGGGCCTGGGCATTATTTGGAATTCGGCCCTGAAGGACTTCCGGACCCCGTTTGTGCTCGTTTACTTCATCTATTTTCTCAGGCACCACCACCACCTTCTTATCAATCCGGCTTTTTTTTTGTTTTTTTCCCCTTCTTCTTTATTTATTACCAAAAGAGAAAAAAGAAAACAAATAACAGCCAAAATAAGCATAACATCTAGACAGAAGCATTGTTCTCTCGTCAAATTACGATTGGGTCAGACCAACGAGCTCCTCCCCCCCCCAACGGTTAGATAGATAGATAGTTAGTAGGAGCGCTTACTTCAGGTCTTTCAGTCCTCCACGCGATCTAGCGCTTCTAATCCGTACTTAGTCGGGAAATACCACTACTACGAGACCCAGAAACATGCCACATCGACAGTCATGGCGATGGGGACGGCGAAGGCAATAATGGTGATGCAATACCTGCAGTCTGCACCATCCCGGAACCACCAAAATTAGCAGACCTATGGACACATCGCATTGTTTCAAGTTGGTTTCATGGGCGGCAAAGCGGTCGTTCTGGAAGCCTTCCTCGCCCTCCTACTGGCGACCGCCCGCCGAAAGTCAGGGGTCAGCATCCCAGCGCTTGGGTATGCAATGCAAGCGCCAGGATAGCGCATGCAACTAAGCCCCCTCCCCCTCCCCCCCATCCAATCCAATACTGCTATGTTCATACTTAAAAATACTTCCCTCGGCGCGCACTGCATGGGTCTGAGAGGCGTGCCAGATGCGAGATGATGCGAGGTGCTACTACATACATACAACCAGTACTCTATAGTGGGTGCTATCTATAGACCCCCGCCCGATGCGCCGCGGTCAGGCGGCGCGGCGCTTGTTTGAGGCCTGTCTGCGACGGTTTTAGCCTTCTTATCCCCCTTCTGGCCACGAGTCGAGCTACTGCACGTTAGATAGACAGGTGGGATGGGTGGATGGGCGGATGGATATTCCTTGGATCCTGGAATTCCTTAAGTAGGTAGGATCAAGCGAGAATTCGATCCCTTGCATCCCACGCTGCGGTTAGGCCAGGCCACGGACGGGATTTTGGGGGCCGAATTTGTAATTCTGCTAGAGTAGATAGTATCTATCTAGTATCCATCTAGTACTATGTGTCGTCGAGACAACAATGGGGCACCCCTGGTGAATTGGCACCTGCCACCACGGGGCCGGGCACAGAGTGACATGCGAAACTGTTGCTCTAAAAAGTGGGGTGGGGTGATGTGGGGGGGGGGGGGGGGGAGGGACTAGGGGGGTTGGACATGATCCCGTCGGAATGCTGTGATGGATGTATGGATGTGTCATTCTGTATCTGTATCAATGTTCTGTGTATCTGCGTATATCTGGTACCTACAGGACTGGTGCATATGCCTACAGTATGTAGGTACGGAGTCGACGATGTTTGTGGCATTGTGCATATACCGAGGTTTCGGTTCGACGGCAGTACCTTGGACATTATCCCAACCTTTGCTTCTAATTATATATGCGTCTTGCTGCAAGATTCCATCCACGAAAAACCAAGAAAAAAAAACCCGCCGATAAGATAGCACTGGCTGTTGGCCGTGTTAGTGCCGTTGGACCTCGTGATTGGTGCAGCCCGCCGCCCGAGGAGGAGGAGGGGGGGGGCTTAAGACACTCACTTTACCTGACGCCATCGCGCGGTCTCCTAAATTTAGGTAAGTTGGCGGTAGTAAATATGTGCTGTGTCGAATAGGATCGCGGGCTGGGCCAATCTTTCGATTAGTATCCGGTCGATCCTTTCCCGGACGAGCTGAAACCCAGTGATCGCCTTTCTCCCTTGGGGTTAGAGTCCTCGTCCGTATTTTATCAGACACATGGAAAGTAGGGATCGTGTTTTTTTCTCCGTTAATCTGACATCCTGGACACGCCCACGCCCACGCCCGAAGTAGGACTAAGTGAATCCCTGTTAATCCTTTAGCGGGTTTTTTTTTGGTTTCTAGGAGGGGCTGTCAGTGTCAGACAGGCTTTAGGTTTACGAAAATCAGGGATGGTCCCCCCGGCTTCTCAGCATGACAGTTTCCTCGAACTAGCCCATATCAGCAACAATTTGGTTTATTCCAGTGGTATGGAAACGACCATTGTTTGTTGCTGGGTATTTTTGGCCCGGAAATAAGCTGCTGTCGGCAATGCTTAAAACATTAGCAGGATGTTATTCCTGGGTAAGCCTGAGAGGCGGGATTTGCTAGTAAGGACAAGGGGACCGTCACTGTGGTAAACTTTCGAGTATCTCACCTGGATCAATTAAGTTACACGCATCAGCATTGTCTTTGCCACGTGCGCGACAATCACTGGGGTTTTGGTCCATCGGCGCTGCATCGCCTCGTGTATGGGCGGGAAGGAAAAGTGCCTGGATGCACCCTGGTCGGCCTGCATCTGAGATCTCCTGAGCTCGTTCCCAGCACTGTTTCAAAATTAATATGCTTGCTGTAGGGGTTAGTGATCCCTGGATGAAGCTGAAGAGCCTAAGAGGTAGGAGATTAGGTTCCTTCTATATTCGGTAAAAGGTCGTGTCTGTACTCCGTGAATGAATGTATTATAGTGCCAGGGTGGGTCTCATCTTTCATATTCCCAGGAGGCTAGATATGAGGAATGAGGTGTATACGAAGCATTTCTCGCTATCTAGACTATTAATTTGCTGTGATATAGATCATGTCAGGCTCGTGAATGGCGTGGATCAAGGTCAGGCCATAGAGCGCGTGATATGGATAGGGGTCGTAGACTTCTGGAACATCTAGAATTCCATGGCGGCTCTAATGAAACGAAGCCACAATATTGGGCATAAGGCCAAAAGAAATACAGAACAAGAAAAAAAATAATAAAAATAAATAAAACAGAAGGGGGAAAAATAAGCACAAGAAACGCAGGAAAAGAAAAATTGAGGCATGCCCCACAGGTACCTACATCACATTTGTCACCGTGCAGTAGTCTTGGTCATGTTTCGAATACCTTCTAGAACCCCACACCCTTGTGTACTGCGCCGTATTCTGTGTCACTGACTGGTAGGAAGTTAAAAACAGAGTGCCACAGAGGACTGACTGCAGACCCCCTCACTAGCGGTAGCATCAACATGCCAAACTTAGAAGCGGTTGCTCCGGTTCTCCGGATTCGCATTGAGAGGATCGGTCAGCTCTAGCGGGAGACATTCCCGATCATGCTGGCCGGTGGATAGACTATGACATCGTTGTGTGTAGAAAAGACATCACAACATGCCTCCGCGACCCGAGGAAGCGGTGTAGTAGACTTGTTTGCTGCGCCTCACTCCAGTCATCGAAGCAGTAGCGCACGGGGATCTTCCAATGGAAGCGCGGCAAGATCCGCCCGATGACACACGGTACTACGCTCGGCGCTGGCAACTCGGGATGTGGCTCAACCGGACTGTGGCGCTAAGGCGCGCTCGGTGGCTCGGTGGCTCCGTCTTCACCGACGCTGGCGTTCTTGCAGTTGCAGTTGCGGTTGCAGTTGCAGCAGCAGCAGCCTTCGGAGAAGAGCGTCGTCGGCGTGTGCCGTTCTTCTTGACTCAACCTCAGACACGGACGGAGTACCCAGTCCCAGACTCCATAGTACTTACTTCCAACCACTTGCGTTCTGCACCTGCAGTTTGGCAAGCACCGTGGATGTGATGCACGCGGTTGCCCACAACCCGGACTATCGCCGAGGGATGATCTTTAGAAATGGGTTGTCATTCCTTACTTGCCCAAATTTTCTGCACTTAACAGTACTAAGTACGCCTATCTGGGACCTGGGTACTGGAGTGATAGGTACTTTCCTAATACGGAGAACAACAATCTCGAGGGCCGAGGCACGGATCCTTTGTTCTTTGTTACTGCGTATTATCATTGTACGGGGGAGGTACGGAGTACGGAGTACTTTATCGAACGACTCAGCCTTGCATGAGCCACAGAAGACCCACTTAATCTGGCGCCCTCGATGACATTTTGTACCGCACTGTTTGGACTTTCGTTTGCGTGCCATGTCATTTCACCTTTTCACCATGTCACAGTTGCGAGGTGTCCACCGTGGACATGACGGCTCGTTGCAATCAAATCCGGGAATCGACCGGTTGTGTCCTCATGTCCTCATGTCCTGGTAGATGAACGTGCGACGGACTGCCTGTCGGGGTTCCTTGGCGTGTAAGGGAATCAGACTATTGATTATAGGATCCCACGTTAAGGTGAGGAAATCTCAGGCACTCAGACTTCAGAGAGCCTGTGCGGCTCTGCCTACTCCGTAAGGGTTCCAGTTCGACGCTGTACCGTGTTCGTCCGCTTTGGGCAAATTGATTGTCCACGCCCGACGCCCTAAATGACAATCCGTCTCCCGTCCAGTACCGTCTCGAGGTCGTGATTGGATCGAGGGCCATGACGCTTCATTTACCCGCCGTAGGCTGTTGGCCAATCGTTCCCATCACTCGAAAATGCACGTTTCTGAAAGTTGAGCTCAACTAAGATCGTCAACAGGCCCATGAGGTTGGCGACTTGAGCGACGATGCTCGGAACTGGCGGCCATAGCCCAGATCCAGTTGCTTAGTTTGCTGCTAGCACTTCTGTGTCTCCTGGAATAAGGATGATCTTGTCATCTTGAACCATGTTGACGGGACGAGGGACGAAGGAAGCGCTCCACCTAGAGGATTGATTCTGCGGCATGAGGGAAGAGTGACAGGTCGACCACGATATCATTATTCGATCTAGACTTCGTTGCATTACTAACGTCCTCCTTTGCATTGTTGGGTTATTAATTTTGAGAGGTGATCGACCATGGCCAGGTCGTGGGTGTTGGGGGACTCACGTCGGGTGTGTCCACCAGAATCGGAAAGCGACCAAGGTGTCCATCCGATCGCCTCTGATGGAGTATAGCCTATGGGGCCCAGGAGGTACCCGCCTGCCCTCGGTCACGTCGGTAAGGTAAGATAGGTACTTTGTCCGTTGGAGGGAGATACGTATGTATTATTGAGGGGGGAAATTGCCACCATCTTATCATAAATGATGAACAATGGCAGCAACAGCATGCTTACTGTAGCCGGAATGCGGAGTAGACGCAAGCACCACCGGCAGGCAAACCGCTTCAACCGCTACGTAACCGACAAGGTTTGGTGGATAGCCAAATGGGCCACCGATGATGCCAAGTTTCGAGCAGACAATGTGCCACCACGGACTTGCCGATGACACCTGCGGATACGAATGTCTGGAATGCACGGAGTACGGCGACCCCGTGTGCGCCAGGCGCAAAGACTCAACTCAAAGCCTCCATATCGGATCGGTTTCGGATGGTTCGATTTTTTAGTAGCGCCCTTACGACTCATATATTCTGGTACCGTCGCCTATCTACACCTGCCTAGGGCGGTAGCTATCTAGGTGAAAGACGGGGGTTTGCTTGAGACGAAGCTCCATAATCTTCCATCTCCCCGGTTTAATACATTAGCATAGTAGCTGCTTACCTGACATGCAGATGAAAACAGAGAAACCGCACCGGTGTCAGCCAATAGCACGGGCAGATGGGAAAACGCGGGAGAAAATACTAGGTAATGTACGAAACAGGAACGCCTCATCTCGATTCCCATAGGGTCCGAATCGGTTGTAAATGCTAAAATTCTGGTGGAGGCTTTGGCAAAAGGGTGGACGAGTGGTGGTGAGTGGATCACTTCGGGATTTTCTTTTTACTGTTGTAAGTAATTCTCGGGGGTAAGGTAAGGTTCAGTTGTAAGTATGAACCTACCTACATACATACACTGTATGTAAGTACAGATGGTGTGAGTGAGTACTGGACATACAATTGGAATTCCGACTCTTTCCCATGCTTGCCAGCCAAGCAGATCCTTCACCACCCATACCTGAAAGACTTGAAGCCTAAGGGGCTTGCGGCAGGGCCCGATCCCAGGACAATTAGGGGCAGAATTAAATTGCAACGAAATAATCCGTACAATACATCTGTTGCGATGGAAAGGAAGGAAGGGAAAGGGAGAATGCATAAAGTAGAATGATGATAATAATAATAATAATAATAATAATAATAATAATAATAAAATAATAATAATAATAACAATAATAATCACAGACCACAAAAACCTAGATAAAAAAAATCCAAAAAAGGAAACGCAAAAGGGAAGGAGGGAAATCAAATCTGAACCCAGAGCACTAAATCTAGAAGATCGCTAAATGAGGAGGAACTCTCTCTCTCTCTCCAGTCTCCAGGCAGTGCCGCAGCCTGCAAGGTTAGCGGTAAAAGGTGTGTACGGCGTATCGAGGTGCTAATAATACACCTAGTTGGTAGGCCCGGTTCACTGCCCTGCCCCTGCTCGCCCGGCAGGCTCCATCCCCACTTCGGTTACCCCTGTTCTCTCTCTGTTCCCCTCGGTTTTATTTTGGTTTTTTATTTTATTATTATTTTTTTCCCTTTCCCCCCCTCCACCATCATCGACATCGACATCACCACCATCGGCATCATCCACACCCACATCCACCTGGCATCCACCCACACCTCTTCCCCCCCATCCCCCCCCCCCCCCCCCCGGTCAGTTTGGACCCGCGCTAGACTGGCGGCGTTAGTCCAACTAGTACTAGGCCCATGACACTCCCCTGTCTGCTGCTGCGGTGCCCGCAACCTCCAGTACTAGAGTGGATGGGCTCGATTTTTTTTAGTTTGGTTTCTTAGTTCGTCCGTAGTTGGTCAATCCCACAGTCTAATCCTATCCACTCCAGTCCCAATAGTAGTCGCAGCCCGTAGTACACTGCGCTCATAGGGCCAGCAATCATATAACATTTAACAATGCTTTTACTCCCCCCTCCATCCGATCTTTTTCTTCTGTCTTCATCCTGACATTCTTTCTTCCTTGTCTTCCTCCCTCCCAGCTCGGGCCTTGTTATCCATTGCGATCCATACAAGAAGGCACCCATCCCTCCTTGTCTACTTCCGTCTCTTCTTCTACAATTCTTCCGCGAAGCAAGGATCTCCGACTCCCATACTCCCCCCCTCCCCCCCCCCCCAATACCTCCATACCTCCATACCTTCCATTCACCTGAGGGCATCTACCATCTACTACCTCCACCTGCATCTCATCATTCGTGCTTGCTTATTCTCTCCTACCTTCTCGGGTCCGGAACAATATATCTGTCTCGCCTTGCTGCTACACCAAGCTCGCCCGCCATCCACGTTCTCCGCGAAGCCCTTCCGTCATATATTGAAACAGGCGGACCTCTCTGGGAAAATCCCCGAGACTCACTGAACGGTTCTGGTCGGATCACTGGACGGCTGTACATACAACCGCATCAGCATCAGACAACTACATAGTATGTTCCCGTGCGGCCCGTCCCCATTTGTGAACTCAATCCCGAGACGGATATTATATCCATTTCACATCATCGCTTGAGACATCAGAGTGGCTAATGCTCCTCCTTCTGCAGATCGGTTGCATCCTTTTCCTTCCGACCCTAACCCTCGCATTCGATCACCTGCAGTCCAAGGAACAGCCAGCCATTGAAGGAAGCGTGGGCATGCAAAGCCACGGAGAGAATCCCGATTTCGTCCTATACCCGACCCACCTCACCGACGATAGCAAAATGCTGGCGCTCGATTCGTCGAGACAGCAGCAGGTCCCATACTTCCAGCAGTTCGCAATGGATCCTAACTTCGACCCTTTTGCCTACAACATGGACGATCTGACCGCGTTCGCACACGCCCATGATCCTTCCGCTCTCGCTCAGCCATCCTTCTACCATGCTCCCCCAGTGTATTCCGAGACCTTTGACGCCAATAAAGCTGCCAGCTTCCCTTCCATGCCCGCCACGCCCCCGTCCCTGCCCCATCCTTCTGACCACTTCATCCCCGGCCTTGCCGCTGCGTCTGGTCCCTCAATTGCGAGCGCATCCTCCTCCACCATTGGATCGCCGAATTCGGGGATTGCGCATGTCATCTCTGAAGACTGGATCCAGACAACCAACGGCTTGGGACACCCTGTTGCGGTCATGGGTGACTTCTTCCAAACCGATTACATGGGCAATATGCTGGACTCGGATGCCTTCTACCAGCCGAAGTGCCCGGAGAGCTTTGTTGGTAGGTCTTCATGTACTTGAACGATTCTGTTCTCGCCAGCCTTGCTGACACCACTTGATGTTCGGCAGATCCCTCAGTGATTCATTCAATGCCTCAGCAGCAACCTCAGCTGTCACCACCTGCCATTTCCTACCCGGAGCAGTCTGATTACTTCCTCGCGCAAGGCGGATATCTTCCCCAATCCCCCGACCCTTCTCACCTCCACCTTGCCGAAGGCTACCATGCGCAACAATCTTTCTCCCAACCCGCTCCCATCTCCGCACCCTCCCCTTCGGCTGTGCCTTCGATGCCCCAGTCACGCCCCGTTTCGGTCTACGACCGGAGGTCATCCATCTCCTCTATCCAGTCCCATATGACCAACCGGTCCCAGCCCAGCCCCGCTGCTAGCAACATCGAGTCTGATGACGACACCAAGGAAAAGGGCCGGTGCCCATTTCCCGAATGCCGGCGGGTCTTCAAGGACCTCAAGGCCCACATTCTCACTCATCAGTCGGAGAGACCCGAGAAGTGCCCCATCGTGACTTGCGAGTACCACATTAAGGGGTTCGCTCGCAAGTACGACAAGAACCGCCACACTCTCACCCACTACAAAGGAACGATGGTGTGCGGCTTCTGCCCCGGGTCTGGATCGCCCGCTGAGAAGAGCTTTAACCGGGCGGATGTTTTCAAGCGCCACTTGACTTCCGTCCATGGCGTGGAACAGACCCCGCCCAACTGCCGTAAGAGGAGCCCAGCTGCCTCCACGAGCAAGGGTGCTTCGGGCTACAGCCCCGACGCCACCGGCAAGTGCTCTACTTGCTCCAACACGTTCAGCAATGCCCAGGACTTCTACGAGCATCTGGACGAGTGTGTGCTTCGCATTGTGCAGCAGGAGGAGCCCAGCGAGCTTATCAACCAGCAGCGGCTTGCGGAGGTCGAAGACGATGAGGAAGTGCAGAAGACGATGGAGAGGAACATGATCTTCGACACGGCCGGTACCGTTGATCGATACAATGACGAACTTGACGATGAAGATGACGATACTTATGAATACTCGAACCCGCGATCGGGCAAAGGCTCTTTGAAGACAACCAAAGGAGGCGCAAATGCCGTTTCCCGTCCGATCTTGGGTTTTAACAACGCTGTCAGCAAGCACTCCACGAATGCCAACCCGAAGATGCGCGCCACCGCATCCAAGCGACGCAACAATCGTGATCGCTACCCCCAGTCCTGGGGTTGCCCGAGCAGCAGCATAAAGACGAAGAAGCGCGTCCTCTGTGTGTTTGACGGGCAACGCCGCCTGTGGAAGGATGAGATGATGCTCGACAATGAGTTCGAGGTCCGCCTCAAGCTACCTGGAGGTGCCGGAGATGGCACCAGCCGCGAAGCCTACGTGACCGACCTGGACGTCGAGACGTTGAAGCGCGCCGAGGGTGTCCTGAGCGCCAACGACGAAGAGCGCGGGCCTTGGATGGACAATGGTTCCAGCCAGCTCATCGGACAGCCGGCCATGCTGCTGCCAGACCTGTACCACCCCAGTGACGCAGAGCTGGACATGATGTCCTAAGGCTCCATCGCGAGTCGCTTTTTCATATTATGCATCGCGTCCATTATTTACATTTCTTTTGAGCTTGTCGAACTTGCATGTCGTACGTTTAGCATATGTGGCATGAGGAGAGCGGTTGCTTTTATTTTTTTTCTTTTTGCTATTGCTGTTCGGTCTGGCCACCATTTTTGATACCACTGTTTTCCTATTGTGTTTTCTTTCCCATATCGATTTGATGGTTACTATTTCTTGGAGGCTGTGCCCATGATCCTGTAATAACACTTACGATTTTGATTTGTTTTTTTTTTTTTTATTTTGATTTTTGGCAGACTGTGCCTTGGGCGTTTCTGGGACCATGAAAAGGAGACTCTTCTTTCTTTCTGGATGCAGGCCATTCTCTACATTTAATCGGGTACAGAACAAACCCAATGCTAGATGAGATTTAGATGGTTGAGCTTTTGCAGTGGTAGATATATAGTAGTAGCGTCCCTTGGTACGAAATGCAGTGCCGCCCGCCGCAGCCCCACATTCCACGGCGCCTGATCGCGACCTCCGACGCCCCCGGCCGATCGCGCCTTCAGCAACAACACGATCACACCTTCGCCAACATGCAGCTGGGTCTCTCCGAAGCCCTGTCGTCCCTGGTCGCCCGGCGGTTCGTCACTGCCAAGGATGCTGGCCATCTGATCTTCTCTTCGACCCATCTGGCCACTATTTACGCCTCAGGGATACCGGTCAGGAGCTGCCCTTCCCCGCGTCTCTTTCCCTTTTCCTCCGCCCTCCTCCTGGCATCACTGGCTTCAGTGGCTTCAGCTGGCTAATCGTGCTCTCTCCCATCTCAGTACCAACTCCGATACTGCCCTGCCCTCGCAAAGAAACCATCCGGTGCCCCCAAGCCCGACAAGGGCCCCAGCGCACCTAAACCCGACCCCTTCCAAGACCCGTCTCCCGACCTTCTGATCGCCCAGATTCCCCGCGAGAACCCGTCGCACTTCCTGGTCTTGAACAAGTTCCCCGTTATCCCGAACCACTTTATCCTCGCCACAAAGGCCTGGCAGTCCCAAACAGACCTCCTCGACAAGGAGGATCTCGAGGCCGCGTATTCCTGTATTCAAGCGTGGGGGGACGAGAGTCGGCATGATGAGACCACGGGTTCCATGAAGAAGCTGTTCGCGTTCTTCAACTCCGGGCCAGAGAGTGGCGCAAGCCAACCTCACAGACACCTGCAATTCCTCCCAGTCGAGGCGATGGCCCCGGAGGAGTCGGAGTCAGACTCGGCGAACTCGGCGAACTGGCGACCCTTGATTGATGCCGTCGCCACCCAGGCGCCTCCGTCCAGCGGCTCGGAATACCAGCAGTTGGGCCAAGTGCCGTTTGCGCATTTCGCTCTTCCTCTGCCACCGAACCCGTCTGCTGAAACTCTTCATCGTATCTATCTATCTCTATATGCCGTGGCGGTGGCCACGGCAACGGGTGGCCCAAGGATCGCAGTCCCGGAATCGACTACGGGTCCCGCTGCGATCAGTTACAATCTTGCCATGACGGACTCGACCATGATGATCTGCCCGAGAAGATCTGAGGATGCACGCATTCCGGTTGACGTGGATGCAAGCGCCGATGTTGCTGAGGCTGGCGTTGTCGCCCTGAACGGCACCATTCTGGCCGGTACGCTGATGGTCAAGGCGGAGGCGGAGTGGGATGAGTTGCGCCGTAGTCCTTCCGCCCTCGGCGATGTGCTTGCTGAGATTGGGTACCCCCAGCCCGACTTGCGGGAACTCTCTGTGCTATAGTTGGCGTGGATGTTTTCTGTTCCGTCTCTGTTGTAGTTAGCATTGGTGACCACCGTATCTTTGCCATATGTGTATAGATCGTAGGAGTCCGTAGGGGCACGCAGTTGCATTATCGCTTCCCAAGGGAAGGCTGCTGCCAGATCTGTAAACTACTACTATCTAGTAGCAGAGGATCAAAGGGCATCCGATGACATTGATGCTGCTGGGATCACGTGCCGCTGCCTACGACGTGAATTGTCGAACAACAACTCAACTTCCCAACTTCTACGCCTCTCGATTCCCTGCCTCTCTGCTCCCCTCGCAACTCTTTGCTCAACCTCAAGTGTTTGCATAGCGGACAAGACTTCGATTAGTATCTACTGGGCCCATGGCTGTACCTCTGGACTGCGTGGCCAGGGAGCAGTTCATGACCTGCCATCGCTCCACCATGTCCATCCCTGATAAAATCCCCTCACAGTTTCACCCCGTAAACCGAACACCACTTCTTCTTGCAAGTCGCATTGCCAAAGTGATAGGATCCCCCATTCGCCGAGATATACTGAGCCACCTTTTTCCAGGACACCTTCGGCGGGAGCATGACGCTTCGCGGGCGGCAGTACGAGGCATAGCCCGTGGGCTGCTTTCCGGTTTCCGAACAAGCAGCGACCGCTTCACAGAGGAGTTGGATCTGTCTGGTGTCAATCCTGGATCCTGCGAGACTCTTCGGGGAGAGGTACAATGACTTACGTCTTTCTCATGCCAATGCGGTTTCCTCACACGCTGCTCCTTGGTCTTGGTCAGCGTGCGGAATCTGCCCCGGAGAGTGGACTCCGCCTCTTTGAATCCACCGAATTGCTTGATCTCCTTGTAGGACATCCCGCGGAGCTTGCAGTTGATCAAGAACGCATTCTTCATGTCGATCGGGTATGGCAATGATCTTCCCATCAGCTGTCCCGGGCAAAATGTGTTCGAACCACCGAGGTCCTGTAGCTGCCATGGCTCGTTAATTCGGTAGGGGCTCTTGAGGGATTGGAAGAGATCGGCACCAGGGAAAATCTGGCCGCATCCTTGACTGGCTTCACATCCATCGTTGCTGGGTACCACTGGCGGCGGGTAGTGGGACTTGGAGGTGTACGATGAGAACAGGGGCACACTATTGTCGCTGTCGAATGAGGGGAGGCCGTCTGAAGGATCGTTCACCGCGACAATTCGGTCAAACGCGCTGTTGATGTCCCCATACAGCTGTGCCATGCTTGATAGACGCGGTGTGTCCCATGTGGATTGACTGGGGCTGACACCCTGACAAGCTGCGTCGCATGTTTCCGTGACTTGGAACGCTGGCCACCGAAGCACTGTGTCAGCCATTCCAGGGTCATCAACTTCCATGAAACCGCCCTCGACTGCCGACGTGGAGCCTCCGTCTCCAACGTCGGATGATCCCTGGGATTTGGATAGAGGCATGTCTTCCACACTGTTATCCAGCCATTCCACCCCTCGAAGCGAGTGCCTGCCGCCTTCAGACGTACACTCGGAAGAGTCCGGGGATGTGTTCGGTGATATCATTTCTCTCTCGGTCACTGACGGTAGGTAGGGCCCGCTGGCAGCCATAAACACGGCGGTGTCGGCAGTTGGGGGACCGATATCAATAGCACTATCACCAGGATAAATATTGTCATCCAAGAAGGACCTCAAGTGAGCTTCTGAGTGTATAGCAGGCACGTCAAACTGGCTGCAATCTTCTGACTTGATGCTTTGCATCTCATGTGGCATACCATAGCACCGAGCCGGCGCTGTTGGTTGACTCTGGAACCCATCTGCTGCCCCTTTTCCTACCTGGAAGGTGGTGCTACCTTCGGGCCAACAGAAAGGGTCTCCTTCCTTCGTCTGGTTCTGCATCATTGTATATAGGCTCGGTATCCTGCTGAGATCCTTCGAAAGATGCCTATCCGTTTCCGTTTGGTCAGGATGGACGACGCTGATAGGAAGCTTTGCCGGCTTGCTATGCATATCAGAGGATCGCACTTGGAAGGAGGCTCTGCGGTCTCCAAGGAAGAGGTAGCGGGGGTAAAGATATGACGAAACGATGGTTTTCCCAACTGTAACAGTCTGGGGATCATCTGGATCGACAGGGACGCGCAGCATGGCTTTAAAATGAAGCAAAAGGGTCTTTTGTTCTCTTCACCGCTACTGTGACCTATGCTTTGATGGATATAGACGTTTGGGTGAACAGTCTGCGCATTGGATTATGGTGTTAGGTCATGCGTCAAGCTACCAAGGAAGCCTGCAGACACTCAAGATCTATATGGAGATGTTTCACTCGATTGCCCGATCTGGCTGACTCACCCAAAGAACACCAATCGGCCTTCAATGCTCAGGGCCTGGGCTGGCCTGCTCTGCTCTAATCGCTCGTGGCCCTCAGATCAGTGGCGGGGTCCTCTCAGCATTGGTCGAAGACAGGCAGGAGAGGAAATGAATGAATGATTGGGGAGTGCGATGATGAAGTATCCCCTTCTGGAAGCGCCGATGCTGTCTCCCCTACACTTGTCTGGGCCCGGAGTGAGAGATTTCTTCCCTCCCGCTACTGGTAGAGCAGCGATGATGTCTCAGTGGCTTCCCCCCCCCAAAGGCAATAATCGCCCGTTCGAGAAGTAGCTAGACAGGGTTTTCGGAACACGCGGTACGGCCTGCTAAAGGTGGTGTTTCATCCAGCAGGAGAGGCAGTGGAAAGGTATTGAATAACTGGCAAACAGAGGACAAAGCAGATCTGACTCGAGGAAAATATGAGATCTTCGTCGTCAATATAAAGCGATCATGCCGGATCCCCTGAATCGCTTTCAACCCCCCGGCTCCCTGGATCTACTCCCATGTTCCGATACGGCTTGCACTTGTTCGCGTGAACGGGAGCTTATTCCTTGTTCTGTACAAAACGATATTGTTCCCCCCCCCCGGACTAAACAATGCTAGCTGAAGCACTATACCCCTTTATGCTTTCAGCTGGGCAACATGGTTCATTACGACAGAAAATGGCCCAGTTCCCCATGGTCCTCTTCTAGATCCCTCGCAAGGATCAGTCGATACCGGTCCTCGCTAGGGACCACCCGTAGCCCGGATGGAGACCCCTGAAGGGGATCGTCTGCTGTGGCGCAAGAGATCAAATCAAAGGGAAAATAAGACATTTCCGGCCTGTGTTGGTCCTTTGACGAAAATCAACTGCGACTGCGCCTGTCAGTGGTTGTGGTTGTTTTGCAGTGCCGCGAGGCCAATCGGGTAGCTACATAGGGCTTTGTTCGCGCATCCGCTTCCATCATACCATCCATCCATCCTCCGAGACTGCGGTGACCGCAATGACCAGCCAGACCCCAAGGATCCAGAACTTCCAGAGCATGGGGGACGTTTGATCTGAGCAAGTCGGACGGCACCCGTTGGATCTGCGAGTGGTGTGTCCACCGCTATTGGCTGGCTCGCCGATGTTCTCTATCGACATGGCTGTTCTCCTGGACTCGTCGAAAATCCAAGTATACTTACTCCTCCAAACCGTAATGAATCGCCACCAACCAATTCCAACACACCACACCTCCTATCAATGCTCCCCCCGTTTACCCCATTCATCCATGATACTGACCGCCGATGGGCCAGAACTTCTTTTTTTTTTTTAGACTTTCCAACGACCCGAAACAAAGAAAGGAACCCCAACAAGAATTAGCCTTTAGGTTGATCCCGCACGATGCTTAACCACATCATTTCCCTCACCTGCTTGGATCCCTCCTCCTAGTATCCACAGCTGACCCCCTCAATCTTGCATCCATTTATATCCAGCCCAGGTCCAGCAAGCCCCAAACGTCTCTGCATCCGCACTCCGCTCCAATCAGCGCTGTGCATCGTGGCAATCTCTGGATTAAGCTTAACCACGCTGCTTGCTTGCTTGCTTGCTTGCTTTGCCCCATTCTTCTTCTCCCTTCAATGTCGGATGCTCTCCGGTTTGCCAGTTGGGGAGGTAGGTAGCCACCTAACCAGACGGACGGACGGACGGACAGACAGACAGACAGACAGACAGACAGCTCTGTAGTGTCGAGTGTCTAGTGTCTATGTATCGCTGTCTCTGCATGGGTGCATGGGTACCCAGCATGCATCTCTTCGCATCCTGGTCCTCCAACCCGGTGCGTGGATAGGTACTGGTACTTTGGTCATCTTACACGCACATACGCACAGATACAAAGATACGGACGTACACAAAGAAATCTACACCTCCAGAGACGTAGTAAGATGGGTAGAAAAAGGTATGTAGGTGAGTAGATAGGGAAATAGATAGGTATGTGTTTCATCCTATTATTCCCAGACAAACAAACACGTTATAGACTAAAGTCTAAAATTTCCTCTTTTTTTTTTTTTAAAAAAAAAAGAAAAGAAAAGAAAAGAAAAGAAAAGGAAGGGGGAAAAATCTCCTATGCTAAATAAACTCCGTTGCTATTCCTTCTCCCTTCCATTTCTTCAGTCATCTCCTGCTTAATTTAATTTAATTTACCTTTTGAGGTCTATTATTATTATTATTATTGTTCTTCTTCTTCCTCTTCCTCTTTCCCCGCACAATCACGATCAGATCGCATCGTTATTTTCTCCTTGTGGCTTGTTGCAGATCTTATTGCCCCATCCGATCTACATATGTCCCTAAGGTAATGTGTGTGTGTGTGTGTGTGTGTGTGTGTGTGTGTGTGTGTGTGTGTGTGTGTGTGTGTGTATGCAGGTATGCAGCTGTGCAGGTATGCCGATAGTATGCAGCAGTCAACTACCTACCTACCTACCTTCCTTCTAACAATGAACTTGCCGACTGACTAACTCCCTCACTACTAGCTAGCAAATTGACTGGTCGACTGGGCGATTGACCGACGACCATCATACCACTGCAACGTATACTATATATATACATCATATAAATACCTCCATCCGGTGTACGGTGTACATGTGTACCGGACCCGCCTGCTACACCGTTACTGTCTGTGTAAGCCGTCACTGATGTAACTACGTAGAAGGATCGGTAGAGAGATGATGAGTACTCGAGGGGAGGAGATAGGGGGGACATGGAAGAAAGTGAGTGTGTCCTGTAGATAGGAGAATAGGTATGTAGATAGGTAGGTATGTAGAGTAGATAGGGGGTAAAACCGTTAGATGTACGGCGTAGTTAGGCCCGGGGTCAGGGATTTCGATGCCATCATGATGCATCCTTCCTTCTTTCCTTCCGTTGATCCCTTGTCCATACATATTATCCCCGCGTACCATCCCCAAGCATAACTACTTTACTTATAACTACTGGAGCGCGAGCTGGAGCTGTACCCACCACACACACACACACACACACACACACACACATATCCTTTCATCAATATCAGTAGTAATATGTACATGTGTACGGAGTATCCTAACTTTCGTACCCAAAAATCTACATAGACAGATGTATATCTATGTATATCTATGTATATATCAAATCACATCCCAACAAGGATACAACTTAATTATATCATTATATCCCGCTAATAATATCTAATAATATTTGGACACAGATACTCGGCCAGAAATCCTGTGATTCCGATGGGGGAAGAAGGTACGGAGGAGAGCCGCGAAGGGTTAGTGAGTGTTGCACCGGAGCCGGTGTGTGGGATCAACCCTGATGTTGGGTACTCATGGTAACACACTCACAGAGACAACAACAAGAAGAGGTGTGCTCAGGGCTAGTGTTTCACCACCATCGGTTCCAAGTTCCCCTTTACTTTCGTGATACCCGATAGAACAAAATTGTGCAAAAAAAAGTTAACAAAAAAAAAAAAAAAAAAAAAAAAAAAAAACAAAAAACAAAAGGACAGGACTGAAGGATTTGACCTGGTGGCCGTACCCTAACTGACCAGCCTCGCTGGTTCTACAGCCGGGGCTTGAAGCCGCCGTCGAATATGCCTGTTCCCGCGCCTGGCTTCCCGGTTTGCCAACGGGTCATGTTTTTGCCTGCTAATCCCTACATCCTACGCCGTGGCGTGTCTGCCTGCGTTCCAAACAGGTGGGCGATCATCGTCAATCCTCCGATGGACCCGACCTTGCAGCTCGAGGTCTTCGCGGAACACAAAGGCTTACTCTTCTGTACACGGCCGAGTTGGGAAACCCTGAAGGGCGGTTCCCGCCTTGGCCCCGGCTGGACATCGGAGGTCTCGATCCTACGCGCAGTGGACGGACACCTCGGACGTCATATCGTGGTTTTTCATTTCATGCATGCTAGAACCCTCGAGGGCCTCGGTAAATGGCAGTCCAACCTTGATCGTGCCAACCCGTCCGGTGCCCGATGCAAACCGGCTTCATGGTTAGATGGACGCAAGCCCCCGCTGGCTGTCTCCTGCGGGTTCTAGTTCTAATGATGGTACCGTACAGGAAGGATAGACAAAGGGTGGTGAAGAATATCCGACGTCTCCCTAGGCCACGCTTCCTTGCCTCCACCGACTGCTGAACTCGCGCCGGCTCTGGTACCAGTCCAGGGTCCGGTCCACCAGGAGCACTGCGACTCGGTTAGCAATGAGGCACGCACCATCCCCAGGCACGGCAGCAACTTACCCGCCAGCAGGATGAAGGTGAACGCGTATAGGATAGCCGGGGACGTCATGAAAGAATAGACCAGCGGAAAGTGCCGAGACCAGCTCATCAGGCTCGCCAGGAGGATGCCCATGATGCCGCGGGCCGTCACGCTGACAGAAGCATATATCCGGCGCGTGTGGCGGTGGGCTAGGTATACAAAAGCACAGAAGAAGAACATCGCGAGGGACGCAACGACGAAATAATACACGTAGACGAACTCCAGAAGTTCCATGTACGTGCGCAGGAGCTGGTCGCTGCTGAGGTGCCCGGTGTCGGTTTGATTCGATGGCATGAGTCTCATGCTGGAGAACAGCGCTGCAGTTACGTTCCCTACCAGGTCGCTGAGCATGTCTCGGGTGACAGGGACTTGGCCCGTCCGATTCGTGGGGCACAACGGATGATTGGGAAGATCATCCAAAATCCGCGCGATGGCCACCTGGGCGTTCAAGCCGCCTCGACTATAGTCGATCTCCATGTCAGCAATGGTGGTTCGGAGGACCTGGATCGCGTGTTCCGGTCGCGGCCGTGGTTCTTCACACGCCCATAGGATCGTCTCTGCGAGGTACCGAAGTTTCAACGTGATATCTAGGCTCAAAGCAAGGATCTGATGCCCCTCCAGGAGGAGGATGAGGACAACGTGGAACGGGAAGTGGAGCTGGGCCCAGATCTGCTGCGAGTACTTTCCCAGGGCACGTCTCGGGGAGAGATCGAAATACGCTTGCCACAGGAAGTACTAGGCACGGAAGGTCAGCCAGCCGGACGAAAACGAAACAATCAGGGGTCGGTCATCAGGGCCATACCACACTAGTCGTGACGCCCAGGATATGGACAAACGACCATTTCGTCCAACCACCAGGTCCTACTGTCTTGTTGACGATCCGAGTGACGGCAATAACGCCCTCGCCAATGATGATCAGCGTGAGGAGACCCATTCTGACATTGAGGTGGGTATCTTGAAGCCCCAGCCCGGGAGTAACGCAGGAAGTCCCCATCACCACCCACATCTCAATTCCGAATAGGACAAACCAAACGGTCCAGATATAAGGGCTAAGCCCGGAATGCTGACGGAAGGCATAAAACATCTGGAACGGGTCAGACAATCATCGCCTCTCGATTGCACGGGTGGCTTACCCAGAGGTACATCAAACTGGAGACAAAGTGTGTGGCGGCAATTGCGGACACGCCTTTAGCTGCAGGGGGCATGCGTCTCCAGAGGTAGACTGTGTTGACAGTGTACTGGACGGAGAGGAGAAATCGGCTTCCGGCCAGGATGAGACTCAGGGACTGGAACGCCCAGACATTTTCCGCCCGGACACGCGTGGTAAATCGTGAACCAGCCGACGCAAACCCAACCATGGCGGCCAATTGAAGGGCCTTGCAGATCCGCTCGAAGATCGAGTCTCGGGCAAAGCGGATGTCAAACAGAGTCACTTGGAGCCAGGTGAACCAGATGATCCCCAAGAAGCCGATATAGGCCCACAAAGCTGACATCCTAGGTTAGCCAAGCTTGACTGGTTGAGACAGGGGCCATACCTTCCACATTGTTGATCTCATGTGTCGCCGTGAAGGTCGACAGGTTGGCAACGAAGAAGAGGTCGAAGAACAGCTCGATGGGCGTTGCCTCGGAATGACGGTAGAGGCGCGGAGCGTTGGAGTCTCCATCCTTCTCAATGGGCGATTCGATAAAGGCGATGAGGCTACGCGGCCTGTTGCATTCCAGGGGTCATTAGAGTCCACAGCCTGGTCCCAGATGGATTGGATTGCCTTACTGCACGGGGGTTTTGGCCCGAGGAGTCTTACGCTCTGGTTGGTCGAACCAGGAAAGGAAAGGAATTGGAGTCATAGCGATGGATGGACTTTAGGAAGAATTGAAGCTAAACGATGGGTATCATTCATGAAAGATAAACTGGTGACCAGGTGAGGTCGACGGGTCACCAACGGGATGGTGTTGTATATAGCAGGAAGAGGGAGGAGTTGGGGAGCCCTCGAGTTGCTCGAGGAAATCCGAACGGGCCTCGAGGGCATTTCCGGAAGGAACGATTGGGGGGGGGGGTCCATGGGGAGGCAACCGGGTTGCTCGAGACGAGAAGAAGGAAGGAGCCATCGAGGGCCGCGATCAGGGCTCTTCCTGTTCGGGCTCGGAATTGCTGGCCGAAGCGGCCACCGAGGCTCCCAGGCCCTCCAGCCCTCGCGAGTTGGCGAATTCATCGGCGGTCGTCTCTTCGGATCCCGGTGTGATGCCGGCCTCCTGCTTCAGCTTCTCGTAGTTGTCTCCAGCTTCCTTGATGAGAGCCTGAATCTCCACCTCGCGGACGGCTATGTCCGCCTTCTCCTTCCTCAGTTCTTCCATCCGGCCGACCATCTGCGCCTTGGACTTCTCCATGACCGCCAGGTTCAGACGCAGACGATCGAGGCAGCTGGTCAGGCGCGGAAGTGAGGTCATCTTGGGCGGCGTCTTCGGACGCTCTATGCGGTCCCTGTCGCCATGGCCCATCGCAGCTCTTGTCTGGCTAGCCTCGTACGCCGCCTTCTCCTCCAAATCCGAATCCTCCTCCTCCGAAATACCTTCCGCATCATTGATCAGCTCGCGCATCGCGTCGCGCTGCTTCTTCTTCTGTTCTTTCTCCGCCTTCCTCCCGAGAGAGATGCGCCCATCCTCGACAAACTCGTCAAACCCTTCCGCAAAGTCTTCGTCATCCCGGATCAATCTAGTATCCTTGGCCTCCTCTCGATCATCGTCATCATCCATGTGATCCTCCAGGGATATGAAATCCTGCTCCGTAGAAACGACGGCCTGTTCTTTCGCTAACCGTGCCCGCCGGGCTTTCTTCTCCCGAATCTCCGCGTCGGTGGGAATGGCAGCAGGGGTGGAAACCTGCATGACCTCGCCAAACTTCGCCGCCACATCGATCGTCTTCTCCGACTCGTTTTCCGTCGTGGGTTTCGGCGTAGAGGGCGTGGAATCGCGGAGCTCCTTCAGATAATCCTGGCTGTAACTCGGTCTGTCTTGTTCCGGTCCAACTCTGAGAGGAACGCCCCCTGCACCGGACGGGGTCAGGGACCTTTGCAGCGCGCTTTTCTCCAAGGCCCGTTTGGCAAGGCCCTGCCTCTTGGGGAGGACTACTTCGCTTTCTTCGTCCCCATCGTCCGTCATAGAAGTCCCCCCGGGGCCGAACGTGAGACGCGATTTCGATTTCGGCTTGACTTTTGAGGGTTGAGGGCGTTTCACGACGGGTCCGGTATCTATTCCCTGGCAGTTAGCACCCCCGTATCCTGTAGTTGAGCGGAATGGCACATGCAGACCTTGCTCGTCGGCGTCGTTTTCGTCCTCATCGCCGCCGATTTTGCGGGGTTTTCGTCGATTAGCAAAATACGAACTCATCTTGACAGCCCAGACCAAATGCCTGTCCGATTATCTCCAAGGAAAACACCCCCGCCGTAGCAGCCGAGAAAAAGTCGCAAAGCGTTGCCCGCCGCTGGCGTCACCGGCCGCTCCGCGATTGTCGGGAAGCTCGCCGGAACATCGTTGGGCCGGCCCAGCTGATCTCCACGGCTGGATTGGCTATGATGGGCTCAAAGTTCCGCAACGCGACAGTCCCCGACTATCTACCTAGAACACACCCGCCATCATGCCTCAAGCCCAGCCCGAGTTGAAGAAGGTATGTCATCTTCCTGCGATCGGAATCCTGACCCCCTCCCCCCCCCAAAAGAGTTACAGCTGACGTGGGGGTTGCTCGAACAGTACATGGAAAAGCGGGTATTCTGCCAACTGAACGGCAACCGCAAAGTCATCGGTATCCTGCGAGGCTACGATGTACGTCGTCCTGCTTTCCCCGGAGATGTCATTGGATACTGCTGCGTTGGTGCTGTCGGATACGTGCTCGACGACCACGGTGCTGGGGTATAGGACTTTGGGGGGATGGATGTCACTGACGTATGCGCTCGGCAGGTGTTCATGAACATTGTCCTCGATGAGGCTTTCGAGGAGAAGCAGGGTGGAGAGAAGGTCGCTATCGGCATGATTGTATGTGGAGAATCCTGCTGCGCTCGTGGAATGCCGCGTATGGAGCTAACGGTTCTCTATCTAGGTCATTCGTGGTAACTCGGTTGTTATGCTCGAGGTCAGTCTACGCCTGCCTGGTGCCCTCTTCGATGACGAGTTACTAACCGGATTCACCATAGGCCCTGGAGCGCATCAGCGACAAATAAAGAGAGCGCGTGGAACGAAACCCCGATGTCTTTTTATACCTTCTCTGTCGGTTTGATTTAATGAATGCAAATAAAGGAGTTAACGGGTCGGTTGCTCGCACGGAATGATCGATGGCTTCTCGCTTCCAGCTTCTTCTTCTTCTTCTTCTTCTTCGTCTTCTTCATTTACGGGGAAAAAAAAGAATTTACACTTTCGACCTTCTGGAACACCAGATATGACATTCTTGGGGAGGGGGTATATCAGCCGAAGAAAAAACGATCCTTGGCGAACCAAAGCCCAAATCCCACCTGCAATTCGCATGGGCCACTGAACCAGATACCCTGTGGAGATAACCCAAGCCCAGAATAGAAGAATAAAAATCGTCTGAGAGACATTAAAAAAACAAACCCCCGTTCCAACCCCGCGCCATGCGTCTCCCTGACCGAATCCCCCCCCGTCCCTTGTCCAAACAGAAGATAATGAGGTGCATACACAAAGTAATGGTATCTAGAATTTCGCGCAAAGACGATCATTTCGGTCCGAATTTCAATTTCAGCTTTAACGGGCCAGAGGGGGTGGATGGCGTAGGGGGATCGGCGGCAACCTTCGGCTTGGGCGGTGCCTGAGGGGCTGGGGATGAGTATTTGGGAACTTGCAGCTTGGGGGTCGGCTGCGAGGGCGGTTTGGGGCTGAATGTCGAGGCACTGGACCCCACCTTGGATTGTTTGAATGTGATGCGAGGGCCAGGGAGTGCCGTGCCCGAGTCCTCTCGCTTGCGTTTCGCAGCCGTAGAATCCTTGGCCGGCGTAAGCGTCGTGCGAACTTTGTTCGATCGGAAGAAGTGCAGGCGTCCCTATGTACTGTTAACTCTGATTCCTGCAGACAGACGTATAGTAGAGTAGTACTGACCCGTCCGAGATGCTTGACGCTCCAGTAGCGAGGGTATTTCAGCTTTACCATCCGAGACGTGACTGCGTCATACAGAACCTTGCAGAGATCGGCGAATTCAGACATCTCAAGCACTCCGATGCACGGTGAGTTGCAGGCAGACCAGATGGCCTCCTTCAGCACCTGATCGCCAGAAACCTCCTTTTTCAAGGCACTCAAGGCTCCAGTGACCGTCTGTTTTCGCGCCAGGTCCGCCTGTCGGACCTCGGTGGAGGATTCTTGTTCGATGATCAGGTTATCGGTGTTGGCAGGTTGGTCATTGCTTGATTCGCGGCCAAAGGCGACTGGAGCAAGGGCTTTCCCGAACAGGCCATGGAGCCGGCGTCGGATACAAGCAGAAGAGTCGCTTGCCATTGTGAAGATGAACCATCGCAGCAACTCCGGGCTCTGGAATATGTCCAGCTCAACTAGACATTCAAACGCATCCAAACGAAGTAGGTCATAGGTTCCAGCTCGGGTGTATGGTAAGAATTGCATGATGTCGGGTTCTATGATATTGGCCTGCATGAGCCGCATTTGACAGCGTAAAGCAGCCCGTGAGTAGACGTTCTGGAAAGAGCTGGACCATTCGTCCATCCTGCGATACCTATCGAGCTCGGCTATGGCATCTTTCTCCAGCTGCTCTTCCGCCTGGGCCGCAAGCACCCGTTCCATATCGAAGTCGTCCATATCGACCTCTGCAGGGGTGGCGTCCGCTTTGCCCAGCATGGCGTGGCACAACGATTCCATCAAAGTCGCGACATAAAAGTTGTCCGAGCACTGTGAAGGTATAAGGAAATGTACTGAAAGCGACAAGGAGCTACTCACCTCATTGTTGGAGTTGTCGTTGAACTTCAACTTGTCAAACAAGAAACGCTTGACCCTCATCGGCGTCTTGCCACCATTATCGCGTACTTTTGATATAGCTTGCGGGATGATCAGCTGGAGCACATACGCTGCCCTGTCAGAGAAGTCATTCGAGCGGGTCATTGGCGATCCCGGGAGGCAGAAGAGTTCCTGGAATGCTCTCTCAAGGTGGAACAATCCTAGCCAGTTAATCTCCTCTTTCGCATGCTTCACCAAAGCGTGGACTGCAGCGACGCGGATTCCGTAAAAGTATCTTCGATCCATTAGAGTCCGGACGAATATTGTGGAGATGAGAGGATGCTCTCGCTGTATCGCCATGTATTGCAAGGACTGGTTCCAAGTTGTCAGCATGATCAGAGAAAACGTTCAATGAATGGCTTACCTCCAACTGAGCTATGACGTCTCGATCTTGTTGTAGTTGGGAGAGGTACATGTACCCCGGCATGGCCAACGAAAGCTTGCAGATCCATTCAAAATCGGCGTCCATGCGGATCCATTCATATGATTCCTGGCCCATTCTTTCCTCGTCCTCCTTACTCCAATCGGCGAGTTTCCACTCTTGCATTTCTTCCTCACTCTGCAACACATCACCTAGACAATAAAGAAGGACATCTTCCTGCACTTCTGCATTAGGGTCACCACCTATAACGGCGGCCGCGCGCTCCTTTTGTCGTTTGTTCCTCTTCAGGCGCTTGTATTTGGTATTATACGGGATGTCGAATTTGGTGACGCCCTCCTTGATTTCAACGATGTGCTCGTAAGGTGTGCCGTCCGCTTCGTGAATTCTAATGGTCATCGAGCCCGTAAATACCGGCTGGACAGGCCCAGCATAAACGCTTCGGATCTCTTCCTTGACATCGCGCAGAAATGCGTTCTTGTCCAAATCGCGCGCGCTTGAGGGGTCAGCCTGCACTTGCCGAATCATCATTTCGACAACCAGCTTCTTCTTGTTAAATCGTTGCGTGGCCTGGAACCGAGGGCACCCAGCCCCGTAGACCCATTGCTGGAAAAAGGAATCCAGCTTCGCATGACCCAGGCGTTCGCATGTTCTTTGGAAGAGAGAAGTGGTCACAGCTCCATTCGGTATCTCGCCCATCCGGGAATTCAGGAACAGGCGAGATATGATGCGAGACATTGTTGCCTTGCCACTGGCCTTCGTGAGCCTTCGGTCCAGAATGAAAAGGACGAGCGGAGCCTTGAGCGCGATGAACTCCGTCTCAGACGGATCGATGTTCAAGATGTTTCCCATATCGTAGATTGATGGACGTTCGTAGTCGAGATCACAAACTTTATCAGACATCTGCTTCATTCGAAAGCGGTGTTCGTTGTTTCCACAAAGTTTCTTCATGAACGTATCCGTGATATACCAAGAGACGCTGATCGTCACCCAGGTATCCACCGCCTCCTTGGGGACAATGTTCACGCCCATCCACTGGCATGACAAAGCATGCACTAGAGTACGAGTAGCATCATACATGGGGTCAACAATCTCTTCGGGGAACAGAAGGTGGCTACTGCAGATCGACAAGCAGGCCGTTGGTAACGTGTCGTCGGGTGCGTCGTCCACGAAGCAGATCTTGTAGCTTGCAAATGGGTAGGAGCCGTAAGATAACGAGAAGAAATCGATTGCTTTAGCCATCGGGAAACAAGTATTCCGAACTTCATCCCCTCTTCCTGGAATACAGAAGGCGTGCAGAGGAATGGCATTCAGACCCAGCTGCTCATCCTGGTCACTTTCACGGAAATCAGAAAGGTTGACATATTCGAACGGACCGACGGCAAAGCCGATCTGCTGGGCCGAAAGAGGGGAATAACACGCAAACGAGACCGTCTTCTTGCTGGCATCTTTCGGGTCAACGATCTCATCCGTCAGGTCTCCGGAGCAAACGACCGACAAATCCAACGTCTCATCATCCGGGGCAATATAGCGGTCATGACCTGAGCCTGACTTTGACCGACTTGAACCAGAGGCACCGGCGTGGTCTCGGTGTTTGCGATCAAACATATCGCCAAGGGAGCACGGACACTTGATTGAGATTTCCCAGGTGCAACGCGACGAAGGATCATCAACACAAGGGAAAAGAGGACATCCAGCACCATAGCCCAAGGAGTTTGTCGTGTAAGCATGCGGGTAGCGTCTGTCCCCATTGTCTATACCGACAAACTGCAGCCCATCCCGTATGTTCTCAATGACGAATTCGATATACATTGTCAGCGCCGTAAATCGTGGGAGCGACGAGTCGGCTGTTTTGGCACTCAAAGGCCCCTCTGCATCATCGGCGGCACCCGTAGCACGTAACGTCATCTGATCCTGGGCTTCGATGGAGGACGGGTCGAGTTCTTCAATGCGCACGCCCTTGGGAACCGAGACCAGCAGGTCCGGCTCTGGCGGCGACTTGAGCAGTCCATCGATTTTGGCTGACAGGAGCTGGTGATAGTGAGGGCCGTACAGCTGCAGCAAGTTGTAGGGATCCACATATTTGACCGTCGGTACCTTCCCACTGACATTCAAACGCCTCAGCTCGCCTTGCCGGAAGTTCAATCGGATAGTGCGGAGGTCCTTGTGGTGGGGATGGATGGTGATTTCGGTTTTTCCCTTGAGGCTCTTGCTTGCAAAATCTATCTCCAGCTCGACCTTCTGATGCGCAACGGTGAACCCCAACTCTGGCCTGACCGGCCCGGCCGGGGTGTCGACAACGCCTGGCATGGCGCAAGATCCTCAGTGGTGCACTGCGCCGCGAGCGCCTCGCTGACTCTCAAGCGTCATGTCCAAGCTCACAGAGCGAGGGTATTTCCACCGGATAGCGTGCGCTCGACGTTGATGCTCGAAGGATTTGGATTGGATATCGGGAGTGTGGCCGCAGCGACTGTGGAGAGAAGGACGGACGGAGGAGGAAGCTTCGACGGACGGCGGGGGAAGACAACACTTGGGGAAGCGAGTGAGGCGATAGCGAGGGCGGAGTTAGGGTCGGGGGTCTTGAATGGGACCCACGGATTGAATAGAACAATCAAAGGCGGGATTCAGGTGGCTGCAGGAACACCGGATGGACAGAGGGAGGGGGGGAACAGCCCTCCTGGCGACAAGCAAGTGTTTCAATCACTTTCTGTTTCTGGCGCGTCCCATCGATGCGGTCGAAAGCTTCCCGGCGGAGCTGGCGAGACCACGTGATTGCGCGCGGGTGTTCCGTCCGTCTTTAGTTTCTCCCCGTCCGTCTTCCGCTGCCGGCCGCATTGCTCCCTCATGTTTCTTCTTCCTCTTCCCTTTTGACTTTTCCCCCATCCTGGGTTCCCCTTCGTTCCCTGACATCACTTCTCTCCCCCCGGCCAGCATTCCACTGTCTGTATCTCACTATCTCCGTGTTTCCCCCGCCGTGCTTCCTGCAAGCCCACTTCTATTGTCTATTGACGGCCATTGGCCCTTCTTCTCCCCCCCCCCCCCATTCCCCTCCAACCCGTGTCTCCCGTCTCGTCGCATATCGCGCCATGAGCCACGTTTGACTTCATCCCAAATACAACCCCCATTGTACACAGTATTGTGCAGTATTCCACCAATAAACCAATCCCAAGATGAGTATAATATTCAGAAGGATCCAAGGTTCGTCGCGCCCTGCACAAGCACACACCATCCTTGTAACTGTAATACTAATCGGTGTCGCGCGCCCTCTAGCGATCCAAGACTCGCTGTCCGATGACGTCTTGCTGCCCCTGAAAAGCTACAAGTACCAAAGTGTCGACAAGTCGTACATTTCCAACTATATATTAAGACATTATGTATGGCCCTCCCGGTCCGATCGATATTCCTGGTTCTGACAGACGGATAAAAAAAAAAAAGTGGAATGCCTTCGTCGAAGTACTGCCGCTCTGGCTGGCCCCCAACATGGTGACCCTCCTAGGGTTCTTCTTCATCGTGGGCAATGTCATGCTCATCGGAGTGTACATGCCTGATCTAGTGGGACCTGTAAGACATCCCCCGATGGGCTCCATCTAATGCCCCACGAGGCTAACGCATCGTACCTGCAGGGCCCCTCTTGGTTATATTACAGTTTTGCGTTGGGCATGTGGATGTAAGTCTATACGGTGACTCTTGTGGCTGTTTGTCTCTAACGACTGTCAAGGTACTCCACACTGGATAATGTCGACGGCAAGCAGGCCCGCAGAACAGGGACCTCCAGCGGATTGGGCGAGCTTTTTGAGTAGGTCGTGATTGACAGCAAGGGCCAAGCAGGCGCTAACAGTCCACAGCCATGGAATCGATTCTTTGAATTGCACCTTGGCCAGTCTGCTCGAGACTGCAGCCATGGGGTTCGGCTCTTCTCAGCTTGGAGCCTACACAGCCCTCGTCCCGTGCCTCGCCATGTACTTCTCGACCTGGGAGACCTACCACACCCACACGCTTTATCTCGGCTACTTCAACGGCCCTACTGAAGGTTTGATCATTGCGATCGCAATCATGATTGCTTCCGGTGTCTATGGCCCTCAGATCTGGACTCGTCCGATCGTCGAGTTCTTGAACTACCCGCAGATCTTCGGAAACAACTCGGTGAAAGACCTCTGGATCCCACTCCTCCTCGGCTCCTTTTTCCTCGGACACCTGCCGGGATGTGTCATGAACGTGATTGCTGCGCGCAGAAAGCAAAACCTCCCCATCTCGCCTATTTTCAAGGAATGGGTGCCGATGATCGTCTTCACTAGCTGCAACCTGGCCTGGCTCTTCTCTCCGTACTCCACGTTGCTTTCCGGTAACCATCTGGTTCTGTACTGCTGGACTATGTCGTTTGTCTTCGGGCGCATGACCACCAAAATCATCCTCGCGCATTTGTTGAGACAGCCTTTCCCCTATTGGACTGTCCTGCAGGTCCCACTCATCGGCGGTGCCATTCTGGCCAACCTGCCCCGACTAGGATTCCCTATGGTGAGCTCAGGGCTAGAGTTGCTGTACCTACGTGTCTATCTTCTGTTTGCCTTCGTTGCGTACATGCACTGGGCAGTTCTCGTTATCAACCGAATCACGACATTCTTGGGGATCAACTGCCTGACAATCCGCCGTGACAAGTCAGTTGCGAGGGACCAGGCTTATCGCGAGTTCGGAGAGGCTCAGCTCATTGGCCCCAATGCTACCAATGACCCCACCAAGGGTCTTCTCAAAGCCCACTGAGCCCGAAATCCAAGTGAGCCGAGGCATGTCTCACTGCCACGCAAGGCCACTTGTTCGCTACTCATGGTGTGTCTGACTATTTTCGGGGTCATTTCGCTCAACATATGTTACGGAGCCAGTCCGTGCGACTCGATGACTATCCCGGGCTTTTTCATGACGCTGAGAACCGGCTCCCGACTTGATTTTCACCCTTGTCGGTATTTTCTTGGCGACGTAAACGTCTTCTTATATCTACGATTTTAATGCCTCCCTTGGATTATGCCACCCGCACACAGGCTGATGAATGAACTGATGACTTGGCTGGATGGATGACGCGGACGAAGATGAGCTGTTCGCCCTCCAACTTTTCAGTATATAGTTTGGATAGACAGTATAATAGTACCTAATTAACGATAGAGTTACTGCATCATGAACCATCCCGGGTCTAGAACAGGGCGTCGTGCCAAGGAGAGTGAGTAACCTTGACGCCAGGAACCCGTCGTGTCTGTCCATCAATCGATCGATTCTATGGCACTATCTACTAGTAGATAGCAGATAAGCAATATGGATGGTATTTCTATCCGAACCTGAAGGATCAACCGAGCCCTTATCGATCTTGATGCGGTGGAGCACTAGTCGATTTAGAGTTCGATCCGATGTCTTTCCACTTTCCAGACCATGTGCTGTTTCACGGGGTCTTCCTTCTTCTTCTAAGTCATGGACAGGCATATCGTCTACATCTCCATAATCGACCACTCTTCTATACAATAGTCAATATGCAGTCCATATGTCTCTTAATCTCAATCCCCGAATCTGTAAACATGTAGCTCCCCTTTGATCACTATCAGCGCCGCCTAGCTTGGTTCCGGACCAGAGACACTGAATTGAAGTTCGTTGAAATCCCCCCATGTATATTTTAGCTCTTGTTATAGTGTTTCCTTCCATCCTTACCTTTGTTACATCAGTCTTGTTCTCCGTACAATGGCGTGTTTGGTTTTCGTTTTCGCTATCGCCCTTTTTCTTTTCTTTTCCCCAAACTTCTGTGATATACTGCTTACAGGTGAGTTGAGTCTGAGTTGCTTTCTGACAAATGACTCTTGTAGGTAACTAGTAAGTGTGGGTCTGGGTAAAGGCTAGGCTTGTTGTTGAACATTATACGAATGGTAATAGATACGTAAATACCGGAGTCGGTGTGCATGCTCCTATGTAATTACATACGGCTTGGCAGTATTTAAGCGAAACTAGATCCGATTCCGTTAGGACGGCACAGTAGTGCAGCGGTTAGCGCGGGCCCAGATGGGCCCCCACCATTGCACCCCACTGGGTTACTGTCGTCGTCCTCTCCGCCGCGGCTTGCACGGTGGCAGGTCCACCGTTCGAGTCCGGTTAGGGGTAATGTGATGTCTTCTTTTCTTTTTGCTTTTCTTTTCCACTACCACCACATTTTATCACTCGATTGTTTTTTTTTGTTGGGATTTCTTCCGGGTTTAGTTTGAGAACTATCTGGTTCTCGTAGGAAGATGGTAAAATAAAAGATAATGTTTGGCTTTTGTTGGTCCGGGTGGCGGGTTGTGCCAGGGAGAGGCGTGCGTACTCGGCAGATGCAGCAGGTATCTATCAAGCAAGGGAGGCAAAGAAGATGGAACTAGAAAAATAATAAAGAAAACGGATGGCTGCAAATGGATGGGGTTCGTCAGGGGTGAGAGAAGTTACCCAGCTAGGTAGGTAGTAGGGTGGTTGGTGATGGTGGTGGGTCTACTAATTATTTCCGTGTATGAAACAATTATTTTGCATTATAGCAGTCTGGACTGGGTGTGGTATGTAAGTTAATTCGAGGAATATACTCATACTCGGGATTATTATTATGTCGGGTTGAGTGGCGGATGCCAGATCCGCGTGGTACAGTGCAGTGAGTGCTTCGTATGTACATGGCATGACCGGCATGAAGCCTTTGTACTAAATTAAGTATACGGCGCGGTTGCAGCCGGGTGGGAGCGCGATCCACATGCCTTGCGTCCTGGCTTACCTGTCTGTCACGGGCCAGGTCTGACAAGGCAACGGCTGCGGTGATCCGGATGTGTTCTCAATACCGCGGGAGCTGGTCATATCGGATGAGGCGTGGGGGGCTTGTTTGTGGTCCGAGCTTATGTCTGTAACATTGACATGGGAGGTGAGCAGTTTTAGGTTCGTCAAAAATACTGGTTCAGTTTGGTTCAATCGCAGAAAGAGGGGCATCAGGTGTAAGTGATGGCGCATCGCTACTCTCGACATGGTAGCTCCGAAGCTGCATTAGTAGTGCTGCATCTTGTCTAGAAGTCATGTCAAACCCTACATACGCAGAGGCTATTTTTCCTATTGCTCCCAATGCGATGATCCGAGAGGGCGTAACTTCGTCGAATCAGTTAATGTATGTGCAGTTATATATTTCAATCAGCAGTGTGTCCAATCAGCACATTCTTCCGAACAAAAAGTCCTTAACGACGGGCGAGCTGGAAAACTCGGGGTTCAATAGAACACAACTTCGGTGTGGCGTCAGCTCCTGAAGGGATTTTAAACTCAACTGTCAGTCTACTCACTTCAAGAAATATTCTAAGCCGACCCGGCGGGTCTCCAGAAATGAAGGGCGGAATTTGACTAGGGAACAAGCTGTCAGATAGGATCATGTCTGCGAAGGCTCTCTTCCACATACAGATGACGCTTTTGGGAGGAAGAGGAGGCAGGGCATTCTTTGCATATGGAAAGGATGCGACCAATTGCTGTCGCATGTCGTCGAATTCCGAATATCTGGAAAGTTCAAGTGTGAGAAAAGGCGAGCCATAACAGTCTGTCTCAAACACACCTTAAGCGAACAGTGATAGGACCGCCCTGCAACTACCATTAGTACCTCAAGCGACCAGCAGGTGCAGCAGTCACGGGGTGGTGACGATAAAAAGCCCCACGCGGGATGATCGACGCACATCAAGAGTTTGTATCCTGCAATTCCACACCACATACGATCCTATTCCGGTCTTCCCCTGAACGACAACATGATCGTCGACAGCAACGCTCTTCGCCCACAGACCGCGGCTGGTCTCACAGTCCGGATCCTCGGTATGGTCTTCAAGGGTAATGCCGTGCGATTGATCGACGGATATTTGAGAAGCTCTGGAAGCATTCCGGTGGTGACTCCAGTACGGGGGGACTATGCCAGAGATCGGCCGGTCTTTATTCGAGAGTCCCGGGGCGCGAGGAAGAACCGAACCATTGCTGACCGCAATCCCATCCGATATCGACGCAGCTATGGTATCTGGGTTGATTGGGTCGGAGGGAAGGGTCGCGGGCTGGGATGGGGAGGATGGGAGCGGTTGCTGCCGAGGCACCGAGCCAGTGTCCTCATTCGCTGGCTCCATCCATCTATATGTTCGACGAACCGATGAGAGCGAGCCCGACGGTCTAAGAATAGCGGGTAAGCTGGATGCAACCCTAGCGGAGGGCGCCGTGGCGGGGGATTAGGGAGTGCATGATCACGAACGGGAATCACTAGTGAAGCTTGCGGGCACAGCAGGGGGTCTGTGTCCGGCGTATCGAAGCCACAGGGTGTAGGGGGTTGGAGGGTGTTCAGCCGGATTTAGGCAACGTACAGCGGGCGACTCGGAAGCTGGGAGGTACGAGGTGCGGGGGTGCTGGGAGTGTTGGGGGGGGTGTTGGGGTCGGAGAAGAGGGGAAGGGAGGTCGATAAGATAGGATGTCTCAGATGAGGCAGGGAGCGGCAGGGTTTCGGGACACCACAGGCCGTCAAGCAAGCATCGATGCTGGTGATAGCAGCCAACGGGGCAAGACCGTTGGGCAGTACTAGTGATGCCACAATCGTGCCGAAAGGGGACGGCGGAGATCACGGGACCCGCGGGCGCGCGCCTTTCCGGAATGAGCCAACCATGCGTTGCCCGCAGGGAAACGTCAGAACATTGTTGTCAACCGGATGGAGACGGCGGGATAGGAGTTGACAAGTCCGGAGTTGGGAGTAGATAGGTGGATAGTGTCGTCCCGTACTCCGGACTTCTGACTCGTATCAGGCCTGTCTAGCCTGAAGGTCCCTTGTAACCAAAATTGAGTCCTCTCCAAGTTCTCTGTTGTTCTGTTCCATCGTTCGTATTATTTAGTGGTACTAGTCGGCTCCGGCCCACTAGTGTGCACCGCTAGTCCGCGGCGAGCCTAGCGCACAGGGTCCACGCTAGAAAAAAAGCCAAGAGTGGCCTTTGCCCAATCAAGGAGGCCAGGAGGGGGCGAATCCTTCACCTTCACCTCACCCTGACCTGAGACATGGGGCTCCCCGTCCCGCGGATGGCAGCCACCCTGTTCTACCCTGGCCGTTCCCTGAGACATGCGACATTCTCGTCCCATCAGAGGTCGTCTTGGGGAGCAGCTATCTGCGTGGTACTGTACCAAATGCAGCGATAGGCGTCTTAATCGAAATTCTCTGCGAATCATGCACTCGACGCCGGCTAAACATAGCAGCGAGCAGGTGAGGAGATGGGTGGAGATGGGTCTGTTAGGCTGTTACCCCAGCAGGGTGAGAGTTGCAACTTGTCAGAAGGGCCTTCTAGTTTCTACTAGGGACATACTTACCGTGTTGGCCAGATAGATAATGGCTTGCTGGCTGGAATTCCAATCGGCTAGTGGCGCCGGATCGACCGTCTCCCCCCCGGTGTCTCTTTTTCTCTTGGATACTAGATACTAGTAGTAGGTAGTGACTAGACTCACTAGGGTGTCGGTTGCCCTCAATGGCATTCCTCGGTGTGTCCTCTGTACTCCGTAAGAGTCATACGGTCGACCAAAGATAGATCCGCAAACTTTCGTCTGATGTTTGGTTGTTTATTGGAGCGACAGGAATGGGACTAGCCACTCACTCACTTGTTTAGTTCGTTCCGTACAGCTATGGCAGGCCGTCCGGATGGCTGGATCCAGCTGTGGCCGTCTGGAGCTTACCTACCTAAGGGACTTGATAGCGCCGCCACCTCAACCTCGCGTAACAAACAGAAGTCGTACGGTGGGAGGGAGCTGTGAATACATATATTGGGCCATGGGCACCAGCCCATTCATAGATCCTCGCGCTTCCCTGTGGTTCTTCCCTCTTCTCCTCTTGTTGCTGCTCCCCAGGCCTCTCGAGCTCCTGCGACTACCCGTTTGAGTTGCTCCCTTTTGATATCAACAGCCCCTAGTATTGGCGCTCTACCTGTCCAAAACTCTCCTGCTCCTTCAACCCAACCCTCTTGAACTTAACACGTATGTACTCCCTACAAGCCCGGCATATCTCTTAGCCTCTTGTCCACTAGTTACAGGGATCATCACTGATATCGTGCATCGTCGTCCTCCCCCAGAGACCCCGAGAGTCTTCATCTACCCGTTGACGCTCGCCGTTGTACCCACCGCAACTTCAAGCCACGCAACATGGTTCTGCTTCGTTCGCTGTTTGCCATCGCCTCGGTGACCGGGCTGGTCTACGGTCAATCCAACTCCACAATTGACCCAAACAGCATCCCTATCGCGACCAGAGGTATCTCCCCACTCCGTGCCCGAACTGCTAGCCAAATCGCATCTAACCGCGTGGCTCGATAGACCAATGGTGTCAGTCCCAGACGTCCTCATGCCCTCTCCTCTGTCTTCAGCTGCCAGGCACATCGGGCTCCCCCAAGGACAATACCTGCGACCCTGTAAGTCCCGATGACCAGGTCCTGCAACTGACCCTCTCTGATGCATCGAGCCTGAACATAGAAAACCCTCGCCTATACTTGTGTTTGCAACAATGGAATGAGCCCCAACGCCTCCCAGTACTCCCTGACCATTCCATACTTCATTTGCACCCAGCAAGACACCGACTGCGTCAACAACTGCAATGGTGACTCGACCTGCCAGTCCAACTGCCGCAGCCAGCATCCCTGTGGTGCCCAGAACCCCAAGCGTGTCAATGTCACTACCACCGCCGGATCAACCCCCACAACCGCCGCGGCCACAACCTCCGTGGCTGCTTTCACTGGAGTTCCAGATGAAGGGCTGGGCGTCCCAATGTCGGTTGACATGGCCCCAGTCTATGGCCTGGTGGTGGTCGTGGGCGCTTTCCTTGCTGGTTTCACGACTTTGATCTGAGGAAGCTTGTGAGGATATGGCGGTATGAATTCTGATGCAACCTCAGCCAGCACCGGGCTTAAAACACTCATAATGGGAACATGTCACATCTATGTAATAATCGCGGTTTTCTTTCCTTTCTGTTCATCTCAAATTATGGTGTTGGTGCGTGCTCAAATATAATGACGAAGCGAGACTTCTCTTCTTACAAGTTTAGTGTTATTGTTTCTTGAAAATCACAAGCCTTTGTAATTTATTTGAATCGGACAGCATATTAAATATCATTTCTCATGACAGCAAAATGTCAGGACAATGCCAATGCCCTTAGTCTTCTGAGCTTTGGCTAGGCAAAAAACTTGCACTTGCTACCTATGGAAAGTTGTCTGAGTATGATGAACACCAGGGTGAGCCTCTCTCGTCTTGGTCTTGATTATCTTGGATGACTAGTGGACTTAAACTGAATGGCCAGAGAGTTAAAGCTGGATATTTAGTCAGCTGAAACTAAGACAATCAATTGATCCTTCTATCGGGTTGCTATCTCGCTGCTCGTGACGGTGGCACAATGACGCAGCTAATATCATGGCCATAGACTCGACGCCGACTATCATGTCAGCTCATTCTCCGGTAGCCTAAGGCACCGGCGGTATAGCCTCAAAAGCAGAAGGTCCCCCCCGCTGGAGCCTCTCTTTCCCGGAACCTGTCTCTCTCCATGTATCTGTCGCTGCCCTAGCTACGTTCCTGCCTTTTCCTGTCGATTCCGCTCCTGTCTCTTTGAGTCCTTATCCATCTCGCATCATGCCTTACTCTCATTCCCCTTCTGCATCTCCTTCATCGTCCACGCCCTGCTGTTTGCTCCTTCTCATCTCTACTCCACGTCTGGAAGGTTTCTAGTCTACGTGGTTCTGGTTTTCTTTCCTGATTGTTCGATCCCCTGGTTCCTTCTTCTTACTTTCTCGGTCAACGCTTCACCATGACTGCCTAATAGTTCCGAACACTATCGCCTGCCAGAAACCCATCGTCACATCCTCCTCTTCTGGCGACTGAATTTGACCCGTCTCCCTTTATTGGTACGGGTCAAACGACCAGTCCCTTGTTGTGTTTTCCGGCATCTCTTCTCAGATCTTCGCCATCCAATCTGAGAGTCCCTCTTCATTTGGCCTACACTCAACGTGTGGCATCGCTCAAAATGCCTCGCGGTCGTGTAAGAACACATCCCGAGTCCAAACTAGAAGTGACCTGACACTGACCATATCTATCGCAAATGAAAGAGAAATCGTTGGTGTGTTATCTGCGAGCTGTGGGGACACAATGAGCATGAGTGCTGGTACAATATATGCCGAGTCCTACGAGCTGCGGTACGTCGAGCCGACTAGAGATGAATCAGGCACTGATTTTCGCAGTCACGCATGTTTGGCCGCGGATATGCGACGCTTGAGGGAGGCTCTCGAGTGACAATGAACGAAAACGGCATAACAGTGGAAATCAGGGGCGCTGGTCGCGGAAGAAATCCTCCGAGAAGGAATGCCAATTGGAGACGGAATCACCGTTGGGGACGCGCAGTGCGATTTGACAACCGTGTAAGTATTCATCATTGGTTGGGCAGGAGACATCGCGCTGTCAAAGTGCTGACTGAAACGATTGTACTTAGGCCGGTCGTCGTCTGTCTCCTGCTAGACCGCCTGTGAGTTCAACGCAAGCTACCAGGTAGAGTTCAGGCTATTTATTTTTGAGACAACGCAACTGACCGGGTGTGGAGTTCCGCTGCTACGAACGCCCAATACCGCTCTGACGAGCCTAGGTAGATACTTATAATATCGGTGATATTGAACTCTCGCTGACAGGCTTCAATCAGACGATCGTCCGCCACAAACGCCCAACATGATGCTGCGGTTGAACCGTTTCCACCGGTCCATCATCCACAGAGGCCAAGCAACCACAACCACGTCTCTGGAAGCGCACCGTATGTTCCGGATGAGACAGGGTAAGTAAATTAAAGTAACAGCTCTCATCTATCCTTTGAAGTAAGATACTGACTACTTAGCGACCCCGACGTCGGTATGACGGTCGAGTAAGTTCAAGTCTTATTTGAGCTTCAGCTCTAGGACTGATGAGTCGCTATCAGAGACAGTAGTAACACCGAAGACTGGGACACGCAGTTGGAATCCAGGCAAGTATCATGCTCGAGTCCATGGCTATATCCTGATAACGGATCAATCTAGTGGGCTTGATAAAGCAGCGGCAGATCTCCAAGCAATCAAGCTTGACCCGCTTGACACGGCGGAAGATGAAGCTATGGCCAATGCTGGACGCTCTGAGGACGTCGCTGAAAAATACTGCGGCGAGATTTTTACACAAATTTGAGCGATCCCCTTTCAAGTTGCGAAATATGAGTGCGCGTGGCTCGACAGATTGGTCGGAAAGATGAGTGCTCTAGTTGGGGCTTTTAGTATATTAAGGTTCTCATGCCTGCATGGGCATTGCTGCGAGGGTAAACTAGCAGCAGCCAGTATATCCTCGGCGAAACGCCTGGCCTCCGGCAGAAGCTACAGGAATTGGTGTGCGGGCTTTGAACCAGATTAGTTGGAACGATCAAAGGCTATATTGAAGTGAAGGGCAATGGGGCAAATGAAGATCGGAAGACTATAGTAGTTCCACAGAGATGAATCCCAATTAATGGCACTTTGCTCATGTGATGGTACGGAGTACTCTGGAGTGGTTCGGAGGGGGACGAGGGCCCCAGGCGGTAGCCAAGGCGGTGTGCAGAGCCCACCGATAGATCGGGCCAAATGATGGCGTCGCCGGTGACCTTCGCGATAGATCATCTCACCCGCACCACTCTCACTCTGCCTGGCTCCACGTCGCTGTCTCGATCCGCCTGTTCTATTTGGTGGCTCATACACCTGGAATCGCCCCATCGCTTATTTTGGACCTCGACAAAGCTCTAATCCCCCGAAGAAACATCTGCTGCCTGCGGAGCTCACCCGTTCCCCACTCTGCTTGTTGGCATACGGCAATATCATACTCCATTGCATTGCCTTTCGGCTGAAGAGCCTCATCCAGGGTGGTTTGTGCTCATTCGGGCTACAAGTTTGACTCTTCTTTCGTCCTTAATCCCGCACTCGGCGGTAGTCACCGTTCCAAATAACCTCACGCGCAGGAGTGCAGCGCTGGATACACCGAGAGCCGACGACATGGATTACATGCAACCGGACGCCTTCGACACGGCTTCCTCTCAGAATGCGGGACAGGCGGCTGGTGTGGGGAGTGCAGACCTGGAAAATATGAGTTTGAACGTCACAGGACCCCTCGTTAAAGTCGATGGTATGTTCGCTCTATCGGTAGCAATTGCGGGGAAAGGGAAGGAATGGCTGATGCTCTCAAAGATCCGCCTAAATTCGAACTGGAATCATATATTGCAAACTACACTGGTATGTGACATGGTCCCTGGAATTTTGTCATAGTGACTCACAAGTCTCTCAATGCTAGGCCGGACCAGATTCAATCGATTGTTCCTCATAGGCACATGTTCAACGTATCTATCGGTCGAAGCGCTCAAAGCTGCGGTTGCGGAAGCCAAGTCCGGCAGAGATGTTACTAGATACGAGCGTGCTGTCCGGGCACTTGCTGAAGTCACACCGAATGACCCGGAGGCTATTCCTGACACGAACTGGGCGGACCGGATGAAGAAGTCTGTCAAGGCGGAGACGGATCGTCTGGAGCACGAGCTCCGGGGATATAAAAACAATTTGATCAAAGAAAGCATCAGGGTACGTTTGTCTGCACTCGTAAGGGAGGACCTTCCAGTATCTAACGGATCTGTAGATGGGAAACGAGGATCTCGGCCAGCATTACAGTCAGATCGGCGACCTAAGCTCGGCATCCAAGGCCTTTCAGCGCATGAGAGACTTCTGCACGACCCCGACTCACATCGCCTCCATGCTGTTGAAGATCATCAACCTCTCAATTGAGCGTGGAGACTGGCTGAACGTACAGTCAAATGTGATCCGATTACGCAATCTGCAGTCGAAGCAGGAGGAGCAAGCCAAGAACCAGCCCAAGATGTCAGCCGCCCTAGGTCTTTCCCAGCTACACTCGGGGTCATATCTAGACGCCGCCAACAGCTTCCTGGGCACTGATCCCAGCCTCGGGGATTCGTACAACGAAGTCCTCACCTCGAACGACGTAGCCGTCTACGGTGGCCTCTGCGCCCTGGCCTCGATGGACCGCAACGACCTCCAGCGTCGCGTGCTTGACAACAACTCGTTCCGCAACTTCCTCGAACTCGAACCGCAAATCCGCCGCGCCATCTCCTTCTTCTGCAACTCCAAGTTCCGCCCCTGCCTCGAAATCCTGGAAGCCTACCAAGCCGACTACCTCCTTGACGTCCACCTCCAGCGCCACGTCCACACCCTCTACTCCCGCATCCGCACCAAGTCCATCCAGCAATACCTCCTCCCGTACAGCCGCGTCACCCTCGAATCCATGACCAAGATGTTCGCCCCCGCCGCCAGCGCCCTCCCCACCAACACCACCTCCCCCTTTGTGCAGGAACTCATCGGCCTCATCCAAGACGGCACCCTGGATGCCCGCATCGACCTAGAGAAGAACGTCCTGGTCACCAACCAAGTCCACCTCCGCAAAGAAGTCCAGGAGTCCATCATCAACAATCTGGAAGAGTACACCCGCGAGGCCCACCTCCGCGTCCTCCGCGCCAATATCATCCAAGCCGGTCTGGAAGTCCGCGCGGACGACCGCAAGCCATCGCGAGAGGAGCGCAAGCCCCACGATGACCGGGGTAAGGCGTCCGAGGGTGGGCTTTGGAATGTCTTTTCGCGTGCTTCTGGCGTGTAATGCAGTTCTTCTGTTTCTTTTCTTTTCCTTCTTTTTCTTTCTTTCTTTGCTTCTGATGTGATGAGATGAGATACGATTAGATTCTTTAGAATGGATGAAGTCCCTCTGAGCAAGGCAATTCATGATATGCTCTCTACCCTCAAGTATTAGTTTGCGGAACTATTGTGAGTCAGATAAGCATCACTTATTTATCTTTCTCTCCCTCTGCCTCTCCCTCTCCCTGTCTGTCTTATACACACATTCCGTATAGTATACGAATTACAGATAACCCAAGCAAAGTACATAATCCATCAATTAAGTCATACTAATAGTAATCACATGAGATGAAGATGATAAATGAACCCCCCCCCTCCCCATTCCTCACCCCCTAAGCACACATCCCTTTCCCAACCAGCTGGCTAATCAAATGCACAGCTTAAGCAACCCAAGCCCAACCAAGTCCAACCAAGCCCAAGGCAAAACCTAAGCTTAAGCTTAAGACTAAGTCTAAGCCATAGCCAGCGCAAGCATCATAGCCGCACCACCCGCAACCCACTGCGCACCGGTAGCCAGAGACATAGCGCCGTTGCTGGTAGAGCTAGCCGTAGCGGAGGAGGACGAGGTCGAAGAGGAGGACGAGGTGCCGGAGGCGGTGGTCTTGGCAGAGGCGCCAGTACCGGTGCTGGAGGAAGAGGCGGTGGAAGAGGCGGAGGCGGATGCAGCGGACCCGGTGGCCTTGGAGCCTTCAGTGGCGGTGATGGTGACGGGCAGGAGGGTCAGTTCCGTCGAGGTGGTCACGGTCGTGGAGCCCACGTCTGAGCCGATGGTGCTGGTCGCGGCGCAGGAGAGGGAGGTAGTTCCGGCGAAGGAGCATTGTTCGGAGAGGGTGCTGGGGTGGTGGGTTAGTTAATTTGTTTGTTTGGTTGTATTTTTGGGGGGTTATGTTGGGGGATGGGCTTACATGGCAGCGTCGCTGTAGGTGTATAGCAGGGTGGTGCTGCCCACGGTCAGACTGTAGCCCTCGCTGGGGATGTTGCAGCCCGTCTCGCTGAGGTCATCGCCGCTGGAGGTCGTCGTGGCCGCGGCGGTGGTGGACGCCGTCGCGGTGGCAGGACAGTTGATGATCAGGGTGGTGAGGGCGCCGCCGGTCTGTGATGATGGTGGTGGTTAGTTATGTGCTGTGTAGTTATGTTGTGGTGGGATGGAGTAGGAGGGCAGGTTCTTGGGGAAAAGTGAAGTAGGGCTGGCTGGCCGGCCAGGTCGGGGTATATATTATAGGGTTGTAACGTACAGTGCCAACCAGCTTGGCGTCGAGGGCAGTCAAGTCGCTGTCGAGCCAGTAGATGGAGACGACATCGCTGGCGACGGCGGAGCAGGAGATGGTAGCCAGAAGGGCCAGGGAGCTAGAGAGTTGGAAACGCATGGTGATGGTGGTGAGGTGAATTAGGAGGCGTGGGTTGAGGGGATTAGGATTAGGGGGTATCAATGGCGGAAGGGTTGTATAGAAGAATGAAAACAATTGACGGGTAGGAAAAGAAAAGAAACGTCAGGAAGGGGGAGGGCAGAGGGAATTAAAGGGCCCAGGGCCCTCCCTCGAGAGAATGGGGGCGAAAAACATCTGCCATCTGCCTCCTGCTAGTACGGAGTATGTATAAACGAAACACTAGAGGGCATTCAATACGACGCTGACGAGGGGGGAAAATCATCGCGGCGAGGCTGAGAAGCTCAGGCACGCTTCGCCGTGACTGGCCAGCGCTTAGAGGCCAAGCACTGCCTGGCTCCGGGCTGACTCGAAGCAAAGCCAAACAGCCAGCAACCAGGGTCTCTGGGGGCGCAGGGGCAAGCCGGACCCTCAATTTCCCGATTCAAGGCTCGGCGCTTAGGGCCAACATCGGTTGGGGTCCTTATTTGCTGGGCTACTGCTGCTGTAGAGTTTGCTAGACCCAACAGTCGAGGGCAAACTGTACTTAAAACAGCATTATTACCTAGACTCTCTCGGTCAGTCCGACAGATAATTAAATTGTCTCACGGCCGGTCGCCAACAAACCGTCTTTCATATAAGGTTGTGGGTAAATCCTCCAAGGCCTCCCCCTCCAGATTTTACATGGCTCACTCACTCACTACTCACTACTCACTACTCACTACTCACTACTCACTACTTACCACTTACCACACACCGACCCGCGAAGCCACGCCGGGGCCGCACACGTGGGGGCCGAATGCCCTCGTTTCACTACGCCGTACGGAATACTCCGTACTTCGTATGCTATTGCTCGCTACGGAGTCTTACGGCTGCGATAGTATGACCCCGATGGAATCTAAATCCGCGCCACGGTGCAACCTGCTGTTGCTTATTCGGGACGCTAAGCTCCAGGCTAACAACACCCTGGTTCGCAGCAACAAAGAAGCACAAAGAGCGGGAAAAGGAAAAAAAACCTCAATCGCCGACGCTAGATAGATTACACAGCACGTCCCGCGCCCTTTGTTGAGTGCCCAATGAACCCACTCGCCAACCCCGCCAGAAGCAGTGCCCCGTTGAAGCCCGCCATGATGTAGAACGGCGCTCCCGATGACAGCTCATCGAACAAGAGCCCACCCAGTTTGGTCAGCATCAGGATGCCCGCTCCACCGTACAGGGAATACACTCCAGCAATGGATCCCTTCAGGTGCGACAACTGCTGCCGCCCTTGCCGGCCGGCACGGTGGGCCATGAGAGGCCGTTCTTCCTCGTCCTCCTCGTCGTTGTCCACCGGGCAATCCGCGTCCTCGACCTCCCCGAGACCATCGTGCACCGGGCAGCACTGGTCTTCCACCTTAGCGGAATCGTTCAGGCTGAGGATGCCGCTGCTCAGCACGGACAAGCTGCACACAATGGCTCCGATCTGACTGATTCCGAGCAGAGCCATCACTACGAATACGCCGGGGCTGCCGTGGTCCCCACTGATCTCAGGACTGGGCAACAGCGCAAACACGGTGTAGCCCACAAGACCGGCTAAACACGCACCCAACAGAGGCACGTGGCGGCGTCGTGATCGATCGGACAGATACCCGAAGGCTGGGGCCGCGATCAACGCGATTAGCTGAGAAACCCCGGTCAGGATCGAAGCGAGCACGTAGGCTTTGTGGCACGATTTCTTGATGTCGCCGGGGCTAGCCACCTCTCCGTCGGGGCTCCCGCACAACCCCGACATGCGGTAGTAATGGTTCACGGCGAGCGGGATGAACAACGAAATGCCCACCGACGATGCGCGTGCAACAAAGCCGCCCAGGTAGCCGATGAAAATTTGAGAATTCCGGAAGCCTAGCAGGAACGCAGCCCCCAGCTGTTCGAGATAGGGAAGCTGGAATTTGCGAGCATAGGAGCACGGCTCACCGCCATCTGGCTCCTCGTGCTTGTGGGCTGACCACAGGGAACTCCACGATTTCCCTTCCTCGCCGGGCAGGTTTCTCAGCCCAAAGAAGCAGAGGACACTGATGAGTAAAGACACGACAGCCACGATATAGTAGCTGCGCTGGATGGCTTCCACCGGGGAAAGACCCCATTGCTCAAACCGAGCGGGAAGGGGCAGGAAGACGACGAGAGCGACGAGAGCACCGCATCCCGCACACATGCCTACAAACCCGGCCAATCGAGAGGAGGTTGTGTTCATACTAGAGTCCGACGCGGATGAGTGTTTTGGTGATGAGTGGGACCCAGCTACGGCCGGCAGGACGGCCGTGACCATGGTTGAGACGGCGGAGCCCCCCAGACTAAAGAGCAGCCTTCCCAGCAGCAGCTGGGGGTAAATATTCTTGGCCTGAACGAACAGGACCAGGGCGAGGGCCACGATCGCGTAGCCGGTGGTGCAGACCTAGAGCAGAGAACACACATGAGAAACCCCCAATCCCGGTGGAATCCGACTAGATCCTGCGTAGGAACTGGGGAGCGCTTACATGACGGACCCCTATGCGATCCGACAGCACCCCCCACACGGGGCAGGCGACCAGAGCGAGCAGCTCATCCGCGAAACCCAAGGTCCCAACGGCATCACCCTCCCCTTCATGGAGTCCAATGAGTTCCGTGACGACGAACGAGATGGATGAGTTGATGAACACCAAGAAGGCGATGGAGAAAGGGCAGACACCAAGCAAGTAGGTCCATGTTTGCACCCGGCTGGCGGTAAACAAGGTCCGTGGGGAAGCCATCGAAGCCATCACCGAATTTCCACTGGGGGGTTGATGGCCATGGAGAGGCTTCTGAGATGGACTCCGAGGAGTATGGCCCGGGACGATTGAGCCTTTAGAGAAGCGAGCTCTGTCGAGATCTTAAGATCAGTCGGGGCTGGGAGGGGAATTGATGGACCGATGACGGAGCTGGTGCCACGCCGGAACATCACTGCCAGTCACCTGACCCTTCCGTATCGGGCCGGTGGATCTAGACTACGGCTTGCCTACAGCTCGTGGCACAGCAACCAGCTGAACTGTCCCACGATCCGAAGCCTGATCAAGCCTGATCACCGTGATTATCGTGAATTGAAATGATGCCACCCCCGGGGTGATCTAATTGCTCTCTCGATGATGGCCTGACTGCCTGCTGTACGGTTAGTCAGCTGTCAAGGCGGTGACTCCAGGATTGGCGGGCGGTAACTTACCTGTACGGGCGATACGGCCAGAACTCCGGAGTAGATTACGATTACCTACCAGCTGTCCAGAACACCCCATCATTCATTCATTCATTCATTCATTCATTCAGCATCCCTCCCACTTCTTCATCTCCTCCCCTCCTAGCTCTCCCTCCCTCTTCTTCCCTTCCCACCACATTGTGTCAATGTCTACCTGAGGAGTTGTTCGCCTTATCGTTTCGTCCTTGTCAATGACACTGGGCTTTGCGCCCACCTTTCTCAACCCGTCGCCATGAGATTAGCCGCGTATGCCGGGGTATGTTGCTCGCATGCTACTGCTGGGTCGTAGATCCAGGCTGACATCTCCCAATAGGCCTCCGCTGCCCTGGCCACAGGCGTCTTCTTAAAAGCGCTGCACCAGAGGGCAAACTTCTATTCCGCATGCGTATACCTCTCTCAGAGCAGTGCGAATCTTATGGTAAACCTTCCCCCGCCGCAGGTCCCAACACCCCCTCCCTCTGCGCGCCGAACCTGGTCCCCAACCTCCTACGTCCCCTGGCAGAGCTAACCGAGATCGCTCAGATCTTAATGAACATTAGTCTTCTGGCGGTTGGCTTTTTCCTATTTTGGCTTCAGCGTCTCCTCTACGGACCCCTTCGACCCATCGAAACCGAACAGCTCTACGAGAAAGCTTGGTTTGCTGTGACGGAAACATGTTTGGCGATGACGATCTTCCGGGGCGAACTGGGGGGCTGGTTCTTGGTCATGTTCGTCTCTCTGCTTGTTGGAAAGGTTTGGGGTTGGATCGGGGAGGGGAGGGTCGAATTCCTCGAGCAGCAACCTCCTGCGAATCCTCGTTTGTTCCATATCCGCCTGGCCGCCTCGCTACTCCTATCGGTCTTATTCAACTCGTTCATGCTGAGATACTGCGTCCGGACGGTCCTGGAACAGGCGCGACCCGATATGATGGTTATGTTCGGATTTGAATTCGCCGTCCTCACGATCCTCTCTAGCTCGACTGCCGCCAGGTACTCCATCTCCCTGGTCGAGATCTATATCACCCACCGACAACTGAAGGCCAAAATGGAGGAGCGTCGTCAAGAGATCAGAACAGCCCGTGATGACGCCATACGCCAGCATGCCGAGTCTGGGGAAATCGGAACACCCCCCGCCCTGCCCGATGAGAACGATGTTGATGAGATGGAATTGGATGTAGCCGGATGGGAAGAAAAGGGCCGCTGGATCTTCTACCTCGACCTCCTTACCGACTTCCTCAAACTCACCGTGTATCTTACGTTCTTCGCCATCCTGTTTACTTTCTACGGCCTGCCGATTCACATCTTGCGCGACGTTGTCGTCACCATTCGCTCCTTCGGACGGCGCATCATGGACTTCATGCGTTACCGTAATGCGACTCGCGACATGAACGACCGCTATCCGGATGCAACTGCAGAGGAAGTTGCGAGGGAAGAGGTCTGCATCATCTGCCGCGAAGAAATGACGGCTTGGCCGCAACCTGGGGCGGCTGCGCAGCAGCGGGGCCGGGTTTCAGAGAGACTGCGTCCCAAGAAACTGCCCTGTGGCCATATTCTTCACTTCGCCTGCCTTCGAAGTTGGTTGGAGAGACAACAGAACTGCCCTACCTGTCGACGACCAGTTATTGCGGGACCCAGACCCCGCGGGGCGGGCGACGCTGGAAACCAAGCCCCCGGTAACGGTGCTGGAGGACAGCAAAACATGGCTGGTGGTAACCAGGCGCTTGGTCAAGATGGCCAAGCGGACGGGCTTCCCAGGGCTCGTGTTTACCAGTTTGGACCCTTCAGAATCGGCTTTGGAGCTGGTAGAGGCGACCTTTTCCATAACCTTCACCAGCAAATCCACCAGGGCAATGCCCCATTGCCGCAGGTGAACAATGCCGATGCCCCGAATGCCAGACAGATTGGCTTTGGTTTTGGCTTTGGACGGCCTCCTCCAGTAGCTACAGCCCAGCCTGCGCCGCCTCCCCCCTCGACTGCCAACATGCGAAACCAGTTGCAGCAAATGGAGCAGCAGATCACGCAGGAAATCGACAGTCTGCGCGTCACCGCCGACCAGCTTCGTATCGTGCGACTCCTGCAGACAGAACTTCAGCGGCTTCGAACCCTCCAGCCCAATTCTCCTGTGCCACAGAGCAACCTTTTCCCCGGCTCCCCCACACTCGCATCTCCGACTTCGTCATTTACCATGCGTCGTCAATTTGTTTCGGACCCGCAGGCCCGTTTAATGGAGGCCGGGGACACGCGACTGCCAGAGGGACTCAGCCTGCCCGCTGGCTGGACCCTCACCCCTCTTCACACACCCGACCAGGGGTCGAGTCGAAGAGCCGACCAGCCCGCTACTTCAACCGTCCCCGAAGCGACACCAACGCCGGCCTTTGACAACATCCCCATGCCCCAAAGCTCTCCTCTGCCCGCAAATTCAACAACCGCGGGTCAAGAGGATGGAGCTGCGACTGTGCCCGAGTCTTCCTCAACTCAGGACCCGCCTTCCTGGCATTCTGAAGCCACACCAACAGCGTCTGGCTCAAACCCCGAACCACTCTCTCAACAGTGGACCGACCTGGCACCCGAGGCACAGCCAGAAGATGACGAGGCTCCATCCGATGGGACCGAAAGTGCGCACGATGCCGACGAATCGGAGTCCGCGAAGGGAAAGACGCGGATGGCCACGGTCGAAGATGCAGTCGATGATGAGACGTCATGATGGTTCCTCTCTTCCTCCATCTCCCATCCATTTCTTTTCCTCCGGCTTTTTATACCTGGTGTCATCTTGGTTGATGTATCATCATCTCATTTTGCGCTATCCCGCCTTACTGGGATTCGTCTTTTTCTTATTTTTTTTTTCATCGGCGTTTTTGAAGCGACTCCACCTCATACCCCGTTGCCTGTATGTTCCGTTCCATTGCAATGTGGCTCATGCATGGCGATTCCCACACGAACCTCAAGTCCCCTTGGTTGTTGCCTTGCCCGGCAAGCGGGCAACCCAGGGCTATTACGTGTATGTACATACTAGAAGAATTATGCGGCTTTACTTGGCTCCAACAACAGCACGGCGATCTTCGACCAGCGTAGATGTGGTGATTTCGTAAATAACCGACCGTTGAGAAGGCCTGGCCCTGCATCTGATAGATCGATGCTCAGGGGCAGCGCGTCCGGGGCTCCAATCAGGGCCGCCCGTTGCTGCCACACCCAAGCAGCGGGCGGTTCGAACTTCAACCCAGATGGCTACTTCTTTTTAGTCTCGTCTGCAATGCAACTTGCACCCCGGCGCAAATTTTCCGTCCATGTATAATAATCCTAGCACATATAGCTCAATTGATCAGAACCAGTCGATCTCCAGCTCACAGACTATCTACTGTGCGCCAACCGTTGCAACCGACACCAGGGTTCCGGGCCTCAGTCGCATCCGATCGCCATCGATCGTCGTCATCAGTGCTGACGCCAGCTCCGCCTCCGCCCGTGTCTCCCGCCCGCTCCTGCGCCATCCTCTCTGTGCATGCGTGCTTTGGGTGGCTGTTTCGAGTCCTTCGACCAATCTGTTCCTCCTGTCGAGCCCTGGTCACCTCAATTCGCCCTAGGGACGGCCCTCGTTCTCTCCAGCCCCTCCCTCCTTGGTTCGTGGAACATTCAACCGGTTAGGACCGCATCTTCCACCTCACAATTCCGTCCCCTTGAGATCGCGGGGATTTGACAACTGTTCTTGACGGCACGTCGACGAGATCGTCCATGGCTTTGACTCTCTAGCTCCCGGATTCATTGTGGGTGATCTTTTTGCCCCCAGCTTGGATAACACGCATCCAGAGCAAGCAAGGCCACGTCCCTGGTTTTGCGAGTCCTCGCCTCCATCCTGGTTACTGATCGATCTATCTTCCCCCATAGCAGTGCATCTATCGTTCCTTCTATCCGTATCAATCGACCAACGCCTTTCCCATGATTTCCTTACGCCGGCTCGTGCCCCTGTTTGGCTTTGCGTTCGTCCTTTTCGTCCTTTTCGCCATCCGCAACCTCTCGACGCAATGGGAGAGTGCGACACAAGCCGTTGGCTTGGGTGAACTGGTCTCGACGCCGTCGCCCTCGCCCTCGCCATCATCACTCTTCAACGTCACGAGAGTGACCGAAGAACCATCAATCCGGACACCGTATGCGCCCCGGCCGAAGTTCATCCCCGGCATTCCCAAGCCCTCGGGAGTGGCATACACGAAGACCCTGGTTGTGCCGCAGGCCGAGGGTGAAGACACCAGCTGGATGGAATTCGAACTCCCGGAATGGCAGACGGCTATCTACGCGGTCAATGATCCAACGGCCCCGTTGCATCCCCCCAAGAACAAGGGCCATGAGGTCATGGTCTATCTGAGCTACATCATCGAGCATTACGACCAACTCCCTGACATCATTGCCTTCATGCATTCGCATCAGTTTGCCTGGCACAATGATATGCTCTTTGCCGGCGATTCTGCGGATCTGCTGCGACGTCTGAACCCCGCCTGGGTCGTCAGACAAGGATACGTGAACCTGCGTTGCGCGTGGAGTCCAGGTTGTCCGGCCTGGTTGCATCCCGGAACGTTAGTCGAGGACCAAACCAAGCAAGAGGAGATTATGCTGGCCCGCGCTTGGGGCGAAATCTTCCCCGATGACCCGATCCCCGACGTCCTGTCGCAGCCCTGCTGTGCGCAGTTTGCCGTGTCGCGCGATCGCATCCTTGCGATTCCGCGGGCCCGTTTCGTCTACTTCCGCGACTGGATGCTCCGCACAGAGCTCAGTGACTACATCTCCGGTCGTATCTGGGAATACCTCTGGCAGGTCGTGTTCACAGGCGAGAACGTCGTGTGCGTGAAAGAACACATTTGCTTCTGCGATGGGTTCGGCATATGCTTTGGCGGCGAAGAAGAGTACGAGAAGTTCAAGAAACATCACCACAAGAAAGAGGAGCTGGAGGATCAGTTCACTGGGTGGCATGTACGGGCTGACATGATCGAAGTTACCCGGATGCGTGGCATGCTGAGCGAGGAGAGTCGTCTCAGCTTCCCTGAACCCGGCGAAGATATCACCCTCGCGGACATGATCGACCTGGAGGAGCTGGTGCTCAATGAGCTGGTGGCCAATGCCACAGAACGCGGCAAGGATCCCCAGGCCCGAGCTCTTGAAGTCGGAAGACCATGGAAAGAGGGAGACGGGTTCTAAGCATCGGTAATGAGCCCTGTCTGGCCTTATTCTTCTAGAATGACCTTCCCACGTTGCACGAATCCTCGCCAGCCAGTTCCTTCCTGGACCTCTTATTGATTCCCAACTTCTGGTCTTCTTTGGCCCAGAAGGATCATCTGCCTGCCATATAGTTCTGCTTTTCCTTGTTCATATTCACTTTACTGGGGTTTCCGGTGTTGGACTGTGATACCTCGCATAGATACGACGCTAGTTTTCTTCTTCTTCTTCTTCTTCTTCTTGTTTTCATATATGTTGGACAGTGATATTTCAATCATGTGTTGAACATTGGTTTCAAAAAGTGCTGGCGTCTTCTTTGATCACTGTGTTAAATTGTACCTACGGCCAGTTTGGCTGGTTCCAAACAGATTAATGATACACTATTGGAAACACAGTCGCATGACTGGTGCCGGAGGAGCCTTAGAGCCTTACTGCTTTACTGCCTTGTTGCCTTGTTGTCCAGGCAAGACGCTGTCATGTGACAGCTCTCCGCCTCAGGCTAACCGGGTTGGGCGACGGGCACAGCGTCTTCCCTGCAGAGTTTGCACTGTCTGTCCTTCCTTCAAACCAGCCAAACAGCGAGCGTCATCAGCCCATCCAGCTATCCATATTATCTTCTGTTGACTGTCGCGCCATTTGCGCGCTGCGAGCTTGGAATAACCCCCTGGGGGCTTTCGGCTTCCTACCTACTGACGGGCCTCTGGTACAGTGAGTGACACGCGCCGTCATCTCCACTGCCCAGGAGCGCCGGACGTCCTGCCCCGAAGCCGTCCTTCGGCCGACTTCAACAAGGAGATACACCCTCACCAGGACGCGACAGACACGCCCGACTCTCGTGCACGACATCGACGTTTCGCCACCTGTCCCTTCCTAAGCCGAATCGGGATTCTCAAGTTTACCGATCCGAATTCGCAACGAGACCTCAACGGGAAAGGAAATTAAGATCGATCGATCGAGTCTCCGGTCCAAACAAGTCGCGACAGCTTCACCGGGAAGCGGCGTCTCTTGCGGCCATAACATTCGCGTGACTCCGCAGGACTGACCAGAGCCGGGGTCTAGCCTTGGTTCAGGACTAAGTATTTGAATAGCCGCCACGAAATTCCCTCTCGAGCAGTCATGACCTCCACCTCCACCTCCAATCATCAACATCCTCCGTCGACCTCGGCTGCCGACTTCTCGCCTAACCCGACCACCTCCGCCAACGTCGACCCAAACTCCCACCTTGCTACCAGCGGATATGCGCCCAGTGAGAATCAACTAGCCGGCCTCGTGGAGGCTGCCACGGCCGCTGCGGGTCAGGAGGTCCCGGATTGGGCTACCGCCGCCGCCGTCGCCGCCGCCGCCGGGGCAGCAGGCATGCAGCACCACCTCGAGGGTTATGGACCGGACTCCCATATGGATGAGGACAGCTTCGCAGATACGAGCTTTGGGGCCGGGCTGGGGGCCGGGCGGCAGTTGCGGGGGCCGGGATCGACTTCTATGAACGAACATGGTCAATCAACTGGCTTGACTAGAGTCGGAACGAAGAAGAGAAAGAGGAATGAGGATGCGCTGGACCCTGCTCTCACCGCAGGTACTGGGGTCGGTCTCGGAGGTGGCCAGCATTCCCATCACCAACAACAGCAACATCACCAGCATCCACACCACTATGGCGGAGAGGGCTTGGATATTCGAGGCGCGCCGTCGCAGTCGCTCTCCGACGCTCGCGCTGTGGGTCTTCATTCTGCAGCTGCTTTGTTTCGCCAACCGTCGAGCAACAAGAAGTACACGCGCCCGCCCATGTCCAAGTTGTTCACGTCGCTCGAGCTGTCACCGGAAAATTTCTTGCACCTGCAGGCGGCGGCTAAGGCATACATGCTTGATGACAATCATCCAGACCGGCGGGACTGTGTGGGTCAGCGTGGAAAAGGCGACACCGAGATGGTCAAGTTGCGGTTGTGGAACTGCGTGCGGAATTTCCTCGAGGGCGAAGGGCACGGTGAACGGTTCTTCGGGGAGAACGTAGTGAATGAGGGTCTAGGCCCTCGAACCTACGTCTGGCCCCGCGATCAACAGAAAATCATATCCCTTGTCATCCCCTTGTTGAGACGAATGGTGACAAACGAACGCCAACGCCAGTACGCAGTGGAAACGAGAAAGGGCGGCGGCACTGAAGAGCGACGGAGGCGAAAGACTGAGGAAAGCCTGCAGAATATGAACGCTGGCACGCCCACGGGGGATCACCTCCAAATGCATTCTCACCACCATATTCCCGACGAATATGCCTCCACGCCAACGCCCTTGTCGGCAACGCAGCCTCCTCTGGGAACCAGTCAGCAAACGGATCTAGGTCTTACCGATCTCTTGATGGACGGATACACAACCGATTGGAATTCATTTTCGAAGTTGTACGATGTGTACAACCACAATTACGAACTCGACAACCTTTGGTATGTCTCGGGTCTTCAACAGCCAGACTGGCGAGGGTTGGTCGCTGCGGTCGACAGCCACTACCAGATCGTCCATAATGGCGAATTCGACTGTCCGTCTCCGTGTGAAGATGCAAACCTACATCGTATTCTGGATGCTGATGTCACTTCCGACTTGCGTTGGCGCGTTGGGGGGAACCTGAACCGGCCCGCCCGAAACGAATTGTACGTTCGTTCCTTGAACGATCACATTTAGGATATTGCTAACAACCCCATAGTGCAAGCAGCATCACCCGCGATATATCTCGGATCATTCGCGACAGCCTGGCCACCCAGCACGGTGTTCATCCATGCCCTGGTAGCCAGGCCCCCGTGCCTCAGCCCCAACCCTTCCCGGCTCCTAATTTCCCGCCTTTGCCCAGCGCCGTCCATCCCCCTCCCGCGGTCTCCTCGCAGCCGTCCAACGTTTCCCTCCGAATCAACATTCTCCAGGACGGAAAGCGAGTGCAACCCCGGTTCGATGTGCCTGGGAGCCAGTGCCCCGATCTTGAGTCTCTGAAACAGGCCATCTCTCGTCGGTTTGCGGGCCAGCTACCCGGCATTCCCTCCGATGCCGGCATCGATGGTACCGGAAGCTGGGGCGCTCAGGTGAACTGGAAGTTCAAGGCATGGCTCCCGGACGGACTGACCCCCGTGCAGAACGACGGCGAGTGGACCCTCGCGGTTCTTTCAGCGGGCAATGTCGATTGGATGGACGGCGACTTGAAAGTTCTGGTTGAACTAGAGGAAACCTCCTAATCCCCTTACTGACTGTCTCTATGTCCTATTGGTTGCGTATTTTTGCTCCACTCCACGTCTTTCTTATTCTGCAATCTAATGGTTCTTGTTGGCGTGGAGTTCGGTGGTTGGGTTGGGTTGGTCTGGATTGGTTTGTGTCTTTGCTTATCTTGTGCTGTTTTCGGCATCATACCCCGGCGCGCTGTTATGGATATGGCTTTGATATGTTGTTTGTATGAGACATGATGGGTTCAGGCGGCTTGTTGGTTTGCTTGTTGTATGAGGGGGGCTGTGGCTTCTTTTCACTGTATAGAGTAGGACTTTCACCTTGATAGTAATGTATTATGAAGAGTTTTTTTTTTTTTTTTTTTTTTTTTTGTTTCAGCGTATGCGACTTGTCTGGGCGTAGATGACTGGGTGTGGATGACATATGGATCAAGCAGCGACATTGAGTCTGTTCGTTATCTACTGGTTTAGTAAGAATTGAGACCATTGGCAGGTAGATATATCCCAAGATACCTGGTGAGGTATATAAGTACTAAGTAGCTTTGATTTAGTTGAGTTAGGGCTGGATTAGTGGATATAGGGGATGATGTGATGGGGATAAGCACTAACTCTGAGCTAACTCCTAGTCTCTCTACATATAGTTAGTTACATCTGTAGTAGATATGTATCTTGCACCATCCCATCAGGAACTCATTAACTACAGTATACTTGTTAGATTACTTCCAGGGTATGAGTCACTCATCATAGTATCACATCATTTGCTTTCTTCCCTCCTTCTCCACCAGCCCATAGTCATAGTATTTGCCAAAGAAACAATCCCAACCCAAGCACGGGCACAAATATAAAATCCCCCCATCATCCCCACTACAACCAAACCACGAACAATCCCAAATCACAAATACAACCCCATGAAACCACCCCATCTCGCAAAAATGCTCCCCCTAACAGCCCCCCACCTCGAACAAACCGAAATCAGCCACATCACCCTGCAAGCCCAAGCCATCCAGACCCTCCACCCCGACTCCACCACACCCCCAATCCTCATGCACCCCATATACAACGGCATCGCCATCCGCACTTTCCCCCAGCTCACCGGGAAACTCAACCGCGTCGTCGGCCTCGGCATGGGGCTCGGGATCAATCACGAGTTCTCGCACGCTGACCTCGACGTCCTGGAATTGCTTTATGCGGAGATCGGCCTCACGCCTGATATCCATTTGTGTGAGGAGGCGCATCCTTCCGTGCAGCGGGTGTTGCGGGACAGGGCGTATCGGTGTTGGGGGGAGTTGGGGGTTTATGTGCGGGGTTTAGGTGGGGAGATGGAGGGGGAGATGGAGGGGGGGACAGGGGGGGCTGAAGTATCCGAGTTGGTGATATCTCCTAGCGAGCACGGAAGCACGAAGGAGGAGGAGGAGGAGGAGGAGGAGAAGAAGGCAGAGGAAGAATTCATCGAAGCTTCAATCGCCGGATTCTCCGAGCAGGGACGCTCTCGGGAGCTGCTGGGGCTTTTGGCACGGATTGCGGTGCTCCGGGCGGATACGAGGCTGTTTGTTGCCCGGGTGCAGGGGCAGGTGGTTGGGACGGCGGCGCTGGGGGTCCTCGAAACGCAGGATGGGGAGAGGGTGGGACATCTTTATCTCGATAGTACGGTGCCCCGGTTTCGGGGGCTCGGGGTGCATGTGCAGCTTATTCGCGCGAGGGTAAGGTGTGCCAGGCAGATGGGGTTGAGGATTGTCACGCTGAGTACGGGGGTCAAGGGTGGGAGTAAACGCAATGCGGAGAGGGAGGGGTTCGAGTTGGTTTATAGGAAGAGGGGGTTTGTGAAAGGGTAGGTGGATGTACATATCTGGGATCGATTGCCTGTATATAGGGTATTGGGTTATGAAAGCTGAGTTGATGGAGAGGTAGGGCTAGATATTGGGTTGACTACTACTAGGCTGTCAGGATACATAAACCGGGATTGGGTGGTCGTCCGATAATATATGTTTCTCCTGCCATGATGATGGTTGTTTACATTTGGTCTCTGGCGCTTTGACCATGTATGTTTACTCTTACTTCTGCTTAGGAAATAGGCTTTTTGGAAGTATACTACAGCTAGATAGGTCCTCTTGGAAGGTTAATTGAAAGCGATGAAGCTCTGGTATATTCAAGTTGTTGTTGTCTTGGCTGGTGGCTAGGATGGATAGCTGACTCGCTATCATACAGTGGGTAGGGTTCCGGTTATCGAGGCGCTCCTTCGTATCAGAAGAGCTCGCTCGCCAGTGACCGGCGCGGGACAGACCCAAAGCAGTCGCCGCGCCTACATCACCAGCATTGACTCGTGACACCAGGGTACGCCCATCAGCCCTCAGAGCTGAAGACCGGCAGAGGCAGTATCACACGGATAGGTCTGCCTGTCAGGCGATTGCCCGACCCAGGAAGTCGAGGACTGAATCTGCAAGGCAGATCGACAAGGTCCTTGTTCCGCTCGTGGCACATAGATTTGAGCAATCAATATTATCTCAGGTCGCCGTCGCATCTCCACCACCCAACCGAGCTTTCTTGGCTCTGCGCTTCATCTCACGTTTCGACAATGGCTTCTCCGTCTCCTCCACAGCTGGCTCCGACACGACGGACGCTTTCCGTTTCAAACCGTCCGCCTTGGGGTCCGCCTGAGCCTTCTTCGGTCCCGGGACCGGTGCCTTTGCCGGGGTGGTTTCTCCCCCGTCGACAACATCGATGATTCCCCGCCAACTCGTGCGCTTCAACTTGGCCAACGCGGTCACCTTTCTTGCCTCCTCACAGATTGCCTCCTTGCCACGCTCCTGTGATAGACCCCAGACGCACGCCAGATTGATCACATCCCACGGCGCCCGTACAGCCAGAGCTCTCCGCGCCTCACTTGACACGATGATTCCCCGGCCGCGCGTTGCCCGGATCAAGGACATGGCATTGCCGATGAGGTTCCGCCGCGCTTCCAGACCGCTCCCCGTGACCCCCGGCCCATAGCAGATCTCGAACCGGACCCCACGTGATATGGCAGCGGAGACCATCTTGAACTTGAAGTGGAACGGCAGGCGCTCGGAAAAGTCGAGCGAGATGATGTCGCATTCCAGGTTGGTGCACGCATTCAGCAGGATCTTCTCATTGGTGGGTCGCAGGGCCACCAGGTCATAAATCTGCGTCAGGTTGTTGAGGCGCTGGTTCTGCGCCGGGTCGGAGAGGGTCAGGTTCAGGCGGGAGAGAAGTGTCAGGCCCTTGGGTGCATTCTTGGGAGCGGGTGGGGGAGCGAGGGTTGGAGGAAGCTTTCCGCTCAGGCTCTGGGATAAAGCGACGGTCGTGTAACCCACTGGAGTCAGGTCAGCTCTTCATGTGGCCGGGAGAGGGGAGTTCTGCACGGTGATCGGGTCGTGTGGGGAGGGAGGAAATGACGCACGTTCTGCAAGAAAGTTTAAAGTATGGCAGATCTCGGGATCATCCGAGCCATAGGGGACATTGAGATCAAAGAACATGATGGCAGCGAAGGCCCCGGGCTTAAAAGCCTCGTCCGCGGCCAGGTGGAAGTTGAGGGGGAAGTGTTCTACTCTGCCGAGTACCAGTCCGGACTGCCGAGTGAAAGTGGCCCAGAACGGCAACTCTCGCGCAGCGCCCGCATCAACGGTTTCTCCGGGCGGCAGGTGATCTAGCCTCCAGCCTCCCAGGCGGACGGGTCCCGTGACCCGCGACGGCGAGCGCGAAACGCTCTTAGCCATTCTGATCACCACCCCCCATAATACCAGCCCAGTCTATACTCGCTCTGCGCTGTCCATCGTTTGCCCCGGACGATAGCACGGCTGCGCTGTTGAGACGGGTTCCTCGACTCCCTGCTCTTGCAGCTGCTGTTGTCTGTCCCCTCTCCCCCCTTCAATCGCCGCCTTCCTCTCTCTTCTCGCCCCTCGCTACCCCGCCGCTTTTTATCGTCGATATCCCGATTGTGGGCTGACGCCGAACCTGCTGCCAGCCGCCATCACCATGGCGCGCGTCTACGCCGATGTCAACGAGCACATGCCTCGGTCCTACTGGGACTATGACAGTGTGAACATCTCCTGGGGCGTCTTGGAGAACTACGAGGTCGTCCGCAAGATTGGTAAGAACGAGATACACCCTCCCTCCGCCATCCACCCGCCCCATCACGGCATCCCCGCCGACTGGTGGAAGTGTGGCGTCGACCTTCGGCTGACAGACTCTTCCCCTCCCCCCATCTAGGCCGTGGAAAGTACTCCGAGGTGTTCGAGGGTATCAATGTGGTCAACTACCAGAAGTGTGTCATCAAGGTCCTCAAGCCGGTCAAGAAGAAGAAGATCAAGCGCGAGATCAAGATCCTCCAGAACCTGGCGGGTGGCCCCAATGTGGTAGCCTTGTTGGATGTGGTTCGCGATAGCCAGAGCAAGACGCCGAGTCTGGTGTTCGAGTATGTCAACAACACGGATTTCCGGACCCTTTACCCGCGGTTCTCCGACTATGATGTCCGCTTCTATGTCTTCGAGCTCCTCAAGGCCTTGGACTTCTGCCACAGCAAGGGTATCATGCACCGAGATGTCAAGCCCCACAACGTCATGATCGATCACGAGAAGCGAAAGGTAGGCCTGATCCCCAGCCGTCTGGTGGCGTCTGCTGATGATGTGGTGTAGCTCCGTCTTATCGACTGGGGTCTTGCGGAATTCTATCACAAGGGTACGGAATACAACGTCCGCGTCGCCTCCCGGTACTTCAAGGGCCCCGAGCTCCTTGTCGACTTCCAAGAATACGACTACTCCTTGGACATGTGGTCCCTGGGAGCCATGTTTGCTTCCATGATCTTCCGCAAGGAGCCATTCTTCCACGGCAACAGCAACTCTGACCAGCTGGTGAAGATCGCCAAGGTGCTTGGAACCGAGGAGCTGTTCGAGTACCTGGACAGGTATGAGATCGAATTGGACCCTCAATACGACGAGATCCTCTCCCGTTTCCCCCGGAAGCCTTGGCACTCGTTCGTCAATGCCGAGAACCAGCGCTTCGTCAGCGATGAAGCGATTGACTTTTTGGACAAACTCCTCCGATACGACCATGCGGTATGACCATCCCCTCCCCCATCTCCTCTCTGCCGCGTAATGTCACGCACTAATCTCCCACAGGAACGCCTGACTGCTCAGGAGGCTATGGCCCATGGCTATTTCGCCCCCGTGCGGGCGGCGGAGGCCCAGGCTGCTCGGAACAACAACGCGACCGCCTAATACGGCTCGGCGCGTTGGCAGGGTTATTTCACACCTGTGCACTGGGTGCGTCGCCTCGATGCTTTCTCATCCAGTGTCATTCTCCGACAACGGGATGGTGGGATTTGGTTCGAATGTTGAGTTAGTCTGTCTGGATGGGATGCTGGGTCTACTACCGAAAAAACCTCACACTTGACCGGGCGTGTTCCACCGGCATGACCCGCAAGCGCCGTGGGTGCGATGAGCTATGGACTACGGAGACGACGATGATGAACGGATGACATACGGCTAATATATCTCGACTTGGCATACCCCGTGAGTGGAATCTATCAGAGACGGTGTTTAGAGTAGGATGGATGTTCGCCCCTGTTTGATCCTACGTAACCATATAACCTTTCCCATACTCGTGCGCCTTTGCCGTTTCTCCTTTCCCTCGTGACTTAAGTTGGACTGGTGTTGATGGGATTTTTTTTTTTCGCTTTCTTCATGCTTTTGCGTTGCATTCCAGTCACCGCGTTTGCCCTTCTACAGTTTCGATCATCATAATGTGCATGCCAATCCTACTTTGATGCGTCATTGACCGGGGTGCGGGTCCAGTTTGGTGCACATCTGATTCCAGAGCGTGTGTTTGTTGGGTGCGGGCGCTGCATAGAAGAGACTTCTGCCTTCCTGACCGACTAGACCATGTACGTAGAGTAGAGGGTGGAGTAATACTAGTATTATTACTTGCAGTTCGAGGAGAGAGGCTGAGACCTGAGGCCATCCACTCCGAGTCCACGTGACCGTGACTCATTTGGTGGGAGGCGGCCAAAAAGGGAAGGAATCCTTCGATGCAGCGCGTCCAGAAGAAGACGAGCGACATCCAGCAAGACGTGGACAACAAACTTGTCCCCATCCTCCAGATCTCGACCCAAACCAATGCTTCGCGGACTCATACGACCACCTATAGATCTCTAGACCGATCACCGCGACCTTCTCCACCCGCCCGGGTTTCCTCTGGCCCCGCACTCGCATCCTCTGATTCGTTCCGTTCTTTGCTCTGCGCCAGGAAATTTAATTGCCCGCATTCGCACAACGACCCAACCCCTCCCCCTCCTTGCCCTCTTAGTCTCTATCGCCGTTTGAGTCACCGGTGTTCAAGATACTTATCCGTCGACTCGTGGCGCGATCGGCGCCCTGGAGATTCCCTCCTCCCTTATACCACCGTCCGTTTTCCAGAATGGCTCAGCCCTCCGCCCCCCAGAACCCGAGTAAGTCGTCCCTCCCTCCACCTCCCTCTCTCTCTCCTCCGCGGAGCTCGGTGGCTGACCAGACCGGTGTCTTCCCTAGCTGGTGAGCCCAAGGCTCCCGTCGCCGATGTCCCTCCCCAGGCCGACGACCAATTGAGGAACCAGGATGCCGCTGCGGCCGCGCCCCCCAAGGTGAAGAGCGAGAAGGAACGTATGTAACACCCAGACCATCGGCAGCATTGCCTTGCCACGCCTCTTGGCCTAGCGCACCTGTCTAACGAATGCTGGTGATCCCGATATAGTGGAGCGTGAGCGTCGCAAGGCCGAGAAGGCGAAGAAGTTCGCCGAGAAGCAGGCCAAGCAGGCTTCGGCTGCGAAGTCCACCGCCCCCAAGGCCGAGAAGAAGGCCAAGGTGGAGAAGGAGAAGACCACCGACGCCTACGACCCCAAGGTTATCGAGGAAGGCCGGTACGAATGGTGGGAGGAACGCGGCCTTTTCATGCCCGAATTCGGCCCTGATGGCAAGGTCAAGCCGGAAGGCTCCTTCGTCATCCCCATCCCTCCTCCCAACGTCACCGGTGCTCTTCACATGGGTCACGCCCTCACCAATGCCCTCCAAGACACCATGATCCGCTGGCAGCGCATGAAGGGCAAGACCACTTTGTGGCTTCCGGGCATGGACCACGCCGGTATCTCGACACAGAGCGTGGTTGAGAAGATGCTCTGGAAGTTGGAGAAGAAAACCCGTCACGACCTGGGTCGTGAGGCTCTGGTCGACAGAGTGTGGGCCTGGAAGCAGGAGTATCACGCCAACATCAAGAACGCTCTGCGCAGAGTGGGTGGTTCCTTCGACTGGACGCGCGAGGCTTTCACCATGGATGAGAACCTGTCGGCTGCCGTCACGGAAACCTTCGTCCGTCTCCACGAAGAGGGCATCATCTACCGCGCCAACCGCCTGGTCAACTGGTGTGTGGCCTTGAACACCTCTCTGTCCAACCTGGAGGTGGAGAACAAGGAGGTTGAGGGCCGTACCCTCCTCGACGTGCCTGGCTACGAGAAGAAGGTCGAGTTCGGTGTGCTGACCCACTTCTGCTACGAAATCGATGGCACCACGGAGCGCATCGAGATCGCCACTACCCGTCCGGAGACCATGATCGGTGACAGTGGTATTGCCGTCCACCCCGACGACCAGCGTTACAAGCACCTGATCGGCAAGTTCGCCCGTCACCCCTTCGTCGACCGCCTGATGCCCATCGTTGCCGACAAGGATGTCGAGCCCGAGTTCGGTACCGGTGCCGTCAAGATCACGCCTGCCCACGACTTCAACGATTTCAACCGCGGAAAGGCCCACAACCTCGAGTTCATCTCTGTCCTGAACGACGACGGTACCTTCAACAGCAAGGGTGGACCCTTTGCCGGCATGAAGCGTTTCGATGCTCGTTACAAGGTCATCGAGCTCCTGAAGGAGAAGGGCCTGTATGTCAAGTGGGAGCACAACCCCATGAAGATCCCTCGATGCGCCAAGTCCAACGATGTGATCGAGCCCATCCTCAAGCCCCAGTGGTGGATGAAGATGTCGGACCTCGCCAAGCCTGCTATCGAGGCCGTTGAGAAGGGTGAAATCATCATCCGCCCTGAGTCCGCCGAGAAGAGCTACTACCGCTGGATGAACAACATCAACGACTGGTGCCTGTCCCGCCAGCTTTGGTGGGGCCACCAGGCTCCCGCTTACTTCGTGAAGATCGAGGGCGAGGATGGCGATGACAGCGATGGCAACCTCTGGGTCACGGGCCGCACGGAGGAGGCAGCCCGGGAGAAGGCGGCGGCCAAGTTCCCCGGTAAGAAGTTCGAGCTGGTCCGCGATCCCGATGTGCTTGACACCTGGTTCTCTTCCGGATTGTGGCCCTTCTCTACCCTGGGCTGGCCCCGTCAGACCCACGATTTCGAGAACCTGTACCCTACCTCCGTCTTGGAGACGGGCTGGGATATTCTGTTCTTCTGGGTCGCCAGAATGATCATGCTGGGCATCAAGATGACCGGCAAGATCCCCTTCAAGGAGGTGTACTGCCATTCCTTGATCAGAGATTCCGAGGGTCGCAAGATGTCCAAGTCTCTCGGCAACGTCGTCGATCCTCTGGACGTGATGGAGGGTATCGAGCTCCAGACCCTCCACGACAAGCTACTTGTCGGTAACCTTGCCGATAAGGAAGTTGCCGCGGCTACCAAGTACCAGAAGAAGGCCTTCCCCAAGGGTATCCCCGAGTGTGGTGCCGATGCGCTGCGCTTTGCCCTTGTTTCCTACACTACTGGCGGTATGTGATTCGCGCTACTAGCCCGGTGAATTAAAACTGATTGTTCTTCTAGGTGGCGACATTGCCTTCGACATCCAGGTCATCCACGGTTACCGCCGTTTCTGCAACAAGATCTACCAGGCCACCAAGTTCGTGCTTGGCAAGCTGGGCGACGACTTCAAGCCCCAGCCGGCGTTTGTCAAGACTGGCAAGGAGTCTCTCGCTGAGCGCTGGATCCTGCACAAGTTCAACAACGCTGCCAAGGAGATGAACGAGGTTCTGGAGCAGCGCGAGTTCTCCCAGTCTGCGCAGATCGCGTACCAGTACTGGTACAGCCAGCTTTGCGACGTCTTCATTGAGAACTCGAAGTTCCTCCTGGCGCCGGAGGTCCCCGCGGAGCAGCAGGAGTCGGCCAAGCAGACCCTGTATACTGCTCTTGAGGGCGCCCTGACCCTGATCCACCCCATGATGCCGTTCGTCACCGAGCACCTGTGGCAGCGCCTTCCCCGCCGTCCCGACGACGCCACCGTCTCGATCATGAAGGCCAAGTACCCCGAATACCTGGCCCAGTTCGACGACCCGGAGGCGGAGACCGCCTACGAGCTGATCCTCAACGCCTCCAAGGGGGTCCGGTCGATCCTCTCGCAGTACGATATCAAGACCAAGGGCGACATTGTCATCCAGACCTACGATGCCACCAGCTACAAGACCGTGTCCGAGGAACTCACCAGCATCAAGTCTCTGGGAGGCAAGACCCTGGGAGAGCTGAGCGTGCTCGGCCCCGAGAACACCACTGCCCCCTCGGGCTGCGTGGTGGCCCCCATCAGCTCCGAGGCGGCTGTGTACCTCCGTGTGTCCAAGGAGGTGGCCCTCGAGCAGGAAGGCAAGGCCAAGGTCAACCTCGAGCGGGCCCGCGACACTGTGCGTCGCCAGCAGAACCTGATCACGGGCGCGGGCTGGGAGAAGGCCAAGCCTGAGGTCCGCGAGGCTGAGCAGAAGAAGCTCCGCGATGCGGAGAGCGAGGCTGCTCGTCTGGAGGAGCAGATCCGGGAATTTGAGAAGCTCCGGCTAGAGTAGATTTCGCGGTGATAGACGTACATATAGGACGGACATGAATGATTGTGTTGATTAATTTATGTTGATTATTTTTGTTCATTTGGTATCTTGTGTAATTGAGTATATGGAGACGAAGGGGAGACCCGCAGCTTATCGATAGGCGGGTGCCAAGCCCTTTTTCCGCCAAAAGTTTTCGCTCCGCCTTTTTTCTCTTTTCGAGGCTGGCCTGCAATTCTCCTCCCCCAACTTCCCCTCCCCCCCCCCATCCTCCATTCCCCCTCTGTCAAAATGCTCAGAGAAGTGTAAGTCCGTCCCGGTTCTGGGGCTTTCAAGTGCAGTTTCTAACCTCCGTCTTTCCCCCTCCCCAGAAAACCCAAGAATGCGCGCACGGCGCGCATCCTCAAAGCCAAAGAGCCGCAGCTCATCGAACCGCCCAAGCGCACGCTGCTCCTGCACGGCTCGAAATGCCCGCAACCCCTTCACACGGTGCTGAAGACGTTCCACTCGCTGACGCGCCCGCACTCGGTGCTGTTCCACAAGAAGAACGACAACATTCATCCGTTCGAGGGTGTCGAGAGCCTGGAGTTCCTGGCCGACAAGAACGAGTGCGGCTTGGTGGTGTTCGGTAGCAGCAACAAGAAGCGGCCCAACTGCGTGACCCTGACGCGCATCTTCGCCGGCAAGGTCCTCGACATGTGCGAGCTGCTGCTGCTGCCCCACCCGGGCGGCGAGCAGGACAGCAACCTGCACATGCACATCGGCGTCGGCGCCCGGCCGATGCTGCTCTTCTCCGGCAGCGCCTGGGAGGATCCCACGTCGACGCCGCACGTCATGCTGAAGAGCATGTTCGTGGATATGTTCAAGGGCGAGGCCGGCGATAAGATCGATGTCGAGGGGCTGCAGTGTGTGTTGATGATCGGGGCTGAGGAGCCCACCGACGGTCTCAAGCCCGTCATCCACCTGCGCTGGTACAAGCTGCGCACGAAGCGCAGTGGTCACAAGCTCCCCCGTGTCGAGCTGGATGAGATTGGTCCCAAGTTCGACTTCAAGATCGGTCGTCTGCAGGAGGCTCCCGCCGACGCCCTGAAGGAGGCCATGAAGCAGGGCAAGCGACCCAACGAGGACTTCAAGATGAAGAAGAACATGACGCTCGACTCCATCGGTGACAAGATCGGTCGCGTGCACCTGGGCAAGCAGGATCTCACCGGCCTGCAGACCCGTAAGATGAAGGGTCTGAAGCGTCGTGCCGGCGTCGAGTCGGACGACGACGAGGACGACGACGACGAGGAGATGATGGAGGTGGACGAGGTGTCGGAGGATGAGGGCCACAAGAGGGTCAAGAGGGCGTGAGAAGCCATCGGTTGCATGTTGATTTTTTCCTTCCTCTTACTTGGACGACTACTACTTTCTGTCTATGTATCGCGCACGAGGCGTTCCCGGGGGTTTGGCTTTTTCTCTGACCATGGTCCAGCAACTAGCTCGTACATGTACCTATTGTTCTCGAGAAGCAAAAGTTCACATCATCACACTTCAGACTTTCCCTAGTTCCCTAGTTATACTGGCTACGACACTGTAAAGGTGTGTCCACGTGATCCCATGACGTTGCTCGGGCCGAGTCTCACATGCCGAGGATCTTTCGACTTGTCGCGCATCTCCCAAAAGCCAGTTTAAACCCACTTCCCTCCACTCTCCTCTCTCATCTCCCCTCTCCCAATATTAGTATCTTCGCGGGCTATGAGGCACTTCTCCGCCTGCTCTCCTCCCTCCCCGGACCCCCATGCCCGTCGCCACCCCCGTTGATTCCTCAACTACCGTACGGAGAGTCCTGGGTTGCCGAGGCCCCCCGCAAACGACTAGCTAGCAAGCAAGCAACAACCACCAACATGGATGCGCTCATGGTAGGTGGACGTCCTCTCTATCTCTTTATATCTCTTCATCTTAGGAGGAAGGAACTGTACACATCCGTTCTAACCACCCGCAGTCCTCCCTCGATACCCTGGTCACGAACCCGGACCTCGCACCCCTCCTATCACTCTTCAAGGGTATTCGCAATGGCGCTGTCTACGGCGCCAAGGTGCGCTTTCCGCATGCCTTGGTGTATGTACTCTCCCCTCCCCATCACGGAGTCCAAAAAGACCAGCTAGGTGGATACGATAGACAGCTAACATGACCAACTTTCTCTCAACGCAGAATGATCTTCCTCTTCCGCTCCGGAACGTAAGGCCGCCCACCCACCCCAAAATCCCTATCCACCACGAAAAGACTAACCGCGCATAGTATCCGCGAAAAAGCCAAACTCGTCTTCAAAGCCACGCGCCAACATGCCCGCAACCTCGCCACCTTCGCGCTGATATACAAGAGTGCGATGATCGTGCTCCGCAACATCAACCCCGCTGAGGTCGGGAAGGAGGGCCGCTACGATAGTTTCTTCGCGGGGTTGCTGGGCGGGTATGCTGTGTTTGGGAGGCATAAGACTAGTATTACGCAGCAGGTATGCATCCCATCACATCATATTCTATCCAATTCAATTCAATCCAATTCAACAGGGCTATCTTGTACCTGTCTGGACTGTATACGGAATCTTGAGGGGATTGAGCAACGCAAAGGCTAATACTTATTAATAATATTCCAGATCGTGATCTACATCTTCGCCCGCGTCGTCCTGGCCCTAGCCAAACTCTCCGTCCGGCCGAACATGCATCCCCTCTCGTCGCTGATCGGGCCCGACGCCCGCACCAAGATGGAGAGCCACGCCTGGCCTGTCTTTGCGAGCGTGAGCTGGGCGCTTGTTATGTATATCTTCCGCTGGCATCCGGAGACTCTGATGTCCAGTTTGAGGAGTAGTATGGTTTATATGTATGTTCATCATTCTCGTTCTTTCCGTCCTTGCGTGTTTTCCCCTCGATGTGGCTAATGTGTATTGTGTGTTTGCTACAGCTACGCCGACTCCGATCACTGGGACTCGTTCCGCAATTTATTGATTCATAACAAATGAAATAGATTTCGTTCTGGGATCGTGATGGTGACGATGACGGTTATGGTATACCATGAGTGGAGGGTTGGGAGCGGAAATGCCCATTGTTGCTTTGGGGGTTCGGTCAGGTGGTCTAGTTATGGTCACCGTGGCGTATAGAGTTGGTGCTCTTTCTTTATGGTCTGTTTCTTTGGTTCTGGGCCGGGATTGGTCGATGGATCGATCGAGGTGGATGTGGATGTGGGCTGTGCATACCGGACGAAGCCCTCCCGCTGGCGGTTAGGGAGTTGGTATGAGTGATGTATAGGTATGATACCATAGAGGTGGGTTGCTGTGCGATCGGTGGAAGTGGAAGTGGAAGGAGATGGCAACCTTCGAACGTGAAATCGACCTCAGATGTATAGGTCAATACTCGGACGAAAAGCCCAGGCTGGCCAGTTCAATCCCATCACAGTGGGATACGGGTTCTGATTGATATATAACCCGAAGAAGGAAGAGAGAGAGAGAGAGAGAGAGAAAGAGCCCTGACGTGCTCTTCTCACAATCAATAAAGTTGTGTCAGATACTACTACTGAGTACCTCTCTCTATCTCTGAAGGCTAAAAAGACAGAATATGCTATCCAATTGCAATCAGATCGTTGTCCGAATCCCTTTCCGTATATATAGTACTATCCTCAGTTCAACCGACCAGCATGGATTCATTCTCGCAATCAAATGCCGATTGCCTGACGAGTGTTCCTGTCGCTCCACCCCACGCGAAGAACGGACGGCGAGGGGAATTAATTCCCCGACAGCTGGGGTGGAGCTTGTAGTACTACTAGTCTACTAACTACACTTTGCAGACGGCATTACTGTGATTCCAGACCGGAAGCTTTTTTTTTCGGTGGAAGTGCGCCCGGAAGAAGAGCTCATTTCCCGATCCACTCGTGCGCTGCCAAATCTCCGCCGCGCCGCAGGCGTAATGCGTAGTATACATATTCCGGGCTCAGAAATCCCCCCGGATCCGCCTCGTCGGGGTATTATACTATCTTGAGATCCGAGAGACGTTGGGACTGAGACCTGAGACTTGAGAGCGATGTCCAGTTGTTATCAAAGGAAGGAGTGCCTGCCAGCTTGATCTGAGGTCGGGCCCGTCCGACGCCGAACCACGACTGGGCCGATAATCTACGGCGACTGCCGACTTGGCAAGATATTTATTTCCTCGTAGATATATCAAGCAATCCTATCCTTCGATCTTCAATCTTCAACCTTCAATCTTCAATTCTACACCAGACACCTCAATCACGGGTTTACACCCCCCCCCCCAAAAAAAAAACCCAACCACCATGCCGCCCCCCACCCTCACCGTCACGCCCACCGTCACTCTCACCCTCGAACCCCTCACCAGGGAAGCGTTCGCGCCATTCGGCACGGCCATCGTCTCGCCTCTGGCCCGCGACATCACCACGCCCCCATCCCCCTCGACCCTGCAAACCCTCACTCCGACCCCCGTCCTGGCCAACCAGTCCTCCGCCCTGAAATACAGCCCCATCTCGCCCCTCACCGACGCCTACGCAGCCTGCCCCAGCGCCCAGCCCTCCTCCGCCCGCATGACCATGTTCTCCTGCTTCCCCCGCACCCTCCGCACTCTCCCCGACTCGCGCAGCCCCGCCCCCGTTTCCGTCTCCGTCTTCGACGTGCGCATCCTCGAGCGCCACCCCTTCACCACCCAGACCTTCACCCCCATTGATCTGTCCAGCCAGGGCCCCGACGAACCGTATTATCTCGTCATTGTCGCCCCGTCGCGCAAGGGCGTCACCGGCGCGGCGACCACAGACGCAGGCGACGCGGTGGACGTGCTCGATCCGCCCGATTTGCACCGCTTGCGGGCGTTTGTGGCGCGTGGCGGGCAGGCCGTTACGTATGGACCCGGCACGTGGCATGCGCCCATGGTGGTGTTGGGACCGCGTCGCGTGGATTTCGTCGTCGTGCAGTTTGCCAACGGGGTCGATGCGGAGGATTGTCAGGAGGTGCGGTTCGGGGAGGGCATCGTGGTGAAGGTTGAGGAGCAGGGGAGGGCGAAGCTTTAAAGGATGGGGACAGCGAGTCGGAGATTGAGGGGGGGGTGTTTACGATGCTATGCGATATGCCCGGAATTATGTACATTGATGAATGCTTGGAGAGTGGGAAGGAAATGTGCTGTACATAGGATCGGACCTTGAGGTCCTTTGAACATATACCTGGGGAATCTTTATGCCCCGTTCACGGTATGCGTCGGTGTGGCTTCGTCGCTCGTATGTTTATCCAGATTGGGGCCGTTGGTGACACGCTGACGCACGCTCCGGGCCATCTCAATGGCTTCTTTGGGCAGCCCGGCCAGCTGGGCCACCTTCAAGGCGTGCGACTCGCGGTTCACGCCCTGACGCAGTCGATGGATGAATGAGAACGACCCGGAGGCGGTCTCCTTGACATCTGTACAGTATCTCCCCAGGGCGTCAAAGTCGTGGGTCATGTCGGCCAGCGTGTGGAAGTGTGTCGCAAACAGCGTCCGGCATTTGTTGTGATAATGAAGGTGGTGCAGGCATGCGAAGCTGACCGCTGTTCCATCTTCTGGGGTCGTCCCACGGCCAACCTCGTCCATGATGACGAAGGAGCGTGGTGTCGCTTGCTTAAGAATGGCGGCTGCTTCCAGCATCTCGACCATGAACGTGGACTGGTCCCGGAAAAGATCATCAGCGGCTCCAATGCGACTGAAAATCTTATCAACCAAGCCAATTTCCGCATAGCTTGCAGGGACAAATGACCCGACCTGAGCGAGAATGGTGATCAGCGCGTTCTGCCGGAGAAACGTGCTTTTCCCAGCCATGTTGGGGCCGGTAACAAGCCAGATGCGTTCCATCTCACCCAGGAAGCAATCGTTGCTGACGAAACGTCGGCCTTGCTCCTCAAGTCCAAGCTTAACTGTCGGATGCCTTCCACCAATTATCTTGTGACACTTTCCTTCGTTGAGGATTGGGCGGACAAGTTGCTGCTCCTGGGCCAAGGTGGCAAAGGAACACGCGACATCGAGCTCGTCCATGACGGCCGCATTGCGCCGGATCTTAACAAGATTGAGAATCACCTCGCGCCGCAGCTCCTCAAATATCACTTGCTCTTCTTGACGAATTTGAGTCTTAACCTGGTCCATCTGGCCACCCAGCTCTGTCCATGCTGGCAGGTAAAACGATCTGGTTGATTTCGTAGATGAGACATTCCGTGTCACCCCAAGCTCCTCCAAAGATTCCTGGGTAATTTTAGGCCCTTTGACGTGACAAATGTGACCCAGCCCAGGCGTCCACTTAAGCGTTAGCATGGTTGATCCGACCGAGTCATGCAGATGTTGGATCAACTCCAATTTCTCGTCCTGTAAACGCTCCAACGTCTTATGGAGTTCACTCAGAGCAGGGCTCGCATCGCGCCTCATGATCCAAGTATCAACAACCGAGCCTTCATCCGTTGGCGTAGTAGCCCGGTCACCACCCTTTGCCTTGACTTTCTTGGGTAGTGCTGCCACGTCTTCCGCCATCCCTTCACTTGTAGTCACCTCCTGAGCCAGAGTTGCTGCTTGTGCAGCCGTATCATCTTCTATGCGTTGTTTTTGCAGGAGACCCTCCTCATCAATAGCTGCCAGGATCTTTTCCGCCAAGATGGAAGGTCCATCCATGTGGAAACGACCAATCATGGTCGCTAGGCTGCGCTTTGTCTCGACCCCAGCTTTGCGACGTTTCTTGCTTGATAGAACTCGTTTCACCTCTTTCGACGCTTCAATCGCCCTGGAGAGACAGACCAAATCGTCAGGATCACCCCGTCCAAGAGTGAATTTCTGGACCAGGCGTTGGGCATCATAGCTGCGTTTCAGAAACTGAACCACGGTATCGTGCAGTTCGCGGTCCTCGAGGAAAACCGAAACAAGGTCAAGGCGTTCATTGATAACCGATTGAGAAGTTGAAGGCGATGCTGCAACCAGTCAGAGCTACAACGAAGTTCGAATGAGAGTTGAAAACATACTGAGGCGGTCCCTTAACAGACGCGCACCGCTTTTTGTCGACGTGCGACGAACGGCGTGAAGAAGGCTTCCTTTGCCGAAGCCATCGCGGGCAGTTTCAAGTATCTCTAGACCTCTTAGGCTGTTGCGGTCGATGCTCATCGACTCGTCCAAATGTCGACGACGAGGAGGCTGGAGCTTCATATTCAAACCCTGGAGTTGCACCCGTATGTACTCTAGGAGACTGTAGCCAGCGGCAATTTCCTCGGGAGTGAACGTATTAGCAGCTTTAGCGGGCACAGGGGCCTCAAGCATCGCTCCCCATTTAGACATTGGTGCAACGGTTTGTGGAAAGTCAAAGAAGGTCATCAGGCGGTGGTCATGTCCGATCAGCATTGACAATTCTTGGCCAATTATATCCTGGAGACCTTTATCTGCGAGTATCTCGCGAGCACCAATTCTGGCAATAGCAGATGGGAGCATTTGTGCCGTTGTTACTTGTGTGAAAAAGTCGCCGGTGGAAAGATCCAGCCAGGACAGGCCTACATTTTGAGACGCGGACAACAGGACGTGCTGCTGCGAGATCGAGTCATCGTGTTGCTCCAACTGCGCTTTTAATGACGATTTATCGATGTAAATGGCCAATAAGAAATTGTTCTCGGAGGGATCCATGAACTTCTCGTCAATCAGTGTGCCTGGCGTGATGATCCTCGCGACCCTGCGGTCGAAGAGGAGCCCCCCAGTCCGGAGCTTGTCCTCCGCATTATTCGCGAATTCCTCGCTGATGGCCACGTACTTATTCAAGTCCTGGACAAGGGTCTTCAAGAAGCGATCCAACTGGAAGAAAGGGAAGCCTGCCATGGGAACAGGGCCCGCGTTGGTCTTCTTCGTAGCAAGCTTCAGGTTGAGAAGTGGAGCAAGCTCCTCGGCTTGCTCGAAATAGAGCTAAGGTCGGGTCAGGGATGGTGTACTCATTGGGGATCTCGTCGCTGCTAGCTGTGCTCTGTATCCGGATCTATCCATACCTCGTAGAAACCGCCTACTCGAGTCAAAATAACACAGTTCTTGAATTTCTGCATATTATTCCGATGCCCTTGTACAACGACAGGATACTGAGGGGCGTCATCCACGAGTTCTTGGTAAGGTTCCAGCTTGAGTGCTCCTTGGGGTAGATCTTTCAATTTCAACGTCGCTTTTGTTTTTGCCATCCTCCGCGGTGCTGCATAAGAAGCTGCGGCAGTCCTCAGGAGGTGAGTGGACGGACGCCGGGCATGATGGCAGATGGTTCGGTGCACATGGCAGCGGTAGGAGACGCCGCCGGTGGAAGGCGTTGGAATTGAGCGAGCATGAGGTTGAATGAAATGCGAGATGGGGAGGCCATACACGCGTATCATGATGTCGCGTCACCGGGGGTGAGGAGCAAGAGAAAGAGAGATGTATACAACCGCCGCCTGGAGAAGAAGCGGCAGAAAACCGTCCGGGCGGGTGTTGACCTTAGGCAGGCCCGCTCGCCAAACCTTCCCGCCTTGCCACGCAAATCTGGTGGATGAGAACTTCCCGAACCTCTCCACGCAGCTCTTTCAACTCAACCCCAATCCCTCCCAAGCAGCTTGCAACCTTGCGCCGACGTGTGTGCTTGTTTGCTGCCGGAGGATGGTCCAGGTTTGTGAAGTCTTCTAGGATCTTTCACCCTCACAGAATTCATTCCTTGCCGCAGGTGTCTCGACGCGCCGGCTGAACCTGAGCTCCACCGAGCCCAGACGACTCATTACCTCCGTCGCGGCACGATCACCTCTTCTTTTGCTTCACCCTGTTCAGTGTTTTAATATACCATCAAAATGGCGGACCAAAATATTTCCCAGTACAAATACTCGGCGATGTCCAACCTGGTTCTCCAGGCGGACCGTCGTTTCATTTCTCGCAACAACGATGAACCCACCGGAGACCCAGAGTCGCTCGCGGGTCGCATTGGCATCCGGGAAATGGGCTCGAGAATGGCGCGTGACGATGCGCCCAAGACGAAGAAGAAGACCACCGGGCCGACGGATATTGAGAGGGGCGCCATTCGCGAGGGGGAGGACGTGCTCGCCCGGGAACAGCGAAAGACCCAGCGAGGTCAACCGGCACAGCTACGAGGACAGGGCATCCTTTCCGCCGCCGATGCTCTTGTCGAGGGCCTCAAATACCGTCCCCGCACGCCTGCCACCCGAGCTACCTACGATCTCATCCTCACTATGACTGCAGCCCACCTTGGCGATGTCCCCCACGAAGTCGTTCGAAGCGCTGCTGACGCGGTGCTGGAGCTGTTGAAGGATGAGGACATGAAGGATTTTGATAAGAAGAAGGAGATCGATGATCTGATTGGCAGCTCGATGAACCCCAAGGAGTTTAATGAGCTCGTCAACCTGGGTAAGAAAATCACGGATTACGATGCACAGGATGACGATGAAGAGATGGGGGGCGGCTTGGATGACGAAGGCGAAGGCGAGCTGGATGAACGCCAAGGTGTTGCTGTTGTTTTCGACGAGGAAGACGAGGACGACGAGCGAATGGGCACCGTGGACGAGATTCGCACTGACGATGAGTTGTCAGACGAAGAGCCAGATCAACAAGACGCTATGGGGCTCGATGAGACCACTACCGACAAGGCGGACCTGGAAGGCCTCGAGGAGGCCGACGGAATGGTAATAGACGGCGGTATGGGCCGGGGCACAGAGCGACAGGATAAGGGCTTGCGGATACATTCTCGGGAAATCGATGCTTACTGGCTTCAGCGCCAGATCGGTGCCGCATACCCCGATGCCCACGTACAACACGAGAAGGCCAACCAATCGCTTGAAATTCTCGGCGACCGAGCAGAGGATGGTGCCGAAAGGCCGCTGCGTGATGTGGAAAACGACCTGATGGAGCTGTTCGACTACGAGAATCCCGACCTTGTCGCCAAACTGGTCACCAACCGTGATAAGATCGTCTGGGTTACACGCTGGCGACGGGTGGCCGAAGATGCGGACGCCCGTAACCTGGTCGAGAGTGAGATGGTTGAGGCTGGACACCGCGCAATTTTGGACGAGATTCGCGGCAAGGAGTCCCGCGACGAAGGTTCAGGCCGGCCCGAGAAGAAGATCAAGCTGGATTTGATGGATGTCGATGTCCCGAACGCACCCCAGGAGTCCGAAGAGAAGCCAACGGAGGGCGGTCTGGTCAGGGGTCTACAGCCGAAGAGGTTGATCAACCTGGAAAACCTCGTCTTCCACCAGGGCAATCACTTGATGACGAACCCCAACGTTAAGCTGCCCCAAGGCTCCACTAAGCGATCCTTCAAGGGATACGAGGAGATTCATGTCCCGCCTCCCCAGGCAAAGAGGGAACCAGGCGAGAAGAACATCCCTGCCACGGAACTGCCAGAGTGGGCCCGGGTTGGTTTCGGTAGCTCGAAGGAGCTCAACCGAGTCCAATCGAAGTGTTATCCATCCGCATTCCACGACGATGGAAACATGCTCGTCTGCGCCCCCACGGGATCCGGAAAAACCAACGTCGCTATGCTCACCATTCTCCGCGAAATCGGGAAGAATCGAAACCCCGAGACCGGGGAGGTCATGCTGGACGACTTCAAAATCATCTACATCTCTCCGTTGAAAGCGCTGGTTCAAGAACAAGTTGGAAACCTTGGCCAGCGGTTGGCGCCCTATGGAATCAAGGTAGCCGAGCTCAGTGGTGATCGCCAACTTACGAAGCAGCAGATTGCTGAAACGCAGATTATCGTGACCACCCCTGAAAAATTCGATGTCATCACCAGAAAGGCTTCTGAGACGAGCTACACCAGACTTGTTCGTCTTATTGTCATCGACGAAATTCACCTTCTCCACGACGACCGTGGGCCTGTCATCGAGAGCATCGTGAGTCGGACAATTCGCAAGGTGGAGCAGACCGGAGATCCTGTGCGAATCGTTGGTCTCAGTGCTACCCTTCCGAACTACCGTGACGTCGCAAGCTTCCTCCGAGTTGACCCCCTCAAGGGTCTTTTCCACTTCGATGGGTCTTACAGGCCGTGCCCACTGAAACAGGAGTTCATTGGTGTCACGGACAAGAAAGCTATCAAGCAGCTGAAGACAATGAATGATATCTGCTACAACAAAGTGCTCGAGCAAGTCGGTCAGCGGAGGAACCAAATGCTAATCTTCGTTCACTCCCGTAAGGAGACTGCCAAAACTGCCAAGTACATCCGGGACAAGGCCCTTGAGATGGAGACCATTGGTCAGATTCTGCGGAGCGATGCTGCAAGCAGAGCAATTCTGACCGAGGAAGCCGAGTCGGTTAACGATGCTTCACTCAAAGATCTGCTGCCTTACGGACTCGGTATCCATCACGCTGGTCTGAGTCTTGCAGATCGTGACTCGGTTCAGGCCCTGTTCGCTGATGGTAGCATTCAAGTCCTTGTTTGTACGGCAACACTTGCCTGGGGTGTCAACCTGCCTGCCCATACGGTGATCATTAAGGGCACTCAAATCTACTCCCCTGAGAAGGGTAGCTGGGTTGAGCTTAGCCCCCAGGATGTTCTTCAGATGCTGGGACGAGCTGGACGACCTCAGTACGACACGTTTGGTGAGGGTATCATTATCACCTCCCAGACGGAAATTCAGTACTACCTGTCGCTCATGAACCAGCAACTGCCGATCGAGAGTCAGCTTATGAGCAAGCTCGCCGACAACATGAATGCCGAGATTGTTCTTGGTAACATTCGTCATCGTGACGAGGGAGTTGACTGGCTGGGTTACACTTATCTGTTTGTCCGTATGCTTCGTTCACCTGGTCTATACAGTGTCGGTGCCGATTACGAGAATGATGACGCGCTGGAACAAAAGCGGGTCGATCTTGTCCACTCTGCAGCCGTCATTCTGGAGCGGGCAGGGCTCGTCAAGTACGACAAGAATACGGGGCGCCTACAATCGACCGAGCTCGGTCGCATTGCCTCCCACTACTATATCGGCCACAACTCTATGTTGACATACTCTCAGCACATTATGCCATCGATCACCCCCATTGAGTTGTTCCGAATCTTTGCCTTGAGTGACGAGTTCAAGTACATCCCGGTTCGCCAGGACGAGAAACTTGAATTGGCGAAATTGCTTGGACGTGTGCCCGTCCCCGTCAAGGAGGGTATCGACGAGCCTCACTCGAAGATCAATGTCTTGTTGCAGGCTTACATCTCCCGGCTCAAGCTCGAAGGCCTTGCTCTGATGGCTGATATGGTCTACGTTACCCAATCCGCCGGCCGTATTCTGCGCGCCATTTTCGAGATATCGCTGAAGAAGGGCTGGGCACACGTAGCCAAGACGGCTCTCAACCTTTGCAAAATGGCTGAAAGACGCATGTGGCCGACAATGACACCACTTCGTCAGTTCCCAACATGTCCTAGGGATATTCTGCAGAAATCCGAAAGGATCGATGTGCCCTGGGGCAGCTACTTCGACCTCGACCCTCCGCGTATGGGTGAACTCCTGGGTATGCCCAAGGCTGGCCGTGTTGTCTGTGACCTAGTCTCCAAGTTCCCTCGTCTGGAGGTCCAGGCCCAGGTACAACCTGTGACTCGTTCTATGCTCCGGGTTGAGTTGACCATTACCCCTAATTTTGTGTGGGATGAGGCCCTTCATGGAAATGCCCAGGACTTCTGGATCCTGGTCGAGGACTGTGATGGCGAGGAAATTCTCTTCCATGACCAGTTCTTGCTTCGTGCCGACCATGCACAGTCCGAGATGAACGAGCATCTTGTGGAGTTCACGGTTCCGATTACCGAACCCATGCCTCCCAACTACTTCATTTCCCTCGTCTCTGACCGTTGGATGCACTCGGAAACCAAGATTGCTGTTTCCTTCCAGAAGCTGATTCTCCCTGAGCGTTTCCCGCCTCACACCCCTCTGTTGGACATGCAGCGCGCTCCAATCAAGGCTCTGAAGCGCGAAGACTTCCAGCAACTGTATCCCGAGTGGCAATACTTCAATAAGATCCAGACACAGACCTTCAAGTCTTTGTACGATACCGATGATAACGTCTTTGTTGGTTCTCCTACTGGTAGTGGAAAGACCGTTTGCGCGGAACTTGCGCTGCTTCGCCATTGGGGCCAGGAAAACAGTGGCCGTGCTGTCTATATCGCCCCGTTCCAAGAGCTGGTTGACCAGCGCCTTGTAGATTGGGAGAAGCGGCTCGGCAACCTGGCTGGCGGAAAGACTATCGTGAAGCTTACTGGAGAGACAACAGCCGACCTCAGACTCCTCGAACAAGCAGACCTCGTGCTCGCCACTCCCACTCAGTGGGATGTCCTGTCTAGACAGTGGCGCAAGCGCAAGAACGTGCGGACGTTGCAGCTGTTCATTGCAGATGAGCTACACATGCTCGGCGGCTATGGGGGATACGTGTACGAGGTGGTGGTCTCGCGTATGCACTCTATGGCGCTCGAAACCGAGAGTGGCATGCGCATTGTTGGACTGACCGTTCCACTTGCCAATGCTCGCGATATTGGTGAGTGGATTGGCGCCAAGAAGCACACGATCTACAACTTTAGCCCGCATGCCCGACCGGTGCCTCTCGAGCTTCATATCCAGTCGTTCACCATTCCTCACTTCCCTTCGCTCATGCTAGCGATGGCCAGGCCTGCATATTCTTCAATTCTTCAGCTATCGCCTGACAAGCCTGCCATTGTTTTCGTACCTAGCCGCAAGCAGACGCGCTCTACCGCCATGGACCTGTTGGCTGCCTGCGCTACGGATGACGATGAAGACCGCTTCCTCAACGCTGACCTCAATGAGCTAACACCTCTCCTCAGCCGTCTTCAAGAGCGGACGCTCGCCGAATCCCTTTCTCACGGTATTGGCTACTACCACGAAGCTCTCAGTCCTACGGATAAGCGGATTGTCGCCCACCTTTTCACCATCGGTGCCATCCAAGTACTGCTTGCGTCCAGGGAAGTATGCTGGGAGCTCAATCTCACCGCCCATCTGGTGATCGTCATGGGAACACAGTTCTTTGAAGGCCGGGAGCACCGTTACATCGACTACTCCATCAGCGAGGTTCTCCAGATGTTTGGCAGAGCTTCTCGGCCCGGCGAGGACAAGCTTGGTCGCGGTGTGCTCATGGTTCCCGCTGTCAAGCGCGAATACTACAAGAAGTTCCTGAACGAAGCGCTGCCTGTTGAGAGTCATCTGCAAGCTTACTTGCATGACGCTTTCGTCACGGAAGTCAGTACTAGGACAATCACGTCCACCCAGGATGCCATCGATTGGATGACGCACACCTACTTCTATCGCCGTCTCCTCGCCAACCCCAGCTTCTACGGTCTCACTGATGTCAGCCACGAGGGCCTCAGTACCTTCCTGTCCGAACTCCTGGAGAACACGCTGAAGGAACTGTCCGATGCCAAGATCGTTGATCTTGACGAGGAGGATGACAGTGTTTCGCCTTTGAACGCGGCCATGATCGGGTCTTACTACAACATCTCGTTCATCACCATGCAGACATTCCTGCTCTCTCTCTCGGCTCGTACGAAGCTCAAGGGTATTCTGGAGATTGTCACGTCCGCCACGGAGTTCGAATCCATCCAGATGCGCCGTCACGAAGACCACATCCTTCGTCGCGTGTACGACCGTGTCCCCGTCAAGATGTCCCAGGTCGCCTACGATTCGCCGCACTTCAAGTCCTTCGTGCTGCTGCAAGCCCACTTCTCGCGCATGCAGCTGCCGATTGACCTTGCCAAGGACCAGGAGGTCATTGTCAGCAAGGTTCTCAACCTTCTCAGCGCCTGTGTCGACGTTCTCTCGTCCGAGGGTCACCTGAACGCAATGAACGCCATGGAGATGTCCCAAATGGTCGTCCAGGCCATGTGGGACCGGGACAGCCCTCTCAAGCAGATCCCCCACTTCAGCCCCGACGTCATCAAGGTGGCCAACGAGTACAAGTACGCATTCCCCTCTTCTTCCCCCGCTCAAACCCGCACTAATACCCCCTCTAGCATCAACGACATCTTCGAATTCATGGAGTCCATGGACCCATCCGAGAACAAGAACTACGGCACCCTAATCAAGCGCATGGGCCTAGACAACAAGCAACTGGCCCAGGCCGCCGCCTTCACCAACGAGAAGTACCCCAACATCGAGCTGGACTTCGAGGTCGAGGACCCCGAGAACATCACCTCGGGTGAGCCGGCCTATCTCAAGATCAAGATCGACCGGGAGGTCGAGGAGGATGAAGAGCCCGACACCACCGTCCACGCCCCCTTCTACCCCAACAAGAAGATGGAGAACTGGTGGTTGGTTGTCGGCGATGAGAAGTCCAAGAACCTCCTGGCTATCAAGCGCGTCACTATCGGTCGCAAGCTGGAGCTACGTCTCGAGTACATCGTGCCTACGCCCGGTGAGCATGAGCTGTCCCTGTACTTGATGAGTGATAGCTACGTTGGCGTGGATCAGGCTCCTACGTTCACGGTCACGGCGGCTGAAGGAATGGAGGAGGATGAGAGCGAGGAAGAGGAGGACGAGGAGTAGGCTGATCTGCGTGCTCTTCTCTGCTGGAGGTTGCCTTTTGATGATTTCTTTATGCTTCGCATTTCTGTAATTATATGTGTAATGTCAAATAACAAGATTTGGTGTTCAATTTTTATACGTTTATGTTTTTTTTTTTTTTTTTTTTTTTTTTTCCATTTTTTGTCTTCATTTTCTGGGTTATGAACCGGATGTAGATGTAGCTGGTCTAAGTACTCGGGTAATCACCATTATTCTCTCTACTAGGGATGGGTAGTATCGCCTGAAGGTTGCTTGGTGGGTAGCTAGAGTGGTACCCCGGGGCATTCTGTCCTCAGGCTCAAACTGAAAGACCCCGTGGGATAATGAACGCAATAATGTTATTGTTCGACGAACCCGGTTCTAAAAATATCCACATAACCCCTTGGAAAAAGTCATGAAAAGATCCATGGCACATAAAGGAATTAAAGAGAAACCCCCCAGTAAGTGGTCAGTCTAATACTGGGCTGGTGATCACAGATACTGTTTAGGTGCTAGCTTGTGTCATTTGGAGCAGGCGCTGGGCATCGCGAGCTGGATATGAATTCCAAGTGTAGAACCACATGTTCTCAGGAAACATGGCATCCGGAACGTAGATCTTCAATTCATCCAGCATCTGGCCTCGGCGTTCATCACTCATCCTAGACATCATCATCACCGTGATAGCCCGGGCATATCGAACTTGGTTGTACAGCTCCAGCCGCTGCGGAATATCCTGTTTGGCGGTGGCGGGGGTGAACAGGGCTCCAAGAGCTGCTCCATCTTCCAATGCCTGCGCACCACCTTGGCCTGTATCTAGGTGATGATTGAATGTTATCCATAAATGCAGTAGCACGGCTTTGGTTGATACTCACGAGGCAGGGTCGGGTGGGCCGCGTCGCCAATGAGCGCCAGCTTGCCATGAATGAATGTCCGTGGGGGCGTGCGACATGCCAGACTCCAGAGCTTCAGGTCCTCTGCCATCTTGCACATCTCTTGCAGTTGCGGACTGAAGGAATCGAAAGTCTTTAGCAATTGGCTCATGTCACCTGGACCAAGCGAAGCCGAGTCTGTTGAGGCTATCTCAGAGCCCGATGGATGGAAGGCTGCAACATTGAGCAAATCACCACGACGGCAAGGGTAAAAGATTATTCTTCGATCGTTGGAGGTAAATATGTGAGTGCCATCCAAGCCGGTCTTTTCCAGGAGGGATGCGGTAAGAGGGTTGCTCTTCATCTTCTGCATCGGAATAAGGAAACGGAAACAGTTCTGGCCGGTGCTTTCATGGTGGCAGTCATCGGTGACGCCGGAAACGCATCGAGACTAGGTAGCAAGACGTCAGCAGACGATGAATGGACCGCTGGACCGGCCGGTCTCTCTCTTACATGACTCCCGTCTGCACCTATGATCAGGTCACCAGTGTACCTGGTGCCATTCTCAAGGATTACCTCGCCAGCTTCGGGGTCCTAGTCAGAAGCCTAAGTAAGTGGCTCGAGATAATCCAGAGGCTGGAGTCCAAAGGAAAGTATTTACCACGGATACCACTCGGGAGCACAGGTGGATGGTGGGCCTTTTGCCATGAACTTCTGTGGCCGCCACATCCCTCAGAGCATTATGCAGGTCTACCCGATGCGCAAGCAACCATTCGTCGGAGATTCCCAGTGCTTCCTGGACTTCTTGTGTCACCTGTATCCGACCTGTTACCCTGCAGCTAAATTTGTGTAAAGAGCGACACTCACAACTGAGGTTCGCATGAGGTTCCCTTCTCGATCCCACACCTGAAGTCGGTTGCAGCGGACAGGCTGCAGGCTCTCCAGATCGCACCCCCAGTCCGTGAGAATGCGTGATGCGTTAGGTGGCACATGGATTGCAGCGCCGACTTCATTGAGGAAGCAGGATTTCTCGAGAACCTAGAGACATCAGGTCTAACTCAGCAGCGGAACAGCCAGGTGAAATACATCAACGTCATGGCCAGCGCGAGTCAAGGCAATGGCAGCACCTAGCCCCCCTAAGCCGGCACCAACCACCACCACCTTCAAAGGCATATTCAAATATCCCAGCTAGCCTGTCTCATGTAAGGGTGTGTCCGAGTCGGTGTTCTCATCATGCCCCCTGCCCCATCCGGGTGTTTAGACAAGTGGGTTGTGTTTCACTGAATGCATGTGAATAGGAATATGACCGTGATCCACCATCGATTGGGAAGGAGCTTGGGTATTCCAAAGCTTATTTGTGGATTGGTTTAGCAAGTGGTTGCCGGATGTTACCACCATGGTAGTAGGTCTTTCACCAACTGCGAACAGTGAAAGCAGGATTCCTATTTTCGCAGCACAGGTCAGCTGTGTAGAAGAACAAAGAAGCCCCGGATAAGTCCTGGCTGCTCGGCCTCTTCCTCTCCCCTTTCTGTGCCCTCCGATGCAGGTAACGTGACATCCATACTTCAATCGCGGATGAGAGGTAGCTAGAAATGAAATGTAGTGGGGCCTTCCTATCAGTCGGGTTGCTGACAAGTGTGGATAATAATCGAGACCGGCGGGAGACCGAGGGAAGTCCGGGGAAGAAAGAGCGCGACCGATAAGGGAAGGAAGGGACTCTCCGCTCCCGTCACGCCACGCCACGCCCCTGCGTCCCCTGCTACTTACTACCTTCTTACTACTGTCCCCTCACGGTCCTCATTGCCTCTCGACCCCCTCTTTTGTCTTCGGCACCTCCTGCACCTCCTGCACCTCCTGCATCCCTTCCTTGTTTGCTCTCGCCTCGACGCTTACCCCGCCGTCTCCTGCCGTGCCCTGCCCAAGCTATAAGTTGCTACCTTATCACTCCCCGCTAGCACCTGCTGATCCAGGTGGCCGGTGAAAGGAAGGTGACATGACCATCCGATCAATGAAGTTCACTCCAGAGTATGTCTCATTCCTCCCCTCCCCTCCCCTCCCCTCCCCTACACCCCTCCTCCATCCCAATTGTTCGTCTCATGAAGGGAAATGCCCCGTGCTGACCTGCTTAGGGTACTGCTCGGAGCTCCCAGGCGCTCCGGACCAGTTCCGAATGCCTCAGGCACCCTCGCCGTCTACACCCAGACCACCTACTCCTTCGAGTCTCACTCCAAGACCAATGAGCTCCGCGTTCTAGACATCGCCACCGGTCGCTCGGCCCTGATTACAAACGATGCGGGTGCCAGCTCGCCGCAGTGGCTGGGCGACAGCGACCAGTTGGTGTGGCTGAAGGTCAAGGCCAACGGCAACACCAGCTTCATCATCGGCGATGCGCACGAGGTGGACAAGACATACACGGCGGGAACCGTCCCAGGTCCGGTGTCGGATCTCAAGGTCACCGCCATTGAGCCAGGCAAGATTGGCTTTGCTGTGGTGGGCAAGGCCAACCCGGACGGGACCCTCTACAACCCTCATGACGTGAAGAAGCCCGTCACGTCCGGAAAGCTATACACATCCCTGTTTGTGAGACACTGGGACTCGTACGTGGAGCCTCAGAAGAACGCCATCTGGTATGGCTTGCTCCAGCGTGCTCCTCTGGCCCCGGTGACCAGGCAGGCGGGGAAGTACTCCGTTTCGGGACTTACCAACTTGATATCGGTGAGTGGCTTGACGGGCGTCGAGTCCCCTATCCCGCCATTCGGAGGGGCGGGTGACTTCGATATCAGTCCCTCGGCGATTGTCTTCGTGGCCAAGGATCCGAGCCTGAACCCTGCCACGCACACCTCCTGCTCATGCTACTATTGTCCGATGTTTTCATGGACTGGCGTGACTGCGCTGGAAGCAAAGGTCTGCACCGTGAAGGGCCTGGAGGGTGCCATGTCCTCCCCGGTTCTGACCTCGGACGGTAGCTCGATCGCCCTCCTGACGATGCGCGAGGATGGGTACGAATCCGACAAAAGACGGATCCTATACGTTCCCAACCCTTGGAATGGCGAGATGATCGAGGTCTTTTCCACATCGGATGGAGAAGGGGCGTGGGACCTCAGTCCGGGGGGTCTGACGTTTGCGAATGATGACAAGTCTTTGTTTCTTACGGTCGAAGAGAATGGGCGGGGAGTGTTATACCAGCTCCCTATTGACAACATTCGCCATGCGACCCCCGCGTCGCTCAAAAAGATCACCCATTCCGGATATGTCGCTGAGGTCCTCCCCGCCTCATCAAAGTCATCAAAGCTGCTTATTTCTAGCAACAGCTTCGTGGACAACAGCCTGTGGACCATTGTTGACCCCGAATCGCCCTCAGACGTGCGCATCGTCTCTTCCATCGGTCGCAACGGGGCTGCTTTTGGGCTCTCTCCTACGCAGGTCGACGAGATCTGGTTCCGGGGTGCCAACGATACTCCCGTTCACGCGTGGGTTGTGAAGCCTTCCGACTTCAAGCCAGGTAACAAATACCCTCTCGCCTTCCTGGTCCATGGCGGACCCCAGGGTGCATGGTGTGATGAGTGGAGTACGCGATGGAATCCGGCTGTTTTCGCCGAGCAGGGATACGTGGTAATCACCCCCAACCCACGGGGAAGCACCAGCTACGGACAGAAGTTTACCGATGAAATCCGGGGCTCCTGGGGGGGACTGCCGTACATTGACCTCGAAAAGGGGTTCGAGCACATCGAGAAAAACCTGTTGTATGTCGACACATCCCGAGCCGTGGCTCTTGGGGCCTCGTATGGTGGCTACATGATGAACTGGATCCAAGGCCATCCCCTTGGTCGCCGGTTCAAGGCTCTTGTAACCCACGACGGAGTGTTTAGTATGACCTCCCAGCTTGCCAGTGAAGAGCTTTACTTCCCCGTGCATGATATGCAGGGTCCCCTGTGGAAAGTCCCGGAGAACTGGGCCCGCTGGGACCCCTCCCGGCATACGGGCAACTGGCAGACGCCGCACTTGATCATCCACAACGAGCTGGACTACCGCTTGACGATCGCCGAAGGCCTTGCTGCGTTTAACGTGTTGCAGATGAGAGGCGTCGAGAGCGCGTTCCTGACCTTCCCGGACGAGAATCACTGGGTGCTCAATCCGGAGAATTCGCTCATGTGGCACCACACCGTCCTCAACTGGATCAACAAGTATGTCGGGCTGCCACCGGTGTCCAAGCAGGTTTCGGACTTTGGCTCGATCAAGAGGGGGTCGATGGAAAAGCAACTGCAAGACGTGGCTCTTTGATGCTGGGACGGACGATTGAGTCGTTGTCTTTGGATGTTTCGGTTTCATGTCTCTAATGTCAGATGAATACTATAACGTGACCCTGTTCTTGGCAAGCCGTGGATTTATTTATTTATTGTTCGCGGAGCTCATTGTCACTCTTTTTTTTTTCCCCTCTGCCCTCAAAGAAAACAATGAGCCAAGCTTGTTGAGCCCGTCGTCGTAGCGCCTCCACTCCAACCAAGCCCTAGTTGGTTGAGTCACCGGTCCAGACAATGAATGGTATACGCACCGATGCAAAACAGCTTCAAAGAAACTCGATTTAGAAGTTCTTCACCAGCAGCCCCCTTCCCACCGGCGAGTTCCTTCACGGATCATAAAGGCCATCCCGCAAGTTATTGTCCCCCTGACCAGCACAACAGGAGTCGACGTTTCGACTTTTTATAGCTGAAAGCCGAGAGGCTCCATTGTCGAGGATCTCCGAGAAAGTCATATCGCTCTATATATACAGACAAATACCCCATCGGTCCCTGCCTCGTTTCTACCCGGCGATTCTTCTACTTTTTGGGCTTTTATCTTCATCTGACTTTTCCTACCAGACCAGATCAGACATACCTATCAGACGACTTGAGCAACGCAGAAGCCAGAAGACAGGCAGACTAGACAGCAGACAATCAACACAACCACAATCACAACCTCCAAAATGAAAGACCAACATCATCGTCCAAGCAGTCCCAAACGACCCCGCCTGAGCATCCAACCCGCCACCCCCACCGACCCCACAACCCCAGACCCCCACCCCATCCCCGTCTCCTTCTCCAAAGACTCCGACTCCGACTCCGACTTCGACTTTGACTTCGACATCAACATCCCCATCAACATCCCCATCGACCCCCAACTCCTCGCTCCCCCTACACCAAACCAACCTCCCCTCCCCCCACCACCAGTCCCAGTCCCAGTCCCAGTCCCAGCACCAAAAGAACCAAATCCCCCCCTTCCACCCCACCTTCGCCCAAACCCTCACGCACATCCAAACAAAACTCTACCCGCTGATCTCCACCACCACGGGCCTCCCACACCCCGACTTCCCCCACTCCCTGCTGACCTTCCACCTCCTCACCTCGTCGCAGCTCGATAGTCTGGCCGCCCACTTCCATCAGGTCTCTCCGCCTGTGCCCGCGACGGGGTGTTACCCGATTACTATCCCGGCGTGGGTGGGCACCGAGGCGGCGAGGAGGGGCTTGGTGGATTTGGAGACGAAGAGGAGGAGGTTTGGGAGGTTTATTGGGTTGAGGGGTGTGAGTCGCCGGTTTCTTCGGGTGGGGGGGGATTGGGGTTGAGGGGGATGGGATGAGGATGGGGATGGGGATGGGGATGGGGAGAAAGAGGGAGGTGGAGGGGGATGAGTTGGAGGAGGAGGAGGAGGAGGGGGAGGGGGAGGTTAGAGGCACCAAGACCAAGTATGTGGTGGAGACAGTGTTGCGATCTGTGTCTGACTGCATGCCTGGGCCTGTCCCCGAGCCTGTTCCCGAACCGGAAACCGAACCCGAACCCGAACCCGAAACAGAGCAGGACATGCTCGCGAGGATGGAGACGGAATGGCTGGAGATGCTCTATCGGTCCCGTTATGATTCCGATTCCGCAATGAGGGAGAAATTGGGGAGGTGATTCATTCTTTTGCCCATTCAGTCATTCATTCATTCACTCATTGATTGATTGATTGGTCAATTGATTGATTGTTGACTGGAAATTTTGAGAGTTGGAGTTTACATACTGGCATATACGGGCTATATTCCAAGTACTATATACTATCTATATATGTCTCTCTCTATCTATCACTAGACTGCGCTGCGGTTTGTCTAGTTCTTTGGCGTTTTGAGAAGCATGATCATATACTATCTTGCATGGAAGACTGAAGCGGTGGCAGTGTCTATATACAACACTACTATTCTACTACATACTATCATCTTTGCATCATGTATTAGCATTCTATTATATCATAATTGACTGTTCATATCATACTGTGCAAGGAGCATGAGGATATCGCAAGCCTATAGGTAGGTAGTATTAATTGCTGTCATGTTAAACGTCATCTAAGTCATCATCTATTACTGTATCCCCCCCCCCCAATCCATAGATTGCATGATCAGTCATTCAATCCAATCACCCATCCATGCGGGATCCAATCTAATGCCCCATTCCCCTCTCCCAATTCTCCTCCACAATCTTCCAGTACCGCTCCCGACTGCGCACCCGGAACATCTTCCCCCACCTAGTCATAACCAGGAACACCGCCGCACAGGCCATACCCACAAAAGCAGCTGAGATAAAGCAGTTCTGGTAGCCCAGGTTATCGACCCAGGGCGTGATTCTAGACAGACAGAAATTAGTATCACACCCATTCATGCTCGATCATCACTCGCTATATCGGCTCGTATGCATTAGATAGATAATGAAGCACTCACCCATATCCCATAGCAAACGACATGGTATTCCGGACCAGAATCACCGTGGCCATGGCATCGCCACTCAGTTCCCGGTAGCTGTCAACAAGGTAGTTGACGCTCAGGGTGATGCCGCATGTGTTCGCCATCGCGAGGAAGCACATCGCCACGATCAGCCCGAACCAGTGTACATGGTGTGCGGCACCGACGCCCCATAGTAGCAGCGATGCAGGCACAACGAATAGGCACAGCGCGAAGGGCCATAGACGCTGCTCGGCTTCCATGACGCCGTTGTTGCGTCGGGCGAGTCGCAGGGTCAGCCAGTCGCTGAAGCGGCCGGTGAGGAGGGAGCTGTTGGTCGTGGTGTGTTGTTAGTTGTTGGGGTTGGGGTTGGGGTTGGGGTTGGCGGAAAGGGTGGAAGGCTCACGCTGCGACTGTGCCCACGATGCAGGACACGTAGCTGAGACCGACCATTGCTGAGCTGTGCGGGGTTAGAATTATCTATATCTATGTGATGAAGGAGTGGAAATCGTACCTGAAGTTATACGGCGCCCCGCCGAGAATAATCGACGCGGTTCCGTTTAACACATTGAACCAGATGAGGTATGAGCCGTATGAAAACCTGTCGCCATCGTCAGCTAACTAGACAGGACTGTTACCAACCCACTGGCATATCACCTACCCTGCATAAAAAACCACAGGCCAGCTGAGGTAATAAAGCGTCTGATAGAACCGGCGAAACATATTATTCCTGGGCAACTTGGGCCCTATGAGCGACAGCTTCTGCATATAAGTCTTCCTCTTATACATGACGCCGCACTCCGTGTCCGTGTGAGGCGCTACCTTGGCAGGCGGGATCTTCTCCTTCTCGCCTTGTTCGGAGGTTCGCGGGGAGGCGTCCGTGGGGGTCGCGAGGACGGCTCCCGGCCTTTCGCGCACGTAGTTCGTCTCCTCCATGAAGAAGAACAGGAATACGATGGCCACCGCGCAAAAGATGCTGGGCCAGTAGAACACCCATTGCCAGCCTTGGTACTGCGCGATGAAGCCGCAGATCACAGGCGCGAAGTAGTTGCTTCCGGCTAGGAAGAAGGCGTACAACGCCATGTAGGTTCCGCGTTCGTGGGTGAAGTACTGCGTCTGGTTAGCTGGGTGCTGGGATGGTGCGTTGAGAGTCGGGTCGACTTGACTCGACTTACCACGTCCGTGACCGTGATCTCGGGGAGCGCTTCGATGGGCGCGGTGAAGAATCCGGAGATGATACTCCGGGCGATCCATTGGCCATTGGTGTGGATGTACGGGCTATCGTCGCTGGTCAGTACCACTGTGAAGGGTAGGCAGCGCGCCCAGATATCGAAGGACTTACCCCCACATCGAAGTGGCCTGTTGACATGTTAGTGGGCACACACAGATAGTCTCCGTAAGATGGGTCAGACTCACCAGAATCCCGATCAGGGAAAGAAGGTAGGTTAGTCGTTTGCCATACTGCATCGCCAAGGGCTGCCAGAACAGCAGACCCCAACCGGCGAACAGGAACATATACCCCGTGCCCTGGTTGAGGGTGGTCACGGAAACGCCAGTCGCATCGGAGATCTGGGTGAGCACCGAGTAGACGACCGAGCAGGCGATGCCGGCAAACAGCGTGTATCTGCCACCCGGAGCGCGGTTAGTATAGTCATTGCATCATCGATCGGACAGACGTGATGTGGACGGTGTGGGTGTTGTCGAGGATAAACCTACACGCTGACGCAGACTGTGGACAAGGCCTTTCGGTGTGGCGACCAATTCAAGGGATCATCGGGGTCACTGGAGGGTTCGGGGATGAGGACGATGTCGCTGTCTCCCGAGTCGGCATGGCGGGTGGCGAGGACATGCTCCAAATCCAGAAGCGTCACCGTGCCGGGGATGGCGTCTCGATCCACACTGGGGGTCATGATTGACCACGAATGCGAACGTGCGAGATCAGAAAGGGATCGAAGAGGGAAGGAAGAATGTCGGGGTCTGCTGGCGGGGACACTGGAATCTTAAAGGGATGGATGATGGATGGCTGCGTTATCAACAAAATCCCCGACCACCATCAAATCAGGACGACGACGACGATACGTCAGGCCTTGCGATATCAGTGATTCGGCGTCCAGACCCCGCAGGACAAAGTCCTAGCCTGAATCTGAATGCATGCATGCATCCAATCCATCTCATCTCATATCTATCTCCAGATAAGCGGGCGGAAGATTTCCGTCGCGCTGCAGCAGCATTTCCAGGCCTGGCGGGATCCACTCTGCTACTTATCGATCAAGGAGGAAGGAGGTATCTCTATATCTATCTGGCTCGTCGGCAAACCAGTTCCCACCAGACGGATCCTTGATAGCAGAATAGCAGATGGGAGATGAAAGATACCAAGACCAAGTTGACTGGCTGGGGCTGGAAGCTTAGCTCCGGTGATCCTCCCTTGCCCGAGCCGACGACTTATCTCGCCTGAGGGGGATGCGCGCTGACAAGTAACCACTCGCTGCAGCACTGGCGGACCGGAGCAAGAGACGGTCTCCCCGCTTCATCTCCGGATCGAGAGGTTTATTGCAGCATCGTGTGTGGAACACATATCCAGATGGGTATATAGATACTGGTCGCGATGGCGTCGAGGTTCCAAGGGACAGTGCACGCCTTGCGGATAGATACGGGCTAGATAGAACGCTTTCTACTCTACGACGACCCACGGACCCCCACCCCCCACCTTTTGTATTCCTGTCCCAACGGACGCCATTACGGGCCATAACCATCCCTTCCGCTGGTGTCTTAAAGCTGCACGCAAGGAGTAAATAAACACACCGCGGACGGCTGGAAGTGTCTGCTAAGGCCTGCCTGCAGCCAAATATTATTCTGGTATCAAGCTCTGGAACAGCGATGAAACAACACGGAGGGAAAAAGAGAAACAGGTCTCGCCCAGATGACTGCTCCATGGCGCAAATCACAGGATGGACGGCGGGGAGATGACGAAATATGTTCAGCATTTGGCGCATATAATACAAATCCGGCGATGCCAAAAAAAAAAAAAAATCCAGCCTCATTCATCCGAGAGGGACGGTCACAAAACATCGAGGAACGGCAAGAGAGGTGTCGAGGGTGTAAGGGGACAAGGGCTCAGTTTGAGCCACTCGCGATATCATCATCTTCCGGAAGATCGCGGATGACATCTTTCAGGATTTGAATCAGCTCGTCAATGTCCGGCCGGTCCGCCGGTTCGACTTGTAGGCACTGCCGGACAATGTCCTTCACCGGTGCACTGATCTGCAGCGTGTTGTCCTTGCGGCTGTCGTCGCCGCCGGCCTTTCCTTTGCCCTTGGTGGCACTCGACTTCTCGTCGGGGAACCGCCAGTCTCCGCCCAGCACACACATGCTTAGACTGCCACCGGTCTCTTCGCTCCGAGCTTCGAAGGGGCTCTTGCCCACCAGGCAGGCGTAGAGGGTGCATCCCAGCGACCAGATGTCCACCTTGGTATCGATGATGGACCCTGTCTTGACGTCAAAGAGCTCGGGCGCCCGATACGGCATCGTGCTGTGCTCTGCGGCGGTGTCTTGGACGGCCAGGGCAAGCGACCGGGAGGTGATGGCGATGGGACTGGGCGCCAGCGACCCAAGGTCCATCAGGATTGGCGTGCGGCCGTCGTCGGCGATCATAATGTTTCCTGTCAAGAAGTCAGTCGAGAGAGAACCACGGGATGGAAACCAGCAATCGTACCAGGCTTGATATCTCTGTGGGCGTACGGGCGAATATCTCCGTCCTCGATGCCTTCCTGACTGATGGTGACCTCGTCGTCCATCAATGGCTCGTGCTCCTCCTCGTCGTCCTCATGCTGGCTTTCCCGTCGCTTCGGCTTCGGCATCCGCATTCCCATCTCCGCATCTGCCGCGGCGCCCTCCCTCCTGACGGCCTTGGCCTTGCGCGTGGGGCCAGAGCCGCTCCTGACCCGATACTGGTGCATCGCGCGAAGCGCATTGGCCACCCCCAGCGTCAGCAGCATCAACTGTTTCTCCGGGAATCGGGAGTGATTGACGAGGTTGGCATTGATGGCGTCCTGGAGGTTGCCCCGTTGGTAGTAGGGCAGGAGGATGTAGACCGTCTTCGACCCGGCCTCACCGCCATCGGCGCGGAATTTCGAGCCCTGCTCGGTGGAGACACAGTGGTCGATGGAGTGGATGATGTTGGTCTGGGATGTGAACAGGTTGTAGGCCTCCACCTCCTTGAGGGCCTGGGAGACGGACTCCTGGCCGAACGGACATCGGATCTTCTTCAGCGCAAATAGTTCGGAGGTCGACTTGTCTTGGACGAGGTAGACGTAGGAGAATCCACCCTAGCACGATGGATTGATGGTCAGCGTCACCGCGAATCGGCCGCATCGGGCCAGAAGGTCGGAAGAGGTCATACTTCACCGAGCAGCCGGAGCAATTTGAAACTGCGATTGTTAATCTTCAGCTGCGGTGTGCTGGGAAAGCAGCACATGCAGTCCGTGAAGTTGTAGAGCAGATCGAAGAGATATTGCGCCATGCTGGAAGGGAGCGCACTGCTGGGGAGGGAAGGGAAGCTGGTGGAGGTGCAGCTTTCGTCGAAGCTGATTGAGCCGCGAATGCAGTCGGGACGGGGTCCCCGTGGCGACTAGGAGGAATCGTCGTGACGGCCGGGCTCCACTCGACGATGGCGCACAGGCGGAAAGACAGACGGCAAGGGTGAGAGAGAGGCAACAGAGTAGCAGAGATGACTGACTGACTGACTGACTGACTGACTGCAAGGAGGACGGAGGGGAATTTTCAGACTGAACAAGTTGGGAAGAAGTGATTGATCCCTTGGAAGATGAACAGATCGAACAATACTCCGCAGTGGCAGTGTTGTGCTGTGTTCGAGTCCGGAGTAGTTCTCCGTGGGCTGATCGGATGGATTGATTGATCGGGAGGATTCGATGATGTGGTGAGAGGCTATTCGGTCCTGAGGCTTCAGGCATCCATACCGGGCAGCGTACGTAAGCCCATGCAAGCCCACGCTGATTACAAGGCATCAATACGGGAGGCGATACGTCACGGTGGTACGGGACAATACATGACCGTACCCAATACACGGGCCGGTGGGGCGGTCGCCCATGGTTCGTGTGTTTATTGTGACGGTCGAGGAGGATTCGATCTTTCATGGAGGAATAATTGGTTCCCTCGCCGTTGGACGGTCTTGATTATTGGTATCGAGAGTACGGAGTAATTAGGTCCAAGGTAAAAGTAGTAGCGCTGCCCCTGTCCGTGCTGGCATGACGACACTGGACGGGCCCTGAGAGCCACTATTCTTCGAATCTGGTGCCCGTTACTACGAAATTGGCCCTTGCACCCACTGCTCTCTTTGCCTCCCTCGCTGCCCAACTGAAGAGGCAGAGGTTGAAAGGGCAACCAAAACATCCTTCCAGGGGGAAACAAAACCCTCCGAGCCTCCTGCACAGCACTTCCCACTAGACCACCACTACTATGTACTAGTAGTACATAGCACTGCAGCAGCACAGCCAGGCTACCAGCAAAACACCATGACGGCTGGCCTATGATCAGTCATCTCTCCTAACCCCCACATCCTTTTATCCCTTCCTTCACGCGTCCCTTGATTTGATCCCTCCACCCCCCCCCCCATTCTGGTCGCAGGATCTTCCCCCCGTCTCGTGCCGGTCGGCCATACCTACTACAACCTTACCTATATTTCGATTCGACCCCCGATCCCTATCCGCCCTCCGATCGCGCGCTGAACTACGCCTCCCTCCTCCCTCCCTCCCTCCCTACCCCATCTCCACTGCCATGGCGCCCCTCGACGAGGTCCAGGTGGGTGACCTGGTCAATGTCCCAGGGGGCATGTATGGGACCGTCAAATTCCTGGGAACCGTCGCAGGCAAGCCGGGCAAATTTGCCGGAATTGAACTGGCGGCCGAGCATGCCAGGCGAGGGAAGAACAACGGCGACGTCGAGGGCCGGCGATACTTCACGGCCTCCACTCCGGGCTCCGGCATCTTTGTGCCCATGAACAACAACAAATATGTCACCAAATTTGTCACCAAGCGCGCCTCCGGCAGCGGCGCCCCTCCAACCCCCTCCCGCCCTATCAATTTCAGCAAGTCTGTTGGACCTGGTCCCTCCATGCGCCCCCCGCGGGTAAGGCGCCCTTCCCTTCCTCGCCCCGAATCCCCCAGGGGCCCTCCGCCCTCCAAGTTAAGCCTCGCCGGTCTCCGAACCCCGTCTACTGCCGTCGCCAGAACGGCCCCCTCCAACGGCTACCCGCGCAGCCCCGTCAAGGCGCCCTCTCGCGCCTCTGATCGCCCCCCGTCCCGAGTCAGCACCGAAGATGACAATGTCTCTAGTCGGGCATCAGATATCCACCGACCGTCGATGGCCGCAGAGGTGCAGGAGCTGAAGGAACACGTGCAGGGCCTGGAGAAGCAGCTCCTGGACCGCGACAAGCAGCTGGATGAGCAGGCACATACCCTCTCTGATTTTCAGAGGACGCTAGAGGAGCTGGAGGGGTCAGATTCGCTGTCGGTACGCGCCCAATTGCGCGAGAGGAACGAGCGCATTGCGCAACTGACGGCTGAGTTCGACTTGCATCGCGCCGACTTCCGCAGCACCCTGGACACCTTGGAAATCGCTGCCTCAGAGACCGAGCGGGTCTACGAGCAACGCCTAGATGAATTGATGCAGCATAACAAGGAGCTACAGGACCGCGGGGAGGACGTCGAGGCCGTTGCAAGACAGCTCAAGCAGCTGGAAGAACTGGTCTCGGAGTTGGAGGAAGGCCTGGAGGACGCCCGACGTGGAGAAGCCGAAGCCAGAGCTGAGGTGGAATTCTTGCGAGGGGAAGTGGAACGGACAAAGCTGGAGCTCAAGAGGGAGCGGGATATGAAGGACAGCCAAACAAACGGCGATGGACCATATCACTCGAAAGAACTGGAGCAGAAGGACGACGAAATCCGCGGCCTGAAGGCGATCATTCATTCCCTGAGCCGTGGTGATCCCGACCTGCATGCACTGCAGCAGAATGGGATCGGCGCGGGCCCGGAATCGGATCATGACCCTGAACATCTAGCTGATCTGGAGCAGCGGGTCGAGGAATCCGAGCGGATGAGCGAACGAAAGACCTTCCGCATTGAGGAGCTTGAACGCGAGCTCCAGCAGTTGCAGCTGAACGGTGGTGGCCGCACGCGCAGCTCCACCGTCACGGCATCCCCGAGCCTGCACAAAACACCCAACCCCGCTGGGAATATGACGAACGGTAACGGGGTCAATCACGCGCATCGGCTCTCAGATCGCACCGTTGTTCCAAGTGACTGGGAAGACCCGCCTCCGCTTGAAGGGCAATACCAGGCCTACTCTAACCGGCACCGCGGCATTTCAGATGCTTCTCGCCATCGCCTGGAGACCATGCACGAGTCCGATACGAATGATTCCGATACCCGCTCGGAAGACGGTGGCTCGTTATGGTGCGAAATCTGCGAGACAGGAGGCCACGATATCTTGACGTGCACCAACATGTTCGGCGCAGAGACCAAGGAAAAAACCCCGGATCCCGCTGAGCCATCTCAAGACGACAGCTCTACGGATGAGAAGCAGACCCCTGAGACTTCAACCGACGACCCGTCCCCCTCCCCCACCCCCGAAGAGAGCACAACTCCTGAGAAAACCGGCCGCGATGCCGTCTTCGATGGCCTGAGAGAGGTCGGGCTGACGTCCTCCATGACCCCCGTTGCCGGAAAAGAGAGCGGGGTGATTGATGACACCAAATGGTGTGCTCTTTGCGAGAGAGACGGCCACGAAAGTATCGATTGCCCATTTGATGATTGAGCCATGACCGGTCTACATCCGATGCATGCGGCATATGGCACATTATAGCCACGGACTCGGCTACATACCCTGATGACTGCGATGGCTGTTCTACATGACAGCCTAGATGGATTCATCCCTTTTATGTTTGCATTAGTCGCAATATATGCATGACTTGGCTTCTAGCATAGCGCATGCCTTCTCTTTCTGCCAGCTGCTCTCTTCCAACGTTTCCCCTTCCCTATTATCTTCATAACATAGCACTTGGCGGCATCTGTTATTGGTTATACGCGACAAAATAGCGCGAATCCCCTGGTTTATCCATTCTCGAGGCAGCTTCGTTAAACCTGTGTCATTATCAGCCTTGATTGACTATGCGTGTCGTTCACTTTAGATTGATCTGTTTTCTTTTTGTGACCGCGGGGGCTCTTCCACCGTCATTCTCGACATTTTCTCTTTGCCTATCTCTTCTCCATATTCCCATGACTCCGTCTACATTTTCATCGATACTCCTAATACTTACCACTTCAAGCCTGTGGCGACCTCAGCCAGCAGAGTCCAGCTCTACACCCACTTGTCCCGCACTAGATGTATTGATATCAAAGCCTGCAAACACAGTCAAGACATAGAAACATCACCCGGATTACTCGGATAACTTCAACTTGCCCTATTCACGTAACAATCAAAACCGGGAGGACTATCCACGCAGTTCTTACATACATTCTGTGACCTCCACCGTGGGTATCTTTTCCTTTCCAACATCACCTCATGAGAAAGTCCACTTCACCTTCTTCACTCCGGAAACTGCGGAGGCTGCTCCAGCTCCCCGTCCGCGTACTTGGTCTGCGCAACAACCCCGCACGCCTTGCACGTCCGCTTCCCCTCATCTGCCCCGAACTCCTCGACAACCTCCTTGACCTGCGTCCCCAGGTCCGTGCACACAAACTGCTTCTCCCACACAACCTGCCCGCAGCTCTTGCAGTACCAACGCATCGTGTCCACCGCCCCGTCCGCCCGCGGCTGCTCCAACACGATCCCCACGGTATCCTTGAACCGGACCGGCGAGTGGGGCGTGTTAGCCGGGAGCAGGAACAGCGAGCCCTCGTGGATCGGCACGTCCTGGAACACCGCCGGTGTGACCGATGTGTCTACCGTCCTTAGCAGCATCGAGCCGCGAACCTGGTAGAAGAACTCCGGCGTCGAGTTGATGTGGTAGTCTGTCCGTGCGTTGGGGCCGCCCACTACCATCACCGTGTATCCGGCCGTCGCCGGGGAGGATGGGTGGTAGACGCAGTAGTTGTTCACGGGGGGTTGAAGAAGATGGGAATTGGCTTCAAGCCTATATGGACATGGCAGGTTAGTACGGAGCAGCGTATGACTTTATGAGTTCAAGGATTGATGGTGAGGGCGATGGAGGTGATAAGCAAGCAGTATTGCGCAATGCGGGGGAGGGGCGGATGGGGACTGGTAGTAGAACAGTAGAACAGTGGAAGAAAAGCTAGTAACTGCTGACTGACCATTTCGGAATGTTGAGAGCCGGTGGAAGCATTTTCTTATTGTTGTCCGTAATACCTTTCTGGGGACCCTGGGGAATGATTGAGTGTTGCACAGAGTCGAATAATAGAGAGTCGATTGCTCTCCCGGTGAGGATGATATCCCGTCCGGCGATAACCGTTGCTTAACGCCGCGGCCCGGAGCGGAACAACGCGGCGCCGGCAGATTTTCTCGATTCGCTTTTTCGGTCCAGGCCGAGCAGGTTCGGCGCCTGCGATATTTTCGATCTCGAGACCGTTGTTGTTGGCTTTACCAGTCCGTCAGTCAGTCACAATGGCGTCTACGTCTCAGCCTCCCCTTCGCTTTACATCCCACAAGAACCTGGTCTGGCGTCTGGTCTTTTCTACGTTGACCGGACGCACCGTTCAGATTTCTCAGATCCGTCCTTCGTCGCCCACGAACCCCGGTCTTGCTCCCCATGAAATCTCTTTCCTTCGTCTCCTCGATTCCATCACCAATGGCTCGCAGATGGAAATCTCCTACACCGGTACCATCCTGGTCTACAAGCCCGGTCTCATTACGGGCAGTGCTTCGGGTACCGGGGCCAACAGTGGAGGTGTGATCCGGCATGAACTGCCCGCAGGGTGCGCGCGCGGCGTGAGCTATTTCCTTATACCTCTCTGCCTGCTGGCACCCTTCTCCAAGGCGCCCCTGAAGGTGCTTTTTACTGGCCCTGGAGTCATCACCTCGGCCACACCGAACGGTGACATGTCGGTTGATAGCGTGCGGACCGCGATCCTCCCTCTCTACAACCAGTTCGGCATTTTCAACAACATTGAGCTGCGCATTCTCAAACGTTCAAACCCTGGCCCGAACGGCAGGGGCGGTGGTGGTGAGGTGCAGCTGGTCTTTGGCCACCAGCTCCGGCTGCCCAAGACCCTTCACCTCATGAACCCCGGTCGAATCACAAAGGTCCGTGGTGTGGCTTATGCCGTTGGTGTGTCGGCGTCCAACAACGCAAGAATGATCCAAACCGCCCGTGGTGTTCTCAACCCGCTCGTCCCTGACACCTACATCTTCTCTGATGTGTCGTCTGCCCCATTCGTGCCTACCTCGGAAAAGACCAACCCGTCGGGAAAGAAGAAGATCGGCCTTGGGTTCGGTCTCTCGTTGGTCGCAGAATCCTCCACGGGCTGCCTGTTCTCTGCCGATGTGGCGTCGCCTCCCGCAGGTGGTGAGGCGCCTGAGGATATTGGGAAGCGATGTGCTTACCAGCTGCTCGAGACCATCTCGAAGGGCGGATGCGTTGCCCCTGCTGGAGTGGCCACCATGCTAGGTCTGATGACCATGGGATCAGAAGATGTCGGGCGAATCCAGGTCGGTCGCGAGGTGATCGCCGACGAGAGCACCATCCAACTGGCCCGGGACCTGACCAAGTTCGGCGCCCCGGGCTGGGGTCTCAGGGACGCCAGTGGGGAGAATGAGAACGGTGACGTGATCATCAGCGTGGTTGGCCGCGGTATTGGCAATGTCGGTCGCAAGGTTGCTTGATTCTGAGACCCAACAAACGCCTCACATTATCTATGCGGTCGGCTGTTTCAGGTCTTACCGATCTCGCGAGAAGGTCGACCGAAGGCTCCCAGTGGATGATGCCAGGCGTCGTCGCAGCTTTGTTTCAGCGGATGGCCAGCGTGCATGGGGACGGCCCAATGGGCTCGCCGGCCACGGGCCCCCTAACGACGGCGGTGTATCCCATAGGTGCAAGGGCAGGGCGAGGTTTCATATTCACCGAGAACGACCGCAAACCACGCCATTCCCCAATCTCATCTCCAAATCTCGAATGCATCCTGTCCTCGACCTCCGACTTTCACGTTTTCTCGCGCGGCCAAGTTTCGCTTTCGCCGCACTTGGCCCTGTCTGTGCCACGTGGCTGAGATGGCGCCGAGCAGACAGCTGTCTATCGCACACCGCAGCCGTCCGCCCACCTGGGGGTTCCCCTTCAATTTCCATTTCCCATTTCTGCTCCTGACCGGGGGGCACGGTGCTGCTGTGAGGCACTTTGTTGTTCCATTTTCCATGATACCCTCTGTTGTTTGGTTTGTGAGGCTTCCACTTCACCGCTTGGGGGCCGCCCGATGGTCGAATCGGATCGGCAGCTAGGAAGGAGTAGGAGTAGTGTAGGGTTTGTTGGCTGCGGCCTGACGAACATGCGTGCAGTAAGGTTAAACTTTCTGGGTTGAGAAGGGGACGGGGTCGTGGCCTTCTGTATATATAGCGCTGGTCTGAATATAAATCGTCGCTTGCATCCTCTCTCTTGTATTTCTTCCGCCGGCTGGTAGCTCTCGCTCACCTACTTACCTACTTACCTCCCAATGTCGGTCTGGGAGGGCCTCCGGCTCTTCACGCCCTTGCTTCGTATTTAACACTTCAGCGACGAACCGGCGATTTTCTTCTTACATTTGCAGGATGCGGTCGACTGTGCCTTCGACTACGCATACATACCGACCATGCTGCACCCGTGAACGTGACATCGCCATGACTTGAATTGTGTACCCTCCCACTGCCGCATTCCTCCCTCCCCCTCCCCACCGAATCCACCTCAACGACTCCTGCGATGGACTGAAGCTATACCAAGCACCAAACACGCCCTTGCACCCTACGACATGTGAAGAACGACCAACCCCGCAGAGGCTGATATGAAGCGCCTGCTCCTCTCCCCAGCCGATCCGCATCCCCCGACTTCGATTGGTTTCCCCCGTTCCCGCATCGCTCCTTCCCGTTTGGCAACCCAGTGCAGCAGGCTCGCTCCTTCCCGATTGGGACGGGGACCCCCGTCTATATAAGACGGCCCTCCCCCGCCCTCCCTCGCTGCTTCCTCTTTCCTCCTGCACCTCCCCAACTTCCCCTTCCTCCCCTCCCACCCCCCCCCCCCCCCCCTCCAACCTACAGCTGGCCGTCCAGCATGTGCGGTTTTCGGTAAGTCCCCTCCTGGGAAGATGGTCCTGCTAACCGCCGTTTCGGGCAGGTCCTTCTTGCGTTCCTTCTCGGGCCTACGGTGTCTGGCATGGGCTTGTCGGATCTTGGTCTGGCGGGCTTGTGTCGGGCATGGTAGCGGGTTACTAACATATTTGAAAACAGTGATGTCTATAACACCTCCGTTCTGAGCTGCTTGGTCGCACCGTGGCAGGCCTAGTAAGTGACAGAGCTTGTGAGTGCCGATCAATCACTACGATCACTACGTAGTGGGGCCTTTCACCTATATGTCATACTGATGAGTGTGCTAGGCTGGTTAAAAACAATTTCCCCCACTCCGCGGCCAGCTCCCAAATGGGAATTGCTCTGGTAAGTTGGTGTCTGCTCTGTGATTGGAGTTGATCTTTCCTGATGTCCTTCTATCTAGTGCTTCTCCACCAACTTTTTTCCACTTTACCACTCCACTCCTCCTTCCTCCTTCCACTCATACAACCTACTATACTACTCTCCCACTCCTCTTACCGCTGCCTGGAATTTTGGGCAGGTTCAGTAAGTGACAGAGCTTGTATGCACCTCCTGCCTCCTGGTCCATATATCAAAGTTCAAGGCTGACGGCTTGTACAGGCTGGCTAAAAAAACTAGTCCATACCCAGGCTAGCCCGTCTATCGGATACCTCACGGTTAGTTATCTTCGTCTTTGGATACATGCGGTCCTCATTTGCCATTAGGGTTCTATGGTATAGAGATAGCATCTCGCATCCGGTTCCTGTTCATCAGATCGGCTTCTCTTCCTCACTGTCTACCCTACCTGACCGATATGACGGATAGACCCAGTGAGTGACAGCACTTGTGAGTATACAGGCCCAGCAGCCAGTACATTGTATACTGATGTGGTTTAGGCTGGTTAAAACAACAGTCTGTACTGCGGGCATAGCAATCTGTGGGATAAACACTTTGCATACACCCTTTAACAAGCCAGGCAATCGAACCATTCCAGTGAAGACCCCGCCATCCATATTTCAGCAGCTCCGGTAAGCGACAGAGCTTGTATGTATTCACTGGGCCCTTTCAAAGAAGTCTACTGATAATCATACAGTCTGGTTAAAGGGTCATACCGATAGCAACTCCAACTTGCTTGTGGTATACATTGGTTAGGGGAACCTGACAGAATAAATACTAATAAGGCCTTCACACCACACCAAACATTCGACGCGAATAAGGGGTGTTCTCGGGATGGAGGCTCCAGATAACTACGGGTCACACTCACTTTGTCATATAGATGTTTCCTTTGTTGATGGCATGTTTCGGCAGTTCTGTCCTGCCCGGTCAAGGTTTTTGCCTCTTGGGGGGTTTCCCTTGGCTGTCACCCGAATGGGGGGCATAGTGAAAAGTCATACATTGGCATTCATCAGTTATCTCAGTAGACGAAGTAGCGGCGGCACAGGATCACCACACGCGTAATCTTATAGGCCGGACTAGACTGCTATTTTCAATATGGATTCTAACTTTTGAAAACTCGAACAGACTACACAGCCTTCACGAATAGACTGTAGAAAATCCAATCGACACCTCAGGCCTCCTCCTCTTCCAAACAATAACATCAGTGAGATCACTACCCCATCATCAACAAAGCCCAGACCTATACCCAGCTATCTTATAGTAATAACATTAACCCTACTACCAACCCATCCCATCCCCTCCCCTGCTATGGTGGTCTTGGTACAGTCTGCCATGCATGTATGTACCACCTTTTTTCTAATTCAACCCATTGCACTTGTCCATTCAGTTATGTACCCGACCCACCCCAAGAATGGGATGGTCACGATGGTGAAACCCCACTCCCACCCACTCCTACCACCACTCACCACTCACCACTCACCACTCACTTGAGAGAATGGAGAGACGTCTGACCATCCCATAACAGCTGGGGTCGAGGCCTTCATTCAGGTAGCTGCTACGTTGTAGTTGGTATTCAGCGAGAGATCAAAAGCAGGTTCTGTATGGATTAGAGTGGAGAGGGGAGAGGTCCTGTAGAACAGGGATCTCTTGGTAGAGCCTGCGGGGGGGTTATTCTGGATTTGCTCGCGTATGCACGGCCGTCTCTATCCAGTGTTGTGTTATGGATCTTGTAAGAGGGCGGCGAGAGGTTGTAAGGCTGTGTCGTCTGGCGTCTGCTGAATTGCCCGTTCCTCTACGAGTATCGGGTTAGAACCTTGCGAGGGTGCTGTAAGAGGAATGCGATTCGCTCGTCACTTCGATCGACACATGTGTATCTTGGGCATCATATATACTATATGATTGATTGATGCATTATGCTCAAGCGCGGCACTTTGAGAGGGTCTTTCCGGGAGGCATCATATATATATATGTGTCTGTGTATATAGTATATTGGTCAGCTCCTCGATGTCGACCGTGTTGGATATCAGTTGATGTCGAAATCGGACAGCCCTCACTGGCACAGTGTTGTTTCCTATACATTAAGACGACGTATGGTCTTTTGATGATGAGGGATATGCTCGAGTATGGGAACGTTTCTCTTCATCACTGCTGCCATAACTGCCTTTGATCGCTCTGCGCAATGGCCTTGTTGAAATACCAAGAAGCGCTGTGAATGAGACCATTAAAGCTTCCTAGGACGTTTATTGCAGGCTGTGCTAGACACGCTTGATGGTCGGATAACGTATCATGAATGAATTTCACGGACCACTGGGGTGTCGGCAATGGTGTAGATCATCCGGGTGCCATGTCATTAAGATGCGGAATGGGACTTTCAGATTTCTTTGACTTTTTTTTTTTTAATATTTGTCGCCTCCTTTGATATAATCTTCTCTGTTCTAGAGAGCCTGTAAGCCGTTTCAAGTGACTGTCTGCCGTTGGTGCTGGTATTTCGGGATCATATGTCTTCTGCTCTGCAATAGTGTCTATAGTGAAATGATTTGCTTCGACGGCATGACAGCTGATTTTGAGGAAATATCAAATTAGCAGATGGATCTAGGGCGGAAGCCTTTTCGATATTTGAAATGCTGGAAGCAAGCACCCGGAACCAACATCATTGGTTCGGAGTGGTGAAGTCAATGTAGATTCCATGTGATGAGTCTCGATGATGAAGAGCGATGGTGAGACATTTCAGATTGACGAAACAAGCTCAACATTGTTCACCGGTCCGGGACTGCATCGCAGTAAGATCTTTTTGAATGGATCTTTTGAAGTTGTATAGCCCGCCAGCGTCATACTGACTATTTTTCGTCGCCGCTCGAATTTTCGGGTTCATCGGAGACCCCTTTCGTAGTCGTCGCTCTCCTCTTCAAGTTTGTCTTTGTTTTTCTTTTGGTCCTCTTTCCGGACTTCATCTTCTGCTGAGGGTTTAACAGCATGTATTCCGAGTACATTCCAGCTTTTGAAGAAGTGGGCTGCGAAGAACGTTTTGTTCCAAGCATGTTGATTCCGTGACACAGTTATATGTTTTCTTTGTTGAAGAATATAAGAGTGTCACTGATACCCCAAGCGTTTGATATCAATTATAGCTCGGTGCTTTTGAAGAAAGATACCTCTGGCACCAATATACCAGTGCCGTCTGCGCCAGGGAGAAACGGCGTATGTCTGTTGAGGCTTCAGAGGCTGCTTCGCCCTAACAAACACGGTTGTCACTTTGATCAACCACCAAGAACGGCAGTTCCATCAGGAAAGGCCTCATCGTGGTATGAGAAGATGCTCTTTCATCTTCGGTCTCTTCGATGATAAGTTCAGCATTCGCATGACCATTGAATCAATAATCTCTTATTTGACCACCATCATTCCACCTTCCGTTGACGAGGATAAGTTCCAGGTGTTAAAAGCCACGATGACTTTTTCTCCAACTCAGTCGTCACTCGCGTTACCACAAGGCTCGCCCAAGTGAAATTTCCCAGCCGCTAGAATGCTCCCGATGTTTTGTATATAGTATAAACTTATCAGGATTGCTGGATTCAATGCGCGAGTAGCTGAGGATAAGACATTGTAGGTCGCGCGACACCCGTTCCATCGCAATATATACCATCCACCTAATCCTGAAGGACACCTGATTTTGTGTCCACTGCTCATACTTTGGCTATCTACCCAGCGAGTCCCATGGCCTTGGGCTTGACCCAAACCCAAACCCGACCTGCTCCTTCAAGAGGCTTTGGTCAAAAGTACCAAGACCAGTCGCAGTACCGAGACAAGTGACAAACGGACAGCTAATGCAGCAGGTGAAACCACGTCGTTGCACGCCGGCTACCCGATGAGAACTCCGTTGTCTCAGTCGGGCGTTGTCCCGACATCATTCTCATCATCGATCTCTTTGGGGCGTTTATGCGAGCGAGTCGCGCGTTGTGACGCGTAAATATCGATGGTTAGGAGCAAAGACAAGCGATGACCCAGCTTCAGATTCCCGGTTATAATGTGGTGAAGTAGACCGTCATGGTTTGGGTGTGAGGATCACAAGTGTCCGACGAAGCGATACGGAGGATTGCATTGCAGCTGCCGTGTCTCGAGATGCGGTTCGGGTTTCCGTTCTTTGCATTTTGAGTCTGAGTCTGAGGCTCGTGAGTATAGGGGATGGACTTCAAGCAGACGACGCGACGCGTCTGGAAAGTACACGCTCGATAGAGCGTAAATAGCAAGTCCGTGTCAAGGAGAAGGAGGCGATAGGAGTAATATAAACAACGGCCGTATATATACTAGACAGCCATGACATGAGACATGGCTAGTTGAAAAGTGAAGCATGTATAGCCATGGCGCTCTCTGGAACTTGTAGGCCAGGGAGCGATGAGGTGGAGGAAAGACGGTGGTTGTGGGAGAAAGAGAGAGAGAGAGTGGGAGGAAGGGGGAAGACGGTGGCCTTTTTGAACCCTGTCCGTTTAGGAAGGTGGGATTCCTTTGTGGAAGGAGTGAGCGTATTCTTGTTTGTTTACTGGTTTTCGTTACACGTTTACCGCCTGAATGAAAACAAAGTAAAATATCCGGGTTCTTGCTGGCTGTGTTCACTGCGGTACGGCCTGGATGTTAAGGCGCTACGCAGGATGTATGCGAGCCCGCTCTTCTGGAATACACTCAGTACTTTTGGGATACGCCGAACCATGGCAATGTAAATCCTGCGAGATGTAAACGTTCTATTAATGGTATAAAAAAGTCTCGATGACAGAGTCAGAGTGAGAAACAGGCTGAAACAAAGTATGAGCGCTCAACATGATCCGTGTATGGTGTATGGTGTATAGCCGTGCTAGTCGGTCAAACGCTTAAGATGCAATAGCAAGATAGGCAAGGTAAAAGCAGAGGGGCTAAGGGAAACATAAAGAAAATATCCGAAAGGTCAAATGAGAGGTCAGGTCACTCCGACACATCCTCGTCTTTACCCGGGTAGACGATGTCCCTCCGGACAACGGCCCGGATATTGCTGACCAGAACGAACAGGAACATGCACAAAATGCAGATCGACATCGCCGTGCCCACACCCCGGATGCCTGCGCTGTTGAGCGAGTTACCCAGGGTGATGGTGGCGAGGGTGAATCCCGTGTTGGGGAACACCATGGCCCACCAGTTGAGGTGGAAGGCCTTGGGTGGGGAGCGAATGACGGCGATGATGGCGATGCAGAAGAACCACAGACTCAGGGCCCAGAGGAACATGGCTGCTCCGATGGCAAGCAGGCGAAGGACATGACCGTCTTCGATCGCAGTGGCGTCATCGAGGACTTTGAAGTCTTCGGGCAGCCCGTTGGTCATCCCGATCAATGCTAGCGCCGTGAAGGCAGGTGGACCAACACAGATGAACATGCCCGGTCTGTGCTCGCTCGATGGTAGGCCTGACTCCATCAGTCGCCCGATATAGTGAGCATACATCAAGAAGCTAATGGAGAAGCCGAGACCCTGGAACGTGATACCGGCAACGATGATAGGAATGGCCGAGCGGGCGGGCTGTTCCTCTCCAATGACTGACGCGATTGTGCCGCTGAGCATGATGGGGAATGCTGGCAAGATCCACGACGGCATCATGGTTTGCAAGCCATATCGGTGAGCCGAAAACACAAAGGAGTACTGGATAACTGCGGTGGCCAGCGTGCACGCACAGTACACCCAGAAGAGAGCCTCGAGAGCATACATGAATGCCTCGTTGGCATTGTCGCCAAAGTAGCGGTACAGGCCAGTGATGATGGTTGCGACGGAGAGCCAGAATGTCGGGAAGAAGAGGCCCTCCCGATCGTGACGCAGAGATTCAAGGAGGTTGCCATGCACGACGAACCTGGTCGTCATACAGGAGCAGACGACGGCAAAGAATATGAGGTTGAGGATGTACACGGCCAGACCAATCTCCTTCAAGCCTTTGAATGAGAAGGGCTGGCTGATAATGAGGAGAGCCAGCCCGCCGGTGCTCATGGTCAAGGTGTACCACGCCCATGTGAAATGGCGTAGTCGTCCGCGGAACCCCAACTGAACCGTTTTCTCGGACTGGTGGCCGAGGATCTCCAGGTCGGAGCTGGACGAGCCAGGCGGTACAGAGGGCTCGAACATTGCGTTGCTAGAATAGAGGTATAGGATTGAAAGAACGAGAGAAGGATGGGGCTAGACAGTTGATAGTGGCTAAAGGCACCGAAAGTCGAGGCAATAGCTGATGATTCAGAAAGTGATATCAAACAAGCTGGCAATGTCTGACACAGGTGCCTCGAAAGGGATCACACAGACTTTTAACCAAGGGGAAAGACTGACAAAACCAGGCAGAAGAGATATGCAAGCAGGCCCAGTGGCACCCTCATCCACAAATGATCGTCTCGGAAGAGAAATATGGGCGCAAGTGAATGATTGTGATGCAAAGCAATGAGAGGGTGTAAAAAAGCAAGCCGAGGAGTGGACTGGCAGAGCCAATTGATCTAATTGAAGTCTCGCAGCAGCAATACCTCGCAGCAGGACAGTCGACAGGTCATATAAGACCCCTTGCCAGTCCCTGCACATGGGGCTATATTAAGGCAGTGCACTTGGGCTGCTGCAATCATGGATCATGAACGACATTGTGGCAGGGCCAAGAGTGGAATAGCCAACGCCAACCTACAAGGACCCACCAGCAGCAGTTCGCTTATCAGGCGATGAAACTCGCAGTCTAGACAATCGGTGTCGCAAAAAAAAAAAAAAAACGATAGGCCTGACCATCAAACTAGAAAGATTGAGAAAGAAGAGAAGTAGAGCTCTCTGGGCTGGCGCATATTAGGGGTCAGCATCGTCCTGCCAAGACGATCAGGGATCCACGGCTCCCAGTCTAGGCATCATGGAAGGCAAAGGATTACCCTGATGCCTAGCGGAAAGAGTGATTCATAATTTTCGACTTTCCGGGCTCCTCCGCCAAGCCCAAGAGAGGATATGGTTCTGCACTGGTGGGTCGGAGTGCAGAGGCAACGTCAACTGCCAGTCCGTCAGTGAGAGAGATGCATGATATGCGCCACGCACTGCTGTTATCATCGCCCATGATCCAGCTCGAACGGCCGATGACAGGGAAATCTCCGAATGCGCATACGTGACATTACTCGGTCCCAGCACCTGCCACCGCAGAGGCAGTGCCACATCAGGGGCCATCGATCTGACACGGCCAAGTTGGAAGCCTTCATGTGAACCCGGAAGCAGTGGTAGACATAATCAAGGTGGCTTTCCACGAGACACTCTCAAATTCAATCCCCTTTGCCCCTGAAACCATCCCGAGCCGCCGGCTACGATCCCTCTCGGCCCATTGCGGATTTACGACCTGGGCCAACATGAGGGACCAACCGGAGGAAGGGGACAGGGCCCTTTCGGTCCGAAGATCAGGGACGGGAGTGAGCCAGAGAGGCGAGAAAAAGAGGAAGACTAGTGTTCCGTAGGCACAGGGACAAGAAGCTTGGAAGCCGGCGGTGGCAGTGATGGTCAGCGTCCGGTCGTATCAGAAGGCAGCCGAGCGTACCGCCGACCGAGAATCTTCAACATGCGCGAATACATCCAGCCTGTTGGGCTTCAAGAGAGAGAGGGCCAAGAGGGAGATCGACGGCGCATCAGGGCCGGGAGCTCCGCTGCCAAGCTTTGCGGTGGCGGTGGTTGCGTAGAATCAGGGATAGAAGCAGAGATAACGAAAGGGGGGGGGGATGGTTTAGGGTTTGTTCATTGTCTGGAATGGGGGGGTGTTGATAGGGGGGGGGCGATCCGGGGAGGCAGTAGTTAGTTAGTTAGTTCGAGGGAGGTGGATCTTGATCCAGGCGGGTCAACCATGGATGGGGCGATGGAGAAACCGGCATGGAGCGACGGAACGCCGATGAATGGCGGATTTCTTGGACGGAGCAAACAAGCAGGAGAGAGATTGAGTTGAGTTGAGTTGTGAGAGAGAGAGAGAGAGAGAGAGAGAGAGAGAGAGAGAGAGAGAGAGAGAGAGGGAGAGGCGAGCGGAAGGAAGAAGTCGGGCTGGGCAGGTCTTGGCACCACCAGAGAGGATCGCCCGCCAAGAAGGGCTCAGCAGCTGAGTTGAGTATAGATGGTATAGATCGTTCTTCGGCCATTCGCTTCAAGAAACGCAACTGCCTATGAAGCGCCAAGCCAGCCCAGGACAACTACAGATCGTTGCTGACAGAGCCCACCGGGATACCGGGATTCTATCAAGGCTATTGTCCTTGCCGCGATTTGCTCTGGGCCGACTGTCCGGATTTTCACGGCAGAAGAATGGGCTGGGCTGTCTTCTGGGCCGACGAGGCCAAGGAATAAACAAACAAAACAACCGGCATGCAGAGAGGAAGGAAGGAAGGAAGGAAGGTGGGTGAGACAAAGGCCCATGCAAGACACAGGTCGAATCTCAGGCAGAAGAATCGTCTGGAAGTCCCAGTCGCTTCGCGCGGTCTGCTTCAGTATGTATGCAGGAAGCAAGCCAATACAGTACGCTATTAGTAGGTACCTACCTAGATGTCATGGCATCATAGGCAGGCTGCCACAGTTCACATTCACATATCAGCTAGGTTGCGGGTCATTCATAGCAAATAATATTTCAATTTCAAAAGTCACAGAAGGAAATTCGTGGCTGGCACAGGGGCCAACAAGCGCGTTGAATTGGACTGGAACAGACTCCATACACTGATCTTTCTTTCTTTCCATACGCCGGGTCATGCATCTCGTTTCATGCCATCTGTCGTGCGCTGTCATCTGGTCGTGCGTATGCGAATATACATGGAGGGCTGGGTCGGAGCGTCATAGGAAGGATTGGGGGGGGGAGGAAAAGGGAGAGAAAGGAGTGGAGATTCCTGAAACACATTGAGGGGTTTTCACATCATCATACGGTATACCAGGTCCGAGGCGAGTTCTGTCGTGGTGTCCAACAGAGCACGGAAGCCCTGAGCGGACAGTTTCCGTGGCTTGCCCGAGGCAGACCCCAGGTCGCTGTCTACTGGAGGGCAGTAGGCCGCCAAATCGCGCACCTTGCACGCGGCAAAATGCACGACCAGCTTCCGTAGCTCGTTGTCGCGCAGCTGGGTTGCAGACGTGGGGGTGATCGGCTCCAGGCGGGTGGTCTTGTTGTAGGTGTAGTGAAGGAGATCGAGCACCTTCCTCGCCTTCGTGCTGTTCAAGATATGCTGGTCCTCATCTTCTTCCTCCGGGCTAGATTCCGCGAACCCGAGGTAAAGCAGGTCCCGGTGAAGCTTGCGGAGACAGAGCTGGGCCAACGCCGGGATCAGGTAACGCGTTGCGAAGACGTAGATTTTGGCGTGGAAGACCAGGTAGGGGAGCTCAAATGACGAGCGCGAACGCGAAGACATCACGCTGGGTGGCCGCGTACCGAAGCACGAACGGGGGTCGACATAGTCGATGGCTGCGAAGTCGTCCCACAGACTGCTGCCCTTCTCGTTCATCCGAGAGTACTGCTGCTTGGCGAAGGAGGTGTCGATCATCGGCCCCGTCTGTCGTTTGGTAGGTGCCTCATACCTGGGATCTTGATCGTCCTCGACCACCCGCTGGGTCATGTCCTTCTCGTCGCCCCGGGCAGTGTCAACGGCCTCAACGTCAGGCGGCGTGGGCGCAGCCTGCTCCCAACCCTCGCCAAGGGAGGACGGCGCAGCATCAGCCTGTTCGGGGGCGTTCACAGGCTCGCTCCAGTCCTGGCTCTCCTGGGCTGCGCTTGTCTCTGCAGGTGGGTTGGCAGCATCCTCGACCGGCTTCGAATTCTCCAGGGGGGGCGTGGACGGGGGAGTCAGGCTGGTGGAAGGTTCCTCCGCGGCCGCGCCACTCTTCTTCTTCTTCTTGTCTTTCTTGCCCTTCTTGCCTTTCTTGCCCTTGGGTTCGTCGTCGCCCGCGTCCCAGCCGTCCCCGTCCCCCTGCTCGGCGGCAGGCGTGGGAGGGGGTTGTTCGCTGGGCTCCTCCGTCACGGGCGGTGCTGGATGCTGCAACTCATCGTCCGGGGCAATCGCGCACTCCCAGTCGTCCTCCTTGCCCTGGGACCCATTCTCCGCGTCGGGTCGACTCCACCCATCGTCGGGCTCGGGGGCGCGCGGAGGGGAAGGGGCGCGCGGGGGGACGGCGGCGGGGCTGGACGGGTCGTTGGAGAAGACGCCGCGAAAGGGATTCTGGACGGCGGGTTCCTCACGGTCCTCCTCGCGAGAACCGGGCGGAGGGACGCGGTAGTCGCCCGTGTAGGCATACTCGCAGAAGGCGACGAAGGTCTCGACATCCTCCTCTTCCAGAACGGCGATGTGGTGCTTGGACTCGCGGGTCTCCCCACTGTTCATGAGGTGGTCGAGCGGCTGGGAGACATGACGGGCGAGACCAGACTGGATGGTCAACTTGGTGTGGTTGGGGCCGACCAGGAAAGTGAATGGCGGTGAATGGACGATGCTGTATCCATCCAGAGGGTGGTCAGTGGCAGCACTGTGGTGGTTGGCATGAAACAGAAACACAGCAGAGGGGGGGGGAGGAGAGGAGAGGAGGAGAGGAGTGAGTCACTCGAATGGCAATCATCATCGTCCGATTTTCCACTTCTTCGCCGTCAACACTCACCTGCTGTAATCCCGATCAGGCTCCATTGACAATACCAGGGGTTGTGTTCTTTCCTTCCGACGCAACAAATCTGACAACAAGGGATTGAACAGAAGACCACCAGCACCAGGGCCATTAATATATGCGACCACCCACCCGTGCTTGCATCGCGCCCTGGAATTCCCCTCCGGGCGGCCCCCCTACGCCTAAGCACCAGCAGCGCCGCTAACGGGGTCAAGAGCGTCTGCTAGACGGCTAGACTGCTACGTGTGCAGTCCTGACGGGGCTTGGAGTGGATTGACCGCCAGCTTTGCGCGATGCCAGCCAACGGCCCCGTCCAGTTCGTCTTATCGCGACCCTCCCCCGGGCGTATGGCGGCATGGCGGCATGGCGGCATGCCCGGGCCTTAGCTTAGCGATTGATCCGCCCGGCGGCCCTGGCGTTGGCGTGTTATGTATGAGGGAGGGGGGAAGAATGCTCGGTCAGGGAGGCAACTCATGTATGCTGCATGCGCTGCACGCACTGCAGGAGAGGGGGGAGTTGATAGATGTTCGAGGACCCCCTGTTCGCGATGATTCATCGCCAGAAACCCAACCAGGCACTCGCCCTCGATGCACCGTCTCACGCGAAGAGACACGCGCCGTGTCGTCCAACAGGCCGTGAAACCAACCAGGACAGTCACAGGGGCTTGGGATAATCCCCCATCTCCACCGGGGAGGCCAGTCTCCTCCCGACTGGCGGACGTGGGCGCGGTGCTGCTGGTTCCATTCATGTTGTTGCCCGATGGATCCCTTCATCCCAGCCTCCTGGGGACCCAACGGCGGTCAGCTCATTGGCGTGGGGTTTTCAATGGCGGTGGAGGGTTGATTTAGATGCAGGATCAAGGGACTATTTTTGTCGTCCGCCATTATTCATCTGCAGCGGGGTAGTTGGCAGCGATGGATGAGCATTGATGGTTCTCTACCAAGGAGTTGTAGTGACGGCCATCCATCCATCCATCCCTCCAGCAAAGATTCGGGGGATGTGCGGGTATTCTGGCGTGCCCTAACCCGGGTCCAACTGATAGATGCACGTCCAATTCAACAATCCAAAATTTCACCCAGATAATAATGTCGCATGTCCTGCCTTCCAAACGGTGGAGCTGCCAGAATATAGTTCGTTTCGTCCCTTGCTCGAGTGACAGCTGCTATAAAATACTACTCCACTGACAGCACGTCAACTCTCCGGCCACAAGGAAGCAGGAAGCCATCCTGTCCTCTGTCAGGGGTACTATCTACGGTGTTATCAATGCATACGTGTCAATGGGGATTCCACACATCATCCCATCGCGATGTTCTTCTTCAACCTCGGTTTCGATGCCAGCTGTGCCCAATGTAGTTCTATCGTGAGGAAAGAGTTCTATTCGGCCTAAGGTTCAAGCTATAGAGCGTATACCCCGCAGCACACGCCGAAGGAGGTATTCGCCATTCAATTCATTTTACCTATATGAAGTACGAAACTGTGACCAAACCACTCTCCCAACGACCACTACCGCCTACATGCCCTCCAGCATCAGCACAGGGCCACCCAGCACTCAACTTCTAGTCTGTAGTCTATATTTCTGGTATCTCGTAGATATATCCGTACAGTATTATACAATACAGTAGAGTAGAGTGAAAGCGCTCCCACAATCTAACAAACATTCCCTTCGGTCAATCACCCAATCAATGCACCAGCCGAATCTCCGTAGTACCGGGCTCCCACTCCCTCAAGCCCTCGCCAACACTATACCAAAACCGCAAGCGCACGCACTCCTGCCTCGCCGTCTCAACATCCCCGGCATCAAACGCCGCGGCCAGCGCCCTGACGCACCCCTCCACCCGCGCATCATTCTCCTTCTTCAGCTCCGCGATCGTGCCCTCCGCCCCGGGATCCGCCCCCACCTCCTCAATCGTCTCCTGCACCTCCATGACTTCCATCAGCGTCGCGGGGTCCAGCGCATGCTTCGACGCGCCGTCCTCGGCAAGCACATCGATGCCGTGCATCTCGCGCAGCAGGTACTGCGCGCGGGGCAGCGGGTCCAGCAGCGTGCGGTAGGCTTCATTGATGCGCGCGGACAGCGCCTCGGCTTGGTGCTTCTGCGGCCCCGAGGGGTATTTATCCGGGTGGATGAGGCTTTGCCATTGCAGGAATTCGCGACGGAGGTCCCCCATGGAGATGTCGAAGGGAGAGGCCGGAGGCGGGCCCGCCGGGAGGGTCTTTTTGAATATCGTGTAGTGGTTGGTGATGTCGGGGGTAACAAGGGGAGTGGCGGGGTGGGATTCGGTGGTGTCCGCGGAGGACGGGGGCTTGGTGGAGGCGAAGCGATGGGTAGATAGTGGTGGTGTTCGTGATGCTGCGGTTATCGGGGATCGGAGATGAGATCGGAGGTAGGTGGAGGTTGATGAAGTGGAGGTGGGGAGCGAGACGCGGGGTCCCGGTTGGAGGGAGCGGGCTGCGCGTAGCCGCGCTGCTAGTCTTGATGTTGCCATTCTCTTCTGCGTGCAACTGCCTGCAAGTTGGGCTTCGTGCTGGATTGTTGTGGGAAGAGGCTTTCTTTCTCCGAGATCAGTGGCGGCGGACTGGCGGATGGGGATTTGCCTCGGGTTGCGGAGGGCGGTGAGTCAGGTGACGGCTGGTTGTGCTCACCGCCTGCTGTTGTTGATTCTGTTTCCCTGATCGGGTATAGCGTACGATCCGGGCCTGATATGGAGTCACGTGACTCAATCAGAATGTTTGCCGTGCCGATTGAAAGATCAACATGGCCCTGTAATCATTTGATAATAAGGAAGACTACTCCAAGGATATCAGTGAGATACTAGGTATCTGGGCGGTGGACGCTCACATGAAGTCCACTACAGAAAGCAATTCTATAGAGCATAGACCAGTGTCATTGCTAGTATAATATTACATCTCACTCGATCCCCCACAGCTTCACCGTGCGATCATGTCCACAGCTTGCAATCCACTGCGCATCCGCGCTGACATCGGTGCTGAGGACATTGCCTGCATGCCCGCTCAGGGATTTCACCAACGACCAGTCATCCGCGCTGAAGATGTTGACGTTCTTGTCAAATCCACTGCTCACGAAGAAGGTGCCTGACTTCCTGGGCTGCACGGGAGCCGGCGCATCGCTCGCGGGCCCGTCAACGTCCATCCGACCGCCGGGCCCTTCTGCCGAGGGAAGCAGAGATGCCTCCTCCGAGCCCTTGTACCAGCGCAGGTCAGACACAACACTCTTGTGTGCTCCGATCCCACCGCTGTTCCGCACTTGACGCAGATCCCAGCACTTAACCCATCCGTCGCCAGACCCGGACAGTACCCGGTACCCATCGACGCCCCAGTCCAGCCCAAAGATCTCCCGGATGTGCCCCTCGAGGATCATGACCGTGCGGCCCGTCCGGAGATCCCAAATGCGTCCGATACTGTCCAACCCACCGCTCGCCAGGAGCGAGCCATCGTTGTTGAACGACACCGCGTACACCTCCCGGGAGTGGCCCTCCTGCAGTTGCAGTTCGGCCGTCGTCTCGACGTCCCATAGCCGCCAGGTGGTATCATACGACGCCGAGGCAACATACCGCCCTGACGGATGGAACTCCGTCCGACATACACGACCGCTGTGGCCGGACAGTGTGGCTAGCGGTTGATCCTTGTCCAAGGACCACAGGCGAAGATTTCCCTCCCCACCTCCGGTGACCAAGTTCACCGTTGATTCCGAGACGTTCGATGTAGGCAGCGTGGCCCCCGGAAACCATGCCAGTCCACCGACTCGATCTGAATGCGCCTTGACCGAGAGTTTCTCCTCCAGGTTTGGTACCGTAAGCAAGCGCATTCCACCGTCCCAGCTTCCACTCGCGACAATTTGTCCGTCGGGAGAAAAGCGGCAAATACTGACCGGGCGGTCACCCGCGATTTGGGACCCATAGAGATCGAAGTTGTGCAGCTTCTCCTTGATCGCCTTGCGATGTTTGATGTGCGTCCGTAGGGGTATTGTGGATTCGTCTTTCTGTCGGGCAACGCGCGCCTTTGCGCGCGGTAGAGAAAAGCGCGCAATGTCTCTTCTGGCCTGCAAGAGTTCTTCGGTACCCTCAGTGTAGAATTCCTCCTGCTGCTCCAAGTCTTCTTCATCCTCCTCGTCAGCGGCCCCGAGCATGTCCACATCCCCCTCCGCTGCTGCTGCTTCTTGTCTCTCTGCAAGATCCGTCAACAGCTCCCGCAAGCGGTCTCTCCGGTCCACGGGGCCCTCGCCAAAGAGTGTGATGGGTTCACCCAGCTCTCGTAGCCGCGTGCGCACCCGGGTATCATCAGTGGGCACCGCCATCGCGGCGGCTTTTCGCTTTCGTTCGAACTGAGACAGGATGGCAGAGGCTCTCTCCGGTGGGATGCCCGCCGTGCCGGAGGGGAGTTCGTAGTCGCGATCCATGGCTGAAGATAAAAGTCCGTCAATAAGCGATCGTTCCAGTCACAAAGCAGCTCGTGGGTGTAAGAAATGGAAGGATACTCACGCAGACTTGCCAGATCAATGCCCGTGTCCGTGTCCTAAGAGTTTGGGGTCAGCGCATGTGTCGCACAAGAAAAAAACCCCTGGAGAGCAGTCGATGAGCCATCGGGGGATATTTTGCCCTGGATATATCGGGTGCGACGGGGGGGAAGTCGGCTCACCTCCTCCGCCTCCACGTAGGCCTGTCTCGATGGGTGAATCATGATGGGCGCAGAGGATGAGGGATTCGCCGATAGTCCGACCGTTGAAGTTGCAGCGTGTATGGGAAGGACGAGAATAAAGGTGATTAAGGATCGAAAGTCTGGTTGGGAGACGACAAAACTACCCAGAAGGGGGGGGGGGGCGAGGAGTGAGAGGCGCGGGGGGCGCGGGGTTGGAGGAGGGAAGTTGGAAGAGACGCGGCGATGAAATCGAGTTCTAGAAAGAAGTTCGGGCAACTTCCCAAGGCGGCCAAAACCACCACCCACGCGCCCTCCACCACCACCTCATCCTCCTCCTTCTCCCCCTTCTCCTCCTCCATCTTGGCCTTCTCCTTTTGGCTCCAGGTGGCCCTGCCTACTTTTGGGGGCAAGCATCCAATATGACGACATGACACCTTTATTCTCTAATGATTCCAAGTCCTCCGTGCTTCGCGCGTTTGGTGAGTCTTCGAGTTCGGCCCTGACGGAGTGGATGGAGTATACAATCACCACCATTGCAGCCCAACATCCAGCCAGCCTTCCTAACTTGATCCTGCCCTCGCCCCAGATCGAAGACACTGGTAGAGATACTGACCACCACCATTTCCCAGATGATTCACCCCGTTCCGCTGCCCGAGACCTCTCTCCTCCTCCCCCCCTCCAATGCTCGCGGAGGCGGTCGATGACGCCAGGCGGTCGGCCGTCCCGTTCGTCCCAACCTGAAATTTCCAGTCTCGATCTCCTACTTCATCCTCTCCCCCCGGCCCCAAGTTCCATATTCCGTCCTCCTTGACCAGCCGGTCTGATCCGGCTTCGTCCTGTCCTCTCCACTCCTTCAACGCTCGGCATTGTTTCCGAATTCCCGTCGCCGCACGCTCCTACGGCCATCTGCTCTTCGATCGCTTCCTGCTCCTGCTGGTACACACGGGATTCTCCAGACCCCGGTGACGCTCCTGTCTACTGCCAATGATCGCGCTGGTCTCTTCTGGTAGAGCCTGCAGTTCAGCCTGCAGTAGCCTACACACCGTCGTCAGAGATGGGTTCTTAGCTTCGCTCTTGGCCCCGAGGTCATCTGGCCTCCGACACCCTTCCACATCCTCGTCCTTCCCGGCTCCTCGATCCCCGCGATTCACCCCTCGACGGCCCTTTCATTCCACCTCCCCGTTAAACTCAACCACGACAAAGGTTTCATATGGCGTCGCCGCGTCGTCGTCTGGCAAAGGCCGACGTTTTTACCCGATCAAAAACTCGTACAATTTTACACCTGAAGAGCAGGAGGCTATCGGAGTTGTTACCGACACACGGGACCGGCTTATCCAACGAAGGAGGAGACCGGACAGTGGTGAAGATGCGTTCTTCGCCAGCAGAGTCGGCCAGAATGGCACCAACGCTGTCGCATTCGCCGTCGCAGATGGTGTAGGCGGCTGGGCGGAGTCCAAGGTCGATCCCGCGGATTTCTCGCACGCGCTATGCGGCTACATGGCAGAAGCCGCCCTGTCTTGGGACTCGCCCGCAGAAGAGTTACGGCCGGTCAACCTTCTTCAGGCAGGATACGACGGGGTAGTGGCAGACGACAAAATCCCGGCCGGTGGGAGCACTGCATCGGTTGGCGTAGGACTGGAAGACGGACGAGTCGAGCTGGCAAACCTAGGCGACTCCGGCTCTGTTCTTCTCCGACTGGGAGCCGTACACCACTACTCGATCCCTCAAACGCACGGCTTCAATACACCCTACCAGCTCAGCATCATCCCGCCCCAAATGCGCACCCAAGCGTCCATCTTCGGTGGGTCCTTCCTGGAGGACTTCCCGCGAGACGCGGCCGTCACCAACCTCCAGATGCAACACGGAGACGTTCTCATCCTCGCAACCGACGGCGTCTTCGATAACCTCAACAATCAGGATATCCTGAAGCACGTCACGAGTCGCATGATCGCCACGGGTGCCTGGACCGTCGACTCGGATTATGGGATCCAGCTCGCGGAAGGTCTCAAACAATTGACCCAGCCCGAAGGCCTATCCTCTCTCATTTTTCCCTCTCAGGCTGGTCCTGAACAGTCGTCTCTGTCCAGGTCCCGCGAACATTCTCACACCCTCCAATCCCTCATTGCCGCATCAATCGTTGGCGAAGCCAAACTCGCCAGCATGGACAGCCGTCGCGACGGGCCCTTCGCCAAGGAAGCCCAGCGCTATTATCCGGGCGACTGGTACCGCGGCGGCAAGGTCGACGACATCAGTGTTGTAGTCGTCGTAGCCGTCGATGAGGGTTACCCTGCTAAAATCTAGGATGGTCTTGATTGACCGCTTATATAATAAATGACTTTACAACCAACGCGTTCTTCTACCTACGCAAGCCTATACACATACAACTTAAACCTCCCACCGCCTCATCACATCGATATATCCATACCATCATACCATACCATACCACATCATACCCTCTACTGCGTTGTGTTTATCGCACCTATCCATCCCTTCAAGATTCCATGGCCTTACCGTTCTGTCCTGCTTTTTTTTTTTGTTTCCTGTACCTACCTACCTAGATACATCATTAGCATAGAACTAAATCACAGTTACCCAATTTCTCGTTCCGGCTCCCTCCGTCTTTGTCCGTTCCCCCTCCCCATCTCTTTCGTCCTATTCCGTTCACGTGATCCTCGAGGTACCATAAGGTAGATACCACGATGATACAGTACAATACAGTAGAGAACAAGCAATATCATACTCTACCTTACCTACCACTCACTCCCTACGGTACTCCTCCAGTCCTGGTACCTTATTATAGACCGGCATGCGCATCGCAGATCCAGCATCCATTTAGTATTTATCCACTCTTAATCCCAGCAAAACTGACCTTACAACAAAAGAAGAAAAGAATAGAATGTCCGAAAAAGGGGAAATCGATTCACATATTAACTAATTGATTGATTGGTTGATTGATCGATTGATTGACTGATTGGATTCAACTACATTGGGCATTCCCTAAATATTTAACCAAGGATCAATCAAACCATGGGGGAAAGACGACACGAGACGAGACTACTAGCGACGATGAAATAACGAATCAGAAAACAGGAGCACAATTTCGATCAGTGAGAAAAAGAAAAAGAAGATTAAGGAAACACCTGGAATGGAAAAGCCCCCGTCGAGGCAAACGAGCAGGAAAGAAGGAAGAAGGAAAGAAGCACATGCTGAAGTTTTCCAGTGTGAGACAGAAAAGAAAATGAGACAGAGAAAGGGGGGAGAGAGGGTAGGAGGGAGGTGGATGGGAATGGTATCATGGCATGGAGACAGATAGGTAGATGGTGCTGGTGGTGGCGGTGGTGCTGATCCATCTACCTCAGTGTCAACCCGATCCTAGTCTTGACGTCGCTTTCATTCTAGCTGGAAACTGTCGAAAGGGTGTGTGGTGGAAAGTATTGAGAGGGGAGAGTAAAAAGAAGTAGTTCATCTTATCCATATCCTGACACCGTCCAAACCCCCAACTCATGTATGCCGCAAAGGGGGGAGGGAGAAGGGTTAGAGAGATGTACAGATGGCGATGACAGAGAGGGAGGGGGTTGGTGAAGGGACCACAGTGAACGTTCGAAAGGAGATTGTACGTTCAACAGCTGTTTTTTTTTTTTTTTCATGAAGTTCGATTTTCCAGCTTTCAGGATTGAGTCCAAGAATGAAAGGAACAGATAGAGTAAAGGAAAGCAGGGCAATGCAGGGAGAAGCCACAACACAGACCCAAGAACTAACGCAAAGGAAGGTGCACAAGCCAAACCGAACGCCACAGTCAATGTGGGTAAATAGCAACGGTAAACGAGATCCATCATTCTTAAGCCGCCGCCTCCGTAGCCTTCTCCTCGGATTTCTCGGTGGCGGGTTTCTCGTTCGCCTTCTCCTCGGTTGGCTTCTCCGCCGTCTTCTCCAGTGCCGCCTCTTCGGACTTGGGAGCAGCCTTCTCGGAATCTTCCTTCACTGCCTCGGGCTCTTGCGGCTTTTCCGACGCATCCGCATCGGCCATGGACTCGTCCTGAGGTTCCGCGGTGTCTGCCTTGCTCTCCTTGGTCTCGTCCTCCTTCTCATTCTCAGTGTCGGCCTTGGCTGGCGTCTCGACGCTGCTCTCCTTGTGGACCCCATTGGCTCTGGGCTTCTCGTCCTTGTCCTTGTCCTCCGATGGACCAGTGGTGTCCGCGTCAAGCAAGGTCTTCCACTTGGACAAAATGGTCACGGCACGCTGGCGGAACTGGAACTCCTCGTCACGAGGGATGGAGCTAAGCTTCACGATCATCTTCAGAACCTTGTTGATCTTGGTGGCGCGGATGATCGAAACTTCCAGGTCAGCATGCTTTTCCAGCTTGCTGAAGTAGTTGGACATCGTGGTCATTTCTTCCTCCTTAGGGGGCTGGTCGCGGGAGATAAAGCCCTTCTGGAGCTTGTGACGCACAAAAAGAACTAGACATCATTAGTCCAACCTTTTAACATCGAGGCGAGCAATCATATTCGGGGGCGCATACTCTCTTTCTCCTTCTTGTCCTTGGCCTCCTCTTGGTTGACCTTCTTCTCGGGCTCCTTGGACTCGGCGCGAGAATCCTCGCCCTCGTCACTGGCCGCAGCCTTGCCAGCCTTCTTGCTGCTGGCGGTCTGCTTGGCCCGGCTAGAAGCAGGGGTCTTCTTTCCGACCTCGCTAGTAGGAGTCTTGGGCGTCGTGAGCTTCAACTTGGTGGCAGTCTTGGGGGTCTTTGCAGGCTAAATGGAAGGAAACATTAGCACCGGACGAATCGCGCTCGATCTGGCTAGACACTCGTACCTTTTCATCGGCCTGGGCCTCGAGATCAGCATCCTTCTTGCGCTTCTTGGAGCTCTTGGGCTTTTTGGCCTCCTCGTCGGCATCCTCCATGTCGACATCCTCGTCCTCGACGACCTCCATGCTCTTGCGCTTGTTCTTCTTGGCCTCCCGTTCGGCCTTGGCGGCCGCCTTGGCAGCTGCCTGGGCCTCCCTCTCCTCGGTCTCCTGCTCCAGCGCGCGCTGGTGGTCCACCAGAAGGCTCTTGAAGTACTCGAGATCATGGCCTTCGGCACCCACACCATACGCAGCCTGGAGGGTCTTCGACTTACCCTTCTCCGATACTTCCTTGCATCCATCAGCATCGATGGGTGTCAAATCTGTGTTGGTGATCCACGCGCTGTGTCCACGATTAGCCGGGATGCTTCGCCGGATTGCGTAGAAACATCGGGGCCACTTACAATTCGTTGGTCTCGAAAAACATGACGGGGAAGGTCCGCTCGTGAGCGCGTTTGCCGCCATCCGCGTAGTCCTCCCTGTAAGTTCCGTCGGATCGCTGGGCGGTCACGGGACGCGTGTTGAGCAAGGTCTGAGGAAGCATTTCCTCGTCGCAGATGATGGACGGCCATGGGGGGAAGCTTCTGAGACGCGCGAGGAAGTACTGGCCAGGCTGTGCGTCGAGCTGCGTGACACGAACCTGTGACTTCTTGCGGCTCAGTTTGTTTTTGTGTTCGGGGACCGCTCCTGAGGATTTGCGCTTCGCGGCGCCAGCCTTCTTGGCCGACGCGGGTGTTCCGTTGGCGTCCGATTTTGGGGCGGCCTCGGGCTCTGCAGGCGCGGTCGCACTCGCCTCGGGCTCCTTCGCATCAGCAGTCTCAGCCGGGGCGGTGGATTGCTCGGCCGACTCTTCGGCGGATTCTTTCTTTTCATCAACCGCAGTCACCGACTCTAGTAAACACGAAGATCGATGGTTAGCAGATGCGAGTTGTAAAGGATCATGCGGCGGTGGGGATGATGGCCTGGGTAAGAGGGAGGGGTGTTTTGCTGGACATGCTTACCGGACGGCTTGTCCTCGGGACCATTGGTCTGCTGCTCCTCCTTCTCCTTGGAGGGCTCAGGCGCAGACTCCGCGGGGGCAGGCTTCGTCTCGGAAGAAGCGCGCTCGACGACCGGCTCAGCGGCGTCGGGGGCGGGCGCGGAGGCAGCAGGGGTATCCTCAGCCATAATGCGCAATCGGGAGTCGGAAGGAAAAAGAAGGGGGGGGAGATCGAAGATCAGAAGGAGATGAGGATAGGCGAAGCCTTCTGATGGAGAAAGGGGTGGGGGTGGTGGACGGGTCAAGGTGGTGGTCGGTGGAAGAGGAAGAGAGAGAGAGAGAGAGAGAGAGAAGTGGTGGAGAAGGTCGCGACGCCGGGAGGCGGGAAGACGACAACGCGTTGCACTTCTTGGGGGGGGAAAGGGAAGGCGACGCTGCCAGACCGCAAATGACGCACTCGCTTCACCAGCAGCCCCAAAGCCCCAACAGCGGAATAAATCTCCCACGCTTTGTCGCTGGAAGTGTCACTGGGGTCCTAAAGCAACCAGACGCCCTTGTGCTAGCTATCGGGAACGCAGTCCTATCACCGTGGGCCGTTGGGTGGTGGCTCGGACGCAGTGGCAGAATCACAACGTCGTCCCGACAGACGAGGACGGTTCCTCGTCGCAACTTCGGGGGCAGCTCGGACGACTGCCAAAAAGATCAAGTCGCGTTCACCTCGTAGAAGGACAGATCGTCGTGCTCTGAAGGACGATGGTGCCGACGAGCGGACGTGACGCGAACAGAAGCCGGCGGCTGACGATCGTCTCCAGTCAACGCCCGGAAACGCGGAGTCGCTGCTGCACAACCACGAAGCGGGGGGAGGCCGTCGCAGAACCACGAGTAGACGCAGTCCAGCCCAGAGAGAGTACCCGGGTCCCTGCTCGTAGACAGTCCACCGCAGATGAGGGATGGATGGATAGAGACGATCGAAAACTGGCGACGGGCCACTCGCTCCCTCGTACGGAGTACTGGATGGATGATCGAATCGATCGCTGAGACACCCGTCTCAAGGACAATTCAGAGACACGGCGCGGATTGTGTCACGCAAAGAACTGGGGGGGTGGATTAGACACTTGGTCCAGAGGACAGATGAGATTGCAGACTGACCTGGAGCTCCAATCGAGGCAAACGACCGATGGTTGAGGCGGAAGATGGCGAAGGAAGATGAGGAACAGCAGAAACCCCGCGGTCGCAAGGGTCGGGGATCAGTCCGCACTCGGGGGGGGACGGACAGCAGGGGGTTGAGGGTTGGCGCACCAGAGAATAGCTCTAGGGGAGCAAGTGTTATTGCTGGTTTGAATGACAGATAATAGGAAGGGGGAGAGGTGAATGGGGTGGACAGTGTTGGTGGTTGTTCGTGGTGGTGTTGGTGGTGGCAGGAGAGAGAGGAGAGAGAGGAAGGGCGGCCTCTGCTGCTTCTTCTTCTTCTTCTTCTTCTTCTACTGCTTCTACTTCTGCTTCTGCGCCAATGTCTGTCTATCCATCCACAACAATCCTTCCCTCATCCCTTTCACGCTCCTCTATTCACGGCCTGCCTCCATTCCCTGGATGCACGGCGATCTGCAGTCAGTCACTGTAGCCCCGCGGTCCCGTGAGCCCTACAGGTCCCTGTATACAACAATCCCTAGGCACAATGGGCCGGTAGCACTAACACCCCAGGCGTGCCAGAGACCCTCCACCGTCCCTGGAAAGGGCTACAATAGGACTTTTTTTCTTTGGTTACATTCTGATTCCTCACCAGCCATCCATCGTGTAACACTCCGGGTTACTTTCGGTGGGGATGAGGCAAATGGAGAAATCCCCTCCATTCACTGTGTCTGCCCCCCTGGCCTACTAACCCGTGCTCAATCAGCGCACAGGGCCATCTCGAGTTGGAAGGAAGATCTTTACAGATACATGCAATTAATGTAATAATATATTGCATTGCTCCCTAGCGAGAGCACGACGGCATATGTATAGATGGTAGGCCGTCGGCGTAGGCCGATATTAGACGGGGGCCCGCGGGATGGTAGTAATGGCCATAGGGATACAGAAACGACCGTCGCATACATGCATCGTGGTAAGAGATATTCATCGGGGGCATGGCAGGTTCATCAACATGAAAGGGTATCATGGGGGTCTGCAGAATAGGGACGAAGGGACGAAGGGACGAGCCCTGATTTACCAGGGAAGGGCCGTTGGCTCGGGCATCCCGTCATCAAGCCATCCATCGACATCGTCACTCTCCTCCTCCGCCGCCGCCGTCGGCACCGGCTTGTGGATGCGAAGCGCCCAGAGGAAGTAGTCTTCCACGGGCAGCAGGTTTAGCAGGATGCCGTTGAACTTCCACCCAATGGCACATACCATGGCACCGGCCACAGCGTCCAGAATGAAATGGTTCGCGGTTGCGACAATGGCGGCCAGGATGGTGAATGGGTAGGAGAACCCGACAGCCAGGCAGACCAGTCGGCGCCACGATGGAATCTGCACGCCGAAGGAGCCAAGGGCCAGGCGCGAACGCCGACGGTGATGTGGCGGCAGCGGGATGGTCATGATGGTGAGTCCGATCATGAGGGAGTAGCCAAAATGCAAGGAGGGCATGGCGGCTGCGGCAGTCTTCGAGTCAGCCGTCTCTTCTGAAATCCACCCGGGCAGAATGAACGACTCGACTTACCATACTGGTTGCAGAAGCGGTTTTCGGTCCAGACGCTGCCCGCTCCGTTGACGCCGTGCACCGTGTCGACAAAGCCATAGCTTCGGCCGAGCGCGGCATCCGGCCCCTGCGCGTCTTTGTCACTCAGCAGACGAGGCGGCATGCAGGGCCACAGCGTGAAAACTACAAAGGCGAGCAAGTTGCACACGGCCAGGGTTCGGCGCCGGGCTTGATACAGGCGTGGGCCGGCGGGAGAGCCGCTCCTGAGCCCGCGCGGCTTGCCTGGCTGCGACTCATCGAATCGGTTCCTGGAGGAGGAGGAGGTGGTGGTGGTGGTATAGTAGTAGAGCCAGACGAGGAAGGCGATGGTCCCCGGGATGTGGATAAACGAATAAAGCCAGTTGGTCCAAGTCATCAGCTGGGGATGTCGGAGGAAGAACCGCTGGATCGGAACCTCCAAAAACAGCCCCAGCGCCTCTTCGATCTGGATCAGCTCCAGCGCATGTTTCCTCGCCACGTCAACTGTGCCTTCTTGGAGTGTGACGGCAGTGAAAGCCCGACCCAGTTGGTATGTCTATGTCAGATCAGTTAGCCCGTTACCAACCCCTGGGGACGGCGGAAACGGCGGAACGTTAGGTGGGAGACCATACCCAGTACACCAACGCCCAGTACCAGCATTCGACCAGGAACGGGAACTTGCGGAGCAGGCGACTCAGGAGGCGATCATGGAAAACGGCAGTGTCCGGGGTGGTGACCTCGAATACAGACGAAAAGATGCCAACCTGCCGCTTGCGCCATCCACTTTGCCCGGCTTGTGAAAGCGACGAGGAGGATGACAGCCGACGAGGTAGCAACCCATCCTTTGTGGTTGGTGTTGATACTCCGGACTCTATCACATCAGGCGAGGAACCCCGCGAGGTGATGAATGATTTGCGACGAGTTCTGCGCGCAGGGAAGGACCCGCTGGTTCTGTTGATCCAGGTGCCTCCGAAGAGAAGGACGATCACAACCAGCGGCTCGAGAACTGCTCCTACTCCCATGACGATGAGCTTAGGGGGTCGAGAAGAGGTGCGCTCTAGAGGAAAGTGCGGACAGGCGGAGAAACGAGGGTAGAGGTAGAGGAAGAGGAAGAGGAAGAGGAATAATACGTAGGCGTAGCCCAAGCAGCGTGAAGGAAACCAGGGCCGGGATGCCGCGGAGGGCAGGATGGTCTATAGAGTAGGATGACACGAGGGGGAAGGCCTTGAAAGCCGTGCGAGCATGGCAGCGTCAAGGACGCAGAGCCGAGTGCCAGGAAAGAAGGTGGGTAGGGTGGGTAGGTGGGTATATAGAAGAGAAAAGTTGTCACGCTACCACCTCCCTGGGATGGGATGATTGAGCCGATGGGCAGCAGTGGGCGAACTATGTGTACCTTACGTACCTCCGAGTTAGTTGTTTCTACTTACTACCAGTCAGTCAGTCAGTCAGTACCAGGAGGACCCTCCTGGTCCCATGCGCACATCAGGCAGACAGGCAGGGCAGGCACTGGACAGACAAACAGCTGAGCAGGAAGGGCAATTGTCCGACTCCGTCCTGGGCAGGGTTTGACCGGGTCTTCGGGGTCTGATCTGACCGCTGGTCGGCCAGACTAGACCCATTCCTGTCAGCTTAGCAGCTAGTCTCCCGTGATATGATGATAGGAACCCATAGATCTCCTCCAGGGCAGGCGAGGAACCAGGGAACCAGGGCTGCGGCCGCCAAGGAAAAGACCAGCGCCTCTCGGAGCATCCGGATGCCGGTCGACAAGACCCGTGTTTGTCGTCTGTCCGATATGATTGATTCCCTCTTTACGGAGTATCTATCTGTTATTATCTCTCTCTGGCGGGATTAAGGTTTGTCAAAGGTAGAGCACTAAGTCGTAGGGAGGGAGGATCAGGGTGCCCGGGCCCCACGCCGAACAAACTGTAGGTAAGGTAGGTACTTAGGTAACTATCGACTGATGCCGTACGGATGGCTCAGACATCGTCCCAGCCAGTAAGCACTATAGTAACATTACGCGCCCGTCACGCACGCAGATGCCCCGGATCAGGCAAGTCCGGCCAGCCTCAGCCTGAACGGGAAGGATGTCACTTGACTCAGCGGCTGTCCAAGTTAACCAACTACTTATTATCCCCGGACAGGCAGGAAGGCACGCTTCTTCCATCCACGAGGCTGTCCCCTCGGCACCTCAGTCCATGGAACAAGAACGGCCCACCTCGGAATAGCTAGCCTTATTCGGGCCTGCTTTCAACCAGGCCTTCATGTCGATCCACCAGTGAGCAGTAGATCCCGGGTGCAATCCATGCACCGATCCGGAATTTGGGGTTGCACAGGGCTCGGATTCCTTCCCATCTCACCTTGCCGGGCAATCCTTGGGGACTCGTGACGTTCGTTCATTGCACCAACAACACACACACACTCTCTCTCTCTCTCTCGCTCAACGGACCGGTAATAAACATCTCACGACATCATTGTTGGGCATTACTAATTACAAATCACCCGTCAGCAAGAAGTCCGAGCATATCAGCCTGCAGAGCATTCAGTACAATAATAATGAATGAATGAATGACCATTAGCCACCGGTCAACTTCCGACGCCTCCGAGGCTGCAAGCCTTCCCGTCCCGGCTTTGTATTCCATCCCAGGCGGGGTCTTACATCGACCAAAGCACGATATCAGTGGCTTGAATCTGCAAGGTTGAAGATATGATGCATACTTGGTTGTACGGTGTATAAGTATATCCTCTCCGTCTTCAATTTGACATCACCCGGAAAGGTTGCGTGTCGGAGCTTGACCTGTGGCTAGCAGAGCTCCGATCGGCAGTCCGTCTTCCGCGGAGGCAGAAATACGGAGTGCCGACGCTGCATGGGGATTGTTGCATCGAGCCAGTGTCTGGATACCCAACCACTCGTGGATGCTGTTGAGACGTGCACCAATCAGGACAGATGGGCAAGGCACTACGAGCCTAGCCTTTCCCACCGTCCCAAGTCTTCTTTCGTCTATTCTTCATCTGCGATCCCCAACCGTCCAGCGTCGGCCTCGGAGCTCTTCTCCGCTCCGAGCCCCCCCAAAACCCGCTACCTCCGAACTCCGTCCAACAAAGCTTGGCTGCGATACTAACGTAATCGGATCGGGGCCTCCTGTCACTCTGTCACTCTGTCACTCAAGGATGGAGTTGCGGGGTACCACGATACATAATAATCATAGACCAATGCACCGCTCTAACTGATTCGATCTCCTAGGAATCTTGGAGCTTGCTTGAAAGTCGTTTTTCAGACCGCAACAGACCCTGTTGTCAGCTTCAAGCTCATTCTGAGATGACGTCATGAGCATGGGCGTGTGGCCGAGTTGATCTCATCATGAGTCGGTGCTCAGCTTCATACCCCGAAAAGCCAACGGTGCCGTTTCGCAATGCCAGTGACTTGTTTAGTAGCCTTCCAGGCGGCACCGTCAACCAGTAACGAATACAGAGAGATGGACTGTGTCGAGTGGACAGCAAGCAGCTCTGACCAAAGTACATAGTAGCGTGGAGCGGCCAGTGATGGGCTGTCATCCGAACCCGCGTGCGATGAGCTACGCTTTACGTCAGGCCTCTGGGACTCCGACGTGACTTGTTCCTGGGCAGCATAGGCATCCTATAAGGCGAAGATAGTACGTTCGACCGTCGTTGATTAACCTCAACGTGCACCTCAATTCATTGCAATTGACGCCCAATGCCCCCTTAAAGGATATCAATTGTCCCTGACGCTTCAAATAAAACCATAAACAAAGCTCACATAATGTTTTCATCGTTGTCTCGCGTGGCCCCTGCCTCGTCGCGGAGTATCCTTGGACGCACATCGTGGCAGGTCCTCGCATTGCCAGGGGCATCTCGAACGCTGTCTTCTACCGTTCCTGCGCAGAAGGATGTCACATTACTCCAAGACAAGAAGAATGGATTCGGATTTGCCCGCTCCAACCCCCGACCTGCGAAGCCGAGGACAAAGGGCGTCACCGAAATCAGAGGCCCATACTATACCGTATGCGACTCTTGAGTTCTCCACAATCCCATTGTGAGCGCTGGCTCTGCCGGGAACGCGGAACGCTGATCTGTAACCGTAGGTGATGGGTAAAAGATACTTGGCGGATGTGCTGGAGACGTGAGCTACAACCATTCATCGATACTATAGCAGACGATGGATTCTGATGAGCTGAGCAGGATGGGAACCCATGTAGATGGGTTGAAGTTTGCAGGAGGTAAACACCTCACGCCCGGATACAGGCGGATGAACGACAGAAGCTGAACAGGTGTACAGGGTCATTTTCCCTGTTCCCCGAGAAGGCGTTGAGAGAATTGACTGACCTTGCTCATGAGCATGGCGTTTACGTCTCGACGGTGAGGCTTGGAATCTCCGCATCGAAGACTACGGGCTAACAGTGACTCCTACCTACAGGGCGGATGGGCCGAACATCTACTGACTCACCCTGACGCGAACACGGTGTTTGACAAGTACCTTCGGAAGTGCAAGGACCTGGGGTACGCTCCCTCCCACAATCTACATCTCCTATCCGTGAGATCTCTAATATCTGTGGCCATGCAGCTTCGACGTGATCGAACTCTCCGCCGGCTTCCTCTCGTTCCCCGAAGACGACTGGCTCCGACTCGTGGACAAGGTCCACTCGTACAAGCTGAAAGCAAAGCCCGAGTTGGGAATCCAGTTCGGGGCTGGCGGGGACACCCCAGCATCCGGCCTGGAAGCGATCGGGACCTCTGACCCGAGCAAGCTGGTCAATCAGGGACGTAAATTCCTCGACGCAGGCGTGGAGCGCCTGATGATCGAATCGGAGGGCATCACGGAGAACGTGCAGTCCTGGCGGACGGACGTGGTGTCCACCATCATGAAGGAACTGCCATCGGAGCGGGTCATGTTCGAGGCGGCCGATCCCAAGGTGTACAACTGGTATATCCGGGAGTTTGGCATTGATGTCAATCTTCGTTGACCACAGCCAGATCGTGCAGCTGTCGTGTCTGCGCCATGGAATCTGGGGGACTGCGGATACCTGGGGGAAGATTGTATCTTTCCGGCCCGAGTGAACGGGCAGGACATGATTAAATGATGTATCAACAAGTCGAGGAGGTAGAAGAAGTAGAAAAGTAGACAACAAAAAGGAACTAGTGAGTTAGTGGTTCGTGCCTGGGGCATTAGTCAGCCCGCCCGTCCCGCGGGTCCGAACGCCGACGCAATCCGGGGAAGGGAAACGCAGCGCGACCTCCAAGCCTCCACCAACAACTGCCTGCTCTCGATCCATCCCCCTCCATCCGGCCAAGGGAAATGGATAGTCAGTCCGGGTCCCGACGCGAAACCCGATCCACCACCAGCCAGACCGACCCCGCCCCGCTGCTGCAGGCACCATTGCCTCTCGGTCCTCGCAATATCCAGCCAGCATTGAGCTCAGCTCAGGTCCCCAACTCAAAACGCCACCGTCGCTCCCATCATGCCAAAAGCAAACACCGCTGACGGAGCCCGCCTCCGCTGCAGACGAGCCTGCGATAGCTGCAAGCGAAGGAAGCAAAAATGCAACGGGGAACAACCGTGCACGATCTGCCTGCAACGTCGCAAGGAGTCGGAGTGCCATTTCTCCGACAAGCCCGCCAGACTACTCAAACCCACCAGTACCTCGAAAGACACCATGCTCCTCAGCGAACGCCTGGTGCCCACCCCGCAGAGGCAGACGGCCATGGACCGACTCCTCAACTCGCTCGAGGACCGCAGCGCCAACCTGGAACGGCAGACGGCAGACGACAAGGACGGGACGGCCCCGGTGCCCAAGGTGGCCAGGCTGCTACGCGACGGGCAGGGCAAATTCATGTACGTCGGCGACTCGGCGAGCTTGTCCTTCCTGCAGAGCGTCCGTCGGCTCGTATCGTCCTCCATCGGCCGGTGCGATTTCACCGAGGACAACTCTCGACATTCGATGCTCGAGGCGTTTCAGAGTGGCTCGACGACACAGGCGGGGCCGTTGATATCCCCGCCCAGCAACGACGAGGCTCAGAACCTGGCGCGTCAGTTCGTGCTGGCCACCAGTCCACTGCTGGACCTGTTCGACCTCGAAGAGTTTCACCCTCGGCTCGCCAATTGGGTGGACAATCCGACGGGAGATGAGGACACCGTCAGCTCGATCTTCTATCTCGTGCTGGCGATCGGAGCGCAAGTATCCGATATTGATCAAACGCTGGCCGAGCAATACTTCGTGAGTGGCCGTCAGTTGGCGTTTTCCGCGTTCACGGAGACCCCCAGCATCTACACCATCCAGTCGTATGTGTTGATCTCGATGTACATGCTGGGTGCCTGTCGGCGCAACGGCGCGTTCATGAATCTGGGAATCGCGCTCCGGGCCGCCTATGCGGTAGGCATCCACCGAAAGGATGCGAATGCGCTCTTCTGTGCCCGGGAACGACGGGCGCGAGAACGCGTCTGGAAAAGCTTACGCATGATGGATCTATACCTCAGTGCCTCTCTCGGACGTCCTCCGGCCACCCTGGATTTGGATTACGACCTGCACGAGGAGGGCATTAGCCCGGGTGAGCAGCAGCGCCTCCATCCGGAAGAGCAATTATCCGTGACGGTGGTCTCACTCTGTCGCATCTTCGAACGGATCCTGACGGAGGTTTACATGCGGCAGGTGGTCTCGATCAATGTGGCCGATGCCATCTCCAATCAGCACCGCGCCTGGGTCCGCAATCTGCCCATGTTCCTGCAGATGCAGACGGAGCGACTGGACTCGAAGACGCTGGAAGGCACCCTGTCCGCAGCGCACGTCTTTGGGTCCTATTACTGGTCGATTATCCTCCTGACACGCCCGTTTCTTGTCTTCCGAGTATCCCAATATGTCCGAAGCCGCGGTGAGATGACCGGGTCCGACACCAGGACCAGCAACTCCCGCATTGCTCTGTTTGCCGACGCCTGTGTCTACTCCGCCCTGCGCGGCCTCAACATTATCGACGACCTGGCTCGCTATACCACTCTCCCGCGCCGGCTGCCTTTCCTCATCAACTCCGTCTTCAACTCGGCCGTCGTCCTCGGGGCCGCCTTCTTCGCCGACTACGACAACCTCCTCCCGCTCGAGGAAGGCATGGACAAGGCCGAGAAGTTCCTGGGCCTCTTCGTGCCTCACGACCCGCACGCCTGCCGCTTCTTCCAGATCATCAAGTACCTCCGCGCCGCCGTGGCCGAATACGTTCGTCGCCGCAACCGCAACTGGATGGAACGTCGTAGCAGACAAGTCGACCAGCTCTTCGGCCAAGTCGGTCCTGCCAACGAACCTCCCGTCCCAGCATCCAACACCCCCGCCAGCCACCGCGGCGAACAACCCGCCGTGCCCTCCCCCCTATCCCCGGAGAAGTTCGCCGGCGCCCCAGACCTCCCCGCAAGCAACTCCGCCACTGCCACTACCACCACTACCACCACTACCACCGGCCCCCCCGACGACATCTGGGATACCCTCTGCGGCGCACAAAGCGCCGGCACTCTTCCCTACGACACCGCCATCTCCACCCTCACAACCACCGGTATCCCCATCGGCTGTTCCCCGGGCGGCACCATCCCAACCGGCGGCTTACCCCCCGATGCGCCGGGTGCCCAAACCCCTTTGTCGGACGTGATCCTCCCGGACAACGGCCTCCTATACATGGCCGAGGACTTCCCCGTCTTCGGCATGTGGGATGATGGGTGACCTGCCCTGCCCTGCCTTCTCTCGCCCATGTCCATTATGTCACCTTCCTCCACGCACAAGATTCACCCTTCCACCACATGTACATCAATCATCTACCTATCTACCTACCTACCTACCTACCAAGTAGTCCACACCTACACCCAATCAAAGGCAGGCCCTAACCCCCAGTCCACACCCCAGCTATCACCTCCGCCACAAACACACCCTTCCAATCCACCTCCTATCCTATCCGATCTTATTGTTTCATGACTCACTCGCCCACGACACGACCTCTTCCCCCCTATATCCCTCTTCCTCTTACATATATCCTTTTCTTTCCCATTTCATTTTCTCTCAGCTCCTGCCCTACTCCTTCCCACGAGGATGAAGATGAAAATACGCCTCCGGAGTAGAACCCATCAGCTTTATGTTTCATGGATATCCTTGTCGCGTATGTATATATATCCATCACATTTCTTTTTATCTTATTCTACTGTTGGTTGCTCGTGTACATACCCACCCTCTCCAGATTATATTGATTGGTTGGTTGGTTGATCAATTGATCAAATATCGAAAAGGAAAATAAGATAAAACGATCAGTCAACTGTCATCTCTAACAATAAATACAAATAAATACAAATAAATACAATACTATTGTTACACACCCACACCCACACCCACACCCACGGTCCACGGTCCACGGTCCACGGTCCACAGTTCACCAGAACGAGAAAACGAAAGGAGGAAAGGAAAGAAGAACGGACAGTATCCTCCTTCCTCTTTCTTCCTCCAATCCCCAACTATATTAACTACCTCTGTACTATACTAATATATACTATCTACACCACAGCGCATAACATAGCAACCAACCAACCAACCAACCAACCACACAATAAAAAGCCCCATACAACAGAAAGGGAAAAAAAAGAAAGAAAACGAAAAGAACAATCCCCGTTTAATCTAATCGACAACAAACAAGCTATATGTACCGTACATGGGAAGCGAAGATAGCATGGAACACAGCACACAGAACACGGAACACGGGACGAGAGGGACAAGGTCAATCAGGTCAGGTCAGTTAGGTCGAAGGGATAAGACAAGATGGACGAAACTTCTCTCGAGACACGGATTCATTCGGATTCGGATTCAAAGGCATTGAAACGAATCCCATTCAGCAAGATGACAGCGGCAGTGGCAGTGGCAATGAGGAGCTATTTCAGACAGACAGGAAGGGGGAAGAAGGAAACGGTAGAGAAGCGATAGCAACACCTCCGGCCAAACGCAGGAAGAATAAATACATAGTAAAAATAAGAAGAAGAATAATAGATAGACAGGAAGCATGAACATGAATGAAGAGGAAACGTCATATTGGGATTGAGGGTGAGGGGGAACACCCGGGCACGTTCGTCCTTTCCAGCGGGGGACCATTGGAGTAAGGTAGGCGGTTGGTTGGTAGAGAGACATAGGAAACGGGAGCAGAAGAATAGAGGTAAGATTCTGTTCCAAGGATTACGTATATAGTAATAGGTAGAGCCAGCGCCAAGTGAGGGAAGGGAGAGAGAGAGAGAGAGAGAGAGAGAGAGAACGTCAGAGGAATTCTAGGTCGCTGAAGCGGCGTCATGCAAACAAGACTCAAGGTATTTTGCTTTCGAACTCGCTGCGTGGATCAAGTGTCTGGCCATGACGAGGGGAGATAAAATTCTCGAGCATACGCATTACAGCGTCAGTAGTGGCAGAGATGAAAAGAAAACCGCGGCATCATCTATGTATGATGTGCATGCCATTCCCGCCAGCAAGAAAAAGCAAGCGATACTGTGTAGTAAACGAAAACCATGTACCGCAGGGTCACAGAGTGATATATACATGTCCAGATTAGAATCCAAACGGGTTGGTGGGCGCTGGGGCAAGGGTCAGCAAGAATGCTCGGTCGAGGAGTGGCAAACTGGGGGAACTTACTGGCTGCCGCGAGATTGGCCCGGAGTCCGGTTGGCTGGGGCGCAAGCTTTTTAGGGGCATCGTGCTTAACACCAAATCGGACGGAGGGAGCCGGTCCTGTCGGCTGGGGCTGCAACGGCGCAGCCGTGGGCTGTTGGGGAATGGGGGGCGGCGGTGGCACATTGTAGCCGTTCATACCGGTGGGCTGCGGCTGCAGGGCCGGAGGAAGGACTGAGTTGATGCCGGTCTGCATGGGCTGTTGGTGCTGTGGCTGGAAGCCCCCGAAGCCCGTAGGCTGCGGTGCCAGTCCCGGGTATCCAGTTTGCTGCTGCTGCTGTTGTTGCTGGATGCCAAACTGGGATTGCGGTTGGAAGCCAGTCGGCTGGGGTACCAGTCCGTTGTGGAACTGGGTCTGAGGCATATACCCGGTGGCTTGGGGCTGGAGCGTTTGCTGGAAACGCTGCTGGTTTAACTCGGATAGACTCTGTCCTGGCGGAGCAATTTGCGGCCCGGGATGAGGGATGCCCGTCAGCTGAGGCTGCAGGGGAGGCAAGCCAAAGGAGCTCTGCTGCTGAGGGAAATTCTGGGGTGCCGAGAGGGGTCGCTGGGGCGGCGGAGGAGGAAGCAGCGAGTTCTGCCCCATAGCCTGAGGAGCCTGCGGGCGCTGTCGGGCAGCCTGCTGGAAGCCAGTTGCCTGGGGGCTGAATCCCTGGGCCGCCTGTCCGACCTGGGCGAAGAAATTCGGCGTCGCCCCCGTCTGTTGTGGCTGCATCTGAGACACGGGCACCGCCGTATGCTGAGGTTGGATGGTCGGTTGGGGCTGGATTGTGAGCTGGGGCTGGAGAGGGGGCAGAGCCGCGGGGGGGGATTGAGGGGCCGGAGCGGGCGCCGGAGTAGGCTGAAGGGCAGGATGAAGCAGAGACAGATCGGCCAGCGCACCCGTAAGCGGCTGTTGTGCAGGGGGTTGGCTGGTCGCCGGGGGAGACGCAGCCGGAGGGGGGCTGGATGGAGTAGCTGGAGTAGCTGGGGTAGTGGGCGTAGCGACAGGAGCCGCGCCGGCAGCTGATTTGGGGTGCTTCACCTCCCAGGCATCGTCATCGAAGCCCTTCTGAACGGGTGGCTCGGCCGGGGCAGCTGTAGTGGGCGAGGGCTCACTGGGCTCCACGGGCTGTGAACTGTCCTTCTGCTCAAAGACCTTGGGATCGACCACATCGCCGGCCGGAGAGTTGGGGGCCGGTCTGCCCTTGCGGGTGTTGTTTCGCAGAGCACCGCCAGGGCCGGAGAAAAGACCAGTGCCATCTTCCCCATTCCCAATGACTTCCTCTCCGCCAAAGCTCACGTTACGCAGCTTCGACTTGGCACCCGTACGATTAAACATGGTGTCCAAGTAGCGCATCACGCGCAAGATATCGCCCTCCTTCAGGCCCAGCGTGCGGAGAACTTCGGGGGTGATATCCGGGAGGATGGTCTCGTCCATGGAATCCTTGATGAAATTCTGCGCATACCGCTCGCATTGGTGCGGCCCAACTCCAGACTTGAGGAAGAAGTCGAACCAATCGTAGTCGGATTGCTGGAAAGAGGCACCGGCTCGCTTGCCTTCGGGCTTCTCGGGCTCGATCCGTTGAGAGCGGCGCCGGATGTCCGACAGTGGCTTGTCCTCGTCCAAGGACACGCCGGTCTGTTTCTCGACGTACTCCAGGTCCTCGACGGACATCTTGGTGATGGGGACCGCGATCTTCACGCCGTTCATCTTGTGGAGGTGGATCTTGCCATCTTGCAACCCAATGAATTGCGCCTCCACGGTAAAGGTCTTGGTGCGGTCGGTCCACTGTCTAGTCTTGCCCGCCTCGGGTTCTACTATGGTTAGCCAAACGTTTCTCCAAAGGTATGGGGATTCAAGAACATACTGGGTTTATGAGCGCTCTTGCTATCGCGCTTCGAGTCCCGGCCATCCATGGAGTCGGTCCGTGATTTCCGCAGAGCTTCCTTGGCCAGACGCGCCTCTTCCATGCGATTCTTCTCCACAGTCGACAGACCCGGCTCGGCGCTGATAGCCGGGTTGGAGACTGTTCCAGTAATCTCGATGTAGCTGCTGGGGACAACACCCTCCTTGCCGTTCTTCAGGCGCCGCACCTGCCACCACTCCTCAGACTTGCTGTCATCCAGGACAATGACTTCGTCGCCGGCAGCCACCGTCACCTCGTCCTGGCCTTGCGCCATGAAGTCATACAGAATCTGTCCCTTCTTTTGACCTCCGCTGGTGCCGGCGGCAATGACCTCTCTCAGGCCCTCTGCGCGATATCCCCCGGCAATCTCACCGAGAGCAGCAACAATCTCCCGAGCCGTGTCTTTGGAGCCCGCATGGAAGTCGACGCTCTTGCTGGGCCGGACGAGATCGAGAAAGACGTGCTTTCCCTCGATGGAGTAATGCGTGAGCTTGTCCGCGGTCCACTCCTGCGTCGCACCGTCATCTTCCGGCGAGATGAACAAGGTCCCCGTCGCCACATTGACACCCATGGTTGTAGGCATTTTCTTCCTCTTGCCCATCACTTCCACCATCTCATTGATGGTATAGATATGATAGCCGGAGGGGGAACGCGGGGTTTGCCCCCCGACTCGACTGTATGGGGGAGATTCCTGCACATGGGTCGAGCGGTCGCTGTCGCGAAGCGATGCATACGGAGGACGAGGAGGTCGGACGGGCTCCGACGGCTCCGAGGGGGAATCCAGACGGACTGGCGACAGGATCTCGGATGGGGGCCGTTGGGGGAGAGCGGGCGGCGGGGGCGAGGGTTCTCTCCGATAGCTCTCCTCCGGCTCGTACACGGGACGCTCCGGTTGAGGAGGCGGCGGGGGGAGGGCCTTCGAGGTCAGCGGGTCCGGCGCCGCATGCTGCTTGTGGAGGATGTCCGCGATGGCCGCAGCGGCCGGATTTTGCACGACCCCCACGGGAGAGGCCGCAGCGGCTCCGTTGACTTCCTCTTCGTCGTATTCCTCGACTGGCACTGGCGGGCGCTGCGGGAGGGAAGGCGGGGCGGGTTCTGGCTCGGGCTCGGGTTCGGCGAGTGGAGGAGAGGGCATGGACGGTGCGGGAGCCTCGCCTGCTTCTTCGAGGATTTCGATGTAGTTTGCGGGGGCGAAGCCGTAATCCGAGCTGACACCGACGAGGGTCCAGTCGGGGTCGGAGATGTCATATACGATCAGGTCGGCATCTTCGGAAAAGGATACCTCTTCGTCGGTCTGGCGTGTGTAGTCGTAGAGTGCTTTGGCGGCGTGCGTTGGTTGAGCCTGGAGGTGCAATCCGGACGCGTTAGCCCATGCGGTTCCCATCGCAGTCGCCCGCGGTGGCCGGTGTACCCCTGAATGCGAGATCCGCCCGCGACGCCGTGCGTCCGCTCCTGACGCAGGCCGATGCGATGGCACGAGCAACGGCCTGTGTGCGGCAAGTGGGAGTGTCAAATCTTACCTCCTCAACATAGTTAAAGGGGACGAGCCCCTCGGGTTCATCGTCATCCTCACGGTCCGCCTTCTTCTTGGCCTTCCACCAATCGTCGTCGCTCTTCTCGAGGATGCAGAGCAGGTCGCCTTCGCGCAGCTCTAATTCGCCCTCCCCCTGCGGCTCATAGTCGTAGACGGCCGTGTAGACGCCGAGGAAGCCCATGGTGGGGAGCGATCAGGGAGCAACCGGCGGTGGTGGGAGATCCGGGGGTTGTGTGCCGCGGCTGCGGAGGGCAGGCAGCGTGGAGGAGAGGCGGGTGGTGGGACTGCGAGGGATCGATCAGTCAGGGGAGGGGAAGGCACCCGGGTGGGCCGGAATAGGGGGGGGGTTTAGATGAAATAGAAGTTGAGGAAGGGGGAGGGGGAGGGGGGAGGGGGGAAGGGGAGAAGAGAGGAGGGGGGGGATATGTTAGGATAGAAGATAGAAGCAGAACAAGGATGAGAAGTGGATGAATGACATACCGACGGGGAAGAGGGCGAGCAGGAGGAGGAGACCCGTGCAGGAGATGGGAAGTGGTTGGTGGGCAAGGGACGGAAGTGGCCCAAGTGGAGAGGCAGCCTTGGCAGGACCAGACGCAGAGGGACCGACTCCGGGGTGGCCGTGCAGGAGGAGGGGAGGGGGATGTGGCGGTGGCTGTATTTAGATTTAGGCAAAGGAAGGAAAGAGTGAAAGAGGAAGAAAGAAGATGGAGGAGGAGGAGAAGAGAGGGGGAGGGAGAGGGAGAGGGAGAGGGGAGAAACAAGGCCGATCAAACGGGGACCTGGAGAGAAGAAGAAGAAGAAGAAGAGAGAAGACAAGAAGGCGAGACAACAAGACGAAGGCGCAGACGCAAGCCGCCGTCACGCCGAGGGGCGGTCACGTTTTCTGCACCCACGTTGGAAAGTCAAGCTTGCTTATGTACGGAGTATACGCTGGACATCCATCGGTTTGGTCTAACATCCTACCTTTCCCATGGCTTCAATCCCATCCGACAGACAGGAAATAAATTTAAGAATGCCCCCTTATCAGTCAGCCCAGCCGCCTTCCTTCCTTGGGCACCACTCATTTCCTCTCCTCATGGCACCATTGGGTCGGGCACACGTCAATTGGCTCCATCCGCCTATTTATCTATCCACCATACTTGATCAAGGAAATCAATGGAATCACAATGGACCTTGTTATGAACTCTAATCCCAGTACATGGTATAATCTATGCCAGCCAGGATACAATCCGCCGTAAGTGGCTACAAAACGCGGGGAAGGAAAACACCACCAGCCCAGTATGTGCACTATGTATGGACCCAAACACAACAATCCCCGGGACTACAATTCGTCCTTGAACTCCTCGTTGCTTCCTACCACGTTGTCATCCGGCTGCGACGGCAGTTCCTCTTCCTGCTGCTCCTGCTGCTGCTGCTCCTGCTGCTGCTGCTGCTGCTGCTCCGGTTCCGGCTCCTGTTTCAGCGTCTCTGCCGTCCCTGTTTCGTCGGATGGAGGAGCCTCCAAGGTGGGTTCCTGCTCGGACGAGGCCTTCTTCTCTCCGGGGTGGCCCGCGGCCTCCTCGTCCTCGTCCTCCTCGAGGAAGCCCCGCAGCTGCCGCTCCCCATTGATCGAGACCACCTCCAGCGTCCAGTCCTTGCCCTTAGCCCAGTCTTCCAGGCGCTTCTTCAGCGTCTCCAGCTTCTCCGGATCGAGGTCGTACTTCTTCAGCTCCTCGCGCGACTTCTGCTGGATCTCTCCGTTCTCGCGCTTGGCCACCACGTCGATCGTCTCCTCGCCGGCCGACGCCACGCGGCCCTTCTCGATCTCCTTGCCCTCCGACCCGACCAGCGTCTGCGCCCCGACTTGGATGTCCCCGACCACCGCGAACTCCTCCGTCACGGCTGACTCCACCAGATGCTGCGCTCTCTGGTACTCCCGCATCGCCTCCCAGTCGGACACCTCGGCCGGGGAGATGATCTCGCGGCACTCGATGGCGTGCACCTCGTCCTGCTGCGGCGGCAGGAAGGCCACGTCATTGCACAGGCGCGGGGTGTAGATGACCATCAGGTACGAGCAGGTGGTCAGCTCCTTGATCCAGCCGATGCGGTCCGTGGACTGCGGATGGCAGTGGAACTGGACCTCGATCTTGCGGTGGCGGCCCGTCAGGTCGCATCGCGTGCCACCGTCCAGTCGCTGGACCAGGTAGCGCGAGCCTCCTTTCGTCTGTAGCTCGGCCACGTCGGTGATGGATTTCTTGTGGTCGGACTCGGCCTCGATGTCGTCGTCCTCCTCCCCCTGGGGGAACCGGCCCAGGATGAACGAGTGGGTGGTCTGGTCTTCCATGGGCGGGTAGCTGGGGATACCACTGCCCGAGGGGAGGGCGTGGAACTGCTTGATCTGGTTCTTGTAGCAGAAGGAGTAGGACCACCACCCGGAAATGTAGTACATGCACCTGCCCTCCATCTCGCGCAGGAGCTCCAGGCCCCGATCCATGGCGCGCGCCAGCTCCTTCTGCTCGTCGGCTTGGTGGGATTCGCCCGTGGCGTTGGCGCGGTCGTCGCCCTGGACCCGAGGGATCTGGCAGAGAAAGCGCTGGTCGCCTAGGGCCATTTCCTCGTAGCGGAAGTCATGGTCTCCCGCGGGGGGGGGTTCCGGTGTGCTGCCATGGGCATCGTGGCCTAGGTAGACCTGTGCGGAGTTCCCTTGGTGGTCGTCAGAGGTGGAGGCGCTGGTGGGGTTTTGTAGGAGGTCTTTGGCATGGGAGTCGAGGATGTAGTCATCGGGGAAAAGGACTTGGTACTGGGGGGATCGGAACAATTAGCAGGGGACGGCGGGTTCGGGGCATCGGGGCATCGGGGGGAGGCGCGTACTTGGGGGAAGGCGAGAAGATCATCATGGATGTTGAAGGTCTTCTTGTTGGCCCAGGCGATGGAGCTGGCGCAGGCCAGCACGAGCAAGGACGAGACAATGCGGGTTCGTCGCGACATGTCTGTCTGGCGTTGGACGGGAGGTGGTTGAGGACCAGCAGAGAGACGGAGGAGGTCGGGGGGGGCGGCCGGAGATGATCTGGCCTGATCGGGCGGGAGGGGAGGGTGGTGTGTGGCTCAGTGGGAGGGTTGCAAGGAGGAAGTGAATATGATCAGTAGCAGTGCATGGCAGTAGGGGAAGCAAAAGGAAAGCAGTCAGCCTGGGAGGTATCAAGGGGATGGCCGCATGTCATCGTGATGGCAGTGAGTGGATGGATGGATGGATGGATGGATGGCCTTCCAGAAGCCGGGCAGATCTTATCTTCTTATTGAGGGAACAACACTGTCTGACAAACAATGCAGTGCTGCATAACAGTACTTACTACATAATACAGCAATCACTACTTTAGAACAATTGAATTATGAGGATGGTTCTAGACCCATCCTAGTAGTCTTGAATTTAATTCTTCATTATTTCTATACCACTGGATATCTACATAGTTAATCCAACCCCCCCACTGAGTCAGCCCTGAATAATGGCGCCCGTGCGGGTCTAGCGCTGCTGACGGGGATCTTTGTAATGTAATGATTGCCATGCATGAACAGACTACTTAGTTAGTTATCCATCCAAGCCATGATTATTGATTCTTACTCGAACAATTATAAGAATTGACTAACCTCGTATCCCCCCCCCCCAATCCCCCATCCCACCCACTCTCCAGCATTTTCCACCACCTTCGAGTTTCTCCTCCGCCGCATATAAAAGGGCTCGGTCGCAAATCCCCCCATGAACCTCCTGCTCTCTTCTTTTCTCATCGGCTGTATTGCGATTCTTCTTACTTGGCAGAATTCGAACTCGATTGGTTTCGTGACGCGATATTTCTCTTTAAGCTCGTCCTTTACTATCAACACCATTCCCACCACCACCACCACCACAAATACAAACATCACCACCATGTCCCTCCCACGCACCATCCGCCAGGCCTTCCTGGCGATCGAACAAGCCGAAGGCGCCGGGGCACGCGTGCGTCGGTCCATCGGGACCAGCAAACTGCGACACCTGAGCCCCTTCCTGATGCTCGACCACTTCACGATCGGCCGGGGCGCCGGGTTCCCCGACCACCCGCACCGGGGCCAGGAGACGATCACCTACCTGCTCTCCGGGGGCGTGGACCACGAAGACTTCGCCGGCAACCGGGGCACGATCGGGCCGGGGGATCTGCAGTTCATGACGGCGGGACGAGGCATCATGCACGCGGAGATGCCGCACGAGAACCCCGACGGGAGTCCCAACGTCGGCATGCAGTTGTGGGTGGATCTGCCCAAGCGGTTGAAGATGTGCGAGCCGCGGTATCGCGATCTGCGCGCCGAGGAGATCCCCCTCGCCACCACCGATGGCGGTCGCGTCGAGGTCAAGGTCATCTCCGGCCAGTCGCATGGCGTCGACTCCGTGCGCGATCTCGCGTATACCCCCGTCTGGCTGTTGGATGTCACGGTCAAGGCCGGGGGCAGGCTGAGGCAGGTTTTGCCGCTCGGCTGGAATGCCTTTGCCTATACCTTGGCCGGGAAGACGGTGTTTGGGTCGGGCGATCAGACGCAGACGGTCAAGCAGTTTCACAATGTCGTGTTTGAGCAGGCCGGCGATTTCGTCGAGGCCTCCGTCCCCGAGAATGCCGAGGAGGAGGCCAGGTTCTTGCTCGTCGCTGGCCAGCCGCTCGATCAGAAGGTCGTGCAGTATGGCCCCTTTGTCGTCACCAGCCAGGAGGAGGTCTACCAGGCCATGCTGGATTACCAGACCGCGTCCAATGGCTTCGAGAAGTCCCGCGGCTGGGAGAGTGAGATCGGGAAGCGCATGGGGAATTAGGGGGGAAGATTGCTGGATGGATGGTATCATTGGCGTTTGGGTTTCAGGGAGCGTTGGGTTGGGGTTGGGTTGGGGTTGTGTATATTCATGGCATGTTTAGTGTTTGGTAACAGAAATAGTATTATGAGTGAACTATACAACAGTAATCTGTAGCGGCAGTACACGGTGCGTGAAAGGGGAAAGGAGACAGATGAACAGTAAACATGGACCACGCTATATCAACATCAACGACTGCGAGACGACTCGACATGGCCCAGACAGGCGCCATGGGCGGTTCCCAGAACACACCCAACGTGCGTTCCAAGCACGTCGAGCCACCATCCAGAGGTAACTCCCCTATACCCCGTCTATCTTTACAAAACGCCAACTCCAGGCATGCCCCAAGTCACATCCCGGGTCTCCGCCCTGCCCGCTGCAGGGCCATCCACTCTGACTAGGCCATCTATTTGGCAAAGTGCAGATCGTAGCCCAGCCACTTGCGCGACAGGATGCCTGGCACGTCCAGACCCGGAGTGCCGTACGTCAGCGGGGCGAAGAAGACGAAGCCGTAGATCGTGCCGCCCAGGATGACCAGGGTGGCAATCCAGCCCGCCACGAGGGACTTGCGGCCCATGCGCTCCTTGGCCGAGACAAAGCGGCCGATCTGGCCCTTGAACTTGCCCGACGGGTCATCCTCGGCCCGGACCGCCTTGGCGATCGGGATCGGCTCCAGGTTGAAGATGAACTCGATCAGGGCGCCCGTCACGAGGGCCGACGCCAGGTGCGCGGGAAGGTAGTGGTGCAGGAAACGCTGACGGCCCATGAGCCAGAAGGGGAAGTAGTGCGCGGCCCAGCACAGGAAGAGGAAGCCGGTGCTGTTGTACAGGCGGGAACGGGCACCCAGGCCCCAGACTGTGGCTCGTTAGCGTCGGTCGGTTCGTCACGATTTGGAAATTAGGGCACTCACTCTCTTCCACGGCATCGACGCCGCGACGCAGGGACAGCTGATCGGCACCAATCACGCCCGCAAAGACCGCCAACAGACTGCTGGCGATCCACCATCCGACCGGGTTACCCAGGAAGTAGATCTGCTCGCGGGTGTCGTTCTTGGTCCAGAAGCTGACACCACGGAGCAGGAACGGCCACTGGAAGGGCTCACTCGCGTACGGGTGGCTGCTGGTCAGGGCGTTGTTGTGGAAGAACATGGCCCGCTGCAGCTCGAAGTACTTGCGGAAGAAGGACAGGTGCTTCACCTGGCGCTCCTCCTTGATCCGGCGGGGGCTGTCTTCGGGCAGGGACTCGATGGTCTCCGCGAACCAGAGGTTGCTGGTCTGCATCATGTTCTTGTTGCCGTTGATCTCGGCCTGCTTGAAGGCCCAATCGGGCAACGGCGTTGTGTGCGTCCACATGGCGACCCGGGTGGGGAAGTGGATCAGCTTGAAGTGACTCGAGAGAGTCCGGAACTCCTGGTTGGGCTTGCCGTTCTCAATCTTGATCTCGAACAGGGTGTCGTTGCGGCGGTCCCCGTTTCCAACCTCCAGCGAAACGGTGGTGAACTCCTGGTTGGTCGGGAAGTAGGGGGATGCGACGTCGTGGGTGAGCAGGAGCGTGTCGGTACCCAGGTGGTAAAGCTGGACGATATCACCGTTGCGCACCATCTGTCCCTCGGTCTCGACCGGGTCGAAGGGCACCATGGGGATAATCTGCCACTGGTTGTTCGTGTCGTTGTAGGGGTATCCGGTGACCTGCTGACCCTGGCTGGAAATACGGCCGTCGTCGTAACGCAGGGGGTACTTCTCCAGGTGACTGTGCAGGAAGACCTTGGTATCCTTGTGCTTCATCGTGATGGTGTCGTAGTACTGGATGCCGATGGCATCCGCGGCCAGGGCATTGTCACTGAGGGTTTCCTGGAACTCAGGGGTCATGAAGTCATCACCGGGGCCGGAGCGGGTCAGGATGGCAAAGTGAACCTGGAACCAGAACAGGTAGAAGAAGAAGGGGACGATGATCAGGGCGAAGGAGCGAGCAGCAAAGTGCTGGGTCCAGCGGACCATGCTGAGGGCGCCGCCAGGGCGCCGAATGTCCAGGAGATTCCACAGATCAACCAAGACCGCCGAGCCGATGGTCACGAAGGTGAACACACCGACGTACTTGGTGGAGATGACACAGCTGAGCGACACACCCGTCAGGAGGAGCCACTTCCACCACTTCCGGCTGAACTCGTCGTGGCGGAGCTTGTAGAAGCGGACATAGCAGAGGATGCTCAGGGCCATGGCCAGGACCAGCGAGGCGTCCAGCAGGATCAGGCGGTCCTCTCCCACGTGGGCGTTGTCAAACAGAACCAGGCCGGCGGACAGAACGCAAGCGGGCAACGAGTATCCGGATTCCCACATGATCAAGAACACGACCGGAACCGTTAGGGCGCCAAGCGTGGCGGGCATGGCCCGGAGCGCCACATAGGGGACATTGTGTTCGGTGTACGAGTCACCGATGTTATCGAACAGGAAGTTGCCATCGAAGCCGACGAGCCAGCCCATGAGCGCGAACAGGAGCTTGCCGAAGGGCGGGTGGACATCGAAGAAGTAGGTGCGCTGGAGGTAATAGGAGGCGAACTACGGGGGTACCGGGCTGTCAGCGACCATCATCACTTGCAGCTGTGGGGAGTGGATTGCGGCGGGCGTACCTTTCCAAAGTGCACCTCGTCGAAAACGACCTCATTGGGGAAGGAGATCTTGTAGAATCGAGTGATGAAGGCGAGGACGGTCAGGACGACTATGGCCAGCCGATAGTCCCATTCCGGCCGAGGAGCGGCGGCTTTGGACGACAAAGGAGAATAGAAGGGGGTGGGGGTGGTCTCCTTCTTGCCGGCCCTCTTGCGAAGAGAGGGCGCCGGAGAAGACATGATGGTGAGGTAGTCAGGAAAAGGAACGAACGAAAGACACCTAGTCAACTAATTCAGGAGATTATGGACAGGTCAGCACGGTAGTTGGTGGTAGTAGTTGGTGGTGGTGGTAAGCAGCACGAGGGGGGAGCGGGATGGCTGCAGGAAGCAGACTGAAGATCAACCGCAATGAATGGAGGGAATGAACTTACAAAGAAGAAACGGAGAGGGGAGGGGAAGCCGATCAAGAAGAGATCATGATCAGAGGGAGAAACGATAATATTTATTCTCTGGGGAGGAGGGAAGAGGGAGGAGGCTGAGAAGAGAAAGACACGCAGCGCCGACGCCCGCGGAACGGAACAAGGCGTGGGTCCGACCAGCGCCGCAACCAATTTGGGGTGAAACAACCGACCAGCCCAGCAAGTAGTAGTACTACTAGTAGTTACTCCAAAGCAACACGCGTTCTTCCGGCAGATCAGGGTGCGATCGTCGCCTCGGGGATTCCCAATTTACGTGGTATTCTGCAATCCAGAAAATGTGAATCAACTAAACTAGGCCCCCATGCCCCAAGATATCCAGACACCAAGCCATGCACCTTAACGCTGAACACCCAAAACTAAATCATGTATATACAATCCCGAAAAAAAAAAAAAAGAAAGAAAGAAAGAAGAAAGAAAAAAGAAAAGAAAGAAAGAAAGAAAGACATTCAGCCCTTCCAATCCAATTGTAATACTCATCTATTCATCCGATACGTTCAGCAACTCCAGCTCCGTCTTGACCAGCGACTGGAAGTCACTGCGCGAGATGCCGGTCGCCTTGGCCAGCCGGAAGAGTCCCTTGATGCTGGAGCCGATATGCTGCTTGACGCCCACCTCATAGCTCGACTGGTTCTCCGCTTCTTGCTCGAGCCGCGCCACAGCATCAGAGCTGCCCGACGAGATGGATGAAGGACGAGGGTGGCTCAGGCCGCCATGGTTTCCGTTCGTAGCAGGCGCATCCGCCGTCTGGTCCGTCTGGTCCGTCTCTCCGCCACTGAACTGTCGCTGCAGGAGCTTGGCCAGCATGTCTCCATTGAGGGAGGATGGCCCCAGCTCCGGTTGCTCCTCCTCGGGATCATGGTTGTCCAGGGCGGGCTGGACGTCCCCGTAGCGAGAGAAGTAGTCTGTTTCCGACTGTTGCAGGGACGAGACGGGTTTGGGGGCGGGCGTTTTGACGGCAGGGGTTCTGTCGGGGGTCGCATCATACTGGGCCCAGTAGTCGTCATCCTCCCCGTCCTCGGCTTCCTTCTCATCCGCCGCGTGCTGGTCACTCTCCGTGGCCTTCAGCGCATCCTCCAGGAGGTTCTCTTTCTGGTGGACGTTCGCATCCCCGATGGACGCAACCCAGGCGGGCTCCTCTCCCACGTCCCCCTCCTGTGGCAGCAGCTCGGCCACGCGCCACGCGGGTCCCCCGCCTTCCTGGTCGTCGGGGCACCACAGGTAGAGAACCTGGAGGCTGTACTCGGGGACGATCACGCGCGACCGGAGCGTTTCTTCGTCCATGCGGTTGTACCTGACGGGGAGCTCATCGGGGAGCTCGATCTCGCCGGACACGGGGTGTGGCTCGAAGCTGGCCCCGTCCACCAGCTCCTGCAGGCGCTCGGCCTGTCCCGCATCCCAGCACAGCAGCCGGAGCCACGAATCGGTCGGGGAGGCGGCGACGGAGCTCAGGATCTGGACGCGTTGGCGCAGGATGGGGGACAGGAGAGACAGCAGCGCCGGCGGGGGCTGAGGGGAAACGAAGGCCGTTGGAAGACAGGCGAGGAGGGGCGGCAGCAGGGCGCGCGGGTCGGGGGGTGGGATGAGGTCGACCATGATGGGTGTCAGGCAGTCAGAGGATGGGCAGTCCAAGCGCCTTGCGTTGCGGTGACTGAAGAGGAAAAAATGCGGCGGTGAAAAAGGATCCGCGGAGAAAAAGCGGGGAGGAAACACGGCTGCAAACAGTAGTGCGGAGAGATGAAGAGTGAAGACCGAGAGAGATGGTCAGGGGAGGCGAGCCATCTTAAAACATAATCAGCAGCATAGGTAGGTATGCAGGAGAGAATGAGATAGTTAGTCCTACTGTAACGAGTGAGTGATCGTCGAGCTGTTATCGGCTGGCTCCCTTCGCCCGAAGGAGGAGCACGACCGCGTGGGGCGCCCGAGCCCTACTTAGAAGAGACGATCCATCCATGGGGGGTCGCAACTTTATACTGGGACTGGCTGGGATCCTCAGGGCCTGTTAGTGAGTGTAGCTAGCGGTGCTCTCGGGGTTTCATCTAGCTATGCGGAGTATAGGTAGCCCCGAGTCAGCAATCTACAGCGTATGCTTGGACAGGTCCAACCCTCGAAGGTCCCCAGACTGCATGCAAAGACCTTTTCCGGGACCTATTTGAATTTTCCTTGATAGTCCGGTCGAGCAATTAACGGACTAAAGTAGTTACTACTGTCGTAGGTAACACATACATGATACTCTAGTATGCTGACCGGGTCGGGCCACCAACTGGCGAGTCCGGTGTGACGGCCTCGTGCCTCCCCAAAACGCCAAACGATGTCAGTCACTTAGCCCTAAGTATAGGACCATCTGCATCTTCAATTCGACATCAGCCATCCTCCCCCCGTCCTTGCCTCAATTCAACCCACCCACAGTCGTTCTGGCCCATCGCCACCCATGATCAGCAGCCCAGCCTGCAGTCGCCATCACTAGTTCGGAATGCCGACGCCTTAGCCCCGCGACGTCCATGCAGCGTCGGGCACTACGACGAGGCCAGCATCCCCTCGGAGATCTCCCGGGGCAGAAGCTTCCAGGATCAAGCCCAAATTGCAATCCCATACTGCAGTCGTCAGTCGTCCGTCCGATAGATAAGCTGTGCAACAGCGCCACCGCCGACATTTGTAACTTAATCCCCTCCCCCCCCCCCCCCCCCGGGCGCTCGAGCACATCCCCGGGTGTCAAGACTCCCCCATCTCAGAAGCCAAGCCGACCCTCTCTGTCCCGTGCAATATGGGCCCAAAACATTCGGATGCCGTGGTGGTCGAAGAGCAGGCGGACCCACCCCCACCCTCACTCCCACTCCACGAGGGTCCGGATGAGGCGCTGGAGACGAAGATCCGATGGAAAGTCGACCTCCGGCTGTGTACGGTCGCGGGGACCCTCTGCAGTCTGAACCTGCTGGATTCGGGCATCTTGTCGTCGGCCTCGGTCACCAGCATGCCCGACGAGCTGGACCTCCGCGGCACGCGGTATTCCGTCTCGATCTTCATCTTCACCATCGCCAGTGTGGTCTTCCAGCTGCCCAGCACCATGGCAGTGCGCTGGGTCGGGCCCCGGGTCTGGCTCGCGTGCATCACCTTCGCCTTCGGCCTGATCACCCTGTGCACGGCCTTCGTCCACACGTGGCAGCAGATGATCGCCCTCCGCGTGCTGCTGGGCATGTCCATGTCCGGCATCTACCCGGGTCTGACCTATCTGATCAGCGCCTGGTATCCTCGCCGCGAGCAGCAGCTCCGGTTTGCCCTCCTGCAGTCGGGCGAGGTCATCGGTCTTGCGACGGGCTACATCGTCGACTACGGCCTCAACCTGCTGGATGGGAGTGCGGGTCTGCAGGGCTGGCGCTGGATGTACCTGATCCAGGGCCTCATCACCTGCGTCCTGGGCCTGGCCACCTACTGGTGGATCGTCGACTTCCCGGAGAATGCGCATCACAGCTTCCGCTTCCTCTCCGAGCGCGAGGCTCGCATCGCGGCGCAGCGCATCAGGGCGGATCGCGACGATGTCCTCCCCGAGCCGTTCTCGTGGCGCCAGGCCCTGGCCCCATTTGCGGATCTGAAGCTGTACGGGTTCGCGTGCATGTACTTCCTGCTGAATCTCGTGTCGACCGCCCTGAACTACTTTCTCCCTCTCATCCTGGAGACAGGCATGGGCTTCTCGAGCAACGACTCGCTCCTTCTGTCGATGCCGGTACGTCTCTGCCCCTCCCCTGATCAACGGTTAGATTCCCCATCCACCAACAACATGGCAGCCATACTACTGGGCCGTCATCCCCGTCCTCTTCACCTCGTTCGTGGGGGACACGTTCCGCATCCGCGGCCCGCTCATCAGCTTCAACGCCCTCTGTCTGATTGCGGGATTTCTCATGTTCGGACTCCCGTCCTCGACGCAGGTCGCCGTCCGGTATATCGGCACCTTCCTCGCCACGGGCGCGTATGTGTCCAACTGGGCGGCGCTGAACGCCTTCATGGCCAACAACGTCGTGGGTCAGTGGAACCGCGCCACCACCGCCGCCGCCGTGTCCGCCTGTAACGGTCTGGGCGGCATCGCTGGCAGCTACATCGTGCGCGAGCAGGAGGCCCCGCGCTATCCAACGGCGGTCTGGGTGTCGATCGGGTGAGTCTGATTATCCTTTTTTTTTTTAAATTGGGGAAATTGTTGACTGGTGGGCGGTAGTTCGCATATCTTGATGCTTGTCATAGTGGGTGTGTTTACGGTGTCATTCTGGCATCTGAATCGACAACAGGAGAGAGGAAGGGTGTTGCAGAATATGGTACGTATACCTTTTTTTTTTTTTTTTTTTTTTTTTTCTACTTCCAATTTGGTTTTACTTACATGGCACAGGTTGGATTCCGCTATACATATTGAGTGGAGCAAATATATGATATACATACATACCTACATACATACATACACATACATATATGGGGGTTGTTCCCGCACGGCTATAAGCAAAAGTGGATATACATGACGTCTATGAGTATATACGACGAAAAGGCAGAACTAGACATAATTGCGGCCTTTATGACCCTACACACTCTACCCTAGATACACTTACACTTTACGGTATATAACTTCTATCTTGATCAAAACCACGCCGAGGGACTATATACTATACTATATACATATCACGTCTCGAACTGACCATGTCCCCCCTCTTTACTTGATGTCCGAACCCGGGCCAAACGAAATCGTACCACTTGATAATAATTCCTCACCAGCTCGCCTCAACTCATCCCACCTCACTGATCCACGGGTCGGTCTTCCCTATCAATCAATAACACAACCAACAATCAACACCAAAAAATAATCACGCCGGTCCGATCCACCCGGACCACTCCTTAGTGCCCGTAGTGGAGTCCAGGTACTATGGTATCTAGTACGTATCCAAAAATCTAAAATCCAGATTCCAGCGGATCCCGAATCTCCGTTCCGTCCTGTCTTGCGACTTGAAACCATGATGAAACGAGGGACGGGGTGGTCTGGTTCTTTGGTGTGGGGTTAAAGGGGTAGGGTTGTAGAGGTTTAGAGGTTTAGAGGTTTATAGAGGTTTATGTGGAGTTATAGGAGTTATAGGAGTTGTAGGGGCTTGTCAGGGGGGGAATATGTTTGGGGTGGGTTTGGATTACGTGGTTATAAGTAATGGGCAGGTGTTTAGCTGGTGGTGGTGGTGGTGGTGGTCTTGGTGGAATTCGAAGCTTGTAGCTGGGTTGTTGTTTCTTAATCTTGAGGTATGGGTTTTAGACTCTGTACTTTTTTTTTTTTTTTCGTTTTTGCTATCAACTTGATTTCTGGAGTGAAAGTCTGGTAAGGGACTGATTATAACTTATATTGGAGATGAGTGAACTAGGGCTTTATGCGCTGGTCAGTGCATCATGTCGTGAGTACCAGTAGAACCACTCTACCCTACATCGATAAATCCTCGTTGGAGTACAGCGCATCTGTACAGTCGATACACTGAGTACGATAATTGTGAAAGGGGAGGAGAATATTCCGACAACTGCTTGTATGTGGCATTCCAGTTTACAGGGCGTTTTGGCAGGTATGGCACATCTGACTGTGGGTTAGAATCTGACGGCTTTCATAGACTATATATAACTAGTAGTCTTGGTAGTTATATGTATAAATTCCTCATCACAGGGAGGATTTGGAGCTAGGCCATTCGGTTCGCTGTCACTATATAGAGGATATTTAAAAGTGAACAAAATACCAATCATATGCTCCGGATAAAATAGGCATTGATCAATTCCTCCAAGTCGTCTCTGCGGGAAGAGTAACCCTCAAGGGTTCGGTTACAGGTAGTAGCAGTGGTCCTGACTCCCTGCATATTGCCTACCAGCGAGTAAGTATTCAAAAGCCCTACACAGCACCAGCCTAATGCAAGTAGTCAAGGTTCAGACTCCCAAACATGACTCCTAACAACCTTGATCCTAGCTGTACTCCAAACACAAAATACGAGAAATTTCCCCCAGCTTTTCCACCTCGTCAGTCCACATCACTGGCGGCTAGAAACACCGAGGAGCTTAAGTCCACCATGACCACGGATATATATCCGCCACCCCCCGCAGCAGCAGCGTCGGATTGCGGTGGTTAGTTCGTGTTCATCATGGACCGCAAGTTGAAGATGGAGCCGACAGCCGTTTAGTCCTGAGTTCCGCCGTCATGGAGCTCTTAAAGTCTCGAGTATAGGTCGTGGTTGGACGATCTAGTTGCTTAGCAGTAGGACTAGTACTGCTTGGCCCCAGCATCCCGTCTCACCCACCAGCTGGACTTTTCCAGCCAGCTCACTTTCTCACCCCAGATAGATCGTCATATATATTTCTCCGTCCTGATAAGCGACAACTGCGATCATGTCCGCTTCCCACTTCAAGGTAGTGGAGCACGCCATTCCCTGCCAGTCGATTCGAGAGTATCCCCACGCGGTCAGGGCAGACCACCCGCCATTGCGGTTGGCAGTCAAGCAATACATTCCTCTCAACAACCCCAATCCCAGCCCAGATGATCTGACCATAATCGCTGGGCATGCGAATGGGATCCCCAAGGTGCGTGGACGGGCCATGTGACTTTTCTATATCTCTGCTGACTCTTAGGCCAGGAATGTTACGAACCCATCTGGGATGAGCTCCTCGCGTTGACCAAGGTCAAAGTCAAGGCCATCTGGATTGCAGACTGCTCGCATCAAGGCGCGAGTGGGATCCTCAACGAGTCTGTCATGAGCGATGATCGTGAGTCGAGCCACCATTCCCATTCACACGGGAATTCCCCCCCCCCCCCCCCTGACATCCATCCCTCCTAGCGAACTGGTTCGATCATTCGCGAGATCTCTTGCACATGGTCAACCATTTCCGCGATCAGATACATCCCCCGATCATGGGAATCGCCCACAGCTTCAGCTGCTCCCAATTGTACGTCCCAATCTCCGCCCCCTTTTCCCAACTGTCTACACCGAGTCTCATATCCAACTGATCCACCCCCCAGCGTCCACCTCTCCATAATGCATCCACGACTCTTCCACTCTCTCGCCTTCCTAGAGCCAATGGTCCAGGTCGAGAACCCCAGTAAACGCGGAGGACGCAGCCCCTCCCTATGGGCGAGTTCCCGCCCAGACCAATGGCCCTCGCAGGCCGACGCCGAGAAATTCATTCGCAGCAGCGCCTTCTGGCGCAAATGGGACCCCAGGGTCGTGGACCGATACATCCGGTTTGGACTTCGACCTCTCCCCACGGCCCTTTATCCCGACTCGTCCTCAGACGCGGTCACACTCACCACCACCAAGGCACAGGAGGCGTGGACGTATCTGCGATTCAACGCGACTCCACAGCGAGACAACAGTGATTCAGGAGAGCGTTTCCTTGGCCCGGATGTGGCCATGGCAGGGAAGGACGGAGACATGAACAACCGGCAATATGTCACCACCTCCCCCTGGCCCTGCATCGCGTTTGAGTTCCTCCCCTATGTCCGACCGGCGGTGTTGTTTGTTTTCGGGGAGAAAAGCCACATTAACGTTCCGGACCGCAGACGCGATAAGCTGCAGCGCACTGGGAAAGGGCTCGGGGTAATGGGGGTGTGGCTGCGGGGCGTGTGCGAGGGGAGGTCCTCAGGGGAGCGACGCATATGGTGCCTCTGGAGAAGGTGGCCGATATTGGGCGCCTTTTGTCGGACTGGTTGGAGGCTCAGCATGAGGCGTTTTGGGAGGAGAGGGAGTTCTTCCGGACGCATGACAGTGGGAAGTCGGAGCAAGGCACGATGGCTTTGTCGAGCCTGTGGGTGGAGCATGTGAAGAAACCGGTTGATACGAAACGCGAGAAGAAGTCGCGATTGTAGATGGGCAGACACCGAGCCCTAACTTGGACATGTTTCGGGTGCCACCAGGCGAATCGGTAGAATCACATGTAAGCCTGTAGATTCATTTCGTGGGCATGCTAGTACTCGAGCCATCAGGTCCAAGTCTGGGTAGATAGAGGGTCCTGCCAGTGAATGAGGCCCTGGCTAACAATTTCATTAGTGAAGTGTGTCGGAACTTAGCCTGTCGGGAGTTGCCTGATGCAGTCTGGCCTGTGTCTAGTACTGATCATCCAGCTCACTTAGACTCCCCCATGGTGAAGGAAAGACGATTTCTATCGACTCGCATGGGTTTGACTTATCAGGCCACATAATCCTCTCCAGTCATGGTGTGAGTCCGGAGATTTGGGTCGTATTCCGAAGATACCGAAGATCCTCCTCAGAGACGCGTATACCATTGTGCGAATGGTTAAACCTTCAACCCCCAGCCAACTGGTTCCCCGGATCCTCCCGCCTCAGGCAACACCATCACCCCTTGAAGCTTACATCCAGGGGATACGAATTCAGGATCCAGGTTGTTGGCTGTCGCCCGGTTGCATTGGGGGCGGAATCTGTCAGGAACAGCCGTTTTTGCTGCCGTGGCTATCCAGGGAGATGAGATACAGTCAGACGGTGTCCGGTCAGCATGTGTCGCCTGACAGGAACAACGACCCATCTGAAACAATTAATCTGCCAGTGGTGGACAGGACACCTCCGCACTAACTATAATAGCCGACGTATAGGCCATCCGTCGGACTGCCGACTATCTTCTGCAGGAAGAGGCATTCCGGCCCGTTCCTGCAGGTTGGTCACACTGGTCCGAGACAAGCATCAGCTTTTATCTAGCCTCGAACCAATCTGTGATCGATTCGCGGCCGTGTGCAATCAAGGGCTGTGCGGCGTGCCCTAACCTATCCTATCTTCATCCCCCTGACCGTCGTATATGCCATCCAATTTAGCCTTGGGGCTAGATCCTTCGTCGACGTGCTTTGCCCTTTCCGGCCTTGCATTTTGCGTGTTTTCTTTTTCTTTTTCTTTTCCCGTCACGATGTATGACTGTCTGTCATCCGGGCCTCCTACGGGGAATGCGGGAATGAATGAATGACTGGCTGACTGGCTGGCTGGCAGCCAGGGATGCGAACAACCCTATAAAGGGGCGATGGATCGCCACTCTCCACGTCCTTCCTGGACCCAGGACCAGGCAGATCATTCTCCAAACTGCCCTCCCCATCGTCTGTCTCCCTCCGGGCTCTCGGCTCTCCAGATGTTCTTCCAACGGAAATTGGGGGCCATGGCCGCCCTCAGCCTGCTGGCTCGGGCTGCTCCAGCGCCGCACACCCGTCGAGGTATGTGTCCGAAGAAGCTGTCAAGGCTCTGTCTCTAATCGCCGGGGCTCGACAGATGTCTCCACGGCCGTGCTGGACAAGATGGACCTCTTCGCCCAGTACAGTGCCGCTGCCTACTGCTCCTCCAACATCGACTCGGAGAGCACCACCCTGACCTGCTCGGTGGGCAACTGCCCTCTGGTCGAGGCCGCCGATGCCACCGTCCTGTACGAGTTCAACGAGTAAGTCTATCATACCTCACAGCCCTACCTACATTGAAACTCCAGCTCACAAGAACCCCCCCAGAACCACCGACTGGGGTGATGCCACCGGCTACATCGCCGTGGACCCCACCAACGAGGCCATCGTCCTGGCCTTCCGGGGCAGTTCCGACCTGGCCAACTGGATCGCCAACATCGACGCCGACCTGGTCGACGCCAGCGACCTCTGCACGGGCTGCGAGGTCCACAGCGGCTGGTGGAAGACCTGGGAGACCGTCGCCAGCACGATCACCTCCTACGTCGAGTCCGCCGTCTCCAGCTATCCGGACTACGAGATCGTGTTCACCGGCCACAGTCTGGGTGCTGCCCTGGCTGCCATCTCCGCCACCGTGCTGCGTGATGCCGGATACACCATTGATCTGGTATGTTCCGGTCCTTTTTCCATATCCACCCACATCCACACCCCCATTTCATTTCATTACAACTCACATCCTAATTCCCATCCGCCAAAACCAGTACGACTTCGGCCAACCCCGCATCGGCAACCTCGCGCTGGCCGACTACATCACCAGCCAAGACAGCGGATCCAACTACCGCATCACCCACACCGACGACATCGTCCCCAAGCTGCCCCCGGAGCTGCTGGGCTACCACCACTTCAGCCCGGAGTACTGGATCACCAGCGGCAATGACGTGACCGTCGCCGACGACGACATCACCGAGGTGGTGGGCGTGGATTCCACCGCCGGAAACGACGGCACGCTTTTGGATAGTGTCTCGGCCCATCGGTGGTACTTTATCTATATTAGCGAGTGCTCGTGAGGGGGTCGATTGTTTGGGAAGGTAGTATATAGCTGTGGGGGTGGAGTGGAGTGGAGGTAGGGAAGGGGAGGGATTGTACATACATACTTTTTCTTTTTTTTTTTTTTTTTTTTTTTAATTGAATATGGAAATGGAATTGGTTTTCCGCTTCTGTTCACCTGTCTTGATCTTGAGAATCGTACTTACTTACTTAGGGTGCTAGTCGCAATCTATTTGACACTGGCATGTGAAATAGATAGCCAGCCTGCAGAGCACCATCCCGAAACCTATCAGCATAAGCACTAGCTATAATCCACTACCACTAACACCATCCACCCCGATACGCCAGGTCCTGCTAGATAGATAGCAAGACGCAAGCTGCAGCATGTGAAATCGATCAACCCATGCAATATGAATCTGCAGGGGTGTTTGTACCATCGATAGCGTTCTGATCGGAGATCCCGTGGGAGAGTGGAAGACAGCCAGCCCTAAACGGCATTTCCACCGAGCCGCGCAACGACTCCTCTCCGTCGATCGGAGGGGTACGTACGTACACGTGGGAGGGGGGGATGGGTTGATTTGTTGGTTTGTGGAGAATTTCGTCCCTGGGCTGTGGGGGACAGACTTGATGCTGTTGCTTCGTGGGTTCAGGGCTGGGCTGGCACGTGGTGTGGTGGCTGGCTCGCGCGGACTGGAAGCGTTGGTTTCTTGAAGGATTCCTGTGGGCCAGGAAGAAGCCAAGCGCCCGGTTGAACATCGCAATTGAAATGCGGGGGCTTTAGGTTTGGCTACTGCTAGGCGGATATGGCATCATCCTTAGTGCTTTCTTACATCATTCGAGGTAGATGTTGTCGCGTCACTGATGTAAAAATCGACCCGATGAATCAACTATCAAAGACTCAAGACTCGCGCAAAGACCTCAGCCATCAGATAGGGTACTCCTACCCTTTGTACTTTTGTATATTTTTAATAAGACACTGCGACTGACTGGAGGGCTCTGCACAGCCACACGGTGGATCCCCCCCCCGGAACCCATGAAGAGTCGACATGATAGACGTAGCATTGTATCGTTGTCTCTGGTCTACTTATTCCCAGAGTCTGACAGGGAATGCGCACCATGGAATATGCTCCGAATGTCAAGGAAGACACAGGGGATCCTAGCAATGCAGGCGGGTGTCGTGTTCACTGTGTCGTACAGCTGGAGTTGCTGGGGTTGGGGCCTCTGATTTAAACAACCCCCGTATCCCCCGATCCCGATGCTTCGATCCACAGCACCTGAATGGGAATTGTTTCTTGTTTCTGCTATCAGGCCTTGCCAGATAACGCATCATACCGTTGACAGCATACCAAAATCAGCCTTGACGATGGATCCCCGCGAAATGTCTCTGGAGTCTCAGATTTCAGCCCTCACAGGCGTCGTGCGATCGAACAAGGAGAGCCTCGATTATGCCACCCGGCTCAAGGCCATCAAGGCTGCTTACGGCTTGCTCGCTGCGTTGAAATCCTCAGCGGAGACTGTCATCCATGACGTCGTCAGGGTTGGTTGAAGAGCAAGTCCCTCTTCCCTTTCGATAGGCAACTAACACCCCTGCTCACGGCAGAGCGTGGCCCTCCCGATGACAATCCGCATGGGCGTCCAGCTTGATGTTTTCAGAATCATCAGCAACTATCAAGGCCAGGGGACTACCATCCAGCAGATCGCAGAGAGATCCGGGGCAAGTGTCCTTCTCGTCGGTGGGCTGCCCTTCTAGTTCATAAACTTGCCCCCTCTGGAGAATAGAAAACAATAGCTAACATGTTCAGATCAAATCATGAGACTGCTCGCGGCCACGGGATATGTCTCGGAGACGGACATCCAGACATACGAGCCGTCGCCTCTCACGAGCATCATGACCGATCCCATCTTCGAAGCAACCGCGAGAGTATGGTAAGTCCCGACTCACAGCCACCCCGACATGTTCTCATTCGGGCTATCCTAGCTTCGACATCCTCAACCGGTGCACCACCGCAGCCCCGGAGTTTTTCCGTAAGAACAACAACCAGCTCCCTCGCTCGGCAAGAGACACGCCTTTCCAGCTGGCCATGAATACTGACCTCGGTTACTTCGACTGGCTGGGTCATAACCCGGACCTGTCCAGGGACTTCCAGCAGTGGATGACTTTGAAGCGGAAGTCAACGCCGAGCTGGTTGGACTGGTTCGATGTTCAGGGCGCCTTCGTCGACGGATTCGACAGTGACTCGGCGGACGATAGCGTCTTGATTGTTGATGTCGGAGGTGGCGAGGGCCATTACCTGCGTGCATTGAAGGAGAAGATCCCGTCTCTCCCTGGACGGCTAGTGTTGCAGGACTTGCCGCATGTTATTTCGAGTATAAAGGCGCCTCCGAGAGGCGTTGAGCTGATGTCGTACGATTTCTTTACTCCGCAACCGGTGAAGGGTAGGGAGCTGCATATCCAGATGGAATCTGAGGACGAAGTTGCGCATGCTAACCAGAGTGATACCGCGCAGGTGCTCGAGCATATTACATGCACTGTATCCTGCACGACTGGGGGGATCAACAGGCTCGCGAGATCCTTCGCAATACCATCGACGCCATGGAGCCTGGCTACTCTCGCCTTATCATCAACGAATATATTATCCCTAGTAAGAACTGCGACCTGGTATTGGCGTATGTGAGTATCACGATGATGGTTCAGACTGGCGCGTTCGAACGGTCCGAGACGCAATGGCGTGAGCTGCTCAACTCGGTTGGTCTGAGAGACATCACCTTTCACCAGCCACTGAGGGGTGGCGAAGGGATCATTGAAGTTATCGTCACGAAGTAGTGAACTGTAATGGAATCAGTGTCTTCAGACAACTTGAAAACCTGTTTCTTCGTTCTCCTAGCCTAGAACATACATAGATACAGCAATGAGGTGCCCCGGGGTATATGGTAAGCTAAACAGAGGCACCACTCAAAATTTGTTACATATTGGGAAGAGGAAGAAGACGACAGAGCCCGGACAGACGAAGCGGTAGATTGTTTGATGGTATGGGGGTCGGAAGAACCCACCTGTTCGCCCGGCACGCCCTGCACGTCACGAGATGGTCATCCAACACTACGTCTGGATTAGTTCGATCGGTCCTTCTGTTCCAGCTTCCCAACAAGTTTCTTCATTCCTGCCCATTCGTCGGCGGGCACATCCTCCGGGGTGCCGCTGAGACCCTTTCCGACTTCGAAGACCGTCACGACGCCGTCGAGTCCACCGGTTGCAATGCGCCGGCCTTCGCGCTCCTCCCAGGCCACCTTGTTGAGACTTCTCGTCAGGATTCCTCCGCGGCCCCTAGACGGCGTCGTCTTCACCGCAGGGACTTCCGTGTCCGTGTATAGATCCCAAACTTCGAGGTTTCCAGCACCGTCGACGAGAGAGAACACTCCGGGGCGGTGAGGCGACCATCGTGCGTCGTACACGACGTCCTCACGGTTGATATCCAGGATCGGCTCTACAACCTGCATGGTAGTGATTGCCGATGTTGCGGGAGCCGTTGTGGCCGGCGGGCGAACACGCCAGAGCTTCACGCTCCAATCCAGACTAGAGCTCAGCATAAGATCGCCCAGATCAACTGGGCCGCGCGCCGGATGGAATGCCGTCGACATGATCGGGGCCTTGTGACCCTGGTACACGAGGCGATGGTCGGTGCCAGCTTTCGCGCCTGCCCTGTCATAGCGATGGCAAGGGTAGATTCGTCCTTCTTCGGTACCCACGATGAAAAACGTTGGGTCGGATTGGGGAAATGACATGGTCGTGGGCGCAAGATCTTCCGTTTTAGAAGGCGGAGGAGTCGACAGCTCGAGATACTCCTGGGGCTGGGAAAGCATGTCCACCGTCCAACCGCAGACCACACCGTCCGTCGAGGCTGTCAGAATGTTGTGGGCATTCTGCGTGCCGATTATCGAGATGCTGTAGACCGGATGAGTGTGTCCAGACCCGGTCAGAGGGGTCTTCTGAACCGGAGCGCCTCCGCCTGCGCGCGACGACCGAGTATCCCACAGCAGAACCTGGCCCGAGTACGAGCCACCGACAATGAGATTTGGGTGAAAGGGAGAGAACTTGGCTGTTAGGATATCGGAAGTCGAATGGAAAACGTACTCCGGTCGAGCGTGCAGGTGCTGGTTCCAGATCTGGACGAGACCATCCGGTTCGTGAGGGGCAGAGGGGTTTTTGGTGTATGCGGCCAGGACAAGTTCGGGGAACTGAAGGGGGTCAGCTTGAGAGGGCATCTACGACGAGGACGACAGGAGCGACAAACCTTGGGAGAAAAGCTCAGGTCACTGATCATACGTTTCTTGCTCCACCGCTCATCCCAGAACTGGCAGACCTCCTTGATACCTCGCCTTCTCTTCCCATGCTCGTCATCATCCTCTAATTCACCGTCGACTCCTCCGAGTTCATAGTCTGCTAGCACGTCGTATTCTTCGTCCAACGCCCGCTCGATCACCTTGGCCGACCGTTCGACGAAGTCCAGAAAGTCTTCGGACGATGTGACGGCCTTCAATTCATCATCATCCAAGGTCCGTAGTGGATAGCGCAGACTTAGGGATTCAGCCCCCGCTTCGTATTCCGCTCTCTGCGTGGCCTGTAGTTCATCTTCGATTTCCTGCCGGAGCTTCTTCCGGATCTCCTCGTCGCGTTCGCTATCTTTCCTGCTCGAGCGAAGGTCGTCGCCGTCGGACTCCGCGGATGACGGATCGGTGGGTTTCAGGTCGTCTGTCTGCACGCCTTTGCTGTAGGTGACCACCTCGGGTTTGGGCTCAGGGGCGGGAGCAGCTTCAGGAGGCGCAACAAAGGTTTCCGTTCCGACCGTCTGAACGGCAATGGAATTCGAAACGGGTCGCACGGCAGGCGGACTGAATGCCTCGGTGTTATCCCCACTGAGCTGGCTGGCGCTCAGCACGGAATTGGGTCTGCTCCCCTTTCGCGAGAGGCCGTCGGCACCGTGGCTGATGGAGGCGGATCCCGGGCGGTCGACCAGGCGGGAGATCAGGTCATCGAGCTCGGCTCTGCTATCTGCGCGACTGGGAACGGGCGATACGACCTGGAGAACGGGGCGAGTTGAGCGCTGACACCTTCAAGGGGTCGGGAATGGGAGCTATGGGGCCTTACCTCGGAGGCATCGCCGGTGTTGGCTCGGGTCTGGGAGAATTCCTTCTGGCGCAACTCCCTCTGACGCTTCAACTCGGCGAGTTTGGCTCGTTTGGCGAGGATCTCGGCCTTGCGCTGCTGCATGGCCGACGACATGATGTGGAGGGGGGGGGAGGAAGAGGGGGGGGAAACCTCCACAGCAGTGTTGATTGTTTACCAGCCTGTCGTGGGCAGTACGCAGTACTCCGTAGTAGTAGTGGTGGTAGTAGATACGGAGTACATATCTACACTACGGGGGAAGCGTTCGGGTGCGTTAGTAACTAACTCCCCCAATAATCGATCCCGCGCCCAGGACACGGCAGTGATGACATAAGCGCAGCAGGCCCGGCGGTCCGGAAAAACTCGCGACAGGAACTTCGTCTTCTCGTCAAGTTATCCTGTCCGATTAATCGCCAGCCATTGACAGTCGATCCCTCCATACGGTCGTTCGGAACCCGGCCCTGTTTTCTCGTCCTCTCTGATCTTTTCGACTGCCGCTCCGGAGGCCCAGGATTCTCATACAATGGCTACTCAGGGTGTCAACGTGAGTCCCATGCCATGTCATCCATCCGTGTCCGCCCAGGGCCAACGCCCCGGCGTGCCCGTCGTGATACACGTCCCGCGATGTGCGATGTTAACCCGATCCCTTCGCCCTCCAGGTTCTCCGCTACTCCGCCCTCGTGGCCGGTCTCGTCTACGGTGTCTACCACCAGTCCTCCATCACCGCCAGCGCGAAGCGTGCCGAGGCCCAACATGAATACGCCCGCCAGGAGCGCCTGATCGAGCAGGCCAAGGCCGAGTGGAAGAAGAAGACCGCGCCCAAGGACACACAAAACAGTGGAGGTATGTCGTGATGCTCGCCCTGCTTGACACCCCCTTCCGCCCTGTCGATGAAACCCCAAACCCCTCCTCCCCTCCTCCCTCTCCCTAGGGCACGGTCCACAGGTACGGTCCCGGATCACCAAAGCTAACTAGTACCCCTTCACAGTCATCACGGATCCCGAGGACAGCCGGTTTGACCTTGAGGCTTTCTTGAAGTTGAAGGCTGGCGAGAACTAGGGGGAGGGATGGAAGTATACAGCGAGAAGATGATTTGCAGTGGTCTCCCTTGAGAGCCGTACCTCTCCAGGTACGGGCGAGAGAGCTCGGGTCGCCCCCGATTATGTATTATTGTTTGGTCTAATTTCCCAGAGTCGTGTCATTGCGAGCGAAAGGAATGATTTTTCTTTTTCCACTATAGACATCATCTCCGCATCTTGTACATACCCTGGGCTGTCGTGCGTGTGTTCACTACAGTTGGACCAGAAGAGCAAGAGAGTCTGTTGTATGCTTCGCTTTCATTGCGGATCTTCTCTCGTACGGAGTGCGCTTGCACAGTGTCATGTCCCATTGTTCATGGGGCTGGTCTATGGGTGCTCGTAAAGCCGTCACGTCATCAAGAGCGGACGCGGGAGAGATGCTCTTGCTGAAGATGGGAGCCATCCGATCTTCCCTTTCTGTCTATTACCTTTTACCGTAGGATCATCCAATTGCGAGACAATTTCGTGTCTGCAAGCTCCCAGCGACTCTAACTGCGACGGTTCCCGATCAGAGCCATGACCTCACTCAGCTCGTTGTACAACCGGTCATCTTTTTGCGGGTCTTCAACGACGGGCTTGGGGTGTAACAGCCCCGTTTCCTGGTCCCAGGTCCACCCGTAGGCCGTGAGTTTCTGCACGGTGGTCGAATCAGCCTGTGCTGCGGTGACTGGGTCGAGGCCGAGGTAGGTGGCAGCCGCCGCCGGTCTTATCGCCTCATAGGCCTTGCTGATCTCCTTCAGTGTTTTTTCTTGGAAGTAAGCTGCCGACATGTCAGTACGCGAGCAAGATAGACGGCCCCAGTCCGGTGGATGTTTTGTTTTCTCTCACCTTCGTAACTCTGGACGATTGGTTTGAGTGGGTCCGACCATGGCAGTTCCCTTAGGACCTGATAGACCTGTTCGTACTTCCGCTGCCACACCGCGCGTAGCAGGTTCAAGCAGTTTTGTAACGACGGATCATGCTGTAGCAGACCTTGGGGCATGCGCTTCGTGGATATGCGGGCTTCGTAACTGCACCGGTGGTTATCAGCCCATGTGCCCCAACTGACACCGACATCATGACCGGAGTAGGAGGCCGGGGAGGTCTCACATTTGATCTGTGAGGAGATGGGAGAAAAAGAAGGTCGAGTAGTAGAGGCTCAGCAGCTCTGCTTGGTTGCTATCTTGGGAGGAGAGCAGGCAGGCCTCGGCCTCGTAGTCGGAGAGGGTGCGGTAGAGCTCGGCGGGCGTCGAGGCCGAGGTCACGATGGCGGCGAGCTGTTGCTGGGAGAGCGGAGGAAGGTCCATGATCGGGGCAGTGGGACGGTGGTGGTGGATGGACCTTTGGCTGAATGCTGGACTATATTAAGTCATGACGGAGGGTGCGGGGACGTGCCGGAGGAGAAGAGCGCTACTGTCGGACTACGGGCGCGACTTACGTACCTGGCCGCCAAGCCCCCGAAGAGACCACCTTGCGAAGCTCTCGCTCTCCATCCCCATTCATTCATCATTACTCCCAACTTCTCTCTCTCGCTTCGGCTTTCTGGGCAGGACAGAGCCATCCGCTCAGTTTCTTCACGTTGGACCTTGATCTCACTCCCTCCTGGCCATTATGGCCGAATCACCCACCGATGTTCTTCTAAAGGGTGACTCCGGCAGAAACACACGCGGCCTGCTGCGATTTATCATTCTAGCTACCATTGCCGCCGCCGCCGTGTCCAGTCGTCTGTTCAGTGTCATCCGTATGTACCTTGGCACCTCGCATGGCAGTGCCATCTGTCAATTGACTTGCATATGCTAATTGAAGACCCTAGGTTTCGAGAGTATTATCCACGAATGTATGTCCATTGCCTATCCGTCCATTCGTCCATCTATACCTCCTACATCCGCCGCGGACCCGGCATTCAACTTCCAACTCTATTCACAAGAACTGACGCTGATGTGATTCCCTTCCGCAGTCGATCCTTGGTTCAATTTCCGCGCTACGAAATATCTCGTCCAGAATGGCTTCTACAGCTTCTGGGATTGGTTTGACGACCGTATGTTCCTGGCCACCCTCGCACCTCCGTCGGATACCATTTGTCTTTCCGAATTGACACGGTATACACCATATACACATATACTAACGGGCAATCCCGCGCAGGAACATGGCATCCCCTGGGACGTGTCACTGGTGGCACGCTATACCCCGGTCTCATGGTGACCAGCGGCGTGATCTACCACGTTTTGCGCTTCCTCACCTTCCCCGTCGACATCCGTAACATCTGTGTCCTACTCGCGCCCGGTTTCTCCGGCTTGACCGCGCTGGCCATGTACTTCCTGACTTGCGAGGTGTCCCCCTCCCCCTCCGCGGGTCTGCTCGCGGCTGCCTTCATGGGAATCGTTCCCGGTTACATCTCCCGTTCCGTCGCGGGTAGTTATGATAACGAGGCCATTGCCATCTTCCTGCTGGTGTTCACCTTCTTCCTGTGGATCAAGGCCATCAAGAACGGCTCCATCATGTGGGGCGCATTGGCTGCCTTGTTCTACGGCTACATGGTGTCCGCCTGGGGTGGTTATGTCTTCATCACCAACCTGATCCCTCTGCACGTCTTCGTTCTGCTGTGCATGGGCCGGTACAGCTCCCGGGTTTACATCAGCTACACCACCTGGTATGCGCTGGGAACTTTGGCGAGCATGCAGATCCCCTTCGTCGGGTTCCTGCCGATCCGGAACAGTGACCACATGTCTGCCCTGGGTATGTCTTCCTCCTGGTCTTGTGGCTGAGCATGTATACTGACGTTGCCAGGTGTCTTCGGCTTGCTGCAACTCGTGGCCTTTGCTGATTTCGTCCGTGGCTTTGTCCCCGGCAAGCACTTCCAGAGACTTCTGACCACCATGGTCATCCTCGTCTTTGGCATTGCCTTCCTCGGACTGGTCTTGCTGAGCGTTTCCGGAGTGATCGCCCCCTGGAGCGGTCGCTTCTACTCTCTGTGGGACACGGGCTATGCCAAGATCCACATCCCCATCATTGCGTCCGTTTCCGAGCACCAGCCGACCGCTTGGCCCGCCTTCTTCTTTGACCTGAACTTCCTGATCTGGCTTTTCCCCGCCGGTGTTTACATGTGCTTCCGGGATCTCAAGGACGAGCACGTTTTTGTCATCATCTACTCGGTGCTTGCCAGCTACTTTGCCGGTGTCATGGTCCGTCTGATGCTCACATTGACCCCGATTGTCTGTGTGGCCTCCGCTTTGGCGCTCTCCAGCATCCTGGACACCTACGTGTTTGCCAGCAACGGCCCCAATCCTCGCTCCAAGGCGAACGACGACACACCCTCCGAGGGTCTTCGTTCGGCCCGGAAGCCCGAGGTTGGCATCACCTCGTATCTGTCTAAGGCCTTCATGCTCACTTCCGTGGTCATCTACCTGATTCTGTTCGTTGCGCACTGCACCTGGGTCACTTCCAACGCGTACTCCTCGCCGTCGGTTGTTCTGGCCAGCCGGATGCCCGATGGGAGCCAGCACATCATTGACGACTACCGTGAGGCGTACTACTGGCTCCGCCAGAACACCGAGCACAACGCCAAGATCATGTCCTGGTGGGACTACGGCTACCAGATCGGTGGCATGGCGGACCGCCCCACCCTGGTCGACAACAACACGTGGAACAACACCCACATCGCCACCGTTGGAAAGGCGATGAGCTCGCGCGAGGAGGTCAGTTACCCCATTCTCCGCCAGCACGATGTCGACTACGTGCTGGTTGTGTTCGGCGGTCTCCTGGGCTACTCCGGTGACGACATCAACAAGTTCCTGTGGATGGTCCGTATCGCCGAGGGTATCTGGCCCGACGAGGTGAGCGAGCGCGACTACTTCACGGCCCGGGGAGAGTACCGGGTGGACGACGGCGCCACCCCGACGATGCGCAACAGCTTGATGTGAGATCCCTATGCCCTCCACGACGACCCCCGAATGACTTGCTAATCATGACCCCAGGTACAAAATGTCCTACTACAACTACAACTCCCTGTTCCAGCCTGGCCAGGCTGTTGACCGCGTCCGTGGCACGAAGCTCCCCATGGAGGGCCCCCAGCTTTCCACCCTGGAGGAGGCGTTCACCAGTGAGAACTGGATCATCCGCATCTACAAGGTCAAGGATCTCGACAACCTTGGCCGTGACCACGGCAATGCGATGGCCTTTGACAAGGGCCACAAGCGCAAGCGGGCCACCAAGCGCAAGGGACCCCGTGTTCTGCGAACCGAGTAAAAGGGTCGTCGATTCCCGTCCCCGGTGCGGCACCGGGCGTGAAATCGATCGAGCCTTTTTGTCCTTTAGCCTGTCTCCTTCCCTTCCCTTCCACGTTTCTTGTATTTGTCATCACCAATATAGGCGGCAGTATAGAGAGAAAGAAAAGAAATTCTTTTATTCACTGGAACTATGTTTTGTGTAGACTTCGATCTTATCGGGGGTGTGCGAACTTGGATGTATGCTGCTTGCATGGAGGGGATCGCTGTATTTGCCTCGGAGGTATCGACACGGCCATATAATATACAAAAAAAAAAAGCCAGGCGGGCATTCGTAATAGTAAACAAGTGCTCGACCAAACAGACGCAGGAAAGAAAGAAGAGATGGTTGTTTCCATGTACTCGATCGATTTTCATCCCTCTCCCCTCGCCACTAGTCAGGCCTCACGCCGCCCCGTCTCTCATCTCATCTGTGCAACGACACTCGGCGCAATCCACCATCTCAACCGCCTAGTATAAAAGCCCCCAATCCCCCATCCCCCCTTCTTCAGCTCAAAAAAAACCAACAAAAGAAAAACAATCCACCCAAGACTCCAAGACACCATATCCGACATACGCTTCCTTTCCACCGAGCTCAATCCAAATTCCCCTCGGCGTATTTCATTTCCAGGTCCTCCGCTCGGGGAATTGATGACTGGTTCTCTGCTCCGCTCCGCTCCGCTCCCGTCCAGTTCAGTCCGGTTCGGCGTGCTCTGGTCCGGTCTATTGCTGGGATGACTTTGCGGGGGCGTCGGGAACTTTCACGTCTGAGAACTCGTCCTGGCCGACGGCGCGGATGGTGTAGGCGTCTAGTTTGGGGAGGGGTTGGTGGTTAGTTTTTGTGGTTTGGGGGGGAGGGGGGGGGGGGGGGGGGGTTGAGTTCAGGGTGTTTGAGGGTATTGAGTAGGATTGGGCTGGATTGAAGTTTGGGAATCACGTACAGACGCTGATGGTGAATGCGACGAGGGCGACACCGGTCAGAGAGTTCCTGAAGAGGTAGGGCCGACGGGCACGCTGGAGGGCGGCTCCCGGACGGTAGTCCTTGCCGTAGTAGGAGGAGTTGAAGCTGGAGAGGGTTGGGGTTAGTTATCGTTCTGGAGGTGAAGGTGGAGGAGGGTCATGGTGGTGGTGGTGGAAAAGGTGGAGGGAGGGGAAGAGTTTCAGTGTTCGGGGGGTCGGGAGCAGGGCACATACACTCCGGAGGGCATTTTGAGAAGGGTTTAAAGCGCTGATTGAGTGGGAGGATAACCTGGGGGGTAGACGAGGCCGATCTTGTCGGGTTGGCAGGCAATTCGGGGGTTGATGTTGGATGATGCCGAAGCACGAGGGAAGAATGGCCGCCGGGCTTGGCGCTGGTGGCCGGCCGAAACGGGATGATGGGCTGATGGGGGGAATTGATGGTTGATCGAGGTGGTGAAGGTGATTATGGTAGTAATTATGGCAGTGACGGTGGATT